CTATAACCTATTATAGGTTACGAGGGAACTTTACCCCTAAGGCCTCCTCTACCTTCTTATAAAAGTAGCCTTTAGCTAATATCTAAGCTTACTATTACCTATCCCCGGCTATTAGCTAGTACTCCGTCTTTAGCCTCTAGCTATTAAAGCCGTACGAGCTCTAATAGTATACGATTAGTAGGAGAACTAAAGGAAAAGGGATAACTACTTATAGCTCTAGCTCCGGGGTAGGGGTAGGTAGATTAGAGGCGGGCCCGGCGCTACCCCTACTACTTATAGTAGTAGCCTTCGTTATTATTCTATAGATAAAGGTTAGAGAATAGGAATACTATTGAAGACGAACTTATGGTTCGGTACTTTTACGACCCTACCTAGCTAAAGTAGCTACGGAGAGACCGCTCGCCGGTAAGGAAAGCCTTAACTAGGTGGTAACTAGTTATAACGACGACGGTACGTATAGTACGTATATAGGTATAGGCGGCGTTATCGTCGATAAGGTCGCTACCCCTATCGACGGGCAAGAAGAAGGTCTAGGCCTTCGCTAGTATAGCTACTAGATCCTTTACGTCGCCCTATATCCCCGTTATAGGCTAGAAACGAGTATAGCTCGTTAATAGTACGCCCTAACTAATAAGAACTAAGGGCTAGACTTATAGGGTCGTATTCCGACTTACCCTTTATATACTTAGTATACTTACTACTAGCTACCGAATCGTAGCGGTAGGGGAACGGTAGTAAGGCGACTACCGTTACGGACGAGAGGTCTAGCTTAGATAGGGAATTTATCTACGAGCCGTAATACCCGATATAATAAATCTCTAGGATTTAAAGACTATCGTAACGTACTAGGCGGAAGGTAGGGCCCGGTGCTAATACGGTAGCGGTACTAGAGGATATAGTATATAAGGGATAACGTACCCCACGGTCCAATTGAATACTTTCGCGCATTTCCGTACAACCTAGGTTTTATCCCTTATTTTCCACCTTCTACAAAACCCTAATATCGGGTATATTGCGTTAATTAGGCTATTAGTGTATGGAAGAGTCGTTATAACGGGCCTGCCTTAGCTAGCAAGTTGTATCCGGAGGGTTTCGCCCCTGATCTAGTAGAACTCCGGATCGGGCCTAGCTAAAGAGGAGATCTCAGCCGCTCCTACCTAACTTAGATTACTTATAAATCAGTCTTGCAATATAAACACCTATATTATTCCTAGACAATTAATAGCTATTTGCACTACCTAACTATTATCCTTGAGACGTGTATTATCCCCGTTACAATAAGAACCAACGGTTCGTAATAATCATCCCCTATACTATAATAGAAATCTGTGGCCGCATATAGCTCTATGGGTTCACGAGACCCTCTCTATATCTCTCGTTCGCTTAGCGGAAGACTTATTAACCTAAAGAGTCCAGCGAACTACACCGTACACTTATCCGAGAAGAGTGTCCGTATAAGCTGCCGGATCTAAGCCGAGATAGGGTGCTAGCGGCAGAATGTAAGGCGCGCCTTTATATCTTCGGCCTTTAAGATAATTAGCTTTACTGCACGCTATTTCTTTAGGTAGTACCGGTATAGAATAACCCTAATAGTATCTAGGTGTACCGATAACCTACCTTACGTATAAGCTCCGTGTACGTTATTCTAGGATACTAGCGGTATAAAACAACTAGATGTCTCTTATCTCTAGTGCTTAACTTTCTAGAAACATCCTATCCGCTTCTTTATAGCTGTGGTTTTCGTTGTTTTAGCGTGTTCAGCGATATTAGTAATAGTTAGGGCCTTGACGTGCCGAACGCGTCTACAACCTCCCGACTTATACCACTTGCCCTAGCGGCTACAATGGCGGCTCTAGCTTCTAGGTCTAATCCGCAATTTGCGCCGCGATTGCCGCTCATTTCTATAGCAAAAGCTCGAAAATCCATTGCAAATTGGGATTTGTAACAGCTGATTGAAATCAGTAGGCTAATATTGTTGTTGTTTTAATTGCCAAATTTGGATGTCCGGAGACTTTTTCGTCATTAGTGTATCACCCGGATGAGAAAACACGATGCTCACTGTAATAATGGCGATCCTTCAAATAATATAGAGTTAGTTGATATTGATGGCCACTTCAAGCTTATTATACACATAAAACAATGCCGGGGCTTCATGTTTAGCGAACTGAGTAACCATCAGGTCGGTTCGTGTTGAATGCTAGATTGAATGTCGGCGCAGGGGTATCTCGTTCACCTAAGACGTTACTCGTTTGTCCATCTCAGCAAGATAATGAATCGACCGTATCGCTCAAGAGTCGGTATAGTGACTTAGTGACAGGGTCTTGCTTTTTGGTTTTCGGATGATTCATGCAATAAGTAAATCTTCGAGGATATTTAATAATCTGGATTATCTAGGTATTCACTCTCTGGAAGAAGAAAAGAGCAAGCGGCCAGTAGTTATAAATTTTGTTCCCTTCGCTTGTTGAGGCCATTATTCGTACATGTTGAGGTACTTTGGTTATCCAAGTCGATCTGTTTAAGCCTGCTGAGGCCCAGTCAATTCGTCGTACCTGCTGAAACTTTAGTTGATTTGATCAGGGCAAGAAGGCTCTTGGTCTGTTATTCTTTCACCCTCCCGGATACTAAGGTTCTTTTGAGGATCTTGTTCTCCGTTGCCATCATCTTCACCTTAAACCTGCGGGCATACACTGCCCGTCGTCAATAGATAATGTCGAAGGCTAATGTTACGTTGCTGACGAGTTATATTTATTGCTGTTGAGACAAGTTCAACTTATCAATGCAATGAAATTACTCAATTCGTCTAACGTGAATGTACACCGAGCTGGCCACCCTTACATAACCTCGCATAGAAATTTTACGATAGTAAAACCACAACGCCGTAAATCAATTGAAACTACTCTGAATCTTCCTCTCCAGAAGATGGCAATGCGATCTTACAAGCTCGCGCATTATGCCCAGTCCCGTTGCAAATACCACAGCGCCTCGGACGCGTTTCAACACGCTTTGCGCGACCACCATTTCGGCGCTCTTCTTGCTGTATCTGCGTCGCCAACTCCCTAGAGTCCCGTAGGTCCTGTCCTTCTTGGAAAATAAGTGATTCTCCTTCCCGTAATTGCATTTTTTTAGTCCTCCGGCGCCGGCTTAGCATCTTATTTGCCTCTCGAAGCTCAGCGCACTCGACCCGTATGAGGGCGAGCTCGTGCATTATCATTTTTGCTCCCTTCGCAAACTGGTCGACAGCTGAGAAAATATTCGTCGGAGAGTTATTCTGATGCTCGGAGATGCGCTTTTTCAAAAAAGTAGACTGTGCATGAGCCTCTATCGGGTTCTGTGGCGTCTTTGATACCCACGGTCGGGTTGCGATTTCTGGGGAACCAACAGGCGTCGGGGTCCGTAATCGTACGTCCAGCTTTGAAATCACACTTTCTGGATTGAATGGAACAAGTCCTGCCCTTCGAAAGCCAGCTTGAACGTTTTTTCGCCGAAAACTGCAAAGAAGGCGTCTTTGAAGATAGGAAAGAAGTCCTCCTTCGCGATATGTGTTAGTGACCGGCGTATCAATTTCTCTACCATCTGGCCGTACACCCGCTTTAATGGACCGAAACAGGCCACGTCAAGTGGCTGGAGGATGTGAGATGAGTGCGGAGGCATACACAAAGTTACAATTTTGTGTTCTTTGCAATATAGCTCGAAATCGCCGGAAACGTGGCTCTCGTGACCGTCCAACACTAACAATCGATATATCCCGGACTTTCCATCTTTCGTACAATTATCGACGTGTTTAATAAATTCCATACCGATCTCGTTAGTCGTCCATCCTTTTGGACTAGGTCTAATTCTCCAATCTTTCGGAATGTTGTCGTCTTCGTACCAAGAAGAGAGGTGGTATCGGCCCGCAACAACGATGAACGGCGGCAGCGCCCAACCGGTAGACTGGACCGCTTGGATTACGGTAACCCATTCCCGGTTACCTTGCTGTATTGATTTCGGCCTGGCACGTCGTTCGGAGCTCGTAACTACTATATTGGTTGAGATCTTGCCCATCATAAACCCAGTCTCGTCGAAGTTGTAGATGTCCGACTCTTGGATACCGTATTTCGCGATAACATTCGCAACAAGCCGAAACCAATCTGCAATAAGCTTTGGATCTTCGCATTGGGCCCTTTGCTAATCGTAAGGACGGTTCCAACGAGTTTTCAACTCTTTGCGACGTGCGACGAACCTCGAGGCCCAGCGCGTTCCAATGGGCCCTGCGTTACATGTCGCGCGAATAGAATTTGCCATTACTTCCACATCAGCAATCCGGGGCGGAAACGCTCGTGCATATAAGTCCAGTATATGCTTGATAATGACCTCCTCTTCTAATTCTGTCATAGTTCGTGAATTGGGCAAAATATCGCGTCGGAAAGGTACGCCGTTTTTACGCGTTTGGAGGGTGCTTCGGGGGACTTGGTACGTTTTTGCCGCTTGTCGGAGACTAAGTTTTGGTCATTTTTGAGAGCTTGAAGGGCTAGCATGAAGTCTGCTTCGTTGTATGACTTTGCCATAATTGGTTGTTGAGAAAATCAAAGATTAAGTTGGCCGGTCGCGTTGGCGCATGAAAGTAGCCAGCTCGGTGTCATGGCCAGCTCGGTGTACATTCACGTTATTAAGAATTACAACTGTAAACTGTAAGTACCTGAACCGATCGCCTTTCCCCTGCATAGACCCCTGGGGAATAAGGGACGGGGAGTATTAGCGCAGGGGTAATGCAGATCATTTTAGACCAATTAAATGCGCCTGTCGGCAGCTTTATGGGGACCACGTCCTCAGGGCCAAACCCTCGTTCTAGTGAAGGGTCGTGCGCCAGGCCACAACTAATTTCGTAGCTAGCGGTCGAAACTTTGCAACCACCGTCACGAAGTTCGCGACGATTTAACGAGTGACACCCACCACCCACCGCCCATCGAAATCAATTGCCAAAGCTTTGACTAGCAGCATCACCCCTCGACGTCGCCATCATGTCTCACGAGTCAATCTGGGCCAGCCGCCCGCGCACCTATGGCAAGGGCTCTCGTCAGTGGTACGTCGATGGAGGATAAACCTGTTCGCTATTTTGACAAAATGCACAAATGCTAACAGAAAGTCTGCTCCAGCCGAGTTTGCACTCATAAAGCCGGTTTGATCCGCCGTTATGGACTCAACATCTGCCGTCAATGTTTCCGCGAAAAGTCGGCCGACATCGGTTTCGTCAAGGTACGGATGGATTACCTAGATACGTAAATCGCAATTTGTTCACGTACTGACGAATATATAGCACCGTTGATCGTTTTCGAGCTCCTCTCCCCACTTCTCTCCATACCACGCATGCATTGGACCCGCCGGACGTCATCTACGAGGGACGCGGTCGGCAGTGGCGTTATCGGATGGTTTTCCGGGTTGATTTCGCAAAAGATGCAGGCGTAGTGATAGCAGCAGGATCAGGCCAACAAGCAGTAAGAATAGAATCTTCACAATCTGAAGTTGCCAACAAGTACTTGCCTCCCGGAACCGAAGAATCTCCACGCTACGACTTGTCACTAGAGGTTTCCAGGGCTTCCCCGATCATGGCTTTTCTCTGGCGTGGGCGCTGCTATGAATCATCATGATGCCAGGTATTGTCTGAACAATAGTACGATAAACAAAATGTGTAGAGCAAGTAGCGGGTCCTAAGAACCCCAATGCGCGCTCAGAATTATATGATACAAGTTTGCATAAAGGAGAGCAGCACTGAATAGGCCCGCATGAACTACATTCCAGATGGAGTGTCCGGTCTGGATACTGATAAACGAGGTTGGAGTTTCACGTCCGATTAATACAAATTGATGTAAATTGCATAACTAAGATATCGTGTGTTAGCGTGATTAAACTGTTTGCTTGGCATTTCGAGTCGTGTGGTACCTCTTGAAAATACCCTACCTCAACACACTAACCTCAGGCTCTGAAGATTTCCTAGCATATTCCGTAGCTTTGCATACATAGCCTCATGCCCGTTTATATCGACAAATTGTGAGAATGGCATTTTCAATTTGTGGTACTTTTAAGTCAGCTCCTAATTCTCCCGCACTACCCCACATTGCTCGCGCTCGCGCCCCTGATAAGAGGCTATTCGGAGATCTTTGAAAGTACAACTATTTCTCTCCATGGACCTTGACATCTTCACAATCCCATTTTCTCGACATTATTGATAAACATTTGCAATGGATTGACGAATAACGAAGTCGGAGCGCTCTCAAGGGACTACTAAGGTCGAACCCCTCCAACGGGAGCGCAACGAGGGCAAAGTCAGCAGACACACGTTCAAGTGAGAAGTCAAGGGCCCATGCAGGTCATTGAAATCTCTCGCTACTTGGGGAAAATCCAGGAAAGAAACAGTGCTGCTATGCGTTGCAGTATCCGTCTGACCTTGGTCTGACTAACGGCATGTGTGCAAGAGCGATTTCCGGGCAAACCGCGTATCTAGCGACAATTCTGTACCGTGTTACGAACTGGCGAATCCGCGCTTGACCTCATACCTAGTTCAATTGTCTACTTTGAATTGCCCCCGAAATCGTCCAAGAGTCTAAGAGGCTGGTCGAGGCCTCCGGTCAACTTCGTAATAGCCGCCGATACCTGATGACTATCCCACCCTTGGTCCCTCTTCTCAAGACTTTGTTGGGCCACTCTCATAGGCGCAGTACTGCTTCTGCATGCATATTCGCTCGCAATGTGAGTTATGGCACCAGTTTCACTGCCGAAGCAGTGGCAGGAGGAGATCCAGACCAAAGTGAAACCTCGATGCCAGCTGAAAACCTTCATCTTGTATGTCACCGCAAGAGAAAATGGCAAGACGTTGGCGAAACTTCTCCCCCACGATGAAATTCTGACCACATACGGCGCCGTCACCTCCGAGTACCAAATTCTGACTAAGAGGACGAAGAAGTGACTTATTCTCTCTTCTCCTTGCCGACAGCGCCATGTTTCACCACATCGTAATGGAAATGCTAAGGCCTCCTTGGTTATCCAGGCGACACGCAGGTTCGGTGTGACAGGGACTCTTTGATGAATAACCTTGAACAAAATCTTCTCCCTCCCCCGTTTTCTTCACATTACACCCTATGACAACTGGGACAGGTAAATACGGATGCTCACGAGACCTGCGCCAAGGGATGTGAGGAACAAACCGAACACACAGTAGCAGACTGGATGACAAGCCCCATTTCCAAGTACCCAAGCTCCCGCGGAAAGCAGTTTGGGATGATCTAGAAGCCGAGCAGAAGGCATTCTACGACTTGCTCGAAAAGAAACTGCAGCTCACATTGAGCCGCTACCTCAAACCTGGCACGGTGCGCAAGAACTGCAACCACATGTTCACCATGCTCCTCCGTTTACGCCAGGCATCTGGCCAACCCCACCTCATCAAGAATCATGGACTTCCAGACGGAGCAGAGCTTGATCGCGAGATAATGGGCTCGCCGTTGAGTTCGACGACGGAGTCATCGAGAGTTATTCGACTGCAAGACGAGTTACAAAGCCCAAAATGCGACGAGGTAACGGAGAACCCCATCATCATCTATACATTTGGTAATTATTTCTCGCGCATGATGGAGGCCAAGCAGCTTGCTATTGAGGTCAATGGTGCACATGGGGCGGAGACGTTTTGTTTCAAAGATACCGTGCGTCCGAAACACACCCTCGTTGGTTTCTTTGTCACTGTTACTTGGTCAATGCCCACAGGCTCGATACCTCTGTGTCTGACACCAGCTAGGATGGATGATAGCTCCAATGACGATCAGTATTTAATCGGAGGACAATATGATCCTGCGGATGAATACGATATGGCAGGCGCTACCTTTATGTCTGGCGATGACAAGGGGGGGCAGGGGGACGACAATGGGCTTCTGCTTACCAAGTATGTGTAGGCATCGCCAGATAGCAGCCATCGACCAGGACAACTGCTAGAGACGACTCTTGACAATGGTACACTACCGTCTTTGGGATCCGTCTGGAGACAGGCGACCAAATATATAACCTGTCGCTAAGGGCAGTTCTATAGAATCGGACGAGCTTAGGGAGAAGGTTGAATCTGAATGCGACCTTGTTACACGAAATCTCGCCATGGTCACTTTCCTAGTCAAGCGAAAGAGGCGGACGGCAAGACGGCGGTCAAATCTAGAAGGGGGTGAAACGGAGTGATGAAGCCACGGAGGAGCAGGAGCAGGAGAAGAAGATGAAGAAGAGGACGAAGGAGAAGACATTAATCACCATGGCAGCGCTAAATAAAGAAAGCTCAAGAAACGCAGCGGCTAACGCTAAGTATCTGAAGTGGTTCATAGATAACCAGCGCCAAGGTCGACAAGACCATGGAGTGCTCCGCGAGACACGTGAGAAGAAGCCACGGGGGAAAACACTTGTCTTCAGCGATTTTACCTCATTTTTCGACCTGATGGAGTTTCTCGTCCACGACGAATGATTTACATACGTACGCTACGACGGAAGCATGAATCTTAACGAGCGACGATATCGTCAAGGCATTCAGGGAGAAAAGCAAGGTCAAGTTCATGCTGATCGGGCTTAAGGTGGGTAATGTATGATTAAGCCTCACGGCAGCCAGCCAGGTCATCCTCCTCGAGCCCTTTTGGAACCCTTTCGTGTAAGAATAGGCCATATGTCGTGTACAGCGCATCGGCCAGAAAAGGTAGTTGACGGTGCACCACATCTTGATCACTGGGACCATTGAGGACCTTATCCTGTAGACACAGGACATGAAGTGAAATTTTTCCAGCGTAGCCTCAGCAAGGATGGTATGGAGAGCATAAGCCGGCTATCTATTCAAGATCTGAAGTCTCTCTTCGGGTGTAAGTGAGACATAGACAGATAATCGTTGTACATATTCACGTGCCCCTCTTTCGCTATTCAGCAGTTTTTACCACCAAACATACAGGATAGACTCGTCCGGACCACGAAAATTTCGGACATGTCTTTCAGAGATACGGCTAAGGTACTGTACGCTGGACCCTGGACCTGCCCAGACCTGCCAGAAGGTGACACTCGAGTCCACACTGAGCACGCCATGGTAGGATTATCCAGCGAGGATTCGCCCAGGTTCCGGAATGGCAAAAAAGGGTTTTGTACATTCGGGGATAAAGCTTATCTATTACTAAATACGTATCTATTTCCCGTCGCTGGAACGAACGGCATCGAATTGCGCCATATTGGAGCTCCATATCGGGAGACGAATATGACGAGCAATATTCCCCCAAGAGGACGGCGACGACGCCTTGAAGAGCACGGCATGGTATTCATGAGAAATATTTGATTTTGTGATCAGCAAGCACATATGTTGGTGTTCGCCTCGCTCAAGAGGTGAACCAGGCACAAGCCAAACTCTATCTTGGACTTACCTCCTGCCTGCCACCTTGTAGTGTTGTTTACCTCGAAACTCACGCGGGGTTCAGACTTTCCGTTGCTGTTTCCATCTAGCATTTTGGTTTATCATTTGCCATTTGCTATGGCCCACGACGCAACTCGTATTGAAAGCCTGCAAGGGCGATATGTCTCGAGCAGCTCATCCACAAACGATGTCGACGTCGTGGGAGAGTCTGCGGCGGTCACGGCCACAGGAAAATCGGCCAGAAAGGCTGAATCAGACGTGGAAAAGCCGCCGTTCTTGTTTACAGTCGGTAACGGAGCCGAGTGCGAGGAGGAAGCTATTCCCGAGGACGATGCACGGGTGGCGACGCTGCCAGCCTACGTCCGCCGTGTCGTCAGTCTGACTGACAACCCTGACCTGCCCGTCTTCACTTTCCGCTACTTCGTGTTGGCACTGTTGTTCGTCATCCCAGGTGCTTTCTTGTCCATGATGAGCCACTTTCGCACCACGTCGGCCCCCTACTCCATCTTCTTCGTCCAGATCGCCTGCAGTTATGTTGGAGACTGGTGGGCCAAGACTCTGCCGGGCTGGCATGTGTGTGTACCTGGAACCAAATGGGGCTTCAGCTTGAACCCGGGGCCCTTTTCTGTCAAGGAGCATGTCCTTGTTGTTCTCACGGCTGCGTCGGGTGCCACTTATAACCTCGGCTACACCCCCATCTCTATGGCCGAACTCTACTTCAACGAGACGGTACATCCTGCCTTGGCCATCTTCTTCATGTGGGGAATCGTCTGGACGGGTTATTCCTTCGCCGCCATTGCTCGTCAATTTTTGATCTACGATCCCCAGTACCCCTGGTTCCAAGCTCTTTGCCAGACTGCCCTCTTTGAAACGCAGAAGAAGCAGCGCGACAGCCCTTCACCCCAGAGCCGCAAGCAGACCAAGGTCTTCTGGCTCGTTCTCATCGCCGTCATCCTGTGGCAGTTTCTGCCCGAGTACGTCTTTCCAATGCTGGGTTCAATGGCTCTCCTTTGCTGGGTTGCCCCCAACAATCCCACAGCCAACTTTATCGGTGCTGGCTTTGGCGGCATGGGTTTACTGAATTTGTCTTTCGATTGGTCTACGATCAGCACCAATTACAGCATCTTCCTGACGCCATGGTGGACCCAGGTGGTCACTTTTGTCGCCTTCGTCTGCAACTGCTGGCTGCTTCTGCCCCTGGCTAAATGGGGCGGCCTGGGTGCGTGGCACCATAAGCTCATGTCGAACCGCTTCTTCCTCGGCAACGGTACCAGCTATCCAGTCGATGCATTGCTAACCCCGGAAATTGGCTTCAACGAGACGGCCTACCAGGAGCTCGGTCCCGTCTATGTTGGTACCCAGGTGCTATGGGGCATGTTTTTCGATTATGCCGCATACACATCAGCCATCGTCTGGATGGCCCTCTTTGGTTTCAAAGAAATAAAGGGGAGCTTCGCCAAGCTGTGGGCTCGCCGTAAGGCTACGACCAAAATTACCGAGCAATATCACGATCAGCTTAACATCATCCAAAGGTCTTATCCAGAGGTGCCCGCCTGGTGGTTTCTCGCCCTTTTTGCTGCCTCCTTCGTCTCTCTGCTTGCCATAGTTGCTACCAATAGTCTCTACATCCCCGTGTACACCTATTTTGTTGCCGTTGCCACCGGGGCTATCATGGTTGTTCCCTTAGGTTGGCTCTATGCTCTTTCCAACTTCCAGCTAGTATGTATATTTCCCCTCTAGGCTCTGGCCCTCGAGTACCATCAGCATGACGCTAACTACCCTCGCAGCCCATCGGTACAGTGAACGAACTTCTATATGGCATCATGGTTAACGCTGTTTCCGGTCACAAAAATCCAGCAGGAGCCACTGTCTATAGCTCCATCGCCGGGAACGCGTGGTACCGGGCTCAGTACAACCTGCAAGACATGAAGATCGGGCACTTCATGCACATGCCACCACGCGCTGTCTTCTTCAGTCAGATATTTGGCTCCTTAATAGGTATTCCCATCAACTATGGCGTCGTCAGGTGGATCCTAACAACAAAGCGAGCCTACCTCACCGGCGGTGAGGTTGATCCCACCCATCAGTGGACCGCGCAGTCTCTCACAAGCAATCTGACAATGGGAGTGCAGTATGTCCTAATTGGTCCACTACGATTGTTCCAAGGGCACATATACACGCCAGTGCCCTACGGATTCCTGGTCGGTGCTTTGGCACCCCTGGCGCTGTGGCTATTGCACAAGAAGTTCCCCAAGATGTCGTTCAACTTATTCAACACCACCATCTTCTTCAGCCATCTGGCAAATTTCTACGGTAATATCAGCACTGGCTACGTCTCGAGCTTCCTCGGCGGATTTTTTGTTATGTACTGGGCATACCGGAAGCGTTACGAGCTGTGGGCTCGCTGGAACTATATCCTCGCTGCCGCCTTTGACGCGGGTTTCAACTTCAATATGCTGCTCATCTTCTTGTTCTTTGGCAGTGGCAAGGTTACAACTATGCCAAATTGGTGGGGTAACGAGGTGACGAGTAGTGAGAGGTGCTTTGCACTTGATAGTGAGTAGACAAGATTAGACAACAGACTTCACGGTACCCTGATAATTGAATATGATCACCGCCTAGAACCATGTCCATCAGTGCACCTAGGGCTATATTGAGCAACGCTGAGCTTCGTATGATATGTTCTTGCCAGTCAAAATGAGGAGCAAATAATTATCCCTGACATCATTTCGGGAACAACTCACTGCAACGCAACGGCCATTCAAATACCGGCGCGTATGTGTACAGATAACGTGTCGCCTATTAAGCCGGTTAACGTAGTTATAGAGGACCTTTTCTTCGGCTTTAGTAAGTTACTTATTAAACCCTCCTCGTAGTTTAATAGTAACGGCTTACTAGACGCGGTATCGTAATATTATATACGAATAAGCTATAGTAGCTTATAAGCCCTAGTAGCCGGATAGCCCTTAGCCTAGCTAAAGGTTAGAAATATATAAATAGGTTATTATAATCCCTCTAATTAGAGAAGGGGTAGCGATTAATTTATTATAATAGACCCTCCTATATTAGACAGCTAGGGACCTTCAGGTCACTAGTATCCGGCTTCTCTCTAGCACCCTCGTCCTTCACTCTATACTTAAATACCCGTGACACGTAAAGTCTCGCGTGGGACACTGAATATACGCGTAAGTTGCGCGAGGCTTTCCTTAGGGTTAGTCTACGTATAGCGTATAGCGTATAGCGTCCTATATTTTTAAATCTATCGCAATCGAAAAATATTTTGATTGTCGGCTGGTGTAGTTGGTCACTTCGCTGGTAGATCAGTCCCGATTTGAGCCTCGCCCACTTGGGTCGGTGACGAGTCGCGGGTTCGAATCTCGCAGCTGACACACAAGGGGGTTTAGTCAACCCTTACGGCGCACTGCCCACCTTGTTGACTTCGCCTACCTAGCGATAATAGGGAGATTGGTGCAGTTTAGGATTACGAGCATCCTAGCCAGTCGACCGTCAAGCACTACGTCGGCGGAATATAACTCGACAGCCGGTCCAGAATTCGAATCGTTAATCCGACCCCTTATCGGACCCCCTCTCGCCGCGATTCTTGCGAGCGTCTAGACCACGTTACGGTCTATCCACTTGAGCGTATGGTTGAGATGTATACGCTCGACGAGAACCCCAATTAGCAGATACTACGACTTGTCGCGACAAAAAATAGTCGAGCATCTTCTGCACATCAGCAGCATCCCACCCCTGAGGACAAATTTAAGTGCCACATTACCACACTTATCGGTAGTTCAGGCAGGGGTTGTAGCACAGACTTAGGGAGGGACAGGAGGTTTAGTAGTCGTTTGGCTACAAGTTTACCTGTATAACCGCCCGACGCGGCTTAAGGGCCCGCTATATCATCTATAGCTCCTTAAGGGAGTACTTGTAGAGGTACCGAGGGTTAACACCTATGGCGTATTTAATAAAAAAATATTTTGATTTAGTAGAGATGTGTGGGATTGAGCGCCACGGTTATGCCCTAGGCCGAAGGTGTCGAATATCACGTGTGTCCAATCGAGTAGTCAGCAGTGCGTAAGATTGTATATAAATGAGGTGTGTTCTTGTCTGTCTGTCTTCTTGTCAGGGTACGGCCTGGACCGAAGGCGATAGTACAGAGTGAAGGGGAGAAATAGGCGTGTCCCCCTGGTGGTCACCTGGTGTTCACTGGTGGTCACTTGGTGATGGCAGGTAGGGGTATCCACAGTCGTTTTATTGATCTCTCCCCTCTCTATCTTCCTCCGTCTCGACTCCTTACTTATAGCCAGCCGAGGTTCTCTGTTGGATTCTGGATGTTTGCTTCCGCATGTCTGTGTTCCTTCGACTTCGGCCAACATCTTGGATAGCGGCTCTTTATCTGCAACCAAGCGATTCCCTATCCGCTGCAAACGGCTTCAACAGCTCTCATTCGCCACAAACGACTTCCTTCCTGGTGGAAGCCGGCCCGCCTCGGATGACACTTGTGGCTCTGACACTTCTGTTCTCGCGAACTCCCGTTGCTCTGCCTTTTATAGATGCTTTAGAACATGTCGGTAACTTTGGTGTTACTTTTGAGAAGAGGGGTTCCTTTCGCCTTCTGAACTTTAAGTGACAATAGTCTTCTCTAGTGCCATATTATTTCTGAACCTAGGAACCAGGTGCCCTATCTGACAGAAGGCGGTGTAGCGGCAATTGCACTAGTGGGGTCAAAACCCTTCCTCATAGATAAAATAGCTACACAGAAGACACAACAGAGCAGATAGATAGATCAATCAACAGAGGATCTACGCAGAGTCATCAATAGAGGATTGAATCCCTCAAGATGTGGTTGTTTGAAGATAAGTCCGTCGTGAAATAGGCCAAATCGGTGTCCAGCACCAACTTACGTAAATGAGCTCAAGCGAATCCGAAATAAGTGGGGTGTGGCACGGCTAAGGGCGGCGCGTGCCTGAACGCGTATCCTTCAGCGAAAAGATCGCCCAAGCTCCAACTACTTGGTGGCTCAAGCGTTTCTAGCGAGCCACCTCTTAACAGAGGTGGGGGAAATAATCTGGGACAGACGCGCTTGGACAATATGCGAAAATACGCGTTTTACCACCAAAATACCATATTTCCAAGTGCCTTCAACACCTGTATTTTTCCTACTAGTAAACCGATAACCTGAAATTTTTGCAGATGGGCAATTAACGTCCCCTAAGGGGCTTAATAGCGCCAGAATGCACTTGATTCGCGAGCAGCGAGTCGGTGCACTACGTAATAGTAGTACTACCACTACTACCACCACTACTACTGCCACCACAACTTCCAGTAATACTACTCCTACACCAATTAGCTATTCCGTACGCGCCCTCGCCGCCAGGGCAAAGGATGGCGCCAGCAAGTCATCTATCCATCGCCAACTTCAGGCCCTTCGCCATGGCCTTCCTTACTATGGCTTACAACGCGCGCGCGGCCGGCCCCGCGCCCTTACGGATGAAGAAGATCGCGCCCTCGTCGATTACTGCTTAATTCTTCAGCGTGGCGCCTTCCCTGCTATCAAGTCTATGGTTAAGGCCGCTGCCGATGAACTCCGATCGCATCGAACGCCGCCGATGCCGCCGCTATCACCGAAAACGATGGTCGCGTGGTGGAGGGATCACCCAGAGCTCACCATTAACAAAACCGAGGCGAAGGACCTCAAGCGGCTAAAGCCCGAAGAGCAGTATGAATACATTGAAGAGTTCTTCCATCTCCGGCAGCGTACTATGTTAGAGCATAAGATATCTCCATCAGATGACTGGAATGCTGACGAGACCGGTATCCGAATCGGCTACGTTGCCGGCAATACGGAAGTAGTTGAAGTCAAGTACGTTGTTCAAGAGAGGCCGGTTATCGCTGACTTGCCAACCGCGAATCTGGTACTGTTATTGGCGGCGGATCGGCCATGGGCGAGATTATTCCACCCTACTGCATCTTCAAGACTTGGCCACTTATGGACTGGGCCGCAGCACTTGGCGATGGCCACACTCGGTTCACAAGGTCAGAAAACGGCTTTTCTAGCAAAGAAATACAGCTTGACTACCTACGGCACTTCAATCAGCACTTGTTTCGCAGCTCCCCGACCTTCCAAGCCACCGGATTCACTCTACAGAAGTGGTTTGGCTGTAACGAGTGCGGCGAGACCCCCGATGGCAGATTTAGTGATCCCGAACGCGAAGGGGGCATGAGGACTATGGGAAACAACTTACGGAAGTATCGGCTACTCTCACTCGACGGCTTTACGGGCCATATCTCACTCGAGGCCGGTGCATATTGCCTACAATTCGACATTATTCTACTCTTCATGCCATCTCACTCGACTCACTTCCTACAGCCCTGCGATGTGGCCGTATTCAGCGTTATGAAGTGGAAGCACCAAGAGATTCTACAACAACACATCCGGCAAGGCGGTCTACGGTTCAACCGTACAGACTTCGTCTACAACCTTCATAAGATCTACTATGGCGCCTTTACGCGCCACAACATGATGAAGGGCTTCGAAGTGCTACCCTCACAATCCACATATTGTACTAGATGAACTCAAGAGACGCGCCCACCAAATGCGGCCAATTGCTTCATCCGTCGCTACTTCCGCCAGCCAACCGCTACAGCAGGGCCAAGGAAGCTTCTCAGTACTTGATGAACCGCCACACCAAGGTCCCTAACCTACTACTAAGCTCGCCCTCACGTGAAGCCATAAGACTGGTTGCCGATATGACTGATGAAGCCATGGTATTGAAAAGGGCTAACGATCAACAACAGAAGCGTCAACTCGATCAGAAAGAGCGATACAATAACCGTGGCAAGCGCGTAATTCGTCAAGCCGGCCGGTCTCGTCTATACCAGTGTAACCCACGCCGAACTACAAGAATATGCTGACGAACTCACACGTACGGAAGCCAACAAGGTTGTACACAAAGAGAAGGCACAAATGCGGAAGATCATACGTGAAGAGGAAGCGCAGTTGAAGGCCAAATGGCGCGCAGAAGTAAAGGGCACCATGAAATGGAAGGACTGGCTACAGTACATCGGCCGCGCGGATGACTTGATCCCCTTCAGCAGCAGTCACCCACTATGGACCGAGCCCAAACAGCCCCCTACGGCTACCTTCACAGTTGGCACATCACGGCAGAACATAGGCCCTTGGCTAAAGCGGCCGCTTCGAGATTACAGGCCCCTAGGCGGCAGCGACTGCGAGGTTGATGACAATTCCAGTACAGAATCGTTGGACATTGTATGCGGTCGTACACCGGCCAGTCCACTACAGAAGAGGGGCAAGCGGAAGCGGCCGGTTAGCGATATAAGGGATGAGTTCGACTCTGACCCTAAAGAGGAGGATAACGAGGTATCAAACGGCAGTGACGACACTGAGGAGGTACCAAGCAGCCCTCCGTTGCCGAGTGCTGTAAGATTTATTAGCCAATATGGCGGCCAGGCGGCCTTGACGCCTTGGAACCCACTGCCGAGGGGGTATGGTGGTGCGACAGCGAGCCAAGGAGGTAGTTAGCAAGGAGGTGAATATGTTGTATTTTTAGCTATAGCGGTCTCATCAAATACAGCAATTTGTAAACCTTAGCGATTTCGACCATTTTTGTCCAAAGTCCATACTTGATTGCGGGTATACAGTATAGTTGTAGCAAACGCCCTGAGGTTGACGGCTCATCTAGTCGTTGATTTACTGTAGAGAAATCAAGACGCACGGACCCCTCTGTCCCAGATTATTTCCCCCATCTCTGTTAAGAGGTGGCTCGCTAGAAACGCTTGAGCCACCAAGTAAGTGCTTTCCAGGAAGCCAGCCTGGCAATTGTAAACAATTTAATGTTGCGATTCGGGAATGGCGTTCATCGCATGACTAAATTCCCCGCTGCCGTTCGAACTCCTCTTCCTGACACTGCCTACTTTTCTAGTAGGCTAGGCTTGTCCTCGTCCTCACATTTCCAATCCGCAATGGCGCTCAAGGCACAGAAAGTCCCACCTGCCCCTCCCAGGCCGAAGCCAAACCCAACTCCAAGGACAGTAGGACAATTGCCGCAGAGTCTCCGAGCGCCGCCACCGAAACGAGTCGACTTATCGAGTCCCGCCTACAAGCAGGCCTCCAAGAAATATGTCAACTTCATGATTGCAATGCCCATTTTACTAGTCACCTCCTACTTTTTGTTCGACCGCCTCATCGTGGGAAATGAAGCCAAGACCCTCCACAAGCTCCCAACCGATGTTAAGAGCAAGGGCTGAGGTTCGCTTGCTTCCCACTACCGTTGCTGAAAACTCACATATGGACAGGGTCATTGCATAGAACACTCCGAGGCCTGATAGTGGACGTCGTTCCCTGCTTGGTCGTCTTGGCCCCAAGACAACATTTGTCCCGCCGGATTGGTACCGATCAACGCAGGCAAATGAATTCAACAGAGTTCCCATTTGGAACTCAAAACAGGAGGATGTGTGACCCAGTCGGTATTGTGAGGAAGTGCCTGCTAGAAACGGTGGCCACATCTTCTGGATTTGGTCAGGTTCAATGGAAAGGACGATCCGTCTCGGCACTGGAAGATGGGTTTATCGTTTGTGCTGAAGCATCTTGGTGCTGGCATATTCGACGCATCCAGAACGCCGCCATTCTGAAATGCTAGTCCTGTGAGTCGGTCGATAAAGTACGCCGTATGGGATGAGGAGGCTTCATTATCGGGACATCTAGCATGACTCGTTATAGTCACATCATATCATAGGCATGCGGGAATTTTGGAAGGTCATTTAGAACTTGGAAGTATATTAGGTGCTCTTTGAGAGGTGGGGAGAAATACACATCCAGCCTAGCTTGTATCAGCGTTTCTCCAGTTCCCGGACAGGGAGTTGAGTCTCACCGTCTACCAGTTTCGGCGACGTCCACACCAACACAGAAGACAGCACACTATGATTATTCCCAGGGCCCCTCCGACAGCTCCAAGGATGACTTTTACGTCAACGACCGTGCCCGCACTCCCGTCATAAGGTACATATGAACTGTTGTCGCGTTTCATTAGGTTCGGGAACCGATCCAACACATCGTTGATTAACTCATTCGAGGTGCTGTTCATCGAGCTACGCCATGCTCGTTCGATTGTCGTTGCGCTGATAGGGGCCGAGGCAATGAGGCTGGCGAAAAAGAGAACCAAAAGTGCTGGGAAAAATAGAATGCTCATTGTGAGGAACGACTTACTTACCGGTTTTTGGTGGGGAGTTGAGCTTGAATCTCAGGTTGTTTTAAACTGGAAGAGCTTATGGGTATTTGGGATCTGTGTTACTTGGAAAGGTAGGGACTGCATGAGTCAAGTATATAGCCGACATTAAACAAATCAGTTTCAGCATCCCCCAATGCTGCAGTAATGAGACCATGCCAGATGGCTTTGTTCTCAAGATTCGAGCAAACAACGAGCCCTTGTCTATAAAATAGCGGTGACGGGAACAAAAGCACATTGTTATTTGTTTCAGCAGCCTCACTTCTCACACGAATGAGTACAGCGGATGCCCCTGAGGCAATCAGAATGTGCTAGATCAAACAAGTACAGTCCTATTGCTCTGTTGGACTGGAAGATGAAGTTGGGAAGCTTCGAATCGTATCACATAAATCAAGTCCACCATCCATGTCTTGTTGCGACTGACGAATTCCGTACCTATATCATTGTGAGCAGATGGCTTCGTTTCGAGTTGACAAGGAAGGTCAAGGAGAATCCAGACAAGGGACCTCAAGCACCTGATTCAACGACAGAGACATGCCGAAACGAGGCAATGCTGTGTCGTATGCGGAGCTTGCTCCTTGGGTCACCCGATCTCCCATAAGTAGTCACTCTGAAGCGACTAGGAAAATCGACTGCATCTGCATATCATCTCTCTAACTCTCAATATGGCACCAGCATGTCACTGTAACGATTATTGACTTTCCATGCGTGTATTAACGCATTTGACAATTGACCGAAATATCGACACCGCGACGCACATGCGAGCCAGAATTGATGCGACACAGGTGTTTATGTCTAACTTTTCGGTTGTGTTTCTGCTCGTTTTGGTACAATTCGTCATCCTATTATACCTGCTTTACGACTGGCAGCGCCAGCGTGCCGAGGCAGACCGTCATATGGTGGATTTGGAGAGAAGTAGGCTTCTTTTTGAGAGAAAATAGGTATAGTATAGTGCTAGTCGATGGGTATCTAGAGAGACTGATCTTACGTTTTTCGGTGCCTTCATACGAAGACAAGTTGTGGCTGCACCTGCGCCAGAGGCAAGTGTCACTTGTACAAATACGGGTGCTAGACTACATCGAGTATCGGAGCATAGCGGTCCTCGAATTTTCTGTGCCTTCAAGATGATGACAATTACGAAAAGCCAAGGCTGCACCTCCACAGTCGGTCAGAAGTATTCGTTCGAATATACCAAGGCATAAGAGTCCGCGTCAAGTTTACGAACGGACTCTTGGTGTCAGGGCAGTGGCCCGTGTGCCTGCCTGTATATCTAGGCCAAACACTTCGGCTAACTAGGTAGCTCTCTATACACACATATCACACAACACTTGATAACAGAGATGTTGAAACACTGGCAGTTATTAAAATCTCGGGATGATCACCCGGTAGGCACACTTACAGGAATATTCAGGGCTTCAAAGTCTTAAATTGTGAAGTTGGCGTTACGATGTCTCATACGATATCGAGTTTGAAAGAGTTAATGTGAATTTTCACACTCAGATACTACTAAGTACATCGCCGAACAAAAAATAAGCAGCCACCACTTCAGGGCTGCCAATCAATCTTCAGGTCTGGTGGTTAAGCCGATCTACTCCAACTCCACAAAGGTGTGAGGGGGCTGGCGGCACTCTATACAAACAAGGGATCCACTCGAGATGGCGTGATCATCGAGTGCCACAAACAGTTTTTGAGCTGCATGTGGCCCTCGAATCGTTCCTGGCCAAACATTTAATTTTATCAACAAGGAAAGTATTTGCCCTGGATTTGCAAGCATATTTATACTGCCACAATGGCGCCAGGACTTGTCGAGCCCTCGTTGGCCACGGAACTGGGATCTCTCAAGACTGCGTTCCCCGATGGTCTCAAGACATCTGGACAGCACCCGCCAGTCTACTCCATCGTTCGACCGTACGAGTCTTTTCCTAGGGAGATCACAGGTCCGACTGTGTGGAAGGCCGAAGAATTTGTCAATGACGCAGAGAAATGGACCCATACCTTCACCGCGGACGAGATTGCCGAAGTCAGCGCTACTGCTGAGGCTTTCATCGAGACAGGAAGACCGTTGACAGGAATTGCGAAAGTATGAAACCCGCATGTTGACTCAAGATTTTAATGGCCAGTAGCTTACTCAGGTCTATAGGACCACTTCCCGCTCCCCAACCTCTCGGCGCGTTTGGAGGTGCTGCGCAAGGACCTCGTCGACGGTAAGGGATTCTTTCTCTTTAAAGGCCTCCCGGTCCAGAAATGGGGTCTGCATAAATCCGCGGTAGCCTACATGGGCCTTGGAACTTATCTAGGTTACTTTCTGAGCCAGAACGGCCGCGGCCATGTCTTAGGCCATGTTAAGGATCTGGGTGAGGACCCGAGGAGGACCGACAAAGTGCGCATCTACCGCACCAATGAAAGACAATACTTCCATACCGACGCCGGAGACCTAGTAGGCTTGCTTTGCATAGCCAAGTCTCTCGAGGGTGGCGAATCTGATATCGTCAGTCAGCACCACGTTTGGAACACGCTGCAGCAGAGGCATCCGGATGTGGCACGCACCCTTGCAAGTCCCATCTGGTACTTTGACCGCAAGGGCGAAGTATCCCAGGGCGAGGAGCCTTATTACCGGGGCAGTGTCATCTATCTCGAGAACGACACTCTGACCTCTTCGCCCCGCGTATATGGCCGTATCGATCCGAATAATGTCACCTCGCTGGCTAGGTTCAACTCAGGACCGGATGCGCGGATCCCTCCCCTAAGCGAGGAGCAGAAAAGGGCCATTGAAGTATTGGAAACGACTTGTAAAGAGCTTTCGCTGCATATGATCTTGGACCCGGGCGATATCCAACTGTTGAGCAACACGCATGTTTTTCATGCAAGGACGGCCTATAAGGACTACCCGCCCGGTTCAGTGGATAAGGCGGGGCGGCCTAGGTTACGGAGGCATCTGATGAGACTCTGGCTTGGGGTACCCCTGAGCGAGGGGGGCTGGAAGGTGCCCTACGCCGATGTTGAGCACAAAAGGAGAGGGGGGATCCAAGTAGATGACACGCCGCCTGTCTGTCCATTGGATGCTGAGTAGATATACTTCAGTTGCAATATGGCATATATGAAATTTACACACGACTAAGGTCTTCTGGCTTTCTGCAGGACAAAAATCCGCTTGAAGAGCATCTACAAGTATGACGTATCGACCCAATCCTCATAGTCGCTGCCCAGAATGGTGTCAATAGTGATTGGTGCACTCAACTTGGTCGAAAAGCTCGCCCTGGTACCACTGGCCCCAGTGCCAGTATTTCCATATTCCTGGAACGTCACGTCGTCAGTGTTGGGATCACTGCTGCTCCAAACCGACCACCCTGCGCTGTTGATGATACTCGACAGACTGCAATCCTGGAAACAAACCCTGGCATACTCACTCCAGGGCCGTCCTAGGTAGACGGTCCCGGCAGTAAGAGTTGCGCCCGAGGTGGCCCCGATAGTGCTGTCGTTGATGACATAGTAGCTGACGTCCGTCGACGAAGACCGTCCATTGGCCGTGATGTCCCCAGCTGCTGTGGCTGCGATAGTGCTGCCGGTGATCCAGGCGCGGGCATGCTGTTTATTTTAGGCTATAGATGTTGATTGTTCAGATGGTTCCGGAGCTTACCTGGCCGAAGATAAAGTCCGTCGCGCCTTGGATGTAACATCTGGCGTAGATTTGGTTTCCTGTCTCGGCCAGCAGCGTGTCCTGGTACCCGTACCTGCAATGAGTTAGGGAAAATACTCGACTAAGTAATGAGAGTATGTCTTACAGTCCGACCCCATAATAGCCCTGTTTGGTGTTATAGGCCGATAAAGCAATAGCCTGAGACCCTTCGCCGTACGTGTTCTTGATATTGATGTTGTAGACAGCCACGTTCTCCGAGAGGTTGATCAACGCAGCCGTGTGCTCATCGTCGGTCGCACCGCTGGCAATACTCAAGTCAAATTGCAAATTGACAACGTTCTCGGCATACGATGATGTATCTGTCGTATAGCCGTAGATGCTGAGGGACCCATCAAGTGCTGGGACGGTCACTTGTTCGGTGTAGGTTCCTGAGTAGATGAAGATGTTGTGGGCCGAGGTGCTGCTGGTGGAGATGGAACTGATAGCCTTCTGTATCTACGCAAATATTAGGAACCAGTCGAATTTCTTGAAGAGGTGGTTATGTGGACTTGCAGTGGCGTAATCACAGCCAGAAGAGCACACCGTGATGCTTCCACTGGGAGGCGTGGTACGCGATATTGCCAACACAGTGGTTACCAATACACTGAAAGAAAGGTACTTCATCTTGAAGTGAGTATAGATCAGCTGCTACTGAAAGAAAGGGGTATGCATGATGCTGTGGATACTCTCCAGGGAATCTTGGCAGGCGATCAATGGCATCTTATAGTTGAAGGCAGCATCGTCGACATGATATTGATCACCACCATGCAAAGTGATCTAGTAATTATTCGACTAGGATGACATTCCCCAACATCAATGGTGGATGCCACGTGCCCTGCTCAGAGATCAAATTCGCGGCTCATCCGTAGGTGGAAATGACCTGTCAGTAATTACAATTCCCCGCAGTTCCTCTATCATCATCAGGGGCCCTAAATTGAAGGTGCAATTAATTCCACCAAACAATGCCGGTTTCTTCGCACCGGTAAAATATTCCAAGGGGATGGTCCAAGATTCCGTCCAATAACGGGCTTGGCGCGGCCGGGAAATATGGAAACCTCGCCGGCTGTCCGGCATATTCACCCATCGGGCAATCGCTGTTTGGGAACCCGACTGGAACAGTTCCACTGAAAGGTACCTCCCTTATAATGCCCTGCCTATTATATGCTGCTGTAGGCCTAGAAAGTGCTTAGTAAGCCACAGCTCGGACAGGGAGCAGGGTTCTCTCTTGATGTGACAACTAATATCAATCTCGACCCCTTCTACTAGGTAGCTTAGAACCCTGAAGATGTCTTCAGGATATACGAAAAGAGGACATAGATAGTGGGATATAGCAGAATGATACTGTTCATCAAAATTTAGTTAGAAAACCAAAATTAATTCTGATTTCAAAGGATCCTAAGTGTACAATTCCCAGGGGAAGCTCTAGTAAACCGTGAGGCGTGTTAGGTGTGATTTACTCACCCAGTTGTTGGGGTTTATGAGGTTATTGGAGGGCATTGTTGGATATACCGACTGTAGATATTGTTTAGGATTTGCACATGTTGATAGGAGCTGTGTTAAGCGATGTGATAACGCCGGGACGAGTCAGAATTTATGTTTCAGAGAATAATAGTAGCAAGCATATGTTTTTGATAATAGGTCTTATGGAACTTCCAGGACATGTTTTGTCCGGGAAATGCCAGGCATTGTGCAAGATGAAGCCCGATGACCTTGAAAAGAATGGATCAAGAGGATTCTCTCGGCCCGAAGTGATGGAATTGTGGTTACTTCATTCGTCCTGAAAGACTTCTAACGAGGGCATTATAATGCTATATCATGGAGATGATTTCCTCGCTAGTATAGACTTGAGTGATATGTAGCCCCATCATCTACTTTCATCATTGTATCTCTTCCAGGCACAGTTAGCCTGGGCTTGTATAATCCCGGCGTGAGTAAAAAACCTCACCAAACTTTAATACCTAATTACATTCTTATTATTCATAAACAAGGTAGTTAAAAGATATAACTTTTCCCAAAAAGGAGTTGCCTTCGCAGTCATATTGGGATGTCCTTCTGAAGCAAAAATAATAAAGAATCCTTTACATTGTATCAAATTATAACTTGGCGTTCACATCTCCTTCCGTCGCAGCCGCGTCCTTTCTGGCCCATTCGCGCAGTATCTTCCTCTGAATCTTCCCGCTTGCAAGCTTAGGTACCTCGTCGACGAACTGAACACCACCAGTCAGCAGCTTATGCTTGGCCACCCTGGGCTTTATCCACTCCTGTATTCCTTCTGGAGTGACCTTCGATTTGGAAGCCTCGCGGATCACAACATACGCTCGTGGGAATTCCTCTCCCCTTCTACGGTGAGTATTAGTATTGCCAGGGAAGTGTGAGAAAGCCAAGTACAGAGAGACATACACGCTGATACCAACAACTGCTGCGTCGGCAACATGCTTGTTCTCCAACAGAACCCCTTCCAGCTCTGCGGGCGCGACTTGAAACGCATTGACTTTGATCATCTCCTGTAGATGTTAGTATTATACCGTGTAAACATGTGCCAGAATGATCATGCTACCTTTTTTCTGTCCACAATCCAGAAGTAGCCATTATCGTTGATGGCAATGTCTCCCGTCTTGAGCCAGCCATCTTTGTCAATAGTCTCCCTTGTGGCCTGCTCGTTTCTCCAATATCCCATACAATGTTGGGACCTCTGATGATACTGTGGCGGTGGAGGTCAGCGATTACTATAGAATGATGAGATGAGAGTTTTCCATACATCTCGCCCGGTTGACCAATGGGTACCTCTTTCCCGCCGTCATCGACCAACTTGCATTCACAATTAGGATCGAGCTGGCCTACACTGCTCGTGTTGTTCATAATACCCCCAGGAACGTGCATGGCCCCGCATGTAACCTCGGTTTGTCCCCAACCTTGATTTATCTGCATATTGTACTGCTTCTGGACCTCGTTTTGGAGCTGGCGAGAGAGTGGCGCGGCACCGCACTGAAACATAGTTATAATGGGCTCAGTGAATTTAGAGATAACTGCTACCTACAATACAATCCCTCAGGCTGGACAAATCGTAACGGGCTGGCTCGGGTCTCTTAGCGAGCATGATGAGAATAGGGGGCACGACGGTAAGACTGGTGATGCGGTATTTTTCAATGTTAAACAATAACTCCTCGAATCTGAGATTAACCAGTAAGTATATGCGCGTCTTGGGTATAGCAAGAGACGCACCGAAACTCTGTCATGATATAGACGGGCACTCGGAGCTTCATGGCCAGAAGTATGGTGTAGAGCTGTCCATAAGCATGATACAAGGGCAAGAACCCGATCCATCGCTCTTGCGGTCTCGCTTCAAATGGGTAGGGCTTCTCGGCATATCTCATGAATGTGACCTGCTCTACATTCGCGATGAGATTGTAATGGGACACGCAAACCCCCTTGGGTAGGCCTGTCGTGCCTGAGCTGTAGTTGATGGTTGCTATGGTTTTCTTTGACTCGGAGGGACTTAGATCTGGTAACCGAAAGGCTTCTCCTTCGGATTCAGAGCCTATGAAAGCGCGCCAGTCATCTATACCATTTTGGGTAGGATTAGGCACGTCCGAGAACTGGAAGATTCGCGATCGCGGAAATCCCGCCTCAGCGGCTGCGGTGAGGCATACCTTGATATGCTGAGGATGGGCCAGGATGACTTTTGCCATCGTATTTGTGATTTGATGCACGAGTTCTGGGAGTTGTAAGTCAAGTAATGATGACCTCTCGATGGGGTAGACGCCGAAACTCACCTGGAATCGTGAAAGTAGGGTTGGCGCCCGAGAAGATGTAACCAGCTCCCACAATGCCAAGGTAGGCTACCGGGACAAAGATATGATTTGGCGTGTAAATCATGACTACGTTCCCATTTTTGAGCCCAAGTTGCTTCAAGCCAAAAGCCAGGCGCCGAACCCATTGCAACGCAGTCTTGGGCGAGAGATTGACTTTTTCATCTTTACTGTCGAACCAGATCGGCTCTTCATATGGCTCTTCTCCGTATGGGAACAGATAGGACAAGATGTTAGTCTCGGGAATATCGAGCGGTGGATACGTTGATGAGAAAGGCATGGCGACAGGTTGGGCGCAATTAACAGTGGTTTGACCTCTAACATTCAACATGAACGATGGAAATATCTGTTAACCTAGCATCGAAGCGGATGACAAAAATAACGGCATAACCAACGGTGGAATGATACGGGATAGCATGGCCCGATGTTTCAGTGTCACTCTAGTACAATGGAATATCCGGTTACCCATATTATCCCGCCCTTTGCTATGAAGTAAGGCGTCCGTTTTGTCATTCGCTTGCGCTGAGCAACTATGGAGTTCAACCCTGGCTGATTTCGGACAGCTGTCCGGGCATTTTGGCCCCTACTGACCTGCAAGCATCCTAATTGGGGGGCCCATTTTGATCAAGATTGCCGTGCCTCTTAACCCAGTCTGTCACTCTGTCGTAGAGGCTTTATTTGACCCTTGAATAAACAATCCATGCGTCCAAGTTCTAGTGTTAGAGCCCTTGACAGCTACGCATCATCGAAATCGTGGCCCCTCATTTGTATGCAAGTGCGAATGTGCCCCGGCTTGTCAAACCAGCTTTGAGCTTATAAATGGCTTTTGGCAATGCGTAGGAAAACCAATGAGAGAGGAGTTTACTGCTGTACAGCTGCACGTGGAGCACACATATCCTGGAATGCCCACTTACTCGCTGGCAACCTTGGAAGTACATGGCCTACGACTAGACTTCAACACGTCCGTACTACAAATACTCGACAGCAATCCAAATCAATCTACCCCCTTCCTGCAGTAAACTCTCTTAAAAGAAAAAAAAGGAGAAACGGCGCCCATCATAGAGTAGCCATAAGTTCAGACTTGCGTTGGTAACGAATAGAAATGAAGACTTGCCATGCCAGCGTGAAAAAAACCGGGGAAATTCTCGGGAATATGATAGGGCGATGCAGTTATATAACACGGAGAGAACCCCGCATGCCAACCACGCCAAATTACCGCCGAAAAGTGGGAATCTCCTCTCTGCTATTGGTCCCCAGAAACTTGGAGCTGCGAAGAGGACCGATGTACTTACTTAGGCAAACTGGGCAACCATTCCTCCTGCTCAACGCTGTGACGAGGACCTTCTAATTCCGCTAGGCCGAGGTGGTTTTGCGGGGTCCCCACGTTCATCAGGCAGCCCGCAGCGAGACTAGAACAAGGGATTCAATCAGTTCATGGTTATGGAAAGAAAGGCAGGGAAGCGGCTTAAGAACTCGGCGTCACCAGTGAACAATGGCTCGGTAGGGCAATCCTTGTGAGCACAACACCTCCAGAGGTGATTGTTCAACGGGCACTCTGATTTTGAAGGGAATTCGTAATCGAAATTAATGACCGAAATCACAAGTCTGCTTTTCTGCAGTCTGGATTCCCCAGACTGTCTCCAATATAAAGATCCATGACAAACGTAAGAACATTGGCTGAGAAACAGGGACCCAGGACTACTCCACGATTTGCCCGTCATCTCACTGTCTAGCAGTGGGGCGGCTGCCCCATGTCTATGAACGACTCCAGCAATAACCGTTAGTGCCTCGCTATTCTCCACTTCCCTTGGTCCTTGGCTGTCAACGACCCATCGTGAGCATCAATATTGCACGGTACTTGCATAAAACCCGGGAACAGAGTGGGGACCGTCGTCCATTGCCTCCTGGGGGCGTGTTGACCGATAACCATCATCTTCCCCGTCCTAGCTGGAGGGGATGGCATTGACACTGAAAATGTTGTTAAATAGGATGGGGGTTAAGCCGCACAGCCCATTAAATGTTGACTTGTCGTGTTCAATCAAACAGACTGCACACAGCGCTTCACTCCCCAACCGGCTCCGGTAACTGACATTCCAAGAGATTCGGCATACTCGAGGAAAGCATCCGCATCGTACCCTGTTTCGAACGAAATGTCGAATCAGGAAAATGCGTCTGCTCGGTCAAAAGCTTCCGAACAGAACAACAAATTGCGCATCCGTCGTCGGGCTTCCGTCGCCTGTGTTTCATGTCGTGATAGGCGCACGCGCTGTGTCGTTCCCAAAGGACAGAAAGAATGCACCCAGTGCAAGAAGACAGGGGCAGAATGTGTCATCAGGAATGACGATGAGCGACGACGGCCGATATCCAAGGCCTACATGTTGTCACTACTAGATCGGACTAGCATGCTTGAGGGTATGTTGATAGAGCACGGCGTGGACGTACCTCCCGTGGCACATCCACCAAAGATACGTCAAGATGTAAAGCGAGAGGGCGACCTGCAGTGTGGAATGGAGAGTACGTCACCCACACTTGCCGTCCAGAAGGCAGGCACACGGCTTGCCTGTCAAGTGCCATCTCCCCCAGAATCAGCCACCGAAGATTTTCCCCCGGCCCATGAAGTGGAATCGCTACGGTTGTCGAGGAAGAACTTATCTATGGAAAAGCTTGATCAATCTCAGCAAGGTACTGTGTGCCACTTATGGTCTGCATCAGGAAGTATGCGAAACGACCATATTTCTGGCCAACTGCGCTTCTTCGGACCCACGGCGAATCTCCATGTATATTCCGGATCCTCAGTCAATTCCGAAGCTCCAGAGCCCCCAGACCAGGTACACCGGGCAGAGCGCATCATCAGGTCTCTGACTGCGGCGACCTATGAATACCTGATGAACTTGTTTTGGGAGCACTACAACCAAGTCCTACTCTTGTTTGACCGAGACACCTTTGAGGCCGCGCGGGAGTCGCATAATCCCAAGTTCTACTCGTCATTCTTGCACATGACTATCCTTGCAATGGTAAGTAGGCCCAGCTTAGCGCCCCCCTACGAGACCGTGTCTGATTGACGATTTCGCATAGGCTTATAGGTTCGCTGATAAGGATCGTGAAGACATGATTGACATCGGTCTTGGTAGCCGAGAGAGCATCCTGCATAGAGAAGCCAAGTTTATGCTGGATACCGAGTTTGAAAGACCCGGCGGCATTCCCAGTGTCCAAGCCCTTCTTATTCTAAGTGATCTTGAGTGTGGGTTCGGAAGGGAAAGTACTGGGTGGATGTACTCTGGTGAGTTATCTGGGATTACCCGGACGCGAGAGGGTCTGACTGAGTGACGACCCAGGCATGGCAAACCGACTATCCTTCGACATTGGATTGCACCACAACTGGAATAACAGTGGAGTTACGGAGGTTGAGGTTCAAATACGACGTATGGTGATGCGGGCTTGTGTTTTATTAGACAGGTACTGGGTGAGTAGCGAGTTTCCTCCAAAATGTAACTAATTTAGTGGTCGGCTATCGCTGACAAATAAATCAAAGGCTCTGTTTCTCGGGCGTCCAACCAGCATCAAAACTCATGGCGTCAGCTCGAACATTCTCTCACCACAACCCTCATACACGTCATCAGCCAATGTGGTTAACTCGCAAGCCCATCAGTCACAACTGTTCAAGAGGCCACTGGCAGTGGAAATAAACGACCAACTTCTGGAGCTCATGGAACTCGCTGGCCGCATCGCTGACATTCAAAACCACAAGAATCTCAACAGCTCTAGCAGCCAGTCCCATTTCGTTGCCGAGAATGAGGCTAAGGATGCTACATATTCACAACTCGCTGATCTCGACAGGGAATTTCAAAATTGGTACCACCGATTGCCCGAGCATCTCGCTTGGAAGCCCTTGAATACAAAGGGGGCGCCGTCCAGCTTCTTTCTTTTGCACCAACAGTTTCATGTTGTCATGATCCTGTTGCACCGGTCCTGGGTCAAATACACATCGATCACTGGCGATGGGTTGAATGCGAACTCCCACACAAGTTCTCAAAACTTCACCCGTTCTCCTGAGCCCAAATTCCAACATCAAACGTCCACTAGAGTGCATACACTGGGAACTGGAGATACAATTGCTATCGGTCATGACTTCTGCACGAAGCTATCTCGCCGCATCTGCACCCAACAAGCAATACAAGTGTCAAACATTTTCTGTCAACACAGAAAACAATTTAATGGCAAGAAGATGTTCACTACTGGGGTTCAACATGCTGGGACTGCTGCAGCTGCGCTCATGGCTGCACTTACCCACCCAGATGATGAATTCGACTCGCGCAGTGTTCTGGGCCACCTCGAGGCAATTACCCAGGCCATTGAAGAGATGGCAGAGACATACGATCCGGCCGCACAGATGTATTCTCTGCTCAAGACTTCAACGATGGAACTTGGACAGCGTCTGACTATTCCCCGCGCGCAATTATCACCTTTCGGCCCATCACAAATACGGCATCCGGTATCTGGAGTGCAACCATCTGGGGTGCCAACATCTGCAAAATGCCGTGCCGTCAATGAGGTATCGACACCCGTCAACCTCGGTCTATCTCATCCGTCTTCTATGGATACGGATCCGATGACAAATCCATCCCCAGCCTCTGTTTGGGTCCTAACTGGAACAAATCAACGAAATGAACCAAATGCTCCCCATGATTTTGGATTTGAGATATCCGACTGGATTTCCGGGCCCGCTGATCTAAATGCCAGCATAGGAATTTGTGACGACACAGACAGTAAACCAGAAGAATTTAGAAAGAGCCCAAATACGGTGGTTGGTGTCCATAGTTTCAGCATTGGCAACAACGAGCCAATATGCAAGACTGAACGGATGGACTGGAGGGGCAGCGATGTCAATCACTTTGATTCTGTCAGTCTGGAGACCTTGGTGTCAAGTGTGGAAAAGGTAGCAGGAGCCAAGAAGGACAGCGCCATTGTAGCCCCCCGAAACCGCGAGTTGGATTTCTTGAGTCTCTGAAGAGGGCTTTGGATACGAAATTAAGCTTGAGTGATCATAATGTGTATCACGGTTGTACTACGTGTTTCTTGCACCCGACTCCTTTTCATGATGCAGTCTCAATAGAACGTCAAGCTGACCATGTTTGACATTTATCGTTTCTTGACTACATTGCAGAACCCCATCAGCCTAATAGAAAGCCACCCAGTAGAATGGCTCGCCCTCGGCACAGTCCACACCGTCTTTCACACATCGATCAACTTCGGCCGCCGCATCCCCCTCGCCGTTTAACAGATCCAGCTAATTAATCTTCACCCCATCCTTCTCCAACAACAAGGCTATCACAATGACCATCGAAGATTTACTGACCGTCCTACTCGCTATCGAAGTCCTCCCCAAAATGACTTTGACCGCCGGTTTGTCGGTTAAAGTCCAAGGCCGGAGGTTGATGCCGGCGAAATCCCTTCTTGCCCTCGGTATACAGGACTTCATCCGCTGTAGTCTTGGCTTCGTAGTACTTCTCCAGGCGTGAGACCAAGAAAGAGACCATGAGGAACTTTGATGGTGGCAGTGGCCACGGACGCGCGGATGAAGTAGGTCGCAGCGTCGCGATCAGTTGCGAAGGTCTGTAGAGCGCGCTAAAATGATTGGGATCTCGTGAAATTAGTGTAAACTGGCCTGATTCAGCCAATATTGGTGTACATACCCGCTCTGGGAGCCCCTTTCTTCCAGCTCCGGCGCTCCAGATGACGTAGTTTGGCTTGAATTCGTTGAGGATGCTCTTAGCCTGTGCCTTGCTTTTATACCGAAAGCACGACTGATTTATTAATGTCGGGTGCTGCAGTGGGCGATTACAAACACCTTGTGTCCCACCTACGTCATAAGCGTATGACTTGTGCTATCGCGGACGCTTAGAGGTTTTATAATATTGCGTGAAAGCAAGAAGCTGCACTCAATTCAAACAACCAACCTGAATTCTCGTGTGCTGGGGGTTGATGACGCAAGATGTAGCTGGAGATCTAGCGCAGGCTGAGAGGAGGTTACTGCCGATAGGAAAGCAGATAATATCATGTTCGATATCTATGATGTTTCTCTATGTGATGATGAGAACCGAGCCGTCAAGGCGGCATTGGGAAATGGGAATATCTATAAAGAGCTATAGGTACTGAGTAGCTGGGTAGGCATCATGAGCTTGAGGCGTTGTAGCTAAAGAACCGATAAGACATTTTGAGGTGGGAACGCCCTGAAAAGAACGAATTACGAACTTTTCACCTCACAACTCATCGGTTTCGGATTAGTCTAAATGGCGCGACAGGTTCGACGATACAGCATGTGCCTGTATTTTTCTTCTCAATTTGAAGCGCCAGAAAGAACGTCTTCACGTACGCACAAGTCGAGCCCCAGGGTAGCTCTAGTGCAATAGCGGGGTAAGTTGCCCCGCCGAGCTAACTTGTACTTCAGTACTTCGTAACTTTTCACAATATACGTTATGTCATAGTTTTGGGGTTGCAGCGAGTTACCAATGAGAATGGTTAGATAACCTACTGGCACTTGATATAATATCGTGATGAATTTGGAAAAAAAGAGGAAAGAAATTGGATCCACGAATATTGCTGGCGAATGGGCTAGAGTAGTCGTCGGCCCCGCGCAAGGAGCTGGCAAGGGACGGAGGATCTTGCATACAAATGTATGCAGGCATCCCTCACCTAGCAAAAGCAAGGGCACATGACTTTAAGATGAAGTTATACTGCGACTTCGCGTTTCGATTTTGTTTGTTGGAGTATATGCCGAACCCAACGCAGATCAGTGGCGCGAGTTAGAATATCACCAACTGAGATGAGCACTCCTGAGTATCTATTGATCTCTTTGAATTTGAAGCTATACACATCTAGAACCAAGTTGTTCGTTGGCCTGGAGCCTGAAGATATCTCTCAATCTACGTAAGTACTCAAGCTTGTAGGCAATAGACAAGCTGCTCTTGCGGACCATCGGCGTACTGGCGAGTTCCCGCCGTTAATGATCAACCAGCCTCGAACAGTGATGGTGCCACTTCTGAAAGGCACCACTTTAATCAACGGTAATGTTTCAGGTGATTCAGATCCTACAATACAGATAAGAGATCATGCTGTCGAACAACATGCTGGTTCAGCAATTGGACATTCTACAGCTCTTCCTTTGCCAAATATGGCATACAGCGACAAGTCCTTGTCAATGTGAGTTCTCAGACCTTAACAACTTGGACAGGTCTCTCAAGGAGCAGTTTCCTTCTGTAGAGGTGTAACTCTCAGCATAAATGTCCAAAATTCCGCTGAAGCCGTCGTATTTGGCCAAGGTCGACTTGACATTGAGGTAAATAACGCAGGCATCGCCTGTTCAAGCACCAAAACTCTCCAAGTTGAAGAGGATGGGTGGATCAAGTTATTTGATGTTGACTTGCACGGGGTACGGAGATGTCAAAAGGAGGAGCTTGCCGTTATGATGAAACAGGAAGACCTCGGCCTCAGGGAAGGGAGAGGTAAGATCATCAATGTCGCGTATATGTATGAACTCATTATATCAAGGACTACTTATCTTAGCCAAACTGCGTATGCTACTGCGAAAAATGGGAAGTATGGGCCCCACTTATCGTAAAGGGGCTATGCTGATGCGGACGAAAAGGGGTGCTAGGTCTTACAAAAGGGTGTTTTTTGGGTGGGGAAAGGGTTTCGGCCATGTGGTGTGGACGATTGCTGATTAAACGGCGACAAAAAAAGGCGGACAGCTCCCTGGTCTACAGGACACTTGGCTGGTTAGGTATCGCTTGTACACTTTGTACATGCCTGGGGGAGGAGGGTTATCGAGTTTGGAGTGAATCTGTAGCCAGGAGCTATTGGACGATTTCACTGCGAATATGAATGCATCTGTCACCACACTGACTCCCTCACTCAGGTGGACGCATGTGCAAGTATCCGTAGAGAATTTAAAACAACTTGGGAGGTTGTGATATAAATTTGTTAACATCCTATCGGGCTAGTTAGATACTCAACCCTCGCAAGCGGGAGAAGTGACATTCGTCAAAACGCATAATGCTTTTACTACCAATGAGATTTTTTGGATTACTCGCCGAGCCACTGTTTGTAACAAGCACATATATATGACGTTTGGGCGCACGTCCAGCAAGAACAGTCAATATATCAAGGTGCTTTCTGACGAGTGGTTAGTTTCCTAGCCTGTAAGACCGACACTAGCTTTTCTGTACTTGCATTCAGACCTACGTGGATTCAAATAACAGAGATGGAAATTATCGTACCAAGCCAGATAGAAGCCTGTGCAGACTTTGTGCTGTAGTCGTAAGCATATCTGCACTATATCTAAATCATGTGCAGGTGATCTTAGTCCCGCCCGGGACTTGGTATAGACTATTTTGGGAGTCACTATGGACAACTAGCTGATCATACAAGAAAGTTAGAATGAGAATAACGTCACCCACAGGTCATTGCCCCACACGGGTCTTTGCCCAACTTTTCAAGAAATCTTGACTTTCCATCTTTACTTATACAATTCTTCCCTTCCACAACATGGCACGCAAATCTAGTGAAGCTAATCTTCAATTAGCCATCCAAACTAAACGACGCGATCCTCACCTAAGTTGGAACAAGCTTGGTAAAATCTTCAAAGTCGACCATAAGACATTGAAGCGCCGTTACGAAGGCGTACAACCATTACATATTACTAACATGTCCAAACGGAAAATGACCGAAACCGAAGAGAATGCGATTACCCGACGCGTAATTGAGCTAGATTCGCGAACTTTTCCTCCCCGGCTTCGATACGTTGAAGAAATGGCGAATATCCTCCGACGCGACCACGACGCGTCACCCGTCGGCAAGAACTGGGCCTCGAGCTTCGTACGGCGACAACCAGACCTCCGGACGCGTTTAAATCGTCGAATCGATTACCAGCGGGCATTCTGCGAAGATCCTGTCGCGTATCGCGGTTATTTTAAGCGTGTTGCGGACACAATAGCGAAGCACGGCATCCAGCCGGAGGATATCTACAACTTTGACGAGACGGGCTTTTTAATGGGCATGATCTCAACCGGCATGGTCGTTACGAGTACCGAAAGACGTGGAAGGCCTAGGCAAGCCCAGCAAGGCAATAGGGAATGGGTTACTGTCATTCAGGCGGCCAATTCCCAAGGCTGGGCGGTGCCGCCGTACATCATCTTCGCGGCCAAAGTTCACCTCGCTTCGTGGTATCGCGACACCACATTACCGGGTAATTGGGTCGTTGATCTATCCCACAACGGATGGAAAACGAATAATATTGGTCTCAGCTGGGCAGCTCACTTCGATCTGCACACACGCGATCGTACGAAGGGTGTCAAACGCCTCCTGATCCTTGACGGTCACGAAAGCCATCACTTGATGGATTTCGAACAATACTGCAAGGACCATGGCATCATTACCCTTCCTATGCCTGCCCATTCGTCCCATAAGCTCCAGCCTCTCGACTTGGGCCTTTTAGTGTTTTGAAACGGGCGTACGGTGTGTTTGTTGAGGGTTTGATGCGACGGCATCATACCCACGTTGCGAAGGAGGATTTCCTTGCCGGTTTTTTGGAGGGGTTTGGCGCTGCTTTTACTGAACAAAACATCAGATCTGGTTTCGAAGCAGCTGTAATTGTCCCTTTTGACCCCGACAGGGTTATATCTGCCCTGGATGTCGCAGAAGTCGCGCGTACACCCTCTGCCGACCCAGAACTCCTACCCCCTATTTGGACTTCTAAGACACCTACTACCACCCTTGAAGCCGAATCGCAGTCAACGTTGATTAAGAATAGCGTTCAGAGGCATCAAGACAGCTCTCCGACGCATATTATTCATTCAATTGACTCGATTGCAAAGGCTACGCATGCAATGATGCAAGAGAATGTTATCTTGCGTCGCGAGAACGAAGAGCTTCGTGAGACTAACCATGTGCTAAGCAAACGTCGCAGAACCAAAAACAAGCAAATACAGTATGGTGGGCCACTTAATATAGAAGATGCACAATTTATACGGGCTATTAGGGGTGATATGGGTTTGGAAAGTGAGGAAGAGGGTGAAAGTAGTCGTCCTACAAGGAGGAGGGCAACGGGTGCTAGGCGCTGTGGCATTTGTGGAGGAACTGGACATAATGCGCGAACTTTTCAGGCAGATGTAGAAACAGATAATGAAAAGAATTCTGATTAATTTCTTGGATGAATACGGGTTGTTGTTGATCTATCTAAGATTAAAGGTTGGGAGGTCGTGAAACGTTGGGCAAAGACCCGTGTGGGGCATTGACCTGTGGGTGACGTTAAGCGTAATTATATATTAAAGACCGTAAGAAGTGTATGATTGTCCACTGGACAGTTCGCCCACGAGTTCCAAATGCGTTCAACGTCCTGCTGTTGTATAACCCATGATATTTCATTCCCAATTTAATTGTATCCACTCCGCTTGAAAATTAGGCAGCTAACATCGTCTACCATTGGACTTTTTCCCATGTAGGTCTGTGTCGCGTGGAAACTATAGAAGACCCATCTTCAGGAGCCTGTTCCCGTACTCTATCAAATAGTAGTCACCATAAACCAGGCCATGATCCCAATATCTCATATGATCCTTCGAGTTGTGATTTGCTGTGGCGTTCTTCAAAATAGCCTCGAAATTCTCCCCTGCATCAGCATCCTTGGCAGATAGTTCACCCGCATCCGTCACTAATACCGCCTTCTCAGGGGCAAGCGAGAAAGCTAAAGTGTCTCGGACAATCGTCAGCGATGCATTTAAGTACCGCTGGCTCCGCTGTCCCTCGCTTCGACCTGCCAGCCCCTGAGCCAAGATGAGCATTCCATTCGCAGCAGCTAGGCCGGCCGAAGAGTCGCGCAAGGGGTTGTCCTCGTCGATGGGGGCATCAAAGTCCCACAGGGGGACGTAACGCCCCTTTGTACCTTTGCCTTCAGGTACTGGGACCTCGACGCATCCCGGGGATGTCTTGAGGCGAAGGAGAAAGTACTCGGCCAGTCCGCAAGCCGCATCGAGAAACTCGTCATCTTGAGTCCACAGGAAAGACTGCGCATAGCCCAATATACCCCAGGCTTGGCCACGGGCCCAGGTTGATGTTTCTGAGTACCCCTGCGCAGTTCGTCGCTCTTTGATCTCCCCAGTGGCTGCAGAGAAGTTCAATACGTGAGTAGTACTGTACAGTGGGCCAAAATAGTTCAGGCTCCAGGATGAAGTCTCGGGGCGAAGATGACTCCTTATCAATGTCTTTGCATGGATAGTTGCTGCGTCCGCAAGATGCGACTTTCCTGTATGGGCGGCCGCATAGTATAGCAGGTCCAGATTACACATGGAATCGATGATTACCAAGAAATCCTCTTCTAGGTCAGTGATGTTGACTCCCTCCTGGGTGAGCACGTCCCATGACCTGATGGCGCCAACTTTGTCGTTCCACCGGGTGTAGAGATTGTCGGCAGCAGTGATGATCGAGTCCAGTGCCCTCTGATCATGGTAAACCTCCCATAGCACTCGCATGGATGGTTGCACCATAAATGACATATCGTGTGTGTCGGTACGAAGAGCCATGCCGTGAATGGGCTCGGACCATACCTGTCCTAAGCTCTCCAGCTTTTCACGGATAAGTTTTGCATTTCCACCTGTTTTGCGCGGAAATTTCACCGCACGCTCTAGCAGAGAGTAGATGCAGCCAGGGAAAAAGCCGCAGGTCCAGAAATCCGCTTCGCGAAGGATGTATTTGCCCTTTTCTGTGCCAGTCTGGGGTACATACTCGGGATAAACTATGGGAGGGTTCTAGAGCCATTATTAGCACTACCTCTACGTCCTGATGAATCTCTGTTGAACCCACGTTCTTTTCCAGAGCGGTTGTGGCAGTACGCAATATTTTTGCAACAATGTTCTCGGCGTATAGTTCTTGGAGAGCATCTTGCGCTACTTCTTTCTGGGCCATTTTTGCTTGTAATAAACTAGTCGCTATACTTGTTAATAAGGAACAAGATGGGGTGAAGGCGACGATTTCTATTGCATGAACTCCAAACACTGTGGAACACTACCACGATGAGGTAATATATTACCGAGGAATTCGAAATCGTGACGAGTTCCGGAGAGGAACTATCGCCAACCACGTGGCAGAACATCCCGCTAGTCATCAGCAACCAGTGGAAAGGGACTCCGGGATAAATACAACGCCGGCCGCGGCCTTCTTGACCGAGTACTCCACAACATACATCAAGTCAAGCTAGAAGGGGCATAGGTTCAGCAACCTATGTCGCAACCAGTTTTCTCTCTCACTTTGCATTAAGCTTATATTGCGTTATTACAATTCGATGGTGAAAGTGATACTTGGTGTCTTGAAGAATATCGGGTCCCTCGCAGTGCCCCTTTAGGTCTATATAGAAGTGTACGCCTCATTGGTTCTCCCTGGTACACTTTCCGCCTCCTCAATTCAATAAAGCCGCGCTGATTCCCCCGATCTCATGGAGAAAATGGAGGTTGGGGTAGCTAAACATAACGAAGATCTAACTCCCAGAGCGGGGAGTACTGAGGGGAAGGAACAGAGCGGAGCCGGCGTTCGGGACTAAGTCAATGACGACCCGAGGCGGACCAAAACCACGCCGCTTTCTGCAGACATATAAGGCCCATGTGGAATTCACATCTAATGCTCGGAATGGATAGATGAAACAGCAATAAATTAGTCTAGTCACCCTGCTGGATAAAAAGAAAGCCATCTTCTCACGACCAACGTAAACCGTGGGGAGAACACAAAGGACAGGTTATTCGTTGCTAAATGCTGGATTAAGCCATTGCTAATGAACGTAGTACTACCTCCACGTATCAATAACCTTTGTCTGTGTAGAATTGTCAACTCCCCAACTGTCAAATCCAGCTAGCAGACGTTCCTCGGTGTAACAATTAGGTCATCCATGTGACTTACATCCCGCCAATTTTAGTGCCGACATCAATGCTTTGACAACTTATCTTCTCATATATTCTATGGTAATTATATGTTTTGTCTCTTTTGCCTGGGACAGATGTATCTTTAAATCATGCAGCATCGCCTCCATGCACTTGACAGAGATGGAAGTTGTTATTGTTCTTGTTTCCTACCGAGACTCGAGCCGCCACGGAGGCGGCCTCATAAGCTCTTCCAGGGCATTACGTAGGTAAATAACCACCCTTTCTCCAAGTTCCTCACAATAATAATAATATTATTAAATACGCCGTAGGTGTTAACCCTCGGTACCTCTACAAGTACTCCCTTAAGGGGCTATAGATGATATAGCGGGCCCTTAAGCCGCGTCGGGCGGTTATACAGGTAAACTTGTAGCCAAACGACTACTAAACCTCCTGTCCCTCCCTAAGTCTGTGCTACAACCCCTGCCTGAACTACCGATAAGTGTGGTAATGTGGCACTTAAATTTGTCCTCAGGGGTGGGATGCTGCTGATGTGCAGAAGATGCTCGACTATTTTTTGTCGCGACAAGTCGTAGTATCTGCTAATTGGGGTTCTCGTCGAGCGTATACATCTCAACCATATGCTCAAGTGGATAGACCGTAACGTGGTCTAGATGCTCGCAAGAATCGCGGCGAGAGGGGGTCCGATAAGGGGTCGGATTAACGATTCGAATTCTGGACCGGCTGTCGAGTTATATTCCGCCGACGTAGTGCTTGACGGTCGACTGGCTAGGATGCTCGTAATCCTAAACTGCACCAATCTCCCTATTATCGCTAGGTAGGCGAAGTCAACAAGGTGGGCAGCGCGCCGTAAGGGTTGACTAAACCCCCTTGTGTGTCAGCTGCGGGATTCGAACCCGCGACTCGTCACCGACCCAAGTGGGTGAGGCTCAAATCGGGACTTATCTACCAGCGAAGTGACCAACTACACCAGCCGACCTCACAATAATTATATGCTTTTTTTTGAAGAGGGGACAGGATTTTCTGATTAAAAAAGCGAAGGCTAGTTTGTGGTTCAACTTGAAAAGTCGAGTGACAGTAAACCCAGAGGAATATGAACCTTTCAAGGAAATTACAAATTTCACGAGCTCCCCTGCCCTCAAAATCCCAACGTCGAGACCTGAGGTGTGGTCATCGATTCCAAGCTTGTTAGACGCTCAACTCATTCTAGGTGCTGGGAATTCTCGCCCTTGATGTACTCCTCATCAGACTGTCTATCCTTTGCATTTTTCCGCTGGCGGTTAAATAGCCAAAACCCGAAGCTGAGAGTAAACCAGCAGCCTAAGGTGAAGAGAATGTTGACCGTGTAGCCCTTCTTCCATCGTGGAGCTTCTATCACTGGGAAAACGACTAAGGGGTACCATGCGGAGACTGCGAATCCGAGAGTGATCATGGAACCGGTGCAGAAAGCCCGAGCCTGTGTGTTGTGGGCGCTTGTTAGATCTCGTGGCAAAATAGAGACACGGGGAGGAGCGGGAAAACGGGCGACATACCTCCGCATCATCCTTGAGCCAGTAGTTGACCGTTGGAATCAGGATGGGCGTGACTGCGGCAGATACTCCGAGCAAATAGTAAGCAGCAACTTGGACAGTATCAGTAGCACATAGGGTAAATGAAGCAGATAAAAACTTACAGTGTAGACCCACGGGAACATTCCACACCAACAAGACGATGTTGGCAAACAAGAAGACGGCTTGCACCATCAAGAACACGATCCAGGTGGGGTATGTGATACATAAGCCCGTCGCCAACACGGCCGCGATTACAGATACACCCTGGGCTCCCGTGGGAATGGTGTTGATCTGTGGCACACTGTACGTTCCCTCGGCCTTGAGCCACAGACCCATTTGGCCGTGGGGGTAACTGGAGCTCAGAAAGAAGACGTAAGCCAGTACACCGACATACCAGTGCCAATGGGTGAAGATTCTTTTGATCACCTTCATGCTGATGCGCTTAGGGGCTTCGACACCCACTTCGTGCATGCGGCGCTGGCCTAGTTCGTGCTGTTTCTGGGTGAGCCAGAATGGCTTACCGCTTGAGGGCATGCCAGGAAAGATGAAAAACCCAATGATACCGATGGGGAGAGAGATGCACCCGTCAATAATACTGAATAATCAGTCAGGGGGTATTACGATAGTTGGGGTTGCTCAGGAGTCAAATCACTAGAGCACAACAAAAGACAGGAGGTTTGAAGTAAGGATTACTTACAAGAGCCATCTCCAACCCGCCATCCCTGTATGAATCTCGTTAGCAATAATGTCGGTGGTTTGTCAAATACGTAGGTGGTAAGGAGTTCCTCGCCAACATGATAAACCACTTACCGTGTACCCCATCTAGGTTCGTGTAAGCAGCCGCTTGAAGATATCCTCCAAACATGACGCCAATGTTGTTCGAGATGTACCAAAGGCCGGCACGCTTGAACAACTCCTCTGGTTTGTACCAAGACGATAGAATGAACAATGAGCCAGAAGCGACTGGAGTTTCGAGAATACCAAGCAGGAGGCGCGTTCCATAGATTTGGGGTGCGCTATTCAATCGGCACTGTGCGAAAGTCAAGACGCTCCAGGCGACTTCCATGGCCGGCAGAAAGTACCTTGACCACTTGGGCCTGGAAAGAAGCAGCATGGCGGGAACTTGGCAAACGATGTATCCGACATTGTAGAAAATGGGGATGAGCGAACTCGTCGCAGGTCAGCTTATATTACTTCCTGCGCGTCCATGACTCAGGGGCTCCAGCTCTTATTCCAATTGGGAAAAATTTCCAATTGAGAATATATTGGGACGAATTTTCGCCCTTTAGACATAAGGAAAAGGATAAAGAGGATATCGGAAGACGCATACTATCTAGTCGAAGGTTAGCGAAGTCAAGAGAGACAGCGGTACGTAGTCAGGGGACCCACTCATTCCCGTAGAGCTTCAGATCCTCCTTCATGCCCGAGACATAGGCATTATTGATATTAGAGGAGTCGAGCCATTTCAAGAAGACTGCCGTCTGGGTTAGCGATAGGTGTTGTGTCATATCGACGGGAGTGTGAGTGAACGGACAAGCAAAAGATGTGAAGGTCAAGAGAAACGCGTCGATTTTTTTCAAGAAGGCTTTCTCTTCTTTCGGTATATGTTTCGGGTACCAGTTGAATATATACAACCAGGCCCACCAGAGAGAGGACGTTTGCGGCTGGTTCTCCTCGACACCGGCTTCGGTCACGACGTTGGAAGCCGCAATGACGACGTCCTTGGTGCGCGGATGCCCATGTTCTGCAATGTTAGTGTGGTCATTGTGTTCAACAGGGGCAGCAGCCTCGTGCTGATGCACTGGTTCCGTTGATTCGATCGCCATGGTCAGTTGGATGAGCTCTTCAGTCCCGAGAGTGGATTATGGATCAAGGCTCAGAATCTCTGATCATGATCCTCATAAGGGTGATACGAAATGGTGAAGCAGTGCCATATTTACCATTATCGCCGGCAAAGCTGGCTCTTATCTGGATGCAACCAGTCGGTCCGTGATCCCCGGCATATAGATTTCCTGGAGAGTCGACATGGGGATGTCGGGGTGCGGAGTAGTCAACCCGCATTCAAGTGACAACCCCAGACTTGAATCCTAATTATCCTGGTGTGGAGCTGTCAAGGGAATCAGCTTTCAAGCTAAGGGCGAAGGGCCATCCACTTCATCGGGAATGACCCGGGGCCCCGCATTGCCTAGACCATTTCAGGTGAAGGAAGTCTTGGAATGGGAAGGACGAAAGTCTGATGCCACCCTCTTGGGAAGGGTGATAATCAAGGTTGGACCTTTATACTTATCTAATAGCACATTTATGACCAAGTAGTCCAAAAATGTATAGAAACACTACATCAGTCGTCTATTAAACGCCGTGGCTCCTAAACTCTGCTCTATATCCCAAATATTATCCTTGCGCATTGCTGTTTCGCAGATGAAGCTGTAGTCCAAAATCTGAATTTACATCGTATCTCTCTGGAATACTGCTGCTTATACGTCGCTTTAACTCAAGCAAAGACATGCAAGCAAGTCTGCCAGGCTGCTGTGTTGAACTTCTGCCTTGATTTCGGTCGAGCAGCGCGTTGATGGCTGGGGTCCTTGCTAATTTGAGGACGCCATGCATGCATCTAGGAGCTTTAAAGTGGTACGAGACATGAAATATGCACCCGTATCCAAGGATGTGTTCTAGTCTTGCCAGGTGGCATCCCAACCCCGGCTGCTCGCTTAGTAGATGATGTGGTACACATGCGGAGACTTACCCCGGATCCCGAAACAACTACCCCGAAGGCGTCTTCCCTAATAATCAATAGCATCCCAGATACCTCAGACTGTCACCCCAACTCAGCTTTTTTAATGGCACCTACGAAATCCAGTGGCGCCCCATTTGCCCAACTGATACATCATGCCTCCTTTACCGGGATTCTCAGACAACCCCTTCCAGACGCGGCGTGACCTCATCACGGGGGCCATCGCGCTTCTCCAGCCACTCCTGCCGTACTTCTCCCCAGAGAAGGCCCTGATCCGTCTACCAGTAAGCACGGGTACTCACTTCGATGAGTTTGCCGCAAATTTGGAAGGATTTGCACGGCCGCTCTGGGCTATCGCGGCGTTATTGCGTGCTGCATCCCAAATCCGTGAAACTGATCCTGATCTAGCGGCTTCTCTCGACGGGCTCTCGCAGCCATGGCGGCAAGGTATCGTCGCGGGGACAGATCCCGAGAGCCCTGAGTACTGGGGGGCTATTGGAAATATGGATCAACGCATGGTTGAGGCAGAGATCATTGCTTTTGCCTTGCTCACTGCGCCGGATGAGTTTTTTCATAGCTTGAGTGAGAGTGCAAGGGCGAATGTGATGAGGTGGCTAAGGGGGATCAATGGGAAGGAGATGCCAATGAACAACTGGCGATGGTTCCGCGTCTTTGTTGACTTGGCACTAGTCAAAGTCTGTGGCGTGCCGATCGAAGAGGTCCGGCACGAGATCAAAGAAGATCTAGACCTGCTTGAAGTATTCTATTTGGGAGATGGATGGGCTGCAGATGGGCCCTGGTTGAGTGCTGAGGACCAGCAGAAAGAGGAGTCCTTGTTCAAGGAGACGAGACGTAGAGATGCCATCGGTTTGGGGAGACAGGCTGACTATTACTCTGGAAGCTTTGCCATTCAGTTCAGTCAGTTGCTGTATACGCACTTTGCGGAAGATGTGGATCCGGATAGAGTTGCAATTTACCGACAGCGAGGTAGAGATTTTGGAAAGTATTTCTGGCGATACTTTGATGCTGGCGGTAAGCATGGCTCTAGCCATAAATTACTCGACCTGTCCAGCGCCCATGAGGCTGACCCGCATTGCAGGATCTGTGATACCCTTTGGTCGATCCTTGACGTACAAATTCGCGTGCGGCGGTTACTTTGCTGCCGTGGCCTTGGCAGAAGTCTCCGATATGCCGGCACCACTAGCAGCCGTAGGCAGTGTTAGAGGCTTCCTCCTGAGGCACCTGCGGTGGTGGGCGTCACACTCGGATGATGTATTCTACGTCGATGGGACGATGCACGTAGGATGGCTTTACCCGTAAGTGAATCAAGTCCAATTAAATACACTCTGCAGCTGTGCAATGTGGCTCACCGAAGCAATAGGAACATGTATATGAGTGAAGATTACAACTCACCGCAATCGGTATACTGGTGCCTCAAGACTCTAGTCGCAATTGGTCTTCCAGAGGACAGTGAATTCTGGACGGCTAAAGAGGCTCCATATCCCGAGTCGATAGAGCCAACTCAGCTTGTGCAGAAGCCGAGGCAAATTCTCTGTAATCATCCGGCAGGAAACCACCACTTTATGCTTTCGCCAGCACAATTTGTCGCTTGGCCAATGAAAGCGACCCAGGCGAAGTACTGCAAGTTTGCTTACAGCTCAGCATTTGCCTTTAGCGTGCCGACTGGGCCACTCATCCAACAAATAGCTCCAGATAACACCCTTGCAATCAGTAGAGATGGCGCCGAGACGTGGGCGGTAAAATGGAAGTGCAACGAAGCAAGTTTCAAACCGCTCAAGGTCGGTTCGGAACAAGTGACAGTCGCCTCGGTGAAGTGGAAACCACGGGGAGACGGAGCGGTGACGGTCGAGACGACACTGGTCCCACCAACCTCACAATGGCCAGACTGGCATATTCGTGTCCATCGCATCGAGCTACATACGGATCTGCAAACACTGCACACTGTCGAGGGCGGATTTGCCATATCAGGACGTCAGGCAGACGGCGCACCTGTGCCCCTGAGATCCTTGGCAACTGATGCCGAGCTCGGTGGGGCCGAGGGCGTTGAACAGGATCACACTTCCGTTCTCATTTTATCTAGTGCTGGAGCCAGTGGTGTTGTAGCGTTGCTACCAGAGGAAAGTAGAGGACACGAAGTCAGCTGTTATGCATTGAAGCCGGACGCGAACACTAACATCGCGTGTCAGCGGACATTGATTCCTGCCGTTGCGAACAGCTTGAATGGACCATTAAAGTCCGGAACACAGATCATTTTGGTGACCAAGGTTTTCGCCATTTCTTCAGCGGCTAATGGGGGAATCAGAAGTGATGCGCGACAATTCGAAAAACGTTGGAGAAACGTCCCAAAGACACGAGTGGCATCAGGACAAGATTCGGGCCTTGATATTGAGTTGGGCTAGTTAGTCGTCTATCTCGTTGAAACAATCCATTTGAAAATATTAAATTAATTTCCTATAATTATTGTATATTAAAGATGTAAAGTGAAAAGTTGGAAAGTTCGCATGTTGTCGTTTCTTGCTCAGTGAATTAACCCGAGGGGCTGGGCAGCGCTACCTACAAGAGGTCTTCAGGGGCGGCAATAAGCGGTACTTATTCAGGCTGGAGTCCCGGTAGGGGAACCGCCGATCCCCCGCCAATCCCAGGTTAGTGATGTCATGCAACAGGCAATGCACTGGAAATTCCAACGGACACATGCAAATGACTTTCGTTATTTCTGTAAAGCTTCGAGAATTCGCATTCTCCTACAGGCAAACTGCACATATATTGAAGCCAGGCCAAACCAAATACACCATGTCAGAGCACACGACCCCGATCCGCCTTGCGCAAGCAACCAGCATCCTTGTTGCGACCGCCCTTGCAGGCGCCAATGCCGGCTTGTCCTTCTTCGTGATCCCGCGCCTCCTCGAGTCCCCAACACCGCTGATGATCCGACAATGGGGCAACATGTTTGCCATAACGCACCGCTACCTGCCCTCGCTCTTCATGCTCCCCGGCTTCATCAACATCTGGCTCGCCTACCGGCTGCCTGAAAAGGTACGCCTGTATGCGCTTGCGGCCGGGTTATCGATATCGATTAGCCCGTATACGATGACCATCATGAGGCCCATCAACAAGAAGTTGGAGCAGAAGGTCAAGGACGTTAGAGTTATGGATTTTGGCAATAGAGATGTATTAGCTGAGGAGTTTGGGAGGGAGGAGACGGCGCATTCGTTGATCGATTCGTGGGGAGTTGCGAACTTATATCTGTGCAGTGCTTCGTTTCTCGCAGGCACTGCTGGTCTGTATGCTGCCTTCCGCTGAACGGATTTTACATTACTTGAAGCTTGAGACGGAGCATGCCGAGAGACCTCTTGTAGGTGTATTTTGCCTCCCACAATATTAAGAACGGATGTAGCAGCTCTTCAGGAGCTAAGAATTTTCCTTCTCAAGAAAAATACTCGTTCTATCTACACATCTATCCGGTCCCTATGATAACGACTAGCGTTCACTGACACGTTCTACACCGTCAAAGCTATACTCCTTCCCGACAGGAATTGGTATCCGTTCCCACCCCGTAGATGTTCTACCATAATCTTGCCCCCTGGTCCGCAGACGGGATCCCACATAGAATCGATATCATCCCAGTCTGAGTTTTCCGCTCGTTGACGAACTCCAGGCAGTCGATATTTCTCACCATCTGCAAGAGCGTGTCCACTCAATCAGTGAACGTCAATACCGACCCATGCCGAACCTTAGCATAAAGGGCAATCCACTTTCTGCATTAGCGCTTCCGCGAAAGGCCTGTGTTGGTGAAGCACTGCTCGCAGAGATCCCAGTATAGTTACGCGAGCCGACGGAGTTCCAGCGGTCGCCCGCACAATCCATACAGTTGCAGCCGCGTACGGGGTTTTTCGTACGGTGCTTTATTCGTGGCTTGCGCGGCTGAGTAAATATACTTGTATGTTTAGTCTAGGTCGCCCACCCGGAAGACCTTGCATGGCTTCAGGTTGTTTTGGTAACACTTGCATGCTCATAGCATAATATCACGCTAACTTCGCTACACATCTCTAGCTGATGATGTGTTTTAGCTTAGTGTTGATGCTATTCGAGTTGATAAATTGGAGTTCAGCAATAATTATCTACATGAAAACAACGCATGGCTGCATTGAGATTGCATTCGTATATAATAAAATTTCAAGTCTCCATGCCAATATGATGTTATATTCTGAGTAGTCGGCTGGTGTAGTTGGTCACTTCGCTGGTAGATAAGTCCCGATTTGAGCCTCGCCCACTTGGGTCGGTGACGAGTCGCGGGTTCGAATCCCGCAGCTGACACACAAGGGGGTTTAGTCAACCCTTACGGCGCGCTGCCCACCTTGTTGACTTCGCCTACCTAGCGATAATAGGGAGATTGGTGCAGTTTAGGATTACGAGCATCCTAGCCAGTCGACCGTCAAGCACTACGTCGGCGGAATATAACTCGACAGCCGGTCCAGAATTCGAATCGTTAATCCGACCCCTTATCGGACCTCGCCTTTCCGATAACGCTCGTCGGCGAACCCGTCCCCTCACGATAGAAGGCGCGCAGCACGCCCTCTCGCCGCGATTCTTGCGAGCGTCTGACCACGTTACGGTCTATCCACTTGAGCGTATGGTTGAGATGTATACGCTCGACGAGAACCCCAATTAGCAGATACTACGACTTGTCGCGACAAAAAAATAGTCGAGCATCTTCTGCACATCAGCAGCATCCCACCCCTGAGGACGAATTTAAGTGCCACATTACCACACTTATCGGTAGTTCAGGCAGGGGTTGTAGCACAGACTTAGGGAGGGACAGGAGGTTTAGTAGTCATTTGGCTACAAGTTTACCTGTATAACCGCCCGACGCGGCTTAAGGGCCCGCTATATCATCTATAGCCCCTTAAGGGAGTACTTGTAGAGGTACCGAGGGTTAACACCTACGGCGTATTTAATATTTTTTTTTATATTCTGAGTGTTTGTAGTGAATGATTCACATTTTGAGGCAGTTAACCTTCAAGCAATATCGTCACAGAGCACAGTATGTAGGCAAGCTCACTATAAGCGACTGCCGTGTTGTGGTGGATTTGGGAATAATGGAGATGAATCGTCCATTCTTTCACCTTTTATTGTTCGTCATGCCAGGCGGGACTTGTTAGTTGAGGTCGGTTAGAAAAAGGCAAATAGCCCTCAACTTGGGTTTCTACTTCTGCAGTAAATACTAGCGCTGTTATATATCGACGAGCGATATCTTCCACAGCCTCTTGCTGGCCCATAACTAGCTGCATCAGGTTGTTCGGCGATGAAGATCCGGCAATAACGTTCTTAGAACCATACGGCTCGCTGATGTGGCCTTTTGAAGGAAATGACATCAAATGTGAAATCACTGAATCCCTCGGATTTTCTCCTTTAACATTTGATCTTTGCTGCGACGCTAAGGACAACATCCTAGTTTACTCGTTAATTGTTCCTACTACCGTGGTACGCTACTTTGTCTTTGGGCTATGCCCGCGCAGAGCAACGAAACGCTATGGCTGGAGATTATCAGTAGTACTGTGTGCCTAGAAACATATTGTATAGACCTGCTGGAAGGCACTTCACTTCCAGACTTCCATAATCTTCGATACCAGGATTATGCTCTTATATGCCGTATATTCCTGATGCGCCTCCCCATTATGACAGAAGAATCATCGCCTGAAGATGAAGTCACTTCTAGCAGATTTCATTGAAGATTAGAACGCATGTTAGAATGCATACTACCAAGAATATTTTACCGAAAAGTTCAATATCAGAAAATGCATCGAAAACACTCGAACGAACCTCTTAGTAAACGTAATGGTTACATCATTATCAGAGCCCGTAAGACCGAAAATATGACGAAAACCGCAGAGGGCGATAGACTTACTGAAACCCATAAGTCGTGAGAGATGGGATCGAGCAAGAGACACTTGACCTCACTTTATCCGTTCCGCAATACCCTCTGAAGACTCGGGTTCAGATGAGACTACCTTTAATCACGGTTTCAAGAAGTCGTCTCATAATAAGCGGTCTGTGGTACGAACTGGACTTTCGGATAGGCAAGCGGATACACATTCGTCCTTGCAACCCCAAGCGAAAATACACAATCACTCCTACATAATGCCGGAGCTGCTCTAATCTGCCATCAAAGCAGGGATCGATGTTGATCCTCGTTCTCGCTTGAAAGATGGTGATTTACTGCCACCCGATCAAATTCGTGCACTCGACCCAGCGAACGGACCGAAGGCACGACATGGTGCGCAAATTCGATTCATGGGTAATCATTTGAGAAGCGGGCACTCAGAGCTGCGGGTTCTCATCCTCATGTCACAGAATGATATGAGATCGACATGCCATTCACCAGACCACCGGGTTATGTTCTGTGGGATCGTGATGTCCGGCCTGATACAACGGGTCTAAAAACTAGCCATGACGGAGCAGAGGGCTGGGTACTGAGATGGAACGAAACGGTCTCGGGGAAAAGGTCGAAGAGAACGACTCATAAGGATCAAACCGCCACCGGATAGCGACTTGCACAAGGTTGGCTGTGAACTGCGGGGAAGGCCGAGGAAAGGGAGCAAGCTGTTAAATTGGATCAACGGTCAATGAAGGCATTGAAACATACCTAGCTGTCCTAAGTAATGACTTGCTGGTGCTCTCGGCTTGAGTGACATTGCAAAGTCGTGAGCATGCGACGGTAATCTTATCAACATGGGTGAGTAATACCAGAGTAGCTTGCATTTCTGGACATCTCAAGTGGAGCGATCACGTTCTGCAATTCTAGTGAGATGGCGGGAATCGTGGAAATACCTTCAAAGTGCTCAGGTGAACATCGACGGCCGCGGATGTGGGCATCCCGTGCCTTTTCTTGGTGTTCCAGAATCCATCGTCGTCTCTGGGTCACGAGAAAGGGTTTCCGCAAATGCGACAGAATGTCGACAAAGTTTCACTCGGGATTGAAGCTCAGAGTCAAGGGAACATCAAGCACGGTTTGCTGGTTGGGAATCCCGATCGTGCACAGCTGCTCTCCGTAGTCGAGAAATAGCGAAAATAGGCCATGCAGGCCGGGTATGCTTCGCGATGGCATCGACGTCTCAGCTTGCACCCCGTTTGCCGGTTTCCGCGTCGTCGACGCCAATGCAAGCACTTGCGTTGCGCAGCTAGGCGCGCTCAAGCGATATGTGACACGGCCAGATGGGAAATAAAAAAATTTCTTCTTGGACTACATCGCCCTGAAAGATATGAGGTCAGATCAAACCTGGCAAGTCTCAGAAATTGCAACATGCCGTCTCAAGACACCCCTGTTGAGGCTATTCAAGGGGTTTAGTGGGTCTTTCCCCTTGGCCCAGGCGCCATTTCCCCTGTAAGCGACCCCCAATTAGGCTAGTCCGTGAGCTGAAGGAGCGGGCAAGTGGTCCTCCCTGACCAATATGGTGTTGCCGCTACCGCCCCTTCAGAATTGCTAGAGCCAAGACCTTGAGTTTCTATAGACAGGGGCGACAACCGACCACACCTCCACCTGCCGCCGAAGATCTCTCGCAGGGGAGAGAATTTTGAGCGCCCTGGTAGTATTGGAGAATGATCTTCGATCCCATGGCAGTGCTCGCCCGTCTGGGCGAGAAATCATCGCGAAGATCAAATTTAAGGTTTTGTTATTGTGTCTTTGGACGACCACAAGTTATAAAGCCCATTGCTTACGTGGGCAACCTTATATGACAGTTGCATCTTGGCAGACGACTTTAATCTAGAGTTATTTGAGCCTCAACCCTAATAGATCAATCCCCAGAGGCTCTGCGCAAAGCTCGTCCCAAACCCCTGCTTGACCTCGTATGACATTTCAGCATCCCGGGATTTCGAACATCGCTAACGGCTGCCGTGCTCGGAGCGGTACCCCAAAGAGTCCTTTGCGGGAATTGCGAACCAGGTCGGTCGAATGACTTGAATCTGGTAGCCCAAGCAAGCCAAGCGATGCTGCTTGGAGACCAGCGTGACGCATCTCAGCACACCCCCTTCAACCCTGTCAACAAACCTGATGCTGGCCAAACGCTATAAGTTTCTACGTGGGGTCCACAAATTGTTCGGTTCTCGACCGAGATGCATCCTACTGGCCAACCCTTGAGACACCAGCAACGGGCTGGACATGGGTTATGTTGGAAAGTTGGGACGAAGATGGCCTCAATCATCACCGTTTACGCCGCTCCATCTGAAGTCCTGATCGACATTACGGATGGACACCAGGGTCCCTTGGATCCTTCGTGTGCCAAACTGAACTGGACGAACTACCCCGCCTGGTGCATCACGACCCAGCTGCGAGGCCATCGTGTATATAAACATTGATCGGGCCTGACTCGTTCTCTTTTCTCTTTGTTCTCATCATCAGGCTTCGGTTCCTTCTTTGACATCTATCGCCTCTCAGTTCTGTGAACTTTTCCGTTCTTGACATTCTTTCTGTCCTTCATTTTCAGTTCTACACCCGCTCGGTCGGCCAAACAATCTTTTACCGCATACATATTTCGACTTGTATACCTTATTTTCGCTTCTGCAAAGAATCTCGAGCCGCTGTTTGCATAGTCTCATCAATCAAACAAACAGACAAAATCATCAACATGTTCACCAAAGCCGCCGCCCTCGCCATCCTCGTGGCATTTGCAGAGGCCCGTTTCTCCCAGGAGCAAGTTCCCGTTGCTGCCATCAGCGCCCTGAGTGACTTCGGTAACCCGGGCGAAGCCGCCACCCTAGCTGGCGGAGTCCCCGGTGTCCTCCTCGCCGCTGCCGACCCATGCGACAAACTCACCCAGGCTGACAAGATCGTGTCTACTCTTGGCACTGATCCCAAAGTCATCGCCGCCGCCGCCGCCTTGGTTGGCGCCGAGCAGAACTTCAACCCTTTCGTCGTCAGCGTCCCAAACATCTGCGGCGACGCTAGTCTTCCCGCCACCGCCGAGCTCCGAGGCATTGTTCCTCTGATCGACCCCGCTGTCACTGGTTCAGATCTGGAGAATGCCAATGCTGCCACTTCGCTCACGACTCCTTTCGATGCCACGGGCCTCAGCGTCGCTGATGTCATGATTGCTCAGGGCTTCTCCAACTTCACTGTCAACGGAGCTGCCGCCAGTGCCGGAGGTGCTGCCTCTGGAGATGCTGCTGACGCTGCCACGACCCCTGCCCCGACTGCAACTTCTACTCCCATCGTATGTGGAGGTGCCACCCCTGCAACTTCCACTCCTGTAGCATCCACGACCACTGCTGCCGCTGACACTGCCGTCGCCTCGGGAACCGCGAGCGCGGCCGCCGGTGCCGGAGCTGTCACCGATGCCGTGACTGGTAACTTCCCCGGCTTCCAAGCTTCGTCTCTCGGCCTTGACTTCGGTATCTGCACCCCGACCGTCAAATTCGAGGAGTCGCTCAACGGCCGCAAGGCTGGTGAGTTCACCTTCCAGGCTGCCGACCCCACCGTCAACAAGGGCCAACAGGAGGCTCTCAACCCCAACATCATCTTCAACCGCATCTGCGATCAGCTCATCAACGTCTGCGGTGCCACCGATGACGCACACACCGCTTGCAAGAACGCCCAGGCAGATCTCGGCGGCGGTGCCAAGGAAGCTTCCACCGCCGACGCCTGGAACACGGCTTTGGGCTTTGCTGGAACCGACTTGAACCCTGACAACGCTCCCCAGACTGGTCTCGTTGGACACACCTAGAGAATCGTCTTTGGAACAATTGGTACTGCGGAGAGAGGCGGACGAGATATCTAATAGCTATGTGTATAAGCACTTATGGAAGTTGGAGGTGGAAGTGGTACGAATGACGACATTTGGTGTACGCTATATGTGGATGAGTTTTCCAAATGGCAAATTAATATGATTACCAAAATCAGTTCTCTCTTAATTCTATGACTCGACTAGTGTCTCTTCTGATTCGGTAGCAGTGTCGTTTTGCGAGGCGACATTCCGGAGTGCGGTATGTGAGTGTTTGGATAAAATCACTGTCAAAAAAGCCTGGCGCACACTGGCCCCACTTCGGAGATCCCTTAACAATTAACTGTGGGATTGAGCGCCACGGTTATGCCCTAGGCCGAAGGCGGTGTAGCGGCGATTGCACTGGTGGGGTCAAACCGCAGATAAAATAGCTACAGACACAACCTACAGAACAGTAGAGTGATACAACAATCAAGACAGGATCGCCACAGAGTCATCAATAGAGGATTGAATCCCTCATTAACCTCATAGTTGCTAACTTAATTGCGCACCCATTTCTTACCCAAATTCAATAATAATATATAGATCTTGATGCCCTACTCGTTAAGCCTGAGAACAGCGATTTGACCCACTGGCTAACACAGTAGGTTAAGAACGTCCATTTGTTTGTTTTTTACGGTACTTCCGAATACTAGTAACCCATACTCTCCCGGATCTAGTCTTTCATGGTCAGCCCATCAGCCTTGTTATCCTTGAGAAAGTATACATGAGGGTGCTTTCTGTGGATGTCCGCCTTCATATAGCGCCCGATTAGTGACTGAATAGGAACGTAGGGGGGTTAGTCGATAAACCAGATGTCGTGGAGTTCCAGCCACTTTTTGGTGGCAATGGAGATATGAATTCTGGCGCTGTCTTGCTGGAAAAAGTGCTAGGAGTGTACATTGGAGGTAGGGCTCCCTTTAGAGCCTTTGTGTACGACTAAGACGAAAAGCCGGTATTCTTAACTAGAAAACTGTCACGACCTGGGTTGCATCGCATTGGTAGAGACCTCGATTAGGTGCTATCGACGAAGATTCTACTCTAAGGAGCGAAGGAAAGAAGATGACAACTTAGGTTTGAGGGAGCGCGACTAAGTCATCCACGCTTGGCGGGGCTCCTACAAGGGTTATGATTGGCTTCCCATCTGACACTGCCACGGCAGGTGTTCCAGCTGTAAGTCACCTGGTTGTAGTGAGTCTGCGAGGGTTGACCTTCACATAAAGCCGCGTCGAGAATCGCGAGACTACGCTCTACTATTACTCGTACGTACCTTGGTTCGCTATGCCTCCCTGCCGTTCTAAAATGGTTGATACGTTATACGTTAACGTACGGCTCTGGCGATTAGCTAGATTCGCTGTGGGACTTCCAGTACCTGGGATTTTGTAACATAAAGCCAGCCTTGAGAGTATTGCGGTATAGTTGTAACGAAACCTCTAATAGTCTAGCTGCGTAAACCACTAAAGAGTCTGTAAGGGTTTGTGCTAGTTGTGACGGCCGGTGTCACGATGCCACGAAACCCACTAGCTGTGGACCCGTAGGAGCACTGGCCATCTGAAGGCGGGATTGAAGATCCTCAGATGTGAGCCAGCCTGTTTTAGTTTCTCTTTCTTTCCTTGTCGAGAATCGTTAAGTCAATACAGTGCATTAGAGTGTTTTGACTCTTCAATTGTGCTCACCGTGACATTGTACGCGCTGGGTATTGCGTGTAACTACTGATGGCGAGCATTCGAATCAGCTGGCAACCAAACGTATATTCAGGCCGCCATGGTGGCGCGTACTTTCTAAGAGTACTCCTGGCCTTTCTGATGACCGGCGATTAAAAGAATGTTTTCCATGGCTGCTAGTGTTCAATTGAAATGTTGGTATAGATGGGCGGAAATTGAGTTGGATGTGAGCGCGTCGCGAAGTGGGGCGAGTGTGCGCCAGACTTTTTGACAGTGATTCTATCTTTTGACCGGGAGCCCTCAATTGATCGGTCAAAGCAGAATTCGTGTCGAAGATGGGGGATTTGGGAGCATTTATCTTGTTAAGTAAAAGTGTGTAACGAGCTGTAGTGAAGTTGTCGTCAATTACTTACTAGTAGTTATTGACAACTTAGCGCCGAGTGGCCGGCACCAACCTCAGCCCCCACAAAGTGCAAGGCATGTGTGAGTGGGTGACTGTAATTGTCTTGCGGGATGTCAACAAAAGTGAACTCTTTCTTTCTTTCCTGCTTCGCAACCGGAGAGAAAATGTTACGGCAACAAAGCGGCAAACTCGACGTTCTCATCCCCTGATACCGATGACAATGTTTTAGATGTTGGATTCGTATGGAAGCTTGCACATGTCAATACAAGTCAAGGCAAAAATTCAAACCAGCGAAAGTGTCGTGGCCAGCATTCAATACGCCAGGCAGACATGAGAAACCCGCCAAGACAATATTACCTGTAAGTGTGACGCGCCACCCAATCACTCAAGGTGCTTCGCCACAAGGACTTGTAGGATCAACAAGTTTGTGAGTTCGAGGTCACCAGTCGGAACTTAATGGCTCTTGATCAAGTTTTCGATCTAGAAATACATATATATATATATATATACCAGCCATGAATCGGGGTCCTATTACATAAGCTACTAAGGAAAAGAGGGAACATCCTCCCCCAACAACTCTCAGTTCTCTGAACGTGGGTTCGCGAAGTCAACTTTGAATACGAATTACTTTACTCAATATCTATCACTCTCGGGACCTTCAATAAAATACGACTGAATCTAGTGACACGACCTGTATCACCTCCTTATCGAGACCATATGCGCTGCTCCCACGTACCCACGCCTACGCCCCCGTGCCAGCCCTCCTAGCCCCTTCACCATGCGGAACGTTTCGCGATGGACGACACCGTGGTTCTATCAACCCTACAACAGGACCCAACGGCACCTCTTCCCTTCGACATGCTTATTGCGAGCAAGTCCCTTGTCCTTGTCTCTATTGTCCTCATGAGTGCTCCTCATTTCATCAAGAGTCGACGAGTCTTCCTCCAGGGGTCTGGTGCTGGCTTGGGCAGCCGTGGTGGGTGTAGGGTCCATCATCAGCTTCGTTGGTCTGACGAAAGTGGGTAAAGTCGGTGGAGGTGGACGCTCTCGTGATTAGCCTGATCAATTACAAGATCAAGTGGTTCACCTTGAGGTTTGGGATCCCTGGCGTGGTTCTCAGAGCAGTTGCATTGCTTTCAGTCACAAAACCCAGGCCGAAGCAGAAGAAAGACAGGATTGATGGCCGAGGAAGCGTAAACCCTTTGAAACTATTACTGAAGTACATCACTTTTGCCGTTCTGCCTGGCATGGTAGTCTTGGTCGTGGTTTCTGCGGGGCAACACTTGAATATCACGGCACCTGGCATCCCATCTGCGGAAAACTTGTAGTCGGTGGGACAGTGGGGTGTCTCGGGAGCGACGGGGATTGATCTTGTGACAAGGTTAATCAATGCCTTTATAGAGAGGTCAGAGGTGGTGAAGTCTGGGAATATTGATGATAAAAATCCATATCGCAAGTATAAAGGGAGTGGGATGTAGAAACATGATCGGAACGAGCTCGTTGAGATTTAGTCAATATTTTCATCCACTACTAGTCATTACTGGATGGAAGAGTATGCGTTCAAGGCCAGTTGTCCTCCCAAATGCGCGTATAGTACATTGCTGCCAGCGGCAATCTCCTCCTTTCGAATCATATCCATCATTCCAGCCAAACTCTTCCCTTCATAGACGGGATCGGTGATAAAGGCTTCCGTCTTAGCACCAAACTTGATGGCGTCGATGGTCTGCTCGTCAGGTATTCCGTAAACACCGGCATGATACCTGTCGTCCAGAATAATATCACTCTCCGTGATATCACCCTCTTGCAGCCCAATCTTGACGCCCGTCGCTTTCGCAATGCGCAAAATTTGATCGAAGGTCTGCTTCACGGTCGCCGAGGCATCGATGCCAACCACCCTGCGTTTCCGCGAGCCCTGCTTCTCTGCCAGCTTAAAACCGGCCACCATTCCAGCCATAGTAGATCCGGTAACGGCACATACAATAACAGTGTCGAAGAAGACGCCCATGGCCTTCTCCTGCTCCTCCACTTCAAAGGCCCATCGGGCGAAGCCGAGTCCGCCCAAGGGGTGATCAGAGGCTCCAGCCGGGATGTAGTATGGCTTGCGACCGGCGTCCTTCAGCTCTCTGTCCAAGTTCTTAAGTGTATCCTTGTGCTCTATGCCAAAGGAAGACGGATCAAGGCGGGAGTCAGCGCCCATGATCCGCGCTAACTGGATGTTGCCGACTTTGGTGTAGCCGGGGTCTTCGTAGTCGACCCATTTCTCCTGGACCAGAGCCGATTGTAGGCCTAGCTTAGCTGCTACGGCAGCTACTTGGCGTGTGTGGTTGGACTGGACCCCACCAATGCTAACCAAAGTGTCACATCCCTGAGCTAAAGCCTCAGATGCGAGGTACCTGTTGAATTGTTAGCTAAAAGATCCGACACTGAGGAGCCTGTGTGACCAACTCAAGTTTTCGTGTCTTGTTTCCTCCATATGCCAGGCCAGAATTGCAGTCCTCACGCTTCGCATATACGTTTACTTTTCCACCCAGTGCTTCAGATATCCGGGGTAGAGCTTGAATCGGGGATGGTCCGAACAGGAACGACTCCCGCGGGATGCTTGCAAAAGGCTCAGGCAACTTGACATCGGACATATTGATGTTTGTCGCTAACAGAAGCGAAACAGATGGTTTGAACTATTCGGCGATTTTGTGATGATGTCCGGAAACGCAGACGAGGAGATCTAGGTTTAAAGGTGTCATTGTCGGAGCCGGTGCCGAGTTCGGCAGATGCTTCGGATCCGCCCCAACTTCCGTGACTAACCTGTATTACCCTGGTCATTGCCCGATGTATTAAAACATATTCGAGTGATTGGTTGGAATTAGATGGATTCTCTGCGATGCTGCTACATATGGGGTTACTCTTATCGACCTGAGACGTTGATTGTGGATTCATGCGTTGTCCTGACTTTGGTCTTGTTGTGCATGATTGCGGCGGTAGCCGGTTGCGGGCCCAGAAATTCGCAGCCAAGAGGGCAGCATCGTGAGTTGCACAGTAGGGAATAAACAGGTAGATATGCCATCACGTCGCATCTTCTTGTTACAAGTCACGTATAATCCTTGCAGCGGCTCGGTGTCATTCAAGAAATCCTCTCTACAGCTTAGCCAACTCATACGATATTCTGCAAACCTGGGACAAGACTTTGAGTAAGAATTCTATGTGCACAGTGTGCGCAAGTATCGCAGATGCATTCGGGACTTTTAATAGAAACCGAAGCCTCCAATGGCGGTGAAACCACTTATTGCCTTGTTCGAGCCATAGATAACATCGGTACTCATAAAGCCATTCCTGATTACGGCCGCGGAGGGATACACCCTGTAAAACCCAATATGCGGGGGAACTGTTCCCGTACTATTAGTGTCCGATATATTCTTAGGTAAATACAAGTAGTATAAATAATACTATTTGTACCTTTTATTGTTCCATTTGTGTAAACCGGTTTGGGCAGTCAGAATTAAGCGCTGAAGCACCGCTGTGATTCACGTAAAATCGTAAGGAGGAGCAACGTAAAATAATAGTACTATGTAGGTCACCACAGAGCTGATTTACCGAGGACTGTTACACATAATTTCTAACTGTATTAAGGTCAAGCAAAATGTTAGCATTAGTCCCGAAGTGAGTAGCATTTGGCACCAAAGCACAATAAATTGCCGAAGGACAGAAACGGTAGAGTATGTACGCTCTTAACCATCTTATCCCACCTGCAGCTTCCATTTTAAAGCACACATTTGACTAATAAAGTCTTCTATGAACAATGTATACTCTTCGGCCTGCCTTAATGGCGTGGCTTGGGGTTAGAGTCACTAGTATTTCCAGTGACAAGCAAGACATGTTCGTATTACGTCCGGTCAAATCTCTTTGTATCATTAAGCATTCTGTTGGACCAAATCGACCGTCAAAAGACGAGGGACCCACTCGCTGTAGAATGAGGTATTTTTGGTAGTTATAAGGTCTGACACATTCCATACTTATTGCATGTAGCATATGTATCTTGCCTGGTAGAAGATGTGTTCTCCAATCGTAGTGGTGAGACCAATAAGATTCTGTACGGGCTTTGTAGCTTTGCTGTCATAATTCATTTAGACGTTTGACTCAGTAATCAAGTCTCAACTGCTGTGTCTCAACGCCCAGAAAAGCCTATCTCACAGCACTGAACACTTTTTTCATTGACTGATATAACTTAGTCACTTATTTGTCACAACCCAGAATTGAAGAGTAACGGACGCAAAGCAAAGTTACGCATGAAAGCTACTCTCAGTTTTTCATTCAAAACGCCATCTCGCTTGCTAATTGCCTTCAGTGCAATTTTAGCGCTGGCTTGCCCAGAATACTCATCGATATCACGGAATGAATTATGCCTCAACCTGACTCTTAACGAACCAACGTAGAGCTTACCACGACTAGGTGTGTCTAGGTTAACTTCTTGAGACAGAAAATGTAGCAGGAAGGCCCTGATTAGGTGAAAGTAGGCGACGTAGTTGGTGGTGAACTCCTCCTGGATGATGTTCAGATCCACGGTCTCGGGCTTGTTGAAGCCAAAGTGTCGCTGAACGCCAGAGTTGATGATAAAGGTGTGAAATTCTGGGTGCTTCTCCACGATAGAGTCCACGAACTTGTGGTAGGATGCAAGATTCGTCATATCAAGGTGCGCTGCAGACGCCTTATCGCTGTGCTTGGATACAAACTCAACCGCTTAGCTTGTCGCCTGCCAGATACCACAACCTTTGTACGATTTTAGATCAACTTGACTGCGGGGTCTTCATCGATGCCAGGAAGGAATCTGATGACATGTGCCTTGTTGCATAGGGGCGCTATAGTATTGGTTGTTCGAATATGCTCTTTTAGTGACAAATGTGGATTCTTAGTGAAAATGAAACGGTAGGTGATGCACAACAGAGTAAGATGAAAAGGGTTTCCTGGCTTTGTATGGTACGTTTCTATCTGATAGTCTCAGAGGCAGCATAAGACCTTTCTTTTGTGTATGTAGGATGATTTTAAAAAAGATTTGTCGTTGACTTGACCGTGGAAACCTGAACATAACACTTTCTCTCTAAAGAGAGCTCCCTAGAGACACCCAACTCGTCGATTTATTTCGATTAATGCAGAGACCTTCCAGCTTTCTGCCAACGTGATATACTAAGTGGCTACCATGACTAGAAATTACGAGAAATGGTCAAAGTCTTCTGAAAGAGGACAGTCCGACCCCAAGTCTTCAAAACAGACCATCCTCACAGGGTTTTCTGTATGCAGTATGCATTACGCTTTGGGGCTAGAATTATTCAGCCAGCGCTGTAACAAGAGGATAATCATTCTCCCGTCACGGATTGCTCCGTCATGGTCAATTATATGCTTTACAAGAATTGGGTGGGTGTTATTATTAACGCTATCATCTACAAGTATGCATTTACGGAGGAAGGAGCAGAAAAGTGTAGCAGTATGTACGCATTCATGGTTTTGGGTCCAACCCATTAAGCAGGTGATATTGATATATTGAAACGAAGATGGTCGTTCTTGGCTGCAAAGAACGTTATAAGTACGCCTTTTCAGTGTTCGAGTTTGATCTAGAACCGCCAGCAAGTGATCATGTTGATAAATTAACGTCCCACACCCACATCCCGGACACCCCCACATGTGGGACGCCCTAAAAATGATGCTGTATATTATAACCATTGACTTCAACCTTTTTTTACACTTATTCTGATGCGACTACAATACAGCTTTCACCATCACTAGGGTTTTCAGACTCGCTAGACTCATCTGTACTATCCTCAATTTCACCAGCCTCGATTTGAGCCTTCCGAATAGCCTTGATATTAGTAAACTTCGAATTTGTCAGGGTACGGCTAGGCCGAAGGCAATAGTACAGAGTGATGGGGAGTAACGGGCGTCCCTCCTACGTAGCACCGGGTGGTCACTTGCGGTCACTGGTAGGGGTGCCCACGATGATGCATTGATCTCTACTCTTCCCTATCCTACTTCGAGATGGTCCTTATATAGATAGCTAGGCCGCCGCTTGGACCCGGCATAACAGCAGGGTCGGCGATGCCGAGGATCTTGACTCTCGTCATCCCAAAGCTTCACATAGATTGTAATCATGACTCGGGAGTCTTTTGTCCGAAACACCCCTCCGGCGCCCCACCGGTGTCTTGCGTTCAGTGTCCTGACAGAATTAGGGCTCATCTTGACCTTCCTCCGCTTCCTAGCCCTACTAGTCTCGAGCTCTGCCTCTATTGCCTCAATCTTTCGCTGTGCGACAGCTAACTGGTAGTCCTTCTCATCAAAGCCCTTTTGAACTTTCCGAAAGAGTAGCCGCTGGGTATTTGGATCACTATCAAGCTTGCTGAATAAGCTGAGTTGATCTTGGAGCTCATCTCTCCTCTTAGGCGTTGACCAGGCTACTGCTGATGTCTCTAACGCCCAGTCCTGACTACTAGAGTGCCCTTTGCAAGTCTGACTAGGCTGTTTGATTGGTGCTGACGTATTCTCAAGGAGCAGGGGGTTCATAAGGGGTCTAGCTATGCTCGAAGGCCAGAGACCAGTATATTTCCATCCACTCATAATGTTCTTGACGGTCAATGCTGCTAGACGTGCCTTTCTATAGCAGAGGAGAAAGTTTCTCTTCCCTACGACAGTAGTAGTATACCATTGGTTAAGGTAACCAAGCTCTTTCTTATAGGCTGCCTTGAGGGGTCCAAAGACTGACTGATCGAGAGGCTGGAGAACGTGGGATGTGTGTGGCGGTAAGAAAAGCAAGTGTATCTTGTTTATGAAGCAGAGGTACATAAACTCTGTCGTTTCGTGGCTACTATGCCCATCTAGGATAAGTAACCTAGTCTCTTCAGGGTCCTCTGGTTGAGTCAAAGGAATAAAGATCTTTTGTAGCCACTCAATAGCCGTAGAGTCTGAAGTCCACCCATTCTCTGTTGCTGTAAACCTCCAGGCTTCGTATGGAGTCAAGTCTAGAGGAAACCACTGCTGCTGGACAGACTTCCCCTTGTATATCACAAGTGGGGGTAGTGCAGTACCAGTCGCAGAGATACACTCTATAAGAGATGTCAAAGCTCGAGATCCAGGCTGTTTCTTCCGTATAGAACGAGTCTCAGATGATCCTAGAACAAGACCATTTGATCCTCTACCTTCTATAATACCTGTCTCATCCATATTGTATCGATTTGAGGCCTTAATAGCTTTGATCTCAGGGATAGCGAGGTATTTGAACCATTGCCTGATCACATTAGCTAAGGCTCCATTAATACGCTGGGAATCGATAGTTCTGCTTCTCTGCACCTTGACTGAAGGGTTCCTCTTGATAAAAGCCTGGACCCAGTTCTTTCCAAGTGGTTCGGTGTCTCCGTGGATCTGTAGGATACGCTCGGCGAAGTCTTTGAGCTGTTGATGGGTTGGTGGGAGGCCTAGGGCAGCCTGGATTCGAACCCATTCAGCCAGATGAGATTCCTGGGCTGGAGAGAGCCTCTGGTAGTCAGCGAAGGCTATATCTCTTGACTGGGCTCCCTGAATCCGTCGTGAAAGAGTAGACCTTGGGACACCATGCTCATATGCTGCTTTTCGGAGGCTTTGACCGGTAGCTATTGCTTGAAGAGCTCGATAAATATCATCTTCGGTATATTGACTTATATTAGTGTGAAGAAGACGTACGTAAAATTTCGTAACGATTGAATCGATATCGGTAAAGATAAAAGAGGTTGAAGTTAGAGGCTAGCGGTGTTGATGAGGCATTTTTGGGTGTCCCACATGTGGGGGTGTCCCGGATGTGGGTGTGGGACGTTACCGGTCTTTTTGTCTCTAGTCCACTTCCGCTGTCACACACAGTATCTCAATTGATACTCAATGTTGAGGCACTATACAGCTGGGCCAATGTCTTGACCCTTTCAAGACGCGTATGTGAAGGTTTGTAGCTCTGATAACATACAGGATGTCAGAACGCTGCCTGCTAGAGACTGCGTGGTGTTGTATACCAGATTACTAGTTCTAGGATAATAGTTTTCTTAAGATATTAGTTACCATACAGTTGCGATTCAGGAAACTATACAATACATACGTAACCCCAAAATTAAAACATGTCAAAAGAGTAGAAGAATAGTTGAAGAATATACTGACTGAAATAACACAAAAGTTATTCGCGTATTAATTCTGCTGAGAAAACACAAATTGAAAACTGGGACATAGCTTTCATTCTGTGGATGAAGCAAAAAACTCCGCATCGGGGAATCGAACCCCGGGCTTCGCGGTGAAAACGCGATATGTTAACCCCTACACTAATGCGGATCAGGTGGTTTACAGATAATAAGCTTCCAGCAATAATATATAAAGTCGTGCAAATGATGGCGGCGCTAGATCCACCTTGAAAGTTCTGATTTCACCCAAATACTTATTCTCCGCTCTATAGTGGACTTACAGTTCATATAGGGTTTGTCTGAACTAAAAGAATGGTGTCGCTGCTCGATAGAATTGATCTTCATCGGGCGCTGCATGATTTCAATTATGCGGCAGACAAAAAAGGAGAGGCAGGGGAAAGAATACCTAATGGAATGCGCAACTGGTATTATGCCTTGGTCTGTTCGATAAAATAAACTGCGTTGTGCATATTGTCCTCTGTATTAAAGATCATATCTCTGACGGTCAATTACAGACGGCTGATTTCCATATTAGCCCGGAAAGGCTACCCGGAGTGGGTTCAGGAGTGGGTACGCAGCTTCGTGGAGGATAGGACGGTACGCCTCCGGTTCGATGGCAAGGAGTCAGAGCCAATCCCCCTACGAGCTGGCGTCCCCCAGGGGTCACCGCTATCCCCGATACTGTTTATATTATACATTTCAACGCTGTACGAGGAGCTAGCGGAGCAGCACCCACTACTTTTAGTAGTCGGGTTCGCGGACGGCACGAACCTGCTAAGCGTCGGCACCGATCCAGACACGACCTGCCGCCGGTTGGAGGGCGCATGGGCTACGTGTCAGCGGTGGGCAGTGAGGCACGGGATGGAGTTCGCCCCTGACAAGAGTGAGCTAATGCACTTTACTAGGGCCCGAGAGCCCTTGCCGCAAAGTATTCGCCTTGGGGACGCCACAGTGTCGCTGGTAGTCTCAGCGAGGTTCCTAGGAGTCTGGTTCGACCGCAAACTGACGTGGCACTCCCATGTTGAGTGTGTTAAAACAAAAATGGCAACTCAAAAGCTAGCCCTGACAAAGCTAGTCAATATGTCGTGGGGCTGCGATCTTATACGGGCGAGGCTGTTATATACGGTGGTTATCCGTAGCGCGATCGCCTTCGGGGCGACTGCGTGGCATACTATAAGTGAGGAACCGGCAGGGCCAGCTAAGAGCCTGATGGGGATACAGAACGAGTGCCTCCGGGTAGTCTGTGGCGCCCACAAAGCGACGCCGGTTCGCCACCTGGAAGCAGAAGCAGCAATCCCGCCACTAGACCTCTATCTTAGTGCCCGGGCTGCTAAATTTGAAGAACGGCTACGGCTTAGCGGGAAGAGAAATCTGCTTCGCAGCGCGAGCGCTAAAGCGTCACATATACTCCGGCAGGATAGGCCGGCGAAGAGGAAGCAGGCGTCGCAGCTACTCCGACCGGCAGGGTACACTATGGAGAAGGAGGCCCGGGGCTCCGAGTGGATGAGTGAGGAAAAGGAGGTCCCGGCTGCCCTCCCCGGCCACTGGAGGAAGAGATGGCTCACCGGAGCAGAGCATCACGATCGCCAGCGACGCGCTATCGCTGAGGAACCGGAGGGCCCTTCGATGCAGATACCGAAAGGGGGCAAGTATTCGGCCTGAACCGACTGGAGGCGTCTACGCTGTGCCAGATCAGGACGGAAAAAATAGGACTAGCAGCCTTCTTATTCAAGACAGGGGCTTTTGGCGTGTACTCGCCGCTATGCCGCTGTGACGACGCCCCTGAGACGGCAGAGCACGTAATCCTCTTTTGCGGGCTGTTGGAAGGACCGAGGGAACGATTACGGGCCGCTATCGCACCACGGCCACTATACTCTCGCAGAGACCTCGCAACGGCAACAGGAGAACCAGTAGTTAGTGGGACTGTTGTAAGGTGGCTGCTAGGGACGGATCGGACAGCTTCAAGGCCCAGATAGCATCGATCTTCTCAGGGGGGACTTTGTTGGTAGGTTGAGAACCAACGTAGTATGGTAGTGAACGCAACGCAGTCGCCAATAGGGCGAACCGACGACGCAGCGTATGTATTTAGTCCAGCCATTAGGGCACGGTTTGACATACGGGAGTACTAGTAGAGGTACCGGGGGCTTCGAGCCTACGGCGTATTTAATAATAATAATAATAATCATATCTCTGAGACTCAAAGGGGTAATAAGGATGTTGTATACTATGTGTGTAAGCTGAATTATAGCGGATACTTGCTCCATACTATAGAAATGGGTTTAATTACCCCAATGTATTTTGCTCACAATAAGTCGAGTTGCATGCATACTATCAGTATTGTGGTATACGTAGTCTGTGGAAGGACATAATGATGGCACTGATGGCACAGGACATTTGAAGTCGATATACAGCCGCGAGTAGAAGTCCATAGCAATAGAAACATAACACTTTTGAATTTATAGCATCTGGGCGAATTACTTGTAGCAGGCAACATGCAACAGGGGGAAAATCTTGCTCGACACCGAGGCGGCGACTATAATCTCGCAATAACTAGATATGTACAAGAGTTAACGTGAATGTACACCGAGCTGGCCACCCTTACATAACCTCGCATAGAAATTTTACGATAGTAAAACCACAACGCCGTAAATCAATTGAAACTACTCTGAATCTTCCTCTCCAGAAGATGGCAATGCGATCTTACAAGTTCGCGGATTATGCCCAGTCCCGTTGCAAATACCACAGCGCCTCGGGCGCGTTTCAACACGCTTTGCGCGACCACCATTTCGGCGCCCTTCTTGCTGTATCTGCGTCGTCAACTCCCTAGAGTCCCGTAGGTCCTGTCCTTCTTGGAAAATAAGTGATTCTCCTTCCCGTAATTGCATTTTTTTAGTCCTCCGGCGCCGGCTTAGCATCTTATTTGCCTCTCGAAGCTCAGCGCACTCGGCCCGTACGAGGGCGAGCCGCCGTTTTTATGCGTTTGGAGGGTGCTTCGGGGGACTTGGTACGTTTTTGCCGCTTGTCGGAGACTAAGTTTTTGGTCATTTTTGAGAGCTTGAAGGGCTAGCATTAAGTCTGCTTCGTTGTATGACTTTGCCATAATTGGTTGTTGAGAAAATCAAAGATTAAGTTGGCCGGTCGCGTTGGCGCATGAAAGTGGTCAGCTCGGTGTACATTCACGTTATTAACGAATACTAAACTAAAGAAGAAAGAGAAAGGGTTAAAATTGCAGGTGCCCGTCACTCTGTTATAAGAAGAACGGGTGCGTATAGGTGGGACACCTAGACTAGGGTGTCCCTCTCCCTCGTCCAGGGACCAGGCATCGTGACCGGCGTCACAAATAGTAAACCACGTTACTAGTAGTAACGTGAAGAATAATATTCAATAGCCTAATATCATATGCAATAGAATGCTTTACTTATAATTAAGATATACTTGAAATTAGCTAACGTGATCCACAAGTCATTTTCGCACACAAGTCACTTTCGCACTTTTTCAAATATTTCAACCTTTTAACTTGGCTTGCACTTTTCTTCCCTCCCACAACATGCCTCGTAAATCCAAAGAAGCCGATCTTCAGCTAGCTATCCAAGCTAAAAAGCGCAACCCTGAAATTTCATGGCGTAAGCTTGGCCGTATCTACAACGTTTGCGACCGTACACTAAAGAATCGATTCGACGGCGACCAAACGCGACACGAAGCTAATATGTTAAAACGAAATCTAACTCAAACCGAAGAGGATACGATTGCCCGACGTATAATTGAGCTAGATGCGCGAGCATTTCCTCCTCGGCTTCGATACGTTGAAGAAATGGCGAATATCCTACGACGCGTACGCGACGCGCCCCCCGTCGGCAAGAACTGGACCACGAACTTCGTTAACCGCCGACAAGACCTCCGAACGCGTTTAAACCGTCGAATTGATTACCAGAGGGTATTTAGCGAAGATCATATCACGTATTACGCGTGGTTTGAGCTTGTTAGGGACATAATCGCTAAATACGGTATCCTACCGGAGGATATCTACAACTTTGACGAGACGGGCTTCCTAATGGGCATAATCACAACCGGTATGGTTGTAACGAGTGCAGAAAGACACGGACGGCCTAGACAGGCTACACAAGGAGGTCGGGAATGGGTTACGGTGATCCAGGCTATTAATTCGCAAGGTTGGGCGGTACCGCCGTACATCATCTTCGCGGGCAAGGTTCATCTTGCTTCGTGGTATCGCGGTAACGACCTACCGGCCAACTGGAAGGTCGACCTTTCCCATAACGGTTGGACTAACAATAATATTGGTGTGGAATGGGCAAAACACTTTGTTCAACATATTATTAGCCGTCGGAAGGGTGCGAAAAGTCTCTTAATATTGGATGGTCACGAGAGCCACCACTCGATGGATTTTGAGACTTACCTCGCGGCGCACGGCGTAATTACATTGTGTATGCCTTCCCATTCATCCCACAAGCTCCAGCCTTTGGATTTGGTACCTTTTAGTGTGTTGAAACGGCTGTACGGTGCGTTCGTGGAGGGTTTAATGCGAAGGCATCAAACCCATATTGAGAAGCAGGATTTCTTAGCTGGGTTTTTAGAAGCTTTCATTGGTGCTTTTCACGAAAAAAACATCAGATCAGGATTCGAAGCAGCTGGACTTGTTCCTTTTAACCCGGATAGGGTCATATCTACGTTGGATATCGCAAAAGTAGTACGAACACCGACACCCGACCCCCAATTGCCTCCCTCCGTCTGGGTTTCTAAGACGCCTACCAACACCCTCGAAGCCGAATCGCAGTCAACTTTGATTAAAAGTAGCGTCCAGAGGCATCAAGACAGCTCGCCGACGCATATTTTGAACTCAATTAACTCGATTACAAAGGCTACGCATGCAATGATGCATGATAATGCATTATTACGTCGGGAGAACGAAGAGCTTCGTGAGACGAACCATATACTAAGTAAGCGTCGTAGGACGAAAAATAAGCAAATCCAATATGGAGGAGCACTTAGTATAGGTGATGCACAAGTTTTACGGGCCTTGAGGGGTGATATCAAGGTTATGGAGGAGGAAGAAGGGGAAAGCAGTCGTCCTGTAAAGCGCCGGCAGACCGGTATAAGGCGCTGTGGTATTTGCGGAGGGACTGGACATAATGCAAGGACTTGTTCAATAGAAGTACAAACTGATAATGAAGAAGATTTTGAGTAATTTAAAGGATAAAATGCGGGTTATGCATAGGATATTACTGAATTACTTGAAGGTGCCAAGAAAAGTGCGAAAGTGACTTGTGTGCGAAAATGACTTGTGGATCACGTTAGTTATATGAGATAAAGTTACGTAAATAATTACAGGTTAGTATCTCTAGGTGAAGAAAAATACAAATAAATGCTGTATCCGTCTGATTGTAAATTCACGATGACTCCTAAAGCTAAAATGACTGACGAAGCTTTGGTTGTACGTTCATAACAATGCTCACAATCGATGGTCACGGGGCAATTTTTGCTCTCTGTCTATTTGTCGTTGATCGTCTGTCTAATTTGTTAGCTATATACATGAATGATATATTCCATGGCTATAGCAAAAACGGTTGGCAATCAGCAATGATGGGAGCATCATTGCTTACCGTCGGCGGCACCCTCACGTCCATCATCTTCATGCTCTGCCAGGAATTTCTCAGCATCCATCGCAGCCATGCAGCCAGAGCCTGTTGATTCCGTCAGTGTCACAATTCTATAAATGAATTCGAGGGGAAAACATACCGGCGCTGGTAATAGCCTGTCTATACTTCTTGTCCTGCACATCACCAGCAGCAAACACACCCTCAATGTTGGTCAGGGGTGTGCCTGGTTGTGTCACGATATAACCCTCAGAGTCGGTCTCCAATTGACCCTTTACCAGGCTTGTGGCCGGGTCGTGGCCGACGGCGTAAAAAAGACCATTTGCCTCAATGGTCTCTTCCTTGCCCGTGACAGTGTCCTTGATCACCATGTGGCTCATCAAGCCCTTGTCGTCACCCTTGACCTCAACACCCTGGGTGTTGAATCGAACCGTAACCTTGGGGTGGCTCAACAATCGCTGGGCCATGATGCTGCTGGCCCTCAACTGGTCCCTTCGCACCAAAACCGTGACGTGGCTGCCGTATTTGGTGAGGAAGGTTGCCTCTTCGGCAGCGCTGTCCCCACCACCGATAACGACCAAGGGCTTGTTCCGGTAAATAGGCACAGCTCCGTCGCACACGGCGCAGGCGCTGATGCCATTTTGCCAGTACTTGTCCTCACCGGTGAGTCCCAGGCGACGAGCAGTAGCTCCTGTGGCGAGAATGATAGTATCGGCCGTGTGTGTGGTTCCCGGTGCCCATTCCGTCTCGTACTTGAAGGGACGCGAGGAGAGATCAAGCTTTGCGACGGTTTCGGATATGATTTGAGTGCCAAATCGTTCGGATTGTGCCCTCATGGAGTCCTGTAAATAGAAACAGCGTCGTTAGTAGATGTTCCACGTGCAATACCCAGAGATGGGGGAGACGATATACCATCAGCTCGGAGCCCATGATGCCCTTTGGGAAACCTGGAAAGTTCTCCACATCAGTCGTGGTAGTCAGCTGGCCACCGGCGGCAATTCCGTTTGCCATGAAACCCTCATAGAGGACGGGTTTCAGCTCGGCGCGTGCCAGATATATGGCGGCTGTGTGGGCGGCCGGCCCAGAGCCGATGATGACAACTTTGTTATGCATGCCTCTTGCTTTGGTGAATTGACTCGATGTTTTGGTATTCTTCTGAAAGCCTGCAGTAGTGAGTGCTGCTATTGATACGCTGGGTGCGCCGGCGCGGAAAGTTCTTCTAAAGGCTGAGGAAAACAGCTTGACGGTGGTGACTGATTCGAGTCACGACTATGAGGCAAGGAAATGGGGCGGTGGATCAGCTTTTATACAACTCCTCCGAGCTCGCTGCCTACTAAGATAGTACGCGATTCAAATCTGCGCAGACTTCAGAAGATTCTGGTGCGACAAACAAATGCAATCAGGGTAATTCCAAATCGTGAAATGGTGATTTCTAATACAGGTGCGGGTGCGGCTTCTATCTTGGCTCCCTGGATCGTGAGAATTTGATTGCCAAATCACCGCGCGAAATAGCGATTTGAGACAACCCCACATTACTAAGCCATTGGGGTCGTTCCCTTTTCATGGTGGGGTTTAAACTAAGGTACTCGAAGGACATCCTGATAATTTTTCATTGTTCACCTTGACTTTGAAGCTCGAACTAGTATAGAAGTATAATAAAAATGGTGCATCGTCAAGCCTTATTTAGTGTGGGTTGGGAAACTCGCAGCTCGCAGTTTTGGGTATGAGGATGTCTAGCAAAATGGCCACACGGGTGTCGAAGTCGAACATGCAGGAGCGCCGTGATCGGTAGTGTGCATTCTGCTCGTTGCGTCATCACTTGGCTTCGGGCGGGCCCGAAACGACGATAGGGACGAATTCATCGAACTCTTCACGAAGTCAATGGATCATGCTCCAGAGTTGACGTATACCAAATCCGGATCATCCGGATCGGAAGCTAGGTACGCGAATTAGACGAAGACTCAATTGCTGCTATAGTAAGCTGACCGGGCACTCGCACGGAGTTCATTTGGAGTGAGCCGGCCGCCGCATCGATAAAGGTCAATTCTATGCTGGCCGGCCACAAAGTCATCTCTTGTGGGGGAGGGGGGGTCTTCCGCAGGCTCTCACCTCATCGGTCGCAACAAACCCATTCGCATTTTCATTTCACACGTCGTTACCAAATCGGTTTAAGCTCTTGACCTCAATGGGTGCTACACAGGCAGGCAAACCATTCTCAATGCCATCTCGACGCCACATAGTCATTCTTCTATACGCAGACCGAGATGGCGAGGGTTGTTGTGTCTGTTCCATCATGATGTTGTGTTCAAAACCCATGATGTGCGAGCCGTTGCTCTCTTTCAACCAATTACATGACATTTATAATAAACTGTGTTAACAACCTGGAAGAGTGTGATGTCGAGTCTTGAATTGCGCGCTTGCCGACGAACCAGACTCTAAGGTTGACCAGGTTCCTGGATTATTTGCAATTTGGTTGTGTCAAAGTTGGTAAAGCTCTTCGCGAACTCCACTTAAATCCCAAAGGCGTTGGAGAGTCGCAACTGACCGACCTCACCTACCCATTTACGGAGTCCACAATAGCCTCTGTGTTCTCAGTCGTGCTCAACGTCAAGCTTCGCTATACTTTCTAACCTTGGCTTTGAATTTATAGGAGCAACTCAGGCTTCCCAAGATTCTACATAAATGGCACCGCAGACTGAAATTCCAGTAGCGGCAAATGTCCTAGGCGTAAGTGATTTGGTCATCATGGACTCAAAATGAACAACTCTTGCTGACAACTGCATTAGACCATTGGCACTATATTATGGTGTGTTCAGCTCGTTCCTCAAATATGGACAAACTGGCGAACCAAGAAAACCGATGGGTTGCCAGGATCTATGATGTTCCTATGGGCAGCGTGTAAGTTGCTAATCCGTTACCCCTTGCCCGGAAGCGCATACCTAAGATGGTATGGTAAGCAGTCACTAAATTATCCAAGGTGGTGTACCTTTCGGTGCCTATGCCATCATTCAAAACTTCAACATCCCGATACAAGTACAACCTCAATGTTTTATGCTGTTTTGTCTCATCAGCTGGACGCAGACCCTGGTCTACTCACGGTAATTCAAATCTGTTGCTCGATCACCTTCTATCAGGGGGCTAACAATATCGCAGAAAATGGGCAACCTGGAAAGCTTTCCTCGCCGGTATTGCTGTTGGAATTACGTTCGGAGGTCTCGAAGTGGCTCTCATCTTGCCCTTACGGGTAAGCCCATTCTTCCCTATAAAGACCATTCAAGGAGTAGTTCAGTCGTTTGACTTGCATGTTCTAGCCCATTTACGAAGCCGGTAATGACATACCACCTTTGGTGGTTGGTATTGTTGCGAGTGTCCTCCTCGCAGCAGGTTTGCTACCCCCATACGGGGAGCTTTGGAAACGAAAGGGCCGCGTTATCGGGATCAACTGGGTAGGTTGCATGCACATGGTTCTGTTTGTATGTGAAAGCGTTCGCTAATCTGCATCAGGTCTTCCTTTCCATGGATTGGCTTGGGGCGTTCATTTCTCTTATGGCACTAGGTGAGTGAGCCTGGGACAGTTGACATCTTCAATGCATGGGATGACAGAGTGACAGTTGCTCAAAATACGTTTGACGTTCTCGGTGGGGTATTGTACATCATTTGGTATGCTCTTAATGTCCAATTTCTTCATCATCGCCCACTAGTTACTAATTTCATCTATAGCTGCGTTCTTGAAGCGGCAATATTCTTGTCCCACGCTATTTGGCTCTTGCGCACGCGAAAGATTCGAAAAGAAGCGGCTTCACAAGATAAGACATTCGATGATCTGGTCGCGGAGTACGAGGAGCGGGGCGTAACCTTCAGGTTCGCCGAGAGGAAATCAAAAGAAACAGACGTAGAGGTTGGCCTGAGTGGCACTGGCCCATAGTCACCGACGAGTGCCCGAGAGGATCGGTAATTCAAAGGCGAAAAGTTGAGAACATGAAAGAATAGATGTGCTTGGTACTGAATCTGTCCACTACATCTATGGTATCGTCATCCTGCCGGGAAACGACAAACTCCTCGCATATCCGAAATGCAAACAACATCCATTATGCAGCCAAAGGCCGAACCCCTTCACTCTAATGCAATTGCCTTGCCTTGAACCTGGAGATCCTCTCCCTGACCACCATACTCCTTGGGAAGCTTCGCACCAAGTCGCTCGACCTTGGTCTTGGCGCTGGTGAATTCGTTGGCGAGGGCGCCACCGTTGCTCATGGGATGGAACTTCTTGATCGTCTTAGCGGCGACGAAGATCTTCATGATGCCATACATAAAGCCCATGATGGCAGGCACATTGACGAAGAACTTCTCCTTCAGTAGCTCTGGGTAGACCTGGGCAAAGACCTTGATGACTTCGGTGGAAGCCGTCTTGACCTTCGGGTTCTGGCGGAAGAACGAGAGGGACTTATAGTCGTGAACCTGGAAGATCTTGTACGGGTCGTACGTGGCGGTGATAGGCGTCGTGGCATTGGCGAGCGAGAGCTCCTGAAGAGCCAGTTCCATCAAAGCGGCGCGCCAGGTCATGAATCTGTGGTATATTAGTCATTGATCCGTCCATTGAAAAGAGACCGGGTGGAATGACTGAGGGATCATCGATGGGGAAAAGCATGCTATTGTTAATCAACCACAAAATAAACTGTGAGACCAACAAAAGACCCAACTTATCTCGGGTTGTATTACGGATCAAGACATAATGTCAAGTCACTGTACTGTCGTGTTTTCAATAGAAATTGAAAATAGATTTCACTTACTCCTCGACATCGCCAAAGGTGGCATCCATCGACTTCACGATGCCATAGACATTGAAAGTGAAGACCTCCTTGTCCTCGGGGCCCTCAACGCTCTTATTGGTGTACGAATTGACGTAGCCCAGACCCTCAAACTTGGCCTTGGAGAACGTCTTGGTGAGCAACTCCAGAGGCTTCACCTTGGCGCGCCACTCCAGAGTCTTGACGAGCTGGTCCTTGGCCTTGGTGATCTCTCCATCGTTGGCGTTGAGGTACTTCTGGAAGACGATCTGGCTGGGAATGTCAGAGTCGGGGTCGGCTAGAGTGACGCCCCAGATCTCGGGATGACCATTGGCCTTGGCGATGGACCAGAGCTCCTGGAGCGGAGTCAGAGTAGCCGTTTCGGCAGCGGGAGAAGCGGCGGCAGCAGTAGCGTCAGTGGAGGCTGTCTTCTCAATCTTCTCGGCCTTTTCGGGACCAGTCTCGGTGACAGGGCCTATCTCAGCTGTCTTGGTCTCGGTGGCGGCGGCAGGAGCAGTCTCCACAGAAGCCTCGGGAACGGGAGCAGCGGAAGGAGCCGTCACGACGGTCTCAGGCGCCTCAGCAACCTTCTGGGACGCGACTGGAGTTTCAGACATGGCGTCTTTCGTGTGTCTCAGTTGTTGATTGACGAGTGATGAGGCAATGCAATCTTGGATCCTCTGGACAGAGTGAAAAGAAAACCAGCTCCTGATTGTCTGTCGATTTATCTGGAGATCTGATAAATTTAATTCAAGTCCAAGGTCCAGGGCCCCCTAGTATCGGAGATTAGACGGCCGAAGGGCCGACCGATGCGCCATCGAAGGCAAACGCATTTTCCACGTGACTGCCCAAGTCATACCCAAACGAAAGACTTCCATCGCGGTAACAAGCATTGAGCAGAAGTTGTTGTTGGATATCGATGTTGATTCTACTTGTTTTTGATGGTTTCCGCAAGGCTCTATTTCCCAGCAACCATAACTTGTCTAGCACTAAGCAGTGGATACTCAACTATTGTGCCGAGGTTTCGCCGACCTACACAATTGCGAGCTGCCTTGGAGAGTACACTACCTACCTACCCTTGTTCTGGAGATGTTCCCAAGACAGAATTCACGATCCAAGTCCAAGTATGAAGATGGGGTTTTGATGATTCATTGTACTTACAATGATCTCCAGATAACTTCATGCTGGACTTGATTGCGACCGTGACGACACACAAACTTGAACATCTATCTTTCTGCTCTAACAGCAAGCAACAATGATTCAAGGAATCTTCTACGCGAGGTTTCTACCTGAAGAAGGTAAGGAATATGATTGTTTCATCTGTTTTCACTCAAAGTGCTCTCTCAGTGGTATCTCAACGAATAAAAATGTGAATCACTTGCTTTCTCTCATCTTCTCGACCCTTCTCTCATCTGACTTTTCGATCGTCTCACTTACAAGCCCTCTAGGAACCAAAATCGTGGCCCAGTCTCCCCCAGGATGCATAGTAGCCTCCTCATTAACTCCACATCTCAAGCCGCCCTTGGTAGACTTCGATATCATCCAGGAGTATATCATCCCGCGCAAGGCCTTCTTCAACCACTTCCTGACGGTCAACTCACCCGATAACAAATACAGCATCCTTGGATTTCCTGTATCCATTCCCCATGAAAGATACCACCGCAATGAATTTATATTCAACTTTGGCCTCGTGGTAGAGGCGGACGCAGATCAGATCCCTTATGAGCGGCTGGTTCGACGACTCGCTGTCACCTTTGCCGAGATGGAGCGGCAGGGGGGTTACCTGAGCAGCGAGGGTAAGCTGAATGACGGTAGACGACCAATTGAGAGTCTCTTAGAGATTGTGAAGGAAGATCTAAACAATTACGGGGAGTGTATGATTCCCGTTGGTATGTGTTTCCCTTTGCTCCCCTTAACCCCGATGACTCCTTACCCCCTTATACTAAACCTCATATAGACGAAGCAAACACGCTAAACATGAAGCTCTTCCCTTACCACCCTTCACCACCTCCAGTCCGCGGCTGGCACGTTCCTGTCCCAAAGATGAAGCTCACCTCCATTCTAGACCCGACGTGGGACCTCACTCTCCAGAAACTCGTCCCCCATATCGACGGCGTCAACGACGTCCGCCGCATTGCCTGGCTTGCGGACGTCTCACTGCCCCTGACCCAAACAGCACTGCAGCATCTCTTATACTACGACACCATCCTACTGTTGGACATGTTCTTCTTTGGCTCGTGCTATGCCCCCCGACCAGGCGTGCACGACTTCATCGAGAACAAGGACAGTCTTGTCGACGAGTGCGCCGGGTACGTCTGCATCAACCCTACCTCTCCCGTCCCCGCAGCGACCGGGCCCAGCGGAAGTAGTGACGGTGGTGGTGGCCACGAGAGAGCCGGCTCAACCGGAGGCGAAGCACCACTCGCCGGCCCCCAGCGCGTCTCCAATTACCAGCTCATCAAGCTCATGACGACCTTCTGCGTGGGACGTTCGGTCATGGAGTGGATTAAGCTACACACAGATGCGGGCTTCCCGGTACTGCAGCACATCGATGTGCGGCGATTCGTTCAGTTCGGCGTCATCAAGGGGTTGCTGTACCGCGTCCACAAGCACGTGGTCTCGAAACAGTACCTAACCCTGTTAGCTACCGGACACGCGCGGCCGCTACGTGAGGACGAAGTATCGTCTATCAGGCCCCACGAGGGCGTCGATGGGGATGGCTTGGTGGCAGATCCGCTGCAGAGATACACAGATGGTTGCCATAGTTTTGATCAGATTATCACAGAGCAGAACATGGCTGATGGCAAGATTATGGATAACCTCAGGAGCTTCAAAGCACCGGCGGGCGATTTGACTGTATTTTATCGCTAAGGAATTTGCTTCGATACACTCCGGAGAGCCGCATTGTAGACGAATGAGACCCACTTTATGCGCATCGAAGGGTTGAGATTCTACAATGTGGTATACTATGGATACAATATATGCAACATTTTGTACAGTGACGATTGCAATGGCCCGGTTTCTACAAAACCGCCCTTCTAGGAGTCACCACCCTCCTCAGACTGCTCCATCTTCTTAATAGCCTCCACTTTTTGCTTGAGCTGCTCGCGAAGTGCCACAATACGTGCGTCCCTGCGCTTCAAGGGTTCAGGACGAACATAATCCCCGCGCCTTTTCCAGGATACGGGACGAACCCCCTCATCCTTGTTCAGCAATGGAGTTTCTAGGGCCCTGCTTTCTTGGTCAGTGTACCCCCCTCTAGGAATAGATGATTTCTCTGTGGGGTTGGTAACTAACGATTCCTCGAGCTTTGCCACATCAGTGCGGAGGTTGCGCATGTCTTTCTCGTTGAGGGTAGGGTCAATCGCCTGCAAGGCTGCCTTCAAACGTCGAACCTTGCCCGTACCAGGCTCACCGGGATATATTTTGCCACTAGCTTTCCACTCTTCGTCGCTGATCATTTTGACGACGCGTATAAAGTGCTTCCCCCGGCGTAGAATCAGAAGCTTGCCTGCGATGAGAAAGTTCTTGGTATCCGAGGGAAACCAAGCCTTGACAGGGGTGAAGGTCAATTCACCAAGTGGCATGCCTTTGTTGGTTTGCGATGGCTGACCGGGTGAGCCACCAATGTAGGCGCCTTGCGCAAGGGTGAGCCTGTGGGCATCAGAGGCACTGCTAGCCAGTCCAGATGCGTGCAGAATGCGCTGGATTGATTTGCCCAAGATGAGAGATTCGGGCAATTCGATATCGACCTTGAACTCGGCTGCTTTCTGAACAGTTGGTGTGACTTTATGGATATCATCGGGCCAGGAGGCCCTTTCAGGTTGCCCTGAGGATGGAGCCACAGCATACAACTCATCTGTTCCATTGTTGGTATTGCCGGTCTTTGTCGCGTAAAGCGTACGATGCTGCATCTGGGTGTCCTTCGCGAGCTGGTCGCTATGGACCAAGGCGACGACTTCGTATGCTAAGATGTGCTGAGCCACTCGTTTGCTAGGATCCCGGCTGTGTTCCGCCATGATCTCGCTGATCTTTTCCATGGGATGGAAGGTCAACAGACGCAACAGGTTCTCGACATCGGTATCTGGGCGGCGCATGAAGTACTTATACAGATCGAAGGAGCTGGTCATGAAGGGGTCGAGCCAAACAGCATTGCCAGCGCTCTTGCCAAATTTAGCGCCCGATGAGTCGGTTAATAGGGGCGTAGTGAATCCAATAGGCGTGTTCAGGAGGGTATCGGGAATTCGTTTTGACGGGTGCAATTCGGTGTCACGAAGGTGCTTGACAGCATCAACGCCAGAAACAATGTTGCCAAACTGATCAGAGCCTCCAATCTGCATTTGAATACCCAAAGGGCTCGAGTACAAATGCCACCAGTCCCAGGCTTGCATCAATGGGTAGATGAATTCATCTAGAGGCATGCCAGCACCACTAGCCATCCTTGTCTTGGCCGTGTCACGCGACAGCAGCGTACTCACCCGTACTGAACTGAACAGCCGATGTACGGGAACAGTAAAGGACAAGCTGTTGTACCACTGTGTGTTGTTCATTATCCCCCTTCTCCAGGCCCAATTCTTCTCGTAGCCAAAGCGCCTGCCTTGCACTTCCACGTTCATCCAAATTCGCTTCAATTGGTAATGGGTCTTCGTGATATTTAAAACGGCGTCACTGTTGGCTATGCGTTCTCGATCCTTCATGCGACCTTCAGGATCGCCAACCCGGGCAGTAGCGCCTCCTATTACACTCATGGCCCTGTAGCCGTGGAGATACATCCAGAAGAGAGCCATGAGGGGCACAAGGTGGCCAACATGGAGAGACGGGGCGGTGGGGTCGACTCCGACATACGCACCGATTCGTTTTTTTCGCATGATCTCCCAGACCTGGGTTTCTGTGCTGCAAAGCAATAACATGTCAGTTACAGATGAGCGGCAGACCAGGCTCGAGCCATACGCACCCCGCGATATCCTTGACGAAACCGCGTTCTTTGAAGACATCCCACAGGTTCTTCTCTAGTCCCTCAGTGATCCTATTGGCCCTTACCTCCCATGCTTCTGCCGCCAGTTTTTCTTTCTGTAACACTTTCAATCCAATATGCCTCTTTTGCTGGGATGATGTAGTGATCTTGAGCTTAAGACAGCGCCGGCACAGGGTCGACTGCGCGCCGAGGGAGCTTGCTTGCATGGTTCTGGGTGCCATGGCGACATCAAACCTGGCGATCGAAGGCTGTGGAGGGTTCGAGGGTCGGAGTGTTGCAATCAGCGAGAGAAATGGAGCTCGCCGGCTCTCAGAAATAAAAGTACGACTGCATTCGTAATGCAGAAAACCCCAGCTTTAACGAACGGCGTCCCAGTCAAAGAGTCTTAAGTTGTTAATATTGTACAAACCACCATGCACTTCGAAAATGGCTCTTGAATTCAATTGATGGTTTTCGCAGGGTCCAACTTTTCTTTTTGGAAATCTGGAGTTCGCTCGGCGTATCATTGATACGGCCCACGTTTTTGAGAACTTGGTGGTACGTAGCCCACCTGCAAGTGCAGCCTTGGGATTCTCCGTACAGCTTGAACATGGAACCGGCGATCCGTGCTCATCGCCCTTCCCAGCCAGCCAATCAGAGAAAGGATTATTCGATCCTCGGCAATGGCAATCGTTTGGACTCGGTGCTTTCTTTGATCCGGGGCATCATCGTTTCCCAGCCTGTGACCAGCAGAGATCAACAACATAACTTCGTTTCTTCCAGGCTCGGGTTGCCAGGGATCCATATCAACAAAGCAAGCGCAAAACTGGCATCAAAATGGCATCCATTTTACGATCAAGTCTGTTGCGGCAGACGGCCCTCGCAACCGCCGCTCGACCAGCTGGCGTCCCGACGTGCTTCATAAGACAGCCAATCCAACGCACCATATTAAGAGACACTGCTCGTGTATCTGCTTTTCATGCTTCGAGTAGAAAGAACTTGTTACCCCCCGGTCCACGTAAATTGTCCTCGATTACTGTCGGTTGAGAATGCACGAAGCTAACGATATGTCAAGAGGTCATTAAGGGAACCGGTATGCTGCAATTTACTCATTCATCGAATCACGGCGACAATCCCTACAAACAACCGCTCTTTTTCTTTTAAAAACTGTTGACTTGTAGGATCCACAAACATACTAACATCTGCTCGCAGTCAACGACCCAGCTCCCGTCCCCGAGACCAGCCCCTCCCACGGCTCCTACCACTGGACCTTCGAGCGCCTGATCGCCGCCGGGCTAGTCCCTCTCACCATGGCTCCCTTTGCTGCCGGCTCCCTTAACCCCGTCATGGATGCTATCCTCTGCACGACCATGCTTGTGCACAGCCATGTCGGGTTCCAGTCCATCGTTATCGATTACGTCCCCACGAGGAACTACCCTAAGTTGCGCAAGGCGTGCACGTGGCTTTTGAATGCGGCCACGGTTCTCGTCGGGATTGGTCTCTACGAATACGAGACTAACGATGTCGGTGTTACTGAGACTATAAAGAGGGTGTGGAAGGCATAAAGGAGACCGGTGGACGGACGGGGAATGGACCAGAAAAACAAGCTAGGAGACGGACGCTGCGAGGCCATGAATTCTTTGTGAAGGGTGGCTTCAAAATCATCATGTCGGTCTTCCGACCAATTTGGCCGTGTATTGAGTACAGTTATTATATACAATCAGTTTTGATTTATTACCACTAACCACGTTTTTAATGTTAATCACCGACGAACAAGCCCACTCCTGACAGCATATGCCGACCTGATTTGTGCTTGTAACTTTGGCAACTTATTCTAATATATTTTTTATTGTCGGCTGGTGTAGTTGGTCACTTCGCTGGTAGATAAGTCCCGATTTGAGCCTCGCCCACTTGGGTCGGTGACGAGTCGCGGGTTCGAATCCCGCAGCTGACACACAAGGGGGTTTAGTCAACCCTTACGGCGCGCTGCCCACCTTGTTGACTTCGCCTACCTAGCGATAATAGGGAGATTGGTGCAGTTTAGGATTACGAGCATCCTAGCCAGTCGACCGTCAAGCACTACGTCGGCGGAATATAACTCGACAGCCGGTCCAGAATTCGAATCGTTAATCCGACCCCTTATCGGACCTCGCCTATCCGACAACGCTCGTCGGCGAACCCGTCCCCTCACGATAGAAGGCGCGCAGCACGCCCTCTCGCCGCGATTCTTGCGAGCGTCTAGACCACGTTACGGTCTATCCACTTGAGCGTATGGTTGAGATGTATACGCTCGACGAGAACCCCAATTAGCAGATACTACGACTTGTCGCGACAAAAAAATAGTCGAGCATCTTCTGCACATCAGCAGCATCCCACCCCTGAGAACGAATTTAAGTGCCACATTACCACACTTATCGGTAGTTCAGGCAGGGGTTGTAGCACAGACTTAGGGAGGGACAGGAGGTTTAGTAGTCGTTTGGCTACAAGTTTACCTGTATAACCGCCCGACGCGGCTTAAGGGCTCGCTATATCATCTATAGCCCCTTAAGGGAGTACTTGTAGAGGTACCGAGGGTTAACACCTACGGCGTATTTAATATTTTTTTTTTTATTTTTTATTATTATTAAATACGCCGTAGGCTCGAAGCCCCCGGTACCTCTACTAGTACTCCCGTATGTCAAACCGTGCCCTAATGGCTGGACTAAATACATACGCTGCGTCGTCGGTTCGCCCTATTGGCGACTGCGTTGCGTTCACTACCATACTACGTTGGTTCTCAACCTACCAACAAAGTCCCCCCTGAGAAGATCGATGCTATCTGGGCCTTGAAGCTGTCCGATCCGTCCCTAGCAGCCACCTTACAACAGTCCCACTAACTACTGGTTCTCCTGTTGCCGTTGCGAGGTCTCTGCGAGAGTATAGTGGCCGTGGTGCGATAGCGGCCCGTAATCGTTCCCTCGGTCCTTCCAACAGCCCGCAAAAGAGGATTACGTGCTCTGCCGTCTCAGGGGCGTCGTCACAGCGGCATAGCGGCGAGTACACGCCAAAAGCCCCTGTCTTGAATAAGAAGGCTGCTAGTCCTATTTTTTCCGTCCTGATCTGGCACAGCGTAGACGCCTCCAGTCGGTTCAGGCCGAATACTTGCCCCCTTTCGGTATCTGTTTCTAATATAATGATGAAAGCAATCGAATTCCCCGACAAACCATCCCAGCTCGCAGTAAGCTCATGGGCTTCCAAGCACTGTGAAGTACAAGTTCTGGTGCAATTTTGGACCTTGGCGGGAAGACTTGGACCACAATCAATAGTGACGGCGGCAATCAAAAGTGGCTGACACCGACAGACTGTATGCTTCTGCTAGTCATGAAAGATGTAGCAGAATTTTGTACCAGTAAACTTGATCCTAATGCTGGTATATTTGCAACTGTTAAGGATTGGGCAGCAATATATGGCTGCAGTTTCAGTACTATCAGAGACAGGGATAGGAGGCTAACAGCCAACCAGTCATTTTCACATCAAAATAGTACACTGTTGAAGACAACACCAAGCCTCCCAGAGTCACGATACGACGAATTGTTTGTAGTTGTCATACTTACCATTATACTAATTACTGAGGCTGAAATGTTAAATATTGAGATTTTCGGCCCTGCAGGACTTGAAGCCTGCGTTCATCCGCAGGTGCAATAAGCCCATAAACCAATGATGATCCAGGAGCATGTGTTAGTGATATGCCGGCTTCATTAATTCCATCAATTCTGTAGGTACCTTCGTCTCCAAAGTGAGAAAGCAGAACGAGGATTGGGTTGGATGTCTGTCAGCTCGGAAATTACGAACAGAATGTCGATATGCTGCACTCCTTTCCAGATTAATTCCGTTTTATTCCCATCTTGTGTATAAGCTGCCATTTGAAGAGAGAAACAGATGTAAGAGATATTCTCCCTAATCCAGCATACGCTTTGCAGGACGGCAACTCTACTATTCCGGGGCTTTGCAGAGCCGGTATATGCATACCAATCAACACATGGTCTATAAAATAATGTTCTATCAGCTAGAAGAAAGAAAAGAGACAATGACGACTATGTAGCAAAATGTCCTAAACTCATATATGAGGAGGGAGGACCTCAGTCGGAGTTCCAGAGTACAGATCCAAGCAACATCGGGAGATAGCAATTTACACGTAACGCTCACATCGAAAATCCCAGTCTTCCCGACATGTCAATATTTTAAGGGGTATTATTCAAATTGAAACAATGGCAATGTCTGTCAGAAGGCCGAGGAGAACGAGTTTCCTAGGAGTATCCTGGGAGTATCTGTTCATAACATGCTCCAGCTCTAGCTTGTGGCTTGTAGGTCACGATATAAACTCAACCTCCGCCGCCCCCCGTACGGCGTGCACATAAAACGGTAATGGATGTTTCTAATGGTTGATTTAAGTGGCGTTGCGCATACAGCCTTACAATTTGCAGGTTAATACAAGCGGGTGACGATGGAGTGCCGTGCAAGTACATTGATACCATGTATCTGTGTTGTTCAAGTTGGGTATGACCAGTGTTAGAAGAGTAGAAAGTGACTGTAGAGCATTACGGGTGATTTGTGGGTACAGTCCTTGAGTTCAGCTTTTGCGAATTTTCTTCACCATCCGTCAATGCACTCAAGTAGTGGTCATTCGCGATGGACGTGCTTCCATAATGCCTTCTCCCTTCTAACTCCGACGGCACGCGACCTCCTAGTGATACAGAGCCTACGTCTCAGCATGTAAAGTAGTTCTAAGCCAGTGTCATAGCACGTTACTTCAATGTGCCAACATAAAGCGCCCTGTTTGTACATCAATGCAGCGAATCCCACCCAATGCTTCATTATATGCCGTGAGGACGGATACCCCTCAAAGTCTAGCCAACAGTGCCGCCCTCTCGTTACTCGCCGGGCCTGCTGAATTTCTAATTTGAGTACCGTTCTATCCAGAAAGAACCGAGGAAAACGATATCACACCAGTTTTTGCGCGTACCAAAAATAGAAGTTCCAATAACGATGCACCCTTTCGTCCTCCAAGGCTCTGCACGCCGCCTTCTTCCACAACTCTCTCTCGACCTCGTTTAGGCCTAGCACTTGCCAAGGCTTTCCTGACAACACGGCTAGAAACTCCTGTATGACTGTCTTTAAATACCAACCCACTAATCGAAGTCGCTTGTCCTTGGCCCACGGGCCTACGGGAATCTTTTTGACGATACAGTTCACGTTGACGAACCCGGCGTCTCTCAGCACTCGGCCCATATTCGTGCATATATCGACATCGAAATTGAGCCGCTTGAAAGCGTCTTTTGCCATTTTGTAAGCCAGGTGCGCCGGGTAATCAGGGGGCATTGTGTTGTCGTTGCAGCGAAACCAGCCGTGGAATTCTTGCCATTCCATCCAGCCGCCCGGTTTGAGGTTCGCGAAGGTCTGCCTGCACATCTTGGGTACGTCTTTCAGTACGTTCGACATGCCCCGCAGATGCACCAGGTCCCAGTTGTCTCCGTTCAATCACTCATCTTCGCAGTCATCAATGACGAACTTGACGTTTGGTGGGAGCCAGACGGGTTGAATAGGTGATAGGTCTATACCCGTCACTGTTGCACTGGGATATCTATCGCCCACTATATGCACTGTCAGTATGCCCATAATCTAGTTGTGCAGCTGTATGTCACCGACTTTCTATTGCCCAGATACCTATGGAGACCTCAGGTTAGCAACTGCAAAATGGCTTGTACCAAGACAAAATAGGACAGAACAGTTTAGAACGCATTCAGTACGATGTATGGCAACACCGATAAGCGACGGTTTTTAACCCACGCTGTTTCACAACGCTACGTTTCTCGACGAAAACACAGCTACATTGCTTGCCAGCGGGGTTTATTTACCAGTTCCCGTCCCAAGATCCAATATTTTCTGAGGGGTTTCTCCGACAGGGGCATAATGCAGCTGTCCGTCCTGCATTTGTTGAGTCAATAAAGCCTTGCCCTAGGCCTGTAGCGCAGTGTCGGAGCTCACGGCTATTTCCATCATCATGGCATGCTTCATGTCCTCGCGGGATTGCTCCCGCTCATCATTGGGGATCGGGTACCTCCCATGCTTGTACGCATGGAATCGTCGGCCATTATCGTACGTATGCTGGTATATGCTTGAACTGAGCGATATCGAGGCACACGAATCGTTGTCATCCCACTCCTGAGGGTCGAACTCGTCGTTTTCCACGGACTCGCCGTCGCCGGGCTCGATAACGCTGTCCGGGTTTGAAGGTGTATGTCGGTCGATTTCTGGACTTACTGCACCAGGACACTCTGCTTCTTCCGCAGCTCTACGAGTAGTCGAAGTTTGGGATACCGCGGCCGCCCCTGAAGATGGCGATTGGGCGGTCTCAGCCTCTTTTCCAGACCCAATTGCAGCCAGCTCAGATGCCATCGGTGGTTCGTTTGCAGTCGCGATGATGCCCTGGCAGAAGTCTGCTTATTGCACGAGGGAATGAATAGGTACTGGCGTTGGCATTGAGAAGGACGCCAAGCAAAGGGAGGGAGGGAGCGGACGCAGCGGCATAGTAAGGTAAGCCCAGGTCGATTTCTCTAACGCGGTGGCGTCCGCAGTTTCCAGACAAACACTAAATGATAATGCAGCACTAAGGCACTCGGCCTCGGCGGGCAGAGCGATGAATGGCATGGATTGCAGCAGTCCAACCCCACGAATCAGTGCACGGCAGGGGAGACGAGGCTTGATGACTTGTTTTTATCCTAGTTGCGACGATTACTTTATAACTAGAAATTGGTCTTGATGGAATCGGGCTCACTGCGGAGCGCCAACTCAATTCACCGTGGGGCCGTGATGTTGTGCGACCCTACCTCTGGGTTTTCAAGATCTGATAAATAAAGAACGACGCCAAAATACCGGGGTTAAACTTGTGGTATGACTCGGTGGGCGGGCTAAGTCTTAAATATGGAAGGTACAGTGCACTTTAGGTGACTTGAGGGTCACCGTTCACAACTTCCCTGGCTGAGTGCAAGCCTTCTAATGTCCTACTTGAAAAGGCGAGCAAACATTTATTCAGGAGTAAGAAAACAGCTTCATCATAACCCCAACCGTCACCGACAATAACTATATCAGTACGCTTGTTCAGTAATGCTTAAGGTTGCTGCATATACCTAGGCATAGATCGACAGTATGTACTCTGTACCTGGAGAATCCCCCGATTGCGATCATGCGGCACAACGTTAAGATCCCTTTTTATCCTCAGGGGTGTAATTGAGCTTGATACTTTATTACGACCCCGAGCTGCCCCGAGAGACCAACGGATTGGAACGTCTACATCTGATCTGGACTTGATTCATGGCCAACAGATGTTTACAGAGGCGGCTGCTTCAACATCATCATCACCGAGACACTTTTGTCACCAGCAAGCGAGAGCAAGCGAAAAGGTGAGGCTGCTTTTGTGGATCAAGTTCGTTGTCTCATTGCACATGTTGATCTCGGCCGCCAACTTCCGACGAGCGCCGAGGAAATTTACCGGCCCAGTGGTTCAATCAAGTCAAGCACCAAATGCAATTTTCGAAAAGGACCATCAACTTCCAATTTGAAGGCAAGATTGGTGCAAGCACCGAGGTCTGAAGCAGCCCCTCCTGGCATTGACCATTGATACCGAGGACTGCCGAACTTGAACCCAACTATTTACGGCAGATTTGAACAGAGTCGTACCATTTCCTCTGGAGCTCGCTCTGCCAGCACATCAACGATTAGCACCGAGCTCCACGAGCTACACGGCCCACAGGTCACGTACTACGACTACATCGAGTCAGCGACGCTCACTGGAGACTTATCTTTGGATCCCTGAATGACCTCATTGAGTGGTTCTATCCTAGGGTGCGAACGGCTCAAGATGCAATTGAAGGATGGATGGCGCCTTGGACGCACAGTTGAACCTCATAGCCTCACCAAGAATGGGCTATCTCTATTTTGATTCGAATTGCAAGAAGTTGTTTACACTGGCAGTTTGCGGGTTCCTAGCCCACGTGGCTCGGCGCCATTATGTCAATGCCAATAACCGGATAGCAGGCTATAACTTGCTGCTTTCTAGCCTAACATCCCGGGAAACAGAAGCTCCAAGATGCAGAGATTCCTGGCGAAGAGAAGAAGCGAGATTGCGGCAAGGACGATGTAGCCGAACTGAAGATCGATCTCCTATTCTATTTCGCGATCTTTGTCAGTTCTCAAGCTCCGCATTGGTATCAACGGCTTTAGGCCCTTTCTTTCCCTGACTCGAGCAGTCCGGGTGATATTCAGCCCAGCTACGTTGGGCAGTGCTCCTACTGCATGGCGGAGGAGTCTGTCATGGTCCAAGCACCCAATGGCATTAACTAGGTGATGTGAACCCGACAGGGGACGGACCGCATGGAAGTGGAGAAAGCTTCTGGAAGAACTTGAGACAACTAACAAGATCGGCTTGTGTATGGGAAATTGTCCTGAACAGGCAAGTCGCAACTGTCGTGGGGTCGCTGTCTTTTGTGCGACGGCCGTCGGATACACGGTCCTCTTCAAGTCATCAACAATTTCTTTGCCTCGCTTCCACAGGAGATAAGGCAGTCAAACGGATCTCTAGTAGCCGCATCTCTACTTCTCCATATGAATTAGAGTTTCATATGTTGCATTTGGAGGGTTTGATCCCGGCAGGATCCTCGAACTGCGGGCGGATCCCATCATACCAACTGGAGGTGGCACTTCAGGCGGCATTTCACAATTGAAAGCTCCGCAGCCTTGGGCGTACAACCTTCATGCCTGTCGGCCAGATTGTGGAATTCGTGGCACTCTTCGACGACTAGCTGGCATAGCCCTGCCAGAACTTGACTCTGCCCAACGTCGTGAGACTTTCAACAAGGAGGGAGACACGCATTCCGCTCGTCGTCCTCAGGGTTTCTGGATGCTGCGAAAAAAAAGATTTAGGCCTTATTTTCAGCAGCCACCGGGGTGAATGCGTTTGGCCGAAATTTTCTGGTATCCCGGTCCGCCTGTTCATCTGAAGTGTAAGTAAAGCGAGGCGCCGCGGGGGCTACCATGTGAGATGCAAGACCAGGACCTGCCGGCTCTCTCTTTTGCTTCCACTCAGGAACCACTTTTCAGAATATGCCTTGGTGTTACTATAGTAACAGTCAGGAAGGAACCTCTTTTCTTAGGCACATTTGCAAATTGTCAATGGCCACCGAAGACCGCGGTGGATGATTGGTTGAAATAATGGACAAAGCACGAAATGGTGCTCGGTTCGGGACAGGAATCTCCTTATTTATTACATGCACTTACCCAAATTTCGACTATTCGAGGGCATATGCCACTCGACTTTAGCGGCACAGGGTTGATGTTATGCATCAATTTCAACGGCCACTTCACCTGCACGAGCAAGAGGAGTGCAAGCCACCGCCGCGCCTGTGCTTTGGCTTTTCTCTCTCTCTGGTAATCCAAACAGGATTGTCACTATCAATGTCGAAGGGTGTTTAGATTCGGGTAGACTAAAGACTAACCCCACTCTTCGAGATGCACATCATTAACGACGATCCACGCTGAGCGGTCAATGTCCAAGTCTCAAGTCGCTTTCTACCTTGAACCATTCCTTCGGCCACCAGTTTAATCAAAACAGTACTTTACCTATCTCCCTTGGACCCTTTACAACAAAATCCTTCCCCGCGCCGTAAACGCCCGCGCATTCGCATCTAATCATTCTCATCAGGTGATGGAAACTCAATCCAATCCTGCCCGTCCTATCTCTCATCAGTGATCATGTCTACCCCCGGAGTCGCCTGCCGGTACGGTACCACTATGCTTTGCTGGCATCCTCCTCCCGACACTTGTCCCCGTCCATCTACGAGGGACCCTGGTTTTCTTTTCTGGCTGCTGGGTCCCCCTAGTTTGCCAATTGATGTCATGCATGAGGAGGCATCTCCATGATGCATGCATAGTACTCGAATATCTATCTACCTGGATGGGCCCCTTGTGGTAAAATTTGGCCCGTTCTCCACCGCACTACCTACCCATCATCAAACTTCGTATAAAGGTTCAAGATTGGTCTCTCCGGACTACTACTACCTCCTGCTACTACTCCCCTTGGAGGCTGTCGGGAGGAATAAACGCAACGCCTTGCTCTTCCATACTTTTCGGGGGGCTGTTGCGTTGCCGTGCAGCCTTGGAGAAAGTGTTCAACCATGCGTTTGGTCAAACATTCTCACCGTCTCTATTGTTATACTACTTTTACTTCGAGCCGTCGTTGACCTGTCGCTTCATATTGCGTGGCCTTCCTCTATTCGCCGGCGGGACTCCCTCGCCTCATCCCTCTGCTGTCTCCTCGACCGCCTCTCTCTCCTATTTGTACCTCGACCTCGCGACAGCACCATCCTCTCTCGTGCGTCCTCACTAACACATACACACGTATACCCACTTGTCACGATGAGTTTCTCTTCGTCCCGGAAACGGATGGCGACGAGTGTCGCAAACGTGATGTTCACCAACGCCGTCTACTTTCCCAACCACAAGATATACAGCGGCGCAACGCCGGGCATGATGAACTACGGCTGCATTAGCCACGTGTTTTACGCATTCGCGAGCGTTGGGCCAGATGGCTCTGTGTTTGTAAGTCCAAGTCCCCATAGTTTCGAAGTAATAGCCTAGTCTGTTTTGCATTGGCTGATATTAGTTGATGGCTAAAAGCTAAGCGACGAGTGGGCAGATGCGCAGGCCCCGTGCGACGGCGTCCACGGTGGCTTGGGATCTCTAATGCACCTCAAGCAGGCGCATCCACATCTTCAGGTGGTTTTGTCAGTTGGCGGTGGTACCTCGGGCGAGATGTTCCCGCTGGTGGCATCTAACACGCTTCTACGAGACAATTTTGCTCGCTCGGCGCGCGGGCTGGTGGAGGCATCGGGCTTGGACGGGATTGACAGTGCGACTCTCCCTGCCATTCCAACTGCTTGCAGGACTGAGGATTGAGGACTAACTAAGAATCACCTTGGCTAGTTTGTTGGGAGTATCCGTCAGATACTCAGCAGGGTGCTGATTTGGTTGCGCTCCTTGCGGCCGTCCGATTACACCTGCCTGAGGACCACTTCTTCCTCTCGGCCGCACTCCCAGCTGCCCGAGCCGTGCTGCAGAACATTGACATCCACCAAGCCGCAGCCTACTTGGATTGCATAAACCTGATGGCCTATGATTTCTGCGGGCACTGGACGCACAGAAGCGGACACCACGCGCAGCTGTACTCGCTGAACAAGGACGAAACCTCGGGTTCGTCAGGCGTCGCATACCTCGTGGGCCAGGGCTGTCCGGCCAAAAAAATCATTCTAGGCATCCCTGTGTACGGACGGAGCTTTCTTGGCATCAGTGGGCCCGGCCACAGGCATAAAGGGGTAGGGGGTGAGGACGGCACATTCGACTACAACCAGCTTCCCCGGAAGGGTGCCAAGGAGACGGTCGACAAGCGCATAGGGGCCGCGTCTTGTGTTGGTGGCGACGGAGGATTCGTGTCTTACGACAACCCGGACACGGTTAAGATGAAGGCGTCGTACTGCAAGCAGAAAGGATTGGGTGTGAGTTTCTAGATGCCGAGCCCGTTGAAACCAACTTATCTCTCAACCCAAATTCATATATGGGTTGCGAACCATGACGGTTACGTAAGGCTGACACAACGTTGATAATAGGGCCTTTTCTACTGGACGGGACCAGCAGACTCACGGGAAAAGTCTCGTAGCCTAATCGCCGCTGGGTTCCGTGCTCTGCATAGTTCTTGATGACGAAGTTCGGTGATCCTACAAAAAGGTTGGTGTTGACTTGGAGAGCCTTGACTCTTCCTGCATTTCGGAGTTCATGGGTCATGGTGACCGAAGGCGTTTATTTGGACTTGTTACATCCCACATTAGCCAGGAGGCCAACTGGTGTGCTTGGGGGTATTGCATTGACAAGGGATTTGAAAACAAAAAGCACGGGAGTGATAAATACCACAACAGCATGGGATGTCTATAAATGAGGAAAACGGAAGTTTGCAATGTGTCTGATTTTTGACCGGGGATCATGTCATCATGTGATGGACCATAACGCGAGGTGTCTTGGCCTGGGACGAATATGCGGGTGCACATAGCTCAGTAGGGTGCGCCTTGTACATACGGTGATGCCGCATACAGCATTTCCTCATTTGACCATAACATCTTTTGAATACCGTTGTGTGTAAATGCCGTCTAAAGACATTGGTCTTCTATTGCACGAACCACTCCGTCGGAAACTTGAGAAAGAGGGTCGAGAGCGCTAACAATGATTGGCCAGGGATTTGCCGTTACCCTGTACCAACGCTGAACTTCAATGTCAACACGTGATGGGATCCGGAGTCGATCTGGCCTACCGATAGTGGCCTCTGAATGAAACATACACATGACAACCATAAATCAATTGGCTGAGGAGATGCAATTGAAGCTGCCTGGGTTCTGTCCAAATCGTTCAAGATGAACGGCAGCGCAGCGGAGCCGCTGTCGCTAAACGCAGGTCAGCTCCAATCAGCAGCACATCCCCAAGTCCAAGCCGGAGGGAGCGCTCTTAACTAACTTCAGACGCCTCCGATAGTTGACTACGATCCCATCACGCACCTAAACCTCCTCTTCCCGCACTCTTCCACCGTAGCATCAGTAAGCTGCGTATCTACGGCCCTGAAAACACGCCAGAATGATCTCGCGACGCAAATCTCGACCCTGGAAACAGCCCAAGCGTATGGCCCCGACTCGTCCCTCGAGCGCATGCAGTCCGCCCAGTCTGAGCTCGCCGACCTCTTCCGAAAGATCGAAACAGTTCGGTCGCGCGCTATGCAGACGGAGCAGAATATTACGAGCATGACGGCCGACATCAAGCGCCTGGATGGCACGAAGCGGAACCTCACACTGTCCATGACGGCCCTGAAACGACTCCAGATGCTGACGACAGCATACGAGCAACTACGGGGACTGGCTAAGACGAGACAGTACAGGGAATGTGCAAGTTTGCTGCAGGCCGTGCTGCAGCTCATGCGCCACTTCAACAGCTACAGGAGCATCGACCAGATTGCAACACTGAGCCGTGGGGTCAGCGAGCTGCAGCGCGAACTACTAGAACAGGTGTGTGAGGATTTCGAGATAGCGTTTGCGAAGGGCGAGATTGGGAACAGGAAGGCAACGCTGGTTGAGGCTTGTGGCGTCATGGATGCGCTGGGCGACACTGCCAGGGCAAGGCTGGTGACGTGGTACGTCAATACGGAATTACGGGAATACCGCCAGGTGTTCAGGGGCAACGATGAGGCAGGGAGTCTAGACAATATTGGAAGGCGTTACGCCTGGTTCCGACGTATGATGAAGGGTCACGAAGAGGAACACACTGCTATCTTCCCGCCGCATTGGAGGGTCGGTGAGATGCTCGCCATGGCATTTTGTGACGGAACAAGGGACGACTTCAAGGGCATACTAGAGCGAAGCATGAGAAAGACGGATGGACCCAAGATTGATGTCAACCTGCTATTGAGTTGTCTGCAAGAAACGATGGATTTTGAACAGAGCCTGGAAAGGAAATTTGCGGATCAGCCGAGGGCCAGCATCGACACGCTCAGTTCTGCCGACGAAAGGACCCAAAACTTCAACGGATCAATATCCGTCGCATTCGAACCATACCTGAGCCTCTGGGTCGAGTCCCAGGACAAGGCTTTGGCGGCAATGATACCGAAATACAAAGCACAGTCGCTGATACCCCTCGACGAAGAGTTCTCGGCGCAGGCCGTCATTGGCTCTGCCATCGAGCTCTTTCACTTCTACAAGGTCACTCTATCCCAGTGCGCCAAGCTCTCCACAAGCGATCGCCTGTTGGATTTGGCCAAAACGTTTGCGAAATACCTCGATGAGTACGCGCAACAAGTATTATTATCCATACTACAAAGGAGCGGTCAGGCCGGTGCGTCGTTGGAGGACATCATCATGGTTCTAAACACAGCCGACTTCTGGCATACAAACACGAGCCAGCTGGAGGACAGCATAAAGAAGAGGATCGATACGGAGCTGGCTTACAAAGTGGACCTCACATCACAAGCGGACTCCTTCCTGGGTGTTGCCAGTGCAGCTGTCATTGCTCTGGTAAACAGGGTCGAATCCGATTGTGATGGGGCGTGGCGGGAGATGAGAAATACTAATTGGAGTAAGATGGAGAGCGTGGGGGATCAGAGCTCGTATGTGGCCGAGCTTCTGAACCACGTTAATTCCAAGGCAGCGGAGGTGTTGGCCGTTGTGGTGAAACAGCAGTATGCGAGGGCCTTTGCCGACAATCTCGTGGATCACTTGGCGAATACGTATATTTACAACATTGTACAATGCCGGCCAGTATCCGAGGTTGGCGCTGAACAGGTAAGAACCCTTTTACCGCGGACGCCTTACTGACATGCTAACTTTCAGCAGATGTTGCTTGACAAGTATGTCCTCACCAAAGGTTTCGAAAACTTGCTTTCATATCACAATCCATCCTCCACGCCGCATACCCCACCGGCAAGCTTTGTGAAGCGTGTCAATAATACCATGACACGCATCGACCCTCTCCTGAAAACACTCCAAGTCCGGCCGTCGCCGCCAGAAGGGCTGGTACAAGCCTACCTGATCCACATCGGCGACCGGTCGGATACCAACTTTAAGAAGATCCTCGAGCTCAAAGGTGTGCGCAAGCAGGAGCATGCGCACCTTGTGGAGCTCTTCGGCATCCACCGTGACGGCTCCAGCAACGACAAGCTAGTCCAGCAGAGCTTGCTACTCACGCCGCTTATGAACACCACCGGCATAGGAAGCTCGGGTTTGGGCGCTATGGCCAGTATCAACCCCAGCACGGCCTTGACGGCGGCACAAGGAACCACGAGGTTCGATGCTGCATCGCTCGGGGAGAAGCTGCTAAATGCGGCGCGGGATGGTGTGGAGAGGATCGGGACGCCCGGCCAGCCGGGGACCGGTGGCACGCCGGGGCAGCAGGCTACAATCAATGAGAACTTGAAGAATATTGGCAAGTTCTTCCGACAGGGAGGTTTGGGAGCTAGATTTGGGAAAGGGGGTGCTGAGGCGTAGAGGCGACTAGTGTCAGGTGAAGAGAACATCCACCTTCATAAAGTCAATAAAAACCGTGCATGAAAAATACGCTTTGTCATTTGTGGATTATGGTCTATCTGCATAGTAGATTGAGGTGTTACACTATCGGCGTTTGGAGCTCCAAATGCGGTGATGACATCATCTGGACCGTAGCCAGCTAGGTACGTAAAAGTTGCCAGTGAGGAAGGCACAAAAATAAAGCTCCCACAAAGGTCCATATACCAATACAATTCCATGCGAGCATCCCAAAGACTTGCTAAATCGCCAAAACTCAGCTCGCATTTTCTCGTAGTCTATTCTAGTGCTTCATACTGCCGCCGTTTTTACGCACGCCATCTGAGCAACCACCAGCATAGCAATTCTACCTCACCCACAGCCAACAAAATGAGTTGGATGGACAGCTGGTCGAGACCTTTCAAGTCCCAAGCTACACCCGCGCCCTACTATCTGCTTCCAAGAGGGGAGTCAACACCCTACTGCCACTCCTGTGGGCGCGTCATCGGCAGTCGCAGAACCGCGGCAGCCGCGAACGCCAAGTCGGAGGCCAAATACTGCTCCAGCCGGTGCCGGACGCAGAAGCCTGGAAAAATTGACCGGGATATCGAGAGGGCTTTCGTGAAATTTCTACTGGGGCATGAAGGCGGGGATGGATCGGCGGCGGCGGGGGATACGGCGAGTAAACGTGAGGCACACGGTGATGGCCGAGGGAACTCCGAGTGGGCTAACCATGCGGGCGTTGGGGCGAAGAAGCATAATGCTATTGGTAAGAAGATGAAAGGCGACCCGAGGATCATGGTGTCTTGCAGTACGGTGGAGAAGTACGTCTTTGGCATCTCCGAGCAGATGGACGACCAGGCTTCATCAACGCGGTCGGGGTCTCCTGAGCCTAGTCTTGACAATACAGAAGGGAATTCAAGCATGGAATCAGATAACCCAGCTGTAGTAGCAATAGCCGCATACCCAGCTTCAGAGGACGTAGCCGCGGGCACTGTCACAAGTGACAACAACAATGAATCCTCCCGATACATCGACGGTGACGTGCTGGCCCGCCTGTCGATCCGCAGCGGGACGCGGATCCGCCCGCCACAGTCGGTGTCGGAGGTGAACGGCAGTGTGGGCGGGGAGAAGGGGAGGGCAGAGAGGATAGAAGAGACGGAGGAGATGCTGGAGAAGCGGAGGGTGGGGCAGAGGAGGGCTAAGGAGAGGGAGATGGTTAGATGTGCAGCGAGGCGGGGGGTGGTGTTTGGGTTTGTGCTGGGGGAGGGAAGTACTGGAGGGTATCAGGTTGCGAAGAAGGGAGGTGCTGGAGAGGATCAGGGTGTGAAAAGGGGAGGCAAGGGGACGGAGGGAAAGGGGGGGAAGGAAGGGGTGGATGAGGAGGAGAAGAAACGGTTGTGCGAGGCGGTCATGGTGGGGAAGGTCGTTGAGCCTAGTTTTGCGAAGGGGGACTGGGCTATTCGATGGAGAGAGTAGGGGGATGCTTCGATTTCCCAGCTCCTTCAAGCGACTGGGCAGGAGTCTTGAAGGACATCATCGGTCTCGCTCATAGGGCCCACTTGAGCACCGGTGTCATTGCTATATGAAACGCTTCAAGCTGCAAACTAATGATATTAATCCCTTTAAATCGCTGGGGTATTGCCACCAACTTTTCTAATATAAAGTTGAAATACTCATAATGGGTCTCAAGTGGGTAAGGTGACTTGGACTAGCTAGCATTCAGTCCAATTGGAAATGGCTCGTGGGCAACCCAAGTATATGCAAGTGAACCCACTGAAAAGAAGCAGGTTGAAGGGCACCACCCCATTCGCTTAGACAGGCTCACAAATTAATTGTGAGTATATATTCTGCATTATGTTGCTTGGTTTACAGTGAGGCGCAGTGGCAGAGTGGTCTAATGCGATAGACTAGAATATGGTATCATACAATACTTCTAGATCATCTATTCTCTTCGGAGGCAGCGGTTCAAATCCGCTCTGCGTCGAATATTATCTGTTATAAAATTAAATTCATCCTTATATTTTTGAGTTCATTTTTCTTTTGTATTTTGAGTTATTCTTCTGGCTGGTTGCTCAATGGCAGTTTGACTCGCACTCTGTTTGTTGGTAAACAGCAGGAAACGAGTTTAGATGTCCTAGTTGTAACTGTCTATTATGTCTACTATGCTGGCTACCCTTGGTACTCTATGTTCATGCAGGGGAGAAGAGTCATGAGATCTGACACCTGGCTGGGAACAGAATCAGATCAGTAAGTCATTATTAGTTAGTATTGGTTGTATTGATTATTGATAATTGTACCTAGCTCAGCCGATGTTATTGCTTATGTACACTTAAATTGTTTCTGTTCCTCGGGGAGAACTTCCTCTATCCAGGTTTGTTATCGAGACTCCTAGTAAGATGTGATCTTGAGGTGCAAATTAGAAAGGAATTGGAATGAGGACTACGGATGAACTGCGGCAATGAGATATGGGGAGGTGTTAGATCTTCAGGTATCTTCTCATCGCGATATCATCACAGGGAAACACACATCAAGGAGACCTTCAAATCAAAATTGCGCAAGACCTCGTGATTCGATACCCATAAGCTGCCATAAATATACATGAAAATTAGGTGCTACTCATATAACAAAGCTTCCTTGTTGGACTTCTGATACTTTCATGTGTAGTTCACCAAAGGTGAAGTCCAATACGCCAAACACTAACTCCAGCTCGCTTACCCAACGCCCCACAAGCCGGCCATGATGTATATAGTAGCCAGCGCGAGTCGAAACTTGCCAACGAAGTAAGATTAAGGCGCAGTGGCAGAGTGGTCTAATGCGATAGACTAGAATGCGAATTCTACGACATCTATTCTCTTCGGAGGCGTCTGTTCGAATCAGGCCTGCGTCGAGAGTACTTTTTGCTTGTCATGATTGTAGATTGCATATCATATTTCTTTCCTGCTTGGAAGATTGAGTCTTTCCTGAAGTTATTTGTCTTGATCCATGTTTCTGTCCCTGTTTGCTCTGGTGATTCCCAAATTGGAGTCAGATTTTTGAGCTCACTGGAGGCTGCCAAACATAAATCGCAGATGTGCCAAGTTCAGTCTGTGAAGTACCCGGTGGTGCCACCCCACTTTCGGATACTCATCAAGTAGGCAAGGCTCGACATGGCCCACAAGATTACCATGGATTATACAGAACAAAGGAATATATCAAATTCCGCCTGCTAGAAATAGTGCTTGTTCAATGGATATCTTCTCTACCACTGATCATAGAACTCGAAGAAGCCCCTACCGTCATAAGCGGAAGCTGTTCAGTCTCAAGGGCCTATTCTAACTTTGAGCCAACCAGGACATTTTCTCCTGCTGATGTTACCACATAGATATGGGCCGCACCCTATGCATTGACCATATGCCATCCAGAGTGAAGACTCGTTAACCATCCTCCGCCGACTGTCCTCCTGCCGGTCCCGGTGGCCAAGACGGTTCCGTTAAGAGTTTTGGGTGATGTGAGGTGAAGTGTGGTGACTTTAATCCGTTATGGTCCGCTGAGAAGATGCTCGATGGCGCCCTGGACACTTCCTCCGCTTCGACGCAGGGCTGCAACGTTCCTGTCAAAGTCGTAGAAGCCCATGTCGTTCAGCTGTCTAAGTTGCTCGGCGTATCGCTCTTCAGGCGGACGGTTGTCGGCTGGTGCCGGAGATCCAGACGGCGAATTCATACCCATCATCTGCATCAATTGTTGAAGAGCCTCAGGAGGCATGTTACCGTAAGGATTGCCGCCGACGCCTCCAGGAGCAGCACCGAACAGGGAGGCAAACGGATTCAGCGGGGCACCGGAAGCATTGGGTCCTTGGGCTGTACCCGCGTTGCTTTGCGGGTTACTGCTGTCGGTTCGGGCACCGGGTGTTGCTTGGGTGGTGGCTCCAGCGCCGGGTGCGCCTTGAGCGGCGCCAGCAAACGGATTGAACACAGCGCCGAAGGGGTTCGCCCCAGTAGCACCGGCACCCCCGGTAGCACCTCCAGGAATTTGCATGTTCCCCCATATCGATGGATCAAAAAGGTTGGGCGGCGCGCTTCCTTGTTGGTTGTCGCTTCGGGCATTCTCGGCATTGGTGTCGCCAGGAGTCGTGTCGGTGACGCCCGGAGCGGGGAAGGCATTCTGGGAGCCACCGGGGCCTCGCATCATTCGACTAAAACGAGCGGCACTTCTCATAGCATCGGGGTTGGTCATCATCTGACGCATCATGGGCGATCGCAGAATCTCGCGAGCGTTGGGATTATTCCGGAGCATCGGGTGGCTCTGGATCATCATGTCGAGGAAGGTGTCGTTGTTGAGAGCCTCGTTCATCTGCTGAGCGACGTTGGGATTGGAGAGCAGTCGGGCCATTTGGTCCTCGTCCATCATGGATCCGCTCATGCCTCCGTCCGGACCAAACATATCAGCTGATGGCAGATTGGTCAGGCCGGCGTATCTCGCACCTGTCAGCCCCGCAAGAGGATTGTTGGCGGTACCGGCAGCCATGTTGGTCGGGACCTGAGGAGCGGCTGGCGTAGACGACGAGGCGGGAGGAGCGGGCGCAGGGTTGCTGGCGGCACTCTTGACCAGATGTACTGTGTTGCCGGCCTTAATCCTGTATGTGCTCAAAGGCTCCTCGTTCTTCATGACTCGACCAGAGTAAATCAGACGCTGACGCTCGATGGGGATGTTCTCGTACTCCTCTCCGCCCAGCTTCGTCTTCAGCTCGGCGACTGTAGCAGACTCGGACATGGTGATAGTATGGGTCTTGTCGCCAGAGGTCTTCACCTTGAAGGTAACCTCCGGGGTGACCTCGGGGGCGTCAGCCATGTTGCGCTGCTGCAAAAGTGGGTAGTAGGTGTCGAATTGCGGTTATGCGATATTGTTGGTCGTTGACAGAATGATGCTGAAGTGGCTTGGAGGTTGTTCACTGCGTGCGGGTGCGGGTGCGACGCGGCTTTGAGGAGAGATGGGGAAGCAGCCGAGGGCAAACGCTGCGCGGACAGGACGGGAAATGCTAAGATTTACTCAGCAATAATAGCCTGGGAATGGTCTGATTAGAAAATCAGAGAAATCAGAAATCAGCCTACAGCGCGGCAATATGGTCCAGGGGATTCCAGATAGAACGTTTAGGTCGCAAAGATGCCGCAGCGACAAGATGGCCAGGTGCCAGATGGTTGTGGTTGTGGTTGGTACTGACCTATATTGGATGGTGGGCTGCTTTCCTTCCGGCGCGATAGCGATCAAAGATGACGACGTACAAGGCCTGAAAAGTGTTGGTCTTTCGCCACAGACGCCTGCTCTCTCAACTTTAAATGCAGATGAATCAAGCTGTAATAATATTTCAAATCACCTTGTACATATACTTGGTTAATACTGATTGACAGCTTCATCAAGGCAACTTTCTGAAATTGCAGGTTATCCGGCCATGAACGATAGTTGCATCAACCGTAAGTTTGCCTACCCACCTCCGAGGGTCAGGCGGGAGGCTGGACTTCTCTTGGCATCCACAACTTTCCGGAGGCGCCATTGCCCAAATTGGCCGCGGTGAGCTCACCTTGTTTTAACTGGGTATGCTCCAACTGCACTCATGGTCTCTACCTCGGCTCGACGGCATTACTCCACAGCTTCATATGTCACGGCCAGACTACCAGTAATGAACTTATATGCACTTGTACATTCTGTTCTTTCTCATTTCTTCAAGTAGATTGCAGTATTTGTGAAGCGATTACTCTATCTAGTATTGGTTGATACGGTCCCAAATTTCAAATTGCGATTGTCAGCCACCATGCAGGGTATCCAGGTGGCCCAGTATGTCAAAGTAAGCCTCAGGTCCTACGCTGTGCCACTTTCATCACGCCTCTTGAGTTAGATATTAACTTCTTCACCAAGGGCCCCAAAGAGCTCAAAGTCACCAAGCTCGCGGATCCAAAGCCGGGCCCCAATGACTACCTCATTGAAGTCCACGCAGCTGCCACCAACTTCTTCGACATCCTACAGGTCCAAGGGAAATACCAACACCAACCCCCTTTCCCGTGGGTATCTGGTGCCGAGTTCTCTGGTGTGGTTTTGGCCACGCCCTCAAACTCGAAATCCCCCAAATTCTCAGTGGGCTCTCGTGTCTTCGGCGGCAGTCAAGGTGCCTACGCAACCAAAGTCTGCGCAACAGAGCCCCAACTCCTGCCAGTACCGGAGGGCTGGAGCTTTACAGATGCAGCGGGATTATTTGTAACAGCACCTACCAGTTATGGCGCCTTGGTTCTACGTGCCGGCGTGAAAACCGGCGACTATGTCCTGGTCCATGCAGCAGCCGGGGGAGTGGGTCTCGCGGCAGTTCAGATCGCAAAGGCGTTCGGGGCTACAGTCATCGCGACGGCAGGCACATCGCGAAAGCTGGAGGTAGCCAAGGCCTTTGGCGCTGACCACGTTGTCGATTACCAAGATGAAAAGTGGCCCGACCTGGTCAAGAAACTTACCCCCAAGGGCCGCGGCGTGGATATTGTCTACGATCCTGTGGGCATGGTTGACAAAAGCACCAAGTGCATCGCCTGGAATGGCCGCATTTTGGTGGTGGGATTTGCGGCGGGCAAAATCGAGAAAGTCGCCATGAACAAAGTCCTCTTGAAGAATATCAGCTTGGTTGGTATCCACTGGGGTCAATATGCGGTACATGAGAAGGAAAGTGTGCCGGTTGTCTGGAAGGGCATCAAAAACCTGATCGAGCAAGGCAAATTCAAGAGCACTGTTTTTACGGATAAGAATTTCATTGGCCTTGAGGCCATTCCTGATGCTTTGCTGGCTCTGGGAGGTCGGGAAACATGGGGTAAAGTGGTTGTCAAGATACCTCAAGGGGGTGCAAGTAAGCTATGATGGCCAGGCATGGGATGTGTATTATGTGCCTTGATTCAGAAGTCGTCAATACCTGCGGTCTTGAACCCTCAGTCTGCAGTCTCCTTCAGCATTGAGTGATTACCATACCCCATGTACTTGATCTGTATTTGCATCGAGTCCAATACCCTTTGTTTCATCTCTGCTTCTGTCTTCACGATGTCGGTCTTTAAGAACGCTCCGTGCGTACTCCGGAACTCATACTTCTTTATTATCGCCCACATTCTCTCCAGCTCATCCGGTGCCAAGGGAATGAAATTTGGGATACTCCACATGAAAGAGAAGCTGTTCATCCCCTTCGGTCGACTCCTGGCATTCCCCAGAGCATCGGCGTCCCAGCTACCCAGACCAGCTGGCGTTGTGAGCAGCGTATCGGCAATTAGCAGTCGTCCATTGTATAGTGTGACGAAGGACCCAGGAAAGTGACCACCAAGTTTAAGGACCTTCACCCCAGATGCCTCTCCATCGATGTTGATGTCCATTTCGGTCTCTGTGACGAAGACCTGTTGGGGTGAGGTTTGTGTTGTCCATTGCTTGTCTTCAGCTGCGAGATAGACGGGGCAATTGAAAGCCCGACCCCAATCCGCATGCGTTGAGTAGTAATGCGGATGCGAGATCACAATTGCCTTCAACCCTCCCATTCCTTTGATGTTTTCAACGGTCTCATCATCTGGACTCTCATCAGCAATAAGATCTACCTACTTCCCACTCAACTTGTCTTACCCAAAAGGGTAATACAGTCCCAAAGCACATTCCCCTTTGGCGTCTTGATCAGTATCGCACGCTGGCCGATGCCCACTTTCGGCTTAGTGACGATGGAGATGAAGTCATCATCGCCCGAAAATGGCGTCCATGTGTTCTTGTGGTTAGAACACAGCTCATCGAGCGTCGTGAAGCTCTGTCCCGTTGGTGGCGTGAATTGTCGCGGGTCATCACAAATGAAGCATGTTTTGACCTGTTGCTTGTCGTCTGTAGGGAATTGCGTTCCACAGGCTGTGCAGATAAGCCATGAGCCGGTGTATGAGGGATTGTCTTGTTCGGGGATTGGGTGCATGGTGGTAATTAGTCCTTGTTTGCTTTAAGTTTTGGAGGCAGCACTTCAACTGTGCTATTCAGATGCCGATCACCAGTCTAATTCAGGACAATGATAGTTGATGTTTGTCATCAAGGAATTCACGACCCGGCTGAAGATAGAAGATGTCATGCTGATCCGATGTAAGTAAAATGGGTTTCGGATCCGTTCGTTCGGGAGTGCCCAAACTGTGGGGTAGTTGCTTGGTGGGCAATTCAAAGTTGAAGATTGGGGCAAGTTACGAGTACGCAGACTACTTGAATTAGGCTTATACTATTCGGGTACTTTATTCACTAGCGGGCTGAATAACCAGTAATCCTTGCTCCGCAGCTTAACTAGATATTGCTTACATTTACTTCAGCTATTCAAATTCATCTTGCTATCTGTTTGCTTTAAGTAAGGGGATCTTTATCGAAAACCGCTGCACGCAGTTGAAACCGGATCTATGCCAGCCAAATCGTTGCCGCAAGGATCCGCAAGCAGGAGTAGCTCACTAACTATGCAAAGTGTCACTGGCTTCCATCATTAGACAAGAATAGTGTCTGTCCATTACTCTGAACATATCCCCAATTTTTCCAGAAACGGGAACTGTCCATATTCTTGGCCAGAATTTTGGGAGCTTGACCGAGATCACACATCTGACATGCAATCACATCCCAGTTGCCCGTGGTGCAGAATGACAGGTCCCCCACCCTGTCGTTACCAAACGTCGATTGTCTGGGGAACTTGCAAGCGGTTATCAACGGCGGGCGCTAACCGTAGGAGGTAGTTACCCCAACATCCAGATCCTTCTTCTCGTACCTACCAACACCAAAACATTGAACCTCATCCCGTCTGACGGCATCTCCATGTTAAGGAACTTAAGGATATTATTCCAGTACACCGAGGAAGAAACAACCCGGGATTGCCAACCATTCTCCCAGCCTCCCCCTATCCTTTGCAGACCTGACAAGATGGTGTTCTTCCTAGACTACCTCCAGCACCGGAAAGATTGGTGAGTCTCTGTGATTCCCCAGCGCGGCTCCGCGGATACGACTGGGCAACAGCACTCACCAAAGCACAGTCAATTTAAGCAAAATGAGCGAGCCCAACGCATACAAGCCTTGACGCAGTGCCATGGCCATTTCACAGCTCTCGATCGAGAGATCACTGAAATGCCCATTGAGAACCTGGTAAGAGCTGTGCACAAGAACACGCTAAATCCCATCGACATTTTGCGGACATACGGAAAGGTTGCTCTGAAGGCTCAGGAAAAGACCAATTGTGTGACCGAGATCATGGTCCCCGCTGCTGAAGGCTGGATCAAGGACGGTTCAATCAACATGAAGGGACCATTGGCTGGTATACCGATCAGCTTGAAAGACAGCATTGTTGTTGGTGGGTTTGATGCGACAGTCGGTTACAGCAGTTTCGTTGGGAACAAGGTCCCCGAAGACGGGCCCACAGTGCGCCTGTTGAAGGATGCGGGGGCTGTCCCTTACGTTAAGACAAACCTTCCCATCACCCTCCTCAGCTTCGAGTCCACCAATGATGTCTGGGGGCGATGCACAAATCCACACAACAATAAGTACTCGCCTGGAGGATCCACTGGGGGCGAGGCAGCTCTACTTGCACTAGGAGGCAGGATCGGAATAGGCAGCGACGTTGCGGGCAGTGTTCGAGCTCCAGCCCACTTCTCTGGTATCTATAGTCTGCGATGTTCCACCGGAAGATGGCCGAAACTGGGATTCGCCACAAGCATGCCGGGCCAAGAAGGCATACCAAGTGTTTACAGCCCAATGACAAGGACATTGAATGATTTGACATATTTCACACGATCACTGATCAGCATGCAGCCCTGGAAGTACGATCCCTCGGTCCACCCCCTCCCCTGGCGACCTGAGATGGAGCAGGAATTCGCGGAAAAGAAGAAGCTACGCGTGGGTGTCATGAGAACCGATGGTGTAGTCGACCCAAGTCCTGCATGTATCAGAGCCCTAGAGAAGGCTGAGGCCGCTCTCAAGGCCCAAGGGCATGAGATTGTGGAGATTAACCCCCCTTCACCGTATGAAGCCTTACACTTGGGCGCACATCTTCTGAATGCAGATGGATGTCAGATGCTCAAGTCGTTCTTTAGGTATGGAGAATGGGAGGACCCTGGAGCTCGCCAAATGAGCTTTCTGATGAATCTTCCTCGGCCTATCAAGTACATCTACTACCTCTGGGTCAAGTATGTACGTCGAGATGACATCTGGGCTGGTCTGATCAAGGATTGGCATGCCAAGAGTGCATTCAAGAACTGGAAATTGGTCTCCAAACGTGAAGCATACAAGGTCAAGTGGTTCGATTGGTGGAATAGTGTCAACGTCGACTTCCTTCTCACTCCGCCTAATGCAACCCCGGCAGTGCCGCATGATGGCATGAAGGATGCCGTGAGCAGCTGTGGCTACACATTCCTCTTCAATCTGGTATTAATGTTTCTATTCTAGAACCTGGCATGGACTAACTTCAAGTAGCTCGATTACACATGCGGCATAGTTCCTATCCTTCACGTTGACAAGAACCTCGATAAACTTCCAGCAGACTTCAACATCAAGAAACTGAATGGTGTTGCGCAGGGTGCGTATAAGTTGTACGACGCTGAGGCGATGCACGGGCTGCCTGTGGCAGTTCAAATTGTGGGACGGCGACTCGAAGAAGAGAAGGTGCTTGCCATTATGAAAAGAGTTGAGGATGCTCTGGGTAGTGATAGGTACCAGTTGCTGGAAATTGATTGAGCGTTCTTTTGATCAATGGAAGCTTCCTAAGACTCTTCTGTTTTTGCACCCCTGAGAAATGGACCACAAGTGGACCCCAATGGTTCTGGAAGGTGTACCTTTAGTTTTATGAAGCACATGTTCAACAGCAGGCTCCCTGGGGAAGCACTTTAAAGCTTATTGCTTTGCCGTAACTGCCTCGGGAATTTCCAGGAAAGGCTCAACCAGCACATCGCAGATGCTCTCCGAGATCGGCCACCTCCTCTTGTGCCATACACGGAGGTGGCTGTCCTTTCCATGTCCGCGGAAGAGACTCATTCAACGTATAAAATATGCCAAACTTGGCGTGATGGTTCAAGTCCAACTGGTCCAAAGTTCATCATTTCCAAAATAGTTATTATTGGTGCGCTGAAAATGGCACACGCAAACAAGGACCACTGGTCCTCCGAGGTGCGTTTAATCACCCCTGCCTAGGAAACAAACTGCTGACAAGTCTCAGGCATATCAGAATGCGGCTTCATTCGTTCCGAAGCTGGCTGTCAAAGTCATGCAATGGCTGGATCCGAAGCCAAATGATGTCATCTTGGACATTGGCTGTGGTGGCAAGTTGACACTCATCGCATCAACGCTCAACCTACCAGCTGGATCACTAAACTTGTTTAGACGGTGTGCTTGACCTCCAGATAGCAGATGTCATTACCAAAGGAAGCGGGAGCTTGCACGGAACGGATGCATCGCCCGCTATGATCGAGTCAGCCAAGAAGGCGGCCGAGAAAGCCGGTGCAGCAAAGTGCACTTTTGAAGGTGCGTACGAGACTCTCAAGATTCCGCGTCTATTCATACCCGTCGTAAGAAACAAGCTGACAGAGTCGAAGTTGGTGACGCCCTGGAGCTCATCAACACCCCCAGCCTCCAAAACGGGACCTTCACCAAAGCCTTCTCTAACGCCGCCATGCACTGGATCCTCCGCCCCGAATCAAAACGCCCGCAATTCTTTCGCGGAGTTCGAAATGCCCTCGCCCCCGGCGGAACCTTTTCCTTCGAGATGGGCGGCCTGGGCAACGTAGTCGAGATGCGGGGGGCGCTGCTCATGGCCGTCGCCCGACGGGTCGGGTTAGAGAAGGCGAAGGAGTATGATCCGTGGTTTTTTCCCGACGAGGCCTGGATCACGGAGATAATGGAGAAGACGGTCGGCGGATGGAAGGTCGAGAGGGTTGAGAGGGAGTATAGGCCTACTAAGGGGGATGCGGGAGGGGTGGATGGGTGGATTAGGTTGATGGGGAAGCAGTTCTTTGATGCGGTCCCTGAAGAAGAGAGAGAGGAGTGTATTAAGGAGGTGGTGGATGTGTTGGAGGTGGTTTGTGAGAATCCCTCGGGTGGGTTTACGTATGGGTATGTAAGGTTGAGGGTTTTGGCCAGAAAATTGTGATAAGGGGTGGGAAATATATGTCTGATTTCCTAGTTCAGTCTTCCTTTATTGGCTTGAACCATAATGCGATGAGTATATGCGCTCTTCTAGTTGGAGAAATGTAGGAGTGGGAATAGCGGCACCACAGGCAGCTTTCGTGTCTTTTTCAGATTTGAGCCTGACGGTTCAAGGCTCCTAATTAGCATTTGTACCCTTCTGTCCCTATCCATCTAATGTGATCCACTCAGTTCAGATTTGTTTTTGAACACAACCTAGTCAGCAAGTGGCCTATAAAAAGAAACCGCAGGCAAGTTTTCCAACAATGTGCGTCATCTCTCCTTCGGGGTATTACTATTTTATTTCTTGTCTCTGAGTATATTAACAGTCGTGTGCTGTGGTTTCGAGAAGCTGTTTTCATGCCAGGATAAGACCCAATAAGCCCAATAAGCCTCACCCTTACCTGCTTCTTTCTATATGTACATATATACTCTAGTTTGGCATGCAGAATGCCAAGGATCTCGCTGACTTGGCGGCGCTCCTGGTTTCAGCCTTAAATGGGCGCAGTACCCTACTTGAGGTGACAAGAGGCTGCTTTTTGACTAAGGATTTCCCTTATTATTCGTTCTGGATTACTGAGTACTGATTGTCACTGTGGTTCGTATCAGCCTCCCACAAGCATTCATAGTCCATATGGCTTTCGTTATCGTAGACATGCTACCGTCAAACACTACTAGCAGCGCTACTGCGACAGTAGAAACAAGTTCTGTAATCATAGCACCACCCAAAGATCTTCGGAGAAGCAGCGGGTTTATAGATATTAATATTATCAACGTATATCCGTGGCTAGATTAGTCTATAGGACCGAGATATGTGTTTTTGCTTACTTTAAAACGGCGGGTTTCTGAGAGTTTCCGATTGATATAGGATATTTGTGGGGGAAATAGTATCTTCCGGTGTCAGGGTGCTGGTGATAATATAGCCGCAACGTGCTCTGTACAGTATTGAGTAGGACACGATAGTGATCCACTGTCATCCAAGATCTTTTGGTCTATTAGCCAAGGGGCTTAGTCCTCCCGCTGATATCCGGTTATAGGTTCTACTATAACTTAGCCGATAACGCTCTTATTGGCGTATTTATATATCGTTAAGCAGCGCTATGTACAGGCCTAGGGGGCTTGATATGTTATAGTATATATTACGATATAATAATTTAGTAAGCGTGAACTTAATAATGTAATAGTAATATTAATACTAGCGAGATGTAGTTATTAGTAACCATCTATACATGGAAAGGACGCTTAACGGGCTTCATATATCTGGGAAGTCAGTCATTCAATTTACCGAATTCTTTGGCCGCTTTGGCATCCGAGGATTCTTCTGCGGCAATTTCCAACTCGGGATCAAGGGCCTCAGCAGTTGACCATATGAACAGTAACCCCTTCCATCGGAGTTTTACCAATGCTGGCTCGGAGGTCAGCTTTGATTCCATCAAGCAAATATTGGTGACTGCAACGCCAGAAACGCCTACCCACTGGCGGTGCCACAAGCCAAGCAGTTTCCGTCAATGTCACAGCGGCCTCGGAAGGGATTCCACACAAGTTGTACTTGGACCGCCGGAAGGTTCTGCTCATATTTGGTCCCTACTTCGACAGAGGCTTACCCATCGTCCTCTGCATTAGTATGTCCATCTGAACACTCACATGTTAACAACTGTTAACAAAGGCCGCAGTATACTCCTGCTTTTCTGGCTGGAACTTTGTACCCCTTCCCAGTAGGCTTCATAAGCATTATTTTAGTATGTTAACAAGAGCTGCAGTGAACTCTTAACCGTCATGAACATTAGCATCAACAAGATAAGAATGACCCTCTCTATATAAACTTTGGAAACAATGAGTCCTCAATTACCTTCTCAAACCCGACCGTCTGAACACCGTCTCATCATCAACTATGGCGTTAAAAACTGCAGCATCCAAAGTCCAACATGGACAACCTTGGAACCCGCGTTCGCATCAGTCTCGGTGTCAGTCTTGGCGATGGTGCCCCCTCTAGTAACCCCTACCGCCTGTCTCTATTGACAGCACCGGTTGGTCCAATACCAGGCTTTGAGGCCGAGTTCACGAAATATGCGCCTTCCTCAATGATCAGTAAATTCTTATTTCTCTTTTCATAAATATCTTTCCACCTGAAACCTCACGAGTATCTTCCTCTTGATATGCTGCCTAGGCTAGAACATGGCTTCGAAGCTAGGACTTCAACTTGCCAGTCCTCGCCCTAATGCACAAAGTAACTAGCTATTCTCTTCCTAGATACATCTTTTCACAATCAACTACATGCGAATTTTCTTTTATTTTCTCGACATGCTGACAGGGAAGTGCACGCTTGAAGCTGGGCTGGAACTAGTCTGTAGTTACCGTCGTCCACCCAGCTCGCCTGGGCTTGCAGTTAACTTCGTCCACAGGCAACTGATTCTTATAGTCCCGCACCTCTTTTCCCAAAATCAGCCATACGTGGGTTGTTCGTCTCGGCGTGTTGAAAAGCTGGCATGTGACCTCTGTTTTGCGACTACAACTAATTTGTCCCTATTCTGAATCACTCAATTGATTTTCCCGGCCCAAGGCTTTTCTTTCCTGAATCATTGTAAGGAGTCATACCAAGTCCCACCACTGCTTTGCCGCGAGGATCTCACTTACCCCTACATCATTCACCGCGGGACCTCAGAAAACAATTTCATGATTGAATAATCTTCTCACGGTAAGTCATCTTCAATTCCTCCGGAAGATGGGACGGAAAGGTATGTGCTCGCTTCGTTGTTCGTCTGTCGGCTTCCATCGTCAAGCACGTCTGAATCATCTTCCTCGAGCTCATCACTGTCTGTCACCCCCACCTTCAGTTTCATCTTCACCAGCATGGTAAATTTGTATATCTTTCGTAGTACTTCTCTTCTCCTGGTGAAAAATAGCCCTCCTCAGCTTCCGAAAATACTCGTTATTCCTCACTCTCTGCGATTGTTCTCTACCAACCAGTTCGCATACACTAACGTTGAAAATTTCAGATAACAGCATAGCCGACGAGGTCGATATGGCCGGTGGTCGACGATACACGGATGAGAAAATCCATTTCGTACTGGACCTTGTACTTCGCCAGCGTTTGACCTATGCTGTCGCGGCTGAGAAGTTCCGCAAAAAATACAACGACAAGAAGTTCGGCGAAAAGCAAGTCAAGTATATTAAGTCGTCGTACTCAACTCACCCTGAATTTGGGTAAGTATTATTCTCAGCTAACAATAAAAGTGAGATTCAAGCTACAGAGAGGCGCGCTGAACGAATATTCTTTCTTTTTACATGCCACCTCACCATGATGGGCTCCAGAATGACCTCTCGTAAGCGAGAGACTCCTTGAGCCACTCTGCGTTGCACACGGGGAAATGGGCTCTGGTTTGGTTTTCTGAGCTCGTTGTGGTGAGGTGTTATGTGAGCAGATGGGCATTAGATAGTTTTACTTATATGTCAATATTGATTCATTTTAAAGTGCGCGGCAAATTCGCCTCAGACATCACATAACTGACTAAAGAAATACAGAGTCTATCTTTACAACGATCCTCGTTCCCAGAAAACTGCCTCTTCGTCGCCGCGAACAACCACTGCCACAAGTGCTGCCGGTACTTCTACACATCTGCACCCCAGCATCAGACCCGAAGCGATGAGTAGGTATGCTGTATCTCAGTCACCAGCTGACTCAATGGGACTTGGTGGTGGTTCGCAGTTCTTGGGGGGTTCACCGATGGAGGAAACGCCTAAAACTGGGGCTGGACCTCGAGGTACAACCTGCCAGATGCCTACAGCTTTGGATGCACTGGGAAAGCTCAAGAGTGAGACCGGGCGTGCTCTATCGTCAAGCACAGCGTCTCAGTCTTCTGCCGATTTCACTCCATGTCACAATCAATCCGGGGCAACTTACCAAGGCGCCCATAGCTTGAAAGAGTCGCGGCCCCTGAACCCACACTACAACTTCTCCCGGGCCGCCTGGCGGGCGTCGACTCCTGGTCACAGTATTGAGACACATGAGAAACCGGGTGCTGTTGGAGGAGACAGTTCTCCTACAATGCAGCAAGGTAAGATGGCCCCTGGAAAACCTCATAGCAGCCATCACTTGAGTTCAAACATGGTATGCACAGACGCGATTGGTGCTGCCGAGACTGCCGAGAGACCTTCGGAGACTCCTATTCCGTCTGCTATAGAGGCCAAGAGAAAGAGAAATATTGGGACTCTGAGTGAAATTGAAGGAATTATTGCCGCGCGAGCCGGGTCGGCTGTGGACCTGATCAATAAGCGCCCTCGCACTGGTAGCTTTACCCCTTTTCTTGGTCTGGCCAGGGACCTTACCAAGTCACCGAGCAGCGACACCACCAAGAAGATCGTTGACGCGATCATGGGCGAAACGAGGATGGGAGGTCAAGGAATGTCCGCGGGAAGTGTAGATTCGCAGAAGACTTCACGGGAAGCGCTTTTCTACTCGACCCCCAACTTGGACTTTTTCAGCGTCCCCTTGAGTCCGGCTGCCGAAGAAATTATTCGCAAGCCCAACGATGAGACAAAGACCTTTGTTACCTCTTTGAACTTGATTTCTGAAGAACCCAAGATTTCGGAACTCGCTGGAGTCCACCAGCAACATGGTATATCCGAATCAACGGTGACTGATGCTCCACCAATGGATGCCCTCTTCGCTGGCAATGTTGCTCAAGGCATGCCTGGAAACGCTGGTACTTCGACCACGACACCTGGCACAAATAACATGACTTCGCAGGAGACTTCTGCCTCAGACCTTATCAGTAACTTCACGGCGTCTATCCAAAACCCCGGTGGATTTGTCATGAGGTCACCGCAGGGAACGTGCTACCGCGCTCCCTCGCCGCCCGCCCCCTACACGCGCGACAACTATGTCGGCTGGGACCAAATTGGTCATATCTACTCTACGAAACATGAAAATTGTCCTGTCAAAACTCACCATCGTCACGATCATTCTGGAGGCATCTACTTTGTCAACATGTCCTACCTGATGGAGGCTTTGCAGAACTTCAGCCTTGACATCCACATTGAGGCCCGGCTTAAATCTGGACACGACCAGTCTACCACAGCTAACGCCAACGCTTCTGCCGCTAGAGTTGAAGCTACCGTAAAATCAGTGAGTATCTACTTTTTCAAACACTCTCTAATTCAAGCTCTGCATTCTAAGTAACATTTCCCCAGGACAACGTCCCCCTGCAAATCCATGCCGAGCCGGCTGCCACGACTGCCGACAATCGCAATCAAGTCTCCTGGGAGGAGGCTGCCCTCAACCAGTCCATCTGGACGGCCGGCGCTGAAACGCATGCCCAGCTCGAGGGACTTGAAGACCGTCGCCGCACCGCGGCAGAGCAGCTCTTCGATGACAACTCCCTGACCGAAGAGCAGTATAACGACACCACCAATTAGAATGCTTCCGGCGAAGGCAACGGCGACCAGAAAACCTAGCCGATGTTGCTGTCTCGCTCACGTGTCCATCTTGACTTGAGACTCTTACGAATCTCTCACGACATGCCCTTCCCTCTCACAATTCACGATATTCAAGGCTCACGACTCACGACTCGCAATTCCTGATTAATGTCATGACAGAAATTCTATGAGTGCACATCGACTGACCTGGCTAACGAGCTTGGCCATTGCTGAAGGAAAGGATATCATTATTTGCTTGGGACTGGATATCGTAGATAGCGATAAGTCGCCAGTATTGGTTTCCGTAGATCTTCCGCCGATGGCTATGATAATCTGGCTTTGGTTTCGGGTTTGCTTACACGTACTCATATCTTTCTCATGAAGATGATATGTTTATTGAAGCTTACGTACGTACATACGTACCCTACTAGCTAACAAGAAATTCGCTAGCGGTGCCGAAACGGAGGACCTGACCCCGGTTGCAAGGATACGCAGACTATATTCTGGATTGTGATGTCGCGGCTAACGCAGTTTTCGCAGAATTCCTATGATAGCTAAAAATGATAATTTGGGTTTCGGATATGCGGCCTTGCGAGTTCACTTACGAATTGCTGATAATACACGGATTGATCCTAGCTCCGCAGTCATGTCTCATGTCAACAATAATATCACTGAGATATTTCACGCCGAACAGTTTATTTTCATCGGTGGAATTCACCATATTTGCCTTTTGACTATTGAAAACAAGCCGTCTAGGACGATTAAGAGCTCGGATTCCATCACCCATTTACTACTCATTAATAATTCACTGCTCCACCTGTTCAATTTCAAGTTCTTGCTCTTACTGGTTGTTTATTCTCTAGATAACCCCTTGTCCCTTTGCCAGTATGAAAGTACGAATATTAAGAGACTGTAGTGTCTAATACTTAATGTTAAGAATATACGAGAACCTGCTAGAAAGCAACGGGTGTACTCCGACTTACTAATACTCGTATCATGCCACCCTACTCATGTCACCCTACAATCGCTGCTCCCCTATTGGTACATCTACTTATTGGCTATAGAGCATTCAGTTGGACCGTCACCCGAAATGTATCACCACATACATATGAAATTTATTAATGACACCGAATATATATCAAACAAATTCCCCACAGCACCATGAAGATGTTACTCGCAATACGCAAATATATCCTCTTGCCGCCTATGAGGGTTTTCCTCTCTTTGATCGTCTAACAGGCCGCGCTTCCTCAGCTTCGTCCCTGGCAGTCTCCTTCCTCTTCGCCACGTATTTTTCTGAAACTTCTTCCAAAGGTTTCACAGCCGGTGCTGGTTCTTCTTCCTCCCCCTTGCTATTCCCCTCCTTTGCATTCGTCGAGACACCCGCCTGTCTCACGACAACATACGCCACTTTCTCAACATCAGTTGCCGAAACCCCAAGCCGCTTGACCAACTTCTCAGCGGACGAGTTTAACTCCTGGTACTCTTTGGCATTGTACTTGATTGCCGATTTCTTGCCGCCGCAGCACAGCCAGTAGAAGGCCTCGTCGGAGAAGAAGATGACGCGAGTAGGGTCATGGACGGAGAGCAATAGTGAGGCGGTCGCGGGTCCGATGCCCTTGAGTTTGGAAATACCGTCGAGTGCCTTGGCTGCATCGGGCTTTGTCCAGTAGGTCTTCATGGCCTTTTCTATGGTATCGTTTACTGTCTTTTCGTCGTTAGACGAGACGAGCTTCATTAGAGTTGGCCGGAATGTGCCGTGGCGGCTATACGAAGTCAGATAGTACGTAAATCGGTGCTCATAGATGACCCGTTGGAGTTTAGAGGAAGGCTGGCGATTGTGCGACGTTTCTGAAGCTGGGAGGAAAAAGGGAGAGGGGGGCATCGAACTAATGCAGGGGCTCAACCATGCACACTCAGGAAGTGAAGTATATAACACAGCACCCTAAACGAGGCTTCCTACTTACAGCTTCCACTCCACGAGAGTCTTGACATCATCGTGGTTTATAGCACGTTTTGGCGTTTGAGAACTGAAAATGCTGATGGCCTCATCGTATCGAAACTTGTCGAGCGCAGCTAGGGATTTCTGGCCTAGCTTGGCTGCAACACGGTTAACTAGCTACAGTCTTCACTAAATCATACTTTGACTTACAACCTTTGGTAGCAGATATAGATTCGATCAATGCTGGATACTGCTTCAACAGCTCCTTGAACTGACTAATCGAGATGTTCTCGGGGAGCAGGTTCTTGGCCGTCATTTTGCGATTTCTTCACTGGGTTATCACGGCCGAATTATATGTAAAAACCATTGTTACTATCTCAGTTTTGTTTTGCCGCAAGAGCAAGTCGCTCCGAATGAACTGCTTGCGCTGTAGACCAAACGTTGCAAGCATGAGATGGATTGGGACGAAACACAAACTGATCGGTTCCTTGATCAGCCCCAGGACGGCAAGTCGCCGTCTAAAACGGTCCGTGCACATCCGCTTTGTTCCAGACCGATAACCCCGGCGGAAAGGCCGCCTTTTTTTTTTATTCTAGGCTTGTCGATCTTGCCCATGTGGTTGAACAAAAGAGAAAATCTTCCCTCCTTTCGCGACAGACTTGATCGATCTACAGACGCCCTCTGAAAAAATATCCACAGTCCTCGAGCTTCTTGAGATACCCTGACCTTCGTTTACTAGGCAAATTAATACCTACTACCCTTCAAAATGGGCAACGTACGTTTTGGCTGCCCCCTTATTGTGACTTCTGTAGGATTTGCTGCTGACAGTAGACACCGACTAGGGAGCGAAAGCGCAGCAGAAGCGTGAGCGCAACGCAAAGGATGGAAAGGGCGTCGCAAAGTCGCAACTGAAGACGAATGTCCAGGCCATGGACATTCAGTGCGTCATTTGCAAGTCGACCTTCTTGAAGACGACTCGCGCTCCCCAGTATGTTCCCCTCCATTCCTACAGCCATCGTCGTCGCAAGCAGAAGGAATATTATCTAATAGGTTTGGACCCAACAGACTCACAGAGCACGCTGCCAACAAGCACAGCAAAGCGCTTCCCGACTGCTTCCCCTCCTACGAGGTCAAATAGATTCTTTAATTCTATGGACGAGGATGCGGCAAGGATGGACTGGACTAGTGGGCATAGAGGGAGAAAGACATCGAGGCGCAATAAGTACCTTCAGGCGAAGATGGAGGGGCATTGGCTGATTGACGAATCTACGAGTGAACGAATTCATACGAGTTAACTTGTCTTCATATCCGTTCTGTTCCTCCTCTTCCTTCCGTTTGCATACAAGCAAGCATTCACTGTGCCTCCGCAGCCGCAGCCGCAGTCTGTCTTTCCTCCAGCTGCTGCGCCCTGATATCCCTCAGTATATCCAAATACCACCTCTCCCCAACGTCAGGATGACTCTTCACCCTATTCCTTAACGTCGCCTCCCCCAACGTCCTCGCCACCCCGCCCGCCCGAAACGTAAATTCGACATCATCCAACCTCGTTCCCCCATTCCTCTCAAGCACCCGTCTCCGTTGCTCCTTGACATCCTCGGGCACCTTTCCCACCCCTACATTCTCCAGATCCTCAAAGGTCGCGTCTCCCCTCACTCCCTGAAAAAACGGGATCGAAAACCGCGACCCTTTCCCCGCGGGCGGTGACAAAACCCGGTGCGTCGTCGAGCAGCAGACGCCTTGGGTTAGGGCTTCCAGACCCTGCCCGATGGCGACCACGAGCGTCCCGGCTATGGGTGGGCAGTCGATCCACTGCCCCTTCATATTCTGCACCTGCAGGCCGCGATGGTGGTTCGCCTGCAGGAGGTACGACGACAGCATGCTGTCCTTATGAGGACCTACGCCCTGGCCCTCAATACCAGCATCATCATCGATCCCGAGCTCGGACACGTCGGGGTACTTGACGACTTTGAGCTTGTGCTGCTGATCAACATCAAAATACTTATTGAACGCGTTGGCAGGGAGCGATATGGCCTCGGCGATGAGCGAGGTGAAGGCGGTGGATACGGCGCCCATGCGCTGCATGTACTCAGTGAATACGGGCCGGAAATTGGGCAGGATGGATTCCGAGGGCCATTGATTGGGTGCGAGGAGGTTGTAGTAGAGTGGCGCGTCAGGTGCTGGGATGGGGTGTTCTGTTGAGAGGTCGATTTGCTCTCTGTGGTCGACCTTGCCTGCAGTGATCTCGGCAGAGAGCTGCGAATAGCCGAGGAAGGACTTTGCATTCTTCATCTCGATCTTAAGTCTATAGCGTGTTAGTCGGTTGACTGAGATGGAGCGAATATAGGCAGGACTTGCTTCTCCTCTTGTGGTATATCAAAGAATCCTCTGCCTTCCGTAATGACTTGGCTGAACAGCTCATCTGGTATTCCCACGTTTTTGAGATACAAAAACCCCACTTCCATCAGAACGTGTCGTAAGTCGGCGAGGAAAGCTGGTTTCGTTGCAGGATCCCCGGCTAGGGCCAGGTCCAAGATTGGGATTTCAGTAAAAGACATTGCCCAGGTCCTGATCGCCGTTACCTTGGGCCGATGTGAGACGTTTCTCAGTATGGAGGTCAGTACAGCGCTAGCATCAATTTGACATGTGGAGCCGCTGGTGTTAGGCCAAAGGTTGTAGCAAGTATTCGCGATGGGACAAGATAGCTGTTCCAATAATTATCTGTGTATGGGTGTGTCTTTACTTCTTTTACATGCTCAAAGATGGAAGCTCTGCCCAACTATGGCGTAATTCTTAGATCGGCCCACTCTACCCCACAGTTGCACAGTTGCTGATCTCACTCCCTCACGTGCAGCAAAGCCTATACATTAACTCGATGAGCTCGACGAGTTAACTCCTTCCTCGGTCGTGACGGTAGTTTCTCCGGTCTACCGTCCATCGAGACCTTCCATAATGAGAGGCATGAACTCTATCACCACGCGGCCGACAATACGCCAAGGCACCAAGTATTCAAACTGATTTTTCGGGATTGGTCAACTCAAGCTGTTATAGTAGTTGCTGGTTTTGACGAGAAAAGCTTCGTGACCTGGTTGAACATATCCTCGATCGGTGGCATGGCAAACGCAGGTGCGGCATTGAAGAGCTCTGCGAGTTTCTGAGGTGCAACAACCACTGGGTAGACACCATCACCCTCCACGTCGTTTTCAGCGGCATCAAGTTCCATCTCGTCGCCGCTGACCACGTCCTCGTCTTCATTGATAATAACCATGGGCTGATCTGCGTCTTCCGTTCGCGCCTCCTCTGCGTTATCCAGATTTATGTCAGCCAGCGGTTGAGCGAGAGCGATGGATCTTGGATCTGTGCCTTGGGTGATAGACCACAGTTGTGCTCCGGAATCGAGGACGAGGAAACCGCTTGAATCGGGCGCGGCCATGACGGAAACGACGGCGAGTGGGAACTCGCGAACGATCTCGGGTTCGCATTGGTCGGCGTTGAAGACTGCCAATTCCGACTCCACAATCCCTTGCTTGTTGGGGCGCGAAATGGCCACCACAAAAGTTCCAGAGTGGTGATCAACAGCTAGCTGTGACTGGAGCTTTTGTGATGTAGAAGCATTGGCATCTTGATTTAGACGAATGCCATAGCTCATCTCGTCCAGCACAATGCTGTACACCACAATATCTTCTGAAAGCACGACAAGGTTCGATGCAAGAATTAGTATGCCCTGCACATCTCCGTAAACCAAGCCATCGATGGAGTTGACGACTTTTCCAGACTCCGCATCAACGATGTAAACGGTCGAATCGGGGCCATCCTTAAAGGCACAAGCCAATATTGACCCGTCCTTCGAGAATGAAACAGCACCACTCCTTGCCGTTGTCGCGTTCGAAACAGCGGGGCCGGACCCAGTTGAGGCTTTGTTCTCCTGAAGATATACTTTTTGAGAGCACACCCAGCTCTGTAGGCCGCGCCCAGATCTGCTTTTGATAACAAGGCCGTCTCGCTGTCTGGTGGCTGGCTGCCAAATCCGAACCACGCCATCCTCGCCGATGGTGGCGAACTTATGTGAACTAGGATCTGCCGCAAGATCGAGCACGGCCTCACTGCGACCAGTATAATGTGGTGCATTGATTCGCGAAACAAGCTCCAGCGATTGCTGTTTCGGTTGCTCTTTTTGCTGGCCCTTTGGCTTCTCCTTAGACTGTTCCTCCGTTGCAGCAGGGGTCCAGAACTTAAGATGAACTTCCCGTCTCGACGATGGCAGACCTTCGAGGGCATCGGTATCTCGGGGTGGTGGCTGCCACTCGTCAACAGTTGCAAGCCATTTCCCGTCGTGTGAATATGCCAAGTGAGTGACTCTTGGTTCCGTGATGGCGTAACCTTTTGGCGTTATATTGACATCCGTCGGGTTGGTTCTAGTCATTGCCTGTTTTGCAATACTTTGGTTTGTGCTCAGATCCATGGTTTGTAGGAGTGGTGTCGACGCCACGGCGCCAGCTTGACTCATCTGCTGCCCATTACCTACACACACAAGAAGGCGTGTCGAATCCACGGGGTTTATAGCAGCGGGTGTCCTAGACACAAGGGTTGGTGTCTGAGCATGGCCTACCCGCGCAACAAGATTGTCCTTGGATCCAGGCGTGGGATAAACCAACGATTGAACGCCAGATACATAAGCTGTCGGCTTCATCTCAGCCGTAGACAAAACCATGGTGGAGTTGTCATCCAAATGGACGATATAAGATGAACCGCGTTTCGATATCACAATATTCTCAATTGATGCAGAGAGATGGGGAAGGACATCACGCTTGCCGGTGTCGAGTTGCCACTGAACTAGGACAGACTCTGAACCGCCAGAAACGACATAATTTCCTGAATTGTCAGCTTGGACTCCACTCATGACTTGTATTCATCAACATACCATCTTGGGACCATTTGACAGCATGGACAGCTTTGCGATGCCAGTGGAACTTGCGAGGTTGCAGTCCGTGGCCTCGATTATCGGGGGCTTGCAGCAGACGTAGCTGGTGCAGTAACAGATCATTGTAGCAGAAAATTGCACCACGAGCACATCCTACAACGACGTCAACGACCATTTCGTTGCCTGCCTCGTTTTGGGACCTCCTAGTCAGGTGGATCCGTTCTGTAGCTCGCATGTCCAGACAGGTGATTTCATCACTGCAATCAAGGATGAATATCTCATATACCAGGTCGCTGAACGAAGCGCAGGACACAGACTTCAGTACCCCCAGCAGTAACTTGTCCTCGGCAGATGCCGCAAAAGCCCGGCCATTCTTCACAGAACAAAGGTTCTCTACCATCTCCTGCCGCGTGATGAGTACTTTCGTACTGCCCAAGCCCTGGCCCTGAATGTCGCAAGCCTGTATACGCCAGCTGTTGTCTACCACGATAGACACCAGAAGAATGTCTCTTTTTTCCCCATTGATCTCAATACTCTCGATAAGTAGGTCGCTGAGGAAGTCGCATTTGAGCTTGAGGAAGGATCTGGTCCCAGTGGTCCAGTCGACTACCCAGATTCGACCGCTGGATGATGCCACCCACACGAGATTGGGGGTGTTCACTGAAAGGCGAGCTGCAATGACCTCCTCACGGACATCGGACTGGAACGAGATTGGTATAGAAACCTTGCGGATCAAGAGAGAATCGAGTGTAGAGAAGACTTGGATGGAGGTGTTGTACGCCAGAATCAGGTGTCTAAGAGATGTTAGTGGGCTTGTTTCGTGAATTGGAATTAGAGATGGCTACTTTTCATCATCGGTCATAATTGGATCGATATCGACCATCCTGCCCCCCATGGGCTGGGATACCTTCCACGGTTTGCGCGGGAGTGTCTTCGAGGTCCTGTCCTTGTTCCTGGCTCGCTTACGTTGCTTTTTCGACTCGGTAACGGTCACGTTTGGACATGGAGCAGAAGATTGCGTGTTACCCTCACTTCGGAGGCCATTGGCTTCGTTTTGCTTCGTCCTGGACTTGTCTTTCTTCGCTCGCTTTCTCTTGGCATAGTCCTCTTCTTCTAGCTTTCGTTTGCTGGCGCGCTTGGCCTCCTGAGTATCTGTCAGCAAGGTCGGGATTGAATGACTTGAGTGTCCATCACTGACCTCGAGTGCCGTGGAGGGAGCCATGTTGGAAATCGTTGGCTATCCTGGTTGTAGTCGAGAATCCCCGTTGGCGGTTTGGAAATGCTTGCAAGTTCAAATCACTTCAACTTTTCGGCTTGCAAAAAAATCACGATAAGGCCCCACCAAGAGGCTACGATAAGAACTTGGCGTGAGTTCTGCTTAAAGAACACAGGAACACCCAATGGATAGCGCAACTGTAGTCACACAATAGGCACTATGCCAAATTCAGGAGGCCATTGGCTTGTTGTTGTCATGAGAAGGGCTGGATTGGTTTGACAACAAGCAAGCAGTTCCATATCGAAACTGCACGGGTCACTGAAAGTCTGGAAATATATTTTGCCCAACCTCCGGTTAGTGGAGCTGATATAAGCTTCTGATTGGCTTTGGATGGGCCCGTGGCCGTAGTTCTCAAAGAATTTTGAGCTGCGCATTCATTCGCCAGACATCAATTTTCAACGCGATCGCATTCTCATAACCACCAACGGCACCGATTGCATTCTCGTGGAACGCTCAGTAGAAAGTCCCATCGATAAGATGATTATCCCTATCAGATGTTTCTCGTGCGGAAAGGTAGTTCGCTCCTGCTTCCAACCTGAGTCTAGAGATTCATGATACTGACAGGTACTGGCAACAGGTGACTGGAGATCTCTGGGAGCGATTCCTGAAGCTTCTGGATGATGGCGTGCAGGATGGGTTCGTGGGACCGATAGTATTTACTAGAACACAGCTGATAACTGGATTAGCGATGCCATGGATCAACTTGGCCTGAAGCGATACTGCTGTCGACGCATGATCATGACCCACGTTGACCTGATCGAGAAACTGCTGAAGTAGAAGCTCCTACTACCAAACCAACTTCTCCGGGGAGCTGGTCGCGTGGAAATAATCTTTTGCTAACACTGAAAAAGGTACACACCTGACGGACGTAACGACAAGAAGATCGCGTTGGGACAGCGATAAATAACCGAGCCGAGTTCTTGTTGGTGGCTGGCGGAGCACGAATCCGAAGCATTGCATACCATGGCGTTGGAACAAGCGATTTGCATTTGTTGTTTTGAGTCAGAGGGAGTAACCAGACGCAGGCAGGGATATTAAGCTGAGTAGCAACACTCACTGGTCTTGGCAATGAGGAAAATCCTCGTCGGTTGAGATGAGTCTGCCTTGGGGGCTGAATGCGCGACCTGGAATTGCTGTGTAGTCCTTCAAGGCCATGGTCAGATCGTGGCCGCAGAAAGGTAGACATTCAAAGTCCATATGAGGAAATACCGGCGGCTATTGTTGATCGCCAGACCGCTTCTGGACCAACAAACGCCGCCACGAGGCTCATGCACTATCTGGCGTGTAATAAACTAGGTTACGCCATTCTCGACCAGATTTCTTTTTGTACTTGTCGGCAACAATCATCACATCATGCGCAGAGTGATGGCACAGCTAAGGAAGAAGGGTGTGCTGGTTCCTGTTGGCATTATCCAAGTTCTTCTTTCATCTCGAGCAGGGGTAGATTGTGGACGGATTTTTGGAGACAAGACTTCTTGTCATCGCAGGCGAGTGCGCCTCGGGTCTGTTGAAGGCCACCGTTCTGAACTACAATAGAAGGGATGCTACGCCGGTCAATGGCAAGTGAGTCATGGCCAGGGCTGTTTGCTTTGCCGGGGGATGGTTCTGCGATGGGAGAGGACGCGTGTGCAGCTGTCTGTAATGCCTGTTCTCTTTTCCTACCGAGGGTCTCAGTTGCCGGCGAGGACGAAGTATCCACGAAATATCCCACGGCTTACTCCCTCCCACTAGATAGATAGCCGCCATCATAATCGCTCATCCGCGGAAGGTTGTGCGGGATACCTCTGTGAAGTCATTGCATCCCCATTCCTGATACGTGTGTTGTGTTATGGATCCGGATGGCACGACGACCTCTCCAAGTACAATCGGCACTAATTGACACGAAATGAAACCCTACTGCTGTGAATGGAACCCATTAGGAGGATTTTGCCCTTTCCTGGCTTCAGAAAGGCTCACGCAAGAATATCTAGAGAAGAAAGCCCCCGACACGTCTACGATACATGAACTAGGGCCCGAGGGAATGGGAAAGTCGCGTCAATGCCTGCACTTACCAGGGGCAGGTTGTTGGTCGACAACCAAAGAGCATCACACCAACACGCCATAAGGTCAAGGATCAGCTAGTACTTCCCCACCGCCGCGTCTGTGGAGAACTTCCCATGTTGAGAAATTTAACCGTCAAGTCAGGTGGCACGGCGCCTATGCAAGTAGTCTCGCAATCCACTCCTCGGTTCAGGGATGTTGATGCCATGTTTTTCTTGTCGGGGAATGATGTCCGACAGGATCAGTGGAGGACCGAGGTTAGAGCAGGTGAAAGTTGACCTGTTATCTTTTCATGCTCAGTCTAATGCAAAGAGCGAAAAATGAAAAACGTTGTGTGATATCTGGTAGGCTGGCAGGCTGGCAAATGCTGGCAATTCAAGCTCCCGAATTCTAGCTCGGTAGATTCTTCATTACAAACGCCATCTGCCTTATGCTGATGGACCCCAAAAAGCTTAGATAAGTTCTAGCATATCACTGGTTGGGAGATGACCACGAATTCCTAGCTCTAGCAAACTGCCCTTTCAGTCGGTGAGCGTTCGGAACCACTAGCTCACGAACATACCTCGAGCCGCCTCGTAACAGCCGCCCTGGCGGGCAATTCGGTCCACTGCGGGTGAGGTGGGCCCGGGGCTTGGTCCGAAGATCACTGATAGGGTTGAAAAACTTATGGAGACTTCCTTCCTCATTGCGGAGAGGTGATATTCGTTCTGGAGACAGAACAACGCAGCAGTGTCTACCAAATCTGTTGGCTATTCTCTGCTGCTACTACATGACCGAATTGCAAATGCCTTCCTTCTTGGCGCACCAGCAGGTTTGTCGGAAAGGGAGTCGGTGAGTTCAATGCCGAAAATGTAGTTCTAACCTCACGTAAGTACCTGTTCGGCAAGACTTATTCACTGACACGAAACTGGCTAAGGTATGTTAGTACCTTACTGCCATGTTATTGCAGCTGGAGGAGGGAATCCCGTTGTCAACCGTTAGAAGGCAATCCCGGTACAGTCAACTTTTAAGCTACCGTCACGGCCCGTGAACGACATCCCATTTGGCCCCCACCTTTCTCCTCTTCCGTTCTCGGCTTTCTTTTTTGTACCAGTCATAAGTTGCAATCTTCATAATGTCGCCATGCCGTCTGAGCCGATTACATAATGTCGAGAAAATGATTGAGGATTACTTATTGATTGCGAAGCCGGGCAGCAAGAGTGATGAGAACCAGAATTGCAACTCCCGAGCCCGCTTCCACCGATTTTTTGGTCGGGGCGCGCTGATGGTTGCGACGTTGATCGGCCAAAGCCCCATTTTGAAATTTGCCCATTCTCAAGGGGCCTGCCCTGGCTAGTGCGGTTACTATTAAAATCACGTACCAGATCTCCGGAAACGCCATTGCGGGTGGGCTGGCTTGCTGGCTGGCTTGATAAATTTGTGCAAGTCTACAGAAATCGCTCGCATTTGATGGACTGTTCTCAGGCACACTGACAAGCTGGCGCCCATATCAGGCAATTTCAGAGATGCTTCGTTTGAGGCTTGCTGGGTAGTGTCGGAAGGAGCTTTCCCATTCCTGATGCATTTGCTATCACCGTGGCAGTACGAATTACCTCCCGATGCATATAGCAGACGGGCGAGCACGACACGGTAGACTGATCCGGAAGACAGCGGACAGAGCCGTTGACGCCACGTCTTATGCCGCCGCTTCAAAAGGGTTCCCAACCTTCGCGACAGCTTGTGTCATTGGGTCTGTCCAGACGTCTGCCACCTCAACCGTAAACTATCGCCCCGAGGAACATGCTTGTAAGCTGCTGTGTGCCGGGCTCGTTGGGCTAATTGCTATGATCCGCGTTGTAGTCAATTTACACACCCCAAAAGTTCGCAAGCAGGAGTGCCATCCGGAAAGGCTGCGTGTGACTCGTTGGTTGAAGCGAGCCACTGCTGTTAAGCGCCGAAGCCCATGTCGGCTTCATGCAGTCCATCCATCAACACCATCAGGACCCTTCCTGCCTTTCTCTTACTGGCCAACATTGCCAAGAACTGGTGCCTTCGAGCAAGACGCGCATCTGCAGCCTAAAATGGTCCAGCAACTCGTGAGATGGTTTTCCTTGCATTGCATGCCACCAGCGAAAACAGAGACGCAAGAGTCAGCCATTGCGGCCCTCAATCGCACCCATCATCTTCCTCCCGAGAAGCAAACAAGAGTGATTGAGCCGCATTACGAGCGAAAGGAATCGGGCGGACAAGTCGATTCCTCTCATTGGTCGCATCATTCCTTTATCTGGCTCTACCTCCAATACCGACGCAACACACCCATACCATACCGAGCTCTCTCCATCAGTGGCAGGAATCACAGAGCTCTGCTGCTGTCGTGTTCGCCTGCTCGCAAACGAGGACCCTGGCTGCCCGTGTCGGCTGAGTACGAAGCAGCTCTATTCGTTTCAGGTCCCTGTGGAGCTCCCGCCGGCATCTCTGGGTTCAAGGTTGAACCTCGAGTGGAGATCAGTTAGATCAGCCCCTCATTGAATAATCGAATAATCGCCTTCCTTCACGCCGACCTTTCGATACTTCCCGCCAAATCGCTCGAGAGCACCGCAGCTTTGTCCAATTGCATCTCATCGAAATTTGTGGACTGCATCGACTACTGTTATAACATCGTCTGGCACATCTAGCCCAACGGTGGGTCACAACGTCGCGGCGCAGTCAGTCTGTCCAAGCTTGGAGCCTCGTTCTTGGTGCTTTCCCTGGAGCATTGCGGAAGTGGTCGCTATAAGCATCATATCACCCACCTCTTGTCCCTCGAGCAAGCTTCCCTAGAAGTCACGCGCGCCAGGCCACTCCTACCCGACCGCCTGCAAGAACCAAATCCTGCCCGAGCTGCAAAGACCTTTTACTAGCGGAACCCAAATTCACCAGCCTAGATATAAGCGCGCTCTATGGGGCTTTGAGACCTTTGTGGCACCAGGAGACGCGATATAGCTAGGCTTTGATTCTGAGCAACCCAGAAGGTCGACCGGCAGTTCGAACACTACGTACCAGCTTATTATTGCATAGCCATGGCCCTCAAGGCCCCATTGAGGTCATCAACAGGAAGTGTTATATCCGCATTCTCGCCATACACAGAGATGGCCATGTCATCCCCCGACTCGCCGGCTCTTCATCAACAGTTCCGCCCAAAGTATGTTGTGTAGAGCTTGAGCTTCAACTCGGCCAGTTCAGCCGCTGATTTACATAGGTCGGCCAACTCGTTCGAGTCCAACACCCTTCGGCCCTCCTCCGCCGCCGCTGCTCGATCATCGTCTATGAATAACCACTTGATGAGTCCTAGTGACACTGTTGGGCCCTCGCCCGTCACGTCGGTGGGCACCGAAGTGACTGAAATCGAAGATGAGGCCTCGGATGATGCTCGGCTGCAGCAACAAAGTGGAGGGCAAGAGCCCCAGGTTCGTGACGAATTGTTTGACCCATGTAGTATGCCTCTGACAGTAACTAGTTACTGATGCTCCGCACGAACATACCGGACCAAGTACGACATTCTGCTAGTGAGGAGGCGGTTTCTGTGATACATGCTCCTGAGAGCTTTCAAAGCTGGGTACGTAGTTTTATACATCTCTATGACCTGGAAGCAACCCTGACAGTGACTAAAGGCTTCATCCGACTCAACGATTCAGCCAGCTGAGTCAAATCCCCTGATGTCGTCGCCAAGGACTTCACCTAAACCAGACGAGATTAAGGTCCCCGCTCACGGCGAACACGCTTTGAAGGTATTTGTTAGTCATGAGTTGAGAGCTTTGTCATCCTTGTCCTGACCGTGAAAACAGCAAAGGTCACCTGGCTTGCCAACACCACCACCTATATCTACCGATGTCAAGCCGGCGAGGTTTAGCATGGCAGACGCTACTCCTCGAGCGCAAAATTTGCAGGAGGTGATTAGCGAATCCGCTAGGTTACGCTCCAGCAGCGCTAGTAGTCTCGAGCGTATGTAGTTCATTGCCTTGTGGTCACCTGTGAAGCCCTTAACTCACCCTGCCTTTAGTAATACCGGAATCGAGAGAGCCCGAAACAGATGTTGAACAGACGGAAGCCGATGACGAAGATGATTACGTCACACCGATCCGTGAAGAGGACATAGAGATCAGGTCCCTCAAGACAGCTCTTGCTGAATGTTGGACATTGTGCAACACGCTGGCAAACCTAAGCACACATCATCGAGAACGGGTATTCAACAGCTCCGGTACCCCTGATGGGCACGAAAAAGCCTGGAAGTGCTGCTGGAAATTGTGCCAACAGCTCTACGATAACCGAGATGAGGATGATGAATCTTACAATGTTAGGATGAACCTCGACCTTTGCCGCGATTTCTGCCAGTCCTTGTTCGACGTGAGGCAGAGGCAAGACGAAATTGCAGATTCGGTGCTGCGAGTTAGTTTTGAGCTAAACAATCAGTAAGTTGCGACCCAACTACTACATACAACAGTCGCTAATTACCGTTGCAGCTTGTACAGCGCTCAAGATAATCGAAACCTTCCCGAGGCTTTCCGGGAGAGGACGTTGGACTTTTATATCACGTTATGCCACCGACTTATGAAACAACGCGGTGAACTCGGCGAGGAGACCGATTCCCTCCTCCGGGCATGTTGGTTTTTGGCGGAGATGCTCTTTAGTCTGAGGCAAAATATGCGGAACGGAAAAGCTCCAGACGAGGAGTTGCTAGGATCGGCCGTACAAGCATGTTGGGAACTTTGTGACATCTTCAGGGAGGGATGGACCCAGGTTCGACCAGACAGAAACACTCCAAGGCCCACCCAAACAAGCTTCTTCGCACAACAGCACTTTGACTCGGACGGTAGAGCTAGCCGGTCATCGAACCGTTCAAAGCGCGAGAGTCTCAAGAGTGTCCCAAAGGAGAAACGAGCACCGCCTCCAGTACCCGAGACTCCAGTGACCGAGTTTGAGGACACGCCCATTTCGCCTGAGAGTCAATCACCGCAAGTGCCAAACATCTTGGTGTTGGGCACCGAAAGTAACAGGGGCGGTCGATGGTCAAGCAGCGCATCCCAGATGTCGACCTACTCTCAGAGCAGTCAGCGAACATCCAGTACTGCTACCACGGCAACCTCGGCAGAAGACCCTAACATTACACGAATAAAAACACTTATTCTCAAGGCAGCGATGAATGTCGGGTTCGCACGAAACGATCCAACCGCAAGCGGAGGTGGAGGCGGAGGAGGCTCAGGGCATAGTGGCGCCGCATCGCTGCAAGCATTCGTGAGGTCATTGCCACCAGGGTCGTTCGGATCTTTACCGTCGCACGCCACTATGCTCCAAAGCTACAAGAACCTCGTGTTGGCCGATTCTTCCTTCCGGCAGGCCTCATCGCTACCAACGCGAGGGAAGCGTGTGTCAGCCAGCGAGATGTCCAAGAGCGTGAGCTGGATGATACACCGGTCTGGGCAGTACCACTTCCTACGTGATCTGTTCAAGCTCGTATTCGGTTTCCACATGGAAGAAGCCGATACGAGGAAGAACGTCAGCATTGCTGTTTGATTTTTGTTTCTTTTTTGGGTCCAAGGACAGACACCACGACACCTAAAATACCTGTCACGCTCATATGCGTTGTCTATATAGAGGAGATTCGCCATAACATTATACTCGGGAGAGGGAGGTATACTGTCGTCATTTTCTGCAACAATTCAATCGCTTGATTCTTTCTGTTTCATTTCTGCCCCCTGCTCGAGATACCCTTTCTGGATGAATTAGCGGCGCTGCGGGGGAGGTTTGGGAGGCAATTATTTGCAAAACAGTTGCTATTCATATTTAGTTTTTCTGTCACATATGACAGTCTGGCTTGGAAGAGGACAGATAATCGTCCATCCCGTCCGGGTTCGTCAATATACGGGGGTTGCTACACGTATCCCAGTCATATTTAAGTACCTTGCTCACCCTTGGAGAATATTTCACAGAGGCTTCCAGTGCCCTCCTCGGACAAATCTATTTTACTTGCTGAACACAAGTCATACAGTATTAGGTGAAGTCATTGTGTTTGTTAATCAGGCCACAGCTACTGCGGCATGTCTTCCTAGTACTGGAATAATTCTATGTTGATCACGCTTTCTTCGCTTCTGCACATGATCGAAAATTTCTCCACACTCGACCTCGAAATCCAGCTCGTTATGGAAAATCAAATGCCATGGATCCCTTCAGTAGTACGGAAAGATTAAGCTTACTTCGGATGTCTACACGGATGACCACCAACCATATATCATCTTGAAGGTTGATCTCTCATATGCCTTATCGTACGCCATACCTTATGCTTCGTTATTCTCGTCTACTATTCCCAAACCTTTTTGTTCAGAGACAAATCTTAACTGGAGACTGGGTATCAACCGTGCTCGCAGAAATATTATGACTTATGGCCGGCTGTGGGTGTTCATGTGTGATCACTGAAATTCGATTTTAAGTAAATTGACCAAGTAATGTCTATATTACAGTCCAGTATGCCAAGGTGTCGTGAAATCTAGAATTAATAATAGTATAGAGAATAGAGACCGTACCAAGTCTGCTGTGATGATTTAAGAAACGGTAGAAGTCTGTCTATGGTAGTGCTGCAAACACCGCTGGCATAGTGCAGTGCAGGCACTCACTGTCCTTGGTATGAGGCACCAACATATTGCCTTTCTCAAGTACAGAGAGACTATTTATAGTAGTATTGCTTCATTAGAGTGGGGGTATATCAAATGAGACGTCGGACCTAATCCGGCATATATACTAATTATAAGGGTTAGTATATTAGTATATAGCAGCACAGCACTAACTCACAACTGTGTATCTTTACTTATCTGCTACAGACTAGCCTCTTGAAACATTCTCTAAGGAAATACGAGATTGGTTGGCAAAGCTTGTCATCTCTGATTTCCTGGATAGAGCATAAAATTTAACTTATTTTGGAGCTGTGATATTCTTCGAGAACTGTTGTCCTGCACGCGTGTCTGCTCTATTCATACCCAGTGCTATTGTCTGCAAAAACTGAACACAGTTTGTGCACGTAAGTCTTTCCCAGTAAACACTGCTTTCAATTTGATAATATTGCAGAAGCCCGCAATTGCCATTCCTCCAAAACGAGTCACAATTTACTTCTTCGCCCTTAAAGCCTCCCACTCCGACTCAAGCATCCCCCTATTGATCATATTATGCCACTGCCTATTCAAATAGCACACCTCGCGCGCCCGTCCCTCGACCTTGAACCCAATGCTCTCGTACAGCGCCCTCGCCCTCTCATTGAACGAAATGGTGCTGATGGAAACCCCGTGCATACCAGCCCATGCGAAGGCCCAGTCCAGCGCCAAATTAATGGCCCCCCGGCCGTACCCCTTGTTCTGGTACTCATCGGAGATCTGAATTTCAATTTCGGTTCTTCTCCAGGATGTGGCTGAGTCCATGTTGTAGCCCAGCTTGGATAGGTGAATCATGCCTATAGGGATGGGTTCGGGTTCCTCTGCGTCCTTATTCATGGGCGTCCTGTCCTCCTCCTGCTTTACCGTCGTCGAAATTTTATCTTCGAATTCCTGGTCGGCCGATGCTGCTGCGCCCTTTTCAGGGGACAGACAGATGAGTACGGCGAGCAGTTGGTCAGACAGCCTGTTTTCTATGCTTTCGTTGTATGTCTTCCGGCACGCGGGCTTCAACATCATTAATGATGCCAGCCCGAAGTTGACTTGGTTCTGGAAGAAGTTCTTGAATATGAAGTCGTTATGGGCTGTGTTGTCGGTCTTGATGCTGCGGTAGACGAGACGTTCAGACCGGAACACGTCCCGAAGGGCCGACTGCATGGCCTCCATGGTAAGTAGCTAGATAGTATCAATGGTAGGTAAGACCAAATTGAGAGAGGCTTCAAATTGAGCCGTACATGTAATGTGAAAGTGCTGGTTCATGTACTTTCCCTTGGAACTCGCAGGATTTACTTTGCTGGCGCCAGCGGAAATACAGCTTCTCATTAACCGCCCCATGTGTAGTCCCCTTGCCTCCTTCTTAAGCCGCACTGGGGTTTTCTCTGAGTCACCATCAACTCGCATACATACGGCAGCCACATATACTATTCTTGCTGATCTCTAGGTTGGGAAAGTACATATGACTGCGAATGCGACAAATGCGAGCGGGGTCGATAACGGATAGTACGGAACAAGCCTATAATGAATCTGGGATATGATTACCTGATCACTGTCCTTATTAATTATACAATATGTGCTGGTAGATAGAGCACACCGAGGTGCCCCCTCATTCGCTTCCCGGATCCGAATGTGGTAGGTAAAGGCTGGAGGGACGACTCGGCGTTTGTTGGCCCAGGTATCCTACGAGGCACTCGACTGACTCATGATAAGCTGCGAGATGCAGCGCGAGTGTGTTGATAGAACGGCCGGCACCTTGCTTACCAGCTTTGCATGTGGTCTAGGTTAGTGGTGACAGAAAATTGCATACTACAGCCTACCATATCTAAAGAGGACGGGCTTGCAGTGACGCCAGGTGGGAATGGAATTAGGGGGTAATATAAGGCTGGACTGCTCAACAAGTGCATAATTATGGTACTGGCTGTTGTGGGAGGGCCAGGCTCAAGCAGTCGTTAAATATAAAAAACTACTAAACAATGGCGGTACAAATAAGCGGTTGAGACAAGACAAAGGCCGAAGTACTGGTATAACATAGCAGGCTTGCGCTAAACTTAGGGTCTCCATGTGCCCGAAGTTTTCTGTCACGTACCTCATGCACGACTTTGCTAGGCTTGCAAGCCTACCCGAAACACGAGCACCGGTATCATGTTTTGACATAGTAGAGGGGTAATCCCAGAAGCATTTCTAGCTAGTCCATGAACAATCTGGGCCCTGATGGGGTCAGCTCCATTGACTGCCGCCAACCAAGTCTGAGATCCGTTGGAGACAATCCTGTTGAGGCAGTTCTATTGGCGAGAAGCTGCAGCTGTGAAGTCTGATGCACTGCGTTTGCTCGAAGTGCCGCCGGCCACGTAGTTTGGCCCCCTTTTCAGCTATTCACCGTCATGCAAGATCCCTGAGTTCAGTTTCAGAAGCCCCGCACACGTCATAGCCTGTAGCGTTTCAACTACCCTAACTTAGCAGTCAGTCTATAATGAGCCCATTACCTGCGAGCTTACAATTAGATTTCCTCGCCTTCTTCCACTCATGTCAAGTTAACCAGACACCAATACGGCAAAGTACAAAACGTCAGACTACCTTTCAATAAACCCAAACCATGTCCGGCTACGGCAATGACAACGATGGCGAGCGCAGTGGAGAGAGACAGCCGGGTGTGTGAATTACCCCGCCATTGAACCCCGCCAAAACGAAGCTCCTTCGAGTTCGAAGTGTCTCAACTAACATTTAGTGAACACCAGACTTTGGCGGCAACAGTACGATATCCCCGAACCAGCCAGATTCGAACACGACCTTGTATACTCTGTCTAACAAGTAGCTACAGTGACACAGGGTGGCGCCTACCCCGCAGGCGGCTATGGCACAGACGATGATATGCAAGGAGCCGCTGAGCATGCCACCCGCTCCGCTGGTGGCTCTGGCGACAGCAGCTTCTTCTCGACTATGATTGGTGCACTGGGGCAGAAGAAGCAGAACTTGTCGAGCGAAGACGTTGATGAGGAGGGTGGGTTGAAATCCCAGAACATGTGGAGAAAGGGCTTAAAGCAATTGACATTTCCTAGATGCCGTCAAGCAGCACAAGAAGTACTTCAGCGGCGAGGATGATGGCCACGAGGCCGATGACAAGTCCATGGGATCGGCAGCCGCTATGCAGGCGTTGAAGATGTTCACTGGTGGAGGCAGTGGGAACTCTCAGGTACGAGACTGAAATAGGCTGGGTTCCAAGTGCGAGTTACTGATGTCATCCAGGAGGGCAACAGTCAGAGTGCATTCATCGGCTTGGCCATGGGTGAAGCTAGCAAGGTCAGTGTATGCCCCGCAGCACTAACTCATCTCGACTGATCACGTTACCACCACAGCTCTTCGACGCGAAGGCCTCTGAGGGCAAGGTCTCGAGCGAATCAAGCAAGGAGTCTGCCGTTTTGCAGGCGGGAGAGATGGCACTCAAAATGTACATGAAGAGCAAGGGTGGAAGCTCGTCATCTTCGTCTGGCCTTCTCAGCTTGGCGTCTAAGTTCATGTAGACGAGGACTTGAGGCCGGACATAGACATTTGGGACAAAACTTCCAAAGTGGGCCGAACAGCAACCGGGTTTGAATGAGGAACAAAGGTAAAATAGTCGTTCGAAAATTGATGCATTGACTGATACAGAAAAAATTCAGGCGAGAGAGTCTTGGACAAGACAAATCTAAGGGCTCGGTGGTTAGTATTAATCCATTGTGCTAGAGAAGGTTCATTTATGACCCTTGGTTCATCTTGGTTTTGTCTTCATAAAATATCGACCTGAAAACTCCACTGAAATTGATGCATTCTACAAAAAGTCAAGAAGTTTGCCGCCGCTGAAATAATATGGTAGAAAACGACACATTTATAAATGATATCATTTGCGATGAGCCTCGGCACACGTAGTTGACCTACCCCGAATTCTTAACCCCTCCCCTCACTGACAACAGTTCACCTAACCTGACATGGACTGAGTTAACCTATATGTATCACATAGATGCTAATCGTTTTTGTCTGTTCACACGAACCCATTTATCAGCCATCAGCATACCTCACCTAGTTTACCTGCATGTGATCGTAAAATGACAACTTCTCCTCAACACCCCGTCTCCTATAACGACCTTTCCCTCCCTCAACTTAAACTATTCCACCATCCCGCTTCCTCTCCGATCCCAACCCCAACCATCCTCGTAATCCTAAATCGCCCAGACCACAACAATGCTTTCACCGACACCATGGCCATGTCACTCGTCACAGCCTTCGGGCTTCTCTCCAAAGACCCCAGAGTCAAAGCCATTGTTTTCACCAGCGGCGACGAGCGCAACCGCGTCTTCTGCCCGGGCATGGACCTCGCCTCCTCTGTCTCCTCTGCCACCAAAGGAGGCGGCAATGCTGAAGAGAACGACCTCACGTCCGCCGAATTGGCGAAACAGAGGAACGCACACCGCGACGGCGGTGCCCAAGTCAGCCTAGCCATCTACCACTGCACCAAGCCCGTCATCGCAGCCCTCAACGGCCACGCCGTCGGGGTAGGTATAACCATGACGCTGCCCTGCAACTTGCGCATCGCCTCGTCCTCGGCGAAAATCGGCTTCGTTTTCGCACGCCGGGGTCTCGCTATGGAAGCCTGCTCGTCGTTTTTCCTGCCGCGCATCTTGGGGACCGGGCGGGCGTTGGAGCTCGTCTCCACGGGGAGGGCCTACCTAGCTACTGATATCGCGGTACGGGATTTGTTCGCTGAGGTCGTGGAGCCGGGGAAGGTCGTGGAGAGGGCGTTGGAGGTGGCAGAGGAGATGGGCAGGTTGACGAGCGGGGTTAGTACAACAGTCATGCGGGATATGATATATCGTGGCCCGAAGAACCCCGAGGAGGCTTTCGAGTTGGAGAGTAAGATTCTGTTTGATTTGTTCCGAGGGCGGGATGCGAGGGAGGGGATGAGGAGTTTTCTGGAGAAGAGGGAGCCTGGTTTTACTGGTCAATTTGATGTCGATAAGCCGTTGGTTTGGCCGTGGTGGGAGGGAGCAACTGACAGAGGCGGTGTCATGGCGTGGTTGAAGAGCAAGATCTGAGGGCAATCATATTATAAAAGCTCTGGCGCTGATAGCGTAGACCATATATCGGATGTAAGATTGGGTCAAGTTGCAATTGATGAGAGTGAGAGACCATGATGCTAAACGAGATTTTGTAGTGACAAATTTCAGCCAAAGCTGTAGTCGAATCTGGAAGGCGTCTAGAGAGGTATCTCGTCAACACACGTATGTAAAGCATCAAAAACAACCATCAAATAAGTAAAGTACCCTCCCCTTATATTTTCCCTGGACACCGATGCCGAGAACCGTTTCTCCAATGATGCAACACCTGGATATAAAGTCTGTAAGCCATGCGCCAAACCCAATTTTCTATAGTCTCCAGCCGTGCTGGACTGCACTTCAAGGCTCAGCCATATTCATCGACTGGCTGTGGCCAGAGGAGGCTGCACCACCGGCGTTCTTCTTCTTTTCCTTCTTGGCCCACCTGAGCCCACAGGCGTTGCAAAGTGTCTTCGGCCCACTCGGTCCTTTGCGCCATTCGGGCGAGTCAAGCGTGCCTAATCTTTCATCAGAACAATTCAATTTCCATGGGGTCCAGATGAAATAACTTACCGCAGTCTGTACAAACATACTCCTCGGCGACTTTGAGCTTCTTCTTCTTCTCCCCGGTCCGCGGATCCCGGTCGATAGGAATCGCGATGCCAGCATCACCTTTGACCAAAGTCGGACTGGCATTCCCTGTGGTGATTCCAAGGCTACGCTCTCCCTCGACATATCTCAGCCCTGTTAGCATCTCAATAGTATCCGTATGGGATGCGGCCTCGTATCTCGCCATCTTATCGCGGATGGAGTCGCGACGCGCACCAGCTGTCGCACCCTCCAGGTTCTCTCTCGTCAACGTCATGTTTAATGATGACGGTCTCTCCGGAGGTGGCATTGCTTGCGAATCCGCATTTTGGGGATTGTAGAAAGCCGTGCCCGCCGAAGATGCCATGCCTTCTGAAGGTGTCACTGATGGCGCGTCTTGACTCTCAAGCCAGCTCTTCTGGGACGCCTCCTCTTCCTCTTCCTCCTCACGCCGCAACTCCATGATCCGTCGTCGCAGTCTTTCGTTCTCTATCTTGTGCTCCAGGAAAGAGTCCAAAAGCTGAGCATTCCTCGTGGGATATGGCCGCGACATGACGAAAACAGCTTGGCAGAATGGCGTCTTGTTGTCGGGATTGGGAGCGAATTTGGCAGAGGCAATATGTGCATGGCCCACCGATTCGAAGATGGCGTAGCTACCATCCTTCTTTTTCAGTCGGTAGAACATGCGCAGTGAGGTACCGGTGGCTATCGACTCATTCATCTCGGATGTGAATGTGCCTACATCGTCTGGATGAATAAGATCCTTAAGGAAGGCGTCGACGATCTCGTCCGACGAGTATCCTGTCAGGGTTGTGACACTTGGCGACACATATTTGACCCGTCCATGCGCGTCTAGAATCTGCAAGAAGTCCTTGAGTTCCTCGACAATCTTGGCTGGCCAATTTCTGCGCTTTGTAAACTCGGTCAAGGTGCTGCCTCCAGGTAAGCTTGATGGCTGCTGTGTGGCCGCGACAGGGGTATTGTAGGTCGTATTCGTGGACGCAACTGGACTATCCTCAGCGTTGGACCCAAATCGGTCAGAATGAGCCATATTCTGGGTACTTGATGTGTCGGATATGGATGGATAGTGATGCTGCTGTTGGGCCGATGTGTCGTACGAGGGGAGGCCGTCGAGCATTTGGACTCCTTCAAAGTTGCTGAACATGGGGCTGTCAAGGAGCGCCATCATGTCATTTTGGTTCTGAAGCTGTTAGCCAGGGAGTCGGGCTGGCACCATGTGTCGGTGGGAGATGTTTACTGGGTTCATGCTGCCCGACGCATAGCCGAACATGTTGGCAGAATTTGGTGGAGGATCCATTTCGTAACAGCTGCGGCTTGAAACCTTCCTACTTGGGCGGGCTGCGATGGAGAAGTGGAATTGCCGATGACGAGGGGATTGAGGTAAGGGGCAGACTATCAGTTCTCATGTCTGCGGCAGGTTGTTCGGACGAGCCGGCTCTGTACGGTCGCTAGCGCAATGGCTGGCTGTAAAGAAATGGTCGCAGGTCCTGAAGGTAAGGACGGTGGAGGATGCGAAAGAGAAAGTGGGAGGGATGGGAATGTGGTGGATATTCCGATTTCTCGATAACACCAGGGATCGGCTTCTCAGCGAGTGCCATGTATAGCAAAGCTCATTAAGGCATTAATTACATACGACACAGTTCACTTGCTGGCCTTAGTGGACTAAAACGACACTATCAGCTTCATTTGGTAGCGTCGAGTGGGACCAAGTAAGGTAATGGCGACTTGTCACATTGAAGATCTAAGGGAAGACTTTGTGGAGGATTTATTCCCAAGCGTCTATGGGGGCATGCGATAACGCGAGACTTCTGTCGTGCCCCTAGAGGACTCGTTCGGGACTCTCGAGTCTGGTTTGGACTGAAGGCGCAGGTGGCCGAGAACTTTAACCAGGTCAGGTCGGTTTGGCGCAGGTTAGCTACCCTAGCAAGGTGGGGTCGGGGCATTCTTCAGTGGACCAGTAGAGGACAGGAGCTCCAATATCCGAGTGGTCGAGTCCGAAAGCTTCACGAGTCAGACCAGTGAACTGCAAGATCAACTGAAGTATTTGCGGACGCTTCCTCTTCCTTGGGTCACTGCTAGTGTTAGTTGTGTGTGTGTTATTACCACCACCCAAAAATACCTACGTAGATGCCGAACTGTGTTGGTGTTGTCTGTATTGGGACAGCCGATGCTATGTACAACAGTTGACTTGATGATGTAACTTGTAATACTCTGTCAAACAAGTACCCATCATCTAGATTTCAGGGAGCCGGATTTCACAGGGTAAAACATTGTGTTCACTTCAGCGGTCAGTCTTGTGTTCCCTCATTCCCTCAAGGTTAACTATGACCATGAAACTGGTTGCTGGCCAACTATCGGTATCCAACAAGTCGAGGCATTCAGAACTGCCAAAAGGTAAAAGCATGAAAATGATCTATTCAAACGAGAAGTATAGGGAAATGTCAAGTGATTATCACAATTGGCCCTTCACGGCAGTGTGCTTACTGCATCATCAAATTGCCTCATCAGATTGCCTAACGCATCAACTGAACTATTGGAGTCATGAAGCTACCCTGTAGCGTGCCCATGACTTTTAGAAACACATACGCCAACCGAAGTTTACGCTGTTGCAGCCACGAGGTCAGAACAAGTTGATCATACTGCAGTATACATATTCAGTTACCATATTGAGCGTCTGGAAGCCCAGCTTATGTTTCAACTTGCAGCTTGCTGAATCTGTTATCCACGCCCTGTCGCCCCAAGGTATTTTGTATCCCGAGAGTGGGTGACACCTTCCACCCGAAGCTCTGTCACCAGTTTGACAATCCCTGCCCCAGCTCAACGCGGGGTCCATCCTAGGACGTTGCTGCCTGGGGCCCAGCGCGTCTCCCTAGCAAAAAAGCTTCGAAGCGCGTTTGTACCTCATCTCACACCCATCAGGCCTTACAGACAAAGGGAATCCAAACAGCAACAGGAGAGAGGAATCGAGAGATACTTTGCATTGCATTGCTTTGAGATGAATGCATTCCAAACACCATTCCGTCGTACCCCTTTCTACCTATCTTAATCTTGTCCGTATCCTTTAGTACACGAACCACCCACCGGACCATGTCGAAGATCGACAAGCTCTCGATATCGGGCGTCCGGTCATTCAGTCCTTTAGGCCGGGAAACCATCCAGTTCAACAGCCCACTCACCTTGATCGTCGGCTACAATGGATCTGGTAAAACCACAATCATTGAGTGCCTGAAGTATGCGACGACAGGTGAGCAACCACCCAACAGTAAGGGCGGTGCATTCATCCACGATCCGAAACTATGTGGCGAACGCGAGGTACTGGCACAAGTCAAGCTTAAATTCTCGACGCCACCCGAAACCAGCTATGTCGTTGCGCGCAACCTGCAGCTCACCATCAAGCGGACCCAGCGTTCTATGAAGACCCTCGAGGGCTCTTTGATGGTCATGCGACATGGCGAGAAGAACACGCAGTCATCGAAGGTCGCCGAGCTTGACAAGAGCGTTCCCGACTATCTCGGTGTTGCCCCAGCAATCTTGGAGACTGTTATCTTCTGCCACCAAGACGAATCTCTCTGGCCTATGAGCGAACCGACCGCCCTCAAGAAGAAATTCGATGAGATCTTCGAGGCCCAGAAGTACACCAAGGCCATCGACAACCTCAAAGTCCTCCGCCGGAAACTCGGAGAAAAGCTCCAAACCTACAGGATAGAGGAGTCGACCGAGAAAACGAATAAAGAGAAGGCGGATCGTACCGAAAAACGTTCTATAGTGTTGCAAGACGAGATTGAGAAGCTGCGGATCCAGTGCGATGAAGCCAAAGAGCAAATGAACGCGGCTGCGCAAAGTGCCAGAGAAAAGCACGAGCAAGCCAATAATTTCCTTGGTATTGTCAACGAGCTGAGGATGAAAACCGGTGAACTCAAGTATCGGCAAGATGCTATTGAGGAACTCAAGGCCAACATCGATGAATTGGATGAGTCGGATGAGTGGCTGGAAGATACATTGGCAAAGTATGAGGACAGTGTCGGCCGGTACGAGACGGACCTTGAGGAGAACAAAGTGCAGTATGGCGAGCATCAACGAGAACTACAAAAAAATCGGACGGACCACGCACACCAGTTGGCAGAGCAAGGCAAGCACCGATCCGACAAGGAAAAATACGAGCGGCAACTGGCCTCTCGGGTCGAATTGATTCAGCAGGCGGCTCAGACCCATGGTATTCGCGGATTTGATGGTCAGTTAGACGATAGACATGTCAAGCAGTTCAATGACCGAATCCAGAAACTACTCAACGACAAGAAGCGCGACCTAGACCATCTGCAGAAGGAGAACGCTGAGGAGGTCGACAAGAAAGCTGCGGTCATAACCGAACTCGAAGGCAAGAAGGCTTCTCAAACCCAGGATCGATACTTGGCAAAGCAGAGGGTGGGTGCGCTTGAGAAGAGGATTAACTCAGTCCAAAATGAGCTCAACTCCTTGGATATCGACGAGGGCGCCAAGGTCCTGTTGGATGCTGCGTTGGAGGATCTTGACAAGCGATTCTGGAAAGCCACCGAGGACTTACAGACTGCTGACTTGGACGCTAAGATGCGGCAAGAGAGCAATGAGCTTGTGAAAGTCGAGGCCGAGCATGACAGACTCGGCGAAGAGCTTATGGAGTGCACGCGACTCGCCCATGATCGGGCACAACTAGATTACCGAAAGTCGGAGCTGTCTCGTAAGAAGCAAGAGCTTGCCACACGGACCAGTACATGGACAGATAAATTGGCATCCATGATCGGCGATTGGACACCTGCTAACGTCGAACGAGAATTCCAAACTGCACTTCAAGTCCGAACCAGGACTCTTGAAGAGGCAACGCGGAAACGAGAAGACGCCGTTCAGACACTGAGACAGGTTCAATTCTCCTTGACCAGCACTCGCGAGAAGCTTCGACGGGGAGATGAGGAGCTCGAAAGATGCAGGTCGGCTGTTCGGAACGCACTCAGGGAAATCAATCCAGAGAAACAGCCTATCATAGAGGATCTCAACATGGAAATTGAGAAGCTGGAAGAAGAGATTCTCATCTTTGAAAAGGACATCAATCTTTTTGACGAGATGGATGACTACTACAAAAAGTGTCAGAAGACCCTCAACAAATACAACAAGTGCCAGCTTTGCGATCGCGTCTTTGGCGATCTCCACGAGAGGTCGAGGATCGCAAAGAAGATCCAGGATGCCTTGAGCGGCGAGCAGAAGGAAAAAACTCGTGAAGACCTAGCAGTCTGCGAGGAGCAACTCGGACAGCTGCGTGCCGTCAGGCCCCAATTTGACACATGCTTAAGACTATCTTCGGAGAAGCCTGGGCTTGACAAGGAAGTGCAGATGCTGAACGAGAAAGAGGACCAAGTTACGCGAATGCTGGAGGAGTTGGACCAGCTGGTCAACCAAAAGAAGGAAGACCGACAAGATCTAGAGTCCATGACGAAGACGATCACTTCAATCTCACAACTTCACCGCGAGATCGAGGAAGCACAGACTCAAGTGGATCGGATTACTTCTCAGCAGTCGGCCTATGGAGAGCTCCGCAGCGCCGACGAGATAAAGGAGTTGCAGATGAACTGCACTGAGCAGATGAAGTACATAAAGAACCGGATCAACAAGTTGCAGGCGGACAAGCAGCGATTGAGAGACCTCGTAAACTCTTTGGAATTGGAGAAAAGCCAGATGCACAATAAGGTCAGCCACGCTGCCAGGGAGCTTCAGCGGAAGAAAGATTTCCAGAAGCAGATTCAAGCACACAGAGATGACATGAGCCAACAGAGAGATATCATTTCTCAAGCCGACAAGTTGTTAGAATCCGTCGAACCTGATATTGCCAAGGCACGAGCAATTCGGGACGACACCCTCCAGAGAGGCCGTGCAAAGGAGAAGAGGGTAGCGGATGAACGTGACGAACTAGCCGCCTCCGTCAATGAACTCAAGATGGTTGAAGCCGACATTCGCGACTATCTTGACCGCGGAGGATCCTCGAATCTAGCTGCCAACGAGCGAGCCATCAAAGCCCTCAACAACACCATTAGCCGTATTGAGACGGACATGAGTGAGCTGACTGCGCGGACCAACAAACTCCGGGAGGATATCAGCAACAGTAGCCGGAAGAAAAAGAATATTCAAGACAACCTCAACTACCGGAAGAACCTTCGCCTCGTCGCTCAGTTCGAAAAGGACATTGAGGTATTGGAGTCGCGTAATGCGAACGAAGACTATGAACGTCATTACGCCGAAGCTCAACATTTCGAGACCTTGCGCGACAGGCTCAACGCCGAACGAGGCGCTTGGATGGGCGCCATGAAGACGAAAGATGAGGAGTTGTTGCACCTGCTCGAGGAGTGGAAGACTGACTACCAAGACGCCGCTCGCAATTACCGAAAGGCGCACATCAATGTGGAGACGACGAAGGCTGCCATCGAGGATCTGGGTCGTTATGGCTCAGCGCTCGACAATGCTATAATGCAGTACCACTCCCTCAAGATGGAAGAGGTGAACAGGATCGCCGGCGACCTTTGGACGCAAACCTACCAGGGCACTGACATTGATACAATCCTGATTCGGGCTGACAATGAAGCGGCCAACTCGACCAGCGCTGTACGCCGTTCGTACAACTACCGTGTGTGTATGGTGAAGCAAGACACCGAGATGGATATGCGCGGTCGCTGTTCAGCTGGTCAGAGGGTTCTTGCATCCATCATCATCCGTTTAGCGCTTGCCGAGTCGTTTGGCACCAACTGTGGTCTCATCGCGCTTGACGAACCAACGACGAACCTTGACAGAGACAACATCAAGGCGCTCGCCGAGAGTCTGCACACCATCATCAAGAATAGACAGGCCCAGTCCAACTTCCAGCTCATTGTCATCACTCATGACGAAGAGTTCTTGCGGCATATGAGATGCTCGGATTTCTGCGACACATTCTACCGGGTCCAGCGCAATGAGAACCAGAACAGCACCATCAGCTTGGAGAGTATCACAAAAGTTCTCTAAGTATTTGTCTGGTATGGAGAAATCAGCGGAAAGATCGGTCGGGGAGGGAAATGATGGGAAGTTGGCATGATATTGAGCTTGAACTGCATAGCATGGCGTTTGTTTGCTAGATGGCAAAGCATAGGTGTTTGATTTTGCTTTGCTATTTACTTGATGGACGGAGTATGGATGAATTGTTATACCACGGCATGGGCCATTACGATTTGATAGGCACAACATGCCTTGATTTGGCTATGGATGAAATAATGCCATGATGCGACTGAGAAATCTCCCATTAAGATGGTGGTTTCGTGACAGCTTGTCAGAAGTGAGCACCCTCTGACAGCCATTTCGTTCTGAACGACTGAAATCTCTTAAGCCACAGTTGGATGGTGAATGTTGAGGATAGGATGAGATTGACCATCTAGTATTTAATAAGTACTAGAAAAGACTAATACCAAGGATAGTATTATACTCTCTGGTGGTTGCGAACTGTGAAGTTTTGAAAGCAAAGATTACTATCAGAAGTTATTGAGTGCGAAGGCCGAACTTAGCAAAGCGCACCAAGGTTACCTAACATTAGAGAGATGTATTAAGTTACACATAGTATAAGAGATTCGTTGTCGTGGAAAGCTGTATCCAGAGCTATCCTATCCGCAAACTGACAACAGGCTAGCATTTGGGAGGAATAGGGTTATCAGAGAGTAGCTGAGTAGTGGCAATATCAGCATTCCGGTTTCCCTACACCAAATAGTTAATGATCACACTTTACTATGATTTAATAATCGGAATATGCGACATAGGCATAGCCTCAAATCTCCATAACAGCCGGATGGCTGTGGGCAAGCAAGGCATAGAAGCGAGGCGAAGATCGCATAGGGGAGCGATTACCTTGCTACAGGCGGCGACTGCAGTTGAGACCATTGGTGGTTGAAATATTAACACAGAAGACATCTTAGAGGCCATGTAAAGACAGTTTTGGAGAATTATAGCTCGCTGCATTTTTGGTATCTAATTACTTTCCGGTTGGTTAGAATCCTGTCCTAGTAATTCCCACACTGCCGGTGCAGAACCAAGTGCACGCGTTGCAGGTGTGATGTAAAACTTCGACATCATGAAACTACTAAGGAACTCCCAGAAAAACCTTTTCCGGATTTCCTATCCAGATCAATTTCAACGGCATATAGGGAAAATAAAATAGCCACAGTGTCCTAGAACTCCGGCTCGAGCGAATATTGACTCGAGTCTAGACGCTGAACGCCTCGAAAATGATGGAGGTCCTTTCCTTCGTTGGAGGATCTCCGCGTCGCACCATGTTGGCCAACGGGTATGGCAATTCGCATGCCCACCCGCTTTCTCCCAGGAGAAAGCCATGATGACCGGATATCAGAGAAAATGCAAAAGAAAGTCGTGCAATCATGCCGTTTTGTACATCTATAAGTTCGGTTCGCGCTCCTTTCGCGTTTAGTCGATGGTCATCCTGCTCGGTAATTGCGGCTGCTTGACATCGTTCATCGAGTAACTAATTTGATCCTTGTCAACCTCGTGTCGCGAAGTAAGCAAGTGTTGTTTCAGGCCCGCTCCGAAGTTCAATATACAAACCATCGCGTTGACGATGGTCATGACAATGAGAATGATGGTGAGGACGGCGAAAGTAGTCAGCGACTTCTTGACCGGCTTGTAGTCTTCCCTGTGTCCTATGTCGTAGATACGCGACAGCTTGAAGATGAAGTAGGCAAGACCGCCCATGTACAGGAAGATGATGAAGACCATGCCCCATTTCCATTCCCGTCGAGTAAAGAACGCCGCGGCCAGGAGGATACCAATTGTGATGGGGACGGCTATGCAGGTCGCGGTGAATTCGCCATCGGTCTTGCCGCCAACCACCACTAGGAATTGGACCGTGAAACCGATGAAGAAGAAGAAGTCGAATTTCAGAAGGGCGATATAGATCTGAGGCCAAGTCAATTATTTGCGAGCTGGACGTGGAAGATAACAAAGACAATATACCTGATAATGCAAGAATCGCTTCTTCATGCGGTAATCGGCTCCAATGTGTTTCAGGATATCCCAGGCGAATTCCTGGTAGAGTTTCCAGGAGAGCAACCCCAGGCCTAGAGTGCAAACACCAAGAACGCAGGGAATGGTGATGAGCAGCGGCTTAACTTCATACCAAATGTCGGTGTCGAGGACAAGGGCTCTGTCGGAGAGAATGGTGATGGCTTCGTGGATTTGATCAATTTGAATGGCCGTGTAGACGAGCAAAGCGAGATTGGCGATGCACAGGCCAATAACCTGGATCGTATTCTTCATTCGCAATGCATCCCACACGAGAATCAGTTCATAGACGAAGCCAAAAATGAACAGGCTGAGGAAGGTCGGGATGGTCTTCAACTGAGATAGGACATCGGTGTCGTCTATATACGGTGCCGTTTTCAATTTTTCGTCATCCAGACTGTCGGTGAACTTGGCGAAGACGTAACCCTCAAACGCGATGCACACAACGGCCTGGATGGCTGCGACAATGAAGAAGGCGCGTGGCCATTTCTTCTGGAAGAGCTCAGCAGTGCTCTTGGCCAAGCTGCTCGCTCGGCTGCTTTTGCTCTGTGCAGCCATCGGAGGGAATGCGTCGTGGTACTGCTGCTGAGATTGGACGGGTTCGGGAGGATAATTCGGTTGCGCTGAATATTGGGGATACTGAGCGTAAGTCGATTGCTGGTCTACAAAGCCTGGATCTCCTGCAAGGAGGGACCGGCGCGAATCTTGTCTGAAAGCCAGGACGGGCGGTTGGGAAGCGACTCCTCGTAGATGAGGAGTCGAAAGCGCACTCAAAGGCGGGATGTTTTGTAATTCGGGGTGGATTGGGGGACGGACGGGTTCGGCAAATGGCTTGGCCTAGCTGTGGTGTGTGGTGTGTGGTTTGCGTGGTGTGGTGGTATGGCTGTCTCACGTAAAAGCGACAAGGTGCGACCGGTGCTCAAAGAAGGACGGAGAAACGAATGGTTTGCTGCTGGTCAAAAGTCTGTTTTGAGCCCTCAAAGCCGCCTTCTTTTGTTTTCTGGTGTTACGGTCGACGATGAGGTAAAAGATATGAATGAATGAGAAGACAGTTGTTTGTTTGTTCCCTTCTCACAGCATGCACGCTGAAGCCGTGTTGGGTAGGCTGAAACAAGTCGACAGGCTGACTGGTTTGATCAGTGGCGAGGGTGCTGGGGCCTTTCGATTGTTGGACTGAAAGAATTTGGGCAGGGAGTGCAGTAGGATCGCACCGGGGGTTTGGGGGCTGTTGTTGCGAGTCTCACAAAGCGCCTTGAGACCCGTCAGAGGATCTTCGACTGATCAGCCCAGCTTTTGGTTGTTGGTCTAAACGAGCGGCAAATGACGAGAAAGGTCAAGTCGGGGGGTCCGTATTCTACGCCGTCGCTGTTGCTGAGTGCAGAAGATGCTCTTGGCGGCTTTCTAGAGAGCGGTCTGGTCCTCTTGGGAGTATCGACTGCCGTAAATAAGAAAACAGACAACGGAAAAGCCCAGGCAGAAAAAGTGAGGGTACTGTCGAGAGACTCGATGAGGCAGTGGAATGGGTTTTAAGAGTTGAAAGGATTGTCTATGAAAGCACAACTGTGACCAGACCGACGACACGAAAGAAAAATGGGCAGTGCATCTGCTGCTCCGCGCTGCGTGGTACCAGGCTGAGCAAAGGCACCCCAGGCATCCGTGGGTCATATCTCTTCTGCTGGTCACTGATATTAGTGCATCGCGTGCTTGCTTGCGGGCGCCCTTAACAGATCTACTTAGGGAGGGTCTCCTTGACCCTGGATGCCAATGCCGATGGGAAAGCTGGGACTCGGGAGACTGTCCACTTTTCAGCTCCCTACCTCACCCCACCGCGATGCTCACCCAAATCCACGGGCCTAAATTGTCGATTCCACGTTTGCAGCGAGTCCGAGGAAAGCGCAAGAAAAGCCTGTTTAGGACGGATGCGGCGTTGACCTGTGTAGGGCTGGACATCTGGAACAACCTGGGGAGGCCTGATGTTCTGAGAGACTCATAGTTGGCAAAGCTAAAATATTCGACCTGCCGCTATTCTCTCAGCACCGCCATTGTAGAAAGTGAACTTTGCCTGCAATGTATGCGACTTAGTTGTTGATCAAATGTCGCCCAACTTAGGAGGTTCAACTTATTTTTCTCCCTATACTTTGTGAAGTCGGGAGGGAGCCGAATCTCATGAGACGTTATCAATCTAAGTATTGACGGCCTAACTTGCGTTTTTCGTAGGTTTCCCCAGTCCACGACGTCCGATTTGTTCAGAAACAGAGAGGATCTCCCTGCACCAATGATGACATTGATGACACTTGCAGCATTGCTGTCCAGAAGTGTGTACGTGAGAGTCGCCAAGATTATGCTCGGCCACGGCCATGTCAAAACTTCCTGCAACTCCAAATTATAATTGATACAGTTGAGACCAATTGGCTGCCGTGCGAGTTGAAGAAAGAATTGTCATGATTTGAGTCTATGCATATCGCCTGGCGAGTGATGATATCGAATTAGTTAATCCAAGTTGCTCGACGTGAGGGCCCTCGGATGCCCAGACGGGAGGAGAATCGTGGTAATATTGAAGGACGACCGAATGTAGCAGTATTCAATTGTTGAGAAGCCGCCAAGAACCCCTTTCAATTACTCGATTGAGTTACATAAGTGATGAGTATAAGAATCATCGACGTCCACCAGTATGAATATGAATAGCCCAAAGGAAATCACCATCTGCCCCCTGCCCATGTACGTAGCTGCTGGAGGCCGGCCGCGCCCTCGTCTTGGCACGTTGTTACAAATAACGAGATGCGGAGAAGTCGATGTAATGAGTTGCCGTTTCAAGGTGTAGCAGCAGCTCCATTCTCTTGTTGTGCAAGGAAAATTATGAAATTGCATCATGAGCACAACAAAAAAGTTGGACAAAAAAGTATGGCAACAACGACACTCGTAACCTGTTATTAGCCTGGCATGGCCTCCATTCTACTCCGGAGGGTGGCTCATGTTTATATTTAGAATGTGGAAGATTGGTTTGCAGATCGAGCCAGAAGATCGTCCAGTAGCCAGTAGCAAGTACGAAACTCAGTTGGTGGCCGACGAGATCTAGCTCGCGGAGATTCCCCAGAGAGATACCGACACGTCGAACTAAGCGGGTCTGGATATGCTGCGCAGTACTTGCTGCATGAAGGCACGAGAGCCGCACGGGTAGGCCACTTAATAGCCTATCTTCACTATCGCGTCAAAAACCTTAGCTCCAGTACCTGAAGCGCAACAAGCAGACAGGCTACGATTCGGTGAACCGTGAACCGCTATTGATCTCATTCCAACATTGGAACCCAGCCATCATATCATTCAGTGGCCCACGATGATGGAAGTTGACGAAGACGACATACTGCGTACTGTCGCAACCGGCGGCTTGATGGACTAGTGAGCAAGCCGCCAGCTATCAACTACGATTAATTGCGCCTGATTCTAACCTTTTGTCCAACAGCTCCGTCTGGCCAGCGCTTCTTGCACGAATCGTGTCACGAATCGACAAGGTACTTGATAGACACGCCTTCCTTTCAGGCACTTAGAGAGCGTCGATACTGACTAGATGAGCAGATCGCGCATGAGGAATTCCCTATACCGCAGCTGCCCACGCCGCCAGCCAGCGTGATCCCGTCTTCCATTCCGAACCCCGCCAACCAATCCGACTCGGAGGACACGGAAAACTTCCTGGCGCCCCTTCCCTCGTCACCCATCGAACCCGAGAGCACGACTTCTTCCCAAGACGCAAATAAGGAAAACACTCCCATCGCGCCACGCATCAGCGCTGCGCCTACATCAGCACCCACTGCCGTCGCAGCGCCACTCGCCCCGGGCGCTCTACCTCGGCAGATCGCCGCTCTCTTGGCCGAGATAACGACGACACTGACGTCGACGTTTCCTACATACCCACCACACACCATCCAACGGCTAGCCGAGCTTGTGCTGACGCCCAAACACCACTACCGAACCCTCCCAACGTATCTACATGCCCTGGATCGCGTCGTCCATGTCACGTCAGGTCTCAATGTCTACCCGCTGCCACCCGCAATCCCTGATGCTTCGACCGGCACCTTGCTCTCCAATGGCATCTCGGAAGCACCCGCCCCTTCGCCCTTCGCCACGCCTGGCAGCGACGAGGCGCTTGGCGGGGCTCTGCTCACCCCTATCCCGTGGCTACAACACGCATCACAATCGCAGAACCTTGCAGGTTCACCACAGGCCCAATCGGACGGTTCGCCCTCGTCCGATCGCCCACCCACACATGTTAGCAGCAGTAATGGAGGCGGTGACAATCCCGAGGGTGAACTGCGGACCGAGAGCACCGAGACCATCGATGGCCCCAACGGCATGGGCAGCATCGAGACTGTAACCGTCACTGTTAATGGTGTGCCTTCAATGGGAGCACGGGGCGTTGGTGTCACGCAAGGGGAACTTTTACGACAAGAGCAGCGAGCTGGGGTCGTTCCCATGAGCCAGTTGACGGCAAGCCATCACATGATGCATGCTGCCCAACAACGAACCTCTCCAATGCCCCCTAACACTGAAGGTGCGGCTGCGTCAGAGAGGGAGGAGACGGCCGGTGGAACGGGGGTACGTGACGATGCAGTAGCAGATGCTACACCAGCAGACCCAAGTGTCGAAGAAGACGAGAGACCCCATGCCCGCGGACCAGAGGAAATCGGACCGGAAGATACCGGTCCCCAAACTGAGAGCAGTAGCAACACCAACTACGTGGGGGGTCCAGGGATTGAGATGCAGGGCATTGATGTCGAAGCAGCCGTTGGCCGAAAAGCTGCCAACTCACCTGAGGCAACAAAGAAAGATGATGCGGCCGACAGAATGGAGGGCTTGGAGGCGACCAAGTCTCTCAGCGAGAGAACGCGATCCTTGACGCCTAAAAGGGAGGCTGAGGACGAGCTCGAGGGACCAACCAAGAAGTTGAAAGAGGATGTTGATATGGATGTGGACACGGCTACGGCGGGGAAAACTGCTGCGGGAGGGCTAGAAGGCAAGGGATCCAATGATGAAGCAAAGGAAGGCGTCGACAAAGAGGAGCTGGATGTGTAGAGCAACTCGGCATTCTGGATCAACCGGGCATATTCAATTGCCCGACTTTTGAATCGAGCACACAGCTGAATTTGGCTGGTTGGTTGGACGGCGTCTTTGTCTCGTTAAATAACAAGGATAGGGTGTAGGAAGGCACGGAGAAAATAATTGAGATACCATGGCCGGATGTTGGCTTGTCCCTGCTCTTTAGGAGGATATGCGTCATGAACGAATGCTACGACTGCGGCCTCAGTCTGACGCTTTGGTATCTAGCCTTAAGGTGAAGTCGGATGTCTCTATACAACCCCTATTCGGTCATCAAACCGCCCAGTTCACTCAGGATATGTTCACCGTGTCAGAGATGGCATCACGCTACTGGCGACCTCGACAATCATCACGTTCATTGCGTGATAGTTGGAATGGTATCTATGAGATAGGTCTACTCCAAACTTGATGTCCTATCTTCACAAGTGATAACCGGGCTGCTGAATATGTTGGAGCATGACAATCAAGATGTCAACAGATACCTTCCCCTTTTGCAGATTCGCTATGACTACCCAATGCCTCGTCCTGGTTAGTTTCTGGTTAGCATATATCTTATGCGGAAACGTTCGGTTACCCAACTTAACTAAACGCATTTTCCACAGGTAATTACTGAGAGGGACCACGCTTGCCCCTTGTCAATGCCTTGTTATAGTACAAACGTAATTTAGCTGGGCAAGCTACCTGGTCTTGTAGCCGAGTCCGGATCATGAACCTTGCTGTACGGGTGTTCTCTAGTGCGGTTTGTTCGCATTGCTCTAGAATTTGGATCTGTTCCAGGTGGTTCAGCGTTCTTTGCAATGGAGATCCCTGGGAACTGGTAGAATCGACTGGACATATGTCATATGTGGACTCGATGGGCAAGAACTGACGGTGGGGTCAATCCTGGTTATATGCAACTACATGAGAATGTGGCATGGGGCTTTTCTCTGTGATCTTCACTGGAGTTTAGCCAGAGACTACATTATGGCGTCATAATTTTCATAATGCACACACGATCGTTTGACGTGTTTCAGATGTACATTTCTCCCTACAGCTGACTGGGGAATACATACGATGTTCCTTTACATCGAGGCTCATCTCGTGCGACCAGTCCCCCGAGAAACCAGTCGGTATGCCAATTTCATTTTCTTCGTTTACAGCCAGTATAACTCTGGATTACCTATATACACAGTTCTTCTGCTTAAATTTATGAGAACGTTGATGAGGTATTTAGAGGCCGGGCTGTTAGTTCGATAGAGTGCTGGGATGCTTTTCTCCTGGTGCTGTATAAACCCAGTCATACCACCACGAGAACGGGTGACCACGTAACACGTGGCTTGCTCCGGAAATAGCTATATGCGGCAGCTGCTGGCCTGGGCCATACCTTATAGTACCTCGAGGTGGTTGGTTTTTTATTCTAGGTATGAAATACGTTGCATACATCTTATGCTCCATAGGTAAATGCACAGAGTCTTACAACTTGATGAGTATTTACTTTCATGGTAGCAGGTTATTTCTAAACGAAATTTGCTTATGGATAACCTAGTGGAAGACTGCAGGTTGTCGGCTCAACTTCAGGAGAATGAGCACTATTTGCATACTGTTTCCCTTAGACTCCCTTGATGACATCCCGACAATGAAGTTATTGCTTGTGACTACGGGGTCGATTAGTAACAACAAAAGGGGCTGCTATATGTGGTCCCAGCTTGGTAATACTATGTGCCTTTAGACCACTCGAATATATAAGGAAGGGCTGCATCTTAGACCATCTCGTTATGAATCTCATTACGACATAACGGTCGAGAGACCGTGTCAATATCAATGTCATACCGAATATCTGAGTTATTATATGCAGTAATCGTTATATGCAAGTCAGCAAGTAGACCTATCTCACTCAAAGCTCGCTATAATACGTTGTTGATCGGGTGCCAAGCTGTGCAGAGAATACAGTTAGTTATAAACACCTGATTTTGGCTGGAAAAGAATACGAAAAAGGCTCGCTACGGGTCATGATTATTAATTGAAGTGTACGCTTCACAGGCCTTGAATTTCTAGTATCCTCGATGCTTTAGTCGTGAGAGAGTTCACAATCTCATTGCTCTCTTGAGAAACGAAACCGCGGAGCACACAAACTTCTGCGTCATTAAGAGTTGGTGCAAAAGAGCATCATTATACTCAGTAAAACCCCTCGAAATACACTAACTTTCAGCTGTAGTCTGTGGCTCATGCAGCTAATCAACTAATGCCGTGACATCACATGAGTTGGTAGTTGGCAAGGTCCGTAGGTCTATGGGGAGTAACATCCTCCAGGATAGCAAAGGTGGCACAACGGGAGACGCATACCCTGTAAGTCAAAACGAAGTTGCCAGATACTACATAGTGCATCAGTCATGTTCATCAGCGGCGTAGCCCCATTGGGTTCCTTGCGTCTCAAGTTATCGGCTGTCAACTTTCACATGAAGGGCTAGACCGTACAGCCAAGATTGAATAGTTCCAGGTTAGACAATGCCACGACCCCACATCTCGACATGGGAAAACCAGTTGAATAAGCGCCCCAGGCGGTCGCGCGCGACTCGATATGGGCTGACCTGCTTTTATGTAGCGACAAGGATTGTCCAAGTTGCATTATATTGGAATGTTGAGCTGACATTATGGAGGTGCCAGTGGAAGATGACAGACATCCACTCAGGGGCCTGATTTTTATCAGCAAAAATCCGGAGAAACTAACTGACGACAGCGTCTCCTTCGATAATCGTCTCACTGGCAACCTGAAAGGCATTTGCTATACTTCAATCCGCCTCATAGGCAAACTCAGAGATTGGCCACAATTCTATCCACCGTTCTTTATGCTCATTCACTGTCATTTCAAGGTGTCTCTAACCCCGAGTCATTGTTGACGCGAGGACGTGCATCACCATGGGTTCTAGTGAGGTAGTACAGACGGCATACCCGCTCGCGCAGTTTCCGGTCGCCACGAGCGCAATTATAGTTATTCTGGTTTCAGGGCTCTACCTCGCTTATCAATGGGCGCTGCCAAAACCGTTGCCGGGCATCCCCTACAACTCTCAGGCCGTGAAGACCATCCTCGGCGACGCAGCTGAGGTCCGACAGATCCGCAAGAATGGCGGAAGCCCCCGCGGCTGGTTCAACGAACAGGCTAGCAGACACCGGAGCCCGCTCACTCAGGTGTTCCTCGCGCCGTTGTCCAAACCGGCGATCATCCTCTCGGAGTACCGGGAGGCTCAAGACCTTCTTCTGCGGAGGAGCAAGGAGTTTGACCGGTCCCAGCGCAACTTGGACGCCCTGGCCGGCGTGGTCCCGCACCATCACATATCGATGAGAACCTCAGATCCCCAGTTCAAGAGGAACAAAGAATTGGTCAAGGACCTTATGACCCCTCATTTCTTGAACACCGTTAGTGACGTGAGACCGCCCGTTCGACTATTTTGATTATTGACTTGACCCCAGGTTTCCGCCCCACAGATTTACAGACATGCGTCCAAGTTCATTGAGCTCTGGAGATTGAAGGCGCAGATGGCGGATGGGCGTCCGATTTTGGCCGAGAGAGATATCCATGTCATGGCCTTCGACATCATCAAAACTGTTGCCGTCGGCGAGGGCGACAACCAGAGCATGACTGACCTGTACGTAGAAACCGTACGTTCCAGCCCTTCGGAGCAAATGGGAGTGGGCATCGACAATGTGTTTGTGTTCCCCGAGAACAAGTTCCACGAGGACCTGGAAGCTCACGAACACCAACAAGGCGCCATCGGCTCTTCTGCCATGCAGCCTTCGCCCAAACTGTACCACCTAATCCACAACCGCAAATCCATCATGCGTGAATGCTTTGCCCTCAAGATAAACATGCTGCGAAAACAAGTTGCCCTTGCGTTGAAACGCCACGAGGCCGGAGAGGAAGTCCAGTCGGCCCTCGATTACATGATTCAGCGCGAGATTGCCTCAGCCAAGAAAGCCAACAGACAGCCCGTCTTCGACTCGGCGCAAATGTTCGACGAGCTGTATGGCTACATCGGCGCGGGACACGACACGACCTCGACGACTCTGCAGTGGGCGCTGAAGTACATGGCCGTTCACCAGGGCGTGCAGCAAAAACTGCGCGAACATATCCGCACTGCATTTCCCACAGCCTGTAGCGAAGGACGCCAGCCGACACTGGCGGAGCTGATAAAAACGCAGGTACCGTATCTCGAGGCCGTCCTTGAGGAGGTTTTGCGTCTCAATGGCCCCGTGCGGACGGTTATGCGCGAAGCTATGGTTGACACTACCGTCCTCGGCCACTGGATCCCCAAGGGCACGCAAGTCTTCATCAACCTGGGCGGAGCCAGCATCACGTCCCCTGCGTTCCCCGTCGACGAATCGCTCAGAAGCGAGAGCGCCCGGGCGCACCCCGACACGCCTAGCTCATGGGGCCATGATAATCCGGGGGCCTTCGTGCCCGAACGCTGGATCAAGACGGAAGACGGGGCCGAGATATTCGATCCGCTGGCGGGACCCTTCTTGTCTTTCAGCTCGGGCATACGGGGCTGTTTTGGTAGGAGGCTGGCCTATGTGCAGCTGCGTGTCGTCATGACGCTCATGATCTGGAACCTGGAATTTGGACCTCTGCCCGAAGAACTCAACTCGTGGGAATCTGTTGATTCTTTAACGACGAAGCCGGTTAAGTGTTTTACTAGGCTTTCGGTGGCCAAATGATGATTCAATCTCAATCCACTGGCTCATCCACATTCCGCACAATGCCATTGAAGACACGATGTCCATAGACGGACGTGCCTCCGAGACAACCGGTTAGAGTTGCTGGTTTGAGATTAGGGAACTAAATCCTACATCCCTTGAGGGAGTGCACTCTGACCCCAATTTGAACTAGCCGGTATTATACAAGAACAAACCTGGGATACCCGTTGACGATTAGAAAACATACCGAGTACCCTGCAGAGTTTCTGTACACGTAAAATCGCCATGCCAAAGCCATGAACGCCGTTCATTTTCATATGAGACAAAGGTGTTGTTGGTGCCTCCCCGTCTTGCGCCGTCCCGTCGTTTGCGGGGGCTGCCAATGGCGTTCCCAATAGTGGGGGACTGCCAAGCCGCGGCATCCCCTCTAAGTTCAAGTGCCCACCGCCGACAGGGAGGAGGGTTGCAGGGGATGTCCATTCAGCATCATACAGGCATCTTGTGCGTCCTCGAGCATCTGTCATGCATTGTCGTGTGACCCGGCTTGCATCATCATAAAACGCAGTTAGAAGCCGCCTGCCGAGTCGCACACTATTTGATCATATCACTCCTCCGATGTCGGACGCCCCCTCCTGGAGAAGTCGCTTTGGAAAGAAAGGGTTGTCTCATCAAGAGCTGACGGGATCCCAAGGCGATATTGAACCCATGCTTTTCCTGTCAACCTATGCCAGGCTTTACCTCGAATGGCAGTGCACCCACATCATCTTCGACTCCATCAGCGACCTAACGACCAATTCGGAGCTGTGTCGGCAAGGCGGAAGCAGCACTGCCTAAGGAACTCGCATTTGGGCCGCTGGGGCGCCTTTTATCGGCGGCGGCGGCCCTGTCCCAAAGTTCCCCAAAGTTCATTCAGATCACACAAAAATCTCTGCGTCAGACTGGCCCACTCGCCTCAATACAACAGTTGTCAGTCGACGAATTAGCATTCGGCTTCGTCCTGAACGACGGCCGCTCTTGGATTAGAAGTATGCAGGTGGGCTGGGCCGCGCTTGTGCATGTTGCTTGAGTTGCCTTTGTGGACTTGTGGGTGTCATGCCACCCTGGTTGTTCACTCTTTCCTTTGTTTACGACTGGTTTGGAATTTTCCCTTTCCTTTGTCATTGCCACTTTTGTCGAAGATCTTCTACGGTGGTTGGCCGTGGCTTCTTGGCTTCTCCTCTCTATACCCCCGAGTTGCGGTCTTCTGTTCAGGACCTCGAGGACGAATCGACTTTATTCGTATACTTGGGCGTGACGCGATTATACCTCGAAGCTTCTGCATTTCCGAACACCACGCATAGTCGTCAAGATGACGACGGCGCACAATGCTCCCAAACTGCCGTCGAAGCAGCTGGCGATTCTCGGTAAGCACGATGCCTATTCCTATCTACAACCGTAGTTCTTGAACGAGCCCTGTTTCTTCATTTGAGGAGTTCGTGGTTGGATATCTCTAGGCGGGACGGGAGATGGCCCGCCTCCGACTGGTCGGCATTTCCAGTATTCTATTGTGTCGCTCAATATACTATGCGTATCCCTCGCACCGTCTCGCGTGAATTCTACCCAGGATGGATAAAAGTATCCGTCCGTTCGTGATGATTATTTAGCCGCGTGATCGTTGAGCTAGTGTCGACGCACTCTCTCACCTGGGAGCAGGCATCGCAGAGCAACTCGAGTGGGAATGATACTCGAATATCATAAACACACATATATACATGCAGCAAGCAGCTACACACCATCAGGTACCATTCCCTCCAAAACCCACTCTGCTAACCTCAAGACAGCCGTGGCAAGATTTGCCGAGCCGCTTGCGATGACATCCGTTTATCCCTATCTACCAGAGATGATTGCGAGCTTTGGTGTTGAGAAGAAGGACATTGCTAAATGGGCCGGTCTCACCAGTGCCGTGTTTTCGCTAGCCCAGAGCATTACAGCCGTGCCGTGGGGAAGGGCTTCCGACCGATTTGGGAGAAAACCAGTCATTATGACCGGACTGCTGTGCACAATGGTGTGCTTCTTAATATGGGGGTGTAGCACGTCGCTCACCATGGCTATAATTGTTCGAGCAGTCCAAGGGGCGTCCAACGGAAATGTCGGTATCATCAGGACCATGGTGGCCGAGATGGTTCCACAGCGGGAACTTCAGCCAAAGGCCTTCTCCATCATGCCGCTTGTTTGGAGCATCGGGTCTATCTTCGGTCCTGCATTTGGAGGCTTCTTTGCCAACCCGGCGACGCAGTTTCCGGACGTATTTGGAAACAGTACTTTCCTCAAGAAATTTCCTTTTGCATTGCCTAATATTATGGGATCTCTGATCTTCTTGCTGTCCCTGACAGTTGGCACCCTTTTCCTGAAGGAGACGCTGGAAAGGAAGCGTCACGTTCGTGATTACGGCCTGGTTCTAGGCGAGCGCCTGATGGCCCCCTTTACCAAACAAAACCACCATCACCACCACCATCACCACAGGCGATATTCGTTCCAGGACGACGAGATGACTGCTCCGCTTCTAGCAGCCAACAATGACCACCACGCTAGACAGAGCCACGACCACGAAGCGAAGACGGACGTGCCGTCGTCGCCGTCGATGAAGGCAGTTTTCACGCGCCAGACTGTGATCAACCTGGTCTCGTACACTTTCCTAGCGTTGCACAGCGTGGCCTACGACCAAGTGTTATCCGTGTTCCTCAACTACCCCCGCCAACACCACGACGCGTCCAACACACACCTCCCCTTCCTTTTCTCAGGCGGCTTCGGCCTCAACTCGGGCCGTATTGGCACCATCTTCACGCTGTACGGCATCATATGCGGCCTCATCCAATTCATTCTCTTCCCGACGCTGTGCAGCTACTTCGGCGTGCTGAACTGCTTCCGCGGCTGCGCCGTCACTTTCCCCATCGTATACGTCCTGACGCCCTGCACGACGCTCATTGAGGACGAGACTCTCCGGTTCGCGGCCTTACTGGCAGTTTTGATCGTCAAGGCGTTTGCTGTTATCGTGGGGTTTCCGTGTACTACGATCTTGCTCACAAATAGCGCGAGTAGTCTGAGTATCCTGGGTACGCTCAATGGCTTTGCGACGATGTTTTCCGCGCTGGGAAGGGCGGCGGGACCGGCTATGACGGGCGCCGCGTTTACTTGGGGGGTTAAGCGGGGCGCTATTGCGGTACCTTGGTGGATTTTGGCGGCTATTGCCAGCGTGGGCGCTATTCAGGCGTGGCAGATCGAGGAACAGGATGGGCCGTCTCGCGCCGCTGATTCGGATTCGGATTCGGATTCGGAGATGGAGAATGGAGATGAGGATACCGCGGTAGAGCAGCTGGAACCTGTCCGAAGGACTAGCGCTATTGTGTTTGGTAACGGCTCGGATGAGTTGCGTCCCATGGAGAATGATGCTATGATTCATGAGCCTACGGCACGGGATGATCTCCCGCTTTTGGGAAGTACGAAGAGCTCCAGTAGGGGTTTGGTGGATTATGGGAGTATGACGAGGCAGTCTTCGGACAGGCGGTAGATCTCGTTTGAAGAGGGCGCTGGCCGGGAGTGAAGGACGACAAAGGGTGAGTATGAGTGCGAACAGGGGGTGCTTGTGGGGGTTATCAATGTTGACGACGGATGGACTATCACATGTTAAGTCGCATGACTGTGTGTGGCATAGGCGGCGTTTACGGGTTTATCAAAGGCTACCATGTCTGCTTACCAGTTCGTTTGTTATCCCTTTGCTGCATATCCAGTGAGCACATAGAGATTGTTTTGTGGTAATGGATCGGGTTGAAGCGTTTCATATGATACAGTGGTGTAGCTGTCTGAGGTAGAGAAGATTTGATGACTAAGGTGCCGATGCATTAGGTGAGGGTGGTTTGATAGGAGCGAGACTGCCGGCCATAGTTATTACTCTTTGTTCATTGGCGTATTTCCCAGATTCCCCTATACGTTGCGAACTACCTAGCCTATCAATGTGCATCTATGCACAAGGTTTAGAAAGGAGCTGAAGCGATATGTGACGAGTTAAATCATCTGAGGAACGCGTCGCCCGGTCGTTCGAAGGGAGGTTCGAATTCTTATGACTTCATAACCGCACAGAGCTAGCCATTTGGAAGGTGCGTGTTCCCTCAGCCCGAGCTGTGTGACATTGGAGCAAGGCCGTCTTCACAATCTTCTTCGTTATCTTTATGGTCATCGTGAGATCGTACTAGAATTCGTTTTAGTCGCTAGCAGATATGGTTCATACAGCGGAGAGTTATAATCTATATCCATGTCGTCCATGAGTTAGGCCACAGCTATTGACTGCGTTGCAAACATACGAAGTATTGCCAATAGGATGGAGATATGAAATATGAAGAGCATGGGGCCAATCGATGCCCTTGATAAGCAGCACAGTCCCTCAAGCCCCTGTCTCGGAGTCGGGGACTGCGCCGGCGATTCCCGCCAGTCGCTTCCGAACTACGTCGACGGTCGGGTCGCGACGCTCCAGAGATAAGCTCGAGGTTGCAGCACGCAATATACCTGGAGCTTCGCGAGCTACCGTTACCCCACGAAGTCCGGAGCTGAGCTTCGGAACCAGACTTCTGAAGCTCTCTCATATTAATCCATTGATGAAAGTGAGCTCACACCCAAGCTCTTCAGTATAATGGGAAAAACTACGGCAAACGAGACGACGCCTCTGATCACTACGGTGACGGTCGGTCCTCCGCGTCGGCGCTACCCTCACCAGACACTGAGGCGGCTCTGCACTATTGCTCTGAGCTCCTCCCTCGTAGCTCTGCTTCTCACCTTCCTGGTCACGGTTGTATTTGCACCGGCGCGCAGACATCACCATGCGGAAAGTCGTTTGACATATGAGGAACTTCAAAGTCTACTTCTTGACACGCCAAGTGCTGAGAAGGCGTCGGAGTGGAGCAAGTATTACACTTCGGGGCCGCATCTGGCTGGAAAGAACCTTTCGCAGGTAACGAGACTCCTTTATTCATTTGTGCGCAGTACTTCAGGCACTTACTAACAACGTAACCTCGACGAAATAGGCTGAATGGACCAGAGACCACTGGGACGAATGGGGGATCGAGTCGGAAATTGTTGCATACGACACTTACATCAACTACCCTAGAGACCACAGGCTGGCTTTGCTGGAAAAGCCCAATGCAGCCTCTAACCCGGAGGCCTGGAAAGTGGCCTTTGAAGCAACGCTGAAGGAGGACGTGCTTCCCGAAGACCCTACGACCTCGCTTACCGACAGCATCCCCGTCTTCCATGGTTATTCCGCGTCGGGCAATGTTACGGCGCCTTTTGTCTACGTCAATTACGGCACTTACGCCGATTTCGAGGATCTGGTCAAGGCCAATGTCAGTCTTGAGGGCAAGATCGCTATTGCGCGATATGGCGGCATTTTCCGAGGATTGAAGGTGAAGCGAGCTCAAGAGCTCGGTATGGTGGGCACCGTCCTTTTCAGTGATCCCGGTGACGATGGCGAGGTCACGGAGGAAAACGGGTACGAATTGTATCCCGACGGACCGGCGCGGAACCCCAGCAGTGTGCAGCGAGGAAGCGTTCAGTTCTTGAGTGTCGCGCCTGGTGACCCGACTACACCGGGGTATCCTTCGAAGCCAGGGGTTCCTCGAATGCCGGTCGACGGTGCCATTCCCAGCATCCCGTCGTTACCCATCTCATACGTCGAGGCTATCCCGATTCTAAAGGCTTTGCACGGCTATGGCCCCAAGGCCGAGGATTTCAATGAGTACTGGACCCGCAACACCGGTCTGGGGTACAAGGGTGTTAAGTACAATATCGGACCGTCGCCTGACAATGTAGTCCTGAATCTGTACAACGACCAGGAATACACCATCACACCGCAGTGGGATGTCATTGGCATCATTAACGGCACTATCTCGGACGAAGTCGTTATTGTGGGCAACCACCGTGACGCCTGGATCGCCGGAGGCGCAGGGGACCCCAACAGTGGCTCGGCCGTGATCAACGAAGCAATCCGCAGTTTCGGCAAGGCTCTCGAGTCAGGATGGAAGCCTCTGCGAACTATTGTCTTTGCGAGCTGGGACGGCGAGGAGTATGGACTGATTGGAAGCACCGAGTGGGTCGAGGAGTATCTCCCTTGGCTTACAGTTGCCAACGTCGTCTACATCAACGTGGACGTAGGTGTCCGCTCCCCCGTTTTCGATGCCTCTGCCGCACCCATGCTGAATAAACTGCTCTATGATGTCACGGCCATGGTCCCGTCTCCTAACCAGACGGTCAAAGGCCAGACTGTCGGCGACTTGTGGAATGGTCATATCAGGACAATGGGTAGTGGTAGCGATTTCACTGCTTTCCAAGGTTTGTTTGCACTTCTGAGCTCTACATGCAGGCAGCTTACTGACGGATTGTAGACTACGCGGGGATTCCTAGTCTTGACTTCGGATTCGGAGGCCAGTCAAAGGATTCGCCCGTTTACCACTATCATTCCAACTACGATTCTTACCACTGGATGGCCGAATTCGGCGATCCTGACTTTGCCTATCACAGAACCATGGCACAGATACTTGCACTCACTGTCGCCAAGGTTTCGGATACGCCACTGCTTGCATTGAACGCTACAGATTATGCGGTGGCATTGAAGGGCTGTACGTTGATCCTTGAAGACCTGACGCTTCACCAACCTCATGCCCCGGTGTGAATGTTAAGGTCGGTTTTGACTGACATGTTGATACAGACGTGGCCAAGATCGAGGGAAAGTTATCATCAGTGGACTCCTCCGATTACAAACCCTCAAGCGACGACGAGATCATCGAGTTCCGAGCCCGACCCGCCGATCCCGTTCTCCAAGGCGACCCGGAAGCCTTCTCCCTCTCTCTCGCGCGTCTGCAGAAGTCCATCGCGGAACTAAAGGACGCGGCAGTCAACCTCGACGCCAAGTCCGACGAGCTTGCAGAAAAGGCCAATGAACACATCCCGTGGTGGAAATGGATCACTAAGGCCAAGCTGCTGCATGAGATCCGGGCTACTAATACCAAATATAAGAACATCGAACGTGCGTTCCTGTACCAGGGAGGCCTAGATGGTCGGCCGTGGTTTAAGCATGTTGTGTTTGCGCCCGGGATTTGGACAGGTTATGCTGGAGGTAAGTTTTTTTTCTTCGTTCTTTTCTTTTCTTGTGGGCGTAGATGGCGTATATCGTAATGTGGCATTGTACTGACGTTACTTCACAGCCGTCTTCCCTGGACTTGTCGAGAGTATCGACAACAAGGATTACGTCAATGCCCTGAGGTGGGTGGATATCATCGATGACTGCATCAAGACTGCCACCGAGACTATGAAATAAAGTACGTAGTCGATTTCGGGCTTATTGATGAGCATGATGAGACGAGAACATGTGTATACCACGCACCTGCTGGATCAACTACTTTGGACATACGAGATTGATCATCCATTAAGAAGCCATTTGAGTAGGTAGCAAATTTTTGAGTTGATATCTGAACTGCTTGATCCTTCTCCTGTTCCATGACCTGCCCAGCTAAGGGAGTGTGTGGGTCTTAAGAATGTGTTACAAGAATGGGAGAGAGCCCTTCTTTAGTTAGATATAATATAGCCTAGTAGATCACGTTTGTGATATCTAAAGCCCAAGCACAACAGACTCTAAAGAGTGGTGAACTTGGAGAAAGCTGATTGATTGCCTTCAGTTCACATAATGCCGTTATGAAGACTTGTTACCGTCAAGTCAAAGGAGCAAATATCGATTCTGGTAGTGCTGTTACAGGACTTTCGTTTCTCTTCCCACCGCAGCACCGAAAATCAAAAGCCAGATACCTCTCCATGCAGCCAATGTCCCAACCCAGAGTAGTACTTCTAAAGCTTCAGCTTCTCCTCAAGCCACTTCCGCGCAGCCTCAACCGCCTCGTCGATCTTGTCGGCATTATTACCCTGGCCTTGTCTCGTAGGCTCCTTACCACCTGACTTTCCGCCGACGATTTCCGATACGGCAGCGGACCACGTCTCCGCGGTGACACCACTGGAGGCGACATGCTATACTATGATTAGAAAAATGTACACTCCGAGGTGATCGAGTGAGGAGACATACCGTTCCGACGTAAACACCATGCACAACGGCACCCTCGCTCGGGCTGCCGCCGAACATGTACACAGTTCGCTCCTTATCCTTGCTCTTGAAGTGGTTTAAGACGTCCGAGACGGCCTTGGAGTTGGCAGAGATAGGCAAGTGTCCAATAAAGTATTTGGCGTCCTTGTTCTCCTTCTTAGCGAAGTGGCCCGTCACGGCATCTAGCGCAATTTTGCTCTCAGCCTTCTGGCGCTTTTTCTGTTCGTCGACGACGCTCTTCACGACCTTGTTAAAACGACTCTTGAGCGCGTCCTTCAAGACTGTGGAAGTGACAAGATTATTGAGGTCTGCTGTCGCCTGCTTGACCTCGGATTCCTTCTCAGGACCAAATGACATAGCCTCGATAAGTTCGATGCGCTTGCCGAACTCCTCAGCATCACGTTGCACCGCGTGGGCGGCGTCTCCGGTGTAGGCGACAATCCGACGAATACCCTTTGCAATGCCACTCTCTTCGACTATTACCAGATCCTTGATGATACCAGTCTGCTCGACATGCGTGCCGCCGCAGAACTCAACGCTCACCTTGCGCCACTCTGGGTTCTCGGGCTTTTCGAGGAGCATATCCACGTCGATACCAACAGACACTACCCGCACCGGGTTGGGATATGTCTCGCCAAAGACTGCGCGGACACCATTGATTTGACGGGCGAGGTCAAGTTCCACATCCTTGGAGTAGATCTTGCAGTTTTGTCTGATATAAGAATTCGACAAGTCCTCAATCTTCTTCAGCTCAGGGACGGTAACTTGGACCTTGTGTGAGAAATCGAAGCGCAACTTGTCTTGGTCGACTAGAGATCCCTTTTGGTTGACTTCATCGCCAAGAACCTCCCTCAGCGAGTGGTTGAGAATGTGTGTTCCGGTATGATTGTTACGGATAGGCTGTCTCCGCAACTCATCATACTCGCAGATAACCTCATCGCCAGACTTAAGCACACCATAATCCAAATATCCGTTGTGAACAACATAACCTCCAAATTGCTGAACATCAAGCACCTTGAACTCGGCGACATCATCAATGACGATTCGGCCAGTATCGGCGACCTGGCCACCTTGCTCAGCATAGAAGTTTGTACGGTCAAGGAGGATGCCGAAGGGTGTTTTCAGTGGGAGGTCCTTAGTTGACTCGAGGAACTCGGTACCAGTAAATACCAACTGGACCTTGGCCTTGATGTCTCCTTTCGTGAACTTTGGCTCATCATCGGGGGTGGAAATTTGAAGCTTGTCCTTGAGTTCGGCGATTTGGTGTACATTTGGCTTTGCAAAGGTTTGAACAGAGTCCTTGATGGATTTGCTGGCCTCCCTGGCCTTTTCTCTGGCAATGGCGACCTCCTCTTCGTCGATGTTTAGGCCTCTCTCTTCAGCCATCAGTTTTGTCAAGTCCTCTGGGAACCCGAAAGTGTCATATAGCCTCCACACGTCGGCACCTGAGAGCTTCTTGGCTCCAGTTGAAGCGGCCTGTGCAGCGTACTTTTCAAATTGCTTCTCTCCGCGATCCAATGTTCTCGCGAAAGCCTCCTCCTCCTCGTCGAGGATTTCCTTTACGTCTTTCTGTTTCCTTACAATATCTGGAAACTGCTCGCCCATCTGATCAACCAAAGCAGGCAGGATTTTTGAGAAGAACGAACCAATCTCGGCGTTGAAGTACTTTCGAGCGTAACGCGATCCTCTTCGAAGAACTCTTCGGACAACGTAACCCCTGCCATCATTGTTTGGCACAGCGCCGTCGGAAATGGAGAAAGTGAGAAGTCTAATGTGATCGGCAACTACGCGGTAAGCAGTGTCAATGCCGTCTAAGTCGTCTTTTCCGTACTTGTCCGTGTAGTCCCTTGCGCCGGTGACCTCCTGGATCTTGGCGAACAGCGGAGTGAAGATATCCGTGGCGTAGTTTGAGGGCTTCTCTTGCAGCGCAGACACCAAACGCTCGAATCCCATTCCCGTGTCAACGTGCTTGGCAGGCAGAGACTTCAGAGACTTGTCCTTTTGTCTGTCGAATTGTATGAAGACGTTGTTCCACACCTCGACAACTAACGGGTCGTCTTGATTGACCAGGTGGGCGGCATTCCGACCGCCCACCTTGTCGTAATGGACTTCGCTGCAAGGACCGCAAGGACCTTGGTCTCCCATCTCCCAGAAATTGTCCTTCATGTTACCAGGCAGGATGTGGTCTTCGGGCACACCGACGGATAGCCACAAGTCCTTGGCCTCGAGGTCTGGCTCCAAGCCCATCTCAGGGTTACCCTCAAAGTAGGTGACGTATAACCGGTTGGGGTCCAGGCCGTAGACCTTGGTCAGGAGTTCCCATGACCAACCAATAGCCTCCTTCTTGAAATAATCGCCAAAAGACCAGTTACCCAGCATTTCGAAGAACGTCTGTGGATAAGTCAGTCTAGTCTACTCAAGCTACTCTTATGATTCGATACAACGCACGTGGTGATAGCTGTCTTTTCCGACATCGTCGAGATCCTATACAGTCCTTGTCAGCTGCTGGTTCCTTCATATTCTGGGTAAGAGTGCATACATTATGTTTGCCACCAGCGCGGATACACTATCAACTTGTCAGCCATCACTTGCAGGCTCTTTGGTCTCCAGTATCATTCCACAATACCTTCTGTGTATCCACGGCGCGCTTCAACTTGGACATGTCATCGGTGCTAGCAACGGTTCCGAGGAAGATCGGCTTGAACTGGTTCATACCCGCATTGGTGAATAGCAGGGTAGGGTCATTGTGCGGGACGACGGACGACGAGGGGACTGCGCACGGCGGGACGTCAGCATATTTCAAATTGAACAAACTCAATGGCTATGTATGAAGTTTGAGCGAAGCAAAAGCAGCCAAAAAAAAAGTTCTTCCGCTGTGGTTGTTGATGCATCCTCGTCGTGATGATGTGGTTGGTGGGGGTTGCGCACCTATGGTATGACCCCTCTGCTCAAAGAATTCGAGAAACGTCTTGCGGACACCAACGCCGGTCCATTTTCCCGACTCCATGATTGCTTGAGTGCTGTGTAGTCGTCGTTTAAAGATGGTGGTCGTTCGTGTCGCATACAAAATGTTACTCACAACAGCCCCTCCTCGGTGTGGACTGCGGGGGGTTGTGGTGTTGAGGGGCAGCGGCTGCTCGTGGAGCTCGGGTGCTGCAGTTTTAGCTCGTGGAATGCTGCATCCAGCAGTGTAGAAACTTCTACAAGAATTCCAGGTGCAAGTGCCGCCTATAAAGCTCCTGCTGCATTGGAACTTCATCCGGCACTCTCACCTCAAGTTGCACACTCAACTGGTATGCAATATACACGGTTGACCTCGAGACTCGGATGGATTGATTGATTGATTGATTGCGCTGCGACCGATGACTGGACCTGGCCTCCGATTATCGCTCGCCCCCTTGATTGACTCAACTAATTGGCGGTTTGAATTCTTCGTTCGAGCTCGAGTGTTCGCAAACTAGGGACGGACTCAGATATGCAGGTTGCAGGTGGACCAAGCTCCTCCATGGTGCATGCCGCTGGCGGCCGATCACAAGCGAATCTATTATATCCCACCTCATCACCTTTGGCTTCACTTGAAGTGCCCACGCGCAAAATGCGCAAGGGAAAGAGAAAGGCTGATTCACAGGATAATGAGAGACTCTCCAAACGATTGAGTCTCCTCAATCTTGGTAAGTTTGGTAATCAGACTTGGCGGGAGCATCATGCCTGGGCGGGCCACATTACACTGGCTCCCTCAAAAAGGAATGGCCACCGTTGATGCCGCTATGGATTGGCACAGAAGTTCACTGCCAAACCAAAACTAATAGGAGAAAACAGAGCACAATGGACAGAAATTATACGTGCCGGTGGAGAGCCCACAGCTCAAGCCGGCGCCCCCATCAGCGCTGAAGCATATCCCCGAAGAAGATTCCATGCAATTGGACGACTCGAAGCACAAAGTTTACATCTATGACCTCGACGCCGAGCTGTCCGACAGCGGCGAGTCAGACGACGGAAGGCTGGTCTTCCTCCCGGACATTGAGAAACATCTGCGAGAAACCCGTATTCCGCCCTCAATACTAGCCAACAAAGATGGGGAACTGGCAGGCATGCAGGTGGTACTATACAGCGAGCCGACATCATTGACGATACCAGAAGATAAGGACAGTGTGAGGAGGGCCATTATCGAAGCCAGGGCGCGGGCGAGACGCAAACAGCTCGGTGAGCCAGAACTGCCGACGCAGGGTGAGCAGGCGGATGCGTCTTCCCAGATGGATCTCGAGATGCCTTCGTCCTCTACGATGACCCAGCTCAGAAATTTCACAGGGCTCAGCAACTTGGCAAATGAACCGATAGAAACGAATCACGTGGTTGGAAACTGCGATACTTGGCCACCAGCTATGGCTCATGGGCCGCAGCCGGAGCCGGAGCCGGAGCCTATGGACATGGACATGGACATTGATTTGGACTAGTAGAACCGAAATGAATACTGGCTGTATTTCTTCTCATTGATACCCAAGCAGTACACTTGCTTAAGTCTGGCTTCCGCAGGAATATCCAATAGTACAGAATTCCCATGTAATTTTAGTACACGTAGCGTGAGAGGGGCTTCGATTAGGAATAAATAATTTACTCCTCCAGGCGAAGGTCTCCCGGATGAGCGCTTAAGGATGTGACCGACTCAATGCACCACGAACGGCTGTGTCCAGCACCACGTGCCTACCAGCGACAGTGAGTTCTGATCCGCGTCGGCTATCAGTTCCACGAGCACCTGTTCACCCGATATAGCGTGGAATTTATTCGCAAATTGCTCCCTGATCTCCAACACTCATACCCCCATCTCAACATCCGTTTAGTGGCGCGAATCAGTGAAAGGGTTGTTGCTCTCGCCCGTCCTCTCAGGCCTCAACGAAGCAGCAGGCGGCGGCGGCGGTCCCGAAGGCGCAGCGTACTCCTCCTCCGGGCGCGATAAACGCTGACTCGGATCGATCTTCCCACCCGTCGGCATCGGCGTCCCGTCGTACATGGGCGGCCGGGTTGGGTCATACACTGGCGGCGGCATCGACTGCATGCCGTAATAGCCTGGTGCGGGTGCGGGCGCATAGTTCGTGTAGGCTGGTTGAGGGTAGGCGTAGCGCGGGTCTGATCGAGCTAGGTCGTGGCGGGAAAGCAGCCACTGTATGTTTTGTTAGTCTCATACAATGAAGATCACGATAGTATTGAGGTGAGATAGCGATGGGAGGAAGGCATACTCTGTGATATCCCAAGGGCTTCAAACCCTTTCTTACGCGGCGTTTGGCATGTTGGTAGCCGATGATTAGGTACGCACTGAATAGGATGATGAAACCAAGGAAGACCGACCACTTGATGAGCAGGCCCGTCTGTATCGATGTTAGTTATTGTTCATGACCACCCGAGGCTAGCAGTGCAACGTGCTCTTGACCACCAGAATGGAACATATCGGCCATGCTCCAACGTATAGCCATCTGGCACGTCACCATCGGTAAGATCCCCGTCTCTGTCCTGTCGGGACACTAGAGCGTCTACCATAACAGTGCCGATGCGAGCATTTGCCGCAGTGAAACCCATCTTGCTGTGAGTGTGTTTTGTGATTATTTCATTCGGGGTCGAGGTTCGGCTGTAAGAAGCGTCCCTGGCAGATCTCCTCCTTTGAAATGTATTAACGCAAAAAGCAGGCCGAATATGTAAGAATAGTAACAATGGTAATGACGATATGAAAGACAAGGAAATTGATTATAATCTAGATGCCCCAGTGACTCGCAGTGAGGTGGACAAAAGTAGAAGTGAATGCCAAGAGTTGTTGAGAAATGCACGCCGAGGAAAATTGTTTTAAGGATTGGGCGTTGATACCCAAGTCTCGAGGAAAGTGAGCGAGTAGTTGTGTACAAAACCTGCGGCAGATCTCATACAACAAAGGTGTTTCAAGATGTGCTTCGGATCGACCACATACAGGGGTGGTTAGGGAGGAGGCCGCTGGGTTGCCTCTCATTGAAACGCGAAGTTTTGGTGGAGTCTGGACTGAACTCTTGATCTGCGCTCGGGGGTCATTATCCCAACGTGGGGGCTTAATAAGACCCTTGGGCCTACCTTGGAATGTTACCAAGTCCCGTATCATTCAAGCTAACATATTAGAATTCTACAAGTCGAAAATGTTATGGTTCACTGACTCCCACGGGGAACCGTCTCAAGTGAACTCAACATCAAGACAACTCAATGCAAATATCAGACCGATTTTGAGTCTTCGGCAGTATGGCATCACTCCATAACACCGGAGGAGTTCTCCAATCAGTAAGCTTCATCTGGAAGCTAAGTTGATGTCATACTTGTAGAGTCTGAACCAGTATGAGCTCTTCATTATCGAGCTCCTCTAGATAGAAGGGTCCAGACCTTCGGATATCTCAAGACTTGGCATTGACATGGTCTAAACTGAATAGTTTCTCGACGAAATCAGCTGAAGCTCAAGGCACCATGCAAAAAGTTTAGTCAACATTGTTTGTTTTCGATGAGCATCTCATGATCTGGGAGACGTGAAATATCCTCAGTTCTCGTGGTATTCGCCAGTCTTCGGTCTTCTCGGTGCATCTTCGCCGAACTAGAAGCCTATGCCTCACCACTACAGCCGGCGACATGGTGAATAGCCTAACTCATGCTTTGTAACTCTGCAGTGCTGTATCCTGCAAAGCGCTTGGATACTCAATTTAGCCCCTGTGAGGGCCGGTCTCCGCATGTTAGTCGGCCGAGGAGCATAGGACATGCGTTGTTGGTAGAGCCACCCTTTGACGACACTTCAATCGCCAGTCCCTGCCTCTTCTGCATTGTTGGCGGTGGCTCGTCGGTCTGTTTCAGCCTCGTCATCAACCTTTCGTCTTCTGTCCTCTCCTGTGTCAACCACTTTCTTCAGAATGCACATCCGCTTCTCGAATTCGTCTACCAAGGTCGTGTAGTCCTCGCCTTCCTTCTCCTTGTGCTGTCCACTTCCACTCCCGCTCCCGCTTCTAGAGCCTTGCCGGCTTCCCTCGCTAGAGAGCTTCAGCTCGCCGTCCCCAATGCCTCCACTCTCAACACCTTCGATCCGAAGCATGAGACGGCCTGGCTTCTTTGGGTTGTCGCTACTGCCACCGCCACCACCACCGCCGTCTGATGATGGTGGTGAAATCTGGCTTACTTGTGCATTGACTACAGCCCAGGATGGCGATAGACTGGAAGCCCATGACACATTGTAGCCTCCCTCTGAATCCTGTGCCAAATCGAGGATGACTGCTCGGTCGCTTAGCGCCGGATCCGAGGCAGAATTGTGTAGGTTCGCATCATGTTGTTGTGCAAGGGCCTGGGTCAGGAGGTCTGGATCATCATCACTGAAGATATAATGTACTTTTGGATGGTGTGTCGTTCGTGTTGAAGTGTTATTGACCAGTGTGAATATGGGCGCAAACGGTGGAGGTGCTCGTTCGTGATCGGCAACCTCAGCAGGCAGCTCGCCGGTAGTGACGGGCTCCGTCATCGTCTCAGAAAGCGGTGGGCGGAAGGCATCGATGAGAGGATGGAGGTGTTAGGAAAGGTGATGGAAAGGGTAGAGAGGCCTGACACACAAGGCTGGTACATCGTGAGTTCATTGAATGGTTGGGAAAAGCAGACATCCAGAGCTGAAGGTGCATGATGCGGGTTGCACCGGGATGAATCGAGCGGATGCACCAGTGCTTGGCGTTAACGAACCAGGCTGCGTCACAGGCTGACGGTCCCCTGGAGGAGCTTAATCTTATCAGGCACGTGGGGAAGTGGGCCAAGGTTGTTCGGGCGGCATTACCCGGAAGCAGCTTCCGGGGACATGTAGCCACCAGTGGACAACCATGGATGATGACAGAAGCGCGAACGTGTAAATGCTTCTGCTGCTGCTAATCGAAATGGCTCAGGCCGCATCTCAAGTTCCTTTGAAGTGTCATATCCCAGGTAATTCCCCCAATGGGATCAACGAGGACGACACGTGCCAATTTATACCCATCTGTATGCCCCTGGCTCCTAAACTCCTGCCAAACTCCAAAATGAATAAAGTACATCAGCACCGGAGGCATGTCTCTGGCGAGACTATTTCAAGATTAAGCATAAAGGACTATTGCCTCCATATGGTATCATTTCTGTGTTGAAGGCTTCATTATTGCGCTTCAGCCGCGACTTCTTCATGCTGAACACGCTGCTGTCCTGGGCCAACCTCTGTTTCCCATTCGAACTCTGGATGTTGTCATTAGCCGTTTGCTCAAGCAGGATGTCACATAACTTACTCTGTCTACACATTGGACACTGTCCCTTTGAAGACTCTTGTTTGATCCACTCCATAATACAGTGCTTTAACAAGTCAGCAAAGCCCAGTTTCCGCAGCAGGATTCATGTCTGGCACTGACCATGTGGAAATTATGGCCGCACTTCCCGGATACTAGAAGCTTTGGTTAGTCAAGATGCAAATTGCGGGAAGAGCACGCTATTAGGATGGAGACTTACAGAGACTGCAGTCGTCTCCAGGATATTTGCAGGTCGGACAAGTGCCGTCAAAGTGAACCTGGCAGATACCACAGACGTCGTCTTCTGGGAGATCCCATCTCCATGTCGCAACTGCGTTCCACTTCTTGATCTTGACCTTCATGCTGACCCCTTTAGCTGATTCAATACTTGTTGCTCAGTCCGCATGAACCTATAGATGAATCATGGCATTTGCAATTGATGTGATAGCTTTGTTGCTCATCTTTGGTGAAATGGGGATACACGATGCAGGTTTGGAAGTTCACATGCAATAAGCGCGATACTGTGCCTGATACATGCATCAATAAACAGCCATCCAATGCACTGTCCTCTAAAATTCCATGAGGGGTCTCAAGCTCCACTGTCAACGGCTGGTAGCTTCATGAAATCCTCTTATCAGTGCCAGTTGAATTCTCAAGCTTAGCGATAACTTTTCCGAAGACAGTAGACTCTCCCCATTTGCATGTCACTAAATCCCATGCTCTGTTGGAGTCGCAAAGAGCAAACGTCAATACAACATCATCGACAAGAAGAAACCAATACTGCAGAACAAATCGACTCCAACTACACTGCCTATTCACGCCTTTCCCCGACAGCTCCCAGCTAAAGCATCCCGTATCGCCATCGTCCGAAGTTGCAATTCCATCTTCCTAACCGACTCCTCGGACAGGTTGCCGTGAATCGCTCAATCCCCTTGAGCACTTCTGACTAGCAGCCGACACCATCGGACCCGGTATTTGCGTGCTACCTGCATCGCCGACCACCGGCGCTCACGGTGTACATTACTAAGATCGGAATCCACAGTGACTGCAGCTACTAAAGCAAGCATCCAACATGGCTACCCTCGCAATATTTCGCGCACCAGTAGTGCGAGGAGGATTTGGTCGAAACAGCTTCAAGACGTGTCAAATCACCATCATGGAATCCTGTCGCAATCTCTCCTCATACCTCGTCACGCCAAAGGAGCTCTCCGAGGCGATGAAGAAGAGCCCGCCGAATCCTGTCAGCCCCGAACCTCGAGTCGTACCTCTTTGCGCCTCGTGGTTCCTTCCCAATGATGAGCGCAAAGGCATTGAAGTGTTCCGCGAGCAGCGCATTCCCAAGGCAAAGTTCTTCGATCTTGATAAGGTCAAGGACAAGCATAGTCCATACCCGCACATGCTGCCGAGCGCAAAGGAGTTTGCTGCTGCTATGAGCGAACTTGGCATCAGAAAGGATGACACAGTTGTGGTCTACGACTCAAAGGAGGTGGGCATATTCAGTGCACCGAGAGTCGGCTGGACATTGAGAGTCTTTGGACATCCCAAAGTCCATTTACTCAACAACTTCAAGTTATGGGTGGAAGAGGGCTACCCAACCGAGTCAGGCGAGCTCTACAGCGTGGAGTGCAGCACATACCCGATCCCGAAGACAGATCTAGAGGACAAGGTCGCAAGCTACGAGGAGGTCAGGGACGTTGCTCTGGATTACAAGAAGGAGGGTGCAGAAGGTGTACAGATACTGGATGCAAGACCTGCAGGCAGGTTTGCAGGCACAGCACCTGAGCCCAGGGAAGGCCTGTCGTCAGGTCATATGCCTGGTGCTATCAACATTGCCTTCAACGAAGTCCTGGATCCCAAGACCAAAGCTTTCTTGTCGAAGGATGAGCTGAGGAAACTGTTTGAGAAGAAGGGCGTGGATCCTACCAAGCCTATCATCTCTAGTTGTGGAACGGGTGTGACAGCTGTCGTCATCGAGACGGCGCTTGAAGAGGCAGGATTTGGAACCCCAGAAACCCGAAAGGTTTATGATGGCAGCTGGACGTAAGTACCATTGGCGAGAGCCTGACATTTCAACTCTCTCCCAGATGTAAGCTAACGAGTTGGGCAGCGAGTGGGCACAGCGAGTTAAGCCATCAGATAATCTCATCCACAAGGATGAATAAACGCAGGACGACGACAGTGATCTGAGTAGCAAGTGTGCGGAAGTTGATTCGACGATGAGATACCCAACTCCGCAGAATTTTACGTTGTACGTGTATGATAGGGGAAGCACTGGCACTTGTGCGTGTGAGATTCATTGCATTAAGCGTGGGTATGCGGATATACTCCTATTCCTCGGGCGTGGCAATTTGGGATTTAGGTACAGACAAATAAGCAATGCCGCATCGAGGGTCAGGTCGATATATGCAAATAAGCCAGATTATAATGAAGGCAAATCTAAAGGGATCCGGAACAAGCCCTGGCAGCAGAGCAGAGCGGACAGGTTCATCGCATGTTGTGTCCGTGGTATATTCAGTCGGCATGTAACACCTCACTAATACGCAGGGCCTCCAGATCTCCATCGCTACTGTGTGCTTTTAGCAAACAATCTTGATTATTTTCATGACCAATCCCAGAGCACCTATGTTTGCTCTCTTGATACAACAGGCGGCGAGTATATGGGACTTACAATGAGCTTCAAGACGCTATTCACGATAGCTGCAATACAAACAATAAGGCTCGATGTACGGAGATTTTGGATTTCATAATCTAGCCAGTAACACAACACTTTTACCTAGAAGATGCAGATAATTTGAAGAGCTCTGGAAGTACTGTGGCCATTGAATTTTGCTTAAGAACCCTTACTTATCAAGCTCACTTTGCTTTATGTGAGAAGCTTGGCAGTTGTATACCGTGCCTAGATATGTCATGCAGTTTTGAACAGGGAAGCTGCGACTGACCACGAGCACAGGCCACCCACCGCACTTGCCCTAATCGCTAACCCCCGCAGCACTCACAACCAATTTTTGCTCTACCGAAAAGTTCGCGTTAATCGAACCTCACCTTTAGCATTTGTTCGCGGGCCCCGGCTTTTTCTCAAGATACCACTCACCAATCCACACCAATCGACCAACTCCCTCCCGAGAAATCGACCAACCCGCCCCCCAGAGTAATTCAATATGGCTGACCGTGGTGGTGCTGCTCCCCGAGGCGGCGCTGGCGGCTTCGGCTCCCGTGGTGGAGAGCGAGGTGGTGACAGACGCCCCCGTGGCAGAGGCCGTGGCCGTCGCGGTGGAAACAAGGATGAAAGCAAGGAGTGGCAACCCGTCACCAAGCTCGGTCGTCTTGTCAAGGCCGGCAAGATCAAGAGCATGGAGGAGATCTACTTGCACTCTCTGCCCATCAAAGAGTACCAGATTGTGGATTTCTTCCTGCCCAAGCTGAAGGACGAGGTCATGAAGGTGCGTTGAACTGCGAGAATAGAATATTGAAGAGGAGGGATTGCGAGATGGTTGCAGAAGTCTTACGAATGCGACGGGGATATTTGACGATTTGGGGATCAGAACTGGTGAACAGAACAAGCAACGAGTACTGACTGCTCTACCCACGATATAGATCAAGCCGGTTCAGAAGCAGACCCGTGCCGGTCAGCGTACCCGTTTCAAGGCCATCGTCATCATTGGTGATTCCGAGGGCCACGTTGGTCTCGGTATCAAGACTTCCAAGGAAGTCGCCACGGCCATCCGCGCCGCTATCATCATCGCCAAGCTGAGCGTTATCCCCGTCCGAAGAGGTTACTGGGGTACCAACCTTGGTCTTCCTCACTCTCTGCCCGTCAAGGAGAGCGGAAAGTGCGGTTCCGTCACCGTCCGCGTAAGTTACTCAGACGAGCAAAAATAGACGCTCCAGAAAAGCATACTAACAGCAGATTTACAGCTTATCCCCGCTCCCCGTGGTACCCAGATTGTCGCTTCGCCCGCCGTCAAGCGTCTCCTCCAGCTCTCCGGTATTGAGGATGCCTACACATCCTCTTCAGGTTCCACCAAGACCCTCGAGAACACCCTGAAGGCTACCTTCGCCGCCATCTCAAACACCTACGGATTCCTGACGCCCAACCTGTGGAAGGAGACGAAGCTGATCCGCAGTCCGTTGGATGAGTACGCAGACACCCTGCGTGAGGGCAAGAAGTACTAGAAAAATGGATTTTCGGGCACTCGGCGTGGGATTTCACTTTGCGTTATAATTGCATCGGTGACTGGTTAGTCAGGTCGGTTCGGCATGAGACACGAAGCTAGCAAAATAGCAATCATTAAGAACTGACATTCGGCTGCTTCTTCTGCTGCTTCATTATACTGAACTTGGTGAATGGGCTCACGGGGGCTAGTGTTACGAAGCACTATGCGCACTCTCCAGCTCGGTTGCGTTGAATATTCTGTTCCGGAGGACAGACGACGTGGTTTCATGGTAAGACTCGTAGGTGCGTTGCTTGATCTCACTTATTTCGGAACGGATAGAGTCAATAGTGACGTCTAGCTGAACTGCGATTAAGACCTCAATATGTGGTACTTGACACAGACATTCCGAATTGGTAGGTACGTGAAGGACTTGCCTAAACGGATGACGAAGCGTGGTACAGCAGTACCGAAATCATATGCCATATCAGCTGTCTATCTAGGTCGGATCATGGAGAGTAACAGAAGAAGCCGATATACCCTGGACGTTGTTCATTGCGAAAAAGTAGGTATTGATCTAAGGCATTGGTCGACCGCTTGATAGCAGATGCAGGGCCCCTGAATGGCAGAATTGGGCAGGAGTCATTCGTCTTTATCTGGTTTGAAATTACGCCGTTCATCTTCACCCGCAACTGTCGCGACAACATATAGACTGAAACACTCACTCTTCACCAGGAATAGTTGGCTCCTGCAGCTTGAACACCCAAGCAAAGTAGCCGCAAAGGAAGCTACGACGGGGCAAGACCTGGTGTTAGTGGCGGGTTTTCTCCCACTTCCACCTGAGCATCTTTTCAACTTCTCTTGCATCTCCCCAACTTCATCGTCACGCTCTTTTTGGCTTTCTCGTTTGCTCCATCCACTCGCTTGCCCATTTTGGTGTTTTGGACTTTCGGTGTCGGGCTTTACTTTGAAAAAGTTGTGCATCTCTTGTAGATAGTCCACATTCGCTCTTCTAATTACGCCTGCCACTCGTTCCGTTCTACTTCTGCTGACAGTGGCTTCTCGCGATGGCCAACTATTCCCCTTCTCCGGGCCGACGAAGGCTGGTTCTCATTGCAGCACTCGTTGTCGCTTTGTCTATGATGGCGGTCACGTCGTTCAGAAGCTACCCGCTCCATGGCCTTTCGGATGTGGACTCTGAGCCCCTCTTGCAACGAAGACAAGAGATAGCGAAACGAGATCTCGGTGGTAGCGCCTTCACTTCGATGATTGATCACCCCTTTCCCGAAGGTGCTCCACCAACCATTACCACCATCCTCCCTGGTGCTCTCTCTCCTATCGACTCAACCCGTCCCGAGGCAACCGGTCTAGCCACTAACCCCGATGCCCCTGTTTCCAAGACGACTCCTACTTTACTGACTATTACGGATGCCTCGAAGGTGACGACGGTGGCAGTGACTGATTCCACTCAGGTACCTCGGGCAATCATCGAGCCAACGGTTTCCGCTGCTCTTACGATCACTCTGCCTGCAGAGACGAGCTCGGGGTTACAAAATACCGCTTCCGCGACTGCTGCTGGTTCTGTCATCCCGGATAACAGTGGTAGTTTTTATTCAGGTCAAGACTCATCGACAGAAGGGAATAATACTGCATCTATGCCTGGCCTTGCCTCTGCTATACCCACCAACAGCGATTTCAGTGCAGGCCAGGCATCGACACCAGGAGGTAAGGAGAGTGTATTGGCTTCTGCCTCTCCTACACAGAGCAACAATAATGCTGGCTCCGAATCCATTGCACAAGGATCCAACCCAACGGCCATGACGGCTTCTGGAATTTTCCAATCTACTATTACTGAGTCTCTTGGAGTTACCATTTCTGTCATGGCACAGTCCACTACTGTGTCTGATGACGGCATTTTCTCTGCAGTGAATCTGTCAACTACCAACGCGGCTCCAGGAGCGTCCCAATCTGCGGTTACTGGGACCAACTCTGCAGTGGCTCAGTCAGCAGCCACTGCGTCCAATGGGGTGACCACTTCTGCAGTCACTCCGCCGACTGCCAGCTCAGATCCACAGGTCTCCCAACCTGCCGTCACCAAGCCGAATAGCGGTACCAGCTTTTTGGTAATGACTCTGTCATCTGCCCAGTCCTCCGGTGAAACCAGTTTAGTAGTGACTCTGTCGACCACTGATTCCAACGGTGGATCTTCTGCAGTCACTCAGTCAGCTGCCATTTCAATTCCAGAGGCGTCCCACTCTGGTGCTCAGAGTATAGTTTCACAAGCCTCCGAGGCAGTTATTTCAAGCAGTAATGCTCAAAGTCCCACAAGTGCTTCAGGAAGTGAAGAATCGACAGCGCAACCTGGCATTACGGGCTCCGAGGGCACCACGCCCCAGGCTACGGGTGCTCCTAACCCGGATGGCACCGGCCAGTCAACTGTAACTGAACGACCGAATAGCAGCAATGGGATTTCTGGTTTTCAGCCGACTGCGACTGGACAACCAAGTGGTGCTTCGTGGGCTCAGCCAACCGCAACTTGGCAACAAATCGGTGTTGCCAGCAGTTCTCCTTCGGAATCGAGTCTTGGTGGTGAGCAGCATTAGCGGTGTCCTAAACGTGATCTGTTAACAAGACGTAGTTACTATTGTCCCGACGATAACAGCTTCTGCCACGGTTACCGAATGTACCACGGTTACTGAGTCGGGCGAGAACCCGCAAACAGTCTTTGTGTAAGTCAAATGCTGTTTCCCTGTTGAGTGCACAGGCTGATCAGTGTCTAGTCCGGGATCAACTGTTACAAGTGCCTTGACGATCTATGCCCCCTGCCCAGCACAATCCTCTTGCCCAAGCCGCGCTTTACAGTCAACTTGCAACGGCCCCAACTCACCAGCATCTACGACAACTTCGCTAATTAGGATCTCTGTTTGGACCACCGTGACTCTCCCGACAGTACCACCTACTTCACAAGCAGGTTCGCCATCTACCCCATCAGCTTTACCAGCCTGCCCAGCAGGTGCAACTCAATCCTCCGGTGCTCAACCCACAGCCCCCAACTCAGCCAGCGACTGGATTTACGCCGGTTGCTGGGCCGATGCTCCCTTCCAACCTGCCCTAGGCGCACCACAGAACAATATCAACAAAATAACAAACGAACTTTGCGTCAAGCGTTGTCTCATCTCCGGCTTCACCGTCGCCGCAACGAGCTGGGGGACTGCCTGCTTTTGCGGTCAATTCCTCAACGGCACCCAGAAACTTGACCAATCGTCCTGTTCGACCCCCTGCGCAGACGACGACCGCCAGATCTGTGGCGGCCAGTGGGCACTCAGCGTGTATAGCCCCGATGGCAACGCGCGCGGCTGGGCACAATTCGGCGAACCGCCTTTGCCCGTCACGGCGGACCCGCCGAAAGTCGTTGGCATGGTGGTAGGTGGGGTACGACAGACAATTGTTACGACACCCGTGGCGGTTTTCCCAAGTTCAGGGGCGGATGCGGGAGAGCTGACGAGCCAGTACGGGCATGTGACGCAGCAGCCGAAGGCGGTCATGCCGAGTGGGGTGGGTCAGCAAACTTCGGGGGCAGGAGATTATTCGGGGGGTGGTTCTGGGTTAGCAGGTGGTGGTGGAAGTGATGGGGGAATGAGTCCTACAGTGCCGGGCGGTGGAGAAACTAGTCCAACAGCACCATGCGATGGAGGCGGCAGCGGAAATCCTTCCGGACCAACTCCGAACCCGAATGGAAGTGGAGGAGCAACTCCGACATCAAACAATGGAGGTGGCAGTGGGACGACTTCTCAACAGACCTCGAACCCCACTGTAAATGGAGGAGTAACCTCAACAACACCAGACGGTCAACCTTCAACAACTTTCGGAGGAGACGGTGGCGGCAGTATTCCAAACACACCGGCCCCGGCTTCGACGTACTCGTACCCCCCTAGAATGGTGCCGTACGGGGACAATCCGCCTGCTGAGTTCACAACCTTGGTTTCGATGCTGGCTTGGAGGGTACCTGGGGGTGACTGAAATGTTCTCAAGTGAGAGCAATTGAGGTTCCAACATATTTCGATTAGGAACTGGGACTGTCTTTTCTTTGGAGAGGTGTTGATTGGCTTCATTTATACTTGGGAATGGGCATGGGCATGGGAATCAATACATGAGCAGGTTTAGGTCTAGGAAAAAGGGATGACATATTAAAGTAAAGAGCTGCTGTAATAGTGCAATGAGAAAATGATGCATTTGTATTTATTTTGGACTTCATGTTGCGTTGATGTCGGAGTAAAATGACTTTGCGACGTCGAACTTCTCATTATTGGTCGAATTGATGGCGAAATGAACTATTCACTAGCAGCGCAAAAGGATCGAATACTTCTATTCGCCGCTAGCTACAGATCAATTGCTAAGTATTGGGTGAGTGAGTTGTCTGTACGACTCCCTAGTATAAGAAGGGTTAGTTATATCTGTGTGCCCACCAGCTTACCGATTTTCAACTGAGATACTACATGTGGTGTGAGATCACCTTGGAAAAGTAAGTGTTATAATCGGTGGAATTGTCTTACTAAATGGCGAAAAGTATGCTGGTCTTCAGACCTCGTTGAAACTTACTATCCCGGGGAGTCGTAGAATTCCTCGTAGGTTCCGCCTGGTTGTGCAGATCAAATTGAACCTGGATAGGGCGAACTGGGATGCCATACTTTGACTCTTACGTGATCGGCACTAATCCTTCTCAATCCACTCTCGAGTATGCCCGATCTCTGATAGAGTTGAATCTAAGGCTATGTAACCTCAGCACTTATACACGAGTATCCGGACTTCTTCAATTTTTTGTCGGTGCTTTGCAACAAGCGAACGAACCTATGTACTTTCTGGCAAGACAATACTGACACTGCATTTTTACTGTTTCGTTCCGAGGAGCAACTGCTTGTGAATAAAGTCCTGATGGAGAAATGTCTCGTCTCGTGGTGAGAATGCACAAGGTACGTTGCGACTGGGTAAATCATTATCCCGTGAACCCCCAATATTGACTTGAGGTTTTCATAGGTGGAAGTTATTGAGTGTCACATCAGCAGAGGCAGTGACAGGAGTTGGCCATACTCTTTCTAACCCTATTTGCGCATTCTTAACCACCATTCTTTATCGCAATACGTAAGTATTCTTTTTATTTCTCTGTCTTGTTTTCGGAAGCAAGGGCTCTTGGGCTGTCTCACCAGATATGCCTGCCGCGACGAACAAACAACATTGCCTCCCCCTGAACCTCGTGATGACTTCAAGAGACTAAGTAAGCAAATACCGCGGCTTCACTCCTCGCATCTGTCGGTATCCACTTTCCGAACTACTGCTTTGGGTAGATGAAAGGCCTTGGCAGTTACCATCCTACGTGGAACAATTGCCATTCGGTTTGTTGTAGACCTCTGGCGCCAGCAAAGAATTGCCGTGATCGACCTCGGAAATGCCTACCACTCTTCACGATGCCTGCCTGGTAAGTCCCATCGCTCCAAGAGTCCTGAACAAGAACTGCAAGTTATGGTTATCTAAGCCGCTCCTCCCATTGGCGCGAAATCTTAGCGATTGGGCAACCCACCCCCCCTATCACTTGGACGTGTGGGGGACGGCTGTCGCACCCCTAACCATAACCAAGTGCCCGGGCATTGGTTTACTTCACGGACTTCAACAGTGTAGCCGAAATGTAAGACGATGCCGACTTGACCGCGGTCCTTATCGGGGACTAATTGTTTGGTTGATGGTTGATGGTTGTTGACTGTTGGTTAGTAACAAACCAAGGAACTGTGGGGAAGATACTATTGGTCCAAAGTAGCCCCGACCGTCCGACGACGAGGGGATCACGAAAACTGGTCAGGGCTCGAATACAACTCTAAGGGGAAGGAACTAGACACCGAAGGAGCCATGTCGACCGCAATCCGTGGGGATTCTTCCACCGCTAGCGGGATGAAGGTGGTCAGGTACGGCGAGATGAAGAGGTTCATGCCAATATGATGGGAGACATGAGGGCATGTATATAATGGGCAACTCAGCTGTTCTCTGGGACAGAAGACGGAGGGACGGTACCACACCACGTACTGTGCATTCTTTTCACTCCTTTTAGGCATCGCATAGCCACAATGAGATTCTCCAGTTTGTGCGGCATCGCTGCCGCCGGGCTGTCCTGCTCCGTATGCGCAGTCGGGGTGTCCGGCGCCGCTCAAGGATTCGCCAAGGGCGTCACGGGAGGTGGTAGTGCCACAGTCGTGTGTAAGTGGTGTCCGTAACTTACATAGATATCCATCTCTACTTGAGCAAACACATAAGACGAGGCAAAACTGACGTAGTGACATATAATCAACAGATCCCACCACCACGGCTGAGCTCGTCTCTTACCTAGGCGACAGCTCCGCCCGCGTCATCGTCCTGACCAAAACGTTCGACTTCACCGGCACCGAGGGCACCGTGTCGGCCACGGGCTGCGCGCCCTGGGGCACGGCGTCGGGTTGTCAAACCGCCATCAACGCCAATGACTGGTGCACCAACTACCAGCCCGACGCTCCCAAGGTCAGCGTTCAGTACGACTCGGCTGGCCTGCTGGGGATCACGGTCAAGTCCAACAAGAGCTTGATCGGTTCCGGGACCGCCGGTGTTATTAAGGGCAAGGGGCTGCGTATCGTGAGCGGGGCTAGTAACATCATTATCCAGAACATTCATATCACGGGGCTGAACCCGCAGTATGTCTGGGGCGGGGATGCTATCACCTTGAATGGGGCGGATATGGGTTAGTATTTCCTGCCCTGAAGTCATCTGAAGTATAACCAACCAACTCATGAAAACAGTTTGGATCGACCACGTCAAGACCTCCCTTATTGGCCGCCAGCACTATGTCTTCGGCTACGACGCCTCCAACCGCGTCACTATCTCCAACTCGGAGATCGACGGCTCGACCTCATGGTCCGCCACCGCAAGTGCCTCCTTTCATGTTTTCCGGAATCGTAAAAGTCATGTCGTATCACTAACACAAACACCCAACAGTGCGACGGCCACCACTACTGGGGCCTCCTCTTCGACGGCTCCAACGACCTCGTCACCCTGCAACAAAACTACATCCACCACACCTCCGGGCGATCCCCAAAAGTCGGCGGCAACACCCTCCTCCACATGGTCAACAACTACTTCTACGCCTCGTCCGACCACGCCCTCGAGGTCGATGCCGGCGCCATGATCCTCGCCGAGGGCAACGTCTTCCAGAACATCCCCTCACCCGTCATCAGTCCCATCAGTGGCCAGCTCTTCGGAAGCCCCGATACGAATACTAACGCGGAGTGTTCGACTTATTTGGGCAGGGCCTGTCAGTTGAATGCTTTCGGCAGTTCGGGGTCGTTGGGCGGGACGGACACCGCGTTTTTCGTGAATTTCCAAGGGAAGAATATTGCGGGGGCCACGACAGCAGTTGACGCGAAGGCTGTTTCTACTTCTGCGGGAATTGGCAAGGTTTGAGGTGATGTATGGGTATGATATTGATGGTGCACGGAGAAGAAGGCCGAAAGCTTTTGGCTGCAATTCCAAGCAGGGGAACGGGAATTTTCAGGGTACATATTCATAGAGTTGTATATAAAACTTGTGTCTCCACCGCTCTTGAACCTATGTACCAAGCAGCTTATAACTTCGAGACGTGAGATGCTCTCAGAATATAGTGGTTAATGATACTTGTACAATCATTAGAGGAGATGAATCAAGAGACCGACCTCATGGCTTATTTTAAATCCCTATGAGCGTGGGGCAACAGGGGCAGATAACAGGCCTGCTCTGTGCCTAAGTAAAGGTAAATGGCTGGTTAGTACATGTAAGAGTGGACATAGCAAAGACATCTTATTTTACAAAAGATTGCACATCATCAATCAGAGTTTGTTATGCGATGTGTGTGTACAGAAGAGAGCTACCTAGTTAGCCGAAGTGCTTAGCCTAGATATACAGGCAGATGCACGGGTCACTGCCCTGACAGAGTTCATTGAACATATCGTATTGGTATCCAAGGCATGCCAGCTAATTCCATATTGATACTAGGTCGTGAAGGTGTAAGGGGGATATGCCCTCGGGGATCGATAGAGGTAGCTGGGCTCATTTCGGCCTGCCTTGTTCTCTTCAACGGCTACGAGGGACTTCTAGGCAAAGAGGTAAGGCACGCTGAGCATGTGGGCAGCCAGCTGCAGAGGTTTTGGCAGAGTAAAAACCATCAATTTGTTGATAACATAACATGAATGCCGAACAAACTCAACGAAGTGTTCACTTCTAGCCGACAACAGTACTTCAGCTTAACAATAGCAATCAACAACGGTTAGCAGTTACACAAATTAAAAAAAAAATATGCATAGGCGACCAAGGATGTCAATATCCTTGCCGCAGTATCACAGCAGTTTAAGAGTAGGTAGTTGCGTGAGGTATGACAGCCCGCTAGGCGGGTGGTACGGGTTAATATTCAGACGAAAAGCAGGAGCCGAGCCGTAAAGCACTTACTTGCATGTACTATTGAAGGCAAGAAGAAGCAGTAACACAAGAACAAAAGGACACAAGCATGAGAAGCGCAGGAGGTATTACCCGAAGGCTGCTGTGCCAACTCGGAATATTTCAAACACACACTGGGCTCAAGTCATATGAAGCCATCGTCATAGGAGGAACAAAAGAAGTTTTGCAGAGCTTGTATTTACTCTTCATGTCTATTTACGTTGTGGCAGAGCAAGGTGAACTTCCCACTGCTGGGTTCATTTTCCATGACGACCCAGCAAGGTATCATCCCAATTGCCCTCCACATGATTTCTGTGGCCATGTGCCGCACAATAATTAGTCTTCTCCTAGGAGTGCTTCGTGCAATACGTGCAAAGCGTCCCCGAACATGTATGTGTTGTGGCGCAGGCAGCACCACCTTCTGGGAATGCTCGACCGTGCAAGCACTCCTCCGGTCCCCCCTTTAGCCTCCACTAGTGTGCGTCAAATTGCCAGCCTTTCTTTGTCCAGCTTCCACACCGTTACCAATCTTTGTGCACTTAGAAAAGATTATCCTAGCATGCCATGCTTCTCTGGTGTGGTATTGGTACCCTTTCTTCAAGACCAAAGAGGGTCGAAGTTGCCGAAGGGAATCAAAATATTTTTTTGGGGAAATAGTCGTTTTATTGTCTGAGCCGCGACTGGGCCCAGGGGGTATGACCGAGAAATGAGAATAAATCAAACAAGTCGCTAATGCCATGGAGATGATCCTAAACCGTCAATTTATGCAACAATCTTTTTTCTTCCGTAATACACATGTCCATGCGACGGTCTCGAGAAGATGAGGTCCTCAATATGGGTCGGTGGAAAGAGAGTCCGCCTGGGTTTGGATTGTCGAGTGTCGAGCAAATAAATCCGGTTGAGGTCAGTGTGACATCTGCGTACTATACTCTTCGTGGGAGTATGCCGGGTATTGCTCCATTTGTTGTGATTGAGACGGGTATGAAGTTATTTGGTTCGTTGTGGGCGTAGGTGTGACGGGACAGCGAGGCGCATATTTGTTCATCGGGTCCGCCCCTCCAAAGCAGACCCCGTCGGGAGTGATGGGAGGGGTCAGATAGCCCTCAGCTACACCCAGGGAAGCGCCGTGCCTTTTTGAGGGGGTGCTGTAGATGCTGCTCGACTTGGACGTCAGGGTGGGCTCCGTAGGGGGCGAGGGCGGTCCTGCTCGTCGGTTGATGGCTGCCTGTTGCGCAAGAAAATCCGAAAGCTTCGTCGACGCCCTCGAGAGATGCGGCGACGAGTACTTCCTTGCCAGCGTCACAGAGGGCTGGTGAAGGTGTTGAGACAGCGTAAGTAGCGTAACGTTGTCCGTGTGATCCCATTCACCGTCGTTGACTTCGGGGCGGCCTAGTATCGCTCGGGCAAGGGCCAGCGAGGCTCTTGCCATGATTGACGGCTTGGTTGAAACGAAATCCCGATGGTATAATGCGATCTCGGAGAGGTAGGCGGCCATGTGCTCGACTTCCCGGTCGTCCGACTCTTCGGCAACGATGAGCTGGCCGAAGAAGTCGACTGTCGGGTGTCCGATTGCCCACTCGAGAGTGTTGAGAACGTGCATTTCCATTTGCGTGAACATGCCCGAGTCGTATAGTCCACAGCACATGTTGTTCAGCTCGTTGATTTGGGGCACACGATCCTTCTTGTCACCATACTTGGCGGCAATAAGAAGCGCGGCACATCCAACAAGTTGGTAGTGTTGCTTATACACGACCCGCTTTGAGCAGTAGCGATCCAGGAGGTTGACCGTGAGGAAGAGCGTCTCCGGTAGGAGCGCGAACGCGGCATGTGCCTCGATGAGGAAGTCAATTAAGTACGGTCGCATGAACCACTGGATCTCGCGCTGCATGTCAATTAGGTTGGCGTCGGGTAACGTCTCGTCCTCCATGTGCCTTGTGTGCAGCATGATATCCTCCAGATACTCGTCTCCAGCGAGCCGTGAGAGCTCATTACCAATCATTTCTTGTCGATTGCGTGCCAACATCTTGGCGGCGTCTCTGGTGTGTGCGCGTGATGGTTGGGGTTCGTCGACCTCGACGAAGAACTCGCAATCCGACTTTAAGTACGCCATTGTAAGTGGTGTGTTTGGTTGTGTTGTGTGTGAGTATCCACGCTGGTATTGTGTTTAAAGAGTGACAGGTTAGGTTCTCCAGGAATCTGTGATGGCTTGAGAGTGAAGGAGCGTCGGTTATATGAAGACGGTGCAGAGGTCGAAGGAGTGATTATCCCAACTGCAGTCAACAAAATATTACAATATTAAAGAATGTGCTTCTGAATGGCTCCAAATGAATGACTGGCCCAAAGGGTACCGGAATGCCTGAAACAGAGATCGCGAAATTGTGACGGAAGTCGTCGAGTGAGCTGGTCTCTGTATACATTTAATTAGCCTCAGGAATCATCGATAAGATCCGCTCAAAGAGATCGTAGGACATCTGATTGGGCCACAACACACTCTGTAGGAAAAATCAAGTGCGTTGGACCCGAGAGCTTGAAGTGGCCCTTGGAGGGTTGACGTTGGCCTATCTTCAACGGGTAGACCGGGTAGACGGGTAGATAAAAAAAGAGGTATCCTTACCACCACGGTTGGTTGGTAGGAAATTAAGCGATTCCTGAGAAGTGCGGGCGGGAACAACGAGTTAACGAGTCCCACGGAGCAGATATTCTCATCGACGTCAAGGCGTGAGTGGGGAGTGATGATACCGGGGGGAGCTTTGAGACTCGGCGGTACGCAGCTGTGCGGTGCAAGTTGGTGTCAGAATTTGGCCTTCAAATGTAGTGACCAAAAGAAGACCCCTTCCATGGCGTGTCATGGAAGTTGGTCATGGGGTTTGCGCACGAACATACCTCAACACTTGCACTCTAACTTGGTTAGAGTTTCTGGATCATGTAGGCTGGGTGTAGTCCTCAGAACCGGATCAGACCGTGAGGGGTCCAAAGCCAGTATTTCCTGGGGATATCCACTTGATTGCAATGGGCCAAAAGTCAGATTCCAGGTACCGCTAGCACGAAGGAGATTGGTGAATCGGGTTCGCCTGAGGCTGTTGTCTTTCCGGAACTGTTGGTGTCGGCGGAGGAGTGCGGCGGCCGAGGAATGGGGGGTGTGGATTGACCGACCGGGACGACGGGAAAGGGACGGGGGGGAGAGAGATGTGGTAGTTGAGAGATTCCTCGTCAAGAACAAGGGCCCGAGGAATTCCAATGGTGTCACTGAAAACAATTGGGTAGAGGAAGAATTGGTCTAAAAGTCCAAAGACAGAAAAAAAAGTCGGCTGCGGGAAACCTATTTCTTTATCTGATTTCTCTCCTCATTTATCGCTCGGCCCTGTCCTGTTCTATGCTGGGGAAATTGGTTGTCGGTTGCCCAGAGGTTGATCTCTCTTCCTTCCCTCCTGTTGCTGGATGAGGAGTCTCGTACGGAGATGTCGGGAGGGGAAGGGAATGAATGGACCGGGTGAGGAGGATAGAGGGAGGGAAGGAGAGGCGAGAAGGCTTCGAGTTGGAGGAGGATGCAGGAGATGAAAAAGGATTGGAAGAGATTGGTTACTGGCACTTTTAAGACACTGGAGCAGCACAACGCAGCGGACACCAGGCCGGGGCCGGGATGGGCCTAGTCAAGGTACGAGCGAGCCTTGAGCCTGTGAGGTGCCTGAGGTTCAAACTTCCCAAGGTTGCGCGGGTCTAATATGGCTGCGCAGGGTACTTTGCCTGAGTACTTTCTCACTGTGCCGTACCCATGTACCCAAACTCCACTCTCTGGATCTGTCGGCTTCGGAAATTCAAGGCCGGTTTTTCCCCGAGGGGAGTTGCAGGGATCAACGGGTACGAAGCCACTTGCACACTGGCGGAGCTTGATGATAATGATTGAATTATGAGGGAAGCACCAGCACCAACAACGCTGCACGCACAGTACGGGCTATGAGCTGCTACCAAGTGTTGGCTGCTATTCGTTGCCTTTTCTTCGGTGGAGAGTTGCGGTGACGAAGGATGGATGATTCTTGATAGCGACTCGATACTGTAGCGAGTTAGCTTGCTTGCCTGCTTGCTATGCTTTGCATGAGTCAAAGGCGCAGGAATTCAATTGGACTTGATTCAGGAGGTGTGTGGCGTGAATATCGGTAGTCGGTCCATGGTCATCGAATCCTAATTGTCATTGTCAAGCAAGCGTGGACCCCCCTATGTCTTATGCCTAAAGTTGCGTGTTGTTGAGACCACCTGCGATCTTCAACCGTCGCGAGTTTCAGCAGGCCTGTTTTCAAGGTGTGGTGTGCCTCTCTCAGGCCAACTTCCTGGCCGATAGCTGCCTCGACCACTCAAAGTCGCGGAAACAGTGCTCTGTTTGTTTGTTTGCGGTGCATAAATGGGCGCTGGGCCCCTTTTGCATCGGCCTGCGGCCATTGTGTCCATTGTGAAATCTCATGATTGTCTATGTAATGTAATGGAGTGATGCACGCGATGCTGCTTCCCTGGAAAGGTGGAGGCCCGCAGGTAGCTAGCCTACCAAGCCTACATAGCCATAGCTGATCACGTCGGCGGCCCAATCGTTGAGGACACTCGGCCAAACGACTTTCGAGTTTCGCCACCACTCAAGTACGGAGTGTATTCGCCAAACCAATTACCAAATCATACTGTCGGACAGGGACATGCCCATGAGCGTCGTGCCTCCTTTCTCCAACTCGAAAATATTCACTGATGGAGCAGCAGCTTCATCTCCACTGACAACTGCTGGCCTGCAAGTGCTTAGTGCCAAGTATTGAAGCAGTGTGCATAGGCGACGAGAGATTGAGAGAAATCATACTTTGTACAGTGCCCCAAATGGACATGGGACGCGTTGAAGTTTCTTCTGAATTACCAGCAAGGAATTCGCGTTTTGGTCGGGGATGTGAGCCGTTGCAAGAATGCACCGTGGGTAAATGGATGCCAATGCGCACTGTAGGGAACTACCATGGGTATGACCGGCGCGCCTTCTTGACCTTATCTCAGCTAGCTAACTTATCTCAGCCGAAAAGCTGAAATTGAAGCTCTCTCAAACTACGACTTGAAGATGTAAGATCTGCACCTGCACCATTTGAGCTACTGTAGTAGTGCATTGCTTGCCGTCGAAACATCTTGCAAACTGCCAACCAGCACCAGTCGAGGGGCTTTCACAATCCGATGCACATCCAGCCCATGGCAGAATTTTGATACTTGGCAGCAGCGAGCCACAGCGTCAGCGAAAGAGATGTAGCAAGAGATCTGTCATACCTCGTGGGAATGGGCTAATGCGCGCCAGTCACGCTCCTCGTCCATCATTCATCTCACATAGACGACCATGTCTCGCCTGCGATGCCGCCTATGCGTCTCCAGCTGGGCTGAACGTTGTTCTCAGCGATGCTAGTGCTGCGAACATGGGCCAGGGGGGCAGCTTCTAGCGTCGCTTCAGCCCATGGAATCTGCAGAAATTCCAAGGCAAGTGGACGGTGCTTTCGCGCGAGCAGCCCGTCTCTTGGGATCCTCGCAGCCAATTAGACGCTACGGACGCGTCGAACACGTCCTTGAGAATCAATTAATCATGCGTCTAATGTGCAATGACCGAGCTCATTGCGTGCGTCAAACCCCATTGCTTCCGGCTTTTCCTATGGGCAGAAATGCGTACGGATGGGTCGATGGGTCGCGAGCTGCCGAGAATGTAATCTTCGAATCTTTAGGGGAGTCAGGCCCGACATGAGGACCATCTGCGCAGCACGCGACCTCTCGTGTGCCTTCATTTCCAATCGACTTGGGCTTTGTTTCCTCCATGCTCCAGTCCCGTGCAATCTGGATGCGGCTGCGGCCTGGTCGCCCAAGAATAAGAAGGAGCCGATACGTCGGGAAGGCTCTACGAAGCGACACGCGGTATGCCACAGAAAATTGTGCCTGCTCTGTGAGGACAAGGCCGTATTACCGACAGGGGTGGTCGAGACCCCATCTTGATTGGACCGAATGATTGCTCCAAGGCTGGGTGCGCCCGCTTGCCGTGGGACGATTCATCGACATCCATTCCATCATCATTCATCGTGCCCAGCATTGTTCACCTGCTGCCCCTGGCCAAGTTTCCTAACGACCTCCTTGGCCTGGGCTCCCCACGTCTCATAAGCACGCGTTGCAGCCGTGGTCACGTCAATCAATCAAGATGCCGCAGCTCCGTTGACCCTGTCTGCCGACACGTCTCATCGATATCTCCACAAGCGGAAGAGAAAGCGGCACTCCGTCCATGGAAGCACCGGCAAGGGTCATTCTGTCTACCTGCCAAATGGGGTTTGACAGCCTTGCGGCCGATCAATTTTCCTAATCCTATCGTTGATTGTGAATGCGAGACGGCTTTCAACAAAACCTCTGATTTTGAACCCCATGACCCGATTACCGACAAGAACCCCCCAATTGGTCAGAGTGGAACATATTTTTACCATGCTACTGCAGTCTGCTCCGGTTCTTTGGCAATAGCCGTGTCCGTCGCAGTAAAAGTGGACGGACGACCTGGAGATATATCAAGGTGGTCGGTGACGATGCGTCGGGACCAGCTTTAAGCTTTTTTTCTGCATTTGACCAAAGGAGCCTCACCGCCGCAGACTGTGATGTACGACTGACAAATCGATTTGATGGATGCAAACCAACAACTGCAGCTAGAGAGGTTACGCTGATCTGCTTCAGTTGCACGACATCAGTGGCAGTCATATGCCGTATACGATACTGGTTGTTGTATATCAATCTTGTAGCAGCCGCCAGTAAGGGAGCCTGACTGATTTGGGATATCACGTTTTGAATCCAGCTCAGTGGTATTGTTCGACCGCTCTATTCGAAGCTACTCTAACATTGTCGACGGCATGCAGATTGGGTGAGCTGAATTATGTCAGCTCCTCGGATTCAACGACGAGATGGATGTCCCTGCTAGATTGCCCCTCTCCTGCTACCAAAGCTCCGCATCTATGGTGGAAGCTCAAAGTTTGCACCTCGGATCTTGTACCGCGGCATGATGCGGGAGCCAATGATGGCCATAATGAACTGTTCTCCTGAAACCATGCTATACCGCTCGCCAACACCCACTGGCTAACATGTAAGCTTGCAGGAGGCTGGGTGAAAGCGACAACTCCGAAGCAAAGGCCCAAAAGCTCACAATCATTCCAAAGGCGTTGCTCCAAAAGAATATCTTCCAATTGGGACATATCATCGACGATATCAGTAAAAAAGCATTCTCTGGCTATGTGGACGAAGAATTCCCAGAAATTCGGAATACCATGCATTACGATTGCAATGTGCGAAGTGCCTACCCAGACCGCCACGAGTCAAGCCACAGTTGCTATAGTCGCCAAGCGCTGGGGGAGTTGTTTCTTGAGGTCTAATTGCACTGTGCCATCCTCAATCGCGAACACCGCCTGCCACGAACCCAGCCTTCTCTGTTTTTTTGTTTTTTTTTTGTTTACCGACTCGAGATTCCAACTCGGCAGAGTGGTCGCCCTCGGGCAGTAGTGCTCCATATTGACGTATCCCAGGCCCGGTGGAGATGAAAAACATCGTTAACTTCTAGTAGCGAAAGCGATTTCGGTGTTCACACTACCTACACGTCGGCCCTTGCATAACGGCAGTGAGCACCTACATGCAATTCCACGGTTTTCCATGTGCGATTCTGCACTTCTCAAGACTTGATCGCACGGGCCCTGCAGGCACCACGTTAACGACCCTGAAATGAGTTGTATGATCTGCCCATGCTTTAAGTTATTGCTAGTCGTCGAAGGAGACTGAAACTGTTCGATCCTTCTATCTAAACTTGGATCCCAACTCTGCTCCGTGGACCCGTGGACCCGTGGACCCGTGGATCCGTGTTCGACTCGTACTTATTAGAGCCCGTATTAGGGGTCCTTCCTAGTTCTCCACCCCGCGATTTCATCCCAAATAGTGCAGGGTTCCGCTCCGCCCCGTTTCATTGGATGATGGATACTTCTGGATATTTTAACGTTCAGTCGGTACCGTATTCAACACCTCCCTTTAGGATCAGAAGCAATAATCTCAGCAACCGCTCTCATGCTGTGAGCCAGTTCGCGACATCGCCTGGTTACCCGTTAGAGTAACTTTGCATTGGCAGTACCGAATCATGCTGAGAAAGCGATTTTCTCCAGACATGCGGCCTGGTCTCCTAGCCGACAAGCGGCAGCTTCGGAAACCGCCCTTTCTTTCTAATTACGTACACAAGAATATTGACGACGCTTATGTGATATTGGCTTGGAAGTCGTGGTGATGGAACCACAGGCGGTGTGCGCTGGGTCCTGGCAAGTGTCAAGCTGACGGCCATGGATAGCCCTGCGGGCGGAGCAAGACCTATCTCTAATGAAGCCTAATACAATGGTATTACGCTTTACTTCATTACACAGTAGAGTGGAGAGCTGACGGTGGTGCTCCACTGTCTGCATAGACGGACCCGTCAGCCTCATAAAACTGGATAATACATGCTTACTGTTCATGTCCCAGCATAAACCTCAGTGCACGAGATATCCTTCGATGGACAATCTAGAAGGTCAGGGGGAGTGCCACAATTCGAAAATGAGCTTGGAAACAGATCAAGCCACAACGAGGCTGCAGACGGACGATTTCATCGATTCGAACCCACCAGCTCGGAACGCACAACTTTATAGTTGATCGACCCAATAATGAATGCATGGATTTCTTATGCACCTACTATAGCACTTTTCCGTATTCGGCCAGCCTCGGAATCCATAATTCGTTCTACAAGTTGCGGCTCTTTCAAATAAACTCGACTAAACTTGCACTATGTATGGATGGATATACAGTATAGATCGGTGTTGCAGCTCAAAGACAATCTATACTCACTCAGGATTGTTTGGCACTGTTTGCGAAGATCTAGCTCGCTCTTGCTTCTTCTATGCAGCAGAAAATTTCTGTTCCGTCCCATCTTCACCGCAGAAGGCAAAAAAAGTTACTTGCCGAACGATTCAACCCCTCGTTTGTCGAATTTGAATTTGGGCGCTGCTAGGCCATCTCCACTTGATAAATGCATGTGGCAGAAAGCTTTGAGGATTGGGGGCAAACGTTATGGGAAGAGCAACGACACGGCCTGGCTGGTTTTCGTCATCGGGGGATTTCGTACTGTGGTGTCGTCTTCCGTTGTCCGCGAGATTCCTTCTCCACAACTTTGCAATGTGTTAAGAGTGAGCTTACCGGAGTTATGACCTCGTATGAAGTGAAGGTAAAAGAGTGCCCTATTGCAGGAAGCTGTTTGTTCCGAATCGCCGTCTTAATTCATTACTCTCACTGCCGGTCCCGACATAGATATACGACGTTTGCCTCCCACAACCCAGGCTGAGGTTTCAATGGCCAGGCTTGGAATGTTTGGCAAATGTCCGAACGGCGGTGATCCCAACCAACTGGCTTTATCCCGAACCGCTGGCTGCCTCGTCGCCAACCTAGGTTTCAGAGAGATGGACAGACGTCGGCTGATGAGAAGAAAATGGAATTTAATCCCTTGCAGACCTGTCGCATAGTGTTGCATTGCAGCAGCGTTCGCCTCGGTTGTAAGTCGCGGGGCAACACGGTGCATGGCTAGGACAGGGACGAACCATGCGTACACTTGCCGCCTGCATATGAACAATACCTCACCGATTATCACGAGCTTGCGGGACCTTTTTTTTTGTCTTCGCATAACACGTAGTCCATTCTAGACTCCAGGCCTTACTTTGCTAGTCTTGCGGTGTTGCAATTTCGATGATGAAGGCGGTCGAGCGCGGCCGAGGCAGCAAGGACACAGCTGGATGTAGACTAGCAGTAAGCTCTTGTCAGTTTGAAATATTTCTAATGTTCTGAGTTTGAAAGTCCGTGTCACACAAACCCAATCCCGACGATTCCTTTTTATGCTACCGCCATACGTTATCTCGGAATGTAGTTGCGCTTTGGCTTCGTGATCCACCAAAAAAAGGCTATGTTCGCTCTCTCACGACGTGACGACTCAAGCCGCAACGTCTTGGCGGCCAACAATACAAAGGACCGCCGATTCATTGTTTCGGTAGGGTCGTCAAGAGTCGCAGATGTTCCCGGACCAAAGTGACGCGAAAACAATGACGCGCTCTCTCTTCGGGAGTTTTGGCGACGTGCAGCAGCCGCCTCAATCCAATGACGCGTATTTGCAGCTGATTGTTGAGCTGCTTCCCCTCCCCTCCACACCCGACTAGTTGAGACATACAGCACCATTCTTAGACGGACGCTATCATGAATGATCCTCATGCAGTCGGTTCCAAGATTTGGTCGATCAATCGACTACAGCGTAAGCTTTGTTTACTACACCAGCCGGAAGTCAAGTAGTTGAATTTCGAAAGCAAGGAGCAACAAGAGAATCGACGTGAGTTGCGGCACGCCCAAATCTCTGCTTTACTCGTAGACGACGAAAACTGACTTGTAGATGCGGCTTTCGGGTTGGCTTCTACTCTGATAACTTCAAATGAGTTGGCCATCGTGCGTCTGGCCTTCAGCTACGACTCAAACGGCTCCAATCCCCCTCAACGAACAATTGATGCGAAAGTTCAGGGGCTCTTGAACAAAGGAACGCAGGGTCCCCACCTCCCGTTGTCGGATTGATGGGCGCGGGCGCCTCGACTGACGATCCTGCCCAATCCGTCAGCCGCGTTGGGTAGCTTGGGTTACACAAGAGATGGGAAGCTACCCCCAAGCTCCCTACAGAACGAGCTATTTCCCAAGCCGTCATTATTTCCGGTGTAAGTTGCAGGGATTCCATAGTGCCATGCTGACTTTGAACTTGGTCTCGCAATAAAGTGCCTGGTGAAGTCTATTTCCCCACATTCAACCGTCATCCTGCGTTCCCAGAGTTGTGAGTCTGCATCTGACGACTGGGATCGTCATCGTGAACCATCCGTCCTGTCCACAGAGACTCGAGCTTCAAGCTTGTGGTGGGGAGGTGAGGGTTGAATCCCAAAGCTCTCTCTTAGCCTGGTTCAAGAGGTCTCATTGGTCCATCTCACCTGCGTACACTACGTAGAGGCTGTGCCGCTTCAAGCACGTCGCCGCATGGTGAGCAGGACAGCTTTGAGCTTTGAGCCAGACGCATTGGACAGCCTCAGCGCTACTGCTGACAGCAGGATGCCGAACCAGATATTCCAAGCCGCAATGCTTCAGCAAGCCGCCTTGGCTAGTAAAGCAGCCTTCGCAGCTGACAGCCTGCCGAAAGCACCCTCGGTCCCCAAGATATGTGGGGAAATGCTGCATGGCGTTCCTTGTCATCTGCGCAAAAGCAGGTCTTCTACGTGGACCGACAGGTTACGAGGTGGCAAATAACTTGTGCAGATGCGTGAACTCAGGGCACTGTGTGGTTGCGTCAAGGTACTCTGCATCCATATTCCAGCAAAACCAAGTTAGCAAACCCGGCAGAAGGCGAAGAAGTGACGATGCTACAGGCCAAACTGATACCGAACGGACGGTTGCAAGATGCTGGTTTTGAGCAGGTATAGAAGCTTAATGGCGGGGTAAGTTGACGTGAAAGAAGAGACGAACTGCTAATCAAGCTGGGGACATCGGGTGCACACGCTTATTACCAGCGTCAGGGACTTGGATACCTACATGGATGGATATTCTAGCGTGAACGAACTCCAACTGGGAGTCTTTAACCAATCTGAGCTAGTGGCTGGCCTGAGCAAAAAGCTGATGATGGCAACCGGGTTCTTCTCTTACTTCGAGCCAGTTGTTGGTGTTGGAGAAAAAGCAGACCATTCCTCCATAGGAAGGGCCAATGACGAGAAAGGCACTTTATGCGATGCACGTAAAAAGATCAACCTGTCGACGCCTCCTCTCCCCATCCGGCCTAGGTGGATACAACGACGACGGCTAAACTCCTGGTCCTCCAAATCTGCTTCATTCACGCGCGCCGCGCGCCGCATATGCTCATCTCCGGGGGAAGTTCAATGGTGTCGCGATGTGAAAGTCTCCGATAGGCTTCTCGTTACGGCGCGGTGGCCTCGGAGGCACAAGTTCGATTCGTTCTCGGATTGATTTCAGGCAGGAACAACATGCTCTCCATGCAAGCCATCAGTCTCCTTTTCCAAGACGTCGGTCGTCCAAACCACTCGCAGCAAGTGCGAAGGCTTGTCGAAATTGACCGAGGACGCCTAACACACCAATAGTATAGCAATTCTCTATGAGTGATTTAATCTTGGCAACCCTCCTTGCCACTAACCGAATGCCAGCTCATTAATCAATTCTCTGCGCGCTTGTAAAAACGTGGAGAATACCAGACCGGTATCTGCGTAGCGTTATGGGAAGTTCATTGCAATACAATGCCCCTATTCCTCCAAGTGGGCCCGTTGGCCTAAGCGACAATGTCAAAAGCGTCCATATGACCTGGGCTTTGACTTTGCATGTCAAATTTCCGGCGCGACTGTTACGACGTCGAATTGAGGCAACACGAACAAACCGCAGATTCCACAGACTATAGATGCACGTGTCTTGGGGCGCTACTCTAAATGACGGATTGGAGCGATAGAACATTCAATTGCTTCGAGAAGCAGCCCCTCGTGTCCGTCCCTCGTGTCCGTCCAACTGTCGCCGTTGTGCCAGTCTGTGTGCTCCGACAGGCCGGCGTGCCACGACACGGGCACGCTTATCTCTTCCGCGCTGGTTCCGAACTAGCTCGGTGCCACGCTTGTGTCGGTCGGATGTCGAGACTTGTTGCAAGTGCGGTTTAACACGAGCCGGCTTGTGGTACTTGCAATGGTCCGGCTGATGAGGCGAGCGTCGGTGAGGTTAGCGCAGCAGCTTCGATGTATCGGGAGAGAACAGCTGTGCGAGTGGGTCAAAGTAGCGGGTTATTTCCAATGCCCGACTGCAAGAACACTGCGATCGCACTGGCATCCTGACAGGGTACACTGGCAAGAGAATATTCCTCCTACGCTTGATGAGGCCAATGGGGCTAAGATTCGTGTTGAGCTTCGCTTGGCCTTCAACAATGGGTGAGTCCTGTCTGTGTCCAACAGAGACGCTGGTAAAGGGGAACATGGCCTTTGCGCTGAAAGGATCAAACATTTGCTGCTGGCTGTATAGCACCGCCCACTTTGGGTTATCAAGTAGGTGTTCACGACCAGACTCGAGTCGATTTGGTATATTGAGTGGGAGTATCTCAGGGATGATTTGTCCATTTTTTTCATTTTTTGTATCTTCTCGATTTCCGTCTTGAATTTCTCCCACCAGATTATGGGTCAGCCTGCCGCTTGGACGATGAATGGTTCTTGGATATTTGCCACCAATCGAACATTTTTCACAAAGCCTCTTGTTCCCTTCCGTACCTCTGCCTTTCGAGATGACCGTGGAGCATAGACGTAGGGCCAAATTCCTACTCTTGTAGCAGCTCAGCATCCACCATCTCCGTCCAGACGGTCTAGCCATCTTGAAGATCAGCATCAATGAACTCTCCACCAGTTAGTTGTTACTATCACCATCAGGGTTATGGAAGAAGGCGTCGCCTGCAGGCGTTCCCAGTCTCGCCCGCTGTCCCTGACGACTCGGGGGTAAGCCTGAGTCGAAGATGTGCTCTGAGCCGTATTGCTGATACAGGGGCATTCGATACGCTCCCAGCACTTCCCGACGGTTCTCAACAAGCCAAATCTTAGGCGCCGTGGGCACCGACGACATATAACACCCCATGAAGGGAAGAACGCCCGACAAACGTCCGTCCCAGTGCCGGTATTCCTCAGGTTTCAACATGACAAGACCCAATCCACCCATGATCCCAGGTTCGTACGGCCAGCCCAATGGCTTAAGCTCAGTCACCTCACGTGTCTCCAACTGTAAAGCTGAACCTATGCCAATATCGAGCTATAGCATCGCAACATCTCGTGAGCGTTGGTGGCCGTTTCCGTTTCCAACCCACATTGTGCCGCATAATTTTCCAGGTCGACACCGAGTCGCCCTCGAGGAGGATGGGGAAGGTGGGGCCAGAGTCGACCATCACTTCGAGCGTGGATGACCTTATTCGGGATTTGCTGGACCTTAGAGCCTGGCTGCCGTCTATTTCGCTTGCTTTACGGCGGCGTACCCCCCGGACCGCATCACCTTGTTCTTGTCAGCCACAAACGTCACGAATATGGGCCACGGCCCGACAACATATGCCCTACCACCTGCTTGATACATAACCCTTTCTTGGTGTGGACAACGCCGTTGTCTCCGGTCAGGGGCGGCTCATGCCATATAGTCAACCTTCGCCAAACTCGCTGAAGTACCAGTTGAGTCGTTCTTCGCGGTCTTTGGCGAAGAATTCGTATGCTGGGCTCGTGTCCACGATGTAGCCAGCATATATTAGGGTAAAGTGCTCAGAGTATGCGATTTGGCCGGATTCGTATCCGGTGACAACGGCTTGGATGTTGATCTTTTCGGCTGAACATTTGCTGGCTTGGAGGGGTTGTTCAGACTGTTGATGCGCCTGATTATGCAAGTATTTTTGTGGTATTGGTCTCTACTGCGAGGTCAGTGAATATGTCTGGAAATACAGCGCTTCCCGGACATCTCGCCTACATTTCGAACACATGCATCCCGGCAGAACCTTCTGAGGCATGATATGGGAACTTACTCGGGTAAAAGTCGTCTTCATTGGTTTCCAGCTCAGCCTTCTCTCTTTGACTAACAAGTCCAGCATTTCCTTGTCCATATTCACTGAGCCTGGGTCCTTTTCATCGTTCCACATTATGATGTATTTTCGTTGGAGGAGCTGGCGCCATTTGTTCTCGACTTTGTTCAGATTCTCGCCCATACTAGATTATACGTTGAGATTCTGCCAAGGCTACAGGGCTTGTTCTCGGATACCATCCTGTTTGTTCATTTCCGGTGAGTCTCCGTCAATCCTCTGTTTCTCTGTCGGTTTCACGTCGCCTCCGTTCCTTTCAAATTGTCGCTGAGAATCGCCCAGATATGCTGCGTAGGAGTCATGTTGAGATCTTAACACACGCTGGCTTGGATGCCACGATTCTCTTGAAAATCAGGTTCGATTACGGAATAGCCGCGAGGTCGTTAAAACTAGCCTCGATTACTCTGTCCAGGCTCATCTTCCTGAGTAAACTCAAATAAAGGCTGCTGTCGTAAATTTAGCGTCAGTTTATACACAGGATTTGGATTTGTCTGATTTACACCGACTGTCTAATCCGAGTTGGGAATCTTTCCCTGGTCAGTTATCGTCTCGGGTTCAGTAGAGTCTGAAGCCTGTGGAACCTCAACTCAAAACAAAGACTTTTCGCCTATCCGGGAACAGAAACACAATTGGTGACATAAGTTTCTCATTCCTAAGGAGCTATGGCCAAATGAGAGGGAATCCTTTGTTTGGGCTCGGCTTTCTAGCCGTTCGCGATGGCATTAAGGAGTTGTCTGGAATCCATGGGCTCATCCCTAGCAATGACAGAATTCCTACGCAAAGGGAATCGGGCAGCAATTGTTCAAAACACAATGGCGCGCGCGACCCGGGCCCAGTATCTCTTCTCTTTTCTCAACTCTTTCACAAATCTAATTTCTGTCTCCCCTACGTTCATGGTTGGAGCCGAGCAATTTGCGGCAAGTTGGCGCATGGTCTTGTGTCCTGTTCTGTCAAGTACTGCGCCAAAGTAGTAACTCAGACTTGTCAAGACAGACACCTTTGACTGGTGTGTTGTGATCCATGTGAAAGAAAACCGACTTTGAAGAACAACGTATTGTGCTGCCGGCGACTATCATCCCCACCATGGCTGAATGCGACGTGGTCAGAAGCGATGCCGAGATAGAGGCAATGAGAAGAAACGTCAAATATGAATACGGCGAAGACAACCTGGGTGATGAAGAGGAAGCAGGCCCGAGCATCCGGATCCCGCAAATTGCCAACTTCCTGCGCGATCAGGACTGCGATCGCGGCATGGACTGGAAGAAGAAACTGAACCTCGTCGAGAAGTACCTCGAAGGCGCCGACGAGCTCCGGAAACAGGGTCACCCCGACTTCCAACCTCACTTGGTCGCCCTTCTAGAAGACTGTCTGATTCTGGTCGACGTCCATCGAAATTTTGAGTCTTGGAACTACGGCAAGACAGCATGGTCGGGTGACTCGCTACTAAATGCCTATCAACCCAAGCGACTGCCCCAATACCCGCAGCAAAACCCCGTTCCACACACGAAGTACGCAGTGAATCCCTGGCCTCGGAAACACATCGCACTTATACCAAGGCCAGGCTGCGAGCGGCATACGCCCTTTCTAGAAGATCTCTGCACGTCTGACATGAACTGGGACACGTACTTCCAGAGCGAGCCCGGGCGAGTTTTCATCAGGGCCATGACCACACTAGGAAACCACGAGAGCCTCGTCTTTGTCCCCAGTCATGAACCATACGCAACCCCTCCATCTACAGGCGGAACCCGCGCCCCCCGTACCCCGGAAAACCCCGACGGGACCAACTATTGGGAATTGGAGAACAAGGTATACGAGCGGTGCATCGAGGGCGGAATAGAGGAAACCGTCGCCAGTGCCCCCCTCCGCGGCCACCTCGACACCTGGGACCAGACGATGGTGAGCTGGTCCAACAACCGGGGCTGGCGTCGCGCCGCCATCCAGCAATGTCTGAACATATTCACCAACAATGAGAACCGCATCCTGAACACGCCCTGGCGACGTGTCGTGCTCCCCGAGCCCGTCAAAGCACAACCGGACATCATATTCCATCCGCGCGCCCTGCCCCGCGACAAAGCCGCCTTCCAACACTTCGGCACCCTGTCCGCAGCGGAGCAGGACCCTTCGCCCTGGACTTACTGGTATAACCAGTATCAGGAGCAGACGACATACCTCTCGGCGTGGTACCGGCGCACGTTCAACAAGGAGCACTGGGGGAACTTCACGCAGATTGCGCTGCCGATCAATTACCGCGGTCCGTACTTGTTTGATGATAAGTGCGTGTATGATGACCATTGGCTGCGGATAGGGAGGCAGCTCAAGACTTTGAAGAAGATGCTACAAGATATCAATGCGATGCACCTCCCCGGGCAGCGCTGGCTGTTGGAGACGGTCGTTAGGGATATCGATATTGGTGCCTTAGGGATACCGCGGTCGCGGGGGATTATTCCCCGACACGGGGTTGACGATGTAGATGGGGAGAGAGACTCGTTCCAGCTCGTAGATGAGGCCGATGCGGCGTGGTTGGAGTTTCTGTGTCTGCCAACGTCGAATGAAAGGTTGATCTTGTCACAGCATGAGAATCATGATAATTTGTTGGTCTTGTTGGATCATCGGCTGCAGACGCTGTTTAACGATACGATAACGAGGATCTTTTGGGTTCCGGTGGAGAATCCGACGGGGATTGATCATCAGTTGAGGGTGCGGTGTGTTCCTTTGCTGGAATTGCTACCCGTTTTGAATAGGGGCGGGAGACATCTGATTGGAGATGATGTGAAGGGGTGGGAGGCTATAGATTTGGATGATAAAGAGTCTGAGCCGCCGAATAAGCTGTTTCAGTTTACGTTGAGGCAGGCGCAGGATTGTTTGTTCCAGTTGGCGAGACTGGGGAGGCTGGTGTAAGTTAACTTGAACCCCTTTCCTCTTTCTCACCCTCGGCGTTGCTCCATGAGAGATAATCAATGCTCATGACCCAAATAATGCAGATACAACGCCCCAGTAGGCTTCAACGTCCCCGAAGCAGAAATCGAGGCCGAACTCGGGCACAGCAAGGGTCACCTCCGCCTCTACCAAACCCACGACGACTCGGACTGGGGTTCCGTTGGCCCCGCCACCAACGACATCTACCCGGAACAGCGGGTGCTCTGGCGCCACGAATCCCTCGAGGCATGTGAACGATTTAACAATGCCTACAAACAAAAATGGCTCGAGCACATGACGACGCACAAGGGCGCCTCCCTCGACGGCCCCAACCCTGGCGTCACCGGCTGGACCGAAGAACAGTACGCCGCTACCTTTCATCCCGAGGCGGCCTACAAAAAGGGCGCGTATAAGCCCTGTGGTGAGGAGCATGAGCGCCAGGGGCCCTGCTGGGAAGACCTCGTTGACTACCACGCCGTGTGGGAAAGGAAGTACAACGTCTCCGAGAGAACGATTCAGTTTTTCAGGAACTTGGCGTATCGTATGGGCAGGACGTTAAGGCATTATGATCAGCTCAAGCAGAAAACTGTCAAGAGGTCGACGCTTACGCAGGAGAATTTGAATGCGGCGCTGGATCAGTGGCAGGAGGACGTCACGCAGGGAAATACTATTGAGGGCCAGGCGGCACACCCCTTTGCGCCGGGCGGGGTAAGGGATATTATCGAGAAGATCGAACCTTTGAACCCAGCCCTCAAAGACGGGGATACACAAACGCTGTTCGGCATTGTCCGCGAGGGGCTCATCGAGGACGCCGTCCAGAATAGAACTATGGTGTACCCCGGGCGGCTGGCGGCGTATTCAGACCGGAAGGGCTGGAACGCTGAGGTTTTTGAGCGGGAGAACCTGTGGAGTTGGGCCAAGGAGCCGATTAGGAGCTATACGGCCAAGTATAGACGGAAGAATTACTTCGATATGCGGCGGTGGCCCGTGGAGCAGCAGAGCTCTGAGACGCAGAGCCGCATTCGGACGAGGGCTGATGAGGTACCTAGGTTGGTGCCTGGGTCCCAGGAATACAATTACGGCATAAAGATGCGGTCGGTTTCTCGTCCTCACTTCCCCCAGAGTACGGGACCAGCTGGGGATGCCTGGGAGAAGCAGTACGAGGTTGTTGCCCAAGCTATCCGACATGGACCCACGGACGAATTGGCCATCCATGCCAGGCTGGGCAACACGGATCTGGTTATTGAAGGCGATCTGCGCCCTATTGGGGATGATTGTATCACTGCACTTCAAGCTCACATGTTCCCCAGCTTGAAGACCACGACGTGCATTGGTGCCGGTAGGTTGGAAGTAATGGGGAAGATCCGGGAGCACGAGGAGATGGAGCGCCGTAGGAAGACGGGACAGTTGCAGATTGGTTATGTCATGGAGGGAGGCGGCGTGTACAAGGGTACAATTCGACTCAGAGGCTACGGTCCGTCAGTGCCGGGCACGCTCGAGTCGGAGAAAGCAAAACTGCAGGAGAAAGAGGTCGAGTTGAAGCACAAGAAGCAGGTCCTTAAGCCGATGGTGCGGCCTACCGAGGTGTTCATCCCTGGACCAGCTGTGTATCCCATGGGAGATACGCTGTTCCAGCAGGTTATACTCAGTCAGCAGCTTGAGAAGAGTATGTATTGCATTTTCCATTTCTCTTCCCCCCTATATCGACAAACCGTTCTTTTCTGATGAAAATATGCTAAGTTTTGCGGGAATTAGTTCTCAAAGAACCAGAGCCAGAAAAATCTCTACCCATAAAATGGCTCCAGTCTATCACAAGATGGTTCAGTTCCCCCCCTAATCGCGTGCCTCTGCTGCCCGATATCGACGTCGCGCGCGCACCCACCAGCGACCCCCACAAGAAGCGCAAGGCGCCCACTGCTTTCCTGACACCCATCGATATCAAGAGGCGGGCAGTCGAGGGACCTGACTCGGGTGTACCTGTTCGGTCACCGAGTCCGGAACTTAATCTCAGTCTGGATTCCAGGATCAGCCCGGAGATCAAAATACAGACGTTACCAGTTGCATCGTTAAGCACTTCAGTCGAGAGGCAGCTGAAAGAGACGGCTGATAGATGCAAGATGACTGCTGAGCGGAACCCCTATATAATCGGTCAGGGCGACGACCAACCATTGAAATACCAACCGGCAGCCCCCCAGGCCTCCAAGAGTACAAGCACAGGCCCCACGCCCAGCAACCAGTCTGTCCTGAACCTAATCGACGACGTCGACCAAGCCCGCACCGAACTAGCAGCCAAACAAGGCCACGCCCCGGACCAAGAAGCTGTCGGCGGGGCCTTTAACGAGGGCATGTTGAAGTCTGTGTTACACCAAGTCAAGGATGCGGTGACGAAATCCGAGGTCATTGAGTTAGAGTCCGAGAACAAGGTTCACGAGGAGGAGCTGCAGGAGATTCAAAGGGAGTTGGATCGGTCGGCGGAGAGGGAGAAATTGAACGGAGTGTTGAGCGAGGGGGAGAGGGAGGATAAGAAGGGGTTGCAGATGGAGTTCAAAGACAGAGAGAGGATTTCGATTGGTGCGCAGGATAAGTTGGCGAGTTATGGAGCGTTGGATCCGAGGAGCCGGGAGGAGCTGATGGCGAATATGGAACAATTTGGTTCTAAGCGGGTGGATGCGATAACCGCAGCGGCTCCTCTGTCGAAGAAAGACGGAGATGAGAATGAGGGAGTGGACGTGGCCGAGGAGACGCAGAGACTTAGGGAGAGCCCCAGGGTTGGTGGCGACGAGGCTCCTCCTACTTTGCCTTTGAAAATATTCAAGACGGCGTCCCCTGAGCCCACCACCATGTCCCTTGGAGAAGAATTCGAAGGTACCGCAAAGGTTCAGGGGAAGAAACACTCCATGCAACGCGCCCGGGAGCTCTTCGACCAAACCTTCCCCAATGGCGCCGAACAAATCCCCACCTCGGCCTCGCAGCTCATGTGCGGACACTACGCACTGATCAATAGCATGGCGGCGCAACACCCTGATTTGCCTCAGCCGCGTCTCAAGTCCCTGCAGAAGATAAGCCGCGAAATGTCGACGGCCGAGATGAATAAGACGTTCATCAATAACACAGAGACGAACATGCGGGCGGATCATATCGCGGGTGTTTTGAGGACGTGGGGCGAAGAGAATGGGTTAGATTTGCAGTTGGGGATTGAGTTGCATGGTAGGGATGATGTGTACATGTTCCCGGTTCCGGATAATAAGTACCCCGGGGGCAGGGGGAGGAGGATTGTTTGGGTGCATAATAATGATGCGGAGGATCGGGTGAGGGCTACGACGGGTGGCGGGGTTGAGATTATGATTGTAAATCATTTTGAGGGTTTGAGGGATAGGGGGCAGGGTAAGAGGTCGAGGAAGAAGGCTAGGTTTGCTTGAGCTGGTTGGGAATAGGGGTAGGCAGTCGTCGGGTTTAGGGTGGCATTTGTTTTCACTACTTACTTGGCTTAGTTACTGGACTAAATATCTTCTGCTCCTTTATCAACACTATATGTAAAGTACTCTTATCCCGAATTCGCCTAAGAACCTCATCCACATTACGTAAGTACTTCCCGTCTGATATCTAACACCTGACCAGTGACAACAAACACTATTTCACTACACAATCTTAACGACCAACTTTCCCACCCCACCCCTTCCACTCCAAACCTCTCCACAAGCCTTCCTTATACCCTCCAAATCATCCAACTCCACAACCCTCATCACCGCCTTCACCTCCCCCCCTCGCAATAATCTCCCCCGTCCTCTCCAAATCCCTTCTATTTCCCCCATTCGCACTCGTGTAATCATAGGTAACCCCAGTACCACACATCTTCCACCCATATTACCCCTGCACCACTGCCGAAACCCAATATACCCAAAAAGGCAGAGGCGGAAATATGACGCGGAGTTGCGAGGGGGCCGGCACGCTCGAGATGGAGGCCATTACGCCATGTTGGGGGTTCATGAGCGGGATTGAGGGGAAGAGGGTGGAAAATTGCGTGTTGTAGGTTAGGTCGACGCTGCCGGCGGGGATGGCGGTTGTAAGATTGGAGGTGGTGGTGTAGTCGATTAGGCGGTCGACTAGGCCGGGCAGGTACTTGGGGACGAGGGGGAGTTTGGGGGTTGAGACGGTGGAGATTAGGGTTTTGACTTTGTAGACATTTTTGAGGAGCTGTTTTGTTTGTTTGGTGAGAATCGAGTAGTTGACAATTGTGAAAAGGGTGGACAAAGAGAACAGGGGCATAAGAAGTTTTGATGAATGTGTTGGGGTGAGGAGAAGTACCTGTATCCCAACCGCCCCCGTAGCACTCAATGCCCCCGGCACAAAAACGGTCTTCCCCTCAAGCGTCAACCCCTTTTCCGCCAGTCTCCGCTCCCCCAAGCTGATGGACTGGTATGCCGTAAGGGTGAAACCGAGCAGCGCTGTCGCTTCTTCGAAACTGACATTTTGAGGCTTATTTAAGAGAAGTGATTCTTGTGCAATGCAGTACTCGGAGCAGAAACCCGGGAGGAGTCCGAGGTCCTTCGGGTGACACAAACCCAAGCCGTAGACGGCGTCGCCGGGCTTGAAGGCCGTGACGGATTGGCCCGTGGCGACGACGATTCCGGCGGCTTCGGAGCCGATTTTCACAGGGAATCTAGGTCTTTAAATTATGTTTAAGTGAGTGTTTTTATTAGTGGGTTGTTGAAAGAGTGGAATGGTGGAAGTCGGAAAGGAAGAAAGAACAGGAAAAGGCAACGCACGGAAGCTTGCCAGTTAGAAACCTCATCTCTCTGGATATTATTAGCGTGTCCCCAGTCATGAGACCGGCGGCGTGGACTTTAATGAGGACATCCTTCGGCCCTTTGATGGAAGGGATGCGGAGCTGGAGGACTTGGTAGTCGGCCGGCTTGCAGTACTTGGGCGCTGCCAAGGAACGCATCGTACGAGGACTTTTGGGTGAGTTGGCCATTTTTGGGTTGTTAAAGTCTAGGATAGATCGAATCTCTTGATGGAATTTGGCTGGGTGATTGTGATATTTAATCGATTACAGACGCCTTAGAGGCGCAAATAGTATACGGCCATTGTGTTCGGCGTTTTCGGTGGGTGCAGTTCGGCAGGATCCACCGAAAGCCGAACGTAGCATCCGAACGGCTCCCGGGCAAACGATGGTTACATCGAAGCTTCTAGACTGGTTTGATGACAGAATTTCCTAAGTCACGCGTAGAGTTATGTTTTTTTTTGGTTTTTTTTTTGACTCCGTACATGTGTCGCCATACCATTTCCCCCCTAGCTGTAACGCCCTTCGTTACTGCTAATTTAGCTAAGAGGGATGACGAGCTCGCAGACAGTAGGTGCCTTTGACATTCTCGCAGCCCAGGTCATCATATGGATACCTGGTCCAGTTGTGGTCGTTCATCACATGCTTGCTGTAATCAGACAGCTTGTTGAAGGGTCTCAGTCGCTCCTATTTAGCATACGTCAATGCCATGCACAACTTGTCTCGGAAGTGTGGACTGCCCTCCAAGTGGCAGACGGGGATATCATACATCTGGGCTTCTCGCTCCGGGAAGCGGGCGACAAGCTGTTCAAGGCTGTACTTGTGATGGTGTTGGACGAGCTTGTCGTTCCTTATGAAACTGTTCTGACCCTGGTAGCGACTACAATCGTCGAAAGGATACTGGGTTATCGACTTCTGAAAATCTTCGATGTGGCGTTTGAGAGAGCGAAGCTTCATTGTTCTCCATACTTACATTTGTGTGGGTTTCATGGACTTTGCAGTATCCAGGTGCGTGAGGTGTGTTCTTATGCTTGCCGAATGCATATGACGACGCGAACTCAAGATCGCAACCAGATTCCTCAAATTTGAGAGGCTGCGGCTCCTGGATGTCGGAAGTTGGATGATGGGAGTTAGCTCTTCCAATAGCGTCATCATTGTACGCCACGTCTCTGGAAGGTGAATCAAGGGTCCTCAGGTACTGGGTGAGTTCAGGATCGCCATAATCCCCGAAAGTGGGCTGTCCAAGAGTAGCAGCGTTTAAGCTACTATCAGAGGCATACTAGATGAGTTGACCCCGAAAATGGGTAGTCCAAGGGCAGCAGTGTTTGAGTTACTGTCACAGGCAAAATTCCGACCTTGGGGCAGACAGGGTATCACAATGGTGCCAGTAGCTGGGCCAGAGTAAGGCTGAACTGAATTTAGTGACGAACAGGTTTCTTGGATGATTGGATGGACTAACGCTTGACTGGGAAAATAAATTCCGCCTTGAACTGCAACTTTGAGGCAACTTCCTACCTTACTCATCAGCCACTAAGACGTGATTAAAGAGGACACCCTCTTGTCCTACGCTAGATACCCAACGGCCGAGTTGGGTGAAAAATGGATGTACTTCCAGCGCAGAAACTCGTCAAGACCCTGCGATTAACCATAATATAGAGTGCTTTGGGCGTTTAGCCTAGACTTTTTGTCATCATTATGATATGAAAAGCAGGCCGCATAAGCCAGGGTCTCCTTTGTCAACAGATGGTAAATCCTGGGTCAAATATGATAGACAATGACTACTAAGCGTGAGCGGATTTTGGGGATCCTTGTAGGCACGGGCAATGCCAAATGCTATCGAACATCTTAGGTCTTGTTATTTGGAATGAGGTTCGCGAAGCTATAAAGAGCTTAGACGGGACGACAAACTCATCTGCGGTAGTATAGATATTTTGTTTTGGACGACCCTCGGCGATATGAAGTCAACCTCCGGACTGTCGGAGGCCATAACCGGAGCCGGCTTGCATAAGTGGGGGTCTTGGTTCGTCCCATATGATGCGGCAGCTGTCCGATCTTTGGAGTGGGGAGAACAGAAGTGGGGTGTATTTCGTTTCATTATCTCCTCGAAGCCGTCATGGATATTTTCCTTCTTGTAGGAACAAGTTGTGTATGTTTCAAGCACCCTTCAGAAGAATATCAATCGACGCTGTGCAGACCCCGAACATGTCAAGTCTCAATGACCAAGTTGTCCTCCTTACCGGAGCGGGAAGCGGGATAGGTAAGTTCGATTCACTAGTCGTTTGCCTTATACGTTGCTGAGCCTTGCTGAACCAAATTCCATGGCAAGGCCGAGCTACAGCGTTGAAGCTGCATGAGTTGGGCGCGAAACTTGCCATTACCGATATCAACCTGGATGGAGCAATGGAGACATGCAAGATGTGTGGTTCTAAGCCACATTACTGCGGCCTCCTGGATGTTTCCAACAGCAAAGAGGTAGAGAAACGGGTTGCCGAGATTGCTGCAATATTCGGCCACATTGATCATGTATTCAACTGCGCGGGAGTGAACCCGACAGTCATGGCTTTGACGAAGACAACCGAACAGTACTTTGACAAGCTGGTTGACGTCAACCTCAAGGGAATGTACAATGTGACCAAGGCCACAATGCCACACTTGAAGCATCCGGGAGGTAGTTACGTCAATGTTTCGTCGATTTCCGGCTGGCGTGCCTCTTCCGGAACAGCCATTTACTGTGCCACCAAGTTTGCGGTCATCGGCTTCAGCAAGAGCATGGCGCTGGAACTGGGTCCAAAAGGCATTCGCGTGAACATCGTCGCCCCAGGATATATCGATACTCCAACAAATGCTGGAATTGCCAAGGGCTCCCCCGAAGCAAGAAAGGCAATGGAGCATGGAACGGCGCTGGGTCGTATTGGCAAAGCTGAGGAAGTTGCTGATGTGAGTATAACCCCGTTGCGTGGCCCCGCTCGTTGTCTTGCGTAGGGATGCTTGAATGCTGTTAGACACGAGGGTCGTCATCACTAGATACCCCGAGACCTAGATGTGATATTGGTTGACTGATCGAACAGGTTGTGGCATTTTTGATGAGTAACGAGGCACGGTATATGAATGGAAGCGTGGTAGAAATCGACGGCATGCTCAAGTCATAACCACGAAGTCGAGAACAGAGAGGAGAAGGTGCAATTAGATGCGGCTAGTTAGGTGTGCAATCCAATTTGCGGTTTAGGAGAACAACTCATTAGTGAAGACGTTCAATGTGCCCACGGTTGCTACTAGATTGTCGTCGATTGTTGAGACTTTGAGTATCGTATCGATATATTACAATGAGTAACTATAACTAGAGTCTAATTTTTGTAAAAATATATAAAAGACATTTTATAGGTAAATGATAATGTATAAATGAGACAAAAGTAGCAGAGGTAGACATAGTAGTATTATAGCTGTTATGGGATCGCACTAGTACTAGCATTCCGGCTATATACAAAGGTAGAGAAGGGAAGTACACGTAGGGGGTCCAAGCCGCACAAGGGCCCTAAAGCATCTCAAGTGTACCTTATTATGACCTCCGGCCGCCGATTCCGCAGCTACTAGTGATGCGGTTACATGGGGTGTAAAGTGTGTATATTAGGAAGCGTCGGTTAGCTCGCTATGTGGCTGGCCGAAGGCCCTCTTGGGCTGCCTATCTTATCTTATCTATAGCCACAGAGTGACCCTCCTTGGTGTCACGTATCACTTATAGCGCTTATTAAATATATTCCCTCTTATATTCATTTCAAGAGATACTTTATTAAATACTAGGACTCTTACAATAAGATATAAGAATAAGTTAATGATCTAAGCTATAAATAGCTAAATTATTAAAGGTGAACACATTAATATAGCAGTAGGCTACGCTATCCCACTAGCTAGCTACCAGACACTTTAAGAGGACCCGCTCCCAGGTAGCCCCGCCAAAGTTGACCTTCCCAACCCCACTAAAAAGTTTTTGGGTTGAGCATTACCTCTCAAAGTTCCAGCATCAAATCCAGAGCCAACGCGCACAGCATGCCGAGCAAACAATAACCCCCCAAAGCAAAGCCCACCTCATGTCCCGTCTTCCCCCCATTCATTTGCAGATATTTCTCATACTTCCGAGATGAACGCCCACGCCCTCCTCACATCACAGGGCTGGCGCGGTAAAGGGCACAGTCTCCACCCGACCAGCGACGACACCGGCCTCAAACACCACTTGCTGATCAAGCGCGAGGGAACCGACGGCGCCGGGCTCGGCTCCAAAAAAGATCACAAGGCCGAGGCGTGGTGGATGAACGCTTTCGATCAGGCGCTTAAGGGCATCGATGTCACGAAGACGGGCGGATGGAAACAGAATGCGACGAGCGGAAAGTCGGACTTGGCCAAGATCACCGCAAGAGGCTCCTCAAAGTATACGGGAAGCCGAGGGCTGTACCAGAGTTTCGTGTTGGCTGGCACACTGGCTGGGACGCTGGGAAATGGGGGACTATTGACGCCGCCTGACAGCAGTGTTGGAACGCCGACACCTGTGGAACACGGGAAGAAGTCGGAGACTAAAGAGGAGAGGAGGGCTAGAAAGGAGGTCAAGAAGGCGAAAAAGGCGGAGGATGCGGCGAGGGAAGAGGCCGAAGCGAAAGCTGCAGCAAGGGCAGCAAGGAAGACCGAGAAGAAGCGAGAAAAGAAGGCACTAAAAGCTGAGGAAACGAAAGAAGAGCGTAAGGCAAGGAGGGAAGCGAGGAGGGCTCGGAAAGAGGATAAGAGACGACGGAAAGGTTGAAATATGGCGAACGTGCATCAAAATGACGACCGCCCGACCACTTAGTCACTCGTGGAAGGAAGCCAAGTTCTGGCTGCGAAGAATGCCGGGCTTAGGTCACAGCGATCGCGTTACCGTCACATCACCGATATCAGGAGCCAGGTAGCTTGAGCCATGATTCAGGTCTATCAAGTCTGCTTCGGAATCTTGCCAGGTTTGTTCGACAGCAGCCACGGCCGCCTATCCCAGAAGTCATTCTTAATGATATCCAGATGGTCCACCAAAACACGAGCCTTTGCCCTTCGCTTCTTGTCCGTCTCCTGTTGAGTTTTGGACTGCTGCACAGGCTCAGCCAGGTCATCGGCTTCCTCAGCAACGATGTGGCTTCCCGGTTCGACAAGTTCATACTGCTGTTAGTGAGCATTGACAGGAGGATAGTTTGAGTGTTTGGAACGGCCTACATCTCGAAACACAACACTTCCCTTCTTGAATATCTCAGGCTCGTTGTTGTAGTTGATGTTGAATCTGGAAAACATGATTTCGTTCTTGTCGGCTGAAAGGGTTCCCTGCGACTCGTCAGTTGAATCCCAGGAGCAAGCAGCAAGGACTTTACAGCAAGTGCCTTCTCCGCTTCTTTGGCATCCATGCCCCCCAGTTGGATCAAGGTCCAAAACGTCGTGTTGTAGAGGTTGTTGATGTGGCCTGGAAGCTGTTAGCGAAGACCTTGGACTCGGGGTAAAGTCAAGTGCTGTATACAATCAACTTGACGCCAGCTCATGTAGTCTCTTAAGTTTTGCACGCTCGGGTAGCATACTGCCCGCCCATCGAAGCTGGGTAGTGGCGATGATAGGGGCACGTCTGGAAAACAAGTTGGCCAGAAATGAATGTAGTAGGCAGTGAAGGTAGAGACGGTGGTGGCCACCAGTTTACTATCGTGCCGTCAAAAGATGTGCATACAATCGTTCTTTTGGCTGCTGTACTCACCTTGCCCTTCTTTCAAACAAGGAGCAAGTTTTGTGGAATACGAAACTAGCATTGTCAGTAGTAAGCTTGGACATAGGCAGACTTAAACGGCTCACCTGTACTCATCACTGACCCCGTATCCAATCGTAATATCGGGCAGGTCAGTCATAACAGCCTTAGCCGCCATGTTCATGAGTTCCAATGCCCTGCGATCATTTGGCTTCTCGAAGCCATACTTTGCGCACAGTCTACCACGTCAAAAGGTTAGCAGGCGCTCACATTCGTACTCCAAGAATGGCCAAAAATGCCTACTTTGTGAATCCTCGTCCATCAAGTCGGACTACAATCCATGTATTGGGAAGCAGTTGATCCGGTTGCTCGAACCGCTTGACATATTCAAATCTGGATCAGTGTTAGTCACCACCTATGGTTTTGAAGATTGGATGGCGGCTTTTTACTTTGAGTTGGCCATGTGTAAATTTGATGTATTAGAAACAGATGCCTTGACGAGTTGTATGAACTGCTCCTGAATCAAACGATTGCAGAAATCATAACACCACCTACCGATCCGTAATTTCTCTCCGCTTTCAATCTGAAGAGATTCAATGAATTTGCAATCTCACTGGCGGCTCGAAACTTTGTCTGTGAATGCTCACAGCCCATCGACCGTAGCGGGGTGCACGATAGTGGGGCTGCAACCTCGGAACTTTAAGCGGCATGCCCGCTGCTGGCTCTTGGAAATAGGTTGCAGCCTTGCATCATTCCGCTTCCCTCGACACAAGGCTGTCTAATATTGAGTTTGCTTCGCAAATGTCAACCGCTTGGTCATGCACACCAAGAGCTTGAAACCTAGTTGCATGCCCGTGACACATCAGATTTATCATTTCTGCGATCGAACATGCATGAGCCAACATGAATTTGCTTCTCTCCGATGACTACCTGCTCCAGGATTACCCCGAGAATATCACCAACACGATCCGGTCGGGTCACACAACATGCCTGCGCTTCAACCGAAAGGGCGACTACCTGGCCTCCGGTCGCGTCGATGGAACCGTCGTCGTCTGGGATTTGGAGACCATGGGGGTAGCCCGGAAGCTACGAGGACACCGGGCGGCCATCGCTTCCTTGAGTTGGTCGAGATGCGGGCAATACCTGCTCTCAGCTTGTCAGGGATGGAGAGCTGTTCTCTGGGACCTTGCAGATGGTACGAGGTATCGCGAGGTGCGGTTTCGCGCCGGAATCTATACTGCTGATATACATCCATGGAATCATCATCAGTTCGTCGCCTCCATTTTCGACCAAGGAGCCTGTCTCGTCGACGTGAGGAATCCGATCGATGTCAAGCATACCCTCCCCTCTGCGCCGAAACGAACCAACACCGACGCGGACGCCGCGACGAAGGAGAAGCAGGCAAAGGAAGACGCCAAGCAGATGACCACGGCGACAATATACACAGCGACGGGCGATCACATAATTGCGGGCACGAATAAGGGCAAACTGAATGTGATAGATGTCAACACACATGAGATCATATGGTCCGAGAAGATCTGCGGCTCGGTCATCACCACCCTGAAGTTGACGGCATCGGGCAAAGACCTCCTGGTCAACTCGCAAGATCGCATCATACGTACGCTGCACGTACCGAACCTATCGGCGGAAGACCTCGACCCAGACACTCTGCAAATACCTCTTGAGCACAAATTCCAGGACGTGGTAAATCGACTTTCGTGGAATCACGTCACGTTTAGCGCGACCGGAGAATATGTGGCAGCCTCTACGTTTAACAACCACGAGCTATACATATGGGAGCGTAATCATGGCAGTCTGGTCAGGATGCTCGAGGGACCCAAGGAAGAGCAGGGAGTTATTGAGTGGCATCCACATAGGGCACTGCTGGCGGCGTGTGGTATGGAGACAGGCCGCATCTACATCTGGTCCGTCACGAGCCCGCAGAAGTGGTCGGCCCTCGCGCCGGACTTCATGGAGGTCGAGGAGAACGTCGAGTACATCGAGCGGGAAGATGAGTTCGACATCCATCCCCAGGAAGAGATAAACAAGCGCAGGCTTGAGGAGGAAGATGAGGATATTGATATCCTGACCCTGGACCCGAGCAAAGGGTTCGATGATGATATGCAGGGCGCGGAGTTCCGGATGCCGGTGCTGTTCAACCTGGGCGAAAGCGATAGCGAGGAGGAGTTCGTTGCTGTGGAAAAGGGCACCGTACGGAGGCGAAGTATGGGCGATGCACAGGAAGGTGAGGCCGAGAGCGAGGAGAAAAAAAAATCGGCAAATGGAAAGCCAGCAAGAGGTAGGAAAAGATAGCTTCCAAGGACGGATAATTAGGAGGCTATCCTGGATCAGTTATGGTTCATTATGCAACGCTACCCTAAAACGTCTCAGTGTCATACATAAACAAGGTAGAATATGCAATGGAATCGCAGAACCCATCTCGAAGCCCTTAAGAATATGATGAACGGATGTATACATCGCAGAGATTTACCGCTAGCCGTATCGCTTGGTAGTAGGAGTTTCTTGGGTGTTAAGCAACGGAATGCAGTCTGCCAGTCATTTTATCATTCAAATCACTCATGTCGTTGATTTGACTTATCAGCACGGCACTTATCGCATTGTAGAAGCAGTTACCAGTCGTAGACAACACAAATTTCACTGGCCACGATATAAAATACCAAGCTCTAGTTTGATGTTGTCCTTCTGCTTTGTCTCACCTGCCAATGAAAGAAGTTGCCACTGCACTGATAAGGGTAGCAACCGTGTGAATCACCAGTATACATTGATTTGCTGAAGCTGGCAAAATCCAATCCTGGAGTTGACCAAATGAAATTGAACGATTCAGTTAGTGAATTTCGATGAAGTACCCAGATTGCTTCAGCCACGACTGAAATTGACTTCCGTCCATGGCTTCTGGAAAACTTCTATGCATCAACGCTACCCTGTATCTTGGAACCAATACAGTGTGGTGCATATAAAGCACGGTACACTATTACGACAAAGCGATTTTTAGTGCGCAGCCAACGGCCACTATCTCCATATTTGACTAACCGCATTAACCCCTTTTGTAACACATACCCTTACACGAAGACCTATATAGCCGCGCTACTTCTAAGCGTTACATAGCTAATTCTAAGCGTCGGACTACCTTTGAGGAGTTCAATTTCCGATGAATATCTGATCGCTCGACTGCGTTCTAGCACACATGATACGTGACCTCATGGGGAGTTACCCTGTAGCTATAGATAAGATAGCTAGATAAGATAAGGGCTATAAATAAGCTCTACCAGGCTAGAATAACTGACCTGGCCACGCTTCCCAATATATTATTATTATTATTAAATACGCCGTAGGCTCGAAGCCCCCGGTACCTCTACTAGTACTCCCGGATGTTGTGAAGGTCAACCCTCGCAGACTCACTACAACCAGGTGACTTACAGCTGGAACACCTGCCGTGGCAGTGTCAGATGGGAAGCCAATCATAACCCTTGTAGGAGCCCCGCCAAGCGTGGATGACTTAGTCGCGATCCCTCAAACCTAAGTTGTCATCTTCTTTCCTTCGCTCCTTAGAGTAGAATCTTCGTCGATAGCACCTAATCGAGGTCTATACCAATGCGATGCAACCCAGGTCGTGACATATTTCTCCCCTTCACTCTGTACTATCGCCTTCGGTCCAGGCCGTAACCTGACAGTATAGTGGCCGTGGTGCGATAGCGGCCCGTAATAGTATATACAACTTCATCCCTATATGCACTCGCATCAACACAGTTCGAGCGTAAGTAGTATATAAAGCTATAGCACCGATATATAAGTAACGTATGTTATAAGCATATCTCAGGGCCTATAAGAAGGCCTTTACGGATAAAAATATCAAGAGTAGTTGGCAGAAAGCCTGCCTATAACCCCTTAGTAGAGAAATAGTTATTAGTAAGGCAGATTGCACTCTAGACCACACGCTAGAGCCTCATATACTAGACACACCCCTGTACAAGCCACCGCCTACGGCTATCGTTACCCCTGGAAAGACTTAAGACCTGAAACGCTAGTTACAATAGCATAATAACGCGTTATTTCTCAGGATATGCAATTACTAGTATCCTGGAAATCGATACATTTCTTGAAAATCAACCTAGGCCTCACATGAGACAATGGCATCTACAGCTTGAAATATCCAATCCTGGCATATGTTACTAGTAAATGAATATTTGAACATATATTGGTTTTTGAATTTGCTCTTGCAAAAGGGATCAATGCGGTTACTGCTTTGCGAGCTTGTCGCCAATTCGGGCTATCACCATTATTAGGGCTACATAGTAGCGCTGTGGATGGGCGAATGATTAGAGTAATATCGCACCGCTCGTAACGGTGCAAGATCTTGTCAGATAGGGCACCTGGTTCCTAGGTTCAGAAATAATATGGCACTAGAGAAGACTATTGTCACTTGAAGTTCAGAAGGCGAAAGGAACCCCTCTTCTCAAAAGTAACACCAAAGTTACCGACATGTTCTAAAGCATCTATAAAAGGCAGAGCAACGGGAGTTCGCGAGAACAGAAGACAGACAAGAACAATACACCTCATTCATATACAATCTTACGCACTGCTGACTACTCGATTGGACACACGTGATATTCGACAGATCTCGGTGTCACGGTCTATGACCGGTATGTGGCCTCTGCGACGCCTTCGGCCAGAAAGACCCACAGAAATCTCCGAACAGCTTCACTTCTCGAAGATTCCTGAAATGACGAGACGGGAGGACAGAAGGATAAAACGGAGAAGTGTTCACCACACTGAATGGATCTAATGTTTTTTTCTTCATAGATGGATAGTACTCGTAGAGTAGGCTAGGCTAATTGCATCGACATTACCCTCGACCCTTACACTTGGCATTTTACAAGTTGTTCAAATTCGAGACATGATCATTAATCAGTCGCTCGCAACCCTTCAAATCGCCAGAACCGTGGGGTTGCAGTACTCGGTTAATGCGAAGGATCCGATTCGATCGAAGCTGCGATGCTTCGGGTCGACCAAAGCACCTCCAAACGGAGCGAGTGGCTCAAAAATGACCACTTTAACTGGCGATCTGATTGGGGGGAACTTGCAGATGTCGTTGACAGCTCAGGCTCGTCCTGGCAATGAGGGGAATAATGCTCTTTCATCTAAGTTGAACTAACATCAATTGTTTCAAATCAACAGATACGAACACAGCGGAAGAACAGCTTTAAGGGTATTACAGTAACCGTTTCAGACGAGTGTTATCTTGAAGTCGAAATATTGACGGGTTAGCCATTACACGCAATCCTATATGCGATGGCTGAAGGACTAGGCATGGCTGCGAGCGCCATCGCCGTCATTGAGTTGTCGGCCAAGGTTGCTTCCCTATGTCTACAATATTCCAAGAACGTTAAGCATGCCAAAGATGATATCGAACGAATCCAGTCGGAGGTCAGAAGCTTGAGTACTGCTTCAGAAGGGGTTCAACAGCTCCTAAAAAGCCCTTAAGGAGCAAAGCTTGAAACATCTCAGAAGTTGCTCCATACACTCAAGGACAGTCACTTTCACTTAAAAAGCTAGAAGAAAAACTGAAGCCTAGCGACATGCGTAAGGTGACGAAGCGATTTGGGCTTCGCGCCTTAAAGTGGCCGTTCGAAAGCAGGGATGCAGAAAAGCTGGTTCAAGACTTCGCAACATTCACAAACAATATCTCTCACTGTTTGCAAGTCGATCAGACGTACGTGACCTGCGGGTTCATTTCCGCTACCCGAGCTAACAAGGCTTATATAGGTCTGCTCTCCTCGCACTTGACCAGAACATTCATAATATGGGTCAAAATGCGACGCTCGACCAACTTCATGTTGCCGAAGGCGCAGCATTTGACTCGCATGCCGAAGAACATAACCCAACCTGTCTTGAAGGTACTCGAGTTGCCCTGCTGGATGAGATATCGCAATGGGTCGAGAATCCGAACGCCAGAACGATATTTTGGCTAAACGGTATGGCTGGCACGGGCAAGTCCACCATTTCACGCACCGTCGCGGCCCATTATAACGAACAAAAACTTCTCGGTGCCAGCTTTTTCTTCAAGAAGGGCGATGGCGATCGAGGTGGCGCGTCAAAATTCTTCACCACCATCGCTTCTCAGTTGGTCTCAAAAGAACCGGCCCTTTTACCGCACGTCAAAAGTGCCATCGATAACAATCGGCGCATAGTCGAAGAATCTATGCAAGAGCAATTTGAGCAGCTTATTCTAGAGCATCTATTCAAGATCTCTCAGATCGTCGGAGTAGCTAGCACTTTCGTCATTCTAGTCGACGCGCTTGATGAGTGTGAGCCCGATGCAGACGTTAAACTCCTCATTAGTCTCTTCTCGCGGGCCAAAACATTGACGTCCCCACGACTACGAGTTTTTGTCACTAGCAGGCCTGAAGTACCAACTCGTCTTGGATTTAGCGATATCGAGGGTAATTTCCAAGACTTGGTACTTCACGAAGTACCCGAACCGGTCATCAAGCATGATATTTCCGCATTTTTCCAGCATGAGCTCGCGAATATTCGAGGCAACTACAACAAAACCGCGCCTAAAAATGTACAACTGCCACCAAGTTGGCCGGGCGAATCGGAAACAGCAGATCTCGTAAAGATGGCGATTCCCCTCTTCATCTTTGCTTCTACGGTATGCCGCTTTCTCGCTGATCGAAAATGTGGTAACCCCCGTAAACTGCTTAGAGAGGTCTTGGACTACCGAACTAACAACCAGGAATCTCAGCTTGATGCAACATACCGTCCAATACTAGATCAGCTGATTGTTGGTCTTTTTGAAAAAAGGAGGACAGAGGTTCTAGGACGGTTTCGCACCGTGGTCGGCTCCATCATAATTCTTGAGAGCCCCCTCTCTGTGTCTGCCTTAGCACGGATGCTTAGCGTGGCTCAAGACAGCATTTATGATGCGCTGGACTTGCTTCATTCGGTCCTAAGCATACCACCGTCATTCGAAGATCCTGTTCGACTCCTCCATCTTTCATTCCGCGACTTCCTCTTGGATCCAAAGGGGCGAGGGGAGAACCCGTTTTGGGTAGACGGAAAAGAGGTTCATAAGCAGCTTGCGGCACAATGTCGCCGCGTAATGGACGGATCTCTTCGAAGAGATATCTGCGGACTTCAAGCACCAGGGATGTGTCGTTCATCTATAAACTTACAGAGAATCAACCACAGTCTACCGCCAGAAGTCCAGTACGCCTGTCGATATTGGTCGTATCACTTACAAGAGGCTGGGGTGCAGATTTTGGATACTGACGAAGTATATAACTTCCTTAACGACCACCTTTTGCATTGGCTGGAGGCATTGAGCCTAATGGGAAGAGCTTCAGAAAGCTTAGGTAAGATTAAGGTATTACAAACTCTTGTTCAAGTAAGTCTAATATAAGGAAGGAGGCATCTAAGCTCGTTATGCTAAAATGGATTAGCTCAATGCTAGTAACACCCTCAATTTCCTCATTGATGCGGAACGTTTTGTCCTCGCTATGGGGTTTATCATTCAACAGGCGCCTCTTCAAGTATACTCAGCAGCACTCGCCTTTGCGCCCAAGAGGAGTATTGTTCGACGCGTTTTCGAGAAAGAAATGCCACACTGGATATCTCTTCTGCCAAAGGTGAAAGATGGCTGGGGCCAGCACCTGCAGACGCTCGAGGGCCATAGCGATGAGGTGTTGTCGGTCGCCTTCTCGCCCGACTCGAAGCTGGTGGCCTCGGCCTCACGCGACAAGATGGTCCGGATCTGGTCGGCCGAGACGGGCCAAGAGCTACTGACTTTCGAAGTTGATTGTACCTCCCTGACCCTATCTTATGACCGTGAAGACATGCGCTTATTTACCGACACTGGTGTTTTTTCTCTTCACGGTGCCATAACGCCTATAAGATTCACGGATAGTAATGCTAGAACTTCCTCCAGGGCACGCAGTCACGCATTAGTCGGTATTAAACCAGGACATCGTTCTGGGTACGGTATAAGCAGCGATTGTTGCTGGATAACAATGGACGGACGCAAGTTGTTATGGTTGCCAGCAGATTATCGACCGGGAAAATCAGCTTGGGCTAGCTCTACTGTAACAATTGGCACTGGTGCAGGAAGAGTTGTCATATTACGGTTTTCGGCGGAGGTATCGCAAGGACTGCCAGGCTCTGGATCCAGTGCATAATGCTAGTAGGCATTGCGAATCAACCTTATAATTTCTACTATCTTTGCATGAGAGGGTATAAGGGAAGCGAATTAATTTATAATGTTAAGTCCCCGCATGTTCGAGACGATTCGGCGCCACTAGCTTCCATATTCTGACTACTATATATGGTAAAGTAATCTTGCGAGAAACTTCTTTTAATTCTGTGATTAAACATATCCCAGTTAGCAAGAACTGCCGAGATACTGTAGTGTCCCTCTGCAGAAGGTTAATGTTGGTACGAATTTGACACTTAGATATTGTATTACTGTATAAGCCTCGCAGATCTGCATTCTGTTAATGCGCAACGCGTCGTGACTTATGAAGAATCATGCGGAGCAATACAGGCCAGAATAATAAGGCTGCATTGATGATGATGATGGGTCAACTCCCCAAATCCGCAACTACGGCAGGGCTATCCACAGGGCATTTGGCCCAGATGTGGCACAGCTGGCTGTAGTCAATCCTGGCGCACATTAAAGATCATGTCTCAGATGTGATAATGCTGCGAATAGAAAAGGTTTAGCGTTCTAATGGCCGGCGTCGTAGATCGTATGCAATAGTGAACGACGTTAACATAAGTTTGCTCCAGGCAGCGTCAAGCCACAAAAGAAGTTGCAGTCCAAAACGCAGAGGATACTGTATAGATAACCTACTGTGGCTGATGTAGCCTGACCATAGCCTGACCACAGGCTTATTTCGGCACGGCGTCAGCCCCAAGAAGTGGGGGTAGGATCTGTGCAGAGATGTTTCTTGAAAGTCAATTTCGGTCTCTAGTATAAGCTGCAGATGTCGCCCCTTTCAGCGCACGGACCAGAAGGCAAACAAGTACTAGCGAGGTTCAACCGTATCAGTCGCCTTCTCAGAACTTCAAGATCCTGTCGGCATCGCGTTTTCCACCAAGCATTGATTTTTCGAGATCCTCAAGTCATCACAACGCGCGACGCATATCGATTGCGCCGTTGCTCAACGGTTATTCGACATCTCAAACCCATCGAGACCTTCATTTTTCGACATCAGCGCCTTCGATTCGACCCCGTGCGACCCTGGAGTAGTGACGGTTGCCTTCAGGCCTTTGGCCTCTGGTCTGGCGCTGCCTTCCAGCACCTGCCTCATTGACTCGCGACCGACTTGGTGACTGCCGAAGGTCATCTCCATCATCTGCCACGGGATTTTCGCCCATATATGCGTCGTCTCCAACTGTGCCGAATTTCCCGGCCACTCACAACGACTTCACGAAGAGTCTTTGCGCCCGATCTCGTTCGACGGACTCGGCCACCAAGACGTGACCTCACATCGAGCTCACCGCCGACACGCGTGCCTCACATATATTACTCAACACAACCCTAACTTGTCGACATGGCGAACCTACATTTCGCGCATTCCGATGCGCCCCTCAAGACGGTGCAGGAGATCCAGTTCGGTCTCCTGTCGCCCGAGGAAATCAAGAACATGAGTGTCTGCCACATCCTCTATCCCGAGACTATGGACGAGACGCGAACCAAACCTCGTACCAGTGGTCTCAATGACCCGCGCCTTGGCTCCGTTGATCGTCAGTTCAAGTGTGGCACATGCCAGCAGAATATGTCGGAATGTCCCGGTCACTTTGGTCACATCGAGCTCGCTAAGCCTGTCTTCCACCCCGGCTTTATCAAGAAGATAAAGAAGATCCTCGAGACAGTCTGCCACAACTGCAGCAAGGTCTTGGAAGACAGAGTTAGTTATACCTGCCTCTTTTACCTTGACTAAGCCTTGTTGATGCTAACAACACCTGCCATAGAGTAATGAAGAGTTCTCTCAAGCTGTCACCACCCGCGACAAGAAGGCAAGGTTTCAAAGAGTTTGGAATGCTTGCAAGGCCAAGAAGCTCTGCAGCAACGACGTACCAAAGGAGGAGGATCAAGCATTCGACCCAAGCAGCAAGTCTTCAAAGCCGCATGCTGGCCACGGCGGCTGTGGCAACGATCAGCCCAATGTCCGCCAGACCGCTCTTCAACTCTGGGCTACATTTGAGACTAAGAACGAGGATGGCGTCAAGACCAAGGATAAGCGACTCATTACGCCCGAAATGGCACTCAACATTCTCAAGCGCATATCGGACGACGACCTGAGGGACATGGGCTTGAATACCGACTACGCTCGTCCCGAATGGATGATCATCACAGTTCTCCCCGTTCCGCCTCCGCCTGTGCGACCCAGTATCTCCATGGATGGAACTGGCCAGGGTTTGAGAAACGAGGACGATTTGACGTACAAGCTGGGAGATGTCATTCGTGCCAACGGCAATGTTCGTCAAGCCATTCAGGAAGGCTCGCCCGCTCACATCGCAGCCGAGTTTGAACAGCTACTTCAGTACCACGTTGCTACTCTGATGGACAACGATATTGCTGGCCAGCCTCAGGCGTTGCAAAAAAGCGGCCGGCCTGTGAAGTCTATTAGAGCGCGTCTGAAGGGCAAGGAGGGCCGACTTCGTGGTAACTTGATGGGAAAGCGAGTCGATTTTTCTGCCCGTACTGTCATCACAGGTGATGCAAATATTTCTTTGGATGAAGTCGGTGTACCTCGCAGCATTGCGAGAACCCTCACCTATCCCGAGACGGTCACGCCCTACAACATTTCACGACTCCATAAATTGGTGCAAAACGGTCCCAACGAGCATCCCGGTGCAAAGTACGTCATTCGTTCAGATGGTACCAGAATTGATCTTCGACATCACCGACGCGCTGGAGCAATCTCACTGGAATATGGATGGAAGGTAGAGAGGCATCTTCAGGACGGGGACTATATCATCTTCAACCGCCAGCCGTCACTTCACAAGGAGTCCATGATGGGTCACCGTGTCAAGGTCATGCCTTACTCCACCTTTCGACTCAACCTTTCGGTCACCTCTCCTTACAACGCTGATTTCGATGGTGATGAGATGAATCTTCACGTTCCACAAACTGAAGAAACCCGAGCCGAAGTCAAAGAACTTTGCATGGTTCCACTCAACATCGTGTCACCTCAGCGAAATGGTCCGCTTATGGGTATTGTCCAAGATACACTGGCGGGAGTCTATAAGATGTGCCGCCGTGATGTATTCATCACCAAGGAGCAGATTATGGACATCATGCTCTGGGTCCCCGGCTGGGATGGCATTATTCCCCATCCTGCCATTCTGAAGCCTAGGCCGCGTTGGACTGGCAAGCAGGTTGCCAGCTTAGTCATCCCTCGTGAAATTAGTCTGCACACTGAATCTGACAAAGAAAAAGACCCTTGGTGTCCCCTCAACGACCAAGGTCTTTTGGTCCGGTCCGGAGAAGTCTTGTTTGGTCTGCTTACCAAGAAGAACGTCGGTGCGGCTGGTGGAGGAATTGTTCACCTGTGCTACAACGAACTGGGACCTGCTGGCGCGATGGCTTTTCTTAATGGGTGCCAGCGCGTCATCAACTACTGGCTCCTCCATAACGGCCACAGTATCGGCATCGGTGATACAATTCCTGACAAGGATACCATTGACGCAGTCCAGGGCCATATTGATAGTCAAAAGGCCGAGGTCGCTGACTTGACGGCGCAAGCTACTGCCAACACTTTGGAACCACTTCCGGGTATGAACATCCGTGAGACATTCGAGAGCAAGGTCTCCCGAGCTCTGAACGAGGCTCGTGATAAAGCAGGTACTAGTGCAGAGGCGAGTTTGAAGGATATCAACAATGCCGTCGTCATGTCGCGGTCTGGATCCAAGGGTTCTGCCATTAACATCTCTCAAATGTCGGCCCTGGTCGGACAGCAGGTTGTTGAGGGAAAACGTATTCCTTTCGGATTCAAGTACCGAACACTTCCTCATTTCACCAAGGACGATTATTCACCCGAGGCCCGTGGTTTCGTGGAGAACTCGTATCTGAGAGGTCTCACCCCGTCTGAATTCTACTTCCATGCCATGGCTGGACGAGAAGGATTGATTGATACTGCCGTCAAGACCGCCGAGACGGGTTACATTCAGCGACGATTGGTGAAAGCCCTTGAGGACGTTAGTGCCAAGTACGACGGTACTGTTCGCAACTCGCTTGGGGATATCATACAATTCATCTATGGAGAAGATGGTGTTGACGGTATGATCGTTGAGGAACAGAAGGTGAAGTTCCAGTCGGTCAGGACTGTTGACTTTGAAAAGTCATACCGTCTCGACGTTATGGAAGAGAGCCGTCCTGCTGCGTTTGATGCTCTTGAGTTCTCTCAAGATATGGCTGGCGATCCGGAGACCCAAGCACTCTTGGATATGGAGTTTGAACAGATCTGTATTGATCGTGAGTTCATGCGTAGTCTCAAGATGGGATCCCCGGATAAGCTTGAACACGGCTACCAGATTCCTCTTAACATAGGACGCATCATCCAGATGTCCAAGAGAATTCTCAAGGTGGACGATGGGAAGCGCAGCAATCTCACTCCCAAAGATGTCATACCTCGCGTGAAAAACCTGCTCGAGAGAATGGTTGTCGTTCGTGGAAGCGACGAGATCTCGCGGGAAGCTGACGAGAACTCGACATTGCTCTTCAAAGCGGTGATACGCTCCCAGTTGGCATACAAACAACTAGCTGTCCATCATCGCTTGACGCTCATGGCTTTCGAGCATGTTTTGGGAGAGTTGGAAAGTCGATGGGCACGCGCGATGGTCAGTCCCGGCGAAATGGTTGGCGTCCTAGCTGCACAGTCTATTGGAGAACCGGCCACCCAGATGACCCTGAACACTTTCCATTTCACTGGTATCTCGTCCAAGAATGTTACCCTTGGTGTGCCGCGTCTCAAGGAGATTCTGAACGTCGCCAGCAACATCAAGACGCCATCTATGATGGTCTACCTTAAAGACGGCACAGCCACTCAAGAGCGAGCCAAGAAACTTCGAAGCATTGTGGAGCATACCAACTTGCGATCAGTCTGTGCTGTTGTGGAGGTCTATTACGATCCCGATATTCAGTCTACCAACATTCCCGACGATCTGGATATGGTCGAATCGTACTATCTCATTCCTGACGATAGCCACGACAGCATTGACAGGCAATCTCGCTGGCTGCTGAGATTCACCCTTGATCGACAAAAGATGCTTGATAAGGGCCTGGCAGTTGAGGATGTGGCTCTGCGGCTCAAGGAGGATTATGCGAGTGATTTGGCAGTGATATACAGTGACAACAACGCCGAGGAGCAAGTTATTCGTGTTCGGCCAATGCCGGAGGACGATAAGGACGAAGAAGGCAACAAAGCAATTGAAGACGACGTTATGCTTAAGCGTCTTGCCGACCACTTGCTGGAGAATTTGACCCTTCGCGGTGTTAAGGGCATTGACAGAGCCTTCCTGACCAAGGGAGTGCGAACCTCTGCAGACCCACAGGGTGCCATGGTCTGGATAAAGGACGACCCTCTCTGCGAGGAATGGTACCTTGATACTTCAGGTACTGCTCTCCGAGAAGTTTTAGCCGTCGAAGGCGTGGACCCGAAACGAACCAGTACGAACGACCTCTGGCAGATTGTCGATGTCTTTGGTATTGAGGCAGCCCGAGGTGCTTTGCTGAACGAATTGCGGCGTGTGCTTGCCTTCGACGGTTCGTACGTCAACGAACGCCATCTTACTCTTCTGGTCGATGTCATGTGCTACCGTGGTAGCATTGCAGCAGTCACGAGACACGGTATCAACAGGGCTGACACGGGTGCACTGATGAGATGTTCCTTTGAAGAGACTGTTGAGATTCTTCTGGAAGCTGCTGCCACAGGCGAACTGGATGACTGCCGTGGTATTTCTGAAAACGTAATGCTTGGTCAGCTGGCGCCCATGGGTACTGGTCATTTTGATGTGTTCTTAGACCCTAAGATGCTGGACACAGTCATTTCTGACAATTCCCGTATGGGCCTCATGCCCGGCATGACGATCAAGGGCAGCCAAATGGATGGTGCGGCCACTCCTTATGACACAGGCTCGCCAATGCATGCCGACTCTGGCTACGCAATGGGACTGGCATCTCCGTCGATGGGCATGGCAGGCAACTTCTCTCCCATCATCGGAACTGGGTCGGACACGCCTGCTGGCTTCGCATCAGAGTATGGTGGTGGCTTTGGTAATGCTAGTCCGTACGGCGGGAGAAGTCCTGGTGCTACTAGCCCATTTAGCGGCACGTCGCCAACTTCTCCATTTAGTTCCTTCGGCAGCTACTCGCCGACGTCTCCCGGTGTTGGTTACTCGCCCACATCGCCTGCGATTGGCGGTCGCTTCGCCAGCTCGCCGCAATTCAGCCCCTCGTCCCCGTCTTTCTCGCCCACCTCTCCTGGTTACAGGGGCAGCCCCACGAGTCCAAGCTACAGCCCAACGTCGCCAAGCTATTCTCCTACTTCCCCGTCTTCGCCTCGGCACTACTCGCCAACGTCTCCGGCTGCCCACTCTCCGACTTCGCCGACGTACTCACCAACCAGTCCCAACTACAGCCCCACGTCTCCCAATCTGGCAGGTGCTGTGTCGCCTTCTTACAGCCCTGTTTCTCCTAATTACTCGCCCACTTCTCCGGCCTCCTACTCGCCCACGAGTCCCAACTTCAACAGAGCGACACAGGTGTCCCCAACAAGCCCACAGTACTCGCCTACGGTTCGTTTTAGCCTGTGGAATGACGAACGATCTTTGTAGCTAATGAATTTATAGTCTCCACAGTTCTCTCCTAGGACTCCTGGACCCGGCGGCAACACCAGCCCGAAGTAGTATGTAAAACAACTATGATTATGAATTGGAGCCAGCTGCTGACAAAATTCGTAGCTCCCCTACATCCCCGAAGAATGACTAGCCGCTCTCCGTCACTTGCCATATTCAAACACGTCATTTGGACTTGAATAATACCGCACAAAAAGGCGTTTAGAGGTTCCATTGATTTTACTCGGGTCTCGAATTTTTTCCCTTGAAACACCCAGATCCAGCCTCTTAGTACGCGCTGGCTTTTCACCGAGACGCGAGGCTCATTCTCGACATAGAGCGAGATTGGAGGAGGGGAAGACATCTCGTTTTTCTGAATTTGGCAGCATCCAGATCACTCAGAGAATACTAGAGAACAGGGGAAGGGGGATTCCCCCACAACAAAGAAAAAGCAGAAAAAACTGTTTCAGTAGATTGTGCATTAGCGGATCAAATGAATTGGAGGGTGGCCGGCCGGCAAGATACGCAGGCAGGCATGCAACGGCAATGCATGAGCTCTTGCATTGGGGACGGTGGGGACGGAAAGGAGTGGCAGATTGATTGCATGTGCGAAACTGATAAAGGGTTGAGAGTGATTCGGTGGTTGGTCGGTCACTGCTTCGAGGCAAAGCAAAACAAGGAGAGCGACAGACAGATGTTCAAGCAAAACCAAGTGTACAGAGGAGCAACTGAACTGACGCTAGGCCTTGTTTTCTTTTCGAGAGAGGAAATGAGGACGTCGTAGCGCAAGCGATTGGCATTTGATGAGGAGAGGTTGATTGGTTGCGTTGTGTACAAGTGCTGCTTGCCAATAAAATACATGAGGCCATATTCATGTTTTCTACTTGGTGACTCGGATAATCTTTAATTTGTGACGCTGCTGTTGAATATATGTTGGCTAAGTGAAGATACAGATGACTGTAGATTCGGGTCAAAGACAAGAAGTATAGTCGCTTGCTACGTTATAGTACAAACTAGGTTACTACTGCTGCGATTCCCAGGCGGACCAACATGTAGCATAATGCTGCTAATCATGGGATAATCATAACCTTCCACTGCGTGGTATTTCATGAAGCACTTCACGCGTCCCCCTTACCCTGACACCCAGCCCCCGAAGACCGGAGTCTTCGCTGCAGCAGTTGTCTGTAGATCTTCGAAGACTGTATACATATCTTGTAACTTGCGCTGGTATGGGTCGGTAACATCCGCAGTGGTGGCGAACTTGGTAGGCCAGCAGGCAGTTGTGAGGTCCTCGCTACGAAGGGGCCTCCTTTCAAGGTTGCTCGACGTGAAGTGAGTGTTTTCGTATCCTCAGACGTTGTGGAGGTTGATCGTGGGCACAAGGGAAGGGGCTGATCTTCGAGACAGGCACTGCAAGGCCGTTTTGATGTTTGTTGCTCGAACTCGGTGGTTTCTCAGCCATGGCTTTGTTTTTATGTTTTGACAAGTCAAGTTCGCGTGGCAGGCACTCTGTGAGACGGGATTCGGGCTCGGGTGCTTCGAGTTGTTCGTGTTTTCTGATTTCTTCGGTTTAAAGGTTTAACTCCTGGCGGTATCGAACAAATATAAGGGCATGAGATTGCAGTGTTGTTTCTTTCTTGTGTTCCTTTGATAGAGATATGATGGCAGAACCAGGGGTTCGGCTCTGTGAAATGCAATAGTTAGCGGACTTGCATCTGAATAACGCAACGATTCGCTCACCGGGTGAGAAACATTGTTCTTTCTCAAATGAGAGCCTGGAGTGCCATACTCGACGCTATGAGTATGTCAAAATTACTGCGTAAGTGGCACCTGCACCTGGGTTTTCTTAGTGTTCTAGGCGTGTTGTTCCATCCCAAGCTAGCAATAAAGAGAGCCAAGGACTCATGACGTTGGATATGATGCTCAGAACTGCAGTGCTCGTGGAGCAACAGATTCTTGCGCCGCACCAAGAACCACATCATGTGGATCTTAAAAGAATAATACACAGCCCAGCATATTTGTTCTCGTAGTTCTACTTCTTCGAGTTCTCTCGCGTCATGAGGATAATTCAAGAGAGACACAGGAGACGCGTGGATGATAGTCATCGTCATATACTACGAACGAGCTTCTGTGGTGGCATCAACACCGGATTCTAGATGCAAGAAGTTTCTATCTCAGTGGTGGGAAACTGGGGTTACACCGCCCCAGTAACCCAGAGAGGCACCTTTTCTTGCTCAAGTGCGGCATAAGGGTCTGTCATTGTCAAAAAAGCTTGCTTTAGGGTGATAGAGGCGCAGTGGAGTATGCCGGTCAATCTGTTGAGTGGGTGGTTAGCAGTTCAGTACCTCGTACTCCTCGCAACCCTGGAAGCCCATCATCTCTTAGAACAGCACGGTGTTAGTGCATAAGCTAGGTAGGAATCCTAGGCTACTCAGCCCGAAGTACATCTTTATTCGACTTGTTTCGAGAAACAGTTCGTCCTATGTTTCAGTAAGTAGGGAACGGTGAACGGCCATAGAGTTATAGCTCCATAATCCCTACTTTCATATCCCCTGGACATGCCGCCATCTTCAACATGCTTTTCCAGCCTGAAAATCGCTCTTGGAAGGATTTGGCTAATACGGAGGCAGAAGACTCCGATGTTTCTCGGACTCGCTTGTCCAGCACCTCGTGATCCGCACGTGGGAACGCCTTCAACAGGGCTGTTAAGAATATATCAGATTTATTTCCGGGGCCAGGGTTTTGTACAAGGCCGGATAAACTTTGGTGAGTACGGGGATATTGATATTCTGGTCGCTTGATCTGGCATGGCCTAAGCGGAAATCCGTCGGCATTCCTTGGTATTCATGGGCGGGAGTCGGCCAGCCTGGTTCCGAGAAGGTGGCAGAGAAGTTTCCTATTAGAGAAGTTCGCCTTCACCGTGCTAGGTAGAAGGGTGAGTGGCACGAAGGATTGCGCGTGATCGCTGGCTCATCGGTCCGCAAATGGAACGGCACGAAGGCACGTTGGAACGGTTTGTGTTGGTGTGGTCATCTGCACATCAAGGTGACGTCGGTCCCACCAGCCCTCAGACAACAGAAGTATCCGAGACTCATGAGTACTTACGAGGAACTTGCTCGCCGACTTGGCGGTGCCTCGTTCTCGTCTTGTTTGTTTGTTTGTTTGTTTGTCGGATCAAGGCATCGTTGTCTCGAGAATCCACGTTCGAAATTCAGGTCCCCACCAATAGAAAAGCGAAGATGCATAGCCATGATCCGAGTACCCCTCCTTGAGAAAGTGAGCAGAATAGGAGAAAAAACCGCTGTCGAGCGTCCGCGCCCAATCGAACTTACAGAGGAGCCACGCGGGCTTCTAGGTAGTTAAGTCACACTGGGCATAGATGTCTGAAATCACTACAGCCGGTGAGAGACCCCCTTCGTGATGAGGGTGTTGAGATGGGTGAAGGTCCAACTGAACCTGGTAACGACTCTGGAATTGGACCACAGAAACCTGTGGGACCACAACCGGCCAGCTGCTTTCGCGAATAGATTTTACTATGGGACGAATAGTTCTCGGGCAAGTGGTAACCTATGTTCGCGAGAATCCAAGCTATTGGGGTGTCGGTCTAAGGAGTTGCCCTCCGAGGACCTGAGTTGTACACTGGATCCGGCCGTCTTCTCCACCTTCGACGATATTGTGTCATTGGGTATCTATGCATTTTCTAGAATGTCTCATTGCACTGAAGAAGCACAGTGTTACATCCGCGGTGCCTAGTCGGTAGGGTCAACATTGAAGTCTAGGGAAGGCGAGGGCCAACACCACCAACCGCAGGCCACGATTATGCGTGATGGTTGACCAAATATTTCTATGCTCCATCAACGATGGGCTTCGACTGTGCTGCTGAACACGCTATACCTCACTTGCCTTTGTGGACGTAGGTACTCGGGAGCTGGATGCGTAGGGCCAAGGAGTAAAAACACTTGCGTGTACAGGCTTTGCATATAGAACTCTCCACCATGGTAGGAGATCCCATTGGCGCTTGAAACTGCAGGGAATTGATTATGCTGGCTACAATACCAGGTAATTACCGAATATGCTGTCAAGGCTCTGGCATTGGATATTGCGAAGACCACACTGGTCCCAACCCGAGAGATGAATGAATTCTCTCCAAAGGTGGCTGCTGACGCATGACTGGTGACTTTGACCTGCCATGGGATCAAGCTTGAAACCCTTCGTAAGGTCGGCAAGCTGGACGGCTTGCGGCTGACTCGAGGAGTGGATTTTTCTATTTGTCAATTCCCAAACGGGCCTGGTATCGCTCACGTTGTTTGTCAACCAGCAAGCCATCCAGGCTCGAGCAGAAAGAACCACATTTTGCCCCATGATGGCATCTCTAACCATTTGAAGGCAGTTCTCAATCAAGACACCCTAGTTTCTCAGATCCGGTCCTCGACATGGGTCACAATGTGCAGGAGCCACTTATGGACCTTGAAGCTAAGCCGATGTGATAAGCACCCTTCTCACAACACTCACCTCCAAGTCCGCAACCCAATTTAGGGCTAGGATCGGTCATTCGATGCCCCTGCTAGGCGTGACAACTGGGGGCTGCGAGTCTGTATAAGCCTACGGAGCTGGGCCCGTTCTCAAGGTGGGAATATTGGGCGTCTTCATGACATCTCAAAGCTTCGGGCGCTCAGATACGAGACGCGACAAACAGTATCACAAACATAATGTGTATCTCACGATCGTTCCTGAGCTTCTGCGTAACGAAATTCCCTCGAGCGGCATAATGGGGTACATCGTCACACAACCAACGCTTGCGTGAGCTTAGCTCTTTCGGCCGGGAAGTCATCACAGACATAACGGCAAAGCCATCCTCCCTCTTCAGGGCTCGCCAAATCAGGAAGAGGGCAGCAGGCAGTGTGTCAATGCAGCCAGTGGGGTTGCAAGGGTCATACGCGGCACGCTTTTAAGGCCGCGGGAAGGATTATTGCGCTCGGTTGTCAGCGCAACTAGGACTTGCCCAAAGCACCAGCCGAGCAAGAGCGAGGCTAACCAAGGCATCTTGGATATAGCTGATATACCACTGGCATCTATTCGTAGACCACCAGACAAGTTAGATCGGTCCCTGTATCTGGTTAGGTTCTTCCATGAAGACTGGGTCAGTGCAACCTTGATAGACCAGGGACGAAGTCAAGGACCAGGATTAGCAGATGAACGGCGAAATTCGCCAATTAATCTTCTGGAAATCTTGCCGTCACCGCAGTGCCAATTTTGTCTTTGGCACGTTGAATGCCTGCACCACGTCATCGGCGATCGCAGAGGCAACAACAACATGACAGGCGTGTTCGTCGTAGTCGGCTCGGGAACGAAGTCGATTACGAACGCTGTTATAAGGGTAGAGAGACCTGGCCACGTAGGATGCGATATGCAAGTTTGGCAGATGGGGGGCCAACGTCAAATTTTGAAGACGCGTGAGCTGTCGTTTCAGGCAGTGGGTGCGTCTGATTTCCTCTTAGCCGCGATCCGCAGGGCAAATCTTCATGCTTTGAGGACAAGACGTACGCAGTGTGGGGCTGCCAATATAATTTGGTGATGCTGAATGTTGAAGTGCGCCCACGACGGGCCAATCGTTGCAAAGACAGGGCGTGGTTTTAGCGTTCGAAGTAACCCCTATGCAGCGTAGCTTCAGGTGATTTTGCGATGGAGAACTAGCTTCCATACTTCGTACCTGCGAGCTGCAACCCCCGTCAGCCGCGTCTCCTGCCTTCTAGAGGCGCGTTTACGACGTCTGTAGTGGATGAGTTGCCTATAACCGCCGACGTTAGTTCGGCCTTCGCGGCACAGTCCGCCTTGGACTCAGTAGAATGTGGCAGAGCAGCTGCCATTGGCTGGATCGGTCCTCTGTAGCCGCCCGCCCATGCAGGACGACGCACAGCAAAGCGCGACCGATGCAGGGGGGTTTTTCTTTGGTGTGAACGTCTAATTAACTGACTGACTAACGAACGAGAGTATCCGTAGCGGCCGCCCGGCCGGCACTAGGATCGCAAATTGTTCATTGCTAACCTGGCCATCCACTGAAGTGTACTATGGCGGCCGTGCAGACAGCGAGTGGGGGTGGGTTCGGGGTGTTCAGGCTGCAGAATGACCTGTGTCAAGAATGCGAAGTCGAGGCATCAAGGAGACCGGTGATAAGACAACGTTGGCTGCCGAGGGAGGTTCTTGGCCTTCGTCCGATACTGCTTGCTCGCACATGAAAGCGTCCTAGCCGGATGTATTTTCGCTAGTTGTCAAGCGGTGAGTGGCCCCGTTGTGCATGAGAGACAGAGCCACCCCGTCCGATCTTCTGCTCGCAAAGGACAGTCGACAGTATAGGATGTTGGTGCAGAGTCAACGCTTTCGGTGTCCTTCGGACGAGGACGGGTGTCAACTGACGTCAAGCCGACCAACGGCAAGTTGCACCTGGTTTGATAGGTTGTCCCATGGAGGGCGACACAAGGTTTTCGGCAGGCGAGGGGTAGTTCTGCTTTGCTGCTGTCTAACAGCTCGTGTTCTGTCGTGGTTGCGGGTTTGCCTGCCGCGCGCAGCTAGCTCGCAACAGCTAGCTCACAACAGCTAACAAGCTCTTGAGGGTCTACAGGTCTCCGGATAGGGTCGTATTCCTCGGGTCGCCTAAACGGGCCAACATCCTTTTGCTTTGTCAATCGCGTGTGTTGAAGCAATGAAAGCGTCCGTTGGGCCGTGGACGAGAGTTGAGAGGCGCGATGGCTCCAGTTGCAATCACACGTTGGCAGCTAGAGCCACAGCCCGGCCCTGCTGCTTGGCTGGCTTGGCGAATATGGCCATGGGTCCAATACTATAGCCAAAGGTGGGGGCCACCATGCTTGTTTCGGCTTTAGTGGATGTGCGGCGCAGACAGGGCTGCTGTGCAATCTGTGGGCTGTCATGGAAGACTGCAGCTACCTTCAATTTGGCAACCCGGGCGCCATGTTCGAATTCTTGCAAAGCGAGGTAGGTGCCTCTGCCGGTTATTTTTCTTCCCGCTTGTGAAAATTCACCATCGTCGACTCGCTCATTTTACCGGGCTCGGACCGAGGTATGTCGCCTAGCCAGAGTTGATGACGATATGCACAATTTCTGCATGCTTACTTCACTTGAGCGCCTGTCGAGAACGGCATCATCACATGATGTGTATCTTATGCGGACCCTAGCCGCGCGAACCATAATCTGGCATTGGCGGCGTCTTTGCCTTGCATGGCCGCAAGACGTCGACCCAATTCTGCAAAATGGGACGACAGAAAACCTCCCCTGGTTGAGGTTGCCCCTATGTCATAAAGAGCTGTTGGTGGCGTAAGGCACTTCTACCTGGAGGCCGTATGCCTTGCCTTGCCCAAGGAATGCCAGAGGAATGCGTCAACCTTGTTGGTCGTGCCGTTCGGGAGGATGCCTTGTGCAGCGGATACGGCCGCATAACCGGACAGCTGTGCCACCCTCTCAGCCTTCTACCAGCTTCCGAAGTCAATTGCGACTACATCCCTTGCCGCATAGGTCATCCAGTATATGGCCAGGAGCAAGACTGGCCGATAGTAGCTGATGCACATCAGCTTTGCGGGCCTTGTCGCTGCCTGTGGCTATTGGTGCTCAAGTGAAGTGGTCGTTTCGTACCTACCCAATCAGACCCACAATTGCATTTCTTTTTACCTGGGCCGAAGTACGACTCAAGCTTGTGGGGCCTGCTTTGAGTCTCGAAATGGTGCCTGGAAGCACTGGGCTGTGATTACTGGAGTTGTTGCGTGTTGGAACAACCAAGTTGGTGATGGGGGAGGGCATTTTATTGCAATCTCAAAACCTCAGACATCGTACATCCGTCCACTGTGCCAGTGTGAATAGAGCCAGGCACGATTCAACCAACCCATTTTGACCACAATTCCTTCGTTATAGCTAACCCAAAATCCATAGCCTCCATTTTGCACATCGTCACAGTCCAGCACCGGCAAGTCGAGACATACTGGTAACAGAGCTGCGAGCCCCTTGGACTGGAGTCTCTTGATACATGACGGAAGAAAAAAGCCACCTCCTTGAAAGATTCTAATAAACTCGATCTCGCCACAGACATTCTCTAGCAAATGCCCACCCACCAGGATGAACCTGGCTGTGTGCGGCCGTCACACACCATTGCTACCCCCAAATACATGTTAACAAGCCAGATAGACAGTCGAAAGAGCTGAAGAGAAGACTGCTGTCAGAAACACTTACCTTTTCCCTCCACAACTGTCGCACGCGTATCCATACTCTGTCACTTTATTCTTGTAAATACCGCATCTATAGACGCATGACGCCATGCCCGCGTTTACAATGTGGCCGCAGTTATAACGAATGACGTGGGTGAAGCACATCTTGATAGGAGAGTCGATATCCGTCTTGTAGATGACACGGCTCAGTCTGCAGTGCTGCGAAAGACGACAGGGGAGTCTTCAGGCGATGTTAAGCACAGATTAGCTTGATATAACTGGCACTACGGGAGTAGCAAGGCCGACTTACATATCAAGATGGCACAGTCGTGTAGCTCAGATGACCACGCAAATGTTGGGCGGAGGGGAGGGTTCTTGCTCAAGTGTTCTGGCCTTAGGATGATGGACGTTGCACTCGATACTGGGTAGCTGAGGGATTGAGTTGATAAAGTGATGTCGATATAAATGTCAAGAAGCAAGAAGAAGTGCTTTATATATGTGTTGTCGTACCAGTATCGGGAGGAGCTGTGCCTCCAACAAGATGCAAGAGATGTAGCCTGCCTTGTTTGTCGAAACCAAGGTCCTATCAGCTTGCAGATGGTGTTAGTTGCAGCCTACTCGTTGGTGGTCTCCTCGACCGGCTCTAAAAAATACTGCAGGTTGAATGCCGCGTGTGAAGATAATACTATCGTTACATTGTTAGAAAGTGGTGTGGAGGAGGGAAGGCACATGGTCAAGTCATTCGAGGATGTAAAAGGTGGGATGTCAACATGTATCTCTCCAGTCGAGGTACTTGGTGCGGGAAGAATAGCTGTTGCTGGAGTGGATAAGGGATGTCTTTTGGGGTCGAAGTCTGGGTCAATGAAGATGGCAACCTTAGTCGATGGGCGCGGGCCGGCTCCGGGTGGGATGACAAGTGCCTGTTCGTTTGGCAGATCCGTACTAGGGTAGGGGGGTATAGCTTGACCAAGATATGCGTCTGTAACTGGCCTACAGGGTGGCTCTCGATAACCCACCTGCTAGGCTAGCTACGGCCAGTGCTGAACCCATTGGGCAATGCTACCTACGGGGGAACAGGGGGTGCCGCAGATTGGCCCTGGCGAAAATGGCAACAAATGGACCATCACCAGCAGACACGAAAGCGTTCAATCCATACGTAATTTCTGCACTCACCGGGGAATCGAGTCCGGTGGAAAATATCTCGCATGGCAGGCTTCGTCCTCAGGGAATCTCATTGGCGACTCGAGGAACAGTCGAAGGCAGCTTCCACGGATGGCCGCTGCACAGCGATTCTGCAGTTGGCGGGAGACAAGTTTGAAGAGGGGGAGAGGGGGAGGGGGAGGGGGGTGTTTGCAGGTTGCGGCTTGCTTGTCAAGCACTGACAACTTTGAGCAAGCAACGATCAATTGGATTATGATGCCTGGGGTATCTCACCGAGTCGGCGAATGGACGGCACCGACTACCCTCCCTCCAGTGCAGCGTAGCCCCCGTGTAGCCCCCAGCTCGAGGAGTTGGCAGGTATTTCTCGGGCAAAGTATGAAACTCGTTTTCGAACTTCAAATTCTCAAGGACCACGGGGATGATTTTGCGCTGCTACAGCGCCACAGCACTCGTCAGATGCTAGGATCGGGCACGATGCGGTAGGAGCCAAGATCCCCCAGCTCACACCCCCCGACTCGTGCAAGGAAGGCAGCTCGCCCGCATTCCGACTTCAAGGTGGCTCTCGCATACCCATGAAGAAAAGCCAGGGTATATGAAATGACCCATCATCATGCCGTACAGTTGAGCATTGGCGACTTGCAACGATACAAGAACCAACGCATGTTGTGTTCGCGAGTGACAGTAGAGAGGTTGAATGGAAACAATTCAAGTGGCTCATCCAAAGCACCAACTGCATGGAATGCCAGCCAGCCAACGCGCAAAACCAACAACGGGTGTGATTTTATCCATATATACTCCGAAAAAACCAGTTCAATTCAATGGAGGGAAACCGCGATCCACATCCGTCGAATGGCACTTCTTTCTGAGAGCCACAAAAAACTGGAGTTTAACTCAATTGGGCAAGGGCCCATTGTGCAGACGCCCAGGCTTCCCTGCCTAGCCCTTCGCCAACTCTAGAAGCTCCACTGGTCTGGAGCATCCAAGAACCTCTCGTCATTTATCACCATGTTTTATCCCATGGCAAGGAGGCAAACACATGGCCATGGTGACACACACAAGGTAGATGGCAGCAAGAAACCCCGATGAAGAACTGCCTCCGCAGCGAAGCTTCGTGACGGGGGCGGCTGGCCGCACGGCTACATCCTTTTCCTGTCTGCTCCCGTCGCGAGACACATTGCCCGGCTAGGCATATGCACCAAGGGGTGACGAAGGGTGACAGACAGCCTGGTTAGCTCACGCAGAATTGTTCTGGAATCGCTCCCGAACTGCCACGGCTCTCCCAGGGCAACAGAGCTCTCTCAATCGATATTTGAGACACTTCGCCCCAGTGCACAACAAAGCCGCACATCTGGTCACACCGGCGCTGCGATATAATCCCCTAGCCTTGGCCTCGTATTTGCTAATGATTGTTGACGAGCCGCGAACCTACAGAATCATCAATACTCCTGCGACAGCATGCGTACCAGCTAGCACTCACCATGTCCCCCTGCCTTTTTTGGCTGTCCTGATTCTAACCTCGAATCCACATCGGGAAGCTCGCGAGATGTTAGTGGCACACGGAGACCTGCAAGAAGACTTGTTCATCCAACATTGAATGCTCATCAAGCTGAACTAAATCCACTCTGCCTTCCGTGGCACTTGCTGCTCACACTGGCGAAGCTTTCCAAAGCACATGAGCCGTTCGCTTCTGCGTAAAGGCATTGACGGCGTCACAGCATGCTTCCGTCAGACCGGCCCTATTAAGCCTAGGTTCTGACGATCGTGACAAGCAGACATTCGGATGAACGACGCACTCGGGTTGGAATAAACAGGCAATGCCTGTCTACTACCCTTACACCGGAATATTAAGCTTTCGCACACGATTCCACTCTTGCCACGTCCTCTGTTTTGTCACCCACTTGCTTGATTCGCATCAGGCGGGCAAGTGCAATAGCTCGTTTTGGTTTGTGAATATACAGGCTTCCAAGATATCACCATCTTAACTTGAGGTAAGAATTATCTTCGTATCAGAAACCCGAAATACCCATTTGACATGCGGGTGAGCCCGAAATGCACTCGTTCGATGATTTTTTTCCACTTTCAAAGCTGTAGGGATTTGACAGACCTTTTGGTTGCAGCGTACGTGATACGTCGTTCCTCAGGTCATGGTTATCTCGGTTCTGGAACAGTTTGCGAGTGCTTGAAAACTTCGAGTTGACCCAACAAGCTACCCCTGCAACCTCGCAAGCGGCCAGGGCCAGATATCAGGCCATCGGGGCGCCCAAAGATGCATGCATTTTATCCTGCGTCATGTATCACTGGCATTTTGAGTCCAGGGCAACGGGCTTTTCCCCGCGGGCAGCCAACGTCAGATGATACTTTTCACCTGCCCGAGGAATCTCTGTCGCGCAGGGGAGTAGCCGAGGGGCCATTACTGCGGCCGGTATGGCGCATTATTCTTCAGTAGGTTTTTGAATTCGAATCCGATAGGACCAGAGTTCCACAATGCCGATACTATATTCCAACCAACGCTTCACCGCCGTCAAAGGGATTCTTGGTATCTTCGCAAGAATCACAAGCCATTACTGACGTACCCGACCCGCCCGTGAGCGGCCCGTCGTCCCAGACAGGGCGCGAGGTGTTTAAATATTCTGCTGTCAACCTGGATTCGAGTCTCGTTCTATTGATTTGTCGATGCATCAATGCACTGACAAGGAACGCCGCGAAGGCTATAGCCGCACACCGGCCTGCCAAAGTATGTTTCGCAGGCTGTACCACACGGCCTGCACGGGACAGTGATATGTGGCTGCTTCTGCAGTCTCTCGTCACCAACTGTCGGTGGTTTAATAACACGCCAATACGACCTAAGCGGCCTTGTAAGAACACCGCAAAACAGCTAGGGGCACCATGGAACAAACGTCACCTAATCTCTGGAACTTGGAAGCATCCAACCAAGATTTCCACGAGTACTACCAACATAGACGCCACGCGGTTGATTCCCGATCTGGTCAAGAAACAGCAGACTGTGATGCTGTTAGCGATGCCGCGCGCGTGTTGGTCACAATGAACGTTGCTCCAAAATGACACTAGATTCCAACTCCAGTTCCATTGCGGCGCGGCATACTCCGTACAGTTCAGGCTTTTCATTCGGACAAGAAAGCCTGTTCCGACCAATCAGGAGGCGTTGGCACAGGCGTCACTCAGTTAAGCGCCCGCTTGACTACCCCGGGCACTTTCCCAGCCTGTTGGTCACTTGCCGCAATGGCGATGATAAGCTTCGAAAATTTTGCAATATTGAGTGAGGTAGGAAGTACTGAAAGGAACATTGCGCTGTCGGTCAAGGTACCTCTTCATGCGCAGGCCGTCGCGCAGTTTCTGTGTCCGTACACGTATCTTCAACATGGCCCTGGCTGTGATGGTGGGCCAGACACGGTTATGCAAAATCCCCAATTCATCTTTTCCTTCGACCGATGCCTAAGCCTAAATCACTAGATTGAGGGGCCTGTAATATTGGCTGCCATGGGATTGGCTTGATACAACAACGTTGCGGGAAGTTGCCCTGCCGTAGCAGTAGATGGCAACCGGTCTAAGACGATCCTGCACCTCCAGTGGAAATTCATCACCAACCACGCAACGTAGAGGCACGGGGGCGAGAAATACCTCCAGACTTGATACCCTACCTCGGACCGACTTTCCAAATCAGCCTGGACCCTGTACAGGTATGAATATCATTCTTGTCGAGAGGTACAGCTGTCCATGTCGGGAAGCTAGATACCTCGATGGAAACGGCTCGTCAACCAGCAGAGACGTCGATAATCTCCGCGTGCCCACACCACCACGCTTCGGCAAGTCATTCGATCATTTGCTGCTACCGAGCCTTCCAAACTGGATTTGAAATCTCGACGATCTCCTGCGAGCACCCCGATCCGAAGCTGTGACTGCACGTTGTCACTGCGTGGGCTTTCAGACTCTGCTGTGGTTCGAATAACGCATCCTGAAACGATGAGACCACCTTCAGAGGCGAAGTAGTGGTCCCCCGCCACTCCCAATGGCAACAGTCCAGGAGCTTGGTGTTGCGGGAGTGGCGGCCTCAAGCCTGACAAAGTACCTCGGATGCTGATATCTCTCCAGAAGACCCCTATTGCATCTTCAAGCCCTGCTTCGCTTGCTCTGACGCCAAGATGATGCGGTCATTTGTACTACGATGGGCATCTGAAAAATGTGCAAGAGGCTGCGGCATCTAGCACAGGCATCCCTTGCTCGCCGTCGCCCTGTCTGCCCACCATCACCTAGAAAATCTCTGCTGTGCTGTAGGATTGTCCATGCTTATCCGACGTTCGAGTGTGGTTGTACACATGTCCCATTTGCTCGAGGTTCTTCAGTTGCCGCTACGAAAATCAACGTAGCGGCAGGCATGCCGGGCAGATCGTCGAGCATCTGGTCGGAAACTGAGCCCATGGTCAACAATACAAACTGACTCAGTTGTTGCGGTCCCATGACTCCAGTGGTTTTTTCTAGACACCGCCTTGCAGTCTCACGACGGCCACGAGCATTGTATTGATGCACATCGAGACCATCTCCCATCCCTCCCAACCCAGCTATCGTTGTAACATTAGGTCAAATGGGGAAGGAGAATAAAAATTCAAGAGATTGTCAAAGTAGGTCCGTCTCACTACCCGTCTTCTGTTTTCTACCTTCCAAGGGCGGCTTGTTGTTGCTGGAACGAGAGTTCCTTCCTCGCTGGCACTCGGCAGGCTCACAGGCCAAACGCTCGGAGACCAAGAGTGTCTAGCATGCCGCGCAATGCATTTCCATAGTGTTGTGGTTCATGATAACAGGGTCCAGGTTGCTGAAATCTCACGATTGATCTGGCCCCCATATTTACGCGACTGCACATGGCAGTTGTCAAGCTTGCAACACTATCGGAAGTCAAAAAACAAGAAAACACAAGGCAAGACGTATGTCCGATATCTCCGACAGCCGTGGGCAACTCTCTTTGCCATTTGACCGAAAGGGTCGTGCTAGTGACGGGTGCCAAAGGTTCCGGAAAGTCCCTTTGGCACAGGGTTCGTCTGCCGCTACAGCCAATAGAAGTGTATGAAGTCCCGAATACTCGGACAAGACACGGCGCGGCCCTGAACTTCATCGAACCTTGTTTCCGAAGCCTCGGTGCCGGTAATCTCCACCTGTAGGCCGTGATTGTGGTTCCCATCGTCTCGATGTTTCTCTGCCATTACTCAGGTGTGTATTCCGTGGCGTTGTCGACCGTCGGACACTCGTGGAGAATCATGGAGGATCCACCAACCAAAGCGAACCCCGCGCGACGGCGGGTAACATAGGCTTATAGGGCGCTCCGCTGTTCCCTTTTTATCTTGCCTTTTGCCCGCCAATTGCGGCCACACGTGCCTCGACACGGCGGGCCAGTGTTACTAGCCCAATCATAACGGTCACGGCAGGGCGTATTCTCCAGTCACCGAGGGCTTGCTTGGCCATAGGTCCCCTACGTTGCTGAAACGAGCGGAGCCTGCACAGGAAACTCGCATCTTCTGCTACCTAGGTACTTATTAGATGCGGCAAACCATAGAAGGAACCGGCCGATCCAGCATGTGTCAGTCGGTGCTGCTGATATCTGGCCGAATATATAAAGAGGCACCCTCCGTGACCTGTTCTGAGTTTTCCCTCGTCTTCATCAACACTCTCTCCCATAAATTAACAGTCGCTCTCTCAACTGTTGTCCGAGCCGTACCCAGCAAACAACTCTGACACACCCTCAATCCTCTCCATCTCACCACTCTCTCACAATGGCCAACATCACCATGAATGATATCCTCCGACGTGAGCGCCGACCCATGCATGTCTTCCTGTCACTCGCTCCTACCACTTCTGAGTCCTATCCCACCGCTCAGAAGCCCGCACCCGCCGTACCCCAGACTCCCCGTCGCAGCTCCAGCCAAAGCAGTGATGGGAAGGAGGCGGCCCAAAGCCTTCGCTTCCTCAAGCTTGGGCCCGTCCACTGGGGTGAGCACGCCGACGACCACAAGGGTGACTTTCATGAGGTCGAGTAATCAATCGAATGGAAGCTCTGGTTTTTGTTTTTCTAAAGCGCTACAAATAACATCACGATGTGACGATCTTGGGAAGAAAGTATATGGTTTATTGTTTTCCTTCCTATTTGTTTGAACAGAACTTCCATGGAGGAAGGGGGGAGGGCTATCACGGCGTTATCGTTATTATAGCCAAGAGGTTCAGTTATATACTGGTGGATAATTTCTACAGTATGCGGCACTCCGTAGACGGGGAAAAAGCGAGCGGGTACATTCGGTCACGGAGTCACGTTGTTTTCATTTGGCGTAGAAAACCGGATTGTTCACACATACACATACACACAAAAACAATAGAAGGATGGCTATTTGGGGTTAGCAACCACTAAACTCACCATAAGCTACTATCGTGAATCAGTCGCATGTTTTTTTTTCGACCCGGATGGACGGAAGGGGGCTTTTTTGAGTCACCCGACCAGCGACCGCCCCGGTTGCGCTAGATTACGTCGACTACATTCCACCCTTACCGACATCGAAGACTAGAGTAGTTATCTTGCATATCAAGTAGGCTGACCACGTATGGATTTCGTCAATCCCATCGCCCACTATTGGCCCGCATATGCATGCCTCTTGGGGCATCCAGTCTAGGTCTTAATCCCTCTCTCTCTTACCGCTGTTTATGACAGCATTGATTGATTTTGCGTGCGACCGCGGCGTCTCTCATCAACCCCAAAAATGTCGCGTCAGGAGAGTGTTATACAGCTATCAGTATCCGTTCTGGACCCATGTTTTCTTTGTTCCTGAAGCTCAGGGGTTTTCAGTCAGAGATCAGCGGCCTGCCAAGCGCAGCCAAGACGGGATGCCCTCGGTGAGTGAAACCGCACTCCAATGTGACCTATCCTAATTGCATCGTCGTCTTTTCCTTCTGCAACTAGACGCCGCCGCCTCGCCTCGTTCCACATACGTGCGACCAAACAATTCGAGTGGAATAATCCCTCCAGATCCGAGGAATCTGTAAGGTATAGCATATAATATGATGCACTAGGCTTGCCTGCTTATCACGATGCTGATCACGACGATAACCATCCAATTATATCAATTATTCCCCCACGTTTCCCGCATAATAGAGGCTTGCGTGAGAGCTTGGACGACTAAGAAAGAAGTCCCATTCTTTAACTCAGCTTGCGTTCCGGGCGAGCTTGATGAAGCGTCAAGCATTCCGACACCTTGACAGCCCAGGAAGTGCCGGTACGCACCAATAAAGCGCTCGGGTATCCTACGTAGTATAGGGAAGATCACTTCTTGGCGATCTGCAATGGCTAAGCTTACTGAGTACGAAGAAAATTGGCGGGCCATTTGTAATACAAGCCTTGGCAACCTCTCTGCAACATTGGCCGACGTCAGATGTTTTGCTTGCTTTGCTTAGCAGACTTGCGAGTGTTTCAAATCGTGAAAGGTGAAAGAAAAGGGCTTGATAGCAATAAGCGGGAAGGATCCCGGATGGAAGGGGGTCGGTTTGAGGTTTACAATAGCCTCTCGGCGTTATATGAGAAGTGTTGGTGGCTCTAACAGTGTTGGTCTTGGGAGATAAGAGATTGGGTTGCGTCATCCACATACCAGTTGTTCATTATAATAGTATGCGTTGCGACACTACGATCGAGTGGTTTTCCGGTGTGTAACCAACCACGATAAGCCGCTGGCCAAGGAGGCTTTCAAGCGTCCTGTGACTCTCGTCAATTGGAATGCCAGAACTAGTGCAAAAGATGATGACGGGCAAGGTGTCATGAGACATTATATCTGCTGCAGATAATGCGCAGGCGCTAATCTGACCAAATCTGATGCACATGGTGAGGTTTCCAAAGCAGTCCAACAGTATTGCGTCTCGTGAAACAGCGCATCAACCATGGCTGTAACCGCCTCAAGGTTGCCTTGCGGACGAGCTTTTGTGACCCCCCGGCACGGGGTTTTGCGTAATATTCGAGGTCATCGCCATTCGTAACCATCATGACTCGCCCACCTTGACGATCCTCCTCCCTTCTCCATAAGCATCGACGAGTTTCTTCCAATCTACTCGACACCAGTCTACGCCGTGCTTTCGCATCCTCGCCTCACAGGATCCTTCAACCCCCACCACCTCGTGGAACGGACACCAGATAGACCAATGAACTTTCCATACCCAAAGTTGAACATGTTCTAAATCCGGATCCGCGAGTAGTCTCAATAGTGACTGAAACGGCAACGTATGAACCAAATCCCCCGCCTCCGCCGGGTTCGCCGTCCACCCTACCTGCGGTCCAATGACCCGCGCCTTGCCGTAATCCTGCGGCAAGAACCGAATCTCCAGATTCCTCAAGCTGCCGCGCAGAACCATATCGCTAAGCGCTGGCTCAACCATGCGCTCGAAGTCGCCGCCGATGCGCTTCATTAACAATGTGAGATTCCGGATCCGGCGGCGGGCATCCTGACCTTGAGGACTGAAGAGTTGCCCCTCCTCGGTCAGCTGATCACATAACCGGCGCGTGCCGAGGTTGAGCTTGAACTGAGTCTGCGTGTAGAAGATGGCGGATGCTTCCTGGTACATCTGAGCGCAGACTAGAAACACGTCCGTAAGTAGCGTATCGGTCGCGGGGATGGAATGGGTTTTGCCAGTAGCCACGACGTTGGTGGCACTTGAGGGGTTGAGGATCACCAGCTCTAGGACCGCTGTTCGTATCTCGGCGGGGAGGTCAAAGAAGCGGAATGCATGTGATTCTGGCGCCATCTTGACCGCAGGGTGACGATTTCCAGGCGCAGCTACTGTGTCTCATCTCGGGTGGTGACGATTATGAACTCCATTCTTGACTCTCACCCACCATGATTCCAGAAAGTCGACTCGGTGCAGAAGACCTGAACACCTTAGACATGCCGCCATATGTATTTCTTCACATGTATTCGGTGGTTGATATTCCGTTGCCGACACTAAGTCCAAAGTCAATCCGTTTGATACTCCCGATCATTGCATATAGCGGAGTCTGGCTCCACACCGCGGTTGCAGCTATCCAGCTATCCAGTTCATTGAAGTAGCATGTCAATTTGTCCACGGCCCCACGAGTTCATCATGTGTATGTGATTCATGGAAAGGTGTATTTCAGCCCATCGAGTGCTCTAGAGAAATGCCATCAACTCATGCGGCAGATATCTTGCATTTTCGCTGGGTAATTAGAATTTTAAATGTCTCGGAAACTTTTGGGAAGTCGCGTCTGGTGCACGGTCCACTTAGACGCTCAGTAAAGGGTACCCGAGAGCTTTGAGCTTTGGGGAGCAGCGTTCACTTTATCCCACGAAGCTGTCAACATTTCTAAGTTGCATGCTACGGCATCCTCACGACGTATTTAGTTTGATATGGTCCGAAGGTGGTCAATATGCAATGCTATACGGAGTTGACGCCTCCGACGGCCGTCACACACTCCCTTGCTCTGCCATTCACGTCGGCGCAAAGTAACAACCTCGTCGTTGCTCGCGCTTCCCTACTCCAGATCTTCACCAAATCAGTATCGGCCGAGTTCGACAATGCGCGCAACCCTCAGAACGTTCAATCCCAATCCTCCAAGTTGACAGGACACTATGACAGTCGAATAAATGACGACGATGGCCTCGAGGCTTCCTTTCTGGGAGGGGACGCCATGATCATTCGATCAGATCGATCAAGCTATACAAAATTGGTTCTCGTAGCCGAGTACCCTCTCTCTGGCACCGTGACAGGTCTTGCGAGGGTCAAGCTGCCAACTTGCAAGTCCGGTGGCGAAGCGTTGCTGCTTGCCTTCAAAGATGCCAAGCTCAGCCTGGTCGAGTGGGATCCTCAGAAACATACAATATACACAACCGTGGTTCACTATTATGAACAAGACGAGCTACAAAGGGTCCCATGGGCGGCTCCGTTGAGTAGCTACGTCAACTTCTTGGCGGCCGACCCTGGCAGTCGATGTGCTGCTCTTAGGTTTGGCGCACGGAATCTTGCTATCTTGCAGTTCAGTCACAACGATGAAGACATTGAAATGGATGACTGGGATGAGGAGCTGGATGGGCCCCGGCCAGTGAAAGAGATGTCGACCACGCTTGTAAATGGAACTAGCAGCAGTGAAGACACACCGTATTCATCCTCATTTGTCCTGCGACTCTCCAATCTTGATCCTAGCCTCATCCATCCTGTGCATCTTGCCTTCCTCCACGAGTACAGAGAGCCGACATTTGGCATATTGTCCTCAACCATGGCCCCATCTGCGAGTCTTGGCCGGAAGGACCACCTGTCGTACATGGTCTTCACACTGGACCTGAAGCAGAAGGCATCCACGACCATTCTGTCAGTCGGTGGTCTGCCACAAGATCTTTGGCGCGTCATTGCACTGCCCGCGCCAGTTGGAGGTGCGCTGTTAGTCGGCACCAACGAACTTATCCACGTCGATCAATCCGGTAAATCCCACGGCGTTGGTGTCAACACCTTTGCGAGACATACCACATCTTTCGGGCTCGTTGACCAGTCCGACCTCGATTTACGACTCGAAGGCTGCGACATTGAAGTACTCTCTGCGGAAAACGGGGAGCTGCTGATGGTGTTGAATGACGGGCGACTCGCGTTGATATCCTTCCGGATCGATGGGCGAACGGTTGCAGGCTTGAGCATTAGGCTAGTTTTGCCGGAAGCTGGCGGTTCCATTGTTGACACATGTGTATCGACACTCAGCCGGCTTGGAAAGGGGTGTCTCTTTGCAGGCAGCGAGGATGGCGATTCGCTTGTGATCGGGTGGACACGAAAACACAGCCACGTTTCCAAGAAGAAGCGAAGCACCCAAGATGACTCTTTGGACCTCGATACGGACGATGAAGACTTTGACGACATGGACGATGATGACTTATACGCTGACGATTCGGCTTTAGTCCCTCAAGCCTTAGCAGCAACTCATAATGCCGGCGTGAAAACTGGCGACTTAGTCTTCCGTGTCCATGACAAACTAGTTACTCTGGCTCCGATCAAAGATATAGCCATCGGACAAAATGTGATCCCTTCAGACGAAGACCCAACCAGCTCCAAAATGGTCGCCAGTGATCTGAGTCTGGTTTGTGCCGTTGGGAGAGGCAATGCGGGCTCGGTTGCCATTATTAATCGCGAAATACAACCCAGGGTCATTGGTCATTTCGAGTTTCCGGAAGCGAGGGGTTTCTGGACGATAGCCGCGCAAAAACCCGTACCTAAGGCTCTGCAGGGGGATAAAGGCGCTTCGATTGACGCAGAGTACGCTACTTCCGTGCAGCGCGACACTTTCATGATTGTTTCCAAAATCGACTTAGACGGGTACGAGACATCCGATGTGTACGCTTTGACAGGCGCTGGCTTCGAAGCCCTGACTGGGACTGAATTCGAGCCTGCTGCTGGCTTCACGGTAGAGGCAGGGACCATGGGCAGTTCGCACCGGATAATACAAGTGCTCAAGGCAGAAGTCCGCAGCTACGATGGCAGTAAGTTACTATTTTCAGTTCGCCCTGAGTTGCATTGACACAGTACAGATTTCGGGCTCAGTCAAATTTTGCCCATGTTGGACGAAGAGACAGGGGCAGAGCCCAGAGTAGTCAGTGCCAGCATAGCTGACCCCTTCCTCCTGCTTGTGCGAGATGACTCGAGTATCTGCGTGGCCAAAATGGACAAAAATCTCGAGTTAGAAGAGCTTGACAAGGATCACGTGGGCCTTGTCACTACGAGATGGCTCACGGGTTGCTTGTACGAGGATACGACTAGCATTTTTACGGACGTCCAAACCGACAAAGGCTCCAAGCCAGGAGAGAACATAGTCATGTTCCTTCTAAGTGGGACTGGTGCTTTATACGTAAGTGTTACTGGCAACCCTCACATTTATCGAACATCGCTAATTGCCGTAGGTATACGCGCTCCCCGATCTTACCCAACCGGTTTGCGTTGTCGAGGGCTTATCTTACGTTCCGCCGATACTCTCAGCCGGTTACTCGGCTAGGAGAGGAAGCGCCAAGGAAGCTCTCACGGAGATCCTCGTTGCCGATCTTGGAGATACCACCTCATCATCTCCATTCTTAATCGCAAGTCCCTAATTGCCCGCTGTGGCAGATATGAAAACTGACATCCATCCAGGTACGACATGCGAACGATGATTTGACCATATATGAACCCTTTCGCATCACATCCGAAGCCTCAACCGAACTATCGAAGTCATTGCACTTTCAGAAGATCACAAATGCTCGCCTCGCCAAGAGTCCCGTTGAAGTGGCAGACGACGAAGCCGAGCAGCAGCCTCGAAACGTACCGTTACGACGTTGCGCAGATGTTGGCGGGTTCAAGACTGTGTTCCTTCCCGGCGCCTCTCCGAGTTTCATCATGAAGTCGTCGAAGACGCTTCCCAAGGTCATTGGCTTGCAAGGCGGCGGCGTTCGGACCATGAGCCCTTTCCATACCGAAGGATGTGAACGCGGCTTCATTTACGCCGATTCATATGGCATCGCCAGGGTGTCACAAATACCAACAGATGACACTTCCTACGCCGAAATCGGCATGTCCCTAAAGAAAGTGCCGCTTGGCGCTGATATTAATTCGATCGCTTACCACACACCGTCAACCACGTGGGTGGTTGGATGCGACACGCTGGAATCATTTGAACTTCCAAAAGAAGACGACTATCATAAGGAATGGCAGGCGGAAAAGGACCTTACATTCAAACCCCGGGTGGAACGTGGGCTCATCAAATTGATCAACCCGTCCAATTGGACAGTTGTTGACGAGGTTGAGCTTGAGTCCTGTGAGACTGTTATGTGTGTTGAGACGCTCAACCTGGAAATATCCGAGTCGACAAATGAACGCAAACAACTAATTGTCGTGGGTACTGCTGTCTCTCGAGGCGAAGATTTGCCCATTCGTGGCCACATCTTCGTCTACGATGTCGTCGAGGTCATCCCTAAACCCGGACGCCCGGAGACCAACAAGCGCCTCAAGTTAGTCGCTAAGGAAGACATTCCCCGAGGCGCTGTTACGGCACTCTCTGAAATCGGCTCGCAGGGTCTCATGCTCGTTGCTCAGGGGCAAAAGTGTATGGTGCGAGGTCTCAAGGAGGATGGAAGCTTGCTGCCTGTGGCATTTATGGACATGAGCTGCTACGTCACGTCAGTTCGCGAGCTGAAGGGCACCGGGCTGTGTCTTATGGCCGATGCGGTGAAGGGAGTCTGGTTTGCTGGGTACACAGAAGAACCTTACAAGATGATCCTCCTTGGCAAGAGCTCGACGACGCTGGAGGTCTTGACAGCTGATTTCCTGCCCGATGGGAATGAGTTGTCCATCGTTGCAAGTGATTCTGACGGTAATATCTTGGTGCTGCAGTTCGATCCCGACCGTAAGTTTCGTGTCTGTTCTGCCTACTGCTTGCTACTTACTAACACTACTTGAAATAGATCCCAAGTCCCTTGGCGGGCATCTTCTCCTACACCGTACCACTTTCTCCGCTGGAGCTCATATACCGACCAAGAGTCTCCTCCTTCCACGCACACTGCCACCTGGACATGAACTTCTCGCGAACCAAGCAGCTGTCAACGGGAAGGATGCGAACGAAGACGAGGATCCTCCGCCCCAGCCACAAACTCTCCTGCTTGCCTCCCCCACGGGCCTGCTGGCAACAATGATACCGCTCTCAGAGCAAGAGTACCGGCGTCTCTCGTCCCTCGCATCACAACTCTCCACCTCGCTGACTCACTTTGCTGGATTGAACCCAAAAGCGTACCGGGCGCCTGCATCGACTGGCTCGGTCGGTCGTCAACCCCCGGTAGTAGATGCCGGCATAGGGCGTAACGTCGTTGACGGAGCATTGCTTGCCCGTTGGAACGAACTGGGTGCTGGTAGGAAGGCCGAAATTGCCGGGAGGGTTGGGTTTTCCGGCGTGGATGAAGTCCGGGCTACGCTGGAGAGCATATTGGGAGCTGCTGGATTGGGCTACTTGTAGAGGGGATGGCCGGGATCCTTTTGCATGACAGACAACAATACCGTGAGATGAGAGGCTTTGGCTTTGTGGAGACGTCCAGTGTATCTGTTGTATTTGTAGTATTTCATCTTTTCAGGAGGCTGTGTCGACTTGATTACTACTAGGGCAGACGGGGGTGGTGCTGCGAGGGCTTTGGTCTTGGCAGTCGTCCAGGCGCCGTCATTGCATGCGAAGGAGTTGAGCAGACTGGGCATGATCAACCTGCTTCTGATCCATAACTCATGCATGATATGGGAACAGCACTCGGGCCTACGAAAATAGCTGCAGAGCGCCAACGTACCGATATGGAGCCTGCATTTGCCCAAAGCCCTAGGGTGATTTGTTGAAGGTTGGCAAAGATAGAAACAAACCTGTTCAACTGGGCAGGCTGGGCAGCAACGAGTAGCTGCCTCCTTATTGTGCCTTAAACACCAGGAATCACGCTCTTTTGCAGGATCCCTTCCCCCCGTTCATGCCACAGATGGTATTTCGGATCTATACTCTCACACTGTCCTGTATTTGCGAACCACGTAACACTTTCACCCATACACACTGTGTTGATACGTATCATGACAGATAATATGTGTAATGATGGATTTGAACCAGCATTTACCACGGCCAAGGCTAGCTCAAAGTAGTATAATGGACCTCCCTCGCTGGCTGATCTACCAAATGTAGTGCCACCCATGATTTTTCTGCCACAACTGTATCCTATTATCCCACGGCCAGCGTAAGTCTCGTGACCTAATCACAAGGACTACCCCAGTCTGTTTCAACGATCCGATCTTCCTTCAGTCAACCTCCTCATAACTGTCTATTCTCTCATGCCTGCAGCTCGGACACACTTCAGCTCCATTATGGGGTGTTAATTAAACCTTGAGATCTCCCCACAACCATATCACTTATACTTCTCGGCAGTCGCTACGACGATCCGAGGATCGTGGGTACCGCACCTGACATGGCCACGTTCCAGTCATATGCCTTCTCCGGTGCTGGCCTTTTATAGGAAAGTCGTCTTCCTCTTGCACTGGCAGCAGCGAACCTTATGTCCGACACCCGTTACAGGATCTACTTCTCGATCATGGGCAGCTCTTAGAGGCGTTTGTTTCAAATTGGATTCCTAATCTTGAACACCAAATTGCACAGAGCCTTTACGATATTGATGATGCTGGCCAGTCGCATAGTCAACTCATTGAAAGTACCAATTCTTCGTCACTGGAACCATTTCGGATTCGTCACTCTCATCATAACTTGGGACCTCCGGCTGTACCATTCGTTCGAAAGGAAGCCTAAGATTAGATACACAGCGGCGGCTGATCTCCAGTGAGCAACACTTTACATTTGCAATGAACTGAGCGAACTTGCATTCAGTCCGGTTTGAACTCAACTGTCCCAAGAGCTTGGAGCGCATGGTAGGCGCCTCACGAAGTCAATAATCCAACGAACCATGTCCCCGTTTAAGGACACCAAGATTTCGGCCACTTGAAACTATGCCCTGACTTGTCAGCTCGCCCGTCAGAAACCATTCGATAGACGATCATACAAAACTTCTTCAGAGCATTTTACAGCTGAAGTCAATAGTGGCCAAGTATATGCATAGCCTATGAGATATCCCAATGCCGATATCAGACGGCGGGGTTGAATGTGATGGACACCTGGGCTCGCACTCAGTAATGAGAAGATGCTTGTCTATTTTGTAGATTTGTATGCGTAGCAGGGCGCAGTTACACCTTGTTGCATGCATCCACGGATGTCACCACCGACACATACTCGAGAAGCACCCATTCTACATGGTCTGCGTCCACGTGCATACTGCAACAATGGCAGTGTGCCACTTGAACAGTTCTATTTTCCAGCCCACCTCGAAACATTCCGTGCTTGACTTAAGTACTTCGTCAACGCCTACCGAATCCATTAAAAATTCAAGTGACTCTTCCCAAGTCGTTCGAAACATGTCGGGATTGAAATCGTGGGCATAGTTCTGGGCTCACTGCCCTTGCTTATATCCGCCGCCTTTGACAACTACAAATCGGGCATAAATAGTCTCAGAGCCTTCTTTAAGTGGAGGCATGACGTCCAGACGGCGATGCAAGAGTTTTTTATCCAACGCTCGATATACGAGCTGACCTTGCGAGTTCTCCACGATATGGCCAAACCGTTCTAGCTGAACGAGATGTCTAAACCAGGCAGCCTACTGTGGAGGGGCGACCATCTGGCCGATGCACTAGAGAACGGCCTCGGAGTATGGCGTACGAATTTTATGTCTGAAATAGCAGGACTCATGAAGATGTAGTTAAAAAATTTCATTGTTGACTGTCAGAAGGTGACAACCCCCACCGCAAACTGATTCGGTAAATATGGTATTCATTATGTCACTAAGAACACCGCCGATGAACTTGAGGCTATCATTTCCGCAAATCCTAACTTTCGGAATCATCAACACACTCCTAGGCTCAGTTTGTAAAGGCGATTCGATTTACAACAAAGAGGAAGCAAAGAAACGCCGGCTGGATGGCTTGAGGCGCCGTGACAAAAGGTTCTCCCAGGGTGTAATTTTTCCCAAGACAGACCGCATTTCCAAGCGAAGCTTACCGGTACGGCAGATCCAGGAATTCGCGACAAATTTGTACCAAGTTTTTATCTACGTCGTGGGCGCGTTAGGCCGACAGTTGCCATTCTGCTCATCTGATATTAGAGCACCGGATGAAACACCGACGAAGGGCAAGTTCTCAAGTAAAAACGAATGCCTATGATTCACCGTTTCTTTCTCAAGGCCCTCCAAACCAGCTACTGGGAGTGTATCTGAGGTCTAGCCGTTGGGAAACATTCCTCAAGAGCCTGCGTGAGTTCCGCAATCCCCTCATCTCTACCTACTATAGAAGCTCGACGGCTAGCTAAGAATTGTAAAGCCAAGGCAGCCGAGTAAACTTCTCAGGTCTTCGACTTGGAAGCCATCCAAGATTTGTGCTCAAACTTTGAGGGCAGCAGCGCCAGTGACCCATGCCTTTTTTTCCCTCGTTCTACCCTGTGGTTACGTGGCCCATACCCGGCACCTCAGCGCACTATTGCCTCGCTGGGCGGTGCATATTCTTACATGAAATTTTCTTCTCCAAGCCAGGCGAGCTTCAACCTTGAAGACCGCTACATGCTTGCTATCACACTGTCGTTATCATTCCTGAATTTCACAACATCCCATGGCTAAGGGGTTACTGGATGACGACAATATCCTTTTCATTCACGTCAGAAATAGGGTTGATGTCAGATACCCCCTGGTTACCAAACAGTTTCTGCTTTCGGAATACTCTCAGGGAGACTCGACTACACTTTCCACAATAACTGACGACAGACGCAACCTGCGCTCACTGGCAACACTACCTCTCGAAATTCGGTTCAAACCCCCCCACATAGATCATGTGGCGTACCGAGGACCTAGGACCAAACTCTTTAGCCGACGAAGTCACCGTCCCGAAAACTCTCGAGCACTGGGTGCTGCAGGAACAAGGCAGCCTGTCCATCGCATACAAAGACGCAGTGAACGTTTCCATGATATGCTTTGCCAGCCTGGTCATCAACCTCCAGAACTCTGTCTTGAAACAGAGCCTTATCGACCGGGTGGTTGTCCCGCTGCTGGACGAATTGAGTATTTGGCAAAAGAGGCTCGCACAATTCGAGGAGAGAAACAAACTCCCTGGCAGGCAGGTAGGTTTTGCTTCTACGCACTCAGTTCCCAGCCATGCAGCGAACCGCGCTATCCATGTCTGAGTACGATACGCGCAGCATATGGTGCTGCAGTTGTATGAGACGAGACCAAGCATACCCCTAAGGACTTGAACCTCTATGAATCAGGAAGAGCGACCAAGATAATCGGACATGGATTTTTTACCTCGACGTATGGTCGATGGGCTGCTATGAAGGAGCATGGAGCAGGGCTGTTCGGAAATCCAGAAGCACATCCTATAGCAGACCCAGGATGAGCACAACATCAAGTTTATACTTTAAGACTGGAACTCTCGGATCAGCAAACTTCCGAATAAGTTGCAACACTTCCTCGGGCCATTTAAATGCACTAAGATTGATTTCCGCCATACCAGGGCCACCACCGAAGTTACCGTACTGTTCATGAATATCAACGACATGAACGAACCGTTGTGAAGCTAGAGATATACTGTTGTACAGGTAAGAGGTTGGCTTGAAACGAACAGAAGCCCAAATGTCCGGTTACAAAAAATTTGAATTGTGGTATCCTAATCAACGCGAGCGCTGTACATCATTTCGGGAGCCTGCGACCCGAGTATGCGAAGTATTAATTGCTTGCATGCCTTTGCTGTGTTGCACGCCGCCCATCCATCCTCGCTCCCTCTACACTGAATAGCCTCATCTAGCCCACAAGCATACATGCAGCAACTGCGTCCAACCCCATCTCTCTCCTCCCGCCCTCCGGCTCGCTTCCCCCGAATCCTGTCTTCGATTGGGGACTTGGGTTGGTGTTGTGATGGGTGTGGCCCACAGCAGACCGTAATTCAAGTCTCGTGTATCTTTCAGCAGCCAGAAAGAAAAATCGGTTGTGTTTGTTTTGCTTGATTCAGCTTGGCAAGGTGGTTTTGGGTTTGACATTCTCTTCTCTCTTTTCCCCCCATGTGCAATCCACAGAAGTCTTGCTAGCAGACCTGACTGGCTCGGAGGGAAAACATGTTGTCCTTGTACCTGTGTACCACGCGGATGTGAAGTTCGCTCAAGTGAGCAGAAGTAAAGAGAATAATAAAGTTGGTTGGACAAAAGAAAAAAAAGAATGAAGAAAATAACAAGATTTTGTACTGCCTCCAGGGGATTTTCCTGACGTATCTACTGGTCAGAAACAGGGACTCCCTATTTTAATGTGACAGATGTGATTGTGCCCTTCCACACGCGCTTTCCCGCCATCTTGCCAGCCAAAGAGAAAGAAACCGTTTGCCAGGCCGCCTTCCGGGCTTTCCTAGTCCTGGGGCGACAAACCGCATCCAGATGATAAAAAGAACATCCTTCCTTCCCTCTTTTTTTTTTGAAGTGAAGCGAGACTTGGATATCATTCCCACGCTTTCCCCTCTTCCCGGCTCACCCACCCACTGTGTGGCTTCCAAGGTCGCTGGAGAGAAGATCTGAGTGAGTCGCCATCCTGCTTATTATATAGGATTAAACAGTACATCTACGCCCGGAAGTAGAAAATTTGCATCACCGAACGCCGTCCGCTATGATAGCAAATGTCTGCGTCTGAAGTGGCCGTTGTCGCTGCAAAAAGGAATGGACAAATGCTCAAAGGGTGACATCGAGCACGAGACTGACGTCCTGTACATTCGAGCCCGCAAGGTCCTCGAGAACGGGAATAAGGTCTAATAACTCGTTGTCGTGGGCATCGGAAAACCAACTGCTGATAGGGACGGCGTGTTGTGGGTGGAAGATGTATGACGTGGGCGAGTTGTCGATGATGATTGTGTCCTTCAGATCACGTCCAACTTGGGACAAGTCCTTGACGTAGTTGCCTTGGTGATTGTAGCAACTCTCGCGGAATAGCCGGTGGTGGACAACTTTGTGGATGTCGAGCTGGTCTAGCAGCGGGTCGCCGTACTGAACAAACAAAATCAATTAGTGTCTGTGCAGAGCTATGAGGATGGGAGAATGCTACCTTAGAAACCGAGGCAGTGAATACAACCACCTCGTAGAGCTCGCCTACTCGCTTCATAAACTGATCCACGCCGGGTCGTTTTATGACGTAAACGTTGTGGTAGTTGCCTTCTATCTCTACCGGTATTGTGAAATCGGCTTGATGCAATATCTAGGACAGTGAGCTTCGCGCGCGTTAGGCAATTGCAGGAGGTAAGACAGTACCTTAAATGACGAATGAACTAAAGTCTCATCCAGATCTAGCACCAGGCATTTCTTCCCTTTCATGTGAGGTTCGATCGGAGGCAGAAGCCATTTCTGGTCGGGGGCGGGAGGCGGAACCACAGCCACCGCTGCCGGCTTGTCTTCCGGAGGCGTCACAGAGGCAGTAGTTGCTGCTGGTATCGGCCCAGGCGGAGGCGGAGGCGGCGGGACCGGCTTTTGGTATTGCTCCTCCGCAGTAGCAACAGGTTGCTTGGCGCGCTGCGTCGGCGTAGGCTCTGCATCCGCCATCTCCACATCCCCGTCGTCGTCCTTTGCAGGCGTTGCATCAACTATCGTCTCCTCGGCCGCATGGTTTTCAGTTACCGGGGCGTTCACTGTAATGCTTGGTCCTGGGGCGCCCACTAAAGTGGTCTGCTTTGATTCGCTGTCTCGGTCCACGATGATTGATTGATCCTGTGCAGTAGAGCCGGATGCACGCTTGGTCGACTTGGAGGCATCCTGAGTAGGGGCAGGCTGGGTTTGAGACTCCTTGTCCTTCTCCTTCTCCTTCTCCTTCTCGTAGAGTTGAGTTTTGCTTCCGCTGGTCTCACCGGACGGCGTAATTGTCCTCCGACTGGATGTCAATGCCCGTTGGGGGATCTTATCGAGCTTGTGTGACGGCAGTGGGTCTTCCCCAACCGCGTTGGCATTGTCAGGTACGCCGCAGCATCCCAGAAGTGAGAGGAGACCGCCTTTCTTGCGCGGCTTTGGTGCTCCAGCGGGGGAGTTTGGGTGCGACGAGTTGGGTGTGTTTGATGGACCGGTACCAACGCCAGAGTGGTTGCTCGAGGCACTACCGTTTCGTCGACGACCTAACATACTCCCCTTGGATTCCTTGGAATGGCCTCCGATGCTGTCTCTGGGGTCACTTGCAGTCGCACCACTAAGCCCTGTAGTTGTCGGGGATGACTGTATCTTCTGAGATGACGATCTTGAAGGCACGTGGAGCAGACCTCGACCTTTTTTCGAACTGGAACTGTCCTCGGGTGACAGCGTTTCCTTTTCTTTGGAGCTGTCGTACTCGATCTGGGAGTTTTCCTCGGCACCTTTAGACATTTCTTGAATTGGCGCGGGAGGCTATGACTTCTCGGATGAGATAGTCGACGCTATCGAACTATAATCGAGGTGTAAGCACCCGCATCAGGAACGTCATGAGTGTGAAGATGGAAAGAAAGCGCAGGGTATAGAGCTCCCGGTGATATAGGAGAAGACTCTGCTGGGACAATGCGGTTGACTTTTGCACGTAAAGGAGAGTCAAGCGGTTTGGTAGCACAGATCAGGAGCCGCCCAACGTTTCCATTCACCGCAACGTCATCAGCAGTTTGTTGGCGCCGCAACGTTGGGAATCCCGACAGAAACCCAGACGAAACGTCGCTCTTGTCACTCACCTGCGTGAAGGATCCTGGTCAGCCTGGAATGGCTACCTGACCCCCTAACACTGCAATTGACGGCCTTGAATGGCCGTTTCGGTCTCGTCGCCGTGGTCACGATTGCGAGATGCACCTGATCCAGTTTCGTGAGCGCGTTCTGCGTGAATGGGCGACTGCGGTTGGAAATGCGCGCGGTGCTTGAGGCTGACGGTGGTCGCGCGTCGTAAACGGGCAAGGAGGCAATCGTGTCTGGGAAGTGGAGATCGGCAAGGTCCTCGGGCAATTGCTGCAAGTGCAGTCGGTCGAGGAGGCGAAGAAGGGAATTCGGGTGATAAGAGGCAGCTCGAATCGGGCGCCAAGCAGAATCGCGGACAAGAAACAAAAAAAAGTTGAATCGATGAAAAAAAGAGAGGCTGCTGCACAAGCCTACAATGCAGAATTGGAGGAAGGAGGTTGAAGGAAGTCGAGCAGACAGGATCGGATGAATTGCACGGCTACCTTGTATTCTGACCCAGAGGCTGAATTGAGCGAGTCTGGAAGCGCAAGCGAAATGATTTCCTTCAGAGTCTTGAGCAATCTGGGAGCACGGGGCAGCCCTGGAGCACTGGCAGGGACACCCGTGGACGACTGCTGGGCCCTGTCAACTGCAGTCGCCCACTCACAGCAGGAGCAGGCCTGAGCAGGCATTCGGCCGCCTGGGTGGTCGCTCATCAAAGCCGCCCAGCAATAAGCTAGCGGCCCTTTGGTCAAGTTGGTGTGGATGCGCCCACTCTTTTGGGGGAATTGCCCGAAGTGATTTAGCCATTGGAGGCTGCATAGTAAGATGTGACTTGGCAACGATATCTCCCGTTACTGCTTGAGGCTAGATCTGGCTGTGATTGCTAGCAGAGAACACCTCATCCATGTTTCTCCTTTAATTGTCCTATGCCCCGCTGGCCATGTGTTCCTGGTCATCTCCCCCCCGCGCCCCTGTCCGCGATGCTGCTTGGTATGAAATATTTATTTGGTTGAGCTCGGGTGGATGCATCAATATTGGAATTGATTTGAGATCGTTGTGAACCAAATCTGTCGGAGGAGGTGAGCTTCGGCAAGCTCTATAATAGTATATTGGAGCCGTCTTTCTACTAAACATACACGACACTTGCCTACCTAGTTACTTTCAGCTCTGGCCCCAAGTCTTACCAACTTCACATTGAAACTAGACGGGTCGGTTCGCTTTAGCTAAGTCGACGTCCACACGGTTCAACTGGAAGTGTTGAGTTGTCGATAGAAGAGCCTCAAGGAGCATCTCGGACCCTTACATATAGCTAGCAACAGAAATCCCATCTAGTTTTAGGGAAAACCTGATCCTTCTGCATGCCAGGTGGTACTTTCGATTGCTTGCCGATGGCCATACGAGGCCCCACGAGTTGGTAGCTCGACTGCAGCTCCAAATGCAAACCAAGAGAGCGGAATGCAGCATTGGTCTCCCTAGCCTCCCCGGTTTTTCGTTCCCTACTTTGGCATGCGGCCTCGGCAAACTCGCAGCGCTAGCGACACTCTTGGCTCCTCCTTGTAGTTCTGGTAGAGTGTTAAAAGCAGGTTGTCCACAGCGAGTCAAACGCACTCGTCGCGCATCATTGGACCGTTGTTGGCCTTCTTGCCGCCCATCACCCACTGTGATGGCGTGCAAGGAATCATGCAACCCGCAGTGATCCACCACTTACACGTCTGCTTGGCGCAGCCATGGGCCGCTTCTTCAGCTTCTCGAAACTAGAAACGTAACTGTCGTGCAACGAAAGACGGGTCGCTTTCATGCCGACACATATTCGTTGTTGGATTCTACTGTCACGGCGCTTCCGTGGGTTATGTATGGGTCGCGATTTGATGGCCTCAGGGAGACCCGAGTAACGGCAGAGACTCTGATTCGGCGTTCTTCGAGACTGAATCCTCGGTAGATATCGTATGTCCGACGAGCAATGCAAAGGGATAAAAAACTGTGTCGTCGCACCCTGTGGTTACGATATAAGTTGAGTGTGGAATGGCACGCGAAATAGTAGCGATTCAATCCTGGGGTTCTGCTGCGTACGGGCCCAAGGATGTTCTGGGCAAAGTTCGTAGTTTTTCTAGTTATTCTGGTTGTGAATCTCCAGTAGATGCTATCGCAATGCTACCACAAAGAAAGGCCAGAATACACAGATAAGGGAGCAGACTAATTTCGGACGTGATAACTTGTTACGTCCCTGTGTAGTTAAGTAATAAATGGACAAGAATAAGTACAGGCATGATTTGCTCCATCACAAGAGTGCCCCTCGCAACTTCGCAGGCCTGGTCTGATTTGGGGCGGCCCAGCCACAAAGGGCCAAAGTTTTAGGTCGATGCTCCAAGCTTGTGGCAGTGAAACCTGGGGTAAACCCGCAGGGTTGGAGCCTCGGGACTGACAGGAATTGGGGAACGGCCATCACATGCCTGCGACACTGCAAGCCGTCCTCGTGACAATGGATCAAAGTCCGGTGAGCACCAGCCCCGGCTCGCACTTCACCACAAACTACACCGACGGACTCTCGTAACACTGACCGCCCTCGCGCAGCCTCTCTTTACGGTCACTGGTTGCACATGATAGACTCTTTCTCCAGCTCAGTCTGTCGGCAAGCACTCGTCCTTGACCGTGCAATGCTACGCCCTGGATCGTAGCTGACTCGCAGTTCTGTTGTTGTTGTTGTTGTTAGTAACGACGACACGACGACACGACGACACGACGACACGATGGCGGCCCAGTCGACGTTGCGCCATTCAGCGTCGGAAGAAATCATCATAGCCTTCGTCGACAAGTACCAGAAGTTATTCCAGGACCGCCTGCGCAAAAGCTCCCGACGCACCAAGATCCTCGCCACCATCGCCCTTGCGACAACCCTCATATTTGCTGCAGAAGGCAGCAAGAGATGGTGGAAACGGAGGCGTGCCGAGAAAGAGCAGGGAAGGAAACTGGTACGGACAAATTCGTGGCTGCTCAATAAAGATGGCTCCCGGACGATATACGTCCCCTACAAGGATAGCACCTCCAAGGTGGTCATCCGTAGGACGAAAGCCCTGACCTTCGAAGCCCATCGTCGACTCTTCCTGAATCCACCCAAGGTGTCGGGTCTTGGGGACGGCACGGTTCCTTCTGCGCAGACGAAGCCGGGTCTCAATCTTGCCTTCTTGCACCAGTTTTTGAGCTTGATGAGCATCATGATACCCCGCTGGACCAGTAAAGAAGCGGGGTTACTTGTCAGCCATGGTGTCTTCCTAATGCTCCGGACATATCTCTCATTAGTGGTTGCGCGTCTGGATGGTGAAATCGTCCGCGATTTGGTCGCGGGTAATGGCAAACTGTTTCTCTGGGGTATTGTCAAGGTAAGCATTGTACCTGTCCCCTTCACCCTCTACTTACTTGTACTGATGTGGGTACCTCATATAGTGGTGCGGGCTCGGAGGGTTTGCTTCTTACACCAACTCCATGATCAAATTCCTGGAGTCCAAGGTCTCCATTGCATTCCGAACTCGCCTCACTCGGTATATCCATGATTTGTACCTCAACGACAACCTCAATTACTACAAGCTTTCCAACTTGGACGGAGGCGTTGGTCAAGGCGCGGACCAGTTCATCACCCAAGATCTGACACTATTCTGCGCCTCGGCCGCAAATCTGTACTCCTCGCTCGGAAAACCATTTGTTGACATCTGCGTGTTCAACTACCAACTGTATCAGTCGCTTGGTCCCCTGGCGCTGACTGGTCTTCTGAGTAATTACTTCTTGACGGCGAGCATTTTGCGGAAACTTTCACCTCCGTTTGGTAAGCTCAAGGCCGTGGAGGGGCGGAAGGAGGGCGACTTCCGGGCGTTGCATGCGCGCCTAATTGCAAACGCCGAAGAGGTAGCCTTTTACGGCGGCGCTGAAATGGAAAAGTCTTTCTTGAACAGGGAATTCAAGTCTCTCAAGACTTGGATGGAGGGCATCTACATGCTCAAGATTCGCTACAACATCCTAGAAGACTTCATCCTGAAGTACAGCTGGAGTGCCTACGGCTACCTACTTTCATCTCTCCCGGTCTTTCTTCCCGCCTGGGGAGGTCTAGGAGGCGCCGGCGAGATGGCCGAGACCGCTGAGAAGGGACACCGAGAACGCAACCGCATGAAGGACTTCATCACTAACAAACGTCTTATGCTGTCCTTGGCCGACGCTGGCGGTAGAATGATGTACTCGATCAAGGACCTGTCAGAACTGGCAGGGTACACCAGCCGTGTCTACACTTTGATTTCCACCCTTCACCGGACGCATGCCAATGCCTACTTCCCGCGGCCCACTGGGAACGAGCTTTACTCTCTGTCTGATATCCAAGGAACCATCCAAAAAGGGTTCGATGGTGTCCGGCTGGAGAATGTACCCGTGGTTGCTCCGAGCCTCTGGCCGCAGGGCGGAGAAGAGCTGATCGAGTCACTGGGCTTGATTGTGCGCAGGGGTGAGCATTTGCTCATTTCTGGCCCAAATGGCGTGGGCAAGACTGCCATTTCAAGAATCCTGGCAGGCCTATGGCCTGTATACCGTGGGCTCGTGAGTCGGCCCAAGTCCATTGGCGAGGATGGCATCATGTTCTTGCCCCAGCGTCCATATCTCAGCATTGGTACGCTACGTGACCAAGTCATATATCCAGATGGTGAGCTGGACATGCGACTCAAACGCAAGTCCGAGGACGACCTGAAGAGCGTTCTTGATGCCGCCCGTCTGGGATACCTGCCTGACCGAGAAGGTGGCTGGGACACTCGGAAGGAGTGGAAAGACGTTCTCAGCGGCGGCGAGAAGCAGCGTGTTGGGTTTGCGCGTCTTCTGTACCATGAACCCCAGTACGCCATCATTGACGAAGGCACAAGTGCCGTGTCCAGCGACGTCGAAGGTCTACTATACGAGACGTGCAAGGAGAGAGGAATTAGTAAGTCCCATTCGCCTCCGAAAATATATATCCCATTCCTGAAATTAACACGACATAGCCCTGATCACCATCTCAACCCGCGCCTCCCTGAAGAAATACCACACCTTCAACCTTGTCCTGGGCATGGGCGGCAACGGTGACGAATGGGAATTCGAGCGCATCGGCACAGAACGCGAGAAGATGCAGGTGGAGCGCGAGCTCCAGGAGCTGCGCGAGCGACTTGCCCAGGTTGAGCAGTGGAAATCGCGCCGTGAGGAGATTGAGAAGGAGCTCGCTCAGGTCTGGACTGAGAGCGGGGAGGATCCCTTGAGCCCGCCGCCGTATACTGTTGAGGAAACCCAACCGGAATCTGCTCTGTCTGAAGAACTTGTGAAGGTGGACGATGAGGTGAAGAGTGGGAGTGAGTAAAAGTAGGGATGGGTGAATGGATGAATTCGGGCATGTATGAGTATCAATGCTTGCATGGGAATGAGGTGAATTGGAATGTCTTGTATTAGATCTGTGTTATCTTGATGGTCGCGATCTCGATACTGCTCGTTCTCTATTCTTCTTCACGGGCGCCATTGAGTGTCGTGTATTCCGTAGAGCCATCTCCATGTAACCTATTTCGGTTGAAGCACACGTTGATTACTATGTCGCAGCTCAGCACTTGCTTCAAATTCATTCTCAGCGCTCAGTATTCGAAGTCGAAGGTTAGGTTAAGCACCAACGATTCCCCTTTGCTCTACGTCGCATGCCTTGGGCCCCTTTTCGTGAGAATAATATGTGATATGTGAGTGTCTTATTTTATACAGTACGTAGCAGAGGATTCAACGCAATCTCGTTTGCTTGAGAGTGTTTTTTTACAGCATTCTACAATCTGCATCTGGAAGATCTCAAATTAAACAGTCTTCCAGACCCCAGTAGGTTGTCTCCGCATCCCTGTATAGGCGTGCCATTACCCCCCTGGCTCCTGTTCGCTTCCCTTCTCCGTCTTACAGCCTCGACACACTTTACAGCGGGAGCACTATAGTCAGGTCGTCCTACGAGCCACCCCCAAAAGATGAATCGTAGACTAGATTGTGGGGAGAGGAAGATAGTGCCGGGTGGCTCTTATTTCATTTATTACCGTGAGTTGTGACATAGCACTCGCCATAGGTCTCACGTCAGGACTACAACACGGAAAGCGTATCTCCATTGCGAGAGGCACATCACTCGAGACAGCAAACACAGCTGACAGATGGTGAAGAAAGCCCTCAGAACCTCTATCAAACAGGGATAATGGCCATCGCCTCCTTTTCCCAGACGGCTCATACGCCTTCAACGCCGTTTCAGCGTTGTGGCGCCAGATTCGATCCCGTACAACCTTCGTTAACATTAGATAGAAGATGGAGACATTAACGAAACGATGTTCTGTGATTTGGTGCATTATGTGAGGGGATCCAGTTCTCTTATGAGCCTCCTTGCTCCTCGATGCTCTAGAGACCAAAAAGGGGAGAACAAACACTCTTGACACTTCGTAGAAGTTGTATCTGACGCTTCTCGGCGGACGCCGACCTAGTAGCCTATTGCGGATATAGCCCATAACTTCGAGATGGCATGGCTGACTTCAATGTTGCACTATGGCTGCAATGCGTCTCAGTTATGCTCGCCAAGAGATTTTGTAAGCTTCTTGTTGGTCGATCCATTTATTTGTCTTAACCATATACCTTGAGGTATAGCAATACTCCAATAAACACCCTAGCTTTTACGGCATGCTGAGAGCGGGTACAGATTTTGCTGCCGTGACCACTTGTGCTGCAACTTGGTGTTGAGCAACAGCAACCTAGTGCAGCTCTAGACCAGTCTAGCCATGTGAGAAGATCGATTCCCAGTCGCTCAAATGTTTGCTTCGGATACCCCCCTACCAGCAATATAGAGAGATGGGTTTGGCAATCAACCTGAGAACAGTTTCCTGGATTTATTTGCTCATAAACTCGTCGGTTTTATTACCCCGATGACCAACGGTCATTCCCGTCTGTCTTGTCCTTTTTCGTGTCCCTCACGACTATTATCCAAGATGGCCCATGACGACAAGTACCAGTTGAACGCGGCCAACGTATTAGAGGAGGAGCCTTCCTCCCAATCTCCACAGAATGGCTCTGTGGATGAAACTCTGGTGTATGCGCAGACGCGGACGCGCAGGCTGTTCAACGAGAAACAGCTGTTTGCATTTTCCCTCGTTTACATGGGATCATGGAACGCCGTTGGAGGGTAAGTCATGTGCAGGAGCAAACTCAGACTCCTATGGATACCGGCCGGCTAAGCCCACACGCAGGAACATGTATTATGGCATGTACAATGGTGGTCCTTTAGCATGGCTCATCAGCTACATCATTATCTTTGCCGGGGTTACTTGCCAATCCGCTTCATTTGGCGAATTGGCATCGATCCAGCCCGTTGCTGGTGCCCAATATTATTGGACCCATCACTTCGCTCCCGCTTCCTCAAAGCGGTTATTGACCTGGCTTCAAGGATGGGTGACGTGGACGGCCTATGTCTCCATGATGGCGAGCGGAAACAACTACAACATCGCTATTATTGAGGGCCTGATCTCGCTAAACAACCCAGACTATGTCGTTGTGGGTTGGCGAACGACCCTCATTTCCTTGTCTTTACTGATCTTCTCCACGCTTTTGAACATATATGCCTTCCGCATCGTCCCGTGGTTTGAGCTCCTGGCGTGTGTTTTCAACATATGTCTGTTCCTGATCGTCGTCGTCGTCTTCTACGCCATGGCCCCACGCAATAGCGCAGAGATGTTTACTATGACCAATGTATCGTCTGGGTGGGACAACTACTTTGTTGCGTCGCACATTGGGTCGCTTTCAAACATCTGGCTGTTTATCGGTAAATGCTTTCTTTCAGGGGTTGTTTTCTCACCAGAACACCCGCTAACTGGAAGTCAGGCTTCGAAAATGTGATTCACATGGGCGAAGAGACGAAAAAGGCGAAAAAGATTGTGCCAAGAGCCCTCTTCTGGTCCATTTTTACCAATGGCGCGCTAGGATTTGTCATGATCATCACGCTGCTCATCTGCATGCCCCCCGTCGACACTCTCTTGAACTCGGCCAGCCCCATTGTCGCTATCCTTCTTCATGTCACTGGATCGGTCAAGGTGTCCACAGCAATTACAGCCGGTCTGATAGTGTTGAACCAGTCGGCCACCATTGGCGTCGTCTCATCCGTATCCCGCTTGACGTGGGCCTGGGCGCGAGATGGTGGCTTGCCACAGTACTTCAGCTATGTCGATGCCCGACACCACATCCCTCTTCGAGCCGTTGTCCTCACCTCAACCCTCGTCGGCATGCTCACTTTGCTGAATCTCGGGAGTGCAACATACATTGCCCTCGGAGCCATTACGTCCCTGTCGAGCATGGCCATGTATCTCAGTTATGGAATGATCCTGGCTGTTGTCGTTTACGCCCGTCTTACGCGTGGCATCGAGCTTGGACAGTGGCACTGGGGCAAATGGGGCATTTATCTTAACATTGCCGCCTTGGTGTACACTGTGTACGCGCTGATTTGGTTCCCCTTTCCACAGACGGTTCCCGTCAATGCAGAAAACATGAACTACAGTGGCCCCGTGCTCGGCGTGGTTTTCATCGGCGCCATTTCACTTTGGTTTATGAGGGCTAGGATTCATTGGGATGGTCCCAATCGTGGTGTTGCCGACGAGGTTCTCCAACATGGCGACTGAATTTCAGTATTCCTGGGGCCCGCTCTGAGACTTCATTAAACATCATATACGTCCTTGTGTACGGCCATTTCGGTATATAGCATCCATGGGCGACATATTTCCAGAGCGCTGAGTCCAGAGGGTGAAAAGGCGCGTCAGACTCAGATCACATAGAAGCGTGTTCTCAATTAAGATTACAAAATGAACTCCAACACTGACGGTTGTACGCCCTCCCTTCTCCACCTACAATTACTTACCGATTGCGACCCCTCATGAAGCCGCTTCGATATCAGCAATGTGGTCAGTAACAAGACACTCCCACTCGTCAGTCCCATAAAAGATGGTGTTTCCATCATCCGACGTCTGGCCCCCAACGGGCAGCGTGTCGCCAAACTGCCAAAACAAATCACCGCTCACTCCATTCGTAGCGAGTGCGGTTTTCTGCCAGGGCGACTCAAGGGCGCAGTGATCGCTGGGAGCCCCATCTGAGTTTTCCCTCAATTAGCAACCACACCGTATTGATCCAAAGCACGGAAACAAAGCATAAGAACTCACACTCTTCAAACAGGCAAGGCTTCCTTGCATTCACACAAGCCGCCCCGTGTGCCTGTATCCACGGATTCCCCCACTCGTACGTCTGAAGCCAAGAATCCGGATACAAATGAAACGTTCCAAAATCCAGTGTCCCAATCCCCAAATTCTTGACGAAATCCACGCCCTCGCCGTACGAATAGGGGTAACTCCCATCCCCGGACAACCCGAAACCCTCGTCCCCCAGCGTGACCATGTGGTTCGGATCAAGCGACTTCACATACTCGCTCATGGTTTTGGCCCAGTTGTATATGACGCTCGTATCGCACCCATTACATCGCGGCTCGTTGGCCAGTTCCCAGGCGAAGATGGCGGGGCTGTTCTTGTACCGCGACACAACGGCGGCGATGTATTTCTGATACTGCGCCTGCGCGGCTGTATTGGTGAACCAGGTCTGGTGTGTGCCGCCGAAGGCGCTTAAGTAGGCCGATATGCCGCCGTAATCATCCCAGTTGTTTACAAAGTTAATAATCAACTTGATGCCCCTGGATGCCGCGCCGTTGACGACGTAGTCGAGGCGTTGAAGACCCTCGACGCCCGTATTGATGGTAGACCCGGTAGACGACAGGTGTTGGTAGTAGACGGTGCCGGCGCCGGGAACGGAAGTGACGTCGTTGAAGCCCCAGATGCGCAGAATGCGGAGACCCGAGGCGGCGATGTCGTCTAGGGCGGCGTCGACGTCTAAGTTATTGGTTAGGAAGCCGATCCAGTAGTCATTGGTCCCTGCGTAGTATCCTGGTTTGCCGTCGATGACGAAGGAGGTGCCGCTTTTGGTTGGCAAGGCGCCGGTGGCAGTTCCTGTGGCGGAGGTTGTGATCTTCGTGCTACTCTTCGTGCTGCTTGCGGTGGTGGTTGATGTGACTTTGGTGGAAGTTGAAGTTGTGGTTGCTTTTGTTGAAGCGGTAGCAGTCGTGGTCGCCGTGCCTATGTCAAGTCAGCGCTATACCTGAGCAATATGTCTTGAGGCAACTGTTCTTCCTTACCAGGCACACACTGCGAATAGAAGTCATTGTAATACTGGCAGTACGATCCAGACACACATGTAGTTGCCCCTGTCCAGCCTGTTCCACCACATTGGCCATACAATCCTGCCTGAGCAGAGACTGCCCTAGCTAGAGCAAGGAACCCTGCAGAATATTTCATCTTGACTCAAAAGCCTTTCGTATCGGCTGAGAAAGAGTTGATGACGGCCAAATGGGGCTGATAACGAAACATGACCGAATATCTGCGCTTTTAAACCCAGAAACTTCTTGTATGCGAATGATGACCTGGCCGGGACTCCATGCTGAAAAATGTGCCATCGGGTTGGAAACTGTTGGTCCGTTACTCAATGCACATAACGGATGTTGGTCCTCCTGGGATGCAGCCAGGCCAGACCAGGCCGTGATCTCAAATGCCAAGCTCTCAATTCCATCAGTAGGAGTTGAGGCGAAGCTTCGTCGAACAATCGATGGGACGATGCGCACCGGATCCCTGGATCCGCCATTCCTGGGCAGGGACCCGCATGATCCACGATCCTCCGCACCAAACCCAGGATGATGCCGTCAGGGACCCCTAAACTAGTCGGCCAGTCAGACTTCCCCATATCTCTAAAAATGAACAACTTGGGTGCCCAAGCTTCTGACCTTAGACTCTGTTTGGTTACCGTCCTTATGAATTATAACTCATCGTCTCCATGGCCGTTAGCTTAGATTGTTAAATTTTATACCAATACACATCAAGGTAATTACTGTCAACATGTTCTTAAAAAACGGAACTAACGATAAAATGAGAGGAATGAAAAATAGTGGCATGTTCTCATTGAATGAAGCATTTATGGGCCAGTCACTCGCATGTCGCTGCTACCATCCCAATCTGGCATTCTGAAGTCGGAGTGATAGTCTCCGAGTCTGCAACAGTTGCAGCACACAGCTCTTCGAGCCGGTTACTATTGCGTACATATGAGCAGACGAGGTCAATAGTCTGATCTAGACGGGAAAATATGTTTCCAGCAGGTTCATCCTGCCTTATACGTACAACTCCGGATGTCAGAGTTCAGAGAAACCAGCCGCTCGGCTCGTAACCCCACAACCGGCCGTAGTCAAGGTATGATGCACCCCACATTCTATGATTCGCGCCACTGCATTATTTTATGTCAATATGCCAATTCTGATAGTACAACTCTGTCCGCATCAAGTCACGACTTGGACTCGTCTTTCCCGGGTGGCCACCCACATTATGCACAGCCGTCGAACCCCGTAGTCCGATACAGCCTCCCCTTCCCAGCTCTGTTTAAGACGTTAACTTCTCCTCTGTTGAATGAGACTTCTCTCTAAGTCTCGTCTGGTTCAAAGGCGCAATGTTTTCATGGATGTAAATATGCATAACCTTGGGTCCGGGATATTGCTTCCCATCAAAAAGCCACCAGAATCCCGAGATTACGCACACCCCGACCACAATAGCCGAGTTGTAGTTCATGCTTTCCGCTGTGGTGGGAAGGGCATATGCTGCCAAGAGAGACACATTAGCAATTTGGTTTCAGGACGACTCCAGGAGAAATGCGTCGGGTTCATGGGGCGTCACTCACGGAAGCAGTACAAAATATCGAACATGGCGATGAACAGTACAGCCACCATGTTCACAACGACCCCGAACCTGCCGAGATGGAACGGCCCCGCTGGAAAGTACTTCCTCCCTGTGATTAAGTTAGCCGCAAAGGGTATGGCGTACGAGACGGTCGTCAAAACTATGAAGGAGCCAGTCAAGTCGAGGAACGCCGTGGAGCTGCCAAGAGGAATAGCGCCGAGCCCCGTGGCCAGGACTGAGACGAAGAGCGTGGCGTAGACGGGGCAGCTGAGGCTCTCGTTGACTTTGCTGAAGATGGGAGAGAAGGGGACGGCGTGGTCGCGCGCTAGCGCCCAGTAGATACGCGAGTTGGTTAAGACCGTGCCAACACAACAACAGATGGTGCTGAGAAAGATGATAAAGAGTAGCCCGAATGTGGCACCCGTGCTTCCTGTTGCTTGTTGGTAGATGGTAGCTAAGGGGTAAGTGTTAATTCCATCTTGTAGCACCTCCAAGTCGGTAATGGCGTATCCAATGGCAATTGCGAAGATGAAGGCGTAGAGACCACCAAGTCCTATTTGTAGTCCAATGGCCTTCGGGAGGTCCTTTCTTGGATATGGTAGCTCTTCAGCCATGTGGGTGATGGCGTCTGGCGTTCCAATAGTGAAAGCTCCATTCAATACGCCGAGCAGGAAAGCCACTCCGCCTTGCCACCCAGTTAGATTGTTCTCATCAAATGAACTCCAGACGAAGTAGTTGGAAGCATGTTGTTTTGGCATGGCGGCAATGACGATGATGGTGATGATACCTCCGACGATGACGAAGAACATGCCTGCGTGCTGTGTGTATGGCACCAGTCTGTTGGCAAAGATAATGAGAAAGGTGCAGAGCCACAGGACGAGGACGTATGTAACGTATACATGCCACGCCTCGGGGACGTAGGTGTCTTGGTGATATGTTGCGTACATCTGGACAATGATATTGGCCGTGATCTGAATGAGGGCGGCCAGATCGAACATCCACCCATAGAAGTTGATCCATCCTGTGAAGAACCCAACCGTCCGACCCCAATTGGGACCAGCGGCTATGGTTGCCCAGTGGTATACTCCGCCTGCGGTAGGAACCGATGAGGCGAGCTTCTCGCAATTAGCTCAAGTTACCTCCGTAGCGACGAGGAGTAACTGGCTAAGTATCTTGTTGAAAGAGCAAGGGTTAGACGTACCTCAGCTAAGCTCAAGCCAATGAACGAATAGTAAAAGACGGCGACGATAAGCCCGTAGATAAGACCCGCAGGTCCTCCGTTGACTATCGAACCAAAAAAAGCTCAGAATTATTTCAACCCTTGCAAAGTCATGATATCACTGATATCGGATGTGATGGAGCATTCTTACGGATCGACACGGATATCGAGGACCCCAGAGCCGCCCAAGCATTGTCGACAGTGAGGGCAATACCGGCGAGTGCCAGTAGGTTGTATTGCCGCTTAAGCTGGTCTCGATGGCCGGCTGCGTTGACCTCGATGCCTCCTTCGACTGCGGTGATAATCTCCTCGTCGAGCCCTCCCAACTCTGGTTCCTTCTCCACCTTCGTGGGAAGATTATTCTCTTCACTGCTCATTTTGACCGTGTTTCGGACTGTTGTATCCTCTGGGAGCCGGCGACTTCAGCCGTACTCGGTCAGAGGTTCAGCGCTCTGGGAAGTGAGATCAAGGTAATATATTTGGAGACGAGGGCAAGGCACAGCAAGTAGAAGGTGCACCTTTCTTTGTAAAACCCAGGATATAGTCGAGATGGGAGAATAGAAAAGTAAACCAATGTGTAGGGACGTCCCAGGTTTTGTCAAGCAGCAGCCCTATCGTTACAATAGGCATGCATTGACCGTATGTAACAGAATTCAGTGTAACGGGCCAGGTCTGAAGATAACTCGACTTGTTTCCTGCAATTGCAAATGCAACCCTTTGGCTTGTCAGGGCTTCCCCCTGATCGAAGAGATGCAACGAGGATGATGTAGCTGAGGCCACCACAAGTGCCGCGAAATGTAGGTTATCTCTGATCAGCCAACCAGTAGCCTCTCAACATCCCAGTCTTGGCTCCTTGGATTCTGTAGAAGCAATTGACACAGCTTAGAAGGTGGTGCAGCTTGCAGTAGTGGCAAAAACTTTTCCACAGTTTGGAAGTTGACGTCTTATTAGTCGTCGTATTCCCTTCGTAGCTTATCGTGCTGGCGAGAGGGCGAGTGGGGGCTACCTCCAACGGCAGACTGCGGCCTTGAGACAACACATATCTGATATGATCTGCGTCAAAATGATCCATTGTTTGTCACGAATTGCTGTAACGGAATGAGCTGGAGAGACTCCTGATCTTGTTGTCGATGAGGCCGATCCGACAGCAGTCGGGTCGCAGCTTCCGTATTATGCTACTGGACGTCAGTGATGAGTGGGGCGCATAAGACGCAACTTCCGCCTAGGGTCAAGATAAGCTTCTGCACGCATCTAACATTTGCCGAAGCACAATCATCGGCTCCTGGCAATTGAAGCTGTCTATTGAATAATTGAGAAACGGACAATAAATCGAGGATCAAGAATAGAGATACTATCAATGTCAAAGTTTATTTTGCCAAATTCGAATCCACCCAAATGAATCTGACAGGGGTCAGGGATGCTTTCTCACGATGTCTGCCCCTCATAGGGCTGGAGGGGCCGCGGCTCCTGTCTCCGCCGTCGAATCTTCAATGCTCACTTCACTGACACATTGAATCTGGCAAGATTTTCTTCTTTAGATAGGAGGGATAAATGTCTCTCTTTAACATAATCATTTGTCTCCCGTCACAAGATACGAGTGTTGTTTCACTCACGTGCATGAATGTAAGGGACGAATTACGCTTCCGCTCCGTCTGCCATATTTATATTTGTGCTTCTCAAGCCTCACTAGAATGAGACTACAACGGCGAACACAGCCTACAGACTTATTTAATTTTGTGTTTAGTTGAAAGAGTTAAACTTGTATCGTGATACCGTTTCTATGGTACGTTGCTGACACGATGATTGGTGTCCACCACCCCTGCTGTATGCACGAGATGGTCCAATGCAATCCACCCGTCCAACATCAGGTTGGCCATGACCAAAATCTAGTGAGCAACTGCGAGGCTCCTCCACTCGTCTCCTCATTTCTAACCACGTTACAATCCGAAAGAAAATTACAGCCTACAATGTCGGCGGTCGTTACCGGGTTCTCCCGATGCCCCAGACACCATAGTAGGTCCCATGGCCCGCGGGTGTCGAGATAACTTCAACTTTACCATATAGTCGAAAGACCCGTTTTTACATTTACGATACAGTCATAAACAGTAAAATTTTGGAAGCCTGACCTCCTTGAACCCTATGAGCGTCAATATCGAGCGCATACGGCTGGGGTTCCTCAAGCTGCAAGAATGCTGACTAGCACAGACACTCGTCCAGAAATTGTAGCTCTTGGAGCTCAAGACTGACAGCAAATGACGGATACTTACCACCGTGTTGGTGGCGAGATCCTACCTCCTTCTCTCCTTTTCGCCCGTCTATACCTTCTTCACCTTGGCCTCGCTGACCTTGGATACAGGCAGTATTTTTACCCAGCTCTCCTATTTGAATCTGCTGGCCGCACCCTAAACATGCTTCTATAACATCTGCTATGGACAGCAAAATGATGCTCGCAGATTGTATCGCAGTAGCCGGCAAGCCTCAAGAAAGGCTCAATCAAGTTAAAAGATATCGAGATGGAGCGTCTCCAGCCAAGCAGGCCAGCCGCACAAGAGTGCAAGAACAGCCTGCAACGGCAGATTTGGATGGGGCAAAGAGAAATACCACTTAGTTAAATCATGTCGTTGCCGTCCTCCCCTCTTCCAAACAGTGGCTAGTCTTCCATCCTTCTCTTTCTAGTGCGTTGAATCGACCCTGAAACCGAGACCAAGGAAAGTAATACGCTCTCCCTTGAAGGCATACCGCTTGACCCATGTAGATCACCTCACCTTCCGTCAAGGAATTTTCGCTATCTCACAGAAAACCATATTCCCGCTGCACAGCACCACGGTCCGTCGAAACATAGAATCCTTCGGCGAGTCGAGTGCCCAGGAATGCCCCGCCATCCTCGGCGAACTAGAACTTTATTACCTCGTGGAACCTAACGGCAGCCTAGACGTGAGCATGGCGGAGAATGTCCTCAGCAACTAGTAACGCTTGAAGCACTGGACGTGCTGAGGGCAAGAGAGGTAAGGGGCGTCAGTTCCCGTTTTGGTCAATACTTCTTGGTGTCACAGCTCGAGGGGCATGTGATAACATTCAGGTTGGATGGTGTTGGAACAAAGGGTTGGTCAGTTGACTTGCTCTAGTAAGAATCGCGTAGTCTGATCTTTGTACAAAGCTTCGAAATCGAATGCCGTCGTGGTTGACATGCCACCCACGCTACCCTGTAGCACATCCCGAGCGTTGCGGCTCCACCCACTGTAGCACGCCCCAACGTTACCCGAGGGGCCAGTTGGTCATGGGCTTGGCACGGTTTTCTCTGTAACCAATCTCCAGACTGCCGATTGTCCAAGTAATTTGAAGCGATTTTTCAGTTCTACATCCCGTGGAAAGTGCTTAGTTCACAATCCTCTACTCAATGCTAGACCTCCTTCTCAGTGATTAACCCCACTTTCTTCCCCATATGATCCATTGTATGAAGTTGTTAATGGGACTGCACATGCCGTACGACGATGGACAATGCTACGGATATGTCGGAAAAGCTGTGCCGGCTCATCACTGTTAAATACATTAAGGTGTTGCCTAAGAAACTGGCAGCATTATCCTACTTTTCTACAGCGTAACCGTTGTCTCGCAACCGCCGTCGCATCGGCCAGTTTCCGATTTCACTCTCAAATGCCTTCGCCTGGAGACTACGTCATATGCGCTGCTGTTTCAAACCAATTCGGCCATCAAAGCTTGCTGGAAGCTATCCAGTACATAGAAGCCCCGGTACCATCCTAACCTAGTATACCTAGGTACTGCGCGTCAGCGAATGCTTTTGTACCTTGTTGAACTGCTGTCATCAAAACAAGAAAAGGTGGCCAACGAAATGCGCATCCATCGCTGCCAAGCCACCACCCCATTCATTGTCAGCTCGTCAAGTTCTGTTCTCCTGTCTCGAGTGAGCACAGGTCCTTATTGCTGTCCCAGACCCTAAGCCTGAACGTTTCAACGGTATTCGATGCTATAATGACTGAAAGACCACCAACAGCACCGTCAGAAGACAGCGTTGAGGCGCTAATGCTTTCATGGCCTGCCCCTAAGCAAGCCACCTCTCCGCACGACCATTCACCTTTGGAGTCTCTTCCGTTAACCCCACCTCACTCCCCTCCTTCCTATCCGCAAACCGATTCGAAAGCCTCGCTCGACACGACAGCATCCCGACGCTCCACTCGATCTCATCAGGAGTATTTGGACTCACTGAAACCACCGTCCGATCAAGACTTTATACGCCTAGCTTCGGTGCAGGAACAGCGTGCCAAAGAGCGCAAGCAACACGCGCGTGAGCTGCGACGCCAGTCGGCCGACATAGCTCGGAAGTCTCTGGAGGCCCGGAAGGACTTTATGGAAACAAAACAGCAGCATCACCTACACAATCTGCTCGAGCATGCGCGCCCAAGCAGCAGCAGCAGAGGCGATGATTCAGCCGCCCAGGGCGGCGACGACGATGGGGCGAGCGTCAAGTCGCAAGCTGCGACGGTTATTCAGCGCACATATCGTGGATATCGTGTGAGAAGGGAGATCAAGGGCTTGAGCCTGGATGCCAATACGAGGTGGACACATACGATCAGAGATCTGCACTGGACCACCATCAACACGCCGAGGCCACGGAATGACAGTCTGCTAAGTCCGGGAAGTCCGGGGACTTCGGAGGAAGCCGCAAAAGTTGGTCAGAGGCCGAGGTCCAACACGTCTGGTGCCCGACAGAAATGGAAAAAGGCAGCTGCCATTGCCAGGCGTGCTGGTGGTGATGAAGACTCGCCGCACTCGGATGAGGACTCCGATACGTCGTCTGATGAGGAAGTCAATGCGGCAATGACCGAGGAGCAACATGCAGCTGCGAGGAAGAGGCGAGCCGATTTGAAAGCAAATCGACAGAAGCATGCCAAAATGATGGGGTTGCAGTATTTCTTAGAGATGGTTGATCTGAAACACCGATACGGTTCGAATCTGAGACAGTACCATGAGGAATGGAAGAAGGCCGATACAAAGGAGAACTTCTTTTACTGGCTTGATGTTGGGGACGGCAGAAACGTCGAGTTAACGACTTGTCCGAGGGAACGATTAGATAAGGAGCAAGTTCGGTACCTGAATCGCGAAGAGAGGCAGCATTATTTGGTGAAGGTTGATAAAGACGGTCGACTGTGTTGGGCTAAGAACGGCATTCTCATTGACACGACAGAGCAGTGGAAGGACAGCATCAACGGGATTGTACCAGCGACGGACCAGACGCCTGCTTTTGAACCAACGCTGGAAGAGCAATATCAGACAAAAGATTCTCCAGTACCATGGCAACCTGAAGGTCAGACTCACCCAGACTCAGAAAATGACTCAGAGACATCCGAATCCGAGCTGGAAGCTGCTCGGGCAGCCAAATACGCAACACCCACTCTCGACGAAGCCAAAGGGGTCAAGAAGGTGAGACATGTATCCGCAGCCACTATTTTCAATAAGCTTCTTAGGAAATCTGTTCGGAAAGGGACGTGGATATTCGTTGCCGACACGTCCTTCCGTCTATACGTTGGCATAAAAGACAGCGGCGCCTTTCAACATAGCTCCTTCCTCCACGGCGCAAGAATATTGGCCGCCGGTCTCATAAAAATCAAAGAAGGGAGACTGTCGAGCCTCTCGCCCCTATCAGGACACTACCGCCCCCCAGCCTCCAACTTCCGGGCATTCGTGCATTCGCTTAAGGATGAAGGTGTTGACATGAGCCACGTCAGCATCAGCAAGAGCTATGCCGTACTAGTCGGACTCGAGGCGTACATCAAGACCCGGCAGAAAGGCAAGGAAACTTTGCAGTCGATGACACACCGGAAGGTAAAATTACTCGATCCCGTCGAGGCCGAGAGGAGGGAGGAGGCCGAGAAGGATAACAGTGCGAGTGCAGCTAGGGAGAGGGAGATTCTGGAAAAGCAGGAGGTTGAACGGGACGAGAATCGGGTGGGGGTCAAGTTCATGCAGAAGTTGGGGTTGAGGCCGAGGGCAGCTACGCATTCTTGAGGGTTTGGATTAATGGAGCTGGGACTGACTACTAAGGATGTGACATACACGAGTAGACTTTGTGTCCGTTTGCTTTTTTGTCGATATTCAACCATTCTGGTCCTATGCGGTCTGGTTGGGTTAACAGGGCATAACGTGGCATAGTTAGTCCGGTATGGTTGATGTGGCCTATGAACCGTGAATTAATTTCGATAGCCTGAATGATACCCGATGTTTATCTGCTCATACTTGCTTGGCATTTCATCGCTGGATATTTCCAAAACCGACTCGCCACTGTACAATTTGGAGGTAATTTCGCTGCTGAGGTGGGGAGGTGTTGCTGGAATCCAGATGGAGAGTTGACGGATTCCCTATGAATTACGTACTTGCTCCACCGTATCTATCAACATGGCCGGTTTCATCTTGTAGTATGTATATCTCGATCTTTTTCTTTCAGTTATGTTTCTTCAGCTCATTCTCTTCCTAACTCGACCAACTTCTGTGAGGGCCCAAATCGAACTCTAGACTGCCTGGATGAAGGAACAATTTTGGATCATATTAGGTATTCGCTAACATCATCTTATGCTGTTGCGTGATGCAGCGTTTGGGCCGGAGTTAGTCCCATTATCACCAATACAGCCCTTGCCTGTATTATTCACATATACTACAAGATCGACCAAACAAAACTCATTTCAAATTCGCCACCAGAGAGCGGAAACAATGAGAGTCGTTCGTGTTTTGCAGAGCCAAAGCACCTCGCAAAGTCTGCTCTAACCACAAATAATAGCGCCATCATGTTTACTATCTCTCCTCCGAGTACAACTCAGTCATCAGGATCGAGAAAAGTAGCACTTAACAGTTGGACAAGGAAACATCGTCAACCAGCGATCTGAAGTAACCATCGCGTTTTCAGAATCATCAACAGATAACAGCTACGTCGATTTTTATCCTAGCCGCCAGGTGGATTTCTCAATCATGATTTACAACCACTGACGGATGATACTTAGACTGAGGGTCATCGCTTTCGGAAAGCCCTAACTTGATCTCGATTCTCGAGGCTTAACTGCGGTTTATCCCCTGCCAACATTCATCTGTAGCCTACGAGATCTGCTCAACAGAGGGTATCAACACGAACAAAGAAATTGAATCGCTACCATCAATTATATAAGCCCGCATTCTATCTCCCAAGACTGATCGCCTCACAGATCATCACACAATCACCTCCTCCTTCCACAGTTGTATCATTCGCCTACTCCAAGCCCAGACACGCTCTTCTAAACTCAATGAAATCATCACAAGGCGGCAGGCAACAATGCCGAACAGCAAGAACAGTACGATAATTCCAATTCACGAGCAACCCCAAAGGTTACTCAGAGAATACCACAATGACAAGGCGAAGTTCAGAGATGTCGTGGACGATGCCACAGACGCGTGGGCCAACCAAAGGGGTTATATCGAGGACGCTGACAAGGCCAAGATGCTTATTCAGATTTGGATGGCGTTAAGAAGAAGATTGAGGGTTAGAGGATTTTGATGCGAAGGCGGGGGAGGGGGATAAGGCGATAGGGGCCAGAAGAGTTTGGGCGTTTTGTGACTTCACACGAACCATATTCCATAATTAAAGGTAAGTGAACTTTCGATATCGCCGTTTTGTTGGCGACAGCTTCTTGCGTAATATGCATCAGATACCACAAAGAGTGATACTGGTGAGTTGGCCCCTTATCTCCATACTTCCCACTATGCTGGGATAAAACGAAATAAATCACTCTATGAAACTGGAGCTGCGTGCAAGATAGCCAAAGATCATGTCGTCAAGATCGAGTCAGGTCAATGAAAGTTCAATTCCAAACGACAATATTGTATTCGTGGTTATAATACACTGACCAAGGATCGTTTACACCGCATGCGAAGCTCATAATAGTGCTCTACATCAGCAAGAAATCCGTTTTCGTATAATGCGCAGATTTTATGGCTGGTCTCACCACGAGAGCTATAGATCATCAAATTGACACGCGCAAATTTGGGGTCTTAAGACAAGCTTTCTGGCCAAGTCGGGGTATCTGTTGCTTGGAGGAGACCGACGGGTGAAAAAGGCCGAGATATAGATTTAGAATTACTTGGGACGACAGTTCTGGTGAACTCCTTCTCTCATCATGTTCATGGCACACGAATAGAGGGGCCAAATATGTATTCGCTCTTCTCTCGTCTGGAAAATATTCCTATTCGTTTGCAAAGAAACATTGGTGTCGAGCATGGATCTCGTATGAGGTCGGTGCGGTAGTTGGCTAGATCAAATTTCCCTAATGTATTTCGGGTTCATCACCTACTTCGAACTGAGGCTGCTTGTGAACCCCCACAAGGAATCGCGGTATATCCTTGTTCTACCGAATATCACTTCCCGGACCCGGTGTTCGAGCTTCCATCGAAGCATCCAAGCACGAAAATAGCCAAGTCACTGCCACGCTCTGCTTAGATCATATCTTGCGTGTTGGAGTATCAGTGACACCCCACTCGGGTTTTGTCTCGGCCATTCTACATACTCAATGGCAACCCAAGCTAATGGATCGCTGAACTAAAAATAGATCGAAGCAACCACTTGCAACCAACTACTCAGTTGGCGCAACAAACTTGAAGTGGCAACTATGATACGTACCGATTTGCAACGCACCTGGCCAATCTCAGAAATCAGGTCGGAGTAAAGGTGGATGCCGTTACTGGTTGGCACATAACTTGGTGTGTGAATCAATGGACTAGTCAGATATAATCCCTGAAAGTCCCAAATCTGCCGCATACTCAGTTGATCCATCAACATCGAAAAAGCACTGCGCCGCCCGAGTGCACTTTTCTCCCGATGTCGCCGTAGCCAACAACTGATGTATTTGCACTTTCTTGCCACCAGCTTACCTGCCCGATACAGCATGGATAAACTGGCTGACCGTCGATGGCTCCGACTGGCCAACAAGTAGAAAGGCAAAAGCGAAGCTAGTGCTGACTACAGCTGAGAAATGATGATTGAATGCATGAGCGTGCTGGGCTAGTTCCTTGCTGCCAAGTTGAGGTTTCTTTCAAATGTAGAATTATAACACTCGCGGCAGTCAACTAGAAAAATTTACCCAGTTGACAAGCTGCTACAGCCCCAAGGGTAATGAGTCCCACTCACTCTGGCGTAGCGGCGCTTACAGACTATGCATCTTGCGCACTAGCGGCTCCATCTTGTCATTCAGCCTTTCGAGATGTTCAAGTACCATTCGCGCAGTCGTCCAGAAAACCCACCACCTGCTAGACTGCGAATGCATCCTGTGCCCTGGTGTTCGTTAGGGCTTGGCGACACTTCCCACATACTCCAACCGGGCTGTGAATGGTACATGTAACGGCGTCGTTAGGCCGCTGCAGTCTATTGCTTACTACCGAGTGGGGAACCCGTTGCAGTATACATTAGTATGGTGCAGAATGCAAGCCAACGCAGCCAACGCAGCCAACGCAGCCATCCCGCGACAGTATACCCGTATCCTTGACTGAGTCATGAGAAGTGTTGGGGGCTGCAGATCATGTCGGCCGGCATCGAATCGATATCGGTCGAGTTTTATGACAGATGCAAGCCCACGACGGGATCCTGCTGTGCTATAATATGTAGTGCCCGTTCCCACGGGCTGTCTCTATCCGCCTGTCAGACTGCGGGCCGAGCTATTTCCAGTATCGCGATTGCAGGAGATAACAGCAGCATCATTTCATTTCGTGCCGTCTGTTTATGTTTGATATAGATAGAACCTATGGCTCAATACGCCCCCGTCCACGACCCTAGTTATGATATAAGTCCCGTCACAAACTACGTCCCCCCCGGCGGACATGAGCATAGTCCATATACTCAGCAAACGCACACCCCGAACACCCAACCCCACCACCAAGGTCTCCCATCGGAGACTCAATCTCTAGCCGCCAGCGATGGCCAGAACCCCAATGTGGAATTCCACGAAGTAAACCCCTACTGGAACACCGGCGTGCCCCCCGGGCCAACCCATCAGCGCGGATGGAGCGACAGCACCATCGCAACGGAGAATATCTCGCCTGCGTACCAGAAGGCGGGCGTCTTGCGGCAGGGCACCGACCACCCTGTGAAGAAAACCACCGCCGTGTTTTCCGACAGCGGGCCATGGACGCTGGAGATAGTCACCATCCTGATAGCGTTTGCCGCCGTGGCGTCCATCATGGGAGTGCTAGCCCGCTTTAACGGTCATGCGCTCCCCGAGTGGCCGTATTACATCACGCTCAACGCGCTAATTGCGCTGCTGGCGACGGTGGCGACAGCTACGATGAGCATTTCGTTGCAGAACGGACTGAGTCAATTGAAGTGGATTCGGTTTAAGGAGGCGAGGGTGCCGTTGGCGGATATGGAGACTTTTGATGAGGCCAGTCGGGGGACTTGGGGGGCGCTTAAGTTGCTTGTTACTAGGCGGGGAGGGTGAGTATCTCACTCCAAGATTAGTGATTCAGTTTGACTGGCGACTGACTGTTTACATAGCGTGCTTGGATCTTGCGGTGCTCTCATTGCGATTGTGGCGCTCGCCCTGAGTCCATTTGCACAGCAAATCGTAACCTACCAGACGCGGTCAGTCATAGTTGACGGCCCTGGGAGTGCAAGTGTCAACCGGGCTCTCAACTATACCGGCGCGCTTCCTGGGACCACATCTCCGAGTAAGTCGTTGAAATATGCCCCATATACATGCAGGGCAGAACTAATCCCACACAGCCCTTTACGTTCCAATCCTTCCCCTGAAATCGGCAGTCTATAACGGCCTCTTCGCCGAGAACGGCCGCCCCGGCGCTGCACTGGCCTTCGAATGCCAAACGGGCAACTGCACCTGGGACGCCTACGAGACGCTTGGCGTCTGCTACGAATGCGTCGACTTGACAGCATTCATGTCACGCTACTGCGCCCCGGACGCTGCCGACAATGACTGCGGCTGGCAGGTTCCCCAGGGCGCCCGCCTCAACAACAGTCTCGACGTCTTCAGCATGACATCCCTGATCCCGTCCGCCGACGGCAACATGCCCCATTCCACCATCATGAAACTAATATTCATGGGCACCGAGGCTCAGGACGGGCTTGCCGGCGACTTAAAGCCATGGGCGCAGCAGTGCTCTCTGTCAAGTTGCCTACAGACTCTCGAGACGGCCGTGGTGAACGGTGTCCTAAGTGAGAACATGACGGGCTCAGTGATCAATAATACGGTCGTCGACTTGACCTCCCTGCCCCAAGACGCAGACATGGGCTCCTACGTCACCGGATCCAATAACTCGACCTATCTCCTCGGCAAAGAAGCCATGCTCAGCATGCGCGGCTGGTTCTACACCCTCTTCGCCAACGGCTCTGCCGTCCGCACATCCGAAGACTCGAATAGGACCATTACCGATAATACCGTCGTCGTGAACCTGACGGTGGGTATCTCCAGCGGCGTCACCTTGTTCGACTCCGACATCGTCACCGCCTTTTATTGGAATTACTACGAGTACGCCGAGCAAGACGGCATCGCCATGCTCATGTCCGACATGGCAACGTCCATGACAGTCGCCTTCCGTAGTTTTCTAGGCGCTGCGCCGGTAAATGGCCGCGCTATATCCGTCGAGTCGTATGTACATGTGCGGTGGGGGTTTGCGGTGCTGCCTATTGTGGTGGTGGTGGGCACGGCGGTGTTCTTGGCTGCGGCTATGTACCGCACGCATAGGACGAACACGAAGCCGTGGAAGAGCAGTGCGCTGGCGATGCTGTTTCATGGATTGGATGAGGATATGCGGGTCCAGTTTGGGAGCTCGGGGAGCTTGAGTGATAAGAAACGGCAGGCGAGGGGGGTGAAGGTGCAGTTGGATGAGAGTGATGATGGCAATAGCATTTCGCTCAGGGGTTGAGGGAGGGCGGAATTGAGGCGGCGTATTTTTGCGGGTTGAAGGAGTATGTGATCTGCATGGCCAATGACCTTGAGGGTATATACATTCTTGTCGACGCGATTATTGTCTTGTAGTCTTTAGGCGGTCGCTACAAATATCATAGAAGAGAATGGTAACGTAAAAGTAATATTCAAGCACTTTGGAAACTTGTGTGATAGCAGTGGCCAAGTAAGCTGTCCATTTTGTCGAGTAAAAATTTACTTTGATGCGAAGATAGGGGTCAGGGGTTACGGCAAATCTAACATTGTTCACCTTGCTCTCCCGAATTGTGCTCTCTACTTTAAGATGTATGCCATCAGTTTCCTTGCAGTAAGGCCTCAACAAATAGGTAAAATTCTGGTACATAACCATGGCGACTCCAAGCTGAAGTACCTCCGGAAGGGTCACATGCCCTTCCCTCGGGACTGCGAATACAAACCTGGGATTCGCCATAACACCTCGGCAAATTTTGCAGTAAACGTGCATACCTGATGCCAAGTGACACAATCGATTCGGCACTGAAGGGAGCCTCCTTCGCATTGCCGAGGTCTGCTCAGGGGGCAAGGCAAATTGCCCAGTCCAGAAAGTTTCCTGGTCTGGTCCGGGCCTAATGGCCCTGAATCCCATTCTGACTTCCAATTGGATCTGCCCTGGGAGGTTGACACGGCGGGCTTGGGTGAAATATCGCGTGGATGCCGAAGAGCTTATGGAGAGCGATCCGAGGGCGCAGGGGTATCTGAGCACGCTGTTTCCTATGAAGGCTTGCTTCGGGTTTGTGTCGAAGGATACTGTTGAGGGCCCGATGTGGCAGAGCTGTACAGCAAACCAGTCAAAAACACTTGTTTCTGTTCTCGAGGTTTACCTTGTACTTGAGTATGTGACATGCGCATGGCTTGCTTCGTGGCGACCAGCCAGAATAGACGAAATGTTTGTAATTCGGTCACGGAGAAAAGAGAAAAGAAACAAACCGACGAAGGAGTTATACGTTGTGAAACTGGTAGGCTGAACCAGGAAAGGCCATAATGAGGCCCTTTAACTTCAAATCAGGAGACAAGGTTGTTACGGTTTTTGTGTTACTGTTGATTGTCGGAGGATGCTAAGCCCCTTTTACACACCCAAGCGTGTACAGGATCATCGAGGTCAGTGATGAGAACTGGTGTCAGGTAAGTCGCCGATGGTCATCTTGCAGACTGTATTCCTGATAGAAAACACAACAATAACCAACTTAGAGAGGCCGCATGGGTAAAGTCTTGCCCACCGAACTCGGAGTGCTGTGAACAATATTCGACTGGCGGTCAACAGCGTCAGTGGGGCTGGATCCTAAGTTCCGGGATGGTGGTGCCAACTAATAAGTGACCGGGCAACCTGGGGTGCATATAGGGCTGTAGCGGCTCATCGTCGTTTCTGGGGGAGTCCTATTTGGGCAAATCTGGTGGCGGAGCTAAGCCCAATTCAGAGGCATTGGGTTTCGATACTCGAAAGAGTTGGACGGGCTGGACCAGGCTCGTATACCTTTCGGCGTCACAACAGGACCTTGTCGGCCTTGAGTGACATCCAGTTACATCACCTTGAAGAGCGGAAATGGCGGAAATGTAAATGTGGTGTGACAGCCAAGCAGGCACCAGGGCACACAATGTGGAAAGCCTTTCACGTTTGTTACAGGATGAGAAAGAGCAAACAAAGATATACTAGATGGGTCATCTATGTTAGTCGCTGCGGCTCCCTATCGTTCGTGCAGTCCTCACCCGAGTGATCGAATCTTCGCATCCCCCACGACACTCAAAAAACACAGAGAATGTGAATAATTCTGGCCGGGAGTACCGGTCTTTTACACAACCGGAAGACGTTTTCATAAGGTCCAAATCATAGAGCGTTTGGACTGGATAGGGCATGCGAATCTAAAATATTATCAGCTTTGCTACGTTTACATCTATATGATAAATATGGTGATACTACAACCAGGGAAATAAACAGAAAGCGGATTCTCCCAGTATAGTCGTAGTGAAAAGGGGGAAGTAGTATCTCCTGATGATTCACCCAAGGAAAAGGCTTCATCAAATACAAGAGAAAATCAATCGAACGATGAATGAAACTTCTAGTTTCCCATTGATAAAATGCGGTGAGTATTATGGTCCCATTGAGGGGCAAAATAAAATAAAGTATTGCTGCCATTTGGTTGCGCCAAAGCACAAAATCCCACCATGGCGAGCTACCATGGCGAGCTACCATGGATTTGATGCACCCGCCAGGACTTGGGCGGCTTAAGCAGCTTCAATTGATGACGAACCCCCTGCGCAAAAAAACCACCACAACAATCAATTTCCTGAAGTCAATGCTCAAGTGCATAGTTCGCATGTAGCAAAGGATGTGGAAAACTACGATCAAACCTCAATTACCTCTTCTCCGACTATGAGCTCTGGCTTAATCAACTCCGATGGCCTCGACCACCACACGCTCCACCAGACGAGCTGAACTCCAGCACTCGCGCCCGCAAGAAAACCAGAGGCAACAGCAGATGCAGCACAGTCACATGGCGGCCAAACATGCTCAGATTATCGCGACGCACACAACGCGAAACCATCAAAACATCCTCCAGCCGAACAGCTCGACTCGCATGAAGCGGCCTCTCGATCCCATCGACTCCAATTCCGATTCTCTGAAGAGAGCTAGAATTACCGTCGAGATTCTGGCAAGGCCAATACCTCAACCCATCAGTCCGCCGAAGACCATCACGGTGAAACCGCTGGTGTCTGCCAGACGGATGGTGGTGACGGCGGAGCAGCAGCAGTCGGAGAAACCACTCCCCCCTCCTTCGCAACCACAGCCACCTCCGCCTACTCAGTCAGCAGCAGAAGAAGCAGCCCCCAAAACGGCGACAATTACGCAGCCAGGCCTGACACGACATCAGGAGAAGGTCATTAATGGCATTAAACACGAGCTCGACAGGTTGCAGCCCGCTGGGACCGATGCCAACGTGTCAAAAGAGGGCGGTCGCAAGCTGCGTTCGCAAGAGGCCTCGCGGTTCAAGAGCGAACTGTCGGCGTATTTTCCCGATTACGACGAAGTAATCGGCAATGACGCCAAAGAACACCGTACGTAACACTATGCGAAACACCCGTAACCAGTTATTTGCTGACACCAATGCAGATGTCGTCAACATCGACAGTCCGCTTATTGTCGTCGATTCTCAATCGCGCCGTGCTTACCATGACCAAATCCTACCACCCGGATTAGCATCACAGCCGTCCTCAATTGGCCACGATCCTGAGTTGACCCGACGCCACGGCAACCAGCACACACAAGACCCACCCATACCCACCCAGCCAATCGACGGGTATGCCGTACGAAGTTACGGCGATGCCTTGTTCACCAATCTGTTTGATGCGCAGCAAATTGATTTGGACTTCCTAGGAGCTGGACGAAATGACCGAGACATCGACGACCCGTTGCCCGATTCACACTACGAACTTGCGCACAAGAGAGCCGAGAGGTTGGAGAAATCAATCCGCAACACCGAGAAGGGTCGTGCCCAGCATGAGAAGGATCAGATCATCCGATTGCTCGGGGAGCTGCAAGGCCCAGATTGGCTGAGGACGATGGGTGTCAGCGGTGTCACCGAGACTCGCAAGAAGACGTTCGAGCCTGCCCGGGAACACTTTATAAAGGGCTGTCAAGCCATCCTAGAGAAGTTTCGCCTATGGAACGAGGAAGAGAAAAGGCGCAAGCGAGAAAGAGAACAAGCTAAAGCGGCAGAAGAGGAATCCCAGTCCGAAGAGGCCGACGAACCAGCAGCAGCAGCAGAAGAAGAAGAAGAAGAAGAAGAAGACGAACCGGTAGCAAGCGAAGAGGAAGAGATGGGCCACGAGGAGTCAACCGGCAACATCAGCGATGGCGATCCGCCGGACTACAGTGATGTTGATGAATCCATCGCCAAGCAGCTACACGAAGAGGCCATCGCAAGTGCCAAGTTCGCGCCCTCGGTATCGTCCAAGAGAACCCGTGGAGAGGCACCACCTATGATGCCATCAGAACCGTACGTACCACCCCGAGAGTTTACCTCTTTCTTCCGCAAGAGGCACGAACGCGAAGCGGCTTTAAATATAGATCGCCGCCGCGGCCGAAACGTCATGGCGTGGGGATGCACTGTGCCAGAAGCTCACGAAAACAGCTTCGATCTACCGGAAGAATACCGCGACGAGGATACCATGAAGGCGAGGGCAAGACGTAAACGGAGAGACCTAAGGGGAAGCAGACGCTGATTTCTTGTGTTGGTCTCTTCTGGGATAAATTATTGATACCTTTGGCCTGGCGTATGGATACCAACAAAGCATTGACAGTGCTAGGGAGCACAAGGTAGTACGATATGAAATGGCTGCGATACATACATACATAGTGTTGATCGTATGCGTGTATATAACTGGGCGAAGAAGAGCCCGTTGCTTTGATAATTAAAAATTTACATTATTTGGTCTTGCTGAACGTACCACAAATACCGAAAGGAACATCCAAGCCTTCAGCTGGGTTGTTATACTTCAGCGGCTACATGATCCCGACTCTCTGTGCCCATGGTATTTTCCCACTTAAAAAAATGAAATTCTTCCTCGAGTTCCCCATTCGTGTACTGCCCAAGCAACTGTAGAACCAAGCTAGCTAGACATCGCGGCTTAGGTGAATGATACTGGCTTCATCGTCAATTCAATAACCGCCACAGGCGGCAATGAAAGATAAAATCATGTAGGCCCATGCTATCGTTCATTTTTCCTTTAAAGTAGAACAAGTTGATACACTTCACTTGACTGTCCTTAGACTAGATGTGACTGCGGCTCTAGCAGGCTATTTTAAGGCAGTTTCTTATAAAGGGACCCCACTCCGAGGAAGGATACTATGCGCGGACGCGGTTGGCGCGTTGTGCACAGACCACTGTAATTGGACAAAGATGATTGGCACAGCAAGCTCCATTGCAACCACCCCTACCTCACCTTACTTCGACACAAGGCTACGAGTTTCGCGATTGAACGGCCATATCGCGAAACCAGATCTCTACGATCTTGGTCTTACCCATCGACCTCGCCGCCGGCTCTCTTGCCACTCTCTACGAATCTGCCGACGCTTTGCACTAGTCAGCATTCACTGCGGTTACTGACACCTAGCGCGACGAACGGCGATTTCCAGAGCCAGGTCCAACAGCCCCCGCTTCCCGAGCTGGACTGAACCTCGATCTGTTTTCGACTATTCCTCCATCCACCAAGAACCTTTCCTCGGCAGACCTGCGCCAGTTGATCATCATTTCGCAAACTTTAGCTGATCCTTGGTAAGGCAACTACCGAGCTTTCTCGACGGCGCAACTTGGGACTCCTTCGCTCTGGTCATTGCCGTTGCTCGTCGCAACAAGGACCGCGATATCGATCCCCATGATATTCCATTCTCGAGACGAAGCGTAGCTTCCTTGAAGGTCTCCAAGATGCCTGGAGTCATAGTAGATGCCGATAAAGTGCCTGCGCCAGAGGTCGATGCTGCCGTCACTACCGAACCCCCCGTCGATGAAACACCGCCACGAGAATATACCGTCTTTAGAGAAAACATCTCTCTCGACATTGACTTCCGCCAGAAGTCCATCAAAGGTCGAGCAGACATCTTTATTACTGCGAAAGACTCGAATCTGTCCGAGGTTTTCATCGACGCCCGCCAGTGCCAGGTAGATGTAGACAACGTCACCGTGAGCAGCTGCCCTGCTAAGGCGGCCTACACCGATCCACACGCTTGCCTCGAGACACCGAAGGCGTATCGGTGGTCAGCATCTCAATGGGCCATTAGGAAACAACGAATGCGCCCCGTTCAACACCGCCGGAGAGTGGAGCTATCAGCATCGGAACACGAGGAACGCTTTTGCTGCACGCCAGCTGACGGATCTTTGCAAGTCACCATTCCACCCCTCAAGGACATCCAGGCGAGCATAGCAAAGCTTCGAGAGAAAGATGGCCTCCGGAAACAGCAGAAGGAGCCTTGGGATAAAGTGGTCGAGGATAACAATGGGTCGATGGTTCACAAAATCAGCATCCCTTTTACCCTCACAAACATACGTGATGGGCTCCAGTTCGTGGGAGTTGAGGAGACTGACGTGCGATATCCACATGTCTACACGCGGCACTCCGTCGAACCTGGTACCGCCTCTTCCATATTTCCTTGCATAGACGACCCAGGATGTCGGTCTGCCTGGAAGATTTCAATCACCTTCCCGCGAACCCTTGGGGATGCTTTCCACCAACCTCTTGCTACACAGCAGCAGTTCAATGACAACGGAAGCCGCAAACGCAACCACGGCGAGGACGAGCCGAGGAATCGAGTGTTCGGCCTTACTGAAGAAGACAAGCTGTTGGAGATGACAGTTGTTTGCTCGGGAAGGCTGGAAGACGAAGCTGTTAGCCAAGACGATCAAACGAAGAAAACCATGACATTCAGCTGCGAGGGCAAAGCAGCACATCATATTGGATTTGCCGTGGGTCCTTTTGAACACGTCGATCTTTGGTCCGAGTTCAGGAGCGAAGAAGACGACGAGAAGCTTGCCGCGATAGCTACCAAGATCCATGGTTACTGCCTTCCCGGCCGTGCTGACGAGGTCAGCAATACTTGCGCTGCTTTGGTGACGGCAATCGACCACTTTGTCCTGACCTTTGGCCGTTACCCCTTCGACAGCTACAAAGTCTGCTTCGTTGACGATATGGTCACCGACACCGTTCCGCTAGTAGGCTTTTCGCTTTGCACCACGAGGATGCTCTTCCCACAGAGAGTCATCGACACGGAAGTAGAGATGACCAGGACCCTGGTGCACGCGCTCGCCAGCCAGTGGTTCGGTGTCAACATTATACCCGATCGAAAAGCGGACATCTGGCTCGTCGTCGGCATTGCCTGGTTCATGACCGATCTGTTCATGAAGGTGCTCTGCGGAAACAATGAGTATAGATTCAGAATGAAGGCCATGTCTGACAAGTTGATCGAATTAGACGTCAACCGACCATCACTTCAGTCGCTTGGCGAGCATTTACACCTGGGCGATTTCGAGATTGACTTCATGAATCTCAAGGCTCCTTTGGTCCTCTTCATCCTAGACAGGCGACTTTCCAAGTCCTCTGGGTCTGCCGGCATCACCCGAATCATTTCCAAGATGGTCAGTAAAGCCAACACTAGTGGTGAGGCTAGTGACCAGATTTTTGTTTCGGAGCCGTTCCGCAAACACTGCGAAAAGTACGGCCAGACCCGGCTGGAGAGCTTTTGGGCTCAGTGGGTGATAGGTTCCGGCTGCCCACGTTTTGACGTTTATCAGAAGTTCAACAAGAAGAAACTCTGTGTTGAGATGACCATCCGGCAGATCCAGGATATGGCCGCTGCTAAGACGAGGCCACTCGAGAAGAGTGCATTCTGGAGGGATGTCATGGAAGAAAACCATGCGGTGTGGGCCGGGGAGTTGCAGCACTCTTTCTCTGGCCCAATGACGATCAGGATTCATGAGGCCGATGGGACACCATATGAACATATCGTGGAAATCAAAGAGGAGGGTGCTAAATCCGTCAAATTTGATATCCCTTACAACACCAAGTACAAGCGCCTCAAGAGGAACCGCCGCCAACGGGAACGGCAACAGGCGGGTAACACGTCTAAACAGAACGAAGACAACCAGGAAGAGTCTCTGCTATACTGCCTTGGCGACGTGATCCAAACCGAGGAAGAACTGAATGACTGGGGCTTCACCGACTGGGACGAAAAACAAGAAGCCGCAATGGACCAGGAGTCTTATGAATGGATCCGAATGGATGCTGATTTCGAGTGGGTCTGCTACATGCAGACTAATCTTCCTGCTTACATGTATGTTTCCCAACTGCAGCAAGACCGGGACGTCGTCGCCCAACAGGACTCTATGCTCTATCTCGCACAGAAGAGCAAGAGCCCGCACCCCTTGGTCTCGACCATCCTCACTCGCACTCTGGTTGATCAACGCTATTTTCACGGCATTAGAACCATGGCTGCCGAGATCCTTCCCAAACATGCCGTCGAGTTGCTTTCGCGCATAGGACTTAAGCATCTCCTAAAGGCGTATCAGCACTTTTTCTGTGTCGAGGGGACTTACACACCGCGGCCAAATAACTTCTCAGATAAGCGCCAGTACTTAGTTCAGTGCGCAATCCCAGAAGCCGTTGCGCAAGTTCGAGACAAGGATGGCAAATGTCCAAAGGAGGCTCGGCGTTTCATCCTGCAGCAGCTTCAGTGCATTGACAACGACGAAAATCCGTATTCGGATCATCTTTACATCTGCAAACTTATATGTGCTCTTGCGACATGCCAAATCCCGGACGAGAAGAAGGAAAAGCCGTTGCCTATGTCTCTGACATTCGGCGACGGTGACGAAGACGACGAAATTGTCGATCCCGAACCACAAGAGTTCAAGGAGTTGGCATTGGAGGAGATTGAGCGATACCGTAGGATGGACGAATATTCTCCTTCATTTCAAAACTGCTTCACCGTTGCAGCTCTTGACGCCATGTGCCGTCTGATGAAGGCTAAAGTCGTACCGATCAATCCAATCCTCTTTGTCCAGTACTTACAAGATCGGACGGTTGATGTTGTTCGCATCAAAGGCTTTGAGGCTATGGTCGAGCTCGGGCAATTGTCGAGGGAAGTCTTCCTGAAATTCTTTCTTTCGGTTCTGTCTACGGACCCTTCCCCCTACGTCCGTGATCGGCTCTTCAAGATATTCTGCGGTGGTCTAGCGAGCATTGCATTCGGGGAAAGCGGGAGAGCAGAGAAAGACAAACCCGTTTCTAACGAGAGTGGTCTAATTGTCGAGCAAGACAGTTCTGTCATTGAGGCCAAACAGAAAGAGAAAGCTCGCAGAGAAGATCTGACGACTGCACTTGCTGCCCTCAAAGAAGCGACCAAGAATGACAAGGCTTTGTTGAGGACCCTCTGGAAAACTCTGGACTCTCCCGTCTTGTCTGTGGCGGAGAGACGAAATCTTCTTGAGCTCTGTTCCATCTTAACCGATGAGGAGGACTCGCTGGTTGTGGCCTTCAAATATCCGACGTACTGGACAGCTCAACGCGCGGAGAAGAAAGGCGGCAGGGTAAGTGATTATGCTATGCTTTTAGACGGGCCAGTTCAACTAACGCAACAACAGCTCTTGGTCACCTTTAAGCGTCATTTCAGGACGAAGTCGCGGAAGACGTATGTTGCGCAGCCGATATCCGTACGCCCGGAGCCCAAACGAACAATTACTTTGAACCTCAACAGAAGTACGAGCTCCACCGCCGCCCGGGCAGCTACTCCAGTCGCGGCAACTCCTCCACCTCTACCGCCGCCAGTAGTGAAACCTGCCGCCAAACCCACGGTTACGGTTGCTACGCCGCGACCAATTGCCACGAATCGCCCCGCCTCGCCCCGGCCGGCCAAAGAGATACGCCGTGATAGTATAGCAGTCCAAACGCCTCGACCAAGTATTGAGATCACGGCACCGACTGAGCGGAAACCTCTTCCTCAAGCTGTGAAGCCCTCAGCACCAGACACAGTCGCTGCACCAGTAAAGTCGTCAGTGCCCACCAAGGCATCGGCACCTGTCAAGGTGTCTGCACCTGCTAAGACATCCGCACCTGTCAAGACCGCGCCTGTGAAGACATCAGCACCAATGAAATCTTTAGGACTCAACAAGGCTTCGGGGTCTAGCAGAGGCCCAGCCGCTCTCAAGGGTTCGGCACCTGCCAGAATCCCTATCAAGCTGGCAGGTCCTGTGAAGACTGGGACACCTCCTCCTATGACTAATCGGCCTGGTGGTTTGGCCACCAACAATGGCCATCTGGCCCCAAAGACCTTGAAGCGACATAGCACAGAGCCAAGTGAAGGGCCTCGACCGACGAAGCTGGTCAAGCTGAACACTAAGGGGTTCCCTCCCCACGTCTTCCAAAAGCGATCGAGGAAGGTCACTGTCAAGTTCACAAAATGGGACAAGCTCAAGATTAAAGCACCCAAGCAGCCACGTGCACCCTCGGAGGCCGGCTCTATTCGTGCTACCCCGAAGGGCCCGTTGGTTGTGGAGCGCTCAAACTCGATTAAGGTGTCCTCGCCCGCTGCCTCTCAGTCTCCTCAGCTGTCCACCCCAACAACAGCAAACAATACATCCTTCTCCCCGCCCCCCTCAGCTTCTCAGATATCATCCAACTCGACTTCATATTCGCAGACGAGTGCTGCCGGGAATGGATCGAAGCCTGCTCGCAAGCCTCTACCCTCAGGAGACCGCAAACCTCTACCCTCAGGGGAACGCAAGTCTCTACCCTCTGGAGGTCGCACTATGTTGCCATCCGGCTCAGCGCATCCACCCCCTACGCAGCACAGCAATACTTCTGCTGCTCCTCAAAAGACGAAGATCAAGCTCAAGGTCAAGCCATCTGTGCAGCGGTAGCAATGCGCGTGTCCCGATGAAGATACCCACTACACAGTTTCACCGGTAACTTTACCCTCACTACGCCCCGAACCCTCTGACTGCCAATCTCCCGTATCTTTCGGACATACGTCACCTTTACATCCCCCTCCGTCTTCCGTGGCATCCACGGGCAAGTCTGGGGCGGAACGATAATCCTAGCTTTAACAGAAGCACATTGAGCAGCCGACTCAGGCTGGGAACGAGGACCAAGCTCCGGTTGACTTTCATTACGGCATATTTCGTTCCATTGTACACCAACCCCGCATAATCACCAAACTGCATAGCAAGGCGTTTCGGAAGGAAGTGGCAAAGCTAAACAGGCTTTACCTTTGATTGATTGATTTTGCGTTGACTCCGATGGCCACGATCTGCCGTGGCAACCCAGCATGATGCGAGTAGCTAAATTCGTTTATATAGTCGGCTTGCGTAGGTACCTTAACTAGGTGGCCTCGAGCGTTGAATTATTACAAGTTGGACTGCATCATAGAAAGTGAAGTAGAGTAAAGTGGATAACGCTCAATGTGGGATTGACTGTGATTTGTGTGAGCTTCCCCCATATTAGTGTCTGGTTATCAGATCCTGGACGCACTTATCCACACAATTCGCCCGCCCGTGATTTCACGGACATGCTCCATAGATATGTAAAACGCTCTATTCGTTCAGATATGCTTGTCGCTGTGTGCAAAACCGAGCATGCCAATATTTGCCAATGGCCATATGCACAACTCCTTGCCTCCTACGCTGCATGCTACGAGGGATCTTGGGATATAGTAAAGTCCCACACTCCCTCCCTCGAGTGTCTTCCTCGAGTACCCTCTTCTTCCCCAACACAAAGGGATTCTATCTCCTCCCGCGACCCGCCACCCCAATGCGCTCCTCCCGACTCCGCGTCACGCGCCCTTCCACCGGCTCCGCCGTCCCCTCGCGGCGCCGCACCGGCGCCGGAGGCGGAGGAGGGTTCATTTGGCCCTGCGTCTGCGCCTGTTGTATTCCTGTCTGCGCTGCACCCCATCCAGGTCCCGCAATGCGCATATGGCGCTGTGTAGCCGCCGCCATCGACGTAGCTCGGGAGCTGGCCGGTGGTGGACGAGAGGGTGCTTGTGGGATGTGGCTGTGTGTCGCGGCGGCAGTAGGGTGAGCGGCTGTAGGCGTTACGGCGCCGGGGCGACTGGTGGCGATGGGTTGGGGTTGTGCGCGGTGATGCGGTTGGTGCTGTTGTTGGTGATGTGGTTGCCGCGCCGCGGCGGGTAAGCTCTGGATCTGTCCGGCTACTCCGAGGTCATAGTCCGCCATTTCTTCGTCCTCGTCTTCATCATCATCTCCTGCTTCGTCGCTTTGCTGACTTGGAGCCACGCGCCGTCGTCTCCTTTGCTGATGCCGTTGGTCGTCGGAACTGTCGTTGTCTACTTCTGCCTCGGAAGAGGAGGAGGCATAGTCGCCAAAATTCAAGCCTTCTGTTGAGCCAGGTGGGGAGACAGAGAGGCCTGGCCGCGGTTGGGGGGGTTGGAGTTGGGTGTGGCGGTCGAGGATGGTGGGTTTGGTTGCTGACGAGGGGATGAAGGAGCGCGGGCCTGGATTGAGAATTGGGTGACCAGTTTGGTGGGTTGCGGCTGCCCGACGGTCTTCATACGAGGCGGTGTCTTCCGAGGTGAGAGTGAGGGTTGTTGGCGGGCGGCGGAGCATGGTGAATGTTTTCGGATTGGGGCTAGGTTGTGGAAGTAGAGATACGGATTTCGTCGCTGAGGGACAGATGTAGATGTTATGTAACTATATTTATCAAGACGAGAGACAGCGCTTGGTGTCTAACGTGAGTGTCGATAGTTGTAGTAGTACTGTGCAACAAGAAAAGTTGGGGGACAAATCTACAATTGGCGATTATCCGGGATGGATTGGAGAACGCGCTATCGCGACTTCTAAGGTTGTCTTGCCGCCTCGGTAGGTTGGCGGGGCTGTAGGGCTGAGGTCAGACAATGGATCCCGAGTCCAACCCGCACTTGAGCGCTCCCAGGTAGCGTTGGGACTGGAACTATCTAGGAGCAGGTACTCTTCTAGCCAGCCCTCTTCATTCTGAACTTCTTGCGTCCAGCTTGAAGATTCCCGATTCCAACCTGCTGCTGCTACGCAATTTGCCTGCGCCATAAAACTTACAAGTGCGCGTTCTTGAACATCTCCAAATCCCTACTTGGTACGAAGTATTGTTATGAAGCTGTGAAATACAGCTTCCTTCTTACTTGCATATACGCACTTGGCCGCCCAGCAATTCTCATCAATGCGAACGACCACATCATGAATAAACTCTCTTCAACTTGAATTCCATCTTGTTAATTTGAAAAATGGTGCAAGCCCATAAGTCGAAGACATGGATAGGTTCGTGCGATGGGAACGATCGACCTTGCAACCGATATTAGTGTACCGAATTCCTCACTCGCTGGGCCTCTGCTCAAGAGCCCACTCGTAGGCGTCATCAGGCTACAACGTGCTGTTACCTCAAGCCCATCCCTGTTCTCCAGAAGCACCCCAAAAGGCTGGAAAGAGATATTATCACGCTGGTTGTTATTCAGCCGGAAGGGACCTACTTGGAAGAGCAAACATTCACCAACACCAACTTCGCGAAACGCGTGTTCTCCTGACTAGCACAGGCATGTATGAAGGGAAAAACTCGGTCTTCTACGACTGCACTTCCATTGCCCGAACGCAATAGTAAGTAAAAATTTCCAAGCACTTCGTGAGCAACGCCCTTGCGTCGCGGAAGTTCATAAAGCTGTCAGCCTTTATCGACCTCAAACACTCTACGACATTGAGTAGATTTTCGATTGGTCATTGCTTGACAAGGCCAGGAACTGTAATATTGGTTGGAGATATGTGTGCTGTTGGATATCCGACAATCAAGACCATACTCTTCTGAGGGCGTTGTTAATTCCGGAGTATGGCGACGGTCTGCATTGGGCAATAGTCGACCCATCATGTGTGACTGAAGCTCCCTTTCAGACTATTTTGCGCATACTTCAACTGCCGCGATTACAGTATGTGTCGGTAGCTGTTGACAAAGGGTATTTCGCATGCTGGTATTAGTTTCGCGAAAGGCATGGCGGTGGTCCCTGCAATGGGTACTAGACGGGTATACACAGCTCTATTGATATATATTGGAATACTATGGTCAGGAGTCTGTACGAGGTTCAATGAGTTGCTGGGCTTGATTAGGGCCTCAGTCGACAAACGCATATCCAGTTCCTATCTGACACCGGCAATACCCTAACCGACGGACTAAATGAGCAATGGTCTCAAATCAGTGGCAGGGCTTGCAGGATATGACACCTGAGAGTTTGAGGATAATGCAACATTCAAGCCATTCTGCGAACAGGACCACCCGTTCAACGACTGTTGCCAATATGCGCTGAGCATAGTTGCTTGGTCTATCACCAGCGCCCAGAGCTGTACCAAATACTGCGAGCTTGGACACCCGCGGCCACAGTCTGCACATATTGTCCTTGGTCTTCTGGTGAGAAATCAGTATCGAATCTGTCAGCTTTAACGCTCCTAAGAGTCCAGGTCCACACCCCACGTGCGCCATACTCAGGCTTTTACGGGGACGAGAAATATACTTGACTTTCTGTTAGGTATATTTCGATGCGACCACTTAGCCCGGTCACCACATCCACCTAACTGCCTTCCAGAGCGTTGAGGCTAAGTTACTGGTTGAAAGTTGAGTCAAACCTCGCTTGTCACTGAAGATCGTAGCACAAATTGGGTCTAGTACCACATTTTCGGTACCGCCGACCGTTGTCACAAGGACATCTCGACGATCCAATAAACTTCGGCAGTCCTGTCTTCCCTCCGCATGCTCTTGCCATCAACCAGCATGCCAAGCTTTGGGTTCGGTGTGGGGTAGATTATAAGCTGGGGAAACACGCCGTATTTGGCGTCCCCTCGGCCCCGTTGTTGGCCCCGTCTATGGAAACCTTCCTGGCTTTGAGTCTGGCTTAGGGTTCCCTCTGGAACTCGCAGGAGCTTGGATCCGCTCGGTAAACTATCTGAAATTGTGCTTCTTTGGCCAGAAGACACAATACACCAGCCTATATCATGCCCTCAACTTCTACCCCTACCTCCGCCCATGAGAAGGGCACGGAGAAGGAACTAGATCCTGCTAATACAAACGAGGAGGCATTTGTCGATGTAAACACGGCCGTGCAGCTTGCGCATGAAGTCGACGACAACAGATATTCGCCATGGACACCACGGATGTTCCGTCTGTACCTCGTTCTCGCAGTCGCGTATCTCTGTGGTTGTCTTAATGGGTTCGAGGGGTCGTTGATGGGCGGGTTGAATGGGATGAAGTCTTATCAGCGATATTTTGGCATGTAGGTCACGTCCTCCTGCACTATCAGTTGTGTCTGTACTGTGGAAGGCTGAGGGATGATCTTGTCGTCTGTAGGGCACTTGCCGATTCTGGTACCGGGCTTGTCTTCGCCATGTATAATATTGGTGGTTTGGCTGCTGTGTTCTTCACTGGTCCCATGAATGGTAAGTAATACTCACATATCTGAGTGGCAGCCCACCACCACATCAACATGAGAAGTCATCGAAGGGCTTTGACTAATTCGACATCACAGATTACTTTGGCCGACGTTGGGGTATGTTCACAGGCGCTATCATAGTCATTATCGGTACTTGCGTCCAAGCGCCCTCGACATTTCGAGGCCAATTCCTTGCTGGCAGATTTGTTTTGGGATTCGGTGTGAGCTTCTGCGCAGTTAGTGCCCCTTGTTATGTTAGCGAAATGGCCCATCCCAGGTGGCGTGGTACACTCACTGGGCTCTACAACTGCACCTGGTAAGCATTATTTGAATATCCACTGATGGCATGGTATTCTATTGATATCTGATCTCTAATGCTCCGTTTGAAGGTACATCGGTTCTATTATCGCTAGCTGGGTCGTCTACGGATGTTCCTATATTGACTCGAATTCCGCTTGGAGAATTCCAGTATGGTGTCAGATGATCACGTCCGGATTTGTGGCACTGGGAGCTTTTTGGCTCCCCGAGTCGCCCAGATGGCTAGTTTCCCAAGATAAACACGATCAAGCGGCTCAGATATTAGCCAAATACCATGGCGAGGGCTCGGTAGACCATCCTCTCGTGCAGCTGCAAATCAAGGAAATGGTCAATCAGATCTCGGCTGAGGCTTCCGACAAGAAATGGTGGGATTACCATGAACTGTGGAATACGCGTTCTGCCCGTCGACGTCTGATCTGTGTGCTTGGAATGGCCATGTAAGTCAGACATACACACTTGATCCCCCCTCAACCAATCTGACCGTACAATCAGTGGAGGCCAAATATCAGGAAACCAGGTCTCGGGGTCGTACTTCCCAGCCGCTTTGTCAACAGCCGGCATAACGGACGAGAAGCGCGTCCTGGCCCTCAACGGCATCAACCCCGTCCTCTCCTTCCTGGGTGCCATCACCGGCGCCCGCATGACTGACGTCATTGGCCGCCGCCCCCTATTGATATACTCGATCATCTTCTGCGCCGCGTGTTTCGCCTGCCTGACAGGAACAGCCAAAGCGGCGACCGACGACCCCTCCAGCCCCCGCGCCCCCGCCGCAGCCAACGCCCTTGTGGCCATCATCTTCATCTTCGGGATAGTCTTCTCTTTCGGCTGGACCCCTCTACAGAGTATGTATATCGCCGAATGCCTGCCAACATCAACGCGCGCTAAGGGCACGGCCGTGGGGAATTTCGCTAGTTCGGCGGCGGGGACGGCGCTGCAGTACGCTTCGGGGCCGGCGTTTGAGAAGATCGGGTACTATTACTACATCGTGTTCGTGTTCTGGGACCTATTTGAAGCGACATTTATGTATTTCTTGTTTCCAGAGACGAAGGAGAGGACTTTAGAGGAATTGACGGAGGTTTTTGAGGCGAGGAATCCAGTTACGAAGAGTTTGGAGAGGAGGAGTGCGAGGACGGTTATGAATACGCTGAATGTGGTCGCCGAGGACGCCAAGGGTATTGCTTAGAAGGATTGAGTAAGACATCAGTTACGTCGATATGGACAGGGGCTGACGTACACAATGATGTATGGCTTCCTGCCGCTATGCTCCGGATGCATCGATAACTCGCAGCTGTATCTTCTATTTCCTCTGTACATGAAGAGTTTCCCTGATATGTAACTCCCTACGCGAAAATGAACCGTTTGATCTTGACATACCACGGCACCGTGATCTCCCCTTTACTCTGCCCCAGCACAGCAGCACTAACCGAATCGACGGGAACATCCCTCCTCCCCGAAATGAGATCGACCTCCATCAGGGGCACGACCTTAGTTCGTTTAATAACCTTCCAGCCGATGTACAGCACCACAAACACAGCAACAACAATATAATTAACCACGAACCCTACCGCATCAAATCCACCAATAAACACGCCATACCCAGCAATAAAGACCAAAACCGTGTTAATAATCACAACAAACCATGTCCCATACGGATACCACAGCGCCCGAAACGGCAACTCCTCCAACGCATGCCCCTGAATGACCCAAGCCTGCCGGAAGCGCAAATGCGTGACGCCGATGAAGGCCCAGGCAATGTACGTCGCGGAGCCGCTGATGGCAGTCAGGTAGCTGAAGACTTTGCCTGGGCCGGCTTTGTAGTTGAGCATGGCGATTAGGCCCAGAAGGTTGGAGAAGACGAGGGCGTTGACGGGGGTGCCGTTACTGGTGGTACGGGCGAAAATGGCGGGGGCGCGCTTGTTGGATGCCAGGGAGACCAGGCTGCGGGAGGCGACGTAGAGGGCGGAGTTCATGGAGGAAAGTTGGGCGGTTATCCTGGTATAGGGGCTTAGTGACAGGCGGTTGGGGGGGGTATGAAGGAAGAAAAAGAGGATGTAATTAACTGGATGTGAGGAAGGAGAAGACTCACATTACGACGTTGACAACATGCCCCATCTGTGGTACGCCGGCCGTTTCAAATGCGATCGTCCAGGGTGACTTGCCAGATCGGGTGCTTGCGGTCAGTAGTCCTGGACTGTTTGACGGAACGATTATGCCTGCGAAGAAGACCAGACCCCTATTGACATCTCTCGTGAGTACACAGCCTCGACAAAGTGGATCTCATGAGATGGTGAGTAGGACTTACAAGAAAACGATCAAGACTCTCCAAAACGTTGATTTGATGGCTTTAGGCAAATCCTTCGAGGGGTTCTTGCTTTCCGCAGCTGTAAGCGCCAGCATTTCCGTACCTAGAGTCAAGAATTGTTATTCATCACGCATTCGAACCACCGGGGGAATGGATGATTCTACGACTTACCACAGTAGTAAACGGCCGCCAGCAAGAAACACTGGCCGAATCCATCAATTCCATTGGCGATTGGCCCAGGATCTCTCCAGTACCGAAAACCGATATAGTCTCCGCCAACGGCCCCTGTGTTTATAAGAATAGCACACAGGAATCCGCCCAGGATACACGTCAGTTTCCAGCACGCAAAGTAGAACTCCATTTCTCCCCACACGACGACCCCGAGCAGTGAGGTACCTTGGTAGAATGCCCACCAAAGCAGGATCCAACCGTATGAGGGCACAGCGTCAGTCCAATAGCCCATGATGATCTGTTCACAGTTAACATCAGACTGAACACAGATAAGGTAGTTGGAAGGGATACCTACCGAGCTCGCGTTGAAGTCACTAGCAATATTGGTAATCCAGAGGTAAAAGTAGTTCCATCCCAAACTAAAAGAAAGTGATGGATCGACGAACCGACCGGCCAACTCAATGAATGCACCTATCGCACCGACGTCAACCTCATTCTCCAGTCTCCCCATAGACTAGATAGATATACGTACCTTGAATAGGGAACAGAGTCGACATCTCCCCAAGACACTGCATGACGAAGAAAACATCAACACCGATGACGAAGAAACAGACCAAGGCGCCCACCGGCCCGCTGTAAGCAATCGCATAACCCGTCCCGTACCAGATACTCGCGCCGACGACGCCGCCGAAACTGATCATAATGAGATGACGGTCTTTGAGACCTCGTTGGAGGCCATCGTCTGTGAGATGTTAGCTGCCATTCTTGACTCTCCATTGTTACTGAGCGAGCAGGAGTATAGTGTTTCGAGTTTGGTGCAGGGTATTATCCACACGACCAGCTACGACATAGTAGGACTTCAACACATACCGATGATGTTTCCATTGTTAGCGACTTCCAACGAACGGATCTCGCCCGCCTCCTCACCGCCCGGCCCTGATGCCGCCACGTTCAAGGCGACTTTCGTGTCTCCTTGGGCCAACATCTCGACCGCTGTAAGGTACACGCCGCTCCACTTGATCGCAGCCGAAGTCGTAGACGCAAATTGTTCAGTAGCGCGACTTACGAAAAATGCAGGTCCGGAACGAGCGATGTTGAGCCTAGAAGTCGATCAAGACATTACGGGCATGCGATGTCATTGTACAAAACCGCTGGTATATGACACGACTGCGGTGATGAGTGTATCCTGCGGTTGAGAGCATGCTAGCCGCATATGTCATCGGCAATCAGCGAGTATCTGTCTGCCCCACCACGCGAGAGTCCGAAGGCGATAGGTACTATGTAGCACATGCGGAGGTTATCCCTCGTCATTATTAGCGTGCCTCCTCCGTTGCGTTGCCTTGTAATTGCCGGTGCGTAGAAGGATACCGAGGCCGATGTTATCGATACTGTAGTTATCATGCGGGACCGAAACTCGCGAGATAGGGTCAAGAGTGGAGAGCTGCGGAGGGTTGATGACAGGCAAGTCGGGATAAGCCCACTCACCCGCATTATCTGACCAGAGCTTGCCCCCGTAAAGGCTTGGGCCATGAGGTCAGGGTTTCACTGTTGAGAGCTTTAGAAATCAGGAACAAGCCACGATTCGGGGAATTGATGTGTGTCGTCAAATCGGTATTCCTTCGGCTTCAATGGGAGAAGGACTCTGAATCTCTTGTTAAGGCCAATTTTGCCAGTAAGACTTCACAGGTTCATTGAGCCGGTATGTATTCACATTGATAGCAAGTCTGTAATAGTGGAACCCTCTCATTCTGAGTATAGTCTGTTTCAGATGACATGCCAACTCTGTTTGATAATACTATTGCTCACCTATCGGGCGTTATCCTCAGATCGTTGCATACAAGCTTCGAATGCTCGCGCTATCCTGGTCTCGATGGTTGCCTTGAAATTCTTCGAAATCGAAATCTGTGCCGTGGTATCGTTGCAACGGTTGACGTACTTAGTATTGGGTGGCATAGGAATGTGTCAGATCTTGAACACGATCAGTTGCAAAAAGATTGCAGAGAGTACGCTGTTGGAAAATTATATCGCAGTGCATCCAGGAGAAACACCACTGTATGCAAAGGGATAGGGTGCTGCAACTTTGTTCGAAAACTCCTTCTCTTCTTCAGCCAGCTCTCCAGGCCGAAGACGTCAGCATAGCCACAAATCGCAGTCTGTTAGTATGCAATCTACCACTTACGTTTAAGATGTTTCATGATCTACTGTGGCTGGTTGCTTGAGCGTTGACCAGTATCATGACTCTTTTGGGAACTGTAGCCTTACGATACGGCAGTACATGAAGAGGTGGATAGAACCGCAGAATTTATCGCACAACACCAGCAACAGAGGATGACTTCTCCTCGCTCACGGATTGATCGAATGACTCTTCCATGGTGCTGTAAGAGCTAAGGATGTCTTCGAATGTCTTATCCTGTACTGCCTGGCCCTCGGGGGCTAGAAAAGCGATAACAGCAACGGCGCTAGAGATGATAGTTTCGGATCCACTAGACATGAGTCCTCCGAGAATTGTACGGGCATCAGATGATAGATGTCGGTTTAGTGAAGCCCCAAAGTTTAGACAGTTGAATAGAAAGTAAACCTTCGGCAACACAATTTGACTTTTTGCTAGCGTCATTGTGGTCTTTGACCTCCTGTAAGACCGCAAAAAGCCATTTGTCCCGCCGAGATCTCATTCGGTGCACCTGTGGAATGGAGAGCCCAACAAGTATCACAGTTAGGCTGTCGCTAGCATTCTCAGACGAATCCATCACAGTGCCATGCGTTCAAGTTGCCCTACCAAAGCACAACGATGATGGTGGATCCAGTCGCCCTTTGTCGGGTGTCAGCTGCATGAAATGGAAACTGAGGTTCATCGAAGATTGTAGATTCTGGATGGCATGGCCGAAGTGGACGACATCGAGCTGAACTTTTGGATTGGCAGTATGAGAGAGCGGTTGGATGACTGGTTGGACAAATCAAAACAAAACACAATACACCTACCATCTTGAGTTCAGAGTAACCTCTAGGCCTCTGGCTACCAGTAATGCGCAAGCACAAAGCCCTAATCAAACTCCCGATCGTGGACATGCAGATTATATGCCAAGAATTTCATTCTTCTTGCTTTCCAGCCTTTCCCAGGTTGGCTTGAAGATAGACGGCAAATCTTTGTCTCCCAACTTCCTGCCCTTCATAACAGTCGCCAGCGCCTTCGAAGCAAGATAAATGATGGGCATGCCGTGGCCACTGAACCCAGCATTGATGAATTGCCCCGGCTTTCCGGGCACTTCACCCACGTACGGCATAAAATCGGACGGTCATCCCATGATTCCAGTCCATACACTCTCAGTGTAGGCACCTGAGCCTTCCCAGCCCACGAAGTGTCGCTGCATCAAGCCATCGAAATATCCAGAAGCTGGCTCGATCAGCTTGCTATCATCAACTACACCGTACCAGTGCGTCTTATCATGCCAAAAAGGCTGCTTCGCACCGCCCACGATGATCGATCTGTCAGGTCGTTGGATCAGATAATCGTACTGTGCTTTCATGTAACGGATGCTGTATGTGTGATCCAAAAGTTGCGGTGAGGTGCTGGGAACTACGATGCGACTGCAAATTCCGCGAACGGGTACGATTTTCTCGTGAAATTGCGAAGCAATAGCTGCAGTGTAACCATTTGTTGCGAAGACAATCTGCTTCGCACGGATACTTCCACGGGGTGTTGTTATTGTCCAGTTTCCTTCCGAGTCTGGTGCCTCGGACACAGACGTGACGGGGGTATATGTCTGGACGTTGACGCCTTCCTCAACCAGATTTGAGAGAAGTCCAATGACGAGTTTATACGGCCAAAGGGCCGCAGCTGGATACGAGAAACAGCACTTGGCCCCCTTCACACCGGATATCTTGCATCAGGGCATTAGCCATCGCGACAAAATTTGCACGGTAAAGCGACTCGCTCACCTTTTCGGCCTCATCCCCACCGGTAAACTGGATATCCGTGAGGTCTGCAACACCCATGCGGAGAAGTTCACGATATATGTCTTCTGTTGCCTTGGCATGCTCCACGTCTAGGTAGGCATCCATCGCCCTCGTCAGAACGAAATCACACTCGATCTTCTCCTTTTCCACCATTTCCTTCACGGCAAGCACGTTGGCCGCCTCAAAAAGTGCGAAGGACGCGGCGGCCTCGGCGCCGTACTTGTTGGTGTACTTGAGGATATTGTAGTACACATCCGGTTTGATATGACCGCCTACTCATTCGATTAGTTATTTTCCCAGAGGATATGGCAGCAGGGGGACGCCACCATTCCGTCCTGATGCCCCTGAGCAAGCTTCTCGGGCCTCCAGCATAACCACAGATGGCCGCTTCGCCTCATTGTCATCAAGGAGATGGTAAACCGTGCTGACCCCAGCATACCCAGTACCGATTACGACTATATCACATTCAGTCGGTAACTCTTCCGTAGTCCTTATGTTGTCTAAGTCGTGGAGTTCGGTTCGCCAAAAGGGAGTCGTCGCGCCTGGGACAGGTAATTGGGTCATGGGAGTTTGGGTCGTCATGGTATCAGTGCCAGCCAGTCACGAACTAACTTCCAGTTGGCGAGTCGCAATGACGCATACTCGAAGCCTATCGTTTCCCCTCTTCCCCAATCCAAACCTCCAGCACTAGATGCTGACTGTTAAGATGGCACAGCGGTCGTGATCGGAGCCTTCCGCTATCTGTCGCTTCATAAGACGGAAAATCCCGAATAATCTATAGGCGGAAAAGCGGGTCGACCGGCATCAGTCGACTCGGGTCCTATGGTCGATCATGAACCGCATCGGATCAGGGCGACTCTTGTTCGGATACATCTCAATATGCTGTTCTTGGTGCTCTATAAGGTCTGCTTGGCTTCTTCTGACTGATCGCGTTCATCGCAATTTGGGTTGAGTGTTCGCGAAATTCCCTTGTCTGATTGCGACCACGAGGCTCAAGTTCGAACACCTTGACCAGCCACACTATCATATTATTTCCAAATCTGGCCTCATACCCAGGACCCTTATCCAACCATGGCGAGACGCGGCAAACACGTCGTCTTTGACATAGTCGGCACCTGCGTCTCCTACGACAACTTCTTCTCCGCCATCGAATCCCGCCTCGGCGACCGTCTCCGTGCCGAAGGCATCAAACCCAAACTCTTCGGCTTCGCATGGATGGAATGCGCCGAGCGTGAATTCGCCTACCTAGACCTATCAGGCCGGTACGTGCCCTTCTGGTCCACATTTCAGCCGCTCTTCCACCGCATCCTCTGGATGGCAGGCGTCGAGGACCCGCGCGCCTTTGCCACCGACGACGACGCCCTGTTCATGGTGCAGGCATACCGGCAGCTGAAGGCCAGGCCGGGCATCAATGAGTGCTGGGAGAAGTTAAGGGATGCTGGCTTCACGGTTTGGGCGCTGACGACGGGGGATAAGGAGAGGGTCAAGGGGTATTTGGATAGTAATGGGATTGAAATTTCTGATGATAATTTTGTCAGTTGTAATGATATTCCGGTTAGGAAACCGCACCCCGATAGTTATAAGTATTTATTGGATAAGTTTGAGGGGGCTGAGGAGACTTGGTTTGCGGCAGCGCATATGTGGGATGCATCCGCAGCGAAGCACAATGGGTAAGTATTTCCCCTGGGCTGGGCCGAGTGAGCTTGCGTTGGAGATGATGACTAACAGCGAAACTGAACAGATTCAAAGCGGCTTGGTGTTCGGTGTATGAGAAGGAGCCGGTGAGCCAGGTGTTTGGCGATGTGGACGTCACTGCGGACTCGCTTGTGGAAATGGCGGAGAAGATAATTCAGGCTTCGGGGAGGTAGTTGCTTGTCTTTCATATTTGTATATGAACTGTATTAGAACTATACGCGATGCTTCCTATGTGATAGATTCCGGGGGAAGCTCATATCCACCTCAAAACTTGTTGTTTCGCGCTGCGTTCCATGATTTCGTGATGTTCTCCCCAGACCACTCTTACCACAACCAAGATTCTGCCTGATCCCCGACAATTTCCATCATCAATTATTCTTCACATGGATTGTCAAGGGACGTTGGTGTTAGGAAATTCGAACACCGAAATCGCAGAAGTTCATGGAAGGTGCTCGTGGATCAAAGAGAGCGAAACTAAAGATACCATTGAGATGCCATCATCTGTGATCTATGAGAGGATCAGCTTTCAGTTCCAAGCCTTCCCAGGCAGGGAAGATGTAGGAGGAAATGCCTAGGGCGAGTCCGGTACAAATGAATCAGGAACGTGATCTGGGGTTAGACCGTGACGCGACAGGAGACAGACAGAGATGCAGTATGCGGCCCTTGGCATGCTGCCCACGAGACCGATGAGAGCGAAGAGTGGTGCCCTTCGGCTTCGTACTCCTCTCCCCAACACTAAACCTTAAGAAACTAAAATATGATAAGCTAAAAGCGAAAATATTAGTGGTGCGATACTACTCTTGAATTTTCAAATCCGTTATCCTTTCAAACGAGAGAAATGTTAGGCACCCCAACGAAATAGTAGTAGAAATGCAGTTTCGTCGCTGTCAGCTTGGCTCCCGACTCTGTCCGAAATAGCTTCTTCAACTTCTTCCTTTTCACTTTGCGAGCCGATTTATCCAACTGGGGGTCGAGGTAAAGTTGGTTTCGGGTGACATTGATAACTTTGGCCAACTCCCACCCCCTCCAGAGCGGTGGCCGGTTGCGTATAAGATATCTAAGCTAGCTCCAATGCCAAGCAGGGGATATGCTTCCAGGTAACGCCGCGGCCACAGGTGGAACCTCAAGGGCCCAAGCATAGGCAAAAGCCGACTAACAAGTTGCATGTGTCGCGCACAGGAATTGGCAACATGACAATTCAATTAGAGCTGATGATTTATGGTGTTGACCATGGTAAAGATCACGATGAATATCAATGGTGGATTTGGAGTTGGAGGGTGAGTAGATGAGAAGGAAAGGAGAGACTTGAATGGAGAGAGACTAGAGAAGCAGTGCAAAACTTGGAAGGGGGATATTGTGGCAGGGGCGAGTAACATCCAGACGGCAGGAGCTCAATGAGTCCGATAATTGGAATGGAATAATGCAAGGACACATGCATAAGAGTGGTTCCTCTCATGTAAGTAGTGAGAAATCATGATGAGAGGGAAGGGAGGGCACATGAACCTTTGCGAAGGTGAAACCCATGACGTCCACAGTCCACAGCGGTGGAGACACGCAATTCCGAGACGATGAGTAATGGGAAGACCGGATCCAGGAGAAAGATGGATATAGAGAAGTCGCCAACAAGGTAATTTGGTATTCGAAATCCGTAAAGGGGTCTGGCGAGATCAGTGGACATGTTAAGTTCTTGACAATGTCAACTTTCAGACTTCTTTCATGAGCCTGTATCATTACAAAGAGGCAGGAGACAAGGAGGAAACGGATAGTCTCTGCATTGATGTGATGACATAAACCTTGACCCTGACCAGACGCGATGGAAAATAGCCTCTGGGTGGATCCTCTCCATGGCAGCACAAAAGGCGTTAAGATCTCTGGGGACACTCTTTCCAACCTTGAGAGAAGGTGAAAGCTGGCAATCCAATTGCATGCTGCAAGAAAACTATAAGAAGTTCTCAAGTGCGAAGACTGTAATAGCATATGCGCCGAGCATCCAGTGAAGTGCTGCAAATTTGGCTCCCCCAAAGTTCTAAATGTGGTGCCTAGATTAGTTCAAATCCGCCCAATCATGGAAATGATGAACGACCTGGTTGACGGACAAAAGGCTGCCAGTTGACCGACTCCAGAAAACTCCAGTAACGTTTTCTGGTGCTTTCGGAAAGCGAGGTCTGCTTTTAGTTCATGGTAGCGTGGTTGGACAAGATTCCAGGGGCTAGAACTGCTTAGAACCCTGTAGGCCAGGTGTGCCCACAGCTTAAATGAGGATGACACCACAGACCCATCTCGTTCTCGGCAATCTCATTCCACAAGACCATCACCATCATGCTCTCGTATTTGCGGTCATGTTTATGCCAATTGGAGGCCAATAAGAAATCGTTGAGACAATCTATGTCGTTATCAAGGAAAGTAGAGTAAATTGTAACAAGGAAATCAGAAACCGAATCACTGCGCTGCTCCTTCTCCCTCCCCATATGCCGCAAAATGAGAAAAGAACGTCTCGTGTCACTGATTTCTGAGAGATGGCAGGCCTCGCGGTTGGGGCAGTCAGATTACCAGTTGCATAGTTTTCTCGGGTTGAGAATCTCTGCCTGTTGTTCCTTGGTCAGCGACGAGCATGCACCACACTTGCAGACGAACCCCCAAATGCGTAATAGATGCTCAGGGTTTCTGCAGTATATTATGGTCAATTCTGTTCCTGCCGACACATCTCTCTGCACGGTAAGCACGATACTGTCCCTAGTTTTATTATACGTGTATAGAATGTTGTTGAGAGGCGGGCAGGCGTGGTTGAATCTGGAAGCCACGAGGAAGACACCCTGCTTCGCGCTGAAGGCGTGGAAGCTGCGGCAATAGTCAGTACTTTTTATCATGGTACTCAGAAGTTTAAATGGTCAACAAGCTGAACATACCTGTTTGTCTGGAAAATGGCGGCGATTTCATTCTCATTGCCAGTTGGCTTATGCGCATCCGCGCATGCATCCGTTTGAAGGCCTGTTTTTGCAGCCGCGTTAACTTCTCAAAATTATCGAACAAGGTGAACCTATTGGCGTGGAAGAGGGCTTTCTCGATGAGGATGGTCTGACCCCGTTTGAGGTCTCGGAGGGCGAACGAACCGTAACCGCCGAGCGAGGATCTTTTTACTTCGAAGAAGACATTGCAGAATCGCTCCGGGGTACTGGGCGGGTTTTCCTGATATCCCTGGATGTGGCGTGTCATTTCCAGGGTTTGCTCACCATTTAGCTTAACGGAGCCATCGTTATCATGAGGTCCACGGTTAGATTCCCGGTTGCTTCTAAGGCTACTTTTCGTGTGTTGTTTAGATGTACTGAATGTTTCAAAGCCGTGCGGTGTCTGGAAAATTACCGTATCAAGCTTCTTTTCAACGCTATCAGTGTAAGTATAGGCAGTATCACGGGGACCAAGGCAAGTTGACTTACTCCAGGATGAGGCGACAGTATGTGACTCCACCAATAGGAACGAGTTGCTTCACACAGTCAAGACCGCTTAGATCTACCTGATGAGGGGTTTTGCGGCGGTTGGTCTTGTGTTGCTGGTTGCAACTGGTGGGGTTAAGTGCTCCCAAACCAAGAATGACGGGAGCCTCGGTATCATTTGTGGAAGTCTGGGGTCGCACGTTAGTGTCGTCGATTTTTGGTGCCCCCAGGTGAGGGATGACACCTTTCTTGGGCGCAACTGTGGGAGTCTGGAGCCGCATGTTAGTCGTGACGGGGGGTTGTGCCTCGAAGTTAGGGATGGCACCTTTCTCGGGATCGACTGTGAAAGTTTCGAATCGCGGATTTGTCGTGACGGGATGAAGTTCCCCCAAACTAAAGACGACACGGTCCTCCGGTTTTACTGCATGCGCTCCAGAGGGATGTCTCTTGGAAGCACCAAAGGAGAAAAGCTGGCCCACCTGGTCCTGTACACTAACAGAATCTGCAGGTAAGACCACATCCTCGCTGCTCCTGTCAGCCCATTTACCGTCGGTGATGGTGGGGGATTTGTTGGCACATGGTTCAGTCACCCCAGAGGTACGTCTTCGTCCAGCTCGGGTAGGAGGAGTCTGCGAATGTAAGCTTCAGGTTTCATTATCTCACTAAACGCGCAACCTACAACGTTCAAGGCTCTAAGCTTTGAAAGCTGTGAGCGCAGTTCATCGTCTTCAGGCAAGTCATTCTCCAACACATGGTCCCAGGATAGTTGATACGTCGCTGGTAGATCGAATGTTCCTTTTCCCCCTGACCAGCTGAATCTGTTGAAATGGTTAAGTGGAGTTGGCACCCTCTGCGGTGTGTTGTCCCAGTCAGGGTTGGCATTCTTAGGTGGAGTCGAGACTCCCCAACCACACTGCGGTGAGTCGTCCCAGATGATATTGGCTTTTTTAGGTGAAGGTAAAGCCGCCCAACCTACCTGAGGAGAGCTATCTTCGTTCATGCTGGCATGGTCGCTTGAACTTGAATACTCCCAATCAGCCTTGGGCGAATACGCGGGTGGACTCAAGGGCTGTACATCATTCTGAGGCGTATCGGAGAACGTGATGAGATCAGAAGTGTCAGAGAACGTAATGAGATCAATATCCTCAGGGAAGATGATAAGATCGGAATTTGAGCAGGGACCCATGCGTTTCAAATCAGCCAGAGACGAATCTCGGGGTTGACCCGAGGATACGAAGACATCCTCAGATGGTGTGGAGAAAATAAACTCCTCGGACTCTGTGGGTGAACTCGAGGATTTAAACTTATTCTGAGGTGAGTTGGACCAGTAGTTTAGGTCCAAATTGGTGGATGGGCTTGACGGCTCTGGAACCTTCCGAGGCGGACGGGAGAAGGTTGAAATATCAGGCTCCCCGGCTGATCTCGAGGATTCCATGCGATCTGAAGGCACATAGAACCGGTCCATTACTGAGGAATTCTTCGGGGCAGGCGACTTTGGCCTTTTGTACCACGTGAATTCGGGAAGATTACATTCCGACATTGCGGCAGATTCTATATATTGAGAGTGTCAGTACCTTACAGTCTATGCCAGATAGGATCAGATCAAAGCAAATGTGACTAGTACCTCAGGTGTGATGTATGAAGGTTCCAGTGTAATCGTAGTCATAGTGTAAAGTAAACGTACTTCACACGACGGGTTTCACTAACATACCTTTGCTCTGGGTTGAGGTTTGTGTAGGAAAATGAAGAGGACTATATCAATAGATCGTCAACAAGTGTCAAAATTTGACCCAGCGGCTCGGCGAGAGTTTTATTACCTACCCCCAACCTAGGACTGTTCTCCGCAATGCTGTTGATAAATTCTTTGCTGATTCACTTCAGTCGAAGCCTTGTTTTGTCAGCTGAACAATGACGCTTCTAATTGCTTCACCTAATTCTTCTTCAGATTCCTGCCAATAATCCTGTTAATATCTAGGGACAAAGGAGAAGTTAGGCGTCGAGAAGGAAAATATATGTTCCTTCCTTCAAAGTCCGCAGTTTTTCAGTTTTGAGTTGCGCACAAAGAATAGCATCTGCTATCGGGGACAACAGACAAACTTGTGGCTGGTTCTTCTCAGAATCTAGTTGATGGCGTAGAGCCGTCAATATGTTTGACTTGGGACCTGGTGTCCTTGATGAGGGAGGCTATGTACACCTGACGGAGAATTTTCCTCGATCCGGTAGTGGTCAATAGTTAATCGAGGGTAATGCCGAATTAGTAAGCTTTCGAGTGCTGTCAATGATAGATGTTGGCCTAGTATTTAAGCTGATTCAACTAATAGATGACCGTCTAGCCAGTAAGCCTAGACCAACATAGGAAATTAGCGATGGGAAACATAGTCGAATCTTCTTGGCGGCCACTCCGTGATTGACAAGTGATAATTGGTGCTACAAGTCAACAACACTATGCAGGCACACTATAGTACCTCAAGTCATTTGTCCCATCAATCCATTGCTGATTACAACGCCGTCACAACTCATCAGAGAAGATAGTTGAACAATATGGGGCACAATATGATGAAAATTTCGACTTACCTGTCTTGGATTTGGGCACTACCTGGCTGATTCAGGTGATGACGGTTTCCTTTCCAGTGAATATTTACTGGAATAGGCAGCCTGTCAGAATGATTGCACTTGATGCTGGATTTGTTGCTCGACGTTCTGGGATCTAAACTCGGGTGTAATTAGTTCCCAAGTCAGAAATTACAGGACTGTCGGTTTTCAGTGTGAAGAAAATTGACTTGGATGGCTCTAGAGGGACGATTGCAGGAATGGTGCTGTTTTCGCTGCAGAAGCAGTAGGTTAGATTGTGAGTATCGAGCAGAATGTCTCTTGCTTCAAATCCATCACTGAATTTGTGAGTGAAGATGTTATCGCAGCCAGTTATTCCATTTCTTGGGGCTAAGGGAGAAATAAAGGTTGCCCAGTGGATGTGTTGGAGGAAGCATGATTTGGTAGGGCAGTAGCTGGGGAATAATGCCTTGGGGAAGATACCGAAAGCAAGAAGGAGTACCTACAAACTAGTTGTGTATGAACATCCGTAGTGTTTGGTAGAACAGAAATGAGAAGTTGCACTCACCTTGATCGCCTCTCAGCCGTCTGGCTTCGTGTCCCAGAGGCTGCCGAAATAGATGGGCTTGGGATGGCAATGCCTTAATAAACTAGATATCGTCGTGATGAGTTTTCCTGTCGTACCCGAAATGTATATAATGGAGTCAGATAGTGCAAGGGAATTCCACAAGGGGGAAAGAAGGTACCTTTCACTTAGGAGGAAGATGATGTCAAACAGATGGTGTAGACGAAAGACTAGTGCTGTCGGTTAGATAAACTGTCCTCCACAACAGGCAGGCTCAATTCAGTGGCTTCCTTGAACTGCTAAATTCACCGCAATTGGGTCGTGGCCTTCACTAGCACATGCAGTAGAAAGTGAATGTTGATGGACCTCAGAGAGTAGGAAGAGTCTGGACAGGCAGTGATGTTTACAAAGAATCATACTACTTACCTGATGGTTCTGGTGTAAGATACCAGTAGAAATAATCTCCGCAGACGCGGAGGTAGACAAGAAAGGAATGAAGGCAGTTCTTGTACACAAAATTACTGAGGACTCGAAACTTAGAATCCGAGTTGTGCAGCCTTTTCAGAAAATAGCTGGCAGTGAGAATAAGATGTGCCTTGGACAAGAAGATCACCTTGCTCCTAGAAACATGTCGCAGGCGTAGGTCTCACTGGGAAATGTGTAAGTGGAGAAGTCGTCTCGCTGAGCTGAGAGAAGGTAGAGATTGTCTTGTCAATATCGTGTTTTCCCTGGTGCCCTTTTAACCAGTTGTTGTCGATATTGACAAATGTTGGCGGATAGTTTGGGGACGATGGAGAGTGGACGCATTGTGGGAAAATACCTTATGGGTCATAAGTCGTGGCTACATATAAGGAAGGTCCGACCAGGTGTCTAGTTCGCAGGTTTATCTGTCCGCAAACTGCACGTGCCTTACCTATGACGTTTTAGAAGGGGAAATGGGGATTGTTGGCGAAGGTGATGGATTCAAGGATACCCGCTTGAGTGCTCAAACTTGGTAGGAGAACTTGACAAATGACTGCTGCTGGCAGGTCCTTGTATTGAACATCTGGAGCACGTTTCAAAATGACATATATTATTCAAGGAACTTCTGCTGTTAGTAGGGCTTGTGCATTCTTCTTTCCAAAGTCTAGCGTGTCATTGAAAGCAATGTCCAGGCCACTGGGATCACACACAAGGGCTCCTTTGAATAGTTTCAACGCAAATTCGTTTGTGCTAGTTACTTTGTTGTCTCCTAGGATTGAAGTTTGTGAGCAGAAATTTCCCCCAAATGCGCACGCACATTGGCGGAATAAAGTATCCCAGTTCCCAGCAGCCCTGATCTTTGCGTACGACTCTCTCCAACAGAAGATTCTGCCGAACATCTATCGAAAACATCACCTAAGAAAGAGAGATAGCGACTACACTTGCGCTGCGCAGAAAGAAATGACCACCTGTATCATTTCTTGCCCCCCTTGAGACCCAGACTGAAGCCGTTCAGCTTGAGGTTGGAGTCAAAGGAGGTGGAAGCAGTCCCCGATCTCGCTGAAACGCTCAAGTATGGTTCCAACACCCAGAACACCGGTTGGACTCTGATGAAAGATACTTGATAGTTCTCTGGGATATATCTTAGCTTCTATTGATGGCAGTTCAACGCTCAGAAACCTATAGCCCTGTTCGCCCCACCCTTGGCGAAGCTCTTTGTCGCTATCTCTCGCATTTTGTTTACTGGGGTCTAAGTCTGGCATATGAATGTTTGTTGCAGGTGAGCCATCATCTGTTCCTTTTACTTGTTGTGGGAAGTAACAGTCGGATATGACAGAGGATGTAGTCCATTCAATGATTGTCATAAAGCAGCTGATACACAACTCTGATCCTCCACTCAAGACTAGCTTGGAGAAATGCCAGCAAGACCTTAATCCTCTTCAGCACGCATTAAATATTGACTGGAGAGCTTCGAACACTCCATACCCTCGAAAAAAGTAATCTGTGTGCACAATAACAACAGAATCCCCACTAGTGTTCTTTAGAGACAGCCCCTGCAAGCCTCCACTGCCCACAATAGACTGGACGCTCCCAGAAAGGGACTCGGTCGCTGAATGGAGAGAAAATGTTCTCCAGATATGCTCTGGGTGCTCAGGGGTCAATAGCAACGACTTGGCAATTGCTGACACAGATGGGAAGACTGGTCTCCCGAAGAACTATTGACTTAGACCATCGGCCAATCATCATAGCCATCACTACCTGAAGGAGATAAACATTTTATACAAAGTCGGAATATAATTCGATTAGCTGCACAAAGATGACGAAGGGAACTCCGCTTTAGAAGCTATGGCCGATGTTTTCAAAGTCCGGTTCATCCGTGTCTGACCTGTCGGACCCGGCGAGTCACGGTATACAAGGGACACTACATACCGTTCTCATGGCTTCGAAGATAAATTCCTGAAAGGGGGAATCATAGTTAGGAGACATCAGGCAGACGCAGGGATGGGAGGGCCCCTGGACTGCACAAAGTCAAGGAGGACTTGTTATGTTGTCTGCCCCCTTTCCCTATTCCTAGCTTGTCATCAACATTATTTGAAGACCGGCGTATAACGTGAATGTACACCGAGCTGGCCACTTTCATGCGCCAACGCGACCGGCCAACTTAATGTTTGATTTTCTCAACAACCAATTATGGCAAAGTCATATAACGAAGCAGACTTAATGCTAGCCCTTCAAGCTCTCAAAAATGACCAAAAACTTAGTCTCCGACAAGCGGCAAAAACGTACCAAGTCCCCCGAAGCACCCTCCAAACGCGTAAAAACGCGCCCGAGGCGCTGTGGTATTTGCAACGGGACTGGGCATAATGCGCGAACTTGTAAGATCGCATTGCCATCTTCTGGAGAGGAAGATTCAGAGTAGTTTCAATTGATTTACGGCGTTGTGGTTTTACTATCGTAAAATTTCTATGCGAGGTTATGTAAGGGTGGCCAGCTCGGTGTACATTCACGTTAAGCATATCTTGTGGCACAATAGCCCGCTCGAACCGATCCTCCACAGTTCGCTTGCATATGATATAATGCTATCTGCTTGACCTCGACGTTGCAGCCAACAGATATAGATCCAACCCGACCAGTTTTTGAGCCAAACTCTGTACCAAGACTACAGTCTACATCGATTTCTACGGAGTAGCATCACAGCTGTGATGTCTTCTAGCCGGCAGCTCTTGCGGTTAGACGGCTCCTGTTGCCAACGGGAACACAGCATTCCTTCGGGTGATTTGATCCCCGTCGGGGCTTTGCCACACTGGAAAAGCTGATGTCATATTATACGACGACTACGTAAACCTAGTTACATGGCTTGCCATAACTTGCACAAATCGTTTATTATCACACCAGATCCACCGTTACATTACGTATATTGTGTACACGTTACTTGACGCAAACATGAGCGAAATATCCCGATCTCAGTTACACTACAAGGAATGCCAATGTATGCTATTGGAAATTCCAACTGCACCAAGCTTCCTGAGTTAGCGGAGCAAACCAAATATCAACCTTCTAGCCATACCATAGTACCAGACCTGACCAGTATCATATAAAATGACTTAATCCAACGGAATTGATTTATCTTACTGGGTGGCCTCAGTGAGACGCCCACAAAGCTGATCGCAAGAGTGGACAATGATAACCGTGTCCTGCAAATCATCAAGTCGTGTACCCCTTTATTACCAGTCGAAAATCTAGTTCCCGATTTGCAAAGGCGCTACGTGTCTCCCATCAGATTCTTCGGCATGGTTGCTAAGTCGTATGTCTCGGGCATAAGAAAGCGTAGTCGTCGCTGCTATTCTGTACGCATGCCGACGTCACCTGCTCCAAGCCCCGATACTACTTCCTCTCTGAACCCCACTAGCAACGTCGAGATGCACGTCCCCACCAACGAGCAAGCGTGAGCCGCATGATCCGCATGAGAAGATGCACGCTCAAGAAGCCGTTGCTCCTCGCGAGGACCCCAACACGGTTAGCGTTAGAGACGGAGCAGCTGAAGAAACAGCTCCAGCAGATTATGGTGGTTACGGGAGCTCCAATCACAAGTCAGTGCAGACCACTTCGTCAAGGCTCCCTACGTTAGACAAGCCTGTCTCTCCACAAGCTACATGGGTATTGACGATGTGTATACAACAGTGTTAAACAGTGTTAGTTATTCAACTTACTCCACGTATGACGAACCTGGAGACAACAAATCTGTCTCCACGGCAAGACAAACACTGGTACTGAGCAAGAGAGCGCAAGCTCCGCCTAGAGACCCTTTGAAAAGGGGGGCCGCTTGCTATCACTGGTCAAGACCTGAGGTGCCTACGACATGACCTTGATCAGCGACGCAGGAGACCCTTGGCCCCTTGGAGCCACCTGAAGCCAATACCACGTTGCTACCAGAGGCCAGAGACTCAGATTCCAAATTTGTCCATGGTGACAATGGATGTACTTATAATCGTTATTTCCGGCTCGGGCCAGCAGATAACAAGGGTCGACCATTATTTGGGACCGGCTTGCTAGATTTTTGGGGTTGAGTTACAGTGCAGAGTGCCATCTGATATAATGTCGCAAGTCGGGATCTGGGGGTCTCATCGTCAAGGCGGTGATTCGTCAGTTTCATTTACACAGCATGTGCAACACCCGTTGGGGGCGGTCATGTCTATGTAAAGAGGGGTGTGGTAGATGATATTTGGTACCATGCAGTTGGGTTATCTGGGAGCCTGGAGAGCAAAATTTCACGTAGCACAGTCCAGACATAAACATGCATGCATGGTGCCGATGGATGAGGTGGGGCTTTTCTTCGTTAACGTGGTATTTTGACATCGTCGAAGCGCTTTGCGCGCTCATTGTAATGATCATGAAATTTGAATGCATCCCAAGCCTGGAAATAATTGCTTGCCCAATCTGCCTCGGCTGTACACTGTGACTATTTTCGTTTGCAGCTATTTCCTGCCCGGCAGCCACTGTTTCCCCACAAGAGGAGATCGCATCATCAGCTTGTTTGCACGTTGTGTTGAATTAATGTTTGCTTAACGAAGGCTGACAGACAGAGGCTTGAGTCGCCAGGGGCTTCAAAGCCTCTCCAATCAGTGGTATGATCAACTCAAGGTTAGCTACGTGACCTAGCAGGTATGCTTGTCGTTGAGCCATGCAGGTACAGGGATTGCAGCCCGGCTGCTTCATTCTTGAGAACATACGCGAAGCCGATTGGCGAGCTGCGGCTGTGCAGGTAGCGGGTGATTGACGAATATCCCTGTTCATCATCTTCAATTCTGGCGGGTATAGGAGTTCAGCAAGGTTGGTAAATGGGGACTCTGCGAGTTTGCGGCGTTGTGCAAGCTCCGCAGGTCCAGATGGCCTAAGGGTGATGATCCCAGTTTTGCTGCATCGAGATTTAGGAGACCTAGGGAGGTTTTGTGTTAGAGAAGTCACATATTCCAAGTCTCGACCGTGGCCCCCAATTCGGGCCAGCATTCAAACATCATGGTAATTGTCACTCCAAATTATGGAGTCTTATGTGTCGGGGGCGGCTGGAGAAACGGGAGGGCTAGCATACCCGACGATGCGGCGCGGTAACCACTCCACGTTGTATGCTGCATTAGGCTCATATCAGATCCTGCGAGGCAAAATCGACACTCTGCACACTCTAGCTGTCGATCGTGAGCAGGCCAGGGGCTTCTTCGGACGTCGTTCTTGGAAGCAAACACCCTCCGACTTTCCTGGCATCCTGGAGATGCCAGTTCAACTTGGACTGGTGTGGCTGTTGATTGGTGGGCAATGAGGCTACTACCAACTCAAGGGAAGGATGTTGTATAAGTGCTGCATGGAAAGCTTGCCGGCGGCAATCTGAAAAATAGGAAGCTAAGCGAGCCGGGTGAGCACATTATTCTTGATTTCTTTCCATCCAGGACCGAACGCCAAACCAAAAAGATTCCTAGGAAGCTGGGGGGCCAGCACTGATGCTGCTCGAACCAGATTCGAGTATTGTAGCTTGCGCCGTAGAAGCATGAACTCTTGCACATGCTTAAAGTACGGACACCACAACGCTACTTCTACAGCTGCCCATGTGAGATTGGATCCATGAAACGTCTTCCATATCGCCAGCGAATTTCGTTAAAGACGATGGTTGTGCGACTTAGAACAGGAGGTCGGTCCGGCCAGCCGTTTCAGGATTCCTTAATAAGCTGAGAGCTAAGCCTTCAGGTTTACGTGAGGTCTCATCGCAGGTCTCAAAAGGCTGGAAATCAGGCAATGGGTGGGTGAAGAGACATCGTGAAGTCGCCGGGTGAATGAGAAGAAATAAGCCATAACCTGACGTAGGAGATCACACGTAAGCCCCTGAAGTGAGGCATCTCGGCAATGAGCCTTGTGTTGGCGATTCCTCAAGCTTACCTCTGTCGTCATCCGATCTTCCCCGCGGGATAATTGGATTCCACGCCTGCGGGTGGTCTGGACTGTACCGCTCTCTGCTTGCTCCCAGCGGACCACAAAAATGGTATTTTTAGCGAGGCTCAAGGGGAGGCGAACATTGCGATGCAGGATTCTGGAATCCTTCGGGTAGGGAGATTCTGGTTGATTGGGTCGTTGGAATTGGAGGCCATAATGGCCCCCAACTCTAGAACTAGTTGATAACACTATTCCGCAAAAGGAACAATGGTAGGAGCTGATTCTACTCGAGTTGCTTGGTGGACTTAAGGCAGGGATTATGCACCAGCCACACTAATGCAGGGACCGAGGGACCATTTTGATGGAAACTTGGATTCGACTGTTGCAACGTGCAACCGACTTTTGAACTAGGTGAAGACTCTCTCTCAATCTCCATCTTTTCGGACCGCTCGACATTCTGATTCGATCTTGAACTCTAGTCCGAAGCCAAATTTGGCATGCTGTATATCCCCGGCCTCGACACCAGTGAAGCAAGGAATGCCCCCTTGTCCATCCCCACCTCTGATGCGCGCCCGTTCCCGTTCTCGGCTCCATTTTTCAAGAGCCATCCCACCGTCAGTCGCGGAACTCGACTAAGTGCTTGGGTGGGTTGAAGCGTCTGGTTCTCTTTCCCAGTCCATGCGATGACTATCGAAGGCTGCACCGCGAACACTGCTATTCCATTTGAGGCAGCCGTCGATCTGCGTCCAGATTGATGATGTAGATGCGTTTCACCCCTCACCTGACTGCGATAATTCCGAGTACGGGGTCCCGAGACAGCTTCGGCATCGGCTAGAGACAAACACTCGACTCCGGTGGGTAGGTACGGCCACAGCAACAATCGGACCACATGCCATAGCTATGCCGCAAGTTCGAAATAAACCGAGTGCCCTTCCCATGCGCCCAGTGTAGCACCGGCCGAAAATTTCCGGGGGTTCTCACCTCGCGTTCTAGTTGGGGGATACACGCATCACGCAGCCGAGCGCAGTGTTCAGGGTTCGCTCTATCACCACCGCGTGTTCGTGTTTCTAAAAGCGTTCTGATAACGAAAATCCAATTTCCTTTCCACCAGTCACGGCTTTCCAAATCAACAATTTCTCTGCCTGGCCTTCCGTCATGATGGACTAGGCGCAGGGCGCAGCTCGCCGCTAAGTCTCGGCCCCCAGCCCGCGCTGCTTCGCGGGATACCACGTTTTTTTTCCCCGACTCTCCATCACCGGGGCGGAAGACGAGACACTGCGTCAGGAATGAGCGCATTGCTAAGTCCAATCTACAAGTCCCCCACCTCCCCGGGAGCGACTCAGCCTAGCAACCTGTACCTCAACATAGACAGCCGCAGGGTGTGCTGCTGAGCTCCTCTTGTATCATGCATTCATATCCTGACCGGACTTGGTGTTTGGTACTGACTTCAACCACTCCATCCGGAGGCTCTAGGCCCCACATGATGGTCATGAAGTGCGGAATGCCAATTCCTTCCGCAGGCTTCCCTTGTTTCCCATCTTCCTCCCGTGCAACATGGGCTCTCGGGAGGCTTGTCAGAATCCTAACGTAGGGCTATGGCAAAGCTTCAAGTTACTCGATTTGGGTGGAAGTTATCTGTCACGTTCAGCAGATGGGCTGTTTGTTAGCAACAATGAGTAGCACATGTTCGTACATATATATATATATTCAGTCACAGTCGCCTGAGATGGTTTCTTTGCTGTATCCAAACTATCACCACGCTCCAACCCCTCAGTCCATCGCTTCATACCATCCATCACTGGAACGTTGCTCCATACTGTCCTACAACTTACGATCGTTTTTTCAACCCATTCTCTACAACAACCAGAAGCGCATCTCACATAATCGAAACAAACTGTACGATACCCAGTTCCTATCCTCTCAGTCTTGAACATGCAGTTCTAACCAAGCGCATGAGGAAGATACCCTCATCAATCAATTCTGCTAACACTGGAATCATAGAAGCCCAGCAACGAGGAGCCAACCCTCAGGAGCTAGTAGAAACTGGCAAGGATCAACCCCCTATTGGCGAGTTATCAACACCAGGCGCACCCAGCCAGATCTCGACGAGAGGAGCCAATCCAGGCCAACGAAGCCATAGCAGCAGAGGACGCAGAGGGCCCAGTTCAAGACGACCCGGTGTTCGCATCAAACGGAAACGAGGAGACGGCCAAGACTCTTCTGATCCCGAAGAGACTCAAGCAACGACTCCTGAAAACGCAACCGAAACCTCTTCACTGCCTCAGCGAAGTCGTGGGCGGTCTCTATACAGCAAACGCGGCAAAGGCCACACAGGAACCTCCGGGCATCTGGTCGCATCTCCGCAAAGCAGTCAAACCATCTCGCATCAAGCCACTTCGGCAACAGAACCGCACGAAACAGTCGACATGCCTGAATCGTCTACCGACAAGACTTCCGGAAAGAGCAAGGGCCAGGGCCAGGGCAAGGGCAAGGACAAGGGCAAGGGCAAGGGCAAGGACACGGGCTCTGGTGGTCGTGGGGATTCACCCGACACGGAGAGCACCCAGGAGGAGAGCCCCAGCAGGGGCAGAAGCCGAAGTGGCTACAACTAGGAGACTGATAGTGGGAAAACGCGACTCGGCCAAAATTAGCGATGGAGTTGGGGTATAACGGATGTATCTCTATGGTTTCTTTCTTACGTCTCAGATACGGTCAGGTCATTTGCGATAGATTTGGGTCTTTCGTTGGTTCTCTGCGGTTTTAGATCATCGTTGTAACATTAGCATTTACTGTCGGGTTCCAAGAACCGGGGCTGTATTGGTACTACGACGGTGCGTGGGGTACCAATCCCAAGTTGGCCCTGAGGAGTCCCCGAATACTACAATCCGTGCTTGCCTGCCTCGTACCCCTCCATACCGGAGGCCACAGCTTCCCATATATGTACCAAGCAAGCATTGGGTTAGGATATTTAGGAGCTTCAGCATAGATATATTTGATTTCATTGCCACTGCCTCAAATTACTATTGTGCCTGACAACGTCAAAGTCGAAGAAGAATCCTGGTCTCGTTGACATCTACACCTCGCTAGGACACCGATGATTATCGGACTAACGGTACCAGTCCTCTTGAAGTTTGGATATTAGACCAACTTCCAAATTTGGGGGTCAAGTACCTCAAAATTAGAAGTCGCCGCCTCGAGGCCGGTGTTGCACTGAAATTTGAACCTCGGAATAGAAAGTCCCGTCGGGTACCCCAAACAAATATTCTTCATGTAAGTATCCAGATACAGATATTGCTTCGACCGGTCTATGCCCTTGTTGACCTTTGAACCGTCTTCATTCGTTTCTCGTCTCTTCGTCACCCCCTTTGCTATCTTAGCAGCCTGCTGATAAGCACCATGGCTCTTGAACAGTCCCAGGTCTGCGTTGATAAGAAAGGCCAATGTATATATTTACCATTCGTTCTACAAATGACTTGGCCTCTGGCATTTCTGACGAGATCTACTCCCCTCGTCCGCAGCACCGAACCTACCATATTTGGCAGGAAAGAGTGCTAAACGGGCCAGATGGAGAGCTACATGAGCGAATACTGTGTGGACACTAAACCCTCCGTTGACGACCTCGAGAGGGTCGTTTGCTTGACTGTAGGCTCCATTTATCGCGTATGATGGCAAGTTGGGACCCCAACGCAGCCATGGCGAAGTAACATGTCGCCATTGTCAAACACTATCCGAGTCGCGGAGTATGGGCTCGGGTCCGAACCGCTCGATAGCGAAGACAAACGAAGACGGAAACTGCCCGGCCCAAAGCCTTCGAAATCTTCGGTGGAGGACCATGAAGTCTCTGGTAGACGGAGGTCGAGTTGACGCGCAAGAACAATGGCTAGTGGCGTTGTAAATTGCTGCCAGAAGACGACGGTCCGAATGCTCTTAGTAAGTGTCAGGCGACGTAAGCCGCGGTGCATCACGGGTATTCAGTGCCTTAAGGAACCAGTTCGAGCTCGTTGTGATGGTCAAAACTTTCTAAAGAGCGGCCGAGGGCAAGGGCGAGAACTCTCTCGGTTGCGCTGGGCTCGACTACTCTCACCTTGATCAAATTCTACCGCTCCGGGCTCATTGGGTCGGAAAATCGATGCCATGATGATCTCAAGTATGTCTGAGCTTATGAAGAGGAAGAATCATCCCGCGATCGACGGTATGATCCCCAGATACCTTGCAGGATGTAGTCGGCACTGTGGTCTTGTCCACTGCACCCGGCTCGCTATATCCGGGCATTGTTGTTTTGCCGGGGTCCCCGCGGCCTCCACATTTTACCCCGGCAAGCAACACCTGGCCTCTCGTCATTGCCAATCATTACTGACCGTATGGAACTACTTTATTGCTGCTTAAGATAAAACCGATGCTTCAGAATTAATGATTGTTCACCGCAATACTTTGGCTCGTCGTGGTGTCGCAGCACGTTAATTCGGTAAGATTGCAGTGAAATAATCATCGGCCCTTACCCTCCTACAGTTACGTTGATGCGACCCACGTCCAGACTCGCTACGGATGGCATTGGAGTCTGGAAATCCTAGTTTTCGCATTGTCGTTACAGCCTGATCATGCGTCTCATCTTACTTCTTGTTCTTGTTCTGGCTGAAGATAAATACAGGTATTTAACCTCTTGAGCATGAGGTCTAGACCGCAAAGGGAGTGGCCAAGAGATTTGGCATGTCTGCCTTCCCCAGCCGCTACCCTGGTCAAACAGAGTATACCCCACACTCTACCTTGGCTCCAACTTCAACTTGACTGATTCTCATATTCCCGGGGTGGTATCTTTTTCTCCGTCTTCCATTTCCCAGCGGTCGTCGTAGACATATCTGCTGGCTTCACGACCATCATCATGTCTACCACCAATGTCATGGCCCTGGACCCGAAACCAAAGGCCTCGACTAAAGCTCGTAGAAGAGCGACAAAGGCATGCTTGTCTTGCCGAGCCCGGAAGGTTCGGTGCGATGTGTCGCAGAGGGGTAGGCCATGTATGAATTGCTATCTTGACAGCGAGACGTGTGTTGTGACCGGGAGGGCGTCTAAGTGGTAAGATTTGCATATAACACCGGAATGCACACTAGTCGGAAGCTGACCTGCAAGCCAGTCGGGGGTCACGCGAGGGTGATGACGGCGTTGAAGCCACACATCCACCATGCGCTGCAGATGACAACAATAGCGCTCCTACGGCAGAGGATGTTTTGACATCGAGGATAAACGGAGAGCCCGTGCCGCCCACGTCGGCCGGCAGTGGTCTTATGCCACCAAATAATGGGTTGAACGACACCAGTACCAACCACCTGACCGCAGTTGAAGTTCGTGAAGGGCCGAGACCGGCTTTGCAGCAGATGTCCTGGAATGGAGGCGGGCAGTGCTTCAGCCGAAATGCAGTCCCGTTACCGAGTCATAAAGGTAAGACCATGCAGCCCGAGGAGGAAATCCAGACTGATTAAAACAAGGCCATAACCTGGGAATGCCGGATACATCGTCATTGCTCGCATCTGAGGTCCCATCATGGATGGGAGACCAGCGGTTGGCAGCCAATGCTGATGTAACTTATTCATACTATCCGTTTCTCATCATCAACAACCTCCCCAACATGATGACCCAAGACATAAACTACCTCGAATCGCAAGGATGTCTACGCGTGCCCACTCGGGACATACTCGACATATTCATGAAGCAGTATTTTCTGCATCATCATCCGTTGATGCCGATCCTTAACGAAGGCGACTTCTGGGACATGTACGGCCAGCAGGGGATGCGAGGTTCTGGAGAAAGGATGTCGCTACTCGTCTTCCAGTCGATGTTATTCGTGGTCTGCAATTACTTGTCGCAGGACAGCATCAAGGCACTTGGCTTCCCCAGCACCAGGATTGCCAGGGCTTCCCTGTACCGACGGGCCAAGCTCCTATACGATTTCGAAAGCGAGTCTTCCATGGTGTATCTGGCTCAGGCTGCTTTATTACTCTCGCACTGGTCGCCTAATTTCACCCATGCATTCAAGAAGGCCAACTCAACGTGGCTCAGTATGGCGATACAGAACGCGAAAAGTGTGGAAGCCCACTATTACTCCGCTATACCCGTGATCTCGGCTGCAGCACATCCGGCTCAACACAAAAGACAGAACACCCTCAGGAGACTCTGGTGGTGCTGCATTGTTCGAGACCGCATTTTGCCCCTGGGCTTGAGACGCAGTCCCAAAATCACTCGATCACACTTCGATTTCGACGCGAATCCGAGACTTGGATACCCAGACCTTGATGACGAAGTCCACAGATCCAAAGTGTACAATGCCGAGACGAAACGGTGTCTGATCGGGATATTTAGCCAGATTGTTGACTTAAGCATTGTTTTAACGAGTTCATTGATGCTTGTATTTCCGCTCGACGATTCTCCTGGCTGGGGCAAACGCGTGGGAGCTGAACAAAGCGAGAAAGTGAGGGAATGTAAGAGTGCGCTTAGACGATGGTATGAAAGCGCGTCGCTCCAGTTCCCTATGTTTGGCGGTGGGACAGCTAGACGGATAAATGCTATGAAGAGAAAAGAGAGCCGGCATGATTCGGTAATTCTGTACACCAACATGATGTATATGTACTATCAGTGAGCTGCCTCAGTTTCCATCATCCCATGGCCTTTACTGATGCCAGATATAAGTTCTTCAAGAGTTGCTCTGAGCCATCACGAAGTACTTCAGACGGCGGCCGCTTTCGTCTCGCCCATCGACAATCTCCAAGACTTTTCCAGCATATACGAAAATCGCCGTGAACTCCAGGATGCAACATCGGGTGTGACAGAATGCTTGAAGGAACTCATCCAACTACGACTGGCTCGATGGCTACCTATCAGCGCGTGGGTCGAACTCAAGCCTCTACTATTTCTAATTAGGTACCTTTGCTGACAGTCACCAGCGTCGCATGCACAGCTTTCCCCCTGTGCTTGCACATAATAGATGTCAACCTTTCACCTCACAAGCTCGGATCCTCTTCAGCTCCACCCAGTGCTCAGCAAGCAGCGAAACAGCACCAACTGAACATTCTCATTGCGGCCATGAAGACTTACCAACCCCAATACGACGGGGTTGACTACGTAAGCGAGACTATCCGGCATATCGTCAATCTGGCTCAACTGGACTCGCCTACACCGCCATCAGCGTCGAACAAGATATCAGGCTGGACTGACATCCTAGCATCGCAGCCGGGCTGCTACTTGCGCTTGGCCATGACTATGGATCTTAGTTTCGCCAAGGGCCGCTTACCGGTGGAATCCGACTTTCCCGCCAGCTTACAGGGCTTGTTTACGACGGGCTACAGCTCCGTCAAAGCCCTAATGAGGAACGGTATTGCAACCACTTCTTTAACACAGCACTCACCTAGACTGCCCAACTTCAACGATGCCAGGGGGCCGAGCCCGGTGAATCCTACTCCCCCGGATCGGGCCTTCAACGCGGCCACCACCAACTTATTGATAGCCGAAAATGCGGACGCGAGTCGAGCGCTATCCGAAATGCACGGCGGCCATGGTATCGTGCACCTCCCCAGCACAGAATCCTTCATCGACGCCTCTCTTAAAATAGAGGGAATCATGAGCGAGATTCTGGTTCCGTACACGCTGCAGGACGATGCCTCCTCACGGAGCTCCTCCAACTCGCATAGCCACGGGGCTGGCGGTGTGTCGTACGAAGCGACGGAGGAGGAGACGGCAGATGATTGGATTGGGACGGCATGGGGGAACGAGGCGGATGTGCGGATGCTTGGTGGAGAGGACGGGAGTGATCAGGAGACGGCGCAACTATTGCATGCTTTGAGGGAGAGTACGGGGAGCGGGGTTACGTGGCGTGGGAAAGAAAGTGCATAGTTGGAATAGGGCTCTTTCTTTTCAATATTGGAAACAGTTGGACTGTGGGGTTGGGCAACGGCGTATTTACATATCACGGTGTTACGTGCTCCAAGGTAATTTGGCCTTTTAAGGATAGAGCTTCAAATCGAAGCCATGCGATGTTCGTTTCCTCACAGGAGTAAATTGTCTCGTTGTATTTCGAAAATGATGCACTCATATAGGGTTGATCGTATCAGTGAAGCCGGTGACGCATCATTCCACGAACTTTGTCAGCTCTCAATACTGACAACACTCTCCGTACACTTGACATTCAACACGGACTTGGCATCATTAGCCATGACAAAGTCGCCAATTTCAAGGGAATGCGATGCTAATATGTGTCGAACTATAGGAGTATCTTGATCTAGGAATCTAGCACATCCAAGCACAAAAGAATGACCTACCGTTTTCATCAGAGGTCAAGTAGGTGCAACGCTGTTCCAAGGGCAAGGAGGTTGGATGCGCAGGATGTCAATCACAATTTATGTAGAGTCAAAACTTTTGTTCTAGCCCCTTTTCGTGCGCACATTATGCTAGGACATCGGTTGTTGTATGGCCAACTGTAATACTTCGTTAGACACGTGCTTTAGAGTTGAAACACGCCAGAAGTCCGGCCTCAGTTAGGTACGTAATTCCTAGTATCAAATAAAAATCTAAGGGCAAAAGATTTAAATACCCTGCACAACCCCTATAAAGATCTATTTACCCTGCAATTTCCCAGACCTCCCACCGCCTTCCCAATCCATCAGACCCACCGATCGGGCCTATCAAGCTATCCATGGGGGCGTCGGCACCTTCTCATATTATGTCCAGTCTCACCACAACTAGAGCATCGCGATTGTGAGCTCTGTGGAGGGCGGCGAGAATCCCCCTTTTGAATCCTCTCTTTGACAGGGCGTCCTCGAGGTACTCTAGTAATTGGAGGGTTACAAGGGTCCTCTGGCTTGAGCTTGAGCTCAGAGACGTTGATAGCTGGCATCGGGCTACTATACGTGGCAGCCCAAACTGTCGGAGAGAGAGATTCTGGTAGATAAGGGGTTATACCGTCCCCTCCTGCTAGTATTACGGTAATGGCACGCCCGCAAGGGATTCCATTCCTTTGATACCGACGGCATGAACATGTCCCTGCTGTCAAATTTACAATGCAAATAAGGCCGTCAGGCTGTACTACTCTTGCTTCCGTTGGTGACGAAAACTGAGCACGATTACTAGACGCCCATTGCCTCCCTTCTCGTAATTTCCCTTCAACGAATGGGGTAGCTGTCTTCCCTGCCTCTATCAACCGTAAAGCAGATTGAAGCCGAGCTGCCCTCTTCTCCATAACCCGGTGCCATATTGAGTCGAGGAGAGCAATAATTGGAAGTTCCTGATCAAACTTTAATACTCCGTTTTGCGACTCGACGATATTACTTGTATCGTGGCCATATCGACGCCCAGAGAATAGCGCCTCGGCCCAAAGCGAAGGGTTTGCCACCTCTAGATATGCCGCAGCTTCGGGCTTTTGTTGTCGAAGCTTCACTAAAGCTGCCTCGTATTGGGCTAGAGTTGGTGCTCGGGCGATAGTCCAAAATAAAGAGGCAAGCCCTCTCCCGAACTTTCCCGTGAAATTCTCCTTAATATGATGACAGCACCACGCCCCTGTAGCTAGAATATAAATCTGCCAGATATCCTCACTAGGGGAATAGGTTGCTCGGCAGTGTCATAAACAGCCGCTTAACGCAGAGGCACACACCCAGGAGCCACGGGTCTTATCTCGCCGCTCAACCCGATAAGAGAATTTCTCCTTTACAGCCCAGTTGTCGAGGGCAAGCGATAGAGTATCAAGGTCAAGGAACTCTTGTCCATCAATAGGAATAGATAATAGGGGTAGCGACGTCATGTTGAGCTGAGGAATAGTAGTCGTATGCTAATTCCAGAGGCATGGAGTCAGAAAGCATGGCGGAAATGTGGAGAGAAAAGCGGCAGAAAAATTGCAGGGTAAATAGATCTTTACAGTGGTTGTGCAGGGTATTTAAATCTTTTGCCCAAAATCTAAAGCATGCGACATATTCTTGACTCATGAACCATGCCAACGATTTTCCAACAATCACCGAGGGTCAAATCACGCCAACAAAACCCCAAAGTAGAAAGCATCGTCCGCCTTCCCGGAATAACAGCAGATGCGAATTACCTTTCAGCTGCCGCAACGGATCGCGTTACCCCCGGATGAGGTTAATCAAATTTGCTTTGCCGATTATGGGGTGCGGGCTCCCGTTTGAATCGTGGGACCAGGGGGAGGGATCTGGGGATGACAGATCATGGGAACAACCATGATCACTAAGCTCGTATCGCTCCACTTGAAATATGACATCGTGGAACTAGGGTTAGGGATCTGGGGCGGACAGATCATGGGAACAGCCATGATCACTAAGCTGGGATCGATCCACTTGAAATATGATGAGGTTCACCTGGAGAAATTGGGCGACTTTGCAATTTTTCAACTGTCAGTTGCTTCTCCGGATTGAAGATTCATGTATTGGACTACTAAGATGTCAGTTTTGATATCTCGGGAGACTGAATTGGTCCGCCGGGTGCTTTGAGTCTTGGAGCCCGGAATATTCTTTGTCAATTTGAATTTCTTCCAACAGTTCTGGACAGAAATGACCCACCTCGGTTACCACGAGGCCGCAATGCGTGTCTTACTGATAATACCGTCAAATATATGGGAGGTTGATAACCGTTTCTAGGTGGCGTTCTGAGGTGTGATGTGGCTCAAAAAACGGACCACGGGGAAATTACCTGTCCCGCGATGTGACTCGCACAAGGCATGGAGAAAACCAGATCTGGTAAGCAAGTGCCGAAGACGTGATCAGCAGGCCTTAGCCACCCATGTGATTTCGCGCGGCATACGTAATTAATACTATGAGAGAGTGATAGACTTGTTCATGTTGAAACTCATAGGACGATCACGATGATAAATATAGTAAGCATAACTTATGATGAGATTCATTTACATGCAATAATTCAAGAGACAATTGCGTTTGTAAACGCAGTGAATGCTGCCTTTACAGTCATTTTATATAAACGAAGTTATCTTTCATCCATCACCACTCTACCATTTCTCCACTCGTTGCCGTCCTAAAATCTATACTATATCTCTATAGCGCTTTAGTTAAGGTTAACTATCTTCTGGTGCAACTGAAATAAGCTTTAAAAGCAAGCTCTTATCATACGTACTTGACCCGGCATCGTTGCTTCCTTCAAGACTTCACTTCTTCCCTTTTCCATTAGCCACTTCTTCCCTACCTAATTATCTCTCCCCAGCCACATCCTTCCTCGTGGCTCCCTTAGGAGGTAAGAAGAGGTCTACACAGCCCAAGGCACCAATAGTGGATATGCTAGTGTAAATGCCAACAGGAATGAAGAGTTCGCCTTCTCGGCTGCGAAGGCCGGACGAGGGACTTCTACCATCAAGAGTACAAGAACCTCCCCCAAAACACTAAAGCTAACTTTAGCCACGAAAAGAATCAGTTGTAGCCTGCTCTCGGTCCACTGGGACAGCAGAAATTACAAACACGGGGTTGTCTGGTTCTGGTTGGTAAAGGACTTCGTAAAACAGGCAAGCCCAGTGATACGAAAAGGTAGGGGGACCCACTGGTTAGATGAATCCCATTCAATTAGATACTATAACGTTGCGCACTACTGCATTATAGCATCCTCCCCCCTAGGTGCACGCATCACCAGTGACTAAGCCAAAGTCACAGTGAGCATTGGGGGTTATCACGAGAAATTGGGGTCGGTTGGATGTTACATGACCGGGCCATAGTGAGTTTACCAGCTCACAGAGGTACCGCACAGCACAGTACGGGTCAGGATGGATTGGCTGGCTGGCGGGAGGGGATCAAGATTTATAGGCCATGGGTTCAAATCTAAGGTGACTGCTCTTTCTATAGATGGCCCCTTTCGAGCATCCTTGCGGGCTTTTTTCTTTCCTAATCTAGGTAGCGCACTAAGCTCAATTGCGATGCTTCCTTCCTAAACATCTATGGCAGCGGACTCAATGCATTGTCCTACGATCTTAGATATCCCACGACGGCATGCAGCAGTCATGATACATACCTTAGCGGCGACGAGCTGCTATCATCTGTTAGCATCCCCTCGAGGGATCATTGCTTCACAAGCCTCGAGCCTCAAGCACTATGTCTTTCCCGCTTCCCCTCACACGCTTTGCACTTATCCCACGTAGCCTTCGTCTCACGTGCAGACCAACAGGGGCAGTCTAGCTCGACTGGGCCACCGCCGCAGTAGAGCCACTCGACATGAATCGTCTCGCTGATCTTCCGACAGCAGGGGCAGGTAAAGTGCCAGGTGATATTGGTGCACATTGTGTGGTTACCTCGAAAGTCACTTGACAATTGGGTGTTCTGTGAAAGGAAAAGGAGTAGCGGGGTTTTGTGTATCGTGATGATGCGGTGCCACATTCTTGTTTGGTTGACGTGCAGTACAACACGCCTCTTACCTGATATATATATATTATTGTACATAGTTCCTAAGGCCGCAACTGCCTGGCTCCTCAGAACTTCAAGAATATAAGGCTAGTTCTCGGAGTTCTGGAACACGCACCGTTCTTCAGCTATCGTGTGACTTGTATATAAATGAAACATGCCTGATGACTTCAGAATGAATGCAATGATAGGGTGGTTAATTTTAGAAAATGGTCTTTATGAAGGCGATTGTCTTGGTTCTCTCTCTTTCTCGGCGAGAGGGATGAGAAATAAACCGGCGAAAGGCCGTTCATACAATGGCTTTGTTCACTAATGACAGTTTCGGGAGTCTATCCCATTTGGCCTCTTTCCTTTTGGAATAGAGACCATTTCTCAGAAATTATACTAGCAAGGCCTATTTATCCAGGTGCAAACAATTGCCACTAGAAACCTGACGCAAACCCAAGTCTTTCTCACACGTGGCGCCTTCCTCAACTCGAAAGTATTCAGATTGCCATGACGATGCTGCATGAAAAATCATCTCAGCTTTTGACGGCTGCGCTCATCACTCTCCCCTCTGAATATCATACCGTCTTCGTACATAGTAAAAGCCCAAGCCGAGTATCCATACCGCGATCAGAACCAGCGCCAACGTCGGCGCAAAGATAGCTCCTCGAACCACAACAAAGCCGCTGACCACCGTGAATATGACGGGAACCAGAACGAATGGCTTATATGGTCTTCGCAGCTGCGGTTCGCGCCACCTTAAGATAATGGCACCGAGCACGGTAAGGAAAAAGAATGAGTACTCACCCAAGCCGTTAAAAGTAACGAGAGCACGGAAGTTACCGAGGAGGATGTACAGTGTTGACAGGACGGTTGAGAGAATGATGGCATTGAGCGGGGCGTCAGATCGCGGCGAGTTTTCTGGGCTGGACGGCTTGGCGTTGCCAATCTGACCTACAACGCCAAATACGCGAGGGAGCCAATTCGTGTTGGCAGCCGCTACCGCCATACGGCCGGCGACAAAGGAGTTTCCGAGTAAGGAGCCGGCGACTACGAGACATATGAGTATTGCGGCTATGATGCCAAATGCGTCGCCCATGAGACGTGTGATTGCGGTCTGTCGAATAATATATTAGCCTAAACGTTACTTTATATTTGACTTACGTGGGGTTGGATACTCACAACAGCTACACTGTCAGTCGCGGAGATAGCATTCCATGGTAGTAGAATATAGTAGGCAGCATTACTGAATATGAAACAGAAAATGATAGTCGGGATAGCCGTGTTGATGGCGAGCGGAAGCTGGCGGGCGGGAGATTTCAGCTCAGCCGTGATGTATATCGCTTTGTCCCAACCCGAGTAAGCCCACAGAGCTCCGTAAAGCGCGGCCGAGTAGTGACCAAGCATCTCCCATGCACTCAAATTCGACCAGTGCGTCTTGCTCCCGTCCGAGTTGAGACTCGTCCTGTAGCCAAACCAGGATTTCTCATACCAGTCTCTTCCCCCCACATGTCTATCCGGGTTCGATACCTGAAGGATGATGACAACAGTGGCCGCAATGACGATAAGCAGGATGCTGAGGAACTTGGTCACCACGAACAAGTTATTCAGCTGAGTACTAGCTTTTGTACTAATCCCATTGGCGCCATTCATGATGAGCAATATCAGAATGGAGAGCAGCTTGTGCGTAGCCGTATCAGCCTGGTCTGTCACACCGGCGGCTGAGAAAATGCTCTCAACGAAGACGATGCTGAGGATCGCAAGCGTCGCTGGCATAACAGCTACGACCCAGGTCCAGGCGGCAAGGAAACCGAAGACATCGCCGAAGATATATCGAAGAATCGGCTGTATACCCCCTATAGAATACGTTAACCCGGTTATTGAAGCTCAACTGTTTTAGCTCCAGGAATAAAGGGTTGAGTATACCTTCTCCAGGAATCGAAGTACCAAGTTCTGCCATGGTACTGGCCTGTTACCAGTTAGCTTAGCCCTGGCTTGTGTTTAAAACTGAGAAACCTAGATGCTCGGCCAAGGTCCCGGTGATAAGAAGAAGAGCATAGTCAAGGGGAACCTCCAAATTGCCTCTCCTTCCAACAGCAATTCCCCCGACATGACTCCGGGATTGAGAAACGGGAGACGGCGTTTGCTTGGCGGATTTCCAGTGATATATCCACTTGTTGAACCAGCACCGTTGGTCCAGAACCAGAGGAAAGCAATATAATAGAGGATGCTGGTAATCACGGATCGATGAACAAGTGACTCACACCGGTCCACGCTAAACCCCCCCCAACGACCCAAACGATAAGAGCCATACCCGGCGAAGGAACATTGCTGTCAATGGACCCAGGCGAAGTGAAGACGCCGCTCCCGATGACGATGGATACGACGATGGAGAAGGCGGCTAAAGTTCCCAAACTCCTGGAGAAGGTGCTGGGCTCCGAGCTGGAGGCTCCAGTGATGCCTGCCGCTGCGGCATTTTCATCTCTTTGGTCTGCGAGGAGCGGCCTTTGAGCGGCATCTTCGTTTCGAGAGTCATGTGACATGTTGCTGTCGTTGTTGTGGTTATTGTTGTTGCAATCGGCTTGATACCATGAGCATATGGACTGACAGCAATTGAAATTCATTCAACGTGGTTGAAAAGAGGCGTGCAGTTGCGTTTGAGCGGGGCCAATTAAATACGACTTACTTACCCGATGTGGTAGAAGCGTCTTTCCTAGTCCAGTTTAGCCGCTGATTTTATGCACCATGCTGACATATGGGTTGGTTCGTATGATAGTTTCAGAGTCATACTGAATACTGCACCTTTAGCACAGCAGACGTTAGAATCAACTCTCTCTCAGGTCATATCGAGACAATTCGACTTTCATTCGCTCACCATGGGCCCTACCGCAGATGTCGACATGTTTGCCCCTTTCGAACGCGATGTCATCCTAGAGGTCCGGACCAGCAGGATGAAGATCATGCTGGGCCTTGCCATACAGAGTGGCATTGACAAGGAAATCCGTTCAGGAAAGGTTTTTGTGACCAAAACGGGGATTGAAGAAGATGAGCATGACCTGACCTTTCACGGCGGCGTTGACAAAGCCATACATGGATGCGAGTGTAATCTTGGTGTAGTCAAGCAGTTGCTTTGTAGTGCTAACAAGATCTCAGACTGCTCATCTCACTACCCCAAGTGGCGCTCGGAATTCCCTGAGGCAGCAGAGCGCTTTGAGCCAGGAGGCTTTGGGGAAAACTTCGTGACAAGCAATATGAATGAGCGCAATGTCTGCATTGGCGACATCATGAGCGTCGGTAGCGAGGGCCTTTTGTTGCAGGTGAGCTTGCCTCGCCAGCCCTGCTTCAAACTGGGGCATCGCTTCCAACTGAAGAACTTCGCACCACATACTACAAAGCTCTCTCGCACCGGATGGTACTACCGGGTTCTACGGGAGGGTTGGGTCCAGGCCGGCGATGAGATCAAGCTCGTGGAGAGGAAATGGCCCAAGTGGACGATCGAGCGGCTTCAGGAGTACCTCCATCGCAAGCAGGATAATCATGCCATGAATGAGGAGTTGGCAACGATCGAGGACATGGGAGATGAAAGCCGAGGAAACTTCAAGAACCGCGTCGCGAAGCAAAAGGCCAAGGAGAAGCGGGAAGCCGGCGGCGTCAACGGTAAAGACGAAGACAAATGGATCCCTTACAAAATTGTCGAAAAGAAGCGGCAAACACCCCGAATCACATCCTTTGTCTTCGAAGCTGTGACCCCTGAAACAGAAACGCCGGAAGATGAGTTGGGTGGCCACGTGCGAATCAAACTGCCCAATGGCCTTGTTCGGTCATACTCTATAGCAAGGGGAAATAAGAACCGCTTCGAGCTTGGAATTGCCCTGGAGACCAACAGCCGCGGTGGATCAGAATACTTTCACAAGACGGCAGAGGAAGGCCACATTCTGCCTGTGGGCCATATCACAACCGATGTAGAACCGGCGGGACTGGCGAGCAACCACATATTCATTGTTGGTGGCATTGGTATCACTGCCTTCTTGACAATGCTTGAACTGTACCAGGTAAGATTATCTATGGTTATTCTCTACCCCCGTCGCAAGGATGTGATTGATGCAACACAATTGTCGCGTCAGAAATCCCGTGAAACCACCAACGTGACCTCTTGTAACAAAGCATCAGTACTTTAAGAGTTAAGCAATTCTTGGGGTTCAGGCTGCTAGTATTTATATGTTTCGCCGCCGGAAAGGGAACAGAAATATCGCACGCTCTATGTTGCTTTTTTCTTACTTCTATGCCCAAGAGCCGCACCCCAGGTCAGGAGAAGTCTCCATCTACAAGTCAGGACTTGCTTTTTTCGATGCAGACCCTAATCAACGCTCAAACTCATTCAGCGCATTCACTACAACACAATCCTCCACTACGCCGTCCGCTCCGCGACCGAAATCCCCTTTCCCTCCCGCATCACCAACCTAGGCGACCTAGTTCATCTCTACGACGCCTCCAAAAACCAACGAATGAACATCCCCACTATCTTCGCTACCCGATCCTGGAACTCACACATCTACGTCTGCGGCCCACGCCGTATGATGGACGAGGCCGCCGCCCAAGCCAAGCTCCACGGGCTGGGCGACGACGACGTGCACTTCGAGGCCTTTCAGGCCAACACGACGGGCGATCCGTTTGCAGTCTCGGTCGCCAACCAGGGGAACGAGAAGTTAAGTGTTGGGGCGGAGGAGACGCTGCTAGAGGTGCTGAAGAGGAGGTTTGGCGAGGATGACGTGCCGTCGAGTTGCGAGGTGGGGAATTGTGGCACCTGTAGGGTTACGGTTAGGAGTGGGAGGGTCGAGCATAGAGGGAGTGCATTGGGGGAGGAGGAGAAGGGGGAGGGGGTGATGTTGAGTTGTGTCAGTAGGGGGGTTGGGCCGATTGTTATTGAGATTTGATGGTTGGTATCTGATAGGGGGGGTGTTTCCGATTCCAAGGGATTGAGATGACTACTGTTCCTGAGTGGTTGAAGTGTTCAATCCTTCCCGAGGGCTCTGATTCCCTAATAGTCTGAATTACTATGGTGTCGTGCTAGTGTTTTCGTGCTTGCGAGGTCTCAATTGGGCCAAATTGTATCATACATGTACGTTCATGCTTTGGCATGTGCGTGGGTCTCCATATCTCATCTAATTATCCGTGTTGTGTCTGCCTATTATCCGACAGTTATCGTCTGTCACTAATACATGACCAAGCTAGTTATATCACTGATCTAAGGCTGTTTATAAGCTTAAAGGGGTGGGGGCTAAAGATGTGGTAAAACTTTCAATGGCGAAAAGGGGGAAACAAAAACCGGCAATTGTGTTTCCATTGAACATCAATCAATGCACAGGGTTTACTTTCTAGCATTTTCGATAGGGCTTTGAACTATCATTGCAACTTTTAATGACGTAAATGAACCCACAGCCGGTTTCTATAACCTGTCACTCTTGATGTGAGCAAGCGAATGAGCTGAAATGGAACTTGGACAATGAAACTTAGCTTCCGCTATCTATGCGTCTTCAACGTGGAATATCTTAGATAAATGTAATCTTCTTCCCCATCAAATTTTGAAAGACATCATTCATAGCCTTCCGTTTCTTGGCTTTGTCCTCACTGACTTCTGTGTTCCCATCATCTTCACCCTCTTCGTCCAAGCCTTCCAGCTGGGGCGTCCATGCCCTGATCTGACCATCCATATGTGCACTATAAAGGGCTCCGGCCATGTTTGTTCCGCCCATAACCACACCACTAGAGGAACCTCCACCTCCTGCCCCGCGCCAAGCGATGCTTGTAACCCGATTCTTGACCGCGCTTCCTGCGCCGATTGCCGACTTCACTCCGGCCATGGCTGGACCCGTGCCTCTCAGTTTCGTGATGGTGTGGCCATCGTGCAAATCCATCACTAACAATTCGGTCTCGTTGGGCCAGAAAAGTACTTCCTTGCCGGGATGTGTGAGTCCCAGCGGCGATGTGAACATAGTCACGCTCGCAAGGTGGCTGTTCTTGATGCTGGGCCCGAAGTTTGCCAGAGTATTAGCCCCCGTAGCAGCGTCCCAGACACGAATGCGTCTATCTTGGCCGGCAGAGACAATGTACGCCCCATCATCAGTCCACGTAAGTCCGTTGACGGGGCCAGAGTGTGCTTTTGCCGACATTCTCGTACGCACTTTGCCATCGGATCCGAGGAGTCCATTGCGGTAGAGACCAAGACTGTCCTCTTGGTCCAACATGCCGATTGCACCTCCAGCACGACGGACATCCCAGATTCTGACGGTGCCATCCACACTTCCTGTAGCGACGATATGCTCGTGGCGTGGCGACCATGCGGCGGCTAAGATGGCAGCTGTGTGACCCGCAAGCGACTGAATATTGGATCCTGAGCGCAGGTCTACCAGTCTTACGGCTGGGTGTTGCGTCCCACAGGCAACTAGCAAATGCGATGCTATTGGAGATACAGTGTGAGTGTATACCTTTGACCCAAGAGGAAACGAACCAGATACGCTAAGGGTATCTGTGGACCATAGCTTCAGGGTTTGGTCATACGACGTCGACAGGAACGCTGCTGAGTCGAAGGGATAGAAACTCAAGGTTGTAATCCCGAATTTGTGTCCCTTTTCAGATCGAGGAACCTGAGAAATGGCTTTGAAAATGTGACTTGTCGAAGGGTTTCCGCATTGCTCGAGATCCCATAGTTTCACCGAGGCATCTGAGCCGCCTGAGATGAGGCTGTTCACACTATCAGTCAACCCCAAGTAACGGTCGTCGCAACATCTACTCACAGACGGCCATCAAAGCGTTCGATAGCGAGAGCGTTCACACCGGCCTGATGTGCCCAGATAGAGGTTTTGGCATCCGAAGTCACAGATGAGCCAGCCTCATCGACCTGCACGGCGCTACCTCGAAGCCGCTCTCCTCCGTCGAACCGGAACTGTGGGGCGTCGCAGAAGGAGTTCAGGAACCGCGTTGTTTCTAGCCTGGCAAAGACATTTGGCCCGATTCTGCCGGTGGACCGTTCAAATAAGAGTTGATTCATGCATCTAAATTGGTAAATGATTTTGCTATATAGAAGTGAAGTGCTGAAGTGGCTAATGATTCTTTGATGTTTGAAGCTGGGAAGAGTGTCGATCCATGGTGATGTGGAGACCTGCGGCGGTTTCTATTCGGAGCCAGAGAGCTCTGAAATTGGGGGAATCGCCCTGGAATTCACTGAGCTAGCATCGCTAATCCACTGGAATTTTACATCTTCAAATTCTCACGTCAGTCGCATTACAGCACTGATCTAAAGATTTCACAATCGGAGTATTTATTATGAACATGAGAAGAAGACTCTACTCTCAGGAATCCAACATTGCGACTGGTGGATAGCCTCGCCAAGGACCACCTCCACATTCAACTATCTTCCTACACAAATACGATGGCATCCAGAAGCAAGCAACATGGTCGCTTCGTAGCACCTCCTTCCTCATCCGATTCTGAGACCTCTTCGGCGCATCACAGGATAGAAAGGCGGAGACGCGACGCCAACCTCTACGATGCCATTGCAGGTTCGTCAGAAACCGTCAGATTAGACTGGCTGTTTTCTTGCTGATATCATGAATTGCAGGGCGCGTGACAACGACATTACCACTTGACGAGCCGAGCTACTATCAACGCGCCTCGCTCCGAGATGCGACCCTCGCGCCAGAGGAGGTCCTCTTCCGACGCATTGGAGCACCTATCCGCTATGCAGAAAAAGACATCTACCACGCCCACGAACGGCTCCCGGACGCTGGTCGCGACATGCTGCCCGATAGCGACATGCTCAAGTCGATACACCGCTACGCGAGCCACTTCTATGGTAGACTTCCCGCGACGGAGGTCGGTAAGACCAGCGGTGGCCATGACAAAGAGAACATAGACGAGCGAACCATGGACGAGACGGCGCTTCTTGCGTTTGGCATTCTGCTCGAAGAGGTAGGCCGCGAGGCCCTGGGCAAGAGGGGCGATATGGTCTTCACCGAGGGTGTTCAAGTTAGGGATGAAGGTTGCCGACCAGAGACACACAACGAGGCCGTCAGCTTCCTAGACGTGGCGCCACCGCTGACGATTTCACGACGACATAATCGGATAAGATTGTCGAAAGAGCAAACGCGTTAATGATCTTAGCAGCGCTTACGATGAGATGTGACAAATCTTGACTCCCCCGAGACGGAGTGGAGACGGAGTGGAGTAGATGATACAATGCAATGCGCATATAATGGATTGTTTGCATGCACGTTACGATGTCCGACGCAAACAATCTGCTCGGATCCTGAACCTGGGCTGTCTCCTCGCAGAGTACTGCCAGTTGGGAGATTGTCAAATTGCCTGCCGGCAAAGTAATTGATTCTCTATAGCTCCAGGTTGCTAGAGATCTCCACGTTTCATGCGTGCTGACAGTATGTGACTATCAAAGCTACATGTAGCTCCATGTACCTCACAGCCAAAGGCACCTGCCAATGACCTGTCGCGTTTCTGGCATCCCAAGACTTAAAAAGTACTCTCCTTCCCCACACACACACAAGGCGAATACCACAAGGCGTTTGTTCCAGGCCAGCTTGGGGGAGAGGACGCCAGAGACCTCGAGATTGACTCGTCCCCAAGATTCGAACCAAGAGCAGAATAAGCCTGATCACTGCAACAACAGCCTTGTCATATTACCTCCTCAAACACCCAGTCACCTGACCAGTCGACAATGCCTCACAGACTAATTATTATTAGACTTCGTGGGACATTCCACTGCGGTACAGCGGATCATGCACTCACTCGGCAATTTGGTAACACCCCAATAGGCAGGATTTGCCCAAATTGTTAACTGATCTACGTCTTTATGAAACGGCCTAGAGAACAAAGTCATGCTGACTGACCCCCACGCAACTTCTAGATCTGGAAACTGTTTCGTTCTCGTGACGTGTCTGACTTGCTAGAAAGCCGCCACCATAGATTGATATATTGCTATCTAGATTTATTGGGGTGATGTTCTGCGGCTACGTGCAGAATCACACCCATTGATTCGCACGCCACAAGACCAGTCAACTGGTTGTTCCTGTATCGACTGTGGGCCAAACATTCAACTCGTCCATCAAACAACTATCACTTTGTCAAGCATTCCCCCCTCTCGTGATGATGACGCGTTTGTGGGAGAATTCACAGCACCAGGTATCTGCTATTCTGCTGTCCTGGCGACGATCATTGGACAGAGCCCTAGGATAGCCAACTCCGCTGTCTCCGCAAATGTTCATAAGTGAACTCCGAGGGAGAAAAGTTGGAACTTATCTCAGCACCTCCTCTTCGTTGCGACTCTGAATTTGAAGCTTGTAAAATTTGTCAGATGTTAATCTTGCTAATCTCAACGGCAACTGGCATATGGTTACAAGCACCAACTGGATCAAACAGCAATCATGGCGATCGGCCCATAGAGCTCTACACTGGTTCGGCAAAGAGGGGGGGTAATAATGCTCCACAGAAAGAGGAATCAGCTGCGATTCTGGCTCGGATCCGGCATTGCAGGCTCCTTGGATCAGATACCAACTAACTGACGCCTGGTATCCGTATGGATCAAGTTCCTCGATATGGGATCACGCTTCCGGAGAAGGGAAAGGTCTCGACTACGGATTTCCGAACAGGTGCTGTAGAAGATCCCTATGTTATTTCCGGGCTTATCAGACACTATCGCCGCCTCGCCGTGTAGGCGTTTATTGCCTGAGCCAGCGATCAGCAGCTTATTAAGTCCCGTAGATGTGGTTCACTTGAACCCTTGGCAAACCTTAACCAGCCCTGTCAAGCTTGTTATTCAGCGTCCCATAGTTAGAGAAATCCAGGGCTTTCGTGATGAAAGCCTTTATAAATTATATTCAAGCCGAGTGCTGTTTCCTGCAGGAGTCTGCTAAACGACCAACATTTCCCAGATCTCCAAACCTCAGCTCTTTTCTTGGTATCTGCGACGTGAAATTTCAACAACACAACACAGGACAGGAGCCAAAATACTACAGGTCATATGTGATGATGTTGCCTTGTCGAGGAGTTGTATCCATAGTCTTGATTGATGCCCAATGAAAGCTGTATCTCTGTGCGTGCTAGACAACCAGGCACGAAAGAAAATAAAATGAAAGCAGGTCATCCGCGCGTTGCAGTCAGCCATTCCACCCCGTTCGGTCTTTCGGTGTCTTCTACTTCCCCGGCCACAGGCGGGCGTAACAGATTATGTTGTACGAGGTAAACGAAGTGCGCAAACCGGTACACAGATCTTGGACACCTTGGACACCTCAGACAAGCAATATGAGCCAGCCCGTTGGGATCCGATAATTGGTTGGACTTTCTTCCCATTTTGATGTAGTTTCAATCTTGCGCATCAAGTTTTGCCGTGTAAAGCTGCCAGCCTTGCCATATTCAAAATATCACCGGCAGGAATGGTGGCCGGCTGGCATCTTCGCGAATCAGCAAGGGGATCACGCCACATTAGAAGCATGCCAATAGCAATCATTCGTTCCCCAAGTTCTGCTCATGTCAGCAGGAGAAAAAGCAAACATAAAACAATTGCAGGTTTATGATATCCTTGTCTGTGTGCTACTCTCTGCTGATGACACCTGCGCGGGGAAACGACAGGTACAAACAGAAGATAAGAGGACCATCATGGTTGTCGCATCATGGCTGGCGGAGTTTCATTCTTCCAGGTCTGGTCAGATCTGATCTCTCATCTTGAGACTAGAGCCCGGTTCTGCTAGGCACGCTGCCACGACGCTTTTTACCTGGTCCACGGGCCCTACTGCAACAAGCGGATACGTTGACCCGAGAATAGCCTCATGTGACCGGTCATTTGTGAGCGGCGTCATTACTCAATTTAGGATTCGTTAGGCTGTCTGGCGCTGGAGCCGCTTCCTTCGTGCGGGCGCAGGTCGGTGGTTTTGAAGATTATGAGGCGATATCTCGGGTTGCTTTTGCAGCTTCTATTGTCTCATTGTTTTTCGTGAGGCCTCGCGCCCCACGCCTTGTTGCAACGCAAATCAATGGAGAGATCTCCTCCCAACACTTCATGTTGACACTTTCACCGCATCATTATCACAGTCGCCTCCTTTGTGGAGGCGAGTTGGGTGTCAGAAACACAACTCTCGGAACGTGCACGATCTAACCCGGCCGACAACTTAACGGAAGGCTTCGCTGTCGACAGCCACGACCAGTATCTATGCCCAATGGAAGGGTGTCGGTGGTTGAGTTGTTGGCTGTTAGCCGCCCATCCCTCCGCCAGATAAAGGTAGGTACATTTAGATTCATCAGAGAAGCACCGAAGAAGGATCGTGTTCTTCTGCAAGTGGGTAGTTTGCAGCCGACTGTTCATGACCCCAGGTCGGTGGTGTCCTTGCAAATCGACCCCGCCATCATCGGTGAAGTTGGTGATCAGTTTTCCCTCCCAATAGCAACTGCCATCAAGTTCTCGTGTGACCCTAGCCATTCGGCAAATGGCAGGACCTGATTGGGTTTGATGAACGTGGCCTTCCGCCGCTACCAATCAATGATGCCATGCTCGAATGCTTCTGCCCGACCGTTAGATCATCGTCTCGATTTTTCCAAGTTGTGTTTGCCGAATAGAACGAAAACGTACAATTGACGTAAAGAGTAGTAATGTTGTGACATGTTTCTGTTTCTGCTTCGGTCACCTGCAATCAAGTCAAGACCCAGGATGGTGTCAGGCATCGGACAAGACACTCAATCAACGTTTGTTTCAACGTTGCTCCTCGCCATTCTGCAATATCACCCAACTTGGAGTCGACTTCAGCCGTTCCAAACTGTCATCTTGTTAGCTGTGCCCATTGAGTTCCTATGAACACGGAGTAAACTATCGTTTTAATCAACTTGCGTTGTAATTCCGCTCCGTGACGCAGCAAAGTATCAACAAGTACTCCGTTGCTTGGTCAAAACTGCCCAATGTCAAAGTCATCTGCTGAAATCGGCAGTGATCCGCATACCAAAACTTGGAGCGATCAGCAGAAGCGTGCACATGACTTCTAGAATCGGGGGAAAGTTGAATGATCTGCAACACGATCCGGATAAAGGCATATTGCAGAGCGTCTGCCCCAAGCCTGCCAACAAATTGACAAGCCTGTCCAGAAGGCCTGACTTTCTATACTAACGGTATTATCAGCCCGGTCCCTTGGCAACTTAGCACGCCCAGGTTCTGAACTGCAATACTACATAGGGAGTAAATTTAGCACATAGTAAAATGCTACTCAGCCTCAGGCGGATAAGTCAATGAGTCATGCCCATTTGGATCTTCTAGAAACTGATCCTGAGCACAAGACACCTGCGGCTCTCGCCAATTGGGCTGCCAGTACGAAAGACAATCTTAAACGCTGCTTCAAACAACAGGGGAGGACGACCCATGCTTCTAGACCGGCATTGTGTTAGCGATCTGATAAGGACCTGTGCTACATAAGGTGGGGCGTACAAACGAGGTGGTTATCTGATGTATAGCAGTTCTTATATTGTATGTTTTGATGCTGAGCGCCGACACACGGGTGACCCCTAGCCGATACGACCTACGGTGCCAGGGCGAACGCGTAGCCATGTATCATTGATTCCGACACTGACTGCGTTTGCAAGAGGATTTTGACCAAAGAGAAACGCTTGTGACCGTTATTGGACAGTGTCCAATGACGTGGTCGGGTTGACGGGGAAGCAAATTGATATGCAGAGGTTCAGCTAATGTATCAGTACATGGTCGCCTTCACCAGACTTTATGGCTGTAGTTACAAAGTTCAAAACTATCCCGCGAGGATAAGGTACTACATAGCCCATCTGAAGCCCAAGTGACTCAGTAAAGGTGGAATATAACGTCGTTAGCTCGGCCTGAACAGACCTTCACGCTAGTATCCTTTCATTCGAGGTAGTTCAGTATGACTACTACTACGGTATCAGGCCAAAGTTTTCACCCCCTTGACAAGTACCAGTGGACCACTACCAAGGTAACGCTATACTGATTCTTACCGATTCTTACCTAGCCTATTCATACTAACGAAAAGGTACTTCCACCTCTGATTCCAACTTGCTGTTAACGCGTCCTAATTATCGCGTATGTAGCAACTACAATAGGGACTAAACACCTTACAGAAGCAGATCGCTAACGAATTCGAACCCTCCATTTCGACGGTGGTAAATCGAAAGCCGAAATTCAAACTACTACAACGTTTTCTTTTAATCTGATTAAGACAGCTAGCTGTTAAGGTCGCTTCAAGCCAGGTAGCTAAGAGTTGGCTCGTGCCTAGGTGGAGCACGGTACAAACACACAATTGAAAACTTACCCATGATACCATAGTAGAAGATTTCGCGAAGATTCTAGGTTACAGTTTCTATGATGCTCCACAGAGATTAGGTGACGACTACAATCATGTCATCCGATCCCGTGCCAAGTGCAAGTCTCTTGAGTTCATTCGAACTCACTAATAATAACCTGTAAGAGACTCGAAAATCATGAAGCATATAAACAAGTTTCTCGCTATTCAAGTAAAACATTACTTGACATTATAAGAGTTGATCATGTATAGTTACAAGCTTTGATAGGTGGTTGCCTCAGCGCTGGTTTAGCGCATCGCCCCACGCTTATTTTCAGTCTCATGTTGTTCAAACATATTTTCAAGAGGTTGAATCTGCTAAATTGTTTGGTTTCAGTAATCAGATTCGACTACTTCGTACAGCAAGTGAAGCCCAACCTGATCGCGAGGCTGACGGATCCTACGTTGGCTTCAACTTGCTCCACAAAGCTGTCTTGGAAGTTGCAAGCCAAGGGTCTCGCAATTACCAGGCCAGAGATAATCAGTTCATGCGGCGCTGTTCTCTAACAACCTCATCCCTATTGTACTGGGTTGTTCCCTGCAGAGCTTGAGGTGCAATACTTATAAAATAGAAAGAAAATGGCCAACAGATTTCCCAAATTTCGGCCTGTATTCGCAACATGACTAGTAGCAGGTGGACTGACGGACCTTGAGGGGCGAATTGGAAATTCATCAAAGCCAAGGGAATCTATAGAGTTGTGGCACGATAACTATGGATCCAGCTGCTCAAGTGACTTGAATTACATGCTCGTTATGCTGTGAAACTGCGGCCTTTGAGGCTGGATCCATGTTGACAAATGTGGGGGAAGCCCCTGTAACGAGACACGAAGAACTGCAACTCCAGCCAACAGCTTTTGCCGTCACCAAGAGAAGCCAATGGATACTAAATGGCAAATTGAGGGTATTAACCTTCACCGCCCGACGTACGAAAGAAGATACAGACGCGGCTAGCCTGTACATTTCTCGCCACAGAATATTTGCCCCTCATGTTCCTAGTTTCAATTTATTCTAAATGACGATCTAGAACGGCCAAAGCTTCTACTATTTCCGTGGAACTTTTCATTCTCATTCTTGCGACTGCCAGGGACTCTGCTCCATCGCCACGTGGCCGGTATCGCATCAGTGTTGTTGATTCGCTGACTGTGGGCCAGTCAAGCATCCAGTCATACCCCAGAGTGAGGTAGAGTGACAGTTGCTTCATGTATCACAAGAAACTCGTAAGGATTTCTGCTTCATTTAACACCGCATTTGGCAGTCCGATGGATCCTGTACGTAATATCGAGATGCGGTCAAGTAAGTCCCAAAAACCTTCTAGAAGCTGGTGTACGAATAAAGGGGAGTGCCCCTATGCGGATCCCGGCGTCATATGATGAGGGATTCTCCAGCTGACAGACTAGGTTATCGGTCCATTCCCGTGCAGTCGGTGAGGCTGCAGTTTTCGGCAGGTTTTTGCAACTTATCAAGTTGCTTTGGCGTAGACAGAGCTTCATGGCTTTGGTGATAGCCTTGGGTTGTCTGTCACCTCACCTTCGGGCTGTTTTCTCTAGAACATCTGACACGTTTCACAAATGCTATTCGTTGCAGATTTCCTTACTAAACACATGTATTGAGAAGAACCAATGCAGTGCTATGGCATCCTACCAGCTAATACATTGACAGTATCACGAAAGTCATTAACCATGGAGAAATTATTGCCACCCCACATGCGCAATACGACGAAATGTTATGGTCACTGCTCAGATGAAGTAATTCAGAATTATGCTGATCTTCTGAAAATGAATTTATCACGGTATTCAAGACAAAAAAAATCCGTTCGGTTGACATCTACGAACATGGATGCCAGTCGCAATGCAATGATGTCAGAGTAGACGGCGGGGTCTGGGCCGGAATTCCGGCAGAGACCACTGAAAGTGTGTAGTTAAAGCCGACCCGGTTTCCTACCCCTCAATCCATTCTAGTTGCGCCTGTCTGTCGCAAGCCTCTTTTCTTTTGTTTTGCTCGTTTAGGGAAACCGAACTGTCGGAGTGTTGGTTTCGGCAGTCGATATTCGACTTTAACTTCAGTAACAAGCTGTAACTTGCAGAAGTCCAGAGGAAGGAGGAAGATCCCAAAGTTTTCCGCGTATTAAGCGAGCGCCGTCAACCGCAATAAGCCTTTCAGACACCCGTTACCCGCTTGGCATAATCGTCCCTGGACATGTACTCGTATTTAGAGTGCATACTGCCACAGCCATACATAACCATGCAATAGGGAGGTTTGTCTAAAAAGGTCTGAAAAAGTCGTGAACTTTTGGACCTGATTGAGCCTTACAAGCCCATCTGTCCAAGCTCTTATTGCCCGAACCATGTAGCTAGCTATGCATTAGGGTCGGCATGGTACCCCTCAGACATTTGATATGCAAGTCAACCAGAACCATGCTGCAGAATGCAGCAGTTTCCGACTTGCACCAACGATATCCACTCCCTCGTGTCTTATTCTGCCCTGCCGACGCTCACCACGGGATGACCGACATTTGTTGATGGACATGGTCTAGAGATGGGGGGCTGTGATCTGCTCTCATGGGTGGTGAACAAAGTGCATGTTGAAAATTGCCAGTGATAGCAACACATTTATTATCGTCGAAATTCGTAGTGGTCCGCCCCACTGTTGCAGTGCTAATTTCCTGATGAAAAATGCCACAGACCACTGAGCAGTGCCGTCGTCTCGTCCTTTGTGTAACAGCACTCAACCGAAGCTAGACGCAGATCACGAACCTCATCCCCACATCTTGTCACTCTTTAATTAGATGTCTCTCGTTTGCCTTTTCTTTTTTTTCCTTGTTTTTCTTTGGTTTCTTCTTCTCTCTTTTTCTTCGGCGGTGTCTGTGCATGTCAAACAGGAAGATTATTTGTGGATGTGGTTGCCTGTTTCTGTTTCATGAGAAGCGCACTCGCGATCCTCCGTGCTGCTTGGGATCCAAAGAATTGGAAGAGGCGTCCACCGCCTTCAGACACTTGCATTCAAAATTGTATGCGAAAAAGGTTGGCAATGGTGCAACGGAAGGCACAGACCCAAATCCTTGGTTTGACCCAATCAAAGTACTGGGCCCGAGTTATTGGGTACCTCGGTACTTTCGATACAGATGTACATGATGGTACATGACCACCGACGTAGACCAACGGCCGGCCTCATTGCGATTGCTTGGCTGTTGGAGGGAGAGCTAGTCTATTCCTTCAGCTGAGGTCTCTTCAATGGTTCCATCTGTTGCGGCCACTGCCCAGGTCCCATGGGCTTAGTCTGTCACAAATAGAGCTCTATTGAGTTATGCATCGCTCGTCAAGCACTTGCGTTCATCTGGTCCAAAGGTACTACTGATACCGTAAAATCTTTTCGATTCTGGAGCCTCGTCTGACCGCTCCGCCAATTGGTGGTTCGGACCCAAACCGTTGACAGTCAATCTAAATCTACTTACCCCACTTGTCCGTCAGTGCCAAAACTGGATAGCTCGAGGTCCAAGTTCCTCCACTGGGACTCGACGACTGCTGCCTCTCGTCGGAGACTGTGCAGTATTTTTCTCATCTCTGCCACTCCACTGCGGGTGGGTGTACTTTGCAACATCGAAGTGGCTCTGCCGTCTCGCCGTCTCCGCGCACAGATTTTTTGCAGTTGAGACAATCGCTAAGGAGACACCTGTCAGACGGCTGCCGTCGCCGTAAAACCCACATAGCTCGCAGCAGATCCATCCACTATCCGGTTACACGGGACGCTGATTGGAAGCAAGCTGGACTGGCAAAGCCAACATTCACACTTCACCTTCGCTGTCCCGAGGTCGTCACGACTCACGAGTCGCGATTCCCCTCACACCGCCAGTGTTACAGTTGTCGGGAGCAACCGCTAACTACCAACCGTCTTGCCTCTTGTGTGCCACCACATTGGCCGCAGGCCGTTGACCGTTGTGGTGAAGCTACACACTGCTACTGCCGTGCATGGTACGTAAAAAGAGCCGTCGGCAGCAGCGTTGGAGTTTTCTCAATTTCCGTCGGGGTAGGTACCCTTGTTCTGTACCATCGTGGTCACTAGCCACCCATGTCCATGCGATCCCTGCTTGGTTAGCTTCCCTGGAAAGTCGAGCTCGGCAGGGTCGACAAGTCCTCCATTGGATCTTCAAAGCAAAACGCTTTCTGGACCCTCTTTACCCACCAAAGCTGTCGTTGTAGTTCTGCCGTCAAGAGATTCTTGCTTGGACTCGGGGACACTGATGTCTGCGAACTCTACGACGCTGACCTTTTCTGCCATACACCCCAGCAGCATGTGCTCGAGCTTTGTGGCTTCGTCTCTGCCCAACTGCTGATCGTTTTGCCTCAATATTTTATTATGCTTCGGCGCTTTGGAGCTTGACCCAGGAACCCGGCACCACACACGCCCTCCTCACGCGCCTCGCACGGAAGGTGACAAAGCTCTCACCAGGCACGTTCTCGTTCCGATACATACACCTGCCTTTTCTTCATATGTCACATAAGCCAATAAGCAAGCGCCCAAGTACCGTGCTACTCGTACACTACTCCTTCCCGCCGGCGCTGGTCGAGGTACCTTGCTCTCTCTGACCGGTAACCCCAGGTCCCTCGGTCACTGATAGCTTTCCCATGGCCTCCCTCCCCAATGCCGTTATTGCCTGACTTGTGGTTTCCATTTGCTTAGCCCGCCTATGAGTGTACGCATATACAAACCCAAGGATGGATACCGGGCCACCCGAGACGAAACGTCCGCGTCTCTCGTCCGGTGTGCAGTCATGGCCAAATACACATCAGGGTATATCACTGCCTCCCCCTCCCTCCGGAGCCGCAACGCTGCCACCACCCTCGCACCACCCCATGCCATACCATCCTCATAACCCGTACTCGCGCCCTACTGAACATCACTCCAACGTGGCTCACCATCATCACGACGACCGCCGCCACTATGAGCCTGAGCCGCAGTACCATCCCCCCTCAATGCAGGACCACCGACAGCCCCCTCCCTCGCCGGCGCATCCGTCGCCGTATGGTCAGCACCACCAGGAGCCTATCGTGAAGAGGGATCCGGGAGAAGAGACTCCTCTAGGACAGATGCGCCGACCCAACTCGACCGGCAACGTTCCTGACGGCCTGCCCCCGACACCGCATGGCCCACCGCATCCCAGCCAGCATTCCGAAGAGCAGCGACGACAGATGAGCTTTGACAACGGATCAATGCCTCCCCATTCGCCTGCGACGTACCGGCCTCCCACCACGGGCTTTCACCCTCCCCCGAATCCAATCGCTCAGTCTCAGTATCAGCCGCCCGCTCATAACTACGGCCCTCCGCAAGGCCCCGGCCCGGACATGTACCCTCCCTTCACGGTAGCTCAGACCAAACGAAAGGCGCAACGCGCCTCACAGGTAGGCACGCGAGACAACTGACCATGATGGAATGTTATGCTGACTTACCCGTCGCTGTAGGCTTGCGAAAACTGTCGACAACTCAAGGCCAAATGTGATGAGCAAAAACCCTGCAAGAACTGCAAGGAAAAGAAAATAGAATGTCAATATCGCGACGTTCCTGCGAAACAGTGAGTTCTGCCGAAGGTCATTCATTATGTTGGCCACCAGTTGTTGACGTCCAGCCAGGTCCGATAAAGTCAGCTCGGATATCCTAGAGGCTATCGCCGCTATTCAAGATAATCTCACAAATCAGTTTTTGAGAATAGACGAACGGATGGGTAGGATGGAAAGTGCCATATCACACTTGCAACCGCCGAAAAGGGAGTCCATCGAGGACCACCTGGGGATTCCATATCAGCCTCCAACCGATATGAAGCCACCTTTACCTAGTGATGATGATGACGACCAACAATCCATAGACGCCATGGACAGAGACCCGGACCCGGACCCAACCCCCAAGCCTGACGTCTCCGAGGCTCAAAAACGACTAGACAAGGTCGACGAAGGCGAAATGGAAGCCGAACCAGGACCACCCGTTGACCCTGGCAAACCATCCATGCCAGCCAACCATACAACTCTGGCAGCATTGCTCCTCAAATGGACGTCCGTCCGTGAGCTCGTGGATAGTCTCCCAGAGGATATCCAAGAGAAAATCAAAAACTTCGAGGGCTACCACCTACACCAGGAACGAAAACGTGGATCGTTGCGCGTCTTTGGAAGAGGAGAGGGCTTTGATCGAGAAACACGGTCGTCGCACGTAGGAACCATGATGGACCAGGCCATGCCCGAGTTCTTCGAGGACAATGTATCCGAGACCGCGTCCCCTTCGCCCTCTACGTACGACTCCCACGGACAGGTCGGCGGTTTCACGCCCCCTAGCGGAGGTGAGTACAAAGGCGGCGTTCTCAAGACGGATGGGACAGCGGATTTCGACTCGAGTAAAGTCGCCGAGTATGTGCAGAGCTTCAAGGACAATATCCTGAATATGCACCCGATTTTGAACCCACAACACTTGGATGACTTGGTCAAGACATTCCTCGATACTCTGCCTCGATCATCTTCCAAGGCCAAACCAAAAGACCCGGTCGCTAGGTTCGTTAATTCAAACAATGCGACGAGTGCGTCTCCTTCAATGCCGGACACGGGTACAAAGCGGAAGCGGTCGCCGGCTGTGGAGGAACAGAGTCATCATTCATCGGGATTCACTAAGCCGGGACGACCGTACCGAAATGTTCATAGCGCCCTCGTGTTGGTTGTTCTCGCCCTGGGCAAGATATGCCTCCACAAGGAAATGATTCCTGATGTTGTCCGCGGGCATCAAGAAAAGCACGCAGAAAAGCATCAGGACAATCTGAGTACTCCGAGCTACAGCTCTCCTTCGATTCGAAATGGAGTTCCCGTATCTCCGCTCCAAGGTTCTTCGCCAGGCTTCGCTTCCCAATCTCAAACATCGGGTCTTCCGTCTCCCAAGGACAACGAACGGGTTCTCGCAAGTAGACGATCCTCCCTCCAGGGTTCCGCTACTGCGCCGAAGAGCGGACAATCAATGAAACGCAATATTGAAGTCATACCAGGGCTCGAGTATTTCGCTTTATCCACGGATATCATTGGGGGTCTCACTGGAAGTCCCCAACTAAAGCTCGTGTGGTACTATATCTTCGCCGGGCTTTACCATGGGCAACTCGGCCGTGTTGTGGAAAGCTGGTCGTTCATTGCGCTAGCAAGCCGTGACCTTCAGGTCATCATGCAGCCGTATGTGTTCAGTTTTCCTCTCTCTTGACTCGTACTAATACATACCTCTGATAGGAGCCTGTTCCGACTTGCAACGATAAAAGACAAGGCACTGCAAATAGAGGACAGACGGGACCATATGCTTGCTTTTGCGTTTTGGACCTGTTTGCAACTCGAAAGGTAAGTGGTGCCGTCGTGATCGGGCAATTGAACACCTTGCTAACTAATCGTTTGTAGCGACATCTTAGCTGAATTGCAGTTCCCACAATCAAACATCCTGTCGTGGGAAGAAATCATGCCGTATCCCAATATGGGCATTGCCATGAGCGACGGGCACCCTCAGCACGTCGTGGGCAATTACTCGGCACAGTTGTATCTTCGGAAGCAACTGAACACCATACATAATAGCTTGTACAACCCAAATCCTCGGGAGTCCGAGGAAAATCCACACGAGCGAGATCCAAACAACCAGACGATAGAGGGCAAGATGCTCAAGATCCAGAGCATGCTAAAAGATGCGAGGAGTGAACGTCCTGGAGGAGCTGGTGGGTCACATTTGGTTCCCATGTGGGTCCCCCCAGGCTTCGAATTCTCCGACAACGATCCACCAGCGACGGATATCCTTGCCGCACGACTACGCGCCAAGTATTGGGGCTCTCAGGTCATTCTCTACCGGCCCTTCATCAAGGTGATTCTTGAGTCGGAAAATGTCCCGCACGACATGCTGCTTCCAAATGCTTCGTACAACCACTCGGCTCCCGTACACCCCGATATTGCGCGTATGGCCAATCTTGATCCCAGAATCATACACTACGCTCGCTTGGGCGTTGAGGCGCTCAAGGAAAGCACCCGCGCCTTTCATGGGATGGATCCCAGACAGCGTCTTATCATAACCAATATTTTTGGAACTGCTCATGCGTAAGTGTTCTCCACGAAGCCGCAGTATTGATTCCGCGGCAACTCTAACCCTTCCGTAGCCAATGGGGAAACCTCATTGTCCTGGCTGCCTGCTACAATAATCAAGTTCTTTCCAACTTCATTGACAAGCATACGCTGCAAGATCTGTTTCAACGAACCATCGATTTCATCCGAACCAGCGTCCCCGAGACCAGCTCGAGTTCACTCAACACGGACCTGAAGATCTTGGAATGCCTCTCGCTCAAACTTGGCTTCTCCACCAGTCACGACATGCACTCGAGCTTTTCGAGCCACATGAACGTCGACCCTCCTCTGCATGTGGGACACCGCAACCACTACTCACCAGCAACGCCTGCCAACCCCATGCCTCCACCGCACTACAGGCCTCCTTGATTGGTAAACCCGGCGAGCGAAGGGATTCCGAGTCCCCCCCCCATGAGACGGATTTATATATCATACCTCCCCTAGCATCAGATATTGCAAGCCTGTTTGAATATTTACACATGACTTATGGCGGCCTTATGGCGGCGTTGAATTTCCGAATTGGGGGGCTGATGCTAAACTCTCGTCGATCAAGTCTGTCTCCAATTCGCGTTACATTGCGTGCTGGTTATAATCTCAAATTACACATTTTGCAGATGGCGTGCATATATATACACCACTGGATACCCCTTGCAGTTCAGTTCAGCTCGAGTTACTCGATTTCCCATCTCTCTAATCGGTCATTTGAACAAAGTCTTCAGCATTGCAGGAATGGGCGGCATCGCATTCACTCTCGAGAGGTTTTCCACTCCCTCGAGTTCACTGGCAACAAGTCGGAGAGATTTGGGTTCACGGCGCAAGCCTCGGCGGGTTGATTTGTTTTTGAGTTGATTTAAAATGAAATATTCACTTATTCGAATAACAATGGTCCCACGTTGGGGGACAGGACCAGGGCCAGGGCAGTATCAAAGGGTCACATCACGGGGCGGTTGGTTATAGCATCATTGTCCGGTCACTTTGGGTTGGTGACTGCATCTGTCTTTGTCTTTTTTTGTCATGTATCCCTCAGGTCTTTTCTCGCTTTGCTACTTCGGGTGGGAATGGTGGAGATACCTTTATGCCACGGGATTTTTATTATGTTTTGCTTTACTGTCATGTATATTGCGCTGGTTTTATTTGCTGTGTCTCATACACAGAGTACCCCTTTCCCTTCCTTTCCTGCCGTGTTTTTCCCCGTGCGGGATGCTGTCTATCTGGGAATAGGGGAAAAGGTAAATGTAAATGCTGAGAGCATTTTCATTAATTGTGTGGGATATAATCGGTGGCAATAGTAGCTACTACTACAGAGTGTAGGTACAGCCTGCCAAGGCCAGCTAATCGAACACGGGGATGCTCCGAGCCTTCGTGCCGTGCGCCCTGTTTCAAGCTCACTACGTTTTGTGCGTGTCAAGTATGAGTTCAAGTGCCGCGAAGAGTTGTCGACTTGGACATAAAAGTTGTATCAGGTCTAAATTCCGACAGCTATCGAAACTCCTCAACAGCTCCTGATAGGCCTCTCGATGAGATGTGGTATATATGTGAGGTAGACAACTCGGATGAGGCAAATTTGTGGCAATAGGACCATGTACACATCCGACGAACCCCAGCGCAGATTCTCGTTTTCGTCAAGGTCGAGAGTTCTCGGTGGCGACATTAGATATACCAAGATACGTCGAAGCTCCATGGTCTCCCAATCCTTGACCGCGTAGCCATCAAGCAAGACTGACGTGCCAACCGGCTGGCCCTGATCTCGAGAGCGCTACGACCGTGCGAAGAAGTCGCAGAAGGGGACTGTCTCTTGGTTCCTCAGATCGGTATCGAATTCTCGAGTCGACAAATACTGAAAGCCCCGTCCACTCACGAGGTAGTAGGGACAGACTCTGACAACGTGTTCTATACATCGAGAGGAACGACCACCAAACAAATCCACCCGTCGGGGTAAGCCGCCTCCCGCATCAAGTCTTGCAACGGTGCCGTGAATGGGACATGCGCCCCGTGAAGAAGGACGTTTGCCAGCACCGGGTCGCGACTACTGGGGAAGAGCCTCGGCAGAAGTCCGCGGAGAGCGGCCCCGAGTGTCTGTGGATTGCCTAGTGAAGTGAATATACTTGCGCAAACAAGCGGAATGTGGGGTCGGATCGGGTCGGGGGTGTAGTTATGGACCGACTTACGCTCGTTGAGGCGGGGTTGGACCAGTGATTGGACGACCTTGAAAGAGCCTGCTGTGGCACGTAATGCATCGCCGGGAGATTGGGGGATGTAGATGCGGATGGGAACGTTCCTGAGTTCTCGCGAGGTGTTGAGAAGCCGCGAGTTTATCTTGTGGAACGCTGCGTAATCATCTCGTAACGGTTAGTGCCAGGATAGAGAGGCGGAGCGAGACGCCATGGTGGCGACATACTGTCTTGTACGGCATTCCAAAGCGCTGTCGTGTTCTCCTTCGAAAGAGACATGATCTGCTGTGCATTGCCGTTGCGCACGAAATCCGCCTAGCGACCGTTCGTCAGCCAACAGGTACGCCACCCACGCGGCACTTGCAAACGACAAGCCCTCAGACGTATGTGGGCGGATGGCTGCAGGACGACGTGGCTCACCTCTTTGGCGCTGTTGAGGAAGGTGTCCCCAATGTCCCAACTCATGCCATCATTGACCGTCAGGCGCCAAGGGAGAGTTGGCTGGTACAGATCGATCAACAGACCGACGGCCAGATTGCGCAGCAGGACGTCCTCATGGTGGAAGCTGGTGCATGGCAGGCCAAAGTACGACGAGAGCCGGGGGAGAAGCAGGGCCAGGTAGCTGAACCTTGGGACCGCCGTCACGAAGGGCTGGTTTGGCGCCGAGGCATGGGTAATGTAGAGAGGTGTTTGCAGATCCCAGAGGGTCTGAGGGATGGGCGGACGGGAGGGCATTGGATTCGTCTGCCGAGTGTCGAGATCCTGTTAAGTCGGTGTGAAGATTCGAAAGGGCATCTTGGCCAGGAGTGGAGCAGATGGGCTGTACGCTCGAGCGGTGATCCCATGGCCCGTCCAGACAGACAGCCAGCCAGTCAGTCAGTCGGTGATGATGACTGGACCGCCGTCCAAACTGTCGTCAGATTCCAGACCAAGACAAACATGACAACTGGCATGCGGGGTCGGTAGCTGATAAGGCTGATAAGTGGAGATGGGCATGCGGGATGATGATAGCGCTAATCCGAACGTGGTAAGCCGCCACTGCGCTATTGGCATCTTCTTGGTTCTCCCCTCAGCATCGGCACATTTCCCCCCTGCGTCCCATCGTGGCCAAAAATGATGGCTCAGGATTGCCTGGCCAAACATGGCCAACAAGGTTCAGTCAGATTCTTCAACCCCGAATCTGGCTTGCTGTTTTGTCGTTGCCCGCATCTGCTCGACGTCACGTGATTCATAAGTCTCGTTATATATCCAGGGCACTGCAAGTTCGCTTTCGGGTGTCGTGCTGGTCAGCCCATGGCCAACCAAGTTCAGCATCGTGATCGTGCTCGTTGAGCATCGTGATCATGAGTTGGCTCGGGGAAACTTTGTGGTGAGCGCATCCTTTGAACGCGTACTCCTTTGAACCTTCCCTCTGCAGCCTCGTGCGTTCGGTCCGCAGTCAACCCGTTGGTGGGTGCTATATTTGGCATCGTCGCAATGAGGTTGTTTTACGACGTGTTCCAGGACGTGGACATTTCGTAGACGTTTGTTCGGTGAAAGCAGAGCACTGGATAATGAGGAGGCCAACGCGTAGGCCGCCAAGGGGTTCAGGTACGGTACGGGGACCGAGGGGTCCAAGCCACACGGACCGAAAGACTGGGTGGACATGTCTGGTGGACATGTCTGGTGGACATATCTGGTGGCCCTGGACGACCAGCAAGGATTTGGCAATGTCGCAATTCTTCGTTACCAGAGTTGCTAGGGTATCGTAATTAAGGTTCGCTTTGCCCCTAGTCGGCCAAGGCTCCCTCCAGGGTTCCCGGTGTAGCGTTTGTACCCAATTGAGGGTCCGGACGCGTCGGTGAGGCCTGAAATGGGGCTACGGCGGTCGTGTCTTCCCCTTCTATACTCGTACTGCGCAGGAGACAACGATCATTTCGACTCTGCAAATCCGCCCATTTCATGAACTGGCCGAGCGAAGTAGGGGGTGGGGGTTACGAGACCCTGTTCGTTCTGTTCGTTCGAAAAGCTAGATCTGATATATGAGCAACTCTAATGCAAACCAAGCGGGTTTGACCCATGCGAGTCGCATATCAAGTGCGGAGTTGGACAGTTGGTCTGGTCTGGTCTCATTTTTGAACCAGATCCTTCGTCGAAGGTTCCATGACCCTGGGCAGTTCTTGCCGTTATCGCTATACCTGGGTGTCGGTTAGGCGCTTGATACGTACACATCAGGGAGGTGTCGTCACTATACAGCAGCACCCTTCCGTCACCACCCATCACGCCTTGATGTCTAGTCTCGCTGTAGCAGTCGACGCCGGCTCTGAGCCTCGTTGTTCAGCCCAATCCAATTTAATCGCGCAAAAGACATCAGCCTGTGCAAGACGTACCCAAACATGGGGTAGAGACATGCTTCTCATGACAGACTTCGTCTTCTGTCGTGTGCGCCGGATGGGCATTACACCCGTTTTATGCATCGGCCTGCTGAACAATGGCTTCGCGCCTGGGTTTCACTAGCCCATGGCTCCAATGTACACTTCTCAGCCAAGACGAGCATCATATGTTGTCATCGCTCAGCTGCCTACAAGCACCAATCTGCACTGTGAGTGCTTCAGTACGTATTGGGGATGCAGTGAAATGATCAATGTAGCCCACACGTCGTAAACCGTCGAAGCACCAACAACACCGGAACCCAGCAGGCTAACGAGTTCTTCTCACATTCTCCTTTTACCCACATCCGCAGCCTTCCTCAAGCATGGAAGTCGCGCCTCCCTTGGGTTCAGTGCAAGGCAAGATAGAAAATCTAGTAATTACATAATTAAACGACTGAATTGAAGTAGAAGCATAACATCGTAATATGACATGACCTAAACATGAATCCCGGTCAGATATCGTCCCCAAACCAACTCCCATATCCCAAGTCTCCCAAAAGTCCGCCATCATAATTCCGTATTGATGGTGTTTCCCCATATTAGTCGTGACATGATCTCGTGTGCCTTCCTCCTTCTTTCCCCAAGATCCTCAGCTCGTTACATTCAATCTTCCCAATCCCTACCGTCCTATCTCATTCCATCCATAGCTTAAAACAGACAGATATCGTAATGCGCCTAGCCTCGCTAAGTAAACAACTTCTTAAAAGCCGCCTTAATCCCCGAGCCCTTCTTCTTCGTGCCCTTGACCGCCTCGGCTTCTCTCGTCCTTTGCCTCTCCTCTCGTCTCCGATGTCTCTCCTCCCTTGACTCCGAAGGTGAATCACCACGACCCTCATGCTCACCCCTATCCCCGTGCGTCCTACTACTTCTAGTCCGCGTGCTCTTGGACCTGGCTATCGTATCCTCCTCCTCAAGCGGGTCCGCCATTCTGACCTTCTTCTCCACGGGCGACCCGGTCCGTGTGGGAGATACGTGTAGCTTGTTGCCACCACTGCCCCCACCCGCCGACCGGGAAACCTCCCTAGACGTGCGACGATGACTATCCTCCCTCGTCGGCACGGTGCTCTCTCTCGCCGTGTTAGACCGCTTCAGAACCCCTTTACCCAGACCCCCTTTACCCGAATCCCTCGAGGCACGCGGCACGCTCGTGTCGGTGCTTGCGCGGGTGGCAGCAAAGGTGGTCGCCAAAACACTTTCGCCGTTCTTCATATCGAAGAATTTCTTGGGCTTGCCTTCCGGTGTGGCGGGCGGTGGTCTCTCCGGCGGTTGAGGCGCGGAGCTGTGTCTTCTCGACGACCGCCGGTCGCTGCTGGGGGGAGTCAGGGGTTCTTTCCCCTTGCGGGCGTGCTCGGCCTCCTTGGCGCGCTCACGGTCCAGGGCGTCGCGGGCGGCGCGGCGTTCTTCCTTGCGCTTGTCGTGTGCGGCTTGCTCTTCGGGCGTGCGTACCCTGCGGCTTGATGAAGTGCGGGTGCTGCTGGTCATGGAATCTTTCTTTGGCGTGCTGGTGCGTTCTGCTTCTTCGGAGGGAACCGATTTGGCCGAGAGGTCGCTTTCGGCCCTGCTTCGGCGGTGGTGACGGCGGTGGGGTGGTGGATCGCCGGATTTACTGTCGAGCGGCCTGGACGATGGCTCTCGGTGCTCTCGATGTTCTCGGTAGTCTCGGTGCTCTCGGTGCTCTCGGTGCTCACGATGCTCGCGATGCTCGCGGTGCTCGCGATGTTCACGATGCTCACGGTGGCGGTGATGACGGTGTCTGTGGTGCCGATCACGAGGTGATTCAGGAGACTTCTCTACGTCTGTCCACTCGTCAGTAACAGGTGTAACGTTTCTCTCCACCCAGTCACCATCTCCTGCCATCCCTGGTGCCATGTCACTGCCTTCCAATGCCAGAGCCTTGTCCAACGTGTCTGCGATGTTGGTCTCGACGTGGGGACTACCCGCTCGAGGACTAGGAGGCGGGCTGAGCTCCCTAGCTGTGGCGTAGATGATTACAGCCGCAGCAACTGTCTCCTCTGCCCTCCTGAGCGTCCTCTTTTGCTGTCTTTTCAAGCTTCTTGCACGACTCATGGCTCGAGCCGTCGGGTCAGACAGATCAGGCAGCATGATACCGGGGGTCTGTGGCCTTGCCTCAGACGTGACGTCCAAGGGCGTTTTTGGTCTGAAAGTGTCCTCCGTTTGCGTGCTGGAATGTACCATTGTTGGCCTGCCGGCTAGCGTACTGTGCTCGCCGACGGTATCTCTGTCCTTGACAGCGAACCACTCCGACAATGGCACATTGCCACCAATCAAGTCAAGGGTGTCCTGTAGCTTGGACGATTGGCTTGCAACGCTGCGTCTCTTGTTCTCGACTGGCACATCGCGCGAAGTCGCATCTCCGCGCGTAGGGGACTTTGGCGGAACTTGTGGGACACTGTCTACCAAGTCTGACGCAGTCGTGTGCCTTGCAACAGTGGGAAACGCGGGAGTTGCTGGCATATCAACCAGATCACCGTCTCTGGCTTCAGTTTCGGGCATGCCCAACTTTCCTGTCTCCTTCTCATCAAAAGAATATTTATGGGCAAGCATGCCGCCGCCAGCAGCGAGACTAGCGGCACCGGCCACAGAGCCGGCAATGATAGCAGCTTGGTCATCGTCATGCTCGTCCTCAAAACGGCGGTCAACAACCTCCTTGGTAATGTCTCCCAGATCTTGCAGGCTTGGAAGAGTTTGTTCGGGCTCGTAGACTTGCCCTACTAAATGATCGCCTGCTTCGGATTTTGGCTCGATCGTGTAGTTCTCGGTTCTTTGAGAATAATCAATGGGTGGCTCGATCGGATACATAAACCACGGCCGTGGTTGAGAGACTTCGGCAACTTTTAGTTCTGGTTGGACCATTTCGTCAAGCTGAGGCTGGAACGGAGGTTCGGCCAGAGCGTGATCATACACGACTCTCGCAGCTTGGACATTTTCGTCTCCGGAAGGCTCGGGTGTCAGCTCGGCCAACTCCCTCGAAAGATTATCTTGTATGCCGCCCATCTCAACTGGCACAGACCCTTGCGATTCGATATCTTGTTGTTCTTGATCGATTACTTCCTCTTGAACGGTGGGGATTGCTTCTAGGACAGCTTCTTCCGGTTCATCGTTCACATCTTTGATGAGATTGCTTGCATCCTCGTTGACGGCAGGGCTGACCTCTTGGGCTTCAAGCTGATCGTGTATAGCGAATGACTCTCCGATCAGGTCATCATCCGAGACAATGACCTGAGGATCTGTCTCGACAGCTGAGTCCAATTGGGCACCGACAGTAGAGACTTCGTCAATGGCAGGTGTCTCATCCAACGCGAAGTTTCCATCTTCAGAGGCAGGTATTTCGATAAAGGCAGAGCTCTCATCACCGATGAGACTTTCATCGATATCATGATTATCCTTGGGGATGACTGTATCTGTATCCGAGGTCTCTTGAATGGTATCGAGGTGCTGTGGTTCCGATAGCACAGGCTGTGGCTCAAGGTCGCTTTCATCTTCGTCTTGAGTGGTGAGGCCTGATTCATCTGCCACCTGTTCGAGCATTTGATCGTCACCAGACTCAACAGCATGTGCAGTCGAGTCGACCACCTCAGTGTCTGGTTCCAGAAGGCCTTCTACTTCATTGGCCGGGTCAAGTACATAGTCATCGCTGGGCTTGTGCTCTGCTTGTTCAACGACTAGTTCCGTATTCACATCAGCTGGCGCATCTGTTAATTCGCCCAATTTCTCCACAAACGAGGACGCATCGTCTATTTGATTTGGCTGTTGCATCAAGTTGACAACAGATTGAGGGGTGCTTTCGATCGACTCTTCTGGATGTTGCTCTGATTCTCCAACGGTCAAGTCAGGCGAGTCGCTTAGTTTCTTGTCCTCTTGCTCGTCGATCGCCTCCGATGTTCGATCATCATGCTGTTGCGGGTGTTCCAGAGCTATTTCAGACGCGTCGTTGTCCGGTTCCTCCGGCGTTTGCTCAGACGGCTGCTCGGAGGGGGCTTCGACCAACTTTTCAGGTTGCTCAAAAATGGGTACGACTTCAGGTGGACTGTCAACGGCACTGTCATGTTCAAGGTCAGTCGTACCAGCTGCAGCCTGTTCATTCTTGTCAAATTCAGGCAGGGTATCGTCGGCCTGTGACTCCTCGTTATGTGGCTTGTTGAGTGACTCGTCCAATTGCTGTTGTTCCGGGCGTTCAACTGTGGCTTCTAGATCCGTCGTATCAGGAGCAACATCTTCAGTTGTGTCGTGATCTGTGGCTGGCCCAGGCATGTCCTGAGTAGAGTCCACCGGCAGCTCGGTCTCATCCTGTTGTGCCTGATTTTCTGCGTCTGAAGTATCGCCAACTACTTCCTGGATAGGCTCATCCAATATGTCGACGACATCTTGGCCGGTACTTCCCTCAATCTCAAGGGCCATCACGGGCTCACTGAGGCTCCTATTGTCCTCCAAGTCCTTGTCTTGGCTCGTATTTTCCTCCTCATGGATATCTAGCTCGTCCACTGGACCGCTGTCATCTCCCGGCGTTGGAAGACTAGCCAACTCCGCGTGGTCTGGTGTCTCATCAAGCCCAGTCCCGGGCTCAATGAGCTCTGTGACCATATCCCCTCCAACCTGATGATGATCCTCCTCAATAGCCTTCTCCTCAGTAGCCTCTACCTTGTCCTCCACTTGGGATACAACTTCCTCTATGATAGGCTCAGGGAGACTTTCTCCATAATCAAGCGTCATAGGGCCAGGGGTACCTCCAGGGGTATCGGAAGGAATGATATTCTCACCTTTTCCCTTTTTCTCCGCCAATTCCTCCCCACTCGGGATCGGTCCAACCTTATCCTTACTTTCATCTTCCATTACTTTGTCGTCCTTGACCTCGGGGGCCGGTTTCTCGGGAGCTTTCTCTACTGGGGCTTCGGCTGCTTCCGGTTCTTGTGCGGGATGCGGGACCTCCTCGGCCTTGAGAAACTTCTAGTCAGTCAACTTCTCTGAGGAGAGAATAAAACAAACATAGGGGTCCTACCATTGGCTCTGAAGCGACTGGTACAACGACTTCTGGTCCCGGCTCACATACGGGAAGCACTTCCTTTGTTAATTCCACAGGCGCAGCTTCGACTGGGGCATCTCCCGCGGCAGGCGGCTCAGCAGCAGGCGGTTCTTCAGCTGCCGGCGCTTCAACGGCAGACTCTTCGGTAACTTCGACAACTGGTGCTTCGGGGGCCGGTTCTTCAGCTGTTGGCTCTTCAATGAGCAGTTCTTGGGATACCAGCGCTTCAACGGTCGGATCTTCAGAAACTTCAGCAACCTGTGCCTCTTTGGCCGGCTCCTCAGCTGCTGACACTTCAGTAGCCGCCTCATCAGCGACCGGTGCTTCAATCACTAGCTCTTCAGCGGCTGGCTCGTCGGGAAGAGGCTCTTCAGTAACTGGTGCTTCGGCAGCCGGTGCCTCGACGACCGTCTCAGCAACAGCAGGTTCCTCAGCGACCAGTGCTTCAGCAACTGCTTCTTCCGCGGCAGGTTCATCAACAGCGGGCTCAACAGCAGCTGTCTCATCAGAAGGAGGCTCTTCAGTAACTGGTGCTTCGGCAGCCGGTGCCTCGACGACCGGCTCAGCAGCAGTAGGTTCCTCAGCGACCGGTGCTTCAGCAACTGTTTCTTCCGCGACAGGTCCTTCAGAGACAGGTTCTTCAGCAGCGGGCTCAACAGCAGCTGGCTCATCAGGAGGAGGCTCTTCGGTAACTGGTGCTTCGGCAGCCGGCGCCTCGACGTCCGGCTCAACAGTAGCAGGTTCCTCAGCGACCGGTGCTTCAGCAGCTGGTTCTTCCGCGGCAGGTTCTTCAGAGGCAGGTTCTTCAGCGGCGGGCTCAACAGCAGCTGGCTCATCAGGAGGAGGCTCTTCAGTAACTGGTGCTTCGGCAGCCGGTGCCTCGACGACTGGCTCAGCAGCAGCAGGTTCCTCGGCGACCGGTGCTTCAGCAACTGCGTCTTCCGCGCCAGGTTCTTCCGCTCCAGGTTCTTCAGAGGCAGGTTCTTCGGCGGCGGGCTCAATAGCAGCTGGCTCATCAGGAGGAGGCTCTTCAGTAACTGGTGCTTCGGCAGCCGGCGCCTTGACGTCCGGCTCAACAGTAGCAGGTTCCTCAGCGACCGGTGCTTCAGCAGCTGGTTCTTCCGCGGCAGGTTCTTCAGAGGCAGGTTCTTCCGCGGTGGGCTTAACAGCAGGTGGCTCATCAGGAGGAGGCTCTTCAGTAACTGGTGCTTCGGCAGCCGGTGCCTCGACGACCGTCTCAGCAGCAGCAGCAGGTTCCTCAGCGACCGGTGCTTCAGCAACTGCTTCTTCCGCGGCAGGTTCTTCAGAGGCAGGTTCTTCAGTGGCGGGCTCAACAGGAGCTGGCTCATCAGGAGGAGGCTCTTCAGTAACTGGTGCTTCGGCAGCCGGTGCCTCGACGACCGGCTCAGCAGCAGCAGGTTCCTCGGTGACCGGTGCTTCAGCAGCTGGTTCTTCAGAGGCAGGTTCTTCAGCGGCGGGCTCAACAGCAGCTGGCTCATCAGGAGGAGGCTCTTCAGTAGCTGGTGCTTCGGCAGCCGGTGCCTGGACGACCGTCTCAGCAGCAGCAGCAGGTTCCTCAGCGACCGGTGCTTCAGCAACTGCTTCTTCCGCGGCAGGTTCTTCAGAGGCAGGTTCTTCAGAGGCAGGTTCTTCAGTGGCGGGCTCAACAGGAGCTGGCTCATCAGGAGGAGGCTCTTCAGTAACTGGTGCTTCAGCAACTGTTTCTTCCGCGACAGGTCCTTCAGAGACAGATTCTTCAGCGGCGGGCTCAACAGCAGCTGGCTCATCAGGAGGAGGCTCTTCAGTAACTGGTGCTTCGGCAGCCGGTGCCTCGACAACCGGCTCAGCAGCAGCAGGTTCCTCAGCGACCGGTGCTTCAGCAACTGTTTCTTCCGCGACAGGTCCTTCAGAGACAGATTCTTCAGCGGCGGGCTCAACAGCAGCTGGCTTATCAGGAGGAGGCTCTTCAGTAACTGGTGCTTCGGCAGCCGGTGCCTCGACAACCGGCTCAGCAGCAGCAGGTTCCTCAGCGACCGGTGCTTCAGCAGCTGGTTCTTCAGAGGCAGGTTCTTCAGCGGCGGGCTCAACAGCAGCTGGCTCATCAGTAGGAGGCTCTTCAGTAGCTGGTGCTTCGGCAGCTGGTGCCTGGACGACCGTCTCAGCAGCAGCAGCAGCAGCAGGTTCCTCAGCGACCGGTGCTTCAGCAACTGCTTCTTCCGCGGCAGGTTCTTCAGAGGCAGGTTCTTCAGCGGCGGGCTCAACAGCAGCTGGCTCATCAGGAGGAGGCTCTTCAGTAACTGGTGCTTCGGCAGCCGGTGCCTCAACGACCGGCTCAGCAGCAGCAGGTTCCTCGAAGGCCATTTCGACGACTGGAGGTTTGTCCGCCACTTCTTCTTCCCCTGTCTTCCCCTCCTCGGCCTCAACGGCGTCACTCGGTTCGGCAGGGTGTTCAACGGCCTCGTTTTTCACCTCACTTGGCTCAACTGATTGCGCTAGTGTGTCCTCAACGTCTGCGGCAACACTTGGTTCGACCGTACCGGGCTGCTCGACATGCTCCTTGGCTTCCACAGCTGGTACCTTCTCCGGACTTGCCTCGACAACAGCTTCAGACTCGTCTTGTGGAGATGCGCTTTCAATCGACTCCGCCGGGGTGCTTTCGGCTTCTGGGGCTTCGATTGCGGACGCCTCGGTAGCATCAGCTTCCGCTGGATCATCTTGGGCTGGCTCGACGACGTCTTTGACAGGTTCGGGGACTTCATTGCTTTCCTCAACATGTTCGGCGATGTCTTGGCTCCCTTCAGCAGGGTCGACTTTGTCCTCAGATCCAGGTACTTCTGCTGCCGTTTCTTCACTTGCGGGTACTTCGTCGGCAGGAACCGAGGCTGATACAGCATCTTCCACCGGGATATTTGGCGGCTCCTGAGCGTCGGTGCTGGCTTCAGCAACAGTTTGATCAATATCTGCGCTTTCGACAAGGCTCTTCTCAGGTGAATCTGGACTGCTTTCCTCAGCTTCGGTCTGAGACCCGGCCGGCACACCTGGCACACTTGGACTGCTGCTTTCATCGGTTGAAACAGGGGCCGGTGCTTCCTCGGCCTTGTCATTGCTAATATTGGCGACAACCTCGTCAGAAGCAGGGCTCTCGGCGGCAGTCTCACCACCTTCAGCGTCTGGCGCATCAGCAGCACTGGACTGGGATTCTTCTGCTTTCTCAGTTGAAGCATCCTCTGGATCTGCCGGAACATCTTTTGGGGCATCTGCTGAGGCATCAGTGGTAATGTCTCCGATAGATTCCACTGGAGGGTCATCTCCATCACGCGTCAAGGGCGCGGTAATGACTTCGGGCTCTTTAGCGAAGTGTACCGATTTGGTCTCTACTTCGGCTACCTCTTCAGATTCAACGGGTTCATCTTAGTAGAATTAGTGGGATACTCAGCAAGTTGGGTTCTGCTCGCATAGAAAAGGGGCAACAAAGGCGAGCGACTTCGTCGCTATGGGATAACTTGGGATAATACCGTTATTTACATGTTATCCAGCAAATTGCCACCGGAATAAATGTGTTCATCCCCGCAGAATAAGCTGGATAATATATAGAATAATGGCTTTTATTCCATGTTATTCGAGCAGCACCAATCAGCCCTCTGTATGATCCTATGTTGGGTAAGAGTAGTAAAGACAGTCATCAAGAACGTAGCCTTACTAAGAAAAAGATATAGAAATCAGAGGCATACAGTTGTACTTACCGGTTGCGTCCTCACTCTTCACCGGGTCCTCATACACCAGCTCACTGGCCTCGACTTTCTCAACAACTTCAGGACTTGCTGCCTCCGTTTCGGCGGATGCTTCAACGGATCCCTCTTCAGTAGGATTATCAGCAGAATCTTCAACAGACTTTTTGTCCTCGACAGCTGGGCTTTCATCGGTCTCGGTAGATTGCGAAGGTGTCTCGCCATCAGGCTCATCCTTGGCGTCCGAGGCCGAGCTCTCTTTACTTTCAGCCGGCGTGTCACTTGGCTCAATAACCTCGGCCTCTTTCTCTGGTTGCTCAACGGCCGGATCGTCCTTGGCATCGCTGTCCATCGGCGGCGTGTCCTCTGCGGGGCTAGGTTCGGCAGCATCCTCGGCGGTTGCGGTGGCAACTTCGGGAGGCTCTGGGGCACTGCCACCTTCAGCTGATTCTTCAGTGGCGACAGGGTTATCAGCAACCGGTTGAGACATATCGGGCCGACTCTCGGACTCGGGCGCCGGCTTGCGGCTATCGTTGCCGCTGTCATCTGTGGGCACAGTCTCGGCGCTCTCGGTGACCTCAGGACTCGCATCAGAGAGGTCCTCTTTTGGTTGTTCGTCTTTGATCGAAGTCTCAGGATCGACCTTGACATCGTCGGCTGGTTCTTGCGTTTCCGCTGGGGTAGCTTCCTCAGGGGCGGACTCTGCAGCAGTTGTTTCTGCTGGGGCAGCTTTCTCAGGGTCGGACTCTTCAGGGGTGGACTCCTCAGGAGCGGTTCCTGCTGGTGCAGTTTTCTCAGGGATGGACTCTTCAGGAGTCGTTTCCGCTGGGGCAGCTTCCTCGGGAACGGACTCTGCAGGTGCGGACTCCTCAGGGGCGGTTTCTGCTGGTGCAGTTTTTTCAGGAGCGGATTCTTCAGCAGTGGTTTCTGCTGGTGCAGCCTTCTCAGGGGTAGACTCTTCAGGAGTCGTTTCCGCTGGGGCAGCTTCCTCGGGAACGGACTCTGCAGGGGCGGTCTCCTTAGAAGTGGTTTCTGCTGGTGCAGCTTCCTCAGGGCCGGACTCTTCAGGGGTGGACTCCTCAGGAGCCGTTTCCGCTGGGGCAGCTTCCTCAGGAACAGATTCTGCAGGGGCGGACTCCTCAGCAGCCGTTTCTGCTGGTGCAGTTTTCTCAGGGGCGGACTCTTCAGCAGTAGTATCTGCTGGGGCAACTTTTTCAGGCGCGGACTCTTCAGGGGTGGTTTCTGCTGGTGCAGCTTCCTCAGGGCCGGACTCTGCAGGAGTGGATACCTCAGGAGCCGTTTCCGCTGGGGCAGCTTCTTCAGGCTCGGACTCTTCAGGGGCAGGCTCTTCAGGAGTATTCTCCGTCGGGCCAGACTCTTCAGAGATAGTCTCCTTCGGCGCAGACTCTTCAGGAGTAGTCTCAACTTCGTCACCAGCAGTGTTTTCTTGAGCATCGTCGACAGGACTGCTATCCGCACCGTCACCCTTTGGATCCGGGCTATCCGAGCCCCCTGCAGCAGGCGGAGCTTCGCTCGGTGCTTGAGCTTCTTCCGTCGGAGGGTCCACTGCCGAATCCTCTACGGGCTGTGTGTCACTATCAACGCCAGTTGCCTCGGGAAATTGGACTTCGCTATCGGCAAGGGCCGGGGTCAGTTCGGATCCCACAGGCGGCTCATCGTCCTTCGAGCTCTCCACAGCGGGGTCCTCCTTCGCCTCTTCCGTGTCTGGAGCTGATGGTGCATCGACAACCGCCTCGTCAGTAGACTGTCGCTCGCTCGCCACCGTATCATCGGCGTCGGCGTCTTTCGTAACGTCCGAGGTTGCTTCGACGGGCTCATCCTTGCTGCCGGTGCTGTCTGCAGCTTGTTCGGTCGGGGGTTCAGCCGGCTCGGGGGCTGTTTCACTTTCCACAGGCGGATCAACGGCAGGGGTTTCTGTTGACTCCTCTGCCGTTTCTGCGGGGTTTGAATCTGGGGCTTCTGCCTCCTTTTGCGAATCCTCTGGCGTCGAATCTCCCCCAACTGACACTGGTGGTTCTTCGGCACTAACTTCTTCAGTCACGGGCCCGTCTGGGGACTCCGGAGCCTCCGGAGCATCATCTCCTTCCTTTATGCCTACTGTGTCATCTCCGGCAGGTTCAGGAGCACTTATAGATTCCTGGACGGCTTCACTAGGTGCGGGAACTTCGTCTTGCGGTGCCGGTTCTCCAGAGTCCTCGGCCTTCACTTCCGATGAATCGCTAGCCTCTCCTGCGGGTGCAGGTGCAGGTAGTGAACTCTCTTCTTCTTTCGGCTCTTCTGGCGATGGTTCAGCCGGATTAGGGTCCGCCGGTGGTTCTGGAGGCGCTTCAGTGAGAGGATTCTCCGCAGCCTCAGCAGGAGTACTCTCGATCTCCTTTTCACCCTCTGGTGCTGAGTCCCCTGCAGGAGCTTCGGTACTCGGCTCGGCAGGTTGTTCAGGGGCTTGATCGCTTTCCTCCTTCGCTTCCAGTGCCGGTGCTGGTGATGACTCCCCTTCAATTTCCTTGGCTTCGTTTTCAGCCGGAGCCGGCTCGTTCGGCGGCGGAGGAGGCTCACTTGCTTCTTCCTCCGGTTTACCTGGTTCTTCTACGACCGGCTCTGGTGGAGCCGGCGGATCCGAGTTGTCCTCCTTTTTACCCTTGCCATTTTTCCCCTTGCCCTTCTCAGCCTTGTCCTTGCCCTTAGCCTTCTTTCCCTTTCCCTTCTTGTTCTTGCCTGTAGGGGCGGCCCCGTTGTCCTCAACGGCCGACTCTTCCGCTTTGCTTGCTTCACTTGGCGGTTGTCGCGGAGATGCAGGCGCAGGTGCAGCGGCAACGGTTGCGGCGGCGGGAGTAGGAGGGTTTTTGCTCTTGCTCTTCTTTTTTTTGGATTTCTTGGAGATATCCGACCGTTCCTCCTCAATCGGCAGAGCTTCACCTCTACCGGCGTCAACTGATACTGCCAGAGCTGGTGGAGGCGGGGGGCTTAATGGTGTTGCGTTGCCCTTCTTGCCCTTCTTCTTGCCCTTCTTTGGTGCCTCTGCCCATTCGTCTTCAGGAGCGGCATCCTCAGCTTTACTCGCCTCAACGGGCGTATATGGCGGGGAAAGGGGGCCCTCTGGTGGGATTCCCTTTTTGGATGCGTTTGGGGCCTCGGATGGACCTTCGTTTACATCCTCGCCACCACTTTGGACCTCGTCCTCGGCTTTACACAGGGTTAGCGTTTTGAGTTCTTATGCAGTAGACATGAAACTCACCCTTCTCTGGGATTTCCTCATCTGAGTCCTGAACTGTAAGGTATTGTACATTAGAAAAGTCGGCGACCTGTACATGTGAATATGGGTCGGACCGAACGGAACAATAGGCTATTCCGTCTGGATCACTCATTCTTTCTTTGTTTGGTCGTGTGGCTTGTCCGAGTGAAGTTCTTGAGGGATGACCTGAGGACGCTCTTTATTGACTTCCATCTGCAAGGTAACTGTCTCCAGCGGGATGTTGCAGTAGCTACCCAGAACAATTGGGTCGTGGTGTGTCGGTAGGGTAGCGGGATGATGCTTGTACGACACAATGACAACAATGCCGTGGTAAGGAAGAACAGACAATGCACGCTCTATCGGTGGGGAAAATGCTTGAAACTTGGAAATTGATGAAGAGAAGTAATAGCCGATCGACTTGGAAGGCGAACGGCAATATGAAGAAAGGTTCCGTGTATCGAGGGGTCGGGATTGCCCTCGAGTGACGTTGGACCTACCCAGGAGAGACTCGTACACCCCACTATCCCCTGTCTAAACAAAGGAGTGAAGAGCGATTCCAACTTCAACGTGGGATATCCACGACTCGCAAGCCCTGACTCGACCATTCTAAAGCTCTTGTGATCTGTATCGTGCTCAAGAGCCATTGGTCGGAGCCGCAGCACTGGCGCCACGTCGCAAAAACGGAGGTTGGGCTAGCCATTGAGCCGAAGATCCATAATGGAGAGGGAGAAAAAAATAAGACAGCACTATGCAATCAATGAACAGGGAGGCCCTATAGCGGCCCAACACAACAGTGGCGGCCCTGCAAGAAGCCCGAATCGGGCCCGATCCATGCAGTAAAGCGCTCTCAATGTTGCTTACTACTCCCGCATGTGTACTACGTACCGACATTGGAGTTGGACCGACAGCAACGCCAATGCTGGTCGGCATGACGGCCCCCGCGTGATGGCCTTCCCCTTCACCAACGAGGAAACCCGTCGGCAGCAAGCCATTCGATGTCTGGCTCCATTGGGCTCCAATTATCCCACCTTGCCACATGCAAGGAGATTTCCCATTCGACTGGTTTAATACCTGGATTGAATTGGCAGACAGGCCGGATGAATGCATGGGGACAGCCGCATAAGCTGGTAGCGTGCACGCCTCATTATGGGCGTGCTACGTGGTCACATCTGGCTGCGTCGCTCGAAATTCGACAAGTGAGCATCCTTGCATTGCAGCGCAGTTTTGCAGGTGGTAACCCAATTGGCCAACCACCGCAGGCCACTTGCAGCAGCCAGAATCAGAGTGGGGCAACCATGGCGGGAAAGATCGGGGCTTGACTGGAACTAACAGATCCCCCACGACGAAAGCATTGGAGATAAGATCAGATGAGATGAAGTTGGGTTTCCTGTCATAGAGGGCAAGGGTTTGTTCGAAGAGGTATTGTGGTCGGGATGTGGTCGGGATATCACACGTCGAAACATTGAATTGGGCAGGCGTGGACACCTTGAAACTGCCGGATTCGATATCAAACTTGTACATTGTATTCTGCCAAAACATTGAAGTCGGGATACTTGGGATTTTCCCCGAACAACATTGCCAAAGCACCCTTTTACTGTGGCTCTAGGGTGTTCATGCAAATAACAACCAACCAATGCGACGAGTAACTCGAGTGCACCGCGTCATCGAGATATGATTGGATCAAGTTTAAGCCGCCGAACGTACCTGGAAACGGTGGCATATTCCCATGACACTCTGTGTAAACGCATGAACATCATTTCCTACGAACACCAAGGACGATACGTATCCAACTTGATGTGTATCTTCCATATAGATATTGGTGAATCGGCCTGGCCTACCTCTTAGACCCTTGCGAAGAGTGAAAATAATGGGTCAAGCCCGACTAGGTTTGGTGGTTGACAATGGCGGTGTATTATCAAAACACTTCATAAGCGAAGCTTCACCTGATGAATTAGACTTCGAGCAGTCATGAATCAATAGTCAAGCCTCACACCGACAACCCTTGGAACCAAAGCCCTGGATATGTGGGGACTCTCGTAGGTGAGTAGACGAGGCTGGTGAAAGGAAGGTAATCGGAGTGGTCGATTAAGGTGATGCCAGATCTGCTGCAACGGTGGAACTGCCAGTAAACGTGTCGTCATTCAGAGCGGTAATGGTTCTAAACTTATGATATTGATCAACAGCGGTTTGGAGGACCAATGGCCATACCACACAAGATAAGCAACGGCATGGTAGAATGGACGGTGCATCTGGATGAAATCATACGGGATAGCCCGGTGTTCTAGTGTCTCTTAGGGGGATCGAGATACATCATATCAAATTACTACACTGCAATATCGGGTTATCCCACACCAATCCACCCTGCGCTGTTTGTTTTGTTATCCATTTGAGAAGAGAACTGGGAATACCCTCAAGGTAATCAGTCCCACGCTTGGCTGTGAGGTAGCATACCATTGTGCCGTCAATCGTTCGATGGCCTCGCCTCATATCGTTACAGAAAGGACGAAAAGCAGAGAAGAAACGAGCTTGTCAACTAGTATTAGTCCGACGAAGGTAGGATTCGTACTGTGCATAGAGTACTTTGCCGTTGTTTCGTCTGATATTGGTGATATCTGAGCCCATTATGCTAATTTCGTTGTAACACTCCCACGAACAACAAAACGTGTGGGTCGTCTATTTTATTCACCGGTCAGCTGAAGGATATGTATGAGGGTGACACTAGGGTAAAATGAGGCGCATAAATGCAGATAGGGTCTTTAATAAGAGAGGGATGAACGTAGAGGTGGTTAAGTGCAGGTGAGCTATAGGGGATGATATATCAACCTCAAAGCAGTCTTGCAAGTGTAATTACATATGTCTGAGCCTAAGAGTACAACGTGCTAAAAATTACTGCCAGACGTCATCCATGGTTAAAGCATTGAACAGGATACATTCCAATCATAGACTTGTTGAAAATGCCATGGAAGAGAGAACTAGGCACAATCTCGTATAACGTACCCCACAAGCTAGTTGGCCACTTTTTCTTGGCACCGTATGAATAACTTCAATAACTTAACTAAACTAAAAAATAATAATTCAAGCTAATCGGAATTCTCTTCCTCGTACGTATCTTCATCATTCTCACAAGTACGAGCATTATGTCCGGGCTCTCCGCAGATCCTACAGCGCCGTCGGCGTGGTTCGGCCGGTCTCGTACGACGACGACTTACACGTATATCACCCTGTAGCTGCTGTTCAATATCCCGTTGAGACTGTAAGTCCTGGGCGTCTCGTAAACTAAGAGATCCTCCATCTTGTAGCTGTCGATTTTTAGTCCTTCGACGACGGCTTAGCTCTTGATTAGCCTTCCGAAGTGCAGTGACCTCATCCTCAAGTAAAACTAACCGGTGCATAACAGCCGTCGCACCACGTGAAAATTGGTCAATAGCCGTAAGTATTGTCGTCGGGGAGCTATTCTGATGCTGTACGATTATGTTTTTAACGTATTCAGACTGGGATTGCGCCTCGGTTGGGTTATTTGGAGTCTTTGATTCCCAGATTAAGGGGGCGCCAGACGAGCTCCCAGGAGGTGTAGGCGTATGTAGCTTAATATCCAGCTGTGAAATCACATATTCCGGGTCGTACGGAATAAGTCCTGTCCCCCTGAAACCTGCCTGGATATTCGACTTAGTTATAGTCGTACGATACGCCCTATAGAATGCCGAAAAGAAATCCTCCTTCGAGATATGGGTTATATGCGCCCGTATTAGGTCTTCAATTTCTTTGCCGTACGACCTTTTCAAAGCCCTAAAACAGCCTACATCGAGAGGCTGGAGCTTATGTGACAAATGAGCAGGCATACTAAGTGTAATAATATTATGCTCTTTGCAATATAGCTCGAAGTCAGTCGAGTGGTGGCTCTCATGCCCGTCGAGGATAAGAAGACGATAAACACCCTTCGTACGATCCTTCGTATAGCGATCAAAGTGCTGAATCCAGTCTACGCCTCGCTCATTTGTTGTCCAACCGTTTTTGGTTACAGCGATTACCCAATCGGACGGGAATGGGCTATTCTCGTACCAGGATAAGAGGTGGTTTTGACCCGCGACAATAATATACGGCGGGATAGCCCAGCCGGACGAATTAATACCCTGGATTACTGTAGCCCATTCTCGATTGCCTTGTTGGACTGTACGAGGCCTTCCGCGTCGTTCGGCACTTGTAACTACCATCTCGGATGAGATTAAGCCCATCGCGAACCCTGTCTCGTCGAAGTTATAGATATCCGCCTCTTGGATACCATATTTCGCAATTGTATTTCGTACGAGCGTAAACCACGCGCGATACGCGTCAGGATCTTCGCAATAGGCTCGTTGGTAGTCGATTCTTCGATTAAAACGCGTCCGAAGGTCTGGTTGTCGTCGTACGAAGTTCGAGGCCCAGTTGACGCCGACGCGTCCAGCGCCACGGTCACGGAGCAGTCGGTTAGCCATAGCTTCAACACCATGGAGCCGGGGAGGAAATGATCGCGAATCTAGGTCAAGTATGTATTGTACGACCGCTAACTCTTCTGATTCCGCAAGCTTATGACTAGATTGTCGAGTATCGCGTCGAGATAGTAGTCCGCGTTTTCGGTTAGCTAGAGTTGTACGAGGGATATTGTAGAGTTGGGCAGCGCGTCAGATGCTTAATTCGGGTTTCGATTGAAGCGCCTGACACGCTAGAATCATGTCGCTTTCTTTCCAATTCGATCCCATCTTGGTATGTGTAAAGATATTAATTAAAAGGTTGTTCGTACGGTGCCAAGAAAAAGTGGCCAACTTGCTTGTGGGATACGTTAACATACCTTGATCGGTTCATAACAAGTACACACCTTATTCGTAGGTAATACTCCTTTCTACGGCCATCAACTTAACCGGTTTGTTATTTGACTATTTGGGTATGGGTATAATTCTAACCACTTCTTAGGAGGCTTGTTAGCATCCCGACGTGGTCATTTTGATGAACGTGTAGGTTAGGGAAGCAAGTCGTTATCATTTAAAAGCTGCGATGACAGCGCCGTTGCCGTAATCTGTGGCGAGTCTATGTTATAGTTAGTAGCCATTACAAATGCGCTACTGGCCAGGGGCTGATCGAGTCAAACCGCGTGGAGTTCTTCATCTGCGAGTGAAGGAGAAACACACTGCGTCTTGTTGATCATTTGTATTGTGAGTGAATAGGTTGGCAGTATATCTAGAACGGAGAATCCTCCAAAGCAATACACGGACGCAGTTGTGCACTTTCAGATGAAGTACCATCGCAAACCGACTCCGACGCCAGTGGATAGAAAGCCGAAAACACAGGGGGCAAAGACAAATTCAAGGATGACATGGCAATGATACAGGCCTCGCTTAGCTTCAATTGTTGCCGCATGAGAAAACCAAACCACACCCAAGTATCCTCGATGGACAACTTCATTCCACCCAAGCATGCGCTTCCATGATCCGCAGAACACCGGAAAAACAAACAGGGTTCAGGAGGCAAGCTTTCACATGGCCATCTCAGCTTGCAGCTTCCTGAGCTCTGCCTCTTCGTCGTCTTCTTCGATTGCAGCTGGCTTGCCCTTGACTGTACGCAGGTATCGGAATTAGTCATCAGATTTATGTCATAGAAGCAATTGGTTGGGGACAAACTGACTTTCTCCATTCGCAACCGCCGGCATCCTGTTGATGGAATCTGACACGGGAACTGTGCCCGACTTAAGCATCTGCTCATCCAGTGCTTCTTGCTGCAATGACTCCAGCTCGTTCTCCAGCTCGTCCTCGTCGATGGGCTCGCCGATATGATTGCTGGTAATAGCGCTGACGATCTCCTCGCTGAGCGCATTTTGTTCTCTGAGTTTGTCCCTGTTCCCATTGGATTAGCAGATGGCCTCTGAGGAAGGACTAGGCTGTCGCACATAGTCTCGTCGACCTTTTCTGGCGTTAGCTTGCCATGGATTTGCTTCATGGCTTCGCTCGCCCTCTCCATTGCCGCGAGGGTATTTTTGTTGATATTGGCCGACTCTACGGCGTTAATCTGTTGCTCCAGCGACCCCATCTGTGATTGCGTTTGCTCCAGACTGTGCTCATGAGCCTTCTTCCGCTTCAAGGCAGTCTTCGCGGCTGTGGGCCAAGGCAACATCAGTATTCCTTGTATCAGCACCGCAGCTTTGCGACTTGCACTTACCATTCTTGTTTGTGTTGATCATCTTCCGGGCGATGGCATCTTGCTCAGCCATCTGATTCTCAAGGTGCCTTTCGCGCTTTTGCAGCATATCAAGCTGCGCTCTCAAGTCGAGGATGGCGTTTTTGGGGCTGTCCTTCTTCTTCTGGGCCGCACCTCCCCCAAACCAGCCCCAGACGCCTGACATGTTGATCGCACGATGTGCGGATAGGAGAATCGGTCGAGGGGACGGTTACCGATGATAGACAGTGCTTTGTCAAGCCTGTGGAGTTTTGCGATGGTGCCAGAAGCTCGATGGCGGGGTACGCGGCCTCCGAGGTAGGCCAAACGATAGAGGCTTGTACGTCGCAAATGATGGTATATGGGCTTTCGAGATCGACGGTGTACGAGGAAAGGGGTGGTTGTTGTTATCGGAGGAGTCGTAATTGTGTGGCGTGTTGTTCGGTCGTCAAAAAGTGAAGCCTAGCCGGGTCTGGTTTGTAGGGTATGATGCAAGAGTACTCACCTGCGCGAAGTTGATGATTGCCTAGCGCTGTGGCAGGTGGTCAAGTGTCAAGTGCCGAATCCAATGGCAGTATTCCGCCAATTTCGGCGCATCGACAGCAGGCTGCCAGTTGTTGGGTTTTACCGTGGTTTAGCCGGAAGTATGAAATGACGAGTCAAAGGATAGCAGCGACTTTACGATCTCAAAGCTTTCCCAAAATAAGGTTCAATGAACCTCGGAAGCTAGCATGGCGTTCAAACAATGCCTCTTCCAATGCCTTAGTACTTGATATCTGCCGCCACCTCTTACCAGATACGATATCGAAGCGAGTCTGACTTTTTATAAAGCTTCTGGATGATATGGAGATCGACATTATTCCTTCCGATTCAGAAGCAATGTTTTACAGATCTGCAAAGACCTGAACCTCCCATCATTTGATAAGGTTATATGCCTGTGACCATGTCGAATGGCCCGCTACCATCGACACGCAGCCTGCTCTCGGACCTGCCGGCAAAGGCAGTTGGAGACAAGGTCAGATTTTTGGGTTGGTAAGAACACCCCTTGCATTTTCGATTTGTTCTCACTTATGCGTTTGCCGTCTTAATTTCGCGATGAAAGGGACCTGTCTGTCTCAGTGTGGTCGTTCTGCCCGAAGACATCTGCGGCTTTTGTGTAATTTGGTCGATGATTTGCTGACTCCTCAAGTGTGGCATCATATTCGACCAAGTCCGCGATCCTAAATGTGCAACATTCATTTCCTCGAGACAGTAGAGTGCGGGTATCTGTGGACGTCCGGCTTCTTGTCCAATCTTTCAGGAATGGCGAGACCGACATAGGCCAGTGGATTCACGTGATAGGTTATATCACGCCAAGTGATAAGTCGACAGCCGCGTCTAGATTTGATACCCGGAATGTCAACGTGCAGGCCCTGACTCTTTGGGTAGCCAGAGATCTCGATATTGCTGCTTATGAGAGGGCAATCACCGACGAGTCGAACTGACAGCGGTCAGTCCTCGTCCAAAAGTTCGGGATGCCGCCTTCCGGTGCAGCATCTTGCTACAAGGACGGTTGGTCCAATCCGATAAAGCCACACGATCTTACTGCTGGTTTGGCGTCCGCCTTGCCAGGCCAGCAGCCTCTCGAGAGACGAGACGACGACGTGATGCGACGATGTCTGAGAAATGGCCAACAACTACCTAGACTGTCCTGGTTGGAGAAGAAGCATACAGTAACGAAATCATGCTGGCGGCTACAAGCCAGGAAATCGAGTTTCATTGCGCGCAGATGGTTGATCAACGGCCGCTTGTGTCCTGAAGGTCGCCTGTGTCGACGCTTATGGTCTAGTTCAGCGCTTTGTGCAACTTGAACTCGATTTCTACCGCCATCGCTTTATCCAGCGTCGTCTCATCCTATTGGCAAAGGGGAATCCTGAATCCAGGCCAAATCATCATCAAAGGGGTGGCCTACCCAGCTCCTATCGCTTCTAGTTGGTACGGTCATCATGAAGTCCAGCCGTCGCCATTTGCTGCAACCCGCTTGTCTCAGCGGTCCATTACGAGTCACGTCGCAAGAGATAAGGCCCGTCCAATCTTCCTAAGGAATCTCTCGCTGGATTTTTCGTTGCTGCTCCTGTTTGGTCAATGCCCTCGCGCGGCGTTCCCCTCCTTGCATCGAACTTGTTATCGCCATTTCCACAGTCCATTCACCAGTACTCTGTGAGCATTGTCTAGCCATTTGGTTCATCGTCTACACCGAAGTCCATTACCAATTACATCTACTTCCGGAAGGCCTAGTCAAGCCGCAGGAACTACCTGCACGTCGCGCATAGTAGCAATGGTGAGATTGCACCCTACAAACCAATCAGGATTAGGCGGCCCGCAAATTGCCTAGTCGACTTAGTCGCGCAAAGTCGAGCGCTTGCACATACAGCCATTGATATGGCATCTCTCAACTTGGTACCCACTGAAGCAGAGTGACATGGCACTCCCTCGCTGGACAACATAACCCAATGCAAATTTCCATCTCCGGAAACTGATCCTCAACCAATGCCATTCCAGCCACCTATTGCTCCCGTACCTCGAAGGCATGACCAGCGCCTGCGTCAGCCAGTGTGTTTGCAACACAGAGCCCTTCTGCCACGCCACGCCACACCAATATTTTCTTCCCGGTCGATAGACTTCAGTTCCGAGATCCCTCGCCCCTTTTCCGGTCACTATAGGGTCGCCGGGAATCATGGCCTTTGCGGTCACCGCCTCGTCGCTTTGACCCCTCTCCGGCACCTGAAGAGATCAATACAGGCTGGTGTAGAGGTCGTTTCAATGGCTTGTCGGGGTTCTGTGTCGCTCTTGCTGCCGCTTGTTTCTCCCACATATCCTTCGATTTCAAGCAGATGTCGTCGATTTGCTCCTGCCTTGCGAGTCAATGCCATCCTCCACGGTCACGCCGTGTCAAACTCACATCTGTCAGACATCCTCCTGGTGTCGTGATAAGAAAACCATCTTCCCCCTAAGGACATGTAAGTAGTTCGTTCGTAACGATCAACCGCTGTTATTGTACTTCGCGAGTGTATGGTCTCACCGTCGCGTCGGGTCCTAAATAAAAGGGCAACTCTTGTGTGATGATTCGTTTATGGATGTCGAGGTGCGGTATCCAATATCTGTTTAGCTGTGGGGACGACATGGTCCTCTTGCAGCTGTCTTCAGATCAGTCATGGAGGTGATCGGCAGGAAAATCGACGCAGGATCAGCCCTGGGATTGTCGCCGCGACATACCCAAGTATTTATATTGAAGCAACTTACGCGCTTTGTACACCAAGCTCGGAACTGCCACTAGAACAGCGCAATAATTCCCCAGCAAATCGCCGCAGCAACATGTTTCACCGCCGAAATCCTCGGGAAAGGGTTACTTATGCATGCAGACTATATGGCGCATCCTGGTTTCCATAATAAACTCCCTTGGTAGGCTCACCTAATGCTTGCATTATCGCTCGCCTCACTTATACGCCCCGTTTTCAAGCAGACGAATAGCAGCCCTCCTCCTCTACACCACACTTCATCGCTACCATTTGAATATCCTACTTCATATGGATATGCTCTAATTCGGTTGCGGGTCAGTTTCAGCGTGCAGTCACCATTCCTGCCAGGCCCGCTTTGGTAGGTGACTGGCTTTATATGCCCAGAGTTGACCGTCCCTTCCGGCGTCGTTTCTGGCGTCGTTACACGCGCCGAACTACATGATGCGGGTTTCGGCTCGTGCCGTGCTATTGATGTTTGGGCGTGGGTTAGGTGTTTTTTCTCATACTTGCCGTTTGCGTGATATTCAAGTGGCTGATCCGGTTACCAGTCTGCCGGTTGTTACTTACCTCATGTCACCTGAGGGCTAGCTCAGTCATTGCAAGGCCGTTGCTCGAGTCTATAAACCCCCCGGGTTCACGGGTTGACGTCTACTCATTGTGACGGTCGCATTCTTGCCATCAGTTGGCAGTCCCCACACCTATGCAGCGTTGTCATTGAGCCCCGTTCGAGTCACGCCGTAGCCAACACTCCGGCTCATCCAGTGTAGGGAGGTTTTCGTTGGGTAAAGTGATTAGATTTGCCAGGGAATCCCTCACACGAGCTATATGTCACCGACCAATCCGACAAAGCAGCTCTTAAGAACATTGTCAGTCACACTCGGCAAATGATGTTTGATTAGTCCTTGTTACATGGGTTTTATTCCTAGGCAGCACAGCTACTATGTCTTTCAACGCCCTTTGACGCCCAGCTTAGCAGGCGCGTATTGCGGTTGTCATGTAGCCAAGAATGGCTCTGAACAAATTGCCGTTGGTCATAGCTAATTCGCAGCAATACAATCAGTTATGTTTGCACTGTGCTCCTTGCTTTTCAGCTTCGGCAATGTTGCCGAAACTGCTACTGCTCTCATCCAAAGTTTGATTGCCAGTCGCAGCGACACGAGGGGCTAGGATACGGCTGGTAACAAACAAGCAAGGGGTGTACCGCATCTATATATGACAGCCTTCTTTGAGAAGTTGGAAGTAGGTCAAAATAGTGACCACCAGTGATCAAACGCTCTTCGTATACTGTCACACCAATCAAGAAATCTTACCATGATCAGTCGATCATGTTGTCTTCGCCCCTGTGCGTGTGGACTAGGCGTCTTATGACAGCCGTATCTCTTCTACGCATACATACTTTGGAGATACTCCACTTTCCATAATCCCAATATCATCCGGCTGGCTGTACATGGTCGTAAGACGTCGAATATTGTCTAAGGCTGGATCTATCAGACTGACATGGTTCGATGAGGATGACTGAAGTACACTCGCCCAGAGTCGCAGGCTACATTCAAATTCGACCTTGCGCATTATAATACACGATCACTGTACTGTCAATTGTATTTTACAAGGAAAGCCTTGTTTTCTCAAGCAAAGTTTCGCAAACAGCACTGCGGTTATGCTATATCGAGATTCCCCGCAAGTCATTTGACGATGACTTGATCACGAACTCATGACGTCGTCTCGTAAGTCTGCACAATTGTCGCAACTTGCACCGCATCTTCAGTAGTATCAATCCAGGCCCAGTATAACCCCACAGTGCTCAGACGTCTTTGCCCTCTACGGTTGAGTCCAGTCTTGATGCCTCTGAGACATGTCCCAGCAATGATTTATATCGTGGAATTCATACAAAAGCCGGTCAACACGTAGAGGAGGCAGCATATCTTCTGTTACCGTAATATGTGCGCCTACACTCCCATCCTGTGCTCGCTCGAGAGACATCAGCCTACCAAAAGATATTGGATTCACAAGACACACATTCATCAAAGCACAAGTCTGTGACCTCTACTGATTCCCGGAGTCTCGTAGAAGTACAGAACGACCTCTCGAAACCGGGCGCCCAGCAACGGGTTCATATTTTCTCTTTGCCAAGTGTGAAACATCCGCATCTATTGAAAGAGACAGCGAATGGCAAAATTCGAACGTAAAACGTACGAAATCGGCATGTGGGTAGGGAAGTGGAGGAAATTGGATGGAACATGTCAGTCACTGTCTTGAAACAACATAACCAAGTCAGGCAGGTTTCCCATGATTGGGAATACTAACGTGCAGTTTCATCTGCTGGTTTCATTCTGTAGCGAGCTATTGCAAGTGTCATGGGTTGCTCCATGGCTGCATTGGTGCTTCAGCTAAGGGACTTGTCCCGCGATGATCAGGCTTTTCGAGCAGCTACATATGGCGGTGGGACGCCCAATCGCTCTGCAAACTTTGCAATGAGTGCATAATAGTTGAGGACTAGATCTGCGTTGTCCGTCCATGTGATATCCAATCTGAGAGAAAATTTAGTGACAAGTTGCTTCGAAGAAAACAAATCAATGCACTGAAAATATGGTTTCAGAAAATTTGAGAAGATTGTGATTGCGGATTTTCTCGGCACCTAACATCAAGACTCCTGGTTGCCCAACAGCTGATGGTACTTCGCTGGCCCCCGCATATTTCATCATGCAAAGATTGAGGGGCTGATGAAGGGTGACTGACCTTTTGCCCATATCATACGCACATCCAGAGCTGTGCATTAACGCCACGGCATTGGGTATATTCTTTGGCCAAATTCTTTTGCTCGACGCATCTCTCAGCGGTCTGGTCGGAAGTTGCCTCTCCTTTCCCTCATCATCCTGAGCTTCTCCTTGTCTTCCTGGAAGCGGTTCAAGAATGCTGCCTGCTCCGCCTTCTTCTTCTCCCGCAGCTGGAAACGGTAGAAGTTCTGTGTTGCATCCCTCTTCTTTTGCTCTCTCTCCAGCATTCTTCTCTTGGCCTCTTCAGCCTCTGCCTGCTTTGCGGGTGCTATGCGACCACCGCGAGTGACAGTGATGAAGCCATCCTCGTCGGGCTCATTACGCATACGCTTGGCCAGGTCGGCAGCCTCGACCTCCTTCTTGTTGTATAGTGTAAAGTACGCATCTACTGATGCTTGCATGGCATCGCTGCCTGGATACGACAGCTTGTTGTGTGCCTTCAGCCATTGTGGTCCAAGTGGGGGAGCCTTATCACCAACTCCTTCGCCCCATACTGGAAACTTCTTGGACTTCTGTAACTTCTTAACGGCTTTGAGGACTGACTCGACGCTCTTCTCATCGGCAAGTAAGACGACAGCGGAGCTACCGCTTCTGTGCAAGGGTCGAGACCATGCGGGAGGCAGCTGAGCGGCAGCTTCCTCCTGGGCTCGTTGGGCTTCTTCATCTTCCCGCTTCCGTTTCTTAGAGTGGGCGGCTAACCTCGCAGCCTGGGCTGGCTCGATGGACGAATTGGTAGCTCTCTTGTCGTGCTCAAATGTGATGCCTTCGAATCGGCCAGCACCCACCAAGCTGGCAAATACGGCTCTGAAGTGTGCTTCTGTACTGTCTACAGGGACATTGACTAAGAAGAGGCTTCTCGAGTCTTCTGCTGTGAGGATCTTGGCATTTCTGCGCAGGAAGACATGATGGGTGGCAGGGAATGGAAATGAAGGAAGAGGTGGAATAGATATTGGAAGAACCGAGAAGCTGTCGCCAGATGACGTGGGCTCAGCCATGATGCAGGTTGCTACAGCTTCACCTTGTATCGAGGCTTGGCTGTGTTGTGAGCATGTTGAAGTTTTGTTCCACAAGCTCACACAAGAGGAAGAAAGTTTCTGAAGGTCAAGGGCGAGGAAAAAAATGAGAGCTTGTAATCTTGTTATCAAAGTGGAGCATATGAAATCTTGGCAGCCTTATCGATAGCCCGTGTGTCACTTGACCAAGTATTGGTACCTTATAATGAGAATTGGCGAAATAGCAACCCTATTTCACTTAGAACATCAAGTCACCCAACTCTGTTGAGATCGATGGCCAAGCCTCTGCATGAGATTGGATAGGCAATGCTGACAATACCTTGCTCCTTCCGAAGAATCTTTTCTGCTCTATGTGCGAATTAGCCGCTCTGTAGAACCACCGACCGCCAAGGGCTTTAACCGAGCTATATGTTCGGCATGGCAATTCATCTAGAGTCTCTTTGTTTCGTGTCGAGTGACACAATGCAAACAGATCTAAAACATAGCAAGTTGGAATCGTAAGGGTGAAAGGCCCTGTCGTCTTGACTGCAGGTCGTCAAAGATCAGATCCGTCGGGATGGCGCTAGGAGACTGCCGCCGGGCCCCGCGGGACCCCTCTCCCAAAGGCAGTCGAGATGCCGTGACACAATTCAAAGGTCATTGGTGGTCGCCCTTCTGCCGGCCGGGTTTTTACGAGATTCCCAGATCAGAAAATCTGAACTATTATGTCTGACGGAAAAGAAGGTTCTCAACAGACAGTTAGGAAGCCGTGTCTCGGCTTCATTCGCCTCTCTCGATCTAGTAGAGTCTGAGAGAACGACAAGTTTCCTCCATGTAAGCAAGTCATGGATACAACTCGACAATTCTTATCAGGCACAAGAAAAGATGCTGCATCGAAACCGCCTTTTTTGCTCGCATGGCGTTCGTCTTCATTCTTCATTGTTTTGACTGTGTGCTTGGCTATCTTTACAGATATTTTTTACTACGCTCTCATAATTCCTGTCATTCCGTTCTCTCTCACAGTTCAAATCGGTATTCCTGAGGATAAAGTCCAGCATTGGACAAGCATATTATTGGCATGCTACAGTTTAGCTCTTTTCTTGGGAAGCCCCGTTGCTGGATTCTACGCAGACCACACATCATCGAGAAGACGGCCCCTGCTCATTGGTCTCCTCGCGCTGGCCGGGTCGACGCTGTTACTATGCTTCGGTAAAACAATTGCCTTGTTAGTCGTGGAGAGAATTTTGCAGGGGTTCAGTGCATCTATTGTCTGGAGCGTAGGCTGCGCGTTGCTCGTTGACACCATGGCTACGGCCGTGGGTGTCGCAATGGGATATACGAATATTGCCATGAGCGTAGGGCTACTCATAGCTCCGGCTCTAGGAGGGGCTGTCTATGATTCTGCGGGATATTATGCTGTTTATTACATCGCATTTGGTATCGTTGCCGTGGATATCTTGTTGCGGCTCGGCATGATCGAGAAGAAGGCCGCGAAGCAGTGGATACCGGGAGCAAGCCAACAAAACACCGTCAACGACGTCGAGAATACAGCTACGGCTGTGAGCAGTGTCGATGCGGATGTCCCGCGCAATCACAACGACGCCGGAGGTACTCAGTCGGCTACCGAAATCAACGGTCGACAAGAAGTCGAAACGAGAACCTCGCCAACGCCAGAGGGCCAATCAAAACACGGGGTAGCGGGACCCGTCATCATACTCATCAAATCCCCAAGATTGCTCGCAGCCCTCTACTGTCTCGTCGTAGAAGGGAGCACCATGATGGGTTTCGATGCCGTCTTGGCCCTATTCGTCAAGTCTACCTTCGCCTGGAACTCAACCGCCGCCGGCGTGCTATTTCTAGCCCTCTTCCTGCCGGGCTTCGTCTCACCCGTGGCAGGCTGGCTCGCTGACCGCTTCGGCCCCAAATGGCCCTCACTAGCAGGGTTCGTAGTCACCGTTCCAATACTAGTGTGCTTGCGATTTGTGAATGAGAACACTGTCGGCGATAAGGTGCTCCTTGCTGCTTTGCTCGCGATCCTCGGGGTTGCGCTGTCGTTTTCCAACACGCCGCTAATGGCGGAGATCAGCTACTCTATTGAAGAGAAAGAAACTCAGAACCCAGGTGTCTTCGGCGAGAAGGGCGTCTATGGTATCGGTTATGGGCTCTTTACTATGGCTTTTGCGCTCGGTGGAGTGATTGGGCCGCTCTGGGCTGGATATGTCAATGCTGAGGCGGGCTGGGGGACGATGGCGTGGAGTTTTGCGGTGTGGTCTGCGTCTGGGGCTGTTGTTGTATATCTTTGGCTCGGCGGGACAATGAAATTTCGTGAATCGAAATTAGAATCCGGGGGGATCGATTCGAGAAGAGGCTTGGAACTGATGATAGATGGGCGGGCTGAAGAGCATTAGCATTCAATTCATCTAAGTCAACTTCGCAGCTACCCTTTTAGGGGAAGGAGGTAGATACAACCGCTATGAGCATTAACTAAGATATTGCGGAAGGTACATCAAGTTTTGTTTTGCAGCAAGTAGAAATCTTTGGCCAAATCTGCTGATTCCAAACTTCCCCCACTTCACTCATTGCCATCATCTCCAACCAGCTCACCTATATTCATCACTCAATCTCCTGAAATCTATAACACCTAGTACTATCTAACGTATCGGACCCTCCGTCTTCTTAACATTTCATCGATGACCGCCACCGCGGCCTCTCAAACGGTCGGCTTGGGTTGACATTGTCTAGCAACCAGTCCAGTCCCGAAAAAATAGCATCCATTCGGAATCTTGGACTTTTAATAATAGACACCTACATCAGGAAGTATCTCCACACTGGACAATGGCTTAAACACAACAAGACATCTCTGAAGCATAACTATGACATCTTGGAGGCACATAATCAAGCATTGGAGGCGAAAAAGACAGTGGCCGAACAGAATAAGACTTTCGTACCCTTACAAAACTTCATTAACTAGCATAAGGGTACTATTATGACTTACCTAACCACTATTCGGGAAGACAGAGAGACTTCCGTTATAAAAAATGAACACTTAGTGACGAAGTCGAACAGTCGAAAAATTATCAGTTCGTCTTCCACTTCTACTTATAATAGTAGTGTTCATATCTTGCATTTTGAATAGCTACTCAGGTATTGATACATATATAGTCATTGACCCTAATTAGACTTCACAATAGAGGTGCGATTTGATCGCTTGTAAGGATTTAGACGGCCCAAAAGAGTGGGCAACTCAAGTTCAGGAACTTGCTACGTCATTTCCTGCTGGTCATCCTTTCTGACCAGGTGCGGGTTCCGCATTCTTCACTGCCGTGTCCAGATAATGCAAAATTTAGTGAGGTTCTTGACGTCCTTTTGTCCGGTGCATTCGGTGGCCATTCCGAGGCTGGGATGGTGCTCCTAAGCGCATACTTCCTATACAACTACTAAGGGCAGCAACTCATTTTGTCTTTGCTGTTTCCTGCTCAGCCCTCATGCGCTTCATCACACCCGTTACAACGTAGTCAAATATCGACACCGGAATGAATCCCAAAGCAGCATCTTGCACACCGTGGCACCAATACGAAACCACCGATTTCTTACCACAGCCCGTCCTCGCAAGCACTGCCTTGGCAATAGTACGTGCTGACGGTGTGCCCAAAGAAGCCCTTGATGAATTCCCCTGCGTCTCCGTAACAGGGCCGAGACGGTGGACAATGACTTCGATCTCGCGGCCCTCGAGCATCATCTCGCGCCATACTGCCTGCGATAAGATATCGCCAAAGGCTTTCGATGCGCCGTAGACCGAGACTAGGGGAAGACCGTGGTCGGCGATGGAGCCGATATTGATGATTAGGCTGGGGCTGTTCTTGACAAGAAGGGGGATGAGGGCCGAAGTGAGGAGGGTGGGGAAAGTGACGTTCAGGTGTAGGTTATCTAGTATTTCCTGCGGTGGGAACTGGTCTAGACCGCCGAAAGCTGGGTTCGAACCTCCTCCAACGTTATTGACGAGGACGGTTAGGTTGATATCGTCGAAAGATCGGACGGCCTTCTCAAGCCAGGCACTGTCGGAGTGACATTTCGTGGCATCGGCAAACCAAATTCGGAATGAGCGCGCTGGATGGGCCTTTGATAGCGCTGCCTTCACTCCGTCGAGCTTGGTGGGGTTGCGGCCGTGCAGCACTACGTTGAAGCCCTGAGAAGCGAGCTCGAAGGCTATTGCCTTGCCGATGCCATCGCTGGCGCCAGTAACAATAGCCCAGGCTGGGTTTCCGGAAGTTGCGCGTAGGTATTTGTACAGCCTCGAGGGTTGAAGGTACAGCCAGACGAAGTCTAGAGTCTTGTAGGCGGCGAAGAGGAGAGCAGAGGCGCCTACTACTGACAGCAAGCCAGTGTCAGGTGACAGCAGGGACATTATGAGGTTATTATGATACGTAGACGACACCTCTTGGACATTGCGCTACATCGACAATTGTAGACATGGCAATATTTATGCCGTGCATCTGCCCATCGAGGGCTGAGGGTCAAGCCGAAACCTCCATTGCGTCACCGGTTTCACTGTGCGACCCTGGCGGAGATGGTGCCCGAAGTTGCGATGAACGCTGCTCACGAATCATTACCGAGTATATTATCGGAAAAGTAAATTGCCTCCGAAATACGATCAACTTCTGTGACTCGATGACTGTGTTAGAAGGAACAGGAGTTGTCCGACCGACGTATGCATCCAACGGGGCCTTTCAGATTGCAATAATCCCTGGTCGGGGTCATTTGTGGCCGCTGTTACGTTCTTGCACCTTCGACCTCAACGACCGATTAGAAATCCATTGCAGGCCTCAAGCCTTCAGTATTCTACCGATGGCCCTCCTCCCAGGTAAGGAAGGGGTTGGTTTGAATTGCAGAGACAAAAGAATGCCGCAAGCGTGCTAGTTACTTCAAGATATGTACTTAAGAAGGTTGTGCAGGTGTGGCTGCCTGCCCGCAGCTGGCCTGCATCCCCAGCTCTCACTCCTCTACCGCAAGCAACGACCCAGAACTTGAGCATTAATTTGAACATGAAAATGTAACTTCACCAGGAACCTGAACTTGGCTTCATTAACCCTCTTGATGTCTTGACATGCAACACCTCCTAGTTTGTGCGTTGCCGATCACGCTGGCTTCGGTCTTGTCATTGTCATTGACAGCCGAGTCCCCGCAACCACGCAACTTTCGAGGCCCTACACTGCTATCATAATCGATCTGATGGACTTGGATCTCTTTGCAGGTCTCTGCGAGTGGGTGAAAGCCGAGTGCTATTTCTCGAACCGGGAGAACAACAAACACCCAATCTCCACTCATCTGGTCACCGTCCACATGGATTCGGCGCCAGAATACGACGCCATCCCATACGTGTGGGGGGATACACTGGTACCGTACCAATTTGCTGCGATGACATCTCGACCAACATCACATCGATCTCAATTGGGCCTTGCGGAGGGTGAGACTTGCCGACAATTCGAGGGTTATGTGGGCGGATGCTCTGTGCATCAATTCAAACGACAATCAACAGCATAGCCAGCAGGTCGCCATCATGGGTCGCATCTACTCAGGGGCGAGATATGGTCTCGTATGCATGGGAGATGCCCTGGATGAGGAGCTGCCAATGTCGCCTCTTTTGTGGGCCATTTCGAGAAAACCCCCTCCTTAGACCTGTACGAGCCAGATTTGAGGTTATCTTATGAGGATATTCGGTGGAAATAAGTTGGCGTCCTCATCGCTTCGCCTTGGTTCCAACGTGCATGGGTCATTCAAGAAGCCGGTCTTGCCAGGCACCCTTAAGTCGTCTATGGCAACGCCGATTTCAGTTACAGAAGTCTGATGACCATGGTGAAGTTTTGTCGTCAACTAATTTGGAGATCTTGCCGTAAACGCGCATATTGGCCGCTTCTTCGTCCACACCCAGTGGGCAGACTGGACCAGCAACTGCGTGGACATGGAGCACGAATTTGTCGCTCTGCTGGACCATGGTACGTTACTGAAGTGTTGGGATCCGAAGATCGTATTTACGCATTCAGTCGACACCCACTGTCTCACGCCTACGGTGGCGGTATCCCTGATTATACAAGGATAAACTTCAAGTGTACCAAGAAGTGTCGGTTCGGCTGCTCCAGGACGCTGGCATCCGAGCACTTTCGTCCGTCAAGCACAGCTCAGTCAGTATTAACGAAGACTTTCCATCCTGGGTGGATCGATTGGATACGAGCTTTGTTCTCAACAATGTTCACAAACATCCCGACGATATATACGCGGCAAGCGGCCGGCTATATGATATTGTCCCGCAGTTTTTTGGGCAATAGGTTTCTTCTACAGGCATCATGGTAGACGAAGTATTAACGGTCTTCGCCATAAACATGGTCCATGAGTTCATGAAAGTCATGTTCAGCAGAATCAATGCTTGTGGTACAATGCACAATCTGATACGGTACCTCGAGGACCCCAAGACTCCATTCGCTTACCAAACTACTCAGGCCGAGAGCCTCACGCACACACCGTCCCTTTCCTTTGCGGCCTTCGCAGGCGGGGATGGGAGGCGGCGCCTTACCTATCGGTCGTTGGGGAAGCCTATGGACATGTTACGACGATGGGAGAGGCAATCACGATGCTGCTTGGAAGAGAGGACACTGTCCATCTATTGATGCCTAGGGACCGTGTTGTACAGCGATTGCATAATCAGAATACTTATCATTCGTCACAATCACATGTTGTTCGGGTAGACAAAATATATGTTAGAGGCTGTCGCAATTTCTTCCACTGACGATTTCACTCCAGTAAATACCTTCAGACATAGTATTGCTGAAATCTTTCGGCAGGAAGCCACATCATCTATTTCTCTCGACTGCGTGCCGACTTAGCCCAGGAAGGTGCGCTGGCTGTTCCAATACACATCATCAGAAAGAAATCCTAAGCCTCATCAAGCTTGACTCTCCTTTCAACATTTGGATTATCACTTGAGCCACTTCAGCATTGGTCAAAACATGAACTTACTTTGCTTTTGCCCAGAATCGATTACATATCTGCTCTGGGTCATCAGTCAAATCATTGATCCCACTACCGGCTCTTATTGCGTACTTAAGCCCGGTCATCGATCGAGACAACACCCCCCCACCCCCTCAACTAGTGCACCCGGTCACCAATTTTCTGCCCAGACATCAGCATTGAGAATAAACTCTCACTGAACAAGCCAGTCTTGATAATCTTCACATATATGCATGACCATTCAAACATGCACACTGTCAACAACGCTGCGCTCAACCTGGCCAATGCCGTCATGGACTGCAAATGGGAACTTGCAATATTGGTACTGTACTTCATCTTCCTCCAGTTCGCAATCCGTGACCGCGATTTGGTACGACCGGCATCTATCGCTCTGTACATTTGGGGCTATGTCATGTCCTTGACAGTATCCAGAGGCATCACGGAAGCCTTGGCCGTACCCCGAACAAAGCCTGCGCTTCATGGCATCGTGGCGAGTGTCCTGTATGTCTCGTGGCTTTCACAGCAACAGGGGATGGGTGTCTATCGGTTGGGTTACAGAGGCATGGCCCTGGGCGTCACCGTGGCTTTCTAGGTGGGATTCATGGTAGAGTGCGTCACTGCCGTCAAGATGAGGGGATTTAGCTATTGAAAACAGACACCACGGCAACTTACTTCACTTCAGTGACCCCCAGACTCAGTGAAAGTGACTGCTCATGGATGCAAGATGTAGGAAACCCTGGGTGACGGGTTATCGGTGAGCTTTACTGAACTTGGCATTAAGTATGTGCTAAGGGAAGGAACAAATGGATACCTTTAGCGTAGCAAACTGTATCATACATTGCCAACGGACATTGGGATTTGATCTGGTCTCTACATTGTACTGGAACTCTATCGTGTGTGACAGGGGCGAACGAGCTTGACAATGATGTTTGAGGTGCTGACTCTGAGTCAAACACACCTATCCAGAAGCACCATTGTCGTCGTCTTGTTCCTATTGTGAGGATAATGTGTGGTCCCGGAAAGTTGATTCGAATGTGAGAGATGCCAACCTCCCTTACCGTTGACCAAACTCCAGCGGCGGCATTGATGATCATCAAGCCCTATGCTCATACGACATACCGAATGCTGGCACTGTTCCGAGACACCTCTGGCAAGAGACATACCTAACACAGACTTCCATCCACTCACTGATATGGATATAGCTCATTGACAGACAATAACAACACATCTCAACACACGCAGAGATGGTGTATGTAGCAAGTAGTATGTACTCAAGTATATATCGACTTAATGAATGTATATCTTCATAAACTCATTATAATTCATAAACTTCCCACTTTTCCTTTTCCCCATTTCCTGGTATATGTTCCCTGTCCCTGTCTCCGGTCCTACCGTCTACCCCGACCCCGACAACCAACCGCCGCCCATCCATCCCCCTCACGCCGGACTGAACAGGATAGGCACATCCATACTCGTCTGCATCGTCCCCGTACTCACAACTGGCGTATTGCTCCTCCCGAACAAACCCTCATGGAACCGCATCCGCATCGCCATGCCCGCCGACACGGCATTGGTCATATCTTTCCCATGATGATGATTGGTTTTGTTGTTCGTGCTATTATTGCCGAACCCCTTCGACATCTTCTTGGCCCCATGGAACTGCTCCGATAATTTACTCAACACAGCCTCCTTGGCCTTCTTCAACGCCGAGGTCCGCATCGCCACATCCTCAGCAAGCATGCGCTGCTTTTCCTCCGCCTCGATATCGCGCTGCACGGCCGTGATCTCGCTGCATAGCTCTGCGGTGGGATCATAAACCGCTGGCTGTAGTACAATAATCGGCATCGAGGGTTTGGTGTCGAGGATCGGGGCCGAGATGTCCATCATCGACATCATCCCCGTTTTAGTCTTGTTTATAGTCCCCATCCTAGACTCGATAGATGAGGGCGAGCGGGAGGGGGAGACGGCCAAGGGAGGCGTCATGGGGCGGAAGTACTCGTCGACTGATTCGCCGCCTTCGTCTGTGGGAGACCAGCTCAGCTCGGGCTCGCTGGTGATGACTTCGCCGAAGAGGCGGTGGCTGGATTGCGAGGCATTGCTGTCATCGTTGTTCAGCTCGCCGAAGAGGCGCTGCGTCGCGGACCGGGCGTAGCTTGTGTCTAGCTCGCCGAAGAGGCGGGACTGTGAGCGGCAGTGGAAGGCTTGAGGGGGGGTGACGGGGGGTAAGTGAGATTCTAGTGCGTCTTGTTCTGCCTGGTTGAGACTGTCTTCGGATTTCTGGTGACGGTGATGATGGTGATGATGACGACGATAGCCATGCGGGTGTGGGTGGGACCGGGACTGGGACTCCTGGCATTTCTCGTGGCGTTGCTCGTGCTCGCGCTCATCATCGGCATCGCGGCTGTGGTGTCTCCTCTTGCGGCGACGCTTAGTGATGCGACGCTTCTTCATCTTTGTCGAAGGGCAAAGACTGGCTTGCCGAGCGGCCTCAAGATCGGATGCGAGCTCTTCGACATCTTCATACCGAGGCTCGGTAGTCCCCACCGCGAAGCTATCTTCACCGTACCCTTCGTCGTACTCTTCGCCATTGATTATGTCAAGTTCAAACAGCTCCTGCGATGCGACTTCCACTGCTGCGGACGGGGATGAAGGCAAAGCATCCTCTTGCGAAGGCGAATAATGGACTGGACGAACACTTCCAACTTCGGATATGCTGCCCGTAGAATGGCGTGACCAATGATCGCTGCGAGACGGGTTGTTCATCAATGGAGCCAGCGCCTCATCCCAACTGCCGTTGTTGATGAGAATGACATTCTCAAAGTCGAACTCGCGGACGCAGTGCTGATGGTCCGCCACCAACTCAGCAACCTGCGGCGCGTTCATAGTCGCATTCCGCACCGATAAATACTTCAGCTTCCGGAACATGATGGGTTTCCGGGACGGTGCTGGTGGGAGCGGCGACATGGGCGACGTCACCTCATTGAACAGCTTCCTTGAGCTGCGTGGTGGCGCAAACAGCGGATCGGCTGCAAGCGATACTGGACATGGGCCTTTGCGACCCAGCCAAGCGAAAGTGAACTTCTCCAGGCAGGTCGAGAACGTTCTGATATAATCATCGATCACCTTCAAGTGATCGAGGCCGGGCGAGGGGCCGTAGAAATCCCACGACTCCACTGAGATGTTCAGCTTGCGAATCTGTTGCCACCGGCGGCCCGCCGAAGGCATGCAGCCGAAGCCGGGTACATGGCGCAGGTATATGAAGGCCGACGGATGCACTGACGACAGAGAGAGTTTGGTCAGCTTTTTCAGCGGCGCTCGCTCCAGTGATATCCTGAGGCTGATCAAAGCATAGTCGACAATGTCCCGCCGGTATCTCTCCTTGGCATTCTGGCCCGGCGTCTTTATGGTGAGGTGTCTCATGTTGGGCAAGTGCTTCATCGCATTAATGAAAGAAGGCACGTTGGAAGCCGCATGAAACATGGGTGGGTACTGCTGCGTGAGGATATCGCCCAGTTCAGTATTGGAGAACTTCGGCCTGGCCAGAACTGATGCCATTGAGGTGTGGGGGGTATATAGAAAGCTGATCTCACGCCCAGTCTCGGGGTGAACGAGCGGAGGTAGGAACGTGGCGTCGGAGTGTGGGAGGTAGAAGGTCAAGTGTTCAATGTGGTGCCCTATCCGCGACAACGCCTGGATTCTGGATTGTCGGGTGAAGGTGTTGGCGCTGAAGGTCAGGTGGGTTCGTAAGAACAGCCGCTTGGTAACGAGGTTGCAACATGCTGAAGAGGCGACTCGCACATTGCAGATGTCCTCCTTGGATAATTCCTCGAAGAGCTTCTCGCGGATTGTGTCGTTTTGCCACAGGCAATAAAATGCTTGCGGTGCGGATGCTCGTGCCATAACGTTCGCATGTCGTATTGGCAGATATGAGAAGTATAGACAGCCGTTGTGAAGTCTTGTTGACTCAGTTGCGGATGCGTCGAGGTAAAAGTAGTGTCCGGGACATGAGAATGAACGATGATGTCAATTGGTAATCAAATGGATAAAAATAGCACAGGAATCATGTGTTGGCTATACAGCCGCTATACTGCGGTGTGCGGAAGCTTGAGTGAGGCTATTCGCAGTTCATGCAATCTTGCAAGCGCCAGCGGAACCTGCAGCAGAGCGAGTGTGCTGGCAATGATAGACTAATAACGCAAAGACTCTTAGAGTTGAAAACAACTCTATTCAACGGAGAAGAAACGAAACAAGAGAATGGGTCAGGCCACCGAAGGCCGTCGTCGACCCAGTTATACCCCATTGCGTTTACAACCACCTACCTCGCACATGCTCCAGCATAGTCCCCAAGGATCGTCGCTCGACCTCAGGAAAAGGCGTTGGGTCGAGGTTGGTTGGTGAGTCACGCTCGATATTAACTGCTGCAAGTCGCCATGCACCACAGAAGCACTCGACAGAAGACCAAATCGCGGACGCGACGCCTGACTTATACCGCGATGTGCGCGATGACTGGCCCGACAAGAGGCCACTTGCATAGCTTATATGCGGCTCTATGCAAGCGGTCTGCAACCGTCTCGGGCACTTGAGCTCTCAGCCAGTAGGACCATGTGAGACGACCCGATGGGTGACAGGAGAAGTGCTGTGATGGGTAGAGTGCGGGGCGCAAAGACCACTAGCAGGGCTCTCCGCCAGGGCCGAGACTATGTGACCAATTAGGCTGCAGGGACCAGAAAACGAGTGGCTGGAACAGCGCGCTTCGCGTCTGTTTCGTGTTCTGCTCGCGTCTCTTGGAGTCGACTATGTCCCTTCATGTAAAAGACTTAAGCGCTCCCGACTTTAGGGACTTGCCAGCGAGGGTTTCGTTGGGCATTGGACAGCAGAGGGCAGTGGGAGTCCTCGATTCGGTGGACAGTGGCACCCACTTGGAATCTACCCCACAGGTGACACGCTGGCCGGGTCTTCAGGCACGTAGGGCCATTACATTCGCTGGGCGGACTGCTGGACGATCTGTTTCGAAACGTCTGCTAGGCTTGCAGAATTCGAGGCACTCTTCGAGGTGCCGCATGGTCCCTGGCCCATCTTTACCCGCAAGAGGTGGCCGCAGATAGCGATGCAGGAAACCGAAACCGGCCTCTCGGCAATCAATTTCGCATCTGAAATCGCCACCCTTCAATTTCTTAGCAGCCTTGCGACACACTCTGGCCGTCTTTGGTGAACCGCTCGTGGAATCGGGCTTGCGGGGCTGATGGACTCGGGTGCGCATGAATTGCATCGCGCTAGATTTGAATGGTGGTTCGCATCACAGCCCTAACCGAACCTCAACTTACGATGATCTCTGGACCACTCATCGACCCTTGCCGTAGAAAGTGCAGCGTGGGTCTTGTGTGTCGCAGAGACGTGGAAGCTTCCCAGTATGACGTAGAATCGATGCCACGACCTTCGGATGTGCTGTCCAGTGGTGACGAGCCAGTCCCAGATCCACATGACAGCAACTTACCGCCCCGATTCCGGGAAATGTAGTTCTCGTCACAATAGCCGAGGAGAAACCCGTGCTTGGACTGTGGCAGGCTCTCGATATGTCACTCTCTGCCCACCCTCGCACTTCCAGAGAAGCTGCACGTTTGAGTTTCGGGGAAAATGATGGTTGTGGTAGACGCAATGGGACCACTACGTCATCCCTAGCTTCGTCTTGCCGAAGAACAAGAGCGACGGGCAGCCACGGTTGCCGGTGTGGCAGGACTCGGCAGGTCACAATGCGCACACTGAGTGAGGTATTGCACGAACGCGTCGCGAAAGTTGCACCATGGGACCCAGATTCCTCAAAGGGGTCGTATTAGTACGCCAAGACAGCACCGCGCAGATAGTAGCTGCGCTCCGAGCGTGTGTATTGTCAACAAAGTTGTAGAGGGTGGACTAGACCGCTCGAATACGGGGAGCCCTAGAGACTGTAAGTGCATCATCATCGCTCGAAGGACAGAGGTAGAAGGGACAGGATGCAGGCTGAAGAAGCCGAGCCATCCGCTTCAAAAGGGACGTTGGCATTGCTCATCGACGAGTGGTTGGTGAACTTGCGTTTCCGAAATCAACTTAGCCCGCCCATCAGAGCTTGGCGCTGAGCGATTTAAGGTTGAAGCTCTCACGGACTTGTAGCTGTTAACATGGAGCTGGGGTGGCCCGGGACAAGCCGGAAGGCTGAGGGGTGACTGAACGTGACCAGAGACATTGGTCCCTTACTTTGGAGACCTGCGAGGGGTCGGTAACTTACCTTTCCTTTTTTCTTTTTAGCGGTCGCAACATTTAATACGATTATCATCAATCAAATGATCGACGATGCGAAAGAAATAAATTCCGAGCTCGTTCGCGTCGATATAGGTTGTACTGAGAGTCTCGCTTCTTTATCAGGCAACTAACTTCTCGTGCGAGTGAACTGACCTGACCTCTGAACCATCCCAACCCCAACCCCAACAGCAGCCCCCAGTTCCAATCGCCACAAGGTACTGCATAGTAGCTCTTCCCAGCTGACAGGCAAACAAGCCCAGCCAAGCAACCTTGCAAATCTAAGCAAGGCATTGGCCCATCTGAAACGCACCGAAATCAAATCACCACGCAATAGCTAGTTGGCTAACCTTAGTGTTTAATGCTTCCACCAGGAGAAACACCAAACACCCGCTACCCGTGATTATCTCTATGGAAACTTCATGCGATTGTTCCGAGTCCCCGCTTGCCAATGAAGTGCAAACATATTTCCGAGTCTTCCAGTTTTCAAGTGCGCTTCGTAGCGCCCGTCGGCCGACGATCCGAGTGTTCATCCGAAAACTTCAGTCCACAACGGGGGAGGCAAAGCCAGTTGTTCCAACTTCCCTTCCGTTGCCCCTTTTCTTCTGATCTATCGCCGGGCATATTTGCCCCCTGCGCACTAAACGATGCTAATCCTCCTGGTTGGACTAATCGGGACCAACGGATGGTTGGGGTTTCTCGCGCAAGGAGTCTGAAACGACGCCACTTGGAGGCTGTTCCTAATCACAAAACATGGCATGGCTGAGCTTGGGCTGTCGACTTCCGTTGCAAGTGCCACAAGCGCGTCGAACTCTAGAAACTTGCCGGGTTCAGAGCTTCGAAGCGTCTGATCTACAGAGGGGGTATATCGCATGTACCGGCAATCGGGCATATCCCAGGCGCATGAATGATCCTCCCTTCTTAACCAGAAATTACACTTCATGCCCCGGTGAGCCAACAGCATTCTTACGACGACGTCAGCACTGCCAACTGTCTTCAGCTTAACCTTACGAGCTATCTTACGAGCTATCTCAAAGCAGAATGCATGCGGTGCAACCATGCCCTCCAAAGATGACCAGCCTATGCAACCCAAACTCCATGTACCTTACTCGGATCCGCAGTTTGGGATTCGAGTTTCCGCTGCATGCTGCTGGTCATTTGCAGGACCCTTCCATAACGCAACCGGCTCCAAATGTCGACTGCGACCTCGCAAGCTCACAAGCAGGCTGCCAGCGCAATCTGGATGGACGAATGTTGCAGTCAGAGAGCGGTGCAACTGGCATTTGCTCCACGCCACGCGCGCAAGCCTCCTTTCAAACACACTAGCATCACTCGCTCTGAGTCGTGACTTGTCTTCCAATGAAGTGGTCATGAATGGCAGAACCATAGGCCACCACTGCTTTGATTGGTCTATCCATCCGTTAAATCTAGGGATCTATAACATAGAACCCAGTCTAATAGTACTGCCATGCAACTTTGCAGGGAGGCCTGGGGCTGCTCATCCACGGCATAGGCTCTGTCCCTTGGCTCGCTGGCTCCTTGATTGTGAATGGTTTAGCAATGCCAGAGCGGTCATGGCGGGGTATGCCTGCGACTTTCTAGTCTCGGATCGGGCCCCAGCTGGCGGCGTTACTACAAAGATGCTGTGCGCCTTCGTCCAGGCGTTGAGACGTCGACCCTTTTTGGTTTCCCTTACTCTTATTCACATCGACACGCCGCGGTGCTTGGTAACAAGAGAATTGTACCTATCGTCTATTGTACTCTAGACGCAACTAATATCGGGTCCTTATGTCTTTGGTTGGAATATTCGCATCAGCCCCGGCATGGAAATTGTAATACCGCCTCGGGATCATGGCAAGGCTACGTTCAGATACACTTGGGACAAAGATGGAACGGTACGCAACCTCGAAGCGCTGGAGAGGTGCGCCCCGTCTCATGGCACACAAGATGAAGTCTAACATTGTCGCAGGATACAAGAGGGAGACGAGCCAGAGTCAGCACCAGAAGACATTAGGCCCACCACAGCCAAAACGGGGACTACCCGGAGGGTAAGAAATTCCATGGCAGCCTGGCCATTCCATCGAGCGACAACATCAAACGTCACTTCTATACCTATCACATCAAACTTCCGCCGGCCGACGTGGCAGCCGAAATCCTTTTTCAAGACGAGTGATGATTCCGCCAGCACCTACAGTAGGAGCATCGTCCCGGACTATGTTGTCAACTACATTAGAGGCGAGACGCCAGAGACACTGGCAAGGAGGAAAGAGCAGAGGAACTGGGGAGAGCGTAATGTTATGATCACGCCAAAGCGGGAAACCTTCTACTCGCGAGCGGCCGAATTTGAAGACCCCTTCGCGTCCACGACGGATCTTAGTCCCAACGGCCCTAGTGAAAATAGGTACGACAACGAATGGCGGCAACGAGGGTTGCGGAGATTTCTCGAGGGGTGGCGGGCCGGTGTCGTATTCAACATACTGCTGTCAACCCTAATATTTTTGGTGGCATTAGTATGTTTTGCCGTTGCGGTTTCGAAGGCAAAGTCTATTTCCGAGATCGCCATTTTCACCGGATCATGTTCGATGACGTCTAACATCAACATTGGAACCCACATCGTCATCAACGTATGCGCCATTGTCCTCCTGGCCGGCGCCAACTATATTTTCCAGGTCCTGTCGAGCCCGACGAGGCTCGAGGTTGTGGCGGCGCACAAGAACAAGCGGTGGCTAGATGTAGGCATCCCGTCCATACGGAATTTGTTGCAGGTATCGGGATTCCGGAGCTCTCTAGCCATCGTCGTGATCTTGGTTGCGGTCGCAACTCACGTAATGTGAGTAGGCGGCAGAGTCCTACCCAGCAGTGGTTGCATGAGGAACGAACTCGGATGTGGTGATTTACTACCGTGTTTGAGCGGTTCACCTTCGACCCAAATAAACCCCAATTCAGCTAACACTCGATACAGTTATAATGCAGTAATATCCACATCTCGAACCGGTCTTGACTACGACGTTGTCTTCGTAACCGAGACCTTTCTCAGCGGCGCGCCCTTTAGCAATGCCACAAACAACGAAGGCGGGCTCTCCAGGCTGGAACTCTTAGCCCTCCAAGACGCTGCCAGCCAGAAAGACTTGGTCAACTTGACCACGACGACGTGCTTGCAGGAATTCGGGGGTGCGTTCGAGACCTCGTTCGATGCCGTGATGCTCGTGATCGACATCGATGTGACAAACAGCTCCTTGGTTCAGATCGACAAGCCGGGGACTTCGCTACATGTGTATAGCACCAACAGCAACGACGATGACGACATTATGGCGCTTGATGGCTCAGCGGTGCTGTACTGCCTGGCTCGCGAAGGCTCAGCACCCCAAACCTGTGCTGTCAATGCCAATATCCTAATGCTCGGCATCGTGGCCTTACTAAACCTGGTCACACTGTTCATTATGGCTGTAGTGCTGACCCGCTCATCCTTGGAGCCCCTGGTGACGCTCGGCGATGCCCTCCGCTCCTTCTTGCGCAACGCCGACGTCACTACCGACAACAATTGCCTCTTGACGAAGACGGATGTTTCTCGGGGTCGCTGGAATTTGCGCGAGGCCAAATACTTCATTCCCAAGCCGCACTGGTGGATCTCCACGCCCTCGGCATCGCGCTGGTTCCTATTCATGTTCAGCTGGCTCCTCATCACCGCGCCCGCTACCGTGGCACTGGCCGTTCTCCTCATGGCCGCCAACCCATCCGCCGGACTGCCTCTCCTGACGGCCTTCGGCACAGCCACACCACACACCACCTTTCTCCTCCCCTCGCCCGTATCTACGGACCAGATGGCTCTCCTCTCCGCCGCCCCGCAGCTCCTCCTTGCCATACTGTACCTAACCACAAATTCGCTACTGACGACGTACTGGCTCTCTCACGAACTCTCTCTTTTCTCCGTCTCTCCTCGTCCTCTCCGCGTCTCGGCTGATCGCGTCGGCGCCCAGACGACGTCGCTATATCTCACGTTGCCGCGGCCCGTGTCCTGGTTTCTGCTCATGCTGTTCGCTACCATGGGATATGTACTCAGTCAGGCTGTGTTCCCAGCCATTATCGACATTACTCCCGCTTCCTCTTCGACCACGCCCTCATCAACCTCGGACCGCACAACCGCCATTTCCCTCTCCACCCAAGCGCTACTCGCGCTCGTAGCCCTCCTCCTCGTCCTCGCGATGACCGTAATCAGCCTCGGCTTCCGGCAGGCGCCCTCTGCCTCTGGCGACTCAGTCGAAAAAGGGAACCCCCTCGCTCTCCGAGGCGGGAGTTGCAGTGCCGTCCTGAGCGCCAAGTGCCACACCGACCTGAGCGAAGTCGACCACGACATTTGGCGGAAACAGATCAGCTGGGGCGTCGTTGGCGAAGGGCTTAACATAGAGGTCGGGCATTGTGCGTTTAGTGCTGTCGGGGTTGGGGCCGTGGATGGGGGAAGATTGTATGCTTGATTTGTCTGAGGGGTTGACGCATAGACATATGCAGACGTATAACACACATACACATATATGAAAGCAATAAAGAAAAGAAAGTGCACTGGAAAGGGAAATATAATGGCGTTGGGAATGATTGCAGATCCAACGGCTGGTTCGGCGGCACTGAGCCACGATTAAATGGTTGGTCTCCCGTTGTTTGATTTGGGTCGGTTCGGGTCTGGTTACTTATATATACCCTTTTATTTATTGTACGGGTTGTGCAGAGACGAGAATGGGGTCCTCAAGGGTCCAAAACCTGGGACGGGGACAGGAGACGAACGAGGTTCACGTCGACAACGGCAGGCATTGAGATGTGTGTTTCCTGGAGAACACACCAAGGGCTGGAAACCAGAGGAATTTTCGCAAGTACCAAATATCTAAGTTCACGAATATCAACCGATCGATATTGTCCAGAATATTGTCCAAATATCACGAATCAAGAACAAAATGACGGTATCCTTTGTCTGTCAAGCGTGACACGCGAGTCCCTACATACTGAGGTTGTGTATCCAGTGTTTGAATTCTAGGTTCTATGCCAAGTTGACTCCTCCATCAGTGGGCCTGGCCGGTCTTTGAGGATACAACAGCCTTCTCCTTCCTTAATACTCTCTTCCCTCTTTACTCCACCACCACCGTCCCAAATTTGCGTGTTGTTTTCCGGCTTTTTGGCTCATCGTCCAAGTTCGATCAGGCCCGACTCACGATGAAAACTTGGACGAAAATGTGACCAATTCGTTGCAGTACCCAGCATTCGATGTACTGTCCCAGTACAAAGCTGTCCCTGCATCTGTACATTTGTTTCACCCCCTCGGAGTTTAGTCTGCGATTGCACTTTCGTCGGCTAATTTCGCAGGCGGCGTGTCCTCCTTCGCTCCATTAACATCAACCAGCACGTTGGCGCGAGCTTTATGTTGGGATTCGATGAACCTATCCCAGTAAACGGGATCCTTGTCGCGCAACCTCTTCATGATATCTTCCTTGTTCTCCTGGAACGTACGCATGGCGCCCAGCTCCTCGGTTTTCTTCCTGATATCCTCGTCCTCAGTTGCAATATCGTCAACCACACCTTCCAGACTGCGCACGTGGTCCGGGTCAATGAAGTACTCAGGGTTCGTGAAGATCTCGTTATGTTCTTCGCGCAAAAACCCACGACGGAACTTGTGACCCACGCGCAGAGCGTGGCCTTCTTCCTCGGCGAGCGCCTTGGACGTGGACACCATCGAGTTGGACCGTGAGCGAGAGGGTGGCCGCAGCTCAGTTTCTAGTTCTTCCGTGTCGGAGAGGAAAACTGCGTCATCACCTTCGGTGGAAGAAAGAGATGTGCCAAGTTCGGGAACCAGGGCTGCCGCATGTGGGGGCGTAATGAGGAGTCGAGTCTCAGGGTACTCGTCCTCAAAGCGGTTAATGATGCCGGATATAGTTTGATCAAGGAACACGAGGCGAGCTGTATGTGTCAGTGAACAAAATATATTCTATTCAGGGTTTGGAGACACTTACTGTAAGTATTGATGTCCTCTCTAGACGAAGCCTTGGCTTTGACTAGAGCAGGTTGCAATCGAATACGAATCTTCCGTGCGCTGGCAAGCAGATTCTTTGACATGTCCTTCGCTTTGCCCGACGATACCGGAGTTGTGGGAGTGATCTCCAGATCTCTGACAAATTCGCCCGACTGTCGTCCGGAATCATCACCACGGTTCTCCAAGCAGCACGCCAGTGCCTTGACGACGCCTGTGCCGCCAATGACATAGTCTTCGTCAGGGCCGACACTGACATCGTCGTCATCCGACTCGACGTTCGATGAATCTTCTTCATGACCAACAAGGTGGCGGAGTACATCTGGATATCTGATGTGGCGAGGAACTTGTTCGCCCGACGCAGAGTCCAATAGATCCGGTGCCATACGCATGTTTCGCAAGCAGTAGGCCACAACCTGATTGGCTAAAGCCTTAATGATCTCGCCCGACTCCGCGCTGGGGTAGTCGATGTCAATCTTGACAAGGGTATCCGAGACGCGAGATGCTGCCAGAAGCGAGGCATACAAGGCGCATGCCTCCTCTTGTGTCTCCTCTGTTTTGGCATCCGCCAAATTAACCATCCTCGGATTTTCCAGCAGATTAATATGGGCTAAAGTCTTGATCTCGGGTAGAATCTCTGCTAGGGCGATAGCTTGCTCAGAGGACATGGCCACATCTGCGAGATGAAGCCGTCTGAGAGATTCCATGTTAGGAAGATACCTAGTATGCCAATTAGTGACGGGGCACAGTTTGCTGTGGGAGATCAAACTAACCTTCGAAGCAATCCAATGGCGCTGGGATCGGATTCGCAGAGATCAGTATTATGAGACAAGTCGATGAACCTGAAGTTCTTGAGCTGCGTCAGCTTTGGGAAGAGCTTGCATAAAGAGCCTGGTTTGAGGTTGCAGTCAGCCAGGCTGAGTGCCCAGAAGGTCGCGTCGTTCTCATCAACGGCATCAGCAATCACTTCAAGATGGTCTCTCAAGTCGTTGCCGCCAAGATCGATGCCTTGGCACTTCCCTCCCCGAAGATACTTCGCGACCTGTTCTAGTCCTTGGATATCCAAGTCATTGTTCGCAAGTCCAATTCGGGATATACCCGACTTGAGCGCACCATCGATTATGTTGCCGAGCTGACTTGTCGTTATCCCCGTTTCGCCTATGTTAAGAAGTTCAAGCTCTGAACCGGCCAGTCGCTCACCAAGTGCTTTGGAAAGGAGAATTGACAAATCGACGGGGGCCACCGGGTTATGGCCATTGTGGAAATGAAGATGTTGAGATAATGGTGTTTTGGGAGGTTCAGATAGAGCGGGAAATGCGATACTGGAGAGGTCGAGGCACTTGATTGAGCGGCACATGTGAATGAACAGGCAGATGTGTTTCCAGCCCTCAACCCCGAGTTTGTTGTTTTTAAGGACAAGCCCCTCCACAACGCCACCCTGTTGGGTCAGATCTGCAGCTTTCGTGATGGATCTCCTTTGCCTAGTGTTGGGTTTCCTCGAGGCTAGTAACCCAGCGAGAACAACTCGGACCCCTTCGTCCGTCAAGCCGCAATTCTCCAGGATGACCTCTTTCACAGGCACGACGGCGAGGAAGTCTCCCAGTGTCACCAAATCCGGTAAGGACATGAAATACCCCGTGAGGTCTAACCTTTCTACAACGCCGCAGCCATCGGTAGTCTTGGGCAGCTGAGTCGTGATTTTGGTCAAAATATCCGTTTCTCGTAACTGGCAGCATCTCCGGTATATGCGAGCAGGATTCGTCGTTGGGATAACCTGAGGCTTGTGAGCCCCTTTTGGAGCCGTTGCTTCTTCTGAGGATGAGTCGCTGTCGAGATGAATCTCCATTGGAATTGCCCCCTTTTCAAGAGCCTCTTTCAGCTTTTGCTCCTTTTTCGCTTTCCGTTCAGCCTCACTCTTCTTCTTCTTTTCCTTCTTACGGGATACTTCTTTTTCAGGTTTCGGCTCGTCGGTGGACTCCTGTCCATTCGCTTTCGGTGCTCCATTTGTCGTCGCATTTTCCTGTTTCTCAGTCTGTTTTGGTAGGTCCTCGCCAGTGGCCTCTTTCTGCTCCTCCGCCGTCTTTGGGCGTTTCAGAGCGTCACCCTCGCTCTTTTCTGTGCTCTTGAGTTTTTGCGTCTTGTCCTTGTCTGCAGAACCCTTGCACACTGTTTCCGACCCGGCGTATTTTGGCATTGGTGCGATCTCAACATCGACACAGAAAGCGACGCGACGGAGTTTTGACGGATTTAAGTCGTTCAACCGAGGCCTTTCGCGCTTCTTATCGACATTCAGCACTTTCCGTTCCACTAAGCCATGGTGATTCTTTCCTGCAGCGAGAGACCCGTTTGACGAGGATAGTCGTCGAAGCACTCCCAGAAACCCTGGCTGCGCTGACCTGGGTGGCGCCGGAACATATGGGCCTTCCCCAGACTGTCTTGTTGCATGTGGAAGCACAGCGTTCTTATTGGGATTTATCTTAGGGAGAGGCGAAACGTCGTCGCTCGTAGGTTGTGGGGAAGCAGCGGCGGGAGGTGGTGTAGCGCCAGGTGTTGAAGAAAACTGGGAGGAGATCTTGGAGAACCACGATCCCCTCCTACCCGGCGACGTCCCATTTGCACTCGTAGGCCTCTTCTCCTCGTACGTCCCAGCTCGTTCAGGTATCGGCTTTGGTGGCGTTGGTGACTGCGAAGACTGTGCGGGTGATGGTGCGCCAGCGCCTGATGTTGAATTGCCGTTAACCGTACTTGGAGTCGAAGATTCTAGAGGCTGGACTGGCGGCACACTCGTCTCACTAGCTTGAGACAACGAGTTCCATTTCGTAGAATGCTTGCCTAGCCTGTCTGTACAAGGAGTTGGGATTAGCCATGACGACGGGGCCTCGACAGCAGGAGTGGGATTGAAAACAAACAGTGAAGGGGTCGTCGATATTGGTGGAATGTTTGGTCTATACCTTTGCCATGGGTCATCCAGCTCACATCCATGACCTGCTCCATCTTGATTGGCGATTGTCGAGGACTAAGTCGACCACAATGTTGGAAAGGGGGATTGTAGTGCGGCAACTACAATGTTCGCAAGATATTGCTGGACTCGGCGATATCGATACCTTTAGATGGGACCTCCGGGCGGAGTGGAGCTTGGGGGAGATGCGCAGCCGCTTGTATGTGTCGGTACGGAATTTGATGTGGTTTTCGAAGTAGCAAACGAGAACGTCACGGCCAGGTCTCGTCGACTGAGCCGCAGACGTGTACTATTCAAGAAGGGTGATCGCGCACATATCCAAAAGCACTATCTTTCTGTCGTCCTCAGCTCGTGGTATCGAGGGGGTCGGCCGCTTGAGTTTGAAATGTGGGGTCTGGACCTGACGGTCAGGAGCGACGGAGCCATTTGCTAGTGGGAGCAGAGGCCATTTCGTGGAGGGCAATTGGATCAAGACGACGGGATCTGGGCGCGCAACATAAAGCAGCTCGACCGAATTAAACAAATACTCCGGAGCTAAGCTGATGTGAGTATTATCAGATTGAAGACAAGTTGATGCAATGCCGATGTGAGCGCTTTAAGGTAAAGAAAGCGAGGCGCCAACACGTCGGACAACAGCCAAAAGGCTAGTGACAGGGACCCCTCGGCCCACCTCTGCATTGAGACCAATTCTTAGATCCAATCGCACAACAGAAAATGACCCTGTCACCAACGTCCTTGAACCTAGGCAAATGGACCCGAAGACGTCAGTCGTTCCCATTACTGAGGGGCAATTCATCTGATCTCCAGTAAGGGAACCATCTGATGCCACAACCACAACCGCTTGGCCACACAGCTTACGTCCTTCATATAATGGGTGTGACAATTTGTCCATACTTCCACGAACTGTCTACTCGTACTTCGTACCTAGGTGAAGTCTTGGAGGGTGTCTTGGAGGGTATCTTGTGCCTGCGCTGTTCACGCCCGGAGTTCTCCTCACAAGAACAGAATCATCATATGGAGCATGGTCTTATGAATCAGTCCACCTGCGGTTGGAAAACGCGGGTGCGCAATAAGGGAAATGTCGGAGTGCAAGGTTTTAATTCGCTTGTTGCTTCTGGCCAGTCTGGATTCTGTGATAGTACACTCCAGACTTCTAGTGGAAATCCTCTTGATCATGCTTTTCTGCCAATGGTGCCCTGACATGGAAGGTGGCCAGTCTTGCAGTTGACATTGGCAACCCACACTGGATTTCTGCATGCGGATTAATTGTTGCATCTCATGATCTACAGCATGTCAGCCCGCAGCGATCATACCGTGCGTGTATACCAAGGCGCAATGCGCCAAATGCTTGACAGCAATGCCAACAAGCAGGAAGATTCCCGAATTAAGTTATCAATGCCAGCCGCACTACGGTTCCAAGTTCATCAAGGAACCCAATTTAGACGTGTCTATATCCGTACCTGAAATGGCGCAGCACGCGCCGCATCTGAGCATTCGATTGCCCATAGTTTGATTCCTAACCAATTCCGATCTGAGACCATCGGTCGAGCCGAACTATGCCTCACCTGCAATATTCCCAAATAGGAGATATGCCGCGATCAATCCATAAACATACCTTATATAACAAAAATCATGGTAAAAATTACCAAGCCAAGTTCTTGGGTTGCCAAAAACGACGCCATCAAACGCAATTTAGGATCTCCTCCGTATCAGAGTCGAAACCCTTTGTGAGTGTAACCCAAGTTTGTCGCATATGGACAAACAGGTCATCAGCCACTACGCATATTTGCATCGTTATCATGGATTCGTCTCGTCTCATTCAACATAATAATGGCAAGTATCCGTCGAAACGAGACATCTACACAGTGGTTACAGATTGTTCAAGGACATCAGGTATGAATGATCAGAAGACTCGGTTCAATCTTACACTACAATGCGATAATCGTATTGGAGTATCGCATAAAACTGAGCATCTGGAAGCTGTATTCAAAATGCTAAAACTCAAACCCGAAGAGTGAAATATCCGAAAAAGACAAGAGTAAAGTGCAGACTTGATGGGCAACAACGTGAACAGCATGTAACAATCTATTGAATGATAACAGAAGAAGAAGAAGAAGAGGAAGAGAAAACACCCCATTTCGCGCAACAGAGAAGACGGAATCTTCAAACAATTCTTGCTGTGAGTTGTTTGGGCAAGCCAGGAAGGAGCACGACTTGCAATCATCCGCCTCCGCATCACATTGACTATTGGCGTTATGGGGCTCAACCACATACATTACTATGTAATTGCCATATTTCTATTGTGCCCGACAACGCAGTTGGGTAACAAATACAACACTAAAATACTCCATTAACTTCGACTACCAATTGCGCTACCAAACTATGGCCGAATTACCCCGAAACCGCCCAAATGGAGAATTCGCACCTGACGCTGGAGCCGCTGTAGTTACCGCCACCGCAAGTGGTCAAAATTATGTAGCCACTACAGACGCGATTGGCACTAAGCGGCCCCAGACTATAGGGGACACTATCAAGACCTACAACTGCACTAAAACAACAGAATCAATCCAGTACGCGGCGACGTGGCAGATTCAAGACCACCGACCGAGATGAGCGCCACATCTGCCTGCAGGTTTGCCGGGACCCAAGGGTCAGCTACAGTACACTGGCAAGGCGCGCGGGGCTCAACATTAGCCCCAAGACCCATTAAGAGGACCCTTAACCGTCACAACTTTTAAAAAAAAAAGGTGTGTCGCCAAGCTGATATTATTGACGGAGGAGGACGTAGAGCAGAGACTGGACTTGCGCAGAAATATATCCCTAGTGCTAAGTAATTGGGGCTAATGAGGTGCCTTTTCTCCCACAAATGTACCATGTCGAACTCCCCTGATAATGCGGGCATTTGGGTGATGCGTCATGTCTCTGAACGCTTCCGGCAGGACCTTGTGGACACGCATAGTTATGGAAAGTCCTGGGTTTCTATTGTGGTCTGGTCTATGACCTGATCACGGGATGATAAGGCCGGTCTAGTCAAGTTGATCTACTATAAGAGGGATCCGAATACCCCTCGCGGTAGAGCAACCTCACAGTCGTATCATAGCGTACAGGAGAAAGGATTACTTCCATTGTGTAAGCCTGTGGACCACTTTATACAGGATAATGCCAAAGCACATGTTCAGCTTAACCAAGGGGTGGCTAGAGGAGCACGGCATCTGGACATTAAATAGCCGGCCCACAGTCTGAATTTGAACCCTGTAGAGCACGTCTGGCACGCTCTCAAGAAAATTCATGAAATCGAGCCTAATTTTGCCAATTTGAAGAAGAACATTACCCACAAAGCGTGGGCCAGAGAAGTAATCCAGATGGCGTGGGCAGAGTTGGATCCGGACCTGGTAGTGAAGTCGATGCGGTCTATCCCCGATAGGATAGGATCGCCGCTGTGCGAAGCGCCCGTGGCTGGTACACTGATGATTAGAGTATACGCTTTAAGGAAACTCTTGTAGTAATTCCCAGGTTATTTGAACGTGATTTGCCTGAGAAATAGCCCATTGAAGTCCGAAGGTTGTTATGTAAGGTGGGGTCCAAATAACGGGGTAACGGATGAATTTGTCCACAGATTGTACCTTGTCCTGTCAAATATCGTAACTGTTTACCAACAGTAGGTAAGCCGTTAACATCAAGTTAAGAGTCATTTCCCTGATGATATTATCAACATTGACAGTTCTACAACCTAAGCCTCCTCACTAAAACACCTAAACACTATCAATCCTCAGTAAACAGCTTCAGTACGTAAAATTTTGACTGCCTTCCTGCTGGTAGCCTGTCAGCGAGCATTCTAATCCGGGATGCCTGTGGTATATCATCCCCAGTTGACGCTTCCTCATTTGTATTCGTTGTTGGTGTTGTTTTTGTGTGTTCAACATGAGCACTCCATAATGGGATCGTGTCTACGCATCTGCTCGAGATGCCGAGATAATTAGACCGTCCGAAGCATCACAGGTGATCATTTACTATCTCCATGAGACCCTGCATGTGCTTGCGAGTATTGACAGCATCAGACAATTTTCCTCAACGGCCCTACGGGTATGGACGACCAAAGGTCTTCTACTGGCAGCGTACATTTGCCCCGGTCTAGTCACTACGTTGCAACAGGAAAACAGAAAGTGAAAACGGTACATTCCAGGCAACGCTGATCGGTGGAATTGAGTCATTTAGTTGTCAAAGGGAAGAATCACAGTTTCATTAGCGTGAGGTGTGACTGATCAGGTAGTTTGTCAATCATGATGAGCCTTTTCGTCATATCAACGCCTAACTACCTGGAGGCAAAACCCCAAACCGCATTAAAGTCAACCGTTTTGCAAACCCAACCATTCGTTTATTCGTCGCGGAGCTCGGCAATCTTGGCCTTGACTCTCTCCAGCTTCTGCTCCTTGGTGGATTTGGTCATCTTGTGCTTCTTAGATTCGGCCTTCCACTCGTCTTTGCTCTTCTTGGGCGCATCGCTCTCATACTTCTTGAAGGGGTCCTCGCGGATGGCGGCGTGGGCCTCAGAGTACAGGTCCTCCAGAGCGTCAGCCTCGATGTCGTCATCGATGTACTTCTGGAATTGGGACTTGTAACGCTCCTCATCGTCATCAGCCAGAGTCTCCATGTACTCTGCAACGTGACCGCCAAAGATGTACTTCTTGAGGGTCTCTGCATCAAGCTCCTTGGACTCTATGTCGAAGCCGGGGAATCGGTTCTCAGAGTGGGGGATGAGGATACCACCGTCAGAAGCACCCTTCATGGCACCGAAGATGCGGGCACCAGTCGATGTTCGGTGAAGACCGACATCGAGGTGGGCCTTGAAGGGACGGCGCTCCTCGCCATCTTCCTCGGCGGCCTCAGTGAGGGTGTACTCTCCATCAGCTTCCTCGACTCCGGTGAAAGTCTCGTCAAGGCCGAGCTTCTTCAAAACACGGCGAGCGATGAGAAGACCAGTGCAGTAGGCGGCAGCCCAGTTGGTGAGGCCGTGCTCGATGCCGTAGGCGCGGAGCTCGTGGGAATAGGCAGCCGCGAAGACCTTGTCGCCGGTGATCTCGGAGGTCACGATCTGCATGATGATGTCGCGGTTGGTAAACCGGACGACCAGACGGTACTTGGGCGCATTGTACTTGTTCTTGGCCTGGGTGATCAAACGCTTGCGAGCGTAGTAATCGGTCTTGCCTTGGCGGCGGCGCTTGTACTTGGTCTGGAAGCGACTAGGGAGAAGTTAGCCAATGCCTCCTCCAAATGGCGACAGCGACCCAACAGAGGCCGAGTAGTGGACTTTGGAGAGTTCTCCTTCGACTTACCTGTAGTACGCACTGCTCTTAACTGCCTTATCGAACGCCTATCACAATAGTACCGAGTCAGCAATTGGCGCTTCAGAATTTTGGAGTATTCCGAAGCATCTTGCATTGACTCCAATCGAGAGCTACTGGGCCATTTCTGGCATTCGCACCGATGTCGTTCACAGGTTCACACTTACCATCTTGACTGGATGGCTGGTGATCAGCACGTTTTGTCGAATTGGCTGTTGGGAAGATGGAGGTGAAAGTTGTGATCGCGAAGGTCGAAAAGCACAAAATCTTTGTGGGAAATCGCTAATCACCCTGCTGCTTAACCCTGCCGTCTAGTTTGGTGGGGTACGAAGCTGAAGACAAGCTGCAAGTGGGATTGTGCGGTGGGTGACGACCCGGCTTGCCGAGACCCGCAGCTGGCAATTGCAGGCTAGGTGGCGCTTGGACCATTCAAAACCTGCAACTTCCCTTGGGCGCCGAGTGAGAAGTAACCGAGGCTCCTGGACGAGGGAATCCGAGGTAAGTGTGGCGTCTAGCACGCCCAGTACTTTATAGAACTTGATTTCTAGACTCCCAAACACAACTCCAGCCTTTTTTATTTTCACCCAAGAGACATTTATGTATGTAATAGTACATTACTAGACGCGAGATCTTGAAATCTCAACCACTGGAGAGTGAATCGGTGCCGCCTATTCTAAAGATCTGGGCGGTATCATGGCCACCGCAAAGCAGCCAAAGGTCATTCTATTTGACATAGGCGGTGTTGTCGTAAGTTGGTTCTTACTGCTCCCTTCATCTTCCCTAGTTAAGTGCAATTGTAATATCTCCTGTCTACACACCACTGCCCTCGAGTAGTTTTCATTTTTGCCAGTCTGCAGTCTCCCCACTTGGCCTAACATCGTGCAGGTCGTGTCTCCGTTTCAAGCTATCCTGGATTATGAACTCAGTTTGGGAATCCCACCTGGCTGGATCAACTATTCGATATCAAAGACAGCTCCAGATGGATTCTGGCATAAGCTAGAACGGGGCGACATCCCCATGGATGATGCCTATTTCGAGGGTTTCAACAAAGACATTCATGATCTTACAAGATGGGAAGCTTTCTACAGGCTCCAGCAGAGCAAAAACCCAAGGCTCCCAGAGGATGTACCCCCTTTACCCAAGCTTGATGGGCGGCGGCTGTTTAACGACATGATGACCTCATCAACCAGCCCTGATCCTTGGATGTTTCCCGCATTGAAGAAGCTACAAGAGAGCGGCAAGTTCATCATAGCTGCAGTGAGCAACACCGTCATTTTCCCGCCTGGCCACCCTCTGCATGAAGAGGACTACTTCAGTGGTCCCGTGAGGCGTATATTTGACGTCTTCGTTTCGTCAGCCCACGTTGGGTTGCGGAAACCAGACTCAAAAATGTATGAGTTTACACTCAATGCGGTGAACAAGTTCGCCATGACCCATGCCAAGGAACAGAAGGGACTGGATTTGGGAGATGGTGTCAACCCAGAAGATATCGTCTTTCTGGATGATATTGGAGAGAATCTGAAAGCAGCAAAGAAGCTTGGGTTTCGAACGATCAAGGTTAATCTGGGAAGGGCGTTCGAGGCCGTTGATGAACTTGAGCGTGTCACTGGCCTCAAGTTGGCAGGCGAACATCCCAGGATACCGATCAAACCCAATTATGGCAACACAAAAGCCAAGATATAGGGTCGTAATTTGTCGAAATATTTGTGGTACTATTCCTCATGTTGGACAGCCGTGCAATAGTCGATGTAAACGACAAAATTTCCGAAAGTTGGCGAACGCCCAAGTGTCTTACCACACGTCTAGTTCGACATCTTGCCAGGCCTTCTTGGCAATATACCGACACGGCGCGCCAACGACTCAAACCTACCCGTTTACTGCTAGAGCTTCCCACTCTTTCTGAAATGGGTACCTTGCCTTCTCCAAATCGGGTACTCTCCACTCAGTATAGCTGGCAAAACCCGTGGTGTTCAAATCAAACTGTTCATACGACTAATCAATATCAGAGGACGTGACTGGCGTGCCAGTAAGCTTGTCCATGAGAGCTATTTTTTATTATTTTTTTCCTTTTTTTAGATGACCATGCCTTCGTTTTACAGTAGTCTCTGAAGGGTTTCTTGCCCTTGACCCATCTTCGGTTCGAGGCCACCGCAAATTCATCTGATCCGATACATGTTCGATCACCATGCCTTGAACGCGTAATTTCAATCAGCATTCTGTCACAGCCCTTCAACCAACCTCTCCAGTGCCTCAGAACTTCGGCAGGCTCGTCAAAAAGTACGAAAGCGTTGCTACAGATCACGACATCAAAGCCCCCCCTCATGTCTAGGCCCGTCAACTCTTCGGGCATGTCCGGGCTAGTAACATCATGTTTCGCAAACTTGATCCTCGAGCCTAGCACGGGCTCCCACTTCTGGCGTCCGTGTGCTTCCGCCAGCATTCCACAGCTGACGTCAACTCCGATGACGAGACCCTCCAGTCCAACAGCATCGGTTGCAATACAAAACCTAGGCCCGCGTCGCAAGTGGTGACGAGAGTACGGTTGCTGGGCTTGACATCCACAATTTGTACCATGCGTTGCGAATAGTTTGGGTGGAACGAGGATTCGTAAGTTGAAGCTCGGGTATTGAGACGGACGTTAGCAAAGTTGGGTACCGGGGGAAGCTAACCTACCATTCCAAACTGTACTGAAAATTAATCAATGTGATGCTTCTGAATTATTTTAAAGGGCGAATTGATTGAGAATATATATTCTTCGACTGCAGGGTTAAGAACTTGTATCATCCAGCAAGGTGTTTCCCGTGATGAACGATCAGAGTTGTTCGTCCAAGCCGGTGAATAGTAACCGGTTGCAACTGCCCCTATGACCAAGTTGAAGTTGAAATGTAATGGCACTTGACTTGAAGTTGCGCATTGACTAGTGATTGTTCTAAGACTATGATTTGATAAGATGCATTCCATCCTGTCCGTTCACCGGCCTGAGTTTGAATGTGTAATATGAAACGCGGTGCTGGCCCCTCCGAGTTTGGCGCCCTCCCGATCGGGTCAAGCGCTGACGTAGCCCCGCTCGCCGCTTTTCGCCATTGGCCCATGGCAACGTCACCTCTTGCGCCGCAGCATATATAGGGCCGTCCTCCCTCCTGTCCTGATCTTGTACCCTTGACTTCACGCCCTCCCCTTTCCAGGCTTCATTTTCGCCGAACCCTCGCAGTCGCGCCCTCTTCCCTCATTTCGTTAAGATCCTGCGTCTTGTACCCTCCCGTATGGCTCTTCCTGAGGCCGTACTGCCGTTTCGTGCAGCGTCTGAGCTGACCACCGCTCGGCGTGTTCCCTCTCGATTCCGACATTGAACTTCGCTGCAACTACTCTCTGATTCCTCAACGGAGACAGTCACACGCAGTTCCCTCGAAATTTTCGAACCTCCTCCACGACGACGCATGCGTCCCCTTGCCCTACCCCGTCCCCCACTGTGTGCCACAGCCCTCCGCCTGTCCGTGGATGTGGAATCCCGGGCTGCCTGTAGGATCTCTGACGCTATTGGCATCGCCTCCCTGTCTTGGCCAATTACAAAAATGCCGTAGGCGACGATCGCGTGTTTGTGGAGATGAGGAGGCCTCCCTTTCTTCGCATCACATCGCAGGAGGTCGCGATTGGACCGCTTGCCAGCAAGACGGTGTGAAAGAGTTTCAGCCGTACTCCATGCTGACGCAGCCTTACTAGGGCCATGGCGAGGGATCAGCCTTTCCGGATGTGATGTGGCGTGATGTGAGGGACGATTCCCCTTCATTTGGGGCAATGGCAAGGCAGACACGTCATGCGAAGGTGTTGCAGGTTACGATAAGAGGGCGTGCAAAGCAGCGTCGTGCGAGCTCAGCCTGCTATTGGTGCTGACCGAAATGGTGTGATTAATGGGATAAGACTTTATGCGGAAGGGGCTGGGAGTTGGAGACAACGATGCAGCTTTATCACACCGACGAAGCCTTCACGGACCAACACCGGCGACGCCGTGGACCATGTGCTATAAGATTAAAGACATGATTGGCAGCGGCGGCGACGATATCCCTGTGAGGACTGCCTCTAGCTGTCTCGTCTTGTTTCGGCAGTTACACGATTGGCAGAAATACGAGGTGACTGGGGAGGCTGTGTTTTGGCGTTCTCTTGCTATCCTGTGGAGCGCAGCTCGCAGTTCAGCACGGTTTATCGCCAGGCTGCTGGGGTTGGTGAGAAGAGGTGTAGCGGAAGGCTCGCCCGTCTCTCATGTGTATATATTTTCCGCTTGTCCTCGAGCCGAACCGGCACGTATGCTTCTTAAGCATACACCCGGAAATCGTTCTTCCATTCAGCATTATTCGCAACCTACGCGTAATCGCACTCCGACGCCATGGCTGAAGTGGTGCTAAATAACGAAATATCTCCTACTTCTAGGATAGCAATCTCAATGCTTACGGGCCCAATGCCTACTGGGAACTCGCCAGATGATGCTTTGCCGTTATCCAGCGATGAGGAATCCGATGATGACGACTTTAGCGATGGCCAATTCGATACCTCTTTACCGCCGATTGGCGAATTTTGTCGGCGTGGTACCGGAAATGTGGACTTTGGCAGCACTATTGCTCCTGGTATGCATTCAAATTTTCTTTTCTTTGCAGCAGGTTGTTCTAATCTATCCTCTCGGCAGACACATGCTCCCAAGCTATATCCGGTTTTGCTACCGCTGCTATTAGTGGCGATAGCGATACAGAAGAACCATTGAAGGGAAGCGAGCCCAACGACGGGTCTGCCTTAATCCACCACCAGACAATATACAACCAACAGCAGTCCCAAGTGCTTCCATGTACATCAGGATTCTCGCAAAGCCTATCTGGGCCATCCAGGACTCCACTGATGGAGCAGGATCAGCCGATTCCTACTGGTATCGCTTTGTATGGGGCGAAGCCAACGTCCGGCGCTACATGTACAGCTGCTGAGATACCCCACCCGATTCCGTCAAGAGTCCAAACTCCTCATTTGTCCTGCCCAGGGCACTTCGGTACCCCTTTACAACCAAATGACAGTTCCCAAGAGCATATGCGACTTCATGGTGGTCGGAGCGAAGGCGATTGCGACAGCGATGACGAAGCTGGGCGGCCTCAACAAAACAGCGTTGAGAATGACAATCTGGCTGATTCAGGTTCGTACACAGGTTTCTCGTCTATAGACGTGGTGCCAAAGCTGACGCGGCTTTTAGACAGAACTCCTGAAGGTGCGCTTGGCGCTGGTGGCGACGTCGAGATGGTCTTCACACGAGGGGCTATCGAGAAGATTGCATCAAGCCGACAGCAGCAACCACCTAGCCTAGAGGGTTCTCCATCACCGCATGTATTCCAGCGCTGCGGATGTCGCCTATCTCGCAGAGCCCTCAGCCGGAACAACACCAGCCCAGCCAGGACTTATTGCGTCGCACTGGTAGTCCTTCCTGTGAGGCTAGGCAGGAACCCACTAGCAACGCTACACATTATGTGCCCGTTAAGGGGACCTCTCACGCCTCATCACCCACGGTCCAGTTTCCATCATTACCTGGCTCCCGTAGCCTCTCCACGCTTTCTCCCGCGCCACCGTACGAAACCAACGATCCACAGCGCATATCTCGCTGTGAGCTGGTTAACGGAGCCGACAATGGTCGCCAAGAGTCGCCGAAGGCCCAGCGGAAGTTAAGACCCAGGATCGCAGCGCTTGATAGGGATCGCCATCCCTCCAAGTCCAGCATCGCTTCCGACGACGAGGGAGCGGATGAATTCGAGGACACTGACGATAACGATGACGACTACACTGCGCGGCCACAGCGAAAACGTCGCAAGAACCCATCGAGCTCCCAGGTTTCAAAGCAACGGCACAGTCGCTTAAGCGGCATTGGGAGATCCTCTCGTCCGTACAGCATCTCCACGCCGCCATCTTCGCAAATTGATAGCGACAAGGAGGGTACTGCAGGGGCGCCTACCGCGGCGTTCGAGGAGTGGCCACTTCAGGACGCTGTCCTAAAGCGTGTCACGGAGGGCCGCCAGATGACCTTTCAGTTACAATTCACCTGGGGCTCTTGCAGATCTCAAGGGCTCCATGCCGATGCAAGACGAAGCCTAGGGGACCAGCCACCCACCAGAACAGAAGTCTCTATGAAGCGAGGCATATTGAGCATAGCCGGTCCCGAAGCAGGAGACTCTATGCAAGATGGCGACGAAGAATATATTGTTGAGCAGATCCGGGACCACAGATTCACCGAACCTGGCAATCAAGGCCTCCAGCTCCATGTCAAGTGGCGCAACACTCGAAAGTTGACTTGGGAACCAGTGGAGCTGATGGAAGACACGAAAGCATACGATACATATTTGAAGCACAATAACATCTCTCGTCCTTCCAACGGACGCAAACGTGGTCGACCGAGGAAATCCGTAGTCGATAACCCCAGGTTAGGGATATCTTTCTGAGCATGTATGCGAGATTGTGAGTCAGCAAAGACGGTTGTCGAACTTGTGGCTGTGGCTTTTAACACAGGCTGGCACAGACATGCAAAGCAGATCACTACAGATGTACGGCGTTTGACAGCGATTTATTAAGCCTCATGTGCAATATGGGAACCATGGGCGAGAACTGACCACCTGGGAGAGATGTGAAAGTCCCACGTTGATAACACACGCATGTGGTCCCAAAGTAATAAAATGCGATGCTGTCAATAGTACAGTACCTAACAGATATTTCCGACTGAAATCTTTCTTTCACATTCCCCGCGATCTAAAACCCAAGGCACATGCTGGTTCCCGAATTTATAAGGCCCACCTTCCTAAATGTAGTCTTGTTGCAAACGGAGTGTCTTGGGACTGACGTGGCAACAAACGGGATACCTAGGGTCTAGCTCGGGTCAAACTCGTACTTCCCTTCTTCTCAAACCTTCGGCATCCAACTTGACTTCAGGAAATACACCACTGCAACTGGGCGCGCCTGTGAAGCAGGGCAGTGCTATCCGCCATCATGTTGACGCCCACAAGCCTCAATCCCAACATCTACTTCTACCCCATCGGCAACACTACGGCCATATCTATCACTCAGTCACTTGCACCACAGACGACAGGGAGTGTCTTGCTTCTTGGTTGTGGAGATGTTCGCAACATCTTATTCACCAAACATATGGACGGTAAGGCCCTTCAAGATTGTCGACCGTCCTTCCAGTTAGCAGCGACTAACAATCTCCAGGAAGCCGCTTGGATTTTACATGCTGTGATATACAGCAGGCTGTCATCGGTAAGTGACCCCATGGCTTACTGAGACCAACATACTAATTCGACCATCTCAGCCCGCAACATCGTCGTCCTTTCTCTCATCATTGACGATGAAGAAGGTCGAAACCAAGATTCCATATGGAAAATTCAATTTTACATGTACCTCGACGAGAAAGCCCGCGACCTGCTTGCCCTGCAAACCAAGAAACTCTTTGACGCTTCACAAACTGTGGAAGCTTGGCAATCGAGCAAATATGGCACCGAATTCAGGTTCTGCAGCATGTCCACGATGAGCGATGTGAGAAATATGTGGGATTTCTACAAGGAAGGGACGAATACCGAGCGTCCAGGCTCCCTGCAGCAGTTCATAGCTATGATGAATGGTGCGCGAGACCATCAGGCGCGTAGATCTGGAAGTTCCACCTTCAACTTCACTGCCCTTCGGTCGACCAAACCAGCTCTTCTTACGCCGAGCTTAATGAAAGACCTCGATACACTATACAAACATTTAGAACTAAGACGAATATGGCGAGGTGAAGCCATCGCCAACGAAACCCCTGGTTAGCGGCAGCGCGGTCCGCTCAGAAGCCAGGACTCCACGATACAGTGAGCTGTAGAACGTGCTTGGGAGAAAACTCTTCTCTTTCCCTCTTAAGCTTGAGTATACACAATTCTGCGTCATAACCTCCGTGCATCGCTGTCGGCTGTGACCGTCACATATCGCCAAGCTTCCATCACATCCTTTACATGTACGACCCTCGTTACAAGGCTGAAAATGATCACAAACCCGCATCAACCCTCTTCGAGCGAGGACTTGACCACCAGGCTGAAAGTACTCGCCTTGATCGATATATCAGGACCAATAGGTCAAGAGACGATGGAACCCTCTCAACCTTCAGCAACAGGAGCACCTCCCAGACTGGTTATGACCAAGGAGCAGCTCGAGAGTTATGTGCAGTCAGAACTTGCCAGGCTCACAGCTGGAACGCCAAAGCCATGAAAGTCGCCAACCACGTCAAGGCCCTTTCGGCCGCGGTACGAGGCCCACTGGCAGCAGGCCTTCACAAGACAGTAAAGACTGTCCTCTTGCCCACTCTACTGTACGGGTCCGAAGTATGCTACAAAAACAGGACGAAGCTAACCAGCAGGAACGCTAAGGGCAGGGAGAAACCTGTCAGTATTAGGCTCGGGGGGGGGAGGGGGGCGGCTACGTCTTGCGATGCCAGAGAGCACTGGTCAAGGCCATCCGGGGGGTACTGCCAATATGGAAAACGACAGCTAGTGATGCCCTGTTCGGGCCCAGCGGACTACCCACGGCGGAGATGGCGCTTGAAGAGGCGAGATACAGATACGCCTGCAGACTACAGACGGTGTATGACGTCCCATACCCCTCATGGAGGTCGCGGACGGCGGCCAAAGAACTTTCTACTACTCCTCTACCGAGGTCTCATCCAACTACTCAGAGCGTTACGCTCCACTGTCGGGTGCTACACTCCGATAGTGCTGCTTCAGTTAGCAGGTGCCGACCTCGGCGATTCGCCTGTCCAGCGCTGCGCTGCGGCCAGGAGTCTGCTAATGCGCCTCGTCGCTACAACCCTTCGTCTTCCAATTCCTCTAGTTCATTAAGGGCATCTAATTCTTCCAGCCTCTCCAACGCTGCGTGGTAGGCTTCTGCTGCTACGACGTGGTCGGCGCGTCCAGTATCCCCTGTGCTGCGTGAAGCCGACGGAACAACGGTTGAAACGTGTGTTGTACGTCCTTTGCGAGGAAAGACCAAGAGAGCTACCAACGGCAGATAGAGGACATCGGTGGACAATTCGCCAATCGCAGCATCTCCGATGGAGATTGGAAGAGCGTCTGTCGTATTTTCCAGTGTCGCGAGGATAGCCAGGAGCACAAGCCGTTCGGCTTCAAACTTGCCATCTCCGGCTATCAACTGCATGCAATCTGGTGGCAGCTCACTCAGCATCCCGTCAGAGGAGTGCCAGGTGGCTGCCTCGGCGACGAGATGGGTCTAGGCAAAACGATTGAAGTCTTGGCCGTGTATTTATAATATAATTTATTGGAAAGTGCTGTGGCAGTTCAAGCCAGGAGCGCTCATATGGGCAAGAGCATCTATCGTGAAATAGATGGAAAGGCACACCCACCGAACGGAGGGAGTCTCTGACGCCCAACGTGAGCTAACTAGACCTCACCTCTGCATCTCCTTTGGAGTGTGTGAGTGTGTCTACATCATGTTTCAGCTTTTAATAAGTCGATCTCCTACTGCCGTTACTGGCAGCGTATTGCTTCCAACTACCTGCTACACCTTGTTTGCACTATACTATAACAGGTTATGAGCCCGGGTAGCTCGATATCATCCGATTGAGCGATTTTCTCGCTACGGACCTCTCAACCCATTGACGGACCGTGGCTCTCGAAAGGAAAAAACGCAGGAGTCACTAGACTAAAACGGTGCAAGGCCACACCAGATATTAGCACCTTGCTCGAAGAATACCGATGCGACCTGGAGGCACATGCGGTGAATGCTGACTGAAGGGAGCAACTCTGTGTCATCCGTCGATGCCCATGATCTAACTCCAGGTTGGCATCACGGGACTCTTCCCGCAGCGACCGCAGCCTTCGCCCCACACCAGCGAGATAGTCCCACCACACGCACAATTTCTAACTAGCAGCATGCCTCCCTCTTGTCCTTCAGCCGGCCTCCACGTCTTCACGAAACGAGGGAAGCACAAGGCGCGAGCCAATCGGGGCACGTTTCCGAAGACGGCCGCCACCGCTGGCCGCATGCCCGCGACCTCTGCTCGTCGGGCCCACTCGTCGATGGGGAGCTTCTCGAATTTGCGCGTATGCCCACACTCTTCTTCAAAGAATTCCTTCATCTCCTCGATGGGGATGGCCATGTCGCCGGTCTGATGCACATAGGACACGCCACCGTCTAAAGAACGAGGCAGGTTATCGTGTACCATCTGCACTACGTCGTTACTCACGCGTGATACGGCTACGAGGTCCAACCAACCCCACAAGTTCTCGGACACGGGGACTGCCGCTAACTTGCGCGAGTAGCCGAGGAGCGTATGCAGCAAGTCCCATGAAGCCTCTTCATCGTCGTCACGTACCATGTCAGACGGTCTATGCATCCAAACGGGGAGCTTGAGCTGCTCATTGAGGCGCTCAAGAAAGCGTTCGCTAGCCCACTTGCTTGCCTTGTAGCCATTCATCCCGTCGGTGGGGGGCTGTGCCGCGCTGGCACTGGTCTCGCCAAACGACTGCCAGAAAGTGAACATGGACACTCCCGCGGTGGATACGTAGTGGAACGGAATGCGGCGCGGCAAGCAGAGGCGAGCCAGCTCTTTGGTTGCGTTGAGGTTGGCGCGCCGTAGCGTGTAATAGGACTTCAAGTGCGAAACATCCGCTCCATTATGAATCACCGCGTCAATGTCGGTGAATACGTACTCAGCGTCGGCCTCCGAAAGGCCCAGGCGTGGCTCCCGCAGATCTCCTTCGTAATAGATGACCTTGGGGTGTTGTGGTAGGAGTCCGGTAGCCAAGCGCTTCTCTAGCTGCCGTACAGCCACGGCGTGAACACGATCAATGTGTGGGTTCTCCATAGCGCTTCTAAGCAACGAACGACCAAGAAACCCAGCGCCACCCGTGACCAGGATGGATCTTGGTTTGGGTGCTGGACGAACCACATTCTCTCCTGCCGTACCGATACGCAGATCAGGGGATGGCCGGGTCTCCCACTCCCAATCAATCATAGGCAGCCTCATCGTTTCATCAAGCGAACCGAGATGCTGGTTGATCAATATTGACATGGGCCGGAGCGTACTGTTAGCAAAGAGGTCTGCCAGCCGGATGAGAATACCCAGTCGTTGATTGATAAGAGCTTGTAGCCGAATGAGTAAAAGCGAAGTTCCTCCCACATGGAAAAAGTCAGAATTGGGAGACAAATCATCGAAGAGACCCTGAGGGATGACCTCTTGGCATGATAACGGTTGGGCACATGTAGCGTGGCAACGGAAGATTTTCCTTCAGATTTTGCAGGAAGTCTCGTTGATTGTCCGGTGCGGTGGTTGGTGAGAAAACGACATGGGCGACGAGGTATTGCGCGTCTGTACCGTTAGCTATCGATCGTGCAGATGCGACTGTATCTGCAATAACACCATCGGCGGTCCGCAGGATTGTCTGTTCGATATCCTTCAAGTCGATACGTTGCCCACGAAGTTTGATTTCGGTGTCGCCTCCTATACGACCTTCGATGAGAATAGAGCCATCTGCCATGAGGCGGCTACGATCTCTCGATCGGTACATTGTGTTCCAGCCATGATGAACCATCCAGTCAGCCGCAAATGAATTGTGAAAGAACGATGCCTTCGTCATGTTTTCGTTGTTGTTGTATCCCTCAGCAACACCGACGCCAGCCAAAACGATTTCGCCCGGTAATCCAAGAGGCAGGAGATGCAGGCTCTCGTCCACAATATAGATCGCCTTGTTGGCCAAGGAATAGCCGGCTGGAACTGAACCCTCTGCGTAGTGGCCCACGTCCTTCCAGTTCAGCTCCTGTTGCGTGGCATATATCGTTGTCTCGGTCGTACCATATATATGGAAAAGTTGCAGATCAGGCTTATCAAGCTGGCGCAATTTATCCATCAGTGACATGGGGAAGGCCTCAGCGCCGCATATCGCTACCCGCCAGGCAGATGAGCGCAATTTGGTCAAGTCCCCAACCGTAAGCCAGCTGTTATACTCCGAAGGAGTGCCGGTGGTGTGCGTGACCTTGTGTTTAATCATGAAGTCCATGATCATTAGGGCGTCTCCGCGCATGTCTCGCGAAATGAGACATACAGTGCCGCCGGCCGGCCAAGCGATGAACATCTGAATCAGACTGATATCGAAGCCAAGTGAACTCTGCACTAGACTGATGACTTGCTCATTGACGCCATAGTATTGACAGGAGCTTTCAAAGACAGCCCGTAGGCCCTCATGCTTAACAGCAATGCCTTTGGGTATGCCCGTTGATCCGCTGGTATAATATATCATTGCTGACCCATTCTGAGAAGCGCGGGCGTCAACTTTCGCATCTGATGTGCCCTCCGTCAAAAGAGTTGAGACATCAATATACGCGGCTCGAGTGGCATTCATCTCATGTTCTTGCTTAACCGTAGCAGCATCCACCAGAATTACTGCAGGTCGGCAATCGCTGACAATCATGGCCAGTCGCTTCGTTATAGTACCCGCATCCAGAGGTACGAAAACAGAGCCTACTTTCCATATAGCCAACATACTACAGATCCAGTCAGTGGTAGACTCCTGGAAGAGACCTACACTGTCTCCTGACTTGACTCCGTTATCCATCAAGGCGGCTGCAATAGTGTCGAGGCGTTGCTGCATCTGACCGTAGGTGAGCGATATCCCGTTGGCGTGTATCAATGCTACTTTGTCCTGATGCTGAGGCACGACGGACTCGAATTGTTCAATGAGCGTGTCATGCCATTTCTTCTCTTGGACTTCACCTTCAACATCTTTCTATCAGCAAGCCGTATTTTGTGCAACGGATCGGAAAGGGTGAGGTGAATTCAAAACTGCTTACCTTGACCAATGTCTATAGCCTTCTGTATATCGGCTTGTCGGTATTGCCAGTTCTCTGAGATGTGCTTGGTGGGTGATGTTGTAAACTCTTCTAAAATATCTTCAAACATGTCTGCGACAGCTTTCATGTCATCATTCGAATACAAGGTGGATTGGCCCATAAGAGTGACCCTGGCGTCGCCCTCAGGGTTGTCTATCACGTCTAGACTCAGGTCGTAGTTTGTACTTCCCATTTGTAACTCTATCATTTCCAGCATGCACGATTCCAGAGGCTGGCGCTCTTGTGAACCCTGACGGTAGTCAACAAAGGCCTGAAAGAGAGGGCTGTGTGTTGTAGAAGCTCTGGGAACTTGCAGCTCTCTGAGAAGGACGTCGAAGGGCACATGAGAGTGCGCCAATCCAGTATAGGACTTCGCACGACTGTCGGAAATCAGGCGGCCGAAGGTCACTTCCGGAGTGACTTCAAAACGAAGGGGAACTAGATTGAGATATGGCCCAACACTGTCTTGGATACTACTGCTGGATCCTGGGGTTGTCGCCTCTTTCTTTTCATTCCAGTGGCTGCGACCACTGTCAGCGATACCGATCGAGAAATCCTCAACTCCCAGAAAGCGATGTAGCAGAATCTGGAAGCAGGTGAGATAGAAATGAAAACTGGTCGCTTTGTTCGCACGAGATACACGACGTATCTGCTGAGCCAGGCCTGTCCCAACTCGGCGGTGACTCGCGTTGATTTTGAATTGGGTGAGTGGACGTCGGGTGGTGATCCGTGCACGCGTTAGAGGCAAGGGCTCTGGTACCGTGGAAAACTGACTCTTCCAGTAAGCTATGTCATCTTCCCAAACACCACTCTCATACTCAGCATGCTGCTTCTCAGAGAAATCCAGATACTGTAATGTTTGGTTGATGAGTACCTGGCCGCTGCAGAGCTTGTGCAGATCACGCATGAAAATCTGGTAGCTGATGCCATCGACATTAATATTATTATTATTATTAAATACGCCGTAGGCTCGAAGCCCCCGGTACCTCTACTAGTACTCCCGTATGTCAAACCGTGCCCTAATGGCTGGACTAAATACATACGCTGCGTCGTCGGTTCGCCCTATTGGCGACTGCGTTGCGTTCACTACCATACTACGTTGGTTCTCAACCTACCAACAAAGTCACCCCTGAGAAGATCGATGCTATCTGGGCCTTGAAGCTGTCCGACCCGTCCCTAGCAGCCATCTTACAATAGTCCCACTAACTACTGGTTCTCCTGTTGCCGTTGCGAGGTCTCTGCGAGAGTATAGTGGCCGTGGTGCGATGGCGGCCCGTAATCGTTCCCTCAGTCCTTCCAACAGCCCGCAAAAGAGTATTACGTGCTCTGCCGTCTCAGGGGCATCGCCACAGCGGCATAGCGGCGAGTACACGCCAAAAGCCCCTGTCTTGAATAAGAAGGCTGCTAGTCCTATTTTTTCCGTCCTGATCTGGCACAGCGTAGACGCCTCCAGTCGGTTCAGGCCGAAATACTTGCCCCCTTTCGGTATCTGCATCGAAGGGCCCTCCGGTTCCTCAGCGATAGCGCGTCGCTGGCGATCGTGATGCTCTGCTCCGGTGAGCCATCTCTTCCTCCAGTGGTCGAGGAGGGCAGCCGGGACCTCCTTTTCCTCACTCATCCACTCGGAGCCCCGGGCCTCCTTCTCCATAGTGTACCCTGCCGGTCGGAGTAGCTGCGACGCCTGCTTCCTCTTCGCCGGCCTATCCTGCCGGAGTATATGTGACGCTTTAGCGCTCGCGCTGCGAAGCAGATTTCTCTTCCCGCTAAGTCGTAGCCGTTCTTCAAACTTAGCAGCCCGGGCACTAAGATAGAGGTCTAGTGGCGGGATTGCTGCTTCTGCTTCCAGGTGGCGAACCGGCGTCGCTTTGTGGGCGCCACAGACTACCCGGAGGCACTCGTTCTGTATCCCCATCAGGCTCTTAGCTGGCCCTGCCGGTTCCTCACTTATAGTATGCCACGCAGTCGCCCCGAAGGCGATCGCGCTACGGATAACCACCGTATATAACAGCCTCGCCCGTATAAGATCGCAGCCCCACGACATATTGACTAGCTTTGTCAGGGCTAGCTTTTGAGTTGCCATTTTTGTTTTAACACGCTCAACATGGGCGTGCCACGTCAGTTTGCGGTCGAACCAGACTCCTAGGAACCTGGCTGAGACTACCGGCGACACTGTGGCGTCCCCAAGGCGAATACTTTGCGGCAAGGGCTCTCGGGCCCTAGTAAAGTGCATTAGCTCACTCTTGTCAGGAGCGAACTCCATCCCGTGCCTCACTGCCCACCGCTGACACGTAGCCCATGCGCTCTCCAACCGGCGGCAGGTCGTGTCTGGATCGGTGCCGACGCTTAGCAGGTTCGTGTCGTCCGCGAACCCGACTACTAAAAGTAGTGGATGCTGCTCCGCTAGCTCCTCGTACAGCGTTGAAATGTATAATATAAACAGTATCGGGGATAGCGGTGACCCCTGGGGGACGCCAGCTCGTAGGGGGATTGGCTCTGACTCCTTGCCATCGAACCGGAGGCGTACCGTTCTATCCTCCACGAAGCTGCGTACCCACTCCTGAACCCACTCCGGGTAGCCTTTCCGGGCTAATATGGAAATCAGCCGTCTGTAATTGACCGTATCGAATGCTCCCTTGATGTCTAGCTGTAGCAGCGAGGCGATGCCCCCGCGTCTCCACGCCGTATAGACCACGTCCTCAACTATACGTATTGCCAGTTCGGTGGACCTCCCAGCGCGGTTACCCATTTGGCCGTTTGGTAGTAGGCCGGCCGCCTCAGCTACTTTGGTGATACGCTGGCTCATCGCCGTCTCTATTACCTTCCCTACCGTGCTAAGCAGGGCAATGGGGCGCCAGCCGCCAGGGGTCTGCTTCTGAGCTGTCGTTTTATTAGGCTTAGGGATAACAACCACCCTCGCTGAGCGGAAGCGCTCCGGGTAGTACCCCAGCCTAAAGCTAGCTGTTGCCAGATCCGCTAGGATCTCCCATAGGGGTTCACCGCAGGCCTTTAGCAGGCCAGTGGGGATCAGGTCGTCGCCGGGAGCCTTCCGAGCAGCCGTTCCTTTGATGATAGACTCGATATCCATTGTGGTCACCTCCCTAGGGACGTTCAGCTCTGGTCTCGTCTGTAATAGGCCGCGATCGAGGTCCGATAGATCTATACACGGGTCTGGGAAGAACCTCTCAGCTAGTAATTTTGCCTTCTCATCATGTGTACGTGCCGTACACCTAAATATAGATCTCAAGTTGGAACAGGTCGTAGGCTGCTAATTATAGGCTAGGTATTATTTATAACACATGATATGCCGAGGTCGAAGTGGTCTTTATACCCCGAGTGTGTTACAAAGTACGCTTGCGTGGTGGTCAGGGTTTTCGCTGGTGAAGACGTGGGCTTGCTACCAGCCCTAATAGCGGACTGGCACAAATCGGGATACGCTACCAGTGCACATGTGGACCAGGGACGTCCTGCGCTGGTGGAGGCATGAGCTCGCGACTACGTGGGAGCGTTACCAGTGCAGTTTTGGGGCAGTAAAGCGGTGGGCTGGGCACGGTTCCGGACTGGGGAAAAGAGGATAAGTTACCAGTACACTTCGGCGCTGGTAAAGAGGGACACTGGTGAAGGCGCGTGTCTGTTACCAGCGTCAATTCCGGACTGGCACATTTTGGGATGTGCTACCAGTGCACAGGTGGGCCAGGGACATTTCGCGCCAGTGAAGGCATGGGCTCGCTATCATGTGAGAGTGTTACCAGTGCACATATGGGGCAGTAACGCTGTGAGCTGGGACAGTGAGTAGGCTTTTACCACCACGCAAGTGCACGGAGCTCTGGAAAACGTGGAGGTCGAGGAACTCATGATTGCCCATGTACAAGTTTATCACGAAGATATTACCTCTCATAATAACCCCTCCCCTCCCCCCCTTTTTACTGAGATTGGTCCCAAGGTGATCCCGTCAGTCGGATTCTATGATTTCCTAGACACTGTTCTATTGTATAGTGAGGACCGAACTGAGTGTCTCCTTCGCGTCCAAAGTAATCTATGGAGTGACTCAATGTGAGGCCAAGTCATTTGAAACAGTCTGCATCTGTAACTAGCTTCCCTACTTGTCCTCAGGACGAGGCTGCTCGCATTTGCCTTAGGCATAGACTTTACGGGTCAACTTCGGAGGGAGAATAAGCTAGAATACTTGTTACACAGAGGACAATGATAGAGTGTACACCCCGCACTTAATCGAAGATCACGGCTCATCCATTACGGCATCACGGCCCTAATAGATTAGATGAGATACGCATTCGCTAGATCCATTTGGGACTGAAGACTCTTCGAACACTTACGACATGGCGGAAGATGTGTCAACCACTGTTCTAGGTTGCGTCCTTGACGTTTCCGGTTCGATGCGTGAGGCTCTCGATCTTGACCACCTCACTGAGGATACAACGGAACGTTTGTGGGCAGTCCTGCGCGCTGCGCTAAAAATTGCTCAAGCTGAAGAGGCTCGAAACCCGAATGCTTACATATTTGTTGGCTTATTCGGATTAGACGAAGCAGGCGGATGTCCTCCTACCTTAGACTTGTGCAGTGTTATTGATGCACTGCTCACGGATAGGGAGAACGAGCTGAGCGGTCACGACCGACTGGTCAGCTTGGCGAAAGCTAGAAAACGGCATCGCATCGAGAAACAAATTAGGAATAAGCTCTCAGATGCACAGGCTCGCATCTGCTGGCTGCAGATGCGGAATGACGAAGCGCTTTTGGAGCAATTTCTCGGACTGATCCCAGAGGATGTCATGCCTGAAGTTCAGCACGAATCTAAAGACACCCAAACGAGAGAGCACCGCTTCGTGTTTCACGATGTCGTTCGCCAAGCCTTACGTCCATCTCAGGCTATAGCAGCCAACAATACAGCCACTTCTCCTGTTGGATCGTTGTTACATATGGTAGCCGGCAACGCTGCAAAAGAGGTCGTGAGGCCAGTGTATGAGGTTGCAAAGGCGGGCATTGACTATGCATATGATGTGGTCGAGGACTATGCGGTAGATATGTCCTCGGCGCTCAAGTTGGCTCACAGGACTTGTAAGCGTTGGTTGGCAGGGTTCCACGATTTTCATGCGTGTAGAGTTGCGAAGGCAGTTCAGCTCCTCCAGCACTTACAGGAACAGAGACGATCTGAACGCGAGCAACCGAACAAGCAGCAGCATGGCTCTGATACTTGGTTTGAAACCTTGCGCGAGTACATGTATGGGGAAACACCTATGAAGACGGCCCTAGAAAAGTCTAAGGATGCATTTCAGCGATATCCAAATACCAGTCAGCGCACCCTGGTCAGGACCGACGACAATCCGAAAACTCTTTGCTCGTCAGCTCAAACAGACCTACGGCATAATAATCGCTGGAGTTTATCTGACGAGCAAGAGAAGTATTGATTCGACCTGTCTCTGGGATAAGCCAGAGGACTCCTGGGATTCCGGCCAAAGATATCTTTTCGAAATGGCCAGCACGACATCCTGTATGCAGACTCCGATTCCGGCTTTAGCATCGCTTGGCTGGACGGTCCCATCCTCGGGGCAGTGCGCGCTGTTTGTGATAATTTGCAGCACTGACATGTTGAACCAATTTTGCTCTACGTTACTAAGCATGAGATTTGGATTGGCGGACATGATTCTGGAGATTACCAATCGTATCCTGCACGACGAATACGTTACTATAAAGCAGGACCGACCTCTAAGGAATCCATCGAACCAGAAGCGCTCCGAAACCTGCTATGCTCATGCCGCTGCTGCAGTGATTCGTATGGCACTCCTTCGAATCATTGCCTGGAGAGGTGGCACTGTCCGGCTTTCAAGCATAAGAAACAACATTCTCAAAAAATTTCCAGGCGACACAGGTGGTTGGTCCACGCAGCTGGTCCTGACCGAAGCAATCAAATGGTACAAACCATTGTGTTTCAATGAAGTCACTCCGGACGGTGCGCGTCAGGCCGTATTACACCGACGTCCTGTTCTAACAACCTTCAACCTCTCATCAGAAGGTTGGGACAAGTTTGAAGAATTCTTCAAAGAAGACTCACCTACACGAAACCTGGTGCTTAGCCTAGAAGACATGGCATCGCAGCGCTCTAAGAAACCAGACAAAGTCGGTCACGCAGTGGTTCTGACTGGCTGCGATCCAAATTCACTGACTTTCCTGAATTCCTGGGGACAGAACTTTGGCAATTCGGGCTCTTTCAAGGTCGAAAATCATAAAGTCCTTGAAACACAGGGACAGCTATTCCCAGTCCGTTTCTACGATGTCTTTTGGTTTGAGGAAGACCTCGTGGCGTCAGAAACGACTGCATTCAAGGTTACGATGGATGAAAAGATCCAAACCATTATTGCGGATTTCCCAAGTCTCCTGAACCTCGAAATCAGATGTCCAAACTGCAAACAAAATGCTTCTATTGCTTGGTTGAGTGGCGATCTCCGACAAGCCAAATGCCGGCTCTGCCACGGGCAATTCACGCCGGAGGTCGCTCATGTGCTACAAGCACTTTATGTGGATGAAAATCAAAGGCAGATGTTTACATGCTCGCAGGTGCAGTGACATACATTAGGGCTAGCATCCTATTGTACCAAAGACTTGACAAGCGCTTTCTCTTCCCAGGGATAGAGGTAGTGTGGGCTTTGGGCTTGCTCTTCGATCGGGCATGCACGATGTTGCTTTTTTTAGATCGGGCGATGTGGCCCAAGCTTCTATCCTTCATCCCACCAACACTTGCCTCTTATCCATTATAATTCACTACAATATCGTTCACAAACATGTCGTCTGGAGGCGATCAGCAAGGTGCTTCGGCTGGCGTATCGGCTACGCGCCGCGCAGTGCCCCATAGACTCTCTCTCTGCGGTGTGAACTACACTACTCCGTACGATGTCGTCGTCGGCTATTGCACCGCCGTCTCGGATGCGAGCAAAGAACGTCCCCGCGACACGAATTTCACCCTTCGCGCTATTCAAGACTACCTGCGATCATTCGACGGTTAGAAGCTGCTGAATGTAATTGAAGGAGGAGAGCCCAAGGTCTTGACCGCGCAGCAGCTTATCGACGATACTAGCATCCCAATGCCGCCTCAGTTTGGTAAGCACGCAATCACAGCTGAATGCTCCCATCTTGGTCTTGTATCGTCCCTATATTGACAGCATCCCTCGTTTGTAGAAGACTGGAATCCCAAGAATACCGGCGTGGAACTCCCCGAGCGAGTCGATGGCCAGAATGTCATTCGTTTCACCTTCCGCGATACGCACAACCATATTCTCACCGACGAGCTTGTTCCGCAGGTGGCCTACAATATCTTGTGCTATAATATCTACGATCCCGGTGTTGCAGAGGGCGAGTCTGCAGTATATCTCCGTGTTGGCTCGGTGCCTCGTAACAATTAGGCGGAGGGCACAGCTGTGAAAGGGAACAAACAAGGAATGGTTTTTCGTTGCAGTGCTGGCAAAATCCATAAGTGTATTGGAGCTATCTAAATACCCAGAGGGAAGCCATTATGGTGACTCGTGATGTCCGACTCGCGACTGGATCCTCGGGGTCCGTACGCCCTCGCATGTCCCGTAGGTCAACACGGTATATTCCTTAGTTAAACCTCGCCTCCTGTTCGAGGCCGAAACAATGCAGAAGATCGTTGCAATCAGATGGCTAATCCTTGTGGACGTAGGCAGTGCAATGCGCAATAGCACGTTTCCCGACCGAAACTAGGACGTCAGATCAATTGGCAACTCTGCGGTTGATCCAGGTCTTTGGCCTCGCCTTTGGATGGTGGTGACATACATGATCATCCTAACGTTTGGCCTCGTCATTGTGCCTTACTCCATGCAATAGGACAGCTGCCGAAATCCACACTGCTCAAGACGCAGCTTACGGAGTACTTGCTCTCAATAGACATTCCTCCAATCCCGACCAAGGGTGGCTCTCCTGTACTTCTCATCGCTTTCTTCCTTTCCAAGCAGTTAAAGCACCACCGAAACCAGTCGCAGCTCCCAGTGTCTGCACCATCGCCGCGCCCGCTCCGCCCATCCCTGCGCTCTGTAGCGTTGCGAACAAGCTGCCGGCCGCGACATTGCCGATGCCTGCTTGGGCCATGGCGGCAAAGGTTCCTTGGGATCGCCGGTCAGCATTCGCTCCTTATTTGTTCATGAGATACGGTACTAAGGGGATGACTTGACTAACCTGCTACTGGACCGAGACCTCCAAATCCCAGGAGACCGACAGCTGCAGCTGGGGCGAGCATGACTGTAGTTGAGACTCCAGCGATGCAGATGCCGACGGCGGAGATGGGGTTTTCGTATATTCATTTGGCACCCTATATCATTATGTTAGTCAAAAGGCGAGATGTAATAAGTAATTTGCGGCTAATGTGCACCTCAATTATCTTCTTCGCGAATGTCCGGGTTGCTTGGATTGCGGCGCCCACGAAGGCCACGATCGTGTGTACAGCGCCCATGGTGTAGTTTAGATTGGTTCAATGCACTGGTGAAAGATTGATTGTTTGATAATCCAGAGTAGGGTGTTGTGGGTTTGCGTGCGATGTAGCAGCAGTGCCTGACTTTGTTTTTGAATAAATTTGGGTTGAGCCACGCAAGGCATCTGCGGGTTTCCGAGTGAGCCAACGGTATTGCAAACGGATTCGATAATGCCAGGCTATCGATGTGTTTGTGCTGCATGCTGGGAAATTCTTCATCGCCCTTAGGAAAATCCCACCTTGGGAGAGCCAGACTCTGTCTACCTGACCGTCGTTCGGTGTCTATGGGAATCAACGACAACTTGGATGACCCGCGATCTGACTCCATCTCAGATATTATGAAGTATGATCTGCGTTCTAAGGTTGACTTGCTTCTGACAATGGGTACAACTCTTTCTGTTCATGGTATTTAAGACTTGACGAAGTCGTTTGCGAAAATTGTTCACCGAAATAGTGGTATGATGGTATTTGTGAATCTGAACAGGCCAGATGCACGATCGAGGCACATGTCACAGGCTGCCTAATAGTACAGGATCTAGGTTGCAGGTTATATTGGACGCTAATAGCGCTCTGTTGATATATTGTGTAAATCTAACCCCAGACCTCCTGGCAGGTGCCACCAAAGGGCTCAGCTCGCGATATTGATGTGACGGATCAGCCAGTACGTCGTACCCGCTTAAGCTCAACCTTTCGTGTCCGCATCTTCTGTACCTGTGCTGATGACCGCAGCGCGACGCCGTGGATAGATTGGACATGATTCCTGAATGCATATACACTCCGTAACTTGACTTCCGAGCATTTGGGATGTTTGCAGGCGATAGGCTCGCCCTGCTGTTCAGCACGCTCTTTCCCGTCCAGATGATGGTCGTCAAAGTGGTCATTTCTCTTGGTGGAACGGCAATAGCTGAAAGTCCGCTCGTAGATTGTCTGGGCTGCGTCGCCAATGCAATCAGGGCACTGGGTTGGTTGCATCAGCAGGGGAAAGGGGTCGAGTTCGGGCTCAAGTTCGGGCTCAGGCTCGGGCTTCAGTGCGGTTTTGACCTTCGTAGGACCGGTTCTTATGGGTAACTCGATTTGTGATCTTGGCCTGGTGCGGTTGCGCTTGACTGTCTCTCTCTTGCCACCCAAGGCCACGTATAGGTCGACGGCCTCGATTCTTCGCTGAAGCATCTCTTCGTCGCTCAGCTTTTTAGGCTGGTAACAGAGAAGCTTGGCGAGCTGGGTGCGCTCGGGAATAACGAGGTCGATGGCCGGCTCTGCATATTCCTCCATATCCTCTCCTCTGGCTTGTCTCTCGAGATCCCAGGTTGGACGATTGTAAAAGTAGTATTCACGGTACTCCTTCACTATCCGGTCCTCGCGTTGAGCCCGTTTGGTTCTGATCTGATTCGTGAGCTCTCGTATCTTGGCCTCGTTCTTATTCCCTTGGATTCGATATTGGCCGCTCTTCAGTTTTTCTCGCTCCGTCTCTAGTGTCACAATGTCGGGATCCGGCTCCAGATTTGCCCAGACCTCGTCGGGCACCATGTCTTTTTTAGCACGAGGATCTCGAGTCAGGCTGACATGCGCAAACAGGCGGAACAATTGGTCCTCGGTCTCTTCCTCTAAGAAAGCGTTCTGGAGATCGAAATTGGCAATCTGGTTGAGGTATGCATCTTGAAACGTGTAAAATTCCGGGTTATGACGCATCATCTGATCGCGGACAGGATCTGGCGCGTTTCCTAGAGAAAAGTCGTTAGCTTAAGCGCTCGCCCTGCTTAAGTTCTTGTCCAAGGACCAACCTACCATTCGCAGCGTTCGCAGCACCTCTTCGGGCAAATCTAAGGGTCCATCTCTTCTCAAACCCCGCATTGAGGCTCTGATTGCCCATGTCGTGTCTGAGCTTGTCATACGACATGGCCACGTCTCGAGACACGGTGCCACGGTGTATATGACGGAAGACGGGAATTTTAAGCTTGGATTCCTTCCACCGTAGTGGCAGACATTTCATCCCACGCGGGACTTGCACCCCAAGCACAGATCTTGCATCTATCAAGCAATCTGCCTCGAAAGCGTCGTCAAGTATCGCAAGGGAGATCATCAACAGAAGGGGACAGAAGAGCAGCGTCTTGGAAGCCGTGAAAAAGAAGATAGTCCTAGGAGTCGTTAACAAAGAAACATCTATAGTGAGCAAGCTTGTACGTACGGTTTGGGCTTGTTATCGCATCCTTTGTGATGGACGAACTTGATAGACATGGCCGGGACAGCCCGCCCTGTCACAGGGTGGCGAACAATCATCAGGAGGATGTCCTCGTAGCAGAGCGCCTTTGGACGATCACGCCCGATCGTCTCTCGCAGGAGAAGCTTGCCAACCTCGCTGGAGTCGTCTTCGTCCTCGTCCTCTTCCTCTTCCACCTCACCACCAGGGCGCTCCGCCGACATGACTGCTTTTGTACCAAAAAGCTCCTCAAGCGAGCCATCTTTCGGTTTCTTCCTCTCGTTATCCACCAGCTCCGCCGGCCGTGCCCCAGTATAGCAGAGAATCTGGTAGCAGTTGGACAGGTTGAGACGATGTAGCTCGAGCGGAAAGATGCTGGTGTCGTATGCTATATTGTAGACCAAGATGACGCGCAGTGAGTCAACGTTCAAAACCGGCTTTCCATCGATGTTGGGCGGTCGCAGGCCAAACCGAGGAACTAATACGCGATCATGGTACTGGCTGCATATAAGTAAACTCTCCTACGAGGGTGGTCATAAAGCAGCCGGGCAAAGCGCCATACCTTGTAAAGCTCCTTCATGTGATTTCGGTCGACGTAACGGCCGGTGCTGGTGGTGTGGAGTTGCGAAAATTGACGAATATACTCCTGTGACGAACCTCGAGATTTGATTCTGTAATTCTCACAGACGAAGAGAAAGAAGTCCATCAACGTCTCGCGGTCCAGGCTCTCGATCGTGAGTTTCCAGTCCCCCACTGCCATTTCAGTGCAGTACCTGTATCCTGACGATTAGCTGATGATAGGCGCAGAAGGGTTCTAGCGGGCTGCTACGGACCGCTTCCATTTCCCAAAAATGCCGGTCACATTGATCTCGGTCTCGATTGCGTACTTTGGCTTGATGTACTGAACTTGTTTTAATTGTTTTCGGTGTGCGGCATGCTGCCTGGCCGAGAGCGGTGCCGGTCGCTTGGTAACTCTGCTGTCCGCTTCCTTGCTGGCAACGCGCCTGAGGAAATCCGTATGATCGGGGGCGCCATTTGTCCTGGGGCGACTACGGACTGCAGTTGTTGTCGAAGGCATCAGGGAGACGGGAGCAGGACGCAAAATGATCGGATTGGACGCGTAGTCGTGTAGATAGATGAAAATGGAAGACAGGTCGAGATCTGGAGAACAAGGAAGGCTCCAAGACCTGTCCTGAGGAGTTGTCCAGTGCTGCCATTTTATAAAGTGAGGAGCCAAAAATGGCATCCGTCAGCATGTTGCCAGAAAACGGTAAATTTGAGCAGACTTATCCAATAGAGAAATAAAAGGTCATTTGGGAACATCTAGCCAGGAAGAAGATCGATCAGATGGATCAGGCATGGTTCTGACTTGTGTATGGGGACGGATACAAAGACTTGGTGAGCCTCCGGGCGTCTGCAATAACTTCTGCCAATGACGGACTTGCCACTGCAGCCATGCACACTCCGGCGCTGACGGAATTATCAAACACATTCAACACGGTTCAATACGGCATCAGCGACAGCCGGTGCAAAGTGGAAGGCGGTAGTTCATGACCCCGCTGAAGGACTCGAGAACCCGTGGAAAATATTGAAATGATATCATCCTAAGATCCGGATACTTTCAACAGCGTGCAAAATCCGCCCGGCGCTGAAGAAGGAGCTGTCGTAGATGGAATCGCTGGGCTCGGGACTAGTCCGTTATGGGGGCTTCTTATCATAGCGGCGGAAGGGGGTCGCCGGATTCTATCGACGATGAATAACCGACACCACTCCGAGATAGACGGTATCGCTTCCTTACAGCAACAACACACTAAGCAGTCAGAACAACTCGTCTCTCCTGCACACATTCTTTCAAAAACGCCCGTGTACCCAAACTACCATCAATTCGATCTCATATAATCAATTCCCCAGTATGAACACCACAGCATCATCGACCGCCGAAGGTGGCACTGCAGCGTCGCTTATCCCGAGCCTCTTCCCGCCCCGGAAGCCGATGACAGCAGAGCAGATCGCAGCGGGCGTCGAGGCTGCGCTGACAGTGCAGCGCCGCGCCGTCACGTTCGGCAAGCGGCCCTTTGCGGCGGTGCTCGTCGGTCCCGACAACGAGACAGTGCTGCTTACGCACCAGTCAGTGGATCAGGTCAACCACGCAGAAAGCTCGCTGGCTCGGTTGGCATATCAGCACTACTCGAAAGATTTTCTCTGGACGTGCACCCTCTTCAGCACTTGGGAGCCGTGTGGAATGTGTACGGCTACGATTTACGTGAGTCTAGTCGGTGTGGATTGGTGGTTTGGTTGGTTGGTTGCTACTATCGAGATGCTAACGATGGTCGGTGAGCCAGTGGGCGCACATTGGTCGGATCGTGTTTGCAGGGAGCAATGATCAGCTGTACGAGCTTACGGGCCCTGGAAATAAGGAGAACTTTACGAGTGAGTTTACTATTCTATCAACTCGATCACGGCTTGGAAAGGAAGGGGGGAACTCGGAAGGGGGGAACTCGGAAGAGAGTCACAATGGTCGTGGGATTCGATCGGTTCTTACCGAACAAGCCTAAGCTGACTTTGTATGCTTGAAGTGGAATGGCATACTAGAGATTTCCTTAAGGGCTGCCCTCAGAAGGACGTCGAAGTCATTGGGCCGTTGGAGACCGAAGGCAAGGTTGTCATGAAGGAAAGCGACAACTACTGGAGTACGACGAGAAGCGTCCGAAAGTGATGGGTGGCCTCGTATTGGCAGGCTTACTCATAGATCAGGAGATGAAGAGCGCTCCTTTGTGCCTTGATTGAGTCAAATAGACTGGATACTCAGGCAGTCGGTTGCGGAATCTCGGGACGGTAAGTCCTCTGGTTCAGAGGCGGACTGGGTTTTATGGCAGATATGCAACATGCTGCTGTACCCGTATACTAGGGCTGAGTGAGCAACGATCGCTTGAAGCAGCGCTCTCTTCGTGCAACAACTCCTGCCGTTTGATCGCGCCGACACAAACGATCTGCAAGCGTATATTAGAAAAAGCTTGGCGCACATAGGAGAAATAGCTCGGACATTTTTCAGCTTTACTCACATTTTAGTGAGACATGACATGAAGGCTTGATTGCAGTCGCTGGGGGCGTTAGCAAATAGCATCATTCCGCGACCCAAAGGTGAGGTTGACATTGTGAAATGCTGCAAGTCTTGTGTTCCCAATCATTGTTGGGTTGCACAGGAGACATGTAGGGAACCCTATTCCAGCCCTTTAAGTCACAAACACAGAAATCACACACGCACACACATGAATCCCAGTCGTTTCATTCAATGGTAGGCACACAAGCAGGTAATAATGCACGCGAACCCCACATGTTGTCGCCATTGTTGCTCGCTCACTGTGGTATTGCGAAGCAAGTGACAATACCGAAAAGAATTCAACTGCAACGATAACTCGCCATCATAAAACAGCTGCAGCGCTGCAGCCGCACTTTCCGTACAATGGTACGCTATAGAGCGTGGCTTGTCTGGAACCGCGGCGGTCTGCTCGTGGTCTGGGGTATTCACTTCGTACTTGTTGATTTTTTTTCTATATTTGGGGCATCAGGCCGGGGTTGGCATGCCCCCACCCCGGAGCCCAGCCGTGACTTCCAGGATGCGGAGGCGGCCCCGAGTGGTCGGCCCTCGATCCTCTTTCAGCCATTGGATTAGATTGCATTACGTGGCCCACCATCATCCTCGACCGGCGTACACCGGTGGGAATACCCCATTCCTGTGGCTGGAAACCATTCGCTTCAGTCTTCAAGCAGAACAAGGGCGTGAGCAAACACCTGCTAACTCGGAATTCGGAACTTGCCTTTGCCAAATGGTCCATGGATGAAAGGTCATCATGCCATACGAACTGGGACGTCCTGGGAGAGCGGCCTGGGTAAGGTGTCATCGGCATCCTCCGAGAGAGAACACGGCTGAGATTCAACGATCGAGCTAAACTGCTTGTGGGTATGGGGATCTGATAACAAGAGCAGACAGAAGCTGTCAGAGGGTGTCATTAATGTCCGTGTTTCCTGTTGTCCTGGATGCGCTCGCCTGCTTCGCCTGCTCGATGTCCTGGTCGAAGTAGCGTGGCTTCGTAGAGAAGTTCCCTGCAGATGATAGTATCAATAAGAGTGATTGGTGGTGGTGTTGGTGGTGTAGCAACCAAGACGTTCTCGTAGCGAAGGGAGACATGGGTAGGCTTTGGTTGTCCTGTAGCGGCAAGGACGATAAGTTGGCCAAATCGTTGAGTCAAGAGGGGAGGTACTCACTTCACCATGTACTTGGTTTTCGAGATTTCAATTCGTGATAGAGCATTGGCTTCCAGGTGTTGTCTGGTGGACTTGCCATTATCGGTGTCCTTTGCAGCTATTCCCTGAATATCCTTTTGCCTCATCTTTCCCGATGCAAAAGCAGGAACTGGCTTGCTTGTCGGAGTCGAAACTCTAAGACAGCGGCCAACGCGTGATGGTACCATGCGGAGAGGCGTCATCATAGTGTCTTGACAACTGTCTTTTCTGTTGTTATTAGTCTACGGCTCCTTGTCCTCAAAGCTTTGATTTCAACTTTAAAGACAGATAACCCCCTTGCGGGCCGTCCCACTAGTCTCAATCTCACTATATTACGTTAACATGTTCCTGCGTTCCCTAAGCTGAAGACCAGGCACATTACCGCTAGACCGTGGATGCCCATAAGTGGCAGCTGAGCCGCATCCTAGAGCAACAAACATTGAGCAAATACCCACACCTAGTGGGAAAAGACCCAATCGTTTACAGATGGCCGTGAATCATCTGCAAGCGAAATTCCGCTTCATCTCGCAGCTTGAAGCCAGAAAGCTCGCCACTGATTCCTATTCCGGTCCGTGGATTCATCGAACACTGATTTGTTCCTGCAGTATTGGGGAATTCACCCAGCAGGCGACGACCTTGCTGACTAGTGCACATGTAATCTTGGCAGTGCAATATGAGGTGTGGCTCACAACCTTGTTTGTGCGTTACGATACGGTTGCACGGTCCAATACCGTCGTTGCCGGTCCGTGTTGCCAGCTCTCACAATAAGTTTACCTGCGCCGCAGAACATCAACCGTAGATCGGTGTTACCACACATAAGTAACCTATTGGCGTTTAGACGGCTTCGGAAACCACTTCGTCGCCTTGAAGAGCAGATGTAACGTACATTGGTGTTCCAAAAACAACGGCTTCAGTTCATGAGCAAGCTTACCAACAGAGCCCTCTCATAAGTCTCATAAGTCTCATAATAAAACAACAGCAAACACCAACACTCTGAATAATCGATGACGTTGAGAAAGTGCTTTCTGCAGTCTCGACCCCACCATAAAAACACGTGGTAGCAATGCATCTCATGAAACCACGACAATATCCGCCGTCAGCAAGCCACCACGATGATTACAACTTCGCACTCCACGTAGTGAACGCCTATTTGACGCCACCAACGTTCCTTCATGGAAATCGGTGTTTTTTCTTTACGCATGCAACATGATTTTCCATGGCCACGAGGTCATTGCCTTAAACCCAAAATTAGAACACAGGAAAGTCGGGGCCAACGATGAAGCTTGGCAAGGCTGACACCCCTAAGCCTTGAAGTCATCCTCGAGTTCCTCTGTCAAGCGGAATTGGAACACAGCGACCATTGCTTCTTGGCAAGGATTCTCGTGGAGTGTAACCTGGCAAGTCGTCCCGTCTCGTAAGAACAACACAGAGCAGGGGTGATGTCGCTTTGGTAAATTTCCTGCTGTAGCACATAACAGGAACCTATCACTATCATCCAAGTAAATACTGATATTATCTGCTGTGAAAGCAAAGAGTTGATAGAGTTGAGAGGCGTGACTAATCACGAGAAAATGTCAAGAGAATATACCAGGAGAAAATCCAGGATGTACAGTCTGGCGGGAGAAGATGAGATAACAGCAAGTATACCAGTGTCTCGTCACTCAATGATGACCTAGTCAGTTTTGCCGCTCTACCGTCGAGATGGAACGCGTGTCAGCAGCAAGCCAGGGCCCCCTCGACCCTGCTCAAGATTAGGAATACCAGGGCAATGTTGATAGGAAGAGTCTAGTAGGGGTGAGAACGAGAAACCAGAGTGGTATTTCAGCCCAGTATGCGCCATTTCAGGATACATACCAGAGACACCCGAACTCGTTGAGTCCCTCAGTCGCACCGCAGGACACCCATGATCGTGAGAATAAAAAGCACGCTATCGCTGTAGGATGTCCACGAGGTCACAAAGTGGCGACACATAAGGCTTGTGGTACTTGACATGCTGCATGCAGTGTAGCTCCCGGAAGAAGGATTCTCACACAAGAAAACAACACTTTTCATGAGCACGAGATACCTCTAGCGGAATGGCAGGGGGCGACGGAAGTCTTGGCAGCCAGGTGGGCCGATCGGCATATCGGGCCCGAGCCATACGACGATAAACGCCGGGATTGAGACATGGGCAGTAGTAGCGCTCAAGGATCATGAGAAGACGATACGTCCTGATGGAGTAAAAGATTAAAAAAAACATTTGACAGTTGGCGGTTAACAGATGAACAAGGCTTTGTCGACTTTATCTCGCTTGTACACTCCGTGCATAGAAACCAGGGTAATTTTCGTTTTGAAACGTCATCTGGCTTGCTGGCCGACAGTAGTGTTGCTGCGAACCCCTGGAGCCCGCTGCCCACTATCATTCGGAGTTGTGCCGAGGCCGGGTTCGGCGTGTACCTGCTCCGAAAAGCTCGGTCTATCATTCTAGAAGAAGAAATATAGGCCGCAATCAAATAGTGCCCGGCCGGTCGCCTGTGCAGAATATGGGAGGACCAAGCCGGCAGTCACAAGTTGGAGGCATAACGGATGAGTCTGAGGTGAAGTTGCCATTCTGGAAGCCCTAGCCAATGGGGTGTGGGGAAGTTTCTCGAAGGGGTCGAATGGGGAAAGAGGACGGAGGACCTAACCCTGAGACAGGTCGTCAATTATGGAGACACTCGCTCTTAGTACGATTAGACGCGGAACATATTGTACAAGCTTATTTGCTTGGCAGCGCCATTATAATACGAGGCTTGCGCGTCCTCCCGTCGGCGCCCAATCAGAGACAGCGCAAAAACATGTTTATACTACGTGCACGGATTGGCGCCCTGGGAGATACAGATGCTCTAGCATGTGGAAGCATCCACATTCGGGGGGGTTTACCGCTAAACGTCCCCATTCAGGACCCGCAAGGTGTTATTCATACGGGAAGGTGGGACTGTCTAGCAGGGACCCGGGGGAGCTTATCGTGGGAATACCGCGATGCGGGCATGCGGGAAAGGGTCATTCACATATTTGGAAGACGATGATGCAATCCAAAGTTTGCCAATTCTATCAGGGTCGTTATCAAATATGTTGAGCGAGGATCTATTCGCCGGTTCGGCGGTTCGTCCCGCCAGGGCTGCAGAGATAGAGATGAACTCAATATCCATCATCCGGGTCGTGAGTCTGTACGGTAGTGACTTAAGTCATGCGGACAACGGCATTTAATCCAGATATCAAAGTCCATCTACCAGAAGGCATATCGCTGAGCTGGACAATAAGATCAACTTTGCAGGTTCAGGGGTTCCGACATGGGAATCAGGTGGTACTCTGCTCGGCTGTACGGCCAGGCCAATCCTGCATGTGCAGCAAGACCTCATGCAGTCAACAAGATACTCATCTCGCCAACAACGCCCGACCCATTGTTGATTACGGCACCTTTGAGCCACATCAGTATCGTTCACCCTTGACACAACCCTTGATCTCCAAATCTTGACAGATGCGATGGGGCTAGCAAATAAAAATCCGGCTATAAGCAGGGAACCTTTCAGGGACTTCTCGCACTTACACACTTAGGTACCAACTTCACGTGCGGGATGAGGTACAACGGTTGTGGGCGGCTACTAGCCCCTGGTAGCCTAGTCCTAGAAGCGGTTCATCAACGTCTTCGCCGCATTACGGGTTTATTGCCATGGTCTTTCCCTTTGATAGCAGCTTCGCACTTTTAGGCTTGGCCGAGGTCCAAATATGGTGCTTAGTACAGGGTTAATGCAGCAGCCTTGATTTCCTGGCTTTTCGATGTCAACAGAAGAGCTCTTGGGCTGCCAGCAAGTTCTTTTCCTAACGTGGCCATGTTTTTCCCGAAGGAATTATTTGAATTTTGACTATTCCCAAAGCTCGCATCTATTCCGCCGTCTGACGCCTCTTCCACCTCACAGCTAATTTGACAAACGAACCTTACCGGGATATGAAATTTCGAAGGATCCTGGAGGTCGGAACGTTCATGTGGCTTCCATCGTCAGCGATGCAGCATCAGCCGCCAAGTTGCAAGATTGTTCATGACCATAAGTCGAAGTGTCCCCTGATTTGAGGTAAAGATGGCATGTTGCCACCACCCACACACATATGTTACTCGCGACTATTGAGGAACACTTCGTTTCGATTCGACCGAGCCCATGTAAAGTTACAATAAAGGCTTCAAGTGTGCATTGGCGTAGATGCAGGCTAGTAGGCGCCTGTCTAGCCTAGGTCCAGACCTGTATATCGTTGTAGCTGACGCACACCTCCGCCTACAGGGACATCTGTTTGTGATGCTCTTTTTCACAAAAGGGAAGTTCGACTTCGATAACGAGCCCTTGGCCTGGGCCCGGGTCCGCGGCCCATACCTGATGACCTTGCTCAACTTGGCAATATCATGCAGAGATTGAGACTTACGTCTATATAAGACGTGCATATTCCTCCGTGATTTGATCTCATCCAACAGCATCACCATCATCAACAGCTCCCATTCCTCCTTCCCTTCTTTTAGAGACCCCCCTCCCCCTCGTTAATTCTTTCTTTTGATCCTATACAATATGTACAAAGCAACTATTCTTTCGGGCCTCTGTGCTCTGTTCTCTTTGCAGGCTCTTGCCTTTCCCCTTGAGGGTCCCTCTGCCTCTACCAAAAGACAAGGATGTGAGTTCGACTCAGCCAACTCTCCTGAGTGCTGGGGCGACTTCTCGCTCTCTACCAACTGGTATGAGGAAGCCCCCGACACGGGTGTTGTTCGCGAGTACTGGTTCAATGTCCACGACACTACTATGGCCCTTGATGGAGTCTCGCGTCCCGTCGTTGCTATCAACGGTTCTATCCCCGGTCCGACCATCACTGCGGACTGGGGTGATACGGTTGGTGAGTACTCATGCTTCTCCATGTTTATCAGATAACAGAATACTGACTACCTTTCAGTCGTTCATGTCAGCAACTCTGCTACCAACGGAACCAGTATTCACTGGCATGGACTCCGTCAAAAGTGAGTACTCGACCGGCTTGCCTATAGGGGGGAGCCATCTGCTAACCTCTCACCTTCACAGCCATACATCAGAAGATGACGGCGTTGCTTCCATCACTCAGTGTCCGATTGCCCCTGGTGACTCATTAACCTACACATGGAAAGCTACACAGGTATGCAATTATAACCACCACTTCTTCTCCTTATAGACAATAACCCAGTTCTCAAGTACGGAACCACCTGGTACCACAGCCACTACTCACTACAGGCATGGAACGGTGTCTTTGGGGGCATCATCATCAACGGTCCCGCATCTTCAGCCTATGATGAGGACAAGGGAATTATGATGCTCAGTGACTGGTTTCACGTGCCTGTCGAGGAGCTCTACGTCCAGGCTTCCACTGGTGGACCGCCCCAGGCTAACAATGGTCTGATCAACGGGGTCAACGTCTACTCAGATGGCGGAGGCTCCCGCTACGGGACCACCTTCGAGGCTGGCAAGTCTTACCGATTCCGCCTGGTCAACAGTGCTATAGACACCATGTTCCGCTTCATGATCGACAATCACACCTTGACAGTCATCTCGTCCGACCTTGTCCCCATTACTCCCTACGAGACTACAACAATAAACGTCGGAATCGGTCAACGCTACGATGTTGTCGTGACGGCCAATCAAGATGCCAAGAACTACTGGATGCGCTCCATCCCTCAGACTTCCTGCTCCTGTACGTTCCATTAGTCTCAGTTTTACACCGTAACCCCTTTACTGACCGACTCTTGTTAGCCAACGAAATGACTCTGGACATCAAGGGTATCATCACCTACGATGGTGTTGATGTCGCGGACCCCGATACGAGTATGTGGGACTACGTCGATAGCTGTGACGACGAAACCCTGAACCTGGCGCCGTTCCTGTCCCTCGACGCCGGCAACTCCGACACTGAGAATATCTTCGACATCGGACTGTCAGCGCCCAACGGTCTTTTCGTCTGGACCATCAACGACAACGCCTTCCTCTCCGACTGGGGCTCGCCTAGTAAGCTAACCTCCACAACCGCCCCCATTTCTTAACGTATGAGCCTTTTCTGACAGTAACCAAGCTCTGAAACAGGTACTCGACGGTAGTTCGGACTTCGAAACCGAGCAGCAGGTCGTCCAACTCAACGAACAAAATGACTGGGTCTACTTCATCATCGAGTCCCAGATCGGCCTCGCGCACCCTGTTCACTTGCACGGCCACGATTTCTTTGTCCTGGCCCAGGAAGCAGCCAGTACCTACAGCGACTCCACCCCGCTGAACCTGGTCAACCCTCCCCGACGAGATGTCGCTATGCTTCCGGCTGCAGGATTCCTGGTGATTGCGTTCCAGTCGGACAATCCCGGTGTGTGGCTTATGCACTGCCATGTAAGTTTTCAGTTCGCGCCGAGTTCTCAAAAAGGGGGGTAACTATTGCTAACGACATTTCCACAGATTGGCTGGCACACAGCCCAAGGCTTCGCCTTGCAGCTCGTGGAGCGGCTCTCCGAGATCTCGGCGACTGCCAACACCGATGTCGTTGACCAGACTTGCTCCAATTGGTCCGATTATGCCGTAACTTCGGGCCTCGTGCAGGAAGACTCGGGCGTCTAGACAATGACGGCCACACTCGACCAAACTGATTCATTCATTTACACCCTCGCACGATTATCCACAATAACGACGAACACGATGATACAACGCAACGAAACACGACGATTCGATACTCTTTCTGTACTTTTTCCGGTCCGTATTTTCACTGTCATTCTTTCCACGACACAAATGGATATCAAGTTCTCCCCGCCGGAACGAACATCTTGGCCACGGCCGGGTCAGGTGCCAACCCAGCCACGAATGGGCAATTGATCAGAGGTTTTGGAATGTATATACCAAGGATGACAGTACTAACTCCACTTATGATCGTATATATTTGGAAATGTTTAATATTTAGTTTCCTTAATGTATGTATAGTCTTACTTATGAGTGGTGAGGCATGCCGGGGGGAATATATATAGAGGCAGCCTTGGGACTTATAAATTTTATTACTTTCACTCATATGCAACGTCTTTGTTTTCTTATGAGCTGAAAATTCAACACTCCTATGTTAGCTTCAGTTTGCTTAGGGCGATGAGATCCAAATACCACCCACTCAGTTTCATTTAGCTGATGACGTCCGCCGGTTCTGACTACATGTTTAAACGCATAACCCCCATAGAAACGCACTCCCATATGCAATACTACTTTCTGCAACGCATGTCATGTAACTGATCGAGAATGGCCCGAATGAACAGAAGATTGATAAGTGGTTGCAAGTATCAAAGTCAGGGATTAGGCATTGGTCTTTTTATGAGAAGACATTTCGCATGATAGCGCAGCGGCTTGGTAAGAAATCTCTAGCACGGCGTGGAAATATCCCCAACTTACCCCTAACTCGAAGCTCCCTTTTCTCGTCTGCCACATAGTAAAGTACTATTATACTACGGACAAGCATAGCTGATTTCAAGAGCCATATCGAACGCGTCTAAATTCCTAAATCCCTTGGCCATAGTGCTAGAGCATCGGCGCGTAAATACGGTATCTCTGTGAGATTGGTGGCCTACGGTCACGTGGGATACGGGCAAGAGACTTAAATGCCTTTGTGCGGCTTGGACCCCCACCTCTACTTCCCTTCTTCACCTTCGTATGTAGCCGGAATGCCAGTACCAGTGCGACGATAGAGACATTTCGAAGCTAGAGTCCTAGCGCGTCAATTAACAACTTCTCAATGCGAAAAGGTTTTCCTAGTAGATACTGTCACGACCTGGGTTGCATCGCATTGGCATAGACCTCGATTAGGTGCTATCGACGAAGATTCTACTCTAAGGAGCGAAGGAAAGAAGATGACAACTTAGGTTTGAGGGAGCGCGACTAAGTCATCCACGCTTGGCGGGGCTCCTACAAGGGTTATGCTTGGCTTCCCATCTGACACTGCCACGGCAGGTGTTCCAGCTGTAAGTCACCTGGTTGTAGTGAGTCTGCGAGGGTTGACCTTCACAACTTCGATCTACCTCGCTAATCTAAGCTAGTGTAGTGGGACTAGTAGCGATTACTAAAACTTCATAGCTATAAGACAGATATATAGGCCAATTCTATATAGTCGGCGTGCACTAATAATATAGCTTTGGCTTGTATCCTTCTATGGTAGTAGTAATTCGCCGTAGCCGCTTAGCATTAGCTATCTTTTGCCCCTAAAATCGCAGTATTACTACGAATTACGCTAGATCACCGATATAGTAGTTCCTGGGCAGAGATATAAGTAAACTATACGTCAAGTATACATAAGATTAGTGTGATAACTGTAAGAAGTTACATCTAAGGTAGGTAGGCAGGTGCCGACCTTTTTATCTACACAAGCGATTTCACTGCCTTAGGCACCACCTCAGGCACCACCTCAGGCACACATATGGCGCTCAATCCCACAATAACTGCTTTTACTTTCAGGGGTAGAACGGTAGCTGGGTTTAACAGATGAGGATGTCGCCGATTCCAAATGTGTTGGAAACCTAATTGCCAAGGTGGACGAGCCGATTTTCTTAACCGAAGCTGCATGATCTTGGTTTTAAGGTTGTTTCTCCACGTTCTCCATAACGGGCAATGAACCTGTCTTGTGCTAGCTCGTGATGCGGGCCCGGTAGTTATGTTAGATATTCACGTATCTTGCTGTCTGAACTGTCTATGAGGCATCTGTGGCCCTGAGTGATCCGTCCAATTGATTGATATTATTATGTGCTCTGCAGAAAGCTCTTCGTGTTAGATACAAGGGTCATGTGAGTCACCAGTAGTAGGGGGCTAAGATTGCCAGCCACTTGGGGTCAGTCCGAAAAGCCTTCTGAAGGGGCCTTCCACTTCGACACACAAAAAGGAAATGATCAATAACATCCATCACAGCCATCTCACAGAGAGGTCACACAGCAAGATAACACGAATATCGAATCTTAGCCCCACACTATTGGTCAGTCATGTGACCCCTTGTATCTGACAAGCTGGGACTACCATGGGCCATACACCACTCGGACTAACAAACCAGCGAAAACACTTCCAACTTTATGCAAGGTAATCCAGTCAATGATAACCTATATATAATCATATGAGCCATTTAAGATAACAAATCGATAAACCGCGTGGTTTCCGTAATTTTTCGAGGCGCGAACATCAGTGTTAGCGCTTCCATGACCCGTAATCTGATTGAACACCCAGTACAGCTATACGCAAAATCAGATGATCGACGCGTTTCTTGGTGTTACAGATAATAGCTATTCTATCTCCAGATTGGCTTGAAACAACGGAGTTCCCAAGTACACGCTTTCTGAATAAATTAACAGTCCTACACAACACACAACACAGCCTTTCGGCCTGGAGCGCAACTGTGGCGCTCCATCCCACAGCTCGTTGATAATTATGCAAGTTGTGTGTAGCTCTCCAATTGTTAGCCCTTAGGAGCAGTGCGGTGCTATAGAATGAGTGTAATATTACATAGTGTTTACTTCAAGGTAAGCTCCTTTCCCGAGATTGAAAACTACGTACCGAGATCTGTATGTTGACGCGGAATAGACAACCCGATTAGTCTTCTAACCTCGTTTCCACGAAGCCCACTCCACTGACCCCGCAATCGCGACTTTCCCCCGCAAACTACTACAGCTCCAATGGCAGCTCAAGGGTATCGGTATGCGGGATCGTCACCTTGGGCTCCAGAAGTAGATTCAACCGCATCCAATGGCATGTCTACTTGGCGTCTATCTTTTCGTCATCAATCCCAACGAGCAATTGGAGTGTAGTACTGCAGCACAGTAGACCCAGGCGAGTTGAGGGAATGAGGGTTTGCGACTGATTCATGCGAGTCCTGTCTGTTTGGCTGCTGCAATGCGACGCCCGTTCCTTTATCACAGCTATACGTGCAGGGAACCCGTCAGGCGTTCCGTTCCTGCGATCGGCGGCCACCTCCCTGTCTGCTGTTATATGTTGCGTCGCAGCCCGCCCTCCATATGTGTGTGAGCATTTTGGTTCGTCTTGTTCCAACTTTCCAAGCGTGCTCGCCAAGTCAGTTCTCCAAATTCGGCTTCCAACTCATGCACGACCGTTAGACGCCATCTTTTCTCTCGCCCGGAACGAAGTCTAAATAACAGCCAACATGTCAGACCCGGTCGACAATAAAGTCGATTTCGGCCATATTTCCTCGAACGAAGATGGGCTGGCCGCTCATCATGGTACCAAATCGATTGCAACGTCTGCGGACCCCAACATCCAGGAAGCGAGGGCGAGAGGTCTTCAACCGCCCGCCATCCTCGCCAATTTGACTCCCGAGGAGCGACTCGTACTCGAAGCCCACTTGAGGAGGAAAGTCGACTTGAGACTTTTGCCGATGATGATTCTCATGTACATCATGAACTACATTGATCGGTAAGAGACCCTCACATCAAGAGAGATGAAACTTGAGAACCAGGTGTTAATGAATCGGTCATAATAACAGGAATAACATCGCCGCCGCGAAGCTCGCCGGGCTGGAGCGCGATTTGCGCCTCCCCACCAACTCAACGGAGTATCAGGTTGGTTTTACCCAGTGCCAATTTCCCAGGCTTCTTCATCGTGGTTGTCTGACACCTCGATTCTACTCACACAGACGTCGGTCAGCATCCTATTCGTCGGGTAAGCTGCGGTCTCTTCCGGCCCGGGGTTGGGGATTTTGCGACACCTTCTCATCTGAGTTACAGTTACTTGCTTATGCAGATCCCTTCCAATCTGTTTCTCGTAAGTCCGATGAACGCTCTTACCGATCATGACTAATAGCGAAGTCAGAACAAAATCGGAAAACCTGCCCTGTATTTGCCCGCTTGTGTAAGTTTGACGCTGTTAGCCACGAATGCGACAACGTTCGCTGGCTGTTGGCAATGTTTGGAGGATGCGCAGTGCTGAACGTGAACGCAGATGATAGTATGGGGTGTCATTAGTGCTTCAACAGCAGCTGTCAAGAACTTTGGGGGGCTGATTGCCGTTCGTTTCTTCCTCGGTTTCGTGGAAGCGGCCTATTTTGTATGATTCCACTTGTGTTCAATTGGGGCCGAAAACCTCGGAAACTAACTATTCCCAGCCGGGATGTCTGTACTACTTGAGCTGTTGGTATACTCGGAAAGAGTTGGGTCTTCGCACAGCGATGCTTTACTCTGGTGCACTCATCTCTGGTGCCTTCTCTGGTCTCATCTCAGCTGGAATTACGAAAAACATGGTTCGTTTATGCCCCCTCCGACTCACTTATCAGACATAACTAATGAGAAGTTACCCCCATCCAGGATGGAGTCCGAGGATTCAGTGCCTGGCAGTGGCTGTTTATCATTGAAGGGGTTGTAACCGTAGGAATCGCATTTATCGCCGTTTTCGTCCTGCCCAATTTTCCTCGAACGACCAGCTGGCTTACCAATGAAGAGAGAGCTCTTGCCATTTGGAGGTTGGAAGAAGACATCGGCGAAGATGACTGGATTAATTCAGAAGAACAAACGTTTTGGCATGGTGCTAAGCTCGCTTTCACCGATGTCAAGACTTATGTCTTGGTAGGCCCCCATGAAGTGAAAATCGTGTGCTCGCTGTGCAATCATTAATCCGAATCAATGCAGATGGTGCTGTTGTTCTGCTTCGTTGCAAGTGGCTCCGTCACAAACTTCTTCCCGACGGTGGTCTCAACACTGGGCTACGACAATGTCACCTCGCTCTTGTTGACCACCCCACCGTACGTTCTCTGTGTGATTACATCATTCGCCAATTCGTGGCATGCAGACAGGACTGGAGAACGCTACTGGCACATCATCCTGCCCCTGATAGTGAATATGATTGCCAACATAATTGCCGCAACAACGACGAGCATTGGCCCTCGATATCTCAGCATGATGCTTATGGTAAACCCCCTCATTTCGCCGACCAAGTCTCGATCAAGTGCTCATTATTTTCAGGTCCCAGGAGTCTACACGGGATATTCCGTCGCACTCGCTTGGATTAGCAATTCACTCCCTAGACCGCCCGCCAAACGCGCCGCTGGGCTTGCCTTTATCAATGCTGTTAGCAACACTAGCTCGATATACGCCTCGTATATGTATCCGAACTCGGCAGGGCCTCGCTACGTCGCGGCTATGTCGGTCAACTGCATGACTTCGTTCATCGCTATATGTGCGGCTACCGTACTGCGATCCATGCTGGTGCGGCTGAATAAGAAGCTTGAACAGGGTATCCAAGTTGAAGGGGCGATCAACGCTGCGCCAGGAGAGGCTGCGCAGCATGGATTCAGGTTTAAGATATGATATGGGACTCGGAAGCCGGGGGATATCTGCCGTATCGGAGCCGACTAGGTACCGTTCAGCGGCCTCGAAACCAAAGTGTCAGGAGTGAGGCCGAACGGCATATGGCGATGAAGAGCAGCTATCTTAGAGTAAATGCTAGAACCCGTTGAAAGACGTAAGTTATTACACTTACACAACAGTTAAAGCCCGGTAGTGCTTTTACTTTTGATCAAGTTACACTTAGCCCCGATGTATGCATTTCTGTAGAGGAACTCAGAGAACCCCTCGATATTGAATCCAACCCCAAGGAAATGGGAATGGTAGGTAAAGCATCACTATCCGAAAGCAGCCAGCATAAAATGTCGATTCTGCGATACAATTGAGGTACAAGTGCCGTGTACTGCGGAATTGCATATCAGCAACTAACACCGGTTCAGCCAGGGCTGGTGCGGCAGTAACAGCGCAGGTGTACAAGGGCTGGAACGGAATACTGAAAAGAGTTATGCTTGCCAATTATCAGCAACAATCACTCATTCTGATCGAGGCGACCTATTCATGTTAGCGGCCCCCAGTTTTGAAGAGGACATTATGCAGGTTCCTGGAGTAAATCCCACCTCGCGATTCTCACATTATCACCCGCTTTCGATGACCGACCTTATCTCTACCGCGAATCTTGAGAAGGATGACTTACAAGCCAACCTCGGGGAACCTCCCAAACTGTCCTCGCGCAGCCAATCGCAGCTTTCGAGCAAATCGGCACCGCCGACCGGGGCTAGGCTGTCAACCTATCAGAATTCCGAGAAGATGGAACACCCTTGCCTCCAGTGTTGCAAGCTTCCCTGTCGTACAACAGATGGCTTGCAGGGTTTCGGTACTAATCTGACGTCTCTCAGCGCAGAAACGGCAGCCCGGTAGGGTTTAAAGACACAGAAACCCCGTGGTAGAATGCGACGGCTGACAGCAGCACTCGTTTTAGACCACCCGCGAATTGAGCCTTCGAGACGGCGAGACGGCGTTTCTCAATCAGCGTCAACTTGACGACAGAACACGAGCTACCAAAAGATCTCCAAGCACGTCGACGGCAACCGAACTCCAGCTAAGCTTTCCAGCCAAGGTACCAAACCTCCAATGGCGGTAGATAAGCATCCACTCGAGGAGCCCTCGAGTGGCTCTTCAGCCAACGAGTTGAGCGCTGCCGACAAGGCCCTGGCCGAGATGGGATACGCGCCTGTGAGTTACCCGTTTTACGCCGTTCTATTGGAAAGTTCCGCGACGGACCTGGAGGCTGATTATTGGATGGTGTCGCAAAACGCATAGGTCTTCAAGCGCGAGTTCTCTATGTGGTCATGCTTTAGCTTCGCGCTGAGCATATCGGGCCTCTTCGCGACGGTTATGACAACTTTCTCGTATCCGTTGTATGCTGGCGGTGGTGCTTCCGCAATTTGGTGTTGGCTGATCGCTGGGGCCGGAGCTCTGTGTCTTGCGCTGAGCATTTCTGAGATAGTCTCGGCTTATCCAACTTCAGGTGCGGCAACGCCCAAGAATACGACAAAGGTCGATTTCTGAGGTGAAAGCTAAATGCTTCCAGGGGCTCTGTACTTTACGATCAAATACCTGGCGCCGGAGAAATACGTCCCCATTGTCGCATGGATTGACGGTATGATAATGCCTCTCTGACGCCGCTCAGGCCGATAATTGACCAATTTGTCAACAGGCTGGCTCAACCTCATCGGACAAATTGCCGGCAGCGCCTCATCTGAATATGGAGCCGCCCAAATGCTTTTAGCAGCAGTGGCCATAGGTTCCTACGACGGGACCAATTTCATCTACGAACCATCGACGTACCACATCTACGGCGTCATGGCCGGCCTGATCATCTTCCACGCCTGCATCAATACTCTATCCACTTCCTGGCTGAACCACCTCGCCAAGACTTATGCCGTCTTTCACATCGCCGTCCTCATCGCCGCCTGCGTTTCTTTGCTCGTCATGCAGAAGGATAAGCATAGTGCGCAGTACGCCTTCACACAGGTGGAACCGGCATCCGGCTGGAGTCCCCCCGGGTTCTCTTTCTTGTTTGGGTTTCTCTCAGTTGCCTGGACGATGACCGATTATGACGCTACTGCTCACATAGCAGAAGAGGCAAAGAATCCAGAAACAATCGTCCCGAAAGCCATCTCCACGGCTCTTACATTTACCTACGTTGTGGGGTGGTTGTTCAACATCGTGTTGGTGTTTTGTATGGGCGATCCTGCGGAAATCCTGGCGAGCCCCATCGCTCAACCGGTCGTCCAGATCTTCTTCAATGTCATGGGAAAAGGCCCGGCAATATTCTTTGCCGTGTCGGCGTTCATAATCATGAACTTTGTTTGCATAACGGCTTTGCAGGCGGGATCCCGGACAATTTGGGCTTTCAGCAGAGACGAGATGCTGCCCGGCTCGTGGATCTGGTACAAGATCGTAAGCAAATTTGATTGTCGTTTATTTCCCTGTATATTCTGTCTCAGGAGCCAAAATGACCTTACGGAGCTGTGAAAAGGGGTGTCTTGCCTTCTACCAGAATGATGTTGTCGTGTGTCCTGTGCAAACATTTCCTATTCAGGTAATTCGGTTATAAGGATATTGGCTCGACTCGACAGGAGGCGATTATGTGCCCTCCAGGCACGTCCAGGTTGTTGCTCTTGAGACATGACTTAGGACTCCTAAGCCATCGCTTAACCCTCCGTTTGTGGTAATTACTGACACAACTTTCTGCAGTGGAAGAAGACAGATACCCCTGTCTTGGCGGTGTGGTTCTACTCTCTGCTCTGTATTCTGATCAACCTGATCAGTTTGGGAAGCTACATCACCATCGCCGCCGTCTTCAACATATGCGCCATTTGCCTGGATTGGTCCTACTGCATCCCCATAATCTGCAAGATCTTCTTCAACAAGTTCGAGCGCGGCCCGTGGCACCTCGGCAAAGCGAGTATCTACGTCAATTCATGGGCCTGTATTTGGACTGCCTTCGTCTCGGTCATTTTCATGTTTCCCACAGTCATGCCGGTTGACCCTAGCACAGTAAGTCAGCTTGATACCACATCCTATTTGCAAGACTCCAAACTAACAAAAATCTGCAAGATGAATTATGCCGTCGTGATTCTGGCTTTTGTCTTCCTTCTGGCAACCGGATATTGGTTTGTTGCGGGCCACAAGTACTACATAGGACCTCGAACTCACGCACGTGTTGTCAGCGGGGCGGTCATTGAGGAACCTAGCCTGGAGGTGCTGCAGGATTACGAGAAGGCAGTCGCGGCGTCTGGGCGACAGATTTAGACAAGCGTCGTTAGACTGCGGGAGTTAGTAAAGGCCACATAGCTGCAGTTTCACTCATGTCTACATCTTGCGATCTTGTACAATATTGATCCAGTTCACTAGACTGATGTCCTGGCTATTCTTCTTGCAAGTATTGGGCTGTATACGTGGCTAGCTCCAATATCACTTACATCTCTCTTCACATGCACCCAATCCCTGGCTGATCCGCAGTGACTTCTACGACGTCAATCCCCCGCTCGTCAAGCGACCCCAACTGGTTTGGACCCCTGTACTATGTAAGACAGTATAGTCTCGTTCTCCACACTCACCCCATCATTTCTGTGGGCCATTTCTCACTCCCTGTTCTGAACCCCGTTGGATTCTGTGCATCAACTCTGCAAGACTCTGCCGATTGTCGTCTTTTTTCAAGAAAGCTCGATGCAAATGCACTCGCTGGTATCACGGCGCACCTTTTCGCTATGAGGAAGCTGTGCCGAGATTACTTGGAAGCGGCTGCCTCGCCTCGTTATTATCGAGTGAACCTTGTCGTGCATGTTTAGCTAAAGGGGGGGGGGGTTGATGGTGCGACGACTTGATAGCTGCGTGTTGCTCGGTACCCGTTCACAGGACCCGTGTTTTCTAGCAATAAGGATGCTACCGATACTCCAAGCCATTCTACACAGCTAAGCTTCTTCATGTTTCTTTAAAATCTTCCTCTTGGTGTATTAAATGCTCCTCTTGGGTTTCGCAGCCAGTTTTGATGTCATTGCGGGCCAAATGATCTCCCAGACCAGCGACGAAAACACAGTCGCCATCACGATGCCACCTCCAAAACACCAATTCACGCTGGCACAGCAACCGGCGTTAACAGTTTCGTCGTATGTTATAGCATGTACAGACATTTATAGATGCAGATTGTAGATCATCCTTCCACCCGCGTGCGATTAGCGAATCACGCCGTGTGCTGTTTAAGGGAGAGCCTGAGGCAAGCGAGGTCAATGAAGGTACGGTCAGCTGCTTACCATGAATGCCACCGCGCGAAACGAGCTGTCAAAAGCATGGTGTTACGGACGGTATTGCTGCTGTGGAGATAGTAGGTCTACTGGTTGGTAATGACGTCTGGGCTAGATGTTAGCGACCTCCCGTTGCCTCTGTGCAATAGTTTTGAGTTAACGGAGTGACCGGAAATAGCGGATAAGATTTCTCACCGTAGAAAGCCGATCAAATCTGCAGGAGATGATGGGAAGCCCGTTGACTGTGCTTAGTCGTCCGTGTTGCGATTTTGACAACCCAGATCTGAGGAAGTAATGGTAAAAACACGGCGTCTACGAAGGTGTTGCGGGCCTCCACGGGCGACCTGCTTCAGGGTCCAAATCGTGAATTTAAGTGCGTATTAAGTCTCCTTTCAACTACAGACTCTCACTTACCCCCAATTAAACACTAGTTGAGCGATGGTTACTATGAACTTAACCGATTCAGCATGGGGATATGTGTATTAGAGAAAACTGATCCTTTTCAGCCCTTGCCTAAGATTTCCTCGTCGAAATACCTGCTGCGGCATCGGGAAGGACGAAATATAGACGGAATTTGGACATTATTGGCTGCCGTTTGTGGTCCGAACTATTGCTGGACCGTATTGTCGTCGTTGATCCATGAATTCTATATCTTCTGTGCGTTATATTATAAGCCTGATAACTTTGAAAGACGGCGTTTTAATAGAATTACTAAATTGTATAATGCCGAGGTTCAGGATATTTGCCCGTTCCGCATGGAAGAGAGAATGTTTAGTGCAAGAAAGTATCTTCTTCGTGGCAGGGTTGAACGGATGGAAGGCGCCTCTGAGAATACAGAGCACCTCCTAATGTCTCTCACGAAGGACCTGCAACGGTAATTCACCGGTGCTCGGGCTTTGAATATGCATCGAATGAACTCATCGAACTACACCTGGTGTACATGCAGAGCATAAGTTTAGTAGGCCCGTGGAAACGCGATGTTGGAAGCCACAACATGTTCAGGGGCGTGATAGGCACTATGTGGAATTGTTCCAGATATATTCTAAAGCGATCAGAATAAAAGTATATATGCATCATAGGTACTGGTATCTCTTGAGTAAATTATGGACTTGTCTTATAGAGGAATAAAAACCTAGATATTATGCTCATCTTCATAGCTTCCTTCAACATCCAAAGGCTCGTAGGCTTACATACAACTTAATAATCAATTAATATAACTTAGGTTATTGCTTCTAAATACTAGTTGTTGTAATTGTCAAACATTTTCAAATCCCTTAGTAGTCTCTTGCAAAAGGGGCTCAATACGATTACTGATGTGGAGATAAGTGTCGCTCCAGTCGTGTACTTGCATGCATAGTGTGGCAGCCAGGACCGTGAAGTAAATTACGGTGTCCGAAATTTCCAAATGAGTTCGCAAAAGCTCTCCCCTCCCACCGGAATAGATATTTTCATAAGAGACATACCAGCCGAGTGAGTAGCCAAGCCTCCACAATGGTGCAACACAAAACCCTCCCGCCATCATCCAAGTCCTTCAAACCGCCCAAATCCTCAGCTGCGGCAACATCATCAAAGAAAACCCCCACCACTAGCAGTGCAGACGCGGATGCAGACGTGCCTGTTACTGCACCCAAGACCGAAGTATCCCCACAGGAACTCAAGCACCAGCAAACGCTGCTCAATATCTTCATAGACACCTTCAGCTCTGTCTTCCGCGCCGATGATTTTGCTTCTGTGCTGCAGGAGGTGAAGCAAGCGCTGTACAACCGCGAGTTCGCCAAGGCGTTTGGGAAGGAAGGGTACCTGGATGTCTATGCCGCGCGATGGAGTCCGACGCGAGCGCTGTGTTATGCGCGGGTGTTGGGTGAGATTGAGGAGCATCTGAGTGTGCTTTGCTTTTCTGGTTCGGGGGAAGGTGAGGCTCGTGCGTATGGCTCGGGTGCGGTTTTGAAGGCAGGAGAGGAAGGGAAAGGCAGTGAGGGTGGTGGTAACGAGGTAGAACGACGGAACAAGCAATCGCCTCTCAAGGTTCTCGCGATCGGAGGTGGCGCCGCCGAAATCGTGTCATTCGCATCCTTCCTATCGAGGAACGAAGAGTTTTCAGGAGATCTCACGCTTCTGGACACAGGACCATGGAAGGGCGTCATAGACAAACTGAGCACGACTCTGCGGACGCCGCCCCAACTATCAAAGTACGCCAGCGCTACCGCAAAAGCGACCAACGCAGCACTGACTCCCGAATCACGGCTTCGCTGGACGTTCGCACAACAAGACATCCTGGACCTCACCAAGGAGCAACTCGCGGAGGTGCTGGGAACGGATGCATTACTTGTTACGCTGCTATTTACGCTCAACGAGCTCTACACATCGGGCGGCATCGCCAAAACGACCTCGTTTCTACGCACCCTCACCACCAGCATCCCCATCAACTCGCTCTTACTCGTCGTCGACAGCCCGGGAAGTTACTCCGAAGCCTCGATCGGCAAAGAAGCAAGGAAATACCCCATGCAGTGGCTCCTCAACCACACCCTCCTCAACGATAGCAAACTACCCACCGACGGCTGCAAATGGGAGAAACTCGAATCGCACGATTCGATTTGGTTCCGTGTTGCGGAGCTCCTCCGATATCCTGTTGCTTTGGAGAACATGCGCTACCAGATGCACCTATACCGTGCCGTTGCGCGACCCCAAGCCTAGTCTAATTATATGTATATGCCCCATTCAAGATACCCGACCATCACAAGACCCAAACCCAAAGAAACGAGATCAAGCCCAGACGAGCTTTTTGATAGTGTGTCCCCACTGTTCCAAGATACCAGTGTTTTTCTTGGCCTCGGCCAAACTGATGATATCGCTTCTTTCTCTGAATCCCTCATTACCACGATTTGCCTGGGGCTGGTCGGCAGACACCAGCCTCTCAATTTCGGCCGCGATGACTTCGATTTGTTCCATTTCTGTCATTCTGGTCGTGGTTTTCGGACTGACATCAGCGATACTGTTGCTTGCATTCAAGGCTTTGAGCGCGATTTTTCTGGGTGGTTGTGGAGCCTGCTGTTTGGCACTTCCGCCGAAGATAGGTGCGAGGATACCGCCTGATGTAGCGGAGGGGTTCGCCACCCCTTCTTCCTGGCTGGCGGGTGAGCCGGACGTCGAAGGCCCGGAGATACTGGACAGAGAGCGCGTGTTCACGCGCTTAATGTCGTTCTTGCCTGGTTCATATGTGACTACCAGCCCGACGTTTTTTGTCTCATCTGCTTGTGCCGGTGAGATTGTCGAGGTTATATATGTGCCAACTTGGAGGCCAACGATATGGGCAAGGTCCACGCGTTCAAAAGAGGACACCTTGTCTAAAGTCCAATTGAATCTGCAGAGATATAGTGCCGCATCCGTCAATAGGAGAACGACCTCTTCCATGGGGAGAGACCTGATGGTATTAGACTGGTGGGGGCTGAGCACCGTCCAACCACCAATGAAGTCCTCGCTGTCATCCGAGACAACTATCTTCCGCGAGGTCTCGATGGCTTGCTCGCGCATCTTTCCCATAGAAACGGCAGGGTCTTTCGTCATCATAGTCGCCTCAAACTCCTCGAAAACCATGAAGGTGACATTGCCGAGGAAGAAGTCGATCGCGGCTTGGCTGAAGTAGTCGTTCACCATACCGTTGTAGAAACGCGTCAAAGACAGGCCCAAATCATTCACCATGCCCCTATAATCCCTCTTCCTCGTCCTGGTATAATCTCCCTTCATCGCCGCCGTGCTCGCGTATTGCTTGCTGATGGCATCTCCATTGTCGGCCCACAGCATGTTGAACCAGCTTGTCTTCTGATCGAGCTGCGCCGCCAAGTCGAATCCTTCTTCCTTCAGCTGCAATTCCAGTACATACTTGGCGAATGAGCTCTGGCAAACGTTTGTGCGGTCCAGACAGTCCATACAATTCGTTCGGAGCACGCCCTTCTGCTTCTGAGTGATTTCATGGCTGCTAATGTTCTCGACTGTGCTGCTCAGCTCTTCGATCTGCCGGCCCAGCGTGTCGAGCAGCATGTTCACATTTTCGAATTTCATGCCACGGCAAGCGGAGTGGAAATCGAACCATTCGAAGCCAACCTGCTCACCCCCCTCAACTATTTCCTTGTTGTACTTCTCGACGTTCCGTGCATACGCATCACCAATGACGGCTTCCGGGCCGTGTTTCTCCACCAGGTTGACCAGTTGTACTTTCCCGTACTTTTTCTGCAATTGCTCGAAATGTTTTGTGAATGCGTTAAGATTGACCACCTCGGAATGCTGCAATACTGGTACAGGCTTGAGAGAGTACGGACTTTGCTGGAAGAACAATGGAATGCTGCCCCTGATCTGCACAAAGCTGAATATCTTACCGTCCCCAGCCGAAGTCGACAGCAGTTGCTCCGTCTCTACCGCATTGGCTGCATTTCCCTCGTCGTCTACACCACGTCTAAGGTATCGCAGCCCAGCGCGCTTGATCGAGCGGCGCGAAATTACGGTGATGAGATACTTCTTCTCGCTGGGCCTGAGAACGACGGAATTCTGCTCCAGCTCTGATGGCGGCGAATCTGGCACGGATCCCGGTAACCGTGGGCTTGGCATCTCGCGCAATTCCAGAGAATCCTCGATGTCATTGTCATCATGTTGGGGTGGGTTCTTATCAACGATGAAGGAGGTCTGGCCAACGAAGCCTTGCATCAGGGGCAGGAGCAGGAAGTCCTCGGCTGAGAAGCGTTGAAGCAGGTTTCGGTTCCAAAAGAAATTGGGGTCGGCAGTCTTGTGCAGCGGAGAGTCTGGCGCCGTTGCACCTCGCCCTGTCGAGTTCGCAAGATTCCGTGTGATATCCACATCGTACGAGAAGAAGAAGCTCTTGCTGCTGCCAAACCAGATATGCGCCGTCCGGAGTAGCTTTGGCAACAGACTTTCGCCCGTTGACACGGCCGTAGCGACGGCCGCGCTAGCTGTCTCGGTCACCACCGCTTTGCTCAGGGCCTTATTTTCCATCTCTTCTTTCTTGTCTTCAGCACCAGGTAGACCCTCTTGGGTCTTGGGCGCAGCCTCGCTGATGCCCATGTTTCGTTTCGAGTCTTGCACCCATCCCTTGTGGCTAAACCACCGCTGCGCAAAGCGGCCATAGCTGCCACGAAGTTTAATGACGTCTTCTGCTACACTGCTCCTGCTCTCGTCTTCTCTTGGCTTGTCAGCTTTTGTTTCTTGCCCGGTAAATTCACCGGAGACACTGCCCCGATCGCTCTGCACGTCGTCTGGCTCTTCGGTCCCTAGCAGCGAAGCAGTCTCCCCTTCCGTATCCGACGCACCCGTTTCTTCGTCGATCCGATTATTAGCGGAAGCAGCCCTCAGTAACTGTATGCTCGTGTGCCTGATCGCATCTTCGGCTTCGGATTGCGACGTGCACGGAGTAAGGGCGACATCAGTGACGACGTAAACCGGATACCCGCGGACTTGGGCAACTTCTTGGCGACCGGTGATAGTGATTAGGTAGCTGAGGCGGGATACGGTAAACAATCCTAAATAAATTGTTATCAGCAAGATCCTTCACACTTACTGTCCAGTTTCAGGAGTCCCAACGCACCTATAATGCCAAAAGCCTCGAAGGACGAATTGGGCTTTGAGATATCGGGTAACTGGTCACGCGTTGAAGAGACTGAGCCTTCTCCATACTTCACTTTTACAGAATGCGACGGCCGTTGCCCTTTAGGCGCGAGCGGCTGGATGATGAGGCCATCGACGGCAGCGCAGATGAGGAGTTTGCGAGCTAGTGGAAGAGGCATCGTGGGATTGGTTCTGGATTCAGCAACTATAACGGGGGGTTCATGGTTGAGACTTGATTGCAGTATTCGGGGAGTGATTACATTAGCGACTTCAACATTGAAGCGTTCAATGGACAAGCTGCGGTATAGTCCTCTTCATACAATGAAAAGCTCGCGAGTGGAATTTTCAAGTTGTTGAAGAAGATGGGACGGTCACCTTGCGCTATCAGCTGCAGTATGATGTCTTGGGTACAAAATGGCTTGCATGGTGGGGTAGCTGTCAACCGTCATCGGATCTTGCTTGAGTGGGGGTTTCATGCATGAAAGACGCAAGGAAAATGTTTTGTAGATGGGCCCAAACAGCCACCCCAACCAAGACAATACCTTATCGAAGTTCGCTTTTGAGGCCTTCCACTGCGCCCTCCGTTTCCTACAAATCACAACCTCAGGTAGGGATGTTTATGGGGATCATTTTGTCTCTTTTTGCTATCTCTGCCCCCAGGTGACTGAGCAGCAAGGTGTGACGCAACTCTTATTAACAATAAAATAGTATTCACGAAGCGCAGATGGGCAAGGTCAAAGGTTGTTACAAATTTGGCTTGTGTATTTTGTCTTATTAGATCGATCTCATATCCTTGCCCTCTAGAGAGCCTCAATGACTGATCAGCACCAGAAACGCATATTCCTTCCTTCGTTCCCTATTCAACAGTATACGGCACTCGACTCGAGGTTCATTGTCCCTAATGGGTCGAGAAATCTTCCCGAAGCATGGGATTAGATCATCAGGCGCTCAACCTTGTCCTTCAAGCTGCGAATCTGGTTCATGAGCTCGGAGGCCTCGTTGGTGGTGATGCTGTTACAATGAGTTAGCATTCGATGCGGGAGCTGGAAGGCCATAGTAGAAGCATTTACCTGGCAGCAATAACGCTACGGCTAACACCACAAGCACGTCCAAGCGCAATCTTGGATGGCACATAGACATACGGGACGTTCCTGTTCTAGTCTCAGTTACTGACAATCACGAAACATATGAGCTTCGACATACTTGTCTTCTGCGAGAAGGGGGAGATGCAGAAGGATTGCCAGCGGCTGGGTATCGGCGGCAAGAACGACGATCTCAGAGATACCACGATTGAGAGTCTTGGTGGCCTCGTTGGCTCCCTGGAGTTGGCAGAGTCAGCATTTTCATCTCGTGGACACACTTTGGAGATTGGGCTCGTACCTTCTTCAGCTGGCGATAGTGGCTAGCCTGTTGAACAAGGTCCAGGATCTCCTGTATACAGAAATAGAGTCAGCGAGCCTATTCGTGTAATTGGCGCGCGAAACCCTATCGTCTTCGGTAGGTCTAACCTGAGAGAGCGCGGCATCAGCCAGCGGCCAGGCGGCAGAGGTGTTCTGGTCAGCCATCTTAACGTTTGGGTATCGCTGTGATTGTGTACGAATAGTCGATACGTGGGATACTGGATATGGACGGCAGGGTTCCTTGCGTTGGCTCGCCCTGTGAAGAATGCGACAAAAGCTGCTGTTGAGCGTGGGGGATATTCAACTGCTCGAGCTCCAAATTCGCTGGGAAGTTTTTTTGCATGGGTCCCGCGAAGCTCGGAACGGGCCAAGGATCGGCACATAAGTTTATCCGACCCGCTGCTCCTATCATTGGTCCAAGCTCTGGAAATCAAAGTCATCAGTAGTTTGGTACGTTGCCAAACCTTGAACAGCACTCGACTTCAATTTAAGCAACCTGCCTCGACCTTTTCCATCACGCATTTAATCCCCAAACGTCAAGCTCCCATTTCAATCGCCGACCGAATCCCCCACCGCCATCGCCTTGTGCTCTAAGCTTGATCTTGTTGATCTCTTCATTCCATTCCAACAGTCAAGATGTCTGATCCACGAACATTCTCTGAGGGCTGGTACGTAATCCATGAGCGCCTTTTACCTTGAAGCTCGAAATTCCATCCATCCGAGCTCCTGGCATCGTAATGATGCTTGCTTTTCCTCCCCCAACTATCTATACTGCTACTGTAAGAAATATGGCTAACATACTCGACTTCGCAGTCCCGTCTACGCGGTCCGTCACTACTCCCTATCTTGGCTTGGGCTTGACACTCTCCCAGCCGCCAACATGTCCAGTACATGATGAGCTAACGATGGATAACAGCCCTTCTTCGGCGCCATGGGATGCACAGCCGCCATTGTCTTCACCTGCTTGGGTGCCTCCTACGGTACTGCCAAGTCTGGTGTTGGTATTGCTGCTATGGGTGTTCTTCGACCTGATCTCATCGTCAAGAGTACGCGCAACAGCTCTTTTCCATCTCGCAAAGTAGTGCTAATGTTCCACAGACATCGTTCCCGTCATTATGGCTGGTATCATTGGTATCTACGGTCTCGTCGTCTCGGTCTTGATCTCAGACGGTCTCAAGCAGGACCTGCCTCTCTACACTGGTTTCATTCAACTCGGTGCTGGTCTTTCCGTCGGTCTTGCCGGTCTCGCTGCAGGTTTCGCCATTGGTATCGTAGGTGATGCTGGTGTCAGAGGAACTGCTCAACAGCCCCGTCTCTTCGTAGGCATGATTCTGATTCTCATTTTCGCCGAAGTTCTGGGTCTCTACGGTCTCATCGTCGCTCTGCTCATGAATTCGAAGGCATCGCTGAATGTCAGCTGCTAAATTCATCCACCTCCAAATTCAAAGGGACAACGGGGCCGAGCTAACTTGGTTCTCAATGTGGTAGGACATCAATCATCCGATGGCGATAGCTCAGGGGTTTGGTGAAACCATGGAAATATCTTATGGTTAAAGCTGCAGGTTTTGGTGGGCCATCAATTTGTTGATGGCGGTAGTATCTGGTGTTGCTGGTGGGACATTAGAGTACGATAGTTGACAGACTGTCAGATGATGCGGTATGTACTATAGAAGGATTATTACGATGCTGCGTTTTTCCAGTCTACGTAATATATTTTGGCAAGAAACAAAAGTCATCCTTATATCGTCATCTCATTTGTCTACTAGTGTTGCCATAATCTAATCTCGTCATGTCTCACTTTATCACCTCTGCCTGGGCTCAGTTTTCTCCAAGTTTTCAGTGATTCGCAACCACCATAAGTGCAGTGGTTGATTCGGTTGCGCTCAGAATCATACCTGTGTCTTATGCTGATTTGCCTGTATACGAGTGATAAGTGGTTACCACTCGTATGGGGGAGAGTAGTCTTTTGGCTGTGATGGTGCTGGCCTTACTCTTTATCTCTTTCACCAGTATACCTATGAACTTACATGACCAGTTCGCGGTCCAATCTCTGGAGGATACTAGCGATCCACGTTCAGGGTACCATTGAAGACAAGTTCAGGGTGGAACACTGATGTTGCCGCACAATCGGGTCTGGACCTGGGAACAATTGTTCTTCTCCCGGTAACCTCGGAAGTTTAAACGTTGGTTTACTTTGCTAACAGCAGGGAGATTCTGCCTTCAGCCTGGCCCATAATTTTGCTCATGGTTATTGCCAGCCAAGGGAAAGGGAGGGAGACAATGCCGAATATCTTGGCCAGAGGAGGTCCAAGTCAATAAGTCGTGTTGACCCAAACTTGATCGTTCAGGAAGAGGCTCGTCTTGTCCTTGAACACGAAATATTGATGTTTATATAGCTACAAATGAGATATAAAGGGGCATAAATGCTTCTGCATAATCAAATGGTGGATGCTCCATCTGCTGCTGATCCTGGATCTGTAATGCAGCCCTGTTATTGGTTCCGACACACCGGGTCTGCAGTAGGAGGATGGTAAGATGTAACCCCTCACCACCAAACTTCAGCAAACAGTACATGTATCTTCCCGCCGATTTACAGGCTCTACAGCGAGGCACAACTATCTTGCAGTACGCTGTGTCTAGTGAGATACCACTGGAATTCAGGCCTTTGCCTCAGATGAAGTAAGAGCCTCAAAACCGCCGGCATTCATCTAGTAATTGGGTTTTGTCGTAGAATGGCACAGGAATGCCCTTTGAAACCTGTGAAGTGCCGCAAATACCGATCCTATCATCTCAATCGATTCTGACGCATGGATTTGTCCAGTGCAGCCCTCTCAATCGGTCTCGGGAGCCTGGTACGATGACGCACTTAGAGTTCATGGCACTCCTGACGGACTTTTCATTCCAGAAGGGTTCTCCGCGCCAAGGAACTGCTGCGACTTCTCTCGGGAGAATTAGTCGCAGGGCCCGAATCTGTCATCGGCGAATTGGGAAGGACATACCATGGCTACAAAGAAGGCAGATATTTGTTGCCAAACGATGCTGTAAGAGTTGCCAAGGTTTTGTTGAACTGTATATGCCCAAATTATAGAACAGGCAGGGCAGGATCGTCCCGACTTTCGACACGCTGCTGTTGGTGTGCTTCTTGGTAGTAATTTAGCCCTATGGCTGAAACCCCAGGAGTCGTTCTGGGTGTAGCTACAGGGATGGGATATAGGCGATAGAATTTGTATATATTAGATCTCTTTATAGTATACCCCTTACTTCTTAAGAAGCCCTATTCTGTGGTCTCAAAAAATAAGATAGAGAATTCTGGGAATTTTGAACTATGTGTACACATGTGCCAGTATCACCAAGCTCACTCGTATCAGCTGAAAAAAATCCAACGTCACAAGTCATCGGCACAGATCTGAGCAAAACCCAACCATTAAACGTACCGCCTAATTGTCAATTCGAGAAGGAGGATTCAGAGGCGGACTGGGTCTTCCCTTACAAGTTCGATTACGTCCACTTGCGGTTCGTCTGCTTTTGTTTAAAGAACCGCTGAAAATGATGAGAAACGCGTATCAGAGAGCATACATCCGGCCGCCTGGATCAAATTCTAAGATCCTGTGCCGGACCAAATTGACAGTGACGACGGAAATGGGAAAGACTCAGCTCTAGCCCAACGGGGACTGTCGGTCATCAAGGGAAGGGCGTCCTGTGGACTGAATATAGCAGGAGCCCACCCCTATGCATGTTGGCACCGCCAAAATGGGTGTTAGTGCAGCGGAGAACGTCGCATCTTGTGGCAAAAGCTTCAAAACTAATCCTGGGTCTGTGATTTTTCTTGCAGTTGTCGATGTTGAAGAGAAGAACGTCATATGGCCATCAAGTTCCTGGCCCGAAAAGCCGAGGCTACGAATGGCTGGTTGATGGTCGCAGAGAAATTACCTCAATGGTGTGCTGCTCACTACTTGCAAAATGATCAAGATCTCGGGGATGTTGGACGAGGAGACCAGTGATCTTATAGACTCGGCCAAGACCGAAGTCTGTGATGTGAATAAACGCCTGTATATGCCGATGTATGTTGTTTATGGACGAAATCCAGTCGTGTCTGATCCAAAGAATTGAGTTCTTTTGGTGGAAGGAATAACGTGAGGAAAAGCAAGTCTTCGCGCGTTATTAATTGCGATTATCAGCTGGAAAATTCTGGACATTGAATTGCAGGCGTACTGTAGAAAGTTACCATCGATTGATACCTAAACATAGGAACGAGGCTTCAGGTGTACCTCCCGGGCTATGCTTTGAAAGTAGGCTTCTGTTTCTGGAGACAGAAACTGGCTGGTGGCGTAGCCCACTCAGGGACTTGAACTTTTGCCCATCTGCCGGTATAGTAAGCACCAAATCAGTCAGATCAAAATGCCCAAAACAATTGGAAAATTATGAAGGTGGATGGTTTGTTCTTTGTTTCCGCTGTGCTGCCCGAAAACATTGAGAGATCCTTTATCAATTAAATAATATCAACGAGTATGTTTCTATGCCAATTCCAAAAGTCTCCGTGTGACTTAACCTTCGTTGGCTTGTTATTTGTCCTACAGAATGTCTTTTGGCAGAACGTGGTTATTAATATGTAGGTCCCTGGGGAAGAAACTTGGAATCTAAAAGGCTAGCTCAATGTAAGTCACTACTATCTCATGTCAGATAAACATGGCTGAAACTAAACAAGTGTATCACCGTTGTCGTTGTGGTCCGGAACGCCGCGTCAACCCAAAAGAAAAAGGCAGAAACCAGAAGCGATTTCAGGAGAGGTAGTTCTCTGACAAAGAGGTGTTCACAGGACAACGCTCGCTAAGTGCAAGCGATTGTTGAATCGCTCTGCTGGTTCATAAAAAAGTAAAAGATCTCAGGAAGAAAGCAAAATTAACCGCTGTATGTCCATGGCGCTAGTTATTGCACACATTAAACTTACTAACGCCCATTGTTAGCGATTCATATGCCAGATCTGATGCCTCGTGGAGTACACACAAGAATTTGGGGCATAGGCATGGTGAGGACCCTAGCTTATGTCATCCAGATCGGTGGCTCAATACCGCCTTTTCTTTTGTTTTGAGACGACTGACTAACATGTAGGTTATGTCCACTCTTGTTTGACCATATATTTACGAGCACGGAGGATTTTACTTTGGAAAAGCTTAATCTTTTCAACAACTCACAAAAGTTAAACATCAAAAAAGAAGCCCTATGGCAACAAGAATAGGGACCGCGAACAAGAAGATTTAGACAAGGAAAAGGATAAAAATGCCAACAACGGAGAACATCAGGGGAGCACAACGAAGAAGAGAACTAAGCCATACGCTGAGTTGATCCACTGGGTTGAAAGATACGAGGGACAAGGGCACTGGTGGACTTATACAAACCCTAGACTTCGCTGTCCAATCATGGTGTGTCTGACGGAAACCCCCCAAACCCGACTCAACCTTATGTACCTGCGGAACGAAGTGTACACCAATGGACGAGGCTGGTAAAACTATGCCGAGAATCCCCGCGGGTCAGATGAGGAGATCATGAGTTTCACGCAAGACTTTGTCCTGAATGCCCCAAAGGTTAAGCCACCTGATGTCGCGGAAAAGGATACCTCAGGCTTAGACGAAGCATGACGGAACTGGGATCCATCAGCAAAAGCTAAGATCCCCTAGTAATAGAAGTAATAGACGCATCAAAACCTGGGGACTGAAACCTTGCTAGAGTAATGTACCTGGCTGTAATCGGTGTAGCTGCCTCTACATCAGCTTTGCATCGCATACATGGGTTGAATGTACAGCCAATCCCCTCAGCATCACGGATTCATTCAGATTCCAACCCCCTGAGCCCCTTGATCCATATGGATGAATACGAACGAAGTATTAGACGGGTTTCCTTGTGCCTATGATATGCATGTCTACTTTTCGACGAACTTCTGCACAGGAAAGCGGCACGGGTACTTGGCAGAATAGAGCTTGAAATGCCGCTGTGCTAGGAGTGAGTCAGGCCTCTCCCCCCACGTGGAACCTTACTCAGTTTGATCATCGAACGGAAATTTACTTCCTCTGAGCACGGAAAGGTATATAAGTTTCATGTGTTGTATTCTATCATTAATTATGTTTATTATGGGCGCATTGGGGACCCATTGGGCTTCCCACCGACCGTCTTGCATCGTTACTCAGGCACTGGGCCATTAAAGGTGTAATTTTCAAGTTATATACAGAAGGGTTGTATTCAATACCCACCCACAAGCTCCATTGATAGGAGGCTTTGACGCGACACATCCACCACTTGACCATGTTCATCGCAGGGACGGGGCCAAACATTGGTCTTTCTATAGGCAGACCTCAAAACACATACTATAAACCAGTTAGCATGGAACCCTCGTACAATGATTCGGCCGAGAAAACTTACTGGGATAAAGAGATACGGAACTTGTCTCTCATACTCCTTCCATGCATCACCGTACTTCTGCTTGCATCGCTGAATGTCTCTTACCGCACGATGCGTGATCATGCCGCAGAAAAACACGGGATAGAACCAGGGGAAAGGGCTGCTGAACCCCGTAATCAACCCCCAACTGATTGCGAAAAACGCATCGCAAGTGTAGTGGATCTTCCGTGCCTTGCCGTACCACCCATCTGCCAGGATTCGATCACCACATTCTGTTTCAATGACCTTGGGGTTGTGAACCTCTTGCCAGGGCAGTTGCGGGAAAGTCCTTCGCTTCACAAAGGTCCCACGCTCCATCATTCGGAATGAGTTCTTCTGGCCGTTGGTAGTGTCCCAGACCCAGTATACGAACAGGTAGGAAACGAAGAGAGCGGCAAGCGCGTATTTGTTCCAGGCGTATTCCGATGGGTGGTGATTGGCAAGGTACAAAGTGCAGTGACAGTACGAGAGCGGGACGCCGGCCATGTTCCAGAAGATGAGCATGAAACCCCACTTCTCAAAGTACATGTCCCAAGTCGTGACGATGAGGTGCTCGCCTTTGGAGCACGCATTGGCATAGAGATAGTGTGCCATACAAAGGAACATGACTTCACCAGAGACATAACCGTAGTTTTCGTACTGGCGCGTAGCAGCGCCAACGCTCAGGCCAAAAAGGATGAACCAGGGAATGCGGACCTCATAAAACATCTTGAAATCCAGAATACCAAACATGCGCGGGTTGAGCTCGGCACCCATGAAGAAATCATAGATGGGATAACCCGTCATCCTGTGTTCGGCTCCCCGTGCGAGGGCTGAAAAGTAGGCGATAAAGCTGCAGATAAAGCCGGAAATTATGGCGACTGACATAAGGGGGCCGAACTCGTCCAGGAAGGTGTAAATAGGAAATAGGCCGGTAAGATGCAGAACCGCCATGACGAGGATGGTGAAGTAGAAACTGGTGTAGGCCGAACAGTGGTACTCGAGTTGTTTGCCGCCTGCATGAGGGAGAGGCTTTCCGTAGGCCTTGAAACCAGGCATGAAGACATAACAGGCAGCCTCAAAGAGGTAGAAGGTCCCGTAAATATGCCAGGCCCTGAAATGGGGGAAGGCACCAGTGTAGGCCAAGTGAAGCATGTGCTTCACAAAGTCCAGTAGCGACTGACCTTCGGTTGGCAGAGGAAACTTGCCATCGTAGTAGGTCGCCCCGATCCACATGTAGTACATGAGAGCAGGGAACAAGATCATCATGGAGAATGTACCGGCACTCCCACCGAACTCGAAGTGACCGGAGTAGTCGACTTTCGGATCCATGCCTGGTTTCCAGCCATCGACAACTTCATTTTTAGCATGCCCCTTTGCAGCATACCCATTGACTTGTTCATTGGCCAGTCCATTGGCATATCCGTTGGCGTGTCCGTTGGCGTGTCCGTCGATATGCCCATTGGTATACCCGTTGTTATGACCATTCAGAGTCGCCATATGGGCTTTGCCGTTGCCGTTCAGCACATTAGAGAGCTTATCTTGCGGGACGGGACTGGATTTCCCAGCCTCGGGTGTGTCGTCGTCAGAAATGTTCTCGATGAACTTGCTGGTCGTTCGCCGGCGTACAGGCCGCGTCGTCGAGATGGTCTCGGCGGCGGAACTCGACTCACCATCGTCCGAAGTACCATCCACTGCAGGAAACTGAGCTTTGCGCCGCAAGGAACGGCGACGTGCCGGCGTTTCGACCATGCCGTCAAACAGCTCGGATTTCCTGTTTAGGGAGCGCCATTAGGTCAGCATGCAGGTCTGAGGTGCGTGACCGAGTTGGAGGGCAACACGTGGAGTGGACAGCCACAACAAGCAAGCGTGAAATCCATTATAACATGATAAGCGACGTTCGTCCCTCTCGATTGCCATGCCATATTCCGTGTTTTGCGGCACAATTCCATAGCAGTCCCGGAGGCCGCCAACTCAAGAATGGAGACAGGGGTACTCACCGAGGTGTTGCTCGCAAAGAATATCTGCCAGACATATTCGATTAAGTCCTGCCTCTTGTGGATATAATATAGTCCAAGGAATGGATGCTGGCACTCAATGCTCGCGGATTGCAAAGTCGAACTGACTATGTGCGCAACAATAAAAAGAATACTTTTGCAACCGGTGCCGCGCGGGTCGCGAGGGCAATCCACGCAAATTCCATCAAGGAAACGGCAGCCAATTGCAACCGAGATCAGCGAGATTTAATGTTGACGCATTTTGCGTCACCAAGGGCAGCGCTAGCAATTGAAATCAATGGATCATCTGCGGCAGGGGTGGTCTCTGTACCCCACAGGAACGGCAGCTTCCCAAAGTAGCCCGGGCCTTCTCACCTTAGAAGTATTAATCACTCGCAATTTCCTAGTTAGTATCCTAGTCCCAGCCAGAACCTTCAACACAGTCCCTATCAAGCGAATGACAGAGTAACCAAGCTATATTAATATTTATATCTGCTAATTCAGTGTTACTAAGAAACTATTTAGCGGCTTGTTTATTTTACTACTCGCTTACGTATGATTTTAGTCCTTACCACCGGGCTAAATTTTGTGGTACTTTCTTAAAAAGCTATTTATCTACGAGTTATGTTGTGACGACTGACACATGGACGATAAGCAGGGACATCCTGACATGGCCTGCCCTGATCTGGACGAGCGCGTTCCCCTTATAATAGGAGAACGGCCAGACATACTTGTAACCCTTTCCTTCTCTTTCTTCCCTAGTTTAGTATTCAACAATAGAGATGCACTGATATGCAACCTTGATTCGTACCTATGTGCCTCTGCCTCGTTACATATGTATCTTTACCAAGATTACAAATGTTAGTAAAGTAAGTTATTTCAGTATATTATATTAAAGAAGTCAAGTAAATATGTTTAGTTTTACCTAAGATCTACCAGGTATAATTTTAAGAAGTTTGATACTAACCGCATTGACCACCTTTTTGCGTGCACCCCTATTTTGCAGGGAAATCGTACGCCTTAACAACACGACGTCTCTCAATTTACCTCGCAATTGCTCCCTAGCTACGTACAAAATGGCTGATCCAGTGGAGAATAGTCCGGACGATTTTGAGCAGCGAATCGAGGGCGCTAAAGAGCTTGTCCGTCAGGGCTCTTCCCAGGCCGCAGCAACTTATCGGTACGGTATCAAGGGGACTACATTGTCCTATCGCATTCGTCACGGTAATTCGTATCGCGACGCGGCCTCCGGGTAACAAAAGTTGACTCCAGAGTAAGAGGAGGTCATTGTGAACTGGATCCTACACGAAGAACTGTGCGGACGGGCTCTTAGTAAGCGTTATGTGGCCGACTTTACTATCGAAATCCTCCTTGCTTAAGGGATAATAATATACTCGGCTAACTCTAGGTGGATTACTTCGTTAGCCGCTATCCATAGATACGTACTAAAATTGGGCGCGTCGTAGATACTAGCCGAGTCAGAGCGTCCGATTCAAATAAGATCCGAAACTTTGTAAGGAAAGAGCCGTCATGGCGGTCTCAGCTGACCAGCTGAGTCGGGAGGGTTTCGCCCCCGATCCGGTAGAACTCCGGAACCGCCCAGCTTAAGAGGAGAACTCGAGACGCTCCCACCTAACTTAGATTCCTCAAGAATCAGTCTTGCAATATACGCACCCATAACCCTGGCGCATCACAGCCGCTCTTTGCACTACCTGGCTATTCCTGTGAGACGTGTGATATCCTCGTTACAGATTTCTACACCCTCCTCGAACGCTTACGTACGAAGTACCGTATCAAACCCGATAACGAGTATAATATAGATTAGATAGGTATCTAAGAGGGGGAATCTGGGCATAGTACGGTTATTAGGACGTCTAATTCACGCCGGGTACGCGTATCACAGTCGGACGCTTCGTCGTAGTGCTCCTAGTTAGAGTATATTTTGTATACCTAACGGGGCATACCTGTCTGCGTTTTTTCCGGTAAGAGAGTCTAGGTATAGTGGTTCCTAGACTAAAATATCTCTAAGTGGGAATATATCGCGAAGAGTAAGGGCTAGAGTAACAAAGTTATCGTAAATAGGTAGTTAGATCAGGTTTTCCTCCCCGAGACGAAGCCTAGGGGTACCGAATAGCGACTCCTTATCCTCGACGGTCACTAGACATATATTTATGCCGAATTTATGTGGAAAGCCTACTTGAATAGAGTCGCCGTGCTTTATTTACCCTCACACTGCAGTGACGATCTCCAGCCGTGCGATGTCGGGCCGTTCTCACTTTTTGTTAGGCAACCTTTGTGGGCTTTGCCAAGACCACCAAGGTTACCACGTGACTTAGCCCTTTAGGACTAAGTCCAACCTTCGTGCTCGATAGCATTAGATAGAATAACATGCTTTTACAACTTCACAAATATTCGACCACCATTGCGTGTAACACCTTTGAAGACCTACTAACGCCAAGAGCTCAGGGCTTACGCTTCTTACAAGGCTACAGCCCTAATTTACAAGCAACGTATGCTAGAAATATATCTACGTGCCTCGGAGAGAGCCTTTACTACGGAAAATATTAAATCTGGCTAGCGGAAAACTGGTATATGGCTGTTACACGCAAAGGTGGTCAAAGATTTGTGAGGTTGTAAAAGCATGATCTTCTATCTAGTACTATGGAGCACGAAGGTTAGACTTAGTCCCGAAGGGCTAAGTCACGTGGTAACCTTGGTGGTCTTGGCAAAGCCCATCAAGGTTGCCTAACAATGGCCCCTAAGCTCCGAATGACTGTCGACGTATCTTGTGATCCTCCGCCTCATATATCACCACCTCTACTTACTTTTACTCCTCAGAAAGCGCAGCAACTATCTAGCCAACTACAGTCGATAGAGAAAACCGAGGGCGGGGTATCTCGTAAGATTCGTACCCTAGTAGGCAAGGCGGGCAAGGCCCTTACACTCCAGGCCGCCGAGAATGCCAAATTACGTATCGAAAACGAGTAACTATATAAAGAATTCGATAAACACTGTCACGACCTGGGTTGCATCGCATTGGTATAGACCTCGATTAGGTGCTATCGACCAAGATTCTACTCTAAGGAGCGAAGGAAAGAAGATGACAACTTAGGTTTGAGGGAGCGCGACTAAGTCATCCACGCTTGGCGGGGCTCCTACAAGGGTTATGATTGGCTTCCCATCTCACACTGCCACGGCAGGTGTTCCAGCTGTAAGTCACCTGGTTGTAGTGAGTCTGCGAGGGTTGACCGTCACAAACACGCTCTAGATATACGCTAGCCCGTCGAGCCTAACCCGAATAAAGTATTCGTTAACTTGTCAGCGATCCGACAGCCTAGGACAAGCGAAATAAGCGAATACTGTCACGACCTGGGTTGCATCGCATTGGTAGAGACCTCGATTAGGTGCTATCGACGAAGATTCTACTCTAAGGAGCGAAGGAAAGAAGATCACAACTTAGGTTTGAGGGAGCACGACTAAGTCGTCCACGCTTGGCGGGGCTCCTACAGGGGTTATGATTGGCTTCCCATCTGGCACTGCCACAGCAGGTGTTCCAGCTGTAAGTCACCTGGTTGTAGTGAGTCTGCGAGGGTTGACCTTCACAAGTCTTTGGACGCTTAAATTAAGTGTGTTCTGTACATAATAAATACGGATGAAGTATTTAGGTTGATTTAGTTAGTGTAACGAGGATACCACACGTCTCACAATATAATAGTCAGGTAGTGCAAAGGGTAGCTAGAAGTAGGCCAGTGTATGGGTGCGTATATTGCAAGACTGATTCTTGAAGAATCTAAGCTAGGTGGGAGCGTCTCGAGTTCTCCTCTTAAGCTGGGCGGTTCCGGGGTTCTACCGGATCGGGGGCGAATCCCTCCCGACTCAGCTTGTCAGCTGAGACCGGCCCGCCACAACGGCTCTTTCCTTACAGTTAGACCCTGCAAAATGGGGGTGCATGCAAAAAGGTGGTTAATGCGGTTAGTGTATTCGGATTATTACGAGAACTATGTATTGCTAGTTTCTACACTGAAGTAGTCTTCTAGTAGAGAGTGCTAGAAAAGTAACCTTCAGCTCAAAATGGCTAGATCCTCAATCAACCACGGCCCCTCTAAGTCACTGCACGAACGTCTGTGAGCCCGGTCCACAAGCGCACACAGTCCGCTGGGCTCGGTAACCAAGACAAAGGTATGGCAGGTGGTCCGCATGCTGCCGAGTCGACACGAAACGAAATTCTTCGGAGGTATATGCCCTTCCCATCAGCAATAGATATTTTAAAAGTTGTGTCTGGCTTTAAATCAGCCATTCAGGCGACACACTGCACGTATCAAAAGAACGCTAGAGCAATTTGAAGGTAGTTACGCCGGTTGTGACCACACTAATTTCAACGCTGGAGCGGTCCGATTACGTAGGAACATTGGTATCGGCCAGAGGTTCCGGCATCCACAATAGCTTCCCGATCCATTGCTGACTTGTAGAAGGCGGTATGCTTTGTTCGAGCCCAGTTGTATCGTGACCGCTCTTCCGCAGGCACTCTGGTAATTCAGAACAATGTGCACGTAGCTGACTTTGCGCACAGCAGCTCCATCGAATCCCAACATCTCACCTCGTTCTAGGCGTAGATACTACTCCACGGGTGAGGGAGGGCGTGGTCTTCGTGGTCGTCTTCTGCTGCCGTCGCCGCCGAATGGAGCCATGGGTACATATGGCCCTGGGCTTCCGTCGTCAGACCTGCAACCGCTCGCCCGTGGATAGTCCTGCTCGCCGCTTGGATGTCCTTTCCCAGAATTGGGATGTGTTTGCCTTCATCTTCTACCAGAGGACTGAGCGGTTGCGGCATGACTTTGCTTTCATCCTCAGCTGCCCCTGCCCCGTCGAGGACTGCATCACCGCCGCTCTGATGCTCTTTACTCTGCCTGTCCTTTTCTGCAGAGAAGTGTGCTCGACGTCCTGCCTGTCGCTCGACGTCTGTGTTTCCCACGGAGTCGGTGAAGCTGGTTTTGGACCCGTGAACATCGTGGGGCCACTCTCCATACCCCTCGGAGACTTGTGTCCCGTCGTCGCGAAGCCTCATACCGAATACCTCATGCCGGCACCTCCTTCGTCGTGGCGGGGTTGAGGGGTACTCACCAACGCTCAGAGGTCGTTGGTTATTGGACCTCGGTACTTCACTCGGCCTAGCTAGCGTCAAGCCTTGGCCGCGTTCGCGGTCGTCGTGGGTTGACACTACCAGTGGTACTACTGCCATTTCCGCGGTGTCTGGGACGAATGGCTCTTCAGTTGGACCATGATCTGGGCTCTGGTTGGACTTTCATCTAGACTTAATGGCGGGCTTGGGTGCCGGGGAGGACGTCTGTCTCTCGGAATTTGTCTGCTTTCCTGGGCCCGGCGTTGTGATTTGATTGTATTCACAACGAATTTCTCTATTTCCCTGGTAGTTGACGCCATTATGTCGCATTCCTCTGATGTCGAATCCTCCAAAATGAACCATTTCTCTTTGTAATCCTTCAGTTCCTTCCTTGCCTGCTTCGCTGCCTCTGTCATGTTCTTCAGTTGATCGAGCCAGACAACACTGCATCGTTTAGCGACAGGATCGTAGTTGCAAGTTGGACCAACCTACATTCTTTCATCGTTGATGTTTTTCTTCCTTACCTCATCTAGAGTGAAGAGTTGAAGGAGGAGGGTTACGGTGGCTTTAGCACTGTTCATCAAAAGTCTCATGGCCTCCAGGTCGGGTTTCTGGATTGCCCACTGCACACGCGCCCAAAGGGTCGCTAGGCTTGTATCATGGCTTCCATGGATATCGGCGAACTTCCTTACAAGTGTGTAAACCCTTCCGCATATAAATCTGCACTGGTCCGTTATCCGAACAACCAATTTGGCCGTTTTCGACTTATGCTTCGCATCCAGGCTCTCACCTGTACCATGGACCCTTTCATGGAACGAACAGAGCAGAGTGGCGAAGATGGAGGCTTCTTCATGAAAGCATTTAACCTCCTTTGGCGCAGCTTCCTCGTCAGCCTCACGATTTCCCCGGTGACTTGAAGGAATGCTGACAAAGTTGCAACGAATGCAACCACTGCCTTTGTACAGACAGAAGCTCGAGTATCGCGTCGCAATTTTGATCGTCACATACGGAAACATCGATGGTCTTTCTGCCTGCTTTTAGTTTCGAGATATTCCAACGTTCTCTACGGAAGCTGTTTAGAGCATGACTTCCCCGCAAGAGCCTCATGCAGTGCTCGCGATATGATGCCTTTGATGGTGGCGGGTATACCGCTGTCGTTGGCTGGCTATTACAATATTGAGCAATACCCGATTATGCGGTTGCTCGCACAGGAGAAAGCAATCAACGCCTCGGAGTGGATGATGAACTGTGTGATTGGGAAGATACCCAGCCCTCCTTCCGGACCAAAAGGGTGAGTGGAAAACCAGAGGCGGCATCGAGGGTGCTTGACAGTGCCCACCGAGCTACGCACTGAAGTAATTTGCGCTTACTATTTCCTCAATCACATCAGAAACCCACGTTCGAGTTCGATAGTAACAGTTAACTGCAGAACGTCGCCACATAACTGCCAATGAAGACAGCATTCCGGGATGGCGGACCGAAACTTGCAATCCTTTGAATTCGGTCTTCTATCTACCCCAAGACTTATCAAGCAGAACTATATGCGTGATAGCGGGGTATTGCCAGTACTTCTTCTTTATATTCATTATAGTAACGAGTTGAACGGTATTAATGTGCGTAGGCTCTGTCACATAACCATCTTCAACATAGTCGTTACGCAACTCCATAACTACGGTATCACCAGAAAACATGCCTCTCGGCACAATTGACACCGAGCAACAGGCCCCAGAGGCTCTTGGGCTTTTCGAAAAGTTCACTATCTACACCGAATTTTACAAGCACATCGAAGACCAACCTATCGGTCTCTTTGCTCTGGTCCCCAAGACCACACCAAGTGGTAATCGACCACTACTTGCCAGAATTCACGGGGGTGCATTCACTGAAGGCAAAAGTGATGGCTTCATCCGGCCTTGGTACGTAGCGACGATTCCCGAGCATATCTCGCGCTTATTCTAACCTCCAAACCAGGATCCTGGAGCTGGCACTAAAGCACGACGCGATAATAGTCACCCCGGATTACCGTCTCCGCCCGGAACACGAGCACGCCGACTCGCTCGCCGACATACAGGACTTCTGGAATTGGATCGCGACAGACTTTTCCGCGCTGCCATACGCCAACGACGTCGATGTAACGAACCTAGCCGTAGTTGGCGAGAGCGCCGACGGCACTTTTACCGCGCAGACGGCTCTACTAGGCATGACCTCCAACCTCCGCGTCATCATACTGCAGTATCCAGCTCTCGACTTTGCAACCATGCTCAATTGGCTAGAGACAGATCCCCCTTGGAACGTGCCAGAATCCGTGTTCGACGACTATATGGCGAAGGTTGTCCCGGGGCAGGTCGTCACGAGGGCCAACTACGGCTCGAAAATACCCATTTGGCAATCCATGTTTTCGCATCGCCGTTTTGTCGACTTGGAAAAAAATCCGCTCTTCGATCCGATGAAGAGCCTGGAGGTGGCGGGGCCGCTTCCGCCGGTTTTCTTGTTCCATGGTACGGAGGATACTGCGGTTCGGGTGCAAGATTCGGTGGCTTGGGCGGAGAAGTTGAAGAGGTTGCGACCAGATGTGCCGCTGAACTTGTTGATTAGGGAGGGGGAGCATAGTTTTGATGAGGGGGATAAGCTGGACGTGCCTTGGTTGAAGGAGTCGATTGGGTTTGTGGAGAGGTTTTGGCCGGTCCAGTGAAGGGTTTACTTGTCTGGGGTGTGTGGTGTTAGGTACGTAGATGATTGTACGTAAGTAAGCAGATTTTAGTTGAGTACATATCGTCTATGATGCACTTATGATCATATATTAGACGGATGTAAGTGGTGCATACACCCAAAAGTCCATCTGGGACTGCGTACCGCGTTGGGACTATTTTGAACGGTCCCCCATGATCAAAATATTTTCATAAGCCGAACTTTTGAAGTCGATTGAACATGAGTCCTGTGAATGAGACCGCAGGGGATCTGGTTTTGATCCTGTTACCAAATAAATCGTCGTACGGTGGCTATATAGTTGGAGCCAGCCCCCACTTGTTATGAAATGCAACAACTCCCTAGACATGTATTGCAGTTGAAGAGTCGCAGTGATTCAATCCCGTTGGTAAATAGCTGGAATAGCGTAACCGAGTTGACGTTGCTAAACAACGCAGCAGATACAATTATTAAGCATGCTTATACCGGAAACGGAATTATTCAGATTGTGTCGGAATCCAGGTATTAGGGGCTATATTGGTACTATGAAGGTGCGTGAGGGACCAATCCCAAGTTGGTCCTGATGGATCCCTAAACACTACAACGCGTGCGTGCCTGCCTGCCTCGTACCCATCCACACCTGAGGCCACAACTTCCCACAGATTGAGATTAACATTACTTTCATCCTTGACAACTTGTCGGTTTCTCTCTGTTGCGAACTTGTATGCTCGCATCTTATACTATCCCGAGAGGACGCCATCTTGTCTGATGCAAATTTGAAGTCGTATACAGTCAGAGCTCGCAGCCCAATCCTCTATCAACCCCTATATAGCTTCGTGAACCCTTCCGAAGGCGGTTGTAGCCAGTTCCTCTTATCGTATACCTTTCCCTCGCCCTCTATCACGTGGAAAGTATATATGATCCTTCCTTTCTGACTTAAGTTCTTCTCGCTCTTGTGCAGTAAATTGCCATGTATCAGAACCAACGAGCCCGCCTTGACTTCACCCATCTTGTACTCCCCCTCTTCATCCCCATCCTTCAGACTCTCCCCATAGCCCTCTTTCGACGGAAACCGAGCCCCCTCATTATCAAAAAACGTAGTTCCCGACCCATTTTGATCTCTCACAAACCGACTCTTCACCGGCGCCCACCGATGGCTCCCAGCCAAGAAACTCAAACACCCATTCTCGATCGTCGCATCCTCAAGCGCGTACCAGAACCCTACCGCGCTCGGCGGGTCCGTGTATAAAAAGGTGCTGTCCTGGTGCGGTGGCACCGCGCCTCCTATCTCGGGCTGCTTGCAAATCACCATGCTCTGCAGCACCCTCGGGTCCCGGAACCCCAGCGCCCGCGCCACTGCTGCCGGGTGCGACTCTTTCCTCCCGGCCTCGACGGAACCACCGGTCGAGCCCGCGCCGAGTAGGTCCGGGTTGAGCGCTGGGTCGAGCAGAGACGCGAAGGGTGGGGATAGGGAGTGCAGGTAGTGGCCGATTTTATTGATGGCGCGGGATTTGGGTTTAATCAGTTCGCCGGTCGATGAAAAGGCATCCTCTTCGAAGAAGAAGCGGATCTTATCGCCTGAGGTCAGGAAGTAGTCGTCGCCGACGTGGGCGGACTTCTCGCCTGTGCTGAATTTCGTCATCGGGTGGTCGGCTAGGGAGAAGTTTTCGAGCATCATGTGGGCTTCGGAGAGGAGGGCTTGGACGGTCGTTGGTGGCAGGGCGTTGGGTATTATGAGGTAGCCGTCCTTGTGGAAGGTTTCTAGTTGCGAGGTGGTGAGGCCCCGCGGGCGTCACTGGGTGTTGTGCTGGACATAGTTGGATTTTCTTTTGCTTTTGCTACACTGAAGTACAAGCTGAAGAATTGCGAGTGGTGTCTTTAATACTTTGCGTCTCTGAATAGGATCAAGTGCTAAAGATGACGAAGGCTTGGAGATCGCCGCGGGGCTAAGGTCGCAGCTGCTTTGCTGCTCAATGCGGAAAGGTTCCCCCACTGAGGGGTCATTCTAAGTCCGTATGCGATAGCGCTCATACGGTGTTTGTGGTCACTTCAAAGGCGAAACAAACTGTTCGTATCTAGAAGTCACACGGTGTCCTCATCAACAACCCCACCAGAGTCGGTCAAGTCAAACAGCCAACAAGTGTCACAGCATCAACCCCTATTAATACATCGGTAACTCCTCCAGCTTTGTAACCATAAGAAATTAGATATCCCCCGATTGCGACAATGGCAACAGATGAGGGAGCGCCCCTGGGCCAGCCGGCACTCGAGATCCTGGAAGGCAGAATATGGGTTGATGGTTGCTGGGACTTCTTCCACCACGGTCACGCAGGGGCAATGCTGCAGGCGCGCCAACTGGGCAACGAGCTCTACGTTGGTGTACACTCCGATGAGTCTATTCTGGAAAACAAAGGCCCTACCGTCATGACGTTGGAGGAGCGGTACGGATGTTTCTTCCCAACTTCTACGCAAGAGGCATTCTACTGATCCTTGCTCAAGCCTGTCTGCCGTTGACGCTTGTCGCTGGGTAACAAGGTCTGTTACGCATGCCCCATACGTCACGCAACTATCCTGGATCAGTCACTTTGGGTGCAAATATGTGGTCCACGGCGACGACATCACCTCGGATAGTAGCGGTGAGGACTGCTACCGTTTTGTGAAAGCCGCGGGCCGGTTCAAAGTGGTGAAGAGAACGCCGAGCATCTCTACAACAGATCTCGTTGGTCGCATGCTGCTGTGCACCAGGACCCATTTCATCAAGTCTCTGCAGAAGATGCTGGCTGGTGAGGAGGGCCATGGAACTGAGGCAGAGAGGAAGGCCGAGGGCGCGGCCATGCTGGAGCGCGTTCGGTTGTACGCCACAGACGAGACGGGCAAAAACCCGGGTGCCGACGTCTGGTTTTGGGTGGCCTCTGATGCGGCGAAAGTCGAGGACACGGAAGAGGAAAAGGGGTCTTTTCGGTCCCTTCTCAAGGGACCGGGACCGAAGCCGGGCCAACGAGTTGTCTACGTTGATGGAGGCTTCGACTTATTCTCCAGCGGCCATATCGAATTTTTGCGGTTGGTTGTTGAGGCTGAAAAGACGTTGGCCCGCAAAGACGGCTGGTATGATGAACAAGCAACAAATGAGCGAGTTGGCAAGGGCAGCGACTATGGTCCGGTCTTCGTAGTCGCTGGTGTCCACGACGACGAAGTCATTAACCACTGGAAAGGCGTCAACTACCCCATCATGAACATCTACGAAAGAGGTCTATGCGTATTACAATGCCGGGTGAGTCCTCGAACTGTCCATCCTTTGGGCTTCTAGACTAACACAACCTAGTACGTGAACGCGGTAGTCTTTGGAGCCCCGTTTTCGCCCACCAAATCGTATCTGTCTACATTGCCATGGGGCACTCCCGATGCTGTGTATCACGGACCAACATCGTTCATGCCATTATCATACGATCCGTACGCAGCTCCCAAGGAAATGGGCATTTTCCAGGAGATATCTACCCACAATTTCCAGGAAGTCAATGCTGGGACAATCGTGCAACGCATCATGAGAAGCAGGGACTTGTACGAAGAACGGCAAAGGAAGAAGGGGGTCAAGGCGGGCGCCGAGGCTGCAGCTCGGGAAAGAGAGATATTCGAGGAGGAGCAGCGTCTCAAAGAGGCGAGAACGGCTTCGTCGTGAGATGGTTTTGGCGCATGGATTGATGAAAGAAGGACCTCGGGAGGTTTTTGACGGCCAAAATAGACAGTATTAGATATCCATGCGAAATTTGGTTATTAAACTTTGCAAATTGCATAGGACGTACCCGAGTGGCCGGGTGTCGAGGTGGAGATAAATCGTGTTGCAAGTTGGGTTATTCATGGGTAACAATCTATTAAGAGTCCGGAATAATGATACCGGTCTTGCCGGTCGTCGAAATTAGAGCTCGGAGTTGCATCCGCGGTCCGATCAACTCCCTGGGGCCATGTAATGATCCGTGCGTAGCGCTGCAGACTGGCCCATGCTCTTTCTAGAAGGCATGAACAAGAACATCATAATGCAGATCCTGAAGTCATTCCGGACTGCCCGCCGTGCTCCAAATTGCTAATGACTCGCCCCTTTGACCCCTCAATCCCTGCTCTACTCTTGCTGATGAGACAGAAAGTTGGTAAAGGGGTTCTTTATTGAATGAAAAACGGGTCGGGAATATGTGCTCGTAACGAATTAGCCCAACCACCCAAGACGAACATTGGAATTAAAAACTTCTTTTTTGTTGTGTTTGTTGTACTCGGAACGTTGGGAAAGAGCTGGGATGGAAGATGGGAGGTTGGACGACAACTCATGCTGCATGGATCGTGCTCCCTTCTGGAAGCAGCGAAGAAGCTTCACAACTCATGCATTCAAGCAATCAGAAGCAACTGGGCTAGCAACCCGCTGCTATAGGACTGGGGGTAGCATGGGCGCACGGGGTACAGAGAGCTCCTGGCTGCTCAAATGCCCGTGGTTCTTACCCCACTCCCTCTTGAGCACGGGCTTTTGAATGATCTTCAAGCGGCAGAGAGGGATGAGGAGGGATGAGGGCACTCAGCGGGCTGGCATTCCATTTTCGGCCCTCGAGGAACCCTTTCCCCTCCAAGACCTTGCTGTCAATCTCCCCAAGTTCACCACAAAGCTACCTGGCAAATAGTGATTAGCAGGTTTTCAACAAACCGCCGCGGCCCTCGTTGGTATACGATTAAATAGCTTTTCCTCTAGTTCCTCTATTTGAATTACTATCTTATCTCCACCCAGCCTGAAGACAACCCCCCAGTGGATCGTCGTTCACAGGTCGAGACTCGAGGTCCTGTCGCTACGCTACGCTACGCAATTGTCACTATCTGCCCCTCCCTCCCCAACTACAGCTGCGTAGTATCAAATCCTTGAGTCGTCCCGGGTGCTGTACTGTGCTGTGCTGCTGCCCCAATACATACTACCCCAGCAACACGCCTGCATTCTTTACCACGAGTGTCACGGCATTGGAAATACCAACTGCAGCTCTTGAACAAGTTGCTCATTCTGATTGCGGAGTAAGTCGATGCACCTTTATCTCATCATCTGCCGCTTTCCTCATCCTGTCTCACCCCCCGGTTCGTCCATCCTTCTTCCCACTGTCCCTACCCTTATTTCTGCGTACTGCCCCTGGGCAAAATTAAGACATCTGGAATTCTTGACATCCTTCTGGAACGTTTCCACCCTCTTCTTCAGCTTTGCTTCTGGCCAGTGTAACTTGCGTAATCTGCCCACCGGCCGGCCCCATTCGAGGCCTGCAACTCCTCTCCTCCTGCTCCATCTTTTTCTTTGGACAGCCTTGGCTCAAGCTATCTCTTATTACATAGGCACATCATTTAGCGCCCTGTCCTCACGGCCCTCCTCTCCACAATCGGTAGTACAGGTGGCTAACCCCAGCCGAGCGAAGCTTAGCCACGATCTATTCGCAGGGAGTCATAAAGCCAGCTGGACTATTGCATACTTAGCTGCTCTGGAGATCAAACCATCAGGTACTTGCATGCCACCTTTTCAGCTCATCTCCGTTCATCTCATCTCTTGATACTTTTCTTCCGATGCTCTCGCCCTCATAAAAACCTCATGCGCCAGGTGTAGAACCACCCAGCCATTACATCACATTGCTTATTGCTGTTCCTGCCTTCTCTGCCTTGCCAAATCCGCCGCCATGATGTCTCTACCATCCGCTTACCAGAAGGAAATCCAAGGCCTCGAGAGCCAGATTCGCCTAGAGAACCCACCCGATATCCTACAATTCTGCTCCGACTATTTCCTTCGACGACTCGCAGACGAGCGCAAACAACACATTACTACTACACGCAAGAACCCCACCCTCCAGACTGGCAACATGTCGATGTCGGGCACCACCTTCACGAGCCCATTTGCGGCCAATTCGAACCCTTTCGGCGGTGATGGAAGAAGGAGCGAGAGAGCAACCTCGCCGTCTCCCGCGCTGCTGAATGTTGTCGAGGAGGACGAGAACGACGCCGTCACATCCCCCACAACCCCATCATTTGGCAAGACAAATAGCCCTAACGGCGGCTTTCGGGTTCCCTTTTCGGGCGACGCTTCGGCAGATGGACCACCCTCTTCGCTAAGAGGGCCTCCAAACCCCGACTCATATCCTCCCCAATACAACTTTGGTCGTCGTACTTCGGTCTCTGCCGAGTCGCTGAAGCCAGTAGCCGATGCCAATGACAATTGGACCCCGCCATCCTACCACAAGACGAGCGACCAGTTGGAGAGGCTGAAGAAGTCCATCAAGGACAACTTTCTGTTCAGTCACCTCGACGAGGACCAGAATGACCAGATTCTCGGTGCTCTGCAGGAGAAGCCGATACCGGCCAAAGATATTAAGGTAGGCCCCTACTTCTGCCGTGATATATTTAGTTTACTAACATCGGCAAGGTGATTACGCAAGGCGATGCAGGAGACTACTTCTACGTAGTCGAGAGAGGTACTTTCGATGTATACGTCAACCATACTGGTTCGCTGCAAGCGGGACCAGACGGACTGGGCGACAAAGTGGGCACAATCCAAGCCGGAGGCTCTTTCGGTGAGCTAGCATTGATGTACAATGCTCCTCGAGCCGCCACGGTCGTGTCTGCGGAATCTGGTTGCACGCTATGGGCACTCGACCGTGTAACGTTCCGCCGCATTTTGATGGAATCGACTTTCGCACGCAGGCGCCTATATGAGAGCTTCCTTGAGGAGGTGCCACTCCTGCAGTCGCTCACACCATACGAGCGATCCAAGATATCTGACGCCCTCGAAACACAGAGGTTCCCTGCTCGTTCTACAATCATCCGGGAGGGTGACATTGGCCAGTCCTTTTACCTGCTCGAAGATGGCAAGTGTGAGGCGTACAAGGAAGGTCAGTCGGAACCTGTTAAGCACTATAAGAAGGGCGACTTCTTCGGCGAGCTGGCGTTGCTTAACGACGCGCCACGAGCTGCAAGCGTCGTCAGTACCACAGATGTCAAGGTGGCCACGCTCGGCAAGAGTGCTTTTGCTCGCCTTCTCGGACCCGTTGAGAGCATCATGAGGAGGACTCGATATGTCGGTGTCAAGTCGGGAGTCGAGGATGTGGATCCCCTTCATTTCTTGCAAAGGGAGCTACATGCCTGATTTTATGAGGGACCGGCCGTCAAGCTGAGGAGCTAAAATGACATGGAAGGCAGGAACAGAGCACTATTGTGGTATGGCGGAAGAAAGGACCATTGACTGAATTGAGACGGGAAAACCATTGGTATGCGGTTGAGGAGGGGCGTTCATGGATTACCCTCGTTTTCTGGTAGTATTGTCAGGCTTGCCTAGTTAGCAGTTACCGTAGAGAAGCTCGTGCTAGCAAGCAAATATCGTTTTCATATTTCCCCTGAACGCCGCAGTATGATGTCTCTCCAAGGTGCCTTGATATTGTACTCGCCACCATTATTTTACGTGCCATGCTTTGACACCTGTTGTATCTCGACCGCAGCATCCAAGACTTTGCCTCCAGCGCGCAAGGAACAACTTCAAGAATATCCCGACCTCCTCTTCTCCAAGATCTCTCCCCTTAACTGCTGCGCCGCGACCTCCGTCTCCAACACCCGCCCCACGCCCCTCTTCCACGTCTCCTCCAACCCCTTAAGCTCCTCCCCATGCTCCTCCTGCATCCGCTTCCGCCCAATATTGACCAAATCAATATCGCGCTTCGCGTCAGCAAGCTCCTTTTCGAGCATCTGTAGCTCCATCTCCGTCTGCCAGTTGCCTACGAGCCAGGCATTCTTGCCGAAGCTGTCCAGCAGGCTCAGGTGAGTGTATCGCGAGCGCAGGTACGTGTTTTGGGTGTAGGCTTTTGCGAGGAGGGATTGGAGCTCGGGAAGGGAGGGTGATGATGATGAGGAAGAAGAGGAGGGGAGTTCGAGGGTCTCGTAGCGGTGTAGGTCGATGGCTTTTAGGGGTTCGCCTGTGGCGGCGCGGGTGAGTTCTTGGGTTAGCAGGGGAGTGAAGGCTGGTGTGTAGGCGGCGGGAAGAGAAGGATGGGGCACGGCTGGTTCTGAGGAGGTGGTAGAGGATAGGTCAGCGTCGATGAGAGATTGCGCTGCGGCGCGCTGAGCGGGTGTGGGTTCGCGGTCGATGTCTAAGGGTTTAAGGTGGTTAGTTCGCGTCCGGGGGACCGTGGGGGAGAACCTACATGGGAGGGATTCGTGGACTGTTGTTTTAACCGACATCTTGTTTTGATTATTGAGGTGTAGGCGGTGTGACTATGGAACTACTTGAACAAATTGATGGGTACATGGGCGGTCAATCGGTTGGGGTAAACTGATGCTATTCGTCTTCCGATGGAGCTGCCAGTCGCGATGCTGAACTGGCGATTTTCCGTTATCGCGATAACAACGGGCGGCAGCCACTCGGTACTTAGCAAGGAGGGTCTCCGGGCGAGCCGGGGGCAGCTCTTACCGGCTGTCTATGACGCACCTGCAACCAGACCGGTTGGTTCGGCTAGAAGCATACTGGGCTTATGTGATTCTTCACAGCTACGTTCAAAGGCGGCAAGTTCGAAGAAAGAAAATGATTATTGATTTGAGCATTTGCAAAACCTTCAAATGTTTTCTGTGTTGACCAACTCCCAGTATGATACTGCATAGCAACCTTGAAGCGACGAATGCACAGCATGCAGCCCACCAAGATCACCGTTGATGATGCTAGACCCCCCGGCCACAGGAGCACCAGAGCTTCATTCATCCGCAAAACCATAAGCCTCCTCCCATTTGTTCTCTTAGCAGCAATCTTTGTTACGTTTACATGGCCTTCCAGCAAACAATATGTCTGGGGCCCTTTGGGTTCCGAAGAAACCCAGGCAGATCTGCCGGCGGCGGAAGGCGATGAGTATCTGCTGGGCGTGGGCAAAGGCGACATTACGGGCCCCTGTGTGGAAATCAACTTGATGGGATACGCAGATCCAAAACAGATTGGCACTGGACTTCGGCAGCGCCTCTACTCGCGGGCCTTCATCATTGGTGACCCCGAGCGCCCCTCGGACAGGTTTGTTTATCTAGTCCTTGACACCCAGTCTGGGGATACTGCCGTGCGGTATGGCATTCTCAAAGGGCTGAAGGAACTCGGTCCCGAATATGCTTACTATGGCCATCACAACCTGGCTGTAACGGGGACTCACTCGCACTCCGGGCCTGGCGCCTGGCTCAACTACCTACTTCCCCAGATTACGAGTAAGGGATTCAACCAGCAGAGCTACAGAGCCATCGTAGACGGTGCTGTGCTGTCAATACAGCAAGCTCATGAGAAGATGGTGCTGGGTCATCTGAGTGTTGGCACGACCAAAGTCTTTGGTGCCAACATCAACCGGAGCTTGTACGCTTATCTCGCAAATCCGGAAGCCGAACGCGCGAGATACAACACGACCACGGAGGATGATGGGTCCGTAGAGAAGGACTTGACTTTGCTCAAGTTCCAGCGTGCTTCGGACAAGAAGAACATTGGCGTACTGACTTGGTTCCCAACACACGGCACTTCGGTTCTAGGCAACAATACCTTGATCTCAGGGGACAACAAAGGGGTAGCTGCCAAGCTGTTTGAGGACAGCGTTGTGGGTGACAAATCTGCGGCCGAAGGATTTGTAGCCGGTTTTTCGCAGGCTAGTGTTGGAGACACTAGCCCCAACGTGCTCGGGGCTTGGTGTGAAGATGGCTCGGGGCAGATGTGCAACTTCGAAAACAGCACTTGCAGTGATGGAAAGGTCCAGCATTGTCATGCTCGAGGACCCCTTTTCACGGCAGATGACACGGGGACTTCATCCTGCTACGAAATCGGAAAGCGACAATTCGAACCTGCTAGGAAGTTGTACGATGGGCTGGATTTGTCTCCTGCTCCTGTCCAGGGCCGTTGGGTCAAATCATTCCACAACTTCCACAACATGTCGAGCTACCAGTTCGTACTGCCAAACGGTACACAAGTGAGGACATGTCCCGCTGCCCTGGGGTATTCTTTCGCGGCTGGAACCTCGGACGGGCCCGGCGTCTTCGATTTCACTCAACATGATGGTGGTCCTGGGACCACATCTCCTGTTTGGCAAGTTGTCTCCGGACTTCTCAAAGCGCCTTCGGAGGAACAGAAAGCCTGCCATTCACCCAAGCCGATTCTGCTTGACGTGGGGGAAATGACGAGTCCGTATATGTGGACTCCGAATGTTGTGGACATGCAAGTCTTCCGCGTCGGTCAGTTTGTTATCATTGTGAGCCCGGGTGAGGCGACCACCATGGCTGGACGCCGTTGGAAGAATGCTGTCGCTGGCGAGATAAACGCTCTATTGTCGAAGAACGACGAGCTGTCGCCGGTGGTTGTCCTTGGAGGACCAGCGAATAGCTATACGCATTACATTACTACTGAGGAAGAATATGGGTACGTCTCCATTTCCAACCTCTTCCCGCCAAGCAGACCATTGCCTATTTCATAGCAAACGGCTCTATGCGTTTGATGCTGACAACGAAATAGCATCCAACGATACGAAGGCGCTAGCACATTGTACGGGCCACACACCCTGGCAGCCTACATCAACGTGACTCTATCCCTAATCCCGTATTTAAGCGCATCATCAAACAAACAACCTCCCATGGGCCCTCAACCACCAGATAACAGCAATCGGAGCCTAAGCTTCGTTCCAGGCGTAGTACACGACAAGCCCCCAATATTCAAAGCCTTCGGCGACGTCATCACCGACGTACGGGAAACCTACCGCCGCGGCACCTCCGCCACCGTCGTCTTTGTCGGCGCGAATCCCCGAAACAGTTTAAGACTAGAGCGCAGCTACGCCATGGTAGAAAAGTTGATAGAAACGCCTGCAGATTTACTACTCCGACACAAGACTACTCGGGTCACAGCAGATGGCGCAGATAAGCGACAGTGGATCGTTGTGCGCGATGACAGCGATTGGCACCTCGTGTTCCGTTGGCGTCGGACAAGCGAGTTGCTCGCTACGAGTGAGGTCGAGATTACGTGGGAGACGGAGGAGTGGACAGAGCCGGGAATATACCGGCTTAAATACTATGGGAATGCGAAGAGCTTGAGTGGAGAGATTACTGAGTTTGAGGGTATCAGTCGGGATTTTACGCTCATTTGATTGCATGAAGATATGGATTCGTCAATGGGTACAGCAGGACAGGACGCGAAGTTTCTATATTAGGGTCATCGTTTTAGTATACCAGGGAGAATGGCTTGGGCAATTTGGATATCAAAATGCGGAACACAGGATCAAGGCGTCACGGTTTCTATGCGTGAAGCCTGAATCTTTGGGGGTGAAAGGGGCAACAGCCAGCTGGATGGGGATTCACGAATGGATTTTAGATCGCATTGGCCCAGATAGCAGATATGAGTGAAGATGATGATCAAGCATTCATTGACAAGATGTATGAAACTCCAAGCGACCGAGTACATGCAGCCGCGCAGCAGATCCGTCCTTATAGTATTTCCATTCCGTTCCCTGCCAGTCTCGACGCCTATATGAAGAAGCGAAACTCCATATTTGCAAATGCTCGTGCTTTCAGTTGTTGCTAAGGCCGTCCCGTTTGTTCCTTCCATATATCCCTGCTTATGCCACCACAGTTTCGACGGCCAGATTACCGCCTAAGAGCCCGAAGAAAACGATACCAATATGTTCCCAGTGAAAACACGGTACTATGACCGTTGTGGGTATCAAAAACTTTGCAAAAGATAAGAATAAAAATAATGCCATGCCACTGCGAATGCTTGAACAGCGATAGATTTGACCAATCGGTCCTGATGTCCGTCAGCTCAGATGGCGCCGAGCCAACGTCGGCATTAGTAAGCGCAAAGTCAACCCAACCATCCGGGCTGGGACAACGCTGTTTCAGTCTTGTGTATTGACTCTGTTGAAGTAGGTTCGACTGATATCTCAAGGCAGAGCCAGCAAAGCGAAGTGCCCACCAACAACTGGGCGTGCGGTAAAACTCAGTCCGGAGGGATAATCCCCCGTGACGGCGTCATACAGATCGGTAAACGCCTTGTTCGTCGGTGTGACATTGATCCAGTTGGCCACAAGCTTGATGATTTTGTCCCTAGTATCGGTCGATGCAATGGCAGCGCAGAACAACATCCAGTCCGTCTTGGTCCACGTGTGCCGCGTGTCAAGCGGAATGCCATACTCATCTGCTACGGTCGGGTAGAAGGCACTTTGAATATCGTAGACGGATTGCGGGACGAAGTCGCCGAAGTTGAGAAGGCTGTTGGAGTATAGGTTGTACAGGAGACCGTGCGAGGCGCCATCGCCGTATGAGAGTGTTGTGTGAGGTGGGTTGGCGGCGCTGTTGATGCCCAGGTTTTGCCATTGGCTAACGTAGGATGTTGCCGTATCTCCATATGTCTTTTCATCGCCCGAGTTTCCGGTCAGTTTAGCGATCTCCGACATGGCTCGCAGGCCGATGATCCCCTTAAGAGCCAGATTGGTTTGGTTGGACAGAGGGCCAGCAAAGTCGTCTGTAGAGATCTGGTTCGCTGGGATGAGTGCCTCGTCGACAAGATAGCCAGCCCATTGCTTCAGGATCGGGTAGTGTTTGTTCAAATACTCCGTGTCAGCAGCCCGCTGTGCATAAGCAAGAGCCATAATAATCATGTTACCACACTCTTCCAATGGTTGCGGTTCGTCTGATCCATCTGGGTAGCCCTTAGCTACCGGAAATGTGCCGAGATCATGAATGGCATTAGTATTAGGATAATGACCATTCTCTTGATTTAGGAACAGTGGATCCAACAAGTAGGCTAGGACTTTAGGATTGGTGTAAAGGATCAGTGGCATGGCCGGGAAGATGACGTCGACCGTTTGGATGTCACTGTTGCTGCTGATCTCCTTGAGAAAGACCAAAGGCGCCGAGTCTGTGCCGGTAAACTGCAGAGCACCAAATGTCTGTCTGACACTAAGAGTGGTGATGACCAGGTAGTCCTGACCCGCAGCAGCCAAGGAGTCCGAAGCAATTTTGTTGTCAAGCGCAGTAGCAAGACCAAAGGCATCGCCATAGTCATTGTAGAAGAAGGTGACCTACATTCATTAGAAAAGCCTTCATTGATCAGGGTGCTGCTCACTTACGGCGTCAATGTCGTTTGAAAAGTAGCTCTTCCAAAGAGACGGAACAGTTGTCAGACCACTACCCTCTCCGAGGAACGAAATGGCATTATCCTGCGTCAAACCAAGCGAGAATACTGTCGAAACCGCATTGCTTCCGACGGGCCCGAGGCCATTGCAGAACGCAAAGACTGGCCTAGTAGACTGTTAGTCGACGATTGGAGCGACACTAAAAGCATTTAAACCGACCAGTTGTCATTTACGGCGCGGAAATTAGTGTCCTTCGTATTCGAAAGCTTTCCGTTTGAGACGAAGAGGTTTCTCAGATCATTATCCGCTCCGCTTTGGTATGTGAGCTAAATGTGATTTGATCAGCCTCGTTGCCCACCAGACAAGTGAAGCGTTAACGCATATCCATCTCAAGATCAGATCTGGAGTTGACTTACAGCCGGATAATTGTTAGAGGTAGACCAATACCAAGTACCCCAACTTGCTTGCTGGTTGATCTCTGTCAACTCGGCCTGATCTTGCCGAGCAAAGCTGTGGTACGCTACTCCGTCGGCAGTACCGTAGTCCCATTGTATGACAGCAGCAGTATCACCGGATGCCCATTCTAGGTAAAACATTTAAGCAATGATGTTCCCGCTTCGCACAAGGCTTGGAACTTACCGCCAGACACATCAGCGTACACTTCGACGTCGTGAGTGCTACCGTCTATCGACTGAACTGCAACATCCAGGTAAGAAAAGGTCAAAGATTGCCTCTTCAGATCGTCAGGCGTGACGGGTGACATGAAAGTGATGTTCATGGAAATTTTCCCAGCAACATTCATGATAAACGTGCTTCTAGTCGAAGTATAGGAGAACTCTGTTTGGTCCACAACTTGTGGCTGAACTTCAGGAGCTCCCATCCACGTGTAAGCGGTACCATCTACCCTCACGAGTCCTACCCACCCCGTGATTTGCTGGCTGTGGCAATGTCAGCTCGGCTCCCAAGGAGCCCGCGGATGAGAAAATACATACTTCCAGAATCTCGCCCATGAGTTTTCACCCGCAAGGTATCCACCGTTGCCACCGTCACTGCCAACATTCAACCACGAGTTGAGGTATGGCGCTCGGACAGCAAGAGGAATAGACGGTGGCCTCGCCGGCGAGAAGGTTGAAGCCGCGTTTGCTAGTCCTTCGGCTAGGAGCCCTAGAGCCGCAAATTCTAACCTCATGCTGATCAAGCGGGGGCTAACGTGGATTAAACTGGTAAATCGGCTAACGAAGGCTCGGTATACAAGAAATGTTTGACAGGAGAGGGGATGATGATGGTGACAACTCAAACTCACAGTCGAGAACCCGGAAACTCCGCAAACGGTTGGGCAAGAGCAGGCTATATGAACAAAATTCAGCTTAGGAATAAGAAAATGGACCTTAGGCCCACGTATAAAGGGAGACTTGTGGTGGGATCAGATGTGTTGTCAAATGGGGAAGGGTTGGCAGCACGAACACCCCAGAGACCAGGGATGGAGTGTATACCAGGTCAGCACCGTAAAACGCTTGGAGGAAAGTAATCATGAGACATCTTATTCCACCTGTGACGGCCCTATTAATCAAGCCGACATATGGGCTTGGCCGACCTCACACAGGACGAACTGGCGAGGACTCCCGAGCAAGCGTGTTCATGCGAGTGTGCTGTGGGTGCCTTGCCCAGGGAGTAGAGCCGAGGACAGCTCTACGACGACATATCTTGACAAGGAGATCGGGTGGGTCACAATCCGATGATCTTGGCACGGCTTCGAGAACGTGGGAGACTTGCCCACACGAGAGCTAGGGAGTTCACTAAACTCGGATAGGCTGCGTCAAGGATCATTGATGAGGAAATTACCTGGTAGCGATACCTGGAGAGGGCTGGGCGACTCTGGAGCCGCAGCAGACCACCTGCTTCTGAGCGGTCAGGAAAAGGTTGAATAAGCGTTGTAATATTTCTGCGCTGCGAGTTGCACTCAGGGACAAGCTGTCCATAAGCGGCAAGAGATCTACTAGTCATGGGAGATAGTTCGGGGCATAAAGGCGCTCAATGGTGAGCACGATTGACTAATGAAATTGAGATGGCAGATTTGGTGTTCACGTATTGCCGTTCTGAATACGTGATTTGGGGGTTGACGAAGGAGTGCTGACATCAAACTTGAATGATAATAACGGTTCGAACGGATGGGGCGGCCATGCAACAAGCTGGGCACGGGCTGCGGTTGAAGCTTGTGGAAGAATCCGATGTCGACAAGAAGAACTTGTCCTATGTTATGCAATGTCGTTGGTGACCCTTGGCGAACTTTGGACAGGACAGGAGCTTTGAGGAATACGAGGGCTTCTGAGGGGCAGGAGCTCCCCAACCCCTGCAAAGACTTGAGCTTCCTTCATGCTTGTCGGCAGTGCTCGGCAATTTCTCCATTGTGGTTTTCTTTCATGGAGTATGGAACTTGAAAAGGAAATGCTCCTTCCATGTTGATGAACATAATGTCATGGCTAGTGCCTGGAACGCGCCGAGGCATTGTCATCCCATGAATGGCTGGGAGACCAAGCCAATATGCATCTCGGCAACACGACGCCGAAGAGTGCATTTAGGCCGCGAAAAAGTATAGCACGTCAGGGAGGTACGTGGTATGGAAGCTTGACAAAGCAAGGAAGCTTCCGTCAAAACCAGACGACGGACCAATGCACCGGCAACATTGGACTAGCCCAGCATGCCAAAGGTTGGTAGCAATAGCCCCGCCACTATGCAGGTCCGTAAGAGCCACAGAGCTACGAGAACGCAAGCCTCGATCGTTGAATGGCCCTGGGCGGGTTGGTACCTAGGTGCCCTGCAATTTAAGCAACTGTATCTCCGTTTCAGCATATGCTCTGCGTGCCATCGCATGACATTCCACTCGCCATGCCCTTCTTCACTGAGGGAATAATTCCACCAGCTCGAATATCTCGGAGCCCAAATGGTACACATTGCAGCTCGCCACAAACCACACGACAAAACTTTGCAAGCACACAATGCGTTTGCTGCAGCCGGCTCACGTGGACATGCCCCCTCCAAAGGAGTAGGGCCGCCGTGAGCACCTTGGCGCTCTCTTCGCTGTCAACACGCTGTGGTAGGAACTGGGGAACCCCAGCAACCTCCAATACCGATCGACGGCGAAGCCGTGCCTCATTCGCCCCAACTATTCCTGCGTCCAGCAAATCTCACCCAACCACCGCCTTATTCAGTTACACGCGACCACATTTCGAGTGCAGGTTGTGGGCAAACCATCACTTGACTTAGTACCAGAAGACCACGCATTCGTAGTGTGCAGTTCTACCAATAATTTGCACATCTGACCCCCGTCATAGCTCGACTGCTGACCCCGTCTTGAGTGCTAACGATGTACAGCAAAATTGAGAACGCTTGGCGGACTGAGTCGTTATACTATCATAAAACTGGGTAGTCTCCGATATCTTGTTTTTTGTGAAGGTCAACCCTCGCAGACTCACTACAACCAGGTGACTTACAGCTGGAACACCTGCCGTGGCAGTGTCAGATGGGAAGCCAATCATAACCCTTGTAGGAGCCCCGCCAAGCGTGGATGACTTAGTCGCGCTCCCTCAAACCTAAGTTGTCATCTTCTTTCCTTCGCTCCTTAGAGTAGAATCTTGGTCGATAGCACCTAATCGAGGTCTATACCAATGCGATGCAACCCAGGTCGTGACATTTTTTAAGCTAGCAGGGAGTTCGAAAAAACTAGAAGGGGGGTCGAAAGTTAGACCCTTATAAAATAGCAAGATACTAATAATAGATGTATTAATTAGACGAAAGTATATTTTAAAACTTTAAGCTTATATTATTGTGCTAGTTGTGGAGCTAGAATATATAAAAGTTAGTTCAGTATTATAGACGCGGTTACTATGAATATAAGTGGTTTTTAATACGTATATATATATATGTATCAAAGTATATATTTTTCCTTGAGTATAAATAACGTCAAATAGTAATTTAAGTTTACGATATAATCATATTAAGACTTAATGTAATGGGGATACCACACGTCTCACCTCGAGATATTCTCTTTGACTGGGTGGTTGCGGAGTTCTACCGGATCGGGGGTGAAACCCTCCCGACTCAGCTTGTCAGCTGAGACCGGCCCGCCACGACGGCTCTTCCTTACACTTAAGCACTTTATAATTATATTTTATTACTTGATTTGCCCTTTAAATTCTCTTTATATTATATAATTGTGATTTAATATTGGAATCATGTTAATTGTAATGCTATTTACTCTTTAATCTATTTCGACGTGGATGAGTGAGGAAAAGGAGGTCCCGGCTGCCCTCCTCGGCCACTGGAGGAAGAGATGGCTCACCGGAGCAGAGCATCACGATCGCCAGCGACGCGCTATCGCTGAGGAACCGGAGGGCCCTTCGATGCAGATACCGAAAGGGGGAAAGTATTTCGGCCTGAACCGACTGGAGGCGTCTACGCTGTGCCAGATCAGGACGGAAAAAATAGGACTAGCAGCCTTCTTATTCAAGACAGGGGCTTTTGGCGTGTACTCGCCGCTATGCCGCTGTGGCGACGCCCCTGAGACGGCAGAGCACGTAATCCTCTTTTGCGGGCTGTTGGAAGGACTGAGGGAACGATTACGGGCCGCTATCGCACCACGGCCACTATACTCTCGCAGAGACCTCGCAACGGCAACAGGAGAACCAGTAGTTAGTGGGACTATTGTAAGGTGGCTGCTAGGGACGGGTCGGACAGCTTCAAGGCCCAGATAGCATCGATCTTCTCAGGGGTGACTTTGTTGGTAGGTTGAGAACCAACGTAGTATGGTAGTGAACGCAACGCAGTCGCCAATAGGGCGAACCGACGACGCAGCGTATGTATTTAGTCCAGCCATTAGGGCACGGTTTGACATACGGGAGTACTGGTAGAGGTACCGGGGGCTTCGAGCCTACGACGTATTTAATAATAATAATAATAATCTTTAATCTAGTTAAGAATTATTTCGACAGGTACTTGATACAAGTATATATAACTAAAGCGAAAAGCATGTATATCAGAAACGTTTAGTAACTATTTTTAGACTGCCTCTTAAGTAGGGTTTTTATTATTGTTATATATTGGTGTTATTCTTACTTGGATTAGACGTGAGCAGATTTAACGAGCTAGTTAGGCAGCTGGTTTATTGTAAGAAAAACGGTTATATAAGGATAATTCGGATCTAGCATGTGTGAAGGTCAACCCTCGCAGACTCACTACAACCAGGTGACTTACAGCTGGAACACCTGCCATGGCAGTGCCAGATGGGAAGCCAATCATAACCCTTGTAGGAGCCCCGCCAAGCGTGGACGACTTAGTCGCGCTCCCTCAAACCTAAGTTGTCATCTTCTTTCCTTCGCTCCTCAGAGTAGAATCTTCGTCGATAGCACCTAATCGAGGTCTCTACCAATGCGATGCAACCCAGGTCGTGACAGCATGTACGTTCTCGGGATACTCCTACCTATTTTCTATATAACAAGCGCCATCATTATTTAGGTTAGAGTTTAGAATAATATATTTATTGAAGGTGTTTCTCAAGTTATTTATGTATCTATAAGTATCATTTATATTTCTAGAAACGGTATATAACCTACTATAGAACTAATATATATATACAATGCGATAGTAATATATTAATAAAGAACCTTGAGTATCTACTACTACTTAGTCTAGTATAATATAAGGGATTAAAACCCTTAATCCTTCTATTGACTTCGACTAAGCTATGGACTTAGACCCCACTACGAATTATTTCGACGCCCTGGTTAACTAGGCCTCTAAGTCTCCCGGAGAGGCTTCGATATCAAGGAAAAAAGGAAAAAGTACCCATAAATATCCCCGGATTTACGAGACAACGGACCGTTAGAAGCCTCCACGCCCCTTCCGCATAACGGCCCGTCGAGGAACCTTCGTCGCGACCAGCCCTTCAGCATGACTCGGAGACCGCAGTAGTTCCAGTCAATACTGCAATCTGAAAGAATATCTGACCAAGCTCGTCCAAGTGCTCGGTCTATCTGTGGTCTACCTACCGCTGCATGGCACTGGCATAAGCGTCACATACTCTCGTACGATTGTCAGCCCGGTTCGAAGTACCACTTGCCCCACGGTATGCGCGCAACGAGATGAACGTGGAGTATCGTGACCACAACCCTGGTCCCAATACGCCCACATCAAGCGCTGCCGTAAGAGAGTGGTGTAAGTAGATATACAATCTCCGAATCCCCTGGTTGCTTCGACGACGTTCGCCCAACAGCTTTGTTGACATGTGAGTGCAGACTTCTCCCTTTAGACCGGCGTCGATAGTTGCCGCAATAGGAAGGCCAACGAGAAACAACATTTTGAGTGCATCATGAGATGCAAATGTTGCATCGCGCGTCCGGTTCGCCTAGTTCTTTTATGAGTCGTCAACATCCGAAAGCGTAGTCAACTTTACCAGCCACAACCACGCCGATTGGACAGGGCACGGGCGGGCTGACCATCGAAATGACGAAGAAGGCACTCCAACTGCCGGCTTGTCTCCCTGTCCGCACGAACTGTCCATGTCGTGATACCCCGCAGTTTCGCTAACAGGTAGGGTCTTACCGCCTCGGAGTTTTCAATATTACGTGCAGAAGGGGGGTATGAGGTCGCAGATTTGGTCAACTGTATTGGTCGCCTGGCTTTCCAGAACGCTGCGAGACCATTCGCCGCGAACCAGGGCTCACTGCCGAGGCCTGAACGAATCTGTGCAGCACTCGACCCTCCTCGACCCCCCTCCTCGACCGTTACTTTCTGCAAAATTCATGGATATCAAGTTCCGGGTTGGTGTTCTTCACATTCCGTCGCCCACAAGCATCACCAAATTCGCTTGTTTAGGGACCATTCCAGTGCTTTAGGGGTCGACGATAATGTCGAGGGACGCTCACCCTGGGGGCATCGTGTGTGTGGATACATATTGGAATATCACCTCCCCCCTCCAATGACGTCACGTTGCGCGTGACTCGGTCTTGATGTCCAATGTGGCACGAAGGTAGGTAGTCATGTGTGACCAGAACCCCGTGGCTATTTTTCCCTGCAATCGCTGGCATATCCGAATACAGTCGTTCTACTCTCCAAGACCATCCGATGTAGGCAGTTGGTTGTCGCCAAGAGCCTTACACAACCTTGTCCTGTCGTGGCATCGCTTTCAAGCGGCCTCTCGTCTGGATTATACGATATTCTGTATCCCATCGTTACTCGTGATCGGAACATGCTTGGCTTACTCTCCTCCCAGTCCTCATGTCTTTGATCTTCTCGCCTTGTAAGTCATGACCGTAGGGACGGCAGCTTCGTTGTTGATATTTCACATCTTCCGAGGAAGGAAGTGGCGTTTCCGACTTCTCCACGATATCCGTATTCTTTTTTCGTAGGTAACACAATGTCATGCTCTGGAATGTGAGACAACCTTATTAAGAGGTTATCCAGCCCAGTGAGGTAGGTAAGACAGGCCTACTATGGAGCGTAATGTTCAATAAGGAATGTCTCCTTTTCGGGATGGTATCGCGATTGTAGGAAAGTGTGACGATTTCTCATACCGTCTATTGGACTTCAGCTTGGGCGAATGCGAGAAAGCAACATGATCTGTTCCGTGAAAGTCGAAGTTCACCCTGCGCAACATATGCGTCGACTTCGTTTAAGCCACGCCAAATGCAGCCGAGTTGGTTCTTCCTGCGAGTTCCCGAAATGAAGCTTCCATACATAATGCTACGAGTATGTTGGGCAGCATATAGAAAAGCCCAAGCGCTTGATCCGAGGCTTTATATACTCAGATATTAAGCATGCCATCTCGTATCTTGCTGTTCCGGCACTCGCCAAAGCAACCTTGGCCCATGATTAACCGGAACCCATTCGTGTTCGTCTGCTCGTTATCCGATGAGCCTTGTGCACAGAGCATCAGATCTTGGTAAACATAGAATACATACTATATTTATGCATATGGGATCGACATCGGAAGAGTCTCCAAGTGGACCAAGCCGACATTAGTCCCTGTCCCTTCAACATCGTGTCCCTGATCCGCAGACCAGATACCGGGTTGAGTAAGGGGTCGGACAACGTGGCAAATGCAGCTTCAACCCTTTTGTGGAAATCATCTGCAAACACACTGCTATCCGGTCGGTTAAATGTACAAGGAAGTATGCTGGCCGTCGGAAACCAGGAAATGGCAGTGTTCCACAGAGATCGCAGAGGCAATTTGCAGATTGCCTTTCGGGATTAGTTGGACTTGTGCCACGGAGCCGGAAAGCTCCAGTGTCTTTGTCATGATTCATGCTGTCGTAGATAGTGGCTGTTTTGACGTTGTTGTTGGAACGGAGGATTACGAGATGAGCATGCTGTAGAGCGATGTTGCTGACTTTGCGACTTGGAAGAGGCACAGGGGCGAGGTTGTGGAGAAAACATACCAAGCCAAGTCTAACAGAAGAGCGACCTTGTAGCCTTTGCAGCAAGTGGAGTTTGTTGCTTGTGGTCAATGCCTCCTACAGACGAACATGGGCTGGTTCTAGATGCCTCTGATATATGAGCCCAGAAGAGAATCTCCGCTAAAACCCTCAACAAGCTGCTTGTAGCTAGCAATCCAATTGCAATTCTTCCTTTCGTGAAAGCAGGCAGAAGTTCCTCTTCTGTCAACTTCGCCCACGGCACACTAGTCTCCATATTGACGAGCCAGGAGTCCCTGATAACCCATGGCTGGGTATGACAGCATGGTTACTAGAGGAATAGCTGATCCATCGAGAATCCTGTTCATCTTTGGTTGTGTATTGCTGCTAGTATTTATCCCAAGTACAGTTATATTGACTTCTATATTGGAATCACAATTCTTCCCATCTGAACTTGAAATCTAACAATCAGGACAGCGGGACAACGACCAAAGCGAATAGCGTAGAACAAAACAATCATCTCTCCAATATTAGGAGTCATATACTGCTCGATTTAACCCGTACGTCGACTTTGAGGCCATGAGCAACGATGTCAAACCGTTCGTTGAAGAGATTCAGTAAAACCTATATGCGATTGGACGCCTGGCTGACATATTTTGCCAGCAAGGGGACGGAATCTTTTTTTAGAGATTCAGCTTAGATAATATCAAGAGCTACATGAAGTGAGATGTACCTCTACGCCTAGATACGCTGATAGATAATACGCCCAGAGACCGACGAGGAACTAGGTTGCTGAGGCTGAAATACCGCAAAGCATCAGAGCCAAGAAGAAAAAGACAACTAGAAAATTCAACTGGATGAATTGAGAAACGAATCTTCTTATCTGATCAGAAAACAACCTATGATGTGGGAAGACTGGAACCGACTGCATTCGTAACCAGAGCACTGTAGGAAACCTAATGCAAATACATCAGAACTAACACAAGCTTCGGAACAGACGGATGAGATTTGAACCGGTGTCCTATTTACATGAAATAAACCACCCTTGGCTGATCCTTCTTCATCTTGCAGTCCCAGTGATTCGTGGAAGCTTGGTATAACGCCAGTTCTTGTCTCTACGTTATCCATGTTTTAAGATCTCATGATCCTTGGATTCGAGAATGTGTTTTACTAGGACACAATGAAGCTTAGGACGAAGGGGAAGTCAGAGTCCAGAAGGAAAGCACAGAGCAAGGAATCCAGGAGAAAGATAAGTGATCAACTCCAATAACCCCACGTAGAAAGTCGTAAATGGCCCAGAAACTAAAGTAGAAAACAGCATTGTAGGAATGTAGTAAGGAAGTCTTTAGGTACTTCAAAATAACAGCTCAAACTTCACGAAAAGGGACCTCATCACTTTCATAGCACAGGACCTATGGAACATATAAGGTCCATTGATACAATAGATTGTTATCAAATAAGCCACGACGCTGTTTCTGATTGTTGAGAAGTTGTATGTCCATATGCAACCAAGCGAGGCAGGTGTTAAGTCTGGGCTTGTCACACAGGCAGACACGTAGATAGAAAGAAGATGCGGCAGTGGCAGGCAGCTCGAGGCGACCTGTCTCCCCTCCTGAGGCTCGCCGGCAAGTTTGATGGGATAGTCTGCTGATATGTCAATGGGCCATAAGGAAAGTCGAGGTAGAAAAAGTATCATTGAATTGCCTCAGAGAAGCTAGGGATTGCTTAAATGCATAGTGTAATCGTATCACAAGGGCATGAAGTGATTTCATTGAAGACTACAATTACAGGGCCATGATGGAGAAGCGCCGCATGAGACGTTGTTCGTTTGTTATACAAGACACACTTCTCACCGACAAGATATATTGGTTTCGCTCAGTGGTACCCGCAGGTCATAAACATGTACAGAGACGAGGTTGGACCACGTCGAGAGCAGGAATTGAGCGCAACATTTAGACACTGGTCGTGGAGCCCGTGACATGATTGACACTGCTTATCCAGTTTGCCAGAAATAAGTAATTGATAAGTACGCGATTAACACAGTCGTCATGAGCAATAGGATGTTCGTATTGATTATGAACCAGCCACTGCCAACCCTGCGCATAAGCATCGCAGTCCGCATAAATGCAAGTCGAGTACAGACAATAATTATGACCGCTGCCACTGGCCGACAGCCTCTTCTACCATTTTCTTTATTTTGTCAAAGGCAAGTGATGACCTGAGCCAAGTCACTTGAGCATAGTCGAATGCCCCAAGGACATTTATTCCAAACATAGATACCAACGTGGGCGTAGAGCCGCCGCCTATACTACCCTCTAACTTCGGGACAGCGAGATGGGGAAATATCGACCAGAAGAGTAGTAGAATACACGATGACTGAAAAGTCTCATCCGGAAGTATCGATAGAAGCGATTTGCTTCTCGACTTCAGGAGTGGTGGCCGCAAGATGCCAAGAGAGGGTTGCGAGAGTGATGTTGTCCGCAATTTCGTGGGAGAGGTATGTTAAACACGGGGCCGCCCCTATCCTGGATTACTAGCGCTGGTACGGGTGATAGCCGCGGCTGCTGCCTCGTCCGCCGCCTCGGTAGTTGGCACCAGGCTTTCCGGCATTCTTGGGACCAGTGGGCGCATTCGGAGGCGGTGCTGCGTTCGGATCCGTCGGTCCGGGACTGTGGTTTGACCCGCCCCTGTTCCGACCAAATCCTCCACGGCCGCCTTGGTTGGGGTTCGGCTGGGGAACGTCGTCATACATGCCCTCCCACGAAGTCGGATCTCCTCCACCGCCTCCAGCCACGGCGTAGGCGCCTTGGTTGTAGTTTTGAACTCCACGTCCTCCACGCCGACCGCCACGTCCACCGCCGTACATCTGTTGTTGGTTGAAACCCTGTTGCTCTCCAGCACCAACGCCCGGGCTGCCGGCCTGTGCCATTTGGTTCTGCATTTGTTGCTGCATCTGCTGCATCATGGCGGGGTTCATGCCTGCCATGGGATTTTGGCCATTCTGGTTTCCGCCCTGAGCCATTTGGGCCATTTGCATTTGCATCATTTGCTGCATCATGGCTGGGTTCATGCCTCCCATGCCCATGCCCATTCCCATGCCTCGGTTCATGGCCACCTGCTGTTGCATCATGGCCATGTACTGCTGCATTCTTTGCATGTATTGGGCCATGACCTGCGGTGTCATGCCTCCTTGGCCCATCTGGTTGGCCATCTGGTTCTGAACGCCGTTCTGCTCTTCGACCCCGCCCTTTCTGAACTTGCCACCACCACGTCGCGAAGTCTCTTCCTCTTCGCGCATGTTGCCTCTCGGTTGGGCCTTCTTGACCTCAATAGGCTTTCCATGAATCTCCAAGTGAGTGCTCAAGCATGCGTCGACCCCGGCTTCGCTCTCGAACGTGACAAAGCCAAAGCCTCGAGGTCTGCCCGTGTCCTTGTCCATCATGAGCGTTGCATCAACAACGCGGCCGAACTGAGCGAAGTAATCCTTGAATTCAGACTCCGTCGTATCTTGGCTTACACCTCCAACGAAGATCTTACTGGTCTTCTCCTGCTCATCTCGTGGGATGGCTCGCTTGGGATCAATCTACAGCACTGGTCAGCTCTAGTCTGCTTTACCAAGGAAGTATGTAGCATACGATCTTTCCGTCCAAGAAGTGTTCCTTGACCATAACAATGTTCACAGTCTTGGGATCCTTGAAAGTCAAGAACCCGAAACCTCGAGAGCGACCAGTCGCACCGTCTCTCATGACTGTGCATTCGGTGACTTCGCCGTACTGTGAGAAGTAATCGCGCAGAGACTCTGGAGGCTGGTCAGTTGACGACTTCAAGGCGATAGATGCCATTTTTCATAAAACTTACGATCAGTCGTCTCCCAATTCAGACCGCCAATGAACATTTTCCTGTATCGAATCCATTGTCAGCCAGAGGTTCAATCGACAAACGTCCCGTGGTCAGTGCGATGCAAAAATGCAGGTTATTCTGGACAGGAAATGCAGATGGTAAAGCCTGGTTATCAATCCAGCAAACATGCTGGGCCTGAGTTCTGTGTTTTTGCCAAGAGAATGCAAGTTGCAGTGTATAAGTCGAGACCACGACACCATCACGCCTGGGGAATTTTTCGTCTATACGCGCAGGCACGCCTGAGAGGTCGTGCTTCGTGGTCGGCAGCAACAAGCATGGAGGAGTATGTTGCCAGGTTCGAGCCACTGATGTCGGATTGACAAGGTGTGAGCCCCTCTTTTTGCACCTCAAGGATTTCCATGTGAGCGTCTCGTGTCGACGGGTCAGAAACGTGGATGTAGTTTGAGATAACCCAATAATGAATTTCCGATGAGCAAGCCACAGACAGTATTTTCCCAGCAGGAAAGAGCTCATGCAGACTTGGAGGAAGGTGTGCCAGAAATGTTGTCGATTTTTGCTGTTCTCGTCTTGTGCTACCCTCAAGCTAGGTCATGGCCTCGAGCGCTATTCGCTGCTACTCTTTTGTTACAGCCAGCAAAGAGACCAATGTCCTCATCGAGCTTTATGAGCCTATCTTGACGAATGGCTATGGAAGGCAGTAGTGCGCTCTTGAACTGACTATAGTCGATGTCTGCATCGTGGCCTTCTTTCTGGTAGATTGGCGGACACTTTTCCGCATTCAACTCCTTCCTCTTCAGTCTTCGAAGTACTGTTTGGAGCATGACAGGTTGAGGCGATTTCGGTACGAATTGGTAAGCCGGCTGTTTTGGCAGTCCACCCCACAGCATTCTCTCTGGAGCCCAACTAGCCAAAAGATCTTGTAATTTCGTCTTCAGCCATCCATGACGGACCCTCAGGCCCCGAAACACGTCTTCTCCATGTGGTGCCTAGCAGCATAGTCTTGGACTGTCCTGCAACATCATGCCCAAATGCAATGATAACACCCAACTTTCCAGAGATGACCCCCTTCCATCGCAATGAATGCAAATGGGGCGCGGGGCCGATATGATTGATGGCTGCGTGCAAGTACGATACGCGGGGGGAAACTTGAAGCAAATTTACTTACCCGTCTTCTTTGGCACTAGAGCCTCGGCCACTGTGACTGTGGTATGTCGGAGTAGATACGTCTTGTTGCGAGTGGGAGTTTGCATCGTTATTCGACGCAGTATTGCCCAGGTTGAAGTTGACATCGTCATCATCCTCATAAGTATCTTCATGATACTCCTCTCCATAGCCGTTTTGCTCGGCAGCAGCATGGGCCGACTCGTCGGGGTTGTACTCGGGCACGGGGGCGGCGGGTGCATGAGGCTCAGATGACGGCTCCGGCTTCGAAGCTGCGGGTGTCGCTGCAGTGTCGTTATCATCGTAGCTAGCTAGAGTCAGTACCAAAAGAACCCGCAGAAGGTGACGACCAAGGCAGTCGCGTGGGCCAGGGAAGGCGCGACAGGCGGCAGGGTGCCATCGAAGGACTCACAGGTCGGCGAAGAGATCCTCCTCGAAATTCTCAGGTTCTGCCATCATGAGGGAGATGCTGAGGAAGCTAGACCGCGGCAGCAATCGTGAGTCGAACCCAGGCGACAGTACTGGGAAAGTTTGCTCAGTAGAGCTGCAGATGTCCCTACAGTCCAAGAAGTGTCTCAACCTTCACCAATGGCAGGAAAATATGTAAAGTACAACGATCAGGAAATAGACAGTAGAATAGAAAGGGGAATGATGCGATCGCTGATGACTTCCTAAGAGGAGGGGAGCGGTTATGAAGATGTTGATAGAAGAAATGGCAATTGAGGTAACTAGCGCCGGCCGGCATGAGCGAGCCAGAGCAAGCAGAGAAAGCAGGTGCATGGGCCACACGCAAGTTCAAGTCGGCAGCCGGTGCTTGGGTTATCCGCCAAAACCGGTTCCTGGCCTATGAACGGCTGCAGTTGGGCTGTCGTCCCACAATGCTGTGCTCAAAGACACAAGTGAGGGACTTGGATTGACTCAGGCAACCTCAAAAATGTGGAGTAGGACCTGAAATGTCGCCTTCTTTTGTAGGTTATCAGGTAAGGTAAGCTCTTGATATTGCGGCCAAGTCTGAACTCTGTGAACCAGTTCTAGGAAGAACGAATATGAAGTTGCAGGAACAAGTGTTTGTTTGCCGTTGGCCAATTCTGATGGTGAATTGAAGTTAGATCAAAATGAGGCTTGGCCTGGTTGTGTGGCTTGGAACCTTCCGGCCTCAAACTGGTTGGTTGCTTTCCAAGTCAATGCAGCTTTGCGGTTTTGGTCGCGGACTCAGCCGAAACAGTGGAGCCAAAGTAGCATGCTACAACCAGCCCATGTCTTGACTTGCGACTCCAGGGAGTTCTTGCAGTCGAGACTGTTCACAACTCTAGCCATGTAATCGCAGAGATATCGCCATAACACAGCCGTCACCATGTTCACATCTTCGGGCAGCGGCAAGAAGCCGCCCCAACAGGTAAGTCTTTAGCCTGTTTACACTGTATCCTCCCTAAACCGTCTGGAAGACCTCCCTCTGACCGTTGATGATGACGTAGGAAATGGTCCAAGTCGGTATGTCCTCTTGAATCCCGCCCCAAGAAACGTGTTGCAATATGACGTGAAGGCCACGGTGGAAGCAATTGCTGATATTTGTCCCTCTTTGCTTGTAGACAGATCCGAGTACGCAAGTCCTTTGTTCGTAACACATGGCAACGATGGAGGGGCGGCTAAGACTGAGTACAGGTCAACTTCGCCATTCTGGAGGGTTCAAAGAGAAAGTATACCGAAGCGGACTGCTCGAGATCCGAACCTGGTCGTGGGCGCAGCCTATTCGCACGCTGACATGCTCAAATTCGATTCCTTGTACGTCCCTCCACCTATTCAAATCGGCCTGCGAATAACGACCGAGACTGACGCCATGAGCAGAAGCATGTCTAGTGCGTCCTCACGACCCAAGACGCCTCCATCTTCTGCATTCCAGAAGGCCCGAACCAGCGATGTCAGTCCCCCACCACCGAAGCCCTCAGGCCTGTCCTCGCCTCCCCTGAAATCGTACATCAGCTTCCTCTCGAATACAAACCAGGACTGGACCGCGGATGATCCGGAGGGAGAAGATGAATACGGCTATGAAGATGATGATGGAGACGACTTTGGACTACCGAGTCTGGCAAATATGAAGCGGCGATCAAGGCGAATAGCAGCGGCTCAGGGAGCAAGCCAGTCGCAGGGGAATCTGTCCGCTCTCGAGACCACGTTTGGTTTCCCGTCCCGTCGTTATTCGGATAGTGCCGACATAGCGATCGAGCGACCCACCCCGACATACCCGATGCCTAGGAAGAGTGAAGGAAAGATTCTCAGGCCCCAGTACAAAGACATACTGAGAGGTGTTTCACTTTCATCCTTGGTTATTGTCTTTTTGTTGTTAACACGTAATCAGATCCGGCCAATGCTCTGCACTTGATCAACCACCCAGCCACCACGACGATTGCGACACCTAAGGAGATTGAAGCGGCCAACTCGCGGGTGACGAGGATCAATAAGTTCAAGAAGATACTCCAAGCTACGACGATTCCGCTGCCAGATTTGAGGCAGTTGGCATGGAGTGGAGTCCCAGAGGAAGTTCGGGCCATGACTTGGCAATTGCTGCTGAGCTATCTTCCTACAAGCAGCGAAAGACGAGTGACAACCCTGGAACGGAAACGCAAAGAGTATCTCGACGGGGTCAAGCAAGCGTTTGAGCGCGGCGGCAGCACCCCCGCCGCAAGTGGACGGGCAAGAGGACTGGATGAAGCAATATGGCACCAAATAAGCATCGATGTGCCACGGACGAACCCTCACATTGAACTGTACGGATACGAGGCGACGCAGCGGTCCCTAGAGCGAATACTATATCTTTGGGCAATTCGACATCCCGCAAGCGGCTACGTTCAGGGGATTAACGACCTCGTAACGCCGTTTTGGGAAGTCTTCTTAGGGACTTATATCACCGACTGTAATATCGAAAGTGGCATGGATCCGGGGCAGCTACCCAAGGCTGTTCTAGATGCCGTGGAAGCCGACTCTTTCTGGTGTTTGACGAAACTGCTCGATGGAATCCAGGATCATTACATCGTGGCCCAACCGGGCATACAGCGACAAGTTGCGGCATTGCGAGACCTTACCGCAAGGATTGATGGGGACCTCGCCAAACACCTCGAAAATGAACAGGTTGAATTCATTCAATTCAGCTTCCGCTGGATGAACTGCCTTCTCATGAGAGAAATCAGTGTCCGGAATACCATACGAATGTGGGATACTTATTTGGTTGGACCCCCTGCATCCACAATGTTGCTGCGTTGCTAACGATGCGATAGGCCGAGGAACAAGGTTTCTCTGAGTTCCATTTGTACGTGTGTGCCGCGTTCCTGGTCAAATGGTCGCCAAAGCTCCTGAAAATGGACTTTCAGGAGATCATGATGTTCCTTCAGGCGCTGCCAACTCGGGAGTGGACTGAAAAAGACATTGAGCTTCTGCTCAGTGAGGCATTCATATGGCAAAGCCTCTTCAAAAACTCGTCAGCCCACCTGAGAGGCGGATCAAGCCGGGTACCACCTGCAAACATGCAACTTTAGATAGCCCAATAAGACGCCAATAGGCACAGATGCCGTCAACACTCACCAGATGAGCGTTCATTGCGAGACTTACAGCGGGCTCATGTCGGAGGTCCAGGCGAGGTGGGCATTGTACATACGTTGAAAAAGAAGTCGCTTAACGTACCCCACAAGCAAGTTGGCCACTTTTTCTTGGCGCCGTATGAATAACTTCAATAACTTAACTAAACTAAAAAATAATAATTCAAACCAATCGGAATCCTCTTCCTCGTACGTATCTTTATCATTCTCACAAGCACGAGCATTATGTCCGGGCTCTCCGCAGACCCTACAGCGCCGTCGGCGTGGTTCGGCCGGTCTCGTACGACGACGACTTACACGTATATCATCCTGTAGCTGCTGTTCAATATCCCGTTGAGACTGTAACTCCTGAGCGTCTCGTAAACTAAGAGATCCTCCATCTTGTAGCTGTCGATTTTTAGTCCTTCGACGACGGCTTAGCTCTTGATTGGCCTTCCGAAGTGTAGTAACCTCATCCTCAAGTAAAACTAACCGATGCATAACAGCCGTCGCACCACGTGAAAATTGGTCAATAGCCGTAAGTATTGTCGTCGGGGAGCTATTCTGATACTGTACGATTCTGTTTTTAACGTATTCAGACTGGGATTGCGCCTCGGTTGGGTTATTTGGAGTCTTTGATTCCCAGATTAAGGGGGCGCCAGACGAGCTCCCAGGAGGTGTAGGCGTATGTAGCTTAATATCCAGCTGTGAAATCACATATTCCGGGTCGTACGGAATAAGTCCTGTCCCCCTGAAACCTGCCTGGATATTCGACTTAGTTATAGTCGTACGATACGCCCTATAGAATGCCGAAAAGAAATCCTCCTTCGAGATATGGGTTATATGCGCCCGTATTAGGTCTTCAATTTCTTTGCCGTACGACCTTTTCAAAGCCCTAAAACAGCCTACATCGAGAGACTGGAGCTTATGTGACAAATGAGCAGGCATACTAAGTGTAATAATATTATGCTCTTTGCAATATAGCTCGAAGTCAGTCGAGTGGTGGCTCTCATGCCCGTCGAGGATAAGAAGACGATAAACACCCTTCGTACGATCCTTCGTATAGCGATCAAAAGTGCTGAATCCAGTCTACGCCTCGCTCATTTGTTGTCCAACCGTTTTTGGTTACAGCGATTACCCAATCGGACGGGAATGGGCTATTCTCGTACCAGGATAAGAGGTGGTTTTGACCCGCGACAATAATATACGGCGGGATAGCCCAGCCGGACGAATTAATACCCTGGATTACTGTAGCCCATTCTCGATTGCCTTGTTGGACTGTACGAGGCCTTCCGCGTCGTTCGGCACTTGTAACTACCATCTCGGATGAGATTAAGCCCATCGCGAACCCTGTCTCGTCGAAGTTATAGATATCCGCCTCTTGGATACCATATTTCGCAATTGTATTTCGTACGAGCGTAAACCACGCGCGATACGCGTCAGGATCTTCGCAATAGGCTCGTTGGTAGTCGATTCTTCGATTAAAACGCGTCCGAAGGTCTGGTTGTCGTCGTACGAAGTTCGAGGCCCAGTTGGCGCCGACGCGTCCAGCGCCACGGTCACGGAGCAGTCGGTTAGCCATAGCTTCAACACCATGGAGCCGGGGAGGAAATGATCGCGAATCTAGGTCAAATATGTATTGTACGACCGCTAACTCTTCTGATTCCGCAAGCTTCTGACTAGATTGTCGAGTATCGCGTCGAGATAGTAGTCCGCGTTTTCGGTTAGCTAGAGTTGTACGAGGGACATTGTAGAGTTGGGCAGCGCGTCGGATGCTTAATTCGGGTTTCGATTAAAGCGCCTGACACGCTAGAATCATGTCGCTTTCTTTCCAATTCGATCCCATCTTGGTATGTGTAAAGATGTTAATTAAAAGGTTGTTCGTACAGTGCCAAGAAAAAGTGGCCAACTTGCTTGTGGGGTACGTTACCGGAATGGTCTATACTTATTTACCGGTCAATTCTCCTTCCTTCGACAGCCTATGGGCACCGATGGTCACAGCCAGAGGCATGTGAAGAGTATATACCTACGCCCAGCCTTGTCCCGCTTGTCGGCCGTAGCGCCGGGAGCGTGAGTCTAGGGAGAAGACGGCCGGGCCAGATCGGCAGAGCCAGAAGAGCGGCGCCCTCAGCTACTGAAATAGCCGAGCCGCTCCACAACCAAGCGGGCCGAACGATAAAAATCATATGACTCAAAATTTGTCAACAGGGCAAGTTGGCCAGATGATACGAATGAATATCACGATATAGCGCTGTTAACAAAAATGGGTTGAATGAGGCAGGTGCAGAGGGCCGTGTATCGGCGGTTAAAAGCGGCACCCGAATTCCGCCCCGGTTCCTCACTTACTTGCGGCTTACACCTCTTAGTCTTCGCCGATCAAGGACCCCAACGAAAAACGCCCGCAGTCACTGCACGCTCTTAGTGTGCTTACCGTCCGCGCGTCTGTGGAACCTGGAGTTGGATCTTCTGCAATAACCTGACCCGCTCCTCATGCGATCTCGGATTGCATCTGATAGGGCGCGGATGACACATCGCTTGAGGATTGAATTCCGGTTCTCACAGCGTTTCTCATGGCAGCAACACCCTTACTTAACCTGGGATGGGATTATCGAAGGCCAGAAAGTCATGCATACCTGGATCTACTGGTAGAGGATTACGAGTGCTGGCTCGGCCGCTTGCAGCCGGACGAGTGACAAATATAATGCCGGGATGGGAAACTGGCGGAATCTTCGATAGTAACGGTTCAAAGCGGGGCGATATGAGTTTTGCTTGTCCGCGTGATGGATGGCAATGAGACGGCAGAGGCTATCAGGAAGTGTATCCGCTGAGGCCAAGATGAGATGGTTTCAATTACACTATGTCAACACGTCTGGCGCCCTTCCTTTGACTACGTATTCGGGTGGCGTCTCCCATTGGCCGACAAGTAACTAAATGGCCCCTTTCCGCCCAATTTATACTTTCGACTTTCCAATCCAAGTCTGTTACACTTTCTTATCTTTGTTAACCAAGCTGGACCATCCCCGAGACCGCAACCTTGACATCACGGCCCGCTTTCTTTGTTACTAGGAACGCCAACCTAGATTGTGAGAACCAGTGTCCCTCAACACTTACCTCTCAGTATCTCATCGCCAATTGAGGCTACAATGGTTCCATCTGCTGTCCCTTCAACCGGCCCCAGTGCTGGGCAGGATTTGAGCCTCACTGCTCAGGCCATCGAGCATCGCATGGAAGAAATCGGTCGCGCTAATGGAACTTCCAATGGTGACCATAAGCCTGCACCGAAGGAATTGGACGCATCCAAATTGACTTACACCTTCACCAAGTCTCCGCGAGAGGTGCCGCCGCCCGGAGTCGACAGTGTGGATGGCTCCACCATCTGCACCGATCACATGATCTCGGTCCCGTGGTCCCAGAAGAACGGCTGGTCAACGCCAGAACTGAAGCCCTACGGCCCCATCTCGCTCATGCCCACGGCCTCAGTGCTGCACTATGCAACGGAGTGCTTCGAAGGTCTCAAGGCGTACCGCGGCTTCGACGGCAAGTTGCGCATCTTCCGCCCAGATTGCAACAGCGCCCGCATGTTGCAATCGTCGGTACGCATTTCTCTGCCGTCCTTCCCGCCGGCCGAGCTCCAGAAGCTCATTCTGGCCCTCATCGCCGTCGATGGGCCGAAATGGCTGCCCCGTGAGCGACCGGGAACTTTCATGTATCTGCGCCCGACCATGATCGGCACGCAATCGCAACTCGGCGTCACGGCGCCCATGGAGGCACTCCTCTACATCATCCTCTCATTCATGCCCGTCTTGGACAGTCCCGCAGGCGGCATGAAGTTGCACACCTCGCCCGACGATATGGTGCGGGCCTGGGTCGGCGGCTTCGGGTATGCGAAGGTCGGAGCGAACTACGGTCCTTCACTCCTCGCGACGCATGAAGCCAAGTCCCGCGGCTATCAGCAGGTTATATGGCTGTACGGAAAGGAGGGTTACTGTACCGAAGCAGGCGCAAGTAACTTCTTCGTGGTTATGAAGACCAAGGAGGGAAAGACACAAATTGTCACGGCGCCGCTGGACGACAGACTGATCCTGGACGGTGTGACGAGGCGGAGCACGCTACAGCTTGTCAGAGAGCGCTGCAGGGATGAGGTCGAGGTTGTGGAGAGAAGTTATACGATTGATGAGGTGATGGAGGCGGATTCGGAGGGTCGTTTGGTGGAGGCGTTCGCTGCTGGTACTGCAGTAAGTCTTGATCCATTTATCTTAACCCCGCCTCTCAGCCCAGTATAATCCCTCGCATTGCCATTTTTATCTTCCCATACTACTCATCTGCCCCAAGATCTGAGTCTCGGGCCCGAGACGAGAGCAATCACGATATCGGGGGTGGCTTGCTCGGTGTTTCAAGATCTGCACAACTTGGAGTAGACGTATGGTCTTTGCGCCGTTTGTTAACGAAGAATGGGCGCCGTTAGTTCTTTATTTGCCCCGTGTCGCTGATCCACCACCGTGGCCGCGATGTAGCGATCCCCATGGGCAAGGCCGGCGCAGGTGGCCACTACACCCAACTGATCAAGGGCTGGCTCCGGGACATCATGTATGGCCGTGTAGAGCACCCGTGGGGTGTCGTTGTCCAGGAGCAGCAATGAGCGACGAACTTTACACTTCAACTTTTGGGGCATTCCGCCAACAAGCCGAATTGCCAGTCACAACGGCACGTGCTGCGAAGCCGGGCAGTTCCGTTTTGTGTAAGCATCATCCTCCGGTTGGCTGCCTTCCCGGGGGGCTTTTTGTGGCGTATACTCGCTTCTGCATTTTGCATGGTCCGGAGTTGGGGGTGGGGAAATAAGAACATCACAACGTCAGACGAAGACTTTTGAAACACCAACCCCAACACCAACACGCAACCTCGAACCAACCCAAATACAGAAAACTGGGCTGAGGGCTGGTTTGGATTGGAATCGTGGGAGGAACGATCAATTCCGCATTGCTAAGTGGTAGAATTACTGACGCAAGACAAGGGAAGAAATAGTGCTTACGATTTGTTTGCCAAGATATTGAGGCTGTGTTGCATATCTAGAGCAAAAAATAACTACATTATAGAGGTGCGTATAGAGCACGTATGTATATGCCTACTACTACAACGAGACACACTAGATTCTGGCCTTGCATCCAAAAATTGACACACGCTCACACGTATCTTGTATTACCTGAGATGGGGCGATGATCCCCAACTTGCCGTGCGGGCTTAGGCAACCTGACTGACTGTGTGTGTGTAAACCTCCAGGCCAGGAAAACTTAGCCTCGGACGCAACACAGAAAGAGATACCCGGGCAGCACTGCATCACTGTCCAGAATTGGTTCGATCCACGAATTTACGAACACGTCCGCATCCGGAGCGGAGGATTCTGTCATCATGATGTAAGTGGGACTAGACTGTCTTGTTGGTTGGTGTGGATGTTCAGCTAATGGGACGGTGAACTGCAGAAGATGGATGTCTTCTATAGGTGGATCTATGGCGCTTTCAGCATGTTGTTCAGATGCAACGTATTTCCCTCGTATCGAGTTAGCAATGGCCCATATAAACTTCAAGTCCTCCGCCTCAAATCGCAGTTGCTCCCGGTCTTCCCATTGGGATAGAAGATAGCTGCACTATAGTAACCATTCCACCAGTTCGAGTGTTTCGTAGAAGCTAGCGTCACCACTCATATCAACCACTTTCACCATCCACCATGCGCCGCTCCTTGACAGCCCACAGAGCCATCCGAGGCCTCAAGCGATCCCTAGTGCAATCCGCCCAACGTCGCGGATTCCTAGGCATCCCCAGCCACGAACGTCTGCACAATCTTCCCGGCCTCACCCTCAATCTTCTTCAGAAACTCCTAGAACTCAATCAGTACATCGCCCTTTCGTACGACCTCCGCACCGGAATAGCAGCAGGCGGCGAGGGTTCACATACCTTCTCATACGTCCTCATCTCGTCTACCACCTCCCTACTCGTCACCTCCAGATATGCCTCGAATTCCCTTACCGCGCTCCCGTGCTCCGACTCCATTCCCCTTAGCGTCTTCCCAAAAGTGGTACCAGCGATCTCGTCGAGGGCCTCCATATCATCCGACCCAGCCACCTGGTGCGCAAGCGGCAGTAGTTCCTTCCCCAGGGCCTCGATCTCGGCCTGAGCATCCTCCTACGATGCCCAGAGCGTGTCGAGCTCCTTGACGGTGGCGGACACGCGCGCCTCGAACTCGGGTACTGCCGTCGACATGTCCACCATGACGGCATCGCGCGGGCTGCCGGCAGGCGAGTCAGCCACGTAGTCCTCTTTGACCGTGACTTGGGAGATGGGCGCCACGAGCTTGCCGTAGGCGCACTCGAGTTTCGCTAGCGCTTCGCGGTTGGACTTGATCTTTGACGTGGCTTCCGTGGTGAGCACCTCCTGAGCAGACTCCAGATCTGTTAGGGCGGTGGAGTGTAGGGAGGTGCGAAGGTTGGAGTAATTGGCTGCTTTTGCTGTTAGATTGGGTAAGGTGGGTATAAGGCGTTCTACGAAGATCCATGGAATAAATGGGGATGGATGCGATGGGTTACACGCACCTTGAAGATTCTCCACGATTGGCGACTCAGGCGTACTGGACCGTCGTCGACGGTGGTGGCGGCGACCGGCATCGCTGAAGTAACCATTGTCGTAGCTTTTGTCGTCGCCTCTGCCTGAGCCAGGGCCAAAGAACGGGGCGAAAGTGACGGAACGTCGCTTGGAAGAAGGTGGTTGTGCAGTTTGGCCTTTCTCATCATCGTCGTCAAGACCGAAGCGATGCTTGAATGATGCCGTGCTACGGAGGCTTTGGCTTGAGGATGAGGCTTGGGTTTGCTCTTGGTTCTGGCGTGAAAACATGGTATTGTCGACTTGGGTGCGTGTAGAAACAATCTGAATGTTTAACGATAGTCGATAGTCCAAACAGCGGATGAATTTTCTTTTGCTCCACCAGAGTCAAGCAACACAACTGGATGTCTATTTCGATGGAGCAGGGTTGATTCTGTCTTGCTAGAATAGATGTGGAGCTCAGGTTAGAACTGAGTGGGAGCAACCCGTCTAACTTCTACAAAGTTGGGAAGTCGCAGCCCACTGTCATTCCCTTTTGTTCAAATCCAGCACACCTACCCTACATCTGATCCCTTACTGAACAGTAAATTTTTACTTCCGTCCACCACCATCCTCTCAAATCACATTGAATCAGTACTTCGTCTTTCAGAACCTGTCATGGGTTCAGCTTAACGTACGCAATTGTTTCGAAGTCTGATCTTCATCACTAGACCGCCATCCCTACCTGCTGTCAAGCTTGGCATTCACATTCATTTGATACTATTCTCAAAATACCTCTGCAGATATAACACATGTCGTCCAATGTCGACTAATCTCTTGGGCAGCTCCTAAATACCATAATGTAAAGGCATACTGCCAATTTCGTGATATTGCCATACCAAGGGTGTGTGGTAATATGACCCTCATGTCAACACAAATTAGGTTGGCTCTGGTTTTCATTAGTTCAAATTATGTCCGAACCAGCTATGAATCAATCCTACTTCATCTTAGACTGGGGTACGCGTGCTTATAATTCTTGGGAAGCCTGTCCATGCCAGAGGAAGCCGCGAATCTGGTCATCCGGCTTCTGTCTACCTCAAGCGCATTTAGACACATCCGAAGCAGGGGCACTCTTACTTGAAATGTCAACATCAAGAAGGCGTCTTTCAATTGATGCAATACTCTGGATTTTGTGCATATTTTCTCTCCTACCAAGCACGTCAGCTGAGTCATTGTGCAGAGCAACTGGCCAATTTCAACAAATTTCAACAACGATGCTTGCACTGAGATAATTCCAGAAGCCATAATTTGTACAGAGTATGAACACCCCCCAATCCCGGTAATCAGTCATGTCATTCTGATTAACCCATCTATCCTCACACCGGGTATCATCTCAATGCCCACCATCCCCGTACATTGATTTGTATTTAGGTGCTGGGGAGCGGGAAAGAGAAAGGCGGTTGCCCCTGCCGCCGCGGTGAGTTCGTCATCTCGGGTGTTCCAGGACCGTTGGGGGTGCCGGAAAAAGTACACTACAAAGGCTTCGAGTATAATGAGCACGCTTACGCCCAAACCAACGCCCACGCAGATTCCAATCTTGGTTTCAATAGAGAGATCGGTATACTGTTGGCGATACCCGCCAATGGTGTATACACCGCTTCCTGTCATGTAGGTCAAGGTGTTCCACTCAATAGCTTCATAGGCTCTGGCACTGGTTGTAACAGTAATTGTGTACTGGCCGAGATTTCAGGCCCTGATCCCGTCTGCGAAACGTAGCCGCCATAATTCCAACCTTTCCTATATTCACCATTGGCATTTGAACAATGCTACAAAAAGCTTATATAGCAATTAGACACGATTTCCCTCTTCGGCACTCGGTTCCCGCTCCGTCAAGCCAGTCCGATAACGAAGCCTCCCCTTCTGCAAGCCAGCATGCAAATTGCAACTGATGACAGATGCTGTCGATGAACTTTGATGGGAAGCGAGGAAGCCATTGATACACGAGTTGCATGAGTTGTTGAATTATTATTATTTTAACTTGGTTAGGGTATAACGGGTATGCAGCTTTAGGATGGAAATCTCCCCTTCTAGTTCTCATCTCCGCTGCATGAACAGATCCAGAACATACCTGCACCCCGTCGGACCTGTCGCGTGCCGATATCTTGGTGGTACGGACCGTTTCACAGCGGCATCAGGAAATCCAGAGCTCATCTGTTGGCCCCACAGCTGCCAATGACCATGGCCGTCCATTGTGCCTACAGGCCCTCTATATCCAGCCTCGAACACGATCTTCTCTTCCACCGCCTGCTGTCTCCTCTCCCTCAGGTGTCATGTCCTCGCATCTTTTCTTCACACCCCCGCATCTCTCTTCTCTTTGGCCAACCTCCCCAACTTCTCCGCCGCGCCTTGCAAACTCCTCACATCACCGCCGAGAATTGCCGCAGACCCATTCACTGCGACTTGTTTCCCGCTCTTGAAGAACATAAAGGTCGGCATAGCGGTGATCCTGTACTGTTGCGCGACGGGCTGCACGTGGTCGACGTTGACCTTGGCGAAGGCCAGGTAGTTGGGGATCGAGAATGTGCTCGCCATCTGCTCGTACAGCGGCGCAATCTGCTTGCAGGGCCCGCACCAGTCTGCGTAGAAGTCCGTCACCACGTACATGGTCGACGAGAGGAGCTTGGAGAACTCGTCAGGCGAGGTGATATGGACGAGTTTTGACATGGTATGAGATTACGTTCGCGCTACGGAGGTATAGGTCGATGCCGAGTTTGCGATGGTTATCGGTTTGGAGCGTTTGTTGTGTAGTTCAATGTTGAGGTTGCAAAAATCGGAGTTAATTCCGCTAAGTGGATCAGGCTTTATCGCTTGCTTGACTACGACAGTGAAGTGCTGTTTCTCGATCTGCTTATCTCGAATAAATCGAGTAGAGTTTGGACTTGATGTTGAAGCTTTGCATATTTATAACCAGTGCATTTTGTTTTAATTGCGATGCTCAATTACTTTGCCTCTGGTCAGCGGGTGGAAAACTCTAGGTCTGCCTAGATCATGCTTTGTAATTCGCAAGCAGTGGACTCCATGATGGAAGATACTTTAGTGGTGGGCGGATGTCTTGGGTCAAGGAAGTACCTGCTAATGTGCAATTGCAGGGATTATAGAAGGTGCGCAGCTGCTCTTGGCAATAGGCACTGTGCAAAGTGTACCACTTGCGTACCCTGAAGTAAATTGAAGTATCTTCAACTGCCTTGATTTAGATAATAAAAGTAGCGATCCCTACTTAGTGGCGAGGGAAATGCTGAGCTGGTGTGAGTAAGTGTGGCTTCAGATATAGAGGGGTGTAAGTTACCTAAACCTAGAGTGTTGGGCGATTCTTCCCCACGCGCCTTCGTAGCACCAATATAGCCTCTAATACTCGGGGTCCGATGGCTGGTCTACACATGCACTAATGAGCGAGCCCTTTTCCTTGTAAGGATTCTCAATGGAGCACATTGCCCACACAACAACGAGCTTGCCCACATTCGATCCGGGATCCAGGTCCAGGTCCAGGTCCAGAACGACTTGTGATCGCTGCAGTGCCCGCTTTGATGAGGTCATGAAATTGTCCGGAAGCTCCAGCTCACAAGGGGTTCTCACAACTATATTACACCCTGCAGAATATCCGACATACGAGGGCCAGCTACGATGAGCCTGACACCAAAAATTTGCATCGCCGTTATTGGCTCTGGGCCCATCGGCAAATTACTAGCCTGCTCAACCACTCGGCGCCCAGGGATAGAGCTAGTGTCAACTCTTTATGTCGCAAAATCGTGCAGGGCCAGGACTTCCGACCACCTATTATTACGCTGGCATACTCGCCTTCGCGGCAAGGTGCTAGAGGATAAGGTGCGCGCCACAGTCGGCCAAGTCTTTATTGAAGAGTCGCACTGTTTCATCGGCGTCAAGGGCTGGCTATCAGTCGCGGCACATTTACCAACATTGCGGCTTTTTGTGTTGAACCTGAGCGAAAGCAACTAAGTAGAGAGCGTTTCCTCACTCAAGATGAAAGGTTGGACTACTTCTCGGGGAGGAATGAGAAGGTCGACGCTGTGCTAAATGTGAGATTGCAGATTTTAGAAGGCGTCAACGGGGCTTGCATGAACTGACGTGGCCAGTTACTGAAGGACTACACTCGGGGTGGCTGCCAGCGTCTTGAACTGACACACTTGGGGTAACTCGGCACATTTGTTAATCGAGAGCTCTCCATCACTACCTTTGGTGATGCAGCGAACGCAATGACTCCTTTCCTTTAACGGCTGAGGACGTGATACGTGAAATATAGCATTGTTTCGTACAGTGGATAAGCAAAGTGAATTAGCTTTGCCGATACTATTCTACCGGGCATACTGTAAATAAATGTTAGTAGCCTTTAAGATGTAACCATGCACGTGGTTAGTATTGGTCCTTATATCATTTAGAGTACGGTAAGTCTGTTTCGCTCGTAAATATTCGCTACATCTTTTATCATCCTTGGCGTCAGTCTTTACGAGCATGGATAATGAGGATATCTGGCGATAGAACATCGCATTGCTTCCTATTCGACTGGAACAGGGGGGTTTCCACATAATATCCGGGTCATCCATACGATACGCTAGTTTGGAGGCCAACCATGATCTTCAGGGCACAGGTGCTCACACAGTAAACTCCACACGCTCCTTGATATGACATCTCTCATGTTTTAGGAACGTTGTAACGGGAACATTTATCTATAAATCTCTATGTCCCCCCTTCGCCAGAGCAGAAACAGAAATTACGACTCCGGGGTAGTCGCCAGACCAAAGCCAAGTACGCGACCAGTGATGCGACTTTACTTTCTCTGTTCTTTTTCCTCTTTTCAATTTCTTGTTCAATTGCACCTCAATACGAGTAAGGCCTCATCTTACTTTTTGTATTTTCGTAGCAAGCAATATAACGAGCCCTCGAGGTGGGAACTGACATCAGTGGAATATGTGAGATCAGACGAGCATGCAAATGCAATGAAAGCCCTTACACAAAGGCCACACCAAAACCGCAAGAGAGCTACGGGTGTGCAAAAAGAAAATAAAGGGTTAATGGGGTTAATTGTAGTCTGTTTACAGCCACCTGAATTCATTGCTTCTAGATTGCCCTATAAGGCCCTCTTCGTGCTGGATCTAGGACAGACTTTTGCGATCGAGGGGTAAGCTCGGGGGTAGTCTCGCTCACTTGGATGCGGCTGGGTATGAGGCTGCAGAGTCTTGACGCTTGTAGAAGGAAGAGTTTAAAATCAGATGCATTCGGTTTCTCGAGAGGTGGGTAGATATGTGGAATAATTGTTCAAAGCTACAAATTTCGGACGAACCTAGTCGACATGCGGAAGCGTCACGCATTCATCACTGGGCTACGTTACAACTCGCACATGCAGATACACGGTGCAGAAGGTTTGTTACCTAATAAGAGCAATTGCGTGCGGTCAGATATGATGTTGTATCACATGAGCCGTCCCGGTTTGCACCAAGTACGAAGTTCAGGAGTATTGAGAATGGCAATTGTCATGTACAAATCGGTTTAATGCTAGCAACCAGAAGCTTAGAATGCGTAGTATGGTGCGCTATTTATCATTAAGAACATTTCAAGATCCTTAGCTTCCAATTGTGAGCAATGAGCCCCCCGAAATTGCGAGCAGCTTGTCGAAAAGTGGCGTACCCAGACCAGTCACCGGATCCCAGCCCTCAGTCGCATTCCACCCAGCACCCGGCACGTAAGGGGTCGGCAGTCCGCTGTAAATGTCGCGACCCGAGCATCCCTGGCTTCCTCCATCAACGATATCCGTGAAGCCAGAACTCGCATCGTTATAGAGCCATGGGTTCAAGAAGCCGAGAGCGGGTTGTCCATCACGGATTCTTGCGTTATTCAACAGGCTTACGATTCCTGCGAACGTAGGCGCCGATGCAGAAGTACCACCGACACTTATAGTCCTACCCTGCGTGATGACTTGGAACCCACGGCCTTGCGTAGCAACATCTGGGAAACCGCGACCATCTGGGTTGTACAAGCCAGCGAAGGTGGTGCCGATGCTTTCGACGTATGCTGAAACGACTGCGTCTTGGTATTCTGGGCGGGGGAAGACGTCACTGAAGCCACCAGAGGAGAAAGAAACGGCTCTTTCAGGCTGAACACCCACAGTGCCACCTACCGAGGTCACGTAGGGGCAGGCACCTGGGAAAATCGGGAGAAGGCGTGTTCTATTCGTGCCATCGTTGGTCTGACAAGCACTACCTGGGCCAGTACTGCAAAGGATCGTTAGCCACAAAGTCCATCCCAAGTCCACGCTTCAAACTTACTCTCCAGAACTGAAGATAACGGAAACACCTCGAGCTCCCAGTTGACCGAACATCTGGCAGACTTTCTCGGCATATGTCTTGGGCACAGACTGCTCATTCTCGCCGTATGAGGTGGTGAGCGTCGCGGGGAGTTCCTCATCAGCGAGGTTGGTCAGATACGTCACAAATTCCAGATAGGGCTCATTGGAGACCTGTGGTTTGTCAGCGATCAAGGACTCATTGTTGGCAGTGCCATATTGTGCATACGTCATTTGGATCCGGTTGGCTATTTGGAATTAGTATAGTTAAGTAGAATAATAATGGAGGGAGGTGTCACGTACTCCAGATCGGGGACCAAAATTCCGCGACCGCCAGTGGAATAGTAGCGAACATTAGTCTCGAATCCTAGGGAAGCGGCGTATTGTATGTCGAGATTGGCCTCAACATCGCTGTCAACAGTGTCTATTTGGTTGTCTATGCCACCGTTGACGAGAACCGTAGTGAAGTTCTGGGCCAGCGCGTATGGTGCAAACTTCTCAAGGAACGAGTCAAGCGCATCGTGTTTAGCATATTGCTAATCCTATTAGGACAGGTGACTAGAAACAAGTGGTTCGGAAGCACTTACCTCAAGGAAACCACTAATTCCGAGAATAGAATCCACGCTTGGATCCGCCCGGTAGTTTCCGATCTTGTAAAGAGCCCTCAAGCATTCCGGGGTAACGGTCGAGTTACAGGACGCGTCCAGCTCTGTCCCAGGCACGTCTGCAGCGACCTTGAGTGAATTGACAGCAGCATCGCCTGTCTCAATAACCTCAAAGACCTGGTCTGCCTGTGCCTTCATCTGGCCAAACCGCGTAGTGGGCTGGATCAAGGTGATGTGGGACTTGACATCAGCCGGCACCGAATAGCTATTTTCTGTGAGCCTCTCGCGCTGAGTTGGGAGCAGCGGATTGGACAAACCTTAGAGTGCGGAGTCTCTCGGTGGTGGTGCCGACATGGTTGTAGATGCCAAAGTCGGCATTCAGCAAAATCTCGGCTTTTGCTACAGTCGTGTTGAAGTTGATCCAGTCCCCGGCATCCTCGATGTTGGCAGATGGTGTGCCCGCGGACTCGAGCCACTCAAGAACAGCAGAGGTGGACTCTTCGGTCGGCTTGACCAAGTCTCGGACCTCCTCTCGTGAAAGATGGCGACCGTACAGAGGGTTCTGAGGCGAAGAGACGTCGTACAGCGTCTTTTCGAAAACAGCCAGATTTGGCTGCTCAAGAGCGATGCGGAGCTGGATGTGCTGGCCAGGGTCCGCATCTCTTACTCTGTTCCACCCGGCGGGAGTCTTGGGTAAAGACTCAACGACGACATGCTTGGCGGAAGCGACTGATTGGAGCAGCAAAAAAGCTGCGCTCAGAAGTGATAGGTGCGCCATTGTGGTCGAGGCTGCGATTCGGAGAGCGAAGGATGACGGCAGCTACTCGACATGGTAAGGGAGCCCGTGAAGCTTAAGTACCTGTCTCAGAGTTACGCTCTACGGATGATGCAGGGCCTTCTTTATGGATATACGGCACTCTGCATGCAAATGGATCAAGATAACATCACGCATATACGACCATAACACCCGGCCTTTTCTAAATGATGTCTCGCACAATCGCGGTGTGCTAAGTCCAGGGTAGCATTAACTGCTTCTTGGAGCTCGGAACGGTTCCACATCGGTGTCTCCTCTTCTAGAAGGAGTGACAGATTGAAGGAGGGCGCTGTGTCCTTGGCAAGAGACACGATCGGAGGGAAACGACAACCGGAGCAATTTACACGGCAACCGCAGCGATGGATCATCGGACAAACGGCCTGCCACTTGGAGGGCAAGTGTCCAAAGGTGAGATGAAAGGCTGGAAATATGCATACCGTGCGACTTGAGTTGCGAACGCAGAGTCAACTGATAACAGGGAAGGTAGGCTTGGAACGGCAATTAGCATTTGAGTTACTGAGGCTTGATAGGGAAGCCCAACGGTGAGCCCCTGTCAAGGCTTGTGGTTACCCGGCCTATGGCATGCCGGTGTTTGCCAGCGAACTGCCGTTTTGGTCCAATACCCCCTGCGCCTTAGCAGCCGAGCAACCCCACATTGGTGGGGACAGCGCCTTGTGGGTTCTGCAAGCGACACGGAGCTTGCTCCACGGCAGGGGCAGCTGCAGGATTGATGAATGTATGAAGTTATGATTCATGATCTAAGGACGAGCTGATCATAAATGCTAGTTGTAATTGCCTCCGCCAGCCTCCTTCCTGAACAGGTCAAAACCGTGACAGGAATCGTACCTTCAGTCATCGCTGACCTAGGACATGCACGCTGTAGATAAAAGAAGATGGCGCGGGGGTTTCCTCACCCAGCCAATTGACCGTAAGAAAACGGTATTCTCATTCCAACGTCGCTTATTACTATCTCCACGCCAGAGCTACCCGAAGCCCATAAGCACTGATATACGCCTAACAAGTCAGCAGCACGCTCGATGCAGCGAGTCTGCGTTGCCAAGGATATTGAACGCTCAATTGGTCAAATCTCTTGCCTCATAGGTGCCGCGATGTACTGAAGGCTAATGTTCAAATTAACTGGCTAGTATTCATTGACTGTTTTTGTATGCAATTGCCTTGTAAATTACGGGTATTGATGACTACTACAGTGCATTGAGGCGCGGGCCCCCGAGCCATTCTTTTTGTCCACAGCTTGACATGGTCATTGACCCAGTAGTTGCTTTGTTATACTTGTTTCGTGTAGATGAGGTTAGCTCTGAAGTCTAAAGAGGCAAGATCCTTTCACTCTTTGTCTGAGACCTTGCGGGGGGGAAAGGATGAAGCATGGGCTAATAATGGGTGGACCTTGTGACCCAGATCGCCATAAAACTCCATGTACGCATTTACAAGAAGCATTCGAAGCACCTGGTTGACTTTTGGTTTTCGCAGTGCGAAGGAGACTTTGTTAAAGTGGGCCACAGAGGCAGATGTCGAATCCTGATGCTGTGCTACCGAGGCGAACAAGCATTAACGTGGGATACATTCCTGACAATTCTTGTCGTGCAATATGTGGCTTTCAAGTATGGTAGAATAAATCCTAGGTACTTTCAGTTTATCGATGCCTCCTCACCTTTAATGTGACCATATTCGACCTCGCAAGCATTGATTCACAGCAGTATTTGTAGAATTTAGGAGTGAATGGCTGGTCTGACATAGTTTCTCCACCCATACAGCAGATAGCCGTTGTCTTGGTCTGGTAACACTAACGTGCACATTGTAAGATGCTTGTTACCCTTTCAATCTTACTCTTCTTTGGCAATGGTAATTGACCAAGCTATGTAGGTTTAATTGAGATGCTCTCAGAGCCTCACTTTACATATTGGCTGATACAAAGACCGAATATCAAGCAATATAGAGAAACCACCGGAGCAACTTTCAACTAGAGCTTTGTAGGAACCAAGCACGAATTTACAAGATTTTCTGTGCAACCTCGTTCACTTGAGCAGGTGGAACCGAAGTCGTCCAGGGCCCACGGGTCGCAATGTCTGTCATCTTGCCTAAACCGGATATTCGGGTGGGAGATCTAGATCTATTCCCACCCTCCATGCATGTGGGCACATGTCAATGATTTGGGTGGATCGGTACGGTTATTTAATGTAATGATTTCTTTGGAGCCGCCCGATTTGTTGTGGGTACCGTCCTTCGAACACATGAACATAAGGTCGCTTTAGTAAGTGATGCTCGAAGACATCATATTATACTTCTGAAGTCCCAAACGACTCCCCTAATTTCATCATCACCCACAAGCAAATCAATAGAGGCTTTTTTTGGTCTAGTGCCATTGGATACTCCAGGTCGTGGTCGTCACAATTTACCATCATGTCAACTTTATTGCTGTTTCACAATGCATCCTACGATGCCGCAGGTGTATAAGGCAATTTCGAAGAAGAACCTATTATATCCTTCCTGATTGCTACCGAGTAATAAGACGTCTGAGAAATTGCCTGCATTCTTTCATGTCTGCGTTCCTCTGGGACTATACGCAAATGCTCTGATCATAGATAGCCCTTCCGTAGCTGCAGATTCCTGGGCGTTAGTACCCTCATCATCATCATCAATACAACTCTCTTGCCTGTATTGCCCGCATGTAGGCAATACAGCACATGTTGGCGGCGGTGGTGCTGGAAGGAAGAAACCAGGAAGCCACAGTGGAAGGCAGGGCTAACTATCGCAGCAGTGGCCCGGGCATGACCGGGTCCACGCAACAACTTGCGATATCCTGTGCACATGGTGTTGAAGTGAAGTTAAGGTCAGTAAGGTACTGACTTCTCACTCAGTGTTCTCATCCAGACAAAAATACCATGGATGGAAATGTAAGAGCAGAATTGTGACGTGCATGCTGGGGGACAGGTCACTTTTGTTGCAAGAAGCATCGCTTAGATGTCGAGCCGACATCACACGCCAGGGATGGAATCGCATGACGAATGTTTGCATTACGGTATCATGGTATTTCTTGCTATGCCCATGGACTTATGAATCTGTAACTGTTGGAGAGCATTCTGTAACAGGATAATACGAGTAGATTGTTGGTTGGCAAGTGAATTCAGTACACTTTGACATGATGTTGGCTGTTCACTGAATTGCCTTACTTTTAAGCAGGTCCTTTCCTATTTCAACCACCATGGGTGCTCTTACACTCCCCATCTCACGCCCAATCTCGGTTTTTATTCTTGGCCTCCACTTGTCGGAAACAACACCAATCACCCACAATGAAGATGATCATCTTTCTTCTCTGGCCTCTGGCCGCCCTCGCAAACACCTGCGCAGATATGGTTCCCACCGCAGGAATGACCTGCCACGAATACACTCTCTTCGACGGCCAAACCACCACCATCATGGTCAATAATCGTCTTCGAGTCGACGGCAAATATCAGGAAACCGCGACTACTGGTGTAGCTCCCCGCGCCACCGAGACACCAATCACTACCGACCAAGACAATGACATGTGCGGCGATACCACATGGACCAATGACTCCGACCCGACCTGGCCGCCTGTCGCCGACTGCAACAGCATTGGCCAGTGGGCTCGGGACAACATGGTCTACTGGCGGGCCTACAAGCATGACCTAGCGGCTAGATCAATGACCACGCTGCTGGTTTCGGGAAGGTGCAAGTTCGTCATCGGCTGCAACCGAGACGATATTCCAGAATACGGAATCATTGTCGGCAACACTGATGTGGCAGACTTAGTAAGTGACTGTGACTCGTGTTTTCTCTTTCTGTCCCTTCAAACATCTGTTTATTTACTTTTCGAAATATGTCTGCATTTTTGGGACTATATTCAGTGTCTCCAGTGACTATCGTACATAGTGATAATTGCTGACTTGTAATTCCGACTAGGTGCAGGATGCAATTGCGACAAAGGTGAAGGATGACAGGGTCGCTGCTCTGGGAACCATGAACTGCTGGACGACGGACACAAATGGTGGAGTCAAAACTACATTCACTAAATGGGGTATCATTGATGTGTCCATCGCCTAGTCTTTGAGTGATCTGGCATAGGGAAACAACTCAGGGGGTAAAGCATGATATTTCCTACTAGGTCCACGATTGGGGGCGGTGACTCTAGTGGCCATAGTCAGCCCCTTTTAGTGGACATAGACATGAAACAGCTGATAGCCTCTAAATAATCAGATGCTCCTACTGAACAAGCTCCACGCTTGAAATGGGTAAATAATTGTCAATCTTCTGGTGGAGCTGCCCTACCTGCTGCGGACATGTTGCCCATTCATACTCCAGAATCCCACATAGAAGCATCAGATTGAACGCTGGTGCCATCGGATTTTACATCGGGATCTCACATTAACCAGAAAGGCTTGATCTAAATTTGCTAGGCATGACGGGATATCTTCTTCTAAATCAGCCTGCTTAACAAATATTCAGAGGTAGCTATGCCAAATATGGAACCACCATCACTTCTACCGAGTGTTTGAGCCTGTCGCGAATACAACAGCTACCGCTGATACTAGCCTTACTCACACCAGCTTTGAGTCTGGCATCACGAAACCCACTACTGAGTAGTCAGCTATCGCTAGCTGCTCGGCCCCGATTCCCATGCGAATGGATCTTCCCAACAATGAAAACAATTATCTCAATTTTGCATGCTAATCGCAAGCGAGCAGTTCTCGATAACTTCAGCAATGAGAACTGAGATGGTATCGCTGTGACTGTCGATGACGTGACCGTCCCACTGGATGTCCCAGTACGCTGTCCACAATCAACAGTCGCCTGAGAGTGCTCCCCTCGATAAATTTCACCCATGCCTCCACCGGACAGCATCTCCTTGCCCTCAATCCAGGGCGTCCAGGCACCCCTTACCGCACCATCCTCATGGACCACGACCACTCTGCCTGATTCTTGCTCAAACTCTTGACTCCTTTAAGCACTGGGGGGCAACTGCAAGTTGCTAACATTCGGTATGGGGTATATCAGGAGCAGAGCATGTATGGTATTGGGATGGGATTGAAGATCATGGTAAAATTCTGAGTTACGACATGCAGCTTGACTTGCCGTCTGTCGCGGCACAACTGAAGTAATCGTTAGTGGATCAGGGTTATTGGAACCTAGGCGTAGACTTGCGTGCTATTCTCTTCCAAAAAGCATTGCACGCCAATGATTCCCTAGGTATTTCGTGATTTTTGACTTTCCTCTTCTTGAACATAGTTGCAGTGTGGTGGTAGAAGAAAGAATAGAGAAGGATCAATGAAATCCCCGGTCCAAGTTACACTCTTACCAATGGGTCAATTAATGGGTCAATTAATGGGTCAATTGTAAAATCTGGTTGTTTATACGTTTGGCGCTTCCAAACAATGCCTCGAAAAATGCCATGCGCCCAACGTTTCTGATTCAAATATACTCGACCGAATCTTATGGGTGTCATCGGACTTGATGACCTGTCTGCATTGCCTCAGTTGTATCTCCGAGTCTGTGCAACTTGGAACCATATATGAAACTAAACCTTGCATGTAAAGGTGCCACAGAAAACATTGCCGTAAACAACATGCATCGCCTTAGAGAACGTACTTTGAAGTCATATTATGAGCACGAGTGTTTGTATCGTCTGCTTTCCTCGAAAGGAAAAATAGATTGGTGTACTATTTGCCTCTGGCTCTTGCATCCATAGTATTCAAAGCTGAAGACATGGCGAAGCTCTACGAAGTATTAACAATATGTTGCTTCGTTCTAGTGGCAAAAGCGCCCATATTCAGAAAGTTACGGCCATACGTATTGTATTGCCGTATTCTCAAGTATCGTCAAGTCTTACCGGCAACTTGCCCCAGGAGATCGATATCGTATAAAGGGAAAAGGAAAAAAAGGGGCACAGGAAAAACACTAGGTAAAATTTATGAACTTTGCTTTATCCATCCATATTTATCAAGTTCGTGTTTCGTCGTCTCCTAAAAGGAGTGTTAGCACGTAATTCTGGTTGGGAAGCTTCCGTAGCTGCAGGTATGCCGACGCATTATGGACGTGTAGTACCCATTTTTCTGTCAACTTTGATAGTTTAGAACGGTTGTTTGCTCCTTGGTGGTGATTTCATACTTGAGAAGGTAATGGAATCTGGATAATTTTGATCTTCTACTTTGCTTGATTTGGCGGATGGGTGTATCATGGATCGTGTGGCAGTTGCGATCATAGGTAGGTTTGCTCCGCTTTTATTGCTGCTCAAGCTGGATTAATGCCTGAGGCTCTCACGACGCGACGAAAGTTGATACCTTGTGGCCTGGTTTCCCCTCAAAAGAATGCAATTTGAACAGGCATTGTCATGATGGATCGCGACCGACTTTTCTGTCGACTTCTTCACGGCACTGGCATAATGCCTTCAAGATGCCTTGTTGTGCAAGAACAAACCCTACCATGGGATTCTGAGCCAGGGCAATTGAGAATTATCGACTTGTTCTGTTCCTCCCTCACGCGCTCCTGGCTGCGCGTTGGTCTTTCTTTGTCGGGGTTCAGACACGTTGCCAAGATACCATGACTTGCATTCTATTTGACCCCATTTCCTTCTATTTGCGTGTCATTGCAGGGTCGGTTGGACGTCACCTTCCTTGGAGATGAATCGAGCGAGCCCGCCAGCCTGAAGTCGCCCACAGAAGTCCATCCCGGCATCATGGCACCAAGCCTTGATGTACAGGTTTGGTATCCAACAAAGTATGGACCGCAAGACGTGTGCTTGGATGAAAGGGCGAATTACTGGACCTAACTTTTTGCTGCGCCCCTGGTATCAGCCTGCGCATCGGCTAGGTTGCCATTTGGCGTTGGGTGACGCTACTGACTGCCGCAGGGAGTGTGCAAACCCTTGTGCCCAATTCTAACATCCAAATGCGAGAACAGCTTCGCAGATTCCCACATGAGCCACCTAGTTCCATTAGCTGAATATCGAAACCAAAATACTGGCCTCACCCAGCCCATCATCCAATAGCACGCCTGTTCCCACATGGACATACCAGCCAACCCACGGAGTTCGCACGGAATCCTTACCGAAGCACCTGGCTAGGCTCAAGATGCGTTACGAGTGCCTTTTTATAGCTGCGCCTTGCCATTGTAACAAGCACAGAGGTCGATGTTATTGATCTCCGTCCTCATCTTGGATAGCCATACAACGGTGGTGATGGCGGCTGGCCCTCTCTTTCTCCTACTCATTTTCCTCCATTATCCTCCTGGGTAGTTTTCAGCAGTGGAAATGAAGTTTTCTTTGGTAGTTTCAGTTTTGTATGTTGAGTGCTCTGTGAGTGTCTTGAAAAAAGGGGCAATGGCGCGGTCGGGGTGTTTCTGGAAGATGAGCGACCAGGAAGAGTCCAAGACAGGCTCGAAAACCCTTAGAAAGAAAAGGCATTGAGACATTTTCAATGACGCCGAAAATGCTTTGATTAAGTCAAGGTATGATCAAGTCGAACCTAAGACAGATTTGGCGTGTGTTGGAAGCGACTCGAGGCGCTCGGTCAAGTCGCGCTGCTGAGGCAATTGCACCTTTCACGATTGCAACCTATAAGATATTCGCAGCCTCAAAAATCTGCGGACTCGACGAGTATGGTGAGGAAGTCGAAGCATTACCTCGGTCACTTACCACTCACTGTGCAGTATCTCAAGCTTTGCATTCAAGTCATTTTTTTCCTGAATAACCAGAACACCAACAAGTACTACGAGGCGATCGTGACATTCACTCCTTAACCCTACATCTAGGTCTTCCTGTCTCCTCGGACAACAACACTAATCATCAAGGGATCCAACACGCAGCCAATCCTCAGGCGATCCTCGGGAGGCGGTGGTCTAGGTCTGTTACATTGGCAAGTTGCCGCCTTATAACTGCAGGGTCCTTGAGTGCTAACGTGGATAATAGTACGCAATGGATGTCCCCCATGACTGGTTTGATTGGGTCGTCTCGGGTTACGATAATGATCAGGCGCCAGAGGTCAAGGCAGCAGATGGAGGGTATGCTCATCAGCTTGAAGTGGTGCCAGGCCTCGAGTTGCCGCAATTCACGCCAGAGCAGGCACCCCAGAAAGAGGAATACTACCCCAACCCCGACACTGACTACTGGGACCACCTCGACCCATCACTTCATGTTATGGGCAACGCGCCTGAGCTGCAAGAGAACCAACAAAATCTCGATATTGGTGAGTCACTGTTGTTTACTGCCCTGTTAGCCTAGTGCTGTCATAATCCGCGCCATAGGCTGCTACCGGGGAGTACAGTCATTGCCCATGCCTCCTTGGGCGTAGTGGAACATGGATTTACTGATATAAAATGTAGCAGTCCCTCAAGAAGATATCCAGGCGGTTCCAGTGCATCTTAAGAGCCAGGAGTGGACATATTGTGTTGACGTGTGGCCTGCTGAAGATCAACCTGGTGAGTTTACCGCTTTCCTCTTGGGGGTGTGGACAGCCACATCTAAATATAGCATTCTGCTGTGGCGGAGCATATGCGCGCGCAAAAGCTGAGCAGGCTTTGTGGCGCAGTTTTGGCGATTTCACCTTGTATTTGCTGCTGCCTTGTACAACCATCGGTTCCCCCCTCATCGCTCGAAGACCGAGGCCAGGCTGCTGACTAACGATGTTGAAGGCGAATCATCCGTATTGGATCACATAGTCGCGGTACAGGACAGCCTCTCTAAGAATAACGTACAGTACGACTTGAACATCTGTGTCGATGCGACCGACCCTTTCACCTGCTTCCGACGATACATATTACGTCGCAAACTGCGAAACGAAGAGCGCGCCCGACTCAACTTCCTGCAAGTCTTCAGCGCCAACAAACCCTACAACGCTGCGCTCAAGGGCTACCGCTTCACCATGAGTGTCGTCGGCTACGAGCCGCGGCAGTTTATCCACAACGATGCATACCCTTCGATGGGCGACCCCGAGCACGATGGCGGCGGCCAGGTTCGATATAACGACCACGATGTTGCTGTCTCCGTATCTGAACTGAGTGCCTACAATCCGCCCGTGCCGAAGTTGATTCCGTCGCCCGAGCCTCATCATGGCCTGGAGATCTCGACGCCCACCGCCCAGCCTCAGCCCCCGACCCTCACGCCCGCGCCAGCACTACCGGCGACGCCCAAGGAAGACGCCGAGCCGCGTACCCCTTCGCGCATCAAGGCCATAGAGAAGCCAGTACGAGAGCCGGTGAAGGGCCTTAATGGGAAGTTTGTGTGTGATTGGCCGAACTGTACCGAAGAGTCTCGCGAGTTCAACCGCCGGTGTGAATGGACGTAAGTAGCTCCTATGGCACAGTCTCAGGAGTGCGTTTGCTCATTAATTTGGTAGCAAACACATGGACAAGCATGACCGGCCGTACAGATGTCTTGTAGAAGGCTGTGAGAAGCTGCCAGGCTTTACTTATTCGGGCGGCCTTCTGCGACACGAGCGTGAGGTTCATCATAAGCACGGTGGTCCCAAGAACCCACTCAACTGTCCGCATCCCAACTGCAAGCGCCACACCGGCAAGGGCTTCTCGCGTCTCGAGAACCTCAACGAGCACCTTCGCCGCGTGCACACTAACAATCTGGATGGCGTGGTATCGCCCCTCGCAGCACCGGATGACAGCCTCGCCATGGTAGCCAATGAAAAGGTGGTCGTCGGCACGAAGCGCAAAGCTGAAGACCACGACCTGCAGGCTGAAGTCAAGCGGCTGCGAGCTGAGAATGAAAGACTGGAGATCCAGAACAAGGCCCAGCGACAGCAGCAGTCTGCTATGATGGACCAGATTGCGAGCCTGCAAAGCGAACTCCGAGCATATCGAGATCCCCATCTTCCGGGCGTCCCCCCCGTTCAGATGCTGGAGGACAATTTGCATCATTTCTAATTTTCTTTTGTTGCTTTGACGGCGATATACCCCACCTCGCGCTGTTTTGATTTTCCTTGCTTACTCACGTCACGACACGATACTGCATGTATGATTGGGGAGTTAGGGCGGTTGCTATTGTTTGTATGGTCGCAGCTCTTGCTGGAAGGCCAAGGCGTCAACGAGAATGTGGGATACACACCATCTTGAGTGAGACTGGATGGTTCTGGCATAGATATTCCGTCAGTTCTTGCATTTAGGGGAGCGAGCATGGATGGATTCTTCGGGTTCAGGATGCCGAGGAGGTCCACTAGTTGGGTATTTTCAGGGACGTCTGGCGGCAGTTTAGCACTTGGACCACTCAGCTTGGTACTCGGAGCATTCTTAGAGCGTGAATCTCGATGAGAAACTTCCTGTATGTGTATGAGTATCAGATTGAGGATCACGTCAAAAATGTAAAATATAGTTGTATACCACACTAGAAAACAGTGATCCATCTCTTTGGTTCTCAAATTCTTTTACTTTATCTGTGTTTCCATTGATAGAAGTATGAGAGCACTGCAGCAGCCCCGAAAATGAGGGTGGTCGTGCTCTCGTCGAGGGCATTTATCTCGTCTTGTATGCTTCATGGCCTTCAGTGCTATAGAGGCGCGTTTGAGAATAGCCCAGCGCAATTTCATCCTTTTTTTTCTTGTTCTCATTTGAAGTCTGTTCCCAATGTGCCTGTTGCATTTTCTGAAGGGGAGAAAAGCCCTTAGCTGCCTAGGGTCTCTCGTTCTTTAGATTGGCCAACTTTGCTCAAGATTTCCGATAACCAACAGTTGAAGTTGGATGTCCATGCCGGAAAGGGGAAGCTGTCTTAGGGCAGCTGAACGCCAAATACTTGCTTGCTATCCCTATTCCCAGCGGCCAACGTGGACATATACCTGCAGCTTGGCAGAGTTCCATTTAATTTGGTTGCACGGCGTAATCGCCACTTTTTCTTTGCTTTCAGTGTTCACCATCATCCTGACGAATGTCGTCGCCAACCTCCCCTGTGCGGTGGACGTTGGGCGGGCGGCAGGCAGCTGACAGTGCTTCCGGACGCTTCCGTCCTTGGTAGGTGACGGTTCGTAGCCATAGTAAAGCTAACATCCGTGCTGCAGCGTTGTATATAGACTTGCGCGCGGCCGAAGAGGCTCCATATCGGCCTCGCTCATGCTGTGATGAAGCACTCAAAGTCCGTGTTGTACTACTCCTCAGGAACTGTTAGCGCATTAGCTCATTTTCAGTCCAAACTATCCCCTGAAAAGCAACATGCTTCCTCTAAAAGTGTTTCAGGCGTCACTGGATGAGATCGCTTAAGAAAGAACAATGACTTTAGACATGATTGGAAGCCAGCTAACTGTCCCCTGGAAGTAACGGGATGGATGTACAAAATCCTCAAGAGCATTCGGAGAGGAAACTATGTCTACCTCAACATCGAGTTCACTCGTAACGGCGATTACACACTGGTTATCTTATTTGAGAAAGGAGAATAGAGGGTAGCCCCTTTGGAGTATGGCAAGTTTACTTGTCGTGGACAAGGCGGATGAACAGAAACTCGATAAGGAAACCAACCGATGATCTTTTGGCAAGGCTGACACAATGCAACCCTGCTGTCAGCGAGCTTTTACCGACTCAGTTGTGTTGATCCGGATTACACGAGCATTATCTGGTAGCGTCGCATGGGTCAACAAGCGCATCACTCACAGAATCCCGGTGGTTTTCCTTTTCTTTTTCGATGATGGTCAAGAAAACATAATTGTGAAAGTCGCTCCTCGTTTTTGGACGTCTCATTGGGCCTGGAGTTGGAATTTTCTTATACGGCGTTGAATTGACCAAATGCGTTTGAAATCAGGCAAGATAGTCTTCGTAGCAGTACAATGCACGTCATCCATTAGGCTTGTAATGAAAGTGCGGTTAGATAGTATGTAGAGTAGAATTTGACAACACCCACTAGTATAACATTGTACTTATTTTGACCAGGTAAGTGACGCGTGATGTTTCCAGTAGTCGGCACATGGGGAGCTAGTTTCAATCACTTGGTATTCTGGCCTTTGATCCCAAGCTCTGATAAGGGAGGTACAGCTAGATGTAAGTTGCCCAACAGTTGTCAGCAGGTTGGTTGATTGGCCGTCTATATCTACGAAAGCACTCTAGGTCAAACTATCCCTCCCCTACGGATGATTTGGGGCGCTTGGGCCTTCAACTCTGATTCATCTATGAGATGGTGAATGCCGATATGGGACTGAAGGCATCCCTGCTTCGGATGTGTTAACAGCCACCCGGGCCACACCGTAACCTTCTTTCCTCTTTGTGCGCAAATATTGAGAATGGCGCAAAGCTCATGGATTTCCAGGAAGGGGATCTGAGCTTGCGTCTGATGCGCGCATAGATATAGCAAACACATTCCTGGCGGCCAACCGTGTGCTCAAGATTACTCTTTGTCCCTCGAACATACGACAGGGACCAGGCTCAAAGAGAACGGGGTTTAAGAAGCTGAGGTCTTTTGCTCATGGCAAATGCTGCCAACTGCGTTTGGCCATTGGTTGGTTGGTAAGGTCAAGGATAGTAATATGATGGTGGACCATGATTGCATAGAAAAGCATCGCCGAAAAGGGTGAATAGCGGGATTTCGCTTGGCTGGAGAGCCATGCCGTCTTCAATACCGTCTGCAGTCTTCCTGCCAAGTCAGTACCGTATACATGGCATTAATTCAGAAGAAAGTCGCAGCCATGTATGAACCCCTGAAGGTTCACAAAACGTATCCTCTGCTCAAGCTCATCGTCTGTACTCTTTCCGCAGACAGACACGAGTTCCGCCATGCTTTTCTTGTGTGCGCTGTCTTCATATTAAACGTCTATAGCGATTCAGCCAGGAGACGACGCTGGCAAGCAATTTGCTGAAGCCGTTGAGGTTGCGAAAGCGTCGGACTCAGGGTTGCGGCGAACAACCTGCTGCTTATAAAGTTGCTTCGATGAATCCCCAGGACATACGGGCCTTGGGGGCTTGCAAACAATCTTGGAAATAACTGCATTCTCAAAGGCCAACGCTAGGTTGCGAGCTGTCACGGTTCCAACTGCCCAACTGCCAGCAGTATGATTTGAGCTGTTTGCTATGATGATCCATGTCAGGAAACAAATGGGGTTAGCAATTAAGCAGACTGGTTAAAGAGGCAAAATCCAAACAACCTCGCCACTTCATCAATCCTGTGTGACTACCTCTCACCAAAATAACACCCGAACACACCAGCTGCTACTACCACTTACAAAAAGTTACTCCTCGTAATCACGCATGTAGTATAATATTGCTTCTTCGCCAGTGTATGAGCGCCCATTACATTCGCTATGATGCCTGTTGGGAAGTTCGAGGCTGTTTGCTCGTGGATCCACGGTCTCGCTTCTAGCTTCGACACCGTAGTCTTTGATCAATCAGGCCATCCCAACTTCTTTATCACGAAGGTGCAAACGGCGACCAGGGAAGTAGTTTTACTTGATGGTATCTTTGCAACACTGGATGAGTCTACCGCAAACGGCGAACGGCACTGCTTGAGGTTTATCGCCAGGTGTGGAAGTTGATGTTGGTTGTTGAGATGAGCAATGGATCTATTCAAAGATACGGAACCAACGAATCTGGTCTCTGAGAGGCGAGTCCGCCAGCTGAGTATAAATCTTGGGGTTTTGCCATGCTCAAATCTCGAATAAAGCCCTTTCGCTCACTGATAGCACGCCCAATGCTGCGTACCCTCTTTCGAAGCTGCAACAACTACCACCAAGTCACAAGGAAAAGCCTCAACCATGGCTTCAGAATCCCAAGCGTCGAACAACCCTCTTGAGATCCCCAACATGGGCGAAATCATCATTGCACCTCCTAGCACTCTCAAGGCTGGCAGTACTTTTCGAATTGTGGGCCATATCGACGAGTCCATCGTGCCCTTGGGGGATGGTCTCAAAGCATGGCTTTTGCTGATGAATCCCTTGGAAACGTCGGAAGCCCAGGAATCTCTCAAGCTCACCGTAGCGACTGCTGAAACCACTGCTAGAGGCGAATGCAAACCGCCTCTGTCTTCGTTTATGGCGGAGTCGAAAGCATACTGGGTTTCGCGGGACCCGTCACGCGAGATGAATATCCCAATTGGATGGTACGTAGCCTTCGACAACCTGAAAATCAACCAGCCGGGGAAGTACTCGTTCTTCATTCGTCTACTTCAGTTCGTCCCGTCCGCTGAACCGGGAGACGTGTTGCCAAGTTTGTGTCTTGATCTTTGCAACATTACGGTCACTGACCATGAAGATGCAAAAGAGCAAACTATCGGTAAGATATAACCTCCAACTGTGTTTACAGGAGTCTAAGAAGTAACAGATTCGAATTTTCATCCATTGTTGACGGAGCTAGACGAGCTCCATTAGATCATGTTTTAGAATCCTTGGGCTGACGGGAGGATACGAAAATGGCAAGATTTCGATATCGACTTCGTCCTCTTTGGTCTCCGCATGGGATTATGGCTTTGGGTACCACTTTTCTCCAAGCCATCCGTTGATCAAATGGTCTGGCAGAGTCTGGACACATCATCTGTTGCCATTCGGAATTCCAAAGGGGGCCCACCAGGCAGGAGGTTCACCAGGCGCTCTGCCATTCCAATAACACGTGCACATTCTTATAAAAGGGCTTTCCCGCCCTTTTATATATCTCTCTTTCGGGATTTTTTTGGAATAAAACCGATCTGCAAAATTGGTAGTCCACGTCTGTAAATGAGGGGCCTCATATGCCATCCGTGTTCTCCAGTACGTACTCGTGCACAGGGCTCTAACACGGCCAGTTTGATGCTTGATACTAACAGTCCCATTTTATTTGTGAAAATTGCTTTGATGGTAGTTCGCGCAGCAGCCCTGGTTAAATACCTAGCCATGATGATGGCGAACTCTGCCAAGATGACTATTGGATGTTACTACACAGACTTTGTGTCCGGTCTGAGGTACTGACCTCAACATGACGGAACTTGAATATCCATGTGTCAAGTTGATATTTTGCCAATACTGCCGTAAAAGAGTGCTTACACAAACTGTTTGATGGCAGAGGAAAATACTATCCAGTTCATCGTATCTTCCTTCTTCATTCTATTTATTCTCCCAGATTTTTATGACGGCGTAGGTATCTGTTGAAGTGATCTCTCGGTTAGGCCGGCAACGCCTCGTTATCAGCATATCCTTATGATATCATCCGTATATACTAGTGTCCACTGTGAGGGCAGTATAGTAGATCAGGGTCTGTGAACAATCTGTTTATTCGATAACGCCACATAGTTATTATGATGTGGGAGCCCCTGACGCACCATTGCAAGTTTCCACACGAATTGCCAAGATAGGTATGTGATGAATAATTTCAGACTCGAGCCTGGAAAAGCCAGCTGAACAGATTTTGATTTTACTCCATCCAAGCAGTTCTTATCTCACTAGTCATGATTAGACACATGGAGGCGGTGGCGTCACGAGTACTATGTAGGATCAATCTTGCCTAGCCTCAGGACCATGTGATTGTGCAACCGCGCACGGAAAAGCAAGCTGGCCACATATCAGTTAATATAGTGACCCTTAATAAGTCTGCGTCCGGCCCCACTCTAGGCACGCCCAACGCATCAGAATCAACATCTTCAAATATGAAGTCCTCAGCTAAACCGTGCGGCAATCCTACCCAGCCAACTGTACATACAATGTAGTTGTTTCAGGATTGCGTTTACCAGCGGTTTGGGCAGTGAGCTGATAAGGCCGCGTACGAGAGTTATATCGACCTGTGGCCACGCATCCTCCATCACAACCTTAGCCCACGCCTCGTAGGTTGCAGCGTAGTAGATTAGCACCGATGGTTATATTGGCCTTACGCTTCACCTCTACGTATGTCCGTCATTACCGGGAGTCGGCGGGAAAGGACAACTAGATGTCTCTCTGCCTAGCCCATAACTGCGCTGTTACACTTATCCGCTTAGCTACATGTGTAGTGCTGGTCGACTTAGCCCTAAGGGCCGATTTAGGTGGTTAAGTTGCGAGGTCCTAAAAGCGTCGGCCACCTTCCCCCGACGTTTGCCGCATGCTCTGGTGCCCGTAATAGTGGCTCTCGCTTCTGGTGTGTATTCAAAATTTGGGCCGCGATTGCCGCTCGTAAGTTCGAACATCCATCGCAAATTGCGGTAGTCTTAGTGGATTGACGTAAAAGTCGCCTCGTTGTGTTGTTTTGATTTCTCGATTAGGGTGTGGGGCCGAACACAGACTCACTGAGGATCACTGTAGTATCGATCCCCCTTGCGGATCGCACAGTACTGATCAACACACTTCGGCCGGCCGGGGGCGAGCCTCCCGCTGCCAGGAAACAACAAGCCCACTACGAAGCCGACGAGTCCCAACTTTTTTTATTTTTTATTTTTATCTTTTTTTTTAAAACCAACTCGTGTATCTTCGAACGTGGGGGGGGGGGGCATTGACACTTCTCAGATTCTCTATCCCAAGCTAACTATATCCACATTTAAGCTTCTCACTCCAGTAGTATTATGTAACATAAGAAAGGCAAAGACAGTATAGTATGCGTCAATGTCAAATAGGATGCTCTCTCCTCTTCGTGCAATCTCGCGGCCATATGTCCCACCAGCCAAACATGTTGTCACATCCCATCCAGCCCAAAAACAAAACGAAGAAACTGCGGCGTTCTGCCGTAGCGGGTATCATCTTCCCACTCACCAATAATGCATCTTTTGATACAAGTTAGAAGCAAACAAAAAACAAAAGAAAAAAAACACCACACGGACACGGTAGGTATATATCCAATGTCCGCAAACGCCGTGCCCGTTCTGGTGCGGCCCGAACCCGATGTCCCGAGAACACGGCCCAAAATGAAACGAAACGACTCCCCCAAATATGCAATCTTGCTCCTTTCGTACATGGTATTATAGATCTTCCGTTATACATCCCCCTACTGCCACCTCGCCTCGCCTTATTCAGCGAGGCCTTCCAATAGCGCATCTCGATCCACCGAGTCGGGCATGACCTTGCTCGATGGTCGTTTCTGATGCGCGGCGAGGTATTCAGAGAAGCCGGGCACAACCCCGACTTGATTGATCCCCGCCGGACGGCTCAAGTCACGCTGTGTTTGCTTGTCTTTGTCTTTGTCCGGCCTCACGGGAGGGCTGCCGTTCGGGCTGGTGCCACCGCCCCAGGGCCGCCACCCCGTCCATTTTCCGAACACCGACGGCGCTTGCGCGGACGAAGGGATCCATGACGGCCCGGAGGCCGCACGTAAGCTTGCGACCGGGTTCCTCGGCGATGCCCCAAAACTGTCGCGCAGAAGTGTGCTGCCTCGCTTTCCATCGCGAGAAAGCATCGGACGGGCCGTCACTGTACTGCTCCCTGCGATGGTAGTCGCGCTGCTGAGATGACGCAGGGTGAGCTGGCTGGGCCGAGATTTGAGGGTGTGGATGTCCAAACCGCCGCCGTAGAGCGATATTACGGATTCGTCAGAGGGCGATCTCCGAAGACGTCGCCTACGGGGCTCTTCGCTGCTGTCTGTATCTTCGTGGTAGATCGTAGAACCGTCATCCCGGGCCAAAGGCTCTTTAGGTTCGTCATCCGCGGCCGATTCATCCGTTGTTATCATGAGATCGGGCACATCTAACAAATCGTCGCTTTCTTCGATGATTGTATGGTTGTGTGATGGTGTAGAGGGGTTGAGTGAAAGGTTGCCGGGCGCCTGAAAACTTCGTGATGATATGTTCGAAGGCTGCTTTCGATGCGTTGCACGCCACGTGGGGGACATTGGATCAATACTCGTCGTCGGTGACGCGGGGAATGAGTCTAGCGTGGCTGGGTCAAATACCGAGTTGCGGTTGTTGGACTGTGGGGAGCTGGGTACCGAAGAGGGCGCAAAATCGGATGGCTGCTCAGACAAGACGGACCATCGGTGGGACGGTGCCGACTCCCTCGACATGCGATTGAGTTGATGTTGCCGCCATTGTGCTGGCGGTGTCGGCGGCAAGGACGCCTGCGACGGGGGTATGTAAATACCTCCAGCGATGCCTATGCGTTTCTTCCTCGGCTTCTTCGCCTCCTTGTTTACTGCCGCTACATGATAGTGGTGGTGAATGTGGAGTTCCTGGGAGACTGCCGTTGGGCTCTCTTGCGAGCTTCGCTTCGGGTCCAACTCAGCTTCCAGTGTTGGTACAGCCCTTCCTTGAACCTCGTCAAGGGGCTGATGGTACAGTAACTGCTCCCTCAATGCCTGGATCTCGTCATTTGAGTTCATAAGCATCTCACGCAGCTCAGCAATGCCTTGTTGTAGGTTCGCATTGTCTTGCAGCAAATCGCGTACGAAATGTGACACGACGTTGCTCCCACTCTTTGCAATGCTTAACGACTTGGTGACCGCTGCCGCCTTTAATCGTCCGGCCGATGAATCCAAGGATCTCTCGACCTCGCGCTGCCTCTCCATGCGGCCCAGCACTTCCGCGTGACGTTCTCTCTCCTCTCTGCCCTCTCTCTCCATCCTCTCGAGCTGATCTTGTAAGTCGTTGATACCTCTCTCCGCACGCCTCCATCTGGACATGGCACATCGAGCATCTTCCTGAGTTGTTGCCAAGTTCTTCTGCAGGTCTGCTTGCTCCTGTTCGAGGCATGCCAGTTGTCGTTCCAGTGCTTCGGCCCTCGCAGTTTCTCCTTCTAGTCTTCGAATGACTTGTTGTGACGAGAGCAATGTCGCTTCCAGGGACTTGATGCGATCTTCGGAGTCGGTCACGGCGGTATTGAGTGATTCGAGCTGGCTGAGGAGTTCCCGGTTTTCTTCAATCGTCCTGGCGTTCTTCGCCTCGAGCTCCTTGTTGTCCATCTCCAGTTGCTCTATGCGACTGGTAAGCTCCCTGCGGTCACGTTCCGCATCTGCCATGTATGCTTCGTGGCGCTCAAGTAGGGCCTGTAGGGCAAAGGTTAGAGAGTTGAGACCCATGGTGGGGGTTTGAGACTGGTGATATTTTCAAAAACACGGCTGGCGGAAAACACAATTACGTTGTGGGATGGAATGCGTGATTCACGGGGTCCGTATCGTAATGCATGTGTAGGCATGCCATGGGGGTAAGGTGCTGTAGATATATGTGAGGGCAGGAATGGAAAGAGATACGGTCTCGAGTGCTGTTGCTTGCTTGCTTGTACGTACCTGTCCCATTCGTGCTGCATGCTGCACATCTGCTTCAACGCTATCGAGGACTGAAGAGTTGTGTTTCAAAAAAAAACACTCTGATGAGCCGCAGCAGCAGCTCATGGGTGCCGTCCCGGTACCGCAGGAGGACGGCGTGGGTACCTCCTCGGCCATTGTGACTGGTCCACGTAGGGCGAAGTTGTGTCGTTGCTGTGTACTTTTGGCGCGACAGACACATGCTGGATGCAGGTGGTTGCGGGTATTGCTCCCTAGGGTGCGGCCGGACAGGGGCGAGGCGTTCCGTCGACTTCAGATGAAAATGAAGGTTTGCTGACTGTTGCCAAAAGAGCGCAGAAATGTGACGGACACGAAGCCTACTGGGCGGGATACAACATATCGCGTCCTTTCCCGCTTCAAGTTGTGATGGTCTTGGTGTGGAGCCAGCGATCTAGCCCGAGGTGGGGTTTACGAAAAGATATCGATATACCGCCATTAGCTCTCAACATGGTCCAAGATTTGTGCCTTAGTCAATTCTAGGTGGAAGGTGCAATGATCAGACGGGATGGATAGACATGTCTCGAAGCATCGCGAGAAAAGAAAAGATGATCAGAGTATATTCCTGCATTCGGACGCTTGGGAGGTTGGGCTGTGATATCATCCTCGCCGCGACGCTGCACTCTGCAAGCCAACTCAGGGCCCGTTCGTCGAATCAATAAAAACGCGGGCGCAGTCGCACGATCAAAGCCGCGCTTGCAGGTCGCAGAGAACTTTTTCTTTTCACGTGTTTAATTCGCTCGTAGATTAGACTCTGTGTAATTTGACAGGTGGAGGGGTTCGTCAGCTCGGTCCGGGGGTGGGCCATGTTCGCAGTCAGGTCCCAAACCTGTCGTCATTACCGATAAAAAACGATCGTTATTAGTTACCAGGATCAGACAAAACCTCGTGACTGAGAACCTATACTAGAATATACCATGACAATAGCACATAGATATCAACTAACAATGTCACACCACATCGTAGCGTTTTTGTTTAGACCGTGAAACTGGTAAACACGTAGATAGTACTACTTCGGAGCTATTCCAGAGCCAGTGAGACACCTGCCGCGTCCGTCTCGTCCCATCACTTGCCGCGCTGGCTGAAGTCGAAATGGCCTGGACTTCTAACGTCCTAAGAAGCAAGCACTACCTTGGCACACTGCTTCTTGACGGCCCCGGAACAGGAACTTTTTGTCCAAACTTTGAAGACGATCGAGAATTCGGATTTTAATGCGACTGGGCAACATAGCATTCAGGACCAGCAGATCCGACGCAACTTCATCAAACAGCGAACTACGAACAACCACTCTAATAAGAAAATCTCGCGAGCGTCAAAGTCACTGAAAGATTTAGTTTTCCTTCTCATGCGTTCTGAAATCATACTTAAGCCTGTGGCTCAATCCCCCCTGAACGCTTAGCTTCGTTGTCGGCTGTCAGAGATGTAACACGGACGCCGTCGACCCAACGCACTCATGCTAAAGAAAGGGTGAGGATGTCGAGGCCCCCCCTCAGTTCGCTCTTGGAGGGCATCTTGCCTAATTTCATCAATTCGGCCGTCTGAGACATCGCAGGGTCGGCACCCATCGAAGCCATGGCGACGACGGTCTCACCCTTGCAGTAGTAGGCCACGAATTTGCTTTCCTCCGGCTTCCCTTGCAAAACCAAGTCGTCCCAGCCGTTGACGGTGTTGCCGCAGTACCGCAACTGTGCTGAAAGCGCTGACCAAAAGACCGGGGTGAAGAACTCGGATCGCCGTGTTGGGTTGACAATGTGGTTCGCGACAACGCGTCCAGATTGTTGTGCTACGTTCCAGTGTTCAATGCGGGTGTATTTGCCCTCACCGCCGGGGCCGCGGTACTGCAATAGTGTAGTCAGTAAGTGACGGTCTGTAGTAAGCTGAAAGCTTATCTCACGTGAGAGATAAAACAGGAAAGTGGCTTACCGGGAACGAGGCAATATCTCCGATTGCGTAGACGTCTTTGAGACCAACGACAGAATAGTTCTCGTCCGTTTTCAGCGAGCCATCGTCCTCGAGACGAACTACCTTGTTTTCTCGTAGGTACTCGGTGGCAGGGGATACGCCGACACCAAGAATCACCAAGTCGGCGTCCAACTTGTTCCCATCCTTGAGGAATATAGCTCCGACTTTCGAAGGGTCAGAGCCTGACGGCTCGGCCTTGTCGACACTTGCCGACATGTAGAACTTGACGCCTTTGGCCTCCAAGGCCTTCTGCAGGCCTGCGCCGACCTCCTTGCCGAGGACTCGTTCGAGGGGCACGCTTTCCATGCCTACTACACTGACGGCATTGTCGTTGGCCGTTGCGTTGGCAACCTCCATGCCGATGAAACTGCTACCGATGATGATGATCTTCTTGCCTTTCTCGCCGATAGCTTCAACAATCTGCTTGGTGTGCGTGACGCTGCGGAGAGGGAATATGTTGCTCAAGACTTTGAAGCCCTGTAGGGGTAGGTTGCGTGGTGTCCCACCCGTGGCTAAGACCAACTTGGTGTAAGGAACTTTGCCTGCCCCTTTTGTGACAACGGCCTTGTTCTCCAGGTCGACGTCGGTGACTTCGTCTTGAATTACCTCGACCGAGCCCGACTTGTACCATTCTTCATCTCTCCACTGCAGCTTGCTGGGGTCGGTCATCAACGCCTTGGACAGCTTGGTTCGATCGATGGGAAGAACTCCTTCGTTCGTGATCATGTTGATGGGCCCCGTGAATCCCTTGTCTCTGAGTCCCTCGACCAGGCCGAGTGCTCCGCTGCCACCACCGACCACGACAATCTTGTCCGTGTTGGAGCTGTTGCTGGCACTGCACTTGAAGTTGGGCTTTCTACGGCCGGCCTTGATGGTCGCTTGCTCGCCTGTCACGTACACCGCACCATCTTTCTCGGCCACTTTGAATACCGGGAGAGCGTCTAAAGCAGGAGCATCCTCAACGTCACCAGTTTTGCCGTTGAAACACGCACCATGCCACGGACATCGTATCGTTCCATTGTGTGACATGACACCATTGATGAGAGGCGCACCGAAGTGTGTGCATTTGGGTCCAAGTGCTTGGATCTATCGTCTCGAAGAATGGCAAGTCAGTCACTACTCTTTGAAGCTTGATGGTGATTCGCAGGGATGTCGACGGGGTGTATTTGTGCCAGCAGGGCTCCGCGATATGGTGCAGACTCGAGAAGGGAACGCTGGGTGCTCCTAAACTCGCACAGCCCGTACAGATTGAGCCTCTAGCTGAGATGGTACTGACCTTTCCGCCGACATTGACAAGTAGAACCTTGGCTTCGTCGATGCCTTCCACTTCAACCTCTTGCTTGTCACCAGGCTGGAGCGACAGCGAGGTGAGGCCCTTGAGCTTGAATTCCGACATGGCTCTTATCGGTGATGCTGCAATTGGTCTGAAACAAGACGCAATGCCAACAGAAGGCTTCGTAAAGAGACGAGAAATAGTAGATCGCAAAAAGATAGATCTTGCTACAGCTGAAGTCATGAAGCAGGAAAGAGTTCGGTGTAGAGGTGAAGGCGGAGAGAGGCGATTCTTCGGGAGGGTCGGATTGAACACTATCGATCAATAACAATAGGATTCCCGACGGGTCTCCAACTCTCTGCTTTGTTCTAGACAATAGCTCCCTAGAAGCTGCAGTAAGCGCATGATAGTGCGCAACACACTCGTGTCGTAATCCATGCACGGCTTGGAAAAGCAGAGCTTGTAATTGGTCAGCGTGGGGAGCTCCCTCTTATCTGACATCACAAATCTGCTCGCTCCTAGCATGATTCAGTATCTCTCACGTACTTGCAGTTTGGTACTTCGTGGAATAGGGAGCTTTACGAACGACTCCAGAGATATCTACGGTAAAGAATGTTTGCTTCACTCTGTCCTAAGCAAAACGCATTCATACGCAATGCTTTCAATCCATTGCAAGATGCACTGTAGCCCGAAATCAATCAAATATCCCGTCCACGGTTGATAACTGTACTCGGTAGTTTTCCCTGGGATATCGTGCATAGATCGCGGCCAGTGGAGAGCACTTACCCCGCTAAATTAGGCTCTGTGGTGGATCACCAATGGGACCATCTGGGAATGCTCGGCAGTCGCCGGGTCATAACGGTTATCAGGCTTCTCATTGGTTCAGTCTACATGACTTCGGGACATTTGAATGGAATAAGACGGCAAGATCGTAAGCCACAATGCACTGAAGCTCTTTCAATATGACGTCTCATCTCAATAAGTCATCTCCTCTATCAACGGCCCACTTGACGATGTTATCCCAACCAAGACATCGTCAAAACAGACCTTGTACGAAACCGTTAAAGACATGTCTCACCTTTTGATGGCAAGTCTGCCGAGGTCGGTGAGGAGTTGTCAGAAATGCTCGAGAGAAATGTAAGCCATTTGGGTATTTTGTGTAAGTATATCTTGCCGATACCTCCAAAATTGATTTCGACAAGTCTCCGTACCCCCCTGCCCCCCTTTCCTGTCAGAACTCAACCTATTTACGAATAATGTCGGATTCCAACTATTGGGGCTGTATTGGTGCTATGAAGGTGCGGAGGGACCAATCCCAAGCCGGCCCCTGAGGGGTCCCTAAATCCTCCAATCCGGGCCTACCTGCCTTGTACCTGCCTTGTACCCCTCTATACCGGAGGACACAGCTTCCTACAAATACGCTATAGTTCGAAATAAAATCGGATAATTATATACAAAGAACCTCTGTACAGGATTTTTTATGTTCTATGAGATTATGACTCTAATTTACTTATACTACCCCGGGGCCGCCCTCCAGGCGGATCACGGGCGGAGCAAGTGCGGACCGAGCGCTCAGCGTCAGCAATGCGAAGCTTCCTTACTAAGCGATGCACGAACGAAGAAATACCACCGGCAGCGTAATGGTAGTCTCCATTCTCTACTGGAATATTGCGGATTCAAAAGCGAACGCAGCGCTAGCGATTGAGAAGGGAGGCGATCACGATATAATAGCGGTGCAAGAGCCATGGATTAATCGACAGACGAAGTCAATCTACTGCCCAAGGTCGTCTAGATACGAGGCAGTCTATAGTAGCGGCCGAGCCGCGCTATACGTCCATACACGCTACGATGTAGCCTCGCTACGACCCCGAACGGGTACCGACTGGAGCAGTATCACATTCGGAACAGGCCCGGATGCCCTTACCATCTGGTCTATCTATTCACCAAACCAGTCCGGAAGCCGCTGGATTAGCCCGCTCCGGGACCTCCCTAGTGAGGCCCCGGAAGGGAAGCAGGTCCTCGTAGGGGACTTCAATACACATCACCCGTTGTGGGACATACACGGACGATCGTCACGGGGTAGCGAGAATGTGGTAGAGTTTGCGCGACGGTGGCAATTAGAACTCGCCACACCTTTCGGGGAAATTACACGGCAAAGACACAGACAAAGGGACTCAACTATCGACCTTGCATGGGCGACGAAGGGGACCGTAATAGACTACGAAGGGGACCCGGGCCTAGAGGGATCGGACCATAGGGCGCAAGTAATCAGGGTAATATCTAACGAGGAGGCAGCGAATGAAGGCCGCCGTAACACCGAGGGGTGGAATTGGACGATGGCAGATAAGTGGCTAATCGTAGCCGAGTCGGGCCAGAGATTCATGAACTATTTGCCGGTTGAGACGAGAACAGAGCTAGACCAGGCGGTCGATTGGGTCATCCAAAACCTCCAAGAGATCGCCGACGTGGCGGCCCCTAGGCGTACTGTTGGTAGAGGCGCCGGGACCCCGTGGTGGTGCCCCCAGGTCAGCAAGGCTTGCGCTGAGACGAAGAGGCGACGACGAGATTACCTCCACGCGAGGTCGCAGACTAACTGGGACGAATACTTAAGAGCTAACCAAAAACAACGGCTCGAAATCAGCGAGGCACAGGCGCGGAGCTGGCATGAAAAACTCGAGAGGACGGCGAAGGATCATAAAAGCCTTTGGGCACTACAGAGATGGGCTAGGCTGCGGAGCTGGACACCCCCTGACACCCATGGGATGCCGGATCTTCGACGGAACGCAAGCGATGCACCCACAGCGCGCACCCACGACGAGAAGTCAAAGCTACTAGCTGAGAGGTTCTTCCCAGACCCGGATATAGACCTGTCGGATCTCGATCACAACCCGCCACGGACGAGACCAGACCTGGACGTCCCTAAGGAGGTAAACGCGAAGGACATCGAGGCTGTTATCAAGAAGACAGCGGCTTGGAAGGCCCCCGGCGATGACCAGATCCCTACGGGCCTGCTGAAAATCTGTGGTAAACCCCTATGGGAGATCCTAGCGGATATAGCGACCGTAAGCTTTAGGCTAGGATACTACCCGGAGCGCCTCCGCTCGGCAAAGGTAGTCGTTATCCCTAAGCCGAACAAAACGACAGCCCAAAAGCAGACCCCTAGCGGCTGGCGACCGATAGCGCTGCTTAGTACGATAGGGAAGGTGATAGAGGCGGTGATATGCCAGCGTATCACTACCGTCGCGGAGACGGCCGGTCTGTTACCAAACGGCCAAATGGGTAACCGAAAGGGCGGTCCACCGAATTAGCGATACGTACAGTCGAGGACGTAACCTATACAGCTTGGAGGCGCGGAGGGATCGCCACACTACTACAACTTGATATTAAGGGGGCGTTCGACACAGTTAACCACAGGCGTTTGATTTCTATACTAGCCCGGAAGGGCTACCCGGAGTGGGTTCAGGAATGGGTACACAGCTTCGTAGAGGATAGGACAGTACGCCTCCGGTTCGACGGTAAGGAGTCAGAGCTGATCCCTCTACGAGCTGGCGTCCCCCAGGGTCGCCACTCTCCCCGATACTATTTATCCTATATATCTCGACGCTATATGAGGAACTAGCGGAGAAACACCCCCTACTCTTAGTCGTAGGGTTCGCGGACGATACGAACCTACTCAGCGTGAGCACAGACACGGGCACGACCTGCCGCCGACTAGAGGACGCTTGGGCTACGTGCCAACGGTGGGCCGCCAGGCACGGGATGGAGTTCGCTCCGGACAAGAGTGAGCTGATGCACTTCACTAGAACCCGAGACCCCTCCCCGCAGAGTATCCGTCTTGGAAACGCTACAGTAACACCGAAGGTCTCGGCAAGGTTCCTAGGGGTCTGGTTTGACCGCAAATTAACGTGGCACGCCCATACCGAACGGGTTAAATCAAAAATGGCGACTCAGAAGCTAGCCCTAACAAAGCTAGTGAACATGGCGTGGGGCTGCGATCTCATACGGGCGAGACTACTGTACACGTCGGTTATTCGCAGCGCGATTGCCTTCGGGGCGGCTGCGTGGCACACTATAAGCGAGGAACCAGCGGGACCAGCTCAGAGCCTAGTCGGGATACAGAATGAGTGCCTCCGAATAGTCTGTGGCGCCTACAAAGCGACACCGGTCCGACACCTAGAAATAGAGGCAGCTATCCCGCCACTAGACCTATATCTCAGTGCCCGGGCGGCGAAATTTGAAGAACGGCTACGGAATAACGGCAAAAGGAGCCTGCTTCGGAGCGCGAGCGCGAGAGCGTCACACATACTCCGACAGGACACGCCGGCGAGACGGAAGCGGGCGTCACAATCGCTCAGACCAGCGGGGTACACGATAGAGAAGGAGGCTAGGGGCTCCGAGTGGATAGGCAAGGCGAAGGAAGTCCCGGCCGCCCTCCTAGACCACTGGGAGAAGAGATGGCTCTCCGGGGCAGCACAACACGACCGCCAGCGACGCGCTATCGCCGAGGAGCAGGAGGGCCCCTCGATGCGAATGCCGAAATAGGGCAAGTACTCAGACCTAAACCGACCGGAGGCGTCTACCCTATGCCAGATCAGGACCGGAAAAATAGGACTATCAGCTTTCTTATTTAAGATAGGAGCCTTCGGTGTGTACTTGCCGTTATGCCGCTGTGGAGAGGCCCCCGAGACGGCAGAGCACGTAATCCTCTTTTGCGGCCTGCTGGAAGAATCGAGAGAGCGCCTACGGGCCACTATCGCACCATGGCCGCTGCATACACGTAGAGACCTGGCAACGGCGACGGGGAAACCAGTAGTCAGCGGGACTATCACAAGGTGGCTACTCAGAACTGGCCGGATAGCGCTTAGGCCCGGATAATATCGATCTTCTCAGGGGGACTTTGTTAGTAGGGTGAGAACTAACATAGTATTGTGGTGGACGTAACGCAGTCGCTAATAGAGCGAACCTACGTAGCAGCGTATGTATTTAGTCCAGCCATTAGGGCACGGTTTGACATACGGGAGCACTTGTAGAGGTACCGGGGGCTTCGAGCCTATGGCGTATTTAATAATAATAATAATACTTATACTTACTAGAACTCCAAACTTATATTAATGGAAAATTATACGTAACCTCATCTCTAAGAAATCTCTTAGAGAGTAATAACTTACTTCTGTCCTAAATAGAAAGAGATAAGTATTACATAGCTAAATAATTCATATTCACAAACAAGATATTTTAAAAGTTATGAATACGAGTTTTCAGGTATCATTTAGAACCCTACACAATCAATATAAGCCTCTGGAAGCACGTGGGTTTTGCTGAGAAGTGGGTGGAGGGATGGGGCAGCGGGCAGGGGTGGCGTACGGAGACTGAATAAGGGTCACTGTACCATGACACCAACTCTGCCTCATCGTCTCTCATTGCATCGCAAGACTACAAGTACTTCTAATCTCTCCCGTTGTGAAATTTCACCACCCTACTCCCAACACAGCTATCCAATACGCAAACGTGACCACGAGCCACTTGGTCAAACTTCAGTCCGGATCGAGGATTTGGGCCTCGTTGGTAACGCCGAGGTGAGGACAGCCGAGGGATAAGATACGAGGGTACCTTCGGAAGCTTGAGGCAGATCGCCATTTCCAAATATGCAAGGCATAGACAGCCATTGGCCACAATCGTCGGGCCTGGAAGTGTCATACACGACTATGATGACGCCCTAGACTTGGGGTGCAGAGTTAGCTGTGGGTGTCATGCTTCGAGTTGAGGCAAAAGCCAGACTAGACGTGGATGAATGAGGCCACGTGAAATACAGCATGATTGCCTGGATGATCTGGGAAACTTATTCCAGACTGTAAAGTGATCCTCGTACCATGTTGCCGAGCCCTTGGCCCTCGATCTCCTAGAGAAACCTCTGCTATGTACGGAAGCAGCGCTCTTCTCTACGTTGAAGGTGACATCGCTTCCATTAGGCGTTGATGGTAAGCTCATTATCTTCCCAGTCAGAAACACGGTTCAAACTATACTATAGGGTGACTTGGCTAAGGTACGACAAAGGCCCGAGTATCCATCGAGGTGGGATGAAGAGTTCGGGGTAGCCAACGTTGGACCAACGTGTTGAGTATCTCAAGACGCCTTGGCAGTCAACAACTGATTCACCACTGACCCCACATGTCAGGCCCAAAGTTCAATCTGACTAAATCTCATCCATTATAACTTGACCTGCAAATGTCGACTATTCCCACGTAGCCCCCCGGCTTACGTAACGACTACTCTTTGTAGATTACGCGTAGATCATGTCAAATAAATGTGGAAGATACATATACCCGTTGATCTGAGAATCATGATAGACCAGGTGGGTGGTTGGTGGGAAATATGCTGTTGTCTTCGCGAAGGAAAGGTATATCTTCTGTATACAACCATCAAATTATGATAAGTCATGGGGGGGGGGGGGGGGGGGGGGGGGGAGGGGAAGGCTCTCTTAGCTCGTCCGGGCATATCCTCTCCGATTTCACGCCAGACCCAGCAGTCTTCATCACCATCTAGCGTTGACAGACGGTGCAGACATTGCCAACTGTCATGAGGAGCAGGCAGTTTCGCAAACGGTGTTCTCCTATGGTCGATTCCGTCCAAGGTCCCGCAGACCTGCCATATCTGTCCTTGCAGCCTGCTCCCATCACCGCCTAAACTTCACACCCAACCTCCTCATGCCTTCCTCAGCGAATTGTAATGCTCCCCCAACCCATACCCATGCCGGTAATACGCCAACCATATCCTCCTCCCCTCCTTCTCTCCCTGCCCGCCCGACTCAATTGTCTCCGTCCTCCCATCCTGCACGACCTTAATGTCGACCCCATACGCCTTGCTTAACGCCGCCAACTCCAACTGCCCTCCCCACTCAGCCGTATCCCTCATCTTCGCCACATAACCCTCAAAATCCTCCTCGAGAAACGGCGCGAAATCATCCGGGTGCGCTTTCATGTACTCCGTCGCCTTCCTCCGCACTGCTTTGTACGGTGGTAGCTTCGTCTCGTCTTCTCCATGGGAAGAACTGATCGGGATGGAAAGCTGCACAAGTTGATCCGCCACCGCGGAGAACAGACAGTGCCCGTCGGGCTGTATCTCCTTCTCCGTCAGGCCGTTGGCTTTGAATTGCGATAGAAGAGATGTCTTCTCTATGCCTCGGTGGTCCGTCATGTTGGCTGCCTCCTCTTGCGCTTTCTGGGCGGCTGCCTCTTGTTCTGCCGCGCGTCGGGCCAGACGTTCTTTTTGGCGGTTGCGCTTCTTGCCGTCGTTGTTATTCTGCTGCTTTTGTTGGTTGGGCGGTGGTTGTAAATGCGATGATGCGACGTCGCCGTCGAGGGTCGTGCTGTTGAATTGGACTGCCACTGCGTTGAGGGCCATTTCGAGGTCGGCTCCGTTCGTCTCGTCTTGGGGCTCGGGCTCGTCGTCTGCTCCATCTTGCGCGCCATTGGGTTCTCCATTGAGGCTTGCAAGCTCCTGTGCCTGACGGTCTTTCAACTGGCGCTCGAGCTCGGCGCACTCGTCGTTGACGCCCTTCCGTGTTTTCTTGCTGGCGTTCTTCTTCTTGTTCGTGATTCGAGATTGGAGGTCCCGCTGTTCCTTGCGGTGCCGCGTTTGTACAGCTTCTAATGTCCCCATGGTGGACTTGAGGTTTACAGAAAGTTCGTGTGAAATAGTTTCGGCTATGAGATCGGCCAGTCAGGAATTCGACGATAGTCGCAAAAGAAAGTGCTCGTTCAGTGAGTGTGATTCCAAGACCCTGACGTAGGTAAAGTTCTTGATATTTACTCGTGGTGGGGTGCCATGCCGATTGACACAGGGATCTTAGCTTCGTCAGATCACCTCACTGACAGGAGCGCATTCGTAGGTAAGCTACCTCAAGGTAAGGGACTGACTGATTTGGAATATGGACTTTATTTACGATGCACTATCGAACCATTTTGAGCAATACCCTCTCTCTATTCACAATTATTCCAGAGCCTACTTTGCTTCATCGACTATTAAATATTTACTTTACAGATTATTTGTACAGTTTCCCCGTGTTCCCCGTGTGGAACTTTCGACCCATTTCAGTATCATTACCTACCTATCCCACCACCATGGTCTTGAGACCAAGCCCTTTGCGAACTTCTAGGATCGAGAAGTCCACCGACTGCCCTGTTCCTATTTCCTCGTCCGTTCTACCGCATCCAAAATTCAAGAAAACATAGCCTGTTCATGGCGAAACGATTGATCGTACAAATATCGTGGCATAACAGCCAAACACTGAGGACAACTGACAAGTTCCCAGACTGTTGTACATGATTCGTTTTTGGCCCTTGGGTATCCCCGAAACTCCGCCGTCTGACAAATGACGGCAAATAATGAAACGCCCTCTCCCTCTCCCTCTCCCTCTCCCCGGGGTTGAGCATATAGTGGGTACCTCGGAGGATATATAGAAAGTAGTCCGGAGAAACTAGGAAATTGTTTAGAACCCCTTGAAGGGGTCGTCTCGAAAGTAATCCTCCTCCGGTGCTGTCCGGTTTCCCCCATACCAATCGTCGGTTCCGCGTGTGGTACGGGAATTGTGGCTGTCGCGCTGTCGACTGCGACTTCTGCGGCGACGCTGCTCCTTGCTTCGTCTGCGAACTCTGTAGCGCATCTCCTCGTGCTCGTCGGGGTATTCGTCAAAGCGTGGGAAAGCGAGCGGGCTGATGAAGGCCTCCATTCGCACCGTGCCTATAGCTTCGAAGAAGTTTTGTCCCGGGCGCGAGGAAGCCTCCGACGTGCGTTGGGATGCTGCTGAGCTTATAGCCCAACCCGACGCGGTGTTACCGTTGCTAGACCCTTGGGTGTATATATCAGACGAGCCAGCTGTGCCAATACTGTTGCCAGTAGCACTGTTTGTTGCAGCGTGATAAGAGGTACCATGACCCACCGGTCCCGAAAAGCCTCGGAATGACAAAGGTGGAGGAATGTGGCCGCCCGTATTGCTCCTCTTGCGACCATGCAGCACCACCTGATTGGCCCGTTCATGAACCCGTTCCGTGGATCTTTCATGATATCGGGGAATGAACGGCGGTTCAGCGACGTCCTTCGAGAGTTCGCGCTGGTGAGTTGGCATAGGAGCAAAAGCCTCTGGCTTGAAAACAAGTGCGTCTTCGAATTCGAATTGTTGCGAGTTGGGCATTGGTTCTGCTCGGGGCTGCACTGGACTCTTGCTCTTCTTGAGCATGATAGAGTCACGAATGCCCATCTTCCTCGACTTGGTCGGCGGCGGCGGCGGCGGTGTGTCGAATACCGGCCGCAACTTGGCCTGTGGAGGAGGGGCTGCGACAATATTTTCGGGTACGGACTGGGCCGAGTGCGCCAGGAAGGAAAGCGACGTCAGCCATAAGTAATGTCGTTCCGCATTGACTGTGGTAAACTTGAGTGCTCGCTGAGGCGTCAAGATCAAGATGGACCGGTTGAATATCTGGTTGGCACCCTTGGGAGCAGGATTGTCGTCCTTGACATCCAAAACCGACTGGATTGTCACTGCACATGTACATGGTTAGAAAATAGTGCATGCATGGCGCTTTGGGGTGAACTTACGTTTTCGGCCAGACTTGCCCATCAAGGCACTCCCAGAAGATGGCTGCTTGCCGCTCCACAAAATGGCACGCTCATATGGTGCGAGCCACACCCACCGCTTGTGGCGGTCATTGCTGTTCTCCTCGCCCTTGGTGTCGGCCATGCCAAATGACCTCCGCCTTCGCACATACTTAAACATCCACTCTCCCACCATAGTCTGAGCGATGGCGTCCACAACACCCGAAGCCTGCTGAGAGCTGCCCACAGAGCCCACATTCGTCGTTTCGGTGACAGCCGTTGTGGTTGACGGTTGAGGCCGGTGTCCGCGATAGCGGGGTGCCGCATAGTCGCGCCTGGGCGTGGTGATGTCGTTGCTCGGCAGGGGAGGCAGACCCGGACTCTCGGGCGCCTCTTCCGAAGGTGACATCGGTGGTGGCGGCGACGAGCGACTGCCCTGTCGCCTGTGTCTGTTGTTTCGGGGCAAAGCCACGGCAGAGCGGGTTTTGCGGATGCTGTTGGACCTCGACGGGCCGGCTTTGTGACCTCGGCGGTGCCAGCTTCCGTCCATTCTGATTGGACTCCGTTGGCCGTCGCTGGGGGCACTGGCGCTCATGGGGGGCTGACGTGAGCTTGCTCTGGTGGGAATCGGGAACGGCGGATTCTTTACGTCGGTGAAGCTTGGGCTCCTGGCACGCCCCTGATGAGACACGATACCACTCTGAATCAGGGCCGATTTCCGCATGGCACTTGCCCGGGAAGCCGTGTTCAACGAGGCTGGCTTGTCAGCTGGCCTCACTGATGGCTTGCGAACGAGCGTCTCGCGACCTTCAGGCAGGCTGAACACATCCGTCGACTTCGTCAAGCTTCTCGACTGTCTGGACAGTGGCACTTGTTCGAGAGTAGAGCTTGCGCCCGACGCAACTCGCTTGCCGTGGCGGCCAAATGAGCCTTTTGGTTTCGGTGCGGACAAGGCTGTACGGAACTCCAAGTCACTCATGTCGGCGTCGGCAAACTCGTCTCCGTCGGAGCTCTGAGCTTCGAATCCGGCAAAAAGGCTGCTGATACGATGGGGGCGTCTCATGGGTGCCTTATGGCTCGACAGGGGCCCATCGTCATTGTTACCGGGATAAGCGTCGCGAGTTGGGCGATGGTCATCCAATCCAGGAGATACCGGAGGCGATGAGCCAAAGTCGCTGGTGAAACTACGCTTGCTAGCTAACCGACGAGGGTTTCGAGGAGGTACGTTGCCCGGCAGGGGCGTGAAGTTCTTGTCTTCAACCGTTCCCGGCGGCTTGGGAGAATTTGGGCGAGATGTGATAGCCGAAGGATGCAAGTGGGCTGGAAGGCGGTCAAGTCGCTTATCGATGCGGATTTCGTCCGTCTGCATTCCGCTTGATTTGACCGAAACAGGCCCCAGTATCGACACCTGGCAACCAAAGTCCTTGACATACTGGGGCAGCCTGTGTTCTCGTGGCGTTGCTGGTCGGCTGGTAGGCGGATGGATGCTAATGCTGGGGATCATCGCTAGCGGCGGTTGCATGAATTGTGTGACGGGGGCGGGAGCCGGGTTAAGAGGTGGCGGTGGAGGAGCATCTGTTTGCGTGGCCGAGGACATCATTTGAGGGACAGGCTTCGCCTCGACGACTGGTGCTGGCGCTGGTGCTGGCAGTGGAGCTGGATGAACATCAATCGGCGTTTTTGGTGTTCGTGGCGGGCTCAGGGGTTCTGCCGAAGTCTGGGATGAAGCCGACACCATCAACTTAGACATGCTCGGCGGCTCAATAGGCGCTGGCCTGTTGATATGCACTCGCTTCCGTCTTTGGTTTGCTTCGATTTCCCATTCGCGCTTGGCCGGGATGTCGGTTTCCACTGGCTTTTCCACACTGATGGCAGGCTCCAGTGTACACGGCTTCGTCGGTGCCAACTTGGGTGAAGGAGGAGGCGAGAACTGGATGCCCGTGTCCTTGTACTCAGGCTTCGGAGCAGGTGGGGTTTCATCGTCCTCACGGATTCCATTTTCCAGTCTATCGAGCACGCTAAGGTTCATAAACAGTCTCCCGCGGGCCACACTTCCAGGTCGCATTTGACTTTCGCTGCTCCGGTTGCGGCGATGGGTCTTGGGCGGGGACTTGAGTATAATACTGTCCCTACTCTGGTTGCGCATGTGTCGAGCATTCGACATGACACTCTGGCGGCCATCCATGACACTTTGACGACCATCCATGGCACTCTGGCGGCCATCCGGATCCGTCTCATAATCTGTGTCGTCAAAGTTGAGCTCGTCCGCAAGACTGTGGCCATTGACTTTCCCCGCCATCATGGAGAACCGGATGCTGTTGGTCATACTCATCGACCTGACGCTGGTACCGTCGTTTTCCCTCGCACCATCCTCCGCCTCACTTTCAACACCACTGTGGGGGCCATTGAGCTGCGCAGCCTGGGCGCTGGCCACCTCGTCCAGGATTGTTTTCAATCGTGTGTCTGCGACATGCAATTTCCTCTCGTATTTGCGCTTTTCTTCTTCCCAGTCGTCCTTTTCTTTGGCCCATAGGTCATGGACTCTTTGCGAGTCTTCTTCTTGAGTCCGAATTTTCTTTTGTGCCGTTTCAAGACGTTTTTTAGTCTCCGTAAAAGCCTCGACAGCTTCGTCACGTTCTTTGGCCAATTCACCGAGAGCAGACGAGGTTCCCCCTTCGAGTAGCGCCAATTGACGCTTAAGAGATCTGCTTTCCTTCGCTGTGTTCAGAGCGGTCGTTTGCAGAGACTCGTGCTCCTCTCTTGTACTGTGAAGTGAAGACTCAAGACTCTCAATGAACTTAAGCTTCTCCTCTTGATCTCGACGCAAAGTCAAGATTTCAGAAACGAGGTTCGCATGTAGCGTCGGCGTAAATCGACGTGGGTCGAAAATACTGATGTTCTCATTACTCGTGATGTCTTTCGAAGCCCGCTTGGCATTTCGCTCGACCTTCTCCGAAGGCATGGGTGGAGGGGAAGACGAAGATATTGCCGGAGGCGTCACCGAGCGGTGCGATCGCCTCGAGCTCCGTGACGGCGTTCGGTAGGGAGTGTCTGATAGGGTTGGTAACGACTGGACGGCCGCACCGCTGAGCTCATCTTCCGTTTCCCACACAGACATGGTGTCTGTTCACCGCAGAGTACCCAGGTTCCGTCCAGATAACGCCTGACAACGCTGCACCCAAGGGATTCTGCGCATAGAGGAAGTGCGATCACATATAAGTGTTCGCCAGTCCACGTTTTGCAGTTCCCACTTCAGCCCCCTTGGGTCCTTCAGAAAGCGATCCAAGCAATATTAGTACGGTGTCCACCCCTGTTTACAGTGGAGTGATAACACAATCAGCCCTTGCATATAATACAACTAACCCAAACATTAGCATCGCCGCAGCAGGAAACGTAACAGAAAAGCGGATGTGAACGGCATACAGGGGCCGCGCTTGATTGAAACGCCACACACCTGATGAAGGCGACTAACAAGACAGGCCAAGTTGAAGGGTATACTAGTCTGACGTGACATCTGGTATAAGCCGGTGATTATAGGATTGCAAGGAGGAAGTTGCAGCACGTAACCACAGAAATGCAAAAATCTCCGCTTCTGTTCGCCATTTGTTCGAGAATCGCGGGGCCTCCTTCGTAAATAAGATGGTATGCTCACCTTAGGCCGCCGAATATTAGGGGTAAACCTGGTTGCTTTCCAGCAGTACCAGGTCCGAGACTCTTTCCAAAGCACAAGGGGTATTAATTGGCGTTTCGATTGCAGTTGCGGGGAGCAATGGTCTTTCAATGATTCGTGTTCATGCTCAGTAGTTCGGCTTATTTTGGGCGACGGTTGGGCGTGCTCGAGCCCCCGATTCAATTGGATGACACTCAACACGTACGAGGTGGTGTATAATGGTATATATAATATGTACAAGAATCAAGGAAGGCGTTGCAGGATGGAACGTGGAGGTTCGGGGAGGGGGAAGTGTCCGTCTATATTAATGACCCGTCAGTAATACGGTATTAGGTTTGCAACATGCTTGTGGAAGATTCACGACGGGAGGGAGAGAGACTGGGACGGCAGATCTACAAGCAGCGCAGGGAGAAGCTGGACAGACTTACGAATGATGAGGATGCAGTCTCGAGGTATCTGGTCTGTGAGAAGCTCGAACGGCTGGTCGAGATGTCAGATGAAATGTGAATATGCGCGCCCCTCAGTTTCGGGTCGCCGCTCGATAATGATTGCTCACCATGAGATCCGCGAAGGGGTTCCCCAGAGATGCGAGGATGGGACGCGCACGGCAACAAGGAAAAAGAAACGATAAGAGCGCGCAGACAAACTGCAAGTTGACAGCGCGTCTGTCAGTTGTCGCAAAGCGTTGGCCGAGAAAATAAGAAATTGACCCGGAACTCAAGCTGTGGTCAAAGCAGAAAAGGCGTCCAGAACGATGCGCTAGATGTAATAACGATACCCACTTTGACTTAACGGTGGACACGGCCCAGGATCCGGCTGCATGGAGAGATACACATTACCAGGTATAGAATCCAGAGTGAGGACTTGTTCGACTGGGGTGCGCATCCGGACGAGCAGCTTGCCAGCCTTGTTGGTCTCCACGAACGCGTGGGATGGTACAACTGTACTTACCTCGTGAATCCGCGACTCGGTGGCACCGCCGAAGCAGTTGTGTGCTTCGGCATGTCCAATCCAGATGCAGGACCAGAACAAACTGGACTAACATTGAAGGGGAACTGGCAACAACGCTGTGATGTCTCTTCCGGATCTTCTCTTGTACAATATTGTCAGGGTGAAACGGTGGCAAATCTGCTGGCACTAAAAGACGATTGGGAATAAACGCCTCCAAAAGGGGGACAGGCCTTGCTGTGCCACACTCAAATGTTTGATTTCGCTGGAATCGCTGGGTGTCGGAGCCAGGGATGTTCGGTCTTGAGACGACGATCTAACCTTGTGGAGCTTCCTCCCATTTACAGCCAACTGCGTGTCAGGAGAAGACAAGATCTTGGGGAATCCCTCATAGCCAGTCGCAATTCATTATGTGAACACGCGTGACAGGCCCAAGCTAATGTGTAATGCGGGCGAGTCAAGCGACTGGCAATATTATTAACGTGGTGGGTGTGGGCTTGGAGATGCATCATACAAGTCCAAAGCGCTACGGTAGCTCCATCAGGGTGTTGACTAGATTGGTGCAATTGATTGGCAGTTGAATGCAAAGCGGGAATACTGGTGCGAGGCTTCAACGGCTAGCCCTCTTTGGGGAGCCGTCAAATAGAAATTGCTGGCAGGTTCCTAACGTGCTAATCTCTTCCATTGCTGATCGCATCGTCATTCGCTCTTTTCTGCAGCTTTCTCAAGTCCCAGATCTGGAGAAGAGCCCAGGGCGGCCTGGGGCGCCTGGAGGCCTGGGTGTCTGCTCGACTTGCAGATTACTCTCAGCTCCTACGAGGTAATTGGTTAAGTTGCTTGGTTGTCGAACAACAAAATGATCCTCCCTTTCCTCGGGTTTGCAAATGGTGCCGTCGTGATGTGGACGGCGGTTAGTTAGCTGTGATATAGAGGGCGACGCAATCTGCTTCCTAAGTGCTTGAACTCAATTGCAGATTCAAATTGGCAGACGCGGCTTCAGTTCCCATCGTGCATATATGGCTGCAGAACGTGTGTGTGGGGGACAAGCATCTTGCCTGCTCGCTCCGGGATACTGAAAAATGCCCAGGCGATGGTTTGTGGCATTAAACTATCTTCTGGTGGTCTGTCATTACTTGGCAGTACACTAGTGTAGTGGTGGTTTTGCGTCGTATTTGGTTCTTGCCAGTACTGTATGTCAGCTTGATAAGTCACATCAATGCATTCTTGCGACATGAAGTCTACTGCATCTCATCTCCCGACCCGTTGACAGATACTATTGCAATATCTCCACTTTCAGGTGGGTGAATCTGCCAGACAGCTCTTTGAACGTTACCACCTCATGGTCCGACGCCTTCTTGGAGGCTCAGCGATACGCAACGTCACGTCGTACCCTGCACTCGTTGCTGTAATGCACTCTTAGAACCCTGCAATTAGGCATCACTGATTCAAGACACAATCAAAGTCAGTTGCAGTTGGTAGTTCTTTGACGTTTCTCATCTGGGCAGTCAAAGTCATACCACTTACTACATCATCGCACCGGCGGACCAGTAGTGTATTTTCAGCTTTCCAAGGTACCTTCAGGTACTCTCGACTTCCACCAATTATCCACTACTGGCAGAACTGGGGCCTCGAAAACAACCCTGGTTGTCTGCCCCGTTGATGGGCGTCAGGAGGGTCTCCTATCGAACCTTGACTCTCCCAGATCCACGGAAATTACCTGAGCCATCACATCACGTCGTGATGCAACTTGTACCGACTGCAGCATCCTAGTCAGTGCCGAATTTCAATCGGAACCCAGGCAGCCCGTTTTTCCATGTCCGGGTTCCGACAGGAAAAATCAAAGCTTCGATGATCATACGCATGAGACTCGAGACCCAGGCCCAATGTTGGAGAGCCGCCCGATAGAGCAGAGAGCGACAGAGCTTGGAGGTATTCTTAGAAACTTCAACAAACTTGACAGTTGTCTCGACGACTTGGGGAACTAACTACCTTGCTTGCCTTTACCTACTGGGCTCGTCCCTGCTCGTATTAAATTCGTATCAAGGAACTAGGGTTGGGTTGACGCGTCGCACGAGAACGACGTGCGCGGCTGAAAAGAAGGATTGACTACCCGCTCCAGACGACACAGCGGTTACATCCCTCCGTTATCAATTTCTCCCCGTATTCTGGCGAGTGGTTACTGGCGGCCGCTCCTAACTAACGAGGAGAATATCGGAGAATATCCTCAATGATCCAATGTGCCGTGCCGTCGTCTTTGCAGGAACGACGGACCTGGGCGCCACATCGACCAGTATGTTTTGCATTCACTCGACCAACTGCCTGGATCTCAGCAAGTTTTTCCGAGGTTCGTCCAGCGATTGGCGTTGGACGTTGCAACCGGCCAAATCCTGGGCCAATATGTGCCTTTTGCAAGTTGAATGCTTGTCCTACCTATCTTCAGCTACCGACAGCCGGCAAGCGAGACGCACATCGTCGCCACAGTTACAGACACCAGGATTTTTTTCGTACTCGGCCGCATAGGAAAACAGGCCATTTTCTATTCATCCCAGTCGGTTGAAAGCAGCAACTGTGATTCCCATTTCCTAGCAAGGGTCGACTGCAGTCGGATCACATACTACCGCAGTGAAAATCAACCAGGGCAGAAACGACTCGCCGTTGTACGGAGTCGCGGATGCAACCTAAGCACGCAGGCGCGGTCTGGAGCGAGATTACACAGGAAGTTCATTGCCCATGTTTGCTCAGGAACATAGAGCCCCGGAAAGCCACAGTTGGTGGCATCCGGGCCGCTCCCTAGTCTGCCAAGCAACCACTTTGTAGGTGGGCATGACTTTTTCATTGCCAATGGGATCGTCAAGTTCATGTCCATCGAGATGTCCCGCCATACCAGATGTGAGGCCACTCCTGCTTCCACCCAAGAAATTGTTGGGCTTAGTCTTGATTAAGAAACAATATGACAGAGATCGGTCAAGGACTTTCTTGATCATGGTCTTCATTCTCTCCACCAAAACACCTTAGCCTGGTTATGGCGAGCTGTACCTAATAACCTTTGGCACTGGCTGGAGGATAGCATCATGAGGTTGCATCAAAGGTGACGTTGATTTCGTCCCCATAATGCATGGCGGCCTAATTGCGTTTACAGTTGTAGAACATGCGAACATTTATAGGTTGCATGGCCGTCAAAGACTGCAACTCTAGCATCCCACCGGGGATCCCGCCGGGAATGCCGTCATTGCTGCCAGATATAGTGAACACGCGATGCACTCCAGCGGCGGGACATTAGCTCATACGGATAAGAGACCAAGAGACTAATTACCGCAAATTACGATCTGTATAGCCTACGAGCCGTCCAGAGTGAAGTTGAGTCCACCAGATTGGGTGTTTCAAGTATATTCCAACCCTCCTTACTTCAACGTCAACTGACCTTTGTAGGTCGTGGAGGCGTTTGCTTAAGTATTATCACTTCCATTTTGCACTTCGGCACCAAGAACTCGGGAAGTCGGCCAACTGCTTCATTGCGGTGAGGCAACTTCAAACAGCGAATGACAAGGCACAATAGTTCTTGGGTAACCCAGTACTTGCAGGATCCCAATACCGTGAGCAACAAAGAAGAGCAACAGAAAAACGTGACCCCTTTCGTGTGCAAGTCATCTTCGCTTGGTGTCTTGGTTCGGGCTTGGACGGCGGTTCACAACACGACTTGCAACCAGACAGCGTACGTAGAACCTGGATAAGACGCTGGGGACAGTCCCTAGTCTCCGGGACATCACTATCGAAGCGATTCAGCCTCTACCTCATCTCTCTTGCCTTGCGTTCTGCTGGTTCTCCGACAATTCCCTTGTTCATTTGGGGGATGTTTGTCCTAACAACTCCTCCTAGGCCCCTGTCTCTAGGATCTTCCGATCTTCCGCCATTCACCTGCGTGGAAGCAATCCATCCACAAGTGTGGTTGCGTGGAACTCTTCCTATCCATGCGGAGAATTTGCTGTATCAAGATGAATAGTTGCGAATTAACGAATCAGGCCAGCCTCCTGCTCGCACTCGCATGGTAAGCCCCGAACGAGCGAACCACTTGTATGCATACCTAACTATGTTTGTCAACTCGTCGGGACTTTCCGGTGAATCCAACAAACAGTGCATGGTAATAATTCGAGACATATCTTGCGTATGTACGGTAGTATCAGACATTGTAGTTGTACGAAATTTGGTGACTCAAGGACTCAGGAAAAAGGTAGGTTTGCTCGAAGTTCCCACTGCAAACCCCTGAATCATGAACCGGATCAAGGGCCCGTATGCACAGCTTTACTAATAGGGCATTTAATTTTAAAAAATCATCTGAGCGCCTATAATGACGGTGGCGGAGTCTTAGTATCGTGGCTTTGCCAATGTCTTTTCTCTTGCATGGTTGGAACGTGAAACCTAGAGGTGTTCCGTGGCCTTCTTGGTGGCCAAGAGGTGAAAGTAGGCGAAACCTCTGCTCCACGGATATTCGTAACAATAAATGAAGCCTAGTTTGCTACTCAAAGGCTTGATGCTGATCCAGCGATGTTCTTGACTTCATTCTGATCTGTTGATAGTGCACTGATTGTGGCGGTTTCGTTGCTGATGAGATGCGCCTGCTGGGATAATCAGGGGACGCCAAATATGCTTACCAACGGCTTGCTTGATTTAACTCGCTTCAGAGACGAAAATGTATACTTAAGATCTCACACGGTAAGACTTCAGGTTAACAAAAGCCCCATTCATCATGTTTTAGTCTCTCCTGGAGCTCAAACGGCAATGAGAGTCAAAATGGGAAACCAATTATGAACTCACCCACTGTGGTTAATGATGAAGAGAGCTTGCACCATACACAACTTAGTGACCCCTTTCCATTTCTCCAAGATCTCCTAAATGGTGATTCGTTGACATCTGAGTTAGCGTACGTCTCCAAAGCCCCTGCGTGCACAGACACGTCTGCTCGTTCATTCAAAGATGATATAGCGCAAATTTCTCTATAACACAGGCCCATATCAAGAGACCCTGGACATAGTTCACAATGTCATGACTCAGATTTTACACACTTGCCCCAGTATACGCATGAGAAATGAGACAGTGTTGGCAACCCTTGTCTCATTACTCACCCTCCAGATATCAGAAGCAGTACCAAGGGCTTTTTCCAACCTCTGTTGCCAACGCATGGCACATGAGCTCTAGCCATCTGAATCTGAATCGCTCAGCTTCCTGATACTTTTCTCCAAGGAGACGGGATACTTGTTTAGACTTTCGTACCACTGAACGACACTTCCAGTCTGGAAATACAAAGTCAGCTTCATAGACAGACCTCAAACTCTAGAGGAACAGTAACAGTGGAAAATAAATGCAGACTCACTAAGAAAGCCCACGATCCAATGAAAGTCGCGAGAGCAGATACGTAAGAAGCTGTCTCATTCTCGCTGGCGAAACCAAGGGCACCGCATAGAGTGAAGCCTATCGCCCCAACCAGATTCCAAAACCCAACGTGCCATCCTAAGACCTTGAGTGCTGGTTTATACCAGTTCGGCTGGGTTTCAACCATGAACAACCAGCTGGAGATGATGAATCCCGTGCCTCCAACGACCTACACAGAATCAGAGTTGTGATCGAACTAGAGGGTACGAATATTTAGCTTACCTGCGGGAGCCAGAAGACACCATTAGCAACCGGCGTAGACAGTCCATCGTAGAGAGGCAGCAATCCTGTCAAGCCGGCAACCCAGAATATGGTCGCGCCTATCAACTGCGACAGACAAGCCAGGAATCCGATCTCGCGCAGGTAGTGCGTCAAGTCGTGCCACGACGGCCACCACTGCCACCACTGCCACGACCTCTTCGCGGCCGAGTTGGTGACATTCTCCTTCCTTACAAACAGCGCCCTCTTCTCTCGATGGTGATGCATGCATCCCTCATGGTTTGGCCTTAGCAAAAGACTCCAACCCGCACTCTCCCTCTCAAAAGCCTCCTCCAGCGCCCATCCAAAACACTCGGTGCGGTTCTCGTTGACAGCCTCTAGCATAAGCAACACAGAGCCAACCTCGAAAATCGTAGCGCCCACGAAGGCCGTCACACCACCACCAGCGTCAACCTCGCCTGTGAACTCAGAGGAGGGAAGTTGGGCAGGCAACCAGACGAAGAAGCCGTTGAACACCCAGATAACGGACCCTTTGTATTCGCTCCCGGTATCAGCCATCCATCCATCCATCCATAGAGTGAGTGTTTCACCATATGATCGTAACAAAGCCGAGACAGCACAAATTGAAAGTAGTGGAGTGAAAAAGCACCACTCACCTAGCGTAAAGAGCAAGGCCACATCATACGACACATCCCAGACGGGATACCTGACCAACATCTTTCCTACCCCCCGCCAGGTCTGCCCCCACGAATCAGTCGCCTTAGGGTGCCTCAACAACCCATGTTTCTTTTCTACCCTCTCAGATGAAATGGCAACCGCATGCCGGCCCTTGCGGTTGTCCCGGGACCGCCAGACTCGATAAACACCCGCCGGCGTAGTTGCGGCTGCTACCCCACTGTTGCCCGTTCCCGTCTTGGCATCTCCGTCTCTGTGTCCATGACTCGGCGGCGGCGGCGGGGTAAAAGGCGCGTTATGGGGCCTTCTCGTAGCCGTAACTTCCTCATGACTAGCTTCCACGTATTCCACGGTGGGATTCAGGAATTCGAAGGGACGGGCTGGATAGCGGGCTTGGCTCGGTCTTGCGCCGAAGCAGCCTACGGTGTTGGTACTGTTTGTAGAATTTGTTGACATTGGTTGCTGAGGTATCAACCACTTCGCGAGTGGCTTCGGCGGCGCGATTGGGTATGACGTAAGGAGAACCACTGAATAGATGAGACGGGGATATCCTGGGGCCGCGGGAATAAGATTATGGAGAATGCAGCTACAATATGTTTTCGATTTCACACGTCATCAAGAACTGATGATTATCTGCTCATGCAAAGATGAGTCATGTCCATGTCAGCAAGGTCAATTGCCGTTTCCCTGTTTGCTTCCCGGCCGAGTCTCAACCGGACAACCCGCTGAATCTCGCAGGTTTCCGGTGTCACGGAGTGGATCCAAACCCAAGCCAGCACTTGGAAATGTGAGACACTGGGTTATCAAGTTCCGCTAGAAGTACCACAGTTGAAACTTTCTCGGAAGCTTATCGACTTGCCAAATCGCATACTGTAGTGTACCTCGACTTCCGGGTAACCCCGCAGTAAGGTAGGCTAACGAAAGCACACCACCTCGGCCTCCTATGGTATCAAGCAAGATGCTCTCTTATATTTCAGACCATTTGATGGGGGTCACATGACTATTGACTGGACTTCACAAGTAGCCGTTCAAATTATTCCGTCGAAATGGCTGCCGAATCACCCCAAATTCCCCCGGCCCTCCGCAATGTAAAGGTACTACTCTTCGACACCTTTGGCACCGTCGTTGACTGGCGCTCCACCGTCCACACCGAGTTAACAAGACGAGCAAGTGAGAAATTCAACTCATCAGACCTTACCAAGAATGTAAAGTCCCGTCTACAAAGCCTAACAGCAGATGACTGGTCCCGATTCGCTCAAGAATGGCGCAATAGCTACGGCGTCTTCACCCGGTCTTTCGACCCAGAAGTCTCAGAGTGGAAAGACATCGATACGCACCATCACGAGAGTCTTATAGGGCTCCTGCACAAGTGGAACCTCGCTGGCACATTCACCGATGGCGAGGTCAAGTCGCTCAGTCTCGTGTGGCACCGCCTGACGCCGTGGCATGATTCGGTGCAGGGATTAGAGATGCTGGGCCGCCGGTTTGTGACGTCAACGCTGTCGAATGGAAATCAGTCTCTATTGCAGGACTTAAATGAACATGGACAACTCGGTTTTCAGAGGTTAATCTCCTCGGCCGATTTCAAGGCGTACAAGCCGAAGCCTGCGGTATATCTTGGAGCAGCCGGCGTTCTGGGTTTGAAGCCCGAGGAGTGTGCTATGGTTGCTGCGCACTTGGAGGATTTGAAGGCTGCGAGGGATTGTGGGCTGAAGACTATCTACGTTGAGAGGCCGTTAGAAGAGGCATGGCCTAAGGGTGAACAGCTTTACAGCGAATCTAGGAGTTGGGTGGACTTGTGGGTTACTGAGAAGGAGGATGGGTTTGTGGAATTAGCTCGACGACTGGACATACCCAAGTAGCAATCCAAGAAATTCTTCTTCTGTGGGGGGAACCCTGAACTCTCTGGTATTTCTGGGTTCATGTTTCATGCTTCTTGTCCCCGTGGGCAGTTCAAGTACCGGCATAGGCCCTTCGGAACAGGTATTTTTTCTTTACACCATTCTCACCAAGAGTGGCTTGGCTTGGCGTATTAGTCAACCCGGTTGTCGCCTGCCATTTCATGCTACGCCAATTTGACGCAGAATCACCGCTGCATGATATTGGAAGTGCTCGAGGACAGGTAAGACTTGTTTCTCGAAACACGTTGAAGCACGTGGGGGTGACTATTCAAGTTCCCTGGCCACCATATGGGTGCGCTTCCCATTCAGAGCCTTCCAAGCTATAGTTCTACTATAGTGTCATGGGTAAGTTTTCAATTGTGTGTTTGTATCGTGCCCCACCTTAGCACGCGCTAACTCTTAGTATCTACATTCAATACATTTTACTAGTACTTTGTATGTAATCTGTTAGCCGTGATCACCGCTTCGCACCTCTAGTATTAATTTTAAAAGCTGCTGTAAATAGCTCTTAGGTAGTTTATCCGAAGACGATTATAGCTAAGCCTTTTAGTGATACCGTATTTATCTTTAATATAGTCCTTTATCTAGTTCTAGTATATCTCTGTCGTGTAAGGGAATACAGAGCTATAAGCAGGGTTAAGCCTCAATCCTGTCACTAAGTGACAGAATTGCTAGATCTTTGGTCTATGTGGCGTGATGGTCTAGGCTTGCTGTCACCTTACATATCGGGTTTAGATTAAGGGAATAAGGTAGCTACTAGACTATATTATTATTATTAAATACGCCGTAGGCTCGAAGCCCCCGGTACCTCTACAAGTGCTCCCGTATGTCAAACCGTGCCCTAATGGCTGGACTAAATACATACGCTGCTACGTAGGTTCGCTCTATTAGCGACTGCGTTACGTCCACCACAATACTATGTTAGTTCTCACCCTACTAACAAAGTCCCCCTGAGAAGATCGATATTATCCGGGCCTAAGCGCTATCCGGCCAGTTCTGAGTAGCCACCTTGTGATAGTCCCGCTGACTACTGGTTTCCCCGTCGCCGTTGCCAGGTCTCTACGTGTATGCAGCGGCCATGGTGCGATAGTGGCCCGTAGGCGCTCTCTCGATTCTTCCAGCAGGCCGCAAAAGAGGAAAGACTATATTAATACCCCTATCCGTAAGATCTGTAACTATATTAATTACCGAGTAAGAGGGAGCGCCGTCCTATATTAATATAAGGTGTGTACCGAGGTCCCGTTAATAGAGTTATATCCAGCTATCGATAATAGGAATTATATAGGATCGATATGTCTCGGTAGTAATTGTGACGGTTGTCACGTGATTGACCTACACTGGTCTGAACAGATTGATAAGTGGTTGCAGATATCAAAGTCAGGGACTTTGGTATTGGTCTCTTTTGGTGAAGACATCTGGTACGGTGGCGTAGTGGCAAGGATTGCAACCCCTAGCACGGCGTGACAGTAATAGAACTCTAACCCTTTTCCTAGAAGATTCCCGGTCCTTTCCTAAGGCCTGAGAAACAGCCCTAGAATATCCAGCCTTGTTTACGTTAGTGTCGTTCGGTAATACAGGTCGGGTCCTATTCCTCTCCTAGTTATCGTGTAACGTACTGTTTTCGATAGTATCCTCCTGTAATCCATATCTCGTCGGTCCAAAGCACCTAAGCCTATTGCACTAGCGTCCAGCTAACATATTCGAGGGCCTAGGCGAGGCGCTTTTGTCGGTTAACTTCTGAGATAGGGGGCTTTCGGCGCGCAGTATGTCTCTTGTATCCGAGCCGGCGGAGGATAGTGTCACGACCTGGGTTGCATCGCATTGGTAGAGACCTCGATTAGGTGCTATCGACGAAGATTCTACTCTAAGGAGCGAAGGAAAGAAGATGACAACTTAGGTTTGAGGGAGCGCGACTAAGTCATCCACGCTTGGCGGGGCTCCTACAAGGGTTATGATTGGCTTCCCATCTGACACTGCCATGGCAGGTGTTCCAGCTGTAAGTCACCTGGTTGTAGTGAGTCTGCGAGGGTTGACCTTCACAGATAGTTCGTATAACGTAAACTCCGAAGAGGGACTAGAAAAGGATAATTGATAACTAGAGGAATAATGATCTACGGCTTTGCTTAGAACTAGTTACATATATAACGAGCTCTTCTTCTTGCTTACTGTTACGAACCACGTTCCTAACCAACACAGAATAGGCCCGTTAGCAGGCCTTAGGTGGATACCTGCAGGAAAGGACCGGAAACAAGGCTAGAAGATAGGAACGGAAGAAGGACGGACTGACTAGAGAAGGTCACGTGATGGGTCACTGGATCATGCAGTGAGCCAGTGAGCCACCCCGGTAGGATCACGAAGAATAGGAGTGATCCAACGAGATCAGTGAAGGAGAGATGGATATATAAGGGACAGGACTCCCAGGCATTTCATAGATAGACAGTCTCTACTTCAGTGATCAATCTAAGCATCAATCTAACCCATTGGTGAGGCAAACTGCCTTAATGACTCTATTCCCGATTACCCTACTTGAATACTTCAGTTACCCAAAGCACTCTACTCCATACGTCAAACCCCGATATTATTGCTTGAGGACTCCGCAGCAGGACTTACTTACTAGCACAAACCCTTACAGACTCTTTAGTGGTTTACGCAGCTAGACTATTAGAGGTTTCGTTACACTTACGAGACAAAGTCCGAGGTCTACTACATCTCTTAGCTACCTAGCTTAAAGAGGCCTTAATAGCTGTCTTGATCTGATTAAGAGAAAACGTTGTAATAGTATGAATTTCGGCTTTCGATTTACTACCGTCGAAGTAGAGGGTTCGACTTTGTTAGCGATCGGCTTCCGTAAGGTGTTTAGTCCCTATTGTGGTTACTGAAACGTGATAATGAGGACGCGTTATTAACAGCAAGTTGGAATCAGAGGTGGAAGTACCTTTTCGTTGACATGAGTAGGCTAGGCCAGAATTAGTATAGCGTTGCCTTGGCAGTGGTCCACTGGTACTTGTCAGGGGTGAAAACTTTGGCCTGATACCGTAGTAAGGTATAATAGCCGTATCAGGTCTCGGTAGGGTAACTTGGAACCTTGGAAAACTGAAGCCAGCCGTCCTGGGTGGCTTCATAGGAATGGCACGTCATTAAACGTGGAGATCAAGACAGGGCCGCCCAAAAACCGCAACGAACCTGGCACATACTCATCAATCAACGAGGCGAATAGTAGGTTGGTTTCGTAATTGCTCTTGCTCTCTGCCACAGTGACAGATCCCAAGTCCCCGAGGTCACCGACTGGTAATAAATTGTGATGTGTCAGAGAGCAATGGGAAGGGAATTCTGATAGAAACAGAACCGGGATGGGCTGGTAATCGACAGGCGACGACGAGGTGCCACGGTCCACCGCCACCAATCAACGCTGACCATAGCTGTCGAGACGCGGTCAAAGCACCAGTGGTTTCAGGGCTTGAACCACCACTCTGTCAGTAGATGATGAGCTGACGGAGTTCGAACGAACGTACCTGTGTCAGAGGAAAAAAAAAAAGGATATACAGTTGACTACTCCCATGCAAGTACGGATCCAGCACCGTGGAACCTCGTAATGTAATCAGCTCCTCGTGGTGACAGGTGCCTGGGAAGGCGGTGACAAGGGGTTAGACATCCCCCTTGTTGAAAGTTTGCTGCTCTTGAAATGCTCTTGGCCTGCAATGGGATAATGAAAAGTGCCGGCCGGCCGGGATGCCCGTAAAAGCCATCTTTTCGATATACGATGACCATGTTGTTGTGTATTTCCCACTTGAGTAGTGCATTCGCGATGTATTGGATGATGGGTATGTATCGGGTTTGCGAGAGACAAGGACCCAGGCCACCACGCCTTTGGCCCGCGCAACATGAGCGCCGCCACAAACGCGGCCAGCCCTTTTAGACTTTGGGGGTTGCCAGACCGAGGAAAGCATTGACACTTGACACTAGCCATCTGGAAGATGCTGACAGGAATTCCCCTGACAATCGACACCGTACTTAATCCAGACGTGGGGGACAAGTCCGAATATCGATAGGAACACCAACTTGTCAACCAACATCTGGGTCTTGTAGACAGCCAACTGACTGTAGATGAACCTGGGGGTTTGACGTCTGTATGTTATTCATGAGCGACAATACTGCCAGCTGATGCTGTTTGAGATGTAGCTTGACGATTCCGGGACAAACTCCTAACATGGCTGATTCAGAAGTTACTCTATTCAGTTTGAGGCTGAAGTAGGCTCTTAGCGACTTACAAGTTGCTGCTTGGTTGTCCTTCATATCATGCTTCCTTCTTGATTGTATTTTTATTTCACTTGAGTTTCCATGCTGTGCTGTCCCGACACTGTGGATGTCCAACATCAAAGGCGCATGGGGAGGTCGGCGATGGTACCCCCGCCCCAATGCATATGCGACCCCCGGGTCAAGTAGGCGAAGAGGTATCTGATGTATCGATAATTTGGTGGTATCCGAGTAGCACTATCCACGGGCAAAGTATTATTGTACCGACTGAGTGCTCTACGGGAGTACTGGGTTCGCTTGAACGACTTGACGGCGTCAAATGAACCGCTCACCATGTGGGATGGTTGGATCGTCCAACGTCAAAATCTACTCGGCATGCAACAGAAGGTCCAAAAGTGGGTGTGGCCCAGTCAGTCTGCCCCGTGTGGTACCGCAAGCTGCATAGGAACACATTGATGATGCGAGCTCTTCATGCCGCCGCCGCCGCTGCTCACAAGTGATGAGAGAGAGAGAGAAAGAGCAAATGATGCTGGCCCGCTCTTCTTCTCTCGAGCGACTCCCATTCACTCCACTCTCATCGATGTCACAGGGAAGGGGACGGGGAAAGGGCAAATGAACATGGGAGCAATTCATGGATTAATCAATCAATGTGAATGTAACCAACAACGAACGAACGGTCCATGCATTCTGTTAGATGGCTGATATAACAATTACTTTTTCTTTCCAGACCGGATTTGTTTCTTGGAGCTACTTAAAGTAGCTTTTTACTACTCCAACCACAACCATATGCAACATCAGGCTGCATCACGCTTCCTTTCCAACCGAACCGCTCTTTTTGTTATATCCTTTGATGCCAGCATTAAACCACATGATCGCTTCTTAGACATTTAATCACACAGTATTTCTTGTTTTTGGTTTTACTTTTGGGTCATCGTGGCGGATTCCTTTCTTGCATCTCGATCAGCTGTTTCCTACTTAATGCCTTAATCGAATTCTTCTGAACAATTGTGGAAGCGGCGAGACTCCCGCCGTCCCCCCCCCCCCGGCAGCCAGTTGCCAGCAGGCATATCAACGCAACAGTGGAAAAAGTCCGCTTCAGCCATTTTTTGCTGCCAGCACCCCAAGTTGCCTGGGACGAGGCCAATAAGGTTTCGTTCGGCCCAATCGCCCTCCTCTCTTCTCGCCTCTTTTCAACATCCGGCTCGATTCGATTCAAAGTCGTGGTCCGGTCAACTCTCTGCTTGCGTCTTGTCGGCTTAGCCTTTTTTATCCCATAGATTTCGGGGCGTCATTTGGCTTCAGCGCTGCTACTCTGCTACTGCTGCGGCTCCTTCACCCGCTCTCCATCTGCCATCATCTGTCGCCGCAACGACTGCTGCGCGCGCTCCTTTGCCGCTTCGAATTCCGCCAAAGCTTAGGCCCGCCAAACTCACCCAGACCTTCTAAAGTTCTCCACATCAACAACGCAAGGCTCTCTGTCCCTCCCGCTACCCCCTCAACTGCGGAAATCCAGTCAGGTCTTTTGTCCTTCTCCCAGTTGGCGCTACCACGGTCCAGTCAAATCAGCTTTCCCGACTTCGACTTCCACAAAGTTGCAGTTCCGGCCGCGCTTCACCCATACGTACACCAATACCCGCGAGCACAAGCACGACTGCAAATAGCGGCACTCTGTCGAGCCTACCTGGCCGGTATTTTGCTCCCTGTGCCGTGCACAATACGGGCGGACCTCACAACTCTAGGACTACGACCCGAGCGCAATCAATGAACCACCCGTAAACCACCACCTCACTTGAGCTTCACGGCCGCCGGTCTAGTATCGACTCGTCTCGTCTCGATTCGTGCCCCTCACGATCCTATCAACATCACCACTGTCAACTCCTCAATTCGCCCCACCGAGCTTGGCCTAGTTTCAGACACGCCGTCTTCATCATGGCGGGTAAAATGGTATTGTACAAATTGGTGGTGCTGGGAGATGGTGGTGTCGGGAAGACTGCATTAACGATTCAACTATGTCTGCAACACTTTGTTGAGACGGTATGTCCTCTTACTCGTACATATCCGGTTATTTTGCCCGGGCGCTGACCTTATTGTCTCTTTGCAGTACGACCCCACGATTGAGGATTCGTATCGAAAACAAGTCGTTATAGACAGCCAAGCATGCATGCTGGAGGTATTGGACACAGCAGGTCAGGAAGAATACACAGCCTTGCGAGATCAATGGATCAGAGACGGTGAAGGGTTTGTGCTGGTGTACAGCATCTCCTCCCGGTCGTCCTTCTCGCGCATCAAGCGATTCCACCACCAGATCCAACGAGTGAAGGAATCCGTCCAAGCTTCGCCAACATACCCTGGTTCGCCAATGACCGCCGCAGCACCCTCACAAAACGTGCCCATCATGCTTGTTGGGAACAAAAGTGATCGGGTGACGGAGCGAGAAGTGTCGACACAAGAAGGGCATGCCCTCGCGAGAGAACTGGGATGCGAGTTTGTCGAGGCCTCTGCTAAGAACTGCATAAATGTTGAGAAAGCTTTCTACGACGTGGTTAGGATACTCCGACGCCAACGACAAGCCGCATCGAGACCAACGCAACAACCGAGGACCAGCACACGGCCTCAGAATGGCGACGCTCACCGCCGGGAAGGCAACAGCACACGATACAGGCGCGACAAGAGCCGCTGTGTAATATTATAATCATCCCTCTCGGCCGTCTAGACTAGACAGCTTGCACCATCTGCAGTCCTAGGACACATGAAATTACAACACACACGACGTTTATAACTGATTGCCATGGTATATGCACAGGCTATTGCTGCGCACCCGGGACCCACGAATCCCGAACCCGAAAGTCCATCTGTCTATATCAAAGCCGACAGCTTTTTCAGTTGTCAATTTACGTTCACATTTGCACCACACCTCAGAACTCTCGTAACCAGCTTCAGGTCTGGCGGACGGCGTACGAACCGAAAAAAAAGAAAGGCATCATTGGGCTCAGGTTACTGCTATTTCTACGAGAAAGGATGATGATCTGTTTTACAGAGGGAAGAAGAGAGGGAGGAGGTAGCTCGGTGTTCTGGAGTCTGGACTATGATGTGTCTTGCCCGCCCTAGGCAGAAAAAAACTTTTCCCAATCCATATTCGGCCACCTGGTCTTCGCAATGTCCATAACATTCACAGTTGGATTCAATCCACCTGGCTCCAGGTCAGCAATTCGTTGTCGGGCAATGAAACTCTTGACGATGGATTGTGGCCCATGAATATTATTTGATTTCCCCTTTCAGCGTCATCACTCTCACGTCCTGTGAACTTGTGGCACATGCCTCCAAATAAAAACGTCATCCCAAATGCCCCAAGGGTCTCGCCCTGCCACCATGTGATTGCGGTTCCCACAGATGCCGCCCAGGAAGATCTGCGAGTTTATAGCTTATCTGGTAATTTGAGTCTTGAGGGTTCGGGAACGGGCTCAGCGGCCGCGCTCAACACGTGTATCTCCCCCACAATACCTTACCACATCATGCAAAGGCTGTAAAGCTGGCTGGGTTGCTCCCTACGCAGTAAACCTCAAGTCAGTTGTATTGCCATGGTACTATTACCACACCAATTGCTTATTGATCTTGGGGATCGTCAGCATTGATGCTGATGACGGCAGCTGCGCTGACCCCCCTCGAACATACAAGGTGCTGTTCTTTTCGATGCCATTCCAGCCGAGCCCGACTTTTGGGGGCGAACACCATTTCGCTATCTACAATCCTGTTTGTTCTTTGCCAGAGCAGCCGAAAATTTCTCGCGGTGGGAAGTACGTATGTACAAGCAGCAGAGCTAGGTGTGGTCCTGCTTACCTTACGTACTTACTTCCAAACATACTTAGGCCATTCTTGTCACCGAGGCTATATGCAGTTTGTACATATCATATGTGTAGGTATGTTTGTATTGTCGAACTACATACGCTTAATAAGTCTGTATTGAAGTACCTACAATATTCGGACCTAGTTCCTTGAAAAGGAAAAGGGAATACTGGAGCTAGGTATATCCACCTCGGCAGTAACTGCCGCTGGTGCGTGCCCACAGCAGAACTTGAAGAATTTGATGACGAGGTGGATCCGGCCGGTGGCAGCTTGACTCGAGTACATGGCTCTTCTTTATTACTTAATTTATTTCTCTTGAACTCGGCAAAGGGCATCTAGAGCCGTTGTGGGTTCTGGGTCTTGTTTTGCGTCTTTACCCGAGTAAGTGGTCTGGTGGCTATTGGGCAGCAATATTGAACCCCAGCATGCCCGCCGGGTCCTGCCTGCTGTTGTTGTACGTGGCAGACTCGATCACTGATCAGCCTTGACTTGGCTGCAAGAGTCAGTAGACGGGTTGGATGGGATTTGGTATTTTTTTAAATCCTCATCTTGCCAATGAGCGAGAGCGACCGTGCTGCTTGCTGGCCACTCGCTTCGCTGGTGCATATCCTACCGCCGGCTACTTATACCGTTGAAGAAATATATGCGGACTTCTATGTTCGTGCGTGGTAGGTTGCATTGGAGCTCGTGCTCGTAACCATGGCTTGACTTGACGACTTTGGCCGCACGCCCGCCCGCCCGCCGACGAGTTGTTCAACGTGGCACACACGCGCGCCGGCGCTGCTAGTTTAGACCCCCGCCGTCGGGAACCGAGCTATTTTGTAGCTACGACCGAGCAGAGGATCAGTTAGCGACCACGGTCCAATGATGGTGTACATATGTACATACCTAAACTGGTGAGCTCTCACGACATTCATTACTTGCATTTGCTCAATATGAGATACGACGTACATGCATGTTTCACCTAGTCTTTGATCTCTCTCTCGATCTCTCTGTGTATCTCACTCTTCTCAGCTCCCAACCAGCTTCTGCGGCTTCCTTCTAATGCACGTTCCTCGGCTGTGTACAGAAAGAAGAAGCAGAGCTGCGGTCGAACGACATTACGAGTATCCCGCTTGTATCCCGCAAGCCGAGCCGTCGACAGATAAATGCAGTCGCAGCAGAAATGGAGTCCGCCCAAGGCCTCGGGCCTACCCTGCCCTGCCCTGCCCTAGGCTAGGAAGGTGGTTTCCCGTCGGTTTGTCCTGCCTCGTTGCTCTGCCTTTGCACTCGTTTTGGGCATTCCATGGACGAAACGGTCACTACCCAGCACGAGGCCTCGGCCGGTGAGAGCCTCGTGGCCCGTGGGGGCACTAATAACTGCCCCGAGAAACGATGTTACTCATTATTAGATAATGGGGGAGTTATATGACTAACCGATGGCTTCTGCCTTGTGTACGGAGTATCATCACTATGAGGTATAGGGCGGGAAACCCCCAAAGTTTTAGATTCGAACGCTTTTGCTTTGTCACTTGTCGCGGAGCTGGGGAATCAGTCCATCTTCTCACAGTCGTCCTTCTTACACCGCAACCGGTAGTCTGAATCGAACGACCAATAGAGGAAAAGAGAAACGAAGCAGAAAAGGGTTCCTGATGGTCCCCATTTCACGATCTACAGGTGGCTTAGGGTAAAGACCGTCGGTGTTTCGACAGGGGTTAGCTTCTCATGCCGGGCCCCGGTTCCTTTCTTTCCACCGGAATGCGGGCCGGGAGGAGCTTTAACGTTGTCTGTGCGAAATACTTTTATTCTGTCTTATTGATGACCAGGGTATCGAATGGAGAGTATTATTTGGGTTTGATGTAGCTGATAGGGTCACGCTGAACCTTCTCCTTTTTTTTTCCCCAATATTATCGAGTCAGGAATCGAGGTACCCTGGGAGATTTACCATACATATGTTATCTCCCGCATGAATGTTATACTCGGTATAGCGTATCTCGACTACATTCTCAATACATAGAAAGCCCGCTGTTATCTCGATCATAGCTTTCTGATGAGATTCAAGAGCTAGGATCTTCATGGGCTGCCATCACTCGACCAACCATAGCACAGCCTGGGCCGATCTCCCCCGCTCAACGCTACCCCGAAACCACGACGCTGGGAAATTCTGAGCATCCGTATTGAACCAAAGTGGAAGGCCCAAGATTATACCTAGTTCACACCCCTTGGGCCCCAATCAAACTTGACCGTGCTGAAGAGTCACATTTCTCATCGGTCCGGACCCTGATCCTAGGAATATCAGTCTAGTAACTTGGCTGTTTGTCCAAAATTGTTGATATCTGATTCAAGCACCCCTTGACCTCGCTTGACAAAACCCAACTGACGCTACTATGGAAAGTCTCTTACCCCCGTGGAGCCAGGGGGACTAATGAGCGCATATCACAATAACTGCTGCAATAGACAAGCTGCTGACCCTCAAATTGCCTTCCTGTTCGATTTTGGTCAACTTGTATACGTATCTAATCCTGCTGCATCTTCGCTCGAATCAGTCTATCCCATTACGGTTTGAAAATACGCCGAAGAAGGCATCGATCAACAGCTGACTCCCCGAAAGGACCTTACATATCACACCGTGACGGTCAGGACAAGAAACCCCACGCAAGCGGGCTACAATTGTATGTATACGGTGACTGCTAGACCAGATATAACTCTGCGTTAAGGTCCAGAGCTCCCGGGAACTACGTATGCTCGGCACTCTCAGCGCCACGCGCTGCTGTCGATAGGTTTACCGTCCGTAGAGTAGACCAGTCCAGCTTGCTTCTTTATTGTCACGTCAGCTTTAATAGTCTCTGGGTGGGATGGCATGTCACAGACGTACCATGATATAATGTAACAGCTTTAAGGGGACGTCGGTCAACGAACCGTCATCACAATATCAACTCTCTGTTCTCTCCCCATCGCCAACTGCGTCCAGCGGTAAGTAAAGCACTGTTCAGAGGGCTTGCAGAGGGCTAAGTAATATCATCATCAATAATCATGGTGGCTTCTATGTTGGTCTGGAAACCTTCCTAATTAGGCCAGGTGGTCCCAGGCCAAGTGGCGCGGGCTATGCTTACTTACATCGGCTAAGCCTTGACCGGAGAATGAACAGTGTGGTAAAGCTTCATAATTAGTTGTATGGTTCGGGGGTAATACTTCGTTTGGTAAAGTTAGTTCGTTTGGACAGAGCCGTATTTCAACATTGACGCCGAATGTATCTATATCAAGGGAAATCGTTGCCAATTATGTCATATGCAATGACTATATGCACTTATGTGGCGGCTCGACGTTGGCTGTTCAGTAGATGGATTCTCGTCCTAATGGGCCGTCCCTGCCCGGAGACGTTGTGAGCTTTCCGCGTCTTATTAGACCTGACAACTGTCTGATCGTGACATTGCTTGTGGGGGGTTGAATGCCAGCAGTCTGCTGTTCACTTAGTCACATCTTGGCATGGCCTTTGCTGTGTCAATATCAAACCAGGACATACTCCAGAGTCGTTGAATTATTTCGCAACAGAGCCAAACAGAGCCGCTCGAACTGAATTTTCTGCTAAGATTGGGGCCCCCAGCAGCATGAATGCGGTTTGTGATCATTGTGTTCCTGAACGGATGATTTTGCTAATCAACCTGAACTTGGGTCCAACAGTATCGTTTTCCATAGAGCCACACCGAGAGAGTGATGACTGCCGAGTTCTCTCGCTTTCATCCCCTATATATTCAGTTTCAGGCTGGTGGACTTTGCGGGATTTGTAGGGAGCATGGGACGAAGGGCCAAGTCACAGGAGAGGGATGGAAAATGGAAGTGAATCTGGAATCCCCACTTCTGGTTGTCGAATGTCCGCTGGGTCATTGAGTCTGGATATGCCAGATGTGAAGGTAGAGAGGCAGGGATTGAGCCTGTACTGGTGGCATTTGGCTCTCGATATCGTATAATGCTGTGGAAGGATGAAGTGTACCAGAATGTTCCCAAAGATGGTAGCCCCTCCAGCCCAAGACGAAATACTCCAAAGGCAGGCACATATGCCAGCTAGGGATTTCCTGCAGTAATCTTGGTTGATTGCAAATCTCGGCCTTGGCAAGATGATTTAGACATTGGCCTGAAACTCTCAGCCAGTCTGTTGTTCTCTTGAAACCGGTATAGGAGAATACTCACCTTCTTGACACTTTTTGACCTACCCATTCATATATTAAGGACCCGATCTGAGGTTCTTTAGACACGACTATTTTGGTTCAATCTTGTCCATGTGTTGGTGGATTCGTCGTCTGAACTAGATCTGTTTGGCTGCCCAGCAATGTATTCACTAGCTACACTGCAGCTGGGTGATTGCCTACTCATCATCCAGCCTTGTTCTCTCCTGTCCCCATATTCATCGAAAGCGTCACACCCAAGCGCCACATTTAGAAAGACATGCACCTTTCCAGCAGGGAGACGACCGAGACATAACGGTGCACATCATGAATAGCAAATACGAAAAACGGATATAACACCAGGCTGACCAAGCGAATAGGTGTGGTGACACGACGATGAATCTTTGTACTCGGAAGCCCCTCCTCAACGAGCGCTCGTCGTTCGACCGACTGCCGGTAAGCGTGCGCGAAGCCACGCTGTTGATAGAGTGCTTGTGATACCCCAGAAGTGTAACAAAGACATAAAGACCGGCAAAGTCGGCTTCTAGGTGCATCGAATATTTCCGCAGCCGGAATGGCCTTGAACAATGACATGTGGGAGTCTCGCGTTACGTTCATACTTGCATGGGCTAGTATAATGGGTCTTAAAAATAGTGTATTCCGGAGGCAGCTCGCGGGTCCTGCTTTCTGATTTGTTGCGGCGAGAGGGCTGTGGTCTCGGATATTGGGCCGTCGGTGCTAGAGAACGATATCTTGATATGCTGCTCATGTGTGGCATGACATACATACATTACCGTAGAAAGATGAATCAACGCGCGTCGAACGTCTTTAATCACATCTGAGTTGACTTGTTGAAGTTGCGGGTGCTTCATCGGACAGTTGCGACCATTTCAAATGGTCGTCTATTTTACCAGCAAGGCCCCGAATCATCGAAGTAAGAGAGCAGACAAATAACCTGAATTTGCAGGATAATGTGAATGGTCTTTCGTGTGCGCTTTTCGTCACTCTACTGACCTGACGATATTAACGCACTTCCAGTATTCCACTGGAGCTTGTCCCAGTCGTACGCCGATGTCACATTGGCATGCTATTCACTGAAAGGCATGGAAATGGTTTTTAGAAAGCAATAACGGTGGTTGTTTACACTGCTCTAGTATAACATGTGAGTCATGGTACCACGGTGTACGCCGGTGGCTGCACCCTACAGGAGCCGTCATTCTACTGCCATATCGTCATCTAAATGCGATGAATAACGGGGTCATCGACGGGCACTTCTTCACTTGGAAAATTTGTGACAGGCCCCTCTAGGTATGTAGTATATTCCTTTCTTTGGGCTAGGATCGCGTGGTCATGAAGCGCCGCACTTCGTGTAAGTTGTGGTTGGTATACACAAAGTTTACATCACCACACTACTTGCCTCATTTAATATGCAACCATACTGAAGGGATGCAAGAATTGCTGTTGAATAAAATGGGAAACCCGATATACCAGTACATTGAGCCGCGCTCTGGACAAGTACGATCTTCCTCCATCCTAGGATCAACACCACTCTCGTGATGAAGCGCATCAAACAGGACGGGGGCGCTGCTGAAGATATATAAGATGAACCTCCATGGAGGGAGGGCGTTTTGCCTAACTTGATAAGAATTCCTTACCTGCCATCTGGCTCATGGGATTGAGTAAAAGTCATGCCTCGAATTGTTTTAATGGTGCCAGGGGCAAACAAGCGAGTAGAAATTAGGTTGACAAATTGCATATATATTGAAATTGTTTAATACCTTACTGGAGGTGAATACGACGGCCACTGCGCGTGTGATGAGATGGATGTGTCAAAGATTTGACTCTGCTCTACTACTCGTAGAGTATCAAGTTATTTTGAGATGTTGCTTATTGCAACCGGAATATGGGTAGTATGGAGGAATACATTTACATCCATGACATGTCACATCGTCTGAATAGCGATAATACCACTCACTGTGAAAACAAAGCAACAAGACGATGGAGTAATAAAGAAGGAAAGAAGAAGAAGAAAAGCAATTTCCCTGTAAAAGACATGTAGACCAACCAACAAGCACCCCAATACCTGCCAATAGAAACCCCGAAGCTCACGATACACCCGGAAAGCCAACCAGCGGCACGCGGGGAACCAACTGCTCCCAGTAAACACCATGCCCCCCGCCCCTCACCCTCTCCCAGACCAACTGCAACACCCGCATACCGTAATTTTGCCAAAAAGCATGAAGTCCATTGGCAAACCATGGCGCAATTCACGAACGGGCGCCAGGAGGACTACATATCCATCGCCTATGATGCACTCACCTCTCGTGGATGCAGCAGAACACACGTGCATATGCTGTGCAACCCCCAAGTCCGAAGTTGAGTCGGAATTCAACAATAACCTTCGGGCTCGGGAAAGGCTGTGTTTGCACAGGCAACAAGAACCAGCACAATGTCCATTGTTGCGCAACGGGGGCTGAGTGTGCAGTGTGGCAGACAGAAAACCTCGCTTGTTCTCTCCGTAATCGCACATTTGTAATGAACTACAGGCATGTTATGTTCTCATGCATCAGCGGACTTCCTCAACAAACTGGTTGAGCATAGACAATGTAAGTGATTAATCAACGATGGAACATAGCAAGACATGTGGCATATGTCGACACATGACAATTTTATTCGTCTCTATATCTAGAGAATAAATTCATACACAAAAAAAGTCCGTTGATAGACAGCGGAGGCGTTGACGTTTTCTCGTCGTCAAAACCCCGTGGGGGGAGGGGGTAAGGGATACAAGTGGTGAACCCTTCCTTTCCGTGAGGTATTCCATTCAAACCCGTAGTACCAATACGCCGTAACCATCCCGGCCCAGCTCCCTTAAGGCGGGATATAAAGCATTCAGTGGGTGATTCTTATAGTGAAGCCCACCATGTCCAAGCCGCCATTGCTAGAGAAACTAAAAATAATATTTTATCCAGGAGAACACTAGAGACCAGAATCGAAAATCAATGCCCGCTTTCCCATTACCATGCATGACATCGCGTGAGATAGAGCATACGCGCGGGATTTAATGTTAATCCCTCAAGGCGTGCTCATCTCCAAAGGGGCTACGACCTCGCTCGACAAGGCTCGGGTTCGAATCACTGCCCCTATGCGCAGATGCCCGCCGCGTTGCCTCTTCGATCACGGCACTGAGGTTGTTGGTGCTCCTGTGCTCGGATGGTGTCGGAGGAGGGTCCGCAAATGGCCCCGGCGTCTCATCCGCACTCGATTCTCTGGCACGAGACTCGTCGCGCACCTGGATCAACGGCTCGGGCTCTTCCACTTCTGAAGATGAAACGGAAGCAGACGGCGACTTGGCATCGACCATCTTGGGGCCACTGCCGACTCGGACGACTTGTGGGCGGACGGCCGTGGCCGTGGATGCGCTTGCGTTCTTGAAAAAGGTGGCTCCGATGCTGAAGGCCGGAGACGGCTCCGGCTTTTCATACTTATCATAGTCGACAGACGGGACAGGAGGAGTGCTGGTCTCGCTCCCGCTGCCACTGGTTGCCCGCGACTTGACGCTGACAATAGACGGCTTGAGAAGGGTGCCCTTCTGGGCTGGCATGGGCGATATTACGGCATTTTTACCGTATATAGTCGAGGCAACACTGGACCGTGGGGCATAGGACCGGGCGTATGATGTGCGGTCACTGTAACCTGAGATTCCAGAATACGTCGAATCACGAAGGTCTCCTGGAACAAAGAAGTGCTGCTCTTCAAAGGACGAGGGGGTGCCCGCGTCCGACAAAGCCAAAGGAATTGGAGGGACAGGTGGAACGAGAAGCGTTGGAGACGTAGGGGTGGCCCTATTGGTAACTCCGGGAATGTAGGCGATTTGGATGATGTTGGAAGCGCGGGTGAGGACTGTCGAGGCGACTGAATGGACGGAGAAGGCTGATTGGCGTTGTGACCGGGCCGATGCGAAGTCGTTGGCGCCACGTTCCTTGGACTGTTCGGGGTCGTGCTGCCACTGCTCCTGCGCGAAATTCCCTCTCTTGGTCTTGATACAGAACCTCCAGACCAAATAAGTGACGATGGCTATTGCTGCTAGACCTCCGATGACACCGCCTGCAATGGCACCGGCGCTTGGCCTGTTACTACTCGACGAGGAAGACGAGGATGCAACCGATGTTGTGGATGACTTTACCGCACAATATGCTTTTGGGCATTCCGTGCAGTTCAAGGGAACGGTAACCTGACACTCCTCCGTGTCGTCACAGGCTGGACATGTAGGACTGGCATCTAAGCATTTGACGCAGCCGTTTTGTCTTGCGAGTATGGACGCGAACTCGTCTGATGATTGAAACACGGTCAGCCCCGGACGTATTTCCGTGATTAGAGGTATGGTATGGAAATGAGGAGCATGACTTACCAGTCGCCAAGTTACTGCGTCTCGACATGGTAAATACACAATCAAATAGCTAGATATGGCTCAATGATTGTGCGACAAAGACGTTGAGGTGTCTTCAATGGTTTCGCCGTTGATCGACAAAGAGTGAACACTCTTGTTGCGGGTGGAGATTGACCTGTGCTGATCCGTCCCAGATCAGGGTAATCCGATCAAGCACTTCCAAGATTTCTCAGTTGGGATTCCGGTTCGGCAGACGAAAATACCAGTTATAATGAGCCGAGAAATACTCCAGATGGGGTTTATGGGACCAAGTGGCCGGGTACAGAAAGAGAAGGATGATGTGAGTTTGTCGTCGAGGTAGTTGCGTGAAAACGATTATAGGGGGCTGCCGAGCGACCGTCGCTGGCTTAGCTGGCCGAGTGTTGTAAGTTGCGAAGAATTCAAACGAGTGGACTAAGAGACTAGCTCATAGAAACATAGGATGTAGTATTCGTTGTTAAACGGCGAAGAACATCAGGGGCATCGAGGATCCGGGATCGACGGCGACCAAATAATGAATGCGGTTTGGTTTGTTGTCGTCGGATGCGAGGGGCGATGCAGTGCGATGCGAGAAGAGTGCAATCGAAAAGGGAGAACGAGAGGTTGGCTCAGGTCGCCTTTGTGGGATCCGGCTCTTGGTCTGCCCACTGCCTGACAGCGATGAGAACAAGACGCAGGGAAGAGTCTGGGGGCATGGGGTGCACAGCGCAGGACACGGCGGAGGAATGGGCCAGGAAAGTTGGAACGAGGGAATGCAAATTGCGGGAGTTGTAGCACTTTAGCGAGCGCCCTGGGTGGGCCGTTCTGGTCTGCCATTTGTCCAACGGTTGGCAACCTGGCTGACGACGGCGCCAGGGGTCCATGTCCCCTAGGCCATTTTTGGACCTTTGTCGGTGTTTGACTTGGCTAAAGGCGCTCCATCTGTGTGTGCAAGAAGCTTGGCAATCTTGGCTCGAGACTGATTCATGCCTCGCAAGGACACCCCAAGCAACCAAGCTCTTGGTTTTCGAGGTGTCTAATGAGAATGGAGAAGGGTGAGCGAAACACAGCTCTAAAAGTTCCAGCCCTGTACTGAGTTTGAATATGGAACCTGGCGTCGATCGGCACTGGGCCATTGTTCTGGCCATATGGCATAAATGAAGATGTCTCTCAACTCTGTCGAATTGGGAATCCCATAATTCTATCTGCTTAGTGCCGCACCTTGACGAGTCTTACTCAAGCATAACTAAGAAGATAATGTGCGCCCGTGACGGATTATTCCAAGAAATACCGTATCGATTGTCTCCATGGTTAGTTCTCTTGATGCAGCAAATCGATCGGGTCCGGGTTGAATGCCAGTCTTCGCAGTAAACATCTGGACTAGAGGCAGCACTTGCAGCATTGATCAAGTGCGCAGTGCCTGGACCAGTGGATGGTGCCAATCATGGAGCCCCCGCCTTATGGATGGCGCTATTAACTTAATTTCCCGAGCAGGTGTACATTTGCCGAAATTGTACATGCGTAGTGTCGAGGGGAAAGAGGGCCAAAATATCGAAATCGCTCTGGCGCAATTTCCATGGCAAGACAAACGGCAGACAAGATGGACACATTGCTGCATTGCAGGCCCATTTCGGCCGTTCTCAGATGTGGGAATGGCTTCGGCCCGCACCAGGCGTTCGAGGTCCGCTTTGGCCAACACTGACAGCTACTCTTTCCTCGAGTTTGGCTTAAAAGCCGCTGCAGGTCGGTGGTCGCTAGTGCTGTGATCTGCTATGGTGGGGCTCATCCGAAACCTTGCTCAACTCAGAAGTGGAAAGTCGTCGTCTCAACGTAACCTAGCTCCAGCTTCGTCCGACATCTTCAAGGAGTTGAATTCTTCGCAATACGAGAAAAACGACCTAGGTTGCGCTCCTCAATCAGGAGGTTCTCGGCGTCTTTGGGGAAACATTCCCTGGCCTCTCAGCTCCAGCGTCTCACTTCAGCTGGAGGCAGTCGACCCAAAAACCTATGACCTGTTGCGGTCACACCACTGGTTTTTGCGCCGTCTCGTCAATTGTTTTCACTGCGTTTCATCACCATGGGGAGTACTCTATCTCACACTCAGGTGAGAACTTCGCCCTCTCAAACAAACCCACATGGCTAAGTTCGATTTCGACGACATGTGGGTGAGTTCGGATCATCCGGGCTATGTTGGGGAGAAAGACAAAGTCAAATAAACATTTCAAGGCCAATTGCAACCTGAATTATGAGCGATGCGCAACGCGCCGTTGAGCCCTCCACTTGCGGCACGTGCTGACAGTCGCACTGCACCGTGACGGTTACGGTGGCTCAGGGTGGCTCATCATTGAGAATCTCAATTCTCAAGCTCATGTTCAAGCAAAGCATCGTGGTCGTCTTCCTTGAATCGCCATCTAGCATGAATGTAGAGGGCAGAGGATTTGCCTCTGGATGGCAGTGCAATTTGCTGTAGCTATCCCCCTCCAACCTGTCCAGTTGCTCTTCGCGCTGAAATTCACTTTGGCCAGGGCCGCATCGTGGAGCCTGGACGTAATTTCGCAACAGCAACCCGGACGTTTCTTCGTCAACTCTTCTTTTTACTGCTCAGTTGATCATCAATGGGACCTTTACATTCTTCGTCAGGCAGAGGTGCTTTCGATTCGAAGACTGAACTGCTCCAGATGTTTGACTCAGTTCCCGGCTTGGAGACTGCACATAGTTCGAATCGGTCCACCGAGAAGAGTTTTACGGACTCGACATTTTCGTTCGAGATGTTGGCCTGATTAGTATGCCACTATCGAGATTCAAGACCAGAAGTTCAGGCCAAAACTCCGCAAGCACCTAACGGCAAGGGCAATCAAACCATCGTTGACGCGATAGTACGGACTACCTGGGAGAGCAACCCTAACCATTCCGAGCTCCGCGGCCCCGGGTGGACACCGCGCTTACATGGCATCGTTGCTAATCCGACTCTATGTTTGGGCCTCGGAAACCTTCCTGTCACCGCCCAACTGTATAAAATGCTCTTTTACAAGAAAGGTGGCATGTTCAATGCGCATACCAAGTTGATGTTCCCATGTCATTGACTTGCTCGGAAGCGCCGATGTTGATTTCTGTTGCTACCTAGCTACGAAAAGATCCCCGACATGTTTGGAACCCTCGTGATCAGTCTTCCTTCGCCTCACGATGGCGGATCGGTGATTGTGAGACACGAGGGCACGACGCGAATATTCGACAACTCACAACATGACATGTCGTAGGTATCCCGATGTATCTCATCAGGTCACAGCGTCAAAACAGGATATTGTTGGGTCTTGACCTATAACCTTGCTATGAATCCATCAACCGAACGTCCCTCAGCCGGAACTTGTCTGAGAACAAGGAGGTTCCGGTTTTTTTTCTTTTATTCGAGAGATGGTCTAATGAGGTCAAGATCGCACTTTTGCTTTAGAACTTGGGTTTGACCTATTCTTAACGACTCTAGAAAAGGAGGAATGTAGCTCTACCGTGTACGACCATGATCGTTATTGAACTATAGTAGACATAAATGCTATGGCTACAGCGACGACGACGACGAGGACGACGAAGACGACGTGGATGAAGATGGTGTATACTACAAACTAGACGACATACTGTCCTTCGAACTTGGTTCCAAGTTCATTTTCGATTTGATTGGGAACAAGGTCGCATCCTGAATTCCCCTCGAAGAGACCTCGAAAAGGACGATATGTTTTGGGAGGAGACTTTCGGAGATGAGCCCGATGGAGAAGACCACAGAGTTTGCATGGGTAACTCAGTTAGCACTCTTGAGTACCGGCTCGTCACATCAGCTCCTGACAAGACATACAGGGTCAGATGCAACTCACTGGTATAGTCTATCAGTAAGTCACACCACGGTTCCCGTTGCCACGCACTGAACGGGTATTGACTGCGTACCCAGGCCTTAATCATTATTCCATCTGATGGGATCTTTCGTTTTTTCACACAGGCTCTTGGCGAAAGTTATCGCAACTACTCTGGCTATAGAGTGCCGAGTATCCAAAACCTCCAAAATGCCGTCCCAATTACGAATTGAGATACGTGAGCCAGTGCCTCATTTCTGCTCTGCGTACTGCGTCGATAAGCCAGTTGCACAAACTTCTTGCGTCGATCTAGACACAACAGCACACAATCCCCTATTCCTACATTCTCCGTCCAGTGCCGTCCTTTGGCGGCGACTCGCTGTGTCGACTTCTGCAAGCCACTGTGCGCTGCAAGGATATTGCGATGATGAACCTTGTCTTGACCAAGAATACGGACGCCGTCCCTATGGAGTTGTTTGAAGCTACAAATACGGCCAACCTATGCGAAGAAGACGCTGTCGCGATCTTTGATGCTGCAGTGAATCACAGAGACACTGAGCACCCGAAAACAGCTTGGGTGCTTCAGAATAATATAGGCTAGACGGTGAGGCTCATCTATGGCAGCTTGGTTTCTACAGTTGAGAAAAGTAGTAATTGGTTGCCTTTTGCTCTGGGATCTCCAGCTTCAATATACCGCGGTATCGAAAACGAGTACAAATAAGACTCGGTCAAAAGCGAGGAGGCCAAGCGCATGTATGGGAGCTTGTCGAGATCCATACTGCGAAGCATGCGCCTCGCGTGCTTGATTTCCCCAGGCACAGCGAAGCAATAGCAACCAGCTAAGACAGCAAGACTTGTTCCTGTCCATACTGCCAACAGGGAGGAAACTGATCAGGCCGTGAACAATGACGCTGTGGGGTGTTTTCTACAGCTTGTTCGAGTTGCGACTTCAGGCCAGTTCTTCTCTAGGGCAGTGGGTGTATCGCCATGCAGTTTTGTGCAGATGGTGTGTATGTTGAAGCCCATGCAATTGAAACATTTCCAAACATGTTGTGGTCCAAGATTAACCTTATTTTGGTGTTGTCAATGGCCTCAGCAAAATTAGCCAGTCTTCTGGGGACCTCTCAGTATTGGATTCCTTTGGTGAAAGTAACTATACGTTGTAAGCACCATATATCATGAGCGCAGATGCGATGTCTTGTTTATTGTGTTGCCTTTGTAGCGACGTTAGGATTTCCAGTATTGAGTATTGGGACATGGCAGTATCACAATTCACACTACAGAAGAGGGTGGTGACACCTATAGCTCCCAATATGGATTTGAGAAAAACGAATATTCAATGCCGGACTCGTAAGGGGGGACTCGTAAGGGGGTCGATTCGACGTTACTGTAACGTTGGCAACGGCCTCGAAACCCACTGATCCAGAACACTTTACCCAATAATCTCACAAGCACGCGCCCCTGTAGGGCAGCACAAAATCCTCAATCGTCCCTTGTGGCAGCGCAAGTACAACTGGGGATATTTTTTTAGGTTGTCAGACAATATTGCCGGTGTGGAGAATGAATCATGAAGTGACACTGGAGCCGCTTATGAGCCAGCTGGAACCGTACCCTCGGGTCTCAACAACACAAATCTTGTGGACAATCATTATGGTGGGAGAATCTCCAGGCTAACAGCAAGAAATGTAGGCGGATTCTGTCCGGCTGCCTGCGTACATATGTAACGTCGTTGGCGTGAGATAAATTGACCACAATGCTGCGGGTTTGCTACAATGTATTCGCCACAGAACGCGTATTTTTCCCAGGCGGCGCGGCAGTGGGTTCAAAAAGTTGCCAACACGAACCGGAGTGCCGCTGCTGAGTGATCACGGGGATTGCCCCTGTAGGTCATAGCTGCACCGCCTCGCCGAGCTGGATCCACCGAAGCTGGGTTACTATTTTTGGCCGCGCTGGAACGTTTCTCAATATGTTATGCCATGAGAAACGTGGCGGCAACGGCGAAAATAGGCAGTGCGGCGGCAAAGCTTAAATGCTTTCCTGTTTACGATACGATTCTTGTATGTCGTCGTTGAAGAATCAATCTAGAGGGGAGAGCGAAACAAATTGGATTGCACTCCGTCGTTGTAGCTCGTCGGACTCGAAACATTAGAAGCCACTGAGCAGTGAAAAAGGGGATATGACGGTGTTTCAAGCTAGACCCTTGGACCTAACCTTGGCGCCCCCCGGGCCGTCACTCTTGGCCAAGGATGCAGATGACATGAAAAGCCTACAAAGTAAGAAAGTTAATAACAGGATCAGATCAGATGGATGGCATCACCGTCGGAAGGCTGATGGTCATCGCTATTATTACTACTAGCTACTCCATGGCTCAAGCTGAAGGTCGTGCAGACAGGATTAAGTACTCGATCCTGGCCGCCTGCCTCACATAGAGAGATTGTTGATGATGAGCAGCAACCCCATCATCCGAAAGTCAAAAACAAGATTGGCACGCGGGCCGGAAGCGTGGTTAAGCCTGGCACAAAGTGTCTCATAGCATGCGCTGTCAATTGGGCTTAAAATCTCGGCAGCGCTGACGTAGTGCAAAAGCACTGCTTCCGTTGGATCTTGATTGGAATGTAACATAGATCGAAGGAGGAAAATAGACGCTTTGGATGAGTTTACCTCCCTGGGGCGTTGCACTTGCAACCGCCCAGCTAGCGATCAACGCCGGCAGCGTCCCGTAGTACTGAGAATTGATGAAGGGCCCATATAGCATGCGGTTTGATGATGCCCCTCGATCGCTTTTGCTACTACGTACAGCTCGTCTGGGCCTGGTGGATCACGTTTTGAGCAGACACTGACAACGGACTGGCTGGACTGGCTGGTAAGAGATGCCATCAGCTGCGCTAGTCGCGAGCTAAGCCACACGAACAGAACCTCCTTTTTTTCACAACGCAAGTGGCCTCCAGCCCGTCCTGTAGCCAAACAGGGAGGGAGGGCGACGTGCTTTACCTCGGGGGGCTGCTGATCTTTTGCTACCAGCAACCCTGGGAAAAAAAATACGAATACCTCATCGCAGTCCTCTCTTCCCTTGCCGTTTTTTTTTTCAATTCCATTCTTGCATCTTGACTCGAGCTATCATCAAAGAGGTTTCCCGCAGATTGGGATGCTTCAGAGCCGTGGATGACCCACCATATCTGCTTTTAAAATAGTCCGTCGTTTTCTCTTTCATTGCCCAGTTTTACGGCGTCGCCCAGCCACTCTGCAAACAGGTCTAGCTACTTGGTACTAGCAGCACTTCACTTTCTTTGTTGTCCGTGGGGATCTCTCCCAGACCACCCCTGGATCTTTTTAGGTCAAGTCACTCCGTCACTTCAAGACACCTCCCCCGACCCTTGACCTCTCCTCCAACCAACAACAACCAAAGCCGTCCATCGTTCTTCATCCACGACGGGCCCATCGAGCCGTTCCGCAACCATGGCGTATAACGGACACGGTCACGAGTATGAAGGCCACAACCTCCAGGACATGCCTGCTGGGAGCCAGGTAAGTTTAATCTTGGAGTCAATTACAATCACGGTTTTGGTCAAGCACAGCAAAACAAAGCAAAGCAACTGTCTGCAAGGAAAGCCCCACTGACGTGAAAGCTGCTAAACAGTATCACCTCCCTCCACAAGAACAAGATGAGGACGTTAAGGATCACCTACTGGGCCAGGGCCCCCACGACTACGAGCACAACCGTCTCGGCACCGGTACCCCCCCTGTGCGTCCCGTCTCTGCCTACAGTCTGACCGAGTCGTATGCGCCCGGTGCATCCACAACACCCGGTGCGCCGCAATATGGCCATGAGTACGCTGGGCAAGAGCTTGGAGACACGGGCTACGGCTATGGCCGACCCGTGTCGACGGTCGACAGCGAGGACGCCTGGGTGCGACGTCAGCAGCCTGGCGCTGCGCCGGGCGGCGGAGGTCTGAAGCGCTTCAACACCCGAAAGGTGAAGCTCGTTCAGGGCTCCGTTCTGAGCATCGATTACCCTGTGCCCAGCGCCATTAAAAATGCCATCCAGCCCAAGTACAGGGAAGTGGAGGGTGGCACTGGTGAGTTCGTCAACATGCGATACACGGCGGCCACGTGCGACCCCAACGATTTCACTCTTAAGAACGGTTACGATCTACGCCCCAGGATGTACAACCGACACACCGAGCTGCTCATCGCCATCACCTACTACAACGAGGACAAGCAGCTCATGTCCCGAACCTTGCATGGCGTTATGCAGAACATCCGCGATATTGTCAACCTCAAGAAGTCCACCTTTTGGAACAAGGGCGGTCCCGCTTGGCAGAAGATCGTAGTCTGCATGGTCTTCGATGGTATCGACAATGTAGACAAGGAGACCTTGGATGTCCTGGCCACCGTGGGTATCTACCAAGATGGAGTCATCAAGAAGGATGTCAACGGCAAAGAGACTGTTGCTCACGTCTTCGAATACACCACCCAACTCTCTGTCACACCCAACCAGCAACTGATTCGTCCCATTGATGACAGCCCCCAGACTCTGCCCCCTGTGCAGATGATCTTCTGTTTGAAGCAGAAGAACACCAAGAAGATCAATTCCCACCGTTGGCTGTTCAACGCCTTCGGCCGTATCCTAAACCCCGAAGTATGCATTCTCCTCGATGCTGGTACCAAGCCAGGCACCAAGTCGCTCCTGGCCCTTTGGGAGGGTTTCTACAACGACAAGGACCTTGGCGGTGCTTGTGGTGAAATCCATGCCATGTTGGGGAAGGGAGGCAAGAAGCTCTTCAACCCCCTGGTAGCCGTCCAGAACTTTGAGTACAAGATCTCCAACATTCTGGACAAGCCTCTGGAGAGTTCTTTTGGATACGTCAGTGTGTTGCCCGGTGCTTTCTCCGCCTACCGATTCCGTGCCATCATGGGCCGTCCTCTCGAGCAGTACTTCCACGGTGACCACACGTTGTCCAAGATTCTGGGCAAGAAGGGTATCGAGGGTATGAACATTTTCAAGAAGAACATGTTCTTGGCCGAGGATCGAATTCTGTGTTTCGAGCTTGTGGCCAAGGCTGGCTCCAAGTGGCATTTGACCTACATAAAGGCTGCTAAGGGAGAGACGGATGTGCCCGAAGGTGCCCCGGAATTCATCAGTCAGCGACGAAGATGGCTCAACGGTTCTTTCGCCGCCAGTCTCTACTCGCTCATGCACTTTGGTCGCATGTACAAGAGCGGACACAACATCGTCCGCATGTTCTTCTTCCACGTGCAACTCCTCTACAACATCGCCCAAGTCGTCTTCACCTGGTTCAGTTTGGCTTCCTACTACTTGACTACTATCGTCATCATGGATTTAGTCGGTACCCCGACCGCACCAGGAGATACGAGTTCGGAATTCCATGCCTGGCCCTTCGGCGACACGGCTACTCCCATCGTCAACTTGGTTCTGCAATACGCGTATGTGGCCTTCTTGATCATGCAGTTTGTTCTCGCTCTCGGCAACCGACCGAAGGGATCCAAATGGCAATACATTGCCTCTTTTGTCGTCTTTGGTTTCATCCAGCTCTACATCCTCATCCTGTCCGGCTTCCTGGTCGTGCGCGCTTTCGTTAATGATGATAACGTCGATCTTGGCAATGAGCTCAAACAACTGGCGACGGGACGATCAGAGATTGCGCTGATTCTTATGGCCTTAGTCTGCACGTTCGGCTTGTACTTCCTGGCTTCTTTCATGTACTTGGATCCCTGGCACATGTTCCACTCGTTCCCCTACTACATGGTGCTGATGTCTACTTACATCAACATCTTGATGATTTACGCCTTCAACAACTGGCACGATGTCTCTTGGGGTACCAAGGGTTCAGACAAGGCGGAAGCTTTGCCGTCTGCCAACGTTACCAAGACAGACAAGAACGAGGCTGTGGTGGAAGAAATTGAGAAGGAGCAGGAGGATATCGACAGCCAGTTCGAGGCAACCGTCAAGCGTGCTTTGGAGCCTTTCAAGCCGGAGGAGGAGGTCGAGAAGAAAGATCTCGAGGACTCGTACAAAGCTTTCAGAACCTCCCTGGTCCTGGCATGGCTTTTCTCTAATGCTCTGCTCATTGTCGCCTTACAAAGCGACAGCTTCAACTCATTTGGTATCGGAGTAAGTGATGGTATATATCGAAGTTTACGCATCAGATTACTAACATATTGCAGCAAACCACGGCGAAGCGAACAGCCAACTTCTTCTCGTTCCTGCTTATCGCCACGGCCATTCTGTCCATCATCCGCTTCATTGGGTGTGTGTGGTTCCTGGGTAGGACGGGTCTCATGTGCTGCTTCTCCAGACGGTAAAAGTAGACACGATGATTCGTCGGCGCCGCGGGGTAGCAGCGAGACGTTTAGCCGGCATAACTTGCATACAATGAATGGTACTCTCAATATCAGGACCTGGCGTCAGACGTTATATCATCTTGTACAGGATAAAGGTTGGAAGGAAGATGCTTGGATGAGGTCACTTGAAAAAAAAACATCAGAAAAGTCGCGCTTTTGCGTCTGGTTCTTTGGCTCATGAAAACGAGCGGCATGAAGTTTGGGCGTTCTTGAAATTCTCTTTATATCCTCGAAGGTAGTAATGTGCCTGAAATACATAATTTGGACACGAGTGACGGTATGCTGTGGTACTTGTGTGACGAGGACACGAGACCACATGAAAATGAACGGGGGAGGAGGGGGCAATAACTCGGCTGTTTCTTTTGGACGATATTCTGCGTCATGTAAATAAAGGGTTGACATTTACAGATTCAGACTCTTGCAGCATCGTGAGGTCCACCTTTATTCATGACAACGGCCCTTAACACTTACTACTATATCGTAGAAGGTCCAAAAACTTCGAAGGCATGACAATCGCGCGTCATTCTAGGTTTGGGCGCGCGACGCCGCAAGGTTGGTTCAGCGGTAGTAAGGTAAGGACGGACGGAACTAGCCGAGGAAATGCCGGTACGTACCTGCCTGGAATGATCAGGCTGAGATCACCCCTCCATTCGTGGCGAGGCTTCCATACGTTCAAAGGGGCCTGGTTATTATTATTTCCGAAGTCGTCATTCGTTTCTCCTTATTTCTATGTCGGCGACCCTCCCTTCTCAGATACTTCTGTGCATCCGAGTCTCTACTAGGTAGTGTCTCAATCTCTGACAACTACGCCGGCTTTTCTTGATAAACGCTGAATATTGCATTGTCCCTCTTCTCCGCCGACTGACCAACTAACCGACCCGAGTCCTGCGCATCAATCATAACCACCAAGATGTTAAAGATTTGGTCTATGGTAAGGATAGCATGGATGTTTTATTGGTTTGTGCGACTGGGACTAATGATGTGAACAGAAAAAGGAGCAGCAGAAGGCTGATTCTGCCGAGGGAGCGAGTGGCAAGAAGAAGAAGGTCACAGCTGCGCAACTGCGGGTGCAAAAAGGTACATATTTTTCTTTGTCGCCGATCTTTCTAGCTGGTACTTTATACTGACAAGTGTGCTCCCATGTGACAGATCTTTCCGAGCTATCTCTAGGCTCAACAATGCGAACCGACTTCCCCGACCCGGACGACATCCTCAACTTCATTCTCACCATCACACCGGACGAGGGCCAGTACCAAGGTGGCAAGTTCACGTTTACTTTCAATATGAACCAGAACTATCCCCACGAGCCCCCGAAGGTCCGCTGCCAACAGAAGATCTATCACCCCAACATCGATCTTGAGGGCAAGGTGTGCCTGAACATTCTGCGAGAGGACTGGAAGCCGGTGCTGAACCTGAACGCCGTTATTGTCGGACTTCAGTTTTTGTTCCTCGAGCCGAACGCCTCGGATCCCCTCAACAAGGAGGCCGCTGAGGATCTGCGCCAGAGCCGAGAGAACTTTAGGAAAAACGTCAGAAACGCCATGGCTGGTGGCTCCATACGGGGAACCAGCTATGAACGGGTGCTAAGCACGAAATAATGAGCGCTGACACAGACAACTCGACAATGCTTTATGCATCTCGATGCTCGATGACCACACGAATTGAGATGGAATGCTCCATAGGTTGGCCACTAGGGGAGGCGGAGACCTGGGACTGAAAGCCATGATATTAGATGCTAGGGCCCATATATTGCAAATTTGGCGTTTTCTCGAGCGGCATTGCTTTGGGCAACAAGGGCGCCATGCTTCTTGCCAGTCGTGCGACTGCTACGAAGAGGGGGGTTTGTGGCATTTGGACTCATAGTGTGCATAGCAAGACCACTTCATGATAGATACAGGATGGATGAAGATACGTTTACACTACAACACCAAGTCCACAAACTTGATGCTTGTGTTTCCGGACAATGTGTAACACGCAGATGCCAGTTTTGCTTTGATTAACCTCCCTAGTAGACAGGTCCATCCTCTAAGCAGTCACTGATATCTCGACACATTACAACGCGTCCTCCGCCTGGGCAGTTTGAGCTGGTGTGTCTCGGACTGGCTATGACAGTACGTATCCCTGGCACGAGAGACTCGGCCAATAACGAGTGGCGGATACCCCCATCAACCCCAACTAAACCACCAAACAACCCCACTATCAGTTGATTGATTCGTTTCACCGCCAGGCCGAGCCCGGAGGAAGCTACGTCAAATCTGTCATGGGGGAGTCGAGGTCTTGGACCCTGCCGAACACCAGCCCGAGGGGGAAAAAAAATAAAAGTTTTCTGGGACCTGCGAAGCTGTACATATGACTACACAGTTTCTAAACTTCCACCTTTGTCTATCCCCAGATCTCCACTCCAATTCCTCACCTCACAAATATGGCTTCTAAGAGCTTCTCCAAGGCGCTTCGCTCGCCATTGGCCCGCCAATTGGCCGCGCCTGCTCTTCAGAGACGCACTTTTGTCGCTGCAGCGAGCGCCGTGAGAGCTTCCGCCGTCAAGGCCCGCCCTGCCCTGGCTGGTGTTGCGCAGCAGCAGGTTCGTGGCGTCAAGACTATTGACTTCGCTGGAACGAAGGAGGAGGTCTACGGTAAGCTCGATTGACTCCAATTGACCCGGTCTAGAAGCTTACAGGCCAATGCAGAGCGTGCCGACTGGCCCAAGGAGAAGCTGTTGGTGAGTCACTCTACTACTGTTACTTCCGAAATATGGACTTGAGAAGGCCAATTGGGTGCCAATCCGGGTCTCCCTCGAGGAACACCTATGCCTAATAACTTTCACAGGAATACTTCAAGGACGACACCCTCGCCCTCATCGGCTACGGTTCGCAAGGTCACGGCCAGGGTCTCAACCTCCGTGACAACGGCTTGAACGTCATCGTCGGTGTCCGAAAGAACGGTCAATCGTGGAAGGATGCAGTCCAGGATGGCTGGGTCCCGGGCAAGAACCTCTTCGAGATGGACGAGGCCATCTCTAAGGGTACCATCATCATGAACCTGCTCAGCGATGCCGCCCAGAGCGAGACATGGCCTGCTATAAAGCCCCAGATCACCAAGGGCAAGACACTGTACTTCTCGCATGGTTTCTCCCCTGTCTTCAAGGAGGTGACCAAGGTCGATGTCCCCACGGACGTCGATGTCATCCTCGTCGCCCCCAAGGGATCCGGCCGCACTGTCCGCTCCCTGTTCCGTGAGGGTCGTGGCATCAACTCGTCTTTCGCCGTCTACCAGGATGTCACTGGCAAGGCTGAGGAGAAGGCCTGTGCTCTCGGTGTTGCCGTTGGCTCCGGCTACCTGTACAAGACCACCTTTGAGAAGGAGGTCTACTCTGACCTTTACGGTGAGCGTGGCTGCCTGATGGGTGGTATCCACGGCATGTTCCTCGCACAGTACGAGGTCCTCCGTGAGCGTGGCCACAGCCCCAGCGAGGCTTTCAACGAGACCGTCGAGGAGGCTACCCAGTCGCTGTACCCCCTGATTGGTGCCAACGGTATGGACTGGATGTACGAGGCTTGCTCCACCACTGCCCGCCGTGGTGCCATTGACTGGACCCCCAAGTTCAAGGATGCCCTCAAGCCCGTCTTCAACTCTCTGTACGACTCAGTTTATGACGGTTCCGAGACCAAGCGATCCCTCGAGTACAACGGTCAGAAGGACTACCGCCAGAAGTTCGAGGCTGAGATGGAGGAGATCCGCAGCATGGAGATCTGGAGGGCAGGCAGGGCCGTCAGGTAGGATCATCCCTTTCCCAATAACCAATAACTGCAACTCTTCACTTACATGCATGACACTGACACTGACACTTTCAAACACAGATCTCTCCGACCTGAAAACCAATAAAGACGGGGCTTGACATGGGAAAGGCTATCAAAATCGGAAGGGTACTTGGAGGCCGAGGCTGGGGGGTGTTCCCGGGGGACAGGCTTTTGTACTATATTCAGGATTCCCCTACATTAAGTGGATCTGTGAGATATCAGGCAAAAGTTATTTGCTCTATCGCTTTTTTCGCAATACAGCGTGTTCTGTTCAAATTCGACGCTTTGTGACTCGTGCATTACTCCGCTACCGGACCTTGATAAAGCTTACCCCAACTTTTAAAAGGTAGCATTTAAGTTAGTCTCTATCTGTTGGAGATAGTAGTCATTGTTTTAGACTAGTCTCCTCCCTACCTACTGACTAATAGCCTATACTCATTCCAAATATACTCACGGCGACCTATCTTCCACATAAATCCCTTTTTGCCTCGCCTCTGTTCAAGTACTCCACACCCAGGATACAATTCCACCACTTGCTCACTCGCCCACTGCCTCACAACCACAATGGCCGACCCCTCCACTTCACCCCCGCTAACGCGCGCCTCGGTGATCGAAGCCCACAAGCTCATCAAGACGTACATTCACCACACGCCCGTGCTGACCAACGCGTCGTTAACGGAACTAGCATCAAGACCAAGGGAAGCGGCGAGTTTGGTGGGGACACCCTGGGAGGGGAGAAGACCCGCCCGCCCGGGGAAGTTAAATCTCTGGTTTAAATGTGAGAATTTTCAGAGGGTGGGAGCGTTCAAGGTCCGGGGCGCATTTCATGCTATTGAGAGGTTGAAGAGGGAGACGGGGTGGTTGACAGGGGGCGGAGCGCAGATGGGGGTTGTTACGCATAGTAGTGGTAAGTTCTAAACAAAGGAGGGGTAGAGTTTGGACTTTGATATGGTTGAAGGGGGCTGGAGATGGGTGTTGGTTTGGGGACATGAAGTCAAGTTGAGATGAAGCATGGGTATGCCGCTCGAGTGAGCATTTAGTGTTTGAGCTGGGGAGGCTTGTAATCAGGCGGGCTTGTCAAGGCTTCGTTCGTTCACTGCCTCGAGGTTCATCAAGTGATAACGGCTTTGATTACCGCCTTTCTATCTGTTCCTCCTTCATACTGACTGGAGTTTGACGTACGACTAACGAAGAACCTCGGCAAGGAAACCATGCACAAGCCCTCTCTCTGGCGGCTAGATCAAACGGAATCCCAGCCTACATCGTCATGCCCACCATCTCCGCACCGTCCAAAATCGCCGCTACCAAGGGTTACGGCGCCTCCGTCATCTTCAGCGGCAGCACGTCAGTGGAGCGTGAGGCTGTCGCCGCGAAGGTCATCGAAGAAACAGGCGCCCGACTCGTCCCGCCCTACGATCACCCCGACATCGTGCTCGGACAGGGCACCGTCGGTCTGGAATTACAGGACGATGTCGAGGCTCTCATGGCTGGTGAGGCGGCCGATAGGGCTACGGGTTCTTCTTCGCCGCCTACAAAGAAGAAAGGGCTAGACGCTATTCTCGCCCCTTGCGGTGGCGGCGGCTTGCTCTCAGGCGTCGCCCTCTCTTGCGAAGGCACAGAGATCCGCGTCTTCGGCACCGAGCCGTCGTTCCAAGGTGCCGACGACGCGAAACGGGGGTACGAATCCGGCACCCGCGTCGAATCCGTCAGCACACTCACCATCGCCGACGGTCTGCGCACACCTGTTGGTACAGTGCCCTGGGGGATAATCTACGAGCGGAAACTGGTGAGCGGGTTTTACAGCGTGACGGAGACGGAGATTAAGGATGCGCTAAGGTTGGTGTTGGAACGGTTCAAGATTGTGATTGAGCCCAGCGCCGCGGTGCCGTTGGCGGTTGCGCTGTATAATGAGGAGTTTAGGGGGATGGTGGAACGGGAGGGTGGTGGAGAGGGGTGGGATGTCGGGATTGTGTTTAGTGGGGGTAATGTGAGTTTGGATGCTTTGGGGAAATTGTTTGCTGGGGAGAGTTAAGATGATGGGGGCGAGTTTGACAGTTTGCTGGTTGGACCTGAGCTATGCAAAGTATGTGAGTGACTATAGAGAGGATAGATCTTGGCACCAAAATATATTTAAGCTGTTCTTTTCCAATACATGGTAATGTTCTTGTCAGCAACAAGTCGGCTCAAGTCAGAGCGGCACTTGGAAGAGACCGTTTGCGGAACAGAGAGTCGGGGTTTGACGAGCTCTTCACTTGAACGACGGGGCGTCTTATGAGGCTAGTGGCTCAGAATAGACGTGTGCTCTCTCAGCGACGCATATTTCTCTTGCTTGGATTAAGGTTCGTTGACTCGTTGCGCATTTTTTATGAGCCAAAGCGAATACTCATTGATTATATTCTTTGCTGTGATTATGCAGTCTAATCTAACTTAGTATTCAATCCTTCCACACAGTGGTTATTGAGGGTTAAGAGCCTTGTCCATCTGCGTCCGCCACTTCTCACTATTCCGCCTCAACAGCCAAATGCTCGCATTTCCACTCACCCAAGCCACAAGCCCCAGAATGGTAAACAACCACCCATGGCCAATGGCATCTATCAGCGGCTGCGCAATAATACCTCCAGTACAGCTAAATATATTTCTAACAAAATTATTCAACGCCACACCACTGCTACTCTTACGCGGCATGAACTCGGTCAACATCGTCGTAGCCGCACTGAAAACCAACATGCTCCCCACGCCAAAGAAGAAATTAGCCACCATAGGCACGATCCAGTGAACGCCATAGTGGGTCGCCCAGCCATACCAAATCAGCGCGCCGGGGTACAGCGTAGCGGAGATCCAGATGTTCTCGCGCATGCGGTCTTCGGGGAGGTAGATGAGCTTGCCGTCGGCATCGTAGCGGCCGGCCTTCTCGGCGGCCCGGACCATGATACGGTCGATCCACGGACCGCCAAAGATGGAGGCGAGGAAGTAGCCTATGGAGTTTGGGATGTAGAGGAGGCCGACGAGGAGGGCGGAGAAGTTGTAGGGTGAAGAAGAGAAGGCGGATTGGACTGAGATGTTGAGTACATATAGCGCGCCGAAGGTAATGGCTGCGTAGTAGACGACGAGAGCGACGGCTGGGAAACGTAGATACGTTATGACCTGGAGTGGATCGAGGAAACACCGTTTGAGATATCCAGCGACCAGTTTGGTGCGCATCTGAACCGAGCAGGCGGTTGACACGCGCGAGAGTGCGTCTGGACGCCCGCTTGACCGCGAAGCCTCGGGGGCCGCTGGTCTCTTCTTTGCCAAAGTCTCGGGGAGACAGAAGGTGAGCAGGACAAGTACAACGGCCGAATAGGCAGCGCTGAACCACATGGTAGATCGCCATCCAAATCCTTCGGCAAGAACACCGCCAATGATCGGGGCGAACAGAGGTCCCATCAAAGGGCCAAGGTAAAACACTCCCATGGCGCGACCTCGTTCCCTGCTTTCCCAGATGTCCGCAATTGTTCCAGCACCAACAGCTTGGACTGAGGCGGCAGCACCACCCGACAGGATTCGCATGACGATCAGCATGGCCACATTCACGCTCAACCCACTAAGAACGGCAAAGACGATTGCCAGAGTAAAGGAGCTGAGGTAGATATTGCGCCGCCCCAGGGTTTCAGAGAAGGACGACCACCAGAGTGGGAAGATACTCATGGCAAGCATGTAGAATGCAATTGACAAGTTGGTAATAGTTGCTGAGGCATCAAGGTCTTTTGACATTGATGAAAGTGCGGCTAGGGCGACATCAGTGTGTGGGTTCCTTGACGACCGATGTTGCACAGTACTTACGATAGAATATGGCCGAACCCATGGGCGCAGCAGCCCCAGCGGCAGCCACGATGGTAGTGATGGTCCACTTCACCCGGTGGGTATACTCATAAGGCCTTTTTACCTGTAACAATGGATTAGCAACTGTTACTCCAGAAGGAAATGTGCGTGGGGGGAGAAAGGGAGTAGACGGTCTAGGCTATGGCTTAATGAGGAGTCCCCGAGCTGCTTCAAGTAGGCTGTTGCCCTAACTCAGATCTGGAAATAACATAGATATGGGGAAGTTTCGTACCTCTGGGATAACAGTCAACCTTGCTAACAGTCCTCGGCGCCTTGCCCTCGGTATAATGGTGACGGCTCGGGACCGAACCGATGCAGTGTGAGAACGAGCACGCTCAGGTGCGTGTGCCTCCTCGTCGCCCGAGACATCGTCCGTTTTCGTTGATTGCAATTCTGGAGCGGCTCTGATACTGTCCTTCTCGCTGTCCCGGGTGGTGTCCGTACTACCTACATTGCTTGGAGGTCTCTCTTCAATTTCTAGACCCATGCTCTCCTCGCGCTTCTCGTAATCGGGAACTATATCTGCGTTGAGAGTTCGGGAGTGCCAAGGCCGACGTTGAGCTTGGCCGATGCCGGCAATCTGGTATCCAACACCGCTAAGTATAGTCTCATATACAATCCCGATACGAGTGTCAGAATTTAAGAGTCACCAGTAATTGTCGACCCAAATCCAACTCTATCTTGCGATAGCAATTCAACATGGGAAAATATAGACAGCAACAGTTAGGAAAAGTCAAACCGAAAAAAAATAAGACAAATCCGGGGAATACGACGAGGATAGTGTATGGTATGGGAAGGGTGGAGACTTTCTGCTGCAACAAATTCCGACTAGGGAACGAGCACCCGCGCCTTGGTTTTATATCCGGATCGGCAACTGCCAACCCGCAACCGAATCTGTCGCGCATACATCCCCTCCAGAGAGGCGGTGATAGGATGAGGGGTCGGATAACTTGCCTCAGTCGCTCGGAGTCATTGTCGTACATCGCACTTGCAGAAGTATGTCGACATTGAAGACCCTCGCCATCTCTGTCTAATTTACTGCGGGTTTGCCTACTTGGCTGCCGCGAGCAGTGGGATTTTCTCATCAATTGCATAGTGACAGAAGTCCCCTCCCCTGTGTAAGTGAATGTTCGGACGAGTTGAGCTTCGACATCGTCAGAAGACGAGTTCCATAATGGTTTGCAAACCTGATAAGACGAAAGATACTATTCTCATATGTGTGACCCTCCTTGTAGTCATGCATGTGAGGTGTACTTTTCGACATCATGAGGAAGACCCGCGAGTCTGAAACGACGCAATCCCAAGATAGTAAGTGGTGAGTGCTGACACAGCATTATACCATGGTAGGCAGACGTTCGCGCATCTGACACGACGGTTGCAGGCTCACCGTCTAATCTTGAGGCTAATGGGCGGATCGAGGGGGGCCCACGCGGGCTAGACAACGGAAAGCAGCCAATAGTACCATCCGCGCTGGAAGTGGTATATCATGTATTGGTTGTATCTTGTCTCGGCCGGAGTAGTGTCCGGTATCTCTCTGGGAATCCGTGCTGATTGGTAATGGTAGTAAACATAGTTGGTTAGACGCATCTAGCGTTGGGATATCGCGGCCATATTAGCCGGACAGCGGCAAAAATAAGCCAGCGTGTAGATTAGGAGGATGTCGTCTTTTTGAGTCTCGACTATTCCCCTTGGCGCCGAGCCCGGAGTTGTACCACCAAAAAAGTTTTAACAGAGCCGCAGCAGCGCAAGCTCGATTCAACCACCAGTTCCAGCTCCAGTGGGGCTTTTACCGGGTCGTGAACTGGCGGGGAAATTCAGCTTTCAACATAGTTGCCTGCATCAGATCCCCTACATCATGTCGTTGACGAACGCATCCCCGTCGGAAGCTGCAAAGGCGGCGAAGGGAGCCTCGCACGTTCTTGCAACACTGTCGGCATCGGCGAGAAATGATGCACTCACGGCGATCCACTCCGGACTCGCTGCCGCCCGGGACGACATCCTCGCCGCCAATGCGTGCGACTTGGAGCTTGCGCGCAAGGCTGCATCGACTGGTGACTTGAGTCAGAGCTTAGTGGCACGACTGGATCTGGGCAAGAAGGGCAAGTGGGAGGACATGCTGAAGGGCATCTTGGATGTGCGAGAGCTGGAAGATCCAGGTGAGTCACTTTCAGCTATTTAGCAAATTGGAACACAGATGGCTGATTTCACGAAGTTGGCAAAGTCACATTACGGACAAAACTAGACGATGGCCTGGAGTTGGAGCGGGTGACATGTCCGATTGGTGTTCTATTGATCATCTTCGAGGCACGGCCCGAGGTCATCGCCAACATCGCCTCGTTGGCCGTGAAATCGGGCAACTCGGCCATTCTGAAAGGAGGCAAGGAATCCACGGAATCTTTCATTGCCATATCCAAGGTGATTTCGGAGGCCTTGACCAAGACTCAGGTTCCCAACGGAGCAATCCAACTGGTCACAACAAGGGATGTGATCCCCCAACTCCTGGATCTGGACCGGTATATCGATCTTGTCATACCACGAGGAGGCAATGAGTTGGTCCGATATATCAAGTCTTCGACCAAGATTCCCGTTCTTGGCCACGCCGACGGGCTGTGCTCCATTTACCTGGAGCAGTCGGCCGATCCAAAGATGGCCGCCGAGGTTATTGTCGATTCCAAGACCAGCTACCCAGCTGCGTGCAACAGCTTAGAGACTTTGCTAATCCAAGAATCTGCGTTGCAAGCCCTGCTCCCGACCGCTGCCGAAGCGCTGATAGCAAAAGGAGTCACACTGCGATGTGACCCTAAGAGCAAAGTAGCTCTTGAGGCAAACCTGCCAGCTGACATGGCCAAAATGCTTGTAGATGCGACCGATGTTGATTTCGACACCGAGTTTCTCTCCCTGGACCTAGCAATCAAGACGATCAGCGGCGTCGAGGAGGCCATCTCGCACATTAACACGCATGGCTCCCACCACACCGACGTGGTCCTCAGCTCTTCTCAAGATCTCGCAGAGCAATTCATGACGAGCGTTGACTCAGCCGGTGTCTACTGGAACGCTTCTACCCGCTTTGCCGACGGCATGAGATATGGCTTCGGCACTGAAGTCGGCATCAGCACGAACAAGATTCACTCCCGCGGCCCGGTTGGTTTGGAGGGTTTGATGATTTACAAGTACAAGATTCGGGGATGTGGCCAGGTCACTGCTTCGTATGGCGAGGGCGAGGAGGCGAGGAGTTACAAGCACGAGAGGCTTCTTTGAAATAGAACTGCTTGAGCATTGCTCATGATGAAAAGTGGGATGGGTGGGAAAAGACGGGGCGGCGGCGGCGTTAGGGGTGATAAAAGATTTGGAATCGCAAGTGTCTGGCTGGTTAGAAAAGATTATAGATGCAGATACAGTGGGATAACTATGAGCATAATAGTAAACATCCTGCTCCCTGCTGTCTTTTTTTTGTAGTGACGTTTCAATAACACTCGAGCTGGCAAAGGGCCGGCCGTCGGAGATGCATAGAAGAATTGCTGGGCAGCGTTATGTTCTTTACAATTGTCGATCAGCAGGAACTTGAAGAAAGCTTTGACGGCGTCTGAGGTTACTACTTGTCTTTCCGCGCGCGACCCCTAAATCCATTGCGGCAGAATAGGAAAGCTTATCAGCAAATTGGACAGTTTCAGCGGGTGTAGCGCCTCTCAGCCCTACACACCCTTCATTTCGTAGACCTCTGTAGATGCCCAACAATTAGAGGGACGCCGTCGACTGTTAGCGGTTGTAATTTCTATTTGGGGTTCGGCGCTGCGCTATAAAGGATTTTGCTTGAGGGCTTAGGTAACACTATTTTTGTCATTGGTAGACTAACATTGTTAAGGCGCCTGGGCTTCTTCACCTACATTTCCATGGCGCAACTAGTATGTGACTTCGAGAGATCATAGCTCTGGGGCTCTCCAGGACATTACTCATCGCACAATGGGCGTGATGTTTGTGGCTGATGTAGTTGAGCTGTACGTCAATATTTTCGAAAAGTGGACGCCGTCGAGATGTGAAATGAGGGAAGTGGTCTCCCAATTTTCAACTATATCAAGCCAGACATTCCCTTCCTCCTAAGGTATTATTAGATCAAGAAAACAGGTGTCACTCTTAAGAATAACCTGAATATCCAATATGCATCCCAAAACTATTCTATCCATTGTCGCTTTCGGCATCCCTCTTCTCGCCCATGCTCTCCCCGTCCATTCCGAACCACAAAAACGGCAAGACGACGTATCCTCGCTCCTCGCAAGTTACATGCAGGCGCAACAGCAGATGATGCAAGCACAGATGGCCCTCCAGAACGCCATGCAACAAGCTTCCATTCAAGAATCGGCAGCCGAAGACAAAATCCAGAAACGCCAGGGCAACGACTCACAGGAGGCCATGCTACAGAAGTTTCTCCCACAGTTGCTACAGCAGTTATCTCAGCAACAAGGGTCATCCGGAGGAAGACGCAGAAGTGGTGGCATCACCCAGAAGCGCCAGGATGACGCCACTGCCTCCTATGCGGAAGCTCAGAAGGATATGTTCCTGGCTACTATGGCGGCTATGAACGCTATGCAGGCGCAGACTACGGAGCAGGAGTTTGCGCAGAAAATGAACGACGCTGTGTGGAAAACCGCCTCAGAAGCTGCGTCTGACAAGATTCAGTGACGTCGAAGGGGACAGTGGTCTTCGTTCTTTGCGAATGTATAGTTTGTGGAAGCTTTGATGAGGTATCCTCCAAGTGAGAGAGGACATGGGACAAGAAACACTCAGTGCATGAGAAGGTTCCTACTCTCAGCCACGGAAAAGATTGGGCTCGAGGTTCTGTTGTTGCGTGTTTTACGAGATGATCTTATGCCTTTTCGTAAATCAACGTCAATCTCTTTAGGTCTACACCATGTTATCTAGGTTAGATGGTCACCAATCACTATAAGGCATTTAGATTGATACGCGCTACCAGTACGCGAGAAATCTTGATATGTATCACTCTTGTCGCTAATGCGCATGACCATCGTTATCTAAAGCAACTATCGCTCTTAATCTGCGACAGAGAACTTGCCATATGAGGATAAGAAGCTGCAAAAAGAACATTGGAGAGAAAATACTCTAGCACGCCCAGAGTATTCAATTGCCTGTATTGGGCTTGTTTCTGGGGTGAGGTCGGCTGAAGAGAGCGGTATATCTACATAGCCATCTCGAAGGACTGGACCGCCTGCGGGAGTTATCTGGTCGGCCGAGTGATGATATAGAAGGAGGTGCAGGTAGATGCGTAAAAATAGCAAAAAATTTAAGCCTAGGTCTCAGAAATATGGTGATAGCGTTAATGTTTTCATCGCTGATAGCATCTGTTCACAGATATTTACGCAAACAATCTAGGTTATTAGGGAGGGTGCGTCGAGTTTCCAAATTTCATCTCAACTCATTCTCGCCCTCATCGAATAAGAATTAAGAAATAAATCCATAGCTCAGATCAGATGAACAAGGACGACAAAACTGGCACTGGACATCGTTTCAGCAACGTACGGTGGTAGGTGTAAGCCAAGATATTTCCTATCTACGTAGCTTTCTCACATGAACCTCGGCGCCCCACATTTCCAGGACAACTTAACTCCCTGTCTTTAACTTCAAATATAAAGGATATCTTGACCTCATAAACTTCCTTAGAAGCTCATTCGCTGGACTCGACAACTTGGCTGATTGGCGAACACGCACTGTATAATACTGATAGAGAATTTGCGATTTATGAGACGTGAATCACTCGCAACAATGGAGGTCACAAAGCTCTTCGACGTCAAGGTATGAAGTTCCCGCAGTTCAGTCAGTCTAGCAACTTCATTACTGACACCTCCCCTCAAGGATAAAGTTGTGCTAGTCACTGGAGGTGAGTTCAAAACAACCAAGCAGTGAAATCCCCTCCCTCACCATCAAGACAAACCCGACCCCCGACTCACACTCTCCCCAGGCGCCAAAGGCATCGGCCTTATGATCTCGACGGGCTTCATCACCAACGGTGCCAAAGTCTACATCTCCTCTCGCGACGCGCCCGCCTGCACCTCCGCCGCAGCATCCCTCAACGCCCTCGGGCCCGGAACCGCCATCGCCCTCCCCGCGGACTTGCTGCGACTCTCCGAGTGCGAGCGCCTTGCCGCCGAACTCAGAAAGCGCGAACCAGGCGGTCTCCACGTCCTCGTTAACAACAGCGGGATCGCCTGGGGCGCGCCGCTGGACGAGTTTCCCGATGAGCAGTGGGGGAGGGTGCTGACGTTGAATTTGCAGCGGGTTTTTACGTTGACGCAGTTGTTGTTGCCTTTACTTGAGAGCGCGGGCGTGGGGGGCAAGGACAAGGGTTGTCCGGCGGCGGTGATCAACATCGGGAGCATCGACGCGCTGCGGGTGCCGCTGCTGGAGAACTATTCGTACTCGGCGTCCAAGGCGGCGTTGCATCATTTGGGGAGGGTGCTGTCTACGAAGTTGGGGCCCAGGGGAATCACGGTGAACACGTTGGCTTGTGGGCCGTTTGCGACGAAAATGACGGCGTTTGCTATGAAGACTATGCGGGACGAGATTGAGGAGAGTAACCCCATGGGGAGAATTGGGGAGCCGGCGGACGTTGCGGGGGCTTGTATATTTTTGGCTAGTCGGGCTGGGTGAGTTGTCCGGACGAGAGGAACGAACGTTGAGACTGGACTAACTTTGATAGGTCGTTCATTAATGGGGCTACCATTACTGTGGATGGTGGCGTGAGTAATGTGGCCAAATTGTGAGGAGGGGGGAAAGGTTGGCTGCCACTGCGATTTGGTCACTGGGATCGCTGTGTATACTAATGGTGGGATGGGAGACGTGGGATTGCACCTAATCGGCCTAAGGGCATCGCATCAAGGAGTTGTGGTACTCGAATAGTTACCGGGGTATCGTCCACATCTTACATAAGGCCATTCTGACAATTCATTCATAATGCTGACCCCAAACTGGCGAAGCCATCTGAAGGTTCAGCTCTCATCACATCATGCTCATCCCTGCAAACCCCAATATCTTGCCAGTATCCTGTCCCTATGCTCAACCAAGCTGGGATAGTTCATCAACGCATCTCTCAGCCGGCTGTCCTGCCAGGACAGCTTTTCATCCAGCACTAGATGTGTATAAGCAAACACCGTCGCATCAAATAAGCCCGGATTCAAGTTCCCAAAGAACCAGGCCTCGCCACCCAACACCGTTGCCAGGGCTTCGAAAGCCTCCTCCGCCCCCTTGTACAAAGCCGGCGGATTCACCGCCGGCGCCCCTGTCGACTTTAAGATCTCAGACTCGGCGGCATGCTGCAGTTGGTGCCAGATGGTATTTCTGACCACTTGCGTCGACGAGGTGGGGTTGATGTAGAGATCGAACAGCAGGGCCGTGTCTTTAGGGTTTAGGTAGAGAGAATAGAGCCAGGCGTTGCGTATCCGATGGTCCAGCAATGACTGATATGCTTCTAACCTCAGACTCGAGACTTCGGGTACTTGCGTGGAGCCATTGCCACGGGCATACTTCTCAAGTTTGTTGGATGGAACAGGGGTTTGCGAATCGGCATCGCTCGCAGAAGAAGGACGGATGAGGAAGGGCAGGGCGCCATTTGGAGAGGCATGGTTCGTCGAAGGGATTATGCGGAATTCGGCGCCAGCGAGTTTGAGAAAGGTCTGCGGACGGTATTAGTGGAATGCTGATACACGCCACAAGCGCAAAGAGCAAGACTTTAACGTACCTGCCACTTCAAACATGAAGGGTTGAAACTAGGTAGACCTTGCAGGGCATCTTGGTCGGTGCTGAAGACATAGAGAGTCGGCAGCTCTCTATTTGGTAGTGTCCGGAAGGGCAACTCGTTGGCGGGATAGACCAGCAGCGGAAAGTGCTTGAACAGTCGTCGCAAGGGAGCCGGGATTGTAAACCAGTCAGACGCCTTAGCTGTCGCCTTAGGAGCTGCGGCGCTTTGCTTTGAGTCTACCGACATCTTCGACTCTCCCAGGCCGGGTCGTGTACGTCTGCAAGTGGCTACCCTGAAGCTCCGTCACAAAATTATTCGCGATGCGCGCGTCACGGCCAGATCCGACATCTCAAAGCTGCAAGTGGTGGCTGGGTCCCACTTAAACGGCTCCATCAACGGGCCGAGAAATCTGGGACGCCGGGACCGTAACCAGCCAGGCCAGCTCTTTTACACTGCGCGCGGAGTTTTTCAAGAAAGGCCGACAGATGCTCCGATGAAGGACTTCTCTTCTGCGAGCTGTTCCCGAGATGCTCACCGACCCTATCAGCTCATATGCAGACCCTGGCCACCCGATTTATTCGCGCGAAACTGGGGAATAAGGGTCCTTAGATCTCCCAGAGAAAAAAAAAATTCTGCATTCATGCCAAAATGCCAGAAAAACGCCGACGATGGCACGGGAGACCGCGCATCGCTTCCGTCTGTATTCATGCCTGCACGTGCATGCATGCATCGATATCATTATGAACGCCCAGCACTAGATACGTGCATTTGCGGAGATGTCCCATTGCTACCTTGCGTCCATCAGCTGGTACTGTCTTCAAGAGCAAATTGATATCGTACCAGCTTGACTAAGTTTGAAGGATGAAGCTTGAGTCTAAGTCTGCCTCGACTGCGAGTCAGCCAGCCCCAAGTCCCTTATGACGATCCCAAGCCTGCATGCAGTCTGGGGCGTGGTGCGGGGACTCCACTGAATGTGGGGGTTCGAGTTGGCAGATACTTTCGGAGTACAGCAACTGCCAACTGCCAACTTGTCATGCAGACATTGGACGAGGAAATCATGAGCTGCCCAATGTAGACATTGCTTGCCCAGTCCAAGGACCAGGCATACTGTGACCACAGGCACTTGATACGACCCAATAGACTGACCGGAACTAGAACAGTCTCTGGTCAATATACTGGCGGTTGCAGCGCGCGGGAAGCGGTATGAGACGCTCACTTCAAGTCCTGCTTCTGAGCAGCAAGTGTTAAGCGCGGCCGCCAGGTTGGCCGGTCGCACGAGCCGCGCAACCGCATTGCAACACTCACTTCGCCCGAGGTTACGAAGAGAGAACACGTCCTCCAAGAACTCCGCCAGGGCCCACATGTGCGATGATGTCGTCGGCCCTTCGGTACACTGTGGTATCTCCAGACTTGCCTTCGATCGTGCGGCCTCCGTCGATGCTCGTGCGGCCGTGGACGAGATTCCCCCAAACTCAAAGCCCCGGCTTGAGAGGTCATGTTCGGCTTCAATATGGTGACATGGAAATACAACGGCAAACCGGCGGGATCTAAATCTAAATCAGATGTCACCGTGTAACCTTAGATACTGGTTCCTGATGTTATCAGAAGCAAACAACGAGATTTGGAGCGGGCGGCGGCCTTTCTGCATTCGGCTCGAGACATTAGCATACTATCGCAGTCAATGTCAAGACCCTCACCTCCACTTTCATCGTCGCCTTTGTCGTTTGATATGACCTGGAGGGGCTTTAGCCCCTGTCGAGAACCTCTTGCCTACTTTACTTTTTATTGTCTCTTGCTCCACTACCGCTTCATGCTTTTACAAATACTCACGACTCGTCAACAGTCCGGCGAATTCTCGCAAAGCCACGAGCTTTTGAACCATTTACGTCAACTCTCCCCCGCCTTCTTCCCCCATTCTTCCTGCTGATCTTTCCAACCTGCTTGTGGCATATGCAAGTTATTTGTCCGCTCGGAAACTCAAGTCGTCGTACATCTCGTTGCATTTCCAGCTTTCGGTCACCGTCGGTAACAAACTACAAAAGGACGTGACGCCAATCATCCAAAAGAGGAAGCACCCTGTCGCCCTGTCTCGAATCTATCGATCCATTGGGCTGGCTATCTTCACCACCAACATTCGACTCTGTGACAACATCTGCATATCATCGCCAACCCGCATCTCTACGTCCTCTGTTTCTTGTGCCAGAAAGAAGCAAGCAAGCAAAACCGGTCTTCGTTTTAGCCTGTTCGCCTCAAACCCCAAAACCTTCTCCGAGTTAACAACTTAAGAAGATTAAAACCATCCCCAAGCCTTGAGAGGGTTTTGCCGTCTTCTGCATTCCGCTTCATCATCAAAGTACATCGAGGTTCCTTTCTCGCCCACCACCCGCCCGCCGCTGCCACCCTGCCTGCCTAATTCTCCAACAACCAATATCTGACGCTTGTGACCCCGAGGCAGCAACCCAAAAAGACATCAGGCGCCACAACCTTATTACACAACACATCCCGCATTGTCTGCAGCCAGCCGAACAAAAAGAGGAGCACAAAACAGTCCTATCTTTGATTCAACACGAGCACCAAGAACTTCAAGCGCAAACCTCGAGTCCCCGTCGTTACGGCAGAGCTTCGACGTCACTCTCTCTTGTTTTTGCACCAACCACAACTACAATTACTACAAACTGCACATCATCGCACACATCGCACACACATATACACACACACACAAGCATCAAAATGGACGCCCCCATCCAGTCCCCGATGAGCGCCCACCGCGGCAGCTCTGCAACTACCACATCAATGAGCCAACAATCCTCCACAGCTCAAAAGTTCGTCCCGCCTCCACCACCGCAGCACCGACAGCCGAGCACCGAAAGCTTCATCCGCGACCTGAATCTGGTGGCCGAAGCGGCGAAGCGCGCGCAAATGGCGTGTTTGATGCGAGATATGGAAAGCATCGGAATCTCCTAATCAGGTTTCTTCTCTCTACTTGCCTATCGCCGCCGTTCGCTCATGCATGCGCATGAATCGCGGATTCGCGGATTTGGCCGAATTTTGAGAGTGGATACGCGGAGAGAGCCATGGTATAACGGCGCCCTGGCCAACTAGGTCACGATCCCGTTTGTGCCGTTGCGAATGGGCAATTTTGCTCGGCTTGTCGGGATTATGGAAGAAGCTGCTGGCGATAGTCGCGTGTTGTCCGTCTCCTTGCATTACTTCGTACTTCGATTACGGAAGGTGGGAGACGGACGTTGACGTGACTGTGGAAGAAAAAGAATTTCAAACCAACAACCACAACCAACAATCAATAAGTCCACCAAACCAAACAAACGAATAAACGCGACGAATGAACGTTTGCTATAATGTGCCACTATTGTCGGTGGTTAGGGACCGGGAATTGATACCCTGCGTTACCATCCTTGGACGTCATTCTACGGCAGCAAAGTCGGGGAAGTTGAATTGGAATAACCAAGGGTGTCTTCTGAAACTGGGGGTGGCATCCGATGTTGGTTCTTGTTTGCAAAGCTATTGATATGCCGGCATGGAAAGTTCTAGTCCGGATGGATTAGCCCTCGTCGAACGGCATAGCCGGCGTTGGGCTTCCAGAGAGCAAATACTCTAGGGAATAGACACACCCTAATCCTTATTGCCATCCTCATTCACGAAACGAGGTTGCTCAGAGCATATGCGGACGGAGGTCAATCTTTGCCTTTTCGCTTAAGCTCATCGTTATTACACAACATGCACGAGAGCTGCCTTCGTTGCAGCCTACGGAGTTTCTTGACAGGCTACAAACCTTTTCTGATTTACAGCTTATTACTTGATATCCTCGGCGTTTTCCTCATTTATTCATCCATCCATCGGGAGTAACGTGCGGATGGCGGGGGTGAATGGCATATTTTGATCTGGTGGTCGTTTTATTTCCTCTTTTGGGTGGCTTTGGTAAAAGACACAAGAGACAACAAAAAAGAGACTTGGGGCGAAATTCCCGGCGTCGTGTCTATCTATCTAGCATCTTCGGTAGACTAGGCTACCCACTTCCTTAGTATGCGAACTGTATCAATATAGATACCGATATCTTCGATATGATGACTTGTGGGAAATGGTTTTACTTGAGAATTTATGTTTTTGAGATGGCTCGACGTGGGGGCAGCGCTGTGGTCCTAACCATCACGAAATGAGTACTATGGATGTTCATGCCCATTCTGGATCACAGACCACATGTCTAGGGCTAGAAGCTTTCTTGACTGGTATTTACGTAGACACGACATCAAGAACCTCAGTATCGGTAGAGACTATGCCGCTGTATATCGTTCTACCCCATTCACTGCCTAACAAGTTGTGATCAAAAGTCTTACCATTGTCAAAGTCGAAGACCAAGCACAGCAGCAAAGAATGTTATAATCAAATCTATTCAGTGAGCTTGCCCGCTACACTGGTATTCAGGAGCTAGTATCTAGTAGTGCCTATTCCTATTCTCAAATCCGCCTTCAGGCCTAATTCCGATGAAGCCGAGCCCTTCGCACTTTGGGGTGTGCCCGTCCATCCAGCTTGCTCTGTGCTATGCGTGGTCAATATAACAATACATCCATCCATGCCTCGGCATGCTCGTGGGCAAATAAACAACAACAAAACGAAATGGGGGAAATATTCATTCCATGGAGCCAGCCAGAAAAGAACCACGCATGCCATCCTGTCACTGAAGCCAGCCGCCGGAGTGCAATATACCATTTACTTCATGTTGAAACTTGCGCTGTGTTGTTGGTTATGCCGTCCAATGTATAGTCAAGTCGCCCCTTTCGCCATCCGATATATTCGGCCGGCACGACGTCCAAGAGTAGAGAGGTGGAATCAAGGTATTGACGAGCATAACTCGAGTGTCGGGGTGGTGCTCAGTTAAGACCGCCATTGTACACTCGCCTTGGCTAAATGAGCACACATAGACGTGATACTAGCCATTAGGGCAGTGCAGACCCACTTGAGACAGTCCCGTAAGACATCTTAAAAAGAATGCTAAGTGCCAAGCTTGATGTCCAGATCACTATGAGCGTGGTGAAGGTCGGGGAGTTGAGACGATACCGAGCAATGAAGCCTCCAGACGCCACAACTCTGGAGAATCAATGCTGTAACAAGAACGCTGCGATGGGAACAAAATGCTGGAGATGTCGATGGTATGGAAAAGATTCGACGTGAAGTTCGAACACGATCCTCCGAGTGATCATAAGCCTACGGTCCAACCATAACGCCGTATGATGATGCTGAATGGCGGAAGACGTCAAGGATGGCTGCCCAACGAGTAACTCAACTTGTGAGGCACCGAAGGGTCTCCCTCCTAAAAGGGTTGTTGCTTCGGTATCTCATCAACTACGGACTGAATCGTGACGAATGCGCCCGATCCACCGTCTTCCCGCAAGTAGTCGAGCAAAACAGTTGTTTGTCCGTACAAGGTTTCCAAGGCCGAGCGGGACGACTTTCCCAACGACTCTGGTGAAACTGTCAGTCACAAAGCTACTTATCGACGCTAACATGGTTACTTACGTAGAATGGCAGAGTTCAGTTCCTCAGCCACGGCCACCCTGCCCCTTCTGTCAAGCAAGTGCGCAACTTCCTTGACCTCAAAAGGATTCGGGTAGGCCAACAAGGCATATACGTCGCCCAGTGCCTTGCTGACTTCTCTGCGGGGGTCATCCTTGAACTCCTCTTGCAGCACCCGGCCATACTCAATGGTGGCATTCAGCAATGCATCCTGATCGGATGCAGAATGGTAGGGTCCATCTTCCGTCTCCATCTGATCAGAATAGCCATTCTCATCGAGATCCATCTCATTAGGATTGTCGTCGATGGAACGACCATTACTCTGTTTGCTGATACCGTTATTGTTGTTGTTATTCTGGTTGACCTCGGCCGACTTTCTTATCATCTCGATAAATTTTCGGCAACGAAGTCTGAAGTATACCTGCTCATTCTCTTTCAACACCTCTGGGTAGTAAGTATTAGTGTACTTGTGCGCCTTGTCGATGTCTCCTTCGAGTACGGCCCTTCGTATACCTACTTTACATTAGCTTCTGCATCAACAACGGGTTTTGGGATACACCTTACGCTGCCTGCGGTTAGCATCTTCGTCATCTTTGATATTGATACCCTCCACGTGAGCGTCTGGATCTATCGTGAGAGCCTCTTGTTCGGCGTGGATTTCTTCAGCGAATGCTCTGGCGGATTCGACATAGCCATCGTGCTGCAAAAATTGAAGGATCAGTTGCTGGATTAGCTCCGTCTCACTCATAGGCGGTGAAGTTAAGTTCTCGGTGCTGTTGTACGGTCAATCGTGGCTACTCGGCAAGGAGCGAGGGCTGCAGAAAGACCTCTATATAAGCATACCTGGTTTCAGAGATGGCCTTGCGGATCTTAGCCTGCTCTTGCTTCATCATGCCATCAATATCGTACACGAAGGGTGTGTGTCCAAAGTTGACGCGGATGTGCTCGCCGGTTCTCTTGAGACCAATGACAGGGTACACTTTCCCCTTGACATCGCGGAAGGCAGTTCCTGTGGCAGAGTGTCAGCAGTATGTGGTTTCCTCCAGGGCAGGGCAGCTCGACGACTTACCAAGATTCACGCCGTTCTTGGTGAAGAAGGCAACGCCGGTCTTGAAGTTGATACCGCAGCCGATGGTATCACCCGTGCTGAAGGGAGGCCCGTAGTGCTTGCCGACGCTTTGGCCGTGGAAAATCTGACCGTCATCGCCGTGATAGCCATACGAATCGGCTTCCCAGCCAGGTTGACGTGCAAGCGAAACATCCTTTTGCATGAAGCCGACGCATACAGTGGTGTCATCACGTTTCCTAGACACGATGACGACCTCAAAGTAATAGAGACCAGCCTGCGCAGGCATGGCATGGTTGGCTCGAATGGCGCAGGCCTCGTAGTCGCGCTCGCCTGGAGGCTTAGACGAAACGTACTTGACTTCTTGACCGTCACCCAGCACTTCCAATCCCCCGTTCTTGTCATCCTTGTTCCATTTTGTCGGTAAAGGTGCTATGGACTCGTCGTATTCGAAGGAAGGGGGGCGTTCGATCAGGTCGTACGCCATGCCGAGATGGAATCCAGACTTGCTGTTAATCGGGGAGGGGGTGGTCTGGCTGGTCTGCAACCCGCCGCCTCCAGCCTGTTGCTGTCCTTCCTTCTGTGCTTGTTTCGTCTTATGCGCCTCCTCCAACTTTTGTATATAGGTGGTCCCTCGAAGATAGGACGGGGTGAAGAAACCGTTGTTTCGGTGTGGACTCGCCCAGAAGCTGTCGCCTATTCCCCCTCCACTCATGAACACTTCGAAGGCTCTCGAAAAGGACGGTAGTTGGGGCACCGCGGGGCGAAGGCTGGGTGCGCCGGCGTCTTGGGACGACGCATTTCGGTCGACGTCCATGGCGTGACTTTGGTGGTTGTAGGCAAGGTTGTGGCTGCGGCTGCGTGACGAGGAGTGGTGAGTGGAGTAAAGATCAGAGGTGAAATCATGCGGAGGGTTGAGAAGATGGGAGAGGCGGTTGAAGGGAGGGTGGGATGATGTCGGCTGGTTTGGATTGGAGCCAGAGACCACGGATGCGTACGAGGATCTGATGCGAGGGAGGAACCCTGTGACTGCTACATCTGGTGGAAGACCAGAGGAGCCATGCTGGAACGGATTCGTCATGTTCAAACTGGGCGACTGGGCGACTGGGCAACCGTCGTCAGTCGTCAACTCGTCCCTCTATTCACCCAAACCCGCGAGGGACAATAACGTCGAATGGTCTTCCAAGCGTCTGGTTCTGGTCCAACTGGGACTCTATGGTAATGGAGTCGTTGGTCACTCGGCGAACGAAGGGATTGGGGCACCATGCAGTTTCACACAAGTAGATATCGTAACGTGTAGCGCCGTGGCTCGTCAGACCAGTCGCAATGATAAGGTTCGTGAGGCGCTTCCCCTTCCCAGTTGGGGCCGTGGGTTCGGAAGAGCTTCGCCGGAGCTCCTTCGACTCAGTTGCTCAAGGCCAGGATCTCATGACCAGATCTTATCAGCAAAGCTGCCTAATTTCTCGTCGGTTGGGCAAGTAGAAGCTGCTTTGTACGGCTAAGGGAGTCAGCGGGCGTCAATCAGATGCATTCAGACGTGGACATGCAAGAGTGATGGGCTGTTGCGGAGAAATCCCAAATCTCCCCAAAGTCAAGGGCCGAAGCAACTCAGGTAGCGCTATCAATCACAAGGTCGGAGTACAGGTGGGTTTCCACAATGTTGCTTAACTGGTACTATGTACCACAGCTGTCCCATTTCAAACTTGGCTGCTGTAGAATGTCCTTGAAAGGTACAACCCGACTGTTAGTAAACCCCAGTAGCCCATCCCTGGATGATGCAATTGCACCCCATTCTCGTATTACATCTTCAAACTTGTCGGAACTGAAATCTGACAGAGCTCACGAGCTTAGAAGGCTCATTTGTTCCAACGACGCCAGCCACCTATTTTCCCATGGCAAATTGAAGTCATGACGACGGACGTGACCAGACAGGACTGAGGGGTCACTTTGACTGGCCCAGTCGCACTAGTGAGCCCACTGCTGCTTGCGGCTTCCATGTAACAGGGATTAACAACTGACTTGAAAGTCCAACTCTGCATTCGCGACTTTAGACCAACTATGCTTCTACGCTGGAGCCTGAGTATACAACTACTTGGAAGGAACAAGTCTTGCATGCCGATATTTGTTAGCTATTAAGAAAAGCTTCATCCTTTATTTACTCTATGCGCGGAATTTTAATGTATGTAAGCGAGCTGCAGTCCAGTTGCTGGTTCATTGAATATGCCTACGAACCTAGGAATGTTGTAATTTTGATCCTGCTGTTCAATAGGTTTTTAACTCGCAGTAGTAGGTTACGTGTTCTTCTCTTCCACCTTGCTATATGGCAAGATGACTATTGCGCACCTGTCTACGGAGAATGCGATGGCTTAGCTCCATATCCCCCGACTCCACCTCAGCTACTAAAGTTCATGCCTGGCAGGTGTTTCTTCTCCATGAAAAGTTACGTGGTCATCTTAGTTCTGGAGCGCCCCCATTTGGTAAAGCCGGTAGGAATCGGAACTATAAAAGAACAGAGACTCTGAAGGTGTATATGCATATGCCAGTCCGCTGAGGGGTTGTATAGTACAGCCATTGAATCCTTGACGCCACGCCGATGCAGCGGTATAACTGCCTTCTAGCCCATAACCCCTTCCCAGGTTTTGCCAACCCTATGTCCATGTGCCGAGCAACCTGTCGGAGAGTCCAACAGCAGCTAATGACCACTGTTCATGTGACCTGAACGCCGTGCTTTTGTCCCATAATTCCCAAATCCATGTCAAAAATACAACGACTGTATAGTAACCACATCATGATATAGTTGATGCTGTGATAGTAGGTGCACCAAGCATGAACCGGCTATGAAGCGGCAGCGATGGGGATCTCAGCCGGAGCCGGTGAGCTGCCAGCCATTACGCTCGGTGGGACGCTTCGTTGCTCGCCGTCGACGGCACTGTTGCTGTTCTCGCTCTTGATTTGGCTACCGTCCTTATTGTTCTCCTTGTTGCTGCTCTCGGCCGAGGCACTGGGCTCCTGAGACGCAGTGTCCGGTTGAGGTTTGGGAGGTGCAGCCCAGCGAGGGATCTCCCACAAAACTCCAGTGAAGCTTTTCAGTCTGAAGCCGCCCTTGGCCCATTTCCGACAAGGCTTGCCCGACCGGTCGAGCGCTCGGAGATTGGCGTTGATGTTTCCTTGATTTGCCTTTGGGCCGAGCTTGTGATATGTACTGCCGTTCGTTCGGGCATTGGGGTCGATGGTGCCATCCTCTCTGTAAGATGTGTTGGTGAATTGATGCAGGCAGTGTGGGATATCCGCCAGTTCGCATGGCAGCGACGGCAAGCTCTCATGCCGCAACGAATGGAGATGGAATAATGTCACTTACAGTCTGGCCTTCTTCTTTGGACCGGGCTTGCCTCTAACCTTTGGCTCGCCACCATTCGTGCCAGGGGCACTTCTCTTGACACCTTTCTTCTTGGGAGCTTCCGTTGGCGGTCCCATGGGAACGGCAGACGGCGTGCTATTACCAGCCGGCGTTCCCGGATTCGACTCGGAGGCATTATCGCCAGTCGATGCGGCAGCAGCAGTCTCGGTGGGCAGCGTCGTCGAAGTCGCAGGAGACTCCTTGACGGGCGATAGTTCCTTGATCGAAGCGGGAGAGATGATCTTTCGCAGTCGGTCGGGGGACACCTTCAATGTGCTAAGCAAAGACGGCCTGCCAGCCGACTTGCGACGGTCCTTCTCCTTTGCAGAAGCAGAATTCTTGCTTGCAGCCGGCATGCTGATGGTCTGGTCTGGAAAAATGCAGGTGAGTAGGTGAGTATTGATGCTCTGCGTGGGCCTGATGAGGTGGTGGTGCCGATGAGGTTGACGGAAAGTTGTCGCGATAGGCGAAAGGTGAAGTATTTGTCTTGGGCGACGATGCCCAGCTGGTGAAGTTTGTGCAAGTTTGGTTGGTCTTCTTGACTGGTAAAGGACGAGTGCGTGCCAGGCGCAGTGATCCACCTGGCTGGGTGCAAAGGGTCGTGTGCAAATTTGGCCTCGGTGTTAAGACTGATGGCGTGGTGATTCCGTTCTCGTCTGGGTGCGGTGTACTATGGAATGGGAATGGGGATGATGGATGAAGGCGATGATGGGGTGATAGGATTATTTATTATGGGGGGAGCCATCATGCTCTGGTAGGTTTGGGGCTTGGATCTCATTTCTGTGAACTGGTCTTTTTGGGCGCCGAGCGAGCAGGCGGCGTGACAGAGACAATAAAAACGGGATACGCTCATGCTTGCTTGCGCTCACAGAATTGCGAAGCGTCTCCTTCGCGCTCTTGGGTAAGCGAGAGTGTGGTTGAGTGCCATCCCTGCATGGACCAGCTGCTTGCCCCTGCACTTTCTCCGGAAGGGACCAACCACCCACGCAACCATCCCGACTCAGCTCGATACGGCAACATTTTTATTCACGACTCTGACGCTATCCCGTTTGCGAAACTAAATCCATCTCATCATTCAGAGTTGCACGCAGCGTACGCAGCGTAATCTTCATGCTCCACTGGTGCCAAGAGGTCTCAAACTCTCGCACTCGTCCACCCCGTGAGCGATGTGCCCTTACGCTACATGAATAGCGGCAAAATCGTGAAGAAACTTGTCAGGCTTGCATTTCATTTACACAGCAAGATGCTGACGTTCGGTATTCTACACTAACGAGAGGCCGGAAAGATTCTTGCTCTTCTCCGTACCGGCTAGGTGCTTTTACTTATATCTCAGGTCGGAATGTGGTTTGAGAGTCCGACCTGACAGTCAGTCTGGGACCATGAAGCAAAACCAGCATCATCCAAAGTTACTACAATACCCTGCGGCCGACGATCGCTAGCCCGTGCATCGCTCTTGCAGGCAGTCTTCCGAAATAGAATTTCCACGACGCCTGGTACTTTCACAGATGACAGGCATCCTGGGCTTACCCTCCCATCATTTTGCCCACCACTGATGAGTCGCAATGTGGCTGAGAGAAGCTGCCGCAAACTTCGTGTTTCAATGCATTGGGCCGCTTCTTTGATGACAACAGCAGAGTTGGCTGGAACACTGAACCGAAGCGGTCATGGCATTTGCCGGCCATCCCGCCCACAACTTTGATTCCGGATTTTGAAGACGCGCACGCTAGCAGTTAAACGGCAAGTAAGAAATAGGGGGCAGCTGTTGGTTTTGGAGTCAAACACCAGCCCCCAGGTTAACTTGCATCGGATCCTGCATTTGTGAAATGGCGGACGCATTATCGTCACATCGCCCACGAGCAGGGACGAACTGATGGGCTTTGGCCGTCCACTCGCCCCCAGCACTGCAGTGCACAACTCTATCACGGAATTATTTAAGGTAAGGCTGCTTCGCATCTCACGATTAGCTCAATCAAGTCCGAAACCAGCGATGATTGAACGTCAACAAAGACGCGAGAGTATAAACGGCGCACCAAGGGTGTAATATATGGGGCAGTGTACTAGACCAGGTCTAACTTGATGATCCCACCTGAGTGTGCCCTTGATTTTGTTGTCTACCTGGTCAAGGTGATGGACATGGTCGCCTCAAACCTTCACGATTTCAATGGAGCGACCTTTCATGAGTTGGAAGGAAACATGTTTACGGAGCAATAGATTGCCTAGGCCAACTTTCGAGTTCTTTTCTCTAGGCTCTCACCATGCCGAGTCTAGAATCAGGTCATTCACTACTTCAGATAATCCTAACAATCGCCGATACAAATGAGATTCTCGTATTTTCGTTCCGCAAGGCTGTGTTCTTTTTATGGTGCGATTGGTTTCGACCAACTTGTTTGTCTTTACTGGAGCGTCCGGGTCGAATACAGAACAGAAACAGTGGCCTGCCATACTGCGACGAGCTCGAGGCGCTAATGGCTCCAAGTTGGTGCCTCTACCAAAAGTGATGGGGAATCACAGCAACCGTATATCTCGTAAATTCGACCGCATCCCTTCGGATGACATACCTATAAAAAGAAGTTGCCCTTCAAGGTGTTAGCACTGAGATGGCGATCTTCAATCTGCCACCCATCGCAACTCCTTGCGCACAATTTCCACTTAGAATGGAGCAGGAGTTCGCTGCCAGACTAGGTATACACGGAATCCATATGCGAAACATACTGTCGTAGGTAAGCAGAGAGATACAGCTAACACCACGACTGTAGTATAAATCCACGAGGCCCAGATGATCACACTCGATGTCTTACTCCAATTCTCCTAGGTTCAGTTGTCGGGATGATGAACAATGGATTATGTCTCGAATAAGCAAGAATGGAGCCAACAGGCGATCCTGTGTTTATGGCCTTCTTTCAACTCGTCTCGACATCAAGACCAACATGAATCTAGTCGACCTTCGGACAAAGGTAATGAAAGTCATGCCACCTACATTATGTTATCTTCTACACAACGAGTACGAGGCACTTGATATTACGAGTAGCTGCCAGCTTCTTCGTCTGGTTAGCTATCTTTTCTCGCCTCTCATTACTCTACATTTGTGTGTGCCTTTCTGGGTGTCATATTTCTCTCTCCTGACTACACCACTGCAATCATGAAGATCTACCTGAATTTCGCTTATATCTCTGTCGTTTTTATCCACCTTCTCTCACTAAGCCTGGGTGACTTGTCTAACCAAAAACGCGTTGCTGGTAATGGAGAAACGAACCGTCGAGAACCTCACACCAGACAGGAACAGTTCCCCGACGCGAGGGCATGGACGAGCTGCCAAGCAGATCCGACGTGCCCAGCCAATATGGCACACCCACGTCGAACCTTTGGCAGCCATAATCATCATCTTGAGAAGAGGAATGCTATTGAGAAATCCGATATTGATGAGGCCATGGGAAAGCTGGAGAAGTCTCGTGAGGACTTCCGCAGTGCGGCAGACCAAGCTTATCTGCACATGATCGATGCTCGGTTGCTGCTGCAAAGTGTATCCATGGTCATAGAAATCAACGATACACGGACCATTACACCTACGTCGACGCCGGTGGCGATCAGCCAGGATGACACAGCGTCCTGGGCCGGAACAACATCAAGGGGTACTGCGGACACCACTGACTTCTTCATAACACCCACAGAGGGCACCTTTGACGATAGCTCCCAGGCTCTCCCCAGCTCTTCAACTTCCAGTCCGAGTTACTTCCCCCAAACTCGCACTAGTTCCTCAACTTCCACTACGCGTTACTCTACAATAACAGAGGCAGACGGAGACCTCACCTTGGTTCCCATAACCCCGAGTTCCAGCCCAACGTCCAGTACCGCGAGTTCGTCACCTTATACATCTACAAAAGCATATACCAATTCCAGGATGTTCTCATCTTATTCATTTATGCCTTCGGCATCCAGCAATACCCAAGACGTGGTCTCGATGACAACATCCACGACTACTATAAGGTCTACCACTACACTTACCACCACGATTACTGTGCCATCTCCAGAATCATCGGGTGACCCAGATTATATACTGGACGACGAATGTGGGCCTGATGACAACTCAGCCACACCCAATACAGCTGCGAGGTCTGGCACTGTTACTAGTTTGATTATCATCATGGGCACTTCCTCGTCCACTCCCTCGCCTGCGAACATCGCATACACATACACAACCCAAATGGGCTTTATTCAACCAAGTTCTGGTCTCTCTGGAAATGGATGGCCCTCGCGGAGTATGACATACTCGCACAGCTTGACCTATCGCTTCCCAACCCCAAACTTTCCGCTCCCGACATCGGCTCGCTTGCGATCCTCGAGTGATTCTTATTCCAGCAGCAGCACGCCTTTGGGCGGCTCGGCAATGATGGGGACCTCTCCTACAAGCAGCTTCGCCGCCAAGACAACCAGAAGTAGTAGCTCAACCAGGTATACGCCAACCCCATCAACAACATCAACTGGCTTGTCTTCACCACTGGCATCTACAACATCGTAGAGAAATACAACAACGACCGAAACAGTGAGGCTACCAGGGAGCCACCACCCATCGTCGGGCCCACGGAGTATGAAGGCCACCAGATCCTTTGGCGGCGCCGCCTGGTCTTTACCCGTACCATCCGATACGCCATGGGGAAAATCAACGGCTGCCGCAACTGAAACTTTATGCGGAACTGGTCATACCCCTTTAAGCACTCATTCTCACTCCCATGGAAGCACATCCAGCACCTTCAGAAGCTCGTTTTCGTCAAGTGCACATTCGACCCCGTGCTCAAGCACAGGCAGAAGCAGTACTTATTCTTCGTCATCCTCGTCTTCTACATCAAAATCCCTGCTACCGACTGGCTCGTTCGTTCTCTCCACCACATTCACCACGACTACGACCACGACTATGACCACTGGAACCGCCGCATTTTCGACAATGACTTCAAGCTTGACGGGCTCCAGTGGCTCCACAAGTTCCTAGACAACTCGAGCGGCGCAGCCTGGGCTCGATACGCTTAGGCAAGTTGGATGGACGGATTCCGTGAGAGCTGCTGATAGCTTTACTAGATATCCCTGCTGGCATGGGGGGTCCTGGAGCACGTGTTCCCAGGAAATATATGTAAGCATACCGCAGCATGGAAACGGGTTCGATTTGAAGTATACGAAGCTACTTCGCGTAATTGGTATTTTTGGCGTGAATGTAGACAGTTATCTCCCTTCTTCACTCTTAATGCTAGACTTCAGACCTTCATGCTATACATCTTCGATATGTATGTAAAACTCGATGTTACGTATATAGTACTATCTCTAATCCATCCAAGTCGGTAACATTGCAAACGGCGTAACAAGACGGAATAGTATGGGATGATATTCTGCATTCCAGTGTAAGAAACCAGCTATATCGTCATCATCCCACTTAGGCACGCCGTTTATTCTTTTATTAACCTAACATCTCCTTTCTCTCTTCCTTCCTTTATAGCATCATTCCCAAGCAATCATTTACTCACCCCACCCCCCTTAATCCATAAACGCAAACATCTCCAACTCCCCCCTCGCATCCGCAACCCTGACCGTATCCCTCCTCCTGGCCCCCTCGACCCTCTCCTCCGTGACCTCATATTCAGGCGGCAAATCCACCTCATCAGCCCCAACCATCATATCCACGACAGCCTTAGCACACAAAGCTGCATTCGGCATACCATGACCTGTGTAACCAGCACAAACCCATAGTCCCTCCCCGCCACCTAAACTCGACGGCACCGCACCCACCCAAGGCGCCGCATCCCGCGAATATCCCATGATCCCCGTCCACTCGAAACTCGCCTCCAGATCCTGCTTATTATTTTCCCCCTGTGCGGCGTGCACAGGCGAGGTAGTCGTCTCCTCTGGCGTACGCAGACTCAAATCCATAGCCGCGGGCAGCTCGCCCCGTAGCCACCACTTCACGGGCTCGTCCAATTCCCCATCATCCCAGACGCCGACAGCGTTGTCCTTGGCCAGGAACCTGCCGCCTCCTAACACGAGCTCTGCTTTTGGAGGCGGGCGCTGCACAAGATAGTCGTCCCGGCGCAGGGGCCGGTCCGTCGCGTCGCCCAGAATGTAGTACGTGTGTCCTATATCAAGGGGGGCTTCTCCCGGTTGCGGTTCCTGCGGCGGGAGCAGGCTGGAGACTTGGCCGCGGGTGGGGACGATGAGATCTGTGAATTGGGGGAGTAGGTGGGACGTGTACGCGTTAGTAGCTAACAAAACCGACTTGGCGGCGATGTGGCCACGAGGGGTGTGGACGATCCATTTCGGGTGCTGGCTATTGCTACTTGCGCTGCCGTCCGTGCTTGTCATCAGGTTGGCTGACGGTTCGACTTTCTGAATTCCGGTGGCGGGTGTTTTGGTCTGCAGGTTGAAGCCGCCCGCTTCGGCTGCGAGAAGGCGTTCCAGCATGGACGCTACGAGCTTGTAGGGCCAGAGGCTGGCGGCGTTGAACATGACGACTGCACCTTCGGCCTCGGGGATGCGGAGGCCCTCAAGGGTGAGTTCCTTGCGCTCATGCTCGAGGAGCCAGGCTGGGCTGCCACCTTCGCCTTTGGTGACTACTGCCACATTGGCGGCCAGGTCTGGGTAATTATCTGCAAGTTTCTCTATAACGTCCTGCACGAGCTTGAAGAATGAGGCGGAGTAGAAGGCGTGTACGCCTGTTGTCGTTTTCCAGTCGCAAGGGATTGAATACTCTTCTACTATTGACTTGATATACGAGAAGGTACGCAGCTCGAATGAGGCGATGTGCGGTTTCGCTGCGTACATGGCCGGTTGGCAGTGGCCGCCGTTCTGTAATTCTGTCAGTTGAAGGTTCGGCCATGCTCATGGATCATATCAAGTGTGATGAGGTAGGGAGGTCCGAAATAGAACTGCGCGCCAGTGTACCCCTGACGCAGGACCTATTATGCCACAGAGATGACCCAAGATCCATCCAACGAATGAATGCGCTTCTATAAGTCCATCGACCAAACTCGGCTCGAAGCTCTCATAATCAACAGATCACCTCCGACCCCTCCACCAGACCTAACAGCTTCCCTCGTAAGACCAAAAACAACAATAAAAAAAGAACTCACCCTTCCCGTAGCACCCCAACAAGCCTCCCTAGCCTCCAGCATAACAACATCCAACTCGGGCCTCTGTTCCTTCAAACAATGCGCCGCAAATGCTCCCGTAATGCCCGATCCCACAATGACGACATCCGCCGAGTGGGGGAGCTGCTCCGTCGTCCGGTGACCCATCAGCTTCTCCGACGGTGCTGAGTGCCAGTAAGATTTGGTTGAATTATCGACAGGCAATCCCGACTGGCCATTTAGAAGTTGCGTTGTTGCCATTGTGGAGATATTATGGTTGTTGCGGCTGTTGTGTGGTGATGAGGAAGAAGGCGCTGCTACTGATATGTGGATGTGCAAAGAAGAGTCGACCAGGCTACTACTACCGGGATAAACGCCCGGGTGCAGCCCGGGATTGGGCATGGAGTCGTCACACAAATATGCCAATGTTTGTCTTGGACTTTTGAGGAGTTTTATATCTACTTGTAGAGAAGACTGCTTTGAGCAAGAAATGTAGAAACGCACGGTCTGATGAGTGTCGGGGCTTCAAAATTAACCTCTTATCATTGAGGGTGGGTACTTGCGCCATCAAATGCAAGTGATATCACCCAATGTTTGTGATATCGAATTTGCCGACCCATCCAGTCTGTTCACCATTAGGCAAGCTGGTAGAGAGTCCAGAAACAAAGCAGCAAACGCCCTGTCATTATCAATGTGAATCTACTGCTGTTATGAAAGCCGCGAACATCCCACGCGTGTAGCATAATGACCCATGACCCTATGCTGCATTCTGCCTTGTGCCGCACACTGCCTTTTAGCAAACATGACCACATCCAGCCTAACCAAGCGTGCTCGCAAACTTGGCATCTCCAGCGCATCCTTTCGTGTTGTTCTTGCTTCCAGTATGTACAGCTCCAGCTTATGCTTGCATCTTCCGTCTCTTTCCGACCTGGGCCGAGAAACCAGTCTTGATGGCTGTGACTGACCGACGAGAACCGCATTGGTTGCAGGTAATGAAGTACAGACGGTTCTCACCCTTGCTGAGCTCCGTATCGGGAGATCGGCACGTCTTACAAGTCACATACTCCATGATGTACTTCCGCAACATAGACTCGATCTGCTTCTGCTGGAATCGACCTTTGATGACGAGGCGTCTGCTTCCGTCAACGGAACCGCTCGTACCCAACTCAGCGAACAAGTAAGCTGTTACGTGCTCTTCGGTTCGCTTCATGCGATGGCAAATCTCTTGGATGTTGGCAAAGATGGTCTTCTTGTTTCCTTCACGCAGACATTGCGGAGGCGGGATCTTGTAGCTCTTGGAGCTGCTCGAGGCGTGGTCAGGGTTCTTCTGGGCCAGCAGGTCGAAGAAGCGGATGAGCATGTTTCCGTAGGCAATAGGCTTCGTCTCGTCGTGGGCCCAAATGCCGGTGCCCTTGTTCATGTCGCCTGCTTGCTCATCAAGTACCTCTGCGGGCGCATCACCCTCACCACCCTCGTTCTGCAACTCGAGAGCTGCTAGCTTGGCGGCCAAATCGTCGCCACCTTCCTCCTTGGGCGCCTTCTTCTTTTTCTTCTTCTTCATCGTGAGGTCCACGGCATCCGCGGCACCGTCGGCGCCAGTGGCAGCCTCGCCCTCTTCGCCATCCTCGGTCTTCTTGACCTTCTTCTTTTTCTTCTTGAGGGTCGACAAGTCAATGGCAACTTCCTCGGCGGGGGCGTCCTCGACCGGAGCTTGACTCGGGTCAGTAAATGCTCCCAGAGCGGCGGATAACGGCGGCGTACTGGGTGCGTGGGACATGGCGGAGTCTTGGGCCACTTCGGTGGAAGCCATGGTGGTCAATTTTCCGTCTGCTTCAACGACTATTGCTTCCGAGTTGAAGACGACTGATTTTCGTTGCTTGCGATCAGGTGGGGCGGGGTGTTCCTGTAGGTTAGAAATGTTAATCGAGTTTGATCGAAGACGATGGTCGGCAAGGCACTAGCAGGGCAAGTTGCGGTGGCTTGATTGGTGAGGTGAATGGGATGTGAGTGTGGTGGAGGAAGTTTCGAGCAGTGTGGTGCTAGTGTGTCAAATATTGATGGAAGTGATGTGTATGACTCTTTCCTGCCTCTTTCTCACTGGCTGGACGTGCTTGTGTGCGTGTGGCGTGTGAGCACCGACGCTGCTAGCAATTTTGGTGGGAGAGGTGGGGTGAGAACAGGTGTTGGAGGGGGCGGATTTAGCTTTGGAGAGCCCGCCGACCAGAGCAAAATACTCCGTGACTAGAGGTGGAGAGGGGGTTTCAAACGGGAGGGCTAAATTGAACCGCAACACAATTCAAGAAACAACCTGGCCGACAACCTGGACGTTCTGGAGGAGGGACATGAGAGCTAGACGAAATCAGAACTTACCTCTGAGCCATCCATTTCGCTAGCGGCTGTAGTGTGACCTGCTCTTGGCGATATAGTTCTTGGAATGGAATTTGGTGGCGACGCGATATCCTGTAGAGTGCAGCTGGTTGGCGTACGTTTGGTGATGGAGGTGCGAGGTCGCGTATGGTTTGTGTGATGTTTGCGCAAGTATATATTTATCCTCTTCACGTCAGATAGATATGGAGGAAAAGGGCCGACCTTCGAGAAAAAAGGTGCTCGGCGGGTTCGGTTCGGGCGCAAACAACGTTTGCTGTTTGGAAACCCCACGACAGTTAGAGAGTTTGAATGAATGGCACTTTCGCCGCCTCACTAGCGGGCAGCAAGGGCAGCTTGCCTGGTTGATCGATGCTACCACTTTCTGACCCCCGCCAAAGGCTCTCCAGTTGGTTTATGTAGCCACTGGTGCCGTAGGCCAATCAGGCATCAATGCTTCTGAAAGTCGGCCTTGGCCGGTGACGATTTGCCGACGACTTGACTTCATTCAGCCGTTCAACGCCCAGATTGGCAACCAGGTTGAAACCTCCAGCTTCCGCAAACCGATCGTGTCCCTCGTCAACGTCCGTCACGGCTCGAAATCACAATATCGCAAGTATAACTTCGTCCACGAGGCGCAGGCTTTATTTTCTCTTATTCCAAGGTCCGGTGTCCTTCAATGCATGGCGTCTGGCAACAATAGCGAATAGCTCGCTCACCCTCCGTATTCCTCACCCGCCAGCTCCCGCAACACACACCTTCTACGATGTCTCTCACGGAGTCTTTCATGATTCCAGACGTATCTGTCTTGGATAATGACGATCTCGACTCTTTGCCTTCCACATCGACTGACTCCTACAACTCCGACGATGCCGATTTCGATGCACAACAGGAATGGGAACGGAGCATAGAACAGCTACAACTGCTTCTCACCATGATCTTGGTACCATTTGCGGGCAAATATCTGGGTCGAAAATTTGCATATTGGAGTAAGGCTAAGCATCTTCCCCGGCCGCGACCACATTGTTTCTAATTATTCGCAGGTTGGGCGCGATATATGGAATGGATGCACGACGTCGAAATACGCTGGACAAACGAGAAGAAATTCAAGGTCGCCGGGGCTGCTGAGGTTGCGGCAACACTTTGATAAATGACGATGCAAGGATTTGCCTACGATGAGTGCAGGCAGTACATAGGGGTTTGGCTGCCGTCGAAATCTCTATAGACGGTGCAGTACACTGGTCCCGGTGAACATAGAAGGGCGGATATCTCGCATAATGGTTGTTCCAGAAATCGAGACAACATTTTGAGCATCGGGAATTACAACATCACATCTGTCATCTTTCCAATAACTCTAGAGAATTGGGTAGGTCAGATCTCAAATTCGTGAGTGCTTTGAAGTTTATCGAACGTTTGGCTATACCGGTGCACAGACTCTCCTCGGCTTGACGAAACGCGTCTCATGTTTCCAAAGAAGCATAGGAACGTTTGGCATGGCAATAAAATAACTCTATGCCCATCTCTCTTTGCTACAATATGTATCCTTGAGGTGATATTTTCATCGTTGCCGATTTCCAGAAGCAGTGCGCTACCGTTTGAAATTCTTGGTTGCTTTCGGTGACCCACGTCTGCCAAGTCCTACTCACAGCAATTGCCTGTTCTATCATACAACTGAATCATGGGGATTCGTCGGCTGCCATCAGAGGGTTACGGAATGAGGGAGGACAACGCATTTAATTCGTTGGCCAATTCTGATTCCTCGTCTTTCCGTACACCAACATCTACAGAGGACGAGGGTGAAAATAGTGAGCTGACGCCCAAGAGTCACTACCATCGAGCAGTGGATGACAAGCGTCTACCGAGCTGGCTCTCTCCGGGTTTGGAATCATGGCTCAATGGGGGTCGCTCGCCTCAAAAACACATATTTAGGCCCGTGATGCCAGCTCTACAGTTGATTCCGCGGCGATGGCTTGACCAAAGGTTCCCGCAGCAACAACACAAAATGTTCCTCTTCATCGGCATTTGTCTGCTGTGGTGTCTCATGTTTGCCATCCTATACGACACGAGTATGGGTCCGGTCATGGTGGATGGCCTCTACCAGCCAGTACAGCAAATTGACTGCACCGACTCGTTCTGGCTGCCTGACAACGGATGTGGAATTGACGGAGCGGACTGCAGGCCATTCGCGGGCACCTCAATGGCTTTTCACTGTCCTAGTGATTGCGCTAAGGCCAAGGTCCAGACACCTCATCATGTCGGTGCTCAAAACATTGTTAATCGTCAGCTTGTCATTGGCGGCCCTATATACCGAGGTGACTCTTATATCTGCGGCTCAGCTATCCATGCTGGTATTATCAGCGACGCCGACGGTGGATGTGGTATTGTGACTCGAGTGGGTCAGACGAACACTTATCCCAGTACTCATATTAACGAAATCGAGTCCATAGCTGTCAGGACGTACTTCCCGCTGTCTTTCAAGTTTCAGCTGGACTCGGGTTTTGAATGTCAAGAGAGAAATCTGCGGTGGCTTTTGCCCTTCCTTTCGCTGGGGTTCACCATTGTGGTATTTCTATTCTCATCAAACCCAGCTGTTCCCTTCTTCACGGCATTTGTCGTTGGCTTCGTACATGTGAGCCTTGTGTCCGACGAACCAGAGGCGGGTCCACACTTGAGTCCTGTTCACGCACATCCTGGGGTTTACTCCTCTCATAGTCTATCCTCAAACCTCGTCAAACTCCTACCTGCCGCACTATGTGCTACACTCATTTACAAATGCTCTGTGCGGCCGACTTTTCGCAACTTGACAGCACATATTGAAACGACCGCTCTCTGGCTAGGGGGATTCTGGATCGGTTCATTTTCGAACCACACGTTCGAGTGGTTCCCCATCTCCCGACTTGCAGCCCGGGACATGGAGCTACAACGAATGGCTATCTCAACGGTCTTTATGGCTCTAATTCTCATTTACCAAGTTTACAATCTCCGCCTTGAGGGACGACTAGCAAAGTCTGCACCCCTATATACCATCTTCACATTGGCTCTTATTATCTACATTATCGCCCCCAGCCTGCGGCTACCCATCCACTACGTCGTCCTCCCGCTCGTCATCATGCCTGGAGCAAGCATTCAAACCCGAGCATCGCTCTTCTTCCAAGGCCTCCTGGTCGGGCTCTTCGTCCACGGCGTCACCCACCAGGGCTTCGTTCCAATTACCCATTCCCCCTCCTTATCCGTCGAAACCCCCGACTCCACCAATTTCCCAACTCCCATCCCCACTATCCTGCAACCGGAGATATTCCTCGAAGATGCGGCGTCCAACATCACCTTCGTGTGGGCGAACCCAGTCCCGCCCCTGTTCGAGGGGATCAGTATGCTTGTCAATGATGTGGAGAGGGGAAGGAGGTATTTCGGGGACGAAAATGCGCCGGAGAGCGATGATCGGTTTGAGTGGCGACGGGGACCACAGGCTGTGGTGGATTATGTCAGATTTAGTTATTTGAAGGACGGGAGGGCTTTGGGGTACTCGGAGGCCGGGATTTGGTTGGTTAATGGGACTTGGACTGGGTTAGGGGAGTAGGATTTCAATGGATACGATGACGGCGACGGCGTTTTGAGGAATGTTTCTATACACATCTATATCAGACTGTCCCACCCCCTTGTAAAAATCGTCCCGTCGCTTGCTTTAGAAACTGTTCAACAGTAGCTGAAAAATTTTCATGAGTTACCTATTCTGCCTCCTCACGAACATTCTGTGTTGAATCAGATCCGGAGTCACGCTTCACACTATAACGATGAATTGCTTATATGAAGCTCCCAATAGTCAATACTGCGTGTATGTAAATTGCAAATTGTATACGCGAAGCTAACATATGTTTTAGCGATAATGAAGCAGAATGGTGATCGTTGCATCTCCGGTTTCAAACCACCTTGACTACCTGGACAGGATTTTTGTCGCATATGGCGTCTCTAATGTTTGCGTATTTGGCTTTCATCTCAAATCCACTCACGATAAGCCAGCGTATATGCACTGCAACCCGTTGAACAATCACCAAGGACGAAGCATTAATACCAGGACACATTCGATGATGCAAGAACGAGACAGTGTTGTAAAACCGCGAGGCCTCAAATCACCAATATCTAGTCTCTGGATTGACTTGCACATTCCCAACTCTCGCGGGCATCAACAGTGACGTCACACAGGACAAGGGACTTCAAGCGACTTACACGCTGCCCGACCAAATAACGCCGTCTTTCCATTTCGGACACACCAAATAACGCACTGTTTTGATTGAGTTTCGGCAAACAGTGTAGACCTCGATGATTGCATGATCGCCCTTCCCGAATCGGCAGGTGCGTACAGTATATACAGTGTCACCGTGTCTGATCCGCTTGTGGACGTCGCCCTCTAAAATCGCTCATTGGTCAAATGGTTAGCACGGGCGCAACGCAATTTTCAGCTGTCCCAATCTGGAATGACATGCCAGGAGTGATTGCAGCTCTTTCACTTCTTTCCCCTTCATTCTTCCAGTCGGAGTTGGGCTTCAGGGAGAGTAGAGGACGCTGAGTCACGATCTGTGTGAGGAAGAACTCTCCCTTCGCTGTCTATCAAAGTAGATAGTTGTAGATAACTGGTTGGAATGGGGTTGCTAGTTTCCGTTTCCTCCCAGTTGACTTGTCTTGCCTTTTCCTTGAAGTGACTTTCAACATCACCATTATACTCGGCATTATCCTCCCAGTGCCATCGCCGGACTTCCATGTCATCCAGTAACCCATGGCTACTGCCATCACAATGATTGATGCATTCATCGCCATTGCCAGTGTCGCGAGGCTTGACAATTGCTAATATCGTCACCCGTCAACAGAATCCATCTGCAGTATCCATCCTCTGTGGCCTAACCTATCAACATACTTTGCTGGCTACAGTAGGCAGCTTTCATTGCTATCATTGAATTCGCTGCCAGGGCATACCATGGCTATTATCTCCAAAAGCCAACACCCATTGCCAATGGCAGCCGTATTTATGAATTTTTCAGTATACATTGCCGGAATTCAACAACATCAAGATTCCGTCTTCCACTATTCATCCCGTTCCTGTCAGGAAGCGACCCGAAGCCAGTTCGACGGTGTCCCGATATTGTTTGATGGACTATAACAAACTAGAAGAGCCTGCCCCATGCTGGCGTGGTGCAATGGGGTGCTTCTACATTGACTACAAAATGCGCCACAATCCCCGTGGCAAAACAATGGTCGAGGAAAGGATGCGGATGCGGATGGAGCTTGAAGTCATCTTTCCGTGGAGTTTTCATTATCCCCACGTAAGCTTTTTTGTAATCTCCATCTTGGAAGTCACCGTAAAAACAACAAAGCAACACAATTTTGGCAGGCTACTGACAAGCAGAACGGTTCAGCACATCATCGGCAACATGGCCTATAGCTTTAAGCGATCGAGTCGCCGAAACGAGCCGTAGCGAACCAGATTTTCATGCCCATTCGCCGAAAGTCGCTGATACCTGAAATAGAAAGGACCTCCAAAGCTTGATGAGTGTCGCGACGCACGATTGGGACTCAATACTGCCGCGATAGTTCTTCTCTAGACAGACTGTGGAATTGCCAACTCAGGCCAGGCCCCAAACCCTCATTTGTATCGCCGCTGCCATTTAAGTAAGCGAGGGCTTGCATCGCTCTGTCGAAAAGTATTCTCTCCATGAAACGGTATAATTGGATTTGGTTGTCATCGACATCCTGACATATACGGCTATGTTCTTCATTGCCAAAGCCCCACTTTTAATGATACATACTATCAGGTTCGCTATTCCAAGAATGCTTAGCAGAGTTATACCGGCAGCCTTCTTATTCTTCGTCATCATTTTCGTGGTCGCAACTATACTCGCGCTGTTGCCCTGCTGTACAACTCGCAAGATTCCAGTATCGCTTAGGACCCTCCTTGCAAACTATTTAAGGCAACCATGATATTCTCCAAAATAATAATCTTGTCGGTTGAAAGGGGTTGCTTTTGTCCTTGAAGAGTTTACGAGAGCAGCCCCTAAGAACTCATGTTGGTATAGATATCGTTAACGTTCGTCTCCAAGGGACTCGGAAAGATAACGTCTGAAGCACTGATGGTAGACTGAATAAACAATTTTGATAACTATCTGAAAGGCGGATGATGCTTGTCTGCAAAGCACTTTGTCTGTCTCCGAGTGAGTTGCCAATGGCCCCGAAATACTGACAACACAGCTGAGCCCAGCTTTTCGATGACCACGCCTACAATGCTCGGGATACTTGATATTGGACATGGCCCTCGACCAACAGAAAGTGAAACCTGGGGAAAATTAATGGTGTTATTCCATGCAGTTGCAGACAACGATCAATGGAGGTACCAAAATACCATTGCTGAGAAAGAAGATCTTGTGATAAATAGTGAAGGTTGCGACAAGGGACACGCAGGAGGAAAGGGGAGGTGTTACCATGTAGAGACTTTGCTTCACTTGATACCGAATGAAGAAGACATACACAAGGTGTTATCATGGATGATAAGTCAATGCATCATCTTAAGTGCGCCTGCATTATTTAAGACTACGACGGATGTTTTCCGTTGGCTAAACTCCAGCGTTATCTCCTTGATGTTGAGGAGCGTTTTCACCTTCAGACACGTCAACCCCCGAGGTCTGGCTTTCAGCTGAGCCAAAGGGGTAGATAGTATTGCATAGAGTCCAATCATCGAGCTCAACATTCAGAAAACGAGGATGACTTGCAACCAAACCTCAAGGCGGGTGATCTTAACTGCGACTCCCTCAGCCCGCAAACGATCAGACTAAACTCGGCATTGACGCTACGTGACGACGCAGCTTGCTGCACGGGTTTCAAAGTCAATTTGATGCGGGCTAATACGAACATTGCCGTACTTGTATTTCTTGAGGGTTCCACATCAACCATGTAGTCTCAAGAGGCCATTGAAGTCCCTGTTTCCGTTGTCATCAGCTCAACTCTCGTGTTTGAGAGCGATTTGGACTCGAAGCTGTCCATCGCCATCCCGGTTTTACCGACCAACCATTAATAAATATCTTGTTACTCTGTACTTGATACTGGCTAAACTTGATAACGGAAGCAGTACGAATTGATTTATATGAGGCCGACATGATCGGAATATATGGCGGCAGTTGTGAGCCCTTCACGACACGTTGAATTTTGTGGTAAGATAAGGCAGCCATCACCGTATTCGTCATTGCCGCATTGGCGTACACGAGTTTAGCATATTTGCTGAGAACGATGAATTTAGTCGTAACACATTTCACGGCGAGGTGTGTAAGATGTGATGCTTGAAGAAAGAGGGATCAGCAATTGGTCGATGTAGCGACGGCGGTCGAAGTCATCGTGCCTAACTACGTAACTGGCTGCGTTAGGCTTATGCAAGGCTACTCGGATCTCGGAATTTCGGGCACACAGCACAGTGCAAAGCAATACCACGTCAAGACCTCCGACGCAGACTTCATGCATCTCCATATCAAGTTCTTTTGTCATTTTCAATGTGCACCAAATCCATCCGCACAATTCACTTCGGATTTTCCACCAACCCACAAGCCGTACACCGGCGCGCCTCCTCATCCTCTTGCCAATAGCGGATCAATGGCTTGAGTTGCGTCCCCAGATCAGTACAGTGGAAGACTTCCTCCCGGATGACGGTAGGTCCTGGGTGTTCGCCTTTCGTGCAATACCAACGCAGTCTATCCAATGCTTCCGCTGGTCGCGTTCGCTCCATGACCAACCCTGTGGTATCGGCGAAGCGGATGGGATTGTGCGGTACATTTCCTGATGCGTGTGTCAGCCATGCCAGCAGCATTAAACCTGTGATCCCATCCGTAGCGGAGAAAGCTGAAGAGGCAGTAGTTGCATACCGGGTAACATGAACATCTCGCCCTCATTGATATGCACGTCTCTGAATTGGCCGTTCTCGACGATGCGCAGCAACATGTTGCCTTTGAGCTGGTAGAACCACTCCTCGGTCTCGTTAACTGGGTCAAGTAATGCTTCAGTTTGCTTGCATGTTTCTTGTCAAGCCGCGGAGAGATGGTCAACTTGGCGTACCGTGGAAATCATTCCTCTCGTTGGGGCCACCAACGACCATTAGCACGAAGTCCTTGCCGCTGAAGAGGCAGTAATTGTTGACGGGTGGTTGAAGCTTGGCCTGATTCTGGCCCAGCCATTCTGCAAAGGCCAGGGGAGGGGGCAGCGTTGAGGAGGCCAAAGGCGAGTCTGCCATAGTCGAAAGTGAGATGAAGTGTATGAGGTTGCGCGTGAGGATGTAAAAATGTCTTGGCTTGTGGTTGAGTTGTAAAGCTGCTTCCCGTTCTATAAATTTTGCGAACGATTCCAGCAACTGGGGTGTAAGTTAGGTTCCTCGATGCGCTATAGTGGCTCGCATGTGAAGACGACACGGACTCTTGGCTACTTGCAGCGCAAGTGGAGAAGAAGCTAATGATGACTGACAACCTTGTCCTACAAGATCGAGATACTATTAAGGTTGGTCGTCCGGAGCCGAAGCTGGGCAGTCGGACATCTGTGGTTAGCAACGGAAGTTTAGACGCGGAAGACGGATGCGCTTGTGAAGCCCGGATCCGAACCTCAGACCGCAACAACGCAAGACTACATCACCGCACGCATCACTGCAATATTCTATACAATCTTGCACCATCATGTAAGTGGAATCCTGAAGGCATACACACTCCTGGCACTAAACACATATGCAGTTGGTTGCGAGCAACACTATACGGTCGTAGGGCAATCTAGGAATGCTCGTTGCGCTCACTTACACCCAAAAGAACCGAACAAGGTCCACGTCCTCAACTTATACATAGATAACCAGGGGAATCTCCAAACTCGCTATCATGGCCCCGGGACGCGTTGGAGACTTTACAGCCAGCAGCAACAGCTGTTGCTGCACCACCACCGGCAGCCTAGCCACCCCACCCTCTTCCCCGCGAGCCCAAACAGACGGCTCCTCCCTCTACCGCATCGACATGCACACGCACATCATGCCCTCCACCCTCCCAGACCTCTCCTCCTACCCCACAAACTCCCCCAGCAGCCCCTGGCTTTCCCTACGTCCAAGCAAAACAGGCCAGCCGGATCAAATCGACATGTATGTAGGATCCGCTTTCTTCCGCACCGTAGAGCCCAACTGCATCGATCCGGCCGTCCGCCTTGCAGAGATGGATGCTGCGGGTGTGGATGTGCAAGTCCTCAGCACGGTGCCCATCCTTTTTTTCTACGACGAGCCGGCGGAGCCGGTTACTGTCTTGGCGAGATCGCTGAATGATCATATCGCCAATGTCTGTAACCAGTATCCTGATAGGTTTGTCGGGCTGGCGACGGTGCCGTTGCAGGACGTTGGTGCATCAGTGGAGGAGCTGCGGAGGGCGAAGGGGTTGGGATTGAAAGGGGTGGAAATCGGGACTACGATCGGTGATGCGAATCTCGACGACTCTATGCTGGAGCCGTTCTGGACGGCGTGCGAGGAGTTGGAGATGCCGGTTTTCGTGCATCCTCTGGGTTACTCGTTGAGCAAAGAAAACCCCAAGAGGTGGGAGAAGTACTGGGGCAGCTGGCTGGTGGGGATGCCATGCGAGACGGCGCTGGCTATTCTTGCATTGACAGCTTCGGGAATGCTGCTTAGACACCCAAGGCTGAGATTGTGTTTTGCGCACGCCGGGGGCGCGTTCCCGGCGTTGTTGGGGAGGATACAGCATGGGTATGAGTGTAGGCCGGACTTGGTCGCCGTGAATGCTGGGGGCGTCAGTCCGAAGGAGCATATGGGCCGGGGTGGGTTTTGGATCGATTCGTTGGTGCATGATCCGGATTTGTTGGACTTTTTGTGTAGGAAGATTGGGAAGGATAGGGTTGTGATGGGGAGTGATTATCCATTTCCCTTGGGAGGTATGTGTCTTCTCTCTTGTGTTCTCCTTCTTTAAGGAGATATGATGACTGACATAATTACAGAAGTTCCGATTGCTGGGAAGATGCTGTGCTTTGAGGACAGGCTGTCCAAGTTCCTAACCTGGGATGAGAGGGCGAATATGCTGGCTGGAAATACTATCGATCTGCTCAACCTCGGGCCTGAATTTGTGAGGGCTTTTCAGGACAGATATGCGAGCTTTAATCAGACCATTGCTGGGACCCAGGAGAAGATGAATACTGGGTCTGAGCAGACAAAGGGCTTTAGAGATCATGAGCAGACGGGAGACAACGCTGTCGTGTCGCAAGAGGCACCAGCGGCACAGGCGCATGATTGGGCCTCGAGCGTGTATGTATAATCGTTTCAAAGACGGAGCATCCAAGGTCGCCGCAACTCTGATGGTGGTGACATCTCTGCCAAATAATCAAAAGTGCCCCTGGCTGGCAAAGTTGACAATATAAACCGAATACATCATAACGGGCAAACCCTAGGTAATCTTCTCCCACTGATGCACCACCAACGTCGTCTCCCTACTCTTCAGCACCGCCACGTGTTGCTCGGTTCGAGATTCGAGATCGAGGGGCCGTTACTCGTAAATCAGCTTCTCCACGATCTGATGGTGAAGTGAGTAGTGCAGAAATGTGAGAGACAAAAACCCATCTTTATCGTCAGATTATTGTCCTAGTTCATCTGGTTATCTACATCCCATCTTTTCGATCGTGTGGACTCTAAATCAGGACCCGGATGGTGCGATGTATTCGCTCCCGGAACGGCGGAACGGGCCGAATGTCCGGGTAGATTTGGACGAGTGAGTGGAGAGCTGTATTCTACGTAGTGGTATTCAGAAAGAACTTACTTTACTTTGAAGATGGGCAGTTCACGGAGTACAAAGCGGGGCGAGTCGGATGGCGTGACGAGCACCAGCATGCAGGAGGGCGGCATCGCTGTGGCTTATTAATCGCGTAGAGCCAACATCTATAGATCAATGACTCGGTTGTATGTTCTCCCAACAAGCATCTTTTTAGATTATTTGCTGCAATATTTTCTGGCCAGGCCATCTAGGGAGTCAATTCAAGCAATTATCTTATCCATTCTTTCAATCCGTGCGTGTCCCCACGATGAAGGTCGTCCAATTCGCAGAAACCGGAGGCTCCGATGTCCTGAAGTTGGCTGATGTCCCCAAACCATCACCGAAGCCAACAGAAGTCCTCATCAAAGTCGAGTATTCTGGCGTCAACTTCATCGACACTTATCGCCGCACAGGACTCTACCCAGTGCCCCTTCCATGCATCACTGGGCTCGAGTAAGTCTTCGTACTTTTCAAGAAAAGAGAGGAAATAGAAGATTCAGTACCTGCGTTTCTTTCAGTTGCTAACTCTAAACAAGAGCCGCCGGTGTCATCGAAGCACTCGGAGCCGAAGTGGCCCCTGAGTACAAACTCAAGGTAGGCGACCGCGTTGGGGCCTGGGTCCAGGGCTCGGCCGCCGAGTATGCAGTGGCAGCGGCCAAATACGTGCTTCATCTGCCGTCGCACGTCTCGACCCGCGATGGCGCCGCCGTACTGCTGCAGGGTCTGACTGCCCTCACGCTCCTCCGGGACGCCCACGAGGTCAAGCCAGGCGAGACCATCTTGGTGCAGGCCGCGGCCGGAGGGACAGGCGGCATGCTGGTGCAGATCGGCAAAGCACTGGGCGCTACCGTCATCGGGACCACGTCCACGGAGGCGAAGGCCGAGACGGCTAGGGCGAATGGGTGTGATCATGTCATTATTTACAAGGAGAAGGATGTCGAGGAGGAGGTGATGAAGATGACGGAAGGGAAGGGCTGTCATGCCGTGTATTCGGGAATTGGGAAGGCTACCGCCGAGGCGGACTTGAATATGACGAGGCGGAAGGGCACATTTGTTACTTTTGGGAATTCGAGCGGTGCGATTGAGAGTGTCAAGCCCTTGGATCTGGCCAAGAATAACGTTAAGTTGGTACGCCCGACTCTGTTCAACTACCTTATTGAGCGGGAGGATTTCGTGACAAGGAGCAGCGAGCTGTTGGCTCTGGTTGAGAAGGGCGCTGTCAAGGTGAATATCGGGGGAGAGTATGCCCTTGCCGACGTGGGAAAGGCGCAGGATGCTCTTGTCAGCCAGAAGACTGTGGGCAAGCTTGTGATCAAGATTTAAGGATGCAATTACCGCGTCAATGATTTCTCAATTTGGCGAGACCACCTATGCATCCCTTCACTTTTTCCTCTCATGACTTCTCAGGCGCGACCCCCTCCCAAATTATAGCAGTACACTTAATCTCCACGTTCAACCTCTCATTTGGCAAAGCCGCAACCTGCACACACGTCCTCGCCGGCGCCTTTTCCCGATCCGGCCACACCCGATTCCACTCCTCATTCATCCCTGCATAATCCCCCCGGATATCCGTCAAAAAGACCGTGGCGTCCGCTACTGCCTCCAGCCCCGCGGTTCCATTCGAAGCGCCTTGGATAATGGCTCCGATGTTTTCTAATACGGCCGCTGTCTGCGCCCGTACGTCGAGCTTGTGCTCGCCTGTGGTAGGGTCCGTGGTGCAGCCGGCGTATGTGCCGTCGCCGCGGCGGGAGGAAGTGCCGGATATGAAGAGGGTTTTGGGGCCGGGTGTGGGGGATGATGAGGAGGAAGAGGGGACGAGGCGGGCGTGCGGGTAATTGGCTAGGCCTTGGGCGAAGGTCGAGGGGCGGAAGTAGGGGGTTCCGTTTGGAGATGTCATTGCGAGTTGTTTGTCTGATACGAGGTATTGGATGAAAGTTTTGGTGGACTTGCTATATTCGATATTCTGTCTACGAAATATCTCATGTCTACCCGCTCAATCAGATGCATCCTTTTCACATGAGGGTTGTTGAGTTTCAAGACGGGCGCCGATGGTGCCGGAAGCGGGTTTCGTCGGCTCTTACGCACACCGGCCTACATCCGGGGTTGCACTGTGTGGAGACATCTGCGGATAATTGGGTCGGTCTATATTATACGAGATTAATGCTGTACGAGCCCGTCATGTCATTATGCCCAAATCTGAATTTCATTGATTATGAAGACGTTAGCTTGCAGTTTTAGAAATATCCTTCCGTTGCAACTGCTAGAGTACGCTTGCCAAGTGGCCACTTCACGAGCATATTTGGCATGTAGATGAAAGCAAAGTTGACTACGCTTCGACGTGGACTACCTCAGGAAAGTCACTAAGCCTGCACTGCAAAGGATTGACTAATAAACATCATGAGTATACTTGTTTTCCAGATTGGCAAACGACAAGAGCGATGAGCATATACCCAGTTGCACTAATATATTCCTATTGGAATTAGCCTTGCTTCAGGCCCCTGAGCATGGTACCGGGTAGCGTGAGACACCCCCATAGAGTACCACCAGCGCCATAGCGACTTCTCACTGTCGCCGGTGGCTCTCATTGAAGTTCACACAGTCGCAACAACTTGGAGCTGCGTCATACGCTTAATCACAGTACCACTGAGTCGGCAGCACTTTGCTGTTAGCCGACGCGAGACTAGTTGTCTCCAACCGCTACTTCCGTCTTCCGCACTCCGTCTCCCGGGCAAACTTCCGCACAGTGTAAACTTGATGTAAGGTTTGGACGGCCGAACCTTCGACAGATCGGTATAGCTCGTGGCGACGTTAGGAAATCGAGGGTGCAGTTTCCAATTCCTCATTGTAGATGTACCTGTCAATAAATCACCATGGGTTCACAGACTCGCTGCCAAGCCATTGTCGACGCCTTCAGCTGCGATACCCTAGAAAAGGCCGAAGCATTTCTCAAAAGCCACAATGATTCAGGAAGTCTGGTGCTGCAGAACTTCGTCGGGAACACCTTCGTTTCTTCATCACAGCCAACACATGACCTAAACACAATAAACCCCAAAACCTGCAAGCCGTTCGCCAAAGTCCCCCTTAGCAGTGCCTCTGAAGTCGAGCAAGCCCTACAGGCGGCTACCATTGCTTTCAAAACCTGGAGCAAAACTACGCGGGAAACGAGATCAAAGTACCTCCAGCGTGTCGCGCAGCTCATCCAAGAAAACAGGGAGCTATTCGCAATATGGGAGAGCATCGACCAAGGGAAAACGCTCGCTCGGGCTCGAATCGAGGTTGATAGAGCAATCTCGAATTTCAAGTGAGTCTTCATACTCGGTATCCACCCAGATATCAAAAGATTTCATGAGACAAGATCAACGAAGGACTGACTAACTCAGATACTTCTCTACCTTCATCTTGCACACGCAAACCGCCGCCCGGATGGTCGACAACGTAGCGCTAACCTACGAGCACCGCTCCCCCGTAGGAGTATTCGCTCTCATTTCCCCCTGGAACATGCCCCTGTACCTGCTAACGTGGAAAATCGCCCCCTGCCTTGCCTTCGGCTGTACGGCAGTTGCCAAGCCCTCGGAACTAACCTCCATGTCTGCTTTCTTACTTTGCGAGATCTTCCAGCGGGCGGAGCTGCCCTCCGGCGTGGTCAACATCGTGTTTGGCGATGGCGCCACAACGGGCGCGGCGCTGGTCCGGAGTCCGCTCGTGAAGGGGGTTTCGTTTACGGGGGGCACGGAGACGGGGGTGAGGATTAGGCGGGAGACGGCGGATCAGGTGTGGAAGCATCTCTCGCTTGAGCTTGGGGGAAAGAATCCGACGTTGGTGTTTGAGGATGTGGAGGTGGGCAGGGCGGTGGAGACCGCTGCTATGGCTGCTTTTGAGAATCAGGGAGAGGTTAGTTTTAATTTTTCTTTCATTTTCTTCTTTCGGGCCTCAGATAATTGCTAATATACTCTAGATCTGCCTCTGCGGCTCCCGGATCTACGTCCAATCAAGCATGTACGACGATTTTGTCTCGGAGTTCACTGCATATGTCACAGCCAACTACAGGTGCGGTGGCAGGGTGGGCGCCGTGGTGTCAGTGCCACACTACCAGAAAATCAGGTCGTATCTCGAATTGGCAGAGGTCGAGAAAGCCACTTTCCTCTCTGGCTCAATACCGCCAGCGAACCCACAGGAAGGGCTTTGGATCGAGCCTGTAGTGTTAACGGGCGTTTCGACTTCGTCCCGTATCATGCGGGAAGAGATCTTCGGCCCCGTAGTCACCATTGCCAAATTCGAAACTGAGGAAGAGGCTATCGAGCTTGCGAACGACAATCCGAATGGACTGGCAGCTGTCCTACTTACCAAGGATGGTGCGAGGATGAGGCGGGTAGGTGAACAGATTGAGGCAGGGTTAATTTGGGTAGGTGATCTCTATCAGGCTCTTTCCTCGAAAGTGCATGTACTGACTCCATATCTCACAGGTCAACTGCTGGCTGGTCCGCGAATTGGGGACGCCGTTTGGTGGGATGAAGAATTCGGGAACGGGGCGTGAAGGGGGAGAGTATAGTAGGGACGTCTTCACGAATGTGCGAACATTGCACATACCCATGTAGATATGGACAAGTTGAAATCGGGTGTCATCCCTAATAAAACCATACGTCAGACTTCGGAACGACCCAGTTGAGATGTAGGCAAGATGATGACAACTGCAAATTATGCTGCTTCCTGAAAATCCCCACGTCTCCACTCTCATCCTTGTGGGCTGGACTAGACGGATTGCCGCAGAGAAGGTGTGCATGATGTCGGCTGAGCATGGCGCCACGACGCTCGCGTTATAAGAAACAAGCGACTATCTGATACTTGGGTGAGTAATCATACAAGGAAGACACCATGATGGAGACCAGTCAGACTTATTTTGGGCTAAACGATCATGTATGACCCTTGATGTAGTATTCCTGCGGATAACGCTTGTATGGAACAAACCTGCTAAGCTTATCCCAATAATAATTTCTCCCCTCGGTCCGCACCCGCGCGAAGAACGACACCTGCGACCCAAGTAAATGCTATGTACAGTTCGTCAAGAGGAAGCATATCCGCCAGCAACCACAACCCAGCATTCAAGCTTTCAATGTCGGTCAAGCGGCCCGACTGACAGGGCAAAATCGGGGCCACATAGGGCGACGGGTACCCGTCGCTCTTCCTAAGTGGTAAAGCCCTTCCGCTATCGGAAACGCACCAACTTCGAGACTTGGAGAGTCTTTATTTTATTTTTTCTTCAGGCGTAGATAGGATGAATTAGGGAATAACTAGCTACCTTACTAGGAGAATATAATACTATAAATTGTCACAAGAATTAGGCTCGGTGTGACAGGCTGTGCCTGATATGGGATCCGGAGCTGCAAGGACCATGCGTCCGGATCCACCAAAGGAACCATCGACGGCATACAAAACATAGTCCCTGTTCCCGGGAGAGCTCGCATATTTTACTTTCCTCCTCAGTTAGATAATTAACAGTATTTGGCCCAGAAGTAGTCCTGCTCTGTCTCGCCACTGAGAAATGCGAACGCAATACAGAAGGATCGCTGGCAGGCGTCGACTCCGATTATATCAAGAAGAGGCATTCCGTACTTGTTCGTCTTATACGTACAGTCTAATATCAAGGTATCTGGGTAGGCCTGGAGGTATGCCAGTGATTCTGGATGAGCAAATAAGATAGCTTTTACCCGGTTATCTGGGCCTAGTTGCATTCGGTTCCAAAATCCTTCTCGATCTAGCTGGTTGGCAAGTGCGTTGATACTACTCTGCCCTTCGCAAATATCTCGCCTTGCATCTGCAATACGATTATAGATATCTTGCTGAGTTGCGATATAAGTGGTGTTTTGCCGCATATACGTTCTGATATCCTTAGGAGCTATACCAGCATTTGTAAGGCTCGTAAGCTGGGACATATCTTGTTCGGAAAGCCCTCGATGAACTGGATGAGCAGATGGATGATCACTTGGCTCGTGATTATGTATAGAGAAACGTTGATCGAAACGATGTCGCAAGGTCCAAGTACTCTTATCTAAGGATTCCTTAGCTAAGACAGAGAACTGACAGCCAGTCCCTCAAGTAGTTGTCTTCCGTTATCGCTCTTTGAGGTATCGGGAGGGTTAGCACGCCGATCACATAAGTACGTAATTGTTTGTTTGCCGGTTTTCTCTTTCGTTGACCTCCCATTTATAACCTCTTGAAGCTGCCCACGCATTAATCGTGTAAGGAAAGAGCCGTTGTGGCGGGCCGGTCTCAGCTGACAAGCTGAGTCGGGAGGGATTCGCCCCGATCCGGTAGAACCCCGGAACCGCCCAGCTTAAGAGGAGAACTCGAGACGCTCGCACCTAGTTAAGATTCTTCAAGAATCAGTCTTGCAATATACGCACCCATACACTGGCCTACTTCTAGCTACCCTTTGCACTACCTGACTATTATATTGTGAGACGTGTGGTATCCTCGTTATAAATCGCTTTAAATACAGCATCTCGAGATTCGTATTCGCCTTCAGGGGGGAGGCAGTCGTCAGGAAACCCGGTATTTCGATTTAGAGATAAATCCATGCTTATTTATAACAAGAAGTAGCTGCACCAAAAGAATACCTACTTAAAAAAGCAAAAGACGTTATTTACAAGTATAGAAACGCAGAGAATGTCTCGAAGTTGATGCGTTTCCGATAGCGGAAGGGCTTTACCTATTTAGGAAGAGCGACGGGTACCGGTCGAATTTTACAGCAACGGGTACCGTCGCCCTATGTGGCCCCGGCAAAATCCACTCGCTTAGTCACAATATCCACTCCTGACACAAGAAATCTTATCAGACCATCTGATATATGGAGCACCCACGCCTTGGCAAACTCCACAAGCGCACCCAAAGACTTGGTGCAGCAATGGAATCCGGCTTCGTTGTAACTGTCTATGGACGACAGCCGGAGCCTGGGGCAGAAACTTTTAGGCCCGTTCAGCTTGTCCTCTTTGGTGTGCTTGGCCCGGTATGACAGCCGTTTCTTCACGATGGCAATCTGGCTCGGACGTTGGTCTGCCGACGGCGAGAGTGGTGGTGGGTATAAGAGGGCGTGCCTGGAATACTCTCATATACCTTCATGGCTTGAAAGCGTGCGTCGTCGACAACGTTGAAAATCTTTGGAGTCTGTTCACCCTCCCGTTCTTCCACGATGTTGGCAAGAAGAATCACCGCCCACGAGCCAGATGGCGTCAAGTCCAACGATGCGCGCATCCAAGTCGATCCCGTCTCGCCCCCTAACGCCAGCAGTGCCGAGTCTCTCGCAAGAGAAAACCGGCCCACGGCACCGCTCCTTTGGAAGATCTGCGCCATCCTCCTCGTCTCGTGCATCCGCTTCGGCTCGTCCTGGAGCTCGGGCATCACAGGCGCCATGAAGACGACCATGAAGAAGGAACTGCACATCAACAACACGCAGTACTCCCTCCTCGAGGCCGCCGAGGACTTCATGACTATGAACCTGATCCTGCTAAGCGGACCTGTCACGGACCGCATCGGTGGCGCGGGAGCTATTGTATACGGCAATGTCATCTACTCTATCGGCTCGATCCTTGTCGCTGCCGCAGCGCAAGTCCGCAGTTTCCGCTTCATGATCGGGGGGAGGGTCATTCTGGCGCTTGGCGATATTGCGACCCAGGTTGCGCAGTACAAGATGTTCTCGAGCTGGTTCCCGCCGAACAACGGGTTCGCGTCCATGTTGGCTCTGGAGTTGGCAATTTCCAAGATTGGAGGGTTTGCGGGGAAGAGTTCTGCGAACATCATTGCCAAGGTGAGTTCTCAACATATGATTTTAGAGCATACAGTGCCGCCGACTAACTTCGTTATCAAGAACACGGGCGACTTCGCCTGGGTTTTCTGGGTTGCCGTATTTATGAACATTTTCACCAACGTTGCCACCGTGGCCTTTCAATATTTCAACCGAGTTGCTGAGAGAAAGTTTGGATCCAACACGGATCCGGCGACAGGCGAGAAGCTTACCGAGAAGAACAAGAAGTTTGAGCTTGCGAAGATTATCGAACTCCCCTGGGTGTTTTGGGGCATCCTGGCCTTCTCCCTGTTCCAGACTAGCACCGCTCTCGTCTTCAGCCAAAATGCGACCGAACTCGCCGAGCAGCGTTTCGATGTCGATTCCATCACGGCCGGTTGGTACACGGCGCTGGCCCAGTATGCTGGCTTCTTCATCGTGCCGTGCTTGGGCATGTTCATTGACGTGTTGGGAAATCGGATATCATTGAGTACGTGCACCTCTATACCCGCGAGTTACTCGAAAAACCATGACTGACGGTTGAAAACAGTGGCATTCTGCGGAGCCGGGATCTTCCTCTCTATGGCACTCGTGAACTGGGCCACGGATACCAAAGGCACGGCGGCAGCGTTTGGCGTCTATGCCGTGGCCGCCTCTTTTGGTCCTACGTTGATCATCGACGGCATCAGGACCTCAATGTGGCACCAATCTGTGTTCGGCTCGGCATACGCACTGAAGATAGTTATGAACAATGCGTGAGTTTTAGTTCCTTGACACAGTCATGGCGCAATGCTGACCTGCTTTCAGTATGAACATCATCGTCCGCATCGGAACGGGTGTCCTGCAAGACGAAGACAACAACTCGTACGGCCGTGTAGTCATTGTGTATGTTGCCCTGGCCGCGATGTCCGTCGTAGTGGCTCTGATTTTGCTTGTCATGTCTTACCGCACCGTGGATCTTGGACACCTGCAATGGACTAGGAAGCAGCGCAATGCGAATGGCGAGCTGTGGAACGAACGAAAGCGAATGTTCCAGGAGGAGAACGGTGTGCGTAACAAGAGAATCTCGCGCGGATGCTTCGCTTGTTTGCTGGTCCTCATGACGGGTGGTTGGGTTGCATTCTTCTGGGGAGTCGCGACAGGAAACAACTCGTAGGGCGGACAGATCGATAGATGAGATGCATTATTGGGTAGTCTGAGAATGAGAAAATTACATCCGACTGAAATATAATTTGAACTTGACAGGCTTTCCCGACCCCGACGTGTGATTTGAGCACGCCAACTTTAGCAAAACTGCCCTCTGCTTCACAGGTTAGGTTCTGAGGATGATGTTGAGGAATAATGCCTTGCAAATCGTCTTTACGTACTCCTACGAGAGCCCGGACCGCCCCAAAAGTTCTTGTCGGCCATATATCAGCTCCGACGAACGCACCATAGGCTGGCGGGGCTCCGCAGTTTCGGGCTCAGGAGCAAAGTAGGTCCACGCGCGGCTCGCGGACTTGGGGTTCGGAGAGAATGAGCTGCTGGACGAGACGGGACTGGTTTTTGGAGGATGCCGACTGGTACAAATAGGCAACAAAGAGCGACGATGGTACATCAATCAAGACAGCGATTGCTACCGATTACAGCATTGATGCCGATGACGTTGCCCACGTGCTCGCGAACAAGCCATGTTGGTATGTTGACACAAGGGTAAATTGCTGTTCGCAGGATCCTTGGTGTGGGGTGGGGGACAGCACTGATTGATGCCAGCCTACATTACCAAACTGCTTCTGGGAGCACTTGAGCGCCCAGTTGGGCCTATCGGTGAGATTTGATAGTTGATGATAGTGCATGTTCCAATGTTCTCCGCTTTTACATATCAACACTGGCATCAAGCCGAATTAGCAGCTGATCCCGGCCCACAGTCAGCCGCCAAGCCCGTCCTTCCTTGCATTGCACACCGTTCTCAGAGATAGCGTAGAGTATACAGCAACGAGCTATACAAGAAGCTACAATTTCCCAAGACAGAACCCGCTTCGAATTCTTAAACTAGCGTGCTACAATACTTGAACATTACTCAACTCAACTAAGCAACAGACAAAAATGATAGTCCAAACCATACCCATACCCCAGGCCCTCACCCTCCACCCCCTTCCCCTCAGCTCTTCCTCCTTCTCCCCCTTTGGTAATGTAATCGCCAACCCCTCCCCCTCCTCTACTCCACAAACCACCACGGTCTCCTCCATCGCCGCCGACCCGCTGCTCCGGTCCCACGGCGCCATCTCCGCCAACCAAGGGACCGCCATCCAGTACAAGCAACTCGGTGCGCACGGCCTGCGCAACCTGTATGACCAGGCGCCTAGCGGGAAGGTTGCCTCGGGGAGGATAACCATGTTTGTGTGTGCTGCACGGGCTGAGATCTCGACCAGCCCAGGAGCTGCAAGCAAGGAGGAGAAGGAGGAAGCCGGAAGGGCAAAGAACAGCATACCCATCACCATCCTAGAACGTCACCCCTTCACCACCCAAACCTTTATTCCACTCACCGCCAACGCAAAAAAACAATACCTAGTCGTTGTAGCTCCCTCGGCCCCACCCGGAAACCCAGATGCAGCACTGCCCGCACCCGAGAGGAACCAGAACCACCTCCTACCCGGCCGAGGCCTGCCCGACGTGGCTAAGCTGCGCGCTTTCATCGCCACGGGGGAGCAAGCCGTGACGTACGGGGCCGGGACCTGGCACGCGCCCATGGTGGCGCTGGGGCCGGCCGGTACGACGGTGGACTTTGTGGTTGTTCAGTTTGCGAATGATGTGGCGGTGGAGGATTGCCAGGAGGTTGTGCTGGAGGGCAGGGAGGAGGAGGGGATCAGGATAGAGGTTGGGCTTCCCCCGAGGATGGAGGTGGCGAGACTGTGAAGTGTGTATACATGTTTATTCGGGAACATCACGCATCGGAATTGTCGGGATTGTTAACTATGGACCGACTGGTTGGCTGATATTGGCGTCGGGTATACTGCATTACCCGAGACACCGGGTCTAAGAGACCGAGTACTCTTCATCGCCTTGCGAAGCTGTGAAGAACCAAAAGTATCAAGACCACAGTATCGACATCACCATTTACCACCTTCAGAGAGCGTGCCACTTGTTTCGCTCAAATCACAACCATATCAAAAGCTACTGGATTTCATCGCCCCTTTATTTCTCGCCAGTTTTTTTTGGTTGCTAGTTACATACATAATTCTTTAGTCAAACGACCATTCCTCATCCCAATTGCCAACAATCAGAGACTGAGTGGATCGCCGACCGCACATGGCACTTGTCCGTTGACTAGTGCGAAAAGCAGCAAAAGTATTCGTATATCATGAGCTCGTGTCGTGTTTCCGATGAGGAAGTAAGGATTGAAGGTGCGGGGTGTTCTTCATCATGGATTCGTATGCAGCTGACTATTCGCTTGCTGCTCTAATAATGATGTAATCCGACTCGTCCATCGCCTTGAACACCTCTTTTGGCTCAAGAAGGGAGTTGATGCGCTGTAAAGAGACACCGGATTGTTCAAGATGTTTCTTGACATGCTCTGCAGATTTCTTCTTGTCCACGAGAACTCCAGTTTCTGAGTGAGGCGCGACTAGCACATGCTGTCTCGTCCGGAGCTCAAGCACATCGACTTCGGCAGTCAATATCGTGAGGCAGTGATAGATGTAGACCGGCTTCTTCTGGCCTTCTCGGATGCAGCGTCCACGGGCTTGCTTCATGTAAGCATCATATTCCTCTTGGCAATCCGTAATGAGCGGTGTTGCAAAGATCATGTGGTTTGCAACCACCAAGTTGCTGCCGGAAGCTTCGGGCGAGCTCAGTTTCAGCACCAAGACTGGGAAAATCCCCTGCTTGAACTGCTCAACAACTTCATCATCTTTCATAACATTGCTCTTGGCCGGCTTGCGCCTGGTCGACTTGCCCTTGCCGGCCTCTTTCTTGTCTGCGTCCGTATTGGGGCGCGGGGTGGTCGTGTAAGCCGTGATATTCTTCTTGCCCAATGCATCCACAATCTGATGGAGGACTGCGTCATGCTGGGCGAAGATGACGACCTTCTCATGACGATTATGAATGCTGAGCACAAGATCAACGATGGCCCTGAGTTTAGAGCTCTGATTGTCGTCAGGAGCCGACTTTGTCGATCGTTCGATCTGTTCAATGGACAGTGTGCAGGTATTCAGTACAGACGGACACTCTTTCATTCCATAACCGCAGCAAACCTTTCCTTCGTGATGCTCCTGGCAGAGTGCATGACCACATTCCAGTACAATATATGAAGCATTGTTCTGGCACTCATTGCAAGTTACTTTTTGGGCTCGTTCAATAAGATTGAAGCAGACGGCGAGCCGGTGCTGCTTATCGAGGTCGATTAGATACTGATGGACCGTAAGCAGCTTGCTGTATAACTGCTTGTACTCATCATGGAGTACTTCAATCTTTGTTCCTCTAGTGCGTAGCACATTCCCTACAAGCTGAAGGGGAGTTCGTACTCGCGAAGCTTGTAGATTGGGGCCAATATACGACTCGTCGCTTGCAGTTCCGTTTGCATCGTCAACAAGTAGCTTTTTGAGTTGAGGCAAACTGGTCGTCTTGACCTTGAGACCACGCTGGCGACACTTGTCACTGAGCTCGGCAATACTCCAGTCTCCGTACATAGATACGTCCGCGACTTGGGTGTTTGCCGCACCGTCTCTATCTCTCTCAGCTTCGACTACTTCAAGAAGTTTTTTAAGAGCTTGTCTGAGGCGTTGCTTCTGTGCATCGCTTAATGTATTGTCGAGTGTGACTGTGGTGGCTGCAGGTTTGTTCCCCTTGGTTGCCGTTTTCATCACCTTGGCGGCTGCATCGATGTCCTTGGCTAACTTTTCCTTCCTGATGTCTGGGATGTCTCCAAGAACATCCTCGAGTTCATTTATCAGCGATTTGATTGGGTCAGCCGGTTCTTGGGTGTCGGTGACCTTGACCTCGTAGTAATCCTGCAGGAGATCCCTGATTTCGTCCATCCCCATCCGATCGATGTCTTTATTGAGGACGGTGTAATGATGATCAAAACTCTTGGTTCTTGCTGCGTACGCTGCATCAGGCAAGAAGTGTATCAGAGGAGCATCGGGGACGGGAGCGTCAGCGTCAGGATTAGCAGCCATGGAGGCACTATCCAGAGGTACATATTCCCAAGGCATGGAGGTACCATAAACAGGGGCATAAGCCATGGTGACACCGTCCTTAGGGGCATAAGTCCTGGAAAATCCATCCATAAGGGCATAAGCCATGAAAGCACCCATGTGACAAGCGTCTGGCATGAGGAAGTCGGTTCTCTTAATTTGATCAGAGAAGCGAAAGAAAGGCCGAGGCCCATTGATTCGATCCCTAAGCGTTTCCACAGGGAAAACATTGCGATGCTCATAGATGGAGAGAATGGTGTGCGCAACAGTGAACCAGGCATCGACTCCACCAAACCGTTCAAAAATGCCATCTTCCAGAGCTGCAAGTAGATCCCAAAGCTCGTCAAGTGCACAATCTTTCTCTGTAATGCCAATGTTGACCTTGCTCAGCTGCAGTCGATGCGCAAGCCAAATGGTCTTTTCAAACACCCGCTTTAAGCACGCCTTAGCTTCGTCTAAGAGTTCCTGGCGTTTATTTACAAGCGCTTGAGAAGCCTGAGGATCTTCACCAGCGTTCTGAATTGGCAAAGATGCTCTGTGGAGCAGGCCTTGCATGCCTAGATCCCTCCCCGAGGAAGGAAAGTTCGCCTTTAGACGGATGTTGTTGATCAGGTCTTGCAAGGATCTCTGCCCAAGGCTATATGCATCCATGTCGGCGCGGCGCAGTTCTTGCTGCAGGTCAAGATAATAGGCCAATTCGACAAATGTCGGGTAGCAAACAACCACCTTCTCTTCCACCTCGTACAATCCGACGTCAACGGGATTGGCACAGGACAAGGCGCTGAGGAATGCTTCTCCCTGTTCGTGTCGCTCCTCAACATAACGCTCAGACTTGTTCTTTCCGTAGGATCGATAGATCTCGCCGTCGGTGCGAACTGATAACGACGGACCCTCAGTGATCCGTGGCAGCCCCTGGCGTAGGTCCATAGGTACAGCTATGTGGACTCCAAGTGGCATTGCCATAGAATCAAGTTCTCTCAGACTGCGCGTCGGAGGTGTGCCAGTAAGCAGCCACTTGGCATCCGCAAGCGCGCTCCGGACGAACTGGCGCGTCTCCGGGTTCTTTTCACTGGCTTCATCCCAGACAATCCGATTCCAAGTAAAGAATTCGAGGAGGATATTAGCGTCCATGAACATACCAGAACCGATCTTTTTGCCGCGCGTTTTGCTGCTATCTTGCTGGGGGGTTTTCTTCGATTTCGACTGGAGTTGTCTCTTGCGTCTACTACTCTTCTCTACTCTGTTTGCAAGCAAGGCCTTGTTATCTTCTAAATCAGCATCACGGGACTCGGAGATCGCATTCTGAAGCTCGTCGTCTGTTTTGTTTCCAAATCGATATTCTCTGAGGAATGCCCGGATTGAGGAAACGCAGCCATCGTGCCAGGCTCGATAGGCACGCTCTGAAAGCTTTTCTGCAGAGAATGCCTTACCAGCCCAATATTGAAGGGAATCCTGATATGCTTTGACCTTGAAGATCGCGTCACTCACAATGACGATCTTGGCACGTCTTATGGCATCTATGGTAGGGTTCTTTTGAGCCAGAGTCCAAGTCTTGATTACGACCGTTGAGTATGAGTCCAAACCGAGAAACTTGCTGATCTCTGTCTTCCACTGCTCAGTCAGGTGCTTTGGAACGATAATCAGAGTGGCATTCAGGGCCTCGCGGCCGTCTTCTTTCACCTTCTCTTCTCGCTCTTCGAAAAGCTGTTCGTCGTGCATGCTTTGTTGTAAGTCGATCAGAGCCAGAGTTATGACAGTCTTGCCATATCCAACGTCGTCAGCGATCAGTCCGCCCCGGCAGAAGATCTCGCGTTCAGCACATCCAACCAGTCGTAGCTGGAGTTCTGGGACTACTTCTTCCTCAATTTCTCGTTCCACAAATCGTGCTCCTTGCTTTTCACGTCTGACCATCCACTCCACAGAGATCTGTTGCCTTTCATGCAGCATTTCACCTTTCTTGACGAATGATGGTGGTTGAATATTGAGGTTACTGGATTTCCTCAAGGGCTTGATGGACTCCCGGAAAGGGGCTAGGGTCGGAGCAAGAGTATCAGCATGGTGGTGTTCCACTTTAGTCGTCACGCTGACCTGATTGGCAGTAGACACGCTCAATGTTTCTTCAATGCCAGGGAGCAGTCGTAGGACTTTATGCTTGAGAAGTTGCGGGTTCCAGACATATCTGGCCGTAAGCACAACCTTCTGTGACTCAGTTAAATCTACTGAGGGACATCGGACCTGCACCTGCACACCGAAAGCTGGAGGTACCGATTTTAACGCATCTTCGTAGGCCTTGGCATCCAGATGGTCATGGCAAGGCTCAGCTCTTCCGCTAGTCTCTTCGCGGCTCAGCCAAGAAACTGCTGGGGGTGATGGGGAGCATTCATCGCAAAGGTCAGATAAGGTGACAGGTATGTTCGAACTGCCATATTTCCTGTTTGTAGACATGACCTCAATCAGCTTCAGGTTCCCGAATGCAAGCTGCTTCAGGACCTCAGGCATGTCGTGTTTTGGCACTGTGTACCATCCGTCCTTTTGGCCTAATTCATTGCAGGCTAAGCCCAGCTTTTGCAAGGCACGTGGAATAGAGCACTTATCCAAGCGGATATCTTCCAGCTGGCTGAGAAGCTGTTTGCCTTCGCATTCTCCACTTGTTGATGCTTGCGTATCTTCTTTGGGCAACCAAAGCTTCGTATAGGTGTCAAAGGGGGCATCTGGTGAACTTTGATATTCATGCGATGATTCCTAGTCATCGAGCTTGTCCCAGTACCCACCTATGCTGAAGTTGACCATTGTTTTGCCATCTTTCAACTCGTGAAGTTGGTGTTTGGGGTTGAACGAAAGCAAAATCTCGCGATGCTCAGGTGTCTGCAGCAATCGGTTGTTGTACGAAACGACGAAGTAGTCATCCTCGGCGGGGCCGGTCTTGGTAGGATCCTTGAAGAGATACACGGGCTTTGGGCCCTTGTTGTTGACAAACAAACTATTCTCAGCCGCGTCGCACTTGGGCAGGTGAACGTATGACCCAAGGGCACTTCGGAGAATTCGATTGACCTGAAGGGGGTAAAGTCTGCCAGTTGGCACGAGCTCTATTCTCTCCTGTTGTTTGTAAACCAACATAGGCAACTCTTCTGTTTGAAATTGCCAGAAATCCCAATCGGCAGGGCAGGGCAAAGCATGTTGGGCACATGCAGGAAGCTCAGCCTTGGCAAAGGGCCTCTGTCGAGAGAGGAAGTCGCCAATAGTTTCCTCCTTCTCGTTCACTATATCTCCATGTACACAATGGCGATCGAGACGGACAAACCAGGTGATACCATGGTCAGAGATGCTTGCTTTCAGAATGAAAGCCGAACCAGCGGAGTAGGTGATCGTCATCGTCTCTGTGATGTGGACCTCTTGCAGGCGAAAAATCGAGGATTTAAGCTCACGCAAAGCAGACGCAAAAGAGTACATGCCAGGGCCTTTCAGATACTGGTTGAGCTGAGAATCGGTGAACAATCCAGAGACGAGCGTGGGGAAATGCTGCATGAGGCTTCTGACGGCTGGATTAAAAGTGAGGCGCTCCAGTGGTTGATGATACCGCTGATATCGGTGTATGGGATTGCCTGCGCAATTGGCGCACCTGATTATGCCGCAATCGACACAAATCAAGAAGATATCACTGCTGTATTTGGCAGTTCCATTGCAGCGACAGTACCGACGGGCTTTGGCCAGAATATTTAGTACTTCCTGGACCGCAAAGGCGACACCACTTTCTGCTTTGAACAGTTCTAGGTTCTCAGGACCGAAGGCTTTCTGGCCGAAGGGCCCCGACGCTTGTGGGTTCAGTAATGGGTGCTGGTACCCGCTACCAGCAATGGTTTTGAATATGCGAAATGAATCCCCATCAGACTCGGCCAGCGCGATAAACGAAGCCAGAATGGTAGCGCCGACGACAGTTGTTGTCATGGCGTTGCCAGCCAGGTCCTTCAGCTGGTCTTGGGTTTGGCGAGACATGTCGAGTCGCTCAAGAGGTAAACCTTGTAAGGCCAATGCCTCGTATCCGGTGATAAATCGACACTGGTCTCCGAGGAAAGGGATGCCGTTCGGGGTCAGGCAGCCGGCCAAGCCAAAGTGGGCTACCACGCCTCTATCAACATTCTGACTTAGATCGTAGTGTTTCATTTTGAATCTGTTGTCGAAAGATATAAAACCCGGTAAACTGAAAATGCCGCGCAGAAAATTGATGTCTAGGAGGTCCCAAACCCGTGGTGCTTGTCCACCGATGATGATCGGATCCATTCGGTCGTACAATTTGATACAACCAGCATCGGTCCACTGGGTCAGGGGTCTGGACTGGCCTAGACCCTCGTTACGCCTGGCTCTGTTGTGTCGCTGAAGGCTGTGGAACCACTCCTTGTCACGGGACTTCTTGCCTTCGGCTTTGTGTTCAAGCTCTTGGCGAGCGATTTGGATCAGTCGACTATTCTCCTGAAGCAAATAATCTTCAATGGAAGACGAAGCTCGACGTTTGAGGCCGCCAAGGATTGTCTGCCACTGCGTGACAACCTGGGTCAAGTCAATGCCCGGGAAAGCCTGCATGTCCATCGCAACAAGGTACATGCGTTTGCGTGTTTGTGGCATGTAGAAGTCTTTGGTGTCCAAGGCGATGATCTCAGCAGTGTATCCGATCCCTCTGAGCCAAACGTCCCTTGCATCTTTCCAAGGAGCGCCTGACACGTTTTCCAAGATAATCATGCTCGGCCGGTATTTCTTAGCGTAGAGCAGCATGGAGAAGAAGGTTGTATCCGATTCACCGCCTTCGTCCAACTTTCCCTTGATCGCGTTGAGGACACGCGACATGACACGCATCAGGTCTTCGGTTGGAATTAATCCCCAGCCTTTGGATCCCTTCTTTTTCAGGTCGTCATCTTCGCCCTCTGCGTTGGACTGGGCCTCGCAGAGTGCTGCGAATTCAGCTGCGGAGCACTCCTCTTTAGCAATCGCGAAGATATCAATGCTAAAACCCGACTTCTTCTTCGTATTCAGGGCAGAGAAGTCGACACAGGATGTACCTGCAACAAGGAGTTGAATATTTCGCGGAATTTCAGCCTTAGAGCCGTGTGCCGTGGTACTATACATGCATTATTATTGAGTGGGTCGAGCAGGAACAGGATTAGCACGGGGCAGAACTCACGCTATCTCGCAAGTTTCATTAGCCATTTCGCGAACATCTCGGAAGATGGTAGCCTCCGTATTAAGACTCAGGAAAGCTTGTTTAGCCGGGTCAATTTCGACCCCGAAGACATGCTCAAATCTGAACACTTCTTGCTTTCCTTGGAGGAGAAGAGATTCCTGCATCAACTTCAGCGCAAAGTACGGGGCGTCCGTGCCGGAGCACATCGTGGCAAAGCGAAATGCAATGCCGCCTCGTCCGATTATCTTGTTGAAAGCAGCAGGATGGTTTTCAAGTGCCTTCTTCATGAGATCATCAAAAGCCACATAGACGTTGGGGATGGGAGGCAACGTTCGATTGAGGCCAGTTTCTGTGGACTTGTCCTCTCTCTTCGTTTTCTTGTCTGGGTATATCCACCTGAAGCGTGACTCGTAGGCCTTGCCAGAGCCGTCGTAGCATTTCTGACACAACAAAATTGTCGGATTTGCAGCAGTATTGCCTGCGAGGTTAGTCCCATCGGGTTGATTAGTAGTGTCATTACTGTTGGAAGCATCTGCAGCGGCGGTAAGCCCATCACCAGAAGCAGCGAGAGGCGTGTTGCTTTGGATTCTTCGCCTTTTCTGGACGGCAAAGTCATCTGCTGCAGCTCGTTTAGTACCGCAACCGTTTGTCTTGGTAGTTACCGCCTCCTTAGTAGTATTGCCTGTGCTAGCTTTCTGGCGCCCTTTGGCCTGACGCGCCATCGTTAGTGCAAATCGTGGTTGTGCGATGATGAGGTTCAGGCTTCGGTGTGTGGAGGAATGAGGGTGGTGGGCGTTGGGCTTGTTATCAAGATGCCAGATCAGTGGCAGACCACTAATCCGGCACAGCAGAAGATCTCAGCAGAATGAGGAAACAAAAAGAGAGATGAGTCCAGTATGGATTTGTGTCGCAAGATAGCTCTCGAGGGAAGATGTGTTGGTTAAGAAGCTCTTCTCTGATATGTGCGAAGAGAGAGAGAGATCCAAAACTTGAATGGTTAGAACGTCAGGAAAAATTAAAGGCACAGGAAACGTGGGGTGCCAACTTTTCTTCAAGTAGGGCTACAACCACGAGAAGCGTTGACTGTGTTGGGAACCCGCTGCGGCGCCCGTCACGGCTTGAGCTACCTTGTGCCCCTACCAGTAATGACAAGGACGACGACTAATAACTTGTGAAGAGTTCGGGCTCTCAATGATTGTAGTCCGGTGCGCAACCGCTCTGTCAACATACCTAAGACCTGGTCAATCCCATGCCGTGATTCAAGTGAGTCTTCCCCCTAATTTGCCCAACGGAGCGGAAGGCCGTTGCTGAGATATCAGAAGAACAGACTGCCCTTGATCTGTCCTGATGTCGAACTGCAGAGGTCTACAGCTAGTCAAGAGACAGTGGCTGGTCAGCGTATCCCAGTACAAGCCCTTCACCACATGACAAAGGTTGAATGTCAACATAATAACCCGGGTCCTTTGATAGGCTGAGTATCTTTCAAGTCAGTTGCAGTGGAAGCAATCAGCCATGCATGCTGGTCCAGCAGAATCGAAGCAATACACAGTAAGCTCAGTGTCGTGATGCCAGCTCCTTCACGGATGTCTGGTGAAACTGTTTTCACCATGGCTGCATGGCCAGGCCAAGGCCATACGTAGGATCGAATACCAACGACAAAATCGGGCTTTGCATTGAACTTGTTAGCGACATCTGGTCATTGGCCCAAGGCTTATTCACTGGGGATGCCAAGTGGTATAAGTGGCAGCAGGCCGAGCTGGCCATATCCTGTGAATACTCAACACCCAGCGCCATGGATCTGGGGTGTTGAGATTCCGGGCTTTGAAAAACAAGTGCAAACCAGAACAAGTCGAAAGTAGATCTGCCAGGAGTGGAACTTGTCATTGCCCAGCAGTTGAGCAAAGGCAAGAATCATGGCATTAGGACAAGCAGCGACTTCAAACTGGCTGTCATGAGAATTGTCACTGGACAAAGACCCCTTCCGAAAGATCAAATGACGACCCATTCTTGATGCGAGAGAAGGAGCGTGCAAGTACCCTCTCGTGTATGTGACCACATGCCAGCTCGATGGAGCCGGGTCCCCAGTGTGTTTGTTCCGTTGCATGCTTGAGCTGATGGATCCATCGATGAATACTGAAATAATGCTCTCATCCATCGCTTGATGAAAAAGTTGGTAGCCATCTATTTATTTCGAAGGTTGCACTTCACGGAACAATCCGCAATGAGACCACCAGGCAGAATTCGATGAGAGCCAAACGGGTGTAGGACATTGGCGTCTCCAGAGAATGCATCTTCACAGCTGGCCTGTGGCTTTTCTGGACCGCAAGGCGGTATGTCTAGGGTGATATGAAGACAGCACAGTGCAAGCGCGAGAGACTGGAGGTGCGAAAGCGGATAACCAAGGGCTCAAGTGCGACCAAGAAAGGTGAATGAGATGAGAGCTCAGTCAAAGGAACAAGATATCTGAAGCACTGGATCAAGACAGCACATTCTGGTTTCGAACTGATACGAGATGACAACAGTTCTTGCTGGATGAAGATCAGGAGGAGCTTTCTTCAACAGGACCGTTGTTGAAGTCAAATATTGATTGAAGCAAAGGTGAGAACAAATCCCAACTGCGCCACAGCATGGGTGAGGTCTATTTAGGGTTGTGGCGGAGAGGGCCATTGGCCATGCACGGTCTTCCGTGTGGCTCACACCGCGATGCCGGTTTACCCGACCCCGAAAGTGGGTTGGTCAAGCTGCCAGCTGGGCCGCTGTGGGAATGGGCTGAGGGTTGGAGGGACGCTAGTGTCATATCGATACCGCACCCTGGTCAACAAGCAGGCTTGGGAGTTGTGATGAGGTGCCATCTATGAGCCCTCAGGAGCTAAGAATCTACTATAGAATGTGCTGATTACGAGAGTTCAGAACAACGTATTGTCAGTTTGCAGTAATGAAGTTTTTTTTTCTTTCAGGGGTTAAATCACTGGTTGTAAACCTTGGCATAGTCGATGGCCCTACTTGTATTTCCAAGCGAACGTTCGTAGATACTTGATAGGCTTCGGCCGGGGTTGCTCTCCGAGTGCGGCTTGCTAAGCTTGAAAGCTAAGAAAGTTGCGTTCCTGTACCTTGCTGTCAACTTCTCAGATCATTTGTCTGCACCTAGGCAGACACCGTACATCAGCCAATCCAGCGCTTTGTTGTCTCCAACCTATCAAATAACAAGTCCGGGTTGAGAAGCCAGCCCCTGATCGTACGATGGGTTCGTTATTGGAGTCCACGGATGTGAGGAACAAGCTCGAAGATCTCTCCGGCGTTGTCATCAAGCCAGGAGAGAATCCATACGATGCCCTCATTGCGGCCTGCAATGATGATCCGGTACGGTTACGGACTGCCGTATATAAACACCACGAGGTCTTGTTGGACTGGATAGTTGCTTTGCTGCACCAATTGGGTTTGGGACTTCGGCAACGCAACTGCCATATGCAACGGGCAATCGGAATCTATGTATTTGGAAGGAGACTCAACCATGCTGACAGAGTCGCAGGCCCAGATACAGGCACTCTATGCAGCACACCGGACGAAACGCAATGCCCAGCAGAAGGAGAAATTTTTATCTCCTGATTTTAAGGAGCTCATTATCGATCCGTTCCTCTTGCGGCTCGAGAACCCGACTATAGAGCCAGGCTTCCAGGACACGAGATACTGCATGACTTTTTGGGGTCGTCCTCCAATCCACGCTCTCGAACTAGCCGGCCAGATTCAAAAGAAGCTGAAGGCTTGTGCACCTAGTAAGTGACAGCTTTCTTGAATCGTGATATCGTAGTTTCCAAGAAGTGAGACATCATATCTCGTATTCCATAGACGCAAATTATAGCGAGCCTCTTCGTGGAAGACAGGGCTGGCTCTTCAAGGCTGACGCTACCATTCTCTAATCTTGAACCATGCGCTTTGCAGTTCTTGTACCGTTGTCTCACGGAAACTGAACCTACTATAGAAAAGACTATGGACTTTTTCTACTCGTTGGATCTCATTATCAACTAACATGGCCAACCAGACATCTGGCTCATGCCACTCCATCGAATGCATATCACAACTCTCGAACTCGCATTCTCCAGAACAGCCGAGGAAATAGACGCTATCAAGTCTGAACTGCGGCCAGCTATCCCATCTGTAGCTAGTTACACGTACGGTCACCGCACCCGATTGGTCAAGCCCATGATATCATACGACCTTTCGGCGTTCGCCGTCTCCTTCCTGCCAGCCTGCGGAGAGCCCGTGATCTCGCCTCCGCCTGTGGCTCCCGATACAGCAGAAGTTGCGCAGCAAGGTGATCAGTATACGTATCACCATCTCAGACGGGATATGTGGGACCTGGCCAAAGAAGCGGGTATGACCGTTGACTCGCGCTATGTCGTGCCCAGCGCACATATAACTCTGGGAAGGTAAGATTAGGGCCCTTGGCCTTCAGCTAATACGTACGCTAAATCCGTTGAAGGTATTTGACGCATGATGATCACGCAACTCCAGAGAAGAGGAAGAAGTGGGTGGAAGCTATTGACGAGATCAATCACTGGCTGGAAACCGAGATCTGGGGCAACGGGAGGGAGCTGATAGGGGAGTGGGTGGTTGGCCAAGAGAAGGGACTTGACGTTCGAGTCGGTACTCTATGGTACGGAGCAGGTCGAACAGTTCTTCTGGGAGAGGGCTTTTGAAGACATACATATGCAGGGCATTCCCAATTTGGCCCTGGAACATATACACTGGAGGCAAAAGCAGCTTGGAGCAGACAATGACAGCCTCTTTTTAGTGACCGCTATGTTCTGATCTGAGCCTTTGTCTTGCACACTGCAAGTTTTAGAGTTGAAACTTGAGATCAACCCAGAGACAGGGCTCTGCCAGGTACTCAGGTATTCACAGTGGTTGCTTTAGACCATTCTAGATCGTCGGCACAAGGACCGACGCATTGTTCAGTGAGTTTTTTAAATCCTTGCAGTGCACTAAAGATCAAGCTTCCCTCGATGCCTTCGCAGCAAAAGACTCGGTTCTCTATCCGACCTATGTCCCTGCCACATCATGCTCATCAAACTGAGATCAATACTCCTATCGCCATTGTATCCGGCATGATGAACCACCCCTAGTGCCAATTGCCATGAATGATGAAGGTGTCCGAATATGAAAATGCGTTTAGAACACCAGAGCCGCACCCTTCGTCTTCTTGTCACCACTGTACACCCAGTTAGTCAGATATACGGCCAGCATGGTCAAGCATGTGATTTCGAGGCAACGTACCCAAGCTCGAAGTGCTTGCAACGCTTCAGCGCCAGTTGCATCTTAGTCTTGCATGCGACACATTCCAATCTTAACACGACCTTCTTCGTTGTCTTCGCCTTCTTGTGGAAGACAGGCTTGGTCTGACCACCGTAACCGGCTTGCTTGCGGTCGTAACGACGTTTTCCCTGTGCGAAGAGCGAAGCCTTGCCTGCCTTGTATTGGGTGACCTTGTGCTGCGTATGCTTGCGGCAGTCCTTGCCCTTGCAGTAGGTCTTGCGAGTCTTGGGAATGTTGACCTAAAGGATAAATTTCAGTCAGCCTTTCAGCTCATTGATCTTCGTATATACGTTCATTCTTCGCGGCGATCTGAGGAGAATTCAGTCATTTCAATGCGCCAGGTCCAAGGGAATCCATGCGTCCCAATGCGTCTCGCGCACCGGCTCAATAATATGGCGCAATCACGATCGATAATAGGGATCGTGGCATCGTCGGGTTGCTCGTCGTTTCTCTCGCTTCATTGCCCCCATGTCCATCTTCTGCTCCTAGTTTCCATCTCCCAGCTTCAAATCCCAGCTTCGAAACCCAGCTTTGTCGACATGACGTACTGAATCCCCTCGGAACGGCATGGAAATCAAACTAAGCGTGTGCATACGTACCATTTTGACAGCGTTCTCTGGATGCCGGCTCGAAAGGTGGTCGTGGGTCTCGTAGAGTTGGTGTGAAGTTCGACAATCTCTTGACTGGATCACGAAGGTATTTTTTTGGGAAACCGCCTACTTTGTGGCCCGGAGGTGTGCGCGCTAGCCGAGTTTGAGGGGTCTAGGTTGTGGCTGCCTTTGCCATTTTTAGCTCCGCAGCCACAAGTGGACAGCACTCGCCACAGTTGATCAACACCAAATCTGAAATCGCGACTTCAGATTCCAAGTCTAGAGCCCACCTTCAAGTTCAAGTTTCCATTGGAAAGTCCGGGTGCAGTTTGAGGTGGTCAATTATTTGCAATGTTACCTATTGTGGAGAAAATACCAATGCATTCAACTCTTCATGTAGTTTACTTGCGAACATGGCCGGCAACACTAAGCTAATGTGGTACCATGTTTGAAAATTCCAGAGCGTGAAGCATCTTGGCAGATTGCGAATACAACATGACCGCATCTCGACATGTTCGAAGATGTCCAACGAAAATAACCGATGCACGTTTGACCTCATGATCTGGACGAATTGTTTATTTGTTGTGGTGTATGCCCCCTGCTAACCTATGTCGCTCAACTACAAGGGTTGAATGTGGATTGTCACTGTCAACTTCTCCCGTACCTTTGGTCTGAATCCTCCCTGCAGTAGACCTTCAACAAGCAAGAGGCGACCGGGACTTGGGAGTCGCTCAAAGATACAAAACCTACATATTCCTGTCTTAGCCAATCTCAGGTGGCGAGTCATTTCTCCTACTATGTAAGAATTTGGTCGGCATTATTACACTGACAGCAGCAACTGTACCAGTTGCACTGGGGCCAATCATCAAGAGACCAACGCCATCAACGGCTGTAGTTCTGGAAGACCCGTCATGGACATTCATCTTCAAGACTCCGCCAGCCGCCCAGCAGAGCCATCCGGGGACATTTCGCAGCGACGAATCGCCGGCGTCGGAGGCGTTGGAGACCTAAAGCCGCCAACCAAGCCGTCATCGGCAAAATTCCGCGATAAATGTTGTCCAGACTAGGAAGCTCGTGAGAAATGATTTCGCTCATCGCCGTGCAGGTCCTTTCATTGCGGGGCAAAGCCGGGAATAATCATATTGCCGCCTCGATGTTGTCACGACAGGATACTATTCCCATGCATCTTTTAAGCTTATTCCTGATGGATTTCTCACTTGAGCAGTAGATTACATTCTTCAGGTCTTACTTGCTAAGCTGATAACGGAATCAAAGACTTGGGCAAGTATCCACTTCGAGTTGCCTTAAGAGCTCAAGACCGGGTAGGAAGGAGGCCCGTCGACCTCGATATGGGCTTCCATCCGTTATGGGGATGGTGGCCGCCTTTGGTTTCACCGATACTCGGCACTTAGATCTTTCACTAGAGCACTGATTGACTGGGGCAGAAACTGAGAAGCACGAGGGATGTATCATGTGGGTGTAGTTAGCCAAGTTCCCCAGACTATTTTTTTAACAGTTGTTCTTTGTTTGTTGCGACTCATTATGTTTTCGTGAGAGCCTCACGTTACCATACCCTATCGCCACTCACCTTGAGCCCTATACCTCGCTCTCGACATCAAAAAGCCCATTGAGGGGTTTATAAGACCTTTACAGAGGTGTCTGAACATTGTTCGCGCCATCAATAAGTGGCGTATCCTGTAAAAGAAATCAAGAGTACAGATCGCTGTCGTTGTATCTTTCAAGCTTCCCAATCTGAGACAGTTTCCTCATGTTCGAGAGCAATGCAATGGAGCGTGACCGTCATGAAGGCCAAAGTCAGCAGAGCATAAACTCTCAAAATAACGACGCGTCCCACAATGATGACTCCGTTTCCTCAGAGCCGCCAGAGCACCCGTACCTGGAACGCTTCTCAACCCACCAATCATTGGGTCCAGATGCACCGATCGAATGCCGCGAGTCTATCGTTGAAATCCCAGATGAAGTATACGACCGTTTGCCTAAGCACAGAAAGCTCGTCCTCGTCTTGCTGCTCTCTTTCTGTGCCTTCCTGGCACCCATCTCCAGCACGACGGTTCTGGCAGCAGTGAGTCATCCTCGGACTCCTTAATCCCCTTATTTGTCATATCCTAGGAATAGTAGACTCTGTAAAAAGAAGTCATGCTAATTGCTGACTCCGCGAATCCATAGGTCCCAGAAGTTGCCGCCGAGTATAACACTACTGGAATCATCATCAACCTGAGCAACGCTATCTATATGCTCTGCATGGGAATCAGTCCAATGATCTGGGGTCCGATTAGTCAGGTGTACGGAAGAAGATGGGTGAGTCGGGCCACCAATCATTCTCAACTTACCACAAAGAGAACCTCTGACACACCCTTTCTCAGGTAACCCTAGTGACGGCTGTAGGCTTTCTTGGATGCAGCATCGGAACCGCACTAGCACCGAACCTCGCCGCCTTCTTCGTCTTCCGCATCCTGACGGCCATCGAAGGAACCTCGTTCATCTTGGTAGGATCTGCGGTGATAAGGTTTGTCGGCGCCTCCTTATTCAACCATGTCCGTCGTGTAGATACACTAATACGACATTGCAGTGACATTTACAGACCAACGGAGCGCGGTACAGCGATTGGGTGGTTTTTATCCGGAACTCTAATCGGACCTGCGTAAGTCCAGCCCCCGGGAGCTCGTTCATGCACTCAGTTTTTGACAGCCAGCCCCTTTTGACTGGAACTAAACCTATGACCGTTGGAACTTTAAAAAGCTTGACTCAGTGTACTTGTCCTTCTGATAACTAACCCTGGGTTTGCAGGTTCGGTCCTTTTGTGGGTGGTATTATCGTAACACACACCTCCTGGAGGGTTATCTTCTGGCTGCAGACTGGCCTTGCAGGCGTAGCGGTTGTAGGCTCCTTCTTTCTTCTGCCGGAGACAATCTACCACAAGAAGATCGATGACCTGAGTGGCTACAGCGGCGTCGAAAAAGGCAAGGTCCTCTGGGGGATGATAAACCCGTGGCGGGTCATCAAGCTATACGAGTATCCAAACCTCCTGCTCACAGGCTTGGGGAGTGCAAGCCTGCTCTGGAACATGTATAGTCTTCTGAGCCCGATTCGGTATATCCTGAATCCGCGGTTTAACCTGACGACCCCCATGCAAGCTGGCCTGTTCTACCTTGCCCCAGGATGCGGCTATTTTCTGGGGACGTTCGCGGGCGGACGTTATGCTGACTATGTCGTGAAGAAGTACATTCAGAAACGAGGGGTGAGAATCCCCGAGGATCGTATGTATTCGGCATTGCCGTTTATGGGTATCGTGATTCCTGCCTGCGTACTGGTATATGGATGGTGCGTCGAGACGAACCGGGGCGGCATCCCGCTCGTCGTCATCGTCCTATTCCTACAAGGTTTCGCTCAGCTCTTCTGCTTTCCCTCACTGAACTCGTACTGCCTGGACGTGATGCCGGGCCGGACGGGGGAAGTGGTGGCGGGCAACTACGTCTTCCGGTACATACTAGCCTGCGCCGGCACGGCGTGCGTCCTGCCAGCGGTGGAGGTCATGGGCGTCGGCTGGTTTTGCACCATTAGCGTGGTCCTCCTGATCCTAAGTTCCCTGGGCATCCTGGCGACGGTTTGGTGGGGCAAGTCGTGGAGGGACAAAGTCGACGCCAAGAAGAAGGCTAAGCGCCTGACAGAGAAGCCGTCACATCGTGGCGCTGCTCAAGGCCTTGGCGGCAATGCTCATATCGCTACTCCAGCGGCCGAAACGCAGCGCAAAGACGAAGTCTAATAGAAGACAACCACAGACATTGGGATGGACCAAAATAGCATCTCCGGGGCGAATAGATCTGAAGTTGATTACTGTGTAGCCCGAAAAGCTGGTATCAGTTTGAGAAATCAGCCCTTCGTGTCCAGCATCGCGAACAACCAGCCAAACATCTAGACTGAGACTCGCCGAGTGTAGAACAATTGGAAACGATAAGCACGTCAACGGCATAAGCCAAGTCAAAGCCAAACTTGGCAGGGCAATCGTACGGCTATTGCTTGCGGCGCCGTGTCATTCTCTGCCCCGTCACTTGTCACGCCTTTGTTGCTAAACGAGGATGACATACTATCGCCGTCTGGTCAGGGATATCAGACGGTGGAGGCTGTTTCTAGAAACCCACGGCGTCGCCGTGAGCAGTGCACTATCCTCCGGGTCCATCCAAGTATATGTTCTACCAATAGCTGTTGAGGGAAGCAAGCGAGTAATGACTATGCTTGCCATGGTCACACTTGAGAAGGAAATTATGACTTCGTGTCCCTGTTGAAAACCCTAAAGCAATTCCGAGCAGCAGCCACTTACTGAGTAGAGGTCCAATTTGTTTCTTACAGACCCACCTCTATAGGGCACCACCGACATGGCTTGAGTCTTGGTCTCATTATTGGTAAATCTTCAAAATTTGAACTCGAAAAGGTTTTTGTTGACCATTGTTTTGACAAATCGGCTCGCGAAACGAGTCATGAAACGGGAGCACTTTCATCGCTTAAGTCGGGCAAACTGGACCCGCCGAGTTGCCGCTACGTGCATTGTTTCAGCATGGCTAGCTGGATTCCTGTACCCCCATGATCAGACGGTCCGAGAAGGTGCCCGGCATTCAGGTAATCGACGTACTGCCCGCCTCTGACAAGGGCATTAATAGATATCAGGATGGTAATTCCCCATAGAAAGGTGAAGAATGACGTCATTATCACAATAAGTTCTGACGGGGAGCCCTTATTGAAAGTACCAATTTGTGACTCTTGAACTGCCGATCGCAACCGTCTTCGGTATTCCGCGACTTGCCTGGGTTGTGAGATTCGGTACTCGCAGAGCTGGCTTGGCTGGGTTGAGTTCCACTGACAGCTGGCTCACCACAAATCCCGCAATTCCGTGCCCGGCTTCATGGACAGAGTCACCGACTGCTAAATTTGAGACGTTCGAGTTGATGGCTGCAGCGTAGGTAGGTAACACGAATTTGGAGTCCGGAATTGGCTGCGCACTCGATAATTCAGGATCATATTGGACGAAGTGTTTCCTTGTTCGCAGTCCATACTAATGTATAAGTGCTGGTGCAGACTGAAGTTGGCTGTGAAGGTACTTATCGAGCTAAGTGCCTGGCGCTCCTACTAATGCACAAGCCAGTGGCTTATTAGAGATCCTAAAGTTAACTACTCGCCGGCTGTAGTAAGCGCAAGGCATGCATCTGTGCATATTGCGCAAGAGGGATTCCAAGTCTGAATACGATGAATAAGCATCTTAACCAGGTGGGGTAAGATGCAGCAGTCCTTCGGGTTCCATGCTGAGACGGGTGGATATCGATGAAAGACTGGGCATCCCAAATGTGAGTATCCCAAATGAAGTTCGGCCTCATGTCGTTATCCGCGCGATTCGTGATGCTTTGGCAGATGGCAGTCGCATCAAGAGACGAGTAGGTGTTTGCAAAGCGGTTTGGCGAGGTTGCAAACAGACGAAATAAGTACGTAGTGGACTTGTGGAGCAGGCCGACCTGGACTGACCTGGATGTCATGGCTTTGGAAGTCGCGCCACTCCCGTCCGGACAGGTGACAGGTCTACCAGTCGACGTTTTGATACGCTGGCCCAATGAACGAATCGCGCGACCCTTCGCAAGCTTCTCGGTTGTTGAACCGGTTTCGCCCGTTCGTGGTACTGTACATATGGCTACAATTCTGCCAAATCGAAATTGAATAATCTCCGAAGTTGGCACCAAATAACATACGCTTGTTGCTTTCGCCCATCAGATCTGCGTTCCAACGTCACACATTCTTCATGTTGGTACACGGCTGCACGCAATCTACTTGACCTAGTAGCAAGCGTAGCTCCGAAGGTCTGAGGTTTATCTAGACCCCATACGGACATGGGGGTAGTAATTGGGCTGGGCAAGCAAAGTTCGCCAGCAACTCTCAAACATACCTTGTATTTTATGGGAAGAAGAGGATCGATTCGTGTCTGCAGGTTCATCGAATGGGCTGTAGTGAGCAGTGACTTAGTTCGTGCATTGGTATAACGGCCCTGTTCAACCTGTCGCTTGGCATCGATTTGCATTGCTTGCTTGGCCGCAAGAAGACAAGGGTGTCGATCACTTTTGCAGGTGCCGACCCCCCCCCACTAGATCCTGCTCTATGATAGGCCTCTCAGAAGCAGGAACTGTTAAGCGTTAGTGGAGGCTCAACTGTGCAACCCCAGTTTTGCAGCCCTGATGGCTTACTAGCGTTGGGCGATCAGGAAGGAACCGCCGACTTGTCCATTTCTAGACGTAGAAGGTGGGAGGGTGGCATGGACTCATCAACCCAGAAAAGAGAATCGCACAGGAATGTAACTACCAATGTGCATTCACTGGCAAACTGGATCGATATATGTCCAACTCGTCAGTTTCTATTTTGAAAGCCAAAAAAGGACTTGCAAAGCACAGATCTTGAAGGATGACTGAGTTCAGTTCGGTTGGAACCATTGGGTGAAAGATGCAACGCATTGACGACCTTCGAGGCCAGGTAGTTTCTAGATCTGGCGAGCAGCCCACCCTTGAAAATCCAGGTCCCAGCACTCCAGCGAAGACAGGGAGGTATGCTGGGCATCAAATGACCGGGGGTACCGCATGGCATACACTTATCCTGCATCACTAAGATGACCCTACGGGCCAGGGCTGCCCACAAATGAAGCGGTACGGTTCAAGTCAAGGATACGTAGATTTTGAGTCAACGTCTCGAAACTGTAAAGCTGCTCGTGTTTTGGACCTCCGATCTGAGCACCACACCACACATAGACACACATACAACACGTTCACTTCCTATTCCCTCCCTCTGGCTAGGTATTCTCGGTTTGTTGTTTGACACAGCATCTCATCCCCCAAATAATAATTCCTCCCCACCACATTACATACCTGGACTTGTATTCACTACTTCTTCATCACCTACCGCGCAACCCGTTTGGGAACAAAGACACCTTTTTCCCTTGTCCTTTTTTATCATCACCCGTCCACGCCGTTCATTGACCTAGGCCCTACCACAACAAAATTGTTTTCCCCCTGCAGCCCACCTCACACCCGAGCGACGACTGCATCACGCCAAAGCAACGTCTTGCAAACGCTCATTGTCGTTAACGTAGCCGGTGCCGAGGAGGACGTACTACTTGAAGCTTTTTTCTTCGATACCCTCTGACCTCAACTGCTTCGGTCTTTCCCTTCTTTGTCCCTTCTTTGTCCCTTCTCTGTTCCTGAAGCATTACAACCGAACTTGGGGCAACCACAAGGAGCTCTTTCAAGACTGCAGACCAAGACATCTCCGGATTGTTTTTCGATGCTAAACCTTGATCTCCTCCCAACCTGACGACCCCCATACCTCGCCTGCAATGGACAAGGTATCGTCGTTCTTTCTGCGTAAACCAGACTCCTTCTCTGGCCTCATGTCGCGAAAAAGCGAAGTATACCTGCCAATCACCTCAAAACCGCAGCCCAAATTCCGTGTAAGAGCATTACTAGGCCACTGCCTCTACCGGAGAGTGGTGTTATGGACTTTGATCGTCATCGTATTACTCTCAGTCACACTGTTCAATCCGCGAATAACACAACGACACAATGTCTTGGATCTGGTCCACGTCGGCGTGGGAGAGGTCGCAGAGAGCAAGGCAGAACAGACGGGGGACCTGTCCCTCACTAAACAAGATGGGAAGAATGACGCAGATGAACGGCCTATGAAGTTGGATGAAGAACACAATGATGATGAGCAGAGTGAGAACAAAAGCGAGAGTACGAGCGAGGATAAAGAGCGGGAGAAGAAAAAGAAGGAGAAGGGAAAGGATAAGCAAAAAGAAAAGGAGCAAGCGAAAGAGAAGGAAAAGGAAAAGCTGAATGGTCCTCACTGGCTCCGATACAAACAGTAAGTTGCTCACATCAACTTTTCCGTTGGAAACATTCGCATCTGACCACGATCAACAGTCTCGATGGGTACTACAACGGCTTGAGGTCGCTGGTTTCCTTCTCCGACTACATCCCTGAATATCCTGTCGCACTGGACGCCAGCCAGCCCACCGTAGTCGTGCCGACAGTACACCGCACTGCTCTTCCTACGCCCACAGTATATCGGTCACATCCAGACTACGATTCGTCCGAATACAGGAGCGAATACCAGAAAGTGAAGCCCTGCTACCTCGATGCGAAAAGGAAAGTCCCAGTCCCCGAGCTCTACGCTTACAGCGGTGTCCCACAAGGTCAAGCCAAGCCCGCACTTGGGTCGTATGATCTTTTGGGCCTCCGGGAAGACGTTTGTTTCGATCGATTCGGTCGGTACGGTCCTTATGGTCTTGGCTACCCTGTCTCTGAAGGTGGAACGGGCGAGGCGACCGATACGGAGCACGAGGCTAGCGAATACGTTTGGCAGAAAACGGGTAAGATCAACTGGGACGACATGGACTGGGCGGCGGCACAGGATCGCTGCACCCAAGACAACGAAGCCCGTTTCTTTACTGGCAACAAAACCCGTGACAGTGAGATCGCCAAAGTTCGACCTCGAAAAATCCATCGACAGGCCGTGGTGGTGCGAACGTACGTGGGCTTCAAGTGGACGGCACATGCGCTGCTCAATTTCCGTGCCATGATTTCCGAACTCAATCTGCAGTCCAGTGGCGAGTATGACGTACATTTCTTGCTCCATGTCCGCGACAATAATGCCCCGATTTGGGCGGATCCGGCGACGGCTCAACGTATACTCGATGCCAATGTACCTCCCGAGTTTCATGGCATCTGTACCCTGTGGTCCGAGGCTCAGATGAAATTATATTACCCAGGCGATTTTGGTTACACGTTTGAGAATCCAAGCAACGGCGATATCCACGGGGTGTATCGCAGTGCCCATATGCCGTTGCAGCATTTTGCCAACATTCATCCCGAGTATGAGCACTTCTGGAACTGGGAGATGGATATGCGCTGGTCCGGGTCCTACTACGAGCTCTTCGACCGCCTAGGCAAATGGGGTCAGCAGCAGAGCCGCCAAGGTATGTGGGAACGTGCCAGCAAGTACTACATCCCCGAGCTGCATGGCGACTGGGATAATTTTACCAAGATTGTGGACAAGGAGACTCGGACGTCTGGCCGGAGATCGATCATGGGCCCCGTCATTTTTGCCGGCAAGACGAGCCTTCAGCATGGTGAGGAGGGCTTCCTTCCCAGAACTTGTGCTACTGGCTCCGACATGAAACTCTGTGGTGTTGGTGAGGACGCAGATCTCATCACGCTGAACCCCCTATTCGACGCCGACCAGTCCGGCTGGGTATTCGCAAGCGATGTCACCGGCTATGACAAGCAATACCAACAGCCTCCTCGACGGTGTGCCATAGTGACTGCGTCAAGGCTTTCTCGCCGGTTGCTGTCTGTCATGCACGAGGAAACATGGCGCCTGCACCACAGCATGTTCAGCGAGATGTTTCCGCCCTCAATGGCATTCCATCATGGCCTCAAGGCTGTATATGCGCCCCACCCCGTATACCTGGACCGTGCATGGCCAGTTGACGAGATCGAAAAGGCGTTCAATGGCGGACGAGACCACACGTCTGGCGGCCACGGCAGCCCCTTTGACTTGATGAATGAACACAACCACAAGGGAACCTCGTGGTACTACAACAGCGAGTTTGCCGGTCTCCTGTGGCGACGGTGGTTGGGTTATGCCCAGATGGATGGCCGTGGAGATAATGGAGGCCGAGCAGGTGAGGGCACGATGCGTGGGGGAAGAGACGAGGAGATGGACAAGAAGAACTCCGGTCGCTTGTGTCTGCGCAGCATGTTGGTACACCCGATCAAATGGGAGAACCCATCTGAGCGAGACTAACGACTAAAAACTTGTATTTTTGAGTTGAAAGTTGCGAGAAATTTCTTTTGTTGGTTCGTTCGATTACGGATAGATTGTGCTCCTAGGGGCACCAGAGCATACCCACGTATCGGAATCAAGTCAGGACGGTGGGACGGATCACCCCGTGCGTGGGAGGCGGGACGGAACGGATATCATCAGTCATTTCCAGTACAGAGTACTGGCGGGCGTCGCGTCGATATCTTCAACTAGGCGAAGATTTCCACTCACCAAAAAAAAACAAAAGATAGGCTGGCTGGTGTGATCGCGCTCTCGCTTTCTCGCCGTTTTTGGGTTTGCCAGTTGTGTAATGTGTGGAGTATCTGAAACTGTCGGAACAGCTTGAGGACACGGCCTGCATATCCATATTTTTTCTCGAAGAAAGAAACGGAGCGAAGGCGTTACTGTGTAAATATGGGGGAAAAGGTTTCCATCAGAACATAGTGCCCGGCTCAAAGATGGTCGGTTCGTACATTGATTAAATAAAATCTGCCGTCTATTCGGATGTAGTACTCGAATAGTCCAGTTTTGCCGGTTCGATCAAGTGATGCTGCGGGCGTGGGCCACCGGAATCAATGAAAATTAAAGTTGACTTTTAGGAACATGCGAGGGAATTGCGTGAATAACAATCTGAGACTTACCAAGTTATTCGGAAAAGACAGCCTTTATATATGCCACTAGTAGGCCAGTCTCACTCATAGTTATCTCGGAAGACCGGCACGCGCGCTGATGGCATAAGTAATGTTTTGATGAAATTGGCGCAGGGGAGGGGCTTACGGAAGCCAGGACTTTTCATTTCTTTCGACATGTAGCCGCAAACGTAGGCATAGAAACATATACGAAGGAGTTTGTTGCGTGGCGTCTGATCTCTGTCTCTCTGGAGAATCTTCGAAACGATTGGAATATCCCGTTCATTGTTACGAAGAGCAAGCAAACCAAATGTGCATCAGCTTTTCAATTTGGGAAATCTGGTAGATTGAACAGGGTTTAATAACTTGAATAGAGAACCATTCTCGAAGTCTGTATGTTGCCGTTTTAGCGGAACCAGGAGAAATGCACTTATCCAATGCATGCTCTGTGCCTCGCCGATTCAATATGCTACCAGGTGATTATTTGGTTGCTATGGGGAAGTGCTTTTCAATGGTTTGCTGGGTCAATGTTCGGAGCGGGAGGAAAGCTTTCTGGTGTTTTCTCCTTATACTAGACCTGAGAGCTGAATCCTGATTATATCTTTGCCAATTTTGTGAACTATAAAATTTAATGAGATGGCGGTTGTTGGCTTCCACCGAAAGGAGTGTTCCGTTGATAGAGGCGTAGGAAACTGGAGAGTAGAAACGGAGACCACGATGGCATATACCTATGATATGTCACTAACAGTCAATGAACGTTGCAGCTTTCAGAAGATCCTGTATACGGAAGGAACTTGGGAATAGCCAGAGATTTGACATACGTATGGCCTGATAACATGCAAGACTAGGACAAGTTCCTGATTCTGCATGAAGATTCGAGCGACTTGACTTGCTTGTTCATATGTGTCTCATGATGGCGCTGGCAGTGAAAACAGCATTGTTTCAGTTTCTTGCAGATACAGAGTTGGTTCAGATAGTATTTGCAGAATCTGGAGTAAATATACATATATATAGATACTCCGCTGGAAGTAGATACTGTGGTTCATGTTTATACATCTGTTCTGCCAACTGGATACACCTTTCGTAGAGCCCATGATACATGTCATGTCGTAAGAGAAAACGGATAGCCATGTTGGTACACATATATCGAAACGGTTCATCCATCATAGTAGATCTCAGCCATTGTTGTTAAACAAATTCCGTCGAGTAAATGTGAGCGGACTTGAAGGGGCAGGTCAGTCGACCCCAATCGAAGCTGGACTATCATAGGGCATAATCACATTCTTAGTTTGGAGACAAATGGTTTCAGGTGGCTTGCCCTTGTGTATGAACCTAGTAGATAAACCCGGCTTATCGCAGTAGGTATGTGAAGAGAATCCTAGCGTTTAGGAGCAACGACGGTCTAACACTGACAAGAGTCCATAGTAGAAAATTCCGGGATCGATGCTCTGGCATTGGCATGAGCAGAGAGGGAGTATTCAACCGCGCTTCTGCTATACGAATCAACCCAGACCTCTTTTACCAATAAATACGTAGATTGGCATGCCGCTTCTGGCCAGGCCTGAAATCAGCGGGGAGAGGCCAGTCTTCAGTCTACCCTCCATATATCAATCCTCCTAAAAGAGATAGTAACAACGAGGGGAGCTTATCAACGGACGGTGGAAGTGACTCATCTTCTGAGAAGTTGGCATTTATATGCCACGAGTTGTGACATGCGAAAAGAAAAAGGGGATCGTAGCAACTAACAACTTAACAAACAGCAGAGACCGGAGTTAACCTGCAGTTTTTCCTCCACTTATTTACAGCAACCATGTATGAGATGGATGAATCGTAGTGTAATTGGCGACCCACGGTCAATAGTAAGCACGTACGGCATAGGCACCACACATAATATCAAGCCACGTACAGTAAGTAGCTTTCAATGTGAACGGAGAGAAATGCAGAATATGTTTCCTACCAAATCATCCATCCATTCATGTACAAGCGTCCATCATCCTCTCGTACTCGCGCTACTTTTCTCAGGTTCTCAAATGCATCACAGTGAGCTCCATGTCGCTCCATCTTCCCACCGCCAAGATATACAATCCAAAAAAAACGCGCAACTGACTGACTGCTTTTCTTTCCCCTATTTAACTCGTCAGGAAAATTGCTATAGACAAAGTTCACGAATCATGCAACCCATCCACCAAGGGAGCAAGAGTCCGTACCCACCCTCACCACCGGCCGCCGCTGTGCGAGATAATCCTGAGAGCAGGACCAGTGGTAAAAGATATAGTTAAGGCTAAGGACCGAATCCAGAATGAGCCTACCACTAAACGGGAAACCAGAGCCAAAAAGTGTCAAAACTATACCACCGTGCTATAAACAGCTGGGACGGTGCGAGTCTGCTCCAACAAGAGCAATTTGAACCTTTGCTAAAGTGCGCTTAGAATCATGATAAACAATGTGCCAGGGAAGAAGGGGCAGGTATCAGGCGAAGAAGAGGTGCAGGAAAAGCCACCAACGCCGACAACGCCATTTGAACGCCGCCTTTCAAAATACTGATTCGAGATGGAAAATTGGCGACACTTGCAAGCCGACCAGTTTGTTGGATAGTGCTGAGTTAGAGCGGAAGGGCAAATATGTAGATATGGGGTGGTGGCCTATCATCGAATGACGAATGAGGCTGGGATGAAATATTGCTGTCGTCGGGGGGTCATGTTTCGCCTTCGCTAACAGCCATTGCCGAGAACGAGGAAGCCTTGGGCGGACATCTAGTTCCGCAGCACTGCGCCGTAGATGCTCATAAGTCCGCTGATGGCAGTGCCGACCAGGATGCCCTTGTAGCCACCGTAGACGGCGCCGTTGACGCGCGCGATAGATTCATCGTCGATCCAGCCGCCAAAGGTTGCTTTTTGGCCGTAGACGACGAATGAGATCAGAGCTTTGACAATGCTGAATGTCAACGGGTCAACATTGTAGGCAGGTGTGGTGCCGCGAGTCTTGCGACCTGGGGGTTGGGTGCCAATGGTCAAGTTGAGGAAGTAGCCCACGACGCTAGGAAGAACAGAGCTGGTGAATGACCACAGTAGCGCAGGCGACCAGAAAGACGACGTCAGCAACAGAAAGAGGTCCGGGATCATGACGGGATAGTCCTTGGTGCCGAGAAAGTTGATGGCCGGGATAGTAAAAGCGTAGCGATCCGGCAGCACCTCGTGACGCAAGAAGTAGAGCTCAAAAGCCGAGACGATAAAGAGCACTGACGTGACGGTCGACAGGCTCTCGCGCGTGGCATGTGTAGCTTCTGTGATGCCAGACTCCTTGTACAGAGTCGCGACGCGGTTCCTCACCGCCACTGTGGAGCGGTCGACGGCATTAGCGACGTCCGCTGGGGTTGCCGGGAGTGGGATGCGCTGGGCAAGAGAGAGCGCGCGGCCAGGGGTGCGGGCAACGGCGGTCGAAGTGCTTTCAGGCGTCTCATCATCCGATCTATCGCAACTTGTTAGCCTACGCGTCTTGTTATGCGACATCGAGCCTAAGTCGCGACTGGGACTTACTCGGGCGCGACGATATCCTCGATTGCTCGGGTGGTGCGGCGCCTTGCGATCCTCAATCTGCCTTCAGGGACGGGAGCTGCAACCTCGTCCTTGAACTGTTTGACGGGCGATCCTACGGTTCTGGCGCGACTCTGGAAGTAAGGGGCGAGTCTCGGGTCTGATGAGAACTGCGTCGAGTTCTCTGAGATATATTCATCGAGGGCAAGCTCGAGCTCCGGCTTTCGTTTTCCTTCGTAGCTGTTTCATGAGAATTCCAGTCAGTCGCTGTGTGTCTCAGTGCTGGCGAAGTCACAGCCATCGTGCTGCACGGTCTTGTTGTTGCAAGCGCATCCGATCTGACGATCCAACCACCATCCTTATAGCATGACTAAGAATAAGATATCACGCGATAAACTCAGATTCTCCATCTGAACATAGACGGGAAAACATTAAATTAGTGGGAAAGCAAGCCGTACGTACTTTGTCAATCCCGTATGCTGTGCAAGCTCCGTCAGTTCTGTCTTGCGCTGCCTCTGCAGCCAGCTGTTTACGCCCGACATTGTAGATGACGTGGCTTTCTGTGCGGATCGTAGTGGGTATCAACGTGGTCGCGTCAAAAATGCGACCAAGATGCAATGCTTCTTGAGGCAATATGGGTAAGTGGTCCGTATAATACTAGGAAATAGGCGATCCGTGATGGTGGTTACGATGGCTGGGCTCGTGTAAAAGAAGATTGGCGTCAGCGGACTGTAGGGGTGTGTTGCGAGTGCGAGTTCACACGGAAGCTAGGACAAGGTGCGTTGTTTATGTTTTCTTTTCGCGTGTTGTTTTGGGTAGGAACCAAGACTGGGGGAGCTGCGACGCTGCAGACTAGGCAAGCTGGGGGACTGACGGAGTGGAGTGGAGCGGAGGGAAGACGGCGAAATGGGTGGCTGGGAGCATTTGTGCGAAAGAAGCTCACGTCGTGTTGGTTGCTCTATTGGCCTATTGGGGCAATGACGGGCAAACCCTCTGTACCTTTTCTCCGTGTTAGCTTCCCAGTGTGTTGCATCCAATGACGCCCAGCTGCCGCATACAATATCCCTTGTATGCCTTGTATGTAGGTACCTAGACACAGAGGAGCTCTTGTTCCAATTGTGTAGCAATTGGGGAGGCTGGGGAGACCTCAGACGATCCCATGTTGAGGTCGTCAGTTCTGCGAAACAACTGTCAAAGTTGGACCGAGTTGTTTACTCGTATGTTGCGACAGTCTCCATGAACTGCTCCAGCGGTACATTACACACCACTTCAACGCCACCTAATTGCTCAAGTATCCGACACAGGGAGATCCCGTGAAAATTGCAGTGATAGCTACGCACATCTTCCCGGCTATGCACACAGCATGTCTCCAGGCCGTGGTCATTTGTAGACTGATCTTAATGTCTCAACGTATGCTCGGATTCTATGTATGCCATAGAGGAGTATACATGTTCTTCGCTATACCCAATGCCCTCACAATAACACACAGGCTATCCCAGCTCAACCAGAACCGCATGACCCACGTTATGATTCCAACCAACTCACAAACCTCTCCTCCCCTCTCTTCACTAACCTCACCGGGATGACCTTACTCCCGTGCATCTTAAGCGTAAGCAAACTAGTCGCAGATTTGATATCCTCTCTCGACTTGCCCTGCGCTTTCTTGTACACCTTGGCCTTCTGCTCCCTGCTCATGAGCTTCACCTCGTCGTCGCTAGCCCATTCATCTACCGCCAGCTCCAAACTGTATTTCTGAAATATAACACTGAGGGCCGCAACCATCTCGACCTGCGCTATGCGCCGCCCTAAGCAAGACCGCGCACCGGCCGAAAAGGGAATGTAAGAGCCTTGCGCGGGCCGGAAGAGCTGTGCACTCGTGTCCGGGCCGGCGAATCCGCCAAAATCTTCAGTGTCCGCGCCCTCGATGCAGTCGCCGTCGCTGGCCGTGGCTTCGGTGCGGTACCAGCGCTCGGGCACCCAGTCGTCCATGTCATTCTCGGCGCCCGTGATCTTGCTTGGTTTCGACGGCCAATAACGGGGGTTGCGCTGCACGGCTGCGACTGTGAGGCCGATGAACGTGTCTTGAGGAATGACAACCTTTTCCCCATCTCGAACAATGGCTTGGTCCTGCCCTGGGGTGACACGCTTCGGGATATCGACGACTGGGGGAACGATACGGAGTGTTTCGTTCATGCAAGCTGCCACCAGTGACGCCATCAGGGGGTTGATACACGACTCATAATCCCACTTCTGCGGGTCAGTATCGCCAAAGAGATTGTCCAGGTCTTTTTGGAGTGCACGTTGAACTGGCGGGTTGTTTGCGAGTTCGAGTAACGTAAAGTTCATGATGTTGGCTGTCGTTTCGTGTCCAGCAACCAACATGACAAATGCGTTTCCGATGATTTCCGAATCCGTAAGCGTGGCCCCCTTGGCTTTCTCGCCGTAGCTCGTCCTTACCAGTTGTCCCATTATGTCCATGCCGACCTCTTTGTTTCCCTGATTAACATCGTCGATTTTGTCGTGCAAGAACTCGTGCATAAACCCCATGCAGTTGTTTTGCGCCTCAGCCGCCTCCTTCGTCTTCTTGAACGGCAATCGGTCTGAAGTTGACCATCAGCTTCAAATTCATCCATAGCTAGACGCGATTACCTACTCAATATCCATCGTGGTACAATCAGCAGAATGATGATATTCTCCAACGACTTAGCCAAGGAATCGACGAAATTCATTGTATGCCCAGCTGGAGGGTGAAGCGTCGAGTATTTGACCAACTTTGGGTCGATGTCAGGCGGTAATTCTTCGACCGGCCAAAGCAGCTTCAAGCCGAATCCAATATAGCCAATGATGTGAAGCATTAGAGCCATTGTATCATGTTCAATCGTCTTGATCGTCTTGTTTCCCTTGTCATCGGGACCCAGCCACTGAGAAACTAAGCCTTGTGTCTGGTTTATCGACTCGTGGAACACAAGTGCCGCGTTCTTCTCGTTGAAAGAGGCCGAGGTGATCTTGCGATGCATGCGCCACTCTGCCCCCTCGGTTGTTACCACGTTTTCGCCGTATTGCGACAGGAGCTTGTAGGATTCGGTGGGCTTGGGGAACTGCTCGCGCTTTGATGTGATCTGGTGGATGACCTCGGCGTTTTCGGTATACAGAATGACTTGGCCTGGGGATATAACTATGAACGAGTCGCCTAGTTTCTCAAATATCCTGTGATTCTCGCGGTAGTGCCAGTCGGCTGTCAAGACCCTGCATTAAGTAGGTCAGTTGTCTGACACGAACTGCCATTGAAGGGGAAATCCTACACCTGGACATTTTCCCAATGTCTCCGTGGAAAGAGTTTCCACAAGGGCATGTAGATGAACCTGAATGCTTGCCCGGTCCAGTTGAAAGGGCTGCATGCTATACGCACGTTGTATCAGTCCAGTTGCCTGGGTTTTAACCGCAGCTGTAGCTTGCTGACTTACGAATAACATAGTAAGGCAAGCCTGTGCGCTTCGCGGCGGCTAGGTTGGATATGAAGCGAGTGAGGGTCCTGTAGATGCTGTAGGCGACCACTGCGCTCAACAGTAGCAGCACAGACAATGCCATATTCGATTACGGCCTCGTTCAATTGTAAAGACAAGCAGAAAGTGCTTTTGTTGTTTGAACGAATAAACTTCCAAGTGATAACCTTTCCGTCTCAGACTCGAGTCCTCGCACGCCAGGAGCTCCGTGTTTCAGCAGCGGACTCTCAAGCACACGCGGTGGGAGAAGCAGGACTTGATAACACTTGTTCAGCCCACACACAAGATACATGAGGAGACTCTTTGTGGGTGACCTGTTGCGAGAGTCTGGAAAACAGCTAGGTGGCCAACCGGAATGGCAAACGTGGACGGCATTTTGCCGCACAACTAGAGCCATTGTTGCTGGCATCTTGGTGAAGAGGGTGGAAGGTGTTCTTTGTGCTCGGGTACTCTGGTAGCCGTGCGCTAAGGCCGCTGATCCACGCCTATGGAATGACGCCGATTGATTGAGCCACTAACCTGAGGAAACTGGGTGATGACGGACTTTCCCAGACGACACCACACTATTCCTAATCACCGTAAAGACAATGGAAATGTGCTTCACCAGCACAATTTTATAATATTGCACTTGAATACTACCTACTACGATGCCTCAAATTAGTGGATGAGCGTTCGCATGGGTAAAGTGCCAAGCCATCCGCGGGATTCAATGCAGGAAGACCACATGGCAGATTAAGTGTGGCAGCTTTGCATTTAGTACGCATCATAAATATTACAGACTGCCGCAGGTTGACAGCTCTCCAGATGATCTTCCTAACGGCAATATCAGCATACCCTTCATCATATATCTGACCTTGATACCAGACTGCTCAATGAAGCAATGTTGTTATAAAGTACACAACTCTGTCAAAACAATCAAAGGAAAGTCTTTAACTACAAGGTATCTCCCGGTGGCACAACTTCCATCAGCCGCCCTACCGATGCTCATCCACAGATTCCTCCGAGGCCGAGCGCCCTAGCCGTCGGATCTTGCTTTACTTAGGTAGCCCATCCCAAGGGTTGTCTCGCAGTCGTATCTGGAAGGATTGCAACACCGGCAGCTCGACCGGAGAAGCAGAAAGCCAGATAGTGTCAATCCATATGGGCGGCTGAAGCCGCAATGCATCGTGTGTGGTCCAGACCCTTTTTGCTTTGCGCGAGAGCACTCATACTTCCAACGGATATAAAAATATGGCTCAATACTTGTTGAAGGACCGTGTTTAATCCCAGGATCCTAGCATTCTATACCCAGTCTTTGGAGACGCGAAATTTAGTGATAACTGGGACATGCGCTGGACTATTTTGTCCACATGATGTACATAAATGCCGGTTTGACGTGTGACAGATCATCAGACAACATCAACATTCTTTTAGCGAAGATGCTAGGTGCGGGCCATACGGCCTAGCCCGGCATGACACAAGGAATCAGCATTTTATTTGAACGCCCATCGATCCAACCCTACGCAACCTTAATACAACCTCCTCTCGATTCTTGACTTTCGTATTCTTGGAGGTGGAGCCGGAAGCAATCATGCCATTTTTCTCCAACATCAAGCGATTCCATCGCAACAATGTGTCAACACTGCGTCGGCAGCCCCTCGCAGAGATCTCGGGCGCGCTTGGCGACCTCGGCACGCTGCTGCCGCTCATGATCACCCTGGCCATCAACGGGTCGATATCGCTGTCTACGACGCTGGTCTTCTCGGGTTTCTTCAACCTGGCTACAGGCGTCGTGTTTGGCGTTCCGCTGCCTGTGCAACCTATGAAGGTATTTTCATTATCAACTAGGCAATTCTTGATGTCACATATTTAGAAACGTCAAAATTTGAAGACTAGTCAACTGATAGCACACTCAGGCCATCGCGGCAGCAGCAATAGCCTCCCGCGCCTCCCTGCGCGAGACCGTTGCAGCCGGCAGTGTAACCTCCATCATCGTTCTCTTCCTCAGTGTAACCGGCCTACTGCACTGGGTCACACGCGCAATCCCCATCCCCGTCATCAAAGGCATCCAATTCGGCGCGGGCCTCTCCCTCATCGTATCCGCGGGCTCCTCGCTCCTGCAGCCACTGAGCTGGGTTCGCAGCTGTCCCTTCGACAACCGTATCTGGGCCATCGCCGCCTTCCTGGCTCTCATCGCCACGCAGAAGCTGCCCCGTTTCCCGTACGCCCTCGTCGTCTTCGTCGTGGGTATTGTGCTCGCCATCGTGGTTCTGCTCACGGATTGCTGCTTTGATGATGCGCACCACCCGCACTTGCCTTGGTTTGGGATTTGGCGCCCGTTCGTGACGCTGCCTTCATGGAGTCCGGATGCGGTTGGTATGGGCATTGCCCAGTTGCCGCTCACGACGTTGAACTCGGTCATTGCTGCTAGTGCGTTGGCGGCGGACTTGCTCCCGGATCTGCCTGCACCAAGTGTGACGCAGCTGGGTATCAGTGTTGCGGTAATGAACTTGTGTGGTTGTTGGTTCGGTGCTATGCCCGTGTGCCATGGAGCCGGGGGAATAGCGGCGCAGTACCGCTTTGGAGCGCGCAGCGGGGCAAGTATTATTTTACTCGGGCTGTTCAAGCTGACCCTCGGGCTCGTTTTCGGTGAGACATTGCTCGATCTACTCGCTGGGTTCCCCAAGAGTCTGCTGGGAATCATGGTCATAGCCGCGGGCTTGGAATTGGCTAAGGTCGGGCAGAGCTTGAACCACGGAGCCTCCGACTTGTGGGAGTCGAGCGTGGAGAATAGCAAGAAGCACAGAAATGTTTCCGATGATGAGAGACTGGAGCGCTGGACCGTGATGCTCATGACGACGGCGGGCATTCTCGCCTTCAAGAATGACGCCGTCGGCTTCTTGGCTGGCATATTCTGTCATTGGGCTTATAGGGCTGCGGACTGGGTGCAGAGGAGGCACGGATCGAGATTGGAGAGGATGCCGTTGTTGGTCAGCTGAGGTTTGGGAGAGTTGTAGGCTTAAGTAAGAAGCTGCTGTGTCGATGTCATAGGGGTTACTGGGAACACGAGAATATGAGAAACGATTGATTAAATGTAGAAACTGGATCATGGGCCGCCTCCAGGATTGACAGATCGAGGCTCTCGTCGCCACTCATTAAAGTGCCGTGCTCGAGTCTAGGAGTATGACCTATTCCGACGAGAAGATCTTATGGCTGCAGCGTAGATCGATATAAAGTGGTTGCACTTTGAACAGTAGCAAATAGAGCCATTGTGTGCGCGAGTGGTATAATGAGCAAGTATTTACTGCCGCATTTGAATAGGTGGTTTGCCTAGACAGAACTAATCTAGAGCTTTATCTATATCATCGAACCGCACCTGAATATTCTGCTAGTAAATAATACTGGGAAAAAGGCAGCACGGCAACTTTTCCATGTTACAGTCACTTCACTTGGTTGTTTCTTTAGTTCTACTCGATAAACGGCGAAGCATACTGAAAAGGGGTAGGTACTACTTCTCGTCTGCTCATATCTTAGACAAAATCAAATTACACAACCTAACTTGAGCTCTACCGATTAGACACGCTCGCTTTGATAAGAAAGAAAATTCTTTGAACATGGAGATTTTTCTACATTGTAGCTCTAGATATTGCATCCGATACCAACACTCGACCTGCGAGCATTTGGAAGCCAAGAATCTGCAGATTTCAAATCGGATGTACAAAAAAGATGATTACACAACACTCCCAGGTTCTAAAGCAGGCTCATGTAGCTTCCTCTCCGTCTTCTCCAGAAAGCCTTCAGCCTGCATCTTCTCGACCTCACGCCCATGCTTCATCTTGATCCATCTCAACAACAAATTATTGAAAATCACAAACAACAACCCGCAAATCCCCAGCGCAGACCCTTCCACGATCGCTGTAATCTTAGCCATGATACTCCAATCTCCATCCGCCTGAGTATACACCGTAACCAACGTCGAGATCAGACCCGCAAGCCCGTTCATAGCGCCCGGCAAAAACAGCCGGTTCAGGAGCCACACGTAGTTCTTCCGCCAGCGCACGCTCAACCATACCATCCCTGTTGTGCCGGCAGTGCAGCACACAGCACCCACGATAACGAGGGGCACGTTCTTGACGCGGTTGAGGACGGCGTTGGCTGCGGAACTGGACCATGCCTCTGGATCGTCGGTCAGATCCTCGATGCTGGTGAAGGTGCCGGGCCAGACGACGAAGCCAGCTAGGAGAACCCAGGCGAAGAAGGAGACGAGGATGTTATGTAGCCGCGGGATGGTGTCGAGGCTGAGCAGCATCTCCATGTAGTGCGTCTGGAAGCTGGCGGCGGTCTGGAAGCCTGGGCGTGAAGGTTTAGTGGACTTGGTGGAGGGATGGCCAGACCTGAAGGAGACATTGCGGTCTGGTCTGCTTGTGTTTACAGGGCTGGCTTTGGTGTACCGGTCCTTTGCGTGGGAGGCGTTGCGGTGGACGTGATTGTAAACTTGCCCCCGTGACTCTTGTTGTTTGGTCGGGTATTTCTCAGGGAGAGTATCGGTGTTTGAAGGTAGATGTTCGGGTGCTGGGCGGGTGGTCTTAGACTCGGGGTCCCTTACTGGACGTGTGTCCTTCATTGATGCAGATTATATGGTACGGCCAATTGTAATGGATTTGACGGTGGTCCTTATATAATAATGATGTCCCAAGACGTCGAACCCGAAACACTACTTACTGTAGATGAGCTAACATGAGATATGAAGCTATAGCAAATTGATGTAGTGGAACACATAGGAGAACCTAGGTTGGTTTAGAACCTGGCACGCAAACCGTCTATATTTGCCAGAACGTCGCGAGTTGACATCACCCGACTCGTCCGTACCCTGCACTCATCACGTCAAACCAGAGTATCCTCTGGTTCCTAGGTTAGAATAGTAATATGGATAAGGACCAATCATAGGTCTGAGATAACCCGTACCAACGCCACGGTAGGATAGTTGCTGAAAAGAGCTAAGAGGCATTCGGCCAGTTACCAGAACTTGGCTAATGGTGGGATGAACCGTTGGCAGAACCCCTGTCCCAAGCTTGCCCGCACCATGACGTATAGGCCACCAAGTGAATGGTCAACTGGCGGCTGGATTCAACGCCGCTGCCCAAGAAACAACAGTCAAGACGGTCGCATGGGATTGTCTGTGAGTGTATGCAAGCACATAGTCTTCGAAGCTTACGAGCTCTTGGCAGAGGCCTGGACAACGAAAGATGTCTTCGAAGGATGAAAGTGTAAACGGTGCTGTAGCAAACGTATAGATTATGTACACCGAAACATGTCTCGCCCCCAATTAGGGATATTCCCAACTTTGAAACTATGCAGTGTAGTGAACACAACCAAGTGGGGATAACGCCACTACATTTCGAATAGCTCCTGTTATCGGAGGTGGGAAACTGCGAATGGGACGAGGTGTTTCTCACGTGTTTATCCATTCAGAGACTTGTAAAGGCCCGCTGACACAGCAGAATCATCGGGAGACCATGCGTACTCCGTTTTTCTGGTTGTTATTCGTCTTGAGCCTCTTGGATCTAGCACAATTTCTGGAGAACGACCAGTTGGTCGGATAAAAGACCGACTTCGAACCTGGGGAAGAGCGGTGGGTGAAGGAGGGGCTGGAAATGGCCAAAGCTCCCCCAAATTTACCGTCGGGCTCAAAAAGTCAAAACGCCGATGGGTATCGAGGTGAGAATCTTGAGCAGCCAATCGGCAGGCAAGACTTGCAACAAGCCCGGCAGGGATTCTGGCGCGGAGGTGTGGAATTGTCAGGCATTTTTCGACTTTGCGGTCGGTCGAGTCCGACAACTCTTGTCATTGACTGGACTCTCGACAATCGCCAACCCCCAACCAACTCTGCGGTACGTCGGCAATGAAGGAGCTGTCTGTAACTTGGACCAGCGATGACTTCGACCAACGCCGCTGCCGCCGACAATGGCGGCAGGTCGCCATCCGCTGCCCCACCGCCGCCCTTCGCTGCAGCGACCACCGCGACCACCGCGATGAACATCGATGATGAAGAAGGTTCGAATGCGAATGCGCCCCTTCAGCCAGGCCTTCACGACGACCACTTCATGCCTTCACCACCCACTGTATCCCCCCTCTCGACGCCCGCAGTCACGGCCGTTCATTCCATCAGTGGCGACAATGCTGCCGAGGATGAACTGCCCAAACTCTCCGATCAACATCCTACCACCAACCGACAAGCTCAGGATTTGGCCCACGTTTCTGCACACAGTTTCATGGTTGAACCAGATCCAGCCGAACTTGTTTCCCCTTCGACCGGCTCAGCCTCCGCTATGGATCTGGGCCACCCTCAATCGTTGATTCAATTGTCGCAGAACTTGCAGCAAGTTCAGAAGATGCAACATCAACTGCGTGCAGCCGTCGCGATCGTCGACGACGACGAGAGTTATCCAGCTGCAAACATCGGAATGATGTCGTCTCGGCATGAGTCTTTGGGGAGCGTAGATCCAAACGCTTATATGCTATCGTCTTTGGCGCAGGCCAGCGCTGCGCAGCTAGTCAACGACTACCCGATGGCCGTTGCCCCCTCCGAGATATCTCTACAAGCCTCCTACACGCAAGATAGTGATGTAGTCACGGGGAGTGGAGAAGTGGCCAGCGCTTCTGCCAGTGCTGGTCAGAGACTACAGCGACTGGAGTCCTTTGCCCGGATTGAGTTTAAGGATAGCACCTTCCAAATGACTACATATGAAGTCGTGATTGGCCGTGATCAGAAAGCCATGTTTCAAGCTCGCAAGGATGAGCGTCGAGAAGAGGCTTTCCAGCGCAGGATCGACGAGTGCGCAAGGCAAGGCTTGCCTCCGCCAACCCCCCTGGAAAGGAGCAGGGGCAGGTACAACAAATCCTACATCAGCGAAGAAGGAGGAATGCTGGGCCCCGAATCGGACGACGAGAATAATGCTCGCCCAATCAAGCGTCGGCGGCCGCTGAGCTCCGGAGGCCCTTCTCGTAATGGCGACATCCAGGGCCATAGCGAGGACCGTCCTGCTAAGCTCGATCGGCAGTATATCTCATTCACAGAAGGCGCTGCACCTGTCGACCTTGACACCATGGCCCCGTCGCACTTGCAATCGCATTTCCTCGGAATTCATTCCCCAGGACCTAACATCGCTGAAAAAACGAAGAAAATCTCGAGGAGACATATGAAGATTCAGTTTAACGAGAAGAAAGGGGTCTTCGAAGCCATCTCGCTCCATCGTAATGGGTTCTTCTGCGACGAAATACACCACAACAGCTTGGTGCAGCCCGTTACCCTGCGCAGTGGAGTTCGCCTGCAGGTTAAGGATGTCGAGATGATGTTCATTGTAAACGGCGTTGAGTTTGGCAAGACTGGTGCAGAGGACTTGCACGAAGAGGAGACTTCTAGCAAACGTTGTTCGGTTGGTGGGAAGGAGATGAGTTTCGACTTTGAGCATTCCGATCACCGGAAATTCAATGACACTAGTGACGAGCTCTCCGACGTTGAAAACGTGCCTACGCCTATTATTGGGTCTGATGGTGGCGAAGGTGAAATTGAAGAAGAGCGTCAGGGCGTGAACGAGCACGAGCATGAGCGCGAGCGCCAGCGTGAGCATGAAATCACTACGCTGATCGAAGGTAACGATCACAATGCTCCTGATAACAAGTCGGATATAATGGACGACGACCAGGACGCCCCGTGTGAACATGACGGTGATATTGTCATGCAGTCAGCGGAAGGAGATGACGGGCAACAGCTCGAGTTCATCTTGCCTCAGCTCCCTCGAAGGCGTGGACCAGGCAGACCGCCAAAAGACGGTATCATGTCCAAGAGAGAGCGTCGCTTGCTTAAGAAGCAGTTGATGGAAACTTCAAAGAAGACACTGCCACAAGAACCACCTGGCGAGAAGATCAAGCGTCCAGTTGGTCGTCCAAGAAAGAACCCGCTCCCCGAGGACGGTGACAAGCCAGAAAAACGCAAATATACCAAACGCAAGAGAGAAGATGGCGAAGAAGGATCCGATGGCGAAAGGCGCTCGAAGGAGAAGAAGAACGACAAGAAAGTCCGGCCCAAGTCTCCTCCTTTGGAGCTAAACCGGGAAGACTTCACCGAGGATCAGTTGCAGAAGCCGACCCGGAATTACTCTCTTCTGATTGAAGATGCCTTGATAGCAGGGCCTGCCGAAGGTCTGACCCTCAAGCAGATATACAAAAGGATCATGGCCAAGCACCCGTGGTTCTACTTTTCTGCAGAGACCAAAGGATGGGAAAGCAGCGTACGCCACAATCTTATTGGCAATGAGGCCTTTAAGAAAGATGACGAAACAAGCCTGTGGTCTCGTGTGCCCGGAATTGAGCTCGACGCAGGCAAGAAGCGTAAAGCAAATTCGCCTGAGGGACCCATGGGGCATTCGATTCTACCGCCTCACCTGCAACAGCAGCAGTACTTCCACGGTGGTAACTACATGCAACAAGGATCTTTGGACTTTACGCATGGATTGCCAGCACCTGCGTATCCTTCCAACAACCAAGCCCATGGAAGCTACCAGCCATCCGGTGCCCATGCTGCTCAGCAGTACAGCGCGCCGCCCGGCCAGCATGCATATGCAGGTCAAACTCCAGCGCCAGCTCCAGCACAGCCGCCGGTTGGGCTGGGTTCTTCTCTCCTCTCGAGACAGGCACCAGTACCGCAACAGAGTACCTACAGCTCTCCATATGCAAGGCCACCGCCCCCGGCCAACCAGGCTATCAAGACGGAAACCTCAGGTCCCAACCCACATGCCCCACCGGCAGCTCCCGTGTCACAGCCTACCAACAACTCGATCCCTCAGTCGCAACCACCGAGAGCTCCTACTATTCCCGCAGCGCTCAATCAACCAACGCTAACCCCAGAGATGCACAAAGCAATCGCCGAATTCAAGAATAATATGATGGCTATCCTGTCGAAACAGACGCCGAAAGCTAGTCAGATCATCGAAACGGCCGTCAACCGGGCGCTCGGCCTACCTGCGCAAGCAACGATACCGGGCTTTGAGAACGTGGAGAAGGCGCTCATTCCTGGTGTGCAGCAGATACTCAATGATAAGGCGAATAGACATCGTGGCACCACGTCGGCTACCCCAGCAGCCGCCAAGCAGTCGACTCCTATTCCCGTACCAAGCCGAAGCCCGGCCCCGGCAACAACAGTCGAGGCCGAAATCCAAAGACGTCTGAAGGCTGTCAAGGACAACATGGTCAATGCCCTAAAGAGCAAGATCAGCCAAGCCGAGGCTGTTGTCGACGCAGCCATCAAGCGTGCGCAAGGCTTGCCGAACGCGGTCCCCGTCCCTGGCTTCGAACCGGTTGACAAGCTAATTTTTGAATCTGCCACGAAAGCCATCAATGAAGTCCGCAAGAACTTTGCAAATCAACCGCCGTCAAGCCCCGCAGCAACACAAGCACCGTCGGCTCAACCATCGCAGCCATCGACTCAGGCTGCATGCCAGGTATCATCTGCGTCCCCAGCACTCGGCCAGACCTTGACACCCACCCCCTCAGCCACCACTGCTTTGTTGCAGGGGAACAGCACCGCGCCAGCTTCTTCTACGTCCGTAGCACCAGCTCCTGTCATCCCCGCGGCAACGGCTCCGACATCAACGCTAAGCAAACCCCCCATCCCAGCCGTGCCCAGACCAAATTTCACGCGTCCGTCGACATTTGGCATCGCTCGGCCTACCGCAAACCCGGTAGCTCGTCCAGCCCCGTTCCTCGTTCGCCAGAACTCGGCTTCTGCCACGCCCCCTCCACCTCACCCCGCTGGGCCAAGTACAACATCAGCTACCAACAATACTATTCCTAAACCAGCAACGGCCAGCCCGGCGCCGCCTCCGCCTCCAACAACGCAGCCAAGCGCTGGGGCGATTGAGCAGATTGTTGGGCAGAAACCGGCAATGGAAAGCTCGCAACTGCCAGCTCAACCGAGTGTCGGGGCTGTCGAGCACATTTCAAAACAAGCACTTGGGGGTTCTCAGGTACCGCTTACCCAACCGAGTGTCAGGCCTAGCGAGCAGGCTCCCGGACAGAAGCGAGCCATGGAGAGCCCCAGCAAACCCTTTGAAGTGAACGTAGGAGCATCGGGGCAAGTTACAGGAGAGAAGCAAGCCCACGACAACTCTGAAGGGGTTATGAAGCACTCCGAGCCTCAGAAAGTGGCCGTATCTTCTACTTGAGCTTGAGGCAGTGTGAACTACGGCGTATAGGATTGTATTTTCGGTCAAGCATGAAAAGCATATAGCATGGGCCAAGGGATATGAAGCTCAGGAGTTGACAGGCATGCAGTATTTACCGGTTGTTGCGAAATGTATCATACCGTTTGCTTTGCGGCATAATTCCCAAGCAACGGGCTCGGAGCGTTATCTTCAACCATGTCGGGCGAGTTGGAACTGTCGAGTATGTCCGGTTTGGAAGGGTTAGACACTCCAGAATGGCAGATGAGGTAGATGAGCAGGTGGCCTACTCACTCAAGTAGGGTTCATATGTGAAATTACAGGTTTGTTAGAGCCACTTTTTGGCTCGGAAGAATGAGTATACGAATAACCAACCAAAACAAGCGATATATAGATAGGGAGACAGCCAGCACCGCTGGGTGCCCTGACTAGTCAGTTTAGATGTCCAATGAAAACACATGATATTCCCCTAAGATCTCTGACCACATCTCGTGCTCCTTTCGCCAAGTGACAGCCAACCCGCTGGGTGTTGCCTATAAGGTCCAACATTGTGTGGAACAACGGCTGTGACTGGGAGTGGTACGTGGAGGTCAAGTTAACATCTTAACTCCTTGCCATACCCTGAAGTGAAGGTCAAGGCAACAAGCGACAATAAGCATCATGCCGTGCCAGATTCCATGCATTTTTCTCAGGCATTTCAACAGCATAGCCTGGCAGTCAATATTGAGCATCATTCCGCAGCTAGACTTGACAAAACGGTTGGTCAGACGATCAGGAGCCAGTTTGGCTTTTGCATATACTCGCAGGGCGTATTCCCGGGGCTATGGACATGGATACGAGCCAATACTGAACTTACGCACAAGAGCCTTGGGTTGTCTAGAGCTGCGGCGTTGCCGCCGATAATGCCGAAATGGTTGGTTGCTAGAGTCATCAACTTCCGATAACACCTCACACATATCTTAATCGCCCACATCCATGCATGCCACCACCAAGCGGCCATTGAGCAGTGCTTCCACCCTTTGTAAAAGTGGCTGGAGTGACTCAACCCGGGTCCCAGAGTATGAGTTCTGACTAAAGGGGAAACGGGGGTTTTCAGCGCGTTTACGGAGATTTATCCTGAATCAGGGAATGGACAGACTTGGCGAATTCGTCAAGATGAGCAATACTCGACTGCGCCACTCGTGCGAGGTCTGTATGTAGAAAGAAGAGTCGAGTCTACGACTGGAGCGAATCTTGAGACTGGGGTTGAGTGAGTCAACCGATGACTCCTGCTCGACAGATGCAGGACTCTGGATTCCATGGGCAAATTATCAGACCCTTCCCTGGTAATTTCCCCCTAGAATGATCTCGTAGTGCATCCAATTTAAGAAGTGAAGCATCCTCAAAGTTGCAATAACAGGAAGCTGCAGTCATCACGTGTATATCTTGGACAAAGCGGCAAATCACCGGTTATACTAGCGATTGCACCTGCTGCCCCACGCCCACAGTCAAAAATCTGTGGCAAGCGAAGGACAGCAGCCATCGCGAAGATCATCAAGAACACCAGAACAACCGCGAAGATGAGACCTATTCTTCTTTCTGGCCATGTAAGTTGTATCTGTGCCAAAATTTGCGGTCCATGTACTAATGTCTGCTAGGAACGGGCTCTGACCCAGATCAAGTTCGTAACGCCTAACTCGACCGTTTACCCCACCATAAACTGACCCTCTTCGCAGGTTCAACCCCGACGGCGACCTGCTCTTCTCCGTCTCCAAGGACCAGAATATCTGCGTGTGGTTCTCCCACAACGGTGAGCGACTAGGCACGTACAAGGGCCACCAGGGTGCCATCTGGACGGTTGATGTGGACCACACCTCGACCTTCATCGCCTCGGGCAGCGCCGACAACACCATCAAGCTGTGGGAGGTCAAGACAGGCAAATGTCTCAAAACTTGGGAGTTCCCGACCGCCGTTAAGCGTGTCGAGTTCAACGAGGACAGCACCCAGCTGCTGGGCGTTACCGAGAAGCGCATGGGACACTTGGGTACGATCGTCGTGCTCAACATCATTCCTGATGTCAACGCTGAGCAGAGCGATGAGAAGGAGTTGACTATTGTGTGCGACGAGAGCAAGGCTACTGTTGCCGGGTGGAGCTATCTGAACAAGTACATCATTGCTGGCCATGAGGATGGCAGTGTCAGTCAGTACGATGCCAAGGTAAGAAGCATCCATGCAGCGTCCCTCTTCCCGTCTTCCATGAGCTAGTCGTGCTGATAGTAGAACCCTCTAGACCGGCGAGCAACTAGACAACTTCCCCGTACACGAGCTCGGCATGCAAGTCACAGACCTCCAATGGTCCCCTGACCGGACTTACTTTATCACCGCATCCAAAGACAAAACCGCCAAGCTGATCGCAGCACGGGATCTCGAGGTCCTGAAGACGTACCCCGCCGATACCCCCCTGAACAGCGCCGCCATTACACCCAAGAAAGACTACGTTCTGCTAGGCGGTGGACAAGCCGCCATGGACGTAACAACCACCTCGGCACGCCAGGGCAAGTTCGAGGCGCGCTTCTACCACAAGATCTTCGAGGACGAGATTGGCCGTGTAAGAGGCCACTTCGGTCCTTTGAACACAGTGGCTGCCGATCCGACGGGAAAGAGCTACGCCAGTGGCGGTGAGGACGGTTACGTGCGCATCCACCACTTCGATAAGGGATACTTCGACTTTCTCTACGAGGTCGAGCGAGAACGACAGAACCAGAACCGACTGTAAATTCTTTCGTTCTCTTGCGAGGCAAACCGAATCGGTACGATTGGATGGGCGTGAGCGCGCGTGGCTGGCTTCAGGCGTTGGTTGTATGTAGTTAGCAAAATTCATTGCTCTTGCATCTGGGTCTGGCGTTGGTGGATTTTGGCCTTTTTTCTTTTTCTGCGAGGAAAGAAAAATTAAAAGGCAAAGCAGACTCGATCTAAAATTAGGCTGGGAAGAACCACTCCGGTATGTAGATGGAGTGGCGTTCTGACGGTAATAAAGATGGCTACCTACTTTTCTACCACTGAGGAGCCTATGTAAAGAAGCTTCTGATGCTCAATGAAGAAGCACCGAGATCCGATTTCGAGCCTGCCCGCCTGCCTCGGGCGAATTCATGCTTGCCTGCCTTGGAGCGTTACATCAGCGGAAAGGACAGACGGCAGAGCCAGGCCCCGAGGCACAATCGATGCTTACTTGTCCTCAAGCGTTGCACTAGTGGGTGGCAGACGGCCAACGTTATGGGTCTAGAAGGAAATGATAGCTGTGTAGAAACAACTCTGCCCCCAAATTTGAATGTATGGAATATTGAACCGAGAGCCCTTGCAGAGCCTTGGAACCTCGTGCCGCATAATGAACCCGCTTCTTACACTGAACAAGGCCCTGATGCTTGCTATTCAAAACCTCAAGTCAGTCAGCCAGTCAGTCAGTCCATCAGTCCCAGTGACCACCAAGACCGCTACCATTAGCACAATATTCACTGTGTACCTCGGCACATAATGACTCATGTCCAGAAGGTTTGTTCATTCCGCAACGCGCAAACCAGTACCGTACATTTTGCCATGAGCCAGTTCTAATAACCATCGTCACGCCTCGTCACCTTCAGACCTCACTTGGTTCCACATAGGCTTCCTAGTCGCCGCCCTTTGCTGTGTCTAGTACATAGGAGGAAGAGGTTCGTCAAATTGTCCATTGGAGCTCATCCAGGGACCTTTACAAAAAGCAAATCGCAAAAACTCAAACGCCGTCACCCGTGTCCCTTGGTGTTTTTCGCAACACTGTCATCTTGGCAGCCGAAACATTCTACCATGCAACAAGTCAAACGCAAGCTCAAAGCAAATACGGCTTGCTCCAGTCGTGTAGTCGTGTGACAGCCAAAACTTCCGTTTCCACCATGACAAAAAACTTACAGCGGCTCAACGGCTCACTTCTTCTTCCCCTTGCCCTTAGCCGCCTTGGACACCGAGGCAGACGTCGTTGATGCAACACTAGATGCCCGTGAAGAAGTGTTAGCGGAGTTTGCCTTGCTGCCCTTAACGTTATCAAGCGCCTTGTTCTGTTGTCATGTTAGCTGCCATTGCAGATTAAGTTGGACCGGCTCTTTACATACCTTGACACCGTTCTTCGTCTTCTTCTTTGCTGGAGCCATGCCAAGGATGCTATCCTCATCGTTCTCTTCGTCGTCGGGCTCGCGCTTGCCCTTGCCGTTGACACCATTCTTCGTCGGGTGAACGTCCTCGAATTCCTTCACAATGGTCGTGAGAAGCGTGGTGCAGCGACGGCTGATCTCAATCGGTGTACGGCTGAGGAAGAACCAGTCAAACCGGAACAAGGGGCTGTCGCGAATCTCATCGCGAATGCGCTCATGGATACCCTCCGTATCGACGCCATACTTGTCGAGCAACACAAGTAAGAAGCGATCCTCCTCTTCCGTATAAACCTTCTTGTTGGTCGTGGATACCGAATAGTTGATCTTCATCTGCTGCAGAGGCACTCGGTACTGCCCCATCTTCTTGCGGAGCATCTTGCGCTGGTGTTCCGTCTTGCTTCTACGCTCCTCGCCAGCGTCAATGACGGCTAGATACTTGGTGTAATCGGCAATCTCTGTATATCGTTGCCAGAATACCTTGGCGTAAGCCTTGACCTCGGCTGCCGTTTTGCTGTCGACTTCGTCCGCAATTCGCTCGAAGTTGTTCTTGCCGTATTTCGCAGATCCATTGATGAACTGCTGGAAATCACGCCTGTTCCAGTCACCGAAGCCCTGGCCCGACAGGACCATCTTCTCTTCCTGCTCTTCTTCAGTTAGTGCCACGGCGTCATCGATCTCTTGCTGATCGAGCGCACGCTCTGCCTCCCGCTCCGACAAATTCTCATCATCACCATCTGGCAACGGAATCTTGTATCCGATCTCTTTGCGATACCATGCCGTCTCCCGTTCCTGTAGCTCACGAAGTCTGGCAGGATAGAATTGATAGTCATGACACGGGGTTTGTCGTGGGGCCTTGGGAGCCTTGGGCTTGGCTTCGGCCTTGGTGCTGGTGCCGTAAATTGCTTGTCTGTAGAACTTATCGACGGAATATGACTGTTCTTTTCGCTCGCGTTTGGCGGGCTCGATCCAAAGTAAGGGGCCATCCTCCTTCTTTTTACCTCCGAAGGTCTCGCCGTTCCACTCGTACGCAGATTCCGAGGTGAATTTCTGTAGATCGTCAAGTCCAAGCTTCTCGTATCTACTGTTGAGCTCCTTGGTTCGATTTTCGCCCTTTGCTAGGATGGCTTCAATGTCATCGTCGTTTAGATCAGTCCCCTTTGCAGCCAATCCAGTGGCGCCTTTAGTCTGAAACACGGCTTCAGCACCATGCTGGATCATACTCAGGAGCTCGTCCTTGGCTGCAGGTCCCTTGGCACCGGGGTGAGCACGGCCTTGCTGGATGACAAGCTGGTCAAGACGGAGTTTTTGTGCAGCCCGCTCGAGAACCTTTTCCTCAATGGCGTGTTCGGTCACGAATCTGTATACGACAACCTGTTTGGTCTGACCAATACGGTGAGCTCGATCCATAGCCTGAAGATCGGCCTGAGGATTCCAGTCGCTGTCGTAAAGCACGACGATGTCGGCGGAAGTTAAGTTGATGCCTAGGCCACCGGCTCTCGTGGTCAGAAGGAAAATGAACTTCTCAGAACCAGGTTTGTTGTATTCATCGATGGCAGCAATACGATCCTCATGTGCTGTGCCACCATCGATGCGGCAGTACTTGTACTCTCGGAAAACGCAGTAGTCTTCCAGAATATCAAGCAAACGACTCATCTGCGAGAAAATAAGAACTCGGCTGCCCTGTTTCTTCATCCTGCCCAAGAGCTTATCCAGAAGTGCCATCTTCCCCGAATTGTAGACCAAGTGTTCGTCAGTTGTGTACGGTGGTCCAGGTTCGGCCCCTTCGAAGAGATATGGGTGGTTGCAGCACTTGCGAAGCTGCATCACGATGTTGAGCAGTCGAGTCTTGGATTCCCGCTTGCCGCCAGCACCATTTACAGCGTCGATATCCTTCTCAAGAATCTTCTGGTACCACTTCACCTGCATCTCCGCCATGCCGATGTAAAGGTTGATCTCCTTTTTCGGAAGTAAGCTCTTCTCCACATCGGCCTTGACACGTCGCAGCAAGAACGGTCGAAGCACACGGTGAAGTTGCTGGACCACTGTGTCCTGATCCTGGTCTTGGCCCGAGAACCATTGGTCAAAGGCTTCCGACTCACCGAAGACGTCAGGAAGCAGGAAGTTGAGAAGCGCCCAGAGCTCGTGAAGGTTGTTCTGCAGAGGCGTTCCTGTGATGAGAAGTCGGTTTCGTGAGTTGAACATACGAATAACTTGCGACAAGGAAGATTCCTCGTTCTTGATCCGATGTGCCTCATCAATGATGATGTATTCCCAAGCAAACTTCTTCAGATGGGACTTCTCTCGAAGGATCATTTCGTAGCTGGTGATGCAAACGTCGAACTTCTCGTCGATGAGGCGTTCATTGATCAGATTGTGTCGCTCCTCCTTGGCGCCTTGCAGAACGAGAACGTTGACCTCGGGCGTCCATCTCTCAAACTCGCGCTTCCAATTGTCGAGGGTGGACTTCGGCACCGTAATCAGATGGGGACCCTTGATATCCATAATATGTCGCAAGTAACCCAAGAATGAAATGGTTTGTAGAGTCTTGCCCAAGCCCATCTCGTCCGCAAGAATACCCGAAATACCGTTCTCGTGTAAGGATATCATCCAGTTGAGGCCAGCAACTTGATAGTCTCTCATGGTGCCCTGAATGAATGGGGGTGATTCGCGGAACACGGTTTCCGCCGAGCCTCCGACTCTTTCATCCTTCAATAATTCAGCGTCTTCTTCAGCTTCCGTACGGCGTCCGCGGCTACTGCCTGCGCCACCTTGGCGGGAGCCCTTTTTTCCGGCCTTGCTGGCTTCCTCATTCTGGCGATCGATCTCGACCATGATCTCGCGGATCTTTGGGTTGGGATTCGTCTCGATGAAGTGTCGAAAAAGATCCGTCAATCCCAGGAGGTAACGGAACCTGCGAATGCTATCGTCTTCCTAAGGTTGGATCGGGTCAGCAACGCCATTCCACGGGCTTCGCGCAGAGCAGAGCTGCATGCAAACGACGAAATACGCGCTGGGCATGCCAAGTTCGCATATTCAGCAGAGTTTTACCCAGCTCAACCTGTTATCAGTAGAGAAGATTGGAAAGAGCGACTTTACCTTTGACTCGCCCAATGCGTCGTGTTTCTTGCCGAAGATGCTTCTGCGTAGCTGGTTTGCCTCTGATCGCTTCTTGCGGCCGTCCAACATGTGGTCCCCAGCAACACTACTTGCTGTCGTGTTGGGATTGGTGTCGGAGTCAGTGTAGTCGGGTGTCTCATCAACCTCCTGATTACCAAGTTAGCATCGGATGTAATGGTTTGTAGCTTGTAAGTGAGGGCCCGTCGCGAGACGGCGCCTCGAAATGAAGGGCATAATCTGTGCGGACTTACCATTTCGTCGGCGTGTATAACAGGCTCTGCGGCATCCGACATGGAGGTGTCGGTGTCAACAGCGCTGGGCCGTGATCGTGAAGGAGCCATTGTGTGATGTGGTTGTCGCTTCTGTGAACACTCAACGCGACTTAGACGCGCTCGGTGTAAGTGGTGACGCGATCCCTCAAAATGCTTGAGATGGTGCCAAATGATGTTTCTTGATGGCCTGGAATTTTTGGGGAGGGAAAGTGACCAAACACGGCAAGAAAGTCGAGAATGATCGAGCTGACTGGAGGTGATGGGGTAGAGGTCAGGAAAAAGAGAGAGTGGGCTTGTTCAGAATCTCGAACAACTCTAATCCTCCCAATAAGGCCTAGCGGCATTGAGAAGTAAGGATTTTGGACTAATTGGTGAGCACGGCCTTGGTTTTTCCGACCGTTCCTGCCCCAAGCTCCTATTACCCGTGGACAACACCTAACGAAGGGGAGGAGCATTCAAAGGCTACGCTATTGCCCCCACTATCCAGACGTAAAGGAGGCACTGCCGACTGAATTCACTTCAAACCCACCAACGAAGGGTCAAATCTAGGCCTTGAAACCACATGACATTGGCAGGAGTGTTTCTGGACATTACTTGGCTATAAACTGTTGTATACTCTATACTAGGACTATACACCCGGCCAACTGGCGACAAGTCAATGTGCATCTAGTTGCTTAACACATATTCACCTCGATTAAAGTCTCGCAACTACTATGTGGTAATGGATTTCAAAGTCGCTTTTCAAGTTGTACATGGCAGTCTCAAAAATTTGGCTGTTAAGGTTGCAGGCTTCAATCTGATTGTGCTAGGCAAACGCCCAGCATAGGATGAGCTACATTCCAGACCTGCACAAGAACAACTCGTCTCCCACTCGTATTCATAAGTACAGGCTTAACCACGAGGTGTTTATCTGTGAGCTGTATCTGTATTTAGTTTAGACTGGCTTAGGTACATCCGAAGTGACTATAGTCATGGGGACTATTATCTATTAGGATCAATGCATAGACGACAAAGTGGCAGAGCAGAGTGATTTTCTTAACCAAGATGTTTCGGTAGATTTAGGTTTAGATTGAGATCGATTAAGGGCATAAATCACTCGACGTGTTATCATTCATCTTAGTCTTGAAGACCTACAACATGTGGGACTGTATCCGGCATCTCCCCCGTTCAAATGCCTCCAATGCCAATCTGCGGACCCGACTTCCGAAAATACTTGACAAAAGGCTTCAACATAATATGCGAGCCAACTATATCGCAGTCAACCACTTTATGCCTCGGAAGCCTGGTGACTCGTTTATAGCATTAGGAAACTGATGTGACTTTGATACTCAAGTCTATGGCGAACCCCGGTCTTTAATATTTAAAATCACTGTAAGTCAGGAACCGGCGGCCAAGCACGGTCCATCGGTACATAGGTCCGCCGGACGGAAATGACGTCGGCCAATTGTTTCGCACCTCGCTTCGGCGACCGTATCGCTGGGACAAAGACTTTCAATGTACTGAATGTCAACAGTCAAATCGACCTTGGTGCTCGTCTTTGATGCATCTAGTTCTCTAGTCTTCCCCGACGACTCTATGCAAGAGTAGTCATCCCCAAGATTGAGTTATGGAATAATCGTCGAAGCCCGGGTTCACCACAATTTTTATTCCATCATCTTCAACCGTAGGGTTCAAGATGGGGCCTTTGGGGCCTTGTTGCTTCGGAGGTTAAACGGACCGAGGGGTGCAAGTGCCACGGTTTGTGGCCGACTGCCGATGTGACTTTCTCCAACAAGGTCATCAACTGTCATAGCGATTTAGCGACCTACCTCACCTGACTGCCACTGCCGCTACAGTCATCAACCCTCAGCTGACAACTTCATTCTTTTATCACCCTTCATTGCACACCGTATTCTCCTGATACCCGTTGTCCTCGAATGCAACACCTCTCGGTCATTTCCTCATCTTGATCATCTAGATTGGTAAACGTGATAGCGGCAATACAACCAGTGATTGGCAAGGATAGCATCCCACCTGTAGCTGGCCCACTCCTTCGCACAGGCCCCACTACCAACAACAGAAGAAGAGGAGAGAAAAGCATCGTCATTTGCCGTCGGGCTTGCCCACTGCCACTACGAAAACCATAAAGCCAATTTTTGTCGAGGACATCAGTTGTTCTCAACTGCAAACCATCATGGACGCGCTGAGAGGATCGTCGCCGGCTAAGGGGTCAGCCAACGACTCCCCCGAACAGCTGCTCGACATCTTCAAGACGGCTGCCCTGTCGGTAACTAAGCTATATAAGACGTCAGCGGCAGCCCAGACCAAGGCCCGCTCCGATGGGTACCAGGACTGTCTCGATGACCTCCTGTCCTTCCTCGATAAGCAACGCCTCGGTCTCAGCGACGGAGAAGGCTGGCAGATCCGACGTTGGGCCACCGAGCGACTAGAGGGCAGCAGGGACGCTCAGACAGCCGAGAGCGAAGATGAGAGCGACAAGCCTGAGACCGTGTCGTCACCCGAACTGTATCGGTCAACCAACACAACCTCGACAATAACAGTCCGCCCAGAGCCTGAAATGCGAGCCGACTCGGCTCCTCCAGCGACAATAATAGCTCAAACCAGCCCCGCAGCAACAGTAAGCCCGGTTACAGTACCTCAGCAGCCACCGATTGTTGTACCTACCCAGGACAATTTCACATTCCAGTCTTCCATGATGTACCCCCAAGATTCCGATTTGAACATGGCCAACCTCGACCTCTCAGACCGGAACAACGAAAACGTAATCCATCAACCTACATCTCAACCACGTCCACGAAATCACCGATCGGGTCAAAGGCCGAGAACAGCAAATCACCTCGGCCGAGGAGCCGGACAGAAACGCAAGATCAACTTCGCTGAGATATTCGACCTGGGAAGCATAGGGGGCAAGGACATGTTCGGTAGCGGCGGAGGGAAACGGAGTCGTCACGCATGATATGCATGTATGGATCTTTGATGGATGTCCATACCACCAGCGAGCGATTCTGGATTGCAACGGGTCCCTTCTCCTTCCGATACCCAACGGGAATAGATAAATGACGCTGAGCATGTCTCTTTACGATCCATTCATGACAGGGCTTGGGCATGGCACGGCGCGGCACAAGGGGTGGGAAGGGCATTTGAGGAGTTATCTAGCGGTCAATATTTTGGCTCCTTCGAGGAGGCTGCATCGGTCAGGGGGTCTTCACTCCTACAAGATAACTATAGCGCTGACGTTGTCTCCATACGACGACTATGTGGCTCTTTGGGTACTTGCTCGAAGAGTCCGCAGGTATCTATCACCTGCGATTTGTACATAGCCTGAACCCCAATATCATCAGCAAATGCTGATGGCACTCAATTCTCCAACTGTAAGCGTGCAAGTGGTGTAGATTATGGAGGTTGTGAAGCCGAAGGGAAGAGATTGGGCATGTGTTCTCCAGTTGTAGCTATCGGTAATACCGGGCATGTGTGGCATAGAAGACACTGGCACTATACGATATATAATTCCTTTTCTTCTTTTCGTGCATTGATGTACCAAGCAAACTAGAGTTGGTAGACATTCTTCCAAATCAAAAAGGGCTTGTTACACCATGGCATCTCTCTGGTTTAGTGGTTGGGCTTCAGTTTTGAAGGCTTAGAGTAACTTGAAGGTACAGAAAACCCAGAGACTCTGCGTACATAACTTGCTTGTCTTTTACCTTGTTCACTATCAGCTCAGCACATCCTTGCTACTATAACATACCACACAGCGAACGTCCTTTTTACAAGATTATGATTAACTTGAAGTACGTTTATAGGTTTTCCACTTATTTGTCTATGAGTAGTGTAGCGCTGTTGGAACTGGGTTCAAGGTAACGCGGTAGGTAGGTGAATCTGAGCGCTTTAACAGATAGTAAAGGTAATGAATACAAGGCTTGAATTTGGTTAAATCATCATCTACATACACGCTATATCATCACTTCATCATCACCTCTGTATTTACCACTCCCATCAACCATCTTCCTCCTTGATATTATCACTCCTCGCCGAAAGCCCTACCATCGTCTCCGGCATCCCCAGCGGCCGCGGTATTGCTGATTAGCTCGGACTCCTCCACCATCACCACTGCTCCCCTTAGTTCCATTATCACAATCGTTATTATAGATATACGCCACCACATCCCCTGCCCAAACGGCGAGCGGCACACCATCGCGGACAACTTAGAAGAGGTACATGGTGTGCGGGCAGTCAGTGCAGGATTGGGAGAACGAAGCTAGGGAATAGTTCGGAGTGGTGTGGTGCATCCCCAAGATAGGAAGGTCTTGCCAGACAGGGGAGGGGACGACGGTTTCCGGCTTGGAGACATCGGGCCAAGTGGAGCCGAGGATGCTGTTGGTGTAGGTGAGATTTCGGTTTCGATGCTTTGGTCTGGGTGCACGTGTTAGGCTGATCTGTATCTGAAAATAAATGAGGATTACGCTTGGGGACAAAGGTAACTTACCATGTTCCGGTCCTGTCGATACTAGAGGCAATGGGTGTGTGCCTTGCGCAATCTCTTCTAGGTCGAATTTTGGAGCGAAGAATTCCATATATACCAGTAAGTGGGTTATCCGATGAGTTAGGAGAAAACAAGGAAGTCCTCATCGCCATATACTTACCAGTAGCCGCTGTCAAAAATGGCCGTATTGCTTCAAATCTTCCGGACACATTTCTCGGCCGAAGTCTTTACTAAACGAGATATGTCTACATCCACGTCTCTACCCAGCCTTTATATCACAAGCACCAACAACATCCCATTCCCTTGCACATTCAGCCACTACCGCGGCATACCACAAATAGAAGTGCCACCCATTGAAGGTTTGTACCGTCACCAATTGAGTCAGCAGGACCCGCTAGTGGTAAGGAAGGAAGGGATGGAATTTGGATGATCAAAGTGAAACTCTTGGTTTGTTGGGCGAACTCCATGACCCTCAAATTGCCCTTGGTAGTGGATTCATTTCCGATTCATCACAGTGACAACTTGAAGCCAACAGCGGGATATTCCCATTCGTCGAATCCACCGGCAGATTCATGACGCCTAGGGGCGCATCAACTTGCCACCTCCAAGACAAGTCTACTGTTTTCGGTTTGCTAAGAGTCCTGGGAGGAGCTTGCAGACGGTAATTCGTTCGAATTCAACAACAGAAGCAAGCTTACTAGATTTAGGCAATAACCAAACTCGCACAACAACCGAACGCTGCGCATAGAGACGCCATGCCATCCTACCCATTCCCCGAGAATGCTTCCTAACCAGTCGTATTTGTTCCATAGATCCCATGTCCTCCGTATTTTCCAATTTAGTGTTACAAGCTCTGTCTGGGCTTCTCGATGCCTTTGTCGCACAATTGAACCGTCCGTGGTAGCCATGGGTATCAAATGCAATCGACCTAAATCAATGAAGATACACACGCACTGCTGAAAATTTGCTCTGCTCTGATATCTAATCCAAAATAACAACCTTGCTCTCCAACCATTTCGTAAACCTGACAGTGGGTGCATCAACGCCTCGCCAGAAGACGTCAGCCGCCCAGATGACCAAAGGAATGTTGATGAAACTGGCGAGGATGAAACCGGTGTTGTATGCGTAACCTTCGGTGCCGGTCAAGCTCCAGGCCCATTTTTCAATGATATATCCGATCGTGTGCATGACGGGGCCGTGCATCAGGTAGATGGCGTAGCTGATGCGCCCAAAATATTGTACGAACGAGGTGTTGAAGACGCTCTGCCACTGGGGTGAGCGTGCGACGCAGAAGACGAATATGACAGATCCGATCATCTGCCAGTATCGGTACTTGTCGGAAAACCATTCTGGAATCAGGGTGCCCAAGAACTGCCAGCCTGGCATGCCTTCGGTCCCCAAGTCGGGTTCGCACATTAGATACAAGGCCGGGATCGATAAAACGATCCACATCAATGCCTTGGGGCATCGTTTCCGCGTAGATGGCGTCTCCTCGAAAGGGAGTATGGATCTCGCGGATGTTTGCGAAGGCGGCGGGTTGTGTGCTCCACGGATTATGTCCAATTCAGCTAGGCCCATACCAGCCAGGAACAGGAACATCTCCCATCGATCGTTTCGTAGGACAAACCAGGAGATTCCTGCCAGACAAAGGAAGCGCAGTCCAGTTCGTAGCCTTGCCAGCCCGAACAACACAAGGAACAGCATCATGGAGCACCGGTACTCCACGGGTATGGTCCATAGATGCACATCATAACCCGTGCTTCCGCCAAACTTCTCCCAGCCCCAAACATGGACAAAGTTGAACATTTCGGTGCCCCAACGAGAAAGCTCGTCGTTGAGCGTCTCTTTGCGCTGCGGATGGAATTCGACAACGTTTCTGAAGAATTGTTTGTCGTTGGCGAACTCCTGATTGTGTTCGTAGAAGCCGAGCTGGAGGAGGATGAGAACCATGAATGTAGAAATGGTCGTGGGAAGGAAGAGTCGAAAGCCCCGCCTGAAGACGAACGATGACATCGTAGCGGCAAAGCCGTCGAATGTGCGACTGCGAATTTGCTTCAACGGCTTCAACGATAGGGCGTACCCTGAAATAACAAAGAAAAGGCAGACCATGGTTGGTCCACTGACAAGTAACCGGACAAAAGGGAGCTTCCATATTTCGTAGTTTGCGTTGTTATGACCCCATCCTTCTGCTATTGCGAATGCCGTATAAAAGTAATGACAGAAGAAAACGAAGAGCGCGGCTAAGCCTCGCATGCCATCCAAGTAGGCTGTTGGCCCAATTCTATCGTTCCGTGAGCGCTCGCGGGTAAGTCGGTGATGTACGAAGCTGGGTGTCAGGAAGATTGCCGTCCGTAATATCGTGGAGCTCCATGATGAGAACCGTACTGCTTTACAGTATGACTTTGCGCTTGTGATCCATCTCCGCGTCGAGAATCGAGTCTCTATATCCGCCCGGCCGCTCTCGCTTTCCACATCAGATAGCGACTTCTCCTCGATTAAAGACAGCTTCTCCTCGTGGGAGAGGGAAAACTTGGAAGCAGCATATCCGTACATTGTCCGGCAATGTGGGAAGATGAGAGCAAAGAGATTTACGGAGGGTCATCACCGCCGGGTACGAAATAAAGTCAAAAGATGTTGAACGAGCTGCGGAAGTGGTGAGAGTAAATGATTTAGACACGATAGTCCTCTCGGCAACTTTGCCGACGGATGGGTTGAGCCAAGCCGACCTGTGACAAGACCTCGCCTCAACCATTTCCATGGCTGCCGCGTGGAGCTTGTCGTGGAGTATGTATGCTACCGCCTTGCTTGCTGACAAGTTGCTACTGGGTTGTGTTGTTTCAGGTTTTGTGATGCACGGTGGTAACCAGTGCAAAAAGGTTAACTCAGCAACATCTTGCCAACTCAATCGTGGGGCTTTTGCTACACTGAAGTAAGATAAATACGAACAAATGCGGGTGTCCGTGATTCCTTACCTGACTATCTTCATCTGGGGATGCCCCATCACAGAGGAATTCACCCACTTCCAAGTAACGCATCACAATTTCACGACGTGCCTAGTCGCTGTCATTCTGCAACAGATCATTTCCGAGAAGAGATCTGCCGTCTGAAAACCCTCATAGACTCGGCACACTGGAAATCAATAGAGTGCAAGGAGTATGCAAGCATCCCAGCATCTCTTGTGACGGTCGAAGTAAGGTAGGATCCCTGATCTCGCCGGGTGGATATGATCGTCGATAGGATCCATGCGTGCCGGTATGCTATTCCGAGACAGTCGATCTGCAGGAGAAAAGCTTGGCTATTACGGCTAGGTCGCTTTGGGCCACTGCCTCCACAGTTCCAATGCGGCCATAGAGTCGTGCGGTGTTCCAGAATGGGGGAGCATTTGAGATGTTGAAACGTCCAATGTGTTGCTGATTGGAAAATGTGGACAGACGAAAACCAGATACCTCAAGTAGGTGTGCACAAGCGAGGTTGTGGTTATCTCTCCACTTGAACTGAACAGGAGCAGAGGCAATGACTCCTGTCAATGATTTGATGGCTCTAGCTATTAGAACGATAAACCTAACGATGGCATAATTAAGGATGGATACCTGGATCTGGATCGACCGACCTAGATTGCTCATGGAAGTGTGGACGATTCGAAACGGGTTACTTACAGAAAATACCGACTCGGTAATGTTAATATAATGTTTGATTACTTATCAATAGGGCATACCTACTTTAGATGCATGCCCGCACCCTTGCGCCCCTCGAGTCGTCGCTAATGCTTGGGATTCGTCAAAATGCTCCTACGCAGAGCTGGGAATAACGAAGTTCCTCTGCTTCCTCTGCTAATGGGTCTAGAACCTGTGGGTGCCCTGGTCACAAGGCTGTTGTGAATTTGACAGCCGGCGGATTGAACCGATTACCGTGGCTCGAGGCTTTCAGGTTTGTATCAGCAGCGAGTCCTTTACCACCTTGACTCGCATCGCAAAGAATTTACTCTCATTTGTCGCGTGTGTGCGTAATTTTTAGATGCTATTTGAAAGTTGACAACCGCCAGGCTGTCTTTCGCTTGTTGAATTTACCACAGACGCAAGGCTCTTTGCTCGCCCCTACCATCCGATGTCGAAAGCTTGAGTTGGTGAAGTCGCTCAACAGGCGTACGTGACCCTGAGGTGTTATGGAGGAGAACTGATTCAGGGTCTTATATGGACCTTGTGCTTGCAATAAATATCTAGACCAATACGTCGGTATCATTGATCCGGGTAGTCCTTGGCTTTCCTCCTTAACATCCGAAATCAATTTTATGCTTTCCCCCCGGCTACACGTATGAGTCCCATCCGCGACCAAAACGCCATCTGCATAGCACCTCGCCCTAGAGCCATGAATCAAATCCCAAAACAAAGTCAACTGAACGACGATTCCGCACGCTGATGGCATGGTAGGGCAGAATAACCTGTCCAACCCAAACATCATGCGAGGAGCGCGGCACGCGATTACGGCCGCTTCGAACGTTGTTGTGCTGCCTGAACACCTGATGAATGTAATCGAACGATGTGGTGTGATGTCTTGATGACCTGCCAGGACAGGATATTGACAATATCCCAACAGCCATCCCACTTCATCCCGTGGCTGCTAGTTGTCCAACCAGTCAAGGAACTCGGGAGTGAAATAGCTAATCACAATAGTCGCTCCTGCCCGGAGGATGCCCTCGGTCACTTCGAAAGCCATCGTCTTCAAGTCGAACACTCCAGCTTTTGCTGCAGCGCAAACCATGGCATACTCTCCACTGACGTGGTAAGCTGCGACGGGAAGGTCCTTGCCCAGTTCTTTAGCATCGCTGATAATATCTAGATATTGACTGGCAGGCTTGACCATGATGATATCGGCGCCTTCATTGATATCCCGCACGATGGCACGTCGAGCGAGGCCACGACCCCCAGGGGGGAGTTGGTAGCATTTGCGATCTCCGAAAGAAGGTGCTGAGCCGGCTGCGTCTCGGAATGGGCCGTACAAACATCCAGAAAACTTGGCCGCGTACGACATGAGCAAGGTTTTGTGGGCAATACTTTCGTCGATGAGCTTCATCTTGATAGCTCGAATACGGCCATCGTTCATGTCGGAGGGAGCAACGCAGTGTGCGCCTGCTAGAGCGTAGGCCACAGCAACATCAGAGATTCTGTCGACGGATTGTCGGTTCTCCAAGGTGCCGTCCGAGCTCAAGATTCCGCAGTGGCCATGCGACGTGTACTCACATAAGCACACATCCACGACGATGAACAGCTGAGGGAATCTTTGTTTTATCAGACGGATAGCCTGGATGACTGGGCCTTGAGGGTCGTCGGCAGCGGTGCCCAGGGCATCCTTGGTACCTGGCTTCAGAGGTACACCGAATAAAATAACGGATCGAAGTCCTTTATGAACTAATGGCTGCAAGAAAGGGACCAGCTTATTGACTCCACGGCGGTATTGTCCGGGAAGGGATGGGATGAGCGTTTCGTCGTCTTCGAGGTCGGACACGAAGAGAGGGTAGATGAGCATGGACTAGCGACCCGTTAATTAGCCACTCCGCATGTGTCTTGACAGTCTACTACACACCTTTGTCAATTGACGCTCGGCTTGCCATGAGCGGGCAAGAGGATGATGATAACCTCCATGTAGTTGACTTCTGATATCGCCAGCGATGCTCACGCTTGTAGCTGCTGTACTGGTGTAGGACATAGCCCGTGAGATGCGCGAGGCGCAATCATCGACTGTAGAGACGGAAGTGGCGGTTCGTGGCGGTGGCCGACGGGGATTGTTTCCATCGCGAACGGATAGCTCTTGAACGAGGCTTGAAAAGGACATCTTCGGCCGGTGTTTGGGTGTGTAGTTGTCTTCGAGAGGTGACAGCTTGGTCGTTTCGAAATTATGGACACTGGGCTAAATAGCGCACAGTCGCTGAAGTCAATGCGCAGGAGACAATATGTAACGGAATGAGAACAGCCGCCGGTAAGAGAATAAATAGTACTTGAAGACGTAGCGGAGGAAACTGTATCTATGTTCGGGATTCGGAAGTTTATAACAACCTCATCAGCGTTGGCGCATCCTTTTTTCGCCCCTCAGGGTTGCCTAACATTGGCCCAGGCAAGTCGGCGGCGGCGTCTTCGGCATTGGATTGGCCATTTACGCGTTTCACTTCTTCCATTATCCAATCGCCTCTGTTGTTTTACAAAATAAATTTGGGGCCCCGACTCCGACTCCTATAATTCACTTGGGCGAGGGTAAATTCTACAAAATATGCAACAGTAATCGCCCGCTGCCTGTAAATATTCAAACAGTTACAGCACAGATACTGGCAGTAGACGCTGGGAGTCTGCCGTCAGCAGCTTCCTAAACGAACATTATGCCGTCAGACAATTGAGAGACCCAGTGAGAAGGGCTCCTCTGGAGTGTAGTACAGCTCGGATGTTACACTGTGACGCTCTTGCGGTTGGGCTGTTTACTCCTGCTAAATTTGGTAGGTTGCATCGAACTGGCCGGCGATGATGTTACTCGTAACATTGATGGGTGCATTAACACTGCGTGATTGATGATTAGTTATCTGGCGTCTGGTATTTGTCAACGGTTGTTGCCGACGTCATCTTTACCGTCGATTTGGGATGTAGCAACAGCTTATCTCTAATCTGGCGGGAGTGCTAGATGCGGGAAACGCGTTCACCAACATCGTTCTACTTGTTGCGTTAGGCAGTGCTGCACAAAAGAGTAACCAAATTAACCACTATTTTTGACTGCACTCCCATTTTCATGGGATTATCGAGAATCTTACTCAACGTCATTCCCATTCCTTATAAGAGGCTGATTGATTCTACAGCAGGAGTAGATTTTATTTCGAGGAATCCTTCGACTTTAAGCTAGTCGGGTCTCTATTAAACTAGCGAACACCTTAGTTTAATCGGGCCCTACTAGTTAACATACGTAGGGGCTACCTTCTCAAGTTCCTTCCTTAATTACTAATTTTAGGTTTCTTTCTAGATAGGATTATAGTGTACGTAGAAATGGTTTAAACTATCTTACTACTAACGTACGTAATTACTGTATGAGATCTTAAGCTTTATATTGACCTAGTGACAGGGGGTTTAAAGGGTATTTTCGGATGAAATATGCAAGTAGCCGTGGAAAAGCATTACTGTAGTAGTGGTCATAACGTGGTTAAAATCGAGGATGATCGTCGTCTACAAGGGCCGATAATGACCGACAGTAAAGCATTGTATGCATGCAAAGGTGGCCACAAGGGTCCTCACTACGTGAAAATGTTGGTGACAGCTGGCAGTTGTGTCAACGCCAACTACGCTGATTATTGCATGGAAATGAAGTCGTGCTCTCCGCCAGGCCTGCATCCAGGATATGAAGCCATCTTGTAGGGGATGAATGGTCAAGGTCGCCACTCAACTAAGCAGTATACTGAGAATGGGGCAGCCAATATAGTCCAAATTTATTTTTCTTTTACATATATAGGTTGGTGACAAGCCTCATATCTCATATCTTGACAGTGCACTTGTCGGCCATTGAGTCGCAATTTGTCATGCATACGTGCAGTCGTGGATGGAAGAGGATAGACGCACTATTTTGTCCTATAGACAGTCATATATTTGCTGGAAGCAGACTCACTTGATTTAAGGGGAAGAGGGAAGGAAGGGTAATAGGGAGTCGGTAGCGTAGTTTCTATGGTGACCTAAACACCACTTTTACTGGAAAATTCATGGATATCTCTGTTTCATCTCAAAATCAAGAATTAAAGATAGTGAGGTTTGGTCGCATACTGTGGTATGCATGTAATGGAGAGAAGCAGAAGGAGAGAAGAGGCCGAAGTTTGAACAAGCTAATGTGGGATTCACCGACCTTGTTTGCTTTTCTGTTGAGGCGTCACAGTCCACCGTAACTCACAACGTTGATTTACAAGGAATGCAATTTGCAAACAAAAAATAAGAATCATTGAGAGGAGTTGCTGCTTATGAGAGCGCTAACTCTATACTTTCTCTTTGTATTTTCATAATCGCTGAAGTATATCAAAGCATTCAATTATGTAGTGAAGTTCAAATTGAATATGGTACTTTGCTGTCATACAAGTCCTCGACAGTATCGTACATATCTTGTCATATCATAACATGTAAACACATTTCGCTCGCTTCCAACGTCTGTTTGGGGTATCATATTGTTCAGTCCTCCGACTTCTTATCTCGCATCTCTCCAACGTTGTTGTGCACCTAGTAAATGCGCTTGGTGCGGGTACGACGGCTTCCACGGCCGTCAGTACCTCTCATGCGGCGAGTGCCAGCAGCCTGATTAATCGATTAACTTGATGCTGGAGACGGATTACGAGAGAACATTAGGATAGATGACTAACCTTCTCGCCAGGGCGGTGGGTCAAGGTGCCCTTCAGCTTCAATATGGCGCCTGAGATCTTATCTCCAATGGTAGCCTTGCGCTTCTGGTGGTGGACGACCTTCTTGCGGCCGAACAGACCGTGGCGAGTAGTGGTGGTGGTTGTAGTATGAACCATTTTGATGATTGTTGTTGTTTGGTCTGGGATATATTTTGAAGTAGTTACTGATTCGCAATTTGGTTGCTTGCTTTGGGACTGAGTTGGATGTTGTTGTCTTTGTTGGGAGAAGAGAGAATTGATGTAGAGAACGAGTATAACACCTTTCTTATATGTTGAATTCGAGCCGCTTGGAGACTTGGCCAGAGGAAGCTCTATCCAGGTTGTAACCAATGATGCAAGACTGGGATACGGCAAGGAGCCATGACATCAAGCCCTACGTAGCTCTTTGCAGATCCGGGTTCGCAGAAGCTCCCCATGTTGACTTATCGCCTGGTGGTGTGGCACGCGCGGTTGGGCATCTCCTCATAGCTCAAAAACTGGGCGCAATGGTTTCCGAGTTCACGCTGCTGCGGGTTAGCGCAGGCCAGACCCTCATGACGCGCGGAATCGAAGTGGGACACTACAGTCTTGTCGCAAATCAGGGACCTGCGGTGCTCGTGGGTGAAGGTACTATGGTAATCGTTGAGGCTGAGTGGCTGGTGGTGATGTCATTGCCCCTCAAGCCACAAATTTGTTAGTTGACATGAGTTGAGATTGTGTCCGAAACCAGGCTGCCGAGGGGCACGATAGGCCTATTGGTTGGTAAAATCGGTGTGAATGAATTTGGAGGAGCTCAAGTGTGTTTCATAATATGCTCTTATGACGAAGATGACGAGAATTATGCGGTTGAATTGCAAACCTCGAAGTGCCGTAACCAACCAGCCTCTACACTCATAAGATACATCCACTAGCCTATAATAATTGTACATTTTGTAGACACCACCAAATCACGATCGGGAAATTTCGAGAAGAATGCTGAAACTTCTACGTCATATCTGATTATGAATCTTCGCGACACATGGGGTCATTACCGCGAAAGTAGACTAATGGAAGTCAGGCTGAAGTGGATCGTGAGGATCGGGGATACCGTCACATTGTGGCTACGGCGCCGGAAGTGCATGGATTGATCGCACATTGGCATTCTTAGAACAGTTCATCATTCCGCAAGTTAGAGGCTTCTCTTCCCCTTATCCGTTTCGGTCTCAATCGTTCCAAACGTGATCATATCAGCAACCTTAAACCCCAACTGTCTTGAACACCGCTTATGGAAGCTACTTCTTGGTTGAAGGTGAAGTCAGGTTTGCCTTGATCTTTGCCAAGTCCTCCCCCGAGAAGCCAAGTTTGTCGATGACAAACTGCTCGTACCCTCCATACTCTCTCTGCAGCCCGGCGATGAAAGCATTCCAGCAGGATGCCCGCAGACTGCACATATTATAGAACCCGGGCTGTTCTTCACTCTCAGCCGAGGTCCCCGCCATGGCGAAAGCCAAGAGCCTCTTGCGAACGGGTTCCGTGCCGATACGTGAGAGCAGGTAGTCGAGTGTGACCACATCTGGCGAGGCTCCAGCGAGTGTGAGCAGGAGTCCTCCCAAAACTCCGGTTCTATCCCGCCCCGCTATTGTATGAAGTTGTTAGTCAACCAGGCCGTTCTCTACACGCCCGAGGACAGCTGATGATTGGTTTGACTTCACATACCCACACAATGAACCAGAAAAGGATCCTGAGGTCGATCTTTCACATGCTCAAGAATGACCTTCCACGCAGGCTGATAGAAATCTACCACTTCCAAGTACATTTCCTCATATCCCACCTCTCCGCCGCCCGAGAGGAACTTGTTCAAGTCTAGATGAGAGTCTGGCCGCGAGCTTTGAATCCATGTATTCTCAATATCCGGAATGATGGGATCAGGGTCGTGCTTTCTTTCCTTGGGCGAGCGCAGGTCAAAAATCCGTTTGATTCCTAACTTCCCCGCCAGCACCGCTTTACCGTTGTCCGTCAGGTGGCTGAGAGACCCAGATCGGTAGGCAAAGTTGGCCCGCAGCGGACTGTTGGGCACCAGGCCCAGATCGCGGGTGTTGAATGTGCCGTCGACGAAGACGAACGGAGGCTGCAAGATGACGGGGCCGAACTGTTCTTTTGGTATCTCTTGGGCAACGTCAGTTTCGGCAAGCTTGAGGAGGGTCACGGTGTCGGCCATGGTGCTCATTACAGGCGGGTGCTTTGCGATGCTCTCCAGTGTAAGTTGATGCAAAATGCTGGACGGAAAATCGTTTAATAAGTTTGTCTCTTATTAGATGCGGATCTCGTGGTTACTTTTCCAATTGTATTAACAACGGCCTTTCTTCTATTTCTACTTGAAGCTGGTCGGTTCATATGGGACGTTCTAAGCACGACCTCCACTCTCATTGAAGTTCATTGAAGGGACGCTCAAGTTACCCCGCCTCAGTCTACCAATTTAGCTATAGGACTTCACTTCAACCCCAGAATGTTAAACCTCAAGCGATTGTCCTGAAGCCGACCATTGTAAATACAACTGAAACAAGTCAGTATACGCTTTGTCTTCCGAAACGCGCACCACTTTTAGCGTCAAGTAGCATCTCCTCGAACTTTGGCAGCCACAAGCGAGGGGTTCGTCCGATCATGCTATTTCTATTTCTAGTTCATGCCTTGTCAAACTCCCAATCATCGCAAGATGCATCTACGACAAGCTTCATACCTGCACATCTAGCCTCGGAAGATTGTATATATAACTGTAGCCACTAATGGACAACTTTGGTATTGCCAGCATACTCTGATCCTGCGGTTGATCCTTCTCAGACGACGTATCCGTCGCCAAACTTACCGTATTATTATTATTATTATTAAATACGCCGTAGGCTCGAAGCCCCCGGTACCTCTGCTAGTACTCCCGTATGTCAAACCGTGCCCTAATGGCTGGACTAAATACATACGCTGCGTCGTCGCTTCGCCCTATTGGCGACTGCGTTGCGTCCATAACTTACCGTATGATATATGTATATATTGAATCACATCAAAGAGAAAGGCTTCTTCTTAACGCCATCCTGTTTGTACATTCTACAACAATCCATGGATGCTGCAATGAGATCAATTTGACATTCAGACACCATACATCAGCCGCGATAAGGCGCCATCATGCAGCGGCAGCGTATCATCATCCTTGCTGTCTGCGTATCAATTAAGTGGGGTGAGAGTTTAGGTGAATAACTCCCGAATGTGTCACCACAGCACAAAATGCCTATTTAAATTCTCGCCCTGTTCTTAAGGCGGTTGAGCAACTCAGGAACAAGGCATCGTTAACATTTCAACAACCTGGGCCATCATGATTTAGCGATTCTTTTACAAAGACAGCGACGCTCTTTCGAGGTCCTACTTCCATACCGCACCTTGAAGAGCCTCGAAACACACTACCTTCAAGGTAGTAAGTCCCGCATGGCTCGGTTCCGTCTCCCAAAACTTGGGAGTGACAAGTCCCCGTGGCTGTACACATCTGCGGCTGTGGTTGGTCTTGCCGGGTTGATTAAGCTCCGGGAAGGCGTCAACAATTACCTTTTCTCTGAGACACACTGCTATCAGTCGGTACGAACGCACTGGGAAGACGAGCCGTATGCGAACTGCTTCTCTGTCTCTCCTTCAGGTACCTTCTCCAAGGTCTTTCGGGAAACGTCAGATACGCAACTGGCCAAGAGGGCCGACACCGGCCATGTCATTCCTGGGCTATGGGACGGCCACGGTCATCTGCTCCAATACGGCGAGTTTCTGAATGCGGTCGACCTCTTTGGATCTGAGTCCATGGAAGATGTGCAGACTCGCGTTCGAGGCTATCTCGATGATCACCCTGGTTTCGGTACGAGACATGAATGGGTCAGAGGTGTTGGCTGGGACCAAATGGCTCTCGGCCGAATGCCAACGGCTGTAAGTTTGAACCCCTAGAAGCAACGAAGCAGGCCAGGCTGACCGAATGAAGGATGACCTGGCTGGAGATGACCGACTAAAGGGACTCTACATCATGCTAGATCGTGTGGATGTCCACTGCATATGGGTTTCGCAAGCTGTTCTCGACCTCTTGCCCGAGTCCTTGCCCGATATTCCAGGGGGTGAAATCGTCAGAGAGCCAGGAATGGGCGTATTTTGCGACAATGCCATGGATATGGTAATGGCCCTGTGGCCCAAGCCGGACAACAAAATGAAGCAGAGGTTTGTCAAGAGCGCCATGGAAAAACTCAATGAAGTTGGACTCGTTGGGATGCACGATGCTGGAGCAACCCCTGAAAATCTGGCTCTGTTCAAAGAGTTGGCAGGAGGCGATGACTGGACAGTACGAGTCTTTTCCATGCTTGAATGCTACGAGCGTGATACCTACTGCCCGGATGAAGTGGAGAAATACATCAGCAAGGATGGCTTCCTACACATTCAGAGTGTCAAGTTGTTTGCTGGTAAGCTTCTGTTCACCCCTATTGTGGCATTGTTTTGACATTTGCAGATGGTGCTCTGGGTAGTTGGGGAAGTGCACTCATCGAGCCGTATAGTGATCGACCAGACACTTCAGGATCCCTTCTTGTCAATACTTCGGAATTGACAGCAGTGACGAAGGCTTGGGCGAACCATGGATTCCAGGTCAATATTCATGCTATTGGTGATTTAGCCAACCGATATGCCGTAGATGCTATAACTGCAGCACTTAGGGAAGTCTGTCCCGGCCAAAGCCCGTCGGAATGTCAAGCGCAAAAGCGGTTCCGCATTGAGCATTCCCAAATCATCCACCCAGACGACCAAGCGCGTATGCACTCCATTGGAATCATTCCCTCGATTCAGCCCACACACGCCACTTCAGATATGGTTTATGCAGAGAAGCGACTCGGTAAGGAGCGGACAGCAAAGGAAGAATATAGGATGCATTCCCTGCTGGATATTCACTTGGTCCTTGGAAGTGATTTCCCGGTTGAGCCATCAGATCCTTTCCAAGGTATATATGCCGCGGTGACCAGGAAGAACCCGCACACCGGACAAGGGACAAACGATTATCCTGACGGCTGGCACATGAGTGAGGCACTGAGTCTGGACCAAGCCATACGGGGGTTTACTGAAGGACCTGCTTATGGTTCTTTCCTAGAAGGAAAAGCCGGCGTGATAAAGAAGGGTGCATTTGCTGACTGGGTGGTTCTGGACAAGCCCCTGGAAGAGATGCACATTGAAGAGTTCCGATCTTTGAAGGTCCGTGAGACGTGGGTTGCAGGGAAGAGGGTGTATAAGCGCAACTGAAGACATTTCTGTCAATCGAGATCCTGGGAAGAAACGGCATTTGCGGTGTGTTGGACTAGACTTAGATTCGGACCAAAAAATAGATGACGTAGACGGTCAGGACAAGAAGCTAAGAGACTCTGAACTAGAGAGCGTTATGGACTTTTCAAGATCATGAACGGAGAATAAGACAATCATAAAGAAGCCTTGAGTTCCGCCATTCTCTCGATGGCCTGGTTTCTGACCTGCTCGACAATCCTACCAGCGGGCATTACGTTTTTCACCAAGCCTACTGCAGTTCCACTGGATGCATGTCAGTAACAGTTATGTAGCGAAGGCATGTGGAACGCAAACTCACCTCCAGTAGACATTTCGAGAATTGTCACCAGCGGCTTCAGTCTCCTTGTACTTTGCAATATTTTCCTCCAATGGCAGACCTGCCTGCTCATCCCGGATCGACGGGCCTGCGATGGCTCTCCCGTCATAAAATTTGGGCCAATGCGTCACTCCTTTGACACTGTCATGCAAATGTGATCTAGAAAATAGTCAGTGAGCACGCCACTCCGTTAACGCGAGAAAGGGCCATGCATACTTGACCGTGCTGATCCCCCCATCCTCAGCCCCCAAAATGACCTCCCTAGCATGCCCCGGCGCCGACGACTCGTCGGCAGCAATAAACCGCGTCCCCATAACCACCCCATCCGCACCCAACACCAACATAGCCAATAACCCGCTCCCATCCACGATACCTCCCGCAGCAAAAAGCGCAACCTCCTTCCCGTCAAACTCCTGCCGCAGCATCTCCCTCACCTCGGGAACCAGACTCACCACCCCGGCCCCTTGGGCCCACTGATGACCGCCCGCATCAATGCCTTGGGCTATGATCCCATCCGCACCGTCTTGCATAGCTTCTCGGGCTGCGGCTACGGAGCCCACTTGCACGAAGACTTTTAGACCCCAGAATTTGCCTGTTTTGTGGAGCAGGGGGATGAGTTGCTGGTGGGGGCGCGAGGAAGGGTCGGGCGCGAAGAGCCAAATTACTAGGGGTTTGTGTTTGATTAGGAGAGGGGGGATGGTGGAGGGGAAGTGTGTGGTGGTGCTGTGGTGGAAAGTGAGGAAGCCTATGCCGACGGGGAGGGGGGTTTCTAATTTGTCGTTGAGGTTGAGGATTTTGCGGGCTGTGAGTAGTTCTTGGTCAAGGGTTTGGAGATTTGCTGAGTCCGAGGTGAAGATTGATCCGCCGGGAATGGTGCCTGGTAAGTGTGAGTATATTGAGTATAAGGCAGGTAGGTGGATTGCGTGCAAATTCCGGGGGTGGGGCTGATGGTTGGAATGAGGTGAAGTGAGGGTTTAGTTACCGAGACCGCCGGCCTTGGATACTTCGGCTGCTAGGGTGCCGTTTGAAGTTGCTAGCATGGGGGCGCTGATGACGAGAGGGTGGGAGATAGTTGGGAACCACCCTTTCAAAAGTCGGTTCATGATAGCCGTTTTGGTCTTTTTACCTTGAGAACGATGTTGGAAGTAGTCATTCTTAGGTATTGGTGTTTCTGCGACAGCCGGTTATTCGATTTGCGGGGAAGCAACATTACAAACCAAAAGGCAATTGCTGATAACGTCACCCACAGGTCAATGCCCCACACGGGTCTTTGCCCAACTTTTCACGACCCCCCAACCTTTAATCTTAGATAGATCAACAACAGCCCGTATTCATCCAAGAAATTAATCAGAATTCTTTTCATTATCTGTTTCTACATCTGCCAGACAAGCTCGCGCATTATGTCCAGTTCCTCCGCAAATGCCACAGCGCCTAGCACCCGTTGCCCTCCTCCTTGTAGGACGACTACTTTCACCCTCTTCCTCACTTTCCAAACCCGTATCACCCCTAATAGCCCGTAGAACTTGTGAATCTTCTATATTAAGTGGCCCACCATACTGGATTTGCTTGTTTTTGGTTCTGCGACGTTTGCTTAGCACATGGTTAGTCTCACGAAGCTCTTCGTTCTCGCGACGCAAGATAACATTCTCTTGCATCATTGCATGCGTAGCCTTTGCAATCGAGTCAATTGAATGAAGAATATGCGTCGGATAGCTGTCTTGATGCCTCTGAACGCTATTCTTAATCAACGTTGACTGCGATTCGGCTTCAAGGGTGGTAGTAGGTGTCTTAGAAGTCCAAATAGGGGGTAGGAGTTCTGGGTCGGCAGAGGGTCCACGCGCGACTTCTGCGACATCCAGGGCAGATAACCCTGTCGGGGTCAAAAGGGACAATTCCAGCTGCTTCGAAACCAGATCTGATGTTTTGTTCAGTAAAAGCAGCGCCAAACGCCTCCAAAAAACCGGCAAGGAAATCCTCCTTCGCAACGTGGGTATGATGCTGTCGCATCAAACCCTCAACAAACACACCGTACGCCCGTTTCAAAACACTAAAAGGCACTAAGTCGAGAGGCTGGAGCTTATGGGACGAATGGGCAGGCATAGGAAGGGTAATGATGTCATGGTCCTTGCAGTATTGTTCGAAATCCATCGAGTGATGGCTTTCGTGACCGTCAAGGATCAGGAGGCGTTTGACACCCTTCGTACGATCGCGTGTGTGCAGATCGAAGTGAGCTGCCCAGCTGAGACCAATATCATTCGTTGTCCATCCGTTGTGGGATAGATCAACGACCCAATTGCCCGATAATGTGGTGTCGCGATACCACGAAGCGAGGTGAACTTTGGCCGCGAAGATGATGTACGGCGGCACCGCTCAGCCTTGGGAATTGGCCGCCTGAATGACAGTAACCCATTCCCTATTACCTTGCTGGGCTTGCCTAGGCCTTCCACGTCTTTCGGTACTCGTAACGACCATGCCGGTTGAGATCATGCCCATTAAAAAGCCCGTCTCGTCAAAGTTGTAGATATCCTCCGGCTGGATGCCGTGCTTCGCTATTGTGTCCGCAACACGCTTAAAATAACCGCGATACGCGACAGGATCTTCGCAGAATGCCCGCTGGTAATCGATTCGACGATTTAAACACGTCCGGAGGTCTGGTTGTCGCCGTACGAAGCTCGAGGCCCAGTTCTTGCCGACGGGTGACGCGTCGCGGTTGCGTCGGAGGATATTCGCCATTTCTTCAACGTATCGAAGCCGGGGAGGAAAAGTTCGCGAATCTAGCTCAATTACGCGTCGGGTAATCGTATTCTCTTCGGTTTCGGTCATTTTCCGTTTGGACATGTTAGTAATGTGTAATGGTTGTACGCCTTCATAACGGCGCTTCAATGTCTTATGGTCGACTTTGAAGATTTTACCAAGCTTGTTCCAACTTAGGTGAGGATCGCGTCGTTTATTTTGGATGGCTAATTGAAGATTAGCTTCACCAGATTTGCGTGCCATGTTGTGGAAGGGAAGAATTGTATAAGTAAAGATGGAAAGTCAAGATTTCTTGAAAAGTTGGGCAAAGACCCGTGTGGGGCAATGACCTGTGGGTGACGTTAATATTTAGGTTGATTAAGACAACTATTTGATCACGACGTCAGCACTAGGATAGTTAAATGCCGGTAAATTATCTATTGGTAGCTTTTCACATGTATGACTTCTATGTATATCTCGAGCCCGACCTCTAGATCTAACATGGAACAAAGTGGTGTTACGGCAATGCATAGCTCACTCTACTCGTCCCCTTCGCACGACTAATCTTCCTCACATTCGTCTTTCCGCACATCATAGTGCTATCCACATGCGTACCCCCACATGGATACGCCTCAGCACCCACAATATTAACCACCCTAAAGTTCTCATCATCCGTCATACCCATGGCCTTCCGGTCCGGGATGAGCCTCTCCAGCCCATGGGCTCGGAAATCCTCTTCATCCCACCAGTCAATCTCAACCGGCATATCCTTCTCCACGTAGGTATCCAGCCGCGTCTGAATTGCCTCCTTCCATTTCCCCTCAATCAAGCCCTGGAACTCGCACGCTGCCGAGTCCGGGAAATGCGACGCCTTCAGCTCGTCGAATCCGTCGATCTCATTTTCAAGCAGATGCCGCACCGCCGCACCCAGTACATGACCAGCTGTATGATACCGCGAGTAGAGCTCGCGCTTAGCGCTGTCGATAGTCTGTGTGATTTTATCTCCCGTCTTGAAGGCCGATGACGCAGCGATAGTTTTCTTACTGTCGTCTGTGAAGAAGCGGCCAAAGTGTATGACCTGGCCCTCGTTGACAGTGCACATGCGCACGCTCAGGACGTCGAATATGACATTGCCGCTATCGCTCTTCATGACACCCACATCTGAGGGCTGACCGCCGCCTTGAGGGTGAAATATGGTTTGTTCTGTGACCACGACATGGTCTTCGTCGGTGGCTTGCTTGAATAGTGCTTTATTGGTTTCTTCGAGCGAGGCTATTGATTTCACTGCCGTCACTACGGTTTGCAAAGTGTGGAGGTGAGCGTTGCGTTGGAACGCAAGGAAGGTGCGTTGCATTGTAGATTGCTAGTAATGACAGTTTGAGGAAATTTGTCAGCTTGAGGTGTGACGAAAAAGTGACTGACCACGGCATGCTCCAATGACACAGTTGACAGCTGTTGTAGCGCTTCACTTATTGCATATACTCGCATAGTACAACGACTCGTAACAGCGACTACAACGAGTCAACCGGGTCAGATAGCTCATGTAATTCCACAGCTAGTGCTTATTTATGTATGTATGTTAATATTGACTTTATGTATCTAATCTCCCGTTCAATGGGGATAAATACAGTACATGTTCTCAATAGTATATCACATAGGGAACTGCTTATTTTCTTACGTATTCGAGTAGGTGCAGAATAGTTATTTCAACTATTTCGCAAGAACAACCCAGGGTATTCTCAGCTAGCCAGTGAGACTGTGGTATATTTAATGATTGCCAACTGGTTCATTGCAGTGGATGTCTCGAGACATCCGTTTGCATCCTGATTACTCTACAGTGACAATGATAATACACTACTGTCCTCGAGCCCAAAATTACACCCGCAAAATCTTTGTTTTATCAGCTCAGGTCAGAAAGATGGGTGCGAGCATTTTGTACCAGACAGGTTTTGAAAAGTGTTTGACAAACCCTATCTGGCATTGGCGATTCTTGCACTGAGAAACGACGCATGGCAACATTATTCTTCTAAGGGACAGGTATAACCCGTCACGTCTGTTATGGAACAGAAATCTGGCCAAGCCACCGCATGTAGTGTTTGTCGTCTCCTAATTTATGGTGGATTATGTACCGGTTTCCTGGGCTAAGGGTTCTTAGAGGCTTACCGGTTGGTAGCCTCCCAGACGAAACCGTCCCGGGGTTTCGATGTCGGTCTTGTCATCCCAGCATTTTCGGAAGATTCTACTTCGGCCAGCATCAGCAAGGATGGGTCCGAATCGAGATCTTGAAAGCGGAGCACTCGACGGACGCTGGCCGGAACTGACCATCATCCGACATCTCGCCGGTGGGAGGCGGGAAGAGCTCGACGAAAATTACTTTTTCCTGGCGCCGTAGCAATTTTGGCTCGATGGACCAAACGGCCGGCACTGCTGTCTCGTTCTTCCCTTTCTTGCGCATATTTTCCGTTACATCAGTCCTGGGGCCGGGGTACAAGAGTCGGCTAAGGCTATCGGACTGCAAAGGCCGGAGCTGCTTCCTCGGATCACTTGAGATTCGATATAAAACTCTCGGTGTGCAGTCTTCAACTTACAAATGATCTAGAATCTCGAGGCAAAACAAGCCAAGTATACACAGCTAGCAGGCAAGGAAGAAATCCTCCAAGAGTTAGGACTTTGAGTCTGAAGTGCCGTACTCGACAAGCCTAAAAACGGCGGTTTAACTCATTGCTAACGCGGTGGGTCAAGGACGTCTGTCTACCACTTTTCATCTGAATGTCATTTTTGACCGATACTTCCCGAACTTCACCAATTCACAGCAATTTCGGAAGTATCTCTCAAAAGTTTGAATATAATGCTTAGAAGCATGTAACGAAAAAGCCAGAGTCGGCTTCGCAGCGACAGTCAGTGCCGGAATTTAAAGAGAATAACCGGGGATGAAGACCTTTTGTCAATTATGCTCATTATATTCGGATTTGATCGAGAATAATAAGTCCGCGATCACGTACAAACCCCATAGCACGCACAAACTGGCTGTCCTTGACCTACCGTGTTAGCAATGGGTTAAACCGCCGTTTTTAGGCTTGACGAGCATGGAAACTAACCATAAGTTAGAGGAGAACAGAAGTGAGCAGAGCTGTCGCAGTTTCAGTGCCGAAGTTCTACCTTGGCCCCACATCGGCTTGGAGCTGCAAGTGCAACGATGGTTCTCGCCATCCAGGGACCTAGTGAGAATGACGCGCCGCTGGTGTGAAAGCAGCTCTAGTGATTTTTCTTAGAGCTCCAATGTTCATTTGAATTCAAGCTGTGCTTCCGCAACGGTGCACCGCCGATGACAGCTTCAGCCATGCACAGGTAAGTTGACAAAGGCAGATCCAAAGTTGATATTGCATACAATCGCTAATCACCATCTAGTAGTCTTTGTACATAGCCATACTACCCATTATGCGGTCGCAATTGACCCGCCATGTCTTGCGACGCCTGCTTGCCCACCATGCCCTGGTGCCGCCATGCCCCGTCCTCGCTCGACCTACCCTGCGCGGATATCCCGTCATATCCCGTGTAACAAGGTCCTCTCAGAGGAGGACTTTCCTCGAATTCTTCAGGAAGCCTCCCCGGGCGCCCAAGGACCTCGAGATCGATCCCGGATACGAGATACTAGTGCAATACTGGAACCACAAGACAGAAGATCTTCGGCTCCCCTCAAATGAGGAACTGGTGGCAGCGTTTCGAGAATTTTGCAGGCACAAGAAGATGACCAGTCGTCAGCCACTCACTGCAACCCAAGTAAGAATTCTCCACAACGTCCTCAACCACCTCTGCCATCCATCGCAGCTTGACGGCGGCCTCACAGTGGGAGATCTGAGGACAGCGAGGGAGGTCGTCCTGATAGTGCCGCGGGATGACACGGACGATCATGTCAAGTTGTCTAAGTTCCTCTTTGCAAAAATACGAAAGATGGCTCAAGACAAGCGTCGGGAGGTGCGGGGGACTTCAAAAATGACGGATGAGGCAGAATATGCAGTCGACTTGGCGGTGCTTTTAAGAGCCTTGACCCAGTATGGAAGATCCACCGAGGCCAGGCAATACTTACTGGACTTCTGGGCCAAAGTTGGCCGAAATGACCCAAACATTGGATTGGGACGTACCAAAGCCCTGTGGATTCCTGTGCTCCGTGGTCTTGCACAGGAAGGCAACGAAACCCAATTACTGGAAATGCTGGACGCTATGGAGCAACAAGCTGGGCTTGCCTACAACCCGGGCGCCAAGGAGATAGTGACGACCTTCTATGCTCAAAAAAATGAGTTCCACAAGATGAAAGACTGGTTCACGAGACCAGTTGTGCCCGAAGCCCCTCCAACACCGAAAACATACCAAGAGGTGTTCCGGTGTGCGGTGCGGAATAACCACAAACCTTGGGCGATATCCTTGTATCAAGACGTCGTCAACGGACTCGAGTCACTAACCGACACGAAGTACTTCGGAGAAAGCATACTACTTATATATCAAGGCGCAGTCATTTTGCTCGGGAAGGGTGCTGATCACATTGAACACATGATGACGGCATACTCTGACCGACACCCATTTGATCCTAAATATCAGCCCAGCATTGAGACCATCAACGGCCTCATCGAAACCGCCGTGGAAAGGAACGATGCGTATCTCGCCGAGCGCCTCGTTTCCTTGATATCAAAACTAGGACTGAAAGCGAATAGACAAACCCACAGCCTTCAAATGGAGTACAGGATACGCACCAATGACTTGGACGGCGCCTTCTCCGCGTACCGATCCCTCCAGAACTTTGATGGCGACCGGCAGGACTGGCCGGCCTTGAATAAACTGATCCGCGCCATGTGTACGGCCCCGACACCAAACCACGAGAGGGTTCTCGATGTCGTAAGCCATCTGGAGCAAGACACGGCGGTCTTGGAGGCGGAAACGGTCGTGGCAATATGCATGACCTTTCTAAAGAACGATGAACATTTCGAAGTCATTGATACGCTATCACTTCACACAGTCAACTTTAGTCAGCGCGAGCGACAGATGGTATGCAAGTCCTTCGTAGGATATTGCTTGGAGACAAAGAACACCACAGCCCGCGTTTGGGATGCGTATGCGCTACTGCGTCAGTTCTTCCCAGATACACAGAACGAGGACCGCGTCAAGATTATGGACAGCTTCTTCCGCCGCAAACGGCCGGACATGGCTTGTTTTGTATTTGGCCACATGCGTCAAGCGAAGAACCCTGCCAACAGGCCGACACTTGATACCTATGTTCAGTGCTTTGAGGGCATCGGGAGGTGCCCAGATATAGAAAGCCTGAAGATTGTACACAACATGCTGAAGATGGATACGACCGTCGTACCAAATACGCAGTTACACAATGCCCTGATGATCGCCTACGCAGCATGCGAAGAAGATGACCGAGCACTGGACTTCTGGCAGGAGATCAGCAACTCGGTCGAGGGCCCATCGTATAATTCGTTAGAGATCGTCTTCAGGATATACCAGATCAACCACAACGGCGATAAGAAAGCAAAGGCTCTCTGGGAGAAGATGGAAAAGATGGAAATTGACGTACCCCCGAAAGTCTACGCGGCATACGCAGGGGCGGTGGCAGCACACAGCAATCCAGATGAGGCAAAGAAACTTTTGGTGGAGATGGAGGCCAAAGTCAACCAGGAGCCCGACACAATGACGTGAGTCTCCTTTCCGTTATATAGTTGTTCTAGACAACTCATGCTAACACTGAATAAGTCTTGCCGTTGTGTACAACCGCTTGGCAAATGATGAGCAGAAAGACGATTTTGAAAAGTGGGCTCAGGAAGAGTTTCCCCATATTTGGACAGAGCTGGCCAAAACAAAAAGAAAGCGAGACAGCGAGGGATTACGCAAGTTCCGGATGTCTCCGCCCTGGAAGGCGTAAAAATGTACAATACGAAATCTATACATAGACAATTCGCGCTATCTGTACATATGGATCAATGTCGCCATCGAATGGAGCTGTCGTACAACAGATACTTCGTCCCTCTGGCTGACGACTGATGTCCACTAAACCCTCAAGTGGTTGGTTCTTTTCCCTACAGGGGCGTTCTGCTGATATCGGCTGGAAGACAGCTGGGCTAGTATTTCCGGATGTCTATGGACACTCGGGTGCAAGCCCATCCCAATGGACCGTCGGATTGCCTTCGCCACCTTTCGCTGGTTCACGGGCCGCAGACCTGTCTGCTCAGAGCGCATGATCTTGCCGTGCGTGGTCATGTATTCTGATATGAATGAGAAGTTCTGTAGACGACATTAGCATTTGTCGTTCCAACATTAAACCAAAAAATCCCATTATCAGCATCCCTTTTCCCTTATTCATTGTAACCCCACCCGGTCCCCCTCTCTTCACCAACAAGACTAGTCCAACATCAGTTAAAAAAGTAAAAATTCTAGAACTCACCCTATACATATCTAGCGGTCTCAGCCCTAGCATATCCACCAAATCCGTCTTGGCGGTCGTGACGCGGCGCCACTTGCTCGCCTCCTGGGGGCTCAAGTCATGGGGCGCATAGAGGTCGCCCTCGCGCCAGCGCCGGGGCATCTGCCGCATGAAGTCCTCGGAAATATTCTTTTGCTGGAGCGCATCCAGGATTGGCCGCTCGCCCGCTGGCGGCTGCATCCTGCTGTACCTCTCGTTGTTGTAGGCCGTGAAGATGTTGCTTACCCCCTTGGTGGCGTTGCCGATGGGGTAGGTGCGCGACAAGTTGGGATCACCGGAGGGCTCGAGGCCGAGGAGATTGCTAGAGGCGGATGGGACGTCACGGACTGCGTGGTGGGTTAGCTGTATGATAAGAATATGATGGGTAGGCTTGATGGATGGGGCGGTCGACGGAGAGGCAAGGAGAAGAGAAGACGGGATGGGGACGTACTTGCTTGCGGTGCTGCAGTCTTGGAGATTTGGCGGGCTTGAGGTTTGAGCCATGATACCGGTTGCCGCAGGGCGCTGAAGTAGGGTATCCGGGGTGGCATTGTAGGCAATTGGGGGGAGTCTTCACTGCTGGAGTAGAAGCTGACGCTATCCCGAACCGCTGCTGCGAATTGTCTTTCGTCACAGCAAGCCAAGCTGCCCCAAAATTTGGTTCGCCGTGAACGGGTTCTTCCGCTTTTTATCGTGACTTATCTTATCGCCGAGAAGCAAAAGAGTGGGACCAACGCAAGAAAGTCCAAAATCGCACTCCAAGGTGACTTGGAGACCTCGAAATCATCGCGAACAATTCAAGTTGAGCGCAAACAGCTATACGAGCATTGCAACCGCAAAAATGGTCCGAAAATTAAAGCATCATGAGAAGAAGCTTCTGAAGAAAGTCGATTTCATCACATATAAGGTACGTATCCTTGCATCCCCAGTTCCATCACAAAGCTAACCTCTCCGGCTATTGTAGCAAGATAACGACCATCGAGATGCCGCCGTCATCCGTCGGTACATGATCCAGAAGCCCGAAGATTAGTGTGTATACTCCATTTTCACTCCAAGAATTACCGGGAATATCAGACTGATCAGTTCGTTTTCTACAGCCACAAATACAACCGCCTCTGTGGATCTCTACGTCAACTCGCCCATCGACTCTCTCTATTACCCCCCGACAACCCTGTGCGCCGCAAACACGAACAGCTGCTCCTGGAAAAAATGTACGACGTGGGAATCCTGTCAAGCACGAGCAAGCTGTCCAGCGTCGAGCATGGAGCTACGGTGAGCGCATTCGCCCGCAGGAGACTTCCCGTGGTCATGACAAGGCTCCGTATGGCAGAGACTGTGTCAGCGGCCACCAAATTCATTGAGCAGGGGCATGTACGAGTGGGTACGGAGACGATAACCGATCCGGCGTTCTTGATCACACGGTCCATGGAAGACTTTGTTACTTGGACTGTGGGCAGCAAGATTAAGCGGGATATCATGAAGTACCGGGATGAGCTGGACGACTTCGAGTTGCTGCACTAGGGGAGGGGTTGAGGACCTGGGGAGGTTGTACAAGGACCGGAAAGAGTTGGATCTAAGGTCCATACTTTGCATTGCTTGGCGTCCTGGAGTTTATCTGTTGGCCGGAAAAGTGATTCGCTTCCCCTGGGCTGCAAGAAAAGGGGCCCTATCAGTTGCGTATCGAAGTGAGACGTGACATGATTTGAGTCGTGATATACCCAACATAGAGAAAAGTAATAGTTCAAAAGATACATAGCCAAAGCGGTTATCATCTATTGACGTTTAAACTCATAGGGTTCCGAGATTACGAAGACGGCTCCAAGTTGCGTCTCCTTCCAGCAATTCTAAGTGGCTGTTTTCATGGCGTTGTGTCTGAGTTACGCTCCATTATTTTACCCAAACCTCAACTATCAGTTTGTGATGCAATCAGATTCGGTCTAGGAGAAGGAGTGTGAAGTGTTAACGAACCCCACTTGAGCCAGCAAGTCACGTGATCTCGCGGCCTTTTGGCGTCAGCTAGCTGCTGCAACGCGACTTCCCAAGTTCCCAACTCAGGCACGTATCCGAGCCCCTAACCAGTCTCCTAAAGTCGTCCTTGCCCAATCGATCACCCAAACAGGTGATAAGTCGCGGTGAGACGAGCCTGGCCCATCATTGCCGTCATCAGCATGGTTGGATCATCCGAAGCCATCGATATCTCTGATGACGATGGTGTTACTGTCTTGTCGCAATCGCTCGACCAGAGCGACGAAGGCCCGTCCAAGAAGAAACGCAGGGTAGAGACTGCGGCGGTACAAAAAGTCGGATGGACAGACGATTCAGACGATGTGGGGTATGAAGCCTTCAAGAAACGTAAGAAATATCAAACGAAACCTCGCAAAGCTGAAGGCAAGGGGAAAGCTGTCTCCCGAGGGTATCTCGCAAACAAGGGTAAGAAGGCACGGCACGCGTCTTCACCGGATGAGGATTGTGCCGAGAAACAGTTGCCTGAGCATCTGCGAAAACGTCGCGAAGCCTTTGACAAGAACAAGGCGATGCTAAAGAGAGGCGGGTTGCGCTTACCTCCGGACTATGAGGGCATATCTTTTTCTGATGATGAGACTCTCGAGAACCTGGATGAGAGGCCTCAATTTGATGAGATGAGCGGCATAAAACCATCCCGCGAGTATAAAGATGTGCCTCTCGAGCATTCGGCCGGCTTCATCCCTGCGTCCATCGCCCAATATCTCCGGGATTATCAAGTTGAGGGGGTGAAATTCCTTCATTATCTTTTTGTCTATCAAGTTGGTGGAATCCTCGGTGACGACATGGGCCTTGGGAAAACCGTACAGATCGCAGCATTCTTAGCAGCGGCGTTTGGCAAGACTGGGGACCGCCGAGATGCCAAGAGAATGCGGAAGTTCAGGCGTAATTCTGAACGTTGGTATCCTCGAGTCCTGATCATATGCCCCGGCTCTTTGACCCAGAACTGGAAGAATGAACTTTCTAGATGGGGATATTGGAATACGGATCTTTACCACAGTGTCGGGAAAGAAGATGTGCTTGACACTGCTCGAGCAGGCCGTCTTGAAATCATGATCACGACATACTCAACTTACAAACTGAATTACGACCAGATCAACAAGACGCCATGGGACGTAGTTGTCGCGGATGAATGTCATTGTATCAAGGACCCCTCAACCGGCGTCACTCGAGCGATGAACGAAGTCAACGCCCTCTGTCGCATTGGACTGACCGGCACTGCCATACAGAACAAGTATGAGGAACTGTGGACATTACTCAACTGGACTAACCCAGGGAAACTGGGTACCCTTGGAGAGTGGAAGCAATTTATTTGCAAGCCACTGACGGTTGGACAAAGCCACGACGCCACGGCCCAGCAACTCAAGGTCGCGCGTGAAACAGCATCAAAACTCGTCAACCACCTCTTGCCACAGTTCTTCTTGCGCCGGGCTAAAAGTCTGATTTCCCATCAGTTGCCAAAGAAGAGCGACAAGGTAGTATTCTGTCCCCTCACGGCTCTCCAGGAAGAAGCATACGAGAACTTCATACAGGATCCGCTTGTGGATTTTGTCAAGTCCGCGTTTGTTCAATGCGAATGTGGTTCCGACAAGAAACGAGGCTGGTGTTGCCATCAGACCACAACTGAGGGCGAAAGTTGGAAATCACTGGTTTGTAAGTGTCCTGGTTTGTCAAATATAGCATCCACCCCTCCGACGAATCTACGTAGTACTCATGACGTCTTATGAAAATAACAGCATCTAACCGCGCATATCGCAGTTCCCATGGTGATCTCTCTACAGAAGTTGTCAAACCATTTGACATTGCTGATTCCCCGTACTGCGGACACCAAAGAGAAATTACTCAAGGACCTCCGATACCTCAAGGCGGCTATGCCCGACAAATGGCAAGAGCTGTACAGCAACCGAGACTCACTTCTGAACATCGCCAATCCCGAGTACTGTGGCAAATGGGCAATCTTGAAGAAGCTCTTGCGCTTTTGGCATGGCAGTGGTGACAAAGTGCTGGTCTTCTCACACAGCGTTCGACTGCTGAAAATCCTCCAGTCCTTGTTCCATAACACCAGTTACAGCGTTAGCTACTTGGACGGATCTCTATCCTACGAAGAACGACAGAACACTGTTGACGACTTCAACTCGGACCCCAACCAGTTCGTATTCTTGATATCCACAAAGGCAGGAGGTGTCGGCCTCAACATCACATCTGCCAACAAAGTTATCATTATGGATCCACATTGGAACCCATCCTACGACCTTCAGGCCCAGGATCGAGCGTACAGAATTGGTCAGGTACGCGACGTGGAAGTCTACCGACTCATTTCTGCAGGTACCATCGAGGAAATCACCTATGCACGGCAAATTTACAAGCAGCAACAAGCAAACATTGGCTACACCGCATCCAAAGAACGTCGCTATTTCAAAGGTGTCCAACAGGATAGCGACCGGAAGGGGGAGATCTTCGGTATTGAGAACTTGTTCTCTTACCGCGGCGATCAAGTTGTTCTACGAGAAATCGTCAATAAGACCAACATTGCCGAGGCAAGAGTCGGAGTCAACCTCGTGGACATCGACATGGAAAAGGCGCTGGAAGACGACGACGACACTCAGCTGTTCAAGAAGGAAGAAGCGGACGATGCAGGCGGGCTGGGCTCACTGGCAGCTTATCTTACCAAGGATGAAAAGGAGAGATTAGAACTTAAGTCCGCTCAGAAATCCAAGACCGATCCGATTCACGGTATCCTCGCGTCAGTTGGAGTGGAGTACACCCACGAAAACTCCGAGGTAGTCGGCTCGTCCAAAGTCGAGGAACAGCTGTCCCGGCGCGCGCAACTTGAGGGCAGTCAAGATCTGAACCCCACGGGCAGAGCACTCTTCTTCGACAGCCAGGAAAATGCTGACGGTATGGGGGATCGCGATAGCCTCATATATCGGTATAATCCCCCGGAATATGTCATGCAACGCCAGTTTTGTACAATGGCCAAGACTTTCAACTTTCCCAACGCCACTGAGTTTGCCCTGGTCGTGGAAGGGTTGACGCAGGAGCAACGGAGAAATATGCTGGATATGTTCTACAAGAAGAGAGTAGAACGGCTAAAGGAGCTGGGCGAGGTGAAGTCCGAGGGAGAAGAGAAGCTTCGTGTTGATATGACGGATGAGTTGAAGGGGGAGACGAAGATAAAGGACGAGGATGAGAAGCAGCATATGATGCCGACTGAAAATGTGGTGGAAAACGAAATAAAAGATGAAGTTAGGGCTACGTCTTTCAGCAGCGACATGAAAATTAATAATGAAGAACCGGCAATTGTGATTGTCAATAAGCCATTGGGATCAATTTGGCTATCAGATAGCGAGGAAACGGATGAGTTGTGAGGCAACGGCATGATACCCTAGGATTGGGAGGAGTTGATTGGTTTGCGCATTACATCATTTTCTTGACAGTTTATAGCAAAATGCAATCTCTTTGCCAACTTTATCTTTGTTATCATGTTGCCTAGTTCGCGTGTGTGAGTATTTCCGCCGTCAAACCACCTTGCCGCCGCGTCATAAGCTCACTTCAAGAGAGGCGATGCCGAGCCTCTACGTAAAATGCTTCGAGACTACTCAAATTGAGCGGACATATGAAATTAATATTCATCGCACTTGGTTCTGGTCTTTTAGGTTCATCAAGCATGTGGTTCGTCACAAAATTGACTATTGCAGTTTGCCACAAGTGTATAGGTTAGTTTTAAATGACAGTGTTACCTCGAGCGTGGAACTTCACAGATCATGAGAACCCACAGCCCTCGGCGGTTGAGGCACAGGACATGCGGATATCTTATCTCTTATTAAAACAGGTCGTTGATGATCAGTCCTATGTGGTCTCATCGCTGATGGCAGCAGAAACTCGCATCAGGTAGAGGGGGGGGAACAATCTTGTACTAGCTATCACGTTGGGAAAAGAAAGAGAGGGGGAAAGAGCTGGCCAGAAAAACTAGATCGAGACTCTTTAGCCATCTATTCGTCTGACTAGCTCTTTCGTTGTGTCATAAGTGAGTTGGGATAGTTCGGATTAATGAAAGCCACTACTTCATCCTATCGCCGACAGAGAACGACGTCTCTTCAATGCACAGCTTATAGTGTACAAGTCGTTGCGTGATGCCATTGGCTGCAAATCGTAGCGTTTTGGAGTGCCTCCGAAATCAAGAATCTCAGCACGTATGCCGTTTCCGGAACAGCCTTCGCATTCCGATCTTCGGTTTTTTCAGCAAATAAGTTCAGTCCACATGTCCCACTTGAACCGTGATCGAGATCTTTGACGGATAGTCATCAGACTGAAAAAGGGTTGCAAAAGTCCGAAAGGAGAAATGATGTCAAGCTAGTGGCGCCTCAAAATTCCTGATTTGACCCCTGCACTAACAGCTTTCCCACATGTTTAAACGATCATCCAAAGGGTAAATAGGGCTGCGCAGGGATATATGTGTCAGATGGAGAAGTGTGAAATTAGGAAGGATTTTCCTCAGATGAAGGCCGAGTATACCGATATACTGTTCATTCTGAATAACGCGTGTCGTCATTTTGAGTCTTGTTGAACTTATCAACTACAGAAATCAGGGTTACTTGGACGATCGAGAAGGCCTCCCGTGTCGTAATTGGAGTTTGATGTTGGAAAAGCGCCGGGCTGCTAATGTTGGCCCGCCATAGCATTCGTCAGAACTCCTCCGTGGGTGTTCACCAGCTATAAGCTGATACTCGTGTTCATTCTGAAGTCAACTCGGGCTCGTGATCCACCTCTCAAAGCCGAGCCCATCTTCATCCGCAGAATCCGCAGGCCCCGTAGTGAGTGCCGTCCGTTTCCCTGCCAGTCTTTGAGATGTCAATTGCGCAGAAGCTTCTCGTCAAGCCATGTGTGTGTGTCCTGGTAGGCTGCAGGAAAACGCCGGTAGTTGACGAGCAATGTTTGCCAATACCCCTGTTAGCGCACCCCGCATTGCCGTTTCAGCGTTTTAAGCCACTATCATTGGACGGAGTAGGGCTGGCACCAACGCCACAATTTCCCGTCCTTGATTTTGGCAGATTTTTCCAGTGCTTGGGCGCAGGATGACCTCATACTTGGGCTGAAGCGCCTGGAAGTGCTAGTTTTCAACAAACAAGCAGACCATTGACAAGTCAACTCAATGAGTCACTCGTGATCGGGAGGTCGCAGCCAGTCCGTGCCGGCCCTTGGCCTTGGTGGGTAAATGTGCGCCACGTAAGCCATGCCACGGCACCCCGGGGATGAATCTCGTGCTCGGCCGTGGGTGTTTTCCATGGTAAGTGCTGCCTTCATGGCCGGGTACCACTGGCCGAATTGTCACCCAATAGGCATGATGAGTCCCCATTTGTGTTTGATTTTCAAGGTGAGCGTCATCGGCGCCAGTGATTCGGATTTTCACTCGATCAGCATCTGAATAAATACATACCTCGTGGCCGTCCTCCCATCAACTAAGTTTAAAGCTTTCCTTATAGCAGCCGCAACTAGTTTTTCTCAATAAATCACAACCAACAACCCACCCAAACCCAACGTTAGCGAAGGGACTAATTATCCTAGTACTATCAGGAACCCACCGCCAAAAATGGCTATGCTTAGCCTCCTCTCAATGGTCCTCCGGGTCGCAGAGCTTGTCTTCGCCTGCATCGTTGCCGGTGTTAACGGCGCCTATCTTCATGCCGTCGAAAATACCAGCTCCTGGGATCAAGCTCGTTTTATATTCGCCGAAGTCGTTGCCGGTCTTTCCATCCTCCTCGCCATTATCTGGCTATTCCCCTTCTCGGGTAGCTTTGTCCATTGGCCCGTCGACCTCGTTATTTCCATTTGTTGGTTCGTCGCATTCGGTCTGATCGTCAGAGTAAGTTCACTGCTATACCCATATATATAAACCATGGCTCGCAGAAGAGAAAATTTAAATAGCGGAAAAAGAAACTAACACATTGCAGCTTCTTGATGGCGCTTGCGGTTCAGCTTTCGATTGGGAGGGCATCAAATTCCGTGGTGTCAGCCAGTGCGGTAACTGGAAGGCCATCATCGCTTTCTCGTTCCTGTCGGCCATTTGTTGGTTGGTCAGCGCCATCATTGGGTTCATGTGGGTACGCGACCACGATAGGACTTACCGCCGCCGCACATATGGCCGCACCAGCCGGGTCTAAATATCGTCAACCATGGCACGAACACCGACCGACATGTGACAAGCTTGTCCACGACATGAACCAATTATCGTCACACGACCTGAGATGCTCCTGATTCACTCTTGTCGGTTTACGAATTCATGCAGCCCATTTTCTTGAGTGAATTTGGACATCCGAAGACAGCGGATAATTGTTTTACGACACGGGGAATTTGGAAATGATTGAAAGCCTTTTCTTGAAAGCATGGGGGATTGTGATACCATTCTCATGCAACTTGCTGAATTTATGAATATTGATACCCGCTGTTGCGAAATACCTACTAATTTATCCAGACATCTCTCTTTTATAATATGACCTATCATACCTAAGTTAAAATACGATGGAAGCTTTTACGAATTGCATTTTTGATCTATAAAATCACTTGATATATCATTTTAAATCCAGACGTGAACCACTCCACACTTAGCACGGCAGCATACCATTAGTCATGGACGCGTGTGGGGTATATCTCACCTGTCATAGTCAAACTTGCAGTCAGTGACTAAATCAATTCCTTAGGTGGAAGGGTGGAAAAAAAGAGACCGCATCTCGACATTGAAGTTGATATAGTACTCGAGATATCTATTTTGAGCAATGAGCGCATTAGCCTTACGGCTCGGCCTACGTACTCCAGCCGATTGATGTCAAGAAAACCATCGATAATTTCCACGATCAGCCAAACTCGCGAGAGCCATAGAAACCTGAAAGGTCATTCACCGCCCCTGCCAAGACCCGAAAACCAGCATTGCTTCGAAATGAGTATGGAAATGTGAAATTGCGTCTTTGGAATTTGCTGTTCGCTGTGGCTAATGATGGCAAGCGGGCCGTGCTAACCGAGTTTCCTCTCCCTTTGCCCCTTGTGCCGTGATCTCGTGCATTAGCACCCTCAGATCATGCCTCCTGACACGAAAATGACTCCAGTAAAACACATCATAAGAGCGTCACGGAAGCAGGTTTAAGCTGCGTCGTCTATGACGCACTAAGCCGCTCACTAGCCACAGCCAAGAGCCTCCAAGATCGACCTTGCGTCAACGGGGAGTCCACTGGGACCCCAGCTTGGTCCCTGCTGCTCTGCCGAACGGCCCCATGTGCGTTCCTGATCGATTTTGCAAGGATGACGGGCCCCTCCACCGATAGCGCCACCCACCCCTCCCCCGCTCCAACTTCAACGTCACAGCCACAGGTATCGTCTTTTCTCAGTATTTCATCATGACGTGAGCCTCGCCTGTCACAAAGCATGGCATTGGCTAAGATCATGATGTCGCCTTGGCCAGTAGGTTTACGCTGTGGCTTATGAATATGAACGAGTGACCAAGGACCGCAAATAGCCCTGGCAGTTCCACAGTTTCGGATATCTACCGGTCTTGACGGACCTTCATTGGGCTGGCTGAAAGTCGCGCCAGTTAGCAGGGATGGAGCTTAGGGGGCTCTCTCCGTAAGAAGTGTACCGGCTGTTTGGGCTACTCTTAGTTACTCCTTGGGTAAAATATGATGGAAATTGCTCTGGACTGTCGGAAAGAGCGGTACTCTACTCTAACAAAGAGCACTTCAGGCACTGGCCAACATGAATCCAGGATAGAGCTGCTTTACCCAAGGGCGATGACGAACCTATGATGACAGAGGGTTTGCAAGTACACTCAAGCTGTTTGCAAGCTTTCCTCATTCCTTGGAACAGGACGGACGAAGCAGGTGTCTTCCACAACGGGAAAGTCTCAGGACGCAAGACGACGCTCATTCACTACTTAAACACTCCAGTCGTTCCTCAAACTCTTATTGAAACCTATCGTAATATCATCATATTCAGCAACTCACCTCTTTCTGATACCCCCAAAACCTACTTCAAAATTATTACTTCAGCTATCTTCATCAAGTCAAACTAACAGCTACCACTCATCATGTCTTCCATTGTCAACAAGATCAAGGACACCGTGTCCTCGGACAAGACCCACGAGGAGCCTACTGGGACGCACGGCACCCACAACACTCGCGCAGCCAACGCGGCGGATCCTAGAATAGATTCCGACCGTGATCATCGTGCCAACCCCGCCGGTACCACTGGCTCTCACACTGCAGGCACCACCGGTGCTTACGAACAGCCAACTGGCACCCACGGCACTCACAACTCTCGCGTTGCCAACGCCGTGGATCCTCGAATCGACTCCGACCGTGACCACCGGGCTGCACCCAGCTCGGGCATCGGTGGGACTTACGGCACAGCTGGCACTTCAGGGCTTGGTGGAAGTCATAACATCACCGGTACACACGGCACCTCAGCTCTCGGTGATAACCATTCCAACATGAGCGGCACCCACGGTACCTCTGGCCTCACTGGCACAACTGGTGGCCATCCGCAGCCAACGGGCACTCACGGTACCCACAACTCCAGGGTTGCCAACGCGGCCGATCCCAGAATAGATTCTCATCGTGACCACCCTGCCCATCCAGATACATTCGGTGGTATTAACTCCGGCATTACTGGCTCACACTCCACTGGGGGCGCATCCCACTTTTCATCCACCGGCGGCCCTGCCCCCAACACCGAGGGGCCTCATAAGAAGGATCTCCTGAACAAAGCTGACCCTCGTATCGACTCCGACGCATCTGGTCACAAAATGGGCAACACCCACGGTGCTGTCGGTGGATCCGGTCGCGAGGGCATTGCTGGTCCCCACGATTCCAAGTACATGAACGCGGCCGATCCTCGTGTTGACTCCGACCGTGATGCCTCGCGTACTATTGGCAACACGTACGGTAGTTCTGGTACAACTGGTACTCAAGGGACTGGCCCTAATGTTACACATGGCGGCGTCGGCTCCGGTTCCCACACCACTGGCACTCACGGTACCACCGGTACTCACGGTAGTACTGGTGAACACAACACTACCGGTACCCACGGCACTCACGGCACTCACGGCACTCACGGGGAAGGTCTCCACACTCATTCTGGCCCAGCTCCCAACACTGCCGGTCCTCACAAGAGTGACAGTATTTATTCCCTACTCCGTCAATCTATGGTACGCGATATTAATTTATTTGCAGTTCTGAACAAGGTTGATCCTCGCGTCGATAGCAACCTTGACGGCTCGAAAACTTTCGGTGGCAATAAGACATTCAGTTCCTCGTAAGTACGTGATCATCACCGCCCCCACCTACGCCTTCAGCTTATCTAATCAAATTGCAGTTCGAATCGAGATCCTACCGATGCCGCTCAAGTCCCTCCGTCTGTTATGAAGCAACATTTTGGTGAGCCTGTCATTGAGCACGATGACAATACTCACGGGCGCGATCGACGTCATTCCCTTAAATCGGCGCAGGAACAGTATCGTGGAATTTGAACGGTAACATGGTTAGTTGAGGATGTTACATGCCGTGCAGGCAATAATGAGTAACGAAAATATCATCTATATCCCACAATACACAAATATTTCTACATAATACCCCATACTCATTGATAATATGTGTGAGTGCGTTACTTTTAACTCTAGCATCGTTCGCCCGACATTCAGCAAATAATTGCCAACACGCATAACTCTTAGAGATAATCTGTCATCGAACGGGATGGGATTTTCATGATAATATTTATAGAACTTCTTGAAAATAAAACGAACAATCTTCGCTTCATAAGACATGCACGGTTTCATTGCATGGTACGTTTTTCATGACAACTGATGTGTACGCAAGAAATTAATCATATAGAATATTGTCTGCATACTATAGCAAGTCAGTCGAAAACTTTAGAGTAGCTTACTTCTGTCATTTGGGGTAATATCAATGTGTCATTTGAGCCAAGGCCCCGACGACAAACAATGCAACCCATTCTAGCCAGAGCCCCTTGATTCTGGTTTGTAAGTCATTATGACCAGACTCAGAAATTATTTCGTGAAGACACCGAGAATGTGTGGGACACAGTGATGCCACTGCTCGCCAGGAGGTTGGCCAACATCGACCTTATCCCAAGGCCCTGCCTCTCTCAACCACTTCTCCGTCGGACGACACAACTGGCAACCGCCCAAAAAGTGAGGCCAGAACAGATTAGTGAATGCTGTCGATGTCATTAGCCCTCTGCCTGTGTCTCAATGTCATCATCGCATAGCAAACTCACCTTGAAATATCCTTATTCCCCAATTTCCCTCAGCCCGTACGTGTTCAAACACATACCACCTCCCCCCTTTTTTCAAGTACCCATAAAGTTCCTTGAAGTTCTTCTGCGGCTCGGGGATACTGCACAGACACAGAATGGAAACGATACAATCCACACTCCCCTTCTCAACCTTGCCGTCCCATTTGCTCGGGTTATCCAAATCCTCAATTCCCACGGGCACGATTTCGTAAACATCCTCGAGCCCAGCCTCACTGATCTTCTGCCTTAAACTCGGGTGCTGCTCCCGATTCGGCTCAACCCCATAGATGCGCGTGACAAGACCTCTAACACCACTCGTCCGCTTCACCACACCAGCCCCAGTCCCCGCAACTGCCTGTCCATCAATACTCGACGCCTTGCCCTCCCCCTTTCCCAAATCCCTTTCCTTAAAAACATCCACCCAGAACCCACTGCCGGCCCCAATCTCCACAACAACGCCCTCAATGCCGTTCCCTGTAGGTTCCTCCACGACCCTCCCGCCGCACGTACGACCCTCAAGCAGCGAAATCACCATCGGTTCCCTGGACAGCTTGATATTGGGCCCGGCCCAGCCCCAGAATCTGCCGAACCAGACGCCTTGCAGCTTGGAAGGGGAGAGGAGGATGGCGAGTTCGCGGTTCCGGAGGAGGGTGAGGATGGTGCTAGGGAGCCAGGAGGCGGATATGGCCATGAAGAGCCAGGGGTCCGCCAGGGCCCAGAGCAGGGTGTGGGTGCGGGCGAGGAGGGACGGGGAAGGGGAGGGAGAAGAAGACATGGTTCGGCTGAGTTGGATGGGTGAAGGGATCGATAGGGTGGTGGGGAAGTTCGTTGTGGATGGCGAACCTCCACAGGAAGAAAAGATAAGTCCTGTAGAAGTACTAGCGAGCAATTCAATTGAATTAATAGAGTCAATACAATACTGCTGGCCGAGTTAGCAAATCAATTTTTCATGGAATCTGGGAAAAGCCCGGGGAAGGATGAGCGCACTCTACCGAACTCGCATGAAAGACGAGAGGGGAGATGTGTGGGAGATGAAATATCGCGCTCCCACGAAAGTAAAGGGAATCTCTCTCCTGATATAGGCTATTGGATATATGTGAGCATTCAAGCCTGACCCAGTAAAGCTCTGGATAGTGTGACACCTCTTGAATGCTGATAGGCTGAAAGAACAACGTTGTTGCGCTGTGCCGCAACCTTGTCTTTAAACCTGATTGACCCGCACAGTGTTAGTTACTACCAAGCGCGTATAAGTCTCTCTAACAACTTACATACTAAGTACATGATGAAGTGTGATCTCAATATAATGACTCACTGTGTAAAGCGATCAGTAAGCTCTGGTCAAGGCTATCCAAGTTACAGGTAGTCGGACTCTTCATCCACCAGTGGATCTTGTACAATTCCTGAGTCAAGTAGTGGACGAGAGACATAGTTGGTGCAGGGAATCGAGCAGCAATTCGATTCAACAATAGCAAATGAATAATGAATTTCCAGTATCAGATTTCTTTTTGGAGCCGTGGACGTTAATTTTTAGAAGTATGTATGTGCCTTCGTCATCACTAATTGCCCTATGCTTCTCGGATCCGCACATGAGAGACTGTATTGTTGCTCTCGCTGTTACTAGAATACGGGCCATCGTGTAATACTTGAGCAGAATGGACACCGGTTGTTTCACTCCTCGGATGCTGCGCACGCTCTCTGCTACAAGCTAACAATACCCATACATATGAGATCTTACCCTAGTTCATAATACCGTGGCTATTGATGTGCATATTGAATTCTGTCTTTGGTTTTATATTGAAGCTATTTATCTCATGCTGAAGCCACGCCGCCCAGATATCCTATTCATACAAGATATCACATAGGCCTGGTCTTACGTTTGAGTCTCTTAGCTTTGCTTGGCTGCAACTTTCGGGCTTTTCATTGCCCACTTTGTGAGTTCTGCGAGATCCATACTCATCCAGTGCCCTATTAAACTTGAGGTGGTATCCTCGTCCTTGTTCTGAACTAATGCACACTGTCCGTCGTTCGCCATCTCTGGCCAGGGTCAGCAGGTTCACTGATCATAGAATAGTCAGCATGGTTCGTAAGGACTCCAAGAGCCTTCAAGATTGGCTTGATGACATCGAACCGTTTTTATCAAGGATATCCTTATCGTGCGAGTGTTAAGCCATGCAATGCATTTATCTTGCAGATGGGGTGTTTTTAGGCTATATTGGTAACCCAGAAAAGCAGTAGCATCGACATTGCGAACCCAACAGGGGCGCAGGCCAAAGTGGTCACCAGTAATATTGTTGGTATTCGGAGTCCACAAAGGCATACTGATACAAAGTGTTTCATCCTGATCGTGATCGTCAAGTCTCTTTGTTCTGCGTTTACATTTGGCGATGTTATGGCGCTCGTCTAGCGTCTCCATCTTTTCTGCGTTAGTCGGACCCGGCGACATAATTGAACGCGAGCACGGCAATTATATTTCATTATACCAGCCCTATAAGTGGGCTATGAGTGTCGGTGGAAATATAACCGTTAGTTTCAAAGTACTTGGATAATTGTGTTTGGTGTTAGATGTTCCAATATCAAGATTCAAAGGGGGACAAAGACTTGTTCCGTGTATGCGAGTCTCTATCTGAACCCGTAAGGTATGTAGGTATTGCATGCAAAGCAAATTCACGTATAAATGACCGGGATCGCAATAGGTACCGAAACTAATAAACGGTGATGTCTTCATGTCATACCGAAATCGTCCCTGCGATAACCCTAGGAAGGGCTTGTTCAATATTGTCGACACTTCTTACTACCAACACTGAAGCGCACGTGGTTCAGTCAAGCCATGGAGTCGAGCAGCTTGTTGTTCCCGAACTCTGAATCGAATTCCTGCTCTCTCATCACTTCCAGTGGCCTCATCTCTGCCAATACATTCATTCACCGCCAATGGCATGATCCAGCGATGATGGTTCTGAATACTCGGCAATTGAAACTAACCGATTCTTTGGCATCTTAGACCTCCTGTGGGTACCTAAGTACCATCAGTGACCCATATTGATAATTGAATACTCATCACAATCCCCGGCGCTTCGGTATGATTTTGAAACAAGAATCTACTAGTCCTGTCCATATAGAAGATACGGCACCTCGAGGAGTATGTACGAATGGTCCAGGCTTAGCCAGGTATGCCCCGTTCGCGGTCTGGCCATACTCTTCAGCGACATGATTGTCGGTACTAGCCGTGATAATTTCGTCCCAAGTGACCACAAATACAGTTGCAGGAAGGTATCCTGGGATGGTTTGATCAAAATGAACAAACACATATGTATTAGAACGTGTTTGCGAACGGTATCCCCCGGCGGCAATGCAATCATGACGACGATGAGATCATACCTTAAGGTATCGTGAGATCTCCGGGTGCCGAAATGCCACGAAATGTCACCTTGAAGATGGCCGCCAATGGCGAGACCAGCGGCCCGTCTGCCGGAACCCCGGTCGGCGACAAGAGTTTCTCGTCGTGTAGTTTCTGGTCGTGTATAGCCGACCGGTGAGTTGGTGAAAATGTCGATTGACAGAGCTTGGCAACTTTGGAAAAAGTACAATGTCCTTTCGCATCCTAGCTTGCACCAACCCATCCCAAGACGGTGTCTTGATAGATTCGATGGCAAGGCATAGTGGATCCGAGAACCCCCAAATCAATCTACAAAAATGCAGTTGGGGAGGTTATCCAGTCAGTTGCGCCTTGCGACGGGTTCAAACAGGAGTCCACGGACATAATGGCCTTTGCGTCGCAGTCGTTCAAATCGGGCGAGTTGAGCACCGCCTCAATTGGCTGACGCTCATCCCATACCATTTCTACGCGCTGTCCCTTTCTTCCCTCAGGACAATTTTTAGGCGCGCGCAAATTAGCTGCCACACCAAAATACACCATCGCACCCAATCTGACGGCACACAGCCTACCTCCCATCTTGCATCTCTTACTCCGCCCTTCGCATTTCTGTTCTTGCTGATCCCGTTCGCCCTTCGCATTTAGTCCTGTCGCCTGGGGTGCCAACCTCTTGACCACTGAGAGGAGGGCAAATTGCCCAGGCGCGGCCAATGAGGACCGCCGGCGACCACACAAAACGACCTTTTCTGGGCTTTCGAGGGAAATGTCCCACGCAATGCCGTCCGCATCTTGCTGCAGAATCTAAGCCATGACGCACCCTGGGTCGGATAACTTTTGTACTGCGTCGACGATGGTACCTGGCGGCGGCACTGCGTGCATGTCTCTCATTCGGAGCCGCTTACTTCCAGCATTCATAGCCCAATGCTACCTTTTCATTGTCGACGAAGAGATACTAGTGGCCTGCCTGGCTATCTGCTGATGCGGTGCATTATGGATGCCGTTGTAATGAAAGCCCAGCGGCCTTCATTTGATGACCCTTTCCCTTCCCGCGCGTTCCTGTCGTAGTTTCTGCTTGCATTCTGCAGCAAATCTCCTTTCCTTTTTTTTCTTCCTTCCATTGATCTTTGAGGCTTCTCTCTGACTATTCGGTTTTCTTGCGTATTCTTTTTGAGCTCTGTCCCGTTATTAGACCCGTGCATACTCTTGTTTGTTGGCTGTGTTAGACTACCATGTGGAGATGCTAGCCGTCTCTCCGAGTCCATCTTTCTATTCCCTAGGTAAGTCGCATGATCAAGTCTTCCTATATATCCTTGGCCCGACCGCATCTTGGACCCGGGTGGCCTCTGAAACGGGGTACCTACTCTTCTCGTGTCTCTTCTCTTGTCTCTTCTCCATGATTTATGTGGAGGATCTTCTCTTGGTTTTCATCTTTGGCATCTCCGGTCCCAAGTCTAAGTCATGCTAAGCCCTGTCCGCTTGACATGATGGACACAGCCGTTGAAGAATATCAAACATTGACATACCTCCTCAGATGTTCTATAGAATGGCCTTCAAGCCTCTGCTTCATCAGCTGTTAATATGGATCTCGATATCGACCGCCCACGGATACATGGCCCACCTTGTTAGCCAAGTCAGCGCCTTTATACCCGACTGTGCTCAGGACTGCGTCGAATCGTTCATAGAACTCAATTTCTTGTCGACGGCTTGCGGGGCGTCTCCTTCTTTACAATGTCTGTGCTCGCAACACACACAAACTGGGTTTACGATAGGGGAGGGCGCTGTTCAGTGTATCGTCGCCTCGGATCAGCTTGGGTATTGCCGCACCGGTGAAGTCGACGGTAAGAGTCGTGCTAAGATGGCTGCTGCATCTCTTGCTGATTACCTACAGCCACGGTCGTCTCCAAAGCCTATAAGATGTGTTCAGGTCAAGTGAGCGCACTGCCCAATACCCATCCAACACTATCGGCCACCCTGGTGGTTCCGACTTCTGGGACGGGAATCATCATCATTGAAACTCCAACTTCAACCAGGACTTTGGTTTCGGCCACGCAGAGCATGTCGAACTCGGTATCCCGGACATACTCAGCCAGTCCAGTGAGTACTGCTATAGTACCAACAACATTTACGACTTCGAGGATAACGTCAACACAATCCGCACCGCCCTCGCCATCCTCGTCGTCGACAACCGCTGCTGCAACTGCAACGACAGATCCTCAGCCCACCGGAGCATCAGCGCCAGCCCCTGCTAAGCTTGCAACAGCTCAGATCGTGGGAATCTCAGTGGGCGTGGCTGGAGCCATTGGCCTGGCTTTGTTGGCAATATTCCTAGCCCGACGTGTGAGGAGGCGTCAGTACCCCGAGTTCTACGATGATGGATTCTTCCCAATGGATGAGAAGAGAAACAGTAGTTCCTTGGGAGGTGTCGAGGCAGCAGCCCAACGCCTCTCGAGGATCTTCCACATATCACCTCCGATCTTGAGAAATCAACAGTGGCAAGATACCCCACCCCCGCCACCTTCTGGGAGCGCTGGTGTCGACCGTAGCACCATCGGTCTCGCTATATCTCGCCCCCGAAGCGATATCGCCCCGGTGCAGACACCACCCCCGGTAGCCCAAAGACGATTGTCGAAACTCCTTCCACCCAAGCCGGTAAGGGCAGTGAAGCCCTCACTGACATTGTCCATTCCGATAAAGTCCACTTTGCGCCCTCAGTCTTCGCAGCCGCCACAGACAGACAGGACAAGTACGATGACCAACATAACGGCCTTCGCGGATCTGGACACGGAAGCGGCAGAAGGAATGCAAATTTGGCGCCCACCCCCATCGGATCCTCAGTCAGCAACGACTTATTATGTGGCCGACAGGTGGGGCAACTGGGTTCTAAGTAACGACTATCGCCAGTCACAACTTGCTCAGGTTGCCGAGGCGGCCGAGCTGGATACGTACACACCACTGACCAAGTCGCCGATCGAAAAGAAGGAAGAGGCTGCTGCCATGGCGGCAGCGATATCTGCAGCATCCGCCAGGCCGGATGTTTCTAGGCCAAAACCTGCGATGATGCCGAGGAATGTTGCCGACTCCAGTATGTCTCGTACTTCGAGCCTGTACTCGCAGGCCAGTGCTGTGCGTCCAGGAGTGAAGCCACTCGCTGCACTGGCTAGTCGCAGTAACAGCGCTGGACGGAGGAAGGGCCGTTCGGATTCGAACGTTTCGCAGGACTCGGCAACTACCATCGCCACGTCGTCTACCAGCGCATACGATGAGGACGAATATGTCGGTGGCGAGGCGGAGCGTGGTCGTCTATCCCAGGCCGCATTGTCTCCTGTCGTGGAATCTCCACGGACCCCAACCGGGCGTTCCCCCGTCAAATATCCCAAGATCCCGGGTCGTTTAGACGGTGCAACACTGCGTATCGTACCACCCCCGAAACGCCCGGATTTCACGGCATCACCACCCGGCCAACCTAGTCCGACGCTAGGTGCTGTCCAGCCCGTGAGAGGTTCGCCGTCGGCTTACCCTCCGCCGCTCAACCCGAGACGTTACTCAAATCTAAGCACCATGGATAACATGAATAGGCCCAAGCCACCCGTTCAGACTTCGGGTTCCGGTTTCTCTCCCCAACCTCCATCCAGACCTACTTTGCTGAAGGACATGCCTGCCTTCCCTATACCCCCACTGAACCCTCCCAAAGGCAGAACATCCCGAGACCTATCCAGAAATCCACCTAGACTCGACACACGGCAGGTACCGCGCCCGCACATCGCCTCTTTCGCATCGCCTACCAGCGCCGCAACCACGAGCTCCGTGGCCAGCTCCCTCCTGGCCAAACGCAGGGGCAGCCAGAAAGCCGTGGCCATGTCGCTCGAGAATAGCCAGAAGGGCCAGCAGTGGATGCGGCAAGGCGGTCGTGGCGCCGACGGACTCCTGAGTCCCGACGCCGCTGCCATGATGTCGCCACGAATGATTGGGGGTCTGCCCGCTACACCGATATGGCAGCCCAAATTGACGCCTACGCGGAGGGGTGACGATTTGTTTTTGAATGTCCAATAGAGCTTTGCAAAGCTTCGAGACAGACCCGATAGTCTGATCGTATCATTCCCTATGTTTCAAGTCCTTCTCGCGCCAAGAATTGTCGCTACGGCAGCGTTGCACGATGGAGATACCCACTCACTCACGACATACTTTATGTACTTATTAGACGTTTTCTTTTTCCGATGGGCCAAAACTTCTCTCCCACCGATTTCTTTTTATCACGATACTTGTACTATATCAGACCTTGGAATAGGCATGGCGCTGGTGTTTGGGGTTGGTAGCATTTGTTGACGGAGCATGAAAAGTGACATGCCGGAGGCTGGGCAGGAGTTCAGGGGTTTTTTGCATCTTGATGTTTCGATGGAATAGGAAGGGTTTGGGTTGATATATAATTAGGGAAAGACGGAGAGATACCCGATGATAAAGACGTTTTTTAGGCATAGGCATATATATCTCGTATAATTTGGAGTTGAGAAGGGGATACTTTAGTTCAAAGTCGATAGATTCAGGACTGGGATCAATCAAAAAACATCAAGTGTAGCTTGAAGCCAACCATCTTGTGACAGTCGGAGGAGGTTACCCGGGAAACTGTGGACCTGAACTTTGAAGGTTCTTGGTGGGGCAGACTTTTTTTTTGCCAAACTAACGACATGTAAACTACTTTCCTCTGGAGATCGATCGTAACATCGGAAAGCCACCCAAGCGTTGGACATTTGCTGCCGCCGTACAGAGGACCGAGGCGATTGAAGCACCTCGTTGCCACTTCTAACACTTTCCCAACCTTCCAGTCCCCCCTCTACCACCACCATCGCCAAAGAAATGGCCCAAGGAACCATCAAGAAATCCGCCGCCAAGCCCCCAGCGGCGTCTTCGCGCCCCGCAAGCGGCAAGACGAAAAAGGGCGCGCGCGTAGCCAAGTCCAAGAAGACGACGACGGCCGACAAGACGCAGAAGAAGCTCAACGCGGGCATGACCATCAAGACGGAGAAGTTGCTGGGCGAGCGGGCCGGGCATCTCGAGATGATTGGCAAAGGACGCGATAAGGGCGGGCCGAAGAAGGAGGGGGAGAAGGGGAAGGCTACTGGTGGGGAGAAGAAGGTACAGACGGGGGGATCGAGGAAATTTGGTTGAGAGGGTTAGAGAATATGATACCCAAGAGTTGGAAGCAGACTACAAGATGCCCCGTGAGTGGCCAAAGTCGGAATGCTCGCGCGGCCGGCTAGATTGAGAGCAAGACTTGGTCCACGGTGTTATTTACTCCCTGAGCGGTTTATCAGGAGACGGTTATTGACGCCAGAGGAGCGACGGTCTCGAGATCGTCTTCGCCTGCTGGGCGTTCGCAGAAACCCGAAGGGAAAAAACCCGAAGGGGAAAAACACAGTACAGAGGTGGATTACAGCCTGTCTCTTCAGGCATTATTGATCACGCCAATCTAACGCTACAAGGTCGTGCAAGAGTCCTGGCAAAGCAAGACGTGGAACCAGAAGTCTGAAGGAGCCGGTATCACAGGGCTATATCATCAAATACATTGTATTCACGCATATTCTCCTCTCATCGACAAACTATTCCATTGTCATGACCCACCTCTGACATTGCAATGGCATGTCTACCCATATTTTCAGCACTAGGATTATGTCGATCCGCCCTGAAAGACAACAAGGAGGAAATTGGCGTTACCCAGCCGATGCTGGAATAGCGAATGAAGTCTGGTCACGGTCGGGCACACCCTCCTCGCCCTATCGCTTTGATGCACTACAAGTCAAGAGGCCCTCCATCAGCGGCTTGCCCATGAGGGCATCCTGGGTTTCGATTGGCCCGAATATAAAGAAACGTCAACTTGCATTCTGCAACACAGTCATATTTCAACTTGGAAATTATTTTTCTACATGCAGTCAGTCTTCTGGAGAAAACTCACAGTCGAGACACTAAGCTGAAGTTCTTACATTTGCCTGGCATTCTATCAGAACGGCTGAGGTTATTGACTGTTGTGACACGAAAAGAACCTTGAGTCGAATGGGGTTATTTTGTGACCAGTAGCCTTAGAATAAGGGAAGAGCTTGTGGTGCTCAGAATTCCGGGCAAATGAAAACCACGAGATGTTCTTGCATGGGGAAAATTTGGTAAGGCGCCCAGCTATTTGGTACTTCAGGTATAGAGGTTGATGGACGCAACGAAAAATAGGGAAATGATTGTTTCCAGGGGAGATTACGATCACCAAATGCTGGCTTTCTGGTCCGGCTCCGACTCACCAAAGTGGAATACTTTATGGATTTCTTGTAGACACGTTTGGACAGGTCTCTTGGTTCTTTCCTAGATACTCGAAGGCACGACCTGGTCCACTTTTATCACCTCTTACGTATGGAACGACATAGCACCAGATCGATGGCAAGATATTTATTGAGCAATTGAACAAAATATGTTCTTGGGTTACAAATTATGTTTTACTGCGGAATCTGCAACGCCAATTCTCATCTTTTGCCAACGACTTTAGCTGACTTTGCAGTTGGAGGGTCAGTAATGTGAACTCGCTTCCTTGGCATGGTGCAAGAGGCGATACAGTGATACGTAGTGGGGTAGAAAGATATGAAAGCCTGAGAAACAGCCTGTTTACTCGGGGTTCGTGGGCAGGCTTCGGCTACCCCCATCATGATGTAGTGCGGTTAGGTGTCGACAGTTGAACATGGGCAACAACAGCAGGAGCTCCAGCTCTTGAACTGCTTCTTCAACTTATGGGTCATCTGTGATATCCAGGTCCTTTCCAATGACAACCTTCAGGTGCTTGTTGACAAGAATCAAAGCCGAATACTGTAGTCATATGCCACCCAGGCTTACTTGTGACTAGTGTACGGACTCTGCTATCTTTAATACATTACCTATTCCGCGCAGAGCACTGGGCCGATGTCAAGCCAGATTCCTTTCCCCAAACCTCATTGTTTGGATTTACGCATTTCTCTCACCTCGGCTGAACACGTATCACTCAAAGCTTTTCTACACGCCACCGCATTCAAGGTGCGCAGAGCTAAGGAAAGGCTATGTCGTCAGGGCCATTGTCCCGACGATCGAATTAGCGTACACCCACTAGCGCATTCCTTTCCGCAGTTTGTTGGCCTACGGCTTGTGCATTATGCCAGTATGCACTGCATCATGAGCATAGGGACCTATATCCACATTCAAACCCGGGCATGGACTAGTTCAATTGACGACCACGTGGCCAATTACGGCATCGTGAGTATAGCTAGGTCCTCGTGGCCATCTAGACCGAGTCGACACAGTGTGCTCTAATCCCTCGTTAATTCGGATGATGGGATTGGCTGAAGCTCGTCAATCGAAACAGTTAGGTGAGCCGTCATGACGTTCATGAGTTGAGGCGCCCTCTCAGGCCTCAAGGTAGTACACAGGATGCGGGAGGGACCATCTACTATGCGGTCAGAATTGTCTGCCCTCTATTAAAGCACAAAGAACCAGTGCTGCTTGCAGCAAAATAGCCAATCAAATCAGAAAGATTGCGTCGATTTCGACTGTGATACGCCGTCGTTGGATGATTTGGGAATGTTGGAGGTCTGGAAATGATATGTCAAGGATATGTCAAGGATATGTCAAGGATATGTCAAGGATACGTCAAGCGAGTTGTTGCACGGTCCGCAACATCCTTCGTATCTTCCGGCACTTCTGGAAGTCGTACAGGGTCACGAGTCCCGTGCCCGCCATCGCCGATGCTAGTGCTGTTTGGGGAGGGCAAGGCGTCGCACATCGAGAACAAGTCGCACTTTAGCAACGCCAGATCCGTTGCCAAGGACCTTGTCTTCTTGGCAAGCCAAGACGCAGATGCTTGATTTTGGTGACAAGCACTATTGATAGCAAGACCCATGCATGCTGACCTGCTGAAGACTTCAACCACAACAACTATATGTAGAATATCGATACTCCCCAAGCGAGGTGAGCTGGGGGACTTCTAGCGCGGCGACTGATGATATCAAAGGGGCCATAGGAGCACAGTAAATACCAAGACGGAACGGGGTGTATTTTCTCTCCAGTTCGAAGTTAAGCGGATACGACGTGGAGAATTCCCCTGGGAACGGAGTCGATGAGTCGATGGATATGGAGATGATGGAGACTATGGAGACTATGGAGACAATGGAGACAAATGCAGGTACCGAAAGCAGGCTTTTGTTACCGAATGACGGCATCGAGATGCAAATAGAAGAGAAACCAAGTCGTTAGCAAGTGGCACTGAGCATTGTCTTGAAACGGTTCGACGGCCAGTGGTATGACCGTCAGACAAATCTGGCGCATACGATCGCCGAAATTTGCTTAGGCGTGAAACCTCCAATCATAGGAGTTCTATCAGATGAATCGGCCGTGGAGAAGGGATCAATCAGTGGGAAACAAATCCGTCCACCCCAGGGCCAAAACCGTGGATCACCTTGGATACGAGACTGTGGGTAAAAGATGGTGCGCTGGGCATCCCATCGCTGGAGAAATCACGGACGAGCGGTTAGTAAGTTGGCAAGTTAAGTTTGGCATCAAATGAAGCTGGCAGGCTGGGAAGTGATTCAAAACCCTGCCACAGACGATCGGCCCGTCAGGGGATCAGGTCTGAAGTCGAAACTTGAGGCAGTGTTGACAGGCCGAAATATGCAAATGGAAACATTTGACTGGCATTCACGTGTGTGAGAGATGATGATTGACAATTAAACCGACAGCACTTGATTCGCCGCATCCCTGCATCCCGGCCAGTGGCGCCCTGTGGAGGCAATAAGGATCCACACCATCAACTTGTTCTTGCTATTTACACCCTCCATCAGCAGAGACGGATAATGCAGACATTGCCACGGTGCGGCAAGGCTAGAGGGAACTGCACAGTCTCGTACAGCCAACCGTCACTCACTCATGGTACCTCTGCTTTCGAGCTTCTGGGCCGACACCCTTCAGCAATCTTACTGGAAGCGCTTGCAGCCAAAGCGCATCCACCTGCCACTAATGCCAACATGCCCGGTCTTGCATTGCTCGAGACGGGCAACCACGCTCGTGTTGAAAGCCAGTTACTATGCATATCACGAAATTCACTTTTGTGGACATACCCCCTCTGCCTCCCTGTTTTGGGGCTGACGGACCTGCCTCTCGATTTGTGTGACATTCGGCCAGCTCTTTCCTTTTTCTTGCACTGGTCTCCCACTTGGACATAAACTCGTTCCTTCCCCCTTTTCCCTCCCATATTCACCATTCCGATCGCTTATAGTTAAGTGTCTCACTCGACGATTTCTCCTCTGAGCAACTCACTCGCTCTTGTTGCTCTTCTTAATCAACTTTGTAATTCGACCTCAACCGGGTCTTTTTTTGTGACGGCTTCCGCATCCCTCACTCTTTCGGGACCGCGACTACTTGGTTTTTCTTGCCCACGACACCAACACTACAATACCAATTGGAACTCGAGCTTTCGGATTTGATACCAATTAGTCACATACTACCAAAACAAAGATGCGTTCGTATGCTCTCGCCTCCGCTCTGGCGGCTGCCTCCCTTGTGAGCGCCAACCCTACCGATCCCACCAGGACCACGCCTCAGCTCCCCAAGCGTGCATCTTCCCTTCCCGCAGTCACCGCATCCGGCAACGCCTTCTGGGCCGGTGATGACCGATTCTACATCCGTGGAATCGACTACCAGCCCGGTGGTTCGTCTGGAATGAAGGACCCCCTGGCCGACGAGACGGTCTGCAAGCGAGACATTGCCGAGTTCAAGAAGTTGGGCATCAACACTGTCCGAGTTTACATGGTGGACAACTCGGCCGATCACGACACATGCATGCAAGAGCTGGCTGATGCCGGCATCTACCTTGTCCTCGATGTCAACAACCCTCTGTATTCCATCAACCGTGACAAGCCGGAGCCGTCGTACAACGCCGCCTACCTCCAGTCCGTCTTCGCCACCATTGATGCCTTCCAGAAGTACGACAACACGCTCGCCTTCTTCTCGGGTAACGAGGTCATCAACGACAAGCTCAACTCAACCCTCTCTGCCCCCTACGTCAAGGCTACCACTCGTGACATGAGACAGTACATTGGCTCCATGAACTACCGTGCCATCCCTGTCGGTTACTCGGCCGCCGATGTCAGCAACAACCGCATGCAGACTGCCCACTACTTCAACTGCGGCACCGACGATGAGCGCAGTGACTTCTTCGCCTTCAACGACTACTCGTGGTGCGCTCCTTCATCCTTCTCACAGTCCGGCTGGGATGCCAAGGTCAAGAGCTTCACTGGATACGGTCTGCCCATCTTTTTGTCAGAGTGGGGTTGCACCACCAACGGCCGTACCTTCGAGGAGCTCAGCGCTCTTATGAGCAGCGACGATATGACCATGGTGTACTCTGGTGGTCTGTTGTACGAGTACAGCAAGGAGGGAAACGACTTTGGTATCGTCGACGTCTCGGACTCTTCCAGCGTCTCCGAGAGTGATGATTTCAAGGCATACTCCAGTGCTCTGGCCAAGTACACCGCACCTAGCGGCAATGGCGGCTTCACCTCGACCACCAACTCGGTTGCCTGCCCGACCAAGGACGCATACTGGCTGGTCGACTCCTCGGCCCTCCCTGCCATCCCTGACGAGGCCAAGTCGTACATGACGGCCGGTGCCGGGACTGGCCCTGGTCTCAAGGGTGACGGATCTCAGAACGCCGGCTCGACCAGCACTGGAACGGCTTCCCCCGGATCTGGATCCGTGGCGACCACTGCTTCGGCTTCTGGCGAGAACGTTGCTGGACGTCCCGCGCCGCCCATGGACATGGCCATATTCGCCATTGCTGGCGTCTTTGGCTTCTTCACCCTCGCCGGTACCCTCCTTCTGTAAATAAGCGGACCTCGCATAAATCCACCCACGTGGACAAATGGTCTCGTCTTTCAGAATAGACCCGCGTGTTCCCGGTTGTCGTTTGTTGATTTGGAAGGATTATGAACCCCGTGAGCGGATAGACAGGAAATGGCGCTTTAGGGGATGGCGTGGTTAGCAGCCACTTGATATAATTCAGCACTTGGCCACTAGTAAAATCTAGGTCGTGGCGCGTATGTGTACACAATGATAAGTCAGGGACTTAACACAGAGTTCAAGCTCTGAGAATATGGAACTACGGAATGGAGAAACAAAAAAAGACGGCGGTGTGCTGCCCGTTGGTAACGTTCTACTGACTCACGCATGCGCAGAGGAACTGGAATTGCCGCTGGAATTTGCTGGCTGGTTAATTACACAGTGTGTCGTGCATAAAAGTTCGATAATTAATTATTCTACCAAGTTTCCTTCGTATTGTGTGGGCTAAAGTGAGGTGTTCGCAATGACTCGAAGTGATCGATGGAGTCCCCAAAGTACCGATGAACACAGGGCGGGAGGTTAACCTTGGGTGTCAACCGTATATGTACTTGTAGTTATGCAGAGCCATGGACCAAAGTAATCCAGTCCAACCGGCCTCTTCTATATACCGCAGGTAATGAAATTTCATCGCAGTACGTCACCAGTCATTCCTGCTACGACATCGCTGGCGTCTCGTCAAACCAAGCATATTTCATTTTGTGCAAGGAGATATTCGTTCCTGGCTGCAACGATGGTTCAGATGCGCCTTTTCAGAGTTTGAGCTTAATCCGGAGCCACCAGCGAGTGCATTATTCAACGAGACTCTGTGATACCACCGCACCAGGGATTATACTCTCACAATGGTTGGATATTGACCACGCATGTTTCTTGTGGTTTTTCAGCCCAGGCCTCCACCCAGCCAAATGCATAGCATCGTCATGGCGGCCGAGGTTGGCATGCATGTTAATCAATGTATTTACCTCGCTTGGTTCCAGCCCCGACCCGCACTCTTTTGGACGCAATGTAGCTTAGCTCAGTCTTGATACCGGCGTCCATCGCTCATGAGCTGGTACTCGTCTTCTCATCCCGGAAAACAAAACATGCTATTCACCTACCTCCAGTTTCCTCCCGTACGTGACTTGGACCCAGGCGTATGGATGCAGCTTGTTGGATCGGAGTTCCTTCCGTATGCAAGCCAGCAGAAGCTGGACTCGCTCGGGGGCCCATTTGAGCTGTTGGGTTAGGAGGTACATGGCGTATCCTGTGTTTTCAACGTCAGCAATTTTTTGTCTTCGTTTCTTTCGCTCTCTCCCCTGTTCTGTCTCCCCATTTGTCGATTGGGCTGATAATAACGCGAAGATAGAAAAACCTCACCCTCGAGCCCCTCCTGCGCCGCCCAATGCTGTATCGCCCCCACCTCCCTGAGCCGCTTGTCCGCGGGCCATGCCGTCAGCGGCAGCCGGTATCTCCTCTCGACGACATCGACGAAGCCGGCGGCCTTCAAGCCGGCGGGGACGATGCCCCGCTCCACCACGTCCATCGGTCGGCCCATCTTCCGCCCGGCCTCGTGGAAGATGCGGCCCCAGTCGTAGCAGGCCATGCCGGGCGCCACGGACCCGTCGTCGCTGCTGATGACGACGCTGCACTCGAAGTCTTCGATGTAGCCCCCGGGTTTGATGCATTTATCTGGATGACACGGGGGTTGTCAGCTTCGTTTGTGCTTTGGGATAAATCACTCGGTGATTTCAGGGGCTTTGGGGGAGAAAATCGGGGAGAGGGGAAGATAGGAGAATGAGATCTTGAAAAGGAAAGAGAAGAACATACAAGCTTGTCTGTACAAGCTGTTCCAGTCCTGTATCGACCCGAACAGGTCCCGCATGTGCACGAAATCAAACACGTTAGGCCTGAAGGTCCACACGAGCGTGGCGTCGTCGACCTCGAATTTTACGTTGGCGGGTACCCAGCCGGGCTGCGTGGGCGACAGGTCGGTGCCGATGACCTCGGCTTGGGGGTACTTATCTGCAAAGTCGCTGTTGATGAGGTGGTCGTATCAGCTAAATATCTCTGAGTAAAACAGAGTTCATCTTCTCCTTCACTTCTTCTCTGGAAATAGGCAAGCGGGGTGAAGGGGGATTAATACTTACATGGCCCATATTCCAGATCCCGTGCCGACGTCGAGCACCTTTTGCACATCGTCTGGTATCGGGGCCAGGAAGAGCTTGTCTTCTAACAACAGAGTGAAGGCGTGGTGGCTAGCAACGAGGTTATAACTCAAATATCATGTATTGACAATCGGTATGATGGCATACCTAAGATCCATAGACTCGAGTTGCCGGTCATCATTAGGTCCCCTGGGAGCTTCTTTTAGCAAGTGAATTGATTATGCATACTATGGGGATGAGATTGAACATACCAGTACTCGGCATTACCTATGTTGCTATGATAAGTCCGTCCGTGTATGGTTCTATACTCCAGTATACTGGCCGACAACGACGCTGTAGAACTTGCACTGCAGGTGGTTACATGTAAGACAAAGTGGGCCAGCCGTACGTGTCACCCTTGGGGTGCAAACCAGGGGGTGGGTATGAAGAGAAAGAGGACGTACCCGTCGTCACCAAGCGCCGAGTCGTTATCATCATCCTCGTCAAAATCTTCCTCGTAATTCTGCAAGGGATGACAGGCCTGTGTTAGTTAACTTGTTCCTCACGTCAACGCCGTAGCAGCGTGACTTTGACGTGGTGAGGTAGGGGTGGGTTCGTGTAGTACCGGTTGCGTCCAATGCGGTAACGCGTCGGCTGGAGCCGGAGCGACTGTTGATGACTCGCCTCCGGCCTCGTGCTGCTGCTCCTCCTGCCCGGGTTTCGGACCGGCGGCAGGTTGCTCGCGGGTCTCGGTCTCGGTCTCGGCATGTTTAGGGCCTTTTGTCTCAGCCACGCCACCATTAGGACCGGAGGCTTCCTCCTCCTCGACCGGCACAACCCTTCTTTCCTTCCCTCCTGGACTGTCGGCCATCGGGGTTGTCGTACCCGTTGTGAATTTGACTACCTCAGTATGGGAAGATAATAACAGGCATGAAGTAACAGGCAATCCTAATATGTTGCACAGACTTTTTTTCGAGCCTCAGAGTTCACTGTAAATGTAAAGGCTGGAGGTCGGTTGGGGAAAGGCACCACGCTAGCTGAGAACTACTGTAGATTTGAGGAGGGCGAGGAGAAGAGTTGAGAGCGGAGTGGGAACGTAAGCGTGGTGACGGTAGGGCAAAGTCGAGATGAGACGCCGACACGGCAGAATAAACACACCGACAGACTGACCACCCCGGAGAGCAAATTAGGCCTGTAACAGTAATAACTAATGAGGTATAACCCAAGACTTGAGAAAGCGGACTGTGCCGAGTGGAGTAATTCGGGAGCTCGAACGGGGACCGAGGAAAATCGCACCTGCGGAACAGGCGTGCCGATGAAACCTAGCAACTAGGCAACCTGGGTAACAACTCTTACCAAAGATGAGGCGAGCGAGAAGGATTTCCGACGATGGTCTCGGAGAGACTGATCTTATGTTCCTAAGTGAGCGCGTGTGAAGAAGAAACAACAACGTACCTTTGTTGCACTACTAATTTATTATAAATGGTCAATCTTCAGTTTCGGTCTTTCCTCAATGCAAGCTAGTACCTCGGTGGATAGATATATCATGCAAGCCATTAATTCGACGACTAGTCTCTTTCCATGACACACTATTGTCGAACGGTAGGGGAAAAAGACCGACCCCCAGCCCATCACCGAGTCCGCTAGTCCGAAAAGAGATTCACCGTTGCCCCTTAGGAGGGAGGGACCTGGCCATACCATTCGTTAGATTGATTATGCATGCAGGCCATTAATAACTAGCCTCTTTATGTGAATATTTCTATTTTTTCTATTTTAGATTCTTTATAACTAGTATGACTAAGATTCCTATTACCAATATAGCCGTAATATATAATTTTATAGGATACACTTTATCATGGAGCTAGGCTCCTATACGTCGATATAGGCCTTCAGGGTCTGGATATATGTATAAACACCGTAGCCTAAGCTACGGCCCTTGTAACTCCCTCTATTTTATTGCAATATAATAACCCATACTTAAGCCTGTGTACTGAGTATCCACAGTACGCTAGACTCTTCATACTTGAACTAATTATCTTCTCTGTGACGCCGGTCACGATGCCTGGCCCCTAGGCCCCTGGACGAACAGGGACACCCTAGTATGTGTCCCACCTGTACGCGCTGCCCTTTTCCTTATAATGTAGGAAAGGGCACTTGCACTTAGATCTCTTTCTCTCTCTTCTTCAGTTTAGTATTCGTCAACAGAGATAGACTGATGTCGCAACCCTGATTCGAACTTGCAGTGCCTCTGCCGTGTCACATTCTCTGTCTTTATTCATCCTTTTTCATTAGTTAGCTACTACTATTATAATTAAGTAGGACCAGGGATGTCGGTTAGTATAAATTGTCGCATTTTACATATAAACTACCCAGCTAGTTTTTAACAATAGGTAACAAAAATATTCGTAGTAACGGATACTTGATTACTATGAAATTTAGGTAGGGTCGACCTATAGCTCTAACTGCATTGAGCATTCGCCATGGGGGGGTTTAGAGCAGCCACATATATTATTACGTATGCACAATCCTTCTCTCGGCTAAGCCTGCGAAGGAACCAAACCTGGATAAAAGTGATCAATCGTCATGGGATGTTGGTGTCGCCATGCTGTACGTGCCGCGCGTATGCTTGAGAGTATGACCTGATCACTTGCAACCTTACTACCAATGGGATGAAGACGAGATGTTGGCATGCGGACAAATGTGGAGTTTATGATGCCGAGTTTACGATGCCGAACGCCGCGATCGCACCGCATGTCGTTGCCCTCAGATTCCCAAAAGTCAGGTAAATATTTCAGTGACGATAGCCGGAAGGTAATCGCCGCAGTCATGCATGATGTGCCTCGGGCGGGATCCTGCGGCCTGGCCATTCAAGTCCAGGGTTTTGGTGCTTGTCGTTGGGGCTGGTTGCTTTCTGCGGTACTCAAAATCCGGACACTGTCGATGATGCAGCCCGGAGTAGGTCAGACCAGGGTCATTCGAGTTTAGTGCTTGCGGTAGCGCACTTCAGCTGCCTCTGTCAATCATGCAGCCGTAGGACTGAGTTGGAAAATCTGAGATGGAGAGGTCATGTCTATGCAGGGTGACAGATCAACGTACATATGCGGTGTATGGCCCTTTACATCGACGTTCCTGGTTCGTCGAATTGTAGGCCGGCATGCTCGTTGTTGGAATAACACCGACTATGACACAGGACGGCAGGCAGTTCCGGGTAATCGGAATTCGGATTCGGGATCTTCAATTATCAATGCTCCGTAATTCCGAATGGGCACCTGGGAAGCTAGGCGTCGACTATTTGCGAGCATGTTTGTCACACTATCCGAGCTGTCGGATTATAAACTCTGTTTGCTACACTTCCTACGGCCACTCCTAAGCTTGCCTGCTTCTCCACTCCACGGCTTTCCAATTAGCACACTTCCGGCGGTCCAGAGAGGCCAACCAACATCTATCCTGGGGGGGTGTTCGCAAAGCATGACAGGGTACGGAGCGCGCTCCGGTAGCTTCTCTCCTGGTCCTCGTACGTCCAACGCCACGTGGTTGTACGGCCTATGGTCGGATGTGGGTGGCAGGTGGTCCAGACCTGTCCATTGCCTGCACAGCCGACATGCGTACATATATGACGTATATCGATATCCTCCCTCGACCTTGCCGCTTGGGTCTTTCCGAATCATGGGACATGGAACCACGTTTATGATGAGAGCGCATAATTACGCAAGTCCCTCTTGGTCGTGAACACTGGCGCGACTAGATGCAATGACCGAGGCCTCATATGCGCGCCAGCATCTTATGTTGCCACGGTCAAAACTCCGACGGTAAACAGGGAGCCGATTACCAGGCTCCTGATGGGTACTTGCGCCATGAAGGCGTTAGACCTAGTGTTTCACATCAGCTGATATTTCCTCTCACGGCACAGCAGTGTTCTCTGCTCGACACTGCAGGACACGGGAAACTCACTCATCTCCCTCCACGCCAAAGTCCCTCAAATACGCCGCAACAACCGCTCCCCAACCGCCCACATTATCGTCCATGGCGGCAACGTTGATATCGCCACCCGTCGTGTCATAGACCAGATTGGTTGTCGACTTGCCGCCGAGTGAGTACATGAACGTCGAGACGGCATCGCTGAGAAAAATCATATTGAGTTGGCAGATCCCTCCGTACTTGTCACAGTTCGCATCCTGGAACTTGTTATCGTTCATCCCGTTAAAGAAAACCCACAGCGCCGACCCATGGATCACGATGTCGGAGCTGCCCGCAGCGTGATGTGCCCAGGCGCGGAAACACTGCCCGTTGCCATCTGCATCTTGGTCGGCGCAGTTGCTAAACGTCGGGTCGCCGTACGTGGTATTAGGTCTGGATATCTCTTTGTCAGGGGCTCCATCAAGTTGCAGACTCTCATACCGATCGATTGACTTACGTCCACGGTGCAGGCGCATAGTTCGGCTGGCCAGTGCCTTGCCAATACGGACTCTCCGTCTGCTGCAGGCCAATGTATACATTTGACGCCCTGTTCAGGTTATATTGGTACAGTGCACAGTGCTCGAATGAGGTGCCGACCAGCCACGTGGGCTGTGTGCTTTCAATCAGGGCGCCCCGACCAACGGCAATGTTCTGCGTCGTGCCGTCTTCGAGGCTGTGGTCGGCTACCCATCCCCATAGGTTCTCTGCGTACAAGGAGGCGGAGTTGGTGACGTGGAGGAGTGCGAAGGCCGCTTTGCACGTCGACGTGTCGGCGTCTGTGCATTGCGTGTTTACTAGGGTGTGCTTCGATCCGCCGACGCGGAGGACTGTATTCCAGACTCCAACGTCCCCGGGTTTAGTGCCAGCCATGTTAACTTGCATCAGGATGGCGCCCGGCAGGATATCGGATACTTCGACCAGAATGTCTAAGATCTGGGCAACCCCCTTTTCGCCTGGTTTTCCTACCTGGACGACTGGTTTGGGATCATCTGCGTTCTTGAACGTGGACCCGTTGCCGGTAAAGACACTCAGGAGTTCACCGACTAGGCGAGTGCCTGGAGGTATGTAGATTGTCTCCTCGGTCACGTAAATGCCTTGTGGGACCAAGATGATCTTGCAACCGGCATGCTTCTTTAGAATCGCATTGATATTGGGTCCGTCATTGTGTGAGTCTAGAAACATTATGAGTTTGCCGGCATCTCCGTCAAGGTGGAATGTACTTACTGTCTCCAAATACAGGATACTCTGAATCGTTGGTGAGACTAACAACCTGACTGATCTCGTATTTCTCGTACTGCGGCGCGGGCATTGTGAAGTATTTGTCATCCGAAAGCAGCGCACTCGGCCGATCAATCTCATATAATTTGCCGCTCTGGTAGTTCTGGGGGTTCTCGTTGCCCATCACCCAAGTCTGGCCAGCCGGGACCGAGTCCTGTAGCAACGTGTTTCCTTCAGATGACTTGACGGCTGTTGTCCCACCGTCAGTCTGAAAGTTGTCAATAGTAAGCGACCCCTGTCCAGTGCCCGAGACATAGGCATTTACTCCAGCTTCGCAGTTGTTAATGGAAGAATCCACTAACGATACCGCTCCGGTGGCATTGCCCGACATGTCGATGCCATACTTGCAATTGGCAAACGTGATGTCCTGGAAGGTGGCAACCCAGACGGTGTCGATCTTGATGCCAGTGTTGCAGCCGTTGAAACTGAGGCCTTTTAACTCATACTGCTGGTTCTTAAGGAGGATCCCGATGGCACCTCCTGTGAAGCTCTGTGTCCGCGTCAGTTGGTTAGTACACTGAAGCAACTATGTTTCTGGAGATATGCATACACAATCTGCAATGATGATGCCAGAGCCACCGCGCTTCATGGTGATTCCCAGATGTTTCGAGTCCTGGGGCATCTTGATCTGCACATTATTCATGGAGCAGCCCTGCGAGACGGACCAATCGATGGCGGTGATACCCGTGTCTGTACTTATCTCCGAGGTATCAATGATGATATTCCGAATGGACATGTAGAAGTTCTTGGTAGCAGATCCATTCCCTTGGTGCGTGTCATAACCATTGATGACCGGATCGAAACCCAACGCAGGGTCAGCGATGAGCGTAGGGCTTGGCCAAAGTCAGTTCCAGTCACTTGAACGTATAGGTAGTAGGTGAACGAACGGATCAAGAGGGTCACCAATCAGATAAGTCGATACGAGCATCTGAATCGAGGCTTTGATTCGGTATTTGCCTGGCGGGACATAAACATAAGCTGGCAGTGTCGTGACGGTATTGGCAGTCCGATTCCAAGCTGGCATTCATTAGCAAAGCCGAAAAGTCATGTCGACGAGTCGAGTCCCCAACCATTAATAGCAAAATTGAAACCCTCGGTTGCATTCTCAACACCAGTGTTGTCCGCGCCATACTGAATGACAGTTCGATAGTACTGAAAGGTCTCATCCACAGCCGTGGGTGTCGTCCCGTTGTATTGGATGGCAGCTCTCCACCAAGTTTTCGGACTGCTTTCGACAGGGCCTGAACAAGAAGTCTCTCGGGTGTTGAGGCTTTCGAAAGGCGTGGGATGTTCAGAGGGAGGATGCGCTAAAACGACCGCTAAGGAAACCAGCAGAGTCCCAGCTGCGAGGAAGTGGCGGGGCAACATTGTGTAACGATGGGATATTCAACGGCCGTAGGGCTGAGATCAAACAAGCGGGTACCCTAGTTGGTTATAGTACCTTTTAATTCGTACATGAGCGACAATCATAACTCGAATATAGACAACGACGAGTTTCTAATGTCTGTATCCAAACAACGCAACGATGCAAAGCTCGGCCGAATTGTCGTTTCTGTTCCTGAAGTGCCAATTTCATGTGGGTAGGGCAAAGTTGTCTGGCACCAGTCAAGCCTGTGGAATCGAGTCACACAGGTTCGACCGACTTTGTGGATGACAGCACTCGTGAATGACAGCAAGCCTGATGCAGCCTCGAGTTGTTGGCTGCAGGATCGATGGGTGCCACGGTTGGGATGCTGGCCAGCTGATAGGGTAATAATAGCACCCAACCAAAACCTCGCCCAATTTTCTTCTGAATAACTCAGACCTGAAGATGCACTTCTAGGCTTTGTTCTGGCACTATGCCGGTTTCTACAAGGAAACCTTGAATCTTCAAGCTATCAAGCCTTGGGAAGGTGGTTTCATGCCACTCAGTAGAGCAACATGGAACAAACACGCCAAGTTTTGACAACTGAAGCAACGATTCTGCAATGATCTTGCATTCGATTGGACAATGTCCATCTATTGGTGAATATGCTTTCTAAACCAACTTACAGCCTGGTCCTCCGCACGCGCGCCCAGCTCAGCCTGCTTCGGATCCCTCGGATCCCCTCTTACGGCAAACCCGTGTTTAGCTCCATCGTAGACCACCACCTCATGTGCAATATGCTCCTGAGCCCCAAGAATTTGCTGCAGCATTACCATTTTCTCTCTTCCTAAAAACGCGTCGTCCGGCCCGTTAGCGACACTCAACGGCCGTTTTACAGCCACGATATCCTTGGGCACTGAAATCAACGACGGGTGAGCCGTGAAAGCGCAGTCAATCAGCGAAACCTTCTCGCCAATATTCCCGTCATCGTCCGACCCTGGCGGTGTCGCGATTTGGTTCTCGGGTAGGTCCTTAGCCAGCAGCACAGTATAATACCCGCCCCAGCAGAACCCCGCGACGCCGATTCGAAGGCGTTCCACTGTCGCGAACGGCGCGGGGCTGCTCCTCAGATCCTGGAAGAACTTGATGATGCGCGGCCTTGTGACAGCCTCACGAGTCCAGAAGCCGAAGGGGAGGAGGGCCGACGCGATCCTGATTGCCCACCATGGTTTCAGTACGAGCGTCGTCCACCAGTCGGGCGAGGGGCTGCTGAGGCCATCTATTATAGTGAGGATCCAGGTATTGGGGGCGGCGCCTTTTACGCAAGATTGAGTGTTACTATTGAAAACAAACATCTGATAAATGTAGCATTTCGCGGTGCTAATAAGGATAACAAACCGTTCATGAAATCGGGCAGATAGACTAGGAACTCTCCTCGTTTGGCGTAGTTGTCGGCCAGGGCGCGGCTGTTTTTCAGCGTCCAGCCGAAGGCATCCGGGATGATGACCACGATGCCCTTCGGCTCCGTACCCGCCTCGGGCCAGGCAACGTAGCTCGGTAGGCCATGGATCGTCTCGACGGTACCTGTTAATTCGGCGTCGCCCCGGAGCGTGCCCTTGAAGCAGTCTTGGCAGAACCCCGTGGCTGACATTGTGGTTGTGGAAACGTGGGTCGTGATGGGGGATAACTATGTACCCAGTGCTCGAGTTGGATCAACAGTGGGAATATATATACAACGCAGCAAACCCCAAAACAAGCCATGCAAGTGCGCTTGGGCATCGTATTAAATACCTTGATCGGTTACCTTGATATTCCTAGCCCATGTGATGACGTGCTAACATGCAGACGGCCGCAGTTTGTGGTCGTCTCATATGTGCTGAATTACTTTTCAACACACTAAAAGGTCCCAAATCCAAAGGCTGGAGCTTGTGAGATGAATGGGAAGGCATACACAATGTAATTATTCGACCATCCTCAACGGATAACTCGTCAAAGTCGGCATTTTTGTGCCCCAGACACTACATTACAAGCTCAGCACACAGTACCTAGGTTACTTATCACATGTAGCTATTAATAGGCGACACGCTCAAAGTGTGGAAACATCAGACGAACATGTGAACTCGAACGTTCCTACTTTCAGTATGTTTGCTATGTTAGTCATTTGAATTACCTGGGCTGGGTGTTACTATTGGTCTAAGGTAAAGTGCTATGTTCGTGGTATTTGTCTGTTACGCGCCTAAACGACACTAGAAACCAACAGTTCCTGCTGCAATTCCCGCTTGGCACACCTAGGTAAATGCATTATAGTGGATAGACGGCAGAAATTTGTGTCTCCTCGAACCGATTGCGCATTGAGTCATCGTCTTACCCTACCGATTTCTTATTGCAGTCACGACCAACTCACCACGTTTCACAAAATCTCATTCATAGCCAGGAGTCACGCAGCCCCTGTAAGCATTCTTGACGTCTCATTTCCGAGGATTTCATTATTCTCCAACGCTGTCCGCCGGCCCTTAAACCGGCACCATGGTTAGCAACACATTCCCAGCTCGGTAACACTACACTAACTTACATACTCAGGTTCATGCAGACGCCTCTAACTTCGTCATTGGCGTGACCAAAGATCAAGCCTACGAGCAAGTGCTAATGCAAGCCGAGGGTCTCTTCGATGGTCAAAGAAACTGGGTTAGCTAACCTTGTCGTATCTCTAAATTTCCCCACAGTTGCTCATAATTAGTATGTAGGTCTGGTATGTAGTCGCCCTCTGTGCCATTTACTCCTCGCATCTCGTATATATCTAACACCAACTCAGCAACCTATCCAACGCAGCCTCCCTCCTCTGGCACGCCTACAAATCCCTTCCTTCGCCGAGTAACCAGGTGAACTGGGCAGGTGCGTGCTTCTGTCTTCATCGTCACTATCACACAACTGCCCTCATGCCATTTATCTCACCTTACCTTATCCCATCTAACAATCACACCCAGGCTTCTACACCCTCAATCCCCTCTCTCCTTCTCCCCAACTCATCCTAGGCCCCTTTCAAGGTAAAGTCGCCTGCCAAACTATCGCCTTCTCACGGGGCGTATGCGGCGTCGCGGCTGCGACGCAAACCACGCAGCTCGTACGCGACGTCGATGCGTTTCCGGGTCATATCGCCTGCGACGGAGATAGTCGGAGCGAGATTGTCGTGCCGATCGTTGTTTCTCAGGAGGGAACAGGAGAGAAGAAGCTGGTGGCTATTATTGATATCGACTGTGCGGTTTTGGATGGGTTCGACGAGGTGGATAGGGTGTACTTGGAAAAATTGGGGGGTTTGATTGGGAGGAGTTGCGATTGGTGGCTTTGGTCATCTGGGGATAGATTGGACTGCTAAGGAAGTCGAGTCTGGGCGAGACAAAAGCTTGACGAGTATTAGGGGCTTGAATTCTTGGGTTGAGTCCACTTGGCTTTCCCTTGTACGCTGAGGATGACTTGAAAGCTTCATATAACTTGAAGCAACAGCTGATGAGACATGCTGCGTGCTAACAGGTTCAAGAGAACACAGTGTGCTTGGATTTATGAGAACCGCGGTAACAACGCTTCGGTCACAACGTATGCTTATTGCTTCACACAATATTATCAAGCTACGGTAGATTCACACCGCCCTCTAACTCGGCACATTATCCTCATCAAACCGCACTTTCCCTTCGCTGATGTCAGGGTAAACATCAAACCTCCTCTGCCCCGAAAGGGGGATCCCCTTCCTCGTCTCCTCAATCCTGGCCCCATCCAGCTTCCAGCTTACAATAGCCTCCTTCTCCTCAGCCTCAACCAGCACCGTAGCCATAGGATCCGTAATCAGACTATGTCCCCACGCGTGGTAGGTAGCCGTCGTGTCCCTTGCTGGACTGCACATGGCCACGTACAACTGGTTGTCCATGGCCCTAGCCTGCCCCTGCAGCCGCCAGTGCAGTGGCCCTGTCGTGGTGTTAAAGGCGCCCGGGTAGATCAGCGCGAAGCAACCCTTGCGCGCGGCGATGGTGGCCAGCTCGGGGAACCGCACATCGTAGCAGATGGCCACGGCGATCTTCCCGTACTCGGGCAAGTCCACCAGCGTCACCTTGTTTCCGGGGGACAGCACGTCGCTTTCGCGGAACGTGATTTTGCCCGGGATGTCGATGTCGAAGAGGTGCACCTTGCGGTGGCTCGCGAGGAGCTTCCCGTCGGGCCCGAAGATCAAAGACGTGTTGTAGTATTTTTTGCTCGCTAGGTCCGGGTCGGCTTCCGGGATCGAGCCGCCGACGAGATAGGCGTTGGCTTCGGCTGCCATGGACGACAAGGCATGGTACGATGGCGACTGGTCTTTAGAAGGAGGGCTCGGGAGCAGCGTCTCGGCGTACGAAGGGAAGTAGTCGCAGCCGTAGGGCGAGTTGAAGCACTCGGGCAGCACGATAATTTGGGCGCCGCCCTTTGCGGCTTCGAGCACTTTGTCGCGCGCATGCGAAAGGTTGGCCGTCTTGTCCGCACCGCTGGCAAGCTGGATGCATGCCAGCGTCACTGGCTTCTTAAGCGGGGACGAGGTTGAGGTCGCCATGGTTCTTCTTGCCAACTGTCGCAGACCGGGAAAGAGACAGCAAGTAGAGGAGGATAATGATGATGATGATGATGATGATGGGAAGGATTTGGTGAAGAGACTCAAGATCCTCAGGAAATGTCTCATGGTGGTAGTCGCATCTCGTCGTCGGAGTGTATTGGAAGCTAGATCGGCGGTTGGAGTCGATTGGTTGGGGGACAATGGAGGGGTCGTGGGGTCGTTGGAGACGACACTGGAAGTTGGGAGTGGCTATCGGCCTTTAGCGGACCTGGCGCCGACTTGGCTAGTTAATTCGGGACACTAATATATTCAGGGCCGAGATACGAAGACACTTTGAGCATGCCAGCACGAAACTTGGAAGTCGAGCAATGTTTGTTCATGTATTGAATTTGTTATTGATCAATTGGTGGAAGACCTCATACTATGTCTAGGAGTTTGAATGGTTTTTGGCTGATTTTCGTCCGCAGATAGAGTGCCTACCGATCCGTATTTTTCATAAGCTCATGTATGTATTTGCTTTTTTCATATAATGTTATCATGTTTTCATTTCCGGGTTAAGCCTTTGTAAATTACGTAGTTCCCAGCTTATTGATTCAGAGCCTGCTTGGCAAAGTTGGGAAGGACGAAAGCAGCCTTGTGCACCTCTGAGTTGTAGTAACGGCAGAGCTTAGCCTCCTCCTCAGGGGACCACGATCGCTGCGGCGTCTTGACGTCTCGGCTGGCATCCTTGCAGCAAACCATGAAGCCGATCTGACCGGAGGGGTAGGTAGGAATGGTGGTGAAACCATACTCTGCCACTGGGAAGACTTCTGCGCAGTCCTTCTTGATCTGCTTGATCAGGTTCAAGTGAAGCCATTGACTCTCAGCTGCAGTAGATGGTTAGCATTTTCCCGAGTGATCTCATTGAAGTAGAATGGAGAAATTGTTTGGTGACCAATCAACCCCGCAATGGCTTGCAATGGCCGATGGCTATTAATCCAAGCTCATCTAGGTGGTTCTTTGAAAGTTTGCAGAGGGCTCAACAATGAATTTCACAAACCTTGGGTGGTAATGACACCACCATCGCGGAGTGCGTCAAAAAGGAGCTGGAAGTAGGGCTTCTGGAACAGGCTCTCGGCAGGACCCTCTGGATCAGACGAGTCAGTGATGATGACGTCAAAGGTGTTCTTGTAGTCATCCAGAAATTTGAATCCATCACCAACATGCACCTTGGTCTTTGGGTGCTTGAAACCCTCGGCCATGTTGGGCAAGTACTCCTTGGAGAGACGGATGACGGCCTGGTAGCAGAGTCAGTAGAGGTCGAGCAGCCATAAACCTCGATGCATAACCCACCTCATCAATATCACATAGGGTAGCCTCCTCGATACACTCGTGCTTGACGACCTCGCGAAGGACACCACCGTCACCGCCACCAATGACCAAGACCTTCTTGGGGTTGGGGTGGGCGTTCATGGCCAAGTGGGTGATCATTTCCTGGTACGAAAATTCATCGTACTCGGTGCACTGGATGACGTTGTCCAGGACCAGCACGTTGCCGTGCTTCTCCGACTCGAAGATCAACACATCTTGGTACTTGCTCTTCTCGTGGTGCAGAACCTTCTTCACCTTGAGGGTCATGGCCTGGCCTGCTCACAAATGTCAGATGGCTTCATCTAGCTGGGCATGACTCGCTGATTTATAACTCACCTGCCCACATCTCAGAGATCTCTCTGAACCAGCCATCTAATATGGAAAATTAGCAAGTGTTGAGCAACAGTTTTGACTCAGTGGCTTAGAGAGCCATGGAAACAGGACGTTGGGCCCTGATAAGGAGGACGCATTATGAATGGGATGATTGTGAGGGCCTCCTGTGTAAGAGATGATGCGGCAACATACCCTTGATTGTAGGGTGAGTAATCTCGCTCATCTTGTTGGGTATTGCTAGTCTTTCTTTACAAGAATTATTACGCTGAATTTTGATTGAGAAATGCTCTACGTTCAGAGAGATATTCTTGTGGAAATGGAGAGAATAGTTTGGGTTATGGGTCCTGTGTTGCTGCGGCCCAAGGATGTGCCCTTGAAAATTTTTGCGACTGAGCGAATAACCGCCCAAAGCCGCGAAGCTGCCTTTACCCGCCATTTCTAGGAACTGGCAATTTGAGGAGTGGTTGTATGGGGAGCAGACAAGTCTAGTGTAATACTGTGTCGACTAACAATCGGCTGTTCCCTCTTCACATTTTGAACGCTCCAACCAAAGGACAACCTGACGGCAGAGTCCGATGCGCAACAAGCGACGAGATTTTAAGAAAAAGTTTCCTCACATCGGGTGTTTTTGGAAATAAGAAAGTTTCAAATGTTGGCAGTCCGCCGCAAGTGGCCTGGCAATTTGAGGTTGTACGGCGACTGTTCTCATACGCAGCTTACTCTTCTGGCGCCAACTGTGAATAAACAACGGGCACTCCCCGCCCGGCTATCGACTCTGACTCCGCCCAACCGATATTTATCAACAGACTCAAGTTCATCGGCACCGGTCCGACGTCGCACTTCAAGCTGCCCCCTTTCGAACACAAGGGCAAAAGCAAGACGGAGGACTTGTTCATCTTCTCTTTCTCGACCTAACTCTACTGCACCTGCGGTATTCACATCTGCATCTCCCCGCGCCTTTTCTACCAGCTACCCCGCCATGGCTGCCACAAAGATTGATGGCACTGCTATCGCGAAAAAGATTCGTGAGAGGCTTGCCGCCGAGATTGTTGATAAGCAGAAAATCAATCCAAGATACAAGCCATGCCTCAAGATCATTCAAGGTGTGCAATGGTCCCCCGAATACTTTTGATACTGTCAGGATCACCATACTGACTCCAATTGTCCCGAATAGTTGGTGATCGATCTGACTCTAGTATGTAACAACCCCAGATGACCCCGCCATGGCTGTGTTGTGACTAATGATCGCGCAGCAACCTATGTTCGCATGAAACTCAAGGCTGCCGAAGAGGTATGTTTCCAACTGTTGTGTTGTGCAGCATCCGAATGTAACAGTGTTCTCATCTTGACAACCGTGATGTATAAAGGCCAACATTAGCTGCGACTTACTTCACTACCCTGAGTCCATAACCGAGGCAGAACTGCTCGCAAATCTCCATATTTTCAACCACGACCCCAATGTTCACGGTATCCTCGTGCAGCTGCCGCTTCCCGAAGGCATTAACGAGTACATCGTCACGTCTGCGGTCGCCGATGAGAAGGATGTCGATGGTTTTGGGGTTGCTAACATTGGTGAGCTCGCCAAGAAGGGCGGCCATCCGCTGTTCGTTCCCTGCACGCCAAAAGGCGTCATGGTCCTGCTGGAAGAGGCGGGAGTAGATCTCAAGGGGAAGAACGCCGTCGTCCTCGGCCGAAGTGATATCGTTGGGAGCCCAGTCAGCTATTTGTTGAAGAATGCGGACGCAACCGTCACCGTCTGCCACTCTCGGACACAAGACCTCGAGGGGTACTTACGCAAAGCTGATGTCGTCGTAGCGGCGATTGGCAAGGCTCAGTTCGTCAAAGGAGAGTGGTTGAAGCCTGGCGCAGTTATCATCGACGTTGGCACGAATTATATCCCGGATCCATCAAGGAAGTCGGGCCAAAGACTGGTTGGAGATGTGGACTTCGAGGCAGCTGCGAAGGTCGCATCCTATATCACGCCAGTTCCAGGAGGCGTTGGTCCCATGACGGTTGCCATGCTGCTGCAGAATGTCGTCGACGCTACTTCTATGTACTTTGAGAGGCAGAAGCGGCGCCGTATTGTACCCCTGCCCCTGAAGCTTCAGGACCCAGTGCCTACTGATATCGAAGTCTCGAGAGCACAAGCACCCAAGCAGATCACGCGGGTTGCCGAGGAAGTTGGAGTTTATCCCCATGAATTGGAACCTTACGGTTCATACAAGGCGAAGGTCGACCTCAGCCTTTTGAAGCGTCTCGAGCATCGTCGTAATGGTCGCTATGTCGTTGTCACTGGCATTACACCTACACCTCTGGGCGAAGGCAAGTCGACGACAACGATGGGCCTTGCTCAAGCTTTGGGAGCTCACCTGGATCGACTGACCTTTGCCAACGTCAGGCAGCCCAGTCAGGGTCCTACCTTTGGAATCAAGGGAGGGGCAGCAGGAGGTGGATACAGCCAGGTCATCCCCATGGACGAGTTCAACCTTCACTTGACTGGAGACATTCATGCCATCACGGCGGCCAACAACCTCTTGGCTGCTGCCATCGAAACCCGGATGTTCCACGAGAACACGCAGAAGGATGGCCCCTTGTACAAACGATTAGTTCCTGTGAAAAATGGCAAGAGGCAGTTCGCCCCTGTTATGTTCCGACGGTTGAAGAAGCTGGGCATTGAGAAGACGGACCCGAACGAGCTCACAGAAGAAGAGGTTCACAAGTTTGCGAGATTGGACATCGACCCCGAGACCATCACATGGCGAAGAGTGCTCGACGTCAATGATCGCCATCTACGTGGCATCACCATCGGCACGGCCCCAACGGAAAAAGGACAAACTCGAGAGACTGGCTTCGATATCTCGGTGGCCAGCGAGTGCATGGCTATCCTGGCAATGAGCACCGATCTGGCAGACATGCGAGAGCGACTTGGTCGCATGGTCATTGGAAGTTCGCGATCTGGAGACCCTGTGACTTGTGATGATATCGGCGCTGGAGGCGCGCTAACGACATTGATGAAGGATGCTATTAAACCCAACCTAATGCAAACTTTGGAGGGAACGCCAGTCTTTGTCCACGCAGGTCCCTTTGCGAACATCAGCATCGGGAACAGCTCGATTCTGGCGGACAAGATGGCCCTAAAACTGACAGGTACCGAGTCGGACGAAGATCATAATGCCAAGGCAGGATTCGTCGTAACCGAGGCGGGCTTCGATTTCACTATGGGTGGAGAGCGTTTCTTCAATATCAAGTGCCGGGCATCTGGCCTCGTGCCTGACGTCGTGGTCATTGTCGCCACCGTGCGCGCGCTCAAAGTCCATGGCGGCGGTCCACCGATCACCCCTGGTGCTGCTCTCAATTCCGTCTACAAGCAGGAGAACGTTGAGATATTGCGCAAGGGTTGCGTCAACCTCGCTAAGCACATCCAGAATGCAAAGACCTTCGGCTGTCCGGTGGTAGTGGCTATCAACAAGTTCTCCACAGATACCGATGCCGAAATCGAGGTTCTTCGCGAGGAAGCAGTCAAAGCCGGCGCGGAGGACGCCATCCTAGCAAACCACTGGGCGGAGGGAGGCAAGGGCGCTGTCGACCTTGCCAAGGGTGTGATTGCTGCAAGTGAAAAGCCCAAGGATTTCAAGCTGCTTTATGATTTGGATGGCAGCGTGCAGAGCCGCATGGAGGCCATTTGTCAGAAGATGTACGGAGCATCTGCCGTCGAGTTTAGCGAACTGGCACAGACGAAAGTCGACACGTACACCAAGCAGGGCTTTGGTAACCTGCCTATTTGCGTTGCAAAGACGCAATATAGTCTGTCCCACGACCCTGACCTGAAGGGTGCTCCCACAGGCTTCACGGTGCCGATTCGGGATGTGAGAATGGCTGCTGGTGCTGGATATCTGTGAGTGCCGCCCTTATCACGCTTGGCTTGCCTCAAAATGCGGACCCTGCTAATATGTGAAAAGATATGCCCTTGCAGCAGATATCCAGACCATCCCCGGTCTACCCACTGCGCCGGGATACCTGAATGTCGACGTAGATACCGAGACGGGTGAGGTAGACGGGCTGTTCTAGACGTGTGGTTATAGAGGGGAGAGTGGCATGAAACAGCAATGACTGTACCAACAAAAACAACTCAACTAATATACTCGGCTCTTCAACCTAACGAGCACTAAATAGGGTATCGAAGAAAAATCCATCATTTATCAACAGAATCACAATGCCGGAAAATGAGTGTCGTCGCAAATCAGATAGCTGAAAAATCTGGCACGTGAAGATAGAGCTATGCTTCGCGGCTTTTTGGATACCGGTAGTTATTCTATTTTTTTTTAAAAAACCAACTGTGGACAGATGTCATAGACTGCATGAATACACTTACTCAAACCACGAAAGCAGTGAATGCTACGAACCAATGGCTTATGGTCATCTGGATCTTTGAGACACAGACGCATCTGCTAAAGACGTCCACTATTCTTAGCATAGCTGTCAGTGGTTCTGTCAAACAAGACAAGACGCACCCTCATGGCATGTGGGCCGCTAGGGGCGGTCCGCTTAGACAACCCAGATTTGTCCTCGTGAAACGCACTCGCATTCGCCAATTCCAACTGTGAGGGATGGCACTGTGCCAAAAATACCACATTAAACCGACTAGCCTTAAAGGTAGGGACTTAATTAGTGGCAATAATAACAAACAAGCTGGAGAAGGCCACATTAATCATGGATGGTTCAGATTCCGCGCATGGGGTTTGACTAATAGTACGTCGCCAGCAGTGATGATGAACCGCGTTGCTAGTGTCCAAAAGAGCTGGCAAAGCTGGCACGTATGCTGTGCCTTGGCTTCAAATTATCGTCCTGGTTTCCCGTATTGCGCCTTTCAATTGGACGTGCTATGTAGCAATTTCTAAGAATCCGATCCGACGCAAGATTGTGGCTAATCCCTACGCTTAATGGAGGCGGGAACTATTCCCATTCGTTAGCTGGGGGCGAAGGCAGATCGAACAATCTATTGGAAGCATGGCGCATGGCAGATGACAGGCAGACAGACTTGTAGGCGAGCTCTACACTCTTCTACGCTACGATGCTGCAGAACCTTTTGATTTTGATTTTGACTTTATCCGTGGCCCAGTGACAAATACGCCAAGGCGGAAAGGGTAGTCTGACAGATATTCCCGTGATATTCCAGATGCCGGCTGAAAAGGCGTGGCGGCATTCGTCATTGACTGCATACCGCGTATCTTGAGACGATGAGTGAGTGAGGCCTTCCAGAAGTATTTACACGGCAACTAAATTTTCAGCTACTTTACCCCCAGTTTTTCTTCAATGGCGTGAAATCATACCATTCTCGTGTCTTGAACAACGCTTGCAAGTGGGTTCAATATCTTGGGTCATCTCCGAAATTTCTCAAGATTGGGATTTAACAAGTTGAGACTTGAGATCAAGAGGCGTGCTGGAAAACTACGGAATACGTGAACGGCCTGATGTTCGTAATGACCGTCAGCTCAAAGCCTGGCCGAAACAGACTAGACGTACAGATGTGAGGTTGCAGTCTGATCAGCTCCTCTTGAACCCATTCCCCTGTTCTCCGAGCCATTAAACGTCGCTGTCTGACATCGGTCCGCCGTTGACACCCCTTTTATGTGCTTTGGAAGATGGGATGATCATTGCTATGAAAGAAAGTTCAGTAGCAGCAGCAGCAGCATGGCGACATGGTAGTCGTGGTTAAGCGATGCAGTGCAGGTTCGATGCATTTCCATGGGGCATCTCGGTGAAGGGAGGATGACACCCTTTCTTGGCCTGTCAAGCTGCAACAAGTCGTCGCATTTTTTCCATGTCATTCGTCTCCGAACACCCCTGCTTACCCGAACTGGGAAAGCTTTCGAGACCCACTTAGTTCAACACGTTTCAACGTGGGAAGCCGAATTCCAGCAGAGTTCACGACCGAATGACTCGCGTGAATTGCGGGTTTGGCCGTCATAGTGTAAATACATTATCGATTTGATAATTGCTGCATATTCATAGGAGCCAGCAAAGCTTCATGCATGTGCAAGAATCTGCAAGTTCACCTGCCGGATATTCCAAGGTATCCTTGCAACTCGTCTGAGTCCTCGCGTATGCACTCTGCGGTGGTGATGAGACATAGCCGGGCCAGTAACACGATACAATTGGTAGCGGCGAGCTGGGGGCGAGGGGGGAGCTTGGGTTGTATACTATGTCTAAGGCTCTGATTGACTAGGCTGCCACAATGTAAGTTGTTTGCTTGCAATACAGTCTCTGTATCTAGATGATGTGTATCCCCCAAGGTCTTCATCAACCAAACCAACGATGATGATGATGGCGGGATCCATTAGCCCGAGCGGCAGCCAGGGAGGGCGAGGCACAAATTACTTGCTTGCACGTCTCATACTGCAAGGAGTCGGCCGTAAATGATGAGATTATCCAATGGGCATGTATTTAGAATGATGGCATCACAAACTTGTGCATGTGAACAACATCTAGGCGAACGTGTGGAAAACCTAGGACCCTTGCTTGCCTGGATGGATGGTCGAAGGACTGATTGATGACTGCAGCTTGCACACTTCAAAGCTCGCATTATTCCGTTTTGATGGCCAAACGGCAGCTTCGGCCCCCAGAAATCCCAATGCCCCGCTTTACTGTTCTAAATTCTTCTCAGAGACCTTGACGGTAAATCCTTTTAGCAGGTTGTCGGGAAGTTTGAGGAGCGTGCGTGCAAGCAGTTGTGATATTTCGTACTATTTTCGGCAAGCAGATCGGTTCGCTATCTCGGCGATGGAGACTTATCAAATGGAAAAAGCCGCTTTTAAGCAGAGTGCACAAAATGCTAGTCCTAGAGGCTCCACACCACATGTTGCTAGTAAGCATATTCGTCAAGGCTGCTCAGACTGCTACTGCATCGTTGAGGCACGGCTTCGTGATGGCGCCGAAGAATACTGCACAAGTCTCCCCAACTCTGGCCAGCTCCAGATCTTTGGCCTTGGATTGCTGCCGATCCCTCTCTTGGCCGTGACCCTCCCAACTCCTAAGGACTGCAGACCATAATTGCCCCCCATCTTGAACCATTGCCTAGTCTATGTAACCATGTCAACATGCTCGTCGTAGGCCCTGTAGGCCTGCAAGGTACCTGGGTTCGCACCGTGCCAAATAGGAACCACAGTTGCCTACCTTACTTTACGTCGGGTGCTCACTGGGCAAGGCTCTGGGGGCGGCCGCGCTCTCTCTCTCTCTCTTGCTCATTCAAATGTCAATCAAAGCGAGTCTCCTCTTTTAATCCTACTTTAGCTGCTGCTGGCAACAACCTTACCTAGGGACTGCATCTTTTTGCTAGTCGCCTCTAGGGATCTTCTTTCCTTCTCCCGTAGTCTTCTCTTTCCTCCCATCGAGCTTCAGAGCGCAGTTGTCGTCTTCGTCGCCGTCGCTGCTGTCGTTATTTACCATTACTTATTTGAAGTGCTGTACTGTTGCCAGAGTTCAATTGAAGCATACGAGATTGCCGTTCAGCGCCTCATTCCTTATTCCGTTGGTTTCCAACACCAGGAGTATCGCGAAACCCGCCGATTGAAGCTTAAGGTTTCTGCCCTTGTCTGATCCCCCAAGGTTCTCTGAGTCGCGAAACATTAGAGCCTGAGGAACATTCGCTAGGCAGCCGGATTGGAGAAGTGCATACGACCTTGTCCTAAACCTCTCTAGACGGCGCCCTGGGAGCTTTGGGCCATCGTTTCCTACGAAGCCGGTTGACAACGCACGGCGTCATTGCCATCCTCTTCCGCCTCGCCCGTGGAGGACTCTCTCCGCAAGAGCTAGCCTCCCGCGCTCCAATTGTTAATTTAGCGGTCGAGAGCATTTCTTGAGAGGGTTGCCATTCCGTTCTATAATCATAACTTGCACCATTACAAGGCACAAAAACGCAGACGCAAACGCAAACAAAGACAACGCCCCGACGCCGCACCCGAAGCTGTTGCGCGCATTCTGGTTGCTGCGACTCGACGCCGCCCCACGAGGGATTACTTTGAGGAACAAAAGTAACTGGCCAATTTCCCAACCGACGAAGCCATCATGTGCTTCAGCAGCAGGAAAACGAACGAGGAGGGCCTCAATCGGTCACGCGAGCTCGACAAGGTTATTCGTGCAGATGAGAAGCGGTTGTCAAGAGAGGTCAAGCTGCTACTGCTGGGTATGTACCTTTCCTTTTTTTTTAGGTGTCAGACACGTTTTCCCCCGATGTCTCAGAATGCGGCCCGCCTAACAATCGAATGTTGTGCAGGAGCCGGCGAGTCGGGAAAGTCGACGGTACTGAAGCAGATGAAATTGATATACGCCCAAGGCTTCAGCAAAAACGAGAAGCTAGAGTGGAAACCCGTCGTGTTCAACAATGTCATCCAATCCATGAGGCTTATTTTCGATGCCATGGCCGACTTTGGAATCGAGCTCGAGAACAAGGAAAACGAGGTGAGAACGTCGACCTCTGAATTTCTATTACACTATCACTTTGTCTCGTCTTTTTTTTCCATAGCTTTTTTCTTGTTCGGTTCTTTCGGGCTGTGTGTATCCATTCCTACTGGATGGGCTCAGTCCGACACTAATTCAACCAACTGCCTCGGAGCTGACCAATTATTGCGCGTAGAAAAATCAGGCATTGGTTCTAGTCGATTGTGAGATTTCGCCCACCGACACGCTACCGCCAGAATACCTCGAGCCAATCAAAGCACTGTGGAAAGATGGAGGGGTTCAGAAGGCCATTCTTAAGGGGAATGAATATGCGCTTCATGACAACTTGGCATAGTACGATATTACCACTTCTGTTCTACTGCGCTTCCAGGCTGACTGACCTTTGTGCAGCTTCTGCGATGACGTGGATCGGCTGTGGGCAAAGGGCTACATCCCCAATGACCAAGACCTTCTGCGATCGAGGTTAAGGACGACTGGCATCACCGAGACCATCTTCGATTTAGGCCAGCTTACATACCGAATGTTTGATGTTGGTGGCCAGCGATCAGAGCGAAAGAAGTGGATACACTGCTTTGAGAATGTCAATTGTTTGCTGTTTCTAGTCGCCATCAGCGGATACGACCAATGTTTGGTGGAGGACAAAGATGGCGTAAGTTCTGCTCGTCCGCCCCGCGCCACGATGCGAAACACGCCTTTCTAACTGATATGTCCCATTTAGAATCAGATGAACGAGGCCTTGATGTTGTGGGAGTCCATCGCCAACTCCCACTGGTTCACCAAGTCCGCACTCATCCTCTTCCTCAACAAGATGGACTTGTTCAAGGACAAGCTCGCAGCGAGCCCCATCACCAAGCACGGCTTCGTCGACTACCAAGGGCCCGCGGACGACTGGAAGCAGGCCAGCAAATACTTCATGGACAAATTCCGAGCGCTGAACCGGAATCCAGAGAAGGAGATATACGGCCATTTCACAAACGCCACCGACACGAATCTCCTTAAGATCACCATGGGCTCCGTACAAGACATGATCATCCAACGGAACCTGAAACAGCTCATCTTGTGAGTCAGTCTCCTGAGCCTACTCCAAGCTTCCGAATATTCTACTGCACGGCTTGCAAGTGCAATGTAGTTCGCGCCCATACCTCTCGAGCACGGCGATCCATGTCGAATTTCTTTCCTTGGCTGTTGATTGAGACTTCTTATGAATGTCTAGGGGATCACACGCGACGGAATTTGTATAAAAATATACCCACGGAGAGCCGGAGCTGAGACGTTGCAAAGAATATAGCACTGCCCTCGTTGGGCTATTCGCTTCAAGCACAAGCCAAAGCTCGATGTTCGACTCCCCCCCCCCCAACGAGGCTGGTCCCGCCTTTCGATTGTACACCATATATATATACATCATACTACTTTTCTACCTTTTCAACTATTCATCAATATCTCGGACGGCAGGCTCATGGCTACGGCAACCCCCTTATAGCGTGCCAACTTAGGCTACCTCAATACCACTATTCCCCAATATTTCAACAGTACTTCGAAGCTACTTCACGGGCGCATATATACAACAATCCTTTCCAATGCGCCAAATCGATTTTCGTCTTGATCAGCATTGGGCGGCGGCGGCATATCTCTTCTGACTTTGGCACCGTTCTCTCCTTTTATTTCATGAACCAGCGATACCTTTGCTTTTTCTAGCGATCCGGGCATGCGATGACGAATGACGGCGACGGTGGCAGTTGGGTGGGATATATCAAATCCAAGTGTGTCAATTAGGAAATTGACGTGGAGTCATTCATCCCTTACTCGGAATATTTTCAGTGCCAGGTGCCTACATTAGGGATGCTATCAACATGGACAGTTCTTTCAGGGTCAGAATCTGGTCTGATGGTGAGGCATCAACCTCGAATCCAAATTGGGCAATTCCTTCTAGCAGTTTAAAGGTTGGCATCTCTTCCGGGCCGGCTACGCAAACCAACAGGATGAATTCTGCTGAGTTGAGCGTGCAGCGCCTTCTCGGTATAGCAATTCGATTTACTCTATAGCTCGTGGCTCGCAGGTCTTCCAAACAGCGTCATCTGTGCAACGCTGCATCAACTCGGTTTACGAGCACGGCAGCCGCCATGAGGATGAGCTCTTCGGTACACAACTCCCCTCCATTTGGAGATATAGATCTAGATTTGGCGGAGACGGATATGAGGATGAAATGGCGACCGCCGCAAATGTGTCAGGTGCGAGTCGTGGATTTTCAACAAAAAAAACATGGGACATGATGGCCATGTAAGGTTAATAAGTTTGTAATAATAAACTGACTCGGCTACGTCAGTATTGGTTTTCACACGTTGGATCATGGCAGTTGCCAGTAACGATTATATCAGATACTGGAAATACTAACCTCCATTTTCAAGCACTCAACTACTCAAGTAAAAAACCCCGACAGCATCTTGCGTTGGACACACGTAGATCACTAGTATATCTGAGATGCTGCCAATATTTCAAAACACCACTCCCGCTTATTAACCACAGTTGATACTACCTCAGGTAGGCTTGACGATCGGCCATGCCCTGAAACTCCGAGCTACAACGTGATATAGTGTACTGTACTTCACGCGTTGCACGCATCCCGTGTGCTCCGGTCCAATGCTGCCCGGGAGCGCCACCTGCCGTCTGTTGTGGCATCGAATCGTGATGCACGCTGCATGTGTCCACCCTGCCAGTCATCTGTAGAGTTGCCCCCCGCAATCTGCCACGCTTTTCTGCCCTAGCGCGGGGGACTGTGGGATTGAGTTGCGGGAGTCAAAAGAAAGAAGGACAGAAGTACGATGGTAGACCAATGATGTGGCAGTCGGCTGGCATTTCCGGTACTACCGAGATTTATCCACTACCATGGGCAGGGATACGGCAGATTGTGCTTGCCCACTGCGCAGGGCACCGGGCCAACAAAGCGATGTCAACAGGGTATTTCCATAGTCGAATTGAGCGCACTGGGTCGCATTCCTTCACTTTGCTACGGGATTAAACGGCAGAAACTCATGGTCCATCTTTTTTTTGGGACCATTCTCACAAATTGCACTGCTTCAAACAGACCCTGTGGTCCAGTTAGTGTCGAATTGTTGGGAATGAATCGGAATTCACCCTAGCTTTGGACCAACAGACGATATTCAGCATCGCAACAATCGCCAACCACTGGCAGTATTTCCCAATCCAATACAACCAATATGGAGAAAGATGGTCTCGTCGGGTTGAGAGCTCCCAACGAACGGCCGGCCGAGTTGGCTGACTCGCGGAGGAGGGATCCCTCTTTGCCAGTGAAAGACACAGGCTGGTCCTCACGCATCAAGCAAAGATACCCCATACTCCAGAAAAGGCAAGGAAAAGCTCTCGTGATCACCATCCTGCTACTTCCCCTGTTGGGACTGCTCGGACTCTTGGTCCTTCGACATGGGGGTTATAGTAGTAGTGCAACCGGTGTTGGTGGCGGTGGTGGTAACGGACAGAATGCTATCACGGACGACACATACTTTTATGGACTATCTGAGCCGGTGTATCCTTCTCGTGAGTAGTGACGGGCTTGTTGATGTATTTCGACGTGTAAGGGAGGACTAGTATTAACCGTATTCTAGCGACTATGACGGGCCTAGGCAGCTGGGCTGAGTCATTGACGAAGGCCGGTGATATGGTCAAAAACATGACAGTCGAGGAGAAAGTTAGCTTGACCACTGGCACTGGAGCACCGAATGGCTGTTCTGGCAGCATACCTGCCATTACACGCCTGGGGTTTCCTGGACTTTGCTTGAGCGACGCAGGCAACGGACTTCGCGCGACGGATTTTGTGAGTGGTTGGCCAAGCGGAATACACGTTGGTGCGAGCTGGAACAGAAACCTCACCCGGCAGCGAGCTGTAAATATGGGGGGCGAGTTCAGAACGAAGGGTGTCAACGTCGCGTTGGGCCCCGTAGTAGGACCGGTCGGCAGAGTCGTTCGCGGGGGTCGTATTTGGGAAGGCTTTGCTGTAGATCCTTATCTGTGTGGTGCTTTGGCATACGAAACGGTTTCTGGAATTCAGTCCACTGGCGTCATCACGAGCACCAAGGTTTGCTTAAACCCGTGCTCTTCAAAATGGGCCTTGTTAGCTAATAAGTGGCACAGCACTTTATTGGCAATGAGCAAGAGACGAACCGAGTTCCGGGAGGTGGTGTCGAAGCGGTGTCATCGAATATTGATGACAAGACGATGCATGAGCTTTATCTCTGGTAAAAGAGTTGGTCCCTACGTTTTGTTTCCGTCTGGCTGACACATTGAACAAGGCCTTTCCAAGACGCGGTCCTCGCAGGATCGGGTAACATCATGTGCAGCTATCAACGAGTCAACAACTCTTATGGTTGCTCTAATAGCAAGACACAGAATGGTCTACTCAAGACGGAGCTTGGGTTCCAAGGATTTGTCGTCTCTGATTGGGGTGCTATGCACTCTGGTGTTGCGACCGCACTTGCTGTAAGAGCTAACCACTTTGCGTACAAGTCCTTAAGATTGAGAAGGGTCTAACAGATACAGGGAATGGATATGGTGATGCCGTCGTCGGATATGTGGGGCGACAAACTCACTTCTGCCGTCTCCAACGGCTCGGTATCCGAGGCTAGACTGGATGACATGGCAACACGGATCATTGCCTCTTGGTACCAAATGAAGCAAGACCAAGACTTTCCAGACCCTGGTGTGGGCATGCCTTCTGATTTGACGAAGCCGCACCGTATTGTGGACGCACGAGACGTTTCTTCGAAGCGGATTCTGCTAGATGGAGCAGCCGAGGGTCATGTCCTTGTGAAGAATATCAACAATGCACTGCCGCTCAACAAACCGCGGATGCTCTCGCTATATGGGTACTCAGCCAGGAACCCTGAGCAGTGGAACTACAATTCATCTGGTGGAGTTCCCGCGTGGACGTTTGGCGGCGAGTCAGCATACTTCGGAAAAGATATCTCTGTCGGGTTCGCTGGTGAAGAGGCCGAATCGCCTTCTCAAATAGCTCCGAACGGGACAATCGTGAGTGGTGGCGGCAGCGGCGCGGTAAGACAAGACCCCTACCTTCGCAGGACTACGAAACTCGGAATTAACGCTGCAATTCGTAGGCTACGCCGGCGCATATCAGAAGCCCTTACGACGCTCTAAACTCGCGGGCGTACGGGGATGACACAGCTTTGTTTTGGGACTTTTATTTCTCAAATCCCTACGTGGCCGCAGCCTCGGACGCTTGCATTGTTTTGGTGAATGCCTTCGCCTCCGAAGGATATGACCGTCCTGGCAGTCTCCACGACGACTATACGGACGGTCTGATCAAGCACGTCGCCGACAGCTGCAATAACACGATTGTAGTGTTTCAGAATGCCGGAGTTCGTCTGGTGGATCAGTTCGTGGACCATCCTAATGTTACAGCGTTGATCTTCGCACATCTTCCTGGGCAGGAGTCTGGTGAGGCATTAGTCTCGCTGTTATATGGCGACACAAACCCATCGGGCAAGCTGCCGTACACTGTGGCTCACAACGAGTCGGACTACGACCACCTTCTGGGTCCGGACTTACCGGAGGGTATCTTTGAGAATTTCCCTCAGTCCAATTTCACTGAAGGCGTCTACATCGACTATCGTCACTTCGACGCCAGAAACATCACGCCACGATACGAATTTGGCTTCGGATTGTCCTACACCACCTTTAACTACTCAAACCTGCAAATCGAGAAGAACAACACCGCCGATACATCGAGATACCCGACGGGGCCTGTTGTCGTGGGCGGACAGGCCGATCTGTGGGATATCATTGCAACCGTGACTGCCGACATCCAAAACACCGGCGATGTGGACGGGGCAGAAGTAGCCCAGTTGTACGTGGGCATCCCCGACGCGCCAGCGAGGCAACTCAGGGGCTTTGAGAAACCATTCATCAACGTCACGCAGTCAACTACGGTCACTTTTGCACTGAACAGAAGAGACTTGTCGGTTTGGGATGTCGTTGCGCAGAAGTGGCTCCTTCAGTCGGGATCGTATAGCGTGTACGTTGGCTCTAGCAGTCGGGATCTTCCATTGCGAGGCACGTTGTCTTTGTGAACTTCAAATTTGGAGCTGGGCCCTGTGCATTCCACGGGTGAGATCTAGATCTTGGGTTGTTTGTGATAACAATGGATAGATGGCTTAGACGTTTACTGGATGGTGGAGCGTGGATAAGCCAATGATTAGGGTGTCAAGGATGGGATACTCGGAAAATTTAAGGTGTAATGAGAGATGATCCGGCCTGGAAAGTTGGGCTGTAATATGGACTTGCCACTGTATATTCAGTAATTATGTTATGGTTTGGAAACGGAAGACTGGCAAATTGCCATCCTGTGACTAAGTAATAAATACAACGGGTTCGACAGTACAATTCATATTGATGACAAGTTGCCTGTAAGTAGGTAGATATGGATCTGAATTGCATCGCTGCTACACGTACAGTGGCTATAATCATGTACAGGTGGTATAGGACGGCAAACTGCCTGGCATTCCCACTAATCTGAAAAGACCGAAACAAATCTCGATGTAGCTCATCGCTACTGGGTTAAGCGGCAGAGTCATAGTAATAAGTCTTCACAATGCATTTCATCCAACTTGTGGTTGGCCCGAACACGTACGGTAGCTTAGTGGTAAACTCTGCTCTCCGTCTAGGGGCGGGTGTGCCTTCCTAGTCGATCAGGCTATATGAATGAATATTCGGCTACAAGGGTGTTTAAGTATATCTTTGTTGCGTCCGTCATGATTCAAGCCACTGCTAAAGGGAAGTCGGTGGTGTTGTCAAACTTATTTGGCACCCTTCCACCGCAAGAATATATATCCAATGCAAGTGGCGTCAGGCCAGCAGGTTGGCGAGACCTCATGCCAAGGAGATGGAAGCAGAAACAAGAACGACAGTATCTATTTGGGAAACCTGGCTCCCAAGGTCCGAGTGAACGTATCCACAGTGGTTATGGCATGGTTGTTTATCCACAATTTCAAAGCTGAGTCGGTGTTTCAATGTGTCCAACATACGTTCGCGACCTGATTTGTTGTCGATAGTGGCACTGTTATTGGGTTGCCTCCACCTCTCCCGGTAGGGATGGCATATTCCTTACAAAGTACTCCTTTGCCAGGTATTATGATGCAGCGCTGTAGCAGTAGTCCAGGTAGGGCTTGGGTACGCCGTTCGGTAGCAGGGCAGTGACGAGAGGGCAGTGACGAGAGGGCCCCAATCAATGTGCGGCTGATGTGACATACCGGTGGGGGTGAAGGGGGGGATCCCTCGCTTCTTCATAGCTTGTAGATCTTGAGTAAACGTTGAGATCTTGCGATACTGCCCCCAAAGAAAAAAAAACAAAAAACAAAACAGAGGGGAAAAGAAAAGAAACTGTTCGCCATCGACGACGGGGCCTAGAACATTATCGACAAGCTGTGGCGCGCCCGACGGGAAGTGGGTAAAGGTTAGGACATTCGAGACCTCGAAGCCCCAATTATTGATGCACGACCTCATGATCAAAGCACTTTGCCCACAACCACGACCACCCGCTCATTCGTTTCAAGCTAATGTGATCGAGTTTTGGCCTTGGCCTGCCAAAACCAAGATAGAAAGAAAGCGCACACCCACTTGACATTTTCATATCTCCTCATCACCTCTGTTGCCTGCGGCGGTTGATGGCAACAGAGTGAACCTCGGCCCTCGGCGACGGTTGTCACTTGCATCAGCACATGCAGACGACATGGGACGGCCGGAAATAATGATATCGACTAGTTACCTGCCGAACGGCGTGTCGCCGAGCTCGGACAGGAGCGATGCCCGGGATGCGGGAGACTCCCCGGAGCCCACTTCGATGTCCAACAACGGGCAGTCAATTAGCGGCAACGGCAGCAACAACACCATGACTACCGAACTGGCAGCGCGCGCTTGCGAGAAATGCCGGAGCTCCAAGCGACGCTGCGACAAGACGCTTCCCCAGTGTGAGCGCTGCTGTCGCCTCAATGCCAAATGCGTCTACCTCGCCGACCCTGTCGCCGCCAACTCCAACAACCCAGGCGCTCCCGTCGTCGTCTTCCAGTCCCAGTCCCTGCAGGTCGTCAACGACGTGCTGCTGCGAGGATGCGACCCCCTCGAGGAGCTGACCGCAGCGCACATCCTTCGCCTCGTTGCCGCTGACGCGCAGCAGCCCGGCGAGAAGCTTGACTGGGTCGACGGTGTGCGCTCCTATTTCAACTGTGTGCATTCATGGTACGCCGTGGTGCACCGCACCCTCTTCGAGCAGCAGATCGCCTCCCTGTGGTCTGCTGCCGACTCTCCCGTTCCGCAAGTCTACTCGCCGCCCTTGACCAACACGCCCTCGGACAAGGCTCTTTCCGTACATCAGTCGTCCTCGGTCCTCGACTCGGCCCCGGAACACATGGGCCGCGACTTGGCCATCCTCATCGTGACCATGTATCTGACCGTAAGACTGCGTCCCAACGACAGGACCATGTTCGACGAAACATACCGCTCCATCAAACGGGTTCTGACCCTTTCATTCCTCGATGGTCCCGTGCCCACATTAGAGCTGGTACAGGCTGGCGCCTTACTTGCTTTATACGAGTATGGACACGGGGATTCCTTTGCCGCCTATCGAACACTAAGCGAGACTGTGGCTGCCGGCAGAGTCTTGGGCGTCCAACCAGGTCGGCTGGAAGACGGGTTCCCCAGCAAGATGCTGGGGCTGGCGGATGAGCAGAACAGTGGTCTGTGGTGGGCCATGTTTATTCTCGACCAGTGAGTTACCAGACCGTTTCCTCGGGGATTTTTATCTTCGGCATCTTCATGCTCATCGAGACTTCGAATTGCTAACCCGGATCGGCAGGTTTCTCCATCGAGACGAAGTCTCCAAAAACCTGCCTTTTATCCTCGAGTCGCCAGACGAGCAGACCCTGCTCCCTGGCTCCATCACTGCCTCGCAGATTACTCAGCACGCCGGAGGCTACGACGTGAAGTACCTCTGCGAACCCATGACGCCGCCGTCGCGGCGGATGTCCATCGCCGTACCCATCAACGCGACGTCCATGGAGTCCTTCCAGCTTTCGGCCAAGGTGGCAAGTTTACTGCATCGAGCCTTGCGTCACGAGTACGATATCAGAACGAAAACACCGAATCGCTTGCCCGCCGTCAGCTTGTTTGTAGAGTTGGATCGCGAGATTCGGAGCACCACCATGGCGTTGTTGCAGGATGATATCAACTGGCAAGCGGCGCTCGACTGCTTCGCCATGTGCGTCTCGTAAGTCCCCATGTAAACACGCCATTATAATACCTCTCATTTCGAGTCACTTTACCAAAGAAGACTGGCCATCAGACTCCGTACCTAGTGTTGCTAACTTCTAGCCCAGCGCGCTGTTTACTCTCTACCTCCCCTTCCTGCCCGTCCTGCAGTCCAAAACGGCACAAGAGATCAACGGGGACTACGAACTGACGACGGCCCTCACGGCCCTCCGCTTCGCCATGAAGATGTCGACCGATATTTCATGCAAGATGAATGGGGATATCGCGAGAGAGGTCAACTCGGTCCGGTATCTCGCGGCTCCGGCCGCACCGACGTGTTATTTGGTCGTCATGGCTTACGCGGGGCTACGTAAAGTGTTCCCTGAGCAATGGGACCAGTGCCAGATCGCTATGATGGAGAAGTATGAGAGTCTAAAGTTTTTCAGTTATAGGTGGGGGATTGCTGGTGAGTCTACTTCCGTCTTTCGTGGTGGTCTGCGAGGGCCCTGTTAGGTCTCGGTGCTGCGACTTATGGTTCCGAGTCTCATCATCAGTACTGACTTGAGTTCTTTTGGCAGAAAAAATCATGCGCCAGCTAGAGGACGTGGTTGGCTTGGATCGAAATGACTTCCTTAGCGGCCAGATGCCAACGCCGCCCTTCATTGAATCGAGTGGCCCGATGGATTTGAGTCGGTAACGGGATTCTAGTTTTAGACGCAATCGAACTGTCGAACGAACACTACATTCAAACGTTTAGTATGGGGTATATAATACGAGCCGACCAAAGGCGGGAAGCACTCCTTGGAACAGGGGCAAATCTGCCCTGGGGAAGCGACGAGCAGCACATGCAACGTTGTCATAGCCGGGCACTATCATCCAAGGCGCGCCGCGGGGCCAAAGTGGTCTTCAGAGGGTGGGAGCAAAACGTCGGCGAACTCAAGTACCCCCCATACCCTTGGCCGCTCGGAAAGGAAAGTAAGGAAGGAGGTTATACGACGGTGGCTGACAGGGTGATAACCAAGTGCAACATAATGACACGGAGACGGATATGTATCTGTAGAGATCTGGAATTTCAAAATGTGACAGCAGTCTGCGATTTGGGGTTCTACGTAAGGGGGAGTACAGGAAGAAGAGGGGTACGGGAAATGGACCATTCTGGGAATGCTTGTCGCTTGTGGCTACGCAACCTCCCTCGATGGGAAAGCATCGTACCCCTGGTTAAATATAATACCTCTTGCTTTCTGTTCCAGGCCCGAGTGGTGGCTAGTAATTTTATTACGGCTCTGTTAAGACTCATGAAACCTCACTCCTGAGCTTGGGAGTGAGTGATCTCCAACCCTTGGTGGGGATCAAATCAGGGAGGAGCAAGACTTACAGCGGGTAGCCAAGATCAACAAGCATCGAGGCTCAAGATATACCTCACCGTGTTACTCCTTCTGCCAAAGCACTCCCTTGCCGCTTTGAGCTTCGAGCTATTCTCTTCCGATATACTCCTATACGTCCCCACGGAGAAAGACGGGTGGCCTGATGAAGATCGGGGGTACGGGGGAGAGGGAGGAGCGGCGGCGGGGGCTTGGCTACTTGCTGGTCCCACTGCGGGACTTGCTTGGCCTTTCGGGTAGATGAACTCGTGTTTGATTGATATTGTTGGCGCGTTGTTGCATGTGTTCGTACCGGAGAGAGAGGTTTGAGCCTCCGTTTTGAGGGGCCGTCTAGTGTATCAGGAGTTCGTTTCAGTAGCATCGAAGTAGATAGACGGCAATGGTCGGGGTTTCCGATTGCTATCCCGTCGTCGTGATTAAGTCGATATCTTGGACTAGCAATCGTGTCGGATGGATAACGACAAAATTTATCACAGAAGTGGTGACCTTTCTGGGCGAGCTGACATGAAGCTCAAGAATAATGTGGAAGACATCGCTTATATTCCCATTCATATCTAATGCACAAAAGAGATTATGTAGCTATCGCTAGGGTTCCTCCAGGGGTTCAATCATACAATCTAGGTATGCCCTGTTCGCGGGTATCGCAAAATGCATCGAATGCTCCCGTGTACACCCAGTACATTTGCCACCATCCGGGGCAGCAAGTCCTACCGCATATATCAATTTGACCGACTGCCATCGGCCGTACCAGCCCTAGAAGACTTCCAAAAGGGGTACTCCCAGGCCGAGTCGATCGTATCGTCATCTCATGTCAGTTCCCCTCTACGAATGACTCGTGACAACGCAAAAGCCATGTACATCATAAGCCATTACTACCCACGATCAGGACAAGTAACATGACGTTGAGCACGAAGTTGCCAATAAACGCCACCCAAGCAACAGCTTTGTATATGAAACCCAGAGCATCATGGCGATACAGCATGCCGCCGAGTCCCAAACAGCTAGCACCCAAACTGGCGACAATAGAGAGCGTTGCGGCCGCGTCCACTTCCAGTCTCATCTTGTGCCGACCCGTAGCCACGAGCACGCCAGCTACCATCAGCAGCACGGCGGCGACGGCGAAGCCCCCTACGGTGAGATGGTGGTGAACCCTCTCCCGATATCTTTCCACCCGTTGTTCTTCAATGCTCGGCAGGGCAGCGTAGTGTGTCGCGTAGCCAGTGGATGGATATTCCGTTGACGAAGTGTCTTCGTTGTCGGTAACCTCATTGTCGCTGGACCGAGATGACTGACGTACACGTATACCGAAATAATCTGTCGGAGAATCCGCGTCGTGCAGGAGTGAACGACACTCCGCAGTCCGGCCAGAAGAGCGAGAGATGATACTACGTATCGTGTTGACGGGGGTGCTGAACATGCTTCGAAGTTTGTCCATGCCGGGAAACGTCTCCGACTCACTGGGGTTGATATATATGGCGTAGCCGTCATCATCGTCACCTCCCGCCTCGCTGCCGTTGTCATACTCGTTCCAGTACCTCGGCGGTTGCGATGCTTCTTGTCTGTGTAGTACCAAGGTTGGAGTCCGCGATGGGCGCCGGCTTTCCGTCTGGTAATCGCTGTGGGAGGGTCGGGTTGATGTTCTATTACTGTGGTCTTGGGGGTTATCGCGATCGGCCGGCCCGGCGGGCGAAGAGGTGCCAGGAGATGCGGCGTTTAGTGTTGCGAGGAGTTCTCGATGTTGTGTTTGCAGCGGGTGGAAGTCGCGTTTCGTAAAAGTTTTATAAGTACTCAGGACATCGTTCCTAAAGCGACTGCTGAGGGTCGTGGATCCGGTCCATTTCTGCAAGTTCGATGTGGTCAGTGGCTGTACTGCCTTGCGCAAGGCATCGTCTACGGCTGTTGGGTTGGGGTCGTAATTACCTTGTACTTTTTGAGGATTTTGTGAAAGGCAATCGTTTGAGCGTTGACGAAGCGCTCCAGATCCCTGATATCGTCGCCGCATTCCCCTATTTGTTGCTGGTATTTGGCGAACTTCTTTTGTCTCTTGCGAGACACGCCTCGCGAGTCGGTGCATTGGACGAGTAAGCTGTGGACGAGCCCGGCGAGATGACCTAGGCATGACCATCAGTAAGACGTCCACAACAATGGGCGACGTAGGTGGTTGAGTTTAGCGTACGCAAACGTCTGTTTATCTCGTCGGCCTTGCTGGAGACGAAAAGCCCGACTCTGTCGTGTTGCCGGCAGAGCTCATGGTATAAGCCGTTTTCGAACTTCTGCAGCACAGTGTCCTCGGCCCCCCGGGTGGCAATGGCCTTGACTTGGTTCTTGGTCGTATGGGTCTTGATCTGGTACTTCAACGAGTTGTAGTCGATGTTGTGTAGACTCCAACGGGGAACCGATTCCCTCTCGAATAATTCGCCGAACTTCATCTTGGTGTGATCATAACCATCTGATCTGCGCCGAAGGAGCAGCCGGCAGACCAGTCGACACTGTCTCTATACCACCGACAAGTATACGGCTTGGCAACGACCCGATGCCTGGAAACAATGCCGACTTGAGGTATGCGGCGGCGGTCTCATAGGCGATCCTCGAGGTGCTGGGCATAGTGCTATGGAGCAGTCGGGATAGAAAAGGTGAGAGACTAGGAGACAGATCTACAGAGAGCGGATGGCAATGGAAGAGAAGAAAAGACCGGCAATGACGTCCAGCGGGGGTCCGCTTTCTAAAGTCCCGGGTCTAGGCCGAGAGGAAGAGGCGCGACACAAGCTAAGACAGTGAAAGAGCGAACGCGATACGATGTAGATATCGGGGTCAATCGAGTAACCAGTGAGGCCGGCGACTGGCCAATGGAGACAATACTTTAACCTTGACCCAGGAGCAACCGAATACTACCGGATACTACTTGATATCTGATACGCCAAGGGCTGTTGAGGAATCCTAGCAGAGGTTGCATCTGACCTGCACTTGACTCGGGTTTTAGCCTAGCGTGCGTAGGGCTTGCCTGCAATCTACTATGTAGATCGTAGATGTCAACATCTGGCCATGATGATAGCGCCGAGACTTCCTAGTAGAGCCGCCAGGTACATGGAAGTTTCAAGATTGCGTCCTGGATAGGCGAACGACTCTGGTGGATGCGGGTATGGATGGGGAGAGCGCGGGATGGAGGGTGGTGAAAAGGCAAAAATCATGACGGTCCTGTTCTGATGAGGGAAGTGCCCTGCAGGGCCCCGTCCAGATGGCTTCCACTAACCACCCGAGTCTAAGTTGTCTGGGTGCAGGACTGCGTGCAGAGAGGGCCGAGGCCAACGACCCCAACGACCCCAACGGTGTGAAACCTTGTCAAGAGAACAAAGAGAAGGTGCGGGATAAGTCGAATCAAATTAAGGATCTGACCGTTTCCATGTGATGCAAGGCGTTCGCAGCAATACGACCTAGCATGGGAAAGGCTTCCAAGCGATCGGGGGTCCCCTTGCCTTAAGTGGAGCTGAGCCATTTGGCGAGTGGCTCTTTCCTTGGCTCGGTGGAAACAGAAAACATCTGAAGCGGGACTTCAGCCCGTCATTTCTGAGCCATGGGCCTCAAGGCATTCAAGGTTGCTTTGAAGCTCTTGAACATGGGGAACGATGGCGATTGAGATGGGTGTGAGTTGGATGCGATAATGCTAGGCTAAATGCTGATGACAACGGATAAATACCGGTCCTATGGAAGGTTCTATCATCTGTCCACCTTCATTGATAAGCTCTGGGAGCCCAGCAACGCAACAGTCCATGGCTTGGCATGCTTCGCACGCGATTGGCCAATTACAACAACGGCCGCAATCTGTTGGTCTCTTGGAGCTGTCGCGTGCTCGCCCGATATAAAGTTTCATCAGTCTGGAAAACAATGATGTGCCGCTTTCCATGCATTCATTGCGTTATCTAGACGGACATAACGAACTTGGTGAGCGAGCAATGCTATTTCCAGTACTGCTCGATATTTACGTAAATATGCTGCTGACTTTGCGGGTTCCACTTGCAGGTTCCACTTGCAGAAGAGGTAGCTCGCAGCTCAAAAAGCTCAAAATCCACCAACTTGCTTCCTTCGCTTCGGCGGCCGTACTTTTGGTTGCGGTTTTTGATGAAGACAACTTACTTGTCAACCTGTATACATCCCGGCATACACATACATGCGGCTCCTTGGCATGGTCAACTGGGTCGGACATGAGGCATCCGAAGGCGCCTGGGCCGTATGCTGTGGAGATCATGGTAACACCCAACACCACAACGCCATGCAGTCAGTCGCACGGCATCAGGCAGGTGCGGCATTATGATGAACTTACATGTATATGTACCCGGAAACTTTTTGTCACCTCAACATGTCCGTACCATCATCTACAACGCTACCGCCGCTCTGCTCCAGTATACGAAGTACCAACGAACCGCTTGGAGTCCCGTCTCCCCGCATACCCTGGTAACATCGTAAACTTGTAGGGGGGATAGGGGTCTTTGTTTTACCAAAAACCCCCCAAAAAATAGGACCTACGTAGCAAATCTAGAGGAGTCCAAATTCTAACCGCCCCAACGGCCCATTCTAACCTGCATCCGCGAAACCCACTCCAATGTTTAATGGACTAGGGTCAACGGACGGGTAGAAGTGGAACTTAGAAACAACGACAAACGAAATATTGTGCCGTTCCTCCACTACCGAACAGTCATTTCCACAGTCACCGTCCAGCGCTTGCTCTGCATGCGAAATTTTCTCATTCCGCAGAACGCCAGTAACGATTTTGGCAGGTTGATCCCGCTTAGCCAGTGCGGTAGTGACGGCGTCCGGGTTTGCGTTGATTTATCAACGGAAAGCATTGTGGATTTTCGTCGTCGTCATATGTCATAAACGATCCTCACCACTCGGAGTCACGACCGAATTTCGAACCTTGCAGCAATTCTGATCTGTTCCCATAGACAGGCCATTGGCGGATGACCTCCCTGTAGCCATGCAACTCTGCACGGTGGTTGGTTTACAACGCATACTTCCTACACATTACTTTTCGGAGGCTGAGCCGGCACGGTGGGATATATTTTCGGCGTTATTAATTTGTGGTAGGTCTACGATTACGCCGGTCTCAACTGTGTACAACAGAAAATTTCGGCTGAGCATGAGGATATTCTTTTTTTGACTTCCTGGTAGCTCATCAGGATTGACTTTCCCGGACTCCTATTTGCTCCGTGACACTTGCTACGTACGGAACTCGGATTCGAACTTAAGCTTCCGAAACCTGGATCATTTAACCTTAGTAAGACCCAGCCTGGTGTTCGCACCGCTAATACCGCGCTCGGAAGTATGCAAATGCAAAAGTATCATCCGGCACCCGACAGACCTAGGTATGTGCTGTAGTTTTCCTTTTGGCAACGACACTGAGGGTCCGCAATCGTAACAGACAATGTTATGCGCAAGCGGGGCAGTCGGTTGAAGTTATAATGTTGTTTAAACACTCCATCTGGACGTCATGGCTTCAACTGAGCTCGGGAGCTGTAATGACCTGTGAGGCTGTAAGGATCGACGTGCAAATAGGAGACATGGGAAATCCGGAGGGCAGGTTACAGTTTTGGCACGTGACGTTACCAGTACTGATTATGGGCGACTGTGTTTGATAACATGGGAGAGACCTGTCGCAAGAAGGCAGGAAAGCAGGTCAATTCGCGTTGAAGATTGACATATTCCTCGCAATATGAGTTTCATAGACCAGAAACAAAAGCAGCAGTTCTTCCACCACACCTAACCACGAGCAACGATGCCTACACTCTGCAAGGAAGTCAAACAATGATTCATACCATGTACAATCTAGATGATTGAATAACTGCAGCACAGCAAGAACCAAAAACAAACACAGCCATGAACCCCCTTTTTTAATGCGGAATCCCCCAAATCAAGCGCTACCTGATGCGAGTTTCCGTCATTCTTTGGCCCCAGAGATCTGCCGAGTCCAAGACGGATAGTGAGGTTGATGGCGTAGGCGTAAACACTCATACAACTCATCCTTCCGAAACCGACCAGTGTATGACCAGTGTGTAATAGCACACATCTCGACATGCTCTCGCTCTCAAACAGATTAGACGGAAAATGCCAAATGCCAGCGCCTCTAATTACTATCGTCATCTCCTGCGGCTTTGTTCACGTCGATGCCTCAACAACTCGTCTCGCCGTAATGTCTTGGTCCTCCGTGAACCGTTCCGCCTAGAGGTACACTCTTGGTGGCGATTAGGTGTAAAGTCCTACTTCTTGTTCGCAGCCTTGTTCGCCTCCAAGACCCCAGCCAACTCGGCCGCCATCTCGGGCCTTTTGACTTGCAGTAGCCACGTCTCGAGCGAGTTCCCGTCATCGCTAGCCGCAGTTATTTTCAACGTCTTGGCGTCTGCCTTGTAAGTGTAATCCGACAGAATCGTCTTGTTCAACGCAATGTGTCCTCTAGGCTCGGCACGCAGCAAAATGCGCACTGTGCCCGTCGTCTTATTTTTGAGAACACGGAGCGGGCCTATGCCTTGAGTGCGCCAGGGCGACTTCTTATCAGCATCATCCTCGTCGGGTTTGACGGCTTTGTACACAATGGCTTTGGCGCGCACTTCGTGCAGGATGGTCTCATCTTCCTCACCGGGACCGCCATTGATTAGGGAAATTTGCTCTTGCGGTGCTTCATCGTCATAGCCTTGCTGGGTTTGGGGTTCGGGTGTGCCATTGACCGGCGTAGTATTCATACTAGAAGGCGCTGGGAATGGCGAGCCTAGGAATGATAAGCAAAGATTCAGACACCTCAGTGTTCGTTAGGAAGTGCATGGGTGTACGTACTGGCTCCAGTAGACGTGCCTGCTTGCAAGAGATTGCCGAAGACGCCTGCGGGCTTCGATACAAAAGTGTTTGGTGTATTCTGCGGCGGAGTGGCAGATGTGAAACTGAAACCCGGCGTGGTGAAAGATCCATTAGGTTGTCCACCGAATACAGATTTGTTCTGCTCAGCTGGCGCGGGACTAGGCATAGATGGCGCTTGGCCGCCAAACTGGAAGTTGAATGACCCAGAAGGAGTTGGAGTAGACGAGTTACCACCAAACGTCGGGGCAGACTGTCCTTTTGACGGTGAAAATGGATTTGGGGCAGACTGTCCTAGACCGCCTGCCGTAAACGTGAAGGATCCTTGGTTCGACGAAGACTCCTGACCGTCACCTCCAAATGTGAAACTAGAGCCTGCAGCAGGCGCAGAGCCTCCGGTGAAGTTGAAGTCAAACTTGCTAGACCCCGAACCTCCTGGTTGTGCGTTAGATGCACCAAATGTCGGGGTTGGCGGCGCATTCTTGTCTACACCGAAAGTGAACAGCGAAGACGAAGCTGGCTTGCTTTCAGTGGGGCCAGGGGTGTTGTTCTGCGATCCGAAGCTGAAAATAGGGGTGCTCGCCGGTGGGGCGCTGCCAAAGCCGTTAAATTTTGGAGCTGCTGGCTCTTCGGGCTTCTTCTCGGTGGGAGCTGCGGAGCCAAATTGGAAAGGAGATGCCGTTGCTGTACTATTCCCGAAGATACTGGCCGGTGCAGGAGCAGTAGGTTTTGCCGCCGTAGAGCCAAATAGTGTGCTTGGAGTTGCGCCGAAACTGGGCTTCGGTGCTTGGGCAGAAGTAGCGTTCGAAGCAGCGAAGTCGATAGGCTGATCAGGCTTCGAAACACCGAACATGGGCCGCTTTGCGGGCTGACCTTCTTGGTCTCCAAAGCTTTGTTTGGTCAGAGAAGCGGCCTCCGCAGCAGGAGTTGGTGTAGCGGGTGTTCCAAATGTGTTCGGCGCAGACGATTTCGTGTAGTCACCAAAGACTGATGTACTACCATTCGATGGTGTCTTTTCAGGCTCAGTCCTCTTCTCAAGACCCCCAAAGAGGGTGCTACCATTTGATGATGCCTTTTCGGGTTCACCGGTCTTCTTAAGACCACTAAAGAGGGTGCTACCATTGAACAATGCCTTGTCGGGCTCAGAGGTCTTCTTAAGACCGCCGAAGATGGTACTGGCAGTTGCTGGTGTGGTGTCCTTTGTCAATTCGGAGTTTCCAAACGGCGGCTGCGATCCGAATATACTCTTCGGCTGCTCCTTAGCAGTCGTGGTGTCTGGTTCACCAGCTGTGCTCGCTTGTGTAATGGACGCACCAAAGATCGAGGATGGCTTCGTGGCATTCTTCTTGGCCCCGAACTTCGAAGAAGGGGTGGCTATCGGCCTCGACCCTGCAAAGATACTGGTCGTGGGAGTTGCATCAGCCTTCGGGGTGTCACTTGACTGGTTGAGACTACCGAATAGTGTCTTGGGTGTTTGTTGAGATGTTACCGCTGACACAGCAGCCGGTGTCTTCGAAGCAAAGATTGACGAAGCGGCCGAGGACCCATTCGTCCCAATCTCTTTAGTGTCGCTTGTGGTAGGCTTCTCAGCAGCAGGTTTGGACGCAAAGATAGAATTGCCTCCTTGACTAAAATTTATGGGCGTTGTTGTGGGGTTGAAGGTGTAATCACCAGGAGGCTTGACTGGAGACTTAGCTGAAGTATTGGCCTGCTGAGATTTTGCGTGCTCCGCCACGGCCGCAGCAGTCTCGAGGGTTGGGGATGACTCTCGAGGTTCTTCGGCGGGTGGCGTTGCTCGTAGAGGCTGACCGTCCGATCCCATAGATACACGGTCAAACAGACCACCCTTTGTTGCACTTTCTGGCGGTTTGGATGCGGCGCTGGATATGCTATCGGTATTGTTGGTCTTGCCGGGGGCAAACAGACCAGGTGCTCCTTGAGTGGGAGGTGTGCTGGTTCCCGTGCTGGCTGCGGCACTTGGCTCATAACTAGGTGCAACATCCTGGCTTCCAATCTCCGGTTCCGACGCATGACCAGATTCGTCATCAGTCTCGGCATCAGCATCGCCATTCTCATTACCGCTGTTGTTGGCAGAACTCTCGGACAGATAACTGAAGATATTCGCCGAACCTGTAGCTGGTGTGGAGCCAAACTTGTGTCCCGATAAAACGGACCCAGAATCACTCCCGTTCAAGACCTTGCCGGGCTGGAATTGAGATGATTCAAGCTTCGGTGCTGCACTTGCCCCATTTGTTGCGGCTTTGAATGGATTCGATTTACTGGCGAAGGGTGTTTCGCCAGGTAACTTAGAAACGCCGAAAAGTGGTGTTTGGGTTGATATTGAAGCAGCAGAGTTGGCACCAAATAGTGTGCGCTTGAGTGGTGATCCTGACGACGCCGAGCTGCCAGATTGCACATTATCGATGATACTCTCAAGCTTGGACTTAGCAGCCGAGGATGTGGGCTTTTGCAATTTGCTGCGTTGGTTTTCATCGGGCTTCTCGGCCTCATCCGCCTTGCGCTTACTTTTCATCGGAGTAGGGGCGAATCTGGGCATGTCAAAGGCCGAAGACTGCTCCACGTTACGTTTCTTATTCTGGTTGGCGGTAGAAGCCATCAAGGTGTTATCTTTGGGCTGTAGATCGTCGTCGGCCTTGCGCTTCGTAGACCCTGTACCTGCAGTGGCTGAGCCAACACCATCGGGCTTTGGGGTCGTCGTCTGAGGTTCGGGGTCCGGTTCTGGTAGACCATGCGCAGCTCGCCATCTCTTCAGCAACTCCGCGGATGGCTTCACGTTCTTGAACTCGTACAGACCGTAGCGCAGCATGATCAAGCCCCTGCTCTTTTCGTACTCCTTGGCGAAGTTCATAATGTTCAGCTTCCATTCCTTTTTCGCAAAGATGGCGTTGGCTGCATGCTTGAGCCGCCGCAAATCGAGGATACAGAAGAACTGCCTGCGTTGGAGTTCATCGAACTCGGGCGGGCATTTGTCGGCCAGGTATTGATCTGCGTAGACTGTACCCTTGCGGCTAAGGTCGTCGGGAACCGCCTTGGTCAGGGCTTCGCCGGTCAGACCAGGGTCTGGCGACGGTATTCTCATCTTGAACAATTCGCTCGATGCGATATTGGCCATGCCAGCGCTAACACTCTTTGCCGGCGCAAATTTGCGAGGCGATGCCTTGGTTGCGGCCGCGGGGAGCTTCGGGGCAAATGGGGTTACTCGACTAGGCTTCGCGGTTCCGAAGAGGTCGCGACTGTTTCCAGACGAGGTTGACGCCGATACCCTAGTGGGAAATGGCGCCGGCCGACCTGGAGAGGGTCTAGACATTGGTACGAGCGATGAGCGGAATCTGTTCGCGGCTGGGGAGGCAGTGAAGGGCATCGAGCGCGGTTGACCTTGCAGATCCGGCGCGGTCCCGGACTTGCGGGGCGTGACGCTGGAGCTCATCGCGACGGCTGAGTAGGAGTAGAATTGGGATCGGAAGAAATATTGGGTGTTGCGTTGGTTGTGAGGAAACTAGGTGTCAAGTTTCATATACAGAGAGATGCGACAATGAGACCGCGTTCGAAGAGATCCGGATGGAGCAAACCAGAAAGTGAGGGTTCAACCTAGCATCAACGAAGTGAAAGCGGATGACGGCGTCGTTGTTGATGTTGTTATTGTGATTGCCGTAAACAGAAAAAAAACTCGCGATGGCACGCCTTAGAAAAAGCCGTTGAGGGTCATCATTTGACACGAGAAATTCACGCGTTTCGCTTTGGGGCTCGATGCGATGGATCGTCGACCACTTTTCGAAGGCTTTGACAATGGGCAAGGTTTTTGGCGTTGAAGAATAACGGGGTCGTCGTGGTGGTTATTTGGGTACCAAACCCACTTGCAAACCGGGGTTGAAGTGCAAAAAAACAGGGTGCCCATCGCACCATGGGTGCAAGACTGGCCAAAGCGCGTAGCTGCACTACGCACCCGGGCAACCACCTGCAACCGGCTGACTGGGCTGGCAGCTGACAGCGGTGGCTATTTTATTGTAGCTTTGTCTCGAGGCGCCACGTTTAGTACTTTACTAGATGAGCTCGATAATGATATGCTGATCAGAGAACCGGTCATATCGAGCTTCTGCTTCCTGATTTATGTCGTCACGACCGTGGCCTAAATTATGCTTAAATACCAAAAGTAATGGTTTAATAGATACAGCATACACTCACTCAGTTGTAATCGGTCCTGCAGTCAAGGCAGAATCTATATGCTGAGGAAGGCTTTGTTACGGATTCAAGGCATGCTGGAGTACGGAATTGACGCAATAATTGACCATCCTCCTTCTCAACTAGAGTGCGACTTCGCCTTGTACTTTCAATCGGAAGCAGCAGAGCCAAAAAGCTAAGCAAGCGCATCGACTCGAAGGGTGGGTGTACGACCATATTCACATGATCCAACACAGTACGGTCCTTAGCAGTGAGCACCGGTAGATGGTGTCCATAGACCATACCAATTGATGTGCGCAAAGATCATGAAACACCTGATCAATGACCAAATCAATGATCTATTTTCAACGTTGACGTATTCAAGTAATGCCCCACAAGATGAGTACCACGATTATCGAGGTGTGTATTGCGACCGCTTTTCATAATGTATCCACGATTTTGTAGGTATGCAAGCTGGCAATACTTCGGATCCAGGGCGCATCATATTTCAAGATCTGATAATTCTTTCGGAATAGTATGACATTAGACACTGCGCGCATGAAACATGTATAATTTACAATTTGGCCTTGGTCTGCGCCTTCTTGAGAATGGGCTCCATCTTTGTTGCCTTCATGACATCACCCTTGATCTTGAGCTTTCCCGACATGAACAATCGCTGCGCATTCGCCTGTCCAGTGACGAGCTTGCCGAAATCGTCATCTGAAAGTGATAGTGTAACTGCAACCCGTGAATGTTAGCTATGGGTTATTGAGGAGGGGCCAGAAAGGGGTTGCTGTTGCCAAACTGGGGGGCCATACCAGTGGGTTTACTCCCCAGACCAGTGCCAACCTCGCCCTTCTCCTTGAGGTCGATGTGCCAGCTCTCGGTCTCGCCGGCCTTGTTCTTCAGGGTGAATGCAAAGACGGCGTTTCCTTGTTTGATAGCATCCTTTTTGTCCGCCTCGCTCGAATTCAACGCCGAGTTGATGGCCTCGAAAGCCACAGAGGAGGGAAATTTGTCTACATTGGCATTGTCAGCCCATATTCTCCAACGGAAGCTTGCGACAGGCGGCAGGGCGTCACGTCATACCATTCGCAAGACCCATTGTGGCTGTTAGTTTAAAATTGCTGTATGGTAAGTATGGCTTTGTAAAATGGGTACAGAGCGAATTCGATGGAAAATATGACACAATAAATGTCTGACGGAAGGGTTGGATGGATACTTGTAGGATATTTGATTCGTGGGCTGTCGGCAAAAGAATAGTTGCTATGACGCTCGTTCGTAGCGACACAACATGTGAACTGGACCTCGGCGCCTCCCAAAGCGTCATGTGCAAAGCCGGCCGATCTTTAGAGTTTCGACACCAGCCACATTGTCAGAAGGCGCAACACATTGGAACAACCAGAAGGGACTGGGGTCAAGCCTTCTTTACTGGGGCGTGGTTCAGCCACAACTGGCCAATTTGAAAGAAGAAAGTCGGTACACATATACTGTACAATCGATGCTAAATCAAGTAAACCGACGGAGGGGACTTTCAACCGATGAAACCCTGAAACCTTCATCATTACCTCATTCGGTGCACTACAATACGAATTAGATTTCAATCAGCAAATCCCATTTTTGAACGTCGCACCTGCAAACCACGAGTGTCTGGCGTCTGTCAGGTTATTACTGGCACGGCCCGTTTGATGTGCTCTCCCAGTTGCGAGCGAGGTCCAATCGAAGGTCGCGGTATTCGTATCTATGTCGTTGAGTTTACTGCACCAACTGCTGATATTTGATGTCTTGACTCAAGCACTCATGAGGAGTGTCTCAATTTATAATCATCAACAGGACGCGGCACCAATTGACCTAAGGTTGCGTCCAAGTTGGCCTTAATCTGATTGTCGGAATGCCCCTTTGTGGACCAATGCGGCACCCAGGCCCGTTCAGAACACCCAGTATCTTATTCCGACAACCGACCCTGCGCAGGCTGTCAACAGTGGCTAGCCCGCAAAGAACCTTTCGGCTGCAGGTGAACTGACCCCATTGGTGAGCTGTCAAATTTATCGTTACCGTCGATATCTCCCAAGGGTGGCGTGAGCCTGTAGTACACCTGTAGTACACACAGAGGTCTTGAGAGTTCGGATATGTCAGCAAAATAAGGTATCTACACGGTCAAGTCATATGTGTACTCGATATCATCATTGGCCATGTATGATGTAACGATCTTGGGAACCATCATCGTTGTCGAGCTCTGAATTGGAACCCAACCTTTTCCATTTTCTCCAATGGCTACGACGCTTGTGGCTAGCCAAGTGCGATGATCATCCCAGGTCAGGCACTTGAGCTCGCTAGGGGTCATGGGCGGTCCTGTCACAATTGGCCACTTCTCTGTGAGACGAATGCGGAGACTGTTGATTTTACTCTCAGTGGCCGATACGATCCTGCCATTCATGCATCCAGGCAGCTGGTGCAATCCCCATGTTGCCGCCAACGGCGTACTTTTCGAATGCCCGATCGGGATTTGTGTCGGCAGCGGGGTCTGCTTCGCTGGCTCAACAACGACATTGACATTATCTTGCAAGATGAGAAAGCAGAGGCCTATCTATATCTACCCTTCTACAAGCATCTTCAAGCTCCGGTTGTTACCACAGGTTGGGGTTCCACTCTCCGGCAGCCTTGTCGTCCCGCTGGTGTTCTCCACATGCAAGCGCCCCCAACCCGGATATTTTGTTGTTGAGGAGTTGCATACAATCTCCTAAAATTAGCTGTCCTTGTTGCTCAAGTCTCTGCTTCAGATGGAGTCGGTTAGGCGCGCTCAAGGTTGCTGGACTTGTAAAAGTGAGTTGAGATCATCCATCGCTATGTATCTGGCGTATTGCCTGCCGTATTGCCTGCCGTGCTCATGCTAACACCATCATAGAGCGCAAGATTGGCTGTGACAGAGGCGAGCCATTTTGTAATAACTGCATCCGTATGTCTCTGCCCGTTCCGTTTCCATCCCCTTTGATCGAGGTTCAATTCAGACTTTCTGAGCTTGCGCCACCAATGCGGCTCATTCCTACTATCTATTTTATGTGTCCATATGACCCAGAGTCACAACAAGATATGTGGTGATACCTAACTGCGAACCTACAGGTACTGGCAGAGAGTGTCTCGGCTATGGACTTCGACTGGCATGGCCCGATCAACCTGATGGACGCCGCCGCGTGAATCGGCTGCCCGAGCAAGAAATACGTTCACCCTCGACCAACTCAGAATACTATGGCAAGCAATTCTTGAATGTGACCTACGCAGATCTTGCTCTGGCAGGAAGTGGTTCGCCGCCTGACGGCCTGGCTGTCATGCGCAGTGGCATAGCGCGTCCCAAACGACTCATATCATTTATTCCAAATGTTCATGAGAGAGAATCCTATCTCATCACATATTGTAGGTTACAGCTACCACCAATATTGCAATTGACACTAAACCTACTTCAGACGAGGGCCGGCTCGCGCGCATGATTTCGACCATCGATGTTAACAACGGCTTCCGTGACGAGCTACTCCCTATGGCCATGTCGAATCTCAGCCCGGCCTCTGACGGTTTGCGCAATGCGATGCTGGCCTTGGCCGCGTTCCATCTGTGGGGCCCCGAGCAAGCCTTGCCCTACAAGGCAATGGCTCTTCGATCCTTGTATTCGTCCCTCAGCAGCGATTCTGTTGGCATTACGGAGACACAGCTGGCAACATCAATGATGCTGTGCGTCTACAATGTGAGAAAGCTTGAGCACAAGGGGAAGGCGTTGGTGTCTTGCTAACATCAATCAGGTCTTCGATGAGACAGAAGGCAACTGGTATCTTCACTTAAACGGAGCCAAGAACATACTTTGCCAACTTGCAGGCGTACGTGGGAGTCTCTTGAAGTACGGCTTCCTGTACACCTGGTTCCTCTATCACGAGATCCTTGGTTGCTTCGTTGATCCTCTGCGACAAGGCAAAGACGGGCCTGCTTCTATACGTCTGCGACGTGATATGCTCTTTGACCCGTCAATTGTGAGTTCTAGAACTTCGTGAAATCTGGATAAGTTCAATCTCTGACCCTTGAACAGATCGTCGGATCTCTTGGCTGCTCAGTAGAAGTCATGGAGATCATCAGCTACGTAAATGGGTTACGGGCCATTGAGCTCAAGGGAGAGTCAGCTGCATTCTCTCCAGGGGAACAACTTTGCAGAAACGAAGAATGGCACAGTATCGAAAGTAGGTTATCCAACCTGAATCAACGACTGGACCCCGAGTCCGAAACGAAATTGCCAACGCAAGAACGCACCAGGATTCGTACCACCGCCGAATTGTACAGAATTGCTACCTTTTTGTACCTCCAGAGAACTATCAACAATGCTCAAGTACAAGAGACCAGGACAGTGTATTTAGAGCAGGCCTTCCGAGTATTGGGCAGTATGGCTGTGTGTACCAGCCCTTGGCCTCTTTTTATCATCGCTTGCGAAACTGAGAGCGACGCACAACGGATCGTGATTCTTCAAACGTTAGATCGAATGGACGAAGAGCGTCATATTGGCAACGTCTTTGTTCTACGAAATATCATCGAATCATTCTGGAAGCAACAGGACCTCCAAGTAGACAGTGGGCGGGCCTGCAACATCAAATGGTGGGATGTCGTCGATCTCAACACGGTAGCTCCCTGGTTCATCTGAGCCACCAACTCACGGAGGTCTCAAGCATTCCCTTATCTTTAAGGGTTCTCTTAACACCGGCGAAATAATCAAAAACTCGAGACGCAACTGGACGAAACAATCTATTTGTCCATACTAGTTACGTGTTTGTCCGTCGTTGGATTCACTAGCAGACTTAACAGATCCGGTCTAGCGTAATGACCAACAACGTCGATGAACGCTTTTGGATAATCAATGTCCCGCAAGTTGATATCCGCTTTCAGTATAGCCTCTTCCCCTGCACCGATGGGTTCGCAGAGCGGCTTTCCGTCCGGCCCAAATATCATGGAGAACCCGCCGCCGGGCTACGTGTGGTATTAGTTTCCTACCAGTTTCAAGCCATAGCTGGGCACCACTTACCGCCTTTGTGACCGGGTTTCCTATCAGGTTATTCTTCTCGAGGTTCTCCTCCGTCAATACCTGTGACGCGACGAGGACGAAACACTGTCCTTCGATGGCCATGAACTGGCTCGCACGATAGCTGGCTTCCCCCGTCTCGTGGTACAGCCAGGCAAGCTTCTTTGGATCCGGCATCTCGAATTCGGCAGGCCAGCTGGCCACGTGAATTTGAACACCTTGCGAGTACCTAAAACACTCGGTGTCAGTAATGACTGCCATTGTCTATTTCCGAAGGGTTATGCCATGTACTATGAGTAGACTGCTTCTGTCTCAAGAGCCCTATACTCCTAAAACATGACATGAAAGGGGACGATGGAGTCTGAGGAACGACGCAACTCGTAATATCGCAGCAAAGGCTGGAGATGCTCCCAACAGTTGAGGCCGCCGATTTTACCAAATGGCGACGGCACGACGCACTTCAGCGACTCGGCCTGGCCTTCTCCCCAAATCGTTCGCTCGATGTGGGTGGGTTTGATTTTCCTGCGATGGTGGACAATCTCGCCCTCTGGCGAAATGAACGACTGGCCCATGTACAGACTTCCTCCATCTCGTTCGCTGTATCCGAGCACCACGAACATGCCGGCTTTCATCACCGCAGCCTGGATCCGCCTCATCTGATCGGAGTCCCGCGCCATCGAGTTGTTCACTGCAACAACGTGAATTAGTATTGCCACTTCCGACATGCCAAGGGATGAATCGGGGGTTCAATCATATGTCCAGGGGAAACTAGAACAACTGTGTTTAGGTAGTTTCCGCATATGAGACAGACCGGAGGATGGGATGAAGGAACATCATGGCCGCCTACTGTATTCGTGGATGATGTGGCTGTTGTCGATGACACTGGAGGTCCACATTGACCTGAGGCCGCGAAGACGGAGACGTCAACTCGTATTAACACACAGTAAGGGGCTATTGGGGCTCACCACTGCAAGAACTCGAGTTAGCGACCACTACATTTAGAATATAACACAACGGATCGGAAAATTCGACGACTGCCTAAAAATCAAAAAAATCAAAAATCAAAAAAGATCCCGAGAAGCAAATCCCTCCGTCAAACGATTTTGCTCTTGAGACAGTAAAAAAGAGGAATCAAAGACTTCTGAAGTCACATACGGGATATCCAGGTATCCAAACCTCTGGAAACCCGAGGACCTGGACACCGTCTGCTGCTGCACCCTCGATAAGCGAGATGGTCTTGTCGACGCTGCCATTCAGGTCGAGCCAGACTGGCTCTGCCTGCACGGCACCAACTCGAATTCTTGCCGTCATTGGTCACAAATGCGCAGACGGAAGTTGAGCAGTGGGCGTGGCTACATGGCATATCGGACGATCGTATGTCGCAGGCACATGGCTTCTTATAATGTTTGACATTACTCCACACCATGGGCCCAGCTCCTCTTTTTTCAAGTGATCGCAAGATGTTGCTGTAACCCCCTTTGCACAACGTGCCTTATCTCGCTGATCTCCATCCGGCAGGATTTCTGACACATACTAGGATGACAGACTCTGGGTGCCATTGGCTGTTGCTATAGCATGCATCCACGACGCCGCATCTTACTTGTCTGTGCGACTTTCTGGTTCGGTACGAAGCACGTGGCTGTTCAGATTGGATGATGCAAGAAGACCGATGCGGTAGCCGCCGTGGGGGACTTGGAATCGGAATACCTCGGCACCCTAGATCAGCCTCGAGAGTCGGATGCTTACTGTGTCGCTGATCGCGAACTACTGCCGGCTGACAGATCGATCACGTCCAGGGATTAGTCACTTCCCCACATTGCTTGTTTCTTTAACGATGTCGGCTATAACCCAAAATAAGACAAGGTATGTTTTCTGACAACTGTGCTGAGGAATAAAACGAGATCATACGTGGTACCGCCGTCACACCAGGACCGCAAAAATAATGAGTTACATCTGGCTGTTTGGGCTTCGCGCTCAAGGCGGTTATGACGTTGTTGATCGAGGATAGTTTTCTGCAGTCTGTGGACAAGCCGATTTGGGGTGTGCCAATCGGCATCTAGGTTTATTGGCTTCAGGCATGATTTACAGGAACATATGGTGGTGGCATGAGGAGTGAGCTTTAATACACTAAAGTTGGAGTAGAAACTGCGAGGCCAGCCAGTCCTGAAGGTGGCAGCTCGGGATACAGGAAATATAGGTCGATGGTCCCCGAAAACAGATTGTACAGCATACTACTGGATGTCCATTCGTTGAGTTGACGTGACTACTCGGCATACCTGCATTATGAACGAACGACCACAGGGACAGAATAGGCTTGGCGTCCTTTTGTTAAGAAACAATACCCTATTCGACGAGAAGCGACTCTATGAAGCCGACATCGGTCGGTCTGTACGACTAGTCCAAGGTGTTGTGTTACATGACAATGAGCTTCGTAAGGACGTCGACCTCTGATGTGCGTGTATCAGTACATTATATGTGGTATAGGACCTGATCTCCGCATTATCTTTTCCCCTTTCGGTAACACACCTTATCTGCATGTTACACAAGCGAGAGTGTTTTTCCTCCAGTGTCCAGACCTCATCTCAAGAAATTGCTACAGCTCACTCAACTTCTTCCCGTTCTCGTAGAAGGCCTACCCTCACCAAATACCGTCACAATGTTAGTTCACGAAAGTTCTCTCCTCGCCGAGGGTCGACTTCAATCTTGATTATCGTGGTTGACCACGTGGGCGTCGAAGTTGCCATAATTAAGTAAATAGACCAAACCATTATTTTCTTCCAGACTCCTCGAGACTCCAAGCAGAACAAATGAAGCAGATATTTGAATCGGTGAGAGACATGCTGAAAACAAGCTATATCACTTGGATCGCCCTCGCCGGCTCCATGTCCTTCCCCTACCGCTTCATCTTCTGCGTCGTGTGCAATCTTGCGCTGGTGGCGAGCCTGGATGAGATGGCGGCCATTTGGCCCACTATGGGCGGGCAGGTATGTAAATTCTCCGGGACGGCCCTTTTCTTTTCTGTCTGGCCAATTACTTCCAGGGTACTGCTGACTCGATGCTGATGGCGTCGTATCATTTGTTCTATATGTTGTGTACAGAAAAGTGGAAGAAGTCCATGGTATTTACATCTGAACGTTCCGGTCATCTTGTGATAGACTCCAACGGGCTGGCTGACAGTCGTGAATACCGCGTGTTTCTTTGGCGGTGAGCTTCCGTCATGATGCATTCTTGACATCAGTATCGGCTGCTCATATTTCGGTGTCAAGCCCAGTTCGTTACAGCAGCGGCCATCATTGCTTCAGGTGGAAAATAGGAGATAGAGAAGTGGAAAACGTATCTAATTTCCTCGCCATCCTCAATCTCACCACGGGTGCCAGTATCTGGGGCAGCAAGATTATGGGACGATGAAATGATGCAGCTTATGAGTTGATGCCCCCTTTCCCAGTTTCCCTGACTCTTGCTTTCCCACGCCCACATTACCAATAAACTAAGCAAAATAATCCCGTTTAGTCTACAAGTAACTACTCGGCGTGGTGATAATTCGTGAAGTGATCCTATCCACCTTATCCAATAACGATGCCTCCTTGGCCTTCGTTGGGTTCCAGAACGAGATGGGCTGGTCCGATGGGATATCATGGACCCTAGGGATTCTCTAGTCGGCCCTCTCCCTCATCGCCTTCGACGCCTGTCTACACATGACGGAGGAGTGATCCGGCCTGTCGAGGACGTGCCGCACGCCATGTTGTATGCTGTGGGTATTGGGGGTGTTCCGTGAGTGGACGAGCTTAGTTGATCGCATTTGCAGTTCAGTGTGGCAGTGCGGTGTAGAAGAACGATTTAGTCGAGTGACCAATATGTAGAAACCACAGTGGAAACAGTCTTCATCATCTTCATCCTGTTCTGCCTTACGATCCCGAGATTATCCTGCCGACAGCGTCTGGTCAGCCCATCTCGGAGCTCATCCTACAGGCAACGGGCAGTCGTGTGGCCACCACGATTCTTACTCCCATGATGGCCGTCTGCTTCATCAACGGCACGAATGGCTGTGTTACAAGCTCGAGCCGATTTCTGTACGCAATGGCTCAGGATAAGGATATTATCTACCACCACTAGTAACTCACCTAACCCCTTGGTCCCTTAACCTCTTCATCACTTGTTATCTTCAAATTGGCCATCAAATCTCGACGCAGATTTGCTTACATCTCGCCAACCCTAGACGTCCCAGTTCGCACAACCATGCTTGCATTCATCTTCAACGTGCTATTCGGCCTGCTCTACCTCGACCATTCAGTCGCGTTTAGTGCCTACGCGGTCAGTTGCAACGTCTTCCTGGATATGCCGTACGTCCTTCCCGTCATCGCACTGCTGCTTCGAGGACGAAGCGTGCTGGCCAAGTATCAGACCGAACAAACGTACTTTGCGCTTGGCAGATACGGGTGGCTATGTAAGTGGGTATCTGCCATCTTTGTCGTCGTCATATTGGTGGTAGGGTGTTCATATAGGCTTCGGTGGATGCAGAAGTTCCAGGACACCACAGTCGATTTGAGAACACTGGTAGTTCTTTTGCTTCCCGACTTCGTTAGCCGCGTCGGGTGAAAAAGTGAGTAGGTTATACTGTTTGGGATATGTCTGGAATTGATTATGGATACGGCTCTAGACGGTGTGCTGTTGTTATTGGAATCGTAATACTCGTCGGCGCGTACTGGGGTCGTGTACGGCCATACGTTCGAGGAACCTGTACGTGAATAATATTAACCGACTAACTGGCTAAACTGCAGACAAATACAAGTGACTAGTGTGCTTTCTTCAATAAGAAATTCGAGTTTATCATAGGGCACCGTCCTCGAGATGTTAGAACAACTCAGCATGTTGATGTGACGTCCAGTAACCAAGATGAAATAGGAACATTGTTTAGCCTCTGGCTGTATCCATAAACGAATTATCTCTCACTGTCTAAGTATGCCTGCATTAAACGAGTGAATTTCTCTAAGCAAGACAAGAGGTCCGATTTCAGTGTCACAGCTAGAAACAGATAGTGAGAGTGAGTATACGTTCGTTACATATTTGCATCAACCGGAGCAATATACTCAAGAAACATGTGATGGACTCTGTGATTGTGACAGATCTGAATAGAGCAGCCAGCGCGTAACTGGTCACGTAACCTAAGAAGTAATTCATGGGGAAACCTCCCAGCTACATCGAAGTGACTTACTTCTGCGTGCGAGTATGGAGAATAAACCACCAGACCCTATTATGGCAAGTCCCCCCTAAACCGAACAGCGTGCACTGTGGATCGTGAACGGAGAACCAAACTGGGTCATATGCAAAATTCCATTGGATAGCAGCCAGACAGGCTCGAATTTATGGCACACCTATCTACAGCCACACCCTCTGTGATAGCAAGGGAATAGCTTGTAGACAATGCACAGGATCGCTGGCAGACCCCAGTTCATCTCCTTTCAGGGATCTGGGTATCGAATCGAAGCTCATATGCTGAGTTCTTCTCTTTTCCGCAAGATATACTTTCTCCCTTGGCCTTGGGGATGGAGACCACGGGACCGCCTTAAGATTGCGAATCATGGGGAAGCACTGAACCTCTGGCAGGGATGGTAGCTGCAGAGCTGCCAGTATAGAGCGGATTGAGTCAGCACCGTTCGTCCTCGTCGATCGATGGGTAGATGTGGACGGCATATAGATCAGCGCGCACAGCAGATCGTGGCCATGGTGCCGGAGACCCCTGCATCCCCAGGGGGAGGGCGGTGACCGCTTTTACGTACGTTGTGAATAAGCTTTTTTCCTTGTCAAAACATTGGCTGAAGTGGCCTAGAATCCAAACAATATTTCGTTTGAGACGATCTACCATCTAGAGTTTTCCATCCCAACTTGAGGAGAGTTTCGGGAGTTGGGCATCAACCACAATACCGTCGTACACCGTCGTTGAGAGTTCATACACCGACGTTTCTCTTTGTGGGGACTGGCATGTACTTGCCACTTGCGCGTAGTTTTCCGTAGTGTGTCTGAAGTGTTTGTGAACGAGATCATATCCCAGGAGCAAAACAATACCTCCTCCGGCATGTCCAATGTTAGCGTGTGTAGCGTGTGCACTGGCCCATAATAATACCAAGGGTCTGCTCCCAAGTTCTGCTGTTAACGACGTACCAAAACCCTTGCACATAGAAATTCTACATGTTTAGTTACTTAGTTTCTTATATGAACTTATATGTGTCGATTGTTCCTTCACGTGGGGCATTTCACTGGCTAACATTTGAGATGCCGGAAGAGGTGTACTTCACGACTTCGGAGCGCGGGAGGAATAAGCAATGTGTAGTCGGCCGCTAGAACGTGCTCAGTACGGGTGGCGAGTTCAACCCGGCGCTCCGGATAGGCGAGATCCAGATCTTCTACGCCATCATCTCTGTTGCCCCCTGTAGGCATGATAGGGACGATATGGGCATCAGCAAGCGGCGTAAACGTGCGGTCGCAGGTGTGAAGGCCGCTAGGGCAAATGGCTGGGACCAGGCGCAGATCTTGGATATGCATCCCATGTCTCGCCTAACAACGTTTCCGGCACCAAAGGGGGGGAGCCACTATCGGGAACTTCCACAGGGACATCTCCAACGCACAACGTGCTCAGTCTTCGGCACTTGCTCCAACCGGCATTCTTTGCTTTTTGTGCTGAGTCTCTCGACATGGCCCCGAAAACCTCAAGCCTCCAAGCGGCTAACGACCTGGAGCTGTTCTTCGGCTGTCGCTGGAATTCAAGCCGGTGTAGACTAATTAATGAAAACAGACGAGGCTCACCATTAGTGGCCAGCGCCATGCAGCCGCAGCAACTAGAACATTTCGCCAGAGAAAATGATGGGACGCCACAAGTGATTAGTCCTGTGAAGTTGTGGCTACCCTGACGAACTGTAAAGATGGGGGACGACATCTCTTGTCTGTCCTTCAGATGGCCAAGCGATGACCCGGAGACGAAAAACCGAAATCGTGGAAATGAGACCGTACCCTTGCTAGCGCAATGACGGAACGTCCAGGGAGATACCTGGGTAACCTTAGGTTCTTGCTTGAGCAGAGATTATAATGGCAGGATGCAGGCCGACTGTGCGGGTGATCGTGCTGCTTTGCTTAACGTAATCGTCCAGGCAAGTAGAAACAGACAAGGGCCTCACGTGCGAGCCGCGTAGAAAGTGTGAATCTGGCATGAATCTGTATGTATGATGAGTTTTGTGTACAACGCCTCACCTACAGATAGTGGGTGAGGTGGCTCTGGGTTCCGGTTGGAGAGTGCTGAAGAGGCACTGAATGACGTCAAAGGTTTCATAATAAGAAGTAAGTCAGCACCGAGCAAGATAGTAGGGGTATACCATGACGGCCCGAACTAGATGGTCCCAAGGACTGGTTGAAGCAATAACCGACGGCGGAATGGGGGTATTGCACTGGAGATGTTTCTATCGTCCACCCCACATTCTTATCACGTCGAGAAATTCCATCCATGACAAATGGCATCAAGGTTTACCCACGCGCTACCGATATTATTGATCGATTCCAGCCGAGCTCATTCAGACGGCGCGAACCTTAGCAGTAACCTTAACTTCGGATCGGGATTCCCTAGCGAGGCGGCATTGAACCCACAAGGTACATGATGCGGGCGATGTCAAAAGGTTCATTGGTAGATATTATCAGCGCGCAGCTGAAGCCAAAGATGTTGGCGAGTCGTTGCTTGCTGGTCGACCCTGATGTGAACCTTAGCGACAGTGAACCTCGGTTCGTCAATTCGTTGATTGGTTTGAAGAATTCACTTGGTCGAGTCGTTGGGAAATTATGTTGTGGGGAAGCGTCTGACAGAGGCATTTCGTCCGATACATGGCCGACGAATCAACGCGTACGATGAGTGAGACGTAAGTTATGAGTCGGCAACTTTTCGCAGCATCGTGATCTTTGCCGCGTGCCGCGATGTGAAGCAAAGGTCGACGTGCAAAAGATGCCTGGGCCAGATCAGATTGCGTACAATGCCCTCAAGCGCAACGTTCAGGGATATTGCGTGGTGCTGAAGTTGCTGGTATTGGTGGGTCGTGCCTACCTTACTTTCACTTCGTACGAAGAAAGCATTGCTATGTATGATAGATGGGGTGGAAAGAACGATCTGGGCTCGCAGCGATGCGCCTTCCACCACGTGGCTTCGCAAGGTCTGCCACGCGAGATGGCCTGCTTTCAGCGCTAGAGCGCCTAAGCAAGCGCCCCACTCCCACTAATTGTTTGTGCTTGACCAACCACAACGACGTTCTTCAGCGACAGCACTTATTCTATCACAAAACTATGATGCATCGTGCATCTTAGACATGGATTGTCAGACTCGACGACCGGCCGATGGCATAGATTGTCCTATGTGGCCGGAAATCTTGCATGCGAGGAAGCTCGAGACGATGCCTTGAGACAACGAGCTGAAAATAGCTTACAGACCAGACGAGACAAGACGAGCCGCTGCCCGCAGGATGGATGTACGTCCGAACATACCAGCGAGCGGCGGTGATATCACGCCATCATGACAGAATGCCACAAGATCAGCACCGAGGCACAAGCTCAAGCCATTTGTTGATGCATCACAATCTCTCGGAGAAAAAGCAATGTGCGCCGTGCCCTCGACTGTGACATTCGGAAACGAGTGACACGTTGAGCCTGAGTCAAGCTTCGATCCATGTCTTAGATACGTGTAAGCCCATCTTGCACGTAGGGCTGCACAGACTGACACAAGCCGACTGAGGAGTCAGAGACAAGCAGAAACTGCGACACAAACATTCTTGTGCGCTCCGTATGCACACTTGGGGTTGGCCGGGGACCGAGATGGCAATACTACTCGGCATCTTCCCGAGGTGACGTCCGCATTGCAGTCTAACGAGCAGGTCGAAAACTGCCTCTTGACCTGCCGCCAAGACAAAGGACTTCTATATCGCCAAGCACGTGTTACCGTGCGATCAAACTTGAGGGTTCAACCCGCCTTTCGATGTTGAACCAAACCCTGGGAAGTCTAACCAGTTTATCGTTGCAAGTGGCATGAGTTCCAAGGTCAAATATCAAGTCTAGGTCTCGGGCCTGAAGCATCTCATTTCCGTTGCCAATATGTGCCATTATGCATATGCCTGCAAGTATTTCCAAGCCTGTTGCGGCTGCCGTTGAAGCCACATAACGGAACCTGTCAAGCCGATCTATCGCCTCTTTGCATTTCTTGTCCGGACTGGCCTGCTGTGTATCGTGCCTTTACATATACGCGAGCATCTTGGACATTGGCGCTGGCGACAATTAATTAGATGCATGTGGCTAGCCTGCAGCCTCCCGCTGGCGTTGACAGACACTATGAGTACATGCTCCGGTTCCCGTTCCCTCCTAAAGAACAAGGAGAGCTCAATATCAAGGCAACGATTAGGGCGAGTCTTCAACACCCTTATGTCGTGGCACTGTCTGACAGACAAGATCTCGAATAATGTGCAGATACGCTTACTTGCATCCAGTGAACTTTGATTTCTGCCGCCTCCCTCCCCCTTGTACGTCGTGGGACCATAAGGGAAGAACAAGATCAGAGGGTAGAAGAACTGGTTGTTTTTGTCCTCCATTCCCTTGAATATGCTTGCCGCCGGTCTCAGACCCCGCATTTTTGGCCTCTCTTCCCGTTTCCGCTCTGCAAGGGCGTTCTTGCGGCATGGCGAATCGCATCCTACAAGGCAACCCGCAGCGGTTGTGGGATAGCCGAGTGACATTGCCGCGCTGACTTGGCCCACGAGTGCATTCGGTATATGTAGGATCGAGCTCGCACAAGTTTGTTATTGGAATGGTGCGAGTTGGCTCACAAATATTGATCGTCGTTCAATATCGACGACCACGCTGCTCAACCTTAACCGCATGACTGACTAGCTGGCGCCCCCGATCCTGTACATACAGACAGGCAGTGTGTCGTACAGTGACATGCCTGGGCCTCGTCCGCTACCACTCACCTTATTTGTGATTGCGGTCCGCCCAGGCTGCTGCAGGGTGTGGTGGGCCGCTGGTCCAAGAATAGTGGCAGCGAAATTCTGGTCAAGTGGTCCAGTCAAGCAGGGCTCGAAAGCAGTATCGATCAATCAACAATCATGCAGTGAGACTTTTTGGTCCGCGACCAATATGTGGGGGCCTATGTATATCCTTATTGTCTGCTGTGCACTACGATGTCGCCCAATGCCACCGGCCAGCCACTGACTGACTGACCGACGCTCCTTCCGCTCATTCCATCATAGCATCGTCCACACATAGTAATGGCAGATCATTCCAGTCGCTCGTACGGAGGATACAGTAGCAGCAGCAGCAGCAGTAGTCGTCGTCATTATTGTAAGAGGTGTTAGTCTCCGAGGGCACACATACCACCCTCTCACACAGGCCGATCCGCTGACCGGGATTTCCCGCTTATGTACTCTACTCACTCACTAAAGTATCCTTACCGCGCACGTACGGTATGGCAAGACTTCGTAAAGGAGCAAGTCGGGGAATTCGAGCCCCAGCGCCAAGCCCTGAGACCGACCGTACCGTACCGTACCGTTCCCCTCTCCTTGTGTAGCGCTACCCGCTGGCTCGCTGCTGGAAACCAAGCCAACCAGACCTTGGCTGAGCCAATTAGTAATTTGGCATTGTATGTCATGGTCAAATTGACAGCTCACGTCGCACGACAGTAGATTATCTGGAGAAGCTGTTAGGACAGGAATTAAGAAAAGAGGCGGCGCGGGTAGCGGGGAATCCGCGTGTTCTTTATGCGGGTGTGTTACCAAGGAAGATGGAAGATGAGACATGACTAGACAGGGCAAAGCAAGCCAAGGTTGAAGGAGGACATTTAGGTTGTCAATCTAATCTCTTTTTTCCCCTTCTTGATCGCGGTGGTTCTAATCTTGGTCGTACTACCTTCTTCGTACTGCCTCCGTCTCCTAAGCTAGTTCATGCACATGAGCATAGAGTGAGACGGGTAAGCAGGCAGGTTTCCATTTGCTCAAAAAAGGCATATCGTATGTAGCATCACATCATAGGCAAGGCAGGAATATGAGATAACCAAGATAGAAACCATGCGAACGGACTTCTCCCAGTTGGCATCACCCTAAGGGGCGTGTGAAGGTAAGATTTCTTACCACCATGCATTACGACCGGATCATTCGCGTCCTTGATGATGATTGGGTTGGGGTGGTATGAGCTCACGGAGCCCACATCGCTTGTGAGACGATGAGTCGACATCTCGAATAACGCCACATTTCACCATCAGTGGTTCTTTATTGTGGATGCTCTCAGCATCAACAACTCTGTAAGCTCCAAACAGAACAACAGTTCATATGATTATATGTGTATACGTATATATGTGGGTACCTGAAGGTGTTATCCAGATGATGCTTTGCAATGTCTTTCCCCACCGCCAGGTCCTCCTACATACATCAAATTATGAACCCGCGAGGCCCTCGCTCTCTTTGTGTGAAAACAACAGCGAGGCCAGACTGACCGGGGCTGTTCTCATTGGGATCCTGGACCTTGGGCCGACCCTTGCTAATGAGCCACATTGCGTTGCCCATCCATATCTTCGAAAAGCGAAAAAAGACTCCCGAGCCAATGCTCCTCCGTCTCTTCTCTCCGTCTCTCTCGCTGGGTTTTGCTGTACATCATCGTCTATGATTCTTCATCGTGCCAAATTCGCCCTTGTCATCATATGCCTTACCGCCTAAAGTCAGGGTCTGAAAACGTGTCGATGCGACCGGACCCGCGCAGAAATGGAAACCAAAAATCATGTCCCGGGGGAAAACCCCCCCGAATGCTTGCAGCTGGAACGCCGAAAAATGCCGTGTGACCTGTCATGCCAAAAGGCCCATTTCCCCGAGCAAAGGGTATATACAACCGTCGGAACCGGTGCAGCTCACCAAATAACCGAGCCAAATAAATATGTCGAGATGGGTATAATTAACACATGTTTTTTTTGTTTTTTTTGTTTGGCCTTGTGAGGGACGGAGAATGTTGTCAAGTCCTGAAGCTTAGGTCGTAGTTATAGGAGTAGTTGTAGTAGCAGCTGCGCAGCGTGCAGAAATGATGTGCACAAGTCGGAATGGTTTCGTCGATGTGATACTATGAAGCCCCTCAAGTTCGGACTTCGAGTATTTCAGGTTGTTGAGTATGTCGAAATGCAGCCTGTACCCATATTGACCAAGAGGATCAGAAAATTCGAATAATTGGATAGTTCAACCTGAACGTCTACTCAACAGCTTTCGGCCTCAGAGCGCGTTGTTCCATTTGTCGTTTCCTCTCCAGTTTCGCGTAGTGGAGCCCACACGCATTGCATAAGGTCCTCGCCCCGTCCGGTCCTCGCCTCCATTCGGGGGTATCGATCCTATTGCAACTATGGCATCGACCAGGAGGTGCAGCACGCTATAGTCGTCAGCTTTCGTCTCCCTAATATGGAATCTTCCGGTAGCTTACCCCTCGTCGCTTTTTGACCTCCCCGAGACTGTAATGCTGCTTCATCCCGTCGCCATACATGGAAATATCGTCGTCATCGTAAGGTCCCTTGTGCTTGCCGCCTTCCCGCGCCTTCTCTGCAAGGCTATGCTGAACCAGTTCCCGGACGTTTTCGAGCGACTTCCGCAAATAGTCGGCATTGCTCAACATCTCAGATACTTCTCGCTCAGTCGGTAATCGTTCTGGTATGGGGTGGCCACCATGCTGTTCTGAGGCGATGTTTCCATATGCCTCAGCGAAGTTACAGATGGTCCTGCAAATAAATTGTATCTGCTGCGTGTGTTAGCAAGAGTTTGATATAGCAACGAAGCAAACGTTGGGGATATATATATATACCCTTTGAAGGCCGTCCGTGTAACTCCATGTTTCGAAATGTCGGTTCAAAGAATTTGGGTCATATCTCCGGGGCGCTCCGAACTCGTCATCACTGTGCAACTGTTGAGGTCGCTGGTGTTCAAATGGCGGTGGTATCGGCGGTCCAAAATGGCGTGGGGAAATCGGTGGAGCAGCGGAGAGAGGCAGTTGGCCAGGTGGATATTGTCCAGGCTGAGTGTACGGAACTTGAGGAGGTGGCGGAGGGTTATTTGAGTGATTGCCATTACGCTGCAATGAGTCCGGGGGCTTTGGTAGCTCGCGTTGGTCACCATAGGGATACGCTGAACTGGAAGGGCCGGATGGAGGGCCCTCCTGGCGTTGAGGATGGCGGGAGAACTTGTCTTCGTGCGAAGGAGGCGGCCGGCTTTCTGGTCCCGGTCCCGATCCCGACCCTGCTTCTGCCCGAGACGACACCGAAGACCCAAAAGGCGGCGGTGGAGGGAGATTTTGCGAGGGACCCATGGTAGTTGGTGTCGTGGGAGAATAAGGATGCGACTTGTTAGCGCTCGAAAACACTTCGGAGATGGAGGGCAGAGACTGCCTCTGCGCAGGCTCAGCGTCATGCATGGAATGTCTCCGAGATTCGTCGAGGGATATCATGCTGGGCATCGAGGGCGGAGGCGGCCCGTGGTGTCCATGCCCATGCCCGTACGGCGGAGACAAGGACGAGTAGCTGTGAGAATGATATGCCGCAGCCGGGCTCATCAACGCGGCGGCTGCCATGCTCGGGACTTCTCTCGACTGTCTTTCTGCCGGATCCCTCGGGCGAGGATGGAAGATATCAGGTCTACTGGCCGAGGTAAAACCACTATAAGAGCAAAAATGCATAAGAGTCAACTTTCAGAGTCCACACGTTATAAGAGCTGCGCGCGTGGTACTAGCTCCAAATAAGAAGCAACTGACCTTTGCCTAGTGCCAGAATCACCCGCTTCCATAGCGGGACTGCTGCCAATGATGCTGCCAAAACCCCAGCCGATTTCAACTAGAGCGATTCATGCATCTGACTCGACAGACAGACGGACAGAGCGATCTGGATCGTCGTGGGGAAGAATGCGCCGGTGCACAACTCTACTGCCTTCGCTCGGGCGTTGGGTTGAGATCGACAGGAAAGACAGGACGACAAACTGGCCAGGAACCCTAGTTTCTGTAGTTTCCGTACTGACGTAGAGATGGCTGCGCTAGTCACACCCGACGTCGCCTCCAACGGGCAAAGCCAATTGCTCCCGTCTTTTCCTTGGGAAACCGTAGCGGCGTAAAAGCTGGCTTGATAAAGGCGAATCGTATCTTTGGGACCCGGTTTGATTAGATCAGAGCAATGAGACCAGAAAATGATGGAGAGGCAGGTGGCGGACGGGATGGGTATAGGAGCTGACGGCTTCTGGGGTCTTTTTTTTCTTTCGGACCAAGACGTTGCAAGGAATTGTCCTGTGGCCAGTCCATACACACACACCCGCGAGCTACGACAACAAACGGAGGCGGCGGAGGCGTTGTATTTTGTTTTCTTTCTAAGACACGCCTTGGATTTCTCACCTTTTTCTGGGGGTCGAGACTTCGTCAAGTGGATCTGCGACGTCCCGCGGGACTGGATTGGGGGGGGGGGGGTAGGATCTTGCTTTGGGCCCGTCGTGGAGTCGCTAAATAAACTACCAGTCGTGCGTGCTGACCTAAAGCATAGTCGTTCACAAGTCGTGAACTCTATCTCAATGCGCGTGTGAAGTTTGGTTGGTTGTATATAGATAATTGTAGAGGGGGAGGCGGGGGGGAGGAGGAAACGTTAGACCCGAGTCGGGAGCTGCCGTCGATGAGCCTCACTCAAACACTGCTTGCTGCAGCGGGCCTGGCAAGCAGAGTGCGGTCGGGATGTTTGCAACGAGGAACACCGAATGGGAGAGGGTGGTCTGTCGCGTGTTGCTGGTTGGTAACCTGTTGCAGATGGTATGTTTTCTTTTTCTTTGGCCCTTCTCTTTCGAGCGACGGGAGGACAGGAGGAGGGGGGAAAACAGAGGTGTAAACTCCGACGGAAAAGCGGGTGAAAGTTGGTATTAAGAGATTGAGAAACATGAAGAGGCGAGATGTGACCAGTACGGGAGCATGTATGCAATTGTATGTATTGTGTGATGCCACGGGCTGGGATCTGATGAAAGGTGAATGGGCACTGGGCCGAACAGCAAGACCCCAACTCCCTGGCAGCCTGCCTGACCCTTGGAGCCAGCCCCTGTCGGACGGGTGGGGGAAGACCCAGGGAGATAATCGGGGGTGTGAGTGGGATACTACCATAGCAGATACATCTTGACGGCCAGGGGGGCAGACCTGGCAGATCGGGATCTGGGGGGGGCTAACCAGAGACTAGGTTGCACGCTGCAACCAGACTGTGCTGTCTTCGTTTTCGTCTGGAAGCTTTTGGGGAATCATTTGAGTACTCACGTAGTCAGTTGGGTAAGGTCGAACGACTGCAGCTAAAAACCAAACCACCTTAAAAGTACTTAAGTACGTGCCATTAGTCAACCACTTTAATTGACGTAACCGAGTAATCAACAAGGCAACTCAAAAACCCAGGCAGAACCGCAAAGAGAGGCCACAGGCCGCCATTTCATCGTCCTGATTTGGGCTGGCAATTGCAGGGACGACGCGTTTGGCGGCGCATCTCCCTCTGAGGGTCTACGTTCGAGCTTTCACAGCGACTGACCGACCTACTTGACCACCAAACGGATAACGGAATAAACGGCACAGCAAAGGGAATCTTTCGGGATAACCCAATATCTCCATGTGGTGTATTTAAACCGGCGACCTTACCTGGTAAACGCATCATAGGCCACTCTATCTGAAGTTCTACTGACCAAACCACTCCGTCCGTGGAAAACGTTGCTATACCCTTCCCTCTGCCTATACTGTAACCTCTGTATTAACTCAAGAAATCCATTGCCATCTGTCGGTCACCGCTTGCTTGCACGCGTGTATGTAGGATTTAATGATGGAACCAGTGGACTCTCCATCCAATCTTAACAGGGGAGTGGCACCACTTTCGCGCAGGGTTTTGTTACAGGGACAAGGTGAGGGGCGGCCTTGACGGCAACAGCGCCCGGCGAGTCGGCGACTTGCCCGCTAGCTACCAAGTGGCACCTTTACGGATACTCCTTCGTATGGTTCGTCTTCTGCGCTCTCTTTTCAGAAAAAAAAGGTTAAAAGCGGCTTCTCCGGACTGCCGGTCTGTACCGCACTGCAAGGCCTATCGATCTTTGAGGGAAAGGAAGGGATGGAGACGCATCGTCGCGTTGAAGTTGTGTTGCTGAACGGACAGCTACTACTACTACTACTACTACTACTACTACTACCCCGCCACTGAAGAGCGGCAAAGACAAATTGTCAAGTGGTTTGACAGCAGTCGAGAGACTCGGCGACGTGCGTACAGCTGTTGGTAACCCCCTAACCTGACAGATAAAGCAGCTGCAAGGTGGACATCCTTTCTTTTTTGGTCAAAACGGGCTCTAGGGCGCGCAGGGGACGGGCATGAGGTTGAGATTCGGGGGCGTGTGAGTGATCAATGAATGGGTTGCATGAGCTGGCCTGGGGGCATGGGTTGAGATCCAGAATCTGCTGTAGACGTCAGTTGCAGGGCTCCCTGCTTGGCATCGCGGTCGGGTCGCTGCAAGTACCGCCCAAGTACATACCGCATACCGCGTCCAGTGCTGTGGTGCGGCGTTGGTGGCAGAAGCAGCATGGGGCAGAATTACACCGTGTACGGTGTTCGTCAAGTACTCAAGTGGTTCGAACCAGGTCGTGCTGTCAAACGGGGGCAGGCAATCTCTCTCTCATCAGACTCTGGGCCCGCTTGGATGGGGGAACACTGCTGTCACTGTCAAGTCAGCAAGCGCGGCGCGTGTTACCCGTCCACTGGCAGCGATAACGCTCGATTTTAATACCCACTCAAGGATCGTGACAAGCTTATGACCCCTCCAAAACCTCCATGCCCCTTACCATTCGTCTGTATTTTTGATTCCCATGATTTGACATCTCGTTGAGCGGGCCCCCGTAACATCGTGGATTTTTCCACAGTTGCAGCGGTCAGCAAAGAAATGTCGGGATGTCGTCGTGTCGAATCTCGATAGGGCCATCTCCGCTCTTGGACTCGGTGACCGAGTCGTTGGTCTTTATCAAAGTAAATAAGTAGTTTCAAAGGGAAGGGTCGCGTCGCAACACGCAAGACCACACACCACGCCCAACTGCAGATCCTGCACTTAGTATATACTGAAACACAGCACAATATGGAGAGTATGTGGGGTTTATATCATGTTCTAAATGATGCTATCGACTCGATCAATTCTCGATGCCACCTAGTCACTCCTTTATAATGAAACCTCGTCGTCGCATTTCAGGTCTGCCACAGGCCTGAAGATGACCAGAGCGTGCTTGCTCAGTTAGTTGTCTCGCCTCTTTATTTGCTGATGTACTTTTCTGAGATATCACAAACGATAGAAAAGGGACCTCAGCGTTGCATCACTTGTGCTACCCCGAAATTAGACTATGTCTTTCGTGTCACTGGCAACGCACAGCGCATTTTGCACACTTTTGACTGAGATCGTGTAATCTTGCCAGAACCCACTCGATACGGCCTCGAGACAATGCTAAGGGCATTACTTGTATTGGCATGCCGACGTTGCCAACTCATTTACACCATTTCTTGAAAGTGACTTCGACGATAACGCCCTCCAATATGGCCTGGAAATTTGATGCGGACTCTCGTTGCTCGTGTTGTGGCACCTTTGATCAGTCACTTTTGACGGCCATGTCCCTCTCTCCCCGTGCTCTCCTGGGCTAAAGGGCACGGGTTTCTTCGGTAGCCAGATTCCTTGTGCTGCGTATGAGGGCATCTTGCATCTTGCATCTTTGCCACTGACTGACAAGACTGGCACGCCTTCAAAAGATGGAAGCGGAAAGCCGCCAAGGGGAAGTGAGTGGCTTGCAGAGTAACGCCTGCTCAGCCATGTCTGTGATGCGTCGCTAATACCTGCCGTCGCGGATATCGAGATAATTGATGGACGAGCGACTTTGTGACACGCCGAGTTTTGTTGCTGTCGCTCACGGATCCGCGCCACGGAGTCACGGAGACTGGTTGGACGATATATTCCTACTTCGTAAACAACCTGGGTATGCAGCGTTCCGGCTAGGAATTCGTTGCAGTTTGCGGCGTTTCTATCACCACTGCCAGCTGGACAAGAAAGGCGGATGTAGCAGAATAGCCACATCTCACATGTCATCTTGTGGAATTTGGTGTCGGCTTATAAGAAGACAAATAATGATTCTACGAATGCTAGCACAGGGGACGGTGACAGAATTTCGTATCCTAGAGACAGAACAACAAACATTCAGTGAGGGCTCACCAAATCCGCAGGAAACCGTACCAGTGCGCTTGTCATCGCCACGAAATCCACGGAATAGAACAACTGCAAGAGCGTCGTTGGGAGTTGCAGATGGAGGCGTTCTTGGATGCATGGTACCCGTCGACACGCCTTCAGGTCCCATCCTTGCGCCATCACGAACTTGCCAGGACATGGCCGTGTCGAACGAAGCAACGAACAGGGCCACTCGACGTGCAATATGCCATGACTCCAGGTGATATCGGACCCATCATTTTTATGACAGATCACGAACAGGTGTTCTTCCGCTTGATCAATGATCATCCACTCTGCAGACCCGCCTTCGGAACGCAGCGCTTGGCCGGGCCGCCATCAGGGTCTTCGAAGGGCCACCAACGCCTCGTTGCTCGTGTCATGACTCTCGCCAGCTCTGTAGGTCATTCTTACGCTCGGGAACTCGAGAGAAACTCGAGAGATACACTGTCCAAATCTATCCATATCAAGAATCATATGAGCACATGGGAGTTCGCTCTGCCCTGGATGGAGCAATGGCACTGGTGCCGGTATACCTGAGCTGGATGGAGCCTACGACATCCAACCAACCAAAAACGTCAGCATGTAGTTGGACTTGTCAGCGATTGGAGCGTCAAGTCCTGTTTCGTTTACTGGAACCTGGGGGTGTGATGACGGGCGTTCTCCGAAACCCCCAAACGGCTACGTTTACATAACACCACGGGCGATCATCAACAAGGCCGTCATCATAGTTGAGATGCAGACTTGCGGTTTCAATAATGTCACCACATTATGGGCGCGATCTACCGACGTTGTCATACCCACAAACTGCGCTCAAAATATTTCACGTTCGAAGAAACCAACTTGCGTCTGACCTGCATCTGAAGCAGCATGGGTCAGCCCCACCTCTCCGAACTCGACGTCGGGCACCAGACACGCTCGCGGCGTCTTGACCGAAACCTAACGAGAGTGGTTCTGGAGAGACGAGATTGGTTCCTTGGAGCTCGTTTAAATCTTGATAAGCCGTCAAACGGCGGCGGCGGCGGCGGCGGGCATTTGGGCGGGCTCGCAGCGAGAGCAGATGCACGCTGCAGATCGATCTCATCACACGTCAACCAGGCCCCTCCAACAGCGGCTCGTCATGAGCCGTCTCGCCCAACCGCCGAGGCACTTGGATCTGCTAGATCGATCTGTTTGGTTATTGGGCATATTGTGTTTGCGGGGCACCACCCCCTCTAGTTTCGAGCCTGGTGACTGGTTCGCCAGATCATCCAGATTTTCCCTCCACGATCTATCGTGGATGCATCATGCGTTTCCGAGTTTCAAGGTAGTACTGAACCCGTACAGATATAGCTCGCAGGATCGCTGCTCCGTTGTGCGCCACCACCTGCACCAAAGACTGACGCCAGGCCGTATTTTGTCGACAAAAAAATACGTCTGTTGTCGCCTACGCACTAGTCTGTTTGGGTGGAGTTTCCTCCCAGCATCTGCAATTTCGTATAGCCACGACTTGTCGGAGTTGAAGGGGCAGCGGAGTGCACGTGGTCTTTGCGAAGGGGGTATCCTTGATCATGTTCTTTTCCATGTTCTTTTCCATGTATTAAACGCCAAACTAGCTGGATGTGGGCGGCATGGTCCTTTTTTTAGAGGTCTCGGCCCTGCTGTGCTCACGTCAACTTTCTGACGAGCATTCGCCTCGCGGTTACGAGGTTCTACAAAGTGTCGTTGTGAGACTCGAACAGGCAAATCCCATGCGGAGAGTTCACAGCTGGGGCGGGGATTGGCTATCTCAATCGCTGGTTGTCTGGCTGAGTGCGGCTGCTGTGACAGGCAGCAATCCATGTTGTGCCCTTCAAATATGCCGTAGATGTGATAAGAGCGACCATCTGTGTTATCGTCTTCCTAGAATTACTCCGTAGAAGCTTGGCAGTTGGTCCGGGGAGCCCGGCTAGCACGTCAGGGACCGATCTAACAGTTATCGTAAAAAGTAAGATTCTGATCGGTGAAAGGGTTAAAATAAGAGAAAAAACCGGGTATGCAGCTGATGGATTAGGGTTACTCTATCTTGATCCATCTCCGTGGACCATGAGCCCGAATAGTTTGACGAGATGTGTGGCTCCCTTCCTGAATCCATCTCATCCTACGTAATTTTCTTTCGACTGCTGCAAATCAGGCCACGAGCAGGTCCAGCTCAGACCAGCTCTGCTGTTGATGGCCCGACCGAAGCCCGCTCTTTCTGTAAAATGCTCGCATGCGGCATCTCGATTCGCATCTTCTAATTTTATCGTGCCGTACCTGTTTGTGTTCCCTCTGCACATTATTGCGGCCACAATTTATTTACGATCGGTCGTTAATTTAGCGGACCCCAGACGCCAAACTCCTGCTGGTCAGGGTGACCATGCGTCCTAGATCTAAGTAGGTTGGTGTGCTAGCGACTGGCAGGCTGCGGCCGCCGGGATAGAGCTTGATGCATTCGCAAGCCGGTGGGCCTGTCATCTGGAAAAGTACATGGCGGTCGGTCTACAACGTACATGAACCTCGGGACCCTCAGATGGCAGGCAACCAAATTCTCAGGGCAAGCCCATCTCTCATTACCTACCATCTTGCCATCTTCGAGATTGGATGATCCGATGCGCCCTCATCTATGTGTCAAATCAGCAAAGGGCATCAGGCGGAGTACGATGGTGCTTCTTTGCATTGGGCAGTCCTCCTGCTATCATGCTTCACGGAGCTGCGTGGAGACTATAGGCTGAGGAACGAACCCGCTTTGAAACCGTCACGACATCAGTCCCTAGTCGCCGCATCCATCCACCCCATCCATCTTCAACGACAGACCACTCTGCCTTAAGAGAACCACCTTGAGAGGCTTCAGGTCAGACCTCCCTGAAATTGACGAGGCCCAACAAGGCTCATCGGCGATTCAGTACCTGTCAGAAAAGATTCGCCGCCGCGGCGCGGGCCCACTGCCACGAACCCTGTTCGGAAATGTCCTATGATTTTATCGAGCTAGACCGCTTCTGCTGTGTCGTCCAGGCCCAGTTGAGAAGCAGTTGGGAAGCAGTTGCCTGCCACCAGCACATCCTCGTAGTCTTGCATTGCTCAAGTGGTGTGCACTGAATTCTGACCTGACACGTTGTGTGGCTCCAAAGGCGCAGGGACACAGGCACAAGGCAACTAATAAGCCATCACTGCGATCCCTCCGTGTCGTCTCTAACCTTGTGGACAAGGACGCTCCCGAAGGCGTTCCGGGATGGACGTTTGTTGGAGTCGTTCGTTCGGCCTCTGATGTACCGCCTCTGATGTACCCCAGACATCTGACAAGCGGGGACATACCCAAATTGGGCAGCAATTCCAGAGTATCGAGTCAAAGTCGTAGTGATCATCGTCTGCAACACCACCGCTTTATTGGACCAGCAGCGAGCGAGATCCGGTGAGCACAACAATCCATCACATCTCATTCAACCTGTCTCCTGGGACTCGCTGGCTGATAACTACGTACCATTCATGTATATCGGGAGTACTCCGAACGAGATTGATTGACGCGTACGTATCACTCAGGGTTCTGACAAGATGCAATTCACTTTCAGCAGTCACCGGCACTCTGTAAGGGCCACCTGTCGGATAATCTCCAAGTTTGACGGCCTGGCTTACGTCTCATGTGCCTGTTGCTGGAATCTCCGGTACTGGTCAAATAATGGCATAGTATACTCTCGTATTCGTAAGCACGAACACCCGGTGGATAGCGAGGACATCATTCATAAGTTGAGGCCATCATAGTCTCCCCTTGCCGTTCAGAAGCGTCGGCAACCACCCACGAATGATCGTGCAGTATATGCATCGTGAGATTCGTTGCCAGGGTTGGCTGTCAGACCTGCAGCTAACGAAAAGGCATCCCTCCCTCAAGCCGCCCATGTTCTCATTCGTCGCAGGCAAGAGAGGGTTCCGATCCGGGCAACTATCCGTTGCAAGTCCAATACTTGTCATGAAGGCCACTCGGTTCGGCACACTTATTACTACTGCTGCGTTCTGCAGCCCTTCTGATGCATCAGGAGACACCGCATCAACCATAGACGGGGTCATGCTTCATGATTGGGCCGAGTATGGCAGGTAGAAACCCAACAATATGGACATGATCTGATCCTGAGCGGGCTGGTTCGATCCATCCGGCGCATCTTCGTTCTCGTCCAGTGAGGTTCGGTTCCTTACGGCGCCTAGCCAGAGCCACGTTGTAATCTGCGCATCTCAATTGTTGCCGCGACTTTGCAGCGAATATAGAAGACACGCTGGTCAACCAGGAAAGGCTTGCAGACCGCGGGATTTGAACGGGAACGCCTCTCACGTCATGCCATTGACATCGTAGATTCACCACGGTTGGGCAGATGTGGGAGGGTAGTATTCTTAGCCAGGTTCGTAACATCTCACCCACACTTTCGGATGACCGACAGGACTAAAATGGACCTGCCAACCCCAACTGGGCAGGAGCAGCAGTTGCACGGTATGTAGTAGTCAATGCTAATCGATTCCGATCTTGGACGACTGCACTACATGATGAAGATGAAGGATGTTTCCCTTCCCAACCTTGTTTCCACAGCGGTGGTCTTCTCGGTGGTAATCGGGCCAGTAACGTGAGAGCCCAGCCTTTTTCCCTCGCAGGTCTTGTCACCTTGCAGCAGGACACACAATCTTGGTTCGACCAGTGTCAGACCCAAACCAAATGCGGATTTGAAGCGAAGAAACCATCCACAATCTGGATCTGGTTATCTAGTCCAATGATCCTGTGGGAGTATGATCTTCTGATCTGGCCAAGTCAGATCCAGCGTGGGTCTTTGTTTTTTTTGTGTTTTTTTCCATGTCTGCGTCAAGCACATGTGATGCTACGCCCGCAATATCCTGACCGCCGTGTGCTTCGTCCTATTATTGCCAGCAACCGTGAGTTTCCGACGCCGCAAAACTCTTTTGCCACTTACGACGCAGGTTTTGAGCCCAGCGCTGCGGTCCGGCGCCCAATATGTTCGATGTGCCGGGTGTATTTGTAGCCATGCTTAACAAGATCTCGGTCATCGTTCCGTGCAGGACGTCGCCGTGCCGAACCCACCGCCCGAGGCTTTTGACTAGGCTACACACTATACTATGCAGTCACCCGAGCTCCCCCTTACGCTCTGGCACCATCAACAAATGCAGTGCGAGTGTGCCGGCCAATGTGGTGAGCACCTTTGCTCATTACCATGGTTGAATTTGCTGTCATTCTCGTCAGCTTCTTGTCAGCAACAAGCTTGACATGCCAAACCCACCCTGTGGAGATGATAATTGACAGGTCAGCTTCGCAGGGTTTGTCTTGTGGGCGGAGCTCCGTCGTCCCCCAGGCAGACAGGGATTCTTGGCTGTCGTGTCAAAACGTACGATATCGGAGAGTTTATGTCCAAAGAATAGCCGAGTTGACATGTCTCTTGACCCTTGAGTATTTCTTGGCTACCAAATAGTAGGAGTATCGCAATATGGTGGTTCATGGGGGCTTGGCAAGTTGGAGTAAGACGCATAATCTGAAGCCCCCGTTTGAATATGCCACCCACACTCGATGTCACCTCGTGGCTTACTCGGGTCGATCCCTTTTGTGATGCACGGCATGTACTTTGTCGATAATCAGCTGATTTTACAAGCCCTCATTGGAAGACAGGGAGGAAGAACATCAACGGAGCAAACAGTTCCTAACGATGAAGCCTTGTGCGTGGAGAGCGCCAGATCCAAGCCGGCGCCCATCGGGAATTTCTACTCGCAGGATCTTGCGAAAAGGAAGCCCCTTGCTCCCAGGCGAAAAGAGCAATCAATGTCGGGCGGCAGGTTCCCGCTGCTGTGCCGGCTCGGCGAACTCGGTTACGTTTTCTCTACTACCCTAGTCACTTCGTAAAGGAAAAAATAAACCAAAGGGCTCGAGAACGCGTCGAGGTCCCACGGAGGATGGCGACGTACTGTCACTTGTTGTCGTGTCACACCAGACCCCGAAATCTACTGATGAACAATATCTGCGAGGGGACATTGACTGGTCGCCGACCACTGCAATCTCATCTGCCCGTTGAGAAGAGCAGCTGTTGTTGCACACGATCCAATGGCAACTTGACATGTTGGTTCGCCCGTTCTTTCCGACGGCCCTGCCGAGCCACAAGTTGACAGCATTCAAGCGGCCAGTCGGAGCAAGCTGTCATTGGTTCGCATTTCGATTCCGGTCTCAACAGGCAAAGGGGCCGGTCAAGTAGTCTATTGATTTTGTTTGCTACATCTACATCTTGCATCCTGGATTCGCACTTTCGCGCTCTTGGTTAACCACGCGACCCATCTTTAGATCTCGATCGAATGCGCCACCGTCCCTGGCTTCTGAACCCCCCCTACCCCAGGAAAAGGTTCCTGACTTGAACGTTGGTCACTTTCAGCCTCATTGCCACGGGTGTAACTGCAGTTTTTGCAGCGTCTGGCCGGGGGTTGTGTTTCCAACGGAAAGGTCCCTTGTTTCCCCCACCATTCCGCTCTTGACCAGGCTCTCAACGGTCACTGCCGAGACAGGAAAAAGCAAATTCCTTCTGACAAGTCTGGAGTTCGATCTTGATGGCACTCGAACGTTTCCTCGTGTGTCAACCTCCAGCTTCCAGGGTTGAGGGGGGGTCGATGGGAAACGTCAGAAAGCGCGGATCCGATACGCATTGCAGATACCTATCACCAAGTCAAACCAGGGCACTCCCCGACGTCTAGAGTATCCGCGGTTGTACTTCATTCTATGAGCAAAAGAGACCGGCGTCATATCCACTTGCAAGTCAATGAAACACCCCTCGAGTTCCTGGTCTAGCTTTTGCTCGTACCAAGCAAGGGACCATTGATGCTGCGTCAGCCGGTAACCGAGACATGATCACCAACCCAATAATGAACCCTCGCGAGTAAAACCTCGTACATTATGTGAAATGAGTTTCCTATCTCAGGCATAAAGAACCAACTAATAACATGTCACTTCGTGCCATACCCAGGAGAAGGGAAGAGACCTAACCGACCATGGTGTTGCCCGAATCAGGCAGGCGAGACCGTTGATATATAAGAACTCGTCGGTTGGCTGCGGTGCCTTGAAGTGGCGCAGCTAGATCTCGTTCTGATTTTCCACGTTATCTATCGCCTTTTTTTGCCTTACCCCAACATTCTCTCTCACGGCTGCTGAGCTGTCATTCTTCTTATCGCCTTTCTGTCAGTTGCAATTTGCAGTCCGGAGTAGAAAGCATCCGAGTTGGCGGGCGCGGGGGTCGGTCTCGCCTCTCCATACACAAGGTTTCTCCCTGGACGCGTAAATAGATAGGGTAGATATGATATGCCCCCCTCCCCACCCAAGCCGGAGTGCCCAATACATTTTGCATATTTTGCATAGGCCTAGCAGCCCAGCCCTGGGGTGGCTTCAAGACATTGTCCGAAATTTCTTATTGATTTTTTGAGGGCTGGGGAAGGACGGAAGAGGGAAAGAGGGGAAGAGGGACCCCTATCCTGCGACTTTCCAGCCACTGACGCAACTCCTTACATGGCCTGCAACACATGGCTGAGATATCTCTCCAATCTGCCTGCCTTCATGTGTAACCCCAAGCCAAGATTCGGCACCTGGGGTGGTTCTTGTTCTCCAAAATATCGCGAATGTACAGTTGATGAAACATGTTGCAACAACAGAGAGTTATTTGTTCTTGTGACGTCGTGACGCCACGCACTCACTCAACACCAAGCTGGAGGCCAACCAAGGAAACACATCACTCACGTCTTGCGAGGTGGCAATAGTAAGGCATCAATCATCGCCAGATTCGCGCTGCAGGCATCAAGTAGTCAGGCCGCGTAGCTGACAAACCCCAACGTTCACATTCCCCTTTCATCATGCGTTTGGGTCCAGCTGGCACCCAACCAGAGCCAGTCAGAGGCGCTCATCTACCAAGAGAAATGCGGGTGATAGTATATATTCATCTAATACCATGCCATGTGTGCAGTAGAACCCTGGATCTGTGTGATTTCAAGTGGGGTCTTGGCGTGCATGTTTGCTTCAAGGGACATCGCTCTCTTGCATTTTGACAGCGGCTTCTATTTTGTTGTTTTTCCATATGATTGCTCAGTTTCCGGAGTCGTGGTCGGCGGTTGGGCCAGGCTAACTGCTTAGGTTTACATCCAGGAAGAAATGGCCTGAATCCATGTCGTTGAATCGAGGGACATATGAGATTACGTGCGATGTCGGAAGTGGCTTTTGGCAGGCGCTGGGGGATCAGAGGGCCAGAATGGCCGTTTATTGTGGCGGGCAGCAAGACTTCTAGCAAAGGCGTAGTTGGATTGGGTCTCGTAGGATTAAGAGATTGACTTGGTTGGGGGTGTAATAGGATTGTCATTTGATATTTGGACCTGGGGGACAGACAGAAGTGCATCTGGTATCTTTCCTCTTAACAAGAGCCTTGATCTAGGGAGCATCTGCTTTTAGTTGATGCAGAGGGATAGACATAGCAAATCTCTTGACACGCAAATCCCCTCCAAAGAGACATCAACGAGCCTGATGCCATCAGACCTCATTGAGTCGAATGCGACATGCCTCTAGACATCTTCAGTTGGTGACGGAACCGACACTCCAGTTTGAGACAGGCACCACGAGTACCTTCAGTGAAGTGCTTTTCTTATGCGTAGGACTTATAGGCAAATCAGCTGTATTGCGACAAGAAGCAGATCTATCCGAAGTAGGCCTGACATATGCTCTCCAAAAGTAGTGTAGTGATTCACAAGCCTGACGGATGTATTTCCATAAAGCCTACGCAGCCGCAACCTTTGAAGGTGTCCCAGCCAGACAGCCAGGAGGCACGGTAGGGAGCCTCACGATTACAAGTTGACCTTGTCCGTAGTGTTCTCACCAAGAGCAGGCTTAGAGTAAAGTTGGACAAAGGGAGGAGACACAGCAACCCTACTCACCCGCCTCCTTTCCTCCACCTCCACCACAACCACCCCTGAACTGCCCTAATAACCTCTCCAAATCCGGCACGCCGTCCAATCCTTTCCATCCCTTCCCCACCTGCTCCTTCTCACTGATATCAATAACCGCACCCACGAGACTTTTATTGATTTCATCATCCACAACACTATCGGCTTTGTACGCCGGGTGCTTGGCGACAAACTGACGGATCCACTTGGCCGCGGTCCAGAGCTCGCCGCTGGCGCGCCGACGGATCAAGTCGAGGTAAGTAGCGAGCTCGCAGCGCGTTTGCACGTCGACGTTGACGCTGTCGAGGTAGCTCTCGACGATGGGGATCAGGCCAGGGAAATCATGGTCCTCGGTCTGGGACCCGTTGATGACCTCGTTGATGGTCATGAGGGCGTACTCGTCCTCGACGGGACCCGAAGGCGAAGCGGGGCGGCTCATGAGCGGAGTACTGGTGCCCGAGGCGACGGCGGATCGAGGAGGGCGCGTCGGGAAGGGATTCTTGCGGAAATAGAACTTCTGCTCGAGGACGGCGTCGCGGGTGTGGGCCGTCTCCATGTTCTCGTCTACCTTGGCGATGGGGATGTAGAAATTAAGGTCGAAGGAGAGGATGGCGCGTGTGATAAGCACCATGAAGACGGCGAAGGCCGCGTTCTCAAAGTCGGTCATCTGAATCTCCATGGGCCGGAACTCAACGCGCCAGCCGATGTCGCTGCCTGCCGGCGGAGGCTTGAAGCGCATGTGCTGCCAGTTGGTCGACTGGATGTTCTCGAAATGGTCCGTCTTGGACATGTCTAGCTCCTCGAGATCCTCGGCAAAGATGACGATGGGGTCGCGGATGAAAAGGTGAGCAAAGTGTGTGGCAAGCCGCTCGTCCATGCCTCCCTCCATCAGCTGCCCCTTGATCGACTCGTCAATGATCAGGTTCAGGTCCATATACTCAGGCCGTAACCTGTTATCTGTCGAGATGTAGGTTGAGTTGGACGCGTAGCGCGACTTTGGTATCCGCCATCTGTTGTTCTTCAAGGGCTACACGTAATTAGTCTCTTACACTTACGGCTATTCAACAAGATTTCTCCTACCTTTTCTCCAAGTTCTTCTTCAGTTCGGTCATCGACAGCCGTGCTGATCTGATTCCAGCGAACATCAGTGTCTGCAAGGAAGCCCTTGTATATCGGCGTCGCCGCTGTAAGAGCCAGCATAATAGGCCCGATCGGGCTGAGCTGATCGTACATCTTCCTGCCCTCGGTGATATTCTTGGCCTGGAAGGTTATCTGTAGACAGCAGCTTCCCATGCCGAAGGCCATGGCATCCATGTGGATGAAGTTGTCCGGCGCAGCGCCGTTTCGTGCGTCGGCATCCTCAGGCCACTTATGCATATCATAGTTGACTGTGGGATCCTTCCATGGGCTCGCTGTGTTCTTGTCGTGGAAGACAGGCACGTTCACCTGTACCTTCCTGCCTCTTCTCCAGCGGATGTTGGCAGCAAGGGTTGGGAATCGAATATGAGGATTGGCAATCTCGTCCGGGACAAACTGGGATCGCAGCTTCGACCCCGAAGGTGGATAATAGGGGTCAGTAAAAACGCCAGGAACCCCAAGGCGAGGGAAGGTCGTCAGCGTAATGGGATACTCGTTGGTCTTCATGTGTTCCTTTGCAATTTTTCTCCTGCAATTTCGTGAGCCAGGGAAGACATTTCAGGCTTGTGAAGTATTACCTGAGCTTCATGTCTGGCTCAACCTCGAGCAGTTCCTTGAACCCAATACCCCATGGCTTACCAGGTGTTGCCTCGAGCATGAACCTACCAAACTCAGGGTGGAACACTGGCAATGGGTTTGATCTGCAATTTTGTAAGCACTAGCGCCGCCTTGCGGTAAGTCGATTATGCTTACTGAGAAGCATCAAGGTCTTGAAGCGCCGGAACACCTCCTCCCTTTTGAGCGAGCTCCTCATCAGCAGCCAGCGCCGTCAGGATGTCTGCTTGTCGAAGTGACAGGAGGACTTTGGGATCATCCTTAGAGTACGTGACCACGAGGTATTCGATCTAGAACAGTCTTAGTGAACCATCCTACAACCCCAAATAGTCTTATAAGTACCTCATCGCCCCACAACATAGCATCCCGCTCCTTGTGCTTCGCCTTGTTCCAAATCTCAAGTAATTGCTTTGAACCGGCCTGGTCAGCTTGGCACACATAATCGCCCCAACAAGGCCGCGGAGTATTTCTCTAGGACTTATGCAGTTGCAAAGTGGAAAAATACCTTGATGCCCCATTCTCTGACTTTACTGGCATGCTGTTGTGCATCGGGCCAATCAAGAGCGGTACCCAGAGCACTACACACGTTGCGTTAATGAAAATTCTTGTGTTACCGTGGCTGCAGGCGTTGAAGTAAAACAACGTACAGGAGACCCATCTTGCACTAAAGGACTGATTGCGTGTCGATTTGGATTTGCGCAACAGGAAAAGATTCGCACGCCAATCCCGCCTTGTGTGTTGTGATATCAATGCCGGGTGTCGCAAAGGTTGTTGAGCAGATTGATAACTGCTCCGAGATATGATATGGACCCAATCGGAGTTCGTTTGCTGGTCAGTATAGAAGCAACCCCAGCACTTACTCGATGGTGAATGACCGAGACAACCTAGTCAACATTCACTCGAGCCACTGCTCGTCAACGTGACGGTCAATGTGATGAGCAGATTCCTCGCTTCTCAGGTGAAATTTTCAAAAGACGTCGCAGTCCCTTCAAGAGTCTTAATGGAATGTCCAATCTAAGCCTCCGGGATTAATAGAGGCAGAAAAAGGTACCCCCCACACTGCACTTCCCGCTGAGCGCTCAGGGCTGACACTCCATGTTCTGGGATTGGTCGAGGCAGGGAATCAACTGAATAATAACAATTCTGTGTCCGAGCACGCAATAACCCTAGGTTCTTAACTGGTCCGCTTTATGCCGAGGGCCTGGTTTGGACGACAGCGTAGGAAGACGGACGGGGTTTCTAGGTGATGAGTTTTGTTTCTCTTTCTTACCAGTCGGTCTTCAGATCAGACGGGAGTCCCTATGAGATTGAATTTTCCAACATGCTTATTGTGGGGCCGACAGCTGACAGAAGTGACTGCTTAGAAATCGAATTGAATCGCATTACAATCCGGCGCAGTGGTTCCTCGCGCTTTCTGCCGAAGTTAGGCGGCGTATCGCGGCTGGGGCGTTTCTGGGCCAGATTCGGCATTCCTTGGCTGAACTAGGCTGTGGCGGTGCAGTCTGTTAGCCACCAGTTTCGACTACGTTTGGTTCGCAATTGTCCAAAGTTTTCAGTTGCTTGACGATAGATTTGAAGGTGACGTTCCGAATGTCGGTTGTGATTGTTGTACTCTAGTTATACAGCTTGTCTTCCCTTCCATTGACTTTTATGTCTCCGGACCATTCTCCTTGGCTCCTGCTACCTCGACTTCTTGTGGAGCGAAACCTGTCCGCCTTCCGATGTCTCATCCTCCAGGTCCGCCGGCTTGACTTTGCTCTCCATATGGGCGCCATGCGCTTCTCTCAATCTCAGGCCATCTGGATCCGCTGGTTGCACCTTTGGCTGTGTGTGAGAAGCATGGCCTCTTCGCGCAACATCCGTGTCTACTACATAGTCTTGAGACGGGAGACGGCCGCCCCTCACCTCCTGCTGCGCAAAGCCGGTATACGGCCGCACCTTGGACACCATGTGGGAAGTGTGGTCTCGAGAGCCGCGTCTCAGGTATTCGTCGTCAGCTGTTCCGCCGCCTTCCACCGATGAGCTCTCCTCGGCCTCCTCCGGCACCGTCTGGCCCATGACGCATTCTCGTTCAATAAACACGTCGGCTGGATATGTTGGATTGTGGTTCGGATTGTGGTTTGCACCGTGACCTAAGCCAGTCCCCGTCGATGCCACGTCCCTCGACTCGTTTCTTGGTCCTGTTTGCTCATCATCCGAAGATGCGTAGCTCCTTTTACTTCGCAAGCTCCTCTTGCTAACCTTGCGTACGATCTCTCCAACCTTGGCTCTACCACGGTGGAGGTCGTCTAGGACATCTTGGCCCATCTGCCCCAGCTCCGATCGCGCCATTTCGAGCGCTGTCCGGTTGAGATGTGTGCCTTGGTCAATCAGACGGTTCTTCTTCCGGATCTCCGACCATCGTGTCAAGGAGCCGAGCTCCAGGAAATTCATCCGTCTATGCTTCTCCGATGGATTGCCGATGATCAGAGGTCTCCAGCCGACATCCTCTTCGGGAATGTCAGTCAAGTCTTTTTGACCGCTGACCTTGGCTGCGGCGATGGCCGACGCCCGTCGACGCATGCTGTCTCTGCGAGCAGAGGTCCACTTGTCCATCTCCATGCTTCGGGAGCGCGGAATGATTTCAGTCTTCCTGAAGCGAACAAGCACGGCGAGTAGCAAAACCGTCATGACAAACAATATCGAAGCTACGACAGCTGTGGCAGCTCTTTGACCCAGAGTTCGTTGAGCCATGCCTCCAATGCCAGTTGCCCCTGCTGCAAACACAAATCCCAGGCCGTGTATAATTGCATAGCCCGCTGTGACCCTGGGGAATGACGAGTAGTTCGTGGGTTTCCTTGGATTATTCATGCTTTTGGAGCGTCCAGTCATGCCTGGCTGGAGATCGGAGCAGTCCTAAGCCTCCATCAAGAGCCCGTTGCACTCGGCTATGGCGAGGCAGGACAAGAAACCAACCAGAGCCGCGAAAAAGCAAGGGAAAAAAATATGAACAGGCGGCCCGAAAGAGACAATAGCGTACATGACACCTGCAATAGGCAGAATAATTGTGAAGATGACGCGGCGGACCAGATGTGACGTCCATGTCACCGTCTGGTCCAAAGACTGGCCGCTTGAGGTCTGAGGCTTGTATCTTGAGCGCGAAAACAGATTGGCCTTCTGGAAAGGAACTGCTGCCAGAGCGCCGATGGCTACAGATGACACGGCAGCGCCAACGAAGGATGCTCGAAAGCGGTAGTATCTAGAGGTCAATGACCCAAGGAGCTAATCCGTGTTAGAGGAAGTATCAAAATTGTCGCAATCTGAGAGGAACTTACCACAATGATTAGTACAACTTGGGCATAGATCCACGCTGAGTATAAAGCGATGACTGCAAAACCAGGTTGCCGAAGCATCTCAAGCGAGAGTGCCACACCGTGATACACTTCTTGGCCCCACCATTTTGGGCCGTCTTTGACTCGAGACATCATGATCTCCCCGCGTCCGACGCGTCGAGAAACCTGGGAACCAACTCTGACTTCAGCCACTGATCGCCTCCATGCCGAACGTCTAACCTCGGGGGTCAAAACATTGAGAATTAGTACGACCGCAATCAGTATGATGCTGATATACAGCCCCCAAGAGGGTGGCAAGTTATCGATGATAACGGCGCCGACGAGGAAACCTACACCAAGAGATCCAATGAAGCACCAGGTCCAAATGCCGAGCCAAACTCCTAGTCCACCACCATGCCTCCTCACATCATACTCATCCACAACCTCCTGGTGAGGGTTTCTACTCATCAACGAAGCACCAAAAAGGTCTGTCAATATTGAGTGGAAATTCATGCTTGCGAATCCCAGAGACACACCCATCAAAGCCCTGGGCAGGAGCAATGCCCATCTCCAGGCACTTGTATATGGCGATCTTGGTGCGCTGACTGTGATGGCTTGGGGAAAGAGCAGGGGCATAGCAATAGCCAGACTGGACAGGATGTAAGGTTTGCGGCCATGCAACAATGGCAAAGGCCAGCAGAACAACGTTGGAATGGCCATGCCGAGGTAAAGGCCCACATTGCCCAGGATTGCATAATGGTCAAAGTCGGCAATGTAGTACTGGATGGATGGTACGAGTCCGGCATAAATGCCAATCAGAACGCCTATTAAAGCTGTGCTGATGCAAGCGACCGCAGCTACAAACCTTTTTCGCACGGGTGACCAGTTTCGAGCGATGGTTTGACGACGACGTAGCTTCATCAAGCTGAAGCGGCTCACGTCTTTGATGCTGACATGCGACCTCCCTCGGAGACTGATCTTTTTTAGGTCATGAGCACGCTTCGCTGCCTCCTCATGGTGGTGTGCCCCTGAGTGGCTAGCAGCAGCTGCCATGCGAGATTGCTTGGGTGGTTTCAAAGCACCAGTGACTGTCCGCCCGATTTGAGGAGTTTCGAGAAAGTCCACTACTTCATCAGATGCCCCGCCATCCAAGCTACAACCGTCTACATCTCTGTAATGCTTGGTGTGGTATTCTCCTTTTCGGTCGGACTTCGGCACATGATAATTATTGGCAGCTTCTCGAAGGTTCTTAGAGCTGTCCCGGGGCACAATGGGTGGCTGGTGGAAGACGCGGATGTACTCACGAACTTCTCTGCTGTTTGGCACATTACCTGACGTATGGGGCTCGCGTATCGTGCTGGGGTCATCCTCATCGTAAGCATGAGGAGCTGGATACGCGCAGTCTCTTCTGAGCTGATTGTCAGGTGGCGGCATCGGAAGGAAAGGACTGTCACTTCTATGCCCCTCTTGTCGAACCAGGCGTTTGCCTACATGCTTGCGGGCACGCAAGCTAGATCCTCGATCCGGAAGTGCTGGCCCTCTGACATTGCCGCTGCGCATGTCAGGCGTGTCCAACCCATGACGTTTAACAGACCCAAGAGGGGAAGCTTCGCATCCATGACTCAATTCTTGCACAGCTCCAACAAACAAGGCTGGGCACTCTTTGGCATGTGCAATTGTGGGCTCCATGAGGGCACCGGTTAGATCACCGTCGTAGTCGGTATTTGAATCACTCGCTACGCTCTCGTGGACACTCGGAGCGTCATGGAACACCTCCGACATACTTTCAGACCGCTGATGAAGGTGGCCATCGTCAACCTGCCCATCTTCATCTCGTTCTGCAACCTCGTTTGCGATGTCCAAAGCTTCACTGAGGATCTGCTCGAGGTTTTGCATAGCTTCTTGCATGGCCCCAACATCTGCAGCATCTTTGTCAGAGAAGGTCGTAACTCTTGAGGCGAGAGCGAGGCCGAGATCATCACGGCTGTGGCCATGGTCTTGGTGCCTGGGGTGTAGTTTCATAGGACGCTTGGTGAGCTTTGGGCCCCTGGAGTTAGCATTCTTGAGTTGCTCGCGAAGCCATTGTAGAGTGCGCTTAGTATCCAATCCCTCAGGGATAAAGCGTCGTATTGGCTGTGGCAGAGCATTCCCCGGAGATTTTTGATCGGATCGAGAAGGAGGCGAGACGCAAATAGTTGAGCGGCGCGGGTCTCCTCTCTCCAGTTGGAGAGCTTGAAGTCGCTCTTGCAATACATTAACTGTGAATGATCGACGTGCTGGCTCGGGCGTGGTTGATACCTCCCCTTGCGGCGCATTTTCCTGTTTGACAGTGGTGCTGGGTGAAGTAGTGTCCCCATTCCTCATCCTATGAGGGTTACCCGGAATTGAGGCAATACTTGCCGGGCTCTCTGGTTGAACTAAGTCGTGAGACTTCGTGGCGACCCTTTGAGGAGACTCTTGGTTTTTCCGCGAGGGAGTGGAATGACTGATATTTCCAGATGAGAGGGCAGCTAACGGTTTCATACCGCTGTTTGTTAGCCCCTGAGCTTCTTGACCATCCTCAACCGGAATTTTGTCTGATTCATCATTAATGACTTGCGGTTCTTGCTTCTTCTCTCCAAAGGTAGGGAGAAATCCCCAATATGAGGCTGCTTTGGAGGTTTCCTCGGCCTGCAAAGGTATGTTCTGTTCAGCATTGGGGTGAATGAAACACCGCGGTATCGAATGAACGTCGCCATTGGACGTCAATGGATCCGAGGGGCTGCCATGGTACGATTGTACTTTCTCGACCCATACATGTCCTTCGTGGGTCTCATTGGGAAAGTAACTGTTCCCATTTGCCAGTAACGATGGTCGATCCAGAAACGGCCTTACTTCCGAAGGTTGGTGATGACCATGGTGTTCATGTTCCAGTAGATAAGGCTTGGCGGCACTGGGCGAAGGGCTCTCCCCTTGATAAATAATTTCTTTATTATCGCCCCCATCTGCCGTTCCCACTTTGGAAACACCGTGATGACCTTCGTGGCTGTCCAATTGCCCATGTAGAGTTTCTAAAGCCGGCCGTACCTTGATCGCAGCGCTATGGCCCCGTGTATGTGCTCTGTGACGTCGACAATTACCTCGCATAGGTCACCTCCCGTCAGCGTTCGATAGTTTCGACCCGTCAAGATCGCGTCAGACAAATCTTCTGGAGAAATTCGACGTCTGTTTGGAGCCTCTGTTGGGGAGTCCTGGTCAACAGTAATGTCCTCGTCACAGGAGACGTCTCCTTTGACCAAGACTGGATGATTAACCATGCTATGAGAACTCGGTGAGTGTAAATCTGAGTCGGTACACACAATCTCAGGCCGTAGAGCAGTATCCTTCCCCATTGTGGGTGAATCTTGGACTGCCAGAAGGTCTTCAGATGAGTGTCGTCGCGGTACCGGGACGTTGGAGAACCGCAGGTCTCGCTTGAAATCTTGGGCTGGTGATGCCAAAGTATCTACCTGGGTGAGGACTGGAGGAACCGGAAGGTCCCTCTCGGTGGACTGCTGGCGAGACGCTTCGGACTTGAGTAGAGCGTGGCGGTACGCCCCACTTCTTGAATTGGTAGAGCGAAAGGAGGCAGGTCGATTGCTCAAGACCTTCAACGAAGGAGCTGAAGTTTGGGGACGAATGATATTTTCGGGGGTTGGCTCCATTTCTGTCGCTTTTCTCGAATCCGGCATCATATAAGAATGTGGCGACATGATGGCAACTGGTCTCCGTGTATTTTGGCTCCAATGCAGCGAAATCACATGTGAGCATTGCTCATCTGTTGTAGGTGATAGATTCCCATCAGTGTATGAGCTGGGAACAATACAAATGCGAGCCGAGCTTGCTGAAGACAGACTTCTTTGACAGGAAGGAAGTGGGATTGCCCAAATTCTTTCTGGCAGGTAGGCAGTCAGAGCCGTGGAGTATTACACGTCAGTAGGCAGATACCTGGCGACCGTCGTGCGTTCGCCTTCGGTCAAAGTCCTTGAGTTTGACCGTGTTTAACCCAAGAGCATGGAGCGGATGGCTAGAGGAGTAGAGGTTGAGGCCTGGACTGTGACCAAGTATCACTGTCCTAGGGGGCAGGAAAGAGAAGACAAGATAGAAGCTGCTGCATAGAAATTAAAACGAGCGTCGTACGTAATAGGGGTGAAGGTTGGCAAGAATGATAACAGGTTGATGATGGCAAAGGTGCAGAAGAGTCGGCGAGATGAAGAGGTGAAAAGCATGGCCTATCTTGAAGTCACTTGCTTTAGTCAAGTTAGTCGACGTCCATCTTTAGTTGTCGACCTGGCTCCACAATTGGGCCTTACCTGTCATCGCACCTGCTTCGTCTAGGTCATGGATCTGGCAGTTGCCATCGCGAGATCATAGACGCCACTTGGGACATGTAATTAGTTCGTAGCTTCCCACCAGATAAGCCCACTCTCTCTGCACAATGGCATGGACCGACAACAAGTGCAACTCGATGAAATGGGGGTGATCATATCTTGCGAGTAGAGTTCCACTCTCAATGAGTGGACTGCGGGCAAGTACAAATAGAGTCACATATATCTCGATCAAAAGGTACAACGAGTTGCGAAGATGGAATTATGACTGGATTCTCTTCGATCACCGTTCCAGCGTGTCAGAGTCCTGCTTGATACATGTTCTTAGTATGTAACCCGCATTCAGCCGTGTCCAATCTCAGACATTTTCCAACTAGACCACATATATGCACTACCATCTTCAGGCGACGGACCTGCAAGCTTCTCATCCAATTGCATTGCCGTATTCATCCTTAAACGCCAGTAGGAGGAGTAGGAATAGCGAGCCCGGCTTGATATATGTGTCAGCAGGGTTGCATCACGCAACTTTATTAGAGGGACTTACTAGGGGAACCAGTAGGAAAGGGGTGGCCGCCTTGAGGTTATATTAGTTCCTTTTCTTGTGAACAATTGTGCTTAACGAAGTGTGGACCTACTTGCAGGAGGGAACCCACTAGTCGGGAAGGGAAAACCACCTATTCACTTATTAGCATCTTCTGTATTTCCAGCTTGTTCTTGGAAGGGTTCACATACTCCCCGTTGGGAATCCACCAGTCGGGAATGGGAAGCCACCTATGATTTTGTTTAGTTTTAACTTTTCCGATGTAATTTCCTCATGTATATACCTTCGGTACCCGTGGGAACTGCATTATCTAGGTCAGCAATCACAGCCATGCAATCAAGGAGGTACGGAGAAGACTCACAACCAGTGGGGAATTGAACCTGCTGGACCTGGTCAACAGGAGCGGCGGCAGTAAGGCCGATAAGAATGAACGAAAGGACTGCCTTCATGGTGTCAGTATCTTGAATGGAATGAATGGATTTGTTGTGTAGAAAAGAATGATACTGGATGGTGATAGTGAGTAACGAGAACTTCAACTTTCGAGGGTAGAGTTGCCCTTATTTATAACTCTAGAATACTAAGCAAGGGAAAAACAACTGTTCAGGATTAAGATGAAGACCGAAGATTTCACCTCCTAGTTCGCACCTTGCACGCGTTACTTGACACAGTCTTGTCTCGGCCTGGCAGCTATACTGGGTGTTAATTAACGACGTGACTCAAATGGAAGGATCAACACAGGGCAGGGTAATGATGCCATATTGGGAAGATATCATATGTGCTCCGGCGTGGTGCTGGTTCGCTAGCTGTGGTTCCGGGATGGATGCCTAGTGGAGGAAAAATAGGCCAATGGTCGAATCAGAACCTCCGAATACCAGGGAGTGTAGACAAGTTTATAGACTTTATTTTATTGCATACGACTCCGTGTCTGGATGCCAGATCATCGTTGATCAGACATGAATATTGCTATTTAATATCTCTGAAACGAGTTTGATGCCTATCTAAGTCCAGGTTCAGGAGCGCAGCATGAGGCTGAATCGAACTGCTTGGGCCTATTATAAGCTGACAAAATTTGGTTGGAGGAAATTGTTTTGTAAAGCAGCCCGGATTGAACAAAGATCATATTTTAAGCTTGCTTGAAATGATCGGCACGCGTAACCGTGGTTGTACAAGCCTTGGTATGAGCATCCCGTCCCGTTTCAACTTGGATCACGGATACAGCATCTCCTTTAGCCTTTTAACCTTATTCAAGAAACGCCGTTCAACCAGGGTCAGGGGCAAGACGACACAGATTAGTAGGGGTGATCCGTTGGAACGGGCTCGTGGGGCCGCATGTTGTTGGATCGGGATATGGTACAGGGATATACGATGTATAGTGAGATGACCGGAACCCCGTTAGATGATCTTCGTCCGAACTAAAGACGGAGTGGATTCCGTAGATGGACATTGACTTGGCTCGACCTACCTAAAAGGGTAAATAGATAGATCTGAAGCATGGTTGAAGACATCTGCAGAAGTTCCCTGAGAGCCGCGTGTACGGAATTCCGGAGAAACTCATAGTGATCCGGGGCGGACGGCGAGACTCTCGAAAGCGGAATTGAAGGAGACTAAACGGCGGTCTCTTCTACATGGTATCCGATTCGGCTTAGGGGTTCGTGTTCCATGGGATTTCTCCATAGAAAATATTACGCAAGGACCCGTCAACTCCGGGCTCAGTTGAAGTTTGTATTATGATACCCATCGTTTAGGTAGGTTCAAACTCGATTCGAATTTGGGGCCATTGCAGTCGCCAAGCAACCGTAAGACTAGATGCGCTTGATCTAGGTTGGTCGATGTTCAAGACGAAACGTATAATTCAATGCTATACCCCTGAACCCCGCCGCGGGAAGTTTGGCCGTCGTATCTTTTTGTATATTTCGCATGCCATGAGATGCAGCACGGGATAGCTGCTGGGTACGTGACTTATAGTTAGCTGTCCGAGTCTCTCTTCTTTCAGCGAGATGACCAGCGTGTACCGAATGTCTCGTCTCTTGCACTGTCAGGCAAGAACACCAGGTTCCGCCGGCCTTCAGCGATCCCTATGGACTGCGAATTACTTCACTGCCGTACACTGTACCAGCTGCGAACGCATGAAGAACACCACCAGTCTCAAGTCGTGAGCTAATGCCGGGGTGCATTGTTGATTCCTGAAGATGAAGAAGTGATCATTTTCAACAGCACAACATGACTTCCGCTGTGGAGCAAATCTCGGAAGACTCGGGTCTTCCTGGCCAGGAGCCTACCACGACTTCTCTGCGGACTAAGTAGAGCAACAGCAGACACCCAGCCTGGTGTCGGATATCACACATCCGAGATAATCAGCTGAATGAGGTGGTAAAAGCAGCCGCTAGGTATTCCACCTCGTGCGTAGTTTTCGTGCCTATAACAAGCAAGTTACTAATGTCTGTTCTGTCTCGTGTCCAGAAGAGTGCCGACAGCTCCTCAGTCAAGGTGAATGCACGCCAGGTGAAATCGGGTGTTGACGAAGTCTCACATGAGGATACTTGTGTCCACATGTTAATACCACAATACATTATCACATCCTTGTGTCATACGTTAACTCAATGTCGTTTATATCCTTTCCGGAACAGCGAACTTTGCAATGAAAGCATACGAAGGAGATCGACTACGTATTTCTCGCTTCCACCAGCACTGGAGATGAAGCAGGGAATGCCCAGGAGCACTTCCAAGATTGCCAACTTTACTTTGAAAAGTGCTTATGTCACCGCTACCCCGCCTCCCGAGAAGACAGACGACTTGGTGAAAACAGTTCCAAAGTCCCATTGCCCACAGCGAACTTCATGAAGTATTAAGATTTAATTGCTGGCATAAAAAGCAGTTCCGTGATTCTTAATGCAGCCGCCCGAGTTGAGTTTGGGTTGATGAAGTTTGCAGTATTGCGTCTTGCTTTGGGACGGAGGTGCAGGTGCAGCGGGGTCATGCCAGCACAACGACTCGATCTCGGGAATTGGCCAGGCAAACAAGAGTTGAGCAGTTGCAGAGGGTATGACGACATCGACAGCCCAGGCCTTGATTGAACCGATTTTACGAAATACTGTACAGGGGTTATCTCTGCTTGTGTTCGGTGCCAAGTCAATTGGTTTGATGAGAGACGTTTTATATCCACCACGAAGCAGCATTCAAGTATCCAAGCTGGTGACAACAGTCAACCCATTGACTTATGTTCTAGGGCTTACGATGACTATCTGTGTTGAACTCGGCCAATAATATGCCTTCTTCTCAAGTTGCATCCCAAACCTAGCCTGTCAGCTTCTTCAACCGCCCACCACCCTGTCGCAACCTGTGATGCCAATGATGCAGATGATCACAAGTCCCCAAAATTCGACAACAGCGTGATCTCTCGGTGCCTAGAGGTCAGCTCACCGCATCTGGGGCTTAGAGGCTCAATCCTCTCACTCCCTCACCTCGGGAGCCTCCAATACTGAACTGGATGTTTTACATTTAACTTCTACAGGAGCCAGATGGAATGATAATCACAAGAACGAAGTACCAAAAGCTGCTCGGCTCCCGGATATTGGACCCTTTGGCTTACTTGCAGGACGCATGCAACCAGGCGCTGCGCAGAATCAGGTAACCAAGGTGGCAACGTTGTCATAACCTGGGAATCTTGGCCCGACGTTATCTGTTTATTCTCCCTGTACGAAGCATTGTTATTGCACGAGGCTCTGAGGCGGCGGTTCAGCCCGGGTCGCTCAAGGGCTATTAGTCACAACTCACGCCTCTAGTTCAACAAGCCGCCGGAGGCCGCTTTCCCAAGGCATTCAATTCTGCCCAACCCAGCCCCGCCAACTCGCAGCAGTGGAGGGGTGCGAGTCCTGCTGGTTGCGTGACATCCATCCCAAATCCCCGCCCGCTTCTCCCGCACAATTAGTAGCCTTTCCAGATATATCTCGTTAGATCCACGCGGACATTACGTAGCTCTTCGCTTCCTCTTTTTCCACCACATCCTGTTACACCGTGAGCCGCGCTCGACTCGCATATTTCTAGTTGCGGCCAGCAAAGATGTCGTATCACGAGCGAGAGTACCGCTACAGTCGGCACAAAGACGACGCATCATCGGATGACGAGAATTACAAGAAAACGACGGTCCGACGATATAAGGTCGGCGGGAGCAGCACCAGTAGCCGAGTTGAAAGAGTTGATCGATTTGAGGAAACGGACGACGACCGCCGATCCAGATACTCGCACCGAGACGACTTTCGCGATTCACAGCCCCACATTGGTCGCACTTCCGGCGATGTTCTGGAAGTCGATCGCAGGGTCGAGAGAACTTACTTGCCCGAGCGACCCAGATCGGCCTTCGATCCCCCAGTCCAGCGCACTGTAACTGAGAAGCGAGTTGTTGAGCGCGAAGGACCCGAACATCGAGAACGAGACCGAGGCCGCGACGATGGGTATCGCTCTGTAGAGAGAGACGTGACGTACTGGGATCCTGAGCGTCGCGATCGAGACCGGGTTGTGGAGAGGGAAATTGAATACTCGCGAGAACCTGAGCGCAGGGACAGGGTTGTCACGGAGCGAGAAGTCGAGTACTCTCGAGAACCTGAGCGCAGGGACAGGGTTGTCACGGAGAGAGAAGTTGAGTATGCCCGAGAACCTGAGCGCAGGGATAGAATTGTGACGGAAAGAGATGTTGAATACTCGCGAGAACCCGAGCGACGGGATCGAGTGGTTGAAAGAGAAGTCGAATACTCACGTGAACCAGAGCGCCGTGAGCGGGACTGGGAACGGGGCTCCCGGGCACCGTGGGATGATCACGAAGAAATGCGTATCGAGAAGCGCGTCGAGCGCAGATCTGACGAGCACGTTGACGACGTCCGAATTGAGAAGCGCATCGAGCGTCGGTCAGATGATCATGTCGACGAGATCAGGGTGGACAAGCGTGTCGAACGCGAACATTGGCCAGAACATGAGCATGGCGGAGATATTGAGCGCTACAGGAAGGAGACCGAGTATTATGCTCCTGCAGACCCACCACCACAGCCTATCGTCATCAGACAGAGGGCGCCAGAGCCGCAGCAGATCATCGTACAGGAGGCGCCTGCACCGCCCCCGGTCATTCTTGATAGACCCCGTGAGCCTGGGTATATTGTCCTCCGCGAGAACAACCGTCCGGATCTGCGAGAAGAAGAATACTGGCGGCGCCGCCGAGAGGAGGACTATGCCATGGAGAGGTATGAGAGGCGACAACAGCGCGACTACCCTTCAGAAGAGGAGGATGTCTATGTCAAGCGCACAGTAATCCGACGTGAGCGTAGCGAAAGCTCTGACCGAAAGCGTCACCTGGCCGAGGGCGCACTGGCTGGCGCTGGTCTTTCCGCCCTGGTGGCTAGTCGTCGACGCCAAGATGGTGACTATTCTGAACACCGAGGCAAGAAGGTTCTGGCTGGCGCTGCCCTCGGAGCATTGGGCACTGAAGTCATCAGAAGAGCCAAGAGTGCTATGGACGACCATCGGTACGAAGACGAATATGACGACCGCCACAGGTCTCGATCAAAGTCTAGATCAAGGCTCACCACCGGTCTTGCTATAGTAAGAACAGTCGCTTATCCTGAACAGTCTTGTCTCCGATGAAACTAATGACGCAATGACTAGGGCGCTGCTGCTCTGGCTGTTGCTGGTGGACTTAAGTACATGCAGAGCAACAAGATAGAGAAAGAAGAGGCAACTCGAGGCCGTAGCAGACGCCGGTACTCTGGTAGTGATTCTTCACGCTCGAGAACCCATTCTCGAAAACGTAGCAAGTCCAGCATGGCTAAGGCCGCGGCCGCGACTGGGTAAGTGTTACTGATGCTGAACCCGTGACTTGTGTGACACGACGTCAATATAATGACTATACTCAACATGGAGCCTGGTTTCTCCTTGAGAATGACATGCTGACTGTGCTTTACTAGTGCCGTTGCTGGGCTCGTTCAGCACTACCGCAGCAAATCAAGAGGACGTTCGAAGTCTCGAAGCAAGTCAAGGATTCGCACTGGTAAGCCCTAGAACTACTGGGAGCTGAGGCTTCATAGCCAATAAATGATGCTTACTCGTAACCACAGGAGCTGAGATTGCAGCGGCTTCGCTCACGGGAGCAGCAGCAAGCAAGCTTTGGGAGCGTCATAAAGATAAGAAAGCGCGCTCGCGTGACAGAGAGGTCGACGATGAGTACTATTCCGATAGAGATCGTCGATACAGCCCGTCACGCAGCCGCAGCCGCAGCAGGTCGAGGGCTCGAAGCCACAGCAGACGAGACGGCGCTAATCCAGAATTAGGCCTCGTTCAGTACGGCGGAGGTCCATTGTCGCCGACGGCAAGTGAAGAGCGCCGCCATCGCCGCCGCCATCGACACCGGTCGCCTTCGGTAGAGGTAGTGGAGGAGAAAGAGGTAACGCAGAAGAGGAGTAAAAGTCGTCTGCGAGAGGCGGCTGCCGGTGTGCTAGGCGCCGGTGCTGCTGCTATTGGAATCAAGAAGTACAATGATGCGAAGAAGGAACGTTCAAAGTCCAGGGAACGGTCTAGAGAGCGCTCTCCTGATGAGACGGAGGAGGAGGCACTAAGAAAAGAGGACCGACGACGGGCTAGACGATCTCGCGAGCGTGACCGAAGGCGTACGAGTTTGATCCTACATTTCTCCGACGTTGGCTGACATTTGTACTAGGCTATGAAGAGGAGGCAGCAGCTGGCGGATACTACTCTGACGAGTATGACCCCGAAGCTCCCCCATCTCCGCTGACAGCATCTGGAGGCGCATACTATCCACCTCAGACTTATGGACCCCCACCGCCTCCAGCAGGTCCAGCCGGCTTTACTCAACAATCTAATCAGTCCACCATGAATCTCAACGCGTATCCACCTCACAACTACAATCCGCAAGATTACGCCGCCGGCTACCCTCCACCCCCACCCGGTCCTCCCCCAGCTGCAGGCCACCGCACTCCCTACCAGCCGACAAGCCCAGAGAATGTGAGTCGTCAAGCCAACCCCGGTGAAAATGATGTCTATCCCGGTCTTAATGATCCTGAACCCGGGGGCGCTGATGCACAAGGTGCGGCTCCCGAGTCTTATGTATCCGTACTCTCTACTTCTGATGTAAAAGTCGTCGTCCCTTCCAATCTTTGCTGACATGTGTCTACTTCTAGATGGTGTGAGACGTCGGCGACGACGCCGTCCTGGCCCAGTCACTGTGCCCCGGCGGGCATCCTCTGATAGTCCTGGAGTCACTTCGCCGCCAACAACCTCGAAATCCGTGTCTTTCATTCCCCTATCTCCACAGTCTAGCTTCACATTAAAGAAACATCACGAAGCCCAAGAAGAAAAAGAACGGTCTGAGCCCGAGACCGGGCAAGATGACGACCTCACAGCCCCACGACGCCCTGCCATCCGAAGATATCGATCGGATTCAGACCCATCATCAGACCGCTCATTAATTCAGCGTCGTCGCGGACCAAGAAGCGATGAACCTCTCTTTGACGAAGATATCGAGGAATTACCGGAGCGTTTTGACGCTTCCGGCCAACCCATAAATCCCCATGATAGACGGCGCTGGGCATCGAGACAAGGCGACTTCGAGTACCGCCCACGGAAGCGAAATGGCACTCATGTTCAAGGCTCCTGGGGTGTGGCCGGCACAGACCCTGAAATGATTAGTAAGTTGGCGCAAGGTGTCGGGAGCTTGTTGGAAGGTCGGAAGGGCTGGATGGGCGTGCTTCGTGGTATTCTTTCAAACGATCTTGAATCTGATAGAGGCGGCGGCGGCGGTAGCAGCAGCATGTATGCAATCGACGATGGGAGAGATGCAAAAGATGATGATGAAGCACGCCGGAAACATAGACGTCGTCGGAGGCGGGAATCGGATTGAGCTGGTGTCGAGTTATTTTTGTTCTTATCAATTGGGTACATACGGCAAGCGACATATGCTGTTGATGAGTACCATGTTGTTTCTCTTTATAGGGTCGGAACGATAACGACTTACGAATACGACTTTCCTTGGCAGAGTTTTTGTTAAAGCGAATTACGACTTGAGTACACGCGAGTGGAAGGAAGTTTTGCTCTGTGTTCTAGGAGGGAACCGGTATATTAAGTGACGTCAATATAGGTATTTACGATTGATGAACTAGATTGATGAATGAGCATTAAGAATTTCCGCGCCATGAGAAGTGGCCAACTCGTATATGCTTCACCCCTTATTGCTTGCTTTTATACGCTATATCGCAAGTATGTGGTTCATTGTTAACAGACTTAATGAGTTGCTGTTAAAACACAATCCTGTATTAGGCATGTAGGTATCATCTATGCTCATTTATAGTTCATCATGTTGTTCACTCCCCGCTGGTATCGGCGTCTCAGGCCTCCCACTATCCTTATGCAAATCCACGCCGATCTTACCCCTCCACTTCTGCCAAAGCGCCCAAAACTCCTTCTCCATGCCACTCTCAATCTGGTCTGGTAGCACAACGATGTATTCAATAAAGAGCCGCCCAAACTGGGTCTCGTGGTAAACCGAGTCACCGTCCTCGTGCCACACGGGCATCCCTTCCCCTTCAATGGTGTCGACCTGCCCCGGCTGCACCACCTCGCCCCTTTTCCGCCCCAGCCGCACAATATGCCCGTCCAGATGTGTCAAGTTGCGCGTCCAGTCGCCCATCCACGCCTCCCGGAGCGAGAGCACCTCCCGCCAGAACAGATCGTCGCCCCTACGGCGGAAGAAGACCCCGTCGACGTGTTCCGGGTTGTCCTGCTCGATATCGGGCTCCTTCTCCACCAGCGTTACAATCAGATCACCGGCGATATAGTCCGGACTAGCGTCGGCTTCATTCTCGTAGACAATCTTGGAGTCGCGCGCCGCCCCCCGGTCGATGTGGAGCGGTACTGTTATCGTTTGCCGCACGACGCGGTTGCCGCCACACACGGGACACTTGTGCTTGATGGTCTTGCCTCGGCCGCCGCACTGGTCGCACTGCGTCTGGACTTGCTGGAACATGCCCGGCGCAAGCTGGTGCTTGATAATACGCACGCCGTGACCGCCGCAGTGGTGACACGTATCGACGACACCGTCGCTTGACCCGGTCCCTGCACATTCCTCGCAAATTTGCTGTTTTTCCCATTGGAACTCCGTGTCCCGCCCGTTGTAGAAGTCGCGCAGGGAAATGGCTACTTTGATTTCGATGTTGTGCCCGCGCGGCTGGCCTCGTTGATAGTGACCGCCGCCGCCGAAGAAGCGACTGAACAGGTCGAAGGGGTCGTGGTGGTGTCCTCCTTGTTGACCGCGCTGCTTTAGGCCTTCGTGGCCATATTTGTCGTAGATTTGCCGCGATTCTGGGTCGATGAGGGCTTCGTAGGCTTCGGAGACTTCGACGAACTTATCTTTGGCGGTGTCGTCATTGCTAGCGTTTGAATTAGAAATGACTGGCGCCTGTAGGTGTAATTCCGGGGACAAGGTGCAGCTTACGGGTTCTTGTCGGGGTGGTATTTCTTGCTGAGCTGGCGGTAGGCCGACTTGATCTGTTTGTCGCTCGCCTGCTTGTTCAACCCGAGGATCTGGGTCAACAATGTTAGGACCGAATTCTTCTACCACGTTCGAGTCGCTTGCCTTACTTTATAGTAGTCCTCAACACATAATGCGAGCTGCACAAATGCCAACAGGAACAGCAAAGCTGCCCCGTGGAATAACATCTTGAAAATGGTTGAAGGTGCAGCAGCCACGAGGCTTCCAACCTCAGCGAAAGAAAAGAGTGTACCGGAATTGCAAGTGTATTACACAAAAAGTACTAATGAGTGACTTGAATGGCAATTCCAGCGAACAACTCTCCTATGGCGACAGGAAGACAGGAGCTACCATGGAAAACAAAAAAATGGTGCCAAAGTGGTTTTGTTCACATTCACTGCGGTGCCATGGACCCTGGAAAATACCAGCGTGTCAATGTTCAAGTTCATGTGGCGCTGGCCACATGAAGTGCCATAGAAATCTGGCGATAAGATAAGCAACCATTTGGGAAAATATCCAATAATGTGATTGGCTGGGTGAGCTCTGTCCTTGCTACGCCGACAAGAGAACAATAACGAGAGTATAGACTTTGCAAGTACTTTATATGGTCAATGGGTTGAACTCAAGTAGGGGGCTAGTGGCGTTCTATGAGATCTCTACTGAGTTTGGAGACAATACTCCAGAGCCAAAGTACAGTTGTGGGTAACACAGCCAAGATCTGCAGGCGTCATATATATAGCGTTACAGGCTTTCCTACTTCACATTCAAGTATTAGATCTGGTTTGCAATACCCGTCGGAAGTCTAGTAAACACTCTCCCTTTTCTGTTTCTCGTAAAGTCGTTGAGACTAACCAATAAGACCTCTTAGGCGGGTTCCGGACCTCTGTACGGCTGTACCGCCGCATCGACAACTGCAGGTCAGGCAGAGTTGCCCTGCCAAAAGGTTCGGAAATAACTTTCTTCGGCTGTACTTGAAAGTGCGAAGATTATGCTGCTGATTTATTTTCATGATTCAACCTGTAGACTGGAGCAGCAGTTATATGCTGGTAGAATAACGACGGTCGTCCAGTGGAATAGCGAAGGTTTACCCCAGATTATAGTGTCGCGTCACAGCATTGGAGGTACACAGGGCCGGCCCACTTCTTGCTGCCTGTCAACTTGACATCGGCATCTGCTCGCCAAAAGTCCTGAACCACAACACAACAACCACAGACAGCCACAATGAGCAAACGATACGCATTTATCCCTATGGACGACGACGGTGCCGAGATAGGGCCACAAAAAGTCGAAAAGAAGAAAAGCAAGCATCGCAATCGAGACCATGGCAACGACCGCGAACGAGATCGGGGAAAGCGCTCCAAACCCACACGAGAGAGTCGCAGTCGCAGCCGCTCTCCAAGAAGAGAGCCACGACATAGCAAGACAATCCCAGTCAGGCGCCGTCGGAGAAGCGACGACTTTGGCGACAGGTGGGGTGACGAAGAGCCACCTTCGGAGGGCGCGGCTGACGAGGAACCCGAATTTCAGGAATCAGCATCGAAACGAGTGAAGCTGAGCCATGACGACGCCGAGAATATCGAGGACGGTGATATTTCCGACTCTACCCGTGACAAGCGCGAGGCTGAAGCCTTTGCCAAGCGGCTGAAAGCACGAGACGACGAGAGATCGAAGAAGACCGATGCGAAGTCTTCGGGCAATACCGAGCGGCGCCGTGAAGAGGACCCTGCGGCCTTATCAGGCCTCCGCGAGAAGTCCCGTCAGGAATACCTCAAGAAGCGAGAAACGGAAAAGCTCGTCTTGTTGCGCCAGCAGGTTGCTGAGGAGTCTCGCGAACTGCAGACCAACCCAAGGCTGTCCAAGAAGGAGAAGGCCGAATTTGCCAAGAACCGAGAGATCCTCCAGCTGGCCGAGGAAAGGCTGCGCATCGACGACCACCGAGATGGATACTACATGCCCGAGGATTACATCACAGAGAAGGGCAAGATCGACAAGAAGAAAAAGGAGGATGCTCTGTACAAACGATACGTCGAAAAGGACGAGTACGGCCGGGAGAAATTCGTCACGGAACACGAAGAATGGGAGCGTGAACAGGCGCAGAAGGCCAAATCCCAAATTAACAGAGCCGAACGTGAGTATGAAGGCGACTATGCCCTGGTCGTGGACGAGGAGCAGTACATCAACTGGACCCTGGATTCGACGATGCCGGGCGAGGACAGGCAGCTGACCGCGGAGCAACGGTTCCTGGAAGCCCAGATCGATGCAGCCGAGAAGAAGGCTCTTTCGATACAAGAAGTTCGAAAGAGCTTGCCAGTATACACCTATCGAGACGAGTTCATGGCAGCCATCGAGGAATACCAAATTCTTGTCGTCGTAGGTGAGACTGGTAGTGGTAAAACGACTCAACTGCCACAGTTCATGCATGAAGCCGGCTATACCAAAGATGGCCGGAAAGTTGGCTGTACGCAGCCTCGCCGGGTCGCTGCCATGAGTGTTGCTGCTCGCGTTGCTGAGGAAATGGGAGTCAAAGTCGGTAACGAGGTCGGTTACTCGATCCGTTTTGAGGACAATACTAGCGACAAGACCATTTTAAAGTACATGACGGACGGTATGTTGCTCCGAGAGTTCATGACCGATCCCGAGTTAGATGGCTACTCTGCCCTGATGATCGACGAGGCCCACGAGCGTACTGTTCACACAGACATCCTCTTGGCTTTGATCAAGGACTTGTCGCGAGCCCGGCCAGATTTGAAAATCCTCATTTCCTCGGCCACTATGAACGCTGAAAAGTTCGCCAAGTATTTTGACGATGCTCCGGTCTTCAACATCCCCGGCCGCAAGTATAAGGTCGACATCTACTACACCCCGGCCCCTGAGGCGAATTATCTGGCCGCTGCCATCACTACCATTTTCCAGATTCACACCACTCAGGGCAAGGGCGATATCCTCGTGTTCCTAACTGGACAAGACGAGATCGAGGCCGCAGAACTGGAAATCACCGAGACTGCTCGGAAGCTCGGCAGCCGGGTAAAGGAGCTTATGGTTTGCCCCATCTATGCGAATCTGCCATCCGATCTGCAATCCAAAATCTTCGAACCAACTCCGGCGGGGGCTCGAAAAGTCGTCCTGGCCACAAACATCGCTGAGACAAGTTTGACCATCGACGGCATTGTTTACGTTATCGACCCCGGCTATGTGAAGGAGAACGTCTTCAACCCAACCACTGGCATGTCGAATCTTGTCGTTGTGCCTTGCTCCCGAGCGTCCGCGAACCAGCGGAGTGGACGAGCTGGTCGTGTCGGGCCAGGAAAGTGCTTCCGACTCTATACCAGGTACGCTTACATGAACGAAATGGACGAGTCGACGACCCCTGAGATCCAGCGCACCAATCTCAACAGTATTGTGCTGTTGCTGAAATCCCTCGGTATCAACCAGTTGCTCGACTTCGAGTTCATGGATCCGCCGCCCACGGACTCACTGATCGGTGCCCTGAACCAGCTATTCGCTCTCCAAGCTCTGAATCACAAGGGCGAACTGACGAAAGTAGGCAGGCAGATGGCGGAATTCCCTACTGAGCCCATGCTTGCCAAGGCTGTGCTTGCCGCAGACAAGTTTGGTTGCGTGGACGAGGTGCTGTCCATCGTCTCGATGCTGGGCGAGGCTTCCGCGCTCTTCTTCCGGCCAAAGGACAAGAAGATCCATGCAGACAGCGCCCGAAATCGATTCACGATCAAGGAAGGTGGTGACCACCTGTCGCTCCTGAACATCTGGAACCAATGGGTCGATAGCGACTTCTCGCCTGTCTGGGCACGAGAGAACTTCCTACAACAAAGGTCCCTTACGCGAGCCCGAGATGTTCGAGACCAATTGGCTAAGCTGTGTGAACGTGTGGAGGTTGCTCCTTCCACTTGCGGAGCTACCAACATCGACCTGATCAAGAAGGCGCTAACGGCTGGGTTCTTCCCCAACGCGGCGCGTCTGCAGAGGAGCGGCGACTCGTACCGTACGGTCAAAAACAATACTACGGTGTACATCCATCCTAGCTCCGTCCTTATGGGGTCCGACCCGCCGGATAAGATGGTTGTTTACTTTGAACTGGTACAAACTACGAAGGAATACATGCGGTCGGTCTTTCCGATTAAGCCCCAGTGGTTGAACGAGGTCGCGCCTCACTTCCATAAAAAGAAGGACATTGAAGAGGAGCGGAAGATGCCGAAGCAACAGCGGTAGGTGCGCCCCCGTATGATAGAGGGGAAGGAACAATCGATAGGGATAGAAAGGTGGTCGCGATCGGTGCGTAGGAGCACGCAGTTGGTAAATTTTTCTGCTACATGATCATAACGGAATAAACAGTTCAATCCATTGTCTTGAGTATATTCCATGGTACGAGCAAGTGATGCCACCAGAACAGTCAGTACAGATCACTGCATTCCACGGGATAGACAAAGTCTCCTGGAGTTGGTAACATGGCTTGCTGCATTCCAAAGAATAAATAGTGCAATACCACTAGAACAGTCAGGTGAATCCACTGTATTCCACGGGATGAACAGAGCAATGTCACTGGAGTAGTTCAGCGCACTATATTCCACAGGTAATACCACTGGGATAGTTAGGTGAGCCCATTGCATTCCGCAGATAGACAAGCTTAGCCCACTATATTCCACGGGATAAGCGCAGTAATGCCATCATGATAGCTAAGTCAGGCCACTGGTCCTCCACCCATATTGCCGCCGAGGATGTTGCCTTGCCCTTTCACAACCCTTTCTCCTCACAATCCGAGATAGCCCGCCATTTCTCGTCTCATCGACGCATATACCCGTATCTGGACGTGGGAATTAAGCTATCTGATCAACGTCGAATCGGCGAGTGTTATTTGTGTGACTATTGACAAGCTGAGAAACCAAGTGATTTCGGATGGCCGACGATGGATACATGGGGTCATGGCTCAGAATCTTTCTTGCAGCATTGAACAGTATTTTGGCGAATCGCTTTTCATTTGGGTCTTCAAAGTGGCATTGAGGAAGACCATGTCCATTATTCGATTACCATTTCTTGTCTTTTCTGCGCTCGATCCGTTGTATCATGGCGAGTGTGTGGATCATCGAACAGCTCCGTAACATCCACAAGTTGGGACAGCCGGGACCACCTAGTTGGGTCCAGAACTTCACCCCTTTATAAGTATCATTCAGCGTTGGCACGACCTATGAGAGCTATTCATCGCCCCTCATGATTGGCCGAGTAGTGCCACCCCTGGAGGCCTGAAAACTCGACCGCGTATAATAGGTATATCTTCGGCTAGTTTCATATACGTAACTGCTGCGTAGTACTTCAGCAAACATGACTTTAGCTATCAGAGGGAAAGGTTAGTTACAGATGCCGGTGATTTCTGAGTATCTCTACCAGCACAAGTACATCATTAGACGTATGGTGAACGAGAAACAATAGAAACTTATGGTCACAAACAGCTGAAGGAGGCATTTTTGTCTAGAGGTTGTGTCAAAATCAATCAGCTTTCATTATGGTATCAGTAGTCTCTTCTCTCATGAGTCTCTATCTTTTCATTACGTACAGACATTGCATGATGCAAATCACCCTTCACTTGTTTGTGACTAGCCAAATTCTAACCATGGATGCAATATCCGGAGCAATTCAGATGGCCATTCAGTGTCCGCTCAAAACCTCAAGATAACCGGGGTGAGGGTGTAGTTGTGGCAGGCGGCCAAAGGTTGTAGGGGCAAAGCTGTCGTTCAAGTTCTGGCACTTGGGTTGAAGCCCGCCTGCGCTCTGCTCGACTTGATTACACGCTGGACCTTTTTCTCCGTATTGTCCCAATCATCGGGTACCAGGCGAATAAGGTCGATATCATATTTGGCGGCGATGTATTGAAGAGCCTCGTAGCTCTTCTTGTCGTAGATGAAAGTGATACTGACACCTACACGGCCAAATCGACCAGTGCGGCCAATGCGGTGGAGGTAAGTCTCCGGATCCGCCTCGCGCTCGCCGGGTCCCTTCATGGGGACGTCGTAGTTGATGACCATGGAAACACTTGAGACGTCGATTCCACGAGCGAGAACGTTGGTAGTGATGAGCACCTTCGATCGTCCTTGACGGAACTCATCCAACAGTGCGTCTCTGCTCGAACCCTCGAAAGCACCGTGGAGTGCAGTGACCTTGTGACCATCGGCTTCCATGCGCTTTTGAATCTCACTTGCACTCTCGCGTGTCTGTGAAAATCGTCAGCTGATGCTCTCGTAGTAACTCTTATGAGCTATATTTACCTTGACGAAGATGATTGACGATCCAATGTTCATCAGACCGTAAAGACTGCATAGGATCGAGTACTTCTCCACCTCACTAGGGCAATCCATGAACATCTGGGAGATGCCGCGTACGGTAAGCTCCTGGACCTTCAGCTTGATTTGATTTGCCTGCGGAGCAAAATTGGTCGCGTATCTCAGTACGACGTCGGGAAAGGTAGCAGAGAAGAGGAGAATCTGTATAGTCGGCGGGAGCATGTTCTTGACTCGGGCGCACTGTTCACCCAAGCCCTGTAGGTCCAGCATGTTGTCGGCTTCGTCAATAACGAGCACCTTCAGTTGGGACACATCAAATTGCCGTCTTCTAATCAAGTCCATGACGGTTCCAGGGGTGCCGGTGACAACACTGGCTTTTACGCGGGAGTCTCTGGCGATGTTGCCGGGAATGGCGGCTTCGACAACCAGATTCCCGCAGAACTGACCAATAGTCTGAACGACACCTTGAATCTGGCGAGCCAATTCTCGGCTGGGGGCTAGGACAAGGGCCTGTGGCTGCTCGGGTTTAGTGAAGTCTATTCTCGATAGGATCGTCGTGACGAAAGCAGCGGTCTTGCCAGTTCCAGACTGGGATTGCGCAATCATGTTCATGGGCGGGTCAGCCAACATGAGAGGTAGGGCCTTCTCTTGGACCTTGGAGGGCTTCTGGAAGCTCATAGCCATCAAGCCGTTAAGCACTTCGTTGGGCCTGTGAAGTTTTTTTTATCAGCCATCCATTCACTTGAAACAGGGATAGGAAGCGAGAGGCGTACAGTCCAAGTTCCTGGAAAGTGTGTGCAGAGCCCAAGGGGTTTTGCTGATCGCGCTGGATCTCGTTCAGCGATACCTCGACATCGTAGTTGACATCTTGGAGACCCGAGCCGCCTAAAATCTGACCAGCTCCATCCGTTTGCGCATCTTCAACGGTGCCAGTAGTCTCTTGAGCAGGAGCCGTCTCTGCCTCTGCCCCCTCGGGCTTTGTGATTCGGCTCGCGAGATCGGCCATGGCGGATATCGACGTGAACGATAGGTGGGATTGAAGGACTTGAGCCGAGTGGAGTGGGAGATGAAACACGATTCTACGAGAGAAGAGTTTCGAGTAGAGAGTGACACGTTAGAAAAGAATACTGGCGGCGCAAGAGAAGGAAGGGAGCTTGTCGGCGGAGGTATCGAGATCTGAGGTAGATGCGCGATAGACACCCGGAGGCTTGAAACAACCAGGTGTAAATAAATTGCTTGAGGCCACCAACTTAATCAGGTTTCCGGCTACGCATGAAAGTATAGAAAACTTACCAGACCACCCGTGCCTTAGTGATGCTTTGTTGCTGGGCAATCAATCTAATCCAGCAATGCCAGATGATGGAGCTTGGAGTCTGAAATTACCAAGGTCAAATTTTGGCGGGGTTCTTCCAAGGTGGGGTGACAGCCGTGCAGCCTTGTTGCCTTGAACTTGAAGGTAGGGATTGAGCATGAAGAGGGTCTCCGCTCGAGCTGCGCAATGCAGCTGACAGCCGGTGTCACTCTGCCAGCCCCGCGATTGTCATCTGCAAGTACTCCTCAGTTACTCAGCGCCTTCTAATGGCAAGTCAAATCTACAGTACGGTACTTCTTATAGTTAAACTTGTTTGATGGCGGCTTCAACCTCATCAGCCAAAAAGCCAGGCAGACCTCAATCAAGGTTATGGGTACCCTAGATCCGACACACGAAATTTGAGTTCTTCATATTCTAAAATCATCTGTAGTTTAGGCAGAGAAGTTGCATCTACCTTTGCAAGTCCATACATACTAAATATGTTATTCCAAGGCTGGGTAAAAAAACCAACGGCAAATTTCGAAGTCTAGGATTCGTCTGGACAATGCACGCATCTAGTAGCTAGAGTAACAAACCGTCCAAGTTCTTCTGCTCCAACCATAAGAAATTGCCTCAGTAGAATTGTCCTGAAGTTCCCTCAATGTCGTTCTGATGCTTGTCATCCAACAGCAGGTGAATCTGCACTGCCAATTGTGGGCAACGCGTGGTTGTAAGTGGTGCGGGGCAATCGCGAGTCGGCCCACGGTGCCGAGTTGCTGTGCCCAGCGTTACCGCGGAAACTTCGAATCATGAGGATCGCTTGGTCGTAAAGTTTTCCATTTTGTAGCATTGTTCGAAGTGGATTTATTCCATTTGTCTGACATCGGATCATCCGCTTATGGTATTGGGTATCCGACAAGTCCAACGAAAAAAAGGGGCCGTAGCTACCCAACTCGTTCATCTTCCCAGACCAAGTTCCAGCCTGGAGTGAATTGAAGTGGGCTGTGCCTTGTCGCTTTCTCAGCCTATTTGCTTTTGGGAAAAGCGACGGCCAACCATCGCAACCCCATCCTTCTGTTCATTACCTGACACTTTTGTATTGCCCCCATCGCACCTTAGATGGCTTTCCTGTGCGAAATACAACTAGAATCCGCCTTCTTTACGGAGCTTCGAATTATAACCTCTGCTGTATGCCTGTACCCATCGTCTTTCAAGAGTAGACTAAGCGATGGCTGAGGTGGAAGCTACGCCAACATTTGGCGCGGAACTGAAGGTATGTCTCTGTGGACCAGTTATCTATCACAGAACCGTGTCGCTGAGACGAAAATTACTGGATGTAGGATGGCTTCAGACCAGCCAGCGCATGGGTTGCCAACGGGATCGCCTGGCTCGACGACATTCAGCAATTCTACCGCGAACGAAGCGCCATCGAGAAGGAGCACAGCGCCAAGTTGAACGCCCTTGCCAAGAAATACTTTGAGAAAAAGATCAAGAAGTCAGCTAGCTTGAGCGTCGGCGACACGCCTACTATGACACCGGGATCCCTTGAGAGCGCCTCCCTCACGACGTGGACAACACAGCTGACGACCCTCGAGTCCCGAGCTGACGAGCACGAGCGATATGCTAACGAGCTGATCTCCAAAGTCGCAGACCCCCTCAAGTTCTTTGGCAGCAAATTCGAAGAGCTGCGAAAGCGCCATGTCGAATATGCGGATACTCTGGAGAACGAAAGGGATTCATCGTATGCGGCTTTGCGCAAGACCAAGGCAAAGTACGACACCGTATGCCAAGAGGTCGAGAGCAAGCGCAAGAAGTCCGAAACGTCTTTCGACAAAGCCAAGGCGAAAAGCACATACCAGCTACAAATACACGACATGAATAACGTCAAGAACACATACCTGATAGCCATCAATGTCACCAACAAGCAAAAGGAGAAATATTACCACGAGTACGTCCCCGAGCTACTAGACAGTCTCCAGGATCTCTCGGAATTCCGGACCCTCAAACTGAATGGACTATGGAATATGGCAGCTCAATTGGAGTCCAAGATGCTGCAGCAGAGCAATGGTCTCGTAGAACGGCTTTCCACCGAGATCCAACGAAACGAGCCCCATCTTGACTCCATGATGTACATAAGACACAATCTGGGCTCATGGACGGAGCCGTCTGACAAGATCTTCGAGCCAAGCCCAGTCTGGCACGATGACGACTCCATGGTCACGGACGAGCAGGCAAAGATTTTCTTGCGCAATGTCTTGAACAAATCCAAGGGTCAGCTTGGTGACTTACGTCGGGAGGTTGACAAGAAGAGAAGGGAAGTAGAGAGTATCAAGAGGATAAAGCAAGGCGTCCGAGAAGGGACGGAGAAGAAAGATGAGGTGCAGATAGTGACGCAACTCTTCGCCATGCAGGAAGACCTACACCAGGTGGATCGGAAGCGTTTAACAGCCGAGGTCGAGACGTCCACCATTACGGCGGCGGTGGGAGACGTGACGCTGGGTGCTAAGAACCACAATTTCAAGTCACAAACGTTCAAGATTCCGACAAATTGCGATCTATGTGGGGAGAGGATATGGGGCCTGTCAGCGAAGGGCTTCGATTGCCGGGACTGCGGGTATACGTGTCATAGCAAGTGCGAAATGAAGGTGCCAGCCGAATGCCCTGGTGAATTATCAAAGGAGGAGCGCAAAAAGTATAAGGCAGAACGACAGACTGCCGCAGGCTCACTGCTCATGCCGGTCTCTGGCGTACCTGATCACATTGCCGAACTGCCTGATCTCAGTCGGTCCAACACCATGAACTCACTTAGTTCAGGGTACGCCGCCAGCGCACATCGATCAATTGGTGGCCCGGTGGGTAGTCCCAAATCTCCAGCCGAGGACACGCCGCCAGAACCCTCAGGACCGCGGCCATCAATAGGTTCAACTAAGAAGACCCGATTGGTTGCCCCGCCACCTGCCGCCTACATCAGTGAACTGCCTGGTATTTCGGTGAATGGATCTGCAACAAGCAAAACGGAGCAGAAGGGCAAGATGCTGTATGGGTTTGACGCGAACGGAGATGGGGAGTTGACGGTTCCAGAAGGCCGAGAAGTCACGATATTGGAGCCTGATGGTAAGTTGCAATTTTTTGGTCAGTCCAAGGGTTTGCATGTACTAACTGGTCAAATAGATGGAACAGGGTGGGTAAAAGTACGCGCGGGGTATAAGGAAGGTCTCGTGCCTGCGTCCTATCTTGAGGTCATCCCACCTGCTCCTTCGCCTATGGCCCCTCAGGATACTGGTTCCTCGATCAATACCAGACCCGCCTCGGTCTACTCCAATTCTGGATCGTCTGTGGGGACAGGCGGCCCTCCCACAAAGAAGAAGGGGCCAGCAGTCGCTCCTCGAAGAGGTGCCAAGAAGCTCAAGTATGTGGTCGCGATCTATGATTACACAGCGCAAAGCGACGCCGAGCACAACATGCATGAGGGTGAACGGTTCGTTCTGGTCAAGGAGGACCCCGGCGATGGGTGGGCAGAAGTCGAGAAAGGGGGCGCCACAAAGAGCGTGCCGGCAAGTTATGTACAGGTGGATCCGGCGTAGGACGTTGTTAAGCCAAAATATTTGCCTCGAGGACTTAGGGTGGCTTTTGGGTGTTTCAACGGACCGAGGTAAAAGATAGATACTTGTTGAAGCGTTACCAGGTAGCATTGGAGGGTAGGAGCGGGATGCATTGGGTAGTGTGAGGGGAACAAATGCGGAATTGCACTAGTATCGCATAGGTTGATAACCGCGCCAAGAGGTATGGGGCCTCTGAGACCAGAGATTGAACCCAGTGTTGGGACACTGGGTTCACATTCTGGGCAGGATCCAGTACCGTGTATATATATACTACTTTTGATGTGAACTGGCTACATGTCTATTATCGGCTGTTCCTTCTGTGGTTTTGGGCTATCATGGCCAGAGAAGATTTGACCATGGCCAAATCAACCTCGACATCAACTCGCCAGTTCGCAACCGCAAGACGAACTGCCGTCTGGCCCCTCCATTTCGTCCCACCAACATACCACTTGCAGCTTGTATTGATGGTGTCTACCAGTACCTTATTCAGCTCATCATCCTTGGCACGGAACAGCACGATGATATGCGTATCTTCTAGGCTGGCCTCATCCGGCAGCAAGATATAATCCTCCGACTCCTTCACAACCGCCGCTATCCTGCGTGCCAAACACACCATGCGTGTCAACATCTCTGTGATCCCGTCCCGCCCTTCACTCATCAGCACAGTATAGACGGGTAGGGCCCTAAACCGCCGCGAGTTCTCAATCCCGACGTCAAGGGGGGATTGGATATCCGATGTCCCACCACCAGAGGGCAAGTACGCCGCGTTGGGGTTCTTGCAAACATTTGTCAGGGTCGATGCTTTGCGGGTGAAGAATATCCCCAGGTCATACGGCACATTGAGTAACTTGTGTCCGTCGACCGTAATGCTATCCGCGAGCTCGAGCCCGGCGGCATACTGGTGGAGTTGTGCGAACTCTTCAGTCTGCGGTAGAAGGCGCGCAAAGATGCCGAACGCGCCGTCGACGTGGATCCAAGCCCCGTGGCGATCGGCTATGGACCGCAGCCTCTGCATGTCCTCGAGTCCGGTCGTGGCGAAACGGCCGGTGTTGACTTCGCCGGCGCTGACGGCGATGATACTCGCGACACCTTCGCGCTGGAGCTCTTTTTCAACGGCGTCTAGGTCGAGTCTCCAGGGCTGGTCGGCGCTGTGGGGGAGTTCTTTGACGGAAGCTCGACCTAAACCGACGATGGAGGCCGCTTTGGAGAGGGAGCTGTGGCCCATGCTGGTCAAGACTTGGATATCCATGATTCTGGCTTTGAGACAGGCGTTCAGGAGGCCGAGCTCGCCTACACCTTCATGTTCGGGTGATGCCGAAGACGAAGAAGACAACCTTGCTAACTTCGCACCCACAACCCCCTCCCTCCCACACCCCAGCCCAAGCACATTACTCGCCGTCGCCCCCGTAGTCAACGTCCTCCCCTCCCAATCCTCTGCATTTCCCAACCCCAACAGCTCGACCAGCATCTTCAACGCCGCATCCTCGACCTCGGTCACGATGGTTTGCCCGGGGAGGTGCACGCTCACGTTCTGGTCGTAAGCGCTGACGAGGTTATCCGCCACCTCGGCGATGGGCAGTGTCCCGCCCGTCACGAAGCCCCAGTACCTGCTGGACCGGTTCTGGCCATTGAGGCCGGGGGCAATATCGGTTAGAAGGTGGTTTAGGGTTGCTTGGGGGCCGTGGGAGGTTAGGTAGGTGATGGCAGTGCTGCTGGGGAGGGAGGACCGGGCCGTAGAGAGTTGGGCTGGTGTGGGGAGGGTTGGTGCGGTTTGAAATGTGGTGGTTACTGATGAGCGAATGCGACCGTACGCTTCTTGCATGAAGTCGTCTCTCAAGGCCATATCGTTGGAACCCATGTTTGGGGGCTGCATGGTGTTGATGTGCGTTGCATGCAGTGTGTCTGCGGGTTCGCTGCGGGTTCACTGCGTGTCCTGGCTTGCGTGACAGGTCTGCAAACCAACAGGGGTATTTCTCACTTGGATGCTCCAATGGGAGGGTTTACCGAATTTCCCAGTTGCAGATTGGCAGCTTTTGACTGGGTGGGATCCTCGGCCACGGTGGTTGATGGAATTACTGGTTCGGGCGACGACGTTGGATTGGGGTGGTTGATCGGGGAAAAAGCTGACGTAGTGATGTGGCACAGTTTTTGCAACTGCATGTCAGCAGCTTGATGCGCTGAAGGCTGGTTGAATCAACAAATAATCATTATTGCTGTCCGAGAAATATTGATGTCGACGAGGCCTGGAGGAATGGCTGGAGATCTCCAGAGTGAAGGAAGTTTTGGCTCAACCCAAACTGCAAATATACAAGTTTTTCTCATTTGTGGCAAACTCGCAGACAGACACCTTTATGAACTCAGGGCTTTGAATTGGGATGTGAGTAGGATTTAATGCGTCGTTTGCTTCTGTTTCACTGCATGCTATCACTAGTTACGATCGCATACTATTTCCATATTGTAAACGTACACTTGAATGGAGTCTCTATTCGTATGGGGAGCCCGTCTACTATAGCCTCAATCCTGAGGAGGCTAGTGTATTAGCTTTTAGCTTCAGTCCATGTCATTTGCATTACCAACCACTGTAGTGTGCCGAATTTGCTGCTCAAGTACGGACGTGTCCTACAGCTACTGGAATCGGCGAGTAAGTTCAGCAAAGTAGTTGACAGTCAAGCCCGTGTGTCGCCCGTGTGTTTGATGGTTAAAAGGCTGCGATATCGGAATTGGGACCAGAATCTACCAGTATGCCAGCCGTCTAACAATCAACGCTGTTATTTGAGTATGATAGGTACTTGGAATGATGACGTCCAGTTTGTAAGTAGCTTCCATTTTGACATTCACCGGAAGCAATCTATCAGAAAGGAAGATGACTCTTTGTCAACCTGTCGTCGTCGTACGCGACAACTCATACAAAATGGAGTCCTCTGAGTTTCATTCACAATGATTAGTCCGATTGACATTGGAATGTTCATTGCGGTCTTCTCACTCAACGCCCCACCCATTGTGCTGGGCCTGAAATTTTCAGGGTTGCTTCTACCCTCCCTTGTCATCCACATTCCTGGGTTCGCAGCCATTCTGCTGCGGGGTAGCGCGGCGACATCCATCCACGTTATACCTGGGTACTTGTCACAATTGATATTTAGGACACTGCGTAAAACTGTTTCGAGTGCTTGCGAGTACTCATGTTCACCTGATCTCTGTGGAGATAACGCGATTTGTTTCACTGGACACTCCGTGTCCTTGCGGCTGATGTAATTCGCAAGTCTGCCTACAAACGGCTAACCGACTGGGACATTCCCTGGCGCGGTACTCGATAGGCGCGTGTCACCGATCCATCGCTCCCTGAACGCTTCAGATGCAAAGGCCATGTGTCTGCAGCTCTTGTGTAGGGTTTTGCCTTTCGGCGGGATCCATGCCCGGTATCACAATCAACTGCTCAGCTTGGACTGAGACGGTGCCTGGAAAGATATGACGGGGTGGCTTTCTTCGGCGATCCGAATAGACGGTTCGACGTCTTGGGAGAGTTTCAAGATCCAATGTGCCAGATGTAGCTGCTACGTAACAGTATATTTTAAAAAGAACCTATATGCTAGATACCGCTGGCTGTCAAACCCCAAGTGCTTGGATTTGGAACTTGACGGATGCAGCTACCCCTCAAACGGAGGGTTTCGTGCTACCAAAAGAATTGGGTTGCATTAAACGAAGGTGGGCTGACTTCTATCTAGATGCTACCGCGGACACTTGTACTTCGAACGAGCTTCTTTCCAACCTGGAAGCCCTATACCCATGCGATGACAAGGTTAGCTCATCGGGGAAATAGCTCTAGCGCGAGCTTAGAACGCCCCCCTTCCCTGACTGCCTCTTGGACACCATTCGCCGGCGGCAGAGGCTTCACTATCAACCCTCGTGCATTACGCCCCGTCTTTTGAAGCATACAACCGAGGCTGTTACGAATCACAGTTTCCACGCATAAGTATTCCAATAGTCGCGATTCCACCTGATATCGCATAGACACTATGTGGCTGGGCATTCGTCATGCTCTCGTTGTTGGCGCACCGCAAGCGAGGGTCGCTGTCGCGGGGGTTTTCGACTTAAACCTTACCAAGCCTTTAGCACCCCTCTTACATGACGCGACCAGATCGCAGATATCCACCCTTGATGGATTGAAATATACAACGGTGCTGCAATGGACGTCCACCTCCCCATCGCATTGGACGAGCGAAAGCCCACCTGATTATCAGCTGCACTATGGGTCAGGATCAAGTATATGTCTTATCAATCGGGTTTCGAGGGTTTGATGCGACCAATCCTGCCCGTTGCAGAAACCAGGGCCATGACCCGTGTCGACTCTCACAGTTGCAGGAGGAATTTCTAGCCGCGCTTCCCGTTTGCGTGATACGCAACGGAAAAAAAGAAGTAGCATCCCTCAGATGGAAAGCGGTTCTCGGTGGGAAAGGCAATCGAGCTGCTGCACGCATATGTCTGCGGAGTTGTTGCCGGCTGGAATGTCTGACGGTCTGATGCATGGATGGTCGTCTAATGTCTCCTACCCTACCTACCGCACAAGAAAAAGGTTTCCCACCCCAGCTACAAGGGACGGTCACAGATTCGCAAATCCTCCCTCTCTCCACCCTCTACTAGTCTATGCGAGCCCGGTATCCTGTCTGGTGCCCGCAAAGCGACTGGTTTCACCTTACCGTGCGGCGTAGTCACCGTTACTCAAGAAATTCCCAATTCCCAATCAGGAGACATCGTAACAGGGGACGCGGCTTGACCGGGCTCTTGCATGCCTGCCGTACACCCAAACCGTTCCTTCGGGTCCTGTCGTTCCCGACAATCTGGATCGATTCTTTTCTTTTAGGAAACGCCAATAGAGGGAGCTTCGAATAACTCGAGAGCTGCTGTTGTCAATAAGGCGAAACGGCACTTCCGTCAGACTACCGACGCAATTAAGCTTCCACGCCACGCGTCTAATAGGGTTGTTTCTTGGGATAGTTCTTAGGTTGGGTCGCTAGCTTGAGGCACATATAACCCTAAGTTTATATGTGGTCCTGCGTTTTGCCGGCGAGCTTATCAAATCCGATCCATCTTCACGTCCACAATTCCTCATATTGCTGGGCGCAAGATTCTCGCCAGAATTATTATTGTCTTTTGCTAGTGTCTATTTTGTTAACCATGCCGCGCAACGGTGGATACGGAGGCGTCGGGACAGATAACGAACGGTATCAAGTCGGCCGCTCCGACGGCCTCGACACTTTCAGTCTGATGAACTACCAGTTCACGTTTGAACAACGTCTCGATGATGCGACAGCTGCCTCTTTCCAGATAGAAGCGGATGTATGTACCTAATCACACTCATCCTTCCCTCTATGTCATGTCAGATTTGCTCACCCCCAGGCAGCCTGATCCTAATAATAGCCCGTACGTTGATATGCCTGCTCCGGACGTCCCGCCACTAACTCTTGTGCCAGCGACTACCAGACGGTCACAAGTAGCATAACGAGGTATCGGTTAGAGAATGGACGAACCTACCACGCATACCAGGACGGCTGTAAGTACTCGTCTGATACCCTCAACCCCGCGGCTGACAATTTGCTCGCAGCATACATGTTCCCAAACGACCTCTATGAGTGTGATCGCCTCGACTGGCAGTATTATTGCATAAAACATCTGATGGGCGGCGAGCTACATTTCGCACCATTTTCACAAAACGATCCTCCGCGGAAGGTGCTTGATATAGGCACTGGCACGGGTATCTGGGCTGTTGACATGGGGGATGAGTATCCCACCGCTAGAATAATCGGCACCGATTTAACACCCATTCAACCTGACTACGTGCCCCCTAACGTTATTTTTGAGATCGACGACTGGTAAGAAACAGCCGATCTCTTTCCTAGCCCCTTGGCCGTATTTCAAGACAACTTTATACAGTGCCAATTTGTTCCTTCAGTCAACATGGTCACGCCAACCCAGCAACTTTCATTCATCTCTCTGCGGACCCTCGCCAGAGCCCAATGCATCCATATTATTTCAGACTGCTGATACTGTTCTAGCCTGCAAGAGTGGAGGTTCAGAGAGCTCTTCGACTTCGTCCACCTGCGCTGCATGCTGGGTAGCATACGAGACTTCAAGGATGACATCGCCGTGAAAGCATTCGATCACCTCGAGCCAGGTGGCTGGCTGGAGGCACAGGAGCTACACTGCTCAATCCAATGTGACGACAACACAATGCCACCGGATTTCCCACCCAAGGTCCACTTTGACGACCTCGAAGATGCTACTGCGTCGGAGCAGCGGCCTCTCCGCATCGCCCACACATACGCCCAAGGCATGCGAGACGCTGGTTTCGTAGACGTGGTAGAACGAACCTACAAGATCCCTATCAACAGTTGGCCGATAAATAGGAAGTACAAGGAGCTTGGGAAGATGTGGGAGGAGAATTTCGCCCAGGGCATCTCGGCTTTCTCTATGGCTCCCTTACATCGGATACGAGGGTTGAACAGGAAGCAAATCGAGGCGAGTCCCTATTAAGCCGTCAACAACAACGGAAAGCATAACTAACTTTCAGGCGTAGATCATGTTGATAGATGTGAGAAAGGGTCTCTCGGACCAAAGCGTGCATGCGTACCAGAAATTCTACGTTGTCTGGGGACGGAAGCCGTACCCGGGTGAGGTGCCGGAACCAAGGGGTGAAGCGGAGATGACGGATATTTAGCGACAGAAACGTCGGTCAGCATTGCCGGCGTTTGGGAAACTGGTGTTCGAAGGTGGAGCTATATTATCCCTGTTCAGTCCAAGAGGTCTCATTGACTGGAGTCTTGGGGATGTGATACACTTTTGATTTGCCCTCGGGACATTATGACTTCAAATGAAGTTCTGAATAAATGTTCTTCATTTTAAGCTGGAGGAGGAAGATGGGTCACATGGCGGCTCGCAATGGCGCCATAGACAAGGAAAAGGAGTAGCGGACTTCAATACGAATGTCCTAACTTCAAAAAACTGCCCGTATATAGGAGACGTGACATACTGGGGTGGATGGACATATATTGAACCCATTTTCAGCGGCTCGCTGTTGATGTTAAGTTGCTGACCGAGGGACTGCAGAGAAGTTCGGTGTGTGTCACTCGAGCAATGTAACGCAACGAATCGTAGGTCGTTTATATCAAATAAATGTTCCGTGCCTACGCTATAATGAACAGGATGCGGGCGTCTTCTTTCCACATCCAGAACTCAGCTCGCAGCGAGCTGCGAGACCAAGGCCCATTGATAGACCTCCGTCCCTGTCCACAGCCTTGGACTGCACCCAATGTGACGTGCTCGACGGACTAGGGGCTCACACTTTGGTACCACGCCCACATGAGGACATTGTACCCTACGGGGGTGCTGTCAGACACCAACCATGCAATCGAGATTTCCATAGGGGTGCTCGAGGGGTTTCATCACCAGGATTCGGAGGAAGCTAGGAAATAGGGAAGACTCGAAAGAAGCTGACAACCTATCCCCTCTAGACGAAGGATGACTGATCACAACGTATAGCAGCGGGGCGTAAGAAAAAAGATAAAAAAGATGTGGGATCTCCCACCGGTCTAAGGTAATGTGTTTACTTCATACTTGAGTTTATTAACTGTATACCCATCATTTCACATATGTGACACAGATACGAGAGGATTTGACTCCTCCTACAGTGCCCGCACTAAATGTTAGTTCACATATATGGTATGAGTGTGAACCTCGACACCCATGAGTGGGATCCCCCACGGCATAAGTTCCTGCACAAGGCGGCGTGGGCCGATCTTAGTTGACAGTTAGGATTGCTTTTGCAACGGCTCTAGATGTCTGTAGACAAGTGTGGCTGTGAGCGTTCTATCTCGATATGATGGACCTTGGATTGATGGGTATCTTTCTAGTGTTGTTTCTATTCTCCTATTTCGAGTTAGTGACGCCGAAGAATTGAGAGGGGGATGGTTTCAAATCGGCTAGAGATCCCAGTCGTTAATATGGATTTCATTTGTTCGCTATTATCTTCTCAACGCAGTGTCGTGGGAAAATTTGTCGCAGATAGGATGGAAACAAGGAATTGTGAGCTCTAGCCTGTTTGGGGGGAGCTGACCCAACGTTTGTTGGCTTGTATCTTCCGGATCTGTTGGTAGCGAAGATTCTGAGGAAGACGTAGGATTCGTAGCTTCGCGAGAGGCTAGCCATCCGGTCTGAAGACAGTGATATTCAGGTTGGGTAAACCAAGTAGAGGTGTGAAGAACAAGTAAAGCTAACGGACCGGAGAGTATCTTTATCTTGTAATTTGCTATGGATGGTGAGGGGGCAGTGAGAGGTGTGTGCCGAACTCAATATTGTGATCTTTCCTGTTTTGATTTGCCAACCTGCTGATGTGAATTCTGAGATCTGAAATCGGCCAGAGATCCTGTTGGCAATGTTGAGTTTTCCATTATGTCCTTGTAGCAGGGCACTTTCCAGCCAGCCAAAAGATGTAATTCAACATGATATGCCAACTATCGACGCCTTGCCCTCGTTCCTTACACCATCCTGCCCATCATGCTACATCACTCCGAGTGTCAGACTGCAGTCGTTCATCAAGGCCGCTGTCACCGTCGTTATGAAATTGTTCTTCCATACGTGGTTAGAACAGATGGGAATGCACTTATATACACGCGAGTTTCGAACCACTTCCAACTACTGCTTTTCTGGCTCACCACAACAAAGGCATGGTCAATCTGAAAACAAGTCCAGATAGGGTCGAAAAGAGAGCTCTTGGGTCACGATTGGGCCTTTCTAACAAGTTCATCATATCAAATCTAGCTGTACAGACAGGGGCGCATACACTCCTCGCCCAACCCAAAAGAAGATTTGCTCAACTGGAAATCAAGTCCCAACATCAGCTTTTCCTAACGAGCCAGCCCAGTTTCTCCGCCTGCTCAGACCCAACAAGCACTTTCAACCCTTCCGCAACCAGAAAATCATGATCACAATACTCGAACCCAGGAACGACTGTCTCCGAGATCAACAACACACCACTCTGCTGACCCTCTGCCCCTTGATCTGGGAGCAAGAAACTGGCCTTATACTTCCCACCCTCTACAATCCACTGCAACCGCTCCCCCTTCGCCACATCATGACCCACGACAAACGACTCAACCCGCTTCCCCCTGCCGCCGCCCTCATACTCGACATCCTCCTCATCGGCATGAATGAGCACATATATCCCACGTCCTCGGTGCAGCGTGTGTACAGTCCGTCCCCGGTTGCGGTGGAAATTGCCCTGAGGAGACGACGGGGTAAGGAGGTAGTAGATGCTGGTGGAGGCGTTGCGGTAGCGAGGGTCGAAGCCCTCCCGTTGCGGCATCAACTCTGATGCTGGGTTGAGAGGGAAAGGGGAGGAAATGAGCAGGGGGTCTCGGTCTGTTTCGGTAAAGTAGCCGCCTTCTATATGTGGAATCATGGAGAGGGTCTTGATGAGAGCTGATGTGGAGCTCGATTCTGGAGGTGGCGGAAAGGAAGCAGAGAAGAATGACTTGATGGCTGTTGTGGCCATTGTGTATGGTCGTGAGTCAAGATGCACTGGACTGACTCCGGAATTCACGACACAGGTGTCGATATTGGAAGCACAAGAAAAAGCATGTTTGGGTGGAGGGTTTTCTGCGTATGAACAGTTCTCTCCCAAATGCTCCGTGTTGAGAGTAATGGTCGAAAAATCGACGACAAATTAGCATTAATCCTGATATTATCACTCACGTACATAGTACGCTCACACTGGCTAAAGGACCCGCTGATACTTGGACTCGTTAGCTCCGAAGCGTCCGAACGTGCAGCGTGATGCTGACTCCATGCGACAGGTGGCCGTCACTGATACGACTCAAAGTGTTCCTATGCATGACTTAAGGCTGTTTGCTGCACGAGTAGATAAGTGCTTCTAGCCATAGGCAAGGAAGGCGTGGTAAGTTCCTGCATATGCAGGCTGCTGACGATGTGGTCAATGATTTTTGCTCCGGTTCACGGCTAGCGATGACTGAGTCTTTGCAATCGCCGTCAATCAGCACTTGAAGAGCACAAGTCATTGTTGATAGCATGGTGCACTTCCTCGAAGTTCGGCACCTCTTCATTTTACTTGATTTGGATCTCCAAAGGCCCTCGAGATGCCACCTTGGTTTCCACTAGAACCCCTGCGAGAAGATGCTTTGGCGGAATCGAAGAAGCAAACCTTGGAATCAGTAAAACGGTTCGACGGCTAAAACATCCATCCCCATGGGGAAGTCTGCCGTGCGTCTGAAAATTCAGACGAAGGTTGCCGGCAGAATTTTACGTGACAAACGTCTGAGAAATACTGAAGCACTGTTTTCGTTGGATGCGACCGCTACGAAAAATCTCGTGAGAATGCGAATTACCCTAGAGCGCAGCCTACAGCGCAGCTTAGAGCCCCAAAAACGCCGAGGCATGATGCGGCTAAAAAGTTTACGAATCGAATCTTCCGCAGCACCGCCAGGCCACGTCTTCGAGACGTTGACGCAAAGCTCGGCCCAGGTGGCTTTTCGCCTAACGAAAGCAAGGGAACCAAGTCTTTTGGTCCCAATTCCGAAGTGGGATCTGCCCCTTTCTCGACTTCGGAGGACTTGCTTCGATCGACATTTGGAGATTCAAGGCCAATCTCTATTTTCGATTCTCCTTCTCCCAATTTGCGCCCAATGGACTGATGAAGACCATCGCGGCTCTTCCACTTCCAATCTCTAGCATTTTTCTTGTGCCCTGCATTGATGGCCGTCTTCTCTTCTTTCTAGCTCCTAGTACCGTCAACACCTCTGCCTTTCTTTCGCCCCCAAGCAACCCGACGTGGCGGCGACGCGACATCGGTCCAGCATCCTCGAGTTCGCCGGTGTCGACGGACAACTTTCCTGGTTGTACGAAGCTGCCATTTACACCATTGCCGGTTTATTAATGCCTCGAACACGATATTCCATTTACTAGTTGCATCGGGCCCTGTCCTATATTGCCGACGACATACCCTCCTGCGTTTCCTTCGCACCTTCCTTGGTGGTCCCAAGGACTCGGAACCCTGGTTTTTGTTTTGTTCGAGCCGCGCCGAGCAGATTGGTACGATTGGGCTCAGACTAGCTTTGCGCTTCACGGACATCGACTTTGGAGACACGCGACAATGACCTCGTTGATGAGCAAGCGCCAACAGGCGCGCAACGAGAAGGCCCTGCAGGACCTGGTGCAGAGTGTGCCAGGTAACAACTTCTGCGCCGACTGCAACGCCAGGAACCCAGGTGCGTATTCTGCATGTCTTCAAGCCCGCATAAGCAATGACTGACACTTTCGGTTTTCAGCATGGGCATCATGGAGTGTACGTATCTGAATACGGTTGCGACCGACCCGCGCATCGGAAAACACCCAGAGGAAAACTAACATGTGGATTTCGTAGTTGGGCGTGTTTCTCTGCATGCGATGTGCAGCCATCCATCGCAAGCTTGGCACCCACATCTCCAAGGTTAAATCGCTGAGCATGGACGGCTGGTCGAACGATCAAGTTGAGGTATGCCATCCCTGGTTGTAACTACAGTCTGCGAGCACCGAGTTCGATTGGGATACTGACGATGTGAGTAGAATATGAAGCGGGTAGGCAACGCCATTTCCAACAAAAAATACAACGCCCAGAACAAGAAGCCGCCAGTACCTATCGATGCAGATGAAGTCGACTCGGCAATGGAACGATTCATCCGTGCAAAGTATATGCAGAGCGTGGCAGCACCGGCAGCCCATGACGCTCGACGGCACGACAGAGCCAGTACGGAGTCAGACGAAGGACCGCCTCCTCCCTTGCCGCCTAAGACGGGTGGCAGTTTCTTCAAAAAGAGCTCTGCCACGTTTCCTCTGTCATTCCGATCCAGGAAAACCCCTCTTAGTCCGAAACATGACACGCCCCAGCAACTTCAGAGCAAGCCATCCAAGGTCTTCGGCGCGAGCGTTAATCAGGACAGCCCTGAGGAAATGGCCCCAAAGCTCTCGCACCTTCGCGACATGGGTTTCGCAGATGACAAGCGCAACGCTATGGTCTTGAAAGGTGTAAACGGCAATCTCCAGAAGGCGATAGAGGCGCTTGTACGGCTCGGAGAAGGTGGAGGAATACCACCTTCCCTGGGTTGTGCCCGCCAAAATTCCCTGTCAACTTCGAGGTCGATGACTTCATTGAAGACAGGGCCTCCTGTAACGCCTGTGGGCTTGTCGAGAACCAGTCCGGCGGCAAGCCCCAGTCCAGCAACATCCAACAATCCTTGGGATATGCCACCAGCTCAACCGCAGTCATCTCAGTCAACGGGTACACTACAGAATCGGAATCCTTTCTATTCAACCAATCCATTCGGGATGCCGGTTCAACAAGCCGAGTTCACCTTGAACCAGTCGTTGCAGAACCTCTCTCTGACGCCATCCCAGCAACAGCTCTTCCCACATCACACTGGAGGTATAACTACGCCTGCGCCAACGCAACCGCAGCAGCAACAGCAACCGATGTACCAGCAATCTATGGCGACGCCAGTACCTCAAAACCAAGACTTCGCATCTACTGCATTTAATAATCAAACCTACCAACAACCGCTTCAGCAACCTCAGCAAAGTTACAACCCGTTTCTGCAGGCACCCGCATCGCAGAAACCGCCACAGCTCTCCGTGACCGCGACACCATTTTTAAACCAGGGTAACAATCCATTCACCCGCTCGCCTACCAGGATGACGTCGCCAACGACGCTGAATCAAATCCCCGAGCAAGCACAGCAAAATTTCTACAGCTCCCTGCAATCGCAAACTTTGAACCAGATCCCTGAGCAGTCGCAACAACACTTCTACGGCGCACCCCAGTCGCAGTTTGGGAATAACCCGTTCTTTGCCACGGGTCAACCAGCGCAACAACAGCCGCAGGCGTTCGACCAGGGCTTTTACCAACCTGAGCAACAGGCCCAGCAAGCACCAGCGCCGCATCCAGTGTACCAATCGCAGCAGCAGACCAAGGCAGACATTTTGGCCTTATACAACTACCCGAGTCTTGCGCCGACTCCGGTACAACAGCCACAGGACCAGAGTGTGCCCAACACAGAGGCTGCTGCTCACGTGGCCTCTACTCTGGTAGTGCAAACATCACCACGGCGCAGTTTCTCGACGCCTTTGCCGGCGGGAAACAAAAACCCCTTTTTGAATGGAGGTGCGTCGTCACCCTCAGCGGCGTTCAGCAACCCTGCGCCTACTGGCAGTGCTCGAAGTCGCGAAAGCATGACTTTGGGGATGGAGATGGCCTGGAACAATGGCCGTCATAGCCCGGATGCATTTGCCAGTCTGAGTGCGAGGAGCAGTTGATGAAAAGGTTATCCTAGGGTCTGTATATATAACCATCATGTATTGAAACCATGTATTCATCGCAGCAAGAGCATGTGATCTAGTAGTGTGTGGCCAAGAAATTTTTGACGCTCTTCGCCGATTGCCCCAGACGCCTTCGACACCGGACACGCGCTTGCATTTGTACCAAAACTCATTTGTGCACCTCCGTCAAGCTGAATTCTTCCCACGGCATACCCTCCACATCCTCAAATCCCTGCCCTTCGTACCTAGCCACCTTGCTCCATCCCCGAATCGCAGCCCTCCAGTAACACATCTCCGCGGCCGGACTAAGATATCCCGCCTCATGAAACATCTCCCGCTGTCGTCTCGCAATGCCCTCAGCGACCTGGGGATGCTTTTCCAACCACTCAATCGTTGCCTCCAAATCGCTCCAATCCGGCGCCACGAACACGATATTCGCCTCCTCAGCCCGATACTCCCGTGGCCACGCCTCCTTTACCCAGGGGGCCGGGTACGGCGCCAACCTCGGGTTCTCCCCTTTGGTTACAGGATCCCGAAGCGTGCGTTTCACGCCTCCGTCAAAGCCGCTACTGCTGAAGACGGGACGCACGAGGTGGGTCGTGTGCTGCATCCAGGCCAGGGGCGGGGTTATAACTACGCTCGCACAGAGTTGGTGAAACTGGAAACGTCCGCTGTACGTGATCCCTTCGGTTTGGATGATGTACTTGTACCGACAGAAATCCTCGATGGCCAGCGCGTTGGACGCGTTGTGTCCATTGGTGACCCACTTTAGAGCTTCGATGTCGGCCCAGGGTTTGGAGGACGAAGTGAGGAGCAAGGTCTGCCGGACGCGGCCGGCGCGCGCGTTGTTGAAGCGGGTCGTGCCACGCCAGATGGCTTTGGGGATTTTGCTTGACCAGCTACCTTTTGGGGATGAGAACGTGGATTCGAGAGAAGTGATGGCGCTGGCGGCGCGCGGGAAGGAACCGATGAAGGGCAGGGGCCAGGAGTAGAAGCTGAAGTGCGGGACAGGGAAGATGTGGGAGGAGGGCTTGTTGAGCGCGGTGTCCGCGGGACGGGAGTATGAGAAGGACGGGGATAGAGGGTCGTCGTGGTGGTTGAAGGCGAAGATGGTATCAGGGATTTCGTCCGGGTTGGGAGATGTGAGTAGCGCGGCGGCGATTTGGTGCAGTGTTGCGCTGCGGTGCGCCAGCATGTCTGCTGACAAGTCGGATTTACGCACCCATTGCAGGATAGAGAGCTTGCCGTTGTGGATGCGGGCTACGAGGGGACCTAGGGGGCCGCTGGGGGAGAGAGTGAAGGGGCCTTTGGAGACGACGGTGTCGATTTCGCTGGTTAGGCCTGGGAAGGTGGTGGTGCATTGGGAGTGCGTGAGGAAGAGGTTGTTGAGAACCTCTAGGGATGGCGATTGATGTATGTGCGGACTGCTGGGATAGGAGTAGGAGGAATCGAGGATGGTGCGGGAGGAATCGAGGCTGTGGTTGGGGACGAGGAGGAAGCAGTAAATTGCTAGGAGGAGGACGCAGATTATGGCTAGTTGTCGGAGGCGGGAGGATTGTCTGGTGTGGAGTGGTTTGATCGTTGACCCCATGATGCGCGAAAAGGCATTTCGTTTTCAGACCTAGGAACTACTAGTAAGAGAGAAACATGTGCCAAGATATTCAAGGACGCAACTGTGCGGGCGCCAGATCTTGATATCTACTTCGTCAACACGATCTCTGGCATGAGGAATCCGGCCCCTCTTCCGGAGCGAGTGTGACGACGCGTCCCGGATCGTCTGGCTCCGGAGGCTTGGATGCGGAACTATTGCGGGCGGGGTGCTACCCCAAGTTTCAATTAGGGACATTTAGGTAAATATGCCAAGCAGGCATGGCAAGGTGGTATGATGGTCTTCTGACATGGGGTGTTGAGTTCAAAAACCAGCCTGTTGTTCCAACGTTATAATTGCGCTGCATTGGCACTCCGTCCAAAGATACTTCTGTGGTAATTGTCCCAGGTCATCTGCTATCATCCAATATGGCCAAGATCAGGTACACTGGTAGGGGGAGATATGCAAGATGGGCAAGTTACGAATCAAAAGACATGGTCTTCTCACTGATATTAGTTGCCCCGCCAATCAATTTACATAGAACCTGTGTGCTCCTGCACATCTTACTCGTTCAACTAGGATCACGCGAACACTACAGATCGAGGACGACAAAATGCCAGGCGCCCCCCTGTAGAGTACCCAAATTGACTGTTCACTCTGCTGGGATATCTGCTTATTACGCATCCTTCCACCATTTAGTGTACCATTTATCATGTTTTCTTTGCACCAACTGCCCCTGTTTATGCTTCGTTGATACCGTACGCACTCAAACGCACTCTCACCTATCGAGCTGAAATGTAAATATTAAAATTCACCAACGAATCCTTATCATTATACTCCGCTTCTAGGGAGGAGTCACGCTGCTCGTCCTCGGAATCAGGGGGCTACTTAGTGCTAATTAATGAGTTATGAGGGGAGATAGAGAGACGGCTCGCAATTTACCTCATTCCAGCTTTATGGTACAGCATGCACTCACCATCAAGGCGCAATTCCATATCTTTGGACACAAGGCCTGTAGTAGCTTCCAAATCTCTTTCAAGAAACCCAAGGATGTTCTACTTAAACTGCAGTATTCCCAAAACTGACTTCTGAGTGCTTCAGAATGCTTTGAGAATCCAGCGAGGAAAGCATCATCTATTGGTCTTGCGTGTCCATCGTAGGAGTGCGATGCTGCTCGAATAACTATTGAAACCAATGTCGGCCAGTTTATTCTAATCTTGATCCATCAACTGTTGACCTACCTCCGCCTTCACCTCAAACGTCTTCCCCTTGAATAGATAGTAATAGGAATCTTGATGGTCTAACTTGCAGACATTCTTGCACTTGCTACATTTATTGGGATAGGTTCGGGTTACCAGCCACGAAGAAAGAACTTCATAAATTTCGACATGTGTTTTGGACTGCTGGTGAAATTCGAGGCTACTTTCGTGTCCCTTTTATTCAGCGAATTATTATAGGGGTATTATAAATTGTAATACTCAATCAGCTCCAGTCCAAGTCTGCTTAATAATAACTCAGGAGTATGCTTGGAAATATACCGCTAGTAAGTGTTGTCAAGGTGGGATTGTAGGGTTGATATACAAGGAAACAAATGCAAAATGAGGCTGCAATTATTGCGGTTCAAAGTTAACGATAGGGCTATATTGTCGGTCTTGAAGTCCGGCCAAAATGATAAGGAGAAGAGACGTAGAAGAAATTCGAGAGGAGATCGACCTCATAACTTTCCCATATCCCCAGAAGATATGCCTTGCCAGTTCACTAGGACAAGACGTATCTCCGTTATGCTTCGTGATGTTTTTCTTTCTACGAGTCAGAGGTATTGCTTGCCCCTCTTGTTGCGGCAGAAATAGATGAGACAGGATTCAATCCTTACAAATGGCCTTGTTTGAGAGGGCTAAAGACGATACATTAACTGCGAGAAACACTGAGTCCGAATAGTATGGCTCTGAATATCGTGATAGCAACAACGCGCACGTTGGGCTGTGACTCTCTCGTACATTGCACGAGAAGCGCTAAACATAGGCCATCGTGACTAGTTAACCCGGTTCTGGATATCACAGAACCATCCGAGTCGGTCATGCAGAATAGCAGCTTCATATGCTTATTTGTGTATGTATGTACATCTCACGTGTCCTCACCAAGGAAATATATGTAACGAAGAAGATATCAATGGACACCTAAAGCCAAGCCATCTAAACAGTAGTTTTCATAGTACCACCAGCGCGGAATCGAGTGTCTACGGAGCTCTAGAAGAGGTCCTGCTCACCTAGATGAGTACCCATTCAGTTGAATATACGGCTTCTCGTATATATTTCCATCACATGCTTTGGGTTTGCTGATACGTCCTCATTGCAGACTCCATCATTTAAGCTTTCTGCAACAAGTACTGAAGCCCTCATCATCGGCAGCATAACTGGACTCTCACAATTAACGGCATGAGTTGAATTATCTAATTGTACCGGAAACGAGGTGTTAAATATCCTAATATGATCATACATGGTTAATAGAAAATGACACGGACCCGACTAGAGGAGGCGGTACTCGGTACACACCCGAGTTAGGTACGATTCTAAGGGGCCACTGAGTAGGATCAGCACGGCATCCGGAAGGTCTAAATGTAAGCGTGGATAATTGGACAGGTTACCACCCGGGAGTTTTTAAAGCTGGTGCCTTATCTGCCCAGCACCTGGTCGACTCAGAGAAGAACTCCTCCGCCTCGTTGTACGAGTACGAAATCACAATATTGGTCTAATGCACTCGTGTTGGGCACCCCTTAGAGGTGAGTCCAGCCAATCGCTTGGTTATCCATGTTGCAGTCCCCCGAATTGTACCAAATGGATCCGTCCTAGCAATACTTTTGCAGGTTGGGCAAGCCGTCGATGTCGCCCACCTAGCAGTCTGTTCCGGTCGTATGGTCGCAAAACTGCATTACCTTGGCCGCTCCTCCCTTCTGGCTAAAGCGTGACATGAATTATAATAGACAACTCAAAGACTACACCTAGCCCAATATTATGTTTTGTTTATTCAACATTGCTTGAAAGAGGTCAGTCTGAAACCTAGACTAATTATCGTATATTCATTCGGCTTCATAGGGTTATCTTTGCGGAATCCGGTGGTGTTCAACAAGGGCTTTCTGTCTTTCTACCCCTAGTGATGGAGAGTCTTGAGTCTGGAATGGGCTCGTACGTTTTCCCACTCCCTAGAATACACTGTTGATTCTTTGTGAGTATTGGTCAAGCCGCCGTGAAGGGGAGTAATGGGCGTCCCTCCTGCGTAGCACCGGGTGGTCACTGGCGATCACGGATAGTCTCAGGTAGGGGTGCCCACGATGGTTCATTGATCTCTGCCCTCCCTATCTTCTTCCCGGACACCTGCCCCTTTACATAGATAGCTAGAGCCCGGAGTCGGAGCCGTAGAAAATTAGTTCCTCCAATTGTTCTGTATACCAAGACTCCATATTAGGTCATGAAACGTCCCTACACCGGTGCCTGTAGCATTCAGTTCTCTGACAGCTCGGCTTTAGCTTCATAGGAAAATATTTTTTCTCAGCATTTCGTGAACCGGCTAGTATAAGCCTGAAATAAGTGCTATAATGTATCACATTACAGCATAGTTGAAACCCGAACCCAGGTGATGCGAGTGCATATGGGGTGTGAATTGTTGTATTGGGAAAGGATGGCCAGGTCAGCTATTCTGGCCTGGCAGAGCTCTTTAATAGCTCTTATCTATTTTATCTCTAGCTATAGGGCAACTCCCCATGGGGTCACGTATCACCAGGTGACAAATCAATGTTTCAACAAGCCCAAGCTCGTATTTAGACTTAATGACGGCTTCCGCTGGTTCGGCACGCTGACAGCAGGGCTTTATAAATCAAAGCAGAAAAACTAGAAGCTACAAGTACTTGTGTTCTACGCTCTTCAGTCACTCATCGGCCCCGATAGTACCAGTCGGACTAGATCTTGAAGAGTCCTTCTTAAACTCCGGATACGCCATAGCTAAAGAGGATATCTCGGGCTCTCTTACCTAACTCATGGTACGAGTTCGATATAAACTCAAACCAAAAGCGATGATCGCGCTTGAGGCTGATTTCGATAGTAGTCTATAGATTTATCACAGTGATTCTGGGACATTTCTGACCATATTTGGGACAATGTGTAATGGTGATTGCTTCATAGCCGCTCCCGGCGTAGAATGGACCAATCAGTGACCATGAGAAAGTAAGTTGATATTCGCCGATTCGTTTCTATCGAATGCAAGCAATGCACTATACTGAGACATGGCCTCTTCTAATTCCACCAGCTTCGGCAATTTATCCAACTCAAAGAGCGTCCAATCAAAGTAGTCGACAATCCACCCACCAAACTGCAGTAATATCCACAACAGCAGCCTGGCCATGCCTCCAAACCAGAACCAGTCTGGTCAGCCGATCCAATCTCTCAGGGTCCACCACGCCCCGCGGCTCAATGTATTGGCGATGAATGCGGTGACGAAGGAGCCGGCTGTAAATGTAGCGTTGTTCCGGCTAAAGACAAGGCATTTCTCAAACATGTAGCGGACACGCCAATACGCCGAGCCTTCAAGCAGCGTTCGGTCGTTTCCACTCGCAATATTGGATGCAACTATGCCTACCATACGAGGCATGCATCGTATGCCGAACGCGCGTGGTCACATAAGCGAACTGGAATTTGAGATTCCTCCTTGCATGCTCGAAGAGTTGAGTATCGCTGCTGTAAAAGCCAGGATACATGTGCGTCGACTTTCTATAGAACCTAATCTGGTCTATTTTCCATCCGTTGATCAATGCGGCATCTTACGACACATATTTCACTTGGAATATGTCACTGTCGTCGTCCGTGTTTGATAAATGGCTTTGTCAGAACTGCCGTCCCCATGTTCCTCCCAAACACCTGAATTACCGTTGATTTCATATGGACTGTCGCTCCGCTGCTTTTCGGAGTCTTCGTGGCTACCGGCTTCAACATTGATTATTGTTTCGAGAGGATAAGGGGTGCCATCGTCGAATCGACTATATTGGTCGTGACGCATTATGCGTTCTCCCCCTGAACCGCCAATTGTTGCTCGGGCATTCGTATCGGACAACCCGTATGTTTGTTTTGAGCAGTCACTGCCTAGCAGACGAGGCGACACATGGGCGATGAAGACCTTGAGGGTTGGAAGGGAGCCGCATATACAGGAGAGGTTGCTTTCGACGAGGCTGTTGGAAATCGGGGCGTCAGCAAGTGATTCTGCAGCATATCCGAAGACTGGTATTTTTGCCATGATACTTACATCCACACAAGGACTGGGCCAGCACCCCAGGGCTGATCGGCGTCACTCATTGACCGGATGAGTTTGACAAGACGCATGATGGAGGTCATGACCGTGCTATGTCTAAATTAGCGTTTGCAGCTCTCCAGCTGCCATTGAGGGAACTAACACGGCACCAATGCCAAAACAGCTGATCATCAAGATCTTTTGCTTCCGTGGAACATGCAGCTTGATGATGATTGGCATGGGCACAGCCAGAACCAGGACATCGCCAATAGCGCCCAAGATGGCAGTTGCTTTGTAAACGCCAGGGCGATCGATGCATTCGTATTCCGTGATGGTAATGTCCCAGGCGGCGGCGATCGGGCGACACGGGAAGATGGTTGTAAAAAAGATTGCCACGGAGGAGCCAACGACAACAAATCCGACGGACCAGACCACGTATCGGTACCACAGTTGCGGTGCAAGACGACGATACACCAAAAGAAGAGCTAGTTTGGCACCGCATTGGACGGGGTTGTAAAGAATTGGGAGACGGTATAAGGCCTTGACAAAGTCGCGGTATTTGCTCAGAGGCATCTCCCAGCCGTGGATACCTATGATGCCGCGTACATAATTACCTAATTGGTTGGCAAGCCAGTCAAGCAAATGAAAACACGTGGATAGTTCTCAAAAGTGAGTACTCACGGATAATCAGGACTTGCAACACCACAGAGCAGACCTGAAGTGGCAAGCCCAAGTCAGCAATCGGCAGTAATGGATATGAATGTAAGATCACGAGGCGTGAAGTGAGTTCCATACATAAGCAATGAACAGGCAAACTTGTAGGGTACAAAAGTCAGTGTATGGTCTTGTCAAGATGGCAAGCGGGTTTCCAATGCGGCTCACCATCTTCCAGAAGAATTCGCTTTTGAATAAATAGCCTCACATGAGCTCTCTGGTACACGAAAAGCAGACAAAACACGTTCCCAACGCCAAAGAGCCAATAAGCTTCGGTGACGGTGTGGCGCTGCGGGTTGTCGAAGTCGACGACGTATCCTTCGGGTGGTGGGATGGCAACGGGTACGCCATGCACAATAGCCGCCATGCTGTATGATACCCGAAGACGACTGGTTCTTGCTTAACTCATGTAGTATGATGGTAAGCGAACTGTGAGGAGACTTCCCGGTGTGGGTAGGCAGTTGTTTCGTTGTGAGCAACGGTCCATTCCGCTAGCTAGCGCTTGTTTACTGTGTCCCAGAGTCGCAATCTCATACAGCACTGATCATGCCGGGGTCACTCAATGCCTAAATGAGTGTGCCCATAGCCTTTTCGTCTGCTTGGTGGAGCAGTGACAGAGAAAACGTGGGGCACGTTGGGAATCGCCTAATAACCAGACAGCCATCCCTATTTTAAGCAACGTCAAGCTGGCATCACTTGGGGTACCGACAGTCTAGTAAATTCGAATATGACGAAGCCATCACTGCGCATACGGTGGGGAATAAATCATATTTCATCACCGGGGAGGACTCAGCTAGCACCTGGCCCTACAAGTCCGCTTAGGGCTCCATTTCCGAGGATCCGATCTTGCAGCAGAACCCGCAGCCTTCACGCAGAAAGCCGCAGCATCGTTACAAACAGGTACTTGCAAATCTTATTCTTGAACGTCCAGATCAAAGAAGCCGAGCGTTCTGCTATCCTAAACATTCAGCAGCCTCTGGGACGTGCGACTGAATCAAGAACTTGATCGAGCTCCATGCGTGTGAAAACGTAAAGGACGTGCCGCCAATCCCGTAGTTGAGGTGGATAGCCGTTGAGATTAAACGTAACCCCTTGCCATGATGCAACTTGATGGGTTGTCCGCGATTGGTTCCGAAGCAGCGGTTCGCCCCGTCCTCGCCCCTAGCTTGGTATCCACAACCGCGCATAGACTTTCGTTCCTAACCACAGCTAGGCACGGTTCGAGTCGGCGTTCTGGGTCTTCCATATCTTATTTGAGGCATTTATTCGTTCGGTGTCAGGCGCGGCGTGTTCCGCTTGCTCATCTGAGCGAAAGTCGCACGTTTCGTGGGTTTTATAGTGCACTATCAACAGCTGAAAACAGAGCAAAGGGTAGCCTCTTCAGGGTTATTTTTTCCGTCACGGGAAATTCAAATGTATTTGACCGCCATGTACTACTTCAGCTGAGCTTGGGCTGCAACCATTCTGATCCTGTGTCTCGACAGCTTTGTGATAGTGAGCAGCGGCGCCTTGTCATGACACCGCATACTTTTGCCTTTTCGAACACCGTCGAGCCATAATCATTACTTCTCTTCTTGACCGAAGTCCAATATGGCTGCCACAGTCCCAAAGCCCCCTTGCCCGCAGGCCGAACCCCTCATCAACGCTGGTCTCCACGTCCTGGTTCCCCAGGATTCCGACTACGCAGCACGTGAGGACTCATACTGGTCAAACAGCGCCAAGCTTAAACCTGCCTGCATTCTCCTCCCCAAGTCTGCAGAGGAAGTTGCAACTGCTGTCAAGGCACTCGCAGCCGCGGGCGAGAAGTTCGCTGTCCGAAGTGGAGGCCATACCAACTGGGCGGGCTCAAACAACATTGCTGGAGGTGTAACCATTGATCTCAGTTTGCTGAACTTCACGGTGTTCGATGAAGCGGCGGAAAGCGCCGCCATTGGGCCGGGAGCTCGCTGGCGTGATGTGTATGCCGAGCTACACAAGCACGGGCGGTAAGTAACTTCCAAGGGACCAGTACTATGAACATTACCCAGATCAAAACAAGCTTAGCCGTTCATTGTTGCTATCAGGCTTATGGGAACCCGCAGTTTCCTACCTTATAGCAACGAAACAATGCTAAGTCCCATGGCTATAGTGTAGTCGCAGGCGGCCGAGAAGGCAACGTCGGGGTGGCGGGCTTGATACTTGGTGGTGGCAATACATTCTTCACGGCACGACAGGGCTTTGCATGCGACAACGTCCTTGCCTATGAGGTGGTGCTTGCTGATGGTCGGATCATCACGGTAGATTGGAAAACTGAACAATACAGAGATCTGTTCATCGCGCTCAAGGGCGGGTCCAACAATTTCGGCATCGTAACCAAGTTCACTATGAAGGCTATAAAGTGCGACTGTAAGTCCATGTCTTGACCTCGAACTTTCCAAAATATAACGGCTACCCTGTTGAATCAGCCTGAGGATCCCACGGCTGTCGAGTTACACTGACAGTGGATGTTGCAGGTGTCTGGGGCGGCATGACCTTCTTCCCCAAGCAAACGATCCCTGAAGCTGTCGATGCCCTCACGTCATTCACTAGCAATGTTTCGAACGACGTCGACAGTAACCTCGTGTGTATGTTCACCTACATGCCAGACTTTAAGGATGTAGTCGTTGCCACTTTGTACACGAACCTTGCTGGGATCGAGAAACCCCCAGCTTATAAGAAGTGGCTAGCTTTGCCGGAGATGATGAGCATGGTGGAGATGACCAGCATCAGCGAAATGGCCTTCAAGTACAACATTCCGGCGCAGTACCAGTGAGTGACCTCCCTCTAATCCTTACTATTGCCTCGCTGACCAGTCCATCCCCAGCAACATATGGTTCACGCTATGCTTCAAGAACGATCCTCGCATCTTGATGAAAGCATCGGAGCTTCACGACCAGCTCGTGGAGGATCTCAAGGTTATTGCTCCTGACGGCGATTTCACCACGCAGTGCTTGTTCCAGCCCTTACCGAAGCTGTTTGGGCAGCGGGTAACAGAAGCCGGGGGCAATGTTATGGTAGGTCTCCAGAAACCCCAGGAAAAGTGTTTTACTTACTTTATAAATCTTAGGGCGTGGAACACCAGGCTCATGACGGCATTCTGTGGTTGGCTGTGGCCATGATGAAGACTCCTGAGCAGGAGGCTCTCGCGTACCCCAAAGTCAAGGCGTGGGTGAAAACTGTGGAAGAGTACGCTGCATCGCTAGATGGCATGCTGGAGTGGGTCTACCTCAACTACGCGGACAAAAGCCAGAACCCACTGGCAAGCTATGGAGAAGAAAATTTGAAAAAGATCAGGGATGTGGCGGCGAAGTATGATCCGGACCAAGTATTCCAGAAGCTGTGCCCAGGTGGTTTCAAGATTTCAGATGTGAAGTGAAAGATCGAACATCTCAGGTGTGGTTCAGAGCAATGAGGGGATAATGTGTTTGAATTCAACCAATCGTCGCTTCGCTCTATAAGAATCCTCCTCTTTCAGGAAAGCAATAGTTGCTATCGCTCAACCGGCACAGCCCGCAACCTCAACACAGCAAATCAGGACCGCCTTACATCGACGACATACCGGGAAGCTCGCTGAGCCCTAATAAAAAAAAGTTGTTAGCGTCACCTTGGTAGAGTAGCACATGAATATTGGCTTACAGCCATCGATATTCTCATTGACCGTCGACTGCACCGCGCACTTGTTCATCTCAGTCACACCCTGCGACAGCAGCGGTCTTCCATTTTCGCAGGCATTGAACATGCATGAGTTGTCCATTGCGCGCTGCAGGGCGTCGCCCTTCCAGCCGAAGACGTAATCGGCGTGGGTGCCGTAGCCCAGGTTGTCGTTGTAGCTCATGACGAATGGGTTCGAGCCGTCCTTGGGCCACATGCTGCTGAACTTGGCTGTGTCCCAGAGAGTCTCGTAGGCGACCTGGGGCATGCGGACTGGGTGAGAGGCCGGGCAGGGGCCAGCGGGTTGGAAGGCTTCGTTGGCTGTGTTGTACATGTGCGATTGGTGGTCGGGGCTGTCGAGGTTCTTGCCGTCCCAGCATCTATGTTTTGTTAGCAAGCAAATGGGGTCTCCATTGAACATATGTGATTTTACTGACGATGGGAAGTGGTGGACCGTCATGATTCCGCCCTTGCAAGGCTGAGTGGGGAAGGTGGGAAGCTCGGGGAATCTTGTTGACTTGGTGTCGAGGCAAACGAATTTCAGACCCGTGTGTGTCTCCTTAGATGTGACATCGCCGACTGTCATGCGGAAGCCCTGATATAATTAGTCGCTGACAGCAGCCTATATTTCTCTGTCGACCCAACTCACAGGCTGGAAAGAAGTGATCTTCTGGTTGCCGTTGGAGAAGAAATCCTGCTGCGTATAATAGACCGTCATTCCGCCGTTGATGCCGGCAGGCAACGCATCGTTCTCCATGATTGGCACACGCTGGTATGAGCCGTTCTCATGCTTGAAGAACATGACAGCGGTCCAGTAGTTGGAGAAGTCCTCGGAGAAGACACATGTCGTGCAGGTGCCTTGGTTACCGACATCGCCCGACATGTTCGGTTTGAATGCATTTCCACCCACGATCTGGTGGAGATGAGTCGAAGGAACGATGCCAGGTTGAACAACGGGGTCGAGGCGCTGAATACTCAGAGTCGCGCATCCGAATCGGAGTGCGGCTTGGGAGGGCGCCATGAGCGCGGAGGCGAGATAAAACCACTTCATCTTGGCGCGTTACAACTGACTTGTTGATCTGTCCTGGAAATACGGGAAATTCTCAACAGAGGGCTGCGTAAAGCGGTTTCAGCTCAACTATATATACAAAAGCCGGGATGCTTCCATGGTATGAATCGAAATACTTGCCGTCCGCTGGTCCTTCAAAGTACTTGAGGGTAATCTATTTATCCGTCATGTGTCCATGCGGATGGACGAGTGACAAGCCCAAGTGTAAAGTGTCTCCCCGCATTCCCGGCATCAACCAGATTATCTATTCAAGTGCCGAAGCATCGGTACTTGCCATGATCAAGTCGGAACAGACACCCTCCGCTTGATGTCTTGGCCGACATATGCTGATTGTGGTAATGATGGCCCATGAACCGGCGTTTAAGATCACAGGACGGGCAAAGGGGGAGACCCGGGTTTCCCATCTTTGGTTTCGAAATCCCAAAATATATGCAAGCTGTAAACTGCTCAATCGGCTGTGGTACCGAGTACCGAATGCATGTTTTCTCCTTGACATGATGTCGTATGGATGGTAAATAAGCTGAATGTGTTGCTCTCTTCAGGGATGAAAACTCCGTATCTGTGTGTTTCATTTCTCGAAGTCCGGTTACATACCGAGCTTCTTGGCATACTTTCCTCTGCTGAGAACTCTCACGTTCGTAGGGTTCGTAGGGAAGCAAAGGTGTTTGAAATGGTTGACATGATCCAACTTGATGTCATCTTTCGCTGAGTGACTGGATAGATCGGGATGGTTTGGCTTTCCGTCTTCCTCATGTATGGAATGTTCCATGATGAAAATGGATTTGGAATTATTATGCATTTCGGCGTAACATGCAGTCGTACTGTGAGTTTGTCCGAGATTTGATGAATCTTTAACAAACCCTGATCTCATCGCTAGTTGCTATTTGCTCGTACATATTTGGCTACTATATTTCTCAGGGCTGACTAAAAGGAGGAAGCCACTGATATTGCTTCAATCCGTGTGATTGGAATCGACTACTGGCGCCAAAAATATAATCTTGGTTGGTAAAGAACTGCCGAATAAGCTGCCGGTGGGCGTAGGAGCAGCGGGTAACTTCATTAGTTCACTGGAGATTCTACAGAGTATACCGCCACTGTGCGCTCCAGATACTCCTGGGAACAAGTCACACTTTGGAAAGCAGACATCCAAAAAAAGAATGAATACTTCCAGCACCATTTCCAAACCCTTCGCTGGAAGTTCCTGAAGAACTTGGAGCAGGTTCTTGTTGGACCAAATTGACCGTCAAAAGACGAGGGACCCACTCGCTATAGAAGGAGGTATTTTTTGGTAGTTATAAGGTCTGACAGTTCTTTGGGTTAGCTCCAGAACTCAGACAATCACTGAGGCAAATAACACAAAAAATTGACGTATACGCATATGTGCGTTCAAAGATCCATGTCATCAGGCTTTTCCCTGGAAATATGGCACTGTATAGACGCCGGTAGATTTGCTTGTTCGGCTATCGCAAGTAATACGTGCGACGATGAAGCACCCGCGGCAGTCATGATCAGCAAAAGCTTCTAGAAGTTTTATGATGTATATTAATTTGTAGAGCTTAATAAAGGAAATTTCTACTATTCGACAAGAAGTCTTTTAATCTGCTGATAGTGGTTCGGGTCTCCGATGTTCTCCGAGGGAATCAAAGTATGGCACATGCACGAGAGATTGACCGATCGACTGCTTCGTCAACAGGGATCTATTTACTGGCTTCCCCAAAAGCCTTGTTATTCCCGGGGAATTATTTCCGTGTATAGAATAGGGAACGAAGGTCCCCTATCATCTGGTCTTCAGCAAGAACCAGTTCGCTGGCAGAGTCTGCTCAGATGCTTGACTGGCCAGGGAGCCCGCAGACCACTATCTAGCCAACTTGATATTAATGAAGCTCGTAAGAAAGCTCGAATGGCTGTTCCTGCACTCACGTAATACCATGCCGACTTAAACCAAAAGTAATCGAAATGACAGTTTGGTCCAGTTGTTTGCCATTCAATCCTTAAGAGAGTGGGTTGGAGTGCAGAGCTAGATCACCAATGGCTGCGACGCGATCTTGGAACGTTACTTTCGCACCACGTTGAGCCTCGATGATGAATGCTGCGTAACGCTTCCACTGCCTACAAGTCGGCCATCCGAGTCTCTTGTATACATCTGTGCTCACAATAACGTGAGACGGAGAGAAAGTCGAAGTTTTCAGGGTTCCCTTGATCTGGTTCGAGGATCACTTGAAAATCACACCCCTTAAGTGACCCAGCTTCCACGGAGATTTTACGAGTATGAGGTGGTTTATGAATGGGCAACCGTTGAACCATTCTTACAAGACAAGACGGCGATCGACATGGCACGGATTCCACTACAGTAGATTCCGCTGCAGGACGGATCTTCGAGATAGCGACGAAGGCTGGACAGGGCGACTTGCGCTCGAGTAGCACTATTCATTTCGAATGTAGTTAGTGGGACTATTGTAAGGTGGCTGCTAGGGACGGGTCGGACAGCTTCAAGGCCCAGATAGCATCGATCTTCTCAGGGGGGACTTTGTTGGTAGGTTGAGAACCAACGTAGTATGGTAGTGAACGCAACGCAGTCGCCAATAGGGCGAACCGACGATGCAGCGTATGTATTTAGTCCAGCCATTAGGGCACGGTTTGACATACGGGAGTACTAGTAGAGGTACCGGGGGCTTCGAGCCTACGGCGTATTTAATAATAATTTTTTTGGATCAGATTGAAGCGCATGTAATGCTAGAATCATATCACTTTCATTCCAAGAACCAACCATAGTTATGTGGTGAAAAACCGCAGGTCAAAGTGGTAGCGTACGAAAATCTGCCGAAGTGTGCAATTGGACCGTGGACTACGTTAGACAGTGAACTATCTAAGTAGTATATGGGCAGTCGAGGGGCAATATCGTCAACCCTTCGCCGCAAACGTCGTTTCTGATGCTCTTGGGAGTTGTCTCAGTACTTATAGGTCCTAGCGTAAATGGTCTTGTTACATTCCAGTCTCATTTCAGCCGATCTTCTCATCATACGAGATGTTTCAAGTCGCAGACGTCATGACTCCACCCACTAATCCAAATTTCCAGGGTTGTGTCGCGACTCTGCGACGATTATCCAGATCGGCTGTCCAACATCATTCTCAACGTCGCCAATTGGACCACAGCGAAATCATACAACCATCAACATGGCAACGCGCTTCACCCTCAAATGCGCCCGTGAATCCAGCGGCCTCATCCCCCTTCCCAACCTCTGCATTGGCACCTGGGCCTGGGGTGACTCCAAAACTTGGAACAACGACTCGTCCGCCGCGCGGCAGGACCTCGACGGCGCATGGGCTTGCATGCAGAAGCAAGGCCTGAACTTCGTCGATACCGCCGAGTTCTACGGCTCGGGCGAATCCGAACGCATTATCCGCTCCCTACGCGATGCGTCCCCGCCTGAATTTAAGTCCAGCCTAGTCATCGCGAGCAAGTTCTTGCCCATACCCTGGCCGTTATCCCGTTTGATGATGCCTAGTGGTATGGTGAAGTTCTGTCGGGAGAGCTTGGAGAGGTTGGGGTTGGAGACAATGGATTTGTATCAGATTCATGGACCGGTGCATTTTGTGAATTCGATTGATTCCATGGCGAGTGGGCTGGCCCAGTGCGTCGAGGAGGGTTTGACGAAGGCCGTGGGCGTGAGTAATTACAGTCGGGATGAGATGATCAAGATGGATGAGGCTTTGAAGAAGAGGGGGATGAGGCTTGCGAGTAATCAAGTTGAGTTTTCTTTGCTTCGCACGTTGCCGAGTACGGGTGGGTTGTTGGAGGAGTGTAAAAAGAGGGGGATCTTGATGATGGCGTATAGTCCCCTGTGAGTGTTGACCCCTGTCGCCATGCCTCAAGTGCATTACCACCCATTTGCAACCAATTGGCTTAAACGAACCCTTAACAGTGGTATGGGCCGCCTCAGCGGCAAATACACCGCCGAGAACCCGCCTCCATCTGGACGCAGATTCAGCAACTATCCGATGGAGCAGCTAACCCCCCTCCTGGATACTCTGCACAAGGTTGCCGGTGCTCACGGTGTTAAGCCCAGTGCCGTGGCACTGAAATGGGTTATTCAAAAGGGGGCGATTCCCCTGGGAGGCGTCAAGAACGCCAAGCAAGCAGAGGAAAATGCACACGCGGCTAGCGACGAGTGGAGTATTTCCGACGAAGAGATGGCCGAGCTTGAAAAGCACTCGATAGTCGGCACGACGAGCATACAATGGCAGCATGGATAATATTGCTATAACGCACAGTGTACATTATAATAAATGGCGCATCCAGGAGATGTAACTAAGTTAATCCTGTCTACTACACTGGAATCTCGTGCTATCCCCATATTAGTCCACCCTCAATTTTGTTGTTCCCTTGACTGTAGTATACTGGGAAGTCGGCTTAACCCACGAGATCCCCATTGGTTATGACATTGCCTTTTTGTGTCTGAAGGGATATATCACCTCCACGCACAGTGTTCCACTCTTCAGGGGACCTGATATAAAGATCTCGGAATGTTATACAAGTGTCAGCGTAACATCGTAGAAGTAAGAACTTGACTCTGGTGGCCGGTGGCACGGATACGAGGTGAAATAAGCCTTGTTCCTAGACAACGTCACACTACCGATGACGGTTGATTTCAGATTTCAGATCCAAAACTTCATTAATCCGAACAAATCCACAACAACTACTCTGATGTGTTCATCGATCGCTGGAATGTAAACTTGAAATTTCTTTGACTCTTCTACATGAGTAGCACCGGGCGATACATTTCCAAAAACATGTGATCTCCACCGACAAGGGCAGAACAATGACTTTTGCCCCCTTGTATTAGATGGATGTTTCCGCCAGTCGTGCGATCCAATCAAACTTCGTCCGGAAGACTCCAGGCATAAATGGAGGGACCAGTATCTCCTCCCAAGAATCGAAGCAGACCATCTCTCTCAAACCAGAGAATTCACCAGCCACGCAGCCCCCATCACAGCCAGATTGGAAAACTTTTGGGAGGTTGTTCTCGAGTCCAGGATTATCAATGCACTCTATCCATTGACCATTATGCTGCACCGAGATGACCGATTCCCAGAGGAAAATCTTTTGGTCGATAGCTGGTGAAGCGGACAGTGGAATGAATTGGAGGATACTGACTCGCGTTGAAGGTCAAATATGTTAAGTCTTCTCGACTTTTAATCAATTATTATTTACAAGTCAATATATTTCCATAAAGTTCACCACAAGTTGCAAGTGGGATAAAATAACAAGTTTATATTCGCCGGAATACAGCTCGTTGTTTCTATATTCAAGTTGAAATGCCCCTTGGGAGGCTTGTGCTGTTGCGCCACGGATACTCTCCCAGACGTTGAAGATTACAAACAAACAAACATCTATCCAAGTTAACTAGAGGTATTGTGGTCGTAAAATGGCGTGAAAACTGGTGGTTTCAAATTAGGTAGTCAAATACTTCTGACGTACCGAGCATATTGATATTCCTCTCTTGACCGCCTGCTCCGACCATGTAATATCCTCGGATACACCTCCATCATCTAGATCACGTGCCGTGACGTGTGCAAGAAGGTGAAACACCATTGCAACTAGTGATAGACCCTTCTAAAACCACCGGCCAACTATGTCTAGGTATCTGTATTATCACCAACATCTCGGGCCGCATGGGACCATGGCTATTCAAATGAGGTTATTGTTGGTTGGATGATGATGGCATCCCCAAAAGGGGTTGTCACCGGGGCGGCAACACTCCAGTCACCTTCGTTCCGCACCGCGTCGTGCCGTGCTGCTGGCTTGCATGGTGACTGACGACCAAACAAATAGCCGCTGTGCATATTGAGGTAAGTACACGAAAATCGGGGCTCAGTTACTCAGTTAGGATGTAGGTTACAGATCACTCTGCATGATGCACGCCTTCTGCCACCTCTACTTGTTCTTATCGGAAAATGGCTTTTTATAGACAAAAAAGCTGCAGTCCTGGCGCTTATATTATAGTTCAAATGCAAGCCTCGATAAAAAAAGTAATCAGTCCTGATAGCACACGGCGCTGCGATGCGATTTCACTTGGACTTGTTCCCCCGAAGACTCCAGTCCCACTTATTGTTATCTGCACGAATGTGTGCAAGTCTACCTAATCATTGCATATATGTCTAACATCTGTTTGCGATATGGGCAGGATCCAGTCCATTTACTCAATGTAACATCGGATTCACTCCCCGAGGAAGTTCCCCCTACTTGTACCACCTAGTCCATCTGCGAGGCGCAGCTGGCGCTCATCCGCGCGCATCTCGACCTAGCCACAAATTCGTATTCGTAATGGCCTGATCCAGTGCGATCACCTAAATTGGACTGAAAATGGATGATTCAAGCATTGACCTCAACATTTCCTTCGACGAATTCTGCAAATGTAATGCAAAGAGGGCCAACTCCCACCTGGGATAATCTGTTCTCCAGTCTCGACGCGAGACTATTATGACACAAATTGTAATATGATCTCACTTTGACGACAGGGATTGTAGATTTCTCAACAGCTGTGAAGACAATAGCATAGCCTTGGACTAGAAGAAAACAGAGCAATCCTTGATGCCAGATCCTTGACTCCTCTACATTAAGGCGCCTGCTTCTGAATAGCAGACATAGTGGAACCAGCCGGATGGTTGTTACGTCTTGACAACTTGTGTTGGTAATTATGAGACATATTCTCCTGCCCAAGAGGAGTATCACGGTCAGGGCGACCACGCCTAAACCCCAGTAAAGATTAATCCTACTTTGTCAGGCGGTATTTTGGAGCTTTTTATAACAGAAATTTCGTATTTCATCTCTAAATAGCCAGATGAAAGGTAGAAACATCATCGCGGCTCAACATACTACTTCTAGCCGTTCTCACGACCATTGTCTGGTGCAGATTGCCCATACTTGCAGCATTCTGTCTTGACCTTTCTAGGAATCAAAGTCATTTCCCCCAAAGAATACTTTACACCCGGCCCTTATAGTCGACACACCTAATATAACCGTCAAAACTAGATTATTCTCGCACCTTCCCCATAGCCTTCATCTGTATGTCATAAGTCTTTTGCCTTTGCTAACTTTTGAACTCACCATGGACTCACCATGGAGCAATGGCCAAGAACCTTACTTGACGTCACTGAAAATAAAACCAACGGTCATTCAGATGATGTCGAGCTTGCAGGGAATAGGCCCCAAGATGGTGATAAACATAGTTGTCCCTATGCCATCTCATGGATACAAGTTAGCATCCTATATAACCTTTTTCACGACTCCTTCTTCAAGTATATATCATGAAGTATGTGACTAGCTGGTTGTTATAGAAACCGTCGATGAAAACACCCTAAACGCGGGCAGGTACAACATCCTAATGGGTGCCGTTGCAGGCTTATATATAGTGAGTGGTTGGCTTTGGCATAGTTCAATCTCTCGTTCCACTGAAAGAGAAACCAATGCCGTGGGTGCTATAACAGTGTGTAGGTTCTACTCCAACCAAAAGAACAGAAACAGAAAAGACATTTATACTCAAATATGGCGTTCAAAATGATTCACGAAGTCCAATATCTCGGCACCTTTATATTAATAGCTATCAGTGGCTCTGTGTTACACAAGCAAGCCATCCAACAACTCATCCGTCCCTTGCCGACATCTTAGTGGACAACTTTGCCAACCTGATTGCTGGCACCAGCAGCTCCATATTTGCGACGCTGTATGATGCGGAAAATGCTGTCATCATTTCAAAGATCACAGATACCATGAAGATCCTTAGTATATTCTTCCTGGAGGCAGCCCTACTGAGCGTCGTTGGCATATTAATACTACGCACATACTCGCGGGACTTGGACGTCATTCGACCTTCTCTCCTAAGTTTCCAACAGTAATTATTGGATATTGGCCTCTAAATAGCCCAATAAACAATGGCACCGTGGGTGTTAAGCCACACCAGGAGAATCAATGGCTTGTTATTAAGAGTCAGGAAGTACCTGTGCAAGAAGTGTGACCTTGAGCCATAAGCGCCATCAGGATTTGAGTTAAATCGAGACTTAATAAAGTAGAACAAATCTATGATACTGTTAATTACCGCCCGTAGCTAACAAGGCTTTAGAAATTAAGGGTCTAGGTAATAGAAATTTTGGTTGCATCACGAGGTCAAGCAATTATCTATCCTACCAGGCCGCGCCCCCACCCCCCGTCTTAGGCAATCACCTCTAAAGCCCCCCGAATAACCTTCTAAGATAGACCATAAATAAAAATTCTTCAGTTGTGATTTTCCTCATCGGAATAAAACACGGTCATAGTCTTTGTCTGCACGATAGCCCTGACACTATCACCATCCCCACGGGATCCCGCATCCCAAGTATGGCCTTTGTCTGCAGAGCCTGCATCAACTTGATTCTTCCGCCGCTGCATTCGATCTCGATCTCCTCGCAAGTTATGATCACTTGGCTCTTCATTAAGGGTCATCATACCGTATTCAGACTCTCCAAACTTATTGTACTGCTTTCTCTTGTTGCTCGACCTCCCGAACGTCCGTAGGTTTGTATGTCCGGGGAAATGGGTGGGTGCGCTGGGGCTGTTGTCGCTCTCGCCGATGATTTTCGGGGCCACATCCCGAAAGAACTTGCGTAGTGTGGGCAAGGAACAGCAGATGACCAGGAGGTTGGCTTCCGCGCAGCTGGGACATGGTTAGTGGGATGCTCGCTTGGGCTGAGAATTAAATTGAAGGGAGTTCTCACATCCAAGTACATGGGAAGGCAATAGCCCATGGTTGATCCGTGTTCGTGAGAACAGGGAGGAGGATAACGAGGCGGACGATGGATGTAACGACAGTCCTGCAAATGTTAGGACCAACGGCATCAATATGGAAGACTGCATATGCTCACAGAGATCCAATAGTGAACATCAGTAACAACCCAGCCTTCTGCAAGTTGGGCATCTGTAACCCCAGGACCATGGGGATTGGAAGAACCAGGAGGATCACATCAGTCAAGATACCTAGAACAGCTGTGACAATGTATAACGCCGCGCGGTTGATGCAGTACCCTTCTGTTATCGTGATGTCCCAGTTCTTGGCTATCGGGTTACAGGCAAAGATCAAGCTGAAGAAGATGACGATCGTGTATCCAACGACAATGCAAATCATAGTTGTAATGCTCCATTGAAACCAGGTCTGGGGTGATATCCGGCGATAGAATAACAGCAGTGTGAGCTTTGCAAAGCCAGAACAAGGGGCGTATATAACGGGCGCGACGAGAATCAACTGGCAAGATTGTTAGTGTATTCAAGTTGAAGTCTATTGCTAATAGCTTGGCGGCAACTTACAATGCTGTAGAAATTGTACTGGTCAAGCGAGATTTCCCAGGCATGAACTCCCACCACCCCAACTGAGAACATATCTTTGCGACTGTCAGCACAAAACGAACACTTGAGGGCGTATACATACGAAGTAAGACTGCTTGTGTCCCAATCGAAGTGATCTGGTCGGAAGGTCAGTCCAGTTGCACCTTTCATTTCACAGGTTGAATGAGGGATGTTACCCAGGCGGCGACGAGAAAACCTGCAAAGGGTCAACATGAATCAACGGGAGGTTCTCAAGTTGCATACCATCCTCTAACTGGAACGTTCTCAAGACTGCGAGTTTGGTATAAACCCTCTGACCGATGAACAGCAATGCCAGAAAATTGCCCACAGCCGCAACCCAATAAGTCTCAATTTCAGCCTGTCGCTGGGGATGTGCAAAGTCGACATTGTAGCCTTCTGGTGCCGGAAGGAGAGTGAGAACGCCCTTGGTCATAGGCATGGTGAAAGAAGGTGGACGAGGTCGTTGGAAACGATCGAAAACGAAACGTGAAACCAACGGACTTGGGCCATGAGAAATGAGTATGTATACCCCCTACTGTTGGCACTCTTGTCTCGATGCAATGGGTTTGGTGTCAAGGGCTCCTCAATTACATGTTTGAGAAGAAACATGGGGTTAGGAATGCTGCCGTAATTCCAGCAAGGTACGAGCTCCTGCAGTTCAATCGACTATTCTAGAGATGCAGAAAAGGATGCTTAGATGTTCCAATCAACGGCTACTAGCCATGCGAGGGCTGGCAGCTTCATGCGACTTGCCTGAAACTTTCTCCCATGAAGGAAAAAAGGCGTTAAAGTGTTGATCGGCACTGAGTGAGACTCAACGTCGGAAGTGAGTTTCCTACCCTTGACAAGCCGGCTGTCTGTCCAATGTGAGCAGTCACTTAAGTACATTGGTAATGTTCATCACCGAAAATAGAAGTAACTCGCCATCTAAAGTGCTTGTTTGAAGAAGTAGCCGTCACTGAACTTTGACAACATTTATTAATTCGGTTGAACTCGTAAGTAGCGTTTATGGCTCGAGATATTTTTCACATTGTTTTCAGTTGATGTAAGCCAAAGATACCCAAAGATACAGTTTTACAGGGCCGCAGCCCGCCATGTTACTGAATAGGATGCGTTGGTGATCATCGTTCTACCGGTGAAGAGCTGAACTATAATCCTGGGAATGAAGAAGCAGGGATGATGTCAAATGTTCGGCATATCCTCAAAGTTCTCGTACATCGTAGGAGGTGAGATGTGCCGCCTCAAATAAGTAGCAAACAAAACACATTTCGGCGAGTTAAAAGCCAAGAGTAACGGCACAGAGATGTCGATTGCCCATCGCGATCATTACCAGAAACCTGGGCCGCCAGCCCTTGGGTAACTTCACCTACCTGGTCAGATAATGTAAAAGCATGCACGTTGCAACCAACCTTCACACCTAATGACTTGGAATTGGTATTTTCTTGACGAGAGCTGCTCGTGACCAATGTGCCCACCAAAAATTTTCATTCACCTGGTATATCACCAGAGAAGGTATGCCCACGGACCCGAAGTTCTAACTTGTATCAGTAAGTCCGCATGCATGGCACACACTAATGCGCTGTGACAGATCCACTTGCAATGCTTCGTTTCCCACTTCCCCATTCAACTTTAGATGTTCCGGAGATGCGACATCAAAAGCAACCATTATGAGCCAATTACTCCATAGGCATAGACTGACTGGTTGTCAAAATTCCGAATCTCGTAAGCCAACCGTGATTTATAGTGGGCGAAGAAACCTGAAGCATACTCGATTCCCTTGATGAGACCCCATCTGAGCCTCAGCTTTTGAGCTCACGGGACAGGCTGTGCTGTGCGAGCGTTGACATAAATCACCCTGGTATTACACACGCTGAAAGGCTCTTGGCTCTGCGTTGTCCCTCATACGAGCCGCCGCATCCCCGTGGCAAGCGGCACTTCCCATCAGTCCAAGCCTGCGTTGGGTAACATTGTGTTCATGCAATATTTTAGCAGGGTTTCTAGAAACGGTGTGGGCGATTCCACGTTTACGCTGCTTGGCTTCCGGCTTTGCGGGTCAGGACATCAGAATCCTATGGTACACCTGGCACGCCGTTAGCAAAACATTGGCTTGTCTGGCTTTGACTTACAACAGGGCAATCTTAGAGGCGTGGAAAGCATGTGATCTTAAAGGAAAGCCAGATAAGAAGACATCTCGGCGCTCAATTTCTGCAATCGAACAATCGTCCGCGTGGATCATCTTCCGGCACGGTTCCGGCGATCCTCTTGGTCGGAACACTGCCTACTGATCCACTTATCCAATCCAGCCTTGCCTTTTGTCCGGATCGCTCAAGGGTCGAGGTCCCCTTCAGTGGAGTGTCTGAAGAACTAGTCTAGATCTCGCGCACAGAGGAAAAGGGGGGTTGTTGAGTGCGCAGAGCAAACGACAGACAAACAGCTACTCAATTCAACTTACGTCTGACCTAAAATTGGTAATAAACTCCTGGGAGATTCCTCGCCAGCCTCTCTCCGATACTTGCTTAAATATCGGCCGTTGCTTAACAACAGTTTAGTACACCCCATAAGTCCATATCCCGCACCAAATACTTCACTTCAAACGCACCATATTGAATCCAAGAAACGCCGTAAAGGTAATAAGTAAGCTGTATTAGTGGGGAAGTAGCTAAAAATTTATTACAATTTTGTTCATATTGTTTCAGTGCGTTAAGATGAAATGTTGACGTGTAGGATTTAGTAGGGATTGGATGCATGAAATGTATTCTTATGGTGCGTGGCCTCTGCCTGAAGCGGAAACAGCCTCGGGGAACCTGGAAACTCCAGTGGGCCCGATCTCATTGCCGCACCCGGGACAGGCTGGCAGAGCCCCGGAGCTCCTCTTCCTTCATTTTATCGTTGGCAGGGTTTAAAGCGATGCTGGTGAAGACTATTGCCTGCACAGTATATTGCTTTCCTTGCCCTAGGACACCCCTGGAGTCTTCCACGCAGCCCGATTCCCCGGAGAAAAAGTATGCAGGCGGCTATGAATACTTGTTTGAATATTGAGAAACGATGACGACTCCTTTATGGTGCTGATCCCCCGTTTTGTGTGACACGTCCTCGTTCCTGCATCTTACTACCGGCGTTAATCAAATATTAACTGACTGCACGCTCATCAACTATCAAACGCATCAACCAATCAAACAAATTCCTCTCGACTTGCCGGGGAACTGCAGCCATGAAGGGCGCATCCAGTACTGCAGCACTTGCTACCACTGCCATGTTGAAGGCGCCAGGGACCGATGCATTGTCTTTTCAAAGCAACTCAACTTCATGCGTAAGGGTCCTACACTTAAGCAAGACTGTGAACCCAAAGCTTTCGTAAAGTACTAACGTGGCGCAGTGTAGCCACCTTATCGCCGCTGGCTTGGGGGAGAGGGTCTTCTTCCCGAACCAGACCGTGTATGAAGATCGGATTGACTCTTACTGGTCCGTCAGCGCTCAGTTGCGACCAAACTGTGTTATCCAGCCTCAGTCAGCAGAAGAAGTGTCCTTGACTGTCACTACACTGGTTGGCGACTCTGGCTGTCAATTTGCGGTACGCTCAGGAGGCCACACAACTTGGGCAGGTGCCAATAACATTGAGAATGGTGTCACCATTGACTTGGGTAATGTTTGTTCTTCTTGTCGCTTTTTTTTCGAAAGATTTCCTCAGCTTCTAGTTTGTATTTCTTCAGGGGCAGCCTCGCAAAGCCTGCGACATCCTATCACTAGTTCATGTCCCGACCACTTACTAACCTCACCAAGGGGATATGAACACCACCACGTTTCACCCTGAAAACAGCACGGTGACCATCCTCCCTGGATCGAGATGGCTACAAGTATACCAAACATTGGATGCCATTGGCATGACCGTCCCAGGAGGTCGAGCCGGCACCGTCGGAGTGGCCGGCCTCGTAACCGGCGGCGGCAACTCATTCTACTCAGCCCAGACCGGTATGGTGTGTGACGCCGTTGTCAACTATGAAGTCGTTCTCGCCAGTGGAGAGATAATCTATGCTAACAACGACGCCAACCCGGACCTGTTCCGAGCCCTAAAAGGAGGTTCGGGGAACTTCGGCATCGTGACACGGTTCGATATGGAGGCTTTCGAGGCCTCCAAGCTGTGGGGTGGTGCTACCATGTATAACAAGACCTACAGCGATCAGCTCCTCGATGCCATGGTTGACTTCACCGATCACGTTGTGGATGATCAGTTGAGCAGTTCCATTATCTTCTGGACATACCAGCCTGCTCTGTTGGATACGGTGGTTCTGGCAGCGTATGAGAATACGGCTGGCGAGGTTGCACCTCCCGCATTCGACAAGTATATGGCGATACCGGCGAACATCTCATCGACTATGCGGATAACCAACATCTCGGATATTACACATGAGCTAGAACAGCCGACAGGCTACCGGTAAGTAAACAACCCCCTGACGTCATGATTATCAAATGGCATCCTCTGACAACTCTCTCACAGCGATATGTGGTTCACTCTCTCTTTTAAAAATGATGAGCGCGTTCTCTCCAAAGCCGTAGAACTGCACAACCAGCTCGTCGAAGAGATGAAAATCGAGTCTTCCGACGGCGACTTCATAACTCAATGCATGTTCCAGCCCATGCCCTCTCTCTACGCCAAGCAATCCGTTGAGAAAGGCGGAAATATGCTGGGCTTGGACAAAGTCAAAGAAAACGCAATTCTATGGCTCGCAACCCTTGCTGTCAAGGGGGCGGACCAGGAACTCATAGGTCGCCAGAAGATGATCACATGGGTTAACGCAGTCGAGGAATACGCCACGTCTATCGACGCTCACAATGACTGGATCTACCTCAATTATGCCGACAGCACGCAGAAGCCACTTGAGAGTTATGGCGCTGAGAATGTCGAGAAGATTCGCGCTGCAGCCGCCAAATACGACCCTACCGGCGTGTTTCAGACGCGGGTCCCGGGCGGTTTCAAGATCTCCCATGTGACGGCTGTCTAGGATGATTTAACAGGATATCGAGACAGGTCGAAGATTGAGACATTAAACACTTCTGCTAGCTCCGGGTCAGCCACCTTACTTCATGCCAATGTTGTAGGTCATACTATTTCGAAAGTAAAGCAAGCTGTCGCCGTGTTGACGCGCCGTATTTCTTCGTGATTCAGCGAGGATATGGACAGAGCCACATAGTTATATTGAGTAGCCTAATATCTTTGAGCCATGCATATTTCAAGCTTCTGTGTACCTCCTTTAATCCATGGCCTCCGTGGAACTTTGTGTTGGGTCATAGAAGTGCAATATCTTGAAATACGTTTTCCGTGCCCTGCCAAAGCTCCCTTCATCATCCCGGCGTAGTAAGCCGGTGCGAGGATCAAACCCCCATCTTATTACTGCCGTCTTGTCTCTCAGTACCATCGGTTGATTTTCCCATGCCAGCAGGACTATCTGATCACCCTTTTGACAGGTATGGTAGGCTCTGCCGACGCAGCCAGTTTCTAGAAAAACCAGTGCATATTTACTGCAACGTCAAACAGATCGAATATACACCATCTTTTCGGCGAGTGTATTTATGAGGAGGATGATAGTATTATAAACAGAATCAGCTTCCAGGCGAGAGTGTAGGCGTGACAAGAAGTCCAAGATGTGGAGATTCTCAAGTCGGCTTTGACCACCGTAAAGCATCAGATTAAGCCAGTTCACGAAGGCTTCTTTGTCTGGCTGATAATTGTGCAAACAAATGCCTCAAATGCAGCATCGATTCGATTAATTTGTCCAGGGTAGTCTCGTATAGCAGACGCAAGCTTGGCCCATGCTACGCACGTCTTTGTGAACTTGTAGTAGTTGTTCTCATAGACTTCTGTAAGTCCTGTAAGCGAGCAGGAGACCCCTCGATTGACTTTACCAAGTAGTATGCATATTTTAACTCAATTGTTTCGGATTTGTTGCATCGTGTCCTAACTATTTCGACGCCTTAGGTAGCAAGATAGGCTGTCGTGTTGGCGTACATCGCTGTATGCCCACAGCCCCGAGTGCCTGACGTATCGCACCCACCAACACCTTGCTTCATTCTCTCAAGTCAATTTGGGATCCATGTTGGGATCAGCGGGTTGCAGAAATAGCATACAAGATCGAATGGAGGCTCTACAGATTCAGGGTTGCTGCACCGGATTTCATGTTGGTTCCGAGTGCTCTAAGCAAACCTGAGAGTCTGTGACCATGAATATCTGCAGCCGCGCTATTTCATTAGTGATCATGGCTTCTGCTGATATCAACGACTTGAAAAATAAGATCCGGGGTATTGTTGATTGGCTATACACTACGGTGCAATTCCTCGCAACCACCGACTCCTGAACAGTACAGTATAATAAATCAGGGTTTTCCAGAATTTGGGCAAAGGACTTTCCCGTCGCAGTACTCCCTATGTAAATATAGTATCAAACAAAAGCCGTGTGGTAATTGGCGAGATGAGTTGCACGGCATGGATTTAGGAGACAGAGGGAGTGGGGAGGGGGCTCGGTGAGTCGTGTGTTGCCAGATCATACCACCAGATTATCAAGGGGAACCAAGGACCTTTGTCGGTTCATCTGTCACTCCGGTGGAATATAACGGACTAAAACGTGTATAATTTGAAGGCTTTCCAGTACAATACGTACCGCTTTTGCATTTGCTGCCTCGTATGGAATTGCGCATCAATGTACATGGCACCCGGTGGTTCAGAAGATGGGAAGCGAGAAGAACAAGAAGATACTGACAACGGCCATGGAGAAGGCCGATGCCAATAAAGTGCCGGAAGAGCGCTGGCGTTGCAGCGTCAGCCAGCCCCTACTAGATAAGGACGCGCTCCCATAGATCTCGCCCATCTTTCGAATCTTATGGTTTCTCTCTTCAAGACCATCGTAACTTTGGTCAATACAAACAAAATCGATCCATAGTGTCCACCTTCGGAGGCCGTGTCGTTGGCGGACCAGTGCCTCGTGACAGTTCTTGGTCACTAGGAGGTCCTTGCCGTTACAGCTGATGGACCAGCCTCATATGGGTGGCTCTTGTTGGGCTCATCCAATGCGTGAATGCGACATTGCAACGGAAACTTGCGACTGAGTGAAGGAAGTAATCGAGGACCCGAATTGAATTGGTTGATGAGAGGAGTTGGAATTAGAAAGCAGTGGCCATGACGATGCTGTGTGTTGACTTGACATGGTAGTAATTTGGCATGGAGAAGAGGAATGTCCATCACTTTGAGCAAGAAATGGAAACCATCGATTCAATTTTCAGCTAAGTGAGCATCCAGGAGATGGGAAGGTACGGCCAAGTACAGGGCTACAAAACCCCGCCTCAAACCAGAAGTAACCATCATAAAAAAAGAAAATAAAAGATCTTTTTTTGGCCTTCATATAAATCTCCAGGTTGAGGCATGGATTATCATCAAAAATGGCCGACTACAAAAACACCATGCGCCTCATGCATGCGCCACACCTACTAGTTGAGACACGGTAGTTGCAGTGGGGCGCCCCAAATCGTTGGGTTCCATGTCGTCACCAAATAAGTGGGACCCCAATATGCAAGCTCCGATGTCGAACTTGCCTCAACCTTCCTTCTTCCACTTCTACTAACAAACCATCGGGATGAGGGATGCCACTCCTCTACACAGCATTCCCCGCGGCTTTTCGCCTGAGTTTCCTTTGTCCAAAATCTCGGGTTCCATCAAAATGGCTGCCTACACCAGCGCCATCAACAGCGCTGCTAAATCAGTGCGGTCGGCGGCCCTTCCACGACGCCTCCGTCCTGCGCAATTGTGAAATCGACCGCGCGACCACGCATTATGAAGCTCTGAAACTCACTCCCGAGGCTTCGGCGGCGGACATAAAGAAGTGAGCCTTAATGTTCCCATACCCTCCATCCCCCTCCATCCCAACCTGTCAGGACTACAATCCCAACTAAAATCCAACTCCCAAGATCCTTCTACAACCTCTCCAAACACCACCATCCGGATCACAACCGCTCCGACCCCACCGCCTCCAAACGCTTCATGCGCATAAGTGAGGCCTACTCTACGCTGTCGTCGCCTAACAAGCGTAGCAACTACGACCGCGACGTGCTCGGGCTGCATTCCTCTTCGCACGGACGACGAGGCGGTTCATACAGCAGCACCACGACCAGTAACCCGGCAGGCGGTCGCCCCGCAAGTGGTCTCAGTAAGCGGCGCAGCACGTTTACGGGCCCGCCGCCGAGTTTCTACCGGTCTGGGGGATGGGGCGCGCATAGTGCCAAGAGAAGGGCTGCACATGAGGAGACCACTGGGGGTGGAGGTACGTACTCTGCTAGGGCGGAGAAGGATCCCAATACTAGGAGTTGGTCGACGTATGGTGGTATGGGGCCTGGGCAAGACCCGTTTGGACACCATGATGAAGTGCCGCACTTTGATAGAGAGAGCCATGAGAGGACTGGTCACCGGACGGAACAGATGAGAGCGGCTAGAAGGACATATTCGAATGAAAGCCTTTACAAACCGGACCGGGGAATAGCTGGTATGTTTTTTGTCATAGGGGGCGTGCTGATGCTTAGTTTCCTCGGCCCTCTCGCGGTCAGCAAATTGTCGGGTGGTGGAGGAAGAGACAACAGCCGAGGCAAGTGGGATAAGAAGGCCAAGGGGTAACCTGTCACCTGCAGGTGTTGTACATAGAATGATACCAACGTGCACCTAGAGCATCGCAAATTGCGATTGGACATATCCCTTATCAACGACGAAGCCTGGTGTGTGCAAAGCCAGGGTCAGATTTTCGCGTAGTCTAATCTACATACAAGAGAGGTTTCTACGGTGGACCGAAATCTGTCTGGGTTTGGGTAGCGTAGAATACAACGGCTTTAGGTAAGTTGGGTATGTGCACGGGATATGGAACAAGTCATCTCATCAGATGAAGTCCATTGATTCCTCAATCCTTGCATCGGCTTAACCTTCGAAGGTGAAGCTGACACCAACCTATTCCGTAAGTTAACCAAATTGGGTTCGGGGCTATGCATCTGCGGAACGGGACGCAATGGACAAACCTTGTGGGTGGCCTGGTCGAGCTTCTGGGTATCGAAGGAACCACCGAGGCCGAGAGTGACACCAGGGCGGAGGAGGACATTGTAGGCGACGGCAGCGACACCACGGTCGTTGATCTTGGCCTGTTCATATTGTAAGTTTCTTGCACTTGAACGAGCTATTTCTCATGGTAACAAACCTTGGCGAACGAAACGGGGTCCAGGCGGTACTTGCTGGAGACCTCGAGACCAACGGCTTTGCCACTCTGGGAGTTCCAGGTAGCCTTCGCAGCAGCCTCGACCTGGCTGTTGACCTTGTGGTAGTAGCTAGCAGCGAAAGTCTTAAGGTTATCGCTAGCAACTATGGAGGCACTATAGGTGGGGGCAGTGTAGCCGACGGCGGCGCTGTAGCCCGTGACGGCGGCCTTCTGGGCATCGTATCCAGCGGAGGCACCAGCAAGGAAGCCCTCGTGGCCAATGACGGCGTCAATGTTGGCAGTCGGGCCCTTGAGCAGGTCGAAGAAAGCTCGGCCGTGGAAGGCAGGCTGCTTGAAGTGCAGGTTGAGCTTGGCACCACGGGCCTGGCTGGCGGGGAGGAAGGAGAAGATTCCCTCGGTCTTCAGTCCCTTGGCGAGGGCGTCGGAAAGCTCAACCTTGGACTCGAGCGCGTTGGCGGTGTTCCACGTCTGGGTCAGGGTGAGGCCTGCGCGGTGGTAGAGCATTAGCAATGAAGAAGGGTGACTTGGGATCAAGAATATGCCAAATTCCAAGGGCATGGCGCGATGGCCAGGCACGGCGATTCGAGCCACCGACAAGGTGGCCGAGCTGGTCCTTCTAGGCTCTCTACGCACGGTACCATAACGATCACGTCGAGTTCTGCTGGAGGGGTTGGGGGTTGAGGTATATTTACCGAGCGGCTTGTCTGTGTATTTGCCCTCCATCTGGACTCGGAAGACTCATTGTCAGCCATATCCGGAGCAGATTTCTGTCATCATCGTCAAGAGCTCCAAGCTCCAAGGGAGACTCACAAGTCCACTCGTCTTTCCCTCATGACTGCTTTTTCCTGTAGTCTTGAAGGCCACGCCTGACGCGGCGGTCGACTTGATTTCTATCGAACCGCCTTGGACATGGTAGTAGTCCTTGTTGATGAGATCGCTCGCGGGTTTCGCGATGTCGGCGAAGGCGGGAACGGACATGATGGCGGTGTTGGTGTCTTGACGTTAGGCGGTTTGGGATGAAGATTGATGCCACAAATTTCAACGGGACGGGCTGAAAGAGATGCTCAGCCGATGTACCTGAGTAGTTTTGGCGCTAGTGCGGTTCGGGTTTAATGCATAAGTGACACCGGCACCAAAAGCCGAAAGGGCAATAACGGGAGGGGTACCCTTTATTCCACCGATATGCCATTTTATTCCTCTGGCAGTTTAAAGATATTCCAGTGTTAGTCTATGTCTGAGCTCAAGACTATACTGAAGTACAAGTAGGAGTGCCCTATTCCTTTGTCCGCTCAATTACGTCACCCCTTGTGTTCGCAACGATCCTGCCAGCATCGAGTGTACCTCATACGTTTAGTGGTTAACAAATGGAAGTGACCATTTTAATGTGTTCTTACTTTCACTTCCTTCATCTACTACCTTCCATTGGATGCTTATTTCCGGAATTAATGCCCAATGCTGGGTCACAAATCGATTCCATACATCTTGCATGAATGAGCTGGACTCCTTTATACGCATTGCCCTGACTTCAAGCCCGGAGTGGTTAGTGGACACCACCAAACCCTCAAATGCCGAATGCTTCGGTTCTAACTGATCACCGCTAAAAGAATCACGCATCTAAACCCTAAGGCCAACAATTATTGCAAAGTGAGGCCAGGCCGTCTACATGGCAAGCCTATGTATTTAGTCTATGGTATAGATTCTCATCCCGAGTCCAGCATCGCATCCTCTTTTGCCAAGATCCAAGTCTAGGAATCCACATTTTCACCCAATAGCCTAGTGCAATCATCAGAAGAACTGGTCAATTAGGCCCACCCAAAGAGATAGGATAGATGGACCACATATTCCGACACTGCCCCGTTACGCCTCTTCGTCGTACTTCTGTTGGTGTGTCGAGATGGCCCTTCCACTGGGATCGGTCTGCTTGGACCACGTAGGTGTCCATCGCATCACTGTCGATGCACAGTGAGGAGGGAAGTGCTCGTCGAATATTGTTCGGTACCAATACCTTTATCTACGGTCAGTATAGCTCAAAGCTCATAAAAACGTAGCACTTACGCCTCTTTGGTATCCGGAATGTCGTCACCCCATTCGGGCTTGGGGTTCTTCATCATCTCGTCCGTGACGAGGAGCTCAGCGTTGTCCTTCAGCGCATCGATCCAGCCGTAGCCAACACCATCGGAGAATTGCTCTTTTTGACGCCAGAGAATCTCATCGGGTAGGTAAGGCTCGGCGGTAGGATCGTCGGATGTGTCAAAGGCTTTCCGCAAGATGTGCTTCTCGATCTTGTCCTTGGTGATCATCTTCTCTTGAGGGTCGATGTTCATGCAGTCTTCCAGGAACTGGAGCATCTTGTCAGTGGCTTTTCCTTTTTTTCTTTCTCTTTTGTTAGATTGAGCTTCGCATGAACTTACCTGCTTGTCAAGGAAAGGCACTCGGGCTTCGAGACCCCAGGCTGAGGTGGACTTGTTGGCTCGGAGGCAGTCTGCAAAGTGCAAGTTCTTGACACGGCGGACAGTCTCCTCGTGGAAAGCCTTTTTGTCGGGCGCAGCATGGAAATATAGATATCCACCAAAGATTTCGTCACTTCCCTCTCCACTGAGAACCATCTTCACACCCATGGCCTTGATCTTCCTTGAGAGAAGGTACATGGGAGTCGAGGCACGGATCGTCGTCACATCGTAGCTCTCGAGGTAGTAGATGACATCGGACAGAGCGTTGAGGCCATCCTCGATAGTGAAGGTCATGACGTGGTGCTTGGTGCCGAGGAACTTGGCCACCTTCACGGCAGCTTCGTTGTCAGGCGAGCCCGGCAGACCGATGGAGAATGAGTTGAGTTGAGGGAGGTACGTCACGGTCGACAGCTTGTCGTGGTCGTCGATACCAACCAGTCCCTCGCCCTTGTCTTGGTCCTTTGGCTTGACTTCGACGTCGCCGTTGCCAGCCAAAGCCAGCTTCTTCAACCTCAACGTCTCCCGTTGTGCAATGGACGCGACCAGACTCGAGTCCAACCCACCCGACAAAAGCACACCGTATGGGACTTCAGCCATAAGTCGTTTCCTCACGGATCGCTCCAGAGACTCTCGAACAAGCTTGAGATCAAGCGGCGTCTCCGGTACTTTTGAGCCATCCCACCACGTGGGCTGGAAATAACGCGTAGTCTCACCCGTCTTGGTGTCGTACACATGTCCCGGAGGAAACGCGCGTATGTTGTCGCAAACGGTATGGAGGCACTTCAGCTCCGAAGCGAAGTATGAGGTTTCGGGCTCTTTCGAGGACCAGCCTTGGTAAAATGTTGTGATACCAATGGGGTCGCGCGCGCAAATCGTTCGGTCGAGCTTCTTGTCGTACAGCACGAAAGAAAACATGCCATCGAGGTATTTGGGCGCATCGAGACCGTACTCCATATACAGGGGAATGATGACTTCACAGTCGGAATGCGTCTTGAAGTGGTACGGCGTCTTCAAGTTCTTTCGGATCAGACGGTGGTTGTAGATCTCACCGTTGACGGCGAGCACGATGCTGCCATCCTCGTTGGTCAGAGGCTGGGCGCCGGATTCTAGAGCCACGTGAGCTTGCGCAATCTTGGGGGTATGATCCTGGGCGGCAACGTACCAACGCCGACAATACTGAGGCGCTCATGGCACAAGACTACAGTCGCAAATAGTTAATCCAGTATTCCGTGTTGGGCAGAGTAGTCTGGGGTCATACTCGTGTTGTTGCAAATCACATTTCCACCTATGCACAACCCTGATCAGCATTCCATTCGTATAGGTTGTGAAGTATTGTTGGTTGTTGACTGACTCCAATCGGGACCACGGTGGCGGATTCTGTGGGAAACGGTCAATGCAAACTCGTGAAGCTGTAGAAGTTGGTCACATACTGCTTAGCCAGTCGCAGAGCCGTCGGCTTGAACTTGCACACGTCAGGGTGCCTACGCGCAGAGGTTGTGTCAGTTTCCAATGGCGAGCAAGGCAAAGGTGATTACGGCGGGGTCGTGTAGGAGTTGCCCCTCCATTGCGTGGACAAGTCGATTGGATGGGCACTTACGAGTGACAGGCGAAGATGCCACACATCTTGCTGTCTCCTTTAAGCAGATGCGAGTGCAATTGGGGTTCGAAAAAGCTTTGAAGATTGAGGGAAATTGGGTTGCCAAATATAAATTTATTCTTTATATTTGGCTGAAGATGTTAAGTTTGCCTCTCGATGTGAAGTGGATGAAGGAGGAAAGAACACCGAGTCATAAAATTTATCGTCCTGAATTTTTGGATACCAACCATTCATACCTCGAAGTAAATTCTGGAGCAAGGGTTCAGTATGACTGTCCGCCGTGTTCTTCATTGCCCGCTCAACGGAAGACCCATAGATACAAGACCAGCTAGCGTTGAGGCCGGGCTTCAGAGATAGTAGTCCGCTCGCGTTCGTGTTTATGACTGTTGGAGGGAGCTCTATCTCTTCCGGCCGATCTCGGCGCAGGCGATTATTGGACAGGCTGCGTGCCGTAGAGTAAAATAATATTAAATACGCCGTAGGTGTTAACCCTCGGTACCTCTACAAGTACTCCCTTAAGGGGCTATAGATGATATAGCGGGCGTTAAGCCGCGTCGGGCGGTTATACAGGTAAACTTGTAGCCAAACGACTACTAAACCTCCTGTCCCTCCCTAAGTCTGTGCTCGTCCTCAGGGGTGGAATGCTGCTGATGTGCAGAAGATGCTCGACTATTTTTTGTCGCGACAAGTCGTAGTATCTGCTAATTGGGGTTCTCGTCGAGCGTATACATCTCACCCATACGCTCAAGTGGATAGACCGTAACGTGGTCTAGACGCTCGCAAGAATCGCGGCGAGAAGGCGTGCTGCGCGCCTTCTATCGTGAGGGACGGGTTCGCCGACGAGCGTTATCGGATAGGCGAGGTCCGATAAGGGGTCGGATTAACGATTCGAATTCTGGACCGGCTGTCGAGTTATATTCCGCCGACGTAGTGCTTGACGGTCGACTGGCTAGGATGCTCGTAATCCTAAACTGCACCAATCGCCCTATGATCGCTAGGTAGGCGAAGTCAACAAGGTGGGCAGCGCGCCGTAAGGGTTGACTAAACGCCCTTGTGTGTCAGCTGCGGGATTCGAACCCGCGACTCGTCACCGACCCAAATGGGCGAGGCTCAAATCGGGACTTATCTACCAGCGAAGTGACCAACTACACCAGCCGACGCCGTAAAGTAAAACAGCTTGGAACGTTTGTCTCAACCACGTAAAATTAACTGAATCCAACATGGCATTTGGTTTTGCCAACTGACCGTGGTGCCTTGATCAAATGCGTAAAATGGCGAATTAATGGCGCTCTCATTTGCGTGTGTACACAAGGTAGAATGCCACACGCGTCTATGATGTCTCGCATGCTCAGCGCTGGGGAAGAGCGGCGGAAATGCCCGATTTACCACCAACGTCGGAACGGATTTCAGCTGTGTTAGCCGCTGGTGAAGCTTCTCCAGGGTCAAATAGTCCATTGTGCGTGCTCTAGGAGCTACTAAGGCAGATCGGGTGAATTATAACATGGGAAATGTCATGGGATTGCACTCAAGATCTATGCCAGACTCAGTTCATGAGCCTAACGAGACTATGACCTGCATAATCCTTGCTGTCCATAGCAGAGTATAAAAAAAGCAACGCGCTTGTGGTATTGTAGTCCTGAACGCCCCTTACATACCTTGTCAATCTCTCTATCACGGCTGATTCTCTCTGACCACTCGTCGAACCCTTCGCTCATACTCCACCCGGTCTTTCTTAAAGAGATTATATGCCTCAGCTTGTGCGGGGGACTCGGGGTTGGGGTTGTCGAGAAGATCCTGCACACCCAGTACAATCTGCTTGACCGTGATCGCTGGCTTCCAGCCTTCTTCCTCGTTCAAGATCGACAGGCAGACTGTACCGGAGGGATACACATTCGGATGGAATAACGGCGGGGTGAACTTGCCTGGCGCGTCAAATTCTTATCAGTCTTGTGACCATCATGCAGCGAGCTGGTGCGGGTTGGAGTGATACTTACACTTGGGGGGCTTCGTGGGGTACTCTGACGTGAGCGATTATTAGCATCTAGTTTGGTCGCAGGGCAGTTCCACAAGCCACAGCTTACCATCAGGAAAACTCATCGTCATCTTGAACATGCCACCCTCCCAGATCGTCTTTTCCTTGCCAGGAATACCGCACTCCCAAGTCTTCAGGTCCATGACACCATTCTTGTCCTTGACAGGTCGAGCCCAGAATCCGAAAGGGTGATCTTTTCGCCATTGCTTTCTGTATGCATGGCATAGTCAGTAGGTGGCTCGAGTCTGGAAAAAATCGGGTTCTCGACGTGGGCGGGGCATACCTCTCCTCGCCGAGGCGCATCTGGCACAGCGCCATTTTGGGTCGCAAAAGTGAGTCGCTTCGTGGAATGGGCAGACAGGAAGATATTTCGATCAAGACGTTGCGGATGCGCGGGATGCTTCAGACCAGGCTTGGGTTGAAAGTGGATGGTAGATGAAGGTGGAGGGATGAGAAGCAGCGAATTGGGTACAGGGTGGAGTCCTGAGTCGAATTTTAGAAGATTGAGGCAGGGCGCAGGGTAGACAATGGGAGATGGAGAAAAGCTGGCAACTTAAGGGAAATGATGAGATTTGGCCGAGGTTTATTTTGGTGAAAGGGGCAACAAGTGCCCAGCAAGTTGTGAATCGCTGAGGCCGGTTTGACAATACTGGTGATAACAGTAAGGTTGCGCAACAGGGTTGAGAATGAAATGGACCTGAAGTGGTCCGTGTCACCTTGTTCCAGGCGGCGGCGGGCACAGCGGCTGACAGCGGGTCACATTTGAGGCTCTTAGTGATCAGCATTAGAGTCTATGCCCCAAATGGAAGGTGGTTAGGAGTGAGTTGGTGGTTAAAACAGAGACACAGTGCAGTTTCCTTAACGTCAATACTTCAAACTGTGCATAAACTGTGCACAAACTCCTCTATTTGTAAGCAATCTAAGTATGAGTAGAAATATATATTATTTTATTATTAAATACGCCGTAGGCTCGAAGCCCCCGGTACCTCTACTAGTACTCCCGTATGTCAAACCGTGCCCTAATGGCTGGACTAAATACATACGCTGCGTCGTCGGTTCGCCCTATTGGCGACTGCGTTACGTCCACTACCATACTACGTTGGTTCTCAACCTACCAACAAAGTCCCCCCTGAGAAGATCGATGCTATCTGGGCCTTGAAGCTGTCCGACCCGTCCCTAGCAGCCACCTTACAATAGCCCCACTAACTACTGGTTCTCCTGTTGCCGTTGCGAGGTCTCTGCGAGAGTATAGTGGCCGTGGTGCGATGGCGGCCCGTAATCGTTCCCTCGGTCCTTCCAACAGCCCGCAAAAGAGGATTACGTGCTCTGCCGTCTCAGGGGCGTCGCCACAGCGGCATAGCGGCGAGTACACGCCAAAAGCCCCTGTCTTGAATAAGAAGGCTGCTAGTCCTATTTTTTCCGTCCTGATCTGGCACAGCGTAGACGCCTCCAGTCGGTTCAGGCCGAAATACTTGCCCCCTTTCGGTATCTGCATCGAAGGGCCCTCCGGTTCCTCAGCGATAGCGCGTCGCTGGCGATCGTGATGCTCTGCTCCGGTGAGCCATCTCTTCCTCCAGTGGCCGAGGAGGGCAGCCGGGACCTCCTTTTCCTCACTCATCCACTCGGAGCCCCGGGCCTCCTTCTCCATAGTGTACCCTGCCGGTCGGAGTAGCTGCGACGCCTGCTTCCTCGTCGCCGGCCTATCCTGCCGGAGTATATGTGACGCTTTAGCGCTCGCGCTGCGAAGCAGATTTCTCTTCCCGCTAAGTCGTAGCCGTTCTTCAAACTTAGCAGCCCGGGCACTAAGATAGAGGTCTAGTGGCGGGATTGCTGCTTCTGCTTCCAGGTGGCGAACCGGCGTCGCTTTGTGGGCGCCACAGACTACCCGGAGGCACTCGTTCTGTATCCCCATCAGGCTCTTAGCTGGCCCTGCCGGTTCCTCACTTATAGTATGCCACGCAGTCGCCCCGAAGGCGATCGCGCTACGGATAACCACCGTATATAACAGCCTCGCCTGTATAAGATCGCAGCCCCACGACATATTGACTAGCTTTGTCAGGGCTAGCTTTTGAGTTGCCATTTTTGTTTTAACACGCTCAACATGGGCGTGCCACGTCAGTTTGCGGTCGAACCAGACTCCTAGGAACCTGGCTGAGACTACCGGCGACACTGTGGCGTCCCCAAGGCGAATACTTTGCGGCAAGGGCTCTCGGGCCCTAGTAAAGTGCATTAGCTCACTCGTCAGGAGCGAACTCCATCCCGTGCCTCACTGCCCACCGCTGACGCGTAGCCCATGCGCTCTCCAACCGGCGGCAGGTCGTGTCTGGATCGGTGCCGACGCTTAGCAGGTTCGTGTCGTCCGCGAACCCGACTACTAAAAGTAGTGGATGCTGCTCCGCTAGCTCCTCGTACAGCGTTGAAATGTATAATATAAACAGTATCGGGGATAGCGGTGACCCCTGGGGGACGCCAGCTCGTAGGGGGATTGGCTCTGACTCCTTGCCATCGAACCGGAGGCGTACCGTCCTATCCTCCACGAAGCTGCGTACCCACTCCTGAACCCACTCCGGGTAGCCTTTCCGGGCTAATATGGAAATCAGCCGTCTGTAATTGACCGTATCGAATGCCCCCTTGATGTCTAGCTGTAGCAGCGAGGCAATGCCCCCGCGTCTCCACGCCGTATAGACCACGTCCTCAACTATACGTATTGCCAGTTCGGTGGACCTCCCAGCGCGGTTACCCATTTGGCCGTTTGGTAGTAGGCCGGCCGCCTCAGCTACTTTGGTGATACGCTGACTCATCGCCGTCTCTATTACCTTTCCTACCGTGCTAAGCAGGGCAATGGGGCGCCAGCCGCCAGGGGTCTGCTTCTGAGCTGTCGTTTTATTAGGCTTAGGGATAACAACCACCCTCGCTGAGCGGAAGCGCTCCGGGTAGTACCCCAGCCTAAAGCTAGCTGTTGCCAGATCCGCTAGGATCTCCCATAGGGGTTCACCGCAGGCCTTTAGCAGGCCAGTGGGGATCAGGTCGTCGCCGGGAGCCTTCCGAGCAGCCGTTCCTTTGATGATAGACTCGATATCCATTGTGGTCACCTCCCTAGGGACGTTCAGCTCTGGTCTCGTCTGTAATAGGCCGCGATCGAGGTCCGATAGATCTATACACGGGTCTGGGAAGAACCTCTCAGCTAGTAATTTTGCCTTCTCATCATGTGTACGTGCCGTAAGCGTGTCGCCGGCGTCCCTCCGGAGATCTGGCAAGCCGTGGGCCTCAGGGGGGGCCCAGCTCCGTAGCCTAGCCCACCTCTGCAGTGCCCACAGGCTTTTGTGATCCTTCGCCGTCCCCTCGAGCTTCTCGTGCCAGCTACGCGTCTGCGCTTCGCTGATTTCGAGCCGTTGTTTTTGGCCGGCTCTTGTATATTCGTCCCAGTTGGTCTGCGACCTTGCCTGGAGGTAGTCCCGCCGTCGTCTCTTCGTCTCAGCGCAAGCCTTGCTAACCTGCGGGCACCACCACGGGACCCCAGCGCCTCGGCCAACGGTGCGTCTCGGGACCGCCACGTCGGCGATCTCTTGGAGGTTCCGGATAACCCAGTCAACAGCCTGGTCCAACTCCGTTATCGTCTCAACCGGCAAATAATTCATAAATCTCTGGCTGAAATATATAACAAGATATGTCTAACAGAATTGAATAAGTAGTAATATAAATCCTATCTGTATCGATGAGGTGGTATTATTTTCAACTGTATTCCATAACTTTTATGACTTGTACACAGTACCTTATCGGACAGTAGCTGAAATAACAGGATACCAGGGAAGAGTTAAACACCCGACATAGAAAGTACCTGTTTAGGTATACTTCAATACCAGCCTATTGCTACTGCTGACTTCAAACATTGATACAATATATGCTTGGCGTCACTTCCAGTACTTGGTTCTGTTTGAAATGGAGGAATGAATGACGTGATCATACAGCCTGTCCAATAGGCTATTCAATGAATTCTAACAACTGTTGAAGCCTTCAGGCCCATTGCGAAGGTTTGGCCCCATAATCATAACCTTGAAAAACATAGTAGTGGTAACGGTGAGCAGGTGTATATATTATCTCAAATTCGATGCTACCACAGCCCTCTAATGGTTTTCGTCCCTTGCCGCATTGTGTCCTAGGCACTTTGTTTAAATTTGGGGGGTCTTTACAACGGTATTTACCACGCACACTTTCAAAGAGCGGTTGAATTGTTGGGATGCTGACAAACATTATAGCGAGATTTGGCTTCTGGCATGTATAGAAGATATTGTCCTGCTCAATCCTTGTGATATCAGACCATCTTATGCGACACAAGGCAAATATTCGTAAAACCCCAACAACAGTGACTCTATTCCAGTCAGCTATTAGCATATTTGCCCAGAAAAAAACACGTAAAGCAGCATACGCATAAACAGTGCCATAAAACTAATCATAGTCATCGTCCCCATCTTCAAACTCACGAGCGGCATCGGCAACGCAAGCACCCAGAAGTCGGCCAGAAGACTAAAGAGTCCTACGACGAAGATGATAGTCATGCCATCACCGCATTCTTGATGCATGCGCTGCGGATCAAATGGCACCTGAGAATGGACAACATATGAAGATACTGAGGGGCATATCCACGAGACGCGTACAACGATGACGCACATAGTGATCTTGCTCGCCAGTGTCATGCAGTGGCTGTGCTTCAATACGTGAAGATAGAAACACAGGATGCTGGGATTGGTGGTGGTTAGGTAGAAGTTATATAGCTTGATGTGCGCTTTGAGCAGCTATATTTCTCTGTCAGCTCGTCTCAGCCTCTAACAATAAGGGGGAAGGGACTAGAACTAACTTTTCCCCAGAGTGACCAATCGATCGATATCGATCATGATTCTTCACTCCGGTATCGATCAACATCATATTCATCCGATCGGTACCGGTACAGATTACTAAGTAACCGGTATCGATCGGCATCGATCACATATAACCGGTCCGGTCAGATAGAGGTCGGATCGATCAATAGCGGTTGTACGGAGTTGTTTATTTTTAACGGTTTTGCGCCCAATTAGCTAATTCGCGTGAAACCTCACCATCCAATTCAACGTTTGATACCTTGTCAAGCAGATGGAGTGGCAACTCTGCCTGATAAACGCCTGCTAAACTTCATGACCTGATACATTGTGATGCCCCAATAACGTGGCGTTTTAGGCGAGATCTTCGTGCTGATACCATCTCTCCTACGCTGTTAAACTGGCGTTCTGTTTCTGCTTGCGCTGAAGGTATCGTAAGGAAGTCAACAGCCATATAAGACAGTTTGGTGAAACGTTTTGCGCCAATATCACGCCACCAAGCTACTGGGTCCTTTAAATATTGGTCCACGTTAACCACAGGTTCTGCCAGGTAGAGGACAAGCTCGTCTTGTTGTGATTCTTCCTGCCTAATCGGCACCGGCTTGGTGTTTCTGCCCTTTCCTTTCCTTCTCTTTGCTATTGGCTGTGTATCTTATGTACTTTGCGAATCAAGGACCTCGGAGTCGGCGTCGCTCATATAAAAACGCTTGCGGCGTTGAAGCATCGTAAGGACTGGCTGGTTCTCAGCTTCAGCTAAAGGGTTGGTCTCAGGAAGGGGCCTAGACGAGGGTCAGTTAGAGATGAACAGTTATCTAGATATTATACTTACCTATTTTTATAGTCACCCTCCCAAGGCTTCCTCAACCTAGCCATATAATGCTCACGCCAACTCAGCTATTCACTTTTCCTACCTAAAACAACGCCTAACCGTATTAGGTTAGATAAAACCAGGGTCAACAACAAGGGTCACGATGCCCTCAGAATCCTCCATATAACCGGTCCGGTCAGATCGAACGATCGATACCGGTGGCAGTTTGCGCCACCGGTATCGATCTAATGAACAAAATGTGCTACCGATCGGTATCCGATCGATTGGTTACTCTGAGCCCAATTGTTTCCAGTCGATTATCGCTACAATCTTAGACGGGCATTCAGTGTCCACCATAATGTTGCTAGGATGAAGGTCGCTATGCGTGAAAGTTATCGCGACGTCGTCTGGAAGTAAGCATCGATACGGATCTGGGATGTCCTCCGGTTTCACTCTTGGCCAATGCTGTTCCTTACCCTGTCGAATCATGACAGAGAGCCAATTATGAAAGCCATGAACCGATGCAAAGGGTCCTCCGGGGGGTGTGGAGTTCTTGGGTATTGAGATGTCGTGATACGGGCCCCCGCCGACGTTACCTGGGAATTATCAGCACGAAGTTATCAGCAGGAAAGTACCGTACGCTTCCGGAATTACCGAGAAATGTGTTTTGAGGATCCGGCCTCAGGGTGCGAAGCTCTGCGTGCATGGACTGCAGGGTTCCCCACAGCTTGGGCTTCTCTTCTGAATTCATTGAATCCCATCGCTGCCCAACAGTATCACCATGGATTAACTCCATGTAGAGAAGGACGTAGCCACCCTCCTCCGACCACCCGTAGATCTCGGGAACGGGTAGTTCGGGGAGATAATGGCGGAGAGCCCATAGGCATTGGCCTTCGGAAATCGACACGGTTCCATTGCGCCCGCATTTGATAACAAGCCCAAGAGACTTAAAGTAGGTAGGAGGCAAGCCAGGCTAGTCACGACATGATGGATTCTGTATGGCGCTCTCCGCAAGCACCTCAGCCAGAGTCGGTAGTGATAGCTGCGAATTATTTCGAGAAAAGAAGGAAGATTCCGGAAAGGTGACTGAGGAGCCAGAGGGGAGCTCAGAGAAAAGTACAGTTCGCTTAAGCGTCGATTCCATCTGGACTGACTTTAGGGGCATTGAGTGGAAGAAGAAATGTGGAGGGCATCTAATGCTAATGCTAACCTTGACATGGTTTGTAGGTCGTGTGGGTAAACATTGGGAAAAGGTCGTACCGGTCCAGTCACTTGGTGCCTAAAGCAATCCCACGGTCTATTCTACCGCGACCTCAGCTTGATAGTGAGCAGTCAGGTGCCCTTGGTACGCTCTGCGGGTATTCCTTCCTAGCTAAACGGGAGATAACCTGTTCGATATGCACCGACTCGTCCACATAGCAACAAGGTCATGGCTTATAAGGCAGAAACAGGAAGTGGACGCACTTGTAAATGCCCTACAACATATTGCGATGTCACTGGGGTGCCTGGTGGGCTGCCGCAGAACGTGGATAGGAGTAAGTTCAATTGGACTTGACTACAGCTGAGCTCAGGTTTGGAACAGAGCTGATGAGGTTGTAGATTTCGTAATTGGGAATAATGATGGAATACTGAGTTGCTTTAACACTCCGGGGGTTCGGGTCTGATGACTGCTGAAATCGTGGCGGTTGAGTCAGGTTAAGATACATATCACCGCTGGGTGTCGTTCCTGGGTTCGAAGGTACTCTAGCAACCTGATAATATTCATCAATAGAAATGATAACTAAGTCCTGCTATAATAGAGTCAAATGAAACAGACCGTTTGATTGGCAGGGTAAGTGCGCCTCTCTCAATTCAGAGACGGGCCGGATGTACTAGCATGTCGACAGGAGGATCAGTATCAGACTTTCACAGTCCATCAAAGCAATTTCACGGAATTCTTCATGTCGAAATACTGTCAATCTTTGGAAGACGCCATGTCGAAGGGTCTGTGTTGATAGGGAAGGTTGGGAAAGTTGTAGGCCACATGTGTTGCATTTTTGGGAAGTCGGAACCCATTTAGGCAGCGAACGGGGCCTTCCTTGCAATGTGAGTAGTAGCCAGAGGTCTTCTGTATCAATGTATCACGTGCAGGATCTTGGATCCGGGTATGGAACACGCGTCAAAGCTTGTCAATAACAGTAGTTGCTCTCTGTAGATCGAGATCCTACCTTACATTGGGATTGCGAGGAGCGGCATCACATATCAATATCCTTCACATCCTAACCTACCACCCATGCTACGCCTCTCTATTTAAAAATTTTACGCTACGGATAAATTTAAACATTTAAAGACATTAGCAGTATTGGCTGAGGTACTTGCCTCCAGTGCGGGAAAATTAAGCCCCGAAAAATTCCCTCCAGTTGCAATTTTCACCCAGCATTGCATCCTTCCCTTCAAACCTAGATATCCATTTTCAGCATAATTTATACACGAGACACAATGAATTGGACCGAGGGTAACCTGGCTCGCCATTCACATGGCAGAGCCAAAAACGGGGTCCTAATGCGCCAGAAACAGCATTTTGCAAAGGCGCGCAACAACCTACTGAGTGGCATCAAGCGCAGCCCGATCATGACATCATCCTTCAACATAGAGTTATCAAGACGACCTGAGAAGTCCCGAAAATCTGCAGGTTCTCAGTGCAATAGCCATTCTTGGTGGATACACTCACCCGAACGAGAGCAACGGCAGGCAGCAAGTACGAAAGCACAACCTCGTCTTGAGGATCAACAACATCACCGATCAAGAGGTGAACTTCCAACCCAAAACGAGATTTTAGGCAAAAAAAGGAAGACACCAGCGGTAGATACGCCCAGTAGGATCGACATCGACGTGAAAAGGCGGAAGCTCCTCAGCAAGCCAGATTGGGCTGGCTTGACCATGCCGCAACCAGTTGATATGCTCTTCTCGAAACCACCACAGGAGGCGAATAATAGGCGATGGGGAAAGGTTGACCAGTCGCGTTTAAGAAAAACTAGAGGAAATCGCCACTTCACGGCTGATATCCGAGCAGAAGTGTTCTCCCCTGTGCAACACAGTTCGAAATCCAGGGCCCGACAGCCGAAGCAGTCTCCTATCAAGATTCAGATTGAAAGACAGGAGACCTATGGCAGTAGCACAAGTTCCAATACGCAAATGACGCGCAGGAGATTCAGCTTGGTTCCCCCCATGAATAGGTCACCTTCGCGCCATGACATAAGAAGACGGGGTGAGCCAATTCAGAAGAAGGCTGCACAAGCGAAGGTACCACACCAGAGAAGTCGACGGTACGGTTCTATTTCGGGTTCCTGCTCGAGTTCGGAATATGACCCACAGTTTTCTGGAGCTGATGTTCCGGCTCACGTTGTTTACTCATCGTCTGAGATCCATGAACCTTCCCCACGTCGACTGGAGGACTATATGGTGCTTCGATGGTCCCCGTCCAGGTCGGGTAGCACGAACAGTCTCCAAGCCCAAGTCGGTCGCGGGCCACCGCAGCCTTCAGCCTCTCCAATTGTCGAAAACAATAAGTGGCTAGCTTTGTTATCTTCCTCGGATAACGGAATCAGCCCATTGATGAGAGGTTCTTCTCTCTGTCGCAGCGACCTCCCACAACCCATAAGCCCCGGTTTAAGCACCATTGAGTATCATTTTGACATGGCGCCTATGGATGAGGATTTATATTCATCAAAAACGTCAGATGCTGCCCAGTTTTCAACCAGATCATCCAAGCAATGTGCTGAGGTCCAGTCAATGCCTTCAACTAAAAAAGGCCCTGACCATTCAATGATTGCGATGCATGGTTCAGTTTCTCCGGAACTTATATACCAGGATGGGTTGTCTTCAAGTCGGAAAGCTGATCCTAGCCCCGGTATGTTCGCGAATGATGACTCAGACTCTCTACGATCCTCACCGGAGCTACTTGAAGAGCCCTTCTCGGACCAGCATCAAACAGTGCTTAAAGGGTATGGCACTGTTCCGACTCAGATCAAAGCCGATGCTGCAAAACACTCGCAAGCCTTGGTTGAGTCAACTAAACACTGTATACAAGCTCATTCATTGGTTTCCAAGATGGATTGCCACAACATGGACTGGAATGTTTTGATTGGGATAACCAAGAGTCTGGAGCCCCCTATTGTGGTGAAATCCGCGACTCGAACTGCAAAGGATGTTAATGAGGCATGGATGAAATTCATTTTCGACATGGATAATGACGAGATGGAGGAAATCAAGTCGCAAGCTGTCCATCAAGCTGCGCAAGAACTCCGACCTTCAATGATTCCTGTAGTTGCCTCTCTCGAAGAATCTAGTGCCGAATCGGTCGAGTTCTCAATGACCACGGCTTCGGGCGGGACCTCCACTTGGTCGCCCGTGGAGCATTGCACTATGGGCACCGTCCGCACCTCATCAAGCCAACGTCTTGATGAAGATGATGACATGACTTATTTGGCCCCAAGCGCAAGCAACGCCGCTACACATGGCTCGGTGTCATCTTCAACAGTACCACAAAGGCAACGCTCTCGCGCGAAGACCATCTCTGCACCAGCTACTGAACAAGTCGAGGTGACAGTTGGGAGTGTCACCGACACGACTTCGTCCCCTGAAAGTACAAATAAGATGTCCATAGCAATTTCCTCTGATCCTGAAACAATCGACACGGGCGCAGCGACGGTGGCTAGCTCGGATGCAACAGACGATATCCACTCAGACTCTCGCATTACAATGCCTCAAACTTTTGATAGGAAACTAGAAGAACTTGGCAAAAAGCGAACGGGGATGCTACTACCGCCGGCAAAAATAAAATCAAGAGGCGATAGTGGCAGAGGACGTCGAAGGAAGAAGGCACTCGCTGGGAGGACCGCTATCAGCAGTTTGCCGAGTTTTGACGGGGATCTAATTGAAGATATTGTCGATGATTAGACATGGACTTGTAACAGCAACAAAGAAACAGCGTGGATCGGCTTTAGCTACTGGATTTACTAGCTTTGCAAAAGATGAAAATAACTTCAGTTTAAATCTTACAAAACATTATCATACCTGAAACGCTTGTGTGATAGGGCAAGGGCAAGGCAAATAACAAGTTATGTTCTGCCAATCCCCGCTCTCGTTGCTCGCAACATAGGTCACATCGCAATACCGCCTATCTGACTTTAATCTCTCGACCCTAAAATTTTCGAACAACGCGGTCCATGTCGAAAAGTTGGCCCTGACTTCAAAATTAACGGCCAAGCCGGGTGAGCCGCCCATGTTCTGGACAGAGAGCGGTGTGATGGTCAAGCGGTCGCCGTCGTTGGTGAGCTGCTGCGCTTCACATGGGAGTGCGGTGTTGCATTGCTAAGGAATAGTCAGACCCAGGCGGCCTCAATTGAAGTTGAGTCCTTCGAGCTTGTTCGGTTCTAAGCAGTTCTTAGTCTAAAACTCCCCACCTTCGGACGTCAGCCCGGATGCCAACGCCACTGTCACAGCTCATCAAACCAACTCGGAGCAAAACTACTCGCGGCAAACCACTCCTCTTAATATGAACTTTATGCAGGCCCAGATGAGAAAACAAGGAAACAAATAGGGTTCAAATCAGTCCACAAATAAGGGTGGGGTGAGGTATGTTTCCCATTGAATGGTAGTGCTGACAGAGCTACAAGGCATGCCTGTCAAGTAGGTCGAATGTAAGATTAGCATCTGCGTGAGGCAAGTTGGTGATCTGTGTTGGTATTCGAGTTATTTGGAAACAACTACATGTCGATACGACGAGGTGCGAATATGGGACATCAAGCCGCCTCACTACTCTGGCCGTACACAATCTATTCATTCGTCTCTCACTATATAAAAAGCTAATAGGGAAGACCGCCCATGTTCTTTATCCATGATCTTCTAGTTGGGCCCAGTGTTGCCTCCCACAATAATGTCTTGGTCGATCAATCCATCACATGACGTATTGAGCCTACATCGCTCCAGCGAGTGTTTGTATTCGCTACGCTTATACGTTGTCTGCACCGCATAAGTGGCCTGCATCGGACCACACAAGTCAAACACGTAACCGCAAAAGAGCAATTTGCGCCTCTCTGGACATACATAATCGAGGTCGAGGCCCATAATCAGAAGCCGTATTCCCAGTACTTAGTGGCCGACTTGTTTCTCAAACTTCTTCGTCATCACCAGCTTCTTCGACTTACAACATATAAATCAGCAAACCTAAGGATGAATTTCGACAGTCCGCCGGTCGAGTCCGCTTCTATGCTAGAGGTTTAGCCTGGGTAGAAGGCCGGGTCGGCTTATGGCGATTGCCAGTTAAATCATATCGAACATTACTAGGACCAGAAGCAACAAACCTAGTCCCGTTATATAAAGAAAAATACAGGTATGTTGAGATTCAGATTTCCTTGCAATGAACACCTGAGGTTGTTGTTAATGGTGTCATTAGCAATCCCCAGCCTGACGAGCCTTACACTTTGAAGGTGGGTGACATTCTTGAGCTCGATGAAACCGAGGGACTTTATTTGAGGGCGGGCGGTATTTCCCTGGCCCTAATTTGGTACAGCGTGAAGAAAGGGAAGCCGGTGGAGGCTGTTCAGGATCAAGATGGGGAGAACGGAGGGGGGTTCACGTCGTTGACTTGATGTACTGGCGGACTGTGACTGGGAAACGAAGACGGTGCAAAATCCATATTCCCCAGACTCCCCATGTTGGCTTTCTCACCGGAAACGAAGCCCATAAGACCCAAGAAATTTGGCAACAAATTCTGCATAAAGCCTGTGCTTAACGGCTCAGAGAAAACGAACCAATCTTGATTGTTCCAATCTATTCCCGTCGCTGCGTACTTGTATGCTGTCTCTGGTGTTGATCGAGCGGTCTTGTCTCTGTAAACAATTTAGCACTCTCCGGTGTATGTGTGTCGCCATGCCCCTCCATGACCGCAGTATTAACGGTGATGGTGATGGTAGTGGTCGCGACGATACCGTTTCGAGACAAAATCGATGAGCGCCAAATTGGCTGGGACGACCACATTGGAGATTGTGAATCCAGGCGGCGCAGCTCGCTATTTGTGATCCCTTCACATCAATCCAGCTTTGCGGATGACCATAAATCTGACAAATTACTTGACCGTTGGGACTTTGATGTTGGGCGTTGATATATCTAATTTGTAGAATGCTCCTGGTGTGATATCCCTGCACGCCACGGCGGGAAATATGTGGGATCCGCAAAGCTTCGCTGTCTTAGCTTGTCTGAGGCTCTCCTGGCTGCTTACTGTCGAACTTCCTCCTTCAATACAGCCCCTTTGCTAAAAATTACAATTAAACTTCCCCAAGTGGCAAGGCATCGCGGATAGGACATTCGAGGTTCGGTGGCCATTCAGGGGTCTTCGAGTTACTGTACATTGTTCTGATCAATAAAGAAATGTTGTTACTACTTGGGTTGAAGGTGACTTAAGTGTCGGGGTGCTTAATTTGCAATTGCTAGAGAGGAGGTCGCAATTCATGGACTTGCGATATGCTAGGCGTTGTATCAACTTATTACCGTAATTGCTATAAAGCTGCAGTATTATAACGAGTAATAGTCAATGAATAAACTCAAATGACATCCTTTTACAGCGGGATAAAATAGTATAAATATAATTATTCCGTCGTATCTGAATCTAATAATGCAAATGCTTGCTAATTTTTCTAATAACTATAGTATAACGATACGTTTAGTCTTATACCGACTTGGATACGTAAGTATGCATCTGTATCGCACTCAAGGGGATACGTTTGTTGCGATTCTCGCATACGCTCCTTGAATCAGCGTCGTCTAGATCTCTAAAATCTCTTACTTATTAGAAAAATGGATCGTGATTTTCATGTACGTACTCTCATTGGTCAGGCCAAGCGATGCCTCACACTGAAAAGAGCAGTTGTTTCCGCGCCCAAATCCCGACCCCTCTTCTGCCAAAGGGCTCACCACAACAGCAAGCCGCCATATCACTTTACTTGTTGGCAGCTAGAGACTTCCGCGTTACTGCACTGTGATATTAGCATCAAGTCGGCTTCTAGCCAGCATCAGCATAACGAACGTGCAGTTATGAATGATGACTCTCATGCCCCGTCCGGGCAGGACAACATGACTGGTGATGGAAATAGCTCCGAATGGACACTTACTTCTGAGAAGTTATTGCCTGAAGGGTTTCATATTCCACGAGAATTGATTCGTCAACCGTCTGGCCGCCCGGTCGTTGAGCCTGATTCGGTTTTGGGAGATTCCAGGAGAACATACCAGGCTTATAAGGAAGGGAAGTACATCATGCCAAACGATGAGGTAAGTCTGGGGAGCATCATGAGATCCAGGGTATGCTATGGGTGTTAAATATGATTTGTCATGATGCAGGCTGAACAGGAACGTTTGGACAAGCAACACTATGCATTTACGCTACTCATGGACGGCAAACTCTCGTGGGCTCCGTTGACGGAGCCTCCTGCACATGCTGTCGATATTGCAACAGGCACGGGAGTATGGGCATTGGAATTCGGTTGGTTTGCATGCGACGCGAGCATTTCTGACGTTGAAATTTTCTCATAGACTAACATGTCACAGCGAAACAATACCCCGAATCCATGTTAATAGGGACTGATTTGAGCAGGATACAACCGGATCCAGCCATACCTAACTGTTTCTTTGTCAAAGAAGACGTGGAGGATGATTGGGTATTTTCCCACTCTTTCGAATATATTCATGCGCGGTTCGTAAACACCTGTTTCGACAACCCAAAGATGGTCATCTCCCACGCCTTTAAGAATTTGAATCCGGGAGGGTGGATAGAGTATCAGGACACGGCGCCTCAATTTCTGTTCATGGATGGAAGCTTGGACGGCACCGCTCTCGGAAAGTGGTCGGATCTTTGCCGTCAGGGAATGGCAGCTATGGGAAAGGATGCACTGGTCTCTGCCAAGTACAAATTTTGGTTTAAGGAGGCGGGTTATAAGTGAATTCTCGTTCTCTGGATGGCGGCAACATGTGTTCGATGTTGCAATTTGGCAGACTTGGTAACCAGTCAACCAGATATGATAGACGCTGATACTTTCCAGTCGTGAACGTCACAGAGAAGAAAATCCCATGGCCTTGTAATGGCTGGCCGGCGGACCCAAGGTTTCAACAAGTGGGCAAACACCAACTGCAAAACATTTTGGATGGAATTCGCGGCGTTGCGTGGGAAATGTTGAAAGCTGCCGGCATGACCCCATCCGAGATCGAGTCGTTTATCGAACAGGTCAAGGAAGAAGCGCAAGATAAGAATACGCGATTCTTCATGCCGGTGTAAGTTTATAACTTCATTCCATTTGGGTCCTGATTTAAGCTGACGTGTGACTTCAAAGCTACGTCGTGTATGGACAGAAGCCGCTGGTGACTTAGGATCGAGTTGAGACGTTTTGTTAGATGACGTGGAAATGGAACTAGATACTTGGTGCTTTGGGACTTGTGGGGTCATTTTCTACTTACTAGCTTGGAACCAGTTCTCTCGGCTGGGTGGAAGGAGGAACTGCCTGCCCAGACGGAGAAATGATCTCCTTACATTGCCATACCATAGTATCCCAGTTATAAGGTGCATCTGGAGTGTGGCGAAACAACGACCCCTCCTATTTCGGACACCCGGTCACACATAGGAGCTGTACGCACATGTTGAACCTTCAAGGCTACTACACCAAGACTGCCAGTCTTGGAAGAACACATGGTCACGTACCGTAATTTATAGACCAATATGATCACCACCCTGGCATCTTTCATTCCTGTCTATATAAGGCCCTTATAGCCGCTATTCACTTCTTACAGGACTCTCCAGAGATCATATCTTCAATATAAGACCATTTGCCTATTGATACATGACCCCATGGGGGGTTGCCCTATAGCTAGAGATAAGATAGATACGAGCTATAAAAGAGCTCTGCCAGGCCAGAATAGCTGACCTGGCCATCCTTTCCCAATACAACAATTCACACCCCATATGCACTCGCATCACCTATAGTCTAATAGTTATAGCCGAATCTACTAAATACACGAGTCTAACCATCTAATTTATACACGAATTAGTAAACTATTTTCTTCTAAAAGGGGATGGGCTTAGGAAAGTGTTCCCCGACCTTTAAACAAATATTAAGAGGCGGAGTTATAAAACGCTTAATGTACCCTGCAAGTTGGCCATACCGTATCTTTATTATTCTTAAAAGTACGAGCATTATATCCGGGCTCTCCACAGATCCTACAGCGCCGTCGGCATGGTTAGGCCGTTCTCGTACGACGACGACTTACACGTATATTATCCTGTAGCTACTATTTAAATCTCCTGTTAAGACTATAGGACCTAAGCCTCTCGTAAAATAAGAGACCCTCTATCTTATAGCTGTCGATTTTTAGTCCTTCGAAGACGCCTTAGCTCTTAATTAGCCTTCCGAAGTGTTGTAATCTTATCCTTAAGTAAAACCAACCGGTACATAATAGCCGTAAGAATTGTCTCGGAGAGCTATTCTAGTACTATACGATCTTGGTTTCAACGTATTTAGACTAGGATTACGCCTTAGTTAGGTTATTAGAGTCTTTGATTCCTAGCTTAGGGGGCCGCTAGACGAGCTCCCAGGAGGTATAGGCGTATATAGTGTAGTGGGGCCAGGCCGGTCATCAAGGAAAATGGGTGACAGGGGGCAGGGAGGACACCCTTTTCTTCGCTTCAAGATGTACGCAGAACCAATCACCATCTTCCCTTGATCATTCCTCTCATCATATTGTAACGGGGTAAGGCCGGACATCAGGGAAATAGGTTACGGGGCTAGGAGAAAGTTTATTTTATCTTCTTTAAGAGGCACAGAGGCAGAGTAGGACACGAGTTCCCCATCTTCACGCATCATCATCCTCATCTTCATATCATCATCTCCTTCTTATCTATATCTTCACCTTCGCTTTTCAGTCAGTTATTTAGTTATTTTAGTTATTCAGCTTATCTTTACGTTCGAGATCCTATTATCACGATACGAGTATCAGAGGCACATCCGACCAACTCGCGCACCAGACGTATAAGAGCTTCACTCTTATAACCAGTACCACGATCTTCGTCTGATAAGACCACCAGATGGGATCTGTTGGTACTGGAGCCGTCTGTTCAGTGTGTTAGGTGGTAGGTATATCCTACTGACCGCCTGACCCCGTTTCAATATTCTTTTCAGTCTTCGTTTTTCAGTTAGTCAGTCAATCCTGTGGAAGGTCTGGGACGCTCGTCGAAAACACACCGTGCGGTCATCTCTAAACAGAGCCGCAGCATATGACCTACACGAGTTCATCGACCTCAGGCTCACATCGGATCCCGAATTTCTGGTGGGAAAGTGGCCGCCGCTTCTTGATGTTGCATTATTGGGGCTCGAGTCTCTAGGGAAGGTTGAGCGGAGCGTGGAGACGGTGCGATCTCTTCTGCGGCACGGGGCAGATCTTAATGAGTGTCTCGAAGGTTGTCAGACCTTATAACTACCAAAAATACCTCATTCTACAACGAGTGGGTCCCTCGTCTTTTGACGGTCAATTTGGTCCAACAAAGGTTCTACAGTCTGGGGCAGGTTTTTGGACAGGCTGAGATATCGCCAGGCTCAAATTTGCTCCCGGCAATCCCTCGAGGACTTGAGGTTGCCGGAAGTGGCAGAAGAGCTGATAAGACATAAATCAGATCTTGGATTCGAGATCTTATTAGGCGATAACAAGACAGTTTCTGCAGCTAGGACCCTGAAAGATGTAGTCGCGGATGACTTACAAATACTGAATCTACTCCATGATGCTTCGCAGGATTGCAACACCCTGACAGACTGACATCAACCCCTCGGGAAAGTTGTCACATAACGGGAATTCGAATGAAGAAGACGACAGTTAAAGGTATGCCTCACATGCGTCATGCCAGAGAGTAAACGTCGCTACGTATGCGCTCATTAGTCAGTATAACAACTCTATACTTCAAATAATGACCACTTCCTCTGTAGGGCCATCATTGTCCCAGGTTCGCACAGACGACATAAACCGACCAATCCTTCGAAACCGTTGCCCTCCCTCAACAGTCGCAAGTGCCAATCCAAACACCTGCGGCCACGGATGTCCAATCTCGGAACAGGCTACAGCGTAGATGGAATCCTGCGCCTCTGTGGACACATCGAAAGTCACAGATCCGACCTTGCTTTCTTTACCGCCTAGATCTGCGAATAGGTTCTGCGTCCTTGGATCATTGTTCAGCCATGCGGGGGTGACTTCACGCGTGCTTAACTGTCTAATCTATCCCTTGATTCTGACCATCCCACTCTTCACCCTGCCAAATGGATCCAAGCCGAGGGGTGACGTGTCCATCACCATGATATCAGCCACGGATTTGATCCGATCCTTATCCATGAATAAATTCCAGTCCCAAGCTACGGGCCTAGCGATGGAGGCCCATGACCACGACGGCGCTGTGTATTCCTGCGGACGACGTGGTTCCTCTTCGGTCTTATGTGGGTCGTCTACCCTCCACAGCAAGTTGACGATACCGTGTGATGCAAAATGACCGGCATGGTATTCGCCAGGTGTGAATTTGGCATAGGCGCGAGCGAGACCCCCAATGGCGGGCAACATGTCGGTCTGCTTGGTTAGGTTCTTTGCGCTGTACATGCGTACCAGCCGCAGCCACTCGGAAGCGGCTTGCAGCAGGCCATCGCCCGTCATGTCACCACCAAGGGTAGGATTAAGCTTGGGATGTCTCCGACCGGAGTCATCGTAGTCGAAGATACGAGGATAGCCTAGAAAGGCATTCGTGTTAAGCCACGGGAAGACCAACGAGGCATGAGTCTTGCGACACTCCCACCGGACGGTATCGCTTGAGAAATGGGCGATGCGAGGAGATAGCTCGCGCTCTTGAAGACACCAGCCTCTCGAGTGCAGAGGATCACGGTTTATGTGATAGTCGCTGAAATTTGGCCAGGCACATACCCTGTACCGCCTCTGCGTCATGGACTCTGGCTCCAGCTCACCACCGTTGATGGGCACATCGATGTACGGGACTTGGTCACGCTGGGTCCGGCAGCCTTGCGTCCCATCCGCAGAGCCTGATGCCGCAAGAGTGACATAAGCACTCGAATAGACGGCGGCCATCTCACTGGCTTCTGCATCCCAGTCCGCGGCAGAGTCTTGGACGATGCAGAGGGAGTCAATCCATATGTATGAAATGCCCAGTCTGCGGGTAATCTTGATAGCGTCGATGAAAGTGGCGGTCAGATTGTTCAGAGAGATTGACCTCAGATGATCACTCAACACAGCCTCGACTGTTGTGGCCGATGGTGGCATATTCAGCCCCCAGCAATGGCTCAGAGCAACATAACGTTTGTCGGCAGGCTCTCGCTCTTTGGCCTGTATGAGTTGAACATGGTCATCACCTTCGCCACCCACGGCAATGACCCGTGTGGGAATGAAGTCCACAGGCCGGCTCTGCCAACATTCAGGATGCTCGGCGAGGCATGTTTTGATCCAATAACTGATAACGCCGACAGCTCTATCGTTCACATCAATATCCTCCTCGGCCCAAGGATCCCACCAACCACTCGGTATCTCGTACGCCCTGACTTGCCCCAGAGCACCGACCAGTCCGTCCATCCATATTGAGCGCTTGCCGTCGATGCAGAGCATACCGCCAAGGCCCAGCGCGCCGTCGGGAAAGACGGGTTGCCCGTTGTGGTCGAGCTTGATCTCTGCGTTGCTTTTCAGCTGCTCATCGTCCAACAGAGCGTGAAGAAGGATCTTGCACAAGCCGCACCCTGCGCCTGCTGATTTGACGAGAGCCGTGTAGTTGGGCAGATGCGGGTAACGCTGCAGATTGTAAGTGACATTCTGGACAGCTTCGCCAAAGACTGTTGCTTGCAGAGACCTGCACTGGGCGCAGAACGACATGGTAATGGTCGTCAAGGTTCAGGGGTCAGGTAGGGTAAGATGCACCGGCCCGTACCCACAGGTTCTATTTAGTTGATTTACCATCACGTGCGTGAAAGTTAGCGCGTGTGTGTTGGCCCTTGAGGCTGTCAGATACGGGCCACCAAAAGGCCTAAAGCGCATATTGATCGCCTTTATATATATCTTACGAAGAACGATGGATTCAGAAGAAAACGGGAACGTCAAACGACGAGGGGAATATAGCGCCTGCGGCACGTAAGCCTCCACGATAAGATACCGTTTCGACGTCGCCAGAGCGGTACGCGGGATAGTTTCTTCCTTGAGTAGAACAACCACTCGGAAGCCTTTTACCACTAGATTTCATTCCAAGAGATAATACAATATGTAGCGAAGGCTAAGATATGGCATTAAGAATTACACATTACGGGGAGGTCATGGATTCTGAAAGGATTCAATTCGGAATGATTGAATTGACGAGCGGTCTAGGTGAGACTATAGAAGCCTAGACCCCATTACATTCTTTTCTTAGTTACTAGTTAGCCTACCTCACTGCCTTCATAAGCCGCAGGCTTCTATAAGGTAGTATAATAAACGGGATTTTTTTTAAAAAAAAAGATAAGCAAAGATGCTAGTATAAGCTAATCATTCCCACCAAGGTGCACAATTTATAGTCTCCACTGTTCACTATTTTCCTCTCGCATTTGAATTATAAGGCTCCGATCTATAAGCGCTGGCTGACGCTAAGTAATTTGATTTATGATTGCCATGAATAGGAGATTTAACTAGATGCAAGGGAAATATCCTAGAAGAATAGCACAGTCATGAATTACTTACCCTTATGATGCATCAGTGACGGTCCGCTGCCGGCTAGCAGACCCACACAACCCCGCTCACGTCCGACGACCTACATACAACATATGCGAAGATGCCAAAGGTCTCGGGCCGCACTCCTCAAATTAGTATCGACGATAAATAAACAGCAATATTTCTTATAATCCTCCCAATTCTCGACCTGCTTGTTCTTCAATTCTCCCTCACCTCTGCCCCGTGCAATTATACCCCCAAAATGTCAACACCAAATCCCATCGCCACGCAGGCCACCCCAATTCCCACCATCTCTAAATCAACCCTCCCCATCGCGGGCCTGCACGTCGATATCTACGGCCTCGCGGAGCTGCCGCCTTCGGCAACATCCATATCCTGTCTCTGGCTTCACCACCCACGCCTCCAATCGAAAGAATGCATGACCGATATCGCCTCGCTCTCCGTCAATGCCTGGAATTCTCACTCGACCCCACTTCCATCATCATCGTCTTCGTCACGAGGCCTAATAGCCGTCGCCTTCGACCAGCGCAATCATGGCACCCGCCTCATCAGCGCCATCGCCAATGAGGCTTGGCGTAGTGGGAACAAGACCCATGCGCAGGATATGTTTGGCACTATCAGCGGGATGGTGGTCGACACGGGGATATTGATGGATTTGCTTGAGGGTTATCTTTTTGGCAATGGAAATGGCCCCGGAGCGAGTGTAAGTGGGGTGGAAAGGAGGATCGACCAGCATTTGGCGCTAGGGGTTAGTTTGGGTGGGCATAGCGTCTGGCAGCTTATGTTTGCGGAGCCGAGGGTTTGTGCAGGTGTGGCAATCATTGGGTGTCCGGATTATATGTGTAAGTCTGAGACCGTCTCTGCTGTTGAGAAATGGGGGCTTCACGTTTCCGGTATTTTGCTGACAACTAAGGGCAGATATCATATCAGACCGTGCACGCCTGTCCAGGCTGGATACCTACTCGGCGGTAGATAATGGCGCTTCGTTCCTGGGTAGCAAGGACTTCCCTACTGCGCTGGTACAAATGTGCAAGAAATATGATCCGAAGGGAATCCTGTTCGGCACGGATGAGATTTCCTACCCGACTTCAGAAGCGGAACAGAAGAGGCTGGCACCGTTGCTAGACTCGCGGGTGCGGGGGAAGAAGTTCCAGGTCTTGTCTGGAGGAGCTGATAAGCTTGTGCCCTACGCCAAATCCGAGCCGTTCTTGAAGTTCCTGAAAGATGCTGCAGGATCTTGGTATAACGGCGCCATCTCGGTGGAAGACATTGTTTACGCGGATGTTGGACATGAGTTCAACGCTGATATGATGAAGGATGCTGTGAGGTTCATCGTTGACACGGTTTCTGTCGCTGAAGGGAAGGTCTTGCCGAAGATTTAAGCAGAAAGAAGCCAATATACCAAGATAGGCAGATTGCTTTAGGTTCTCTGCTGTGACTCCAGAACCATGATATTAGCTATGTGCTCATAGAATCAAACAACGTCTTGTGACCATGGCTGAGAAGCATCAGGATCTAATACTTGCTGGTTATTCTCAAGTATCCTTGTCTTGACCTTGCTTCGCACCATCTCCTGCTGGTTTGAGAACAAATCCTGCGATACTCCCCATGGATTCCTCTCTTTCCGTTTCCCAGCCAAGACCTCCCCAGTCCCATGCGGATCCTCAGTCCACTGAGTTATTGCCTCAGCAACACCCTTCATAGCAACTTCGTTGCTCCCATCCATCATGCCCGGCGGATCAACGCCAATGAATCCAACGCGGTCCAGGGGATACCCAATGGCGCCGCAATGACAATCGACTAAGCGACCCTTCTTGAAGGAGTGGCTCACAATAGTGATGCGCTCCGGCCAGACGTTGCCGTGGTCTTTCCAGAATTTGACGATGCTGAAGAGAATGTTGTAGTATGAGTCCAGGGCTCTGCTCTCGCAGGAGATGCGAGTTTCTGCTTCTCCGGGCGAGATGATGCCGAAATACGAGTTGGCGGCGGCGAGATTCGCGTAGCTGGTTGCTTCTGCGAGCTGGGTCTCCTTTCGGGTTGGGCCACTATAGTATCTTCAGCAGTGTGTTGTGCTTGAATTAGGATAATAATAGGTTGTAAAAGCATGACAAGGTATTCACCCTTGCAAACACGTTTAATCGAATACTAGAGCAGTCTATCACGCGTTTTCCGACAACTCCCAACGAGGCTCGAACGAGGCTTCCAACGATGTTTTCGGGCAGATGTAGAAACTGAATACGCGAAATTCGATAACTGCAAAGGGGACTTACCCAGAGAACACCAAGACAGAGTCCGGCGCATCCTTCAGGGTCTGCAATCCAGTCCGGATATGGTCGATGAACGTCTTTGTTTCATTCTTTTGGAACGAGGCAAGGAGCCATGCGTCTTCATCAAATCCCAGATTGGGACCTCCAAGCCAGATGGCGTGGCAACAGACGATGATGAGATGCTTCGGGGACATTTTCTGTTTGTGTTGTCGGACATGTAGAACTGTCGGTCAGGGTCTAGGTTAGTGGACTAGATTGGAAGATCCACTGAAGGCTGGGTCCATGGGTTTGATTCGTCAATTGATTACTTCCACCTACGTAAACGGTAAGCTATTTCCGAACCGCATTCGAGTCAAACGAGGTTTATTTTGTCGAATCCCGAGGATTTGGGGCTGTATTGGTGCTACAAGGTGCGTGGGACAGAACTGCCTAGGGGGTCCCTAAAAACAGGGTGTACCCTTCCACGCCTGAGGCCACGACTTCCCACACCGGGCTCATGGTTATTGATGCTCATCTGTATTCTCGGAGGGTTGACCCGTGCGGAGCAGCAACCGCGTCTAATATAAACCAAACAACGCAAATCCGGTCTACGATCTAGTTTGTATTTATATTAATTAGAAATGTAAATAACTAGCTATACACAACGTGTTGGACCTTCAAGGCTACTCCGTCAAGACTGCCAAGTCAAAAGGAGAAAAGTAAAGCCGCAAACCGTACGAAGTATGGGTCAATATGACCTCTACCCATTGAACCACACAAGTCCTGGCTGTGGGGCAGGCATCAGTCATTTCTACCTATATAGGGCCCCTATGGCCGCCCTTCACTTCTCTCAGGACTCTCCAGAGATCATGACACTTTCAATACAAGACCATTTGCCCATAATCCAATACAACGCTACATAGCCTTTGGTATCTAGTAGGTCCAGCTTACTCTACCAAGGTCCATGTCCCACTTACAAATGTTTAATCCCTAAAATAATACAGATCAGGGACAGATTCATCTTACCCTCTTCTCCTACGAAATTGTTACTCTCCGTATCACCATTCGATCCACATAATTCCTGTGATGCTGATAGACCTCCTGCCGGCCGGAAATACCAAGGTTTGACGGACTTTTGAGTTTGAGTAATCAAACACATCGTACCATATGGTTTGTATTTGCAAATATATGGGAGAGTTATGTTTGCTTTTCTTTCTTTGAATTTGCATTGATTCGCTTGCCAAGCATTTACTTTATGTTGGGCGCTGGCGAAGCTCGAGTGAGGTGATGTGTTGGTCCTAGTCGCCGTTGTATTTGGGAATGGAATGTTGGTAACCGTTAATATACGTAAGCAACTTTTTTTTCCGAGACCACCTTCGTAAATAATCCGACTCAAGACGGCACGGCGGCTGGGCACGGCGGCTGGTCTGGACCACACCGTTTTAGAGGTCGGCATCAATGTGATTCATGGGAAAAGCAGAGTAACCAATCGATCGGATACCGGTCCGGACCGGTCCGATATTCCGATATCGATACCGATCGGTAGCACATTTTGTTCATTAGATCGATACCGGTGGCGCAAACTGCCACCGGTATCGATCGTTCGATCTGACCGGACCGGTTATATGGAGGATTCTGAGGGCATCGTGACCCTTGTTGTTGACCCTGGTTTTATCTAACCTAATACGGTTAGGCGTTGTTTTAGGTAGGAAAAGTGAATAGCTGAGTTGGCGTGAGCATTATATGGCTAGGTTGAGGAAGCCTTGGGAGGGTGACTATAAAAATAGGTAAGTATAATATCTAGATAACTGTTCATCTCTAACTGACCCTCGTCTAGGCCCCTTCCTGAGACCAACCCTTTAGCTGAAGCTGAGAACCAGCCAGTCCTTACGATGCTTCAACGCCGCAAGCGTTTTTATATGAGCGACGCCGACTCCGAGGTCCTTGATTCGCAAAGTACATAAGATACACAGCCAATAGCAAAGAGAAGGAAAGGAAAGGGCAGAAACACCAAGCCGGTGCCGATTAGGCAGGAAGAATCACAACAAGACGAGCTTGTCCTCTACCTGGCAGAACCTGTGGTTAACGTGGACCAATATTTAAAGGACCCAGTAGCTTGGTGGCGTGATATTGGCGCAAAACGTTTCACCAAACTGTCTTATATGGCTGTTGACTTCCTTACGATACCTTCAGCGCAAGCAGAAACAGAACGCCAGTTTAACAGCGTAGGAGAGATGGTATCAGCACGAAGATCTCGCCTAAAACGCCACGTTATTGGGGCATCACAATGTATCAGGTCATGAAGTTTAGCAGGCGTTTATCAGGCAGAGTTGCCACTCCATCTGCTTGACAAGGTATCAAACGTTGAATTGGATGGTGAGGTTTCACGCGAATTAGCTAATTGGGCGCAAAACCGTTAAAAATAAACAACTCCGTACAACCGCTATTGATCGATCCGACCTCTATCTGACCGGACCGGTTATATGTGATCGATGCCGATCGATACCGGTTACTTAGTAATCTGTACCGGTACCGATCGGATGAATATGATGTTGATCGATACCGGAGTGAAGAATCATGATCGATATCGATCGATTGGTCACTCTGATCGGGCTGGTTCCCGGACTACTGGGAGTTCTGCAAAGCAGAATATACAGCCGAATTTGGGTCGGAGTGGCATCAGTACATGCTTAAGTATTTGGAGGAGCCTGGCGCAATAGAAGGCTTCCTTACCTACACCCGAGCGTTCGGTTGCTGAGTTTTCTTTACACAGCCACCGTGAGAGGCAAACCTGTTCATCACACGGTCGTGGTCTATTGGTACATCGATAAAATTTAATCATGAGACTAGGCGAGTCGGAATTCGTACATAATAAATACCTAGGTAGCCAAGAAGAAAATAGGGGAAAAGCCATCACCAGCCAACCCCAACGCACCACCAACCCGCCAGCATAGTTGCGTATGGGGCATAGTTACATGGACGGTTGCGATGCTTATATCAGGGATGGATACAGAGCCAAGCAAACTACCATGGCATATCATTATGTACGGAGTACTTAAGTAGGTACCTTGATACATGTTGGTTCTGCTTGTCTGCCGCCCTGGCTGTGCCACCCTTGTGTGGGGTAGACAACCACGCACCTCCAGGACTATCATGCTCCCCCGTGACCGTCCATTCTTCCTGTTCCCTGCTTCTTGCTCCCCATGGATTCTGACAATTACGCCTCGCAATCCCACCGTCCGACTCAAGTCATTAGAGCTGACCATGGGTCCCTATGACGACGAGGGCGACGTGAATCTTACCTCGTATCTGGAACAGTTACCTAACACGCTGGAGGACTTGTTTGCACACCGAGAAGTGTCGGTCTGGCCCGATTCTCCAACAGATGAAGATTACATGCCATTCTGGGACGACATCTGGGACGCCATCCAGCACCAACGGGCAACGCTTCGTCGGATGGTTTTGCAGATCAAACCGACCGAGGATTGGGGCCACAGCTGGAAAGTGGGCGACGTGTTCAACCTCGGCCTCCCACGAGAGGACGGTTTCCTGGACGATCCACTTTCGGGCTTCGATTTGGAATGTTTAGGTCTTGCTGTCTATCCAGGCGGATGAAGTTGATAGTCGAGCCTTTCACAAAAAAGGAGACACTCAAGACGCTTCATATCCGAGCACCTCTGGACATGGTTAGGAAGGCGCCTCGGGATGACGCGGTGGATCCGTCCGCGGAGCGCCCCAAGATCGGGCTGTGGGAGGTAGAGGACGCGTTGGCCATGCGACCCGGCCACGGAGAGCCCGACATCCCGGATGCGGGCATCTGGTCCAGGTCTTGACACCAGTTCTATGACCTGGCCAACTGGATCTTCGGGCCCGAGGGGATCCCATCACTCGACCTGCTAGTTTACGGCGACTTCACCGGCCGCGGTTGGACCTGGAAACAATCCGACGACATCTTCTTCATCCGCCGGAGGAGACGGCAGCAGCAGCCACTACGGGAAGAGGCGGGACATGAGGACCCAGAACAACAACAACCATGGGACTTCTATGTCCCCGATACAAGCACGAATTCAGGCGAAGATGCAACCTTGAACAAGTTGATCGTGGACAATTTTGATTTTCTCGAGGCATTGCCTCTGAAAATTTCGGGCTACGCATAGCAGGGCTCTACTCAGGGGGTGTTGGTGTACCATTACGTTTATAATTTATAGGCAAAATCAGAATAAAAGGAATAACGTACCCCACAAGCAAGTTGGCCACTTTTTCTTGGCACCATATGAATAACTTCAATAACTTAACTAAACTAAAAAATAATAATTCAAACTAATCGGAATCCTCTTCCTCGTACGTATCTTTATCATTCTAACAAGTACGAGTATTATGTCCGGGCTCTCCGCAGATCCTACAGCGCCGTCGGCGTGGTTCGGCCGGTCTCGTACGACGACGACTTACACGTATATCATCCTGTAGCTGCTGTTCAATATCCCGTTGAGACTGTAAGTCCTAAGAGTCTCGTAAACTAAGAGATCCTCCATCTTGTAGCTGTCGACTTTTAGTCCTTCGACGACGGCTTAGCTCTTGATTGGCCTTCCGAAGTGTAGTAACCTCATCCTCAAGTAAAACTAACCGATGCATAACAGCCGTCGCACCACGTGAAAATTGGTCATTAGCCGTAAGTATTGTTGTCAGGGAGCTATTCTGATGCTGTACGATTCTGTTTTTAACGTATTCAGACTGGGGTTGCGCCTCGGTTGGGTTATTTGGAGTCTTTGATTCCCAGATTAAGGGGGCGCCAGACGAGCTCCCAGGAGGTGTAGGCGTATGTAGCTTAATATCCAGCTGTGAAATCACATATTCCGGGTCGTACGGAATAAGTCCTGTCCCCCTGAAACCTGCCTGGATATTCGACTTAGTTATAGTCGTACGATACGCCCTATAGAATGCCGAAAAGAAATCCTCCTTCGAGATATGGGTTATATGCGCCCGTATTAGGTCTTCAATTTCTTGACTAGATTGTCGAGTATCGCGTCGAGATAGTAGTCCGCGTTTTCGGTTAGCTAGAGTTGTACGAGGGACATTGTAGAGTTGGGCAGCGCGTCGGATGCTTAATTCGGGTTTCGATTGAAGCGCCTGACACGCTAGAATCATGTCGCTTTCTCTCCAATTCGATCCCATCTTAGTATGTGTAAAGATGTTAATTAAAAGGTTATTCGTACGGTGTCAAGAAAAAGTGGCCAACTTGCTTGTGGGGTACATTATGTGATACTCACTTATAAATGTTCTATTTTCGAATCGCTTTTTAGCTAGGTCAGCACGGTATAGAAACGGAACGTAAGGTTTGGCCACGAACACCCCCTTTGTTAGGCAACCTTGGTGGGCTTTGCCAAGACCACCAAGGTTACCACGTGACTTAGCCCTTCGGGACTAAGTCCAACCTTCGTGCTCCATAGGACTACATAGAATGTCGCAAGGCCACGCCCGGTCATCTAAAAGCGCATATGGCCAAGAATAGTATAGATTCCCTCCTAGGCACGGCCAAGGGAGCTCGTTTGTTTTGCCAATGGGCGGAGGAGACCAATTTCTTTACTGAGATCTGCCCATCGCACTGAACAGGAATGTTAGATGAAGACAGTCCCCTGTAACATAGATTCGACTAGCATTGACCATGCCGGCACTGCGCCCGGCACGTCTCACGTGATGAGACGTTAAATTTCAATCAATCAATCAATCAATCATAGAATGTCATGCTTTTACAACCTCTCAAATCTTTGACCACCTTTGCGTGTAACACCCTTAGTGGTACGACATAGAAAGGGAAGTAAAACAAAACACGTATCTTGATACGAAAAGGTAGGAGGACCCACTGGTTAGGTGAATCCCTTCAATTAGATACTATAACGTTGCGCACTGCTGCATTATAGCATCCTCCCCCCTAGGTGCACACATCACTAATGTACATACGGGACATCCGGTCCAACCGATAAGGACATTGATAAAGGACAAGGGAACACAAGAACATGACTAAGCAAGCCACATGATACAAGGAACGGGATCCGTGGGTCTACACAGATCCAAGAGCAGGATTATCATGATCTGTGAGATCCAACAGATCGAGGATATTATATATACTACGCTCATTACCTAGATAGAAAGTTAAGAAATATCACCTTCAGTGATCAATCTAAGCATACATTCACTACTTGGAATTGTATGGGGAACTACGCCCTGACGACGCTTACCTTTATGACAATCATTGCTCAGAAGTCCGACATCAAGATACCTACTTGGTATTCATCTGTTTACCTTACGAACATAAATCCCAAGCAGATCTAATAATCAGCCGACTTGGTAGAATCGTCACACGGACGTATCAAGATACGTCGTAAGGCGGCGTATTGGCTATAAATTGGCTTTCCCAACCCGAGCCTTACACAACGGTCAGCCTCGTGTGGGAGAGGTCTACTTGATCTTACTATTTCAACTTCATCTACCTACCATATACTCACTAGATCTTCATCCCTATTAATAGCTTCGGCAGACTCTGCTAACCTGTCCACGTATTGTGCTGATTCAGTAGAGTATAAATATAACCGTTTTTCTCATTCGAGTGATCACACAACTAGCTCCCTCCCCATCACACAAAATCACTCTTTAGTCTACTCTCCCGTGCACATTCTCATAATCAGTCACACGCGACCAAAGCAGAAACCGCCGCCATGAAGCTCGCCACCTTGACCGTGGCCTCCCTGATCTCGGCCTTGCTGGCTGCCCAGGCCCAAGCACAGGGCTGGATGCTCAGTAGCAACCTCGACTTTCGCCGACACCGCGGGAGGTACCTGGCAATGCTCCGATATGTACGGCAAGAACCCTTTCGGCAAGGTGCCACCCAAGAACAGCACCTTCACTAGCGTCAACTTTGCCCAGAACGGTCTCTATCACAAGTTGATCGTATATTCCGACGAGCACTGCACCGACGAACTCGAGTAAGTTCTAGCTGTTTCGTTTGAGATTTCTCGCCAGCCGTAAAAGAGCTTGAAGCCAATGCGTGGTTATTCCGTCTTCTTAGTTCTGGGTTGAATACCAATGGTGCACCCCGATCACCTCGGAGACGCGATTCTTCGAAATCGTCGAGGCATAGAGTCAGTGAAATTTCGGATAGCTTCGGTAGTAGGGATGGAGAAACCATGGTAGAATGCATTATGAACTTGAAATACTTCTCAGTCCATCACATCAATATACAAACAGCTGCTCTTCTTCGCGCCCTGACTGTTCTTCACACTCCCATAACAACAACAAAGGCGCCTGGCATGCCAAGCCAGTCCTCAGCCATTTATGAAGTCTCGTTTACACCATGATCAGCCACTGTATTATATGTAGTGTGACATCAATTAGGCTGCGGTGTAGGTCATTACTGCATTGAAGCACAAAAGACGTACTCCAGCGCCGTGATAACTCTACCGCTTAGAACGACAGACTAGCCTGGAAGCAATTCCGTCCAAATGATAAAACCAAAGGGACGCTCAATTATGGATAGCATGTCATGCGAGCCTTCGAGCCTTTTATTACCTTGGACACCTCGTTGGGTTGCTTGGGCTGAAATAGGACGGCTACCCGTTCTTGGCGCTACTTGCCCATCGCCCACTCTCCTATTTGTCGATTTTTGACGTCCAATAGACCCTTCTTCGGAGTTATGGGGTATTCCCGGTCTTCAGACCTAGCTCTGCATACTAAGTACTAAGAAGGCAGACGGAAGTCAGCTACTTAACGAATGGAGGCCATGGCATCCTCTGCCCTCGGACTTTAACGGAGATTAACTGTCAACCTCCGGAACACTGATTTGTCTCTCTGCTCACCAGATGCGTGTGTCCCTCTGCCGATTGAACTGACCATTCAAATTGAGGCAACTCGTCCATGCTCTCCTATCACCTATCACCAAATCGATCGAATTGAGACGGCCTGAGCAGTCTCTAGTGACTTGAGCAAGTCATGATTAGCCGTACTAGCCTTCGAAGCCCTGAATATATAAAGTCTTGGCCATGTTGCGATTCGAATTGCGTTTTTCAAAGCGTTCGAATCAATTCTCCCCTTCGACTCCCTCGTACAGAGCCTTCTCATCTCGCCGTTCAGGCCCCCCTGTATTCCAGGCTCATTATTCAGAATGGCCCATATACTCTCGGCCGCCCCGGCTCCGGCCACAGAGCTGGGTCGATACCGAATCCTCTCCTCCACCGCTGGAGTTCGAGTATCGCCACTTCAGTTGGGAGCTATGAGCATTGGCCAGGCGTGGGTGAAAGAGTTGGGTTCAATGGATAAAGAGGCGTCATTCAAGCTTCTCGATGAATACATCTCGAGTGGGGGAAACTTCATCGATACCGCCAACGACTACCAGGATGAAGAGTCGGAGGCCTGGCTCGGTGAATATTTCGAGAAGAGAGGCATCCGAGATCAGATGGTCGTCGCCACCAAGTATACTACGCATTATCGCAAATATGATCTGGGTTTAGCGGGTATCAACTACGCGGGGAACCACAAGAAATCCCTTCGTCTGAGCGTCGAAGCGAGCTTGAAAAAGCTGCGCACCTCTTATATCGACATTGTCTACGTTCATTGGTGGGATCAGACCACCTCGATCGAAGAAGTCATGGATTCCCTCCATGTTCTCGTTGAGCAAGGCAAGGTCTTGTACCTGGGTGTGTCTGTAAGTGATCCGAGGATTCCTCCATCAGCCCCTCCGCCCCGCTCGCAGTCAAGGCAATATCTTCCAAGCAACTCACAGCGCAGAAGGGCTGACACAATTCAACAGGATACCCCGGCATGGGTCGTAAGCGCCGCCAACTACTACGCCCGTGCTAGGGGAAAGACGCCCTTTACCATCTACCAAGGTCGGTGGAGCGTCATGATGCGTGATTTCGAACGAGAGATCATTCCCATGGCGCGGCATTTTGGAATGGCCCTCGCACCCTGGGGTGCCCTGGGCAGTGGCAAGTTCCAATCCAAGAAAGCAGTTGAAGAACGGAAGCAGAAAGGCGAATCACTCCGAAGCATCGGTGGCGCCGAGCAATCCGAGGACGAGATCAAGATGAGTGAAGCTCTCTGCAATGTCGCCGCCGAGCACGGCATCGAAAGTCCGACCACCATCGCTCTGGCCTATGTCATGAGCAAGTACCCATACACGTATCCCATCGTCGGGGGTAGAAAGGTCGAGCATCTGAAGGACAACATGAAATGCCTGGAAATTACCCTGACGTGGAAACAAATCGAATACTTGGAGAGTATTATTCCCTTCACCGTGGGATTTCCAAGCAATCTTATCGGTCCGGATCCGAAGGTCATGGGAAAAGCTACTGGATTGCTGGCTGCCAGCGGAAATTTTCACTTTGTGACCACCAAATAATCCTTGAACCAACATGTGAATTTAGGGGTGTTACAACAGCATATAGTGAGGGCTATCAAGCATGGTTTAGAGCCGAATCTTGACCTTTCATAAACATCTGGCCGAATTTGGATTGGCTTACATTTTGACGTGATCTTGGTCGCATTAGCAGCCGGTGGATGAATGTGATTACGTGCCTTCTCAACATGAATTCTTCAAAGTACAAAAGTATGGGATACAAATGACAGCCGACAGGGCCCTTCCTACGAGCGAGCCGCTTACCTACCGCGGGATGTAGCCTGAGAATTCGGCTATGGAAAGAGCAGCCAGGATCGCGACTACGCCGAGGAGAATGACGCGAAGCATGTTTGCAGTCTGCGAGGTTGTAAGTGTTCGCTTACTAAGAGGCACGGTCGAAGGGTTGAGTGCGCTGTGCAATGATGAAATGAGAAAAGGCTGTGTATCACGTGCATCAAGCACGATAACTTGCAATAGCAATTTTATAATCATGTCAAGGTGCCTTATGTATATTCAGCTTGCTGCCGTACTGGAATGATAAAATCTAGGAAGCCAATGGCATCTTGCTGGCTACACACGGGTCAAGTTTGGGAAAGCACGATCCAGCAATCAACACCAAGGAACCAACACTCGACAGCCAACACCCATTTGTGCTCCGACACAGAAGATCACTGATGTAGAGCCTCTATCCATGTATTTTCATCGAGTGGCACATATCCAACGCATTCACCAAACCCGGCCGTCCCCCGACCAACCGCGGCCACCCACAGCAACAACCATTTGTAAACGCCGACACTGCACATGGTCGCATTTTCCGTATCGCAATTGCTTGCTCTTGTATACTCTAACTGATATCCGCCAACGGATCATACCAGCCTTCTTTCTAATGAGGGTAGCTCCCCGTCACTCATTCCCCCTGTCCATCTATATCACGTCCTCCATACACGTCCTTGACAACAGTCCCCCTCTACGAGCGACTATGAACAGAACGAAATAATCTCGCATCTTCAAATGCAGAAATCAAAAACATCAAGATCATACTTTTCATTGCCGTACGCATTACCGACCAACCAGAGCAAAGCCAGCTCAAACCCGATGTCATCATCCCATCCGGCTTCGTCATCAAGCAGACCGCCCAATATTATGCGTACGTCTAAGTATGTAGACTTGACAAGACTAAACAGTTGCAAAAGAAAACGAAAAGGAGCACGCCAACTATCAAACAGCCTCTTAGATGCGGCTGTAACAATGCAAAACAGGTGACATAGGAGACGGTTTCGTGATGTAAATGCTTTTCTTCTGTGTATAGTGATCGGGGGAACGGAGGGTCACGTCCTTGCCATGTCACTCACGGTTGGGCCATCTCCTTGCACCAAATGTACTTGTCAAATGGTGGAACGATCAGGCTTCCAAGAAGTGACATGCTACAAGTATACCAACAGGCCGTGGATCAATAGGGTAAGTGAGAGCGTTGGTGATACATCAAACCTCGTGAACTCATGCCATGACTATTGTCTTTATGTAACTCATGGAGTGAGCACAAAATGTCACTACGAGCCAGGCGCCCATTTCTTTCCCCCACTTTCGCTCGGTGCGCGACTCCTACGCTGCTTTCCTGACGAGCCTTCTCTCGAATGACCCGCAGTGGATGAAGCACTAGGGCTTGGCAGCGGGTATCTCGTGCCATTCCCCTGCTGATTCTCCTTGTTGCTCAGGACACTTTGACTTCGAGCCGCAGACGGTTCGCTGAGGCTAGGTCGAGCGAAAACACCAGAGTTACGTGGCAGTCTGGTCTTGCCGGGCGGAGGGGCATTGGTCAGGTCGCCACTTATACGGCGCGGGATAGAGGACATGGGACCGTCACGACTCCGGGGGCGGTAGATGGAGGAGTCCCGTTCATGAGTTATGGAAACTGCGGATCGCTTAGGGCTGGAGGCCACTTCTATATAGCCATGCGATGGACGGTGGCCGTGGCCGTGTGTTGGCGTGATGGGCATCGATGAGGCAGAGTGGAGGGATGGAGGGGTATATATACGTCTTGGGCCAGAACGCGAGCGGTTCGAGCCAATAGTGGACACTGACGCAGTTGAAAGTCCCGAGGTAGTCGTCGGAGGTGCGTCGTGGTCGCCACTGATGTGTGTTCTAACTAGCTCGGATGCAAGGTTGCGGACAAGCACAGCCGAGTCTTTCTCAGCAAGGGTTTGTATCGACTCGAGCAGTGACCGTAGCTGTTTGTTTCTTGGACTGGAGAAGTAATCCAACTCGCGCGCGTCGAGGATATTTCGCACTAGACGGAGAAGGTTGAGCCTGACCACGGCCTTCTTGTGACCGAGTTTCTGTGCGATGCCCGAAAACATCTCGGACTTGGCTAACGATGAGGATAGGTCGGGACTGAGTCTTAGAAGTTTTAGGAGGGGCTCTAGGAGATTTGGGTCAAAAGCGTTGAGCTTTTGCGTGTTAAAGCAGGAGATGATAGCTTCGGTAAAATTGCCGTTGATGAGATGGCCTTCGACCTTCGCGGTTTCTTCTTGTAACCTGTGCGTTGTTAGCACACGCACTTTTCACACGCTATCGAAGGAATATATCGGCGTAGATTGGGAAAGACAGCTTACCAGACAAAAATAGCATCCAGCGCAGTAACCTGCCAGTACTGGTCCGCAAGGAGTGACACATAAAAGTCAAGGCCCTTATTCTGCCAAAGGAACCTCCGCCCTTTGCTTCCCGAATGTGCCATATCGCACAGGATTGGCAAGGCAAACTCCTTCGGGGGGCGATCGGTCTTCATTATTTTCATGAGCAAGGGAATGATCCCGTTGACCGCTGCGTACTCCTGGCGATCTTTACTCAATCGACACAAGTTGAACATCGTATTCAGAACTTGATTGGAAATCTCTCGGAAGTGTGGATGACCCTTCTTCATATTTCCACTGAGAAGGTCAATCAGGAGGTCAATCGCATCTGCTGAATGTAAAGTTTCTAGGGTCGTTGACAACATAGACAGGTTCTTGATGAACTTGAGCATTGTGATCTGATGTGCCGGAGACATGCGTCGTAGATCTTTTAGAATACCTATTCCACATGTTAATTATGAAGTCGATTGGGAAATTCAGCTCGCCTTACTCTTCAGCACTTGCCGATCAGCTACCATTTCCTTGACATAGTTCTCAGCTTGCGAAAAGAGGTAGAAGATGTTGACAATGCGGCCTTCGATCAACTCGGTCAGCTCGTCCTCATCATCCTCGTCTAGTACTCTGTGTAACACCAATGCCAATGGATCAAGGATCTTGCTCCTGGAGAAGATTCGACAGAAATCGTTCTTCGGCGTTGGTCCCTGAAGTTCGAAAACATTCCAAACTCCGTTGACACCAATGAGGACTAGATCTCTTGAGTTGTCATAATCTTCATCCAAAAACTCGACCAGGACATTGAGACCACCAGCGCTGACGAACATCTGCAATGTCAATGTTGAGGTTTGGTACATTTGTCGTACAAAAGCAGCCGCCTCCAAACGGATCTCGTTCGAGTATTGCCGCGCTGAGAATTTGGTGATAATCGGTATTCCTCCGACGAAGCACAAGTTCTCTTGAAGCTCGACATCGTCGAGGATAATCTGTCATTCCACTCCATTAGCCATCGGTCTTTAGTCTCCTCTGTAAATGTGGTGGTGCTCACCGTGTTGACGACCTTCAGCAGCTGCAAAATCATATGCTGTCTACTCTTTACGGTGCATGGCTCCAGAATCTCAAGGATGGGCAGAAGGCCATGTGCACCGATTATCAGGTCCTTTACTTCGGTGTGTTCCCAAAGTAGGGCGAGCTGCATCATGTTAGCCATTAAAGTTATATATGTCCCAATTTGATGAATGATGGCTCACCAGGTCTTCCGCAAGATCTGTCAACTTGTCTTCACCTACTATCATCTTCAGCGACCGCACTAATTCTTCAATCTTCTCGGCCAATCTCGCGTGTCGATCTCGGGCAATGTTGGCCTCCAGATCCATCTCGTCCCAGCCAGGGTCCATCGATGCGAACGGGTCGTCCTCGTCCTCGTCGTCACCAAGCCAAGAGTTATTCGAGACTTTGGACAAGACCATAATACCACCGTCCTCAGACCCCCTGTCACTGTCAGCCTTCTCCGTGACGTTGTCGGAGGGGCCGAATATATCAGAGAAATCTTCGTCGCCTTCGTCTTCAGCAAACTTCTGAATCTCGATAGATGATTTCGATCTTTGCATCTGCCGATCTGGTAGAACGGATGGTCGTAATGATGTCTGCCTACGCATACTCCCACCCATAGGCGATTGCGTGGACCGCGGCAAGCTGGTGAGATCTGAAGGATGAAAAAGTTGAGGCGTGTCAGGCTGTGGCTGAGGCTGCTTTTGTCAGTTAGTTACAGCTGAAGCCATTGTGCCATTTGAAAATACATACCTTCTTCGTCTGGACCAGCCTTTGGTTGAGGAAAAGGTCATTCTGATCGTTGTCGTCGAACAAGTCCGAAAAGTCCTCGACGGACTGCTCTTTGTATGTGACGTCGAGCCTCGAAGGAAGCTCGAATTTGCTTACCATGTTCTTGCTCTGAGACTTCTGTCTTTGATGTCCACTAGCAGCCCGCTTTCGAGGGGATAACTTCGCCGATTGTTGAGGCTTCGTTTCGACTGCCGTTTTGGGCCTCGCACCTGCCGACATTTTCCAGTTCGGGCGAATGGTCTTCTCCAAGGGGTCTTCCTCGTGAAAGCTGTTCATCTTCTTGATTGTCATCATTTCTCCGTCCATGGAATTGCCCCAATTGGAAGAAGCGTCACGAGAGTAATCAACTGAGGTGAATAGTTTCAACCGATCAGCTGAGAGCATGCCGCCAAAGTGATCCTGGGGCTTAATGTGAGGTAATTTCAAAGCCCTCGGTGAAATGGCCGTGGCAAAGTCATTATCCCAGTTGTCATCATCTGTACTTTGGTCAGTATCCAAGCTGCGACCGGGATTCAACCGGTAATCGTCCATTGAATCCCCCGCAAAGAGGTTTACTCACCGGCCAGTTCAGGAGACCTGAAGTCCTCTGCTGTTGGCCTCGGCTTTGCAAGGGCTAAAGGCCCCTTAGCGGGCGTTGTAACGATGGGCCTTCCCTGCTCTGAGGCTCCAAAGCGTGAGTTCTGGTGAGACTGCGCCCCTGAATCGGATCCAGTGGAAGCTCGTAGATTGGTGTCAGAAGTCAGAGCCTTATTCCATTGCTTGACCTCTTCCACTGCTTGGCTGAAGTTTGCTGATGCCTTTGCAACTGGAGCGTCACTTCTCCTGCAACCTACAATCCAGTTGTGTTTCAACAACTTTCTTGCAGATACTCGGAGGTTGGGGTCCTTTTGAAAGCACTGAATCAAGAAATCACGAGCCGCCTGGACAGGAATCAGCATTGAATTCACGTACAAACTAGGGAAAATGGGAGCAAAGGGTGTGGGACTACAGACCGAAGATACCCCCTCGGGCAAAGGCGGATGGTCATCGTTAACTATAGCGAAGAGAGCTGGCATGGCTTGTAGGTGATGATATGGTGGCTTGCCTTGGAGAAGCTCAATCACAGTACAGCCCAAGCTCCATATATCAGACGCTGGAGTCGCACCAGATAGCTCGATAATCTCAGGAGCCATCCAATACGGCGTCCCTACTACTTGAGCCTCCTTGTCCGGTCCAGTCAGCGTGCTGGTAGATACACCAAAGTCGGCAAGCTTGACTTTGCCATCTTTGGTGGTCAAGATGTTGGCTCCCTTGATGTCTCGATGGATTACACCTTGATCGTGTAGGTACTGAAGGCCTTGCAATACCTGAGTCATGTAGACTCCGACTAGGTTCTCGGGGAACTTGCCATATGCCTTGCATATTGAGTGTAACGAGCCATTCTCACAGTATCTAATATGTAAAGTTAGGCGACGAACAGGGTTTCGTCCGGAGCGGGGATACATACTCTAGGATGATGTTGAGGCAGTCTGTCGACTTGACAAAGCCTATGTACTTGACAATGTTGTCATGCTAGACATAAAGTCAGCCTCAGAGTTGTCCCTGACGCAGTACATTATGGGGCGTAGTAGAGCTCACATGGAGGTTCTTTAGTAGATCAATCTCGGCCTGTATCAAGTCAGCCTCGTGTTCTCACACCGTAACCTGCCAGAGGGTGGGGATAGAGCATACCTCAATCATGCGCAATTCGCTCTTGGGCAGATTCACGAGCTTGATTTGCTTGACTGCAACTGCTTCGCCGGTGCCCCAGTGAATGGCCTTGTAGACAGACCCAAATGCGCCTTTGCCCAAGCATTCCCCCAACCGCTGTTAACCCCAAGTCAGCCCTGCGTTCAATATGCGATGGTCTGTCATCCTAGCCTTTCACATACATAGTCTCTCAGCCCCGGATCCTGTACTGCCCTCTCACGGCCAGTGCTCTCTTTCCTCGGTGTACCGGGTGTCCTCTCATGTCTGGCTACAGCCACAGCCGGCTTACCGTTGGCCGCATGATACTGGCGCTCCTTCTCTCCGGCCGAGGACGTGGAGGAGTTCGACGAATGGCCCGTCGTGGGCGCCATGGCCGGCGGTCAGCGCGGGTCTCGTTGCTTCACGTCAGGTCGCAGGCGGCACTGGAGCTGCAGCTCGCCTTGGTTCGGATTCGTAGACGGAGGAGGTAATGTGGGGGGAGGGATCGCGCGTAGCTGGCTGACCAAGACGGGGGCTCTCATTCCAGCTGCAATTCCTCCTTTTCCGTCAATAAATCAAAGCTCGCCTGGACGGGAGGTTCGCTCGAAGGGAAACACGTCGGTGCTATTGGTCCGTACACGTTAGGCCAACGCGTTGGCAAGGCTCGTTCGTCTCGTTGGTCAAAGTGGCACTTGACAATCAATAAATTGCTTGCTGATTGCTTCGCTTTGGGCACCGTTGCTGTTGCTGTTGCCGCTACCGTTGTCGTCCAATCCCAATCCAAGTGGAAGTGCCTGCCCAATGTGGGGGACGATGCAGACAATCCACTTGTAGGGCTCGTCCTGGCGCTGAAGCTGGGCCTGAAGCTGCAAGCAAATTTAGTAACTGGACCGTCACGGCAAAACCTGACAGGAAACAATACAAAGTTCCTTTTCTTTCCGTCTGGCTGGTGGCGTTGTGCTCCTCAGTTCCCGTGTTTCACGTTTCCTTCCTGGCGCAAGGCAGCCTTGCGAATTCTGGAATCGCGGGGTTACAACCGCCGCCGCCTGCATACATGTAGATGCCACCGTACAGGCGCCGCTGTAATACCGCTGGGATGGGGGTTTGAGATTGATTGGCGCCGCATTCAATGGTCAATCTTGGCTATCAGCTTACCGTCCAGGCACGCCATCTCAGGGGGTCCAATTCGCATGAATGAATGACGACCGCTATTTCACGGCTTCGACCGATGCATTCAAGAATCGTGCCTGGTGTTAGACTACCATGAACAGTCTTGCATTGGAAACATTGGGGCTGTCTCCAACCAAATGATGTCATTGTACTCAGTACGAAATACTTATCGTTCCTCAACACTGCCCAGATGGGATTTTTGCAGCTGTTAGTTCAAGTTACATGGTCAAAATGTCTTTGCGATAAGTACCCGCAGACGCGGTTCTAGGGTGTAACAGCATACGTCATTCGCTGCACATATCTGGTAAAAGAACCACTAGCAGACGCCTAACAGACTTGAAACATTGACGATACCACACTAATTCTAAGAAGCTGGAAGACTTCGAGCCCATTACATCCCATGAGATATGCTGGTAATAGTAGGAGCTTGACGCTTGTAGGCCAGCTGCCATATGTCTTCTCAAATGTACATCTACTTTACAGCCCCCCGTCTCAAGTGGGAAGAACATATTGTCCCACCTCAAATAGAGCGTAAATCTCCGGCTTTTCCGCATTCAGTTATTCCAATCCGCGAACTAAGTGACTGGTATCACGGCCGACCCTGCACATAAAACAAATTCCCAGAACGTCAGGCTCTAATTAGACTCATCCCATGCCGCGGATCGGCTGAGACCAGCTCCAGCCCACCATTCATCCGGTATACGCTCTTGTTCAGCCAGACGGCGTATGATATTTTGCATGTCCGACAGCCATTCCAATCGCTCGGGACCATCGTCTCGAGATGCAGGGAGTAGTTCTGCGACGACATCTGCATACGACCGTCGCCATTGTAGGGTCGGTCGTCGAGGGGGTTCGGTTTGTTGCTCCTCAGCGTCCTCATCTCTCTCCCCGTCAGTATCCGAATTGTCGACAGCCGGATCACAAGGTGGCTCTGCCTCTTCTTCCGGGTTCGTCATAGAGGTGTTTGACGAATTCGCAGTCGTTTGAGATGCTGCCGCAGAGGCTGAGGTGGAGGCAAATGAAGAACCAACGCTTGGGGGCTGGGGGTCGGGGGTAAGGGTAGACTGAAGAGTATCCCATTCTCTATCGCCCTCGGGACTCAAACTTCTGTCGCGATCACCCAGTCCATCAGCGTATCGCACCAAACGAACATGGCGATGAATTCGAGCTTGGTTTGACGAGACTCGCAGACCTCGGCGTCGACGGTACTCGGTCAGATACTCTGCGGGATCGGGTCCTTGAGGGGTTGCCGAGCGGTAGGATAGGTAATCGCTGCTATCGTAACTACGACCGGGAGTGCGGGACTCGTAACCACGGGGGAGCACGTAGCGCCTCGATGATCCGAAGGGAGGCCCATTGATGACCTCTCGCTGAGTAGTAGGTTAGCAATGGTTTGACGAGAAACTTCGCTTTCGAACCCGGACGCAATAACGTGAAGTCCGGCTACGAGCAAAGAGAGAGGAGAGGTCGGCTCACAGAAGATCGCATGCGCGGCACACGAGTAGAAGAGCGCGCTCCCAGACTCCATTGATCTGGCCGGCTCGAGTCATTCCAGGAGACGCGATCGTTTCTCATATAGCTCTCCTCGTGTAATGGAGTCGTGTCTGGCACCTCCACTCGAACAGGGCGGATTTCTATGTTGGCATTGGATCGAGGTCCGTGACTCTCAGAGCGGTTACCGGGACCATCTATTTCGATACCGGGTATCTCAATCTCCACGTTGGAACGGGGACCACGACTCTCAGAGCGGTTGCGGGGGATGAGACCAGCTAGCTCTTCGAATGACGGTTCATCGAAGAAAGGCGGGAGTGATACAAGGTTGACGGTCGGCTCATCCGGCGACAAACGCTCTGCGGGACGGTTCTGGGGAAGGTTCGAGTTGCTCTCATTACTCTGCAAAGCAGCAAGCAATCCCAAGCGGTGTTCTCGAATGTCATTGAGCTCGCGACGTCGATTGCCGACGCGACGGATGGGCGATCGCGAATGCGCGATGTCAGCAGGGCTCTTCGCCGCAGGCTTGGACGGGATGTCGGACTCGACGGGGGCTATGAATAGTCTGAGATGGTGGGGATGGGTCAGCAACTCGCAGCAAGCCTGAGGACGCAGTAAAATGCGCCGTAGAATTCACAATCGATACGAGTCATAAGAAATTTCTGAGGCCGTCCATCATGTTGCGATACCCAAAGCGAAAGCGACGCGACCGGATAATGGAGCGCGTTGAATGGCGGACGGAACTTACGGTAGACCCATTACTGGAGTATGGCTGGTGCGCGTGGCAACGCAACGAGGAAAGCGAGTGAGCGAGGCTGAACAGCGAATGCGACATAAAATAAGGGCAAATGACGGCCAAATTTGCAACCCCAAAGAATAAGAAACCTGTCGAGATGCAATGTTCAGAGGCGGCAGCGAGGAATTGATGAATTTGTACGTTGCGCGATGATGCCGGGTGTAGTGATGGACATGCGCAGGCGTTGAGATGGTTCAAGTGAATGGGCGACGGGTCTCGAATCCCTTTCGTGGGGTTTTGTCGAGGTGGAGAATAAACAAGAGGAAAATCCCAAGGGGTTGATTTGTCTTATGGGTGGGCGCCGCACCTTCCAGTGGGTTGTTCATGCTCCGTATTTTTGTCACCCCATGTCACGGTCGCGCCTCCGTGATTTGGGCTAAGATTTGTTAAGAGGTAACTTTTGACCCTCGGCCATGGATCAATGCACCCCTCAAACCTCTGAAGAATAGGACCTCCTAGCAACGATGCCTGAATCGTGGAAAGATCATATGATATTTTTCAGCTTCTATTGGCATATCGTAGCCTTCTTGACTTTGTCGTATATGTCTCTAGACGGACCCTCCTATCATGGAGTAATACCATGTTAGTTGAGCAATTCCTGTCTTTGACTAACAATCTCAAACAAAGTTCCTCGCAGGGTATATGCCGCAAACCCCAGTCCGCTACTAGCGCCATGTGTGGATTGTCAGCCTGGTCGCAACTTCATGCAAATTGACGGGCTGAGAATTGTTGACTATTCCTCGGTTGCTGGGGATTCGACTGATGCGATAGCTAGCTGTTCTTGAGTCACTGTCTGAGGAGATACACTATCGCCGCCCACAGCAGTGCCTCTGAAGTCCAGTTCCAGCTCAAATCTTCGATCTACCCAAACACGCCAAGCGGTACATAGGAACCTACCATTCTGCAGCATGATTGAGCTAGGACTCGCACGCATCCAGACTCTGCTTCAGCGGACACCGCAGACATGGAAAGCGATACATGTCGCTGGCACCAACGGCAAGGGTTCGATCTGTGCTTACTTGGAAGCCATGCTACATGCCAATAACATTGCATGCGGCAGGTTCACCTCGCCTCATCTGATTGACCGATGGGATTGCATCTCCATCAATGCGAGAGCTGTGCCTGAAACCAAGTTTCGGCATTTCGAGAATTTGGTCAAGAAGAGGAACGAAGATTTGCGGGTCGGCGCAACCGAGTTCGAGCTGTTGACAGCCACTGCGTTTGAGATCTTCGAGGCGGAGAAGGTCGAGGTCGGTGTGATCGAGGTTGGACTCGGCGGCAGACTCGATGCAACGAACGTACTTAAGGAAAAAGCCGTCACTATCATCTCCAAGATAGGGTTTGACCACCAAGCCATACTAGGCAATACTATCGAGGACATAGCCCTGCAGAAAGCAGGAATCATGCAAGCAGGAGTGCCATGTGTGGTTGATGCTAGCAATTCCGAGCCGGTACGGCTTGTGTTTGACTCACATAGTCTGCAGACTGGAGCACCTCTCAAGTACGTCAGTCCTGGCCCCAGTGAGCTGATGAAGAGCTTGAAAAGCTTGCGGCCGCACCAAGCCCAAAACTTAGCGCTTGCCCACGAGGCCTTCCGACTTGCATATCCCCAATTTGCAGAGTCTGTAGGCATTCTTGTTCCTGCCATCAGAAACATGTCGTGGCCGGGTCGACTGCAGATGGTCGACATTCAAGCACTCACCAGCCGCAAGGAGAAGGTCCTGTTGGACGGTGCTCACAACCCGCAGTCAGCAGAAGTCCTTGCTGCCTATGTCAATGAGCACCTTCGACATTGCGCCAGCCCCGCCAAGCAACAGCAGCCACTGATATGGGTCCTTGCGGCATCTAAGGGGAAAGATTTAGGTGAGATCCTGAAGCTCCTTCTTCGCCCAGGCGACTCGGTAGTAGCTGTTGAATTTGGGCCAGTTGACGGGATGCCATGGGTGCAACCAATGGAATCGGAAGAGATTTTGAAGCAATGCCCGGTTGATGTCACGAAACATGACGCGCAGAAGGACTTAGCGGCGGCTCTCGACTGGGCAAGCAAGACAGCAGACAAGTCACCACTAGTCATAGCCGGAAGCCTGTACCTGGTCTCCGACGTACTCAGGCTGTTGAGGGGACACGTAACATCGAATTCACAGGATAGCTCGTGCCCTCATAAAGAAACCATTTAGTTAAAACACTCTTCACCATTAATCGTACCATGTGGTACACTACTGTGTGCTTACAAAGTTCTGTTATTACTGTAAGTCCCTGGCATTCAACATCGTATCCCTCTCATGGCAACAGAGCAGAACCCATCCCTGCCCATCCGTGGACTGGTCAGATGCTGCAATACCGTAGATTCCCTGTTGATGGTTAGTAACACCCGAAATGGCACTGGGTTGGCTCACCAACATAGCCTGATACGTTTGCGACTGGCGCTTTTCGAAGCCACCCAAGGCGACATTTAAATTATTGTTTTGACGCAGCAAGATATTACTCTGGTGAATGCATCAACATTGCTGTGCTCTTTGGGCTAAATTAACTTGTTTGCAATTATACGTACATCTTCAACGGTATCCTTTCATGATGTAGCGCACAATGGGCAACTTGCTTCGTCTGCCCAAGACACAGAGCATTTCCAAATGCCTGCTGCTCCACTAAGGGGTTCCGGCCAATTGATCACCGACTTTGGGCAGTTTTGTCTTCATGTGCATTGTTAGTGATTAGATGGGGTGCCTCCTGCAATATAAGCCGGCTAGGAGACCCGATCTATTTATACATATTGCGAAACCTATGAAAGATCATGACTTGCTTATCATTGATTATTTCCCATCCCTTGCGGATACATAAATATGTAGAAGGGATGCTTACAACAGAGAGGCCAACAGTTTCTTTAGCAATAGAAGGACATATAGCATCACATATCTAACAAGAGTCCCATTTCGGAAGCCATGCCTTCCCAAGACACTTTAAAGCATTCTTCAATACTAGGAAATATCGACCAGTATCATTTATATTGAGCTTCGAGGCAGGTTTAGTTTGCAATGTGGCTTCACCTTTTGAAAATACCCTTGGACAGGTGACGAACCTGATAACAAGCGAAGTTGACAGACTGGCTCAATGGCGTCAGGTAGCTCCAAACAGCGAACAGGGTGCGATACTTGTAGGAACCCCGAACCTAACAGCAATTGTCCCCGAGGCCCTCTTCGAAAGGCCGAGGTCTATCTGTCCCGACAGTTTGGGACACCCACTTAGCGTTGACGTGGGTTTGGGCGGCTATCAACTTCTGGAACACATGATTGGGTCGGTTTGGTTTCCAGAGTGTTGCTGTAAAAGCACCGTCCCAACACCTGCCACATCTTTAATAAACCCCGCTTCGTTAATACTTACTTATAGATTTCAAGCCCAGGTTAAACAGGAATTTCCTATTTGAAAAGCATTCTCTACTTGAGGTACAATGATTATCTAAGATCATGGCAAACTACCAATACTCTGTTCCAGAGCAAGATCCGAAAATGGAGAGGCAACCGCCGAATATCCTCCCATTTCCGAGCCAGATTAAAGCCTACGATCAGTCTGCCTCACACAGCAACACAGCCCTCAAAGTCGAAGCTGGTTCACCACGGCAGGCGAATCCGGGCTGGGACATGTCGTACGATAATGGGCAGTTGCCGAATCCTAGCACGAACACTACTCAGCATCAAGGCCCGCCGCAAGCGGAGTACATTGTTAGAGGCCCATTGACTTCCAACTCTGGCCAATCTAAGTATACGCACACCGGCGGCGGAAGGGGTGTCCAGTTTGAGAACTTCTACATACCCACCGAGCTCATTCATCGTGTACCCTCAGATGCCTCGGTTGTCGAACCAGATTCTGTTTTGGGAGATTCCGGAAGACTCTACCACGGATATAAGGATGGCAAATACTTTTTGCCGAACGACGGAGTAGGTGAATTCACACATTTAAGGACCATTCCCCTGACAAGCCTTTTCCATAGCTAGAACAGGATCGGCTCGATCTTCAATATGCAGCCATTCACATGATCTTGCACGAAAGGTTAGCCTGGGCGCCGATGTTGATACAACCTCGGCATGTCCTGGATATTGCTACCGGCACCGGGATCTGGGCTATAGAGTTCGGTAGGTTCTCACTGCAGCCTACTTTGTGGAGAGACCGCAGTTGGGACTAATAAGCTTTTGCAGCTGAACAAAATCCAACTGCGCAAGTCATCGGGACCGACTTAAGTGCAATTCAGCCGCATAACTCGACACCCCCGAATTGCGTCTTCATAAAGGAGGACTCCGAGGAGGAGTGGTTGTTTGATCAAAAGTTCGATTATGTCCACCTAAGAATGGTAGTAACATGTTTCGAAGACAAGAAACGGGTAATTAAACATGCTTTCGACAACCTCAACGCGGGTGGATGGATCGAATTTCAGGATACAGAATCACACATTCACTCAATGGATAATAACCTACAAGGTATATAACCCTAACCCGTGGTTGACACTAGTAGCTTACTTGATAAGACTCCCCATTTAATATATGGGTCAAGAGTATTGTTCAGGGGGCTGCTGCCATGGGAAGGGACCTGAAAGTAGCTGGAAAGTACAAAGAATGGCTATTGGAAGCCGGATGTAAGCTCATCCCAAGTAGACGAAGACTAACTGGCTGACTTAAAATTAGTCGTCGACGTGGAGGAGATCAGGTTTCGATTCCCATATGGCACATGGCCAGACGACCCCAGATTTAAGAAGATCGGGGCATTCTGTCGTCAGAACATGATAGAAGGTGCTCGAGCTATAGGTTGGAAGATGCTTACCGGCAGGGGCCTGACTGCACAAGAGATTGAGCAGCTCACAGAAAACGCAAAGGCGGAGCTAATGGACCCCCACAAGCGCTTCTACGGATATTTGTAAGTCAATTCTACTATTCATGTGGGAATTCAGCCACTTAAAATGATGTAGTTATGTCGTATACGGTCGGAAGCCGTTCGAATGGGAATCCAGCAACGATTTAGCCTGAAATTGGGCCGACAGACGCAGATACTCTATGTGTATAGGCTCGCATTTATATTTGTCAAGGATTGATGATTTCTCATGAATAACATGGGACAAGCGAATACACCTTGCTCAGAGAAAATCTTCTATATACAAGTTACATTATTTGCTTTGTTAAGAATAAGCACACTTGTAAGTCGACTATTACTTAGAGCAATAGACCGAATTTCCAACCCTTCAGAATGCTTAATTTCTTTTATGAAGCACCTGGGACCACACGGCGTTCAAGTCGTTTCTCTGGAATCTTTCGATGAGTGAAGTACACGGACGCGGGACATATGTTACCCAGCAAGAATTGTATAAACAGTCCCACGGCGGCTTCTTGTGGTTAAGTGTTGACAGCATCTCATGCGGTAGAGCATTTGTTACCACCCAATACAAATGCACCTCATTCCATGGCTCGTCACTTTTACCATCCCTTACTTAACCAACCACAATCAAGCCAGCCATCCATAATCTCCCCTTTGAAACCCCTCCTCGACCTTACCCCCCCGTCTAATCGGCACCATTCTCGTCGGCAGTAGCACATATGCTTTCCTCTCACCCGTGACCATGTCCCACGTCTTCTATATCCTCAACCCGATCCTAAACACGCTACTCTATTTACCAGGACTTGGGGGGCACAATCTGGCTGTCGGACTCGCCATATGGGCGCTCAGCCTCAGCGACCGGCGTAGGGCGCTCTACATGCTGCTTATCTGCTGAATGAGCGCGGGGTTGCTGATAAAAGTCTCCTGCTCAACCATCCAGAAGAGCTCGCTATGTTTTGGGTGTCTTTGATGAATACGTGCATTATTGGGGCGGGCTGGCTCAGAGTGTAGAATGAAATCTGGCAGCGATTTTTAAGCATGGGGTAACAAGTGTAACTTTTCCGGGTTTTGAAGAAGGGTCATATCACAACTGGAATATGTAGCAATAGCGGAACTAATGATATACTTGCTTGACATTGTTCGGCCAGGAGGGAACATGTATCGTCTAAGTTCCCGATCCTACCGTCTCTGTGTTCTCACCTTGTGTATAAAGTCTCTATACTTCTGAGCCCTATTGAGTCCCTGTTATTCCTCTCATATCTCTGATACTATCCTGCTTGGCTATCTCGATATACTCTACATCACTAAGTTTAAAGTACGTCCGTTCTAGCTTTAGCTCGACATGCTGCTCGACGTCATGGTGATGAAGGTATTAGTTTCCCGCTGTAAGTAGAAACGCATTTCTGGATGTACTGCTATCAGTCCATCATCAACACGAAGCACTAAGTAAAACAACACAAAGGTGTCCAAACAGCACTTTCACACTCCACGGCCTTCTAAGTATACATGAGTTGAATATCATAACCGGAGGTGATCCCGATTGTGTAGCACGCCAAACGGTAAGACTGCCAGGACGCTATTCATGGTCATATCTGTGTTCATGTGTGCCCTCAATATGTACATACATGCTATATACCCTTACCCAATCAACCTTCCTCCTAGTACATGGTCTACCAAAATCACATCTAATTGGGGGCAACTGTTATTGGTATCTCACCAACAATAAATGCAAGGTATTCGAACCCTCAACCGACTCATACATCAACCCTTTTCCCCTTTTCGAATTTAAGTCAGCGCATTCGGAGTCTGAAAAGACACCATTTCTGCCCGAACCCCTACAAGCCTCTTGACCGTCAACCACAGCTGGAACGCCTCTAACTTGAGCTCGACGCGCAAGAGTCCCACCCACGCCGCAAGAAATCTAACGGCATTCCCGGGCCAGAGCAGTCCACCTTGGCGAGCCTTAATCTCCTCCACCTGCTCCCGAAACACCGTCTTAGCGCAGTACCGTGCCAAAATCATGAAATTCCGCATAGGTCCCTCCCGCGTCTGCAGATTTTCGTCCAGGCTGCGCGTCAAATCGTTCGTTTTCAAAATAAGCAAGATGATCCGGGGCACTTGACCAAGTAAATGCACCAGATCGGTCAGCAGACCCTCCTGTAGCGCATCGCCCATCGTCTTCTTCTCGTCGCCCGACCGGGGCTTCAGAATGGACTCGCTGACGACACTGTAATCCCTTCCCGTGATGGCGCTTGCGAAAAGCGGGAACTGCTCCTCGGTGACGCCCGCCACTTCGTTGGAGTACTTCTTCATCCGGCCCACGTCGCCGTCAATAATAGCTAGCCACATCTTGGCGTAGCTGCGCTGCAGACTCTCAGGTATATCGCGGTACAGACCGTGGTCGTAGATGATGACCTCAAAATTGGCGCCGCCGGGGCGGCGGTGGGCCGTTTTTCGGATGGAAATGTTACCACCGTGGGGGTCACAGTGCAGCGGTGCATTCTTGCCGAAGATCATCTCGTTGAAGATGTACGCTAGTGTAGCCGAGACTTCGTCACGGTCGATACCGTTCGAATCGAGGTACTCGAGGTCGTCGAGCCGGCGGCCGGACTCATTCGCCATAACAAGGATGCGCTTCTTGGCCCAAATAATGTCTGGAATCACCAAGGGTAGCTCTGGCATTGCTGCGAAGTACCGTTGGGTCCGGACGGCGTTTGCCGCCTCGCGCTGGAAGTCAAGTTCTTGAGGTAAAGAGACGTCCATCTCGGCCGACAGCCATTCTAAATCGTATTCGGGAAAGAAACGCTTTAGTGTAGAGAAGGTAAACCTCGTCAAAGCTAAGTCGAGGCGAGCCCATTGAGCGAGGCTCGGGTGCTGGATTTTGACAGCTACCTTCTGTCCGTCCTCCTTAATGGTTGCCAGGTGTACTTGCGCCAGAGACGCCGCTCCTATCGGCTCTTCTGAGAATTCGGAGAAGTAATCTTTCAGTTCTTTGCCCGTGTCATCCCGGAACATTTGCTCGACGGACTCGAAGGAGGACACCGGGCATTTGTCTTGTAACGGTATAAACGTGTCGGTCCACTCCACAGGCAACAGGTACGTCATGGCACTCTGTACTACTGTTAGCATCGAACCACAAGCATTGATCGGCATTGCCAAGTACCAAGTGCTGTCCCAGCTTGATGAATAAGCCTCCGTTCTTCTCCAGAACCCGTAAAGTCCGCACTGCACATCGCTTGTGGCATTGCTTGAGCACCTTATTCGCCTCGGCTGCGTCATCTATTTTGTCTCGGTGGTTTAACGTGGTTCGGTAACTGTGTGTCCTCTCATCAGTCTCTCATAGTCGAGTCAAGTAGGAGTGTAGGGTGGGCTCACTCATTGATACATAATGCCAAGGTAGCAGCGACTCTGCCCGCACGCTCTATTGCATCATACCCATGCTTGATGTCGTCCCCAAAGGCAAGAAATCCAGCACCAGCAGCACCAGCCGTAGCCGTGGCAAAGAGGGCAACGCGTTTTCCCGGCGGCGGTATTCGCTGTGAGGAGCTCGACGGACCGGATGAAGAATGTCTAGGAAGCGCAAGATTGGCCGTTGTATTCGTGCGCCTCGAAAGTTGGCTGCGACAACTGGAGCAGGTCCATCGACCGCTACTCCTCGTCGTGACACGACTAAGAGAGATGATGGAAGGGGGTTTCATGGTGTTGCCAAAATCAGCGGCGACATGAGAGCATTAGTCGTCTAGTCCCGCAGCAATGGAGTGATTATGGCAGAAACCATCCGCATGTTCTAATGATAGTCGAAAGTCGGCACTGTCTTTTGGTCTGAGGTACTTTCACGATTGATGTCATGGGGGCTCGGGTCCTGGGTGGAACCACTTTTGACAAAGGACACGGTCTAGTCGACGATAATTGAAGCTTTCCGTTGGGGACAACCAAATTCGCTGCAACGTCTCTTTTTTTTTTTTTCTCACGGCAATCGCCGCTGCGGAATCTGACCTCGGCGTCATAGGCTTGAGATTGTCGGGATATGCAGGGATTATTCGGGTTAGTCCTCTCTGCAGGGGTCTTGGATTTGTGGCTTGACTTCCAGGGTGTTGTTCAACCGATACGGCTGATTGCTGATCGATGCTCTTTACGCGTCACAGCAACAAGTCGCGTCTTGAACCCATTTTGGCCCACCTGGCTCGATTCCCCGTGTAGAGGATCGATAGTCCAAACGCCACACGCCATTCCATTTCCCAGTAACCTTCAACTGATAACAGCTCGTGTACAACATCTTCACTACCCTACGTTATACGACCATGATGTTGGCGACTATGCCTTCACCAGCCCCCATATTCTCCTTCTCGTCCCCTTTCCGACCAACCGTCTCCTCGCCCCTGTCATCATCACCCATCTGTGCACAAGCGTCCCAGTCCTCTCAGCTCTCCCCGCGCGATCCGAACCGACGCGATGTCCAATCCTCGCCACTCCAGGCACCCAAATTTAAATACGCCGTGCGGACGGCGAAGCCGAATCCGCTCAAGAAGACCCGTGACACTGCACAGGAGAGCAGAAGGAAGCTGTTTCTGAATAATGTGCGGCAGAGGCGCGAGGACAAGGAATGGGACCGGAGGGGTGGCGATCAGGAGGTAAGTCCTTTCAACTCGGTGCTGAGACCTTTAGAGGTGCTGATTGATTGATGGTTGCAGCTCTTGAAGCTCGAATGGGCGACCCAGGACCGCCGGCGGAGAGAGCAAAAAGACACCGACCTGGATGGGATAGTTTTTGAGGACGAGATCGATGAAGTCCCTACAAATACAGAGCAGCCGCCACAAGATTTGGACGAAGTCATGGCCGACAGTATTGCACAGCAAGAGGAGGCCGAATTAGAGGCAATGCTATCATCTTCACAGGCCCCGGCAAGGCCACAATCGCCTTCTCTATCTGACGATGACGATTACGACAGTCTGTTCATGGACTATCTTTCACAACATCAAACCAATCAAGATCAAAGTATTCTGCTTTCGGGGCAAATGGATATGTCATGAGATAGCCTCTTGTGATGTGGGGAGCGTCAAGTTTTGTTACCCCTATCAGAGGTATGGCGTTGTTGGATGGTTTCAGTTGAAATTTGGCGTTCGGACTCGGATGGTCTATTGGAGTCATATGACGGCATATAGAGGGTAGGCTGCGTGTATAGGCACACGTCATAATTGGTATCGAATTGATGCTGCTGTACACACATCCAGATCTCAGTCGCCCGCGGCTTCATTGCGTTGGGCATCCCTCGTCTGGCCCATCCCCAAGCACGTCTTTCGCTGACGGCATATTACCTATCAAATCGGTTGGTGGCGAGCCTGCTTCTTGCATCTGAACTTGGGGTCAGCTTCAACATTCTGGAAATCTCGAGCTTGCAAGGGGACTACTCACCTTTTGCATACGATCTACGATGTATTCTCGATCCGCTGCGTTGGAGTCCTTATACGTCGGCTCTTCGAACTTGGCAACCATCTCCTTGACCAGCTTCTGCTGGTCTTCATACCTCTTCTTATCCTCTTCCTTCAGCGTGCCCTTGTTCTTTTGCATCCAATCCGGGAACTTGTCGTTAAGCTCTTTCATCGGCTCGTACAGGATCTCCTTATTGGTGAGCTGTTCCATCATACCCATCAGCATTTTGGTGAAGTCCTCTTCCGACCCGCCCTCACCAGGCAAGTCCTTCATCGCTTTCATCATCTCGGAAATGAAGTCGTCCTCGGATCCCTCCGCAGCCGCCGCTGCTGTCGCTTGTTCGCCAGACGCCTGCATGCGCGCCATAGTGCGCCGGATCGTGTCTTGGAACGAGGCATCGGCGCTCAGATCCGCGGCTACTTGCTCGGGGTTCTTCGCTTTTGGCGCAGGTTTCGAGGTCGACGAGGATGACGTTGCTTCGGGCTCTGCGCCGATGGCGGCGGCGACGCCTAGTTCTTTGAAAATGCTCTCGAACTGTGACTGCATTTCCGGCTGTGTCGCATTAGGTACATATTGCGACAGCAGTCTGTCTAGCATTGTGCGGGCACGCCGACTTACGTTCTTGTCCAGATCTCCCATAAGCTCTGCCATGCCGGCCTGCAACTGCTTTTGAAATTCATCTTCCGAAATATCATCGTCTAGGATGTCTGGTATGTCTGTCATAGATGGGGGTGGTGCTGATGTGGAAGCCGCCGTAGGTGTCGTGCTACTGCCAGCCGTCGCTGATGTTGCTGCTGGTCCCGATATGGCAGCAGATTTCTTGGAATCGGATTTCTCGGTCGAGAACTCGTCAAGCAAGTCATCTAAATCATCCAGATCGTCCTCGTCTGGGTCGGGCGCATCGCCGATATCTACCGGTGCGGGTGGTGATAGTGCGGTTGTCACATGCTTGACTGAGCTGTCAGCTGCGACAGCTGGTGCGGGTGAGCTGTCGCTGCCCATCGGGTCAGCTTTGCTCTCGGACATTTCGTGTTGCCTAACGCAAGGCGTCGTGGATATCTGGCGAAAATAGTATAGGCGACGCAAGTGGGTGCATCCCAGAAGCAGATACTGAGATGCTCCTAAGGTCTTGGTCGATGAGAGCGGCTGGGACGACGAGGGGTGCTGCCGACAGTCCGAGGTAGATAGCTGTGCCTGCGTCAAGTGTGGCTGAGCTAGTCAGATTCTCATGAGGGGCAAGGATGCGACAGCACCCCTGATATCTGACATCTGACATCTTTGGACTATAGCTCCTGGTAATTCAAACCCTGTTCGACTAGTGTACTTATATGTATGCTTACTCATACCCTGTAACAAAAGAGTAGCACTTTACTACCCTACATGCGCACCGTATGCAGCGACGTCTGGATCGAGGGTCAGCCATTGCCCCTCCACCAAGTCAACCAATACCTTGACCTCAGTAATCCACTTCCCCACCAGACTTAAAAGAGCAGTTACTGGAATATCGCTTGGCACTACCAACCCTCAGAATCTGGCTGCCATGATGAGCAACATGTCAGATCAAAGTTCGCGTCCGCCACGCAAACTCGTCCAAATGTCAGGTGCACCAGGCTCCGGTAAAAGCGCGATAGCACGCCTACTAGCCCACTCCATCGACGGCGTGGTCATCAACCACGACCTCATCAAAGCCTTCTTCCTCGACACCGGTATCCCTTTTGATCAGTCAGCAAAACTCACCTATCGCCTCGATTGGGTTCTCGCCGAGGATATGATCAAACAAGAGCGGAGCGTCATCATTGACAGCGTCTGCAACTACCCCGAGGTTATAGATCGGGGAACCGCTCTGGCTCAAAAGTACCGGTACGACTATAAGTACGTCGAGTGCAGAATCACGGATTTGGATTTACTGGATCAAAGGATGCGTAGCAGGGAGTCGCTGAGGAGTCAAAGGACGGGTGTGGATCGTCCCCCGCCAGATGCCATGGCAAGTAGTGCCAGCCACAGTATAGACGAGCTTTTCAAGAAGTGGATCGAAAATCCATGCCGTCCAGTTGGAGATTGTGCTATCATCGTGGATTCTACCCGCAGCCCGGAGGAGTGTCTAGACACCATACTGAAGCAGATGACCCCTCCCACAGATGTGTGAACGAACAATGGTCCACCCCCTGAAGTCACACTTTCTCCAAAAGCATTCGCCGGACGTTGGCAGACACATTGGGTGTAGTTTTATGGATGACGACGAAGGCCAACTGTTCTCTCAAATTCAGAACTGTTGCTCCAGCCTGGTGCTGCATAGAAGACTGTCTATGTTGCCGCGACCTCTGGCCGGAGTGATGTAAGTGCAGCAATAAACTGACAATGCCGTCCCAGTGGACCAGTCCTGCTGTGTTTAAAGTCAATGAATTCGATCTCTGTTTGTCAAATGAGGACAGAATAGAGCATTGAAACCCATGTCAAGAGACACCAACTGTTCTGAGTAGGATAGGGGGCCCTCCAAGACCCCAAACATTAACCTATCGGGTTTTCTGGTCAATCTAATAGTTCCGCAAGGCGTCGACCTGCATATTACCGGCTTCTGATATCAAATTCGAACAACTACAAACGAAATAGGAGTCTGTAGTCGGCTAATCTCAGCCTCAAGCTGTTTGATGAGTTGGAAAGAGGGCTTGGAAGCTGGTCATGGATGTTCTCGCTGGAATCTCGTTGTCCAGATTATAGTTAACAATGGAGTACCACGGATCTTTCGTTGTGAAATTTTTTATCACCAGTGTATTACTGGCCTAAGATGAAAATCAATGCGCCACCTTTTGTTCTTCTTAGGTACAAGACTTTGGGACATTTCCAGTCAGGCATTGAAAAGTTCGGAATTCCCAAGATGAAAGAGGACGCCGACAGGAGTACCTTGTTTGAAGTCCCGTCAACATTGTACACACAGTGTTTTGAAGGAATTCCTGCCTGGTGGTTCCCTTGTAGACTGCAGAGAGTTCGCACATATCAAGGCAACTCCTTTCCCCGTCTCAGAGTTCCTGGAAACTGAAAGGCAGCATACACCAACATCATTTTACGAACCCCCAACTCATCAACCACAAACCCAAATCATTCACATTTTTCTGATTTTCACATCAAACCTAACAGCCGGCAAGATGGTCCTCACGTTGAATTCTGAGGTCCTGAACGGACTCTGCTCGCAGGATTAATCTGACCCACTGGATGCCGTCAATCATGCTCGTCTTGAGCGCATTCATCAGCAAGCCGATATCTCGTTGCCGCAGATCATCGTGTGTGGCGAAGCCATCTGATAAGAGCTCTGTGCTCGAGGCCATCTCTGGTGTCCCTTTCCCGTCAACAGCAACTTGTGCACTCGCTTGCCCACCGAAGTGGTTCTCCGCACAGCGAAGAACACTAGCGTCACTATCTCCATCGTCAAGCCCCCTTATATCGGCCTGTCAAACCGTGATTGCGTGGTTCGTGTTGAAGAAACGCTAGTTCCCCTCTCAGGTTTCCCGGTTTAATCGATCATGCAAAGAAGCTCATGGGAATCTCAGAGGGGTTCTCAAACTAGTCTCTTCGTATTGAAATCAGTAGACCGGATTGTCCTTATTTGACTATTGTCAACCTCCCCGGGCTCATAAACTTCCCGTCGAAGAGTACCAAACTCAAGCCGACGTCGACATGGTCCATGACATGGTTACCAACTTCATAGAACAGCCAATAAGCATCATCCTCGCCGTTGTCTCCGCCAAGACTGACATCTCCACTCAAGAGATCCAAGAGGTGGTGAAGTTGGTCCGCAATGCAGATTTCGTTGGAAAGCGAACCGTGGGCGTCATCACGAAGCCGGACACCGACGCGAGATCACCGAATCAAAGAAGTCCTCGAAAAAGGCTACGAGACATGCAGAACTTCGTCGGTACCCGATAGGGTGGCAAGTCCGGCCTTCTCAACTGAGTCGCTATTGTTGAGCTAATGTGCTTGGCAGACGAAGTCGCTAGTCTTCCCGGGGAGATCGAGTCTATCTTGAGCGAACATGGGGATGGTGCAGATGAGATGGATCATAGGTCATGATGACTAAAATCCCATCACAGTTTATTACACGTCTCTCAGTGTGACCACATCTGAGGTAGAGGGAGTCCTTGTTCCTGCGACTGAAGACAACGTCCAAGTTCACGAGCAGCCAGGTCAATAGAAACAACGGGGCTTGATGGGTCCTCGGGCTTGCTGAAGGGCCCGAAGAATGATCTGTGCATGAATCAGGAAGACTATCTTTAATATTCGATTCGAGTTGGTTGGTTGGAATTGCTGGCTTGAACTCCTACGCAACCACTTGATGTGAGTAGCCGGGCTATTGAAGGTATTTTAATACGTGTTTTTCTGAAAGGAAAGCTCCGGTTCCTCCGCATCTCCGCTGACTGGAACAGAACCCCGTACGAGACATTGAATTTAGTTAGACATCGTAACCTTGGACAGTATATTTAGAAATGTAACCAAACCGTTTCGACAATTCAAAGTACTTCTAGCTTTCTAAGAACTAGATAATATACGGTATATCAGGTAGAGCAGTCGGTATACGCATCTACTACACTTGAATACTGGGTTATTGTGGGAAGCTGTGGCAGCAGGCACGGATTGTAGCCGGCCCCCCGAGTTGACCACCTTTTGAAGGAAAAGCGTATACATGTTGGGGATTATCTGAGTTTGTACGAGGGAGCGCACCGTGTGCCCATCTGTGTGTCTTCAAGGATTTGACTGTGCAGGTGGGCTCGAGCTTGTGCAGTAGCCTGGGTATACGTTCCGAGTAGGCTTATCTTTTGCTGATATGCAAGTGCCATAAGTTTGAAAAGTCGACCGGAGGTGGCGGCGGGATACAACAGCTTGGGTTCAAGTGGAGGCCCTCAATGCCCCCGAGCACTGGAACCAAGTTCGCCATGCAAGGGTACGTTGAAGGCGTAAGCAAACGCGCCGTTCTCGAAAGGAATGACCAAAGTCTCTCGTAATCCGACATAAAGCAGTATCCAACTACCTAAAGTTGCAAGACGTACTCAGGTTGGTAAGAATGGGATTGTGCCCATCTGCTACACTAGGATATCGGTCTGCCCCATAAGCAACTTTGTTTGTTTACCCACATGATAGCCCAGTTTGCGACATCAACAGTGTGCTAGAAATAGCATGTTCAATATAAATTTATTAGACTATTACGGTATCGCATGAAACACCTTTGTTTCGTTTTTTCCTCACAAGAGGTTAGGCACATTGACTGCAGACATAAGTGTACTGGAAAGGATTCACAACCTATGTCAAGAGCATGTGGGTAACTAGATAGAATTGTCAAGACTCGTCAAGGTATTGTGAGTCGATGGCGTGTATACATTTGTCATTTCTGCGAATCATTAAACTATCAATGCAAGTTAAGTAATCAATCAATTCTGTTTTTGTTCGATATAATTACGAAGGTAACGTGCGGAGTCAAAGCCTGGCACCCTTAAATATTGACTCCGGCGACTCTAAAAGAATGGGTGGAGAGCTGATACTATAAACGTAAACATTCTGGAAGAAGTCGGTCAAGCGAGCCTGTGGAGATGATGCCTACTTCAAATCAAACCGGTCCAGGTTCATCACCTTGGTCCACGTCTCCACAAAATCTTTCACAAATTTTTCTCCTCCGTCAGCGCTGCCGTATACCTCCGATATGGCGCGAAGTTCGGCGTGAGAGCCAAAGACGAGATCGGCGCGAGTGGCGGTCCACTTCTTCTGTACCGACTTGCGGTCTGTGCCTTCATAGATTTCACCGTCGGAATCAGCTGCCCTCCAAACAGTACTCATGTCGAGCAAGTTGACGAAGAAGTCGTTCGTAAGATGACCAGGACGCTTAGTAAAAACACCATGAGCTGACCCGTCGTAGTTGGCGTTCAATGCGCGCAAACCGCCCACCAATACAGTCATTTCCGGCGCCGATAGCGTCAGAAGATGCGCCCTGTCGATGAGGAATTCCTCAGTGCGCACCTTGTGTGTCGATCTACCGTAATTGCGGAAACCATCAACCGCAGGCTCCAAATAGCCAACAGACTCGATATCGGTTTGTTCCTGCGACGCATCCATGCGACCAGGCGCGAAAGAAACTGTTACGTTGTGGCCGGCATCCTTCGCAGCCTTCTCAACGGCGGCGGTTCCGGCTAGAACGATAAGATCAGCCAGTGACACCTTTTTGCCACCAGATTGCGAGTCGTTGAATTGCTTCTGCACATCTTCCAAAGCCTTCAACACTTCCGCGAGCTGTGAAGGATTGTTCGCCTTCCAGTGGCGCTGAGGTTCGAGGCGGATACGTGCACCGTTGGCGCCTCCTCGCTTGTCGCTGCCGCGGAATGTGGAAGCCGAAGCCCAGGCAGTGGAAACAAGCTTAGCAGGTTCAACACCAGATGCCAGCACGTCCTTCTTCAATAGAGCAATGTCCTTTTCGTCAATCAAGGGGTGGTCAACAGATGGGATCGGATCTTGCCAGATCAACACTTCTTCCGGTACTTCGGGGCCGATGTACCGGGCGCGGGGGCCGACGTCGCGATGCAGCAACTTGAACCAGGCGCGCGCAAAAACGTCGGCAAACTGGTCTGGATTCTCAAGGAAGCGTCGCGAAATCTTCTCGTACTCGGGGTCAAAACGCAGTGAAAGATCCGTTGTAAGCATTGTTGGAAGTTGCTTCTTATTGGGATCGTAGGCATCGGGAATGATGGGCTCCGCATTCTTCGCTACCCATTGATTGGCACCGGCTGGACTCTTTGTTTGCTCCCACTCGAAACCGAAAAGATACTCGAAATAGTGGTTGCTCCACTTCGTCGGAGTCTTGGTCCATGTGACTTCGAGACCACTGGTAATGGTATCGGGACCTTTGCCGGAGTTGAAGCCATTGCGCCAGCCCAAGCCTTGCTCCTCGAGACCGGCCGCCGCAGGTTCCTTGCCCACCTTGTCGGAAGGACCTGCGCCGTGCGTCTTACCGAACGTGTGACCGCCGGCAATTAGCGCAACCGTCTCCTCATCATTCATGGCCATGCGACCAAAAGTGACACGAATGTCTCTGGCCGCAGCGATAGGATCAGGGTTTCCATCGGGGCCTTCAGGGTTTACGTATATCAGACCCATATGAGCAGCGGCCAACGGCTCTTGCAGGTTGCGTGTATGTATATCGTTGTCGGCACTACCTTGCTCATCACCGTCCACTACGCCGTGACCCTTAACACCTTCGTGTCCTTTGGTGTAGCGAACATCGTTGCCCAGCCAAGTCGTCTCGCCTCCCCAGTACACCGACTCATCAGCCTCCCACGTGTCTTCGCGGCCGCCAGCAAAGCCGAAGGTCTTGAAGCCCATGGATTCGAGAGCCACGTTGCCCGTCAGGAGCAACAAGTCCGCCCACGAGATTTTATTGCCATACTTCTGCTTGACGGGCCACAGGAGACGGCGTGCTTTATCGAGACTGACGTTGTCCGGCCAGCTGTTGAGTGGCGCAAATCGTTGCTGGCCCTATTTGAGAGAGTGGGATCAGTAAGGAGACTTTCAAGAACTGCTGGGAGAAGGGAGCAACCATCGTTGATACCTCAGGAATACCACGGCAACGAAACCAATGCTATGTTCCTGGAACAAGACCGAGTTGAACAGACAAGCGACAATAAGAAGGGGTACTGACCTGCCCACCACCTCCACGTCCATCCTGGACGCGGTAGGTGCCAGCACTGTGCCAGGCCATGCGGACAAACAGACCACCATAGTGGCCAAAGTCGGCTGGCCACCAGTCCTGCGAGTCTGTCATGACAGCACGCAGATCCTGCTTCAGGGCTTCATAGTCAAGACTCTTAAATGCCTCGGCATAGTTGAAGTCCTTGTTCAGTGGATTGGATACCGACGTGTGCTGGCGTAGGATGTTGAGCTTTAGCTGGTCGGGCCACCAATCACGATTCTTGGTGCCGCCACCACCGGTGTTCATCAGACGGGGGTGAACCGGGCATTTGCTTGCGTCTGGGTTCTCTCCCATGGTTGCGGTTTGCAATTGTGTCTCTCGAATGCGTGTCTCAGGGAATTGGCAAAGAAAAGTAGCGATTATGGGTGGCAGAAAAAGACTGCGAACAGATGGGATGAAGAAAAGGCATCTAGACCGGCAGACAAAGAGGGTGACCCCGCGCTTTATATATCGCCTTGTTGCCTTTCGAAACCCGGGCGAAACCTTATTGGCACGGTTTCTGGAGGCGCTTACGTCTTACAAGTTGGATGGCCAAGCCAATGGCAGCTTCGGCATTTGCAGGCGTTGAAGGCAAGACGCTGGCAAGGAGGGGTCGGCATGGTCAGGTTGTCGTCTTCCCTGGGGCAAGCGAGCGTGGCACGTGCGGCCGTCTCTGCGCATTGGGGTTGAAACAGAGCCACAAAGAAGGCAGGTGCGGGGAAGTGGGTTGGCCACCCGCCTGGCCTCAGTACAGTACTGTCATTCATTTCTGCGATACCTTGGCGGATGGAGGCTCAATATTTGGAATTGACATCCTCAAATGTCTCTATCAATCTCCTTCGGCGGACCATCTCTTGCTTTCAGGATCGAGAGACGACAAGACAGCTACAGCAGCTGAAAGAGGACTACCTACCAGGAGCCACCGAATCTTGGACGATGAAAACCCAGGCTAGGAACCATTTCCAAACAAGGTGCTTCACTTCAAGTGTTTGGATGCTTGCACGGTCAAGCACGCAACAGACCAGGATTAGGCGGGGTTGGTAAGCGAGCATTTACCTACGGCGTGATTGGTTACACGCGACAGACTACTACACAACTTCCATTCGTACGTCATGCAAATGTTCCGCTCTCGAACGATCGCGTCAAACCTTCTAATTAGCGCTACCCGTCAGGTGCTGAAAACGGCGATTTGACCCATTTCTACTGACGCAGTATAGATCTCGATGCTCGTCATGGATACCATTTCCGTGTCGACATCATTGAAACGACTTCACAGGTTGCTAGGCATCGGTTTCAGTGGCTATGGCTCCATATGTCGCCTGGCTGATACGGTAATGATGCATTCGAACATGATTGCAGGCATGATGGCGATCTTCCGTTATTACATCCCGAGGTCTCCGGAACAAATCCGAGTTCAACCTCACAGCATCATTGGACCCCACTGGCTGCTGCATCATTTGACATGCCAGCTGGCACTAGACGATTCATACTGGCATGCAGCCTGCGGCCTTTAACCACTCATGTATATCAGAACTGGCATATACGAGGAAACCCATCCTCCAACCGCAAAACGATTTCCTGTAGACACAGGAAACTGTATAGAGTTTGACGCAACACTTCTTTGCTATCTTGTGACATGTCCTAGTGAAAGAGTTATTCTGTACTCTATAGTGTTATCTCTACAGTATTATCATGCTGTCTTGTACACTTGGCGGCAAATGCACCATTTATCGGCTGAAGTAGAAATTCAAGGATCCCAAGCATTCCCAACATTCCGAGCCCAAGTGCCAAGCTTCTTTCTCACCATAAATTTGTGAAGCTCTCGCAACTGATGGGGAGGATTGAATTTCTGAAGTTACATTTACACCCTACTTTCATCAGCCCGTTCTCAATAACTTCACAATACCCTAACAGAGCAGTCACATTGGCTACAGAACCACTATTGGCTGGATGATTGGAACGGAGAAATTCAAGCAACGGGCGTGATTTCATTCCCGGTAGCACACCGTGGTAGAGCTCAAATGCCATGTATGGTGAACATGCTGCTTACGAGCACGTCAGCTGCACAACACTTTGCAGACGCATGGCTGGGTGCTGAAGTGTATCGTTGCAGTTTATTGGGGGCAGTTCGCCATCTCCATCTCACAAAATAAAGTAGCATGCTTTGGTTTACTTCACGGACGAGAGCGTATGAGACAAGCGAAAGGGCGGTAGAGGCCTGCTATTAGATCTAAGGACTATTCCTGGTGGTGAATCATTAGCTGGGGGTCACATGTATTTCTTGTGCTACCTCGCAATTGCCGATTTGCCATCGAATCCTTGCTGTTGCAAAACAACTCATAGTCGCAGACTGCAACACACACAAACAGCGTGGAACCGGATTCAAGTTGTCGCAATGATAAGTATGCAGATAAACATATTTGCGAGCAGAAACGAGAGTCGTAATGCGATGAAAGTGACCTCCCCAACAGTGTCTTAAAGATAATACGTCCAAGAAAGTTCGCAAAGAAATTCAACGAGACAACTGGTGCCCCTTTTGATGATATCCATCCTGTATGATATTATCTGTATCTTGGTCTTCTACCCTGATCTACGTGGACATTCAATTTGAGCTGGTCACAGCAGCCATGCTTACAAGCATTGCGAGTAGTACTCATTCGACACGGTGCACTGTATTAAGCATCAATCAGCAACCTGTTCTGCAATCACCTTCATCTTCATATCGTGCGGGAAACACTCACAGTAGTCCCTGCCACACAAGTAGTAGGACCCGTGTACCCAATACCCCCGCACTGAGCCCACTTGGGTGCGGTGCCCGTGGCGCCCGAAGTCGAGCTGGTAGTCGTCGATGTCGGCTTGGTCGTGGCACCCGGCGTGCTGGAGGACGAGCTACCGCTTGCGGAGCCGGCGCTGTTGAAGGTCGATCCGATGGGACCGAACTTGATGTTAGAGTATTTTACCGAGGCGCTGGGGTTGTTCTTCTCCACGTCGGAGGGGACGCCCGAGGTGGTGGCGCAGGTGCCGCGAGCCGCGCCCTCGGCGGTACTGCCGACGGGGTAGGTAGAGTCGAGCCAAAGCATGTTGGCGGCGTGCTGTTGGTTAGGGAAATGTGTGTTAGTTTGTTCGTGTGTGTTTGTGCGTGTGTGTGAGGCAGTGAACGGAAGTCGAAAAGGGGGAAATAGAATAGTGAAAAGGAAAAGCGGGCTTACGTCGTCCCACAGACTCATGACAAGAACCATGGGCTTGGCAAGGGCGGCACCCATTTGGGCCAGGCCACCCTTCTTGGCGAAGTCATTGGTGTCGCCGAAGGCAGCCTTTTGGGCGGTGCAATAAGCAGTGGTGATGGAGTTGCCCGTGACGCCTGTCTCAGTCAGTAATGAACGTGCAGAACTGGATATTTGTGAAGAGAATATTGGAGGTAGAATTTCTTGAGTGTTTACGCAACACCAGCAAGTACAACAAATGATAAGACATGAAAGGGGGTCTGAGGCATCCTTACCGCCGATGGAGCTCTCCGAGTTGGGGATAACCTTGCTATTCTGGACGTAAAAGCGCTTGATCTCGCTCAGGGCACCGTCAGTGCCAGTGAGGAACTGAGTCACCACAGTCAGGGGCGACTTGGTGTCGATGGTGTCTCCGGGACCGTAGAAGGTGGTGTTGCCTGTTAATCCTGTACTAAGCTCATGCTTCACCACACAAATGCCTCTTCCCAAGGTGATACTTACCCTGGCGGTAACTGTTGAAGTCACATCCATCGGGATCGCAATCTCCCCCGTATCGGTCAGCAGAGTAAGTTCCTCCACAGGCGTCACCATTGCACGAGTGCTGAGACGACGTGGTGCACGGGTGAGGCGTGTAAGCGGCCGAGATGCTGTTCGCCTCCCAGATATCCATCTCAGCACAGCACGAGCCCAAGTCGCCGAGACCGGCATTAACGTCGTTGGAGGAAGGGGTCCAGCCCTCGCTGTTGGCCTATGCACAAGTGGCGTTAGAATCGTTTCCTTAGATCGCTCCGTTGCGGAGTCAGAGACGATAGACTTACAACACCATCAATGAACTTGATGTCCCGCGGGCACTGCGAGTCACAGTACCCAGTACCGTACTTGGCACCAGCCTTGTTGGTAGGGAAGCGAGACATGCCACCATCTTCGTCCATGGAGACAAAGTACAGAGCGCCATTCAGGCCGCATGGCAAATTCGACACGTCCACGTCGAAGGTGAACTCGTTGCCGAGTAGGGTGAACATCTGGTATGTGGTGTCGCTAGCCATCAAGAAGAAACGGCTGCCGATGTTGGTGCTGTATGGTCCCTCGGTCACAAACTGCAAGTTGAGAGCGTTGCCACTGGTGGTGGCGCCGTAGGTGCCGGAGTAGTCAGCTCCGTCGAGACAGCAGGCCGTTGCACACGTCTCTGCATCGGTGCAGATTGATGTATCCCATTCATTTCCAGTGTAGCAGTTAGTGCTGCCTGAGACGGTGTGGGTCCATCTCCAGTTGGCCTGCGAAGTATGAAGTTCAGTAGTTGGGTAGATATAGAAGCTAAGGTCTCGAATGATGACTTACATCGATTGTAACGGACCCTGACTGGGAAGTGCATGTGCCTCCAGCAGCACACTTGGACCATGTCATTGTGGGGTGAGTCTCTGTGGTGGAGGAGCATGCTTGCTGAGCCCGTGAGACGGCCACGAGCGACGAGGCGATGGCAAGTTTGGACAGCATCGTGAATGAACGATTGTGGCTTGTCTTACTTGGTAGGATCTGTTGACGATGAAGTGCTTGATGATTCATAAACCACCGAAGCATGAGGACTGGAGGTTATATATGTATATGTAAGTGTGGTCAGTTAACATTCGGGATCCGATTCATGACATGAGGTGGAACGACGTCCCTGGCATCCGAGACGGGGCCATGTGGATGTTGCCGTTTTGGAGCGCTAGATGAGTCGCCGTGAGGTTGTCGCCGGGAGACGTTGTCATGATGCAATTCGGAACGTCCAAGCCGGCTGGCGGGCCTCCGTTTTTGCTTATTTGTCCGTGCCTGGGCAATGTGACTGGTGGCTTCAAGACTATCGTCGCTAAGCCGTGCCTAGTAGTTGTGGCCATGTCTTCAAGGAGGACGTCGACCGTTGACCGTTAATCGCGAGTGGTCAAATAACATGATGAACCCTGTACTACGACGTTGACGGTTGAGCTACAAACGCCCGTGGGCTGTGAGCTTCAACGATCTAGACTTGGAGTGGATTCTTTTTATTTGTGGAATGCCGTGTTGCTCCCCACAGCGCCGTATAGCCATTGCTGCATGCCCACATGATCAGCTGAGTTGCACCGGGATGTTGAGCATGAGAAGCTCATTGGAGGCTTTTCAGCTTTAAACCCCCAGAAACTACGGAGCATCCCAGCCGAGTGTAACCTGAAGCACCTCAATGGGCAGTCTCACTGAGCTTCAAACCCGGGCACTGGATTAATTTTCGCCATGCAACTCCCCAGATCCCGTCACGTGGCAAGTGCAAGGAAAACTTGATATATCTTCGCTAGATATTCTCAGCCCTGAAAGAATATCAAAATCCATACATTGCCTTATTAGGAAGTTGGAGGCATTGCAAGGGTACTCCACAATGGATCGACAGGCACCGCAACCGTCATAGTCTATCTATCTACTCAACTGTGTAGGTCGTTTAAGCTTGCAACCACGGGATCTGGACCGACCAGCTAATAATTATCCAGCTGCGCCCCAAAACTGGAAAACTTCCCCATGCCTGATATTTATTGGCACCCCGAGTTCCGGTCAATCCGATACCGAGGACTATGCGTGGTTCAGTAAACGGGAGACCGCGCCGACGGTTTTGGGTATGGAATGATATGAGGCGTGTCTTTGCTCTTTTGGATGGCACCCCTTTTCTCTAGATGAGTAAAGAACTAGACCAGAGAGTCGTTCGACGACAGCATCGAAAGACGTCAGAAGGAAAACCATGGGCGAACGATTGGTCTACGTGAGTAAGAGTGGTTTTTGTTACGTTCGGTGGATACAGGAGCTGGCTACTAAAGTATTTAATTTATATATTGACGGTACATGGTGTGACAACACCTTCTGTTTGTTCCTTTGGGACTCGAAAGTTGCTGATTGTGGATCGTCCTGGGCCTTAGCAATACTCTCCAGGAATGACGCCGATTGGCTATCAGATAAGGGTGTCGTAGATATTCTTCATAGCTGGTGACCTAATTCTTACACCAAACAATCGGGTCTCCCGTTGTTTCAGGTGGTTCTTTATTTTGACTCTTCCCATCTGTAAGGGGCGCCAATGTGTGGATCTGTCTTCCACCAACGCCCAACAGTGACCCAACTCAACCAACCTACAACTTTAGACTTATGGCTTTGCAAGCCATCTTGCAAACCGCACAAAAGACCGTCTGGGACGCAAGGCGCGAAGATAGGTCGTGAAGCAGTTACCACAAGATTGCCGTCCCTCCATCCCGCGCCACAACCCGCTATCACGCAAACAAGTCTTCGTCACCTCCTTCGCCTCCCGCCTCTTCTGCCTCTCCGCCCTGTTAGAATCCTTCATAGTCCGCTTTCCATCAACCTCCACATGCAGCTTGGCAGCATTCCCCTGCGCAAACTCCTGCACCACCTCAAATTTGGCCTCGAAAATCTTCAATAGTTTCTCGATCGCTTAGTTTCAGGAGGATTACAGTGGCCTCTGCTGCGTCGACCCGCTTTTGTGGACCTGAGGCCTTGCCAAGAAGCGAGTGCCTGAGCTAGTTTTGTGGAACATGTCGGCTATTCTGTCTTCGGACGGTCGGGCCAGGGGAGTGCTTCGGGTCTTTAAGGACTGCATAGGCATCTTTAATCTGATAAAGTCCTTTAGCTTAGCTTTATGGGTTTCCTAGGGTAGAAAGTTCATGATGACTCACAAGATGGGACTTAGAACTCATATCTTCACTGCCAACAATCTTGTCGGGGTGCTCCGACAAGCCCATAGATGTATAGGTCTCTCTGATCTCGGCATCGGTAGCATCTCGGGATACGTTGATATTGTGTTGGTTGTTGTCCTGAGAAGTGTTCATAATTGCGTTGCTGTGTTGATAGAGACCAGTTGTGTTTGTCGTGTTCTCGGTGTAGAGCTAGGGGTGGAAGTCGTGTTGATATTTTGACAGTCCTGGGCAAGCCCTATTGGGTGCAGTAACTCTTGGGGAAACCCCCTTCTTTAGATTCGATTCATATCCTTAAAAATCTTCTTTGCTTGTAGCATGGGGACTATTATGGAAGTATTGTAGTCTTAGCTGGCGATGCAAGGTCCATTTTTATGCAACCTGGCTCTATTTTTGGTCACATTGCTATTAAGATTTGTCCGATTCAGGTTTCCTAGGTGTCTCGACCGCCATCTCTAGGTATTTGAGAGATTGGGGTATCTAACCATCCAATCTAGACGAATAATAGTCCATGAAGAGTTTGATATAGTACTTCAAGACTTCAATACTTTGAGTTAAAGCCGTTGCCCTACTCTTCTATGTACTCCTCGGGCATGATATAGCTGTGGACGAGCCAAACCTGACCGCGTATCATCCTAAGTTCATGATCTCCCCGATGTTTTATAGGCAGCTCGGGAAGCTTGGAAACTGAGCGCGGTCAAAATTTGGTGCATGACAGGTGCACTGGGGGTCGCATGCGGATGGTTGACAACATCATGGAGACGAGCTGGCAGACTGGCTCCAAAGATGCGGAAGTATTTCGGACATCAAAACCAAGATTAGCAACAGCAATAAAGAAAAGCGAGCTTGAGTTGACAGGAAGTCAAAATAAAGCTTTCGCGTGCATAATTTGTGAATCGACTCTGAAGCTGCAAATTTCCAGCTAGGCTTAACGTCCCAATGGTCTCGATCTGGAGGTCTTCACCGGCAATTAGCGCCACTATGGGGATCAGCTTTTCTCCTGACTGGCTTTTTTTTACATTGCGTCAATCCCCGCATCCTCTTTGCCACAGAATCTCCTAGGTGGTCTGTCTAATTTGACGTGCTCTCACTTAAAGCTTATCATTGCTTCTTTTTAATGTCTACTTTAACCTCGGCGTGATAATCAATGAGACTGGAATCTGACAACTACAATTTTCCCATTCACTTACTCTCACACTAATAAACAATGAAAACAGTCTCCTATATAACTGAATCTATCTGATTCATGATGTTAAGATTACTTCAGCATCTCAAGCGGCACATGTCTTATTCCTGATCGGGATTATCCTCTGACTACCCACCTCATACGGCCGTTCCAGGAGGCCGTTCCAGGAGGCCTAACATGTGCTCATGGCAGAGTGTCATGCAATATAACAATTATATGACCATGCTTCTGGATTTTCGGCCTCGAATTGAATGATGAAAGGGCCGCAGCGAGGTATCATGTGCACATCGCGCCGTGGTGGATTGGCTAGGATCTCGGGGTCAATGGTCCCGTTGAAGAAGCCTAGATCTGCGGCAAAAAGAGTCTGTTGATAGTATGTTAGGATAGAGAAAGTAAAAAAAACATGTTTTAAGGTAAAATGACGAAACCATTTCACTCATGCCACCAAAGGGGGCTGCCTATGAGTTGATGGCCATGGAGATACATGGGGTGTGCAGAGTCACTATATATACTCTTTAACCTAGGACACATGAGAATATAGTTAATTAAGTCGTGCTCATTAACATCTTGAGTACACTTTATGGTGCCTACATTCCATGGCTTGTAAAGTTACGGGGTAAATGGCCAGATAGATTATAGGAGAAAAATGCACGACTGATAAAAGCGGCAAGAAAAACACTAGTCATGTTGTCCCTACCGCGCCCCAATTGCGCGAGGAATATCTCATGTAAGTCCAGGTCATCCTGCAAACTTGGATATGCGAGCCTATTAAACTTCCATGAAAGCACACCATCGGCTGATATAAGTATATTGGGTGAAGCTTGTATTCAGACCTGCTCCTCGTACTATAGCCGTTCCAGCGGATCAACTACATTCGTGAAGGTTTTATAAATCTCCCCATCCCTCAAAATATCTGACTTAGAGCTGTTACTGTCTCTTTCTTTCTGCAGAGTGATAGACCATTCTCTCGTCTGAATAGCACTTATCACAATCAAGTTGTCGGACCTTCAAGGCTACTCCGTCAAGACTGCTAAGTCAAAGGAGAAAAGTAAAGCCGCAAACCGTACGAAGTATGGGTCAATATGACCTCTACCCATTGAACCACACAAGTCCTAGCTGTGGGGCAGGCATCAGTCATTTCTACCTATATAAGGCCCCTATGGCCGCCCTTCACTTCTCTCAGGACTCTCCAGAGATCATGACACTTTCAATACAAGACCATTTGCCCACAATCCAATACAAGTACTGCCGAACATCCTGGGCCCTATAACCCCACTCAAGTAAACTATCCTCGAAATTTCGTAATTATTTTAATGTCCTCTTGGTATATTTGGTATGAGTTTACGATGATTAAACACAAAATTGTCGTGGCTATAGCTAGTGCTCGCGTAAGTTACATAACCACATTCAAGTATTCACAGCTTACGTAAACGAAGGGCCAAAGCTGTACCGAGCTGATTTTTCCTTCTAATCCTAGGCGCGTTCGGCGACTTTCGTGTTAAGTATTTGGTTGATTTGCTCCAGAGTCTTACCACTGCTAACGTATTTCACCCCCATTCCGACACCCTATAAAACAAAACACCACGAATAACACTGCAATTTCAAACAACCACCACAGATTCAATTCTGAACAACTATACAATCGCTTTCGACAGTAGATACATTAGATATTTCTGAACCCGAATCATCAACAAGAGCTTCATTAGATACTTCCCTCATCCGCCGTATGTCCTCAATCCTTGCGAATTTCGCGTTTGGACTTACTTGCACCTTCTTTTTTTTTTCCGTGGCTTCATAAGCTCCAATCGCTGTTTCAAGCCCTCAATTTGTAATTCTGCGCTTACTAATAGATAATCCTTCTCATCAAACCCTTTTTTCATCTTTCTAAATAGCTGGCGTTGTGTAGTCATGTTAGTTTGTTGGAGTCGATTGAACTCCCTAAACTGGCGCTCTGTATCTACGCTCTTCTTTGGCGTTGACCATACAACATTGCCCTCTGAAGGCGCCTGGAGCGTTTTCTGGACTTGCTGGGTTGTAATAAGAATGTCTGGACCTTGGTGACGTGTGCGGTTGCTATTTTCAAGCAGAAAAGGGCTAGTAAGGGGCCTAGCGACATTTAGGGGCCATAGACCACTTGTACGCCAACCAGACTTGATATTTTGAGCCGTTAGGGCCCTCTGGCGTGCTCTGGCGTAACAGCGCATAAAATTCCGCTTGCCAATAGGTGCTGAATCAGTTAATAGGGTTAAAAACCCGACCCCCTTGCGATATGCCGTTTTCATAGCTGAGAACACCCCAACATCGAGGGGCTGAAGGACATGAGATGAGTGCGGGGGTAAAAATAATAAGTATATGTTGTTTTGATAGCAAAGAGACATAAAAGTATCAGTTGTGTGACTACCGTGATCATCCAAAATAAGTAAACGAGTGTCTGAAGGGTCCTGAGGAAGCGTAAGGGGTATAAAAACGTCTTCAAGCCATTTGATAGCTATCGTATCATCTGTCCAGCCCTTGGGGGATGCCTTGAAGCGCCAGTCCTTGAAGTCCTGAAGATTTTTACCAGGGAACCACTGCTCTTGGACGTCCTTGCCCTTGAAAATAACCAGGGGGGGTAAGGTATTGCCGAGGGCATCCACACATTCCAAAATTGACGTCCACGCCCTCGAACCAGGCTGTTTCTGGTGTATTGCGCGTAAGTTAGCGCTCCCGACAACTAGCCCAGAGCCCCCTTGACCCTCCATAAGGCCATGCTCATCCATATTATACCTGCATTGCGGCTTAATCGCTTGAATTGCAGGAATACGTAATTTTGAAGCAAATCAGGCTTGGATTACCTCGGTAGACGCGCCATTGATACGCTGAGAGTCGATACGGCGTTTCTTTTTAGTCTTTAGTGCTGGGTGACGCTTTAGAAAGGCTTCCAGCCAATTCTCGCCCAGTGGTTGGTGATCACCTTTGAGGGCTAGGACGCGCTGCGCGAGCTCCTTGATTTGCGCGTGCGTTGGGGCTAGTCCAAGGGCTTCCTGGACCAAAACCCAGTCTGCTAAGTGTTTTTCTTGCACTGAAGATAGCCTCTGCTGGCTAGCAGAGGCCTCGCGATTTGATTCAGCGCCTTGAAGTCTGTCGATAAGTGTAGTCCTTGGTATACCCCAATCCAGGCCAGCGCGTCGCACAGATTTACCATTTGCGACGTCTAGAACGGTGGCAGCGAGGTCTTCTTCCGTATATGAAGGCATTGATAGCAGATCAGATCGAATACTTGGAATAAAGTCAATTGAAGCAAAAGTGGTTGAGAAATAAAAGGATAATGTAAATAGCGGTGTGGTTATTGTTAGGGTTTACAGAGGTGTCGGAATGGGGGGTGAAATACGTTACGTCTTGCCTAGGAAGTTCTCTGCCGCATCCATCTCTTACCTTATCGTAGCAGAAGCAACATACCTAACTAAACATTGCTAGTTTAACACCTGATGTGGAAATAGTCGCCGTTATGACATGTCTTAGTTTAAGTGTAATGTTTGCAGGAATACGGAATAAGTCTACCAAAATCAGCTTATCTTAATCTTGAACTTTCCATTATGTATAACTAAGATACTTAGAGCAAAATGAAGAACATCTCCTTATAATTACTATCAAGTATGTAAACAAGTAGGTAGGCAAACTTAAATAGAGTTTTAAAATATGATATAATGGTTGCTATTGTTTTGTAGTCTTTGGGATGAGCGATGCCCCGCGAGATGTTCGGGGCGCGTTATACCCGTGACAACGCGTCTTGACGTGGCGTTGTATTTTTAGCTGCGGCTACTTGCCTCTTGTCGGCTGGTTACACATATGTTCTAGACATCTATATAGTTAGCTGCATGCAAAGATCCCGAACTCTCCGACAGGTGCCGAGTGCGTTCTTGTACCCGCCGCTCCTCGAATTATCGTTCTCACTTCTGCCAAACCACTTCATCGCTGGCTCCCCGCTAATTGTAGCCTGGGTCGTCGGCGTGTAGCTGATCATCCATATTGGGTCGAGGCAGAACCCCCTCCCCTCCATACCCGCTGGCATCGACTTATCGTGTTACTTGTAAATGTAAGCCCTTAAGGTCGTTACCGGGACTTACCTCTAAGAGTCAGCGTGGCTGTAGGCCGCCGAGTACTAGTGATCCGGATGTAATAGCCAAATATGACCGTCAAAGAGTCCTGATATCATTTCCCAGCGATTCTTCAATCATCTATAAGGATATAAATATGGGTTTAATCGGTTGCTCCCCTCTCGGAGACAATAAAATCTGCTGGGCTCGACACTCTAGCTGTCGCCCATGTGGCGATCGGTCTTGTTCCTGACATAAAAAGTGTAATGGATGAGAACAGAATATCAAATCGAAGGCAGAAACGGTAGGTTAACTGAGCTAGATCTACTCAAGACTCTTTGGTCGGAGAGTACAATTCAATGGTGTGAGAGCTCGCTTGAAATAACAGCATAGGCGGATATCCTATGGCAAAGCTAATGGGGCTTGATAAAAGATTCCACAGTACTGAAGAATCCAGAAAGATGGCGGGAATAAAAGGAGATTTTGTCTTCGTTCAGCCTGGCGGACTGTATTGTAGGTGCCCAACAGCATAGCCACCGGTATGCACGAGTCAAGCATGATATTGCGAAGGCTGTGGCTGTGGGCTGGCTGGCAGCCACATGTGCCCCGCTATCAGCATAGGGTTTGAGACCAGCCTTACGTGCGCAGAGGTACTCATGCCAGTTTCATACCACAAGCTTGAGGCACACTCAAAATGTCGACCTGTGCGTACTACAAAGTGTGTAGGACTTACGACCTTGTTATTAGAGGTCGGATCTACACAGGAAGCACTAGCAAGTCCCCAACTTCTCCATCGAGCTATGCTCGCGTCGCGCGGAAAGAGCTCGTCGCGTATTGTTCAAGTACGAAATGGGGACTATCTGTACAACGTTTGGTCTCCGGGACAATGAGGCGGTGTTCCCCGAAGCCCCTTTGACGGTCTACATTCTTAGGTTGTTACGGCTGCAAATTTTGCCTTAGCACTGTCAGGAAAGTGATTGGTCGTCAACGCCCCCGCCGTCATAATCTTCCCAGCTCTGCTTATATTCCCACCATTCATTATCCGTCCAGTAGTTATGTTGCCCTCAAGTAGCCGAGCAGTTCTCTCCAAAATGACCATTTTATTCCTGTCGCCATCTCCTACAACCCCTCGAATTGTCTTTGCTAAGCACTGCTCTTGTTATCCCTCGTTTCTGAGCTGCGTCTCCGACAGGTATACGCTGCTCTGCACGACACGAAACTTATTTTCGGGCTAACGCCTTTGCGTCCTGTTCCACAAACGCTAATTGAGCCGACGCCCTGGGAACTAGCCTAGCAGGGCAGAGCACTGGCTTATACCGACTCGTCCTGATCATCAAACTCCATCCGTATATCAACGAACACATTGAGCCCTACTCTGCCTAACCTTGAGTACAGCGCCGTACGTCCTCCTCTAGCACACATGTCCATTGCCTAGAGACGGAGCCAGATGGCTTTCGCGGGTTCTCTCAGGGTCTCCAGGTAAGCAGGCAGGCTACGATCCCCCGCAATAACCCCATTCCTTTATGTTGCCTAATACATCCTCTGTTCAGTGATAATCTCTGGAACGAAGCCGTCGCTACACTTGGAGAGGAAATTACGTCTCATATCGACTTCGACCAGCAGAAGCAAGAATCGCTAAACAAGCTGCTGGAGCTGACTGAAACGGCCAGGCGACAGTCGCTCGATAAAGCCTGGTCCTTCACTCCGAAGAATGGCGAGCAGGTCATTGTCCGCGATGTCTTGGCGAAATTGGTCAAATGGGTCAATCACTTCAAGGAGGTGGGCGATATCGTCGTTCAGTACGATCCGATCCACGCCGCCCTGCCCTGGGCCGGTGTTCGGTTTCTGTTGAATGTGGGCTCTTACTTCATCCTTCCAAGCTCGTTATGCTAATATCTAAACAGGTCGCCGTAGGGGACATGAACACATATAGTAGCCTTGTCGAGAAAACCGCATCCATTGCCGAATCCATCTGCCGCAATGCCCTTGTCGAAGATATTTTGAAAGGGTCCTCGTCATCCACTGCAGAAGAGTTACGTCATGCACTGGTCAAGTTATACGCAAAGATCCTGACCTATCTTACCCAAGCAAGGACGTATTACCGACAAAATACTGTGAGTGAGTAAGCACATAGTTATATCGAATATTAACTGACCGAACTAGAACGCACTATCAAACATCGCATCTCAAATACGTCTCATCTAGAGTCTTCCTTTATAGCCATTAGTGAAGCGCAAAAGGATGTGGACCACTGCTGCAGAATCTTCAATTTACAATGTCGGTTATTACCCTTACCGGAGCATACATATACTAACTAGAAACAGCTCAGCTGGAAATTCAGGTTAACCTCAAAATGATGCACGAGAAATTCGACGCACCCATCGTCCGCTGGACCAGCAGTCTTATTGATATCAAAGACAATCTCGACAGTAAGTCGCCAACCTGCAGAATCTGCACAATGCTAACATATTTAGCGACAACGAAGGCCAAAATTTTAGATTGGATCTCGGTCGAGCCTCATGCCAAGCACCACAGGCAGACAAGGGACGACATCCTTGAGGGCACAGGCCAATGGCTTCTCGAGGACAAGACCTTCTCCAAGTGGAAGGATGAGAGTGCTTCCTCCATTCTCTGGCTGCACGGGATTCCAGGTTCTGGTAAAAGCAAGTTAGCGTATGTGAAGACCGAAATCGGGCTTTTCATTTCTAACTATCTTCCAGGTCCATTGTGATAGAGGACGCTAAGAGAGCATTCCAACGGAATCAGGGCCCTGCGCTGGCGTATTTCTACTGTTCCCAAAACAGAGGAGAGCCTGGACGCTCCGATCCGGCAAGAATCACAGCTAGTATTACTAGGCAACTTTCAATGCCCAAACAGGGTGGCGCACTTATCGAAGCAGCAATCCAGGTCCATGAAAAGCGGCAGGCAGATGACGAGTTGTCTTCTCCGCTAACTCTAACCGAAAGCAAGAGCTTAATTACCAGTCTTCTCGGCCATTACAAAGACACAGCAGTAACAATAGTGATCGATGCTCTAGACGAATGCGACAAGACGACTCGAGGAGATCTGGTAACCACGCTGGAATACCTTCTGACGGAGTCTCCCTGCCTATTGAAGATCTTTGTCTCGAGCCGGGATGATCAAGATATCGTGTACAAGCTGTGTCGATATCCTACGTTAGACCTCTCCTCGAACCGTAACGCGGCAGATATAGACACATTCGTACGGTGGAAGACAAGACGATTGATCGAGAACGGCAAATTGCTGCGAGATAGCGCAAAAATGAAGGAACTGGAAGAGAAAATTAACGACAAGCTCACGTCCAGTGTACATGGAATGTAAGTTATTATTTATTTATACGATAAACTTCAGGGCTTACATAGGTAGGTTCCGCTGGGCAAGCCTGCAATTGGACGAGCTCTGTGAGCAGCATACAGACAGTGCTATCGAAGAAAGAATCGGAAAATTACCAAAAACTCTAGAGGAGCTCTACGAAGAGATCCATTCTAGAATTGAGAAGTACGACAGCAATGCGGACAGACAATACGCTCAAAATGCCCTGAGTTGGCTTCTTTGCTCGCGGAGGACGCTTAAATCGGAGGAATTGCTAGCAGCCGTGTGTAGCCGAGTCGGATCACCAATTCCGAAGGGGCAACTCTTGGATCTGTGCTGCAACCTCGTCCTTTACGACTCCAACGTCAACACGTTTCGACTTTCGCATTTTTCCGTCCGGGAATTTCTCGAAAAAAAAACAAATGTACGAACCAGCTTCTGCGAACGCATCTGTGGCGGAGGCGTGCCTGTTCAATTTAACGAATGCTATCTCACGAGGTTCGTCTTGGACACCACTCGAGGAGTATTCTGGCATCTACTGGCTATTTCACGCCCGGGCTACTGATTTTACGAGACAACCGAGACTGAGGAAGGAACTAGGCGAGTTCCTATCAGGCGAAGATAATGCAAAATCACGCTTTTCCGGTTGGAGCAGGAGTCTTAAACGTTTACGACGATGTGTCGCCATTTTGGATTTGACAACCCGGCTAAAGTTTCAAGTCATCATGTCTGCACCTCCTTCTGCACTATTAGTGGTTTGCGTGTTTGATATACATAACCTGATTGATCAAGAACATTGGGGATCCCTAAAAAAGAAATTGCCCAGGGTCTTGGAGAGCATGTCATACTCAGAACTGCTTGCTGAATTTGGCAGTATTCGGGTCCTTCGTTGGTGTCTAAATAATGATACCGACTTCAAGATCACAAGAAAACTTATGAAAGCGGCAGCCGGGAACTATGGGATAGGTAAACACGTGATGGCCCTTCTCCTCGAGAAGCGCGACAGCGAGATCCAGATCACCCAAGACGTCGTCAAGGCCGCAGCCGGGAACGAAGGGAGCGGTAAAGACGTGATGGCCCTTCTCCCCGAGAAGCGCGGCAGCGAGATCCAAATCACCCAAGACGTCGTCAAGGCCGCAGCCAGGAATCGAGTGAGCGGTAAACACGTGATGGCCCTTCTCCTCGAGAAGTGCGGCAGCGAGATCCAGATCACCCAAGATGTCGTCAAGGCCGCAGCCGGGAACGAATGGAGCGGTAAAGACGTGATGGCCCTTCTCCTCGAGAAGCGCGGCAACGAGATCCAGATCACCCAAGACATTATCGAGGCCGCAGCCGGGAACGTACATAGCGGGCATGAAATCATTAATTGGTTTCTTACAGAGCGCAAGAACGACACGAAGGCCTGTATTACGGGTAGGGTATGTATTGCGGCTGCTGCGTGCGGGCAGCAACATGCTCTTGGTCTTCTCTATGAGCATGTTGCTCCGGGAAACGTATGTCCTGTCTGGAAAGTAATCGCCCTTTTTTACACGGCTGCTCACCTTGGAGATGCGAATCAGATCCGACAACTATTACGTGATCGGACTCCACCAGATACGAAAAATATCCGTGGTGAAACACCCTTGTGGGTTGCTGCTCAATATAGACGAACGGATGTTGTCCGAGTTTTCTTACAGGAGAAGAACATCGATGTGAATTCATTGTCCACATCGGGACAATCGGCGGTTTTCTGAACCTCTGCCCACGGGTATGCTGACATTGTTGCTCTCCTTTTGTCTGCTGGTGCTAAATCGGATTTCGTCGATGTGGATGGGCAAACAGCTATTTCAATGGCAAGAGAAAACGGGCATGAGGAGATTGTTCATATGCTCCTCTCCCAATCAAGTAAACCAGAGCGTTGGTGGCATAACTCGCGGGCTTTTCTGACGACGGCGTTACTTTGCTCGATTTTATTGATGTCCACTATGGTGTTGACGGACCGCATTGGCCTTCGACCTCCAACGACTCTTTTCCAGTTTTCCGCTACTGTGGCTAGTTAACTGACAATATATGAATCTTGAGCCCCAAACCCTTAGTAATAAGCAACTTCTAGAACTTCAGAAGCGAAACCTCTGGTATATTAAGCAACTGACTCAAATGCGTGGCTGAAAGACACATTAAGTCCTTTATCGGCACCTCCACTCCTTTGCACTTGCGGACATCAAAGACACATCAAATTCCATGCTTTAATATAGCTTGCACCAAGTCCGATAGGTGTCCTGTATTGAATTTAAGCATAATATTAAAGGGAGAGCTAGATCAGAACACCTGATCATAGTCAGGACTCCCCTCCACCCCTAGGGATAATGTGCACCTTTCACCCGATGTAGTCTAGCATGCGCGTTCGCGATATGGCATTCCATACGCAATTGCTTAACGCATTTGAAACTCTTCTATATCTCTCGTTCTAGGAACATCATGATAAGCTAGAAGTGCACATCTCTATCATCAATTTGGAGGAATCCTTGCCCTCCCTCTCCAAGTTGACTTGATATGAGATCTAACATTAATTTTCTTCAGTCCTACCACTACAAACAGCTTCTAGTTTTATAATTTGTAACATGATATCGAAGAATGAATAAATCCTAAAGATTGGGAAGAAGTAAATTGTTATAGCGTTGTCAACATGGCCTGGAACTGGTTGGCAGACCCCCGATGGTGGCACTCGCTAAAACCCTGAGGACGATCAAGTAAGGTGGCTTGCAACTGAGGTTCTTGTCGGTGTGGATGGTATTTCTATATTCATATCATAGCCGTCAAAGTATTTGATACAAGTAGAGTCGCATATGAATTGCAGTTCATTGAAGTCAAGGAAGCAAGACGAAGACTGATTATATTAAAGCTATGTAATTAATGCTATGGAAGGAAGTATTAGGTGTTCGGACTCTGTCCCCCAACGTGATGAAGACGGAGTGCTGTCTGTGAAGTTCACTTTTGTGACTATGTGTTGGTTGGCCATCTCGTCTCAGCGGCGAAGGGAGGAAATTCCATCTGAAGTCAAGGTAAAGTTGTACGAGGTGTCGGTGATGTTGCACTTTGAGGGTGTAGTGTAGTTCCCGCCCATGACCTCGCCCAAGAACCTCCAAACGCTCCGAAACGCATTAACACCACCTTCACGATGGCCTCCGATGGTATTGCGTTCGAACGTGATCTTGGTCCCGTTATTACAGTGCTGCTCAACGAGGACATCCGTGTTCTTGATGGGCATGGCCTCATCGTGGATTGACTGGTATATGAACATGGGCATCTGAGGGGTGCCAAGGTTGCCCATGGTACAATCGCTGGCGAGGACTTCCTTGGAAATGACGTTTTCCATTCCATCTTCTCCGGTTTTGAAGTAATTAGAAATATTCTTGTTCGCGAAGCGGCGAAGGCTTTCATCGATTGTCATTTCTCTCGCTGAAAGAAACTCGTCCCTCTTCTCACGCTTCAGCAGGGACATGGCGTACTGCTCTACTTTATCAAACTGGTTCATTACGCCGACGATGGCCTGTACAACCGCGCCTGACCAGATCGTGCCAGAGCATGCACGGAAGAAGTCCAGAGCATTGGCCGGCACACCCCCTAGAGCGGCACCACTGAAAATGAGCTCCGGAGCATATTTGAGCTGCAGTTCGGCAGCGAATTCGACTGCCTGGGCTCCACCAGAGTAGCCCAGCATGGCATATCGTAATTTGATCAGAGGCATATGTTCAGCGAAAACTTTGAGATGTGCTCTTATGGAGTCGAGTGTTGCGTGGCCAGCCATCTGTCCGGCAAAGTCTAACTTCGGTTAGTATGCAATACGTGTCGTAGCTGGTGCTGAACTGCACTTACAGGACGCTTTGGGGCCTTCGTAATCCGGTATGTCAACAAGCCATCCATTCCCCAGCGCCTTTACAATGTTATCGCGTACTGCCACGTTGAGACGCTCGCCGGCGAGATATTCGCTCAACGAATAGCTGGGGCTCGCATCAAGACAAGCTGATTCGTACGGAATCAGGTAGCTGAGCAGTGGCAAGACGCCATCTTTGGATATTGCCGGGGATTTTGGGAAGAACACGGTGGTGACCGCCCACTCAGATTGGTTCTGGCTGTTGGTCGTTCGAAACATGAGGTTGTAGACCTTGTGGGCATGTTTCAGAAGTGTGAAGTTGCCGGGAGCCTCTCGGACTCGCAGCAAGGTGCCCGGGGGCTTCGAAACCCAGTGCTTGTCTGGTGGTGTGTACCAGGGGTCCTTCTTTGGGGGAATTGGCTTAGGAAACTGGAGACCCTCGGATACTGGCAGTGGTGACAGTACCGGTGAGGCTGTGCAGGCCTGCAGAAGGGCTGCAGCAAGTGTGAGGAATACAGTCGACAGCATTCTCGATGAAGGAAGGTCAAGTGATGCAATTGAGATGAAAGAGCTGTTGGGCGGTTTAATGTTGGTTGAGAGCTAAATCCAAAATGTGTGAGTAGTAATGATGGTTGAGAAGATGAGAGACTTGGGAGAAGTTGAACTAAAAGTCTTAAAGACTTATCGGGTATTTTTAACGCCATACAATGACATCAAGAATCATGTCGTGGCAAGAGCTACTTACTTCTACCGTTGGGTTTGTCAGAATCCACATGTGCCTTCCATGTTGGGGGGCACTGGACTGATGCCTTTCCTATGATTAGGTCATGTGCCATTTTGAATGGCAACCAGAACCAGAACACATAACCTTCAGAACGACTTCTGGAATGCGAGCACCCAGTGGTAGTGTGTATAGTTTGGGATAAACTGATATCCAGATATAGTAACTGGCATAATCTGATTATTCTATCTGGACCCGCCGTTACACTTTCATCCTTTACAGCCCTACCTTGTAGAAGACCATCGGCGGCGACTACTTAAAGTAACCAAAGCCTATCTAGTAAATTACCAATCGCTCTCGCCTACAAATGGTGGCTGTCATTTTGGTTTGGCCATCCCGCCATTTTAGTAAAGGTTGGGAGACTGCCTCATGGTGATTCTACCTTTACTAGTCGAACATTCCACCTACTTGGGCAGAACGTACTGAGAAAGACAGCCCAGTCCATACTTGAGCTGATAAGGGCAATCCCCGGCTAACAGCCGCCTTCTTTTAGGCCGCTGGTAAGAAAGCGAAGTTGTCAGTGACCAGAGCATGTGATACTGTTGGTCGCGGTGTCCATTCCTGTTATTGGCCCACAGCTCTTGAACTTAGGGGTGCAGTGGACAAGTCGTATCGGCTGGGGGGCCAGTCAATTGCAACTTAAAGAGACGTATAGCACCTACCTTTGGGTACGAATAAAGTATTAGACTAAAGATGCGAAATTTCCAAGCTTCCAAGTGACGTCTGCATGAGCATCAATCAAGAGATGGCAGCTTCCCGTTCGATTTTAAAGACTCCAGTGGTCTCGAAGCATTCAAATGTCGTCATGTGACACCTGTCGGGCAGAATGTTATTGCAACTTGAGGATGGAAAGCACGACTAAGTGCCCTACCAAACTGCACACTTCGCCGATTAGCCAGGCAGTTGACCAACTGAAGAAAAGACCTATATTGGCTTTTCCCAATTTTGTCGGAAGGCATGAGAGGTTGGAGATCCGGTGCAGCTGCACCAGGCGTCTGTGCATTTCGCACGTGAGTGTCGTGTCTGCCTGCTGTTTCCAGCTTGGCAGAGCGCGTCTTGTGGGGCAGTTGGTCGCGCCACGACCTTCCAACTTTAGAGGCGGGCAAGCAAACGCATTTCGCTCCAAGAAACAAAACTGCCTCTAGAGCAAGCGGTTGATTCTTAGAAACAGGACATTAAGGCATCTAGAGATGCTTCAATGAGGCCTAAGACTTAGAACTGTCACAATGCCTGCGTATGTGATCCCAAAACCCAGCGGGCCGAACGGGTATCGAGTACTAACTTGTCGGTAAACAGTCCTGGCGACCAACATGATGTAATCGCCAACCCCTTCCAAGACACAAAAGCGCGCATTTCCGAATTCACAGCCAGCGAAATCGCGACATTACAATCGCGACTCGAGAAGCAACTTGGCCCCGAGTATCTATCAGCCCGCAGTGGTCCCTCAGGCCAGAAGGTGCATTACATCCCGGCGGAAAAATGCATCGCTCTCGCAAATGAGGTATTCGGCTTCAACGGGTGGTCATCTAGCGTCCAGAACATCCAGGTCGACTTTGTGGACGAGAACACGCAGACCGGGAAGATCTCCCTCGGTTTGTCCGTCATTATGCGCATCACTCTACGCGACGGGACGTTTCATGAAGACATCGGGTACGGGCACATCGAAAACTGCAAGGGCAAGGCCGCTGCGTTTGAGAAGGCCAAGAAAGAGGGCACCACGGATGCGCTCAAAAGATCGTTACGGAATTTTGGCAACGTGCTTGGAAATTGCATATACGATAAAGACTACCTGTCTAAGGTGACCAAGATGAAGGTTACCCCGACGAGATTTGACGAGAGGAACTTGCATCGGCACTCGGATTTCGCAAAGGAACCGGAAATGAGGATTGAGTCAAAATCCGAGGCCTTGCCCGAGCCGAAAGGCGAGGTCCAGAAGGCTGGAACAGTTGCGACGATGCCGAATGGTGGGTTCAACTCTGATGACTTTGACTGGGTGGAAGCTGATATTGCGGGCTTGTAGTTTCTTCAGTTGAGTCGCTAGACGATGATTTTGGAGACTTTGACATGGCCGACTTTGGTGTCACGGACGAGGGCCACCCCGATGAAGTGATGTTGCCCGCATCTCATGAGGCAAACTCAAATGACAAGCCTCAAATTGCGCCCAATGACCAAAGTAGACCCTCCTCCAACAGTGTCAACAGTCTGCCAAAACCAATACAACCACCTTCACGAGCGCTCACCAGAAGTGTTTCCAATGGCAACCCTCCGCCCAGGCAACAGCCCTATACACCCCAGCCAGCACAACGAGCGGGCGCACCAATGCAAAACCGGCCGAACGGACAACAACAAGCTAAACCTCCCAACCCTCCTAACGGCAATTCTGGGGTGACAACGCCAGGCCAGGCAAATGGTGAAGCAGCGCCCGCTGTTGGGTTTCTATCAGCTCGGTCTGCAACACTATTACAACAGGACGATATTCCACCTGGGGCTGCACCCATAGTTGTCAATGGATCAAAACTTTTCGACCCACGAGCTGAGAGCCCTTCTATTCGAAAGACGCCAGGCATCGACCACCGAACCTCGAAACCTGTTGGCAGGAATGGTCAGCACGTTCCCCCCGCGAAAAAGGACGAAGAACCAGTGCGCGCGGTCAGCTCCGTTGGTGTTGCCGGGTTCACTGCCGGTAACGGAGCACCTGCCGCGGCTGGAAGACCAAGCACGGGCAATGTAGTGAACCCAGCCCTCAACCAGACCCGACAGATTGGTGCTCCTGGCGGAGCCAGCCCGATGAACAGAGGCCAGTTTCGGCAGCCTTTGAAGCGGCCAACCGCGGGCGGGAATGGGAGTACCCGAACGCCCCTGAACGAGGTCTCTACGAATGGGACAGCCAACGCAGGAGCTGGGGCTGGAGCTGGACCAGATGCGAAGAGACAGAAGATGGGCTAACTCAGGTGATTGAAATGGCTTGAAAAAGCTATGCAGTGCATTAGGGAGCAAAAGGCATGGCGTCTGGCGAATGCTTGCTTATAAGGGACAGCACTGCTCTACTACGTGTAGATTGTTGGAATCATGGACAAGGTATTGGGGGGTTCGGTGGCTTTGTATGGCTTGACAAGTATTGGCTGTGGTATACATATAAATCACTTGGACGGACAGAAATGAGAGCTTTGCTGGGTGCTCATATTTACGATGGCACTTGGTCGGTATGAATTGGGTAAAACAAACCCAATGTTTATTGAGTGATCGGACCATCCTAGCAACACGAGATCTCCAGTTACACAGTTCAATAAATCATTAGTGGTCGGATTCAATAAGGTGAGTCGCTGGCAAAGACCGTCTCACTGCTCAAAACATTGAAAGGACACTCGTGCACAAGGTTAAGCAGCATGAATATTAAAGGCTTTGCCATTGCTAATGTTGCTAATGTCAACTATCCGGGTATATATAATTGCACCTACCATTCAATGCCCGGATGCACACATGCGGTGCTGTTGAAACAGACGGATCAAAGCAATACTCCCAATCCCAGCGGCAATGAAAGGGGGCCGTTGTATCCACTCTGTTTCTGCTCTCTGGACTTTGGCACAAAAATTCCTTCAATGAACGCCTCAAGACTCCGTTGCACCATGACTACCAATCCCCAAGACCTTCCCGACGGGACTTTCTCCTTGTTCCCTCAATGCCCGATGCGACAATCGTCTTTCGTCATAATAGTGGTGGCGGTGTGGTGGTGTGGTTCGACTCCAACATTTCGATCGGCAGGTTCCAACGTGCCCAACACAGTGCCAGGCAGTTGCTCCACCAAGAGACAAACACGTCGTAGGCGCCATGCGCGCCTGTCTGTATGAGCGAGTGTGGTGGGTGGTAAGTGTAGCATGGCGTGCTAGTAGCCCGGGATCGCGCGTTTCTGATTCGGTATCCCCTATTTGGGGTTGTTTTGGGGGTGTCGTCCCCTTGGAACTGTGCTGCGCTCTCCACAAACGATGCCATTCACGTCACGTCATCTAGCGACCACTGCCCCATTTCCAACTGGAACTAGACGACGATCGCGACATGGGCGAGCTGCTCAAGGTATCGCTGCGGTCGCTGTCCATGGAGCGCTTCTCGGGGGAGGGGCTGCGACGCGTGTTGTACGTGGGGATTGCAGATGCCGAGGCTTCGGAGCTTTGGGGGCCGTTGCGCGATTGTTGCCATGAGGTGTAGATTTGCTTGCACAGATGTGCCGACATGGTGTAAGTGGGAGACATATTTTGGTTGGTTGGAGGGGTCGCGATTGGTGGGGTTGAGAGGAGACTTGGAGTCGGCTGAGAGACGCGGCGGATAGGGGTCGGGGTTGCGAAAGAGTATTTGTTGATGTGTTCGTAGAAGAATAGACAGATCCGAGATCACGAGTGTGTTTTGCCTTGATAGAAGAAGGATAGGAGAGAGAAATGGTGTTGCTGGAGTTCGAGGACAATGGGCAAGCAAAGAGCTGGGCAGGGGAAGGCGGGAAACACAGCAGTTTTAACTCGAGTCGTTGATCAATTCCCAACTAAATTTGTATGTACGCAAGTACGTACCTACTAATCAAAGAGATCAACAAAGAGACGGTGTCAGCCCTGTGACCGTGCCTGAACCGACTCCTGAATTAAGACATCTGACGGAACGTTAAAAAACGAGCCTAGGAACGCCTGGTAACCGCCTGGAAAAACATGCTTGCATGGCCTCATGGCCCCAATTGTTGCGAATAGCCCCAGTACAAGCCCAGGCAGCACCAGGCAGCCCACGTCGGCTTTCCCCGCCCTGACTCGCACCCTCCCTTCAGTCCGTCCCAGCTTCACCCGACACGTATCTGCGATTCGAAGCCAATCAGGGAAGTTTAGGCGTCTTTTATCGAATCAAAAGCACAGGCAATAAGCTTACGCGTGCCCAATCTCTGTTCACAGGCTTGCGCTACCCTGTAACCAAACCAAATGGGAAGCCTGAATGTTCCGTCATCGTATGATCTGCTGAGCTGACTTTGTCCATAGCAGCCCATAGCAGCCCATAGCTGAACGCGCCGCCAAGGCTGGTGATATGGGGATGGCCTCATGGTCGCAGCATGGCACCACTGCGGCACCGCGGCACGTCTCGGTTAGTGGGGTCCCGACGCCCAAAAATCAACGTTATGAAGGCCTAGAATTACGTGATGGGACCCAGAAAAATGGGCGTGAGTAAGTAGTTATGCCACCAAGGTTGTTCCTGCAGCTCTGTAGGGGTTCATGCTGCTGCTGAGTGGTGCGATTTTCACATGGAAATATGCGACACCAAAAGTCGCGATCCATTTCTGTTCGCGTTCACGGCTGGCATATTGTCCGGCATGGATCTAATTACACAGATGGTGCGTGGCCATCTCGCTGAAATCTCAAAATACAACCGTTGATCGACTCTTCAGCCGAAGCGGGGTTTTACGGTCCGAATCTCGCTTGGGAAGCTCACGGAGCTTCGGTGACTTCTTCAAAGTAGTGGGTGGAGTCCCTGCGGTTTCCTACGGAGGCACAATATTTCCCCGTCGCAAATTCGGTCTCGATCTCCCACAATGTCATGTGCCACAACAGATGTCACTCGACAGCCCACGCGAGTCATCAACTTATCAGCTCTTATTAACCTGCTCACCGCGGCATATGAGATCAACAGCCATGGGCGAGCGCGGCAAATGCGGCCTAGCTCCCTGGGAACTCCCGCCCAATCTCGTCATCGTCACGATACTCCCGGTCCAGGATCTCTTTATACTCCGCCAAGAGTGTCATGTCCTGCACATGCTCCTTGATCTTTGTGTCGATTCCCCCTCTGCATGGGGTCTTCCAGGGATATGCCCAGGACTGATTTTGTTATCAATCGCATCTCGGACAGCGCCGAAGAGGTCGGCCAACCATGAATGAGAATCAACCACGGTGGAGCTCCGCGCACTTGGCAACCAGTTTTTACTGCTCCACGACAAGGCTTGGCGAAGTTGTAGTGTAGTTGGACCTTCTGGATCGAGTCCGCAGACAGCTTGCATGACTTAAAACTGGTTGTCATGTTTCCAATGTCGATGACACTTGGATCTTGGACAGGGGCGGTTACACAACCAACAAATCTTGGCATGCGTGATTGTGCCAAGGGTCTCATCACGGTTGCAATAGGTAAGCTGTTGCTAGTTCCTATAGATTCGGGCATCACTGGTGTCTTGTGGTAAGTAGATTGTGATATTGCCGTCTACCTTGTCAGTGGCTCGACCGAAGTCAATGGCTTTGAGTATCGGGACCAGCACTTACTCATCTATATCCAACTCACAATATGACTGTAGTTTCTATTATCGGACCGCCCCGCCAATAGGCGAGTGGACCCGCTATAGCAGAATGTGGTCATATTAGCTGTTAAGTATGAGATCTGATATCCAACAGCATTATCATTCGGTACGTCGGGTATGGCCAATCCACCTGATCTCCCCGTAGGCGAGCCTCTAATGTGGGGCTCTTAGTAGTCTCCCCGTAGGGCTCATCAGGTGGATTGGCCGTACCTATGATCATTCTGTCTGATCACTATGAACGTATTTTCAGCCTAGCTATACTGTGCCAGTAGGGACACCTAGTCCCATGTGAGCATAAGACTCACGAGAAGGGAATATCATCCATAGAGCACGATTAGCCACTGGAGGCCCGCCTCGTCCTGTTTCTTCTTTTCTCTGTCAAGAAATTGACCTAGGGTCGAATTCGGCAAAATTTCAGTAACCAGCGCCGTGCCATCTATCCGCGGAGCATTCGCCGGGACACAGTCGAGCTTCCTCATATTTCTGCTCTCCAATATAAGCTGAGCACTATCCATGGCTCCGTACATTTTCTTAGCTGCCCATCAGCATTATCCGCACACAACGACAGAAGTAGGCTCGCAACCTTACCTTCGTGATTCGCATCTCGTTGTCGAGATACTCCAAGTACAGGAATACACGTATAGCTTATTTAAGCACGGATTTCCTTACCATTCGCCCATTAGCATCAACTTCGCGGAGCAGGTATGGCTTACCACTCGCGCCGGTTTCAAGTGGTCTTTCGGATTGGAAGCCTCGGGAATCATTCTCGGAGTAGCCTCTCCGTGACTTCCTTGTCTGGGCCCTTTCAGGTTATCTCCTTTGCATTGCGTCAAATCATGTTCTCTACAATGACCACACTATCAACCTGAAGTTGTGCGGATTGTCGAAGGCTGGTCGTGGTAGATTGGATCCCAGTTTTAGTAGAACAAAGAGAGTCTTGTGTGTTTTTGCCACGTTTTCAGCACATGTAGTGATTGGCATTGCGGCTTTATGGCTTCATTGTTGATGCCGGGTATAGACAGCCGGACCCTATATTTGTGACTTGGAAAACGAACATGGCGCCAATAGCGGCAGGGAGTTTTCTCTTCATCCTTTACCACCAGGCAATATTAGGTACAAGTCAGTGGGCAGTCTAGTAAAATTGTGATCAAGGGGATAGCAGGCCTTGCTAGATGTCTGATGTTCTAGGGGCAGGCATGCTCATATGTAGAGGATGGACAGTACTGAAGCAGAACACTTGGAATAACGCAGGTTATGAGGCCATATGTCAGGGTACGGCAGCTCAGAGTGACCAATCGATCGATATCGATCATGATTCTTCACCGATACCGATACCGGTCCGGTATCGATCAACATCATATTCATCCGATCGGTACCGGTACAGATTACTAAGCAACCGGTATCGATCGGTATCGATCACATATAACCGGTCCGGTCAGATCGAACGATCGATACCGGTGGCGCAAACTGCCACCGGTATCGATATCGGAATATCGGACCGGTCCGGACCGGTATCCGATCGATTGGTTACTCTGGTACGGCTAGGCCGAAGGCAATAGTACAGAGTGATGGGGAGTAACGGGCGTCCCTCCTACGTAGCACCAGGTGGTCACTGGCGGTCTCAGGTAGGGGTGCCCACGATGATGCATTGATCTCTACTCCTTCCCCATGCTACTTCGAGATGGTCCTTATATAGATAGCTAGGCTGCCGCTTGGATCCGGCGTAGCCGCAGGTTTGGCGATGCCGGGAATCCTGACTCTCGGCATCCCGAAACTTCACATAGATTGTAATCATGACTCGGGAGGCTTTTGTCCGAAACACCCCACCGGCACCCCACCGGTGTCCTGCGTTCAGTGTCTCTGACACCATAGGCAGTAGGTGTGAGCAAATGTGGTCTCAGGCCTAGAGGGTTACAAAGCACCCAGGCACAAACTAGTGTATTCAGAGACTTCCCAGGGGCCGATTGGCAGTTTTTCCGAAGCACCTTTGTAGTATCAACACAGCCCTCAATACTCGGAATTGACAGTAGGCATGAAATTCAAGAATTCACAAAGCCTAGCTAAGATAGTTTTATTTTACTTGATCTAGTCTATTCACACATCTATGTCAATTTTTATCTGTATAGTTGCGAGTCCAGGCCTATTTGTCATAATTCCTGTGCTTTGGCGTGTCCAGTATCTGGAGACATGAAGTCGAGTTTCGACGCCACCCAATTCATGAGATTAGCCTGCGTGCCAAAGACAGGAAATCCTTCCTCTTGGGCGATTCCCAGACTCCATGGGTTCGAAGCCTGCCCAGTGCTTCCGAAACGGTGCGAGGCACTTGGATTCGTTCCAGCGGGCGTCTTCGAAGTCCATAACTGGATGTCACCTTTCATGGCGGTGATTCATGTTTTTTGGAGGTGCGGTCGAACTCAGCTGATAGCTCACAGTAAAAAGCGCGCTGGGTGGGAGAGCGGTTGATTTGTCGCTGTCGCCGTCGCCATCGCCGATGAGGCCGGCGTGGCGGAGGGCTTTGGCAGTTAGTAGCCAGGTTGTTTGTACCTGAATGTACGTATGTACCTCGGGCGAGATAGCCTTCCTCACCAAAAGCAAGGGTGATCAGCGAAGGCGGCTGCTGGGCTCTGAGGACCGTTTGAAAGATGCGTTACGTGTCCCGTTAACATTCTGGATGGAAGTCTTGGATGTTCTGCATATACAGCCATTGTTCCCGCCCATGCGCGGTGGGAGTGCGTTCAGAGTCGCCTGGATCTGTTTCAGGGAGCCTTCCATGAGGATCTCGAGGACGAGCCGGGCTCAGAGGATGTCGCTGCGGGACTTCCTGGCCAGAGCCGTGCAGAGCGAGTATTTTTCTCGTCGAGAGGCCCGGGCTGATTGCCTCGAGATGATCGGCACAGTGCTGAGCGATGGCCTTCTCAGACTAAAAGCGGATGCGCAGTCGATATATGCCGGCAAAGTCGGCTTCAAACGGCCGCAGCTCGTGGCTGCTTACGAGAGTGGAACATATTTCTGCACCACTTTCGCCCCGGAGACAAGTACGGTCCCGCTGCTGCCTAAGTTGCAGGATGTGAGGCGGGGGACGAGCGTTTGGAATGGCAGGTCACGGTTCAGCTTGGTCTATAGTCGAGTTTTTTTTTTTTTTTTTTGGTCTCTGGGGATGTTGTTTGGGTTTCGCTAGATGAGTGCTAGGGGAGCAAGCTAGAACAATCAACGAATGAGTATGAAGAGGAGCTGAGCAACTTGATAAATTGTATAGCATAAATTTGCATGGTGTTCCCGTTTTCTTTTCGTAACGCGAGCACGGGCATGGTTTCAAATTCAGCTGGACTATCATGGTGTAATACAACATAATCATTACCAACGACGTCCAGGCGTTGTGCTGTTATCAAGGAGAATTACGTGGGTGTATTGCGGTAATTTATGTCAGGCTTCACGAAGATGGCTGTATATGGGTCTCTGATAGTTGCACTTATCTAGTGTCCCGGGTTATAAACCCAACTGCAAGTACGTAAATGTATGTAACTGGCTGTGGTACCTTTATATTCGCGTTGTGCAGTTGTACAAGCGCAGTAAAACTCTGAAAGTAGCTGTGGAACAATGCCACCAATCCGGAGCTCTGTTGCCCAAAGGCCGCTTCTAGTGTGAAATCAAAACCTGTTCACGCAATGAGATCCGACTCAATAATCGGACTTCCCTTTTCACTTGGTCTTCTAAAGGAACTATGACTGCAGCGTGGCTCATGAACCACATATGACAGTGTTATCGCGCATAGGACTCAACTCATTACCCGCAGAGCTGACACTCAACGTGGCGTCCTTAGCGCCTCCTGTTCTTGCCAGTTTATGCGTCACCTCCAAATACATGAAAGCACCAATCATTCGTCTTCTTTGGACCTATATAGAATTCCACTAAGAAGAATACCATAGCCAGCCATCCTCTTGAATGCTTGTGAGGGGGAGGGGGTCAAGTGTCAGGCGAGATTCGGGCAGTGGTGTTTCTATGATTATCATGACGGCTTGACTGAATCCTGGGTTTATTGGCATGATGATGGCAGAGATTACAGCAGCGGTAATGAACGGAACTTTAACGATTTGGTTTGGAATAGATGAATGGGAAGCCATCTCATTTCTTCCTGCAGCTGTTACTAGCTTCCAAATGTAATCAATATTCATCGATCTCCTGCAATCCCTCCATGTAATGATCGCCATCTTCACTAAATGACTGCTCAGAGTCTTCATACCTGGGTGTAGTGAAGATGTCATCGATATCTACAAACCATCCTAGCTCCCTCACAACAGACGTGAGATTCTCAAACGCAACACTTTCCTTGGCCGAAGTCACAAGTGATGTGAGATCATGAAACCACTGTCCCCCGTCGCAATCCACGATACTCTTCTTTTCATCACCTCGAAGCAATAATAACACTGTCTTGAGATCGTCTCCCAGCCGATACTGACACTTTGCCCACACACGAGACGCAACCGCACTCTTCTCCTTTGACCAAAAGACATCACTCGCAATCACGAATATGCTATTCGCAGCGCTGAACTTCGTCTCGTAAGTACTTGCAATCCGCACCTGGCCCAGAATAATCTCGAGTGACTCCTCAATGGACCTTCCCAAATCTGATGCCGCCAAGAGTTCCTCATTAAAGCTGGGAAAATCCGCTTTCAACTCTTTCCTGATCCTGGTAGCGTGGTGGTCGAAATTCAATGAGACGAGACGGTCAAGCGCGTCTGGGAATTCCACTGTCTCGCGCACACTCTCGGCTACCAGCGCGTCCCGCTCACTTGCCGCTTTCAGAAGAATGCGTAGGGTGCCGGGATTGAGGCCGTCGACCCAAGCTACGATGTCATGCTTGGATGGTTCGAGTGATTGCTCACGAGAGGGATTAAGGGAGCGGCGATGTTTTTGAGGAGTCGGTGCCATCTGAGAGATGAGAGTGTTGTGGACTGCTTGTGGATTGATCGTGAGACTGTACTACTTAGTGTCAATAACGGGAAACAAACAAGAAAGTGTAATCTAATAGAAACTTGATGGGGGAGATGCCTGAAGCCTGCTCGAGGAAAAGCGATATGGTAAACAAAGTAGGCTTTGAGACCGAAAGTCTAAGCTTACGCCACGACAGGGGTGTATACGGGCGTCTTGTAGTATAGGGTTCTCGCAAACTCTGCAAGACACTACTATTATTCGTAGTTTGGTATTTCACAGTAGAAGACTTGGTCGTTTGCACCAGTTCTGATAACGAAACGGCGTAGCTCCATTGGACCAGCAATATTAAGTAGCGCTGTGAATGGGCATACGGAACTTTATTGAACCGCCAATGACGCATTCGCTCGTTCCTGAATACTCTGGTTTCCCGATGGTAATGAATCGTTGCTGTTGTTGCAAGGTTGATCGTGCTTGCGGGACACCACTTTGGCCAAAATCTGTCATACCATGTTCAGGCTTTGGCAGGCGTGCAGGCCTGCATATGTTATCTAATCCTCCGTATTGTTCTGGCGTATCATCTGACACTTGCTTGCATACCCAGCAACGTACGGTGCTGATTGACTTTCCAAAGAAAACCTGTATCAAACCCACTGCAACCAAGCATGCCACTGACCGGGACAAATGCATCACTTCTGCCTAATGTCGGAGATCAAGGCCAAGGACATAATGACCGTGCCTCCTGAGCGCTGGGTAGAGAAATCAGAAGTGAAGGACTGGGATAAATTGGTATGTGGCTCATGTCAACATGATGTGTATCTTTGTAGGCTGACTAGTACGACCATGGAAATGTTCGGGTTTCAGTACCTGTGTATTAGAAAGTGGCACCCAAATGCAACCCGCGGCCTTGAAATAACGGCGAAATATGATACAATTTCGACCGCAAGTGAGCTCCACCGATACACGCAATGGAGGCGGAGATACGGGTGTAAATCAATGATTACTTTGCATATCCTAGAGAACCTCTGTGCTCTGTCAGTAGGACAATAACGTATTTCACCCCCATTCCGACACGCCTGTAAACCCCAACAATAACCACACCGCTATTTACATTATCCTTTTATTTCTCAACCACTTTTGCTTCAATTGACTTTATTCCAAGTATTCGATCTGATCTGCTATCAATGCCTTCATATACGGAAGAAGACCTCGCTGCCGCCGTTCTAGATGTCGCAAATGGTAAATCTGTGCGACGCGCTGGCCTGGATTGGGGTATACCAAGGACTACACTTATCGACAGACTTCAAGGCGCTGAATCAAATCGCAAGGCCTCTGCTAGCCAGCAGAGGCTATCTTCAGTGCAAGAAAAACACTTAGAAGACTGGGTTTTGGTCCAGGAAGCCCTTGGACTAGCCCCAACGCACGCGCAGCGCGTCCTAGCCCTCAAAGGTGATCACCAACCACTGGGCGAGAATTGGCTGGAAGCCTTTCTAAAGCGTCACCCAGCACTAAAGACTAAAAAGAAACGCCGTATCGACTCTCAGCGTATCAATGGCGCGTCTACCGAGGTAATCCAAGCCTGATTTGCTTCAAAATTACGTATTCCTGCAATTCAAGCGATTAAGCCGCAATGCAGGTATAATATGGATGAGCATGGCCTTATGGAGGGTCAAGGGGGCTCTGGGCTAGTTGTCGGGAGCGCTACCTTACGCGCAATACACCAGAAACAGCCTGGTTCGAGGGCGTGGACGTCAATTTTGGAATGTGTGGATGCCCTCGGCAATACCTTACCCCCCCTGGTTATTTTCAAGGGCAAGGACGTCCAAGAGCAGTGGTTCCCTGATAGAAATCTTCAGGACTTCAAGGACTGGCGCTTCAAGGCATCCCCCAAGGGCTGGACAGACGATACGATAGCTATCAAATGGCTTGAAGACGTTTTTATACCCCTTACGCTTCCTCAGGACCCTTCAGACACTCGTTTACTTATTTTGGATGGTCACGGTAGTCACACAACTGATACTTTTATGTCTCTTTGCTATCAAAACAACATATACTTATTATTTTTACCCCCACACTCATCTCATGTCCTTCAGCCCCTCGATGTTGGGGTGTTCTCAGCTATGAAAACGGCATATCGCAAGGGGGTCGGGTTTTTAACCCTATTAACTGATTCAGCACCTATTGGCAAGCGGAATTTTATGCGCTGTTACGCCAGAGCACGCCAGAGGGCCCTAATGGCTCAAAATATCAAGTCTGGTTGGCGTACAAGTGGTCTATGGCCCCTAAATGTCGCTAGGCCCCTTACTAGCCCTCTTCTGCTTGAAAATAGCAACCGCACACGTCACCAAGGTCCAGACATTCTTATTACAACCCAGCAAGTCCAGAAAACGCTCCAGGCGCCTTCAGAGGGCAATGTTGTATGGTCAACGCCAAAGAAGAGCGTAGATACAGAGCGCCAGTTTAGGGAGTTCAATCGACTCCAACAAACTAACATGACTACACAACGCCAGCTATTTAGAAAGATGAAAAAAGGGTTTGATGAGAAGGATTATCTATTAGTAAGCGCAGAATTACAAATTGAGGGCTTGAAACAGCGATTGGAGCTTATGAAGCCACGGAAAAAAAAAGAAGGTGCAAGTAAGTCCAAACGCGAAATTCGCAAGGATTGAGGACATACGGCGGATGAGGGAAGTATCTAATGAAGCTCTTGTTGATGATTCGGGTTCAGAAATATCTAATGTATCTACTGTCGAAAGCGATTGTATAGTTGTTCAGAATTGAATCTGTGGTGGTTGTTTGAAATTGCAGTGTTATTCGTGGTGTTTTGTTTTATAGGGTGTCGGAATGGGGGTGAAATACGTTACGAAGGCACTCTGTTTAATTAGGAGATATAATCATCAAGATAAACAGTATATAGGAGTATAAATCTCTACTAATACAGAATATCTATCATCATAGAAGTACGACTTTATTAAGGTAAAGACTCAAACATACAACTTCAATAGCGTCGTAAATCTGCTATGCGAGAATCGCGTGAGCCTGTCTCACTCAAGCTTCCATATACTACAACTGATTTTATGAGCCAGTTTTATTGGAATAAAGGCCATCAACGTGCCTCTCCACCCCAATATCTATACAGATTCTGCAACTTTTACTTGCAATACCACAAGGGCAACCTAATTCTAATACCCTTTCATAACATGCAAAAGTTTCACCTTCCAACCGACATCCTAATCCTACAATGAAGACACAAGAAACGACGGCAGGACCTCGAATTGCACATCAATTCACTAACTTGGAAAAAATGAGACGCAAGTACTTCTCGACTATGTCACTCATGGTGAACTCTTCTGTCTAACCTAGATGCCCCTTCAGAATAGCTGGCGTTACGGGAACATACCTCCAAGAGCGTTATTTTCTTCAGTACGACGAAATCGAGCGGTGAAGAGAACACAGTATTGTATTGTGCTGCAATTGACTGTTGAAGCGGTCTCGAATCCCGAATATTGCTCTATATACCATCCATGAGCTGACGTGAATCAATTTTGCCAGAGGCGGTCGAGTATCTGTACCACCATAGCCCGCCAAGCACGAGCCCGACTACCAAACCACGTCCAAAGCTACCTTATGAAGCCTTCAATGTCCGGAATAGAAGTAATCGCCATCGCTGTTCGCCTTGGATATGTGAACTTCATCGGTGCTCAGCTCAAGAGAGGAGCTTTATGATTGATATAATCGCGCGAAAGTAGTACCTAATGGCCTGTCTTCTCATTGTGAAAGGAATTGGCATCAATAGAGCCGATTTGACTGGATAGACAGCGCTGCACCTTGCCGTGCAGAACGACGATGCAACTGGTATAGCGATTTCTTCAAGCTTCATTGACACGAGTATCAGGGGCATCACCGGGAGAAAGCACCGCGTTGAGCCTTACTATTCAGTTCAGGAAGCAGAATGCATCCGCTGCCTTGCATCTTGCTTGATTGTAAGAATAGATGGATTTTGGGCGGTGGAGTTATGGAGTTATGGAGTTATGGAGTATATCATGAAAATCATCACCAACATTCCAGTATACCCCCTGGTTACCTGTATGAAGATATGATTTTGTTTGTACCTTGTCCCTAAAAGCCTTTATTTCCTATAGACCAACTGTATAAGATACACCTTACCTTCCACAGTAATAGTGTTATATACCTGTACCCATATATCCAGAAGGTACTTTTGCCCTTGCTACTAGAAGGAATTATATATCGTCTGCTGGTGTGATACATGAATATTTCATTACCAGAAGAAGCAGCTATATGTTAATATTCACCACCAACATGCTGGGGCTGGGTTTTTAATTGAGTGTGGTATCGATATCAACAACGTGTAACTGAATTGAGAGTTATACGACTAATATAATTGCCGAGGTTCAATATGAGGTTGAAAAACGTGCTGGTGAGTTTCATGGACTCTGGCAGTTGGGCTCATATGTATTAAGCTGCCATGTAAATTCTGAGGTACTGAGTATTGGACCCTGTCGAGGAAGAGGTGTGGAATGTCTGTAGTTACTGTGCAGTAGATTAATGCACAAGTGTCAGGGGTTAATATTGAATTTTGAGCCGCTGACGTCAATACAATGGATTATCTTAATTTGGCTTTGAGTCGCCTATTATCTGGTTTGTGATAATTTACCTCATGGAGCTATAATCTCACTAGAATTCATGCCAACCTATGATAACAGCCGAAGCTTCATAACTACTTAGTATTCACCGGAGACCGAAGTTCTCGTCTTTCAAGCGTTCGGCTTAGAAATTGGAGTATACGGCGAATCAGCATAGCCGGTTTTCAGCGCCGCACTCAAACCGAGCTGTCCCCGCCTGGTAGGGCTTTATTCGCAATTATCGATAGCAAGTCCGGCACCGACGGGGTGATTCTCCGTGTTGAAAACTTACGATCTGGACTTTAGCAGAGGCTGGTGGCGAGTTTCCATGTCTCATTCCCCCAAAGGACGACTTGGTGGTAACACTACTGATATGTCGCAATACACCCTTCGCACGCACCACTTACCGTAGGCCTTGGCACGCTCGCTTACTTAACAAACTAAAGGTCATGAGAAATATCGGACTTGTTGGTTGCAAATTATGATTGAAGTAATCTCTACTCTGAACAGTCCGAAATATCAAGTGAGCGGGCTTCGTCATAAAGGCCCTAAATACATCAAGGAACGACCAGTGCCTCCGGAATCAGTAGCGACATACATAATATGTACGTGTCATCGTATATCATAACAAGATAATAGCATTTGTTATATTTAACTGGGGCCAGAAAAGGGATTAATCGGCCCATCAGGTCGGACAAGTTGGAAAAGAGGGAAATAACGGTAAGTTGGCCGTCGAGGTCCGGCACAAGATTAGACAGATTTCGCGAGGCCAGAACCTGCCAGGTTGGCCAAATCTTTAACACTTCACCTTTAGAAGTTAAAGCACATGGTCACATTACCAGACTAGACTACCTATCGCTGCATCTTGGCCCGAGCAGACAAATCAAGATACCACGGCGAATACATAATAGGTTAGAGTGCCTCCCCCAAATCATTCCACTACGGGTCAATTCAACCAGTTTCTACGACTTGGTATGGGTCCTCCTGGGGTTAAATCATGGGGTTATTGGGGTATAGTGGGCCGTTTCGCAGTAACCCGTAACCCGGATGGGTCCGACTGTATTTAACGGGCCCTCTCGTTAGCCTCTGATTCGCCGAGCGGATTGTAGTCTCGGAACTCTAGAATTGGCCCAGGTTGGCATGGGCATGGTTACCTCGGCGGTCTGGATGTTGAGGGGTTTGTCCCCCGGTACTATGGTAGAGCAGTCCTGGTCCACGGCCCCGGGCCTCCCCTAACACGGGGACCCTGACATGGAAGAAAAAAGTCGGTTTGGTACATGTATGTTGCGTCTCCTCGCTGTATAAAATGCTTACATCGTCCTTCCCTTGTCGTCTTTACATCCGACGGCATACGATCCAGCCAAGATCCTAGCATCCAACACTTTCATCATGGTATTCGGTATCCTGGGCAAAAACCAGCCCAAGCAGGAAGCAGCCGTGACCGCTCGAGAAGATGCACCCACTTTCGAGCGAGTAGACTGGAAGCGAGACCCAGGTCTGCGGCAACTCTACTTCTACGCCTTCATCCTCTGCATTGCTTCCGCCACCAACGGATATGATGGCATGTTCTTCAACTCAGTCCAGGTCTTCGAGACATGGCAGCATTACTTCGGCAAGCCCACAGGCTCCACGCTCGGTCTGCTGGGTGCTCTGTACCAGATTGGGGGTCTGTGCTCGCTGGTTATCGTGTAGGTCCAGTCCAGCTGCTGCTCTTCCATCCATTTTGGCTTTCGTGTACTGATATGTTATTCTTTTCATGGTGTAGGCCCTATTTGGCGGATAAGTGGGGTCGCAAGCTGCCCATCGTCCTCGGATGTGTCATCATGATCATCGGAGGTATCCTGCAGGGTTGTGCGCAAAACCTCTCTATGTTCATCGGCGGCCGCATCTTGCTTGGATTCGGCGGGTCGTTCACTCAGATGTGCTCGCCCATGCTCCTGACGGAGCTCTGCCATCCTCAGCATCGTGGTCGTTTGACAGCAGTCTATAACTGTCTCTGGAACGCCGGCGCAATCGGTAAGTTGAAGAGTCCCCATCAGAATTTCGTGTACTGACTGTATGTATCCCAGTCGTCGCATGGCTCTCATTTGGTACCAATCACATCAACAATGACTGGTCCTGGCGTATCCCGGCCGTGCTCCAAGCCCTGCCGTCCGTCATCCAAATCTGCTTCATGTATTGGGTTCCTGAATCCCCACGCTATCTTATGTCGAAGGACAAGCACGAACAGGCTCTAGAAATTCTAGCCAAGTATCACGCCAACGGCGACGCTCAACATCCCACGGTCCAGTTCGAATACCGTGAAATCAAAGACACCATTCGGATGGAAATGGAAAGCAAGTCGAACAGCTCGTATATCGACTTCTTCAGGACGAAGGGCAATCGGTACCGCCTGATGGTATTGGTCTCTCTCGGTATCTTCTCCCAATGGTCCGGCAATGCTGTCATTTCGAACTACGCTGGAACGCTCTACGAGCAGGCCGGAATCAAGGATTCGAATTCCAAGTTTGGTGTAAGTCCCGTTGTTTTCGTCTCAACCCCTCTTTGCAGACACACGCACAAACATAAGACACCTGAAACAGTCGCTAACAGGCTCCAATCTAGCTCTCTGGAGGCCAAACCATCCTATCACTCATCGTATCAGTAAGCATGGCCACAATGGTCGACCGTTTCGGCCGACGCCCTATCTTCCTCACCTCCACCGGTGGCATGTTCGGCGTCTTCATCTTCTGGACACTGTGTGCGGGTCTGTATGAGCAGCACCAACTGCCTGGGTCCAACGTCGCCATGATCTTCTTCATCTGGCTCTTCGGCTTCTTCTACTCGATCGCCTGGAACGGTCTGCTCATCGGATACACCATCGAGATCCTGCCGTACAAGCTCCGGGCCAAGGGTCTCATGCTCATGCAAATCACAGTTCAAGCCGCGTTATGCCTCAACACGTACGTCAACCCCGTCGCCTTTGAAGGATTCGGCGAGAACAACTCGTGGAAATTGTACCTGATCTACACGTGCTGGATCTTTATTGAGCTTTGCGTCGTTTACTTCCTCTACGTCGAAACCAAGGGTCCTACACTGGAGGAGCTCGCCAAGGTCATTGATGGAGATGGGGCGCAAGTTGCACAGGTTGACCTTCTACAGGTGGAGAAGGAGATGGCGATGCAGAGTGATGTCCATGAGGTTCATCATCATGAAATTCAGAGGAAGGCGTGAAGGTGGCTATGGAACGTCGTGATCGAAACCTAATTTTGACGCGAGTGTCATGGAGTGGTGCGGATGCTCGAAGTTCCCATGAATGGAAATACTTCGTGTTGGTCCGGCGATTTAGAAATCGGCAGTCAGAGGTAATTAAAGACCTGATACAGAGCATCATGTGCCTGATATTGACCACAGCATCTTCCAGCATCCGAAGAAGAAACCAGTAGCTAGTTAGCGTGTACACAGCCACTGCCTGAAGCCGCTGTGGCACTAGGCCATAAGACGCTAACTTTGGCCTGATCAGGAGCACAGAAGAACCCTTCCAATAATAACACACTTTTCTGACAAAGAGAGAACTGAACCATCTTTTCCAGTGTACGTATCAGGTGCATATAAACTCCAACTTCGAGGCCAGTCAAACGCCATAAATACATTGGTAGCCACCAGAGAAAAGGCAGAGAACAGCGGATCCACCACTGCTCGTACCTAGTCGTTAAAATCACAACAGAAAACAGCGGAGATAACTGCACAAGGGCAATCGCACAGAAGCATCACCCATAATTCCCTCCTCGCGAGCCCCATAGCTAGGGGACTGGGAAAAGTCCATCTACCTTAGTTGGCTCCGCTACCCGCTGGTCCTGCATCCCTAGGCATTTCCACTACCTTGGCCAACTCGACCCAATTATACCAGTCCACCTCTGCTGCCAAATCCATATTGACATCAATCGATGTATCTGCGTCTAGGTTGGCAAAAACGTCGACAGTGGGATCAGCATCAGCCCACAGCCAGCCGACACCCTCAGAACGAGCCCCTCCAAGGCCACCAGTCCAGTCCACGGGTCCTGAGGGGAAAGGAGCATAGGGCGGCGGCCCAGGGGTCCCAGCTTGACCAAACGCGATTGTGGAGGTAGGTACGGCAGATCCCATGTTCGTGCTGTAGTTCGCTAGATTTTGACCAGCTGGTGGAAACCCTGTACGGTAGTCCAGATCGGTTACTCCATACGGAACAGTAGAGTCAGGCTGGGGTTCGTTTCCAATGACAGCAGGTACCTCCGAGCCTTGTCCAGATTTTAAGCCAGATTCGTCCGTCATAGCCAAGAGTATGCGCCATCTCTCACGGAAGCTATCAACACAGGCTTCGGCTGTGGAGGAATCACCATTGACCACGGCTGAAAACGAACAAGCACTCTTAGGCACCGGGAGCTTGCGGTCATCTATCTCGAGTTGTCGAGCAGCCCCAGCATCGCCACGTAACCTTTGGACCTCGGCAGCGCGATGCTTTCTAGCCTTGGCCATCAGCTTTCGCAAGGGGACCCAAATTCGAAGGTTCCTGTTGGATTGAACCGGGATTAGCCAGGGGCTATGCAGATTCACCCAGGCTCGCTCGACAATAGACGACCACGGGCGGCGGGTCATCTCAATCAACAGGTAGACGATGACATGCCAATGTGTAAAAGTTTGGTAAACCCAGCGCCAGTGGTGACAGGCGTGTTCGGAGTTCAGCGCGTGGTTGTGCTCGGCGACTTCGATGGCTGACACCAGCAGCTTGTCTCTGATCTCATCTGAGAAGTGTTCACTTGGCGACGAGAAGAGCACAGGGAGGTGGGTTATGAGGGTCATTTTTGCCACAAGGAGGCGCATGCAAATAACGCCGACCCAGTAACAGATGTTTGCCGAATCTGCAGAGTACTGGAGGTAGCCGTGTTCGGATTTGTCGTTCATCTCGTTCAAGAGACGGCTTTGCTCTTCAAAGCCTGGGGGTCCAGCCATCATCCGCCGCGTGATCTCGCACATCTCAATAGAGAGCATCGGGAAGGTCATATCCGTGAAGCCCTGACATTCCGTCGGTGTTATTTTGGTATCAGGACTAATGTCTGCATCGTTCAAATTTATGGGGGTCCTGGTATCAAAACTACCGCTGCTAATCGTAAGATCGATTCCTTGGTCTTCTGATGCTCTCACGTCAAGTATGCAGACCACCCACCAGACCCGCCTACGCATCTCAACCTCGAAGGGGGTCAAATGGTGAAAATGAGATCCGTCGCGGTGCATTCCCAGAGCCTGCGCCATGCGGATGAGCAGTCCTGTCATCATCCAAACATATCGCGGGCTATCATGACGGCGAACGAGAAAGAGAAAGATGGAAAATGCTTGCACCAGAACTAGTTCAGGGGCGTTGAGGAAGTCCGCCGCGGCAAGGGCATGCTCGAGTCCGAGCCGATACTTGAGATTAAGGTTGGCCTTGGTAGAGCCAAAATTCATCATGATCTAGATGGATGTACAATATTTGTGAATGATCATTACAAAATGTCAAGGGATGGGTCAAACTCACATCGTCTTCCTCCATAGATGTAATCGCTGCATAATAGATGGAAAACAACAAGGCCTCGTTGGCCAGCGTGAGAGTAGTCGTGTTACTATTGCGACCGCGTGAGCTGGGGGCCATGCTCCGCACCGTGGGCATATGAACAATCTGGTAGAGAAGATTGACATTCTCGGAGAAGACATCCAGGAGAAATGGGACTTGGGAGGGGAGCGGCTGGAATTCGCGGAGATCGGGGCCGGCAGGGTTGAGGTTATGCCGGAATAAGAAGGCATGACGTTCCGAAGGCGTCCGTTCCAGCTCCTGAGTGGGCAGCGACTTCTCCGCAGACTGAGAGCTCTCGTCTTCTGAGGTATCGGAAGTCTCTCCAGCGAGACCTCGGGTCTCCATCTTGAGCCCATCGAGCTCGTCGTTGATCCGTGACCAGAAACCGCTGCTGATATAGCGACTTCGGCTAGCATCTTTGAGCACCAACCTTCCAAACTGCTTCTGGAAATTTTCGGTGCTTGTCACGGTAGGAAAAGGCGCATCTATCTGATGGTCTGGACGCTGGTCATGAGGCGAACTGCCAGACGATATGACACGGGATGAGTCATGCGGAGAGTGAGCCGCCGCATGAGCCTGTTCCAGCTGACCGCTGAGCTGCTTCACGAGGCTCTCAAGATTCCGTATTCTTTCCATGACTTGCTCAGCTTCCGGGTTGGCAACTTGGGCTGCATTGCTAGTGATGCGCTCTAGACGCCGAGCCCATCGCGGAGGACGGTCGGCTGAGGGGAAGACACAGGGGATGTTGGCCCGACGACAATTCGAGCATGGCGACTCCTTATTGCAACGGACTTTTCGGGTCCTGCACACGGCACAGCTGCGAAGTTTCGCCGGCGATGCAGTGGCAGGTGTTGGACGTGGGCTCGGAGTGGCGGATTGGCTCGCGTTTTTCTCGGGCCCTGGGACCGAGACGCCCGCGGCCCCAGATGGAGTCGCCGCTGAAATGGTCACAGGTGACACCTGCGACATTGGAGGAAAGTGTCACTAGACGCGCTTCTCTTCACCGGATGCGTATTGAGCCGCTGGATTCGCCTTACCCTCGCACTTTTTTGATCGTGTGTACCGTGACGAATTCTAAGACCCTCTTCTCTTTGCGACCGGCGATTATGAGTGACACTGTTTCTCTAGTGCTGACTGGCTGATGCAACGAGTTGACGGCGCCTGCACTGCAACCACCAAATCCGTGCCGTTGGGAAGCACTGGTGGCTTTCTGCCGCCATGTTTACACCAAAGGATATAGTGTGAACGATCAGGAAATGTGAATGTCTGCAGGCTTGGACTCTGTGGTGTTGAAGTAACTTAGACGGAGCCAGCAGCCGTAATATTTTGTAATTGGGGTTGCTTAGGGAGCCTGGAGGGACCTTCCCGACATTGAGGGAGAACTAACAATGTTGCGGGCATCCCAGGTTTCCAATTTGCTGTGCCAAAAGAAACGAGGCTCCCGCCAAACGCAAGCAAGCATTTGTCACTTGTCGCGTCTTTTGCGCCACATTGCCCGACCGCTACAGTTTGAAACATGATGGCCAGCAAGGCATGGCGCAGTGGGTGCAAGTATTACAACTCCGCAAGGCTCCAGATATTAGCATAGTAGTGAGATCGGAAGAATTCTGCCCCGCGCGGCGTCGCTGTATGTAGTGGTTGTGGATTTACAATCCGAAAAAAGAGCGACACAGCGAACGCCTCGTGACACTTGTTGGCACTAGGGTTTACTCGGTAGCCTAGGCCTCCTCTCGGGGCATCGTCAACTCTGAAGTCTTAACTGGATTAAAAGTTTATTAGAGATATTCAACAGCCATAGCGATTTAGACAGAGATAAAAGCCTGAGTAGCGCCCGGCATCAACTACTTTGTTCGTCTAATTCTGCAAACCCATCCAGTCCCCCACACATATAAGCCTCCAGCATCTTCAAGCATCACAATAAGAAAGGACCTTGTATTCCAAGGCAAAGACATCGGTACCAAATTACCTCAAAGCAACGGTCAAAGAAAACCACAATGTCATCCGGCCCTGAGACCGTTGCCTTCCTCGGTGCCAGCACCGGAGTGGGCCTCTCGGCACTTAAGCACACCCTCGCCACGGGCCGCAGATGCATCGCTCTCTGCCGCAACCCAGAAAAGCTGTCTGCTATCCTCCCGGCCACATCCAACCCTAACCTCGAGATCGTGCAAGGGAACGCCCACGATGTGGCCGCCGTCTCGCGTTGTCTCCAGCCTTCGTCCGGCGCACTAGTCTCCACCGTTGTCTCCACCATCGGCGGCGCCTTCATCTTCTCCAAGATGACGCTCGACGACCCAGAAGTCTGCCGGAAAGGCATGGTAACACTCCTGGAAGCCCTGGATCAGCTGCGTCGCGACGGCGCCGTGGGCAAGCCCCACATCATCATTTGCAGTACGACGGGCATGTCGCGCTTCGGTCGCGACACCCCGCTCGCTGTGGTCCCGATGTACAAAGTGCTGCTCAAGGTGCCGCACGAGGACAAGATCGTCATGGAGGACCTGTTGGTCGAGAGCGAAGAGGAGTACACCATTGTCCGCGCCAGCTTGATGGTGAATGGAGAGACGACTAAGAAGATCAGGGTGGGCATTGAGGACCCCAGGACTGGACGGGAGTCCGATGCTATTGGTTATACGATTAGCAGGGAGGATGCTGGAAGGTGGGTCGCCGAGAACCTGGTTCTGAGTAGGGATGGGAGGTACAACAAGAAAATTGCGACGATTACGTATTGAAGGGTGATGGATGAAGAGACTAGGGCTTGCACACAGGGTGGCTCAATGGTGTAGACTGTTCTCATTTGTTTCTTAATAGGGAGCGCTGTCTATTATATCTTAGTGGATAGATTAGCAGGCCTTTTCCGATACGCATCTCAAAACCTGTATCAAATTATGCAGTGCTATCTAGTACGAGAAATGTGAAAAACAACACGGGGGACTCTATCTTCCCCTTTATCAAATATTGGTCTGCCTGGGATTATAACTCTTGATTGGCAATTACCCCTTTAATGTTAGTGTGCGACTTTGCATTCTAATTGATATATCTATAATATCAGCATTTAACGTCCCACACCCACATCCGGGACACCCCCACATGTGGGACACCCAAAAATGCCTCATCAACACCGCTAGTGTTGGACCAAATTGACCGTCAAAAGACGAGGGACCCACTCGCTGTAGAATGAGGTATTTTTGGTAGTTATAAGGTCTGACAGCATGGTGTCCCAAGGTCTACTCTTTCACAACGGATTCAGGGAGCCCAGTCAAGAGATATAGCCTTCGCTGACTACCAGAGGCTCTCTCCAGCCCAGGAATCTCATCTGGCTGAATGGGTTCGAATCCAGGCTGCCCTAGGCCTCCCACCAACCCATCAACAGCTCAAAGACTTCGCCGAGCGTATCCTACAGATCCACGGAGACACCGAACCACTTGGAAAGAACTGGGTCCAGGCTTTTATCAAGAGGAACCCTTCAGTCAAGGTCCAGAGAAGCAGAGCTATCGATTCCTAGCGTATTAATGGAGCCTCAGCTAATGTGATCAGGCAATAGTTCAAATACCTCGCTATCCCTGAGATCAAATCTATTAAGGCCTCGAATCGATACAATATGGATGAGACAGGTATTCTAGAAGGTAGAGGATCAAATGGTCTTGTTCTAGGATCATCTGAGACTCGTTCTATACCGAAGAAACAGCCTAGATCTCGAGGTTAGACATCTCTTATAGAGTGTATCTCTGCGACTGGTACTGCACTACCCCCACTTGTGATATACAAGGGGAAGTCTATCCAGCAGCAGTGGTTTCCTCTGGACTTGACTCCATACAAAGCCTGGAGGTTTACAGCAACAGAGAATGGGTGGACGTCAGACTCTACGGCTATTGAGTGGCTACAAAAGATATTTATTCCTTTGACTTAACCAGAGGACCCTGAAGAGACTAGGTTACTTATCCTAGATGGGCATATGTACCTCTGCTTCATAAACAAGATAAACTTGCTTTTCTTGCCGCCACACACATCCCACGTTCTCCAACCTCTCGATCAGTCAGTCTTTGGACCCCTCAAGGCAGCCTATAAGAAGGAGCTTGGTTACCTTGACCGATGGGATACTACTACTGTCGTAGGGAAGAGAAACTTTCTCCTCTGCTATAGAAAGGCACGTCTAGCAGCATTGACCGCTAAGAACATTATCAGTGGATGGAAATATACTGGTCTCTGGCCTTCGAGCATAGCTAGACCCCTTATGAGCCCCCTGCTCCTTGAGAATACGTCAGCACCAATCAGACAGCCTAGTCAGACTTGCAAAGGGTACTCTGATAGTAAGGGTAGTCAGGACTGGGCGTTAGACACATCAGCAGTAGCCTGGTCAACGCCTAAGAGGAGAGATGAGCTCCAAGATCAACTCAGCTTATTCAGCAAGCTTGATAGTGATCCAAATACCCAGCGGCTACTCTTTCGGAAAGTTCAAAAGGGCTTTGATGAGAAGGACTACCAATTAGCTGTCGCACAGCGAAAGATTGAGGCAATAAAGGCAGAGCTTGAGGCTAGTAGGGCTAGGAAGCGGAGGAAGGTCAAGATGAGCCCAAATTCGAAGTTTACTAATATCAAGGCTATTCGGAAGGCTCAAATCGAGGCTGGTGAAATTGAGGATAGTACAGATGAGTCTAGCGAGTCTGAAAACCCTAGTGACGGTGAAAGCTGTATTGTAGTCGCATTAAAATAAGTGTAAAAAAAGGTTGAAGTTAATGGTTATAATATACAGTGTCATTTTTAGGGCGTCCCACATGTGGGGGTGTCCCGGATGTAGGTGTGGGACGTTATAACTGAAATTTCCTATTTCATCGTTAATATCATGTAAGTTCCAATGTGAATGCGTGCCCCTATGTTTACAACGCACATAATTACATGTTGATCAAGTACGACCCAGTCCGCGGAAATTGTGCAATCCCTCTCTGATCATAGAAAGTCAGCCTGCTAAGGATGTGATAGGGTGCTTCCTGTCACAGACCAGCCTCTCATTGAGAAACAAGTAGATAGAAAGTTGTCGGTCAAATTTTCTGTAGAACAAGTTAAAATCTTTCGATTGTGTCAGCCGACGATATGTTGACATCTGAAATACTTCCTGTAGAGTCGGTCCTTCTCGATCCCATATTCAGGACAGAGAGGAATAAGGATCCACGTCGGTTTGAACGAAAAAATAAATTGGTAGCCAGAGTAGAATGTCGGTCAATGCCAAGAAATTGGCTAAGTAGTCCGGGGATGTTACAACTAGCGAGGAGCTCCAGAATACGCTATACTTCGATAGAGGCTTTTTACCAAACAAAAATAGACTATGATAGCCAATCGTAGCGAGTATATTCTAATGTATACCGATGAATGCCTTATTAGTTTCGCCGTATAACAAACGCATGTTGATGTCGACGACAGCCAGCGGACTATAGACCGAATCTTCCAACCTGGCCGTGCGTCCTTTACTTACCTAACTTAATTTGCTGCAGAAAAAATGCTGTGTAGGTGTCTGGTATGGTCAAATAACGTCTGAAAGAAAAATCACGGTTGACTCAAATAACTCGGATTCTAATTCATGTTTGCTGCCCACCTAGGGCCACTTGCGACCCTAGAACTTGATAATGAATGAAGCAATGAGCTCTTAATCCTACAAAAAGGTGGTTATGTTTGTTCATACAGGTTGAATTCAGCGGGATTCGCAGACGAAACGTGAAAAAATGAAGGAACGAGTGACTTCTTACTTCATTAGTTCTACGAAGGCGACGGCCTATAGTTGAACAGATCACAAACATGACCTTCAGAGGCAAATTATTAAGGTACCAGCACATGAGGCAAGAAATATAAGGGGATGTACGCTTTTAATACATCTAGGTGTTATTTGTTTTCTCTACATATTGATGTACTCCCAGAGTGGGCTAGGCCAAATACAACGATATGGCCTTTGGCCATTACAGAAAATTCTATTACGTATATAACTGTGGTTTACTATAGATACATAGCTATTATAGTTTTTCTGAATAAATCACTTATCAAGTATTTTTACCTGCCTCGTTCTACCTGTAGCGAGAGAAGTGCCTTGTCCTGATACTATGATAAGGGGTAAACATTTTGGTTTACCACTTAGCATGCTACCGGCGTTAACACTGCATACGCCATTGGATTTATGAGTCTGCCATAAATCGTGAATATTAACCCTTTGAATTATCTAGTTTTAGAATTATTCAGTTTTCCATCAGCGCCATAAATATTGCAATATATTTTTATGGATGAAGGATTGTGCGACAAGGCACGCAGGTTTGAGTCTAGAGTAGACCTGGCATTTTGGTTTTTACTCTCCCTGTGTGCAGACACACACTATTTTCAATTATACTTCTAACCATGTAAATCTCGCTATAACACCATCACTTGGCGAAGCCGAGATAGCCCGAACAATCTCTAACTTCTTGTTAGGGTCCTGCAGCTCTATATTAAACCTGCCCACCAAAACCGCCACCAAGCAAAGCAATTCCGATTTGGCAAATGACTGTTCAATATACCCTCTGGGGCCGGTCAAGAAACTCAAGTTAGCATAACTGCTATCCGAGCCGCCGCTATTGGCTCGGCCCTCGCCCATCCAGCGATCGGGGTTGAAGTCCTCGGCATCGGGGCCCCAGCGCTCCTTGTCGAGATTTGTTGCACCTGCCAGGATCAGCAACGTGGTGCCTTTGGGGATAAAAGTGCCGTCAAGGCATGTGTCGATCCTCGTTTCCCGCACTATTGAGGGCACCGGGGGATATAAGCGGAAGACCTCATTACAGAAGGCGTTGAGGTAGGGCAGAGAGTCGACTTCTGCTGCTGTAATCGCCCTCGTGGATGAGGGAAGGTTAGTGCGGATTTCCTTGCGCAGCCGACTCTGTATTCCATTTGCCCATGAAGAGCTTGTCAAAGTCCCTGCGACCGTAAGGTTGGACAGTTCCTTGGAACCTAGCCTGTAATGCTTCCAGATACAACGAGTAGATGGGGTTATTTCTCCATCATGCTCCCGTGAAATGGTTTGTAACCTAGGATGTTGAAGGCCGAGAGCAGCGCTGGTATGTCTTCGTCAGTACATGGAAACGTTGTGACAGGCAGTGATACGTGACCCCATGGGGGGTTACCCTATAGCTATAGATAAGATAGATAAGAGCTATAAAAGAGCTCTGTCAGGCCAGAATAGCTGACCTGGCCATCCTTTCCCAATACAACAATTCACACCCCATATGCACTCGCATCAGGCAGTCAACACCCACAAATTCGTTCCGGTTCGAGGCATTCCCAGCACGAGAACTTCCATTTCGACGCCATCCTTCGGTGCCTCCGGCTGCTGTTCAATCAGACGCGGCGCTCTACTCATTTTGTTGTATTTTCCACCTTAACAAAAGGTCGAGTAGGGAGGAAAACAAGAATAGCAAAAGTAGGGTACAGATTGTTTTTGGACAGCAACGTAGTTTTCGCCCTAACGAGTCGAAACAGCAAGCTGTATAAAATAAAGCATTACTTAGTATAGAGCACTTGTTTCATTTTTATTGTTATTATTATTAGTTGCCCGGGGCTCCGAGTGGATGAGTGAGGAAAAGGAGGTCCCGGCTGCCCTCTTCGGCCACTGGAGGAAGAGATGGCTCACCGGAGCAGAGCATCACGATCGCCAGCGACGCGCCATCGCTGAGGAACCGGAGGGCCCTTCGATGCAGATACCGAAAGGGGGCAAGTATTTCGGCCTGAACCGACTGGAAGCGTCTACGCTGTGCCAGATCAGGACGGAAAAAATAGGACTAGCAGCCTTCTTATTCAAGACAGGGGCTTTTGGCGTGTACTCGCCGCTATGCCGCTGTGGCGACGCCCCTGAGACGTCAGAGCACGTAATCCTCTTTTGCGGGCTGTTGGAAGGACCGAGGGAACGATTACGGGCCGCTATCGCACCGCGGCCACTATACTCTCGCAGAGACCTCGCAACGGCAACAGGAGAACCAGTAGTTAGTGGACTATTGTAAGGTGGCTGCTAGGGACGGGTCAGACAGCTTCAAGGCCCAGATAGCATCGATCTTCTCAGGGGGGACTTTGTTGGTAGGTTGAGAACCAACGTAGTATGGTAGTGAACGCAGCGCAGTCGCCAATAGGGCGAACCGACGACGCAGCGTATGTATTTAGTCCAGCCATTAGGGCACGGTTTGACATACGGGAGTACTAGTAGAGGTACCGGGGGCTTCGAGCCTACGGCGTATTTAATAATAATAATAATAAAATATTATTATTATCATTATTATGACTAAAGTCGGTACTATACAACATGCGAATTTAGAAGGTCTTGCACTGGGTGTGGTGCTAGGCCCTTCAGTTCTGACTTTCGACCCGATTAGAAATGCGTCAGCCAAAATGCAAGAGCGAATAACCACCGCGATTTTCGCAACTTGTGAATTGGTGTTATGTAGTGCAGTTATCCGTCAGTGAGACACTTGTCGATTATGCCCCTGAGCTTCCCAGATCAGGAACCATCAGCAACTGGACTCCCCAAAATAACCGGGAATTGGCCGATAGAGGGCAAAGGGTTGAGATTACCCGGGGAAATTTTTCTCGTCAGGCCTTACTAAAGGTCGGGAATCCATCCCGTGTGGCACAGAGCTTTGCATTACTAAAGTAGGAGATTAATCTCTTGCTATCACTTTCGTACAATTTGTGGTGGACGAGTGACGTATTTCTACCAGGATCGATCAACTTGATAGACAGTTCAGGCCTCGCTTAGTCTCCGGGGCTTGGTTTGCTTGACCTCCAACTTCGTTCCTTCACTTTCCCACCTTTCAACCCTCCAACTCTCAGCCCTTCATCCTTCAGCGCATCCACTAGCCCATAATGGAGGCGCAGCACGGTAATGCAACGGAGACTGTATCGGCTGTTCAGGATGCGACCAGGGATGAGCAAGTACTTTTCGAACCAGGACGACTAGCAGCGCCATCAGACGGTGGTGATGGGCCGTGGTCGATATGGTCACTTAAACAGAAGAAAATAATCATTCTGGCTGCTTCTTTTGCTTCGCTTCTGTCTCTCCTATCCGGCCAGATTTACTTCCCGGCCCTCGATACCATTGCAAAGGACTTGCATGTCACGGATAGCTTGGTCAACTTGTCCATCACTACCTACGTGATCATTCAAGCCATTGCTCCGACTTTCACAGCCCAGTCATCCGATACGGCTGGACGGAGACCATTGTATATGGTCTGTTTCATCCTTTATATGGCTGCAAACATTGGATTGGGCGCGCAAAACAATTACGCGGCATTGCTGGTGCTGCGTTGCTTTCAGAGTCTAGGCAGCAGTGGAACGGCGGCGCTGTCCAACGCCGTGGCGGCAGACATCACGACGTCCGCCAAGCATGGAAGCTATGTCTCTTATGCAGCTGCCATCCCTATGCTTGGACCGACGCTTGTATGTCGCCTCTTGACTGGCTCCTATGTACCTAAGTAGGCAATGAAACTGACGAATAGCCAGGGACCCATCATCGGCGGACTTTTGGCTCAATACGTCGCGTGGCATTCCGTCTTCTGGTTCCTGTGGGCGTTAACTGGCGCCGTCGCTATCCCCATGGCCATCTTCTTTCCCGAAACCTGCCGCGAAATCGTCGGTGACGGCTCCATCCCGCCCCCAAAATGGAACAGATGCTACACCAACGTTCAACGCGAACGCAACGCCCTAAAACAAGGCAAGAAAGTGCCGTACGATAAACGCAATGAGCTAGCCAAGTCCCGTCACATCCGATTCCCCAACCCTTTCGGCACCATCATGCTCCTGCTACATCGAGAATGTGGCTTCGCTTTGCTTTACAGCGCCATCCTCTGCTGCTCATTCTACGCCACCCTGTTCACAATTCCATGAAATCTCCCACTTCAACGAGCTGCAGATTGGGCTATGTTATATCCCTTTCGGGGTGGGCAGCCTGATCGCAGCCTTCAGCCGTGGCCGCTTGCTCGACTCAAACTTCCGCCGCCATGCAAAGCGCCTCGGCATCTCCCCTGAGAACAACCGTCAAGCCGACCTCGCTGACTTCCCCATCGAGCGCGCAAGACTAGAAGTCGTGCTGCCAACCATAATCTTGGGCAGCGCGTGCATCGTCGGCTTCGGCTGGACGCTGCAGTACAAGAAGAACTTGGCCGGCCCGCTGATTCTGCTGTTCGTTATTGCGTTCTGCGTGTCGGCGTTGTTGAATTGCGTCGCGTGCCTCATGCTGGATTTGTATCCGGGGAAGGCGGGCACTGTTACGGCGTCCAACAATTTGCTGCGGTGCTTGCTGGGGCCCGACGCCACTGCTATCGTGGTGCCTATGATCAACGGCATTGGGATTGGCTGGGCCGTCACGATATTCGCTTTCCTGAATGTTGCGGCGCTGCCGTTGTTGTGGTATATCATGAAGCAAGGACCCAGGTGGCGCGCTGAGACGCTGCAGAAGAAGTCGGAGAAGGAGGACGCTGGCGGCAGAAGATAAGAGTCAGTAGATGCGTACATAGCACCCAGGATTGAAGATATCAAACGTTAATATGTGGGTTTTATATCGAATATTTACACCGCAGTAGGTAAGGACAGAAGGGTACACAATAATTACCGCGGGCATATAGCAATTCAGGTAATGAGCCGGAAGTAGCTGGGGTGAATTCAGTAGTATTAGGGCTACTTGACAACTGCTTGCAGAAAAAATAAATTAATTGCACTACTCCCCTCCATTGCTATCTATCTGTAGGCGTGCGGCTCGTGTAGGCTTTGCAGTCTGGCGGTACACGGCAAACCCTGTAAAACTGTCCACTGGAGGTATAACCGGAGTCCCAGTCCGAATAAAATCCTGCAAGGAGGGAAGGTGGCTGATATTAGGAGAGTAGGGCAGTGTGAGAGTAGATATTACGGCCCAGGAAACGCATACAACGCGAGGCGCAATAGGTTCTTGAGGAGTTGTCCATATCTGAGCAAGATTCGTAACGACACCTATCTGCTGCAAGTTACAACTCGCAATTCTCGGACTAAGCCAAACTGTTTACACGAACAAAAGAACCATTGGCAACTGAAGGAGTCAGTTTCTTACTCACAGCTATCTAATGCATGTCATGCTGCAATACTACTCCCCTACCAGGCTCAGTTGCGACCCTGCAACAGCCAGACGATAGAGAACATATCACCATCCACATTCCTTACTCTTTACTTTTTCCATTTCCCCCCGGGATAGCAAGCACATCAACTAGCATGCCTAAATTGACTAATTTCAAACGCTTGTCTCTCAGAGAAGGCCTCAGATGAAATGCGGATGATAAGTGGGGTCTTTAGATCAGCTGAGGCTAGACTAGGTAGGGGAACAGGGCATTGCCATTCAATAGCGCACCCCCCCCCTCCCCCCCCCCCCACATCTTAGCGGCGACAACATGCGGGCCGTGTAGGCTACGCACCTAGGTGTCTTGCCGAAATTGCAAAGCAACTGCATGAGGGTGAGGGAGCCAATGTTAGACTCTCCATCTTTTATATTTGGCTACTACCGCCAGCTTACGTACTATACGTACATGGCAATTCAGGTAATCAGACGGAAGCAGTTGGGGTGAATTCGGTAGTATTGGGACTACGGGACAACTACCTGCAGAAAGGAAGAAATTCACTGTACTGGTGTCCTCCATGACTGCCTATTTGTAGGTAGTATAACTTATGCAGTCTGCCGGTAGCGACACATTCGGTACCATAGCTAGTCCAAACTTATAGTGGGCGACCGCGCCCATTTAATTTAATTGCTCACGCATACTCTAGCGCCGTTCCTAGTTGTCGAACGATCGCCCACTATATCCGGGCTCATTCTGAGCCATGGTGCACTTGTTGACCTATCGATTCTCGACAAGGAGAGCAAGATAAACTAAAAATAGGGAGGCTCGCGTCTGAGGGTCCCACATCCTCCCCCACATATAGGACCGTATGTGGCCAGCCGTTATGCAAGAGGCCAGGTTTCTGCGGAGCGTGCTCATACTCCACCAATGCCACCCACAGGCAAAATCTCATGGGCCCTAAACCCTTATATTGCACCTCTTCTAGCACCTGCGCTCCTACTGCGCCGGGACCAGTTTAAACATTATGAGAGTTATTTTCTCTACTATTGCCCCTTTCTATGGTGTTTTCTGCGAACCGCTACTGCTCCTGTCAAGATACCGCGCCGTAAAGGCACCTCCACTAAGCAAATGAATGCGTTGACGACATTCGCATCCGCACCCTGCACTTCCAAGGAAACCAGCCAAAATCAAAAATGGTGAACGATCACTAGCTTCACAGCTAAACAAGTGAAGGCCTATATCACACGCCTTACCCCCGGCCGGACATATCGCCCCAGTAAGAGCATGAACTTGAGCTATTCGTTACATCCCTCAGGACCACCCGCTTGATGACCTTTCTGATGTCTTTCAATCCAATTTTAGTGTCTACGTGGTTATCTGCTCTCTGTAGCCTCGGATTCGGGCGCCGTATCCTAATCGGAAGCTACCGATCTATAAACACGTCCACTCACTCCGGCTCGAATAAGCGGAACTCCACAGTAATTGGATCTTTTGATAATGGGAGTAAATACTATAGACGGATGAAATATAAGTTACCGGCGGTGCTTATCGCCGCTATTACGTTATGAGGTCTTACGAACCGTTGGCAGACCAGAAAAGTGAACCTGAGGAATCCGGGCATTATATTTCAGAACAGGGGTTTTGGCCATCTATACCAGGGAGTTGTCTTGAAGAAGAAAGAAGGGAGAGTCAGAGAACAATAAACTATTCTGGACATACCTACCTGTGTCCACCCGGTGATCAACGCGGTAACGCCTGTTTCTCCCCTTCCCTCTGTGCTATTGCCTTGCGGTCTAGCCGTTTGCTGACACTAAGTATCAACCTGAACCATTAGGGACGCATATTGCCTTAACGTCTTTATCTCAGTTACCTATTGCCAATCAGTTATTCCGTACCCAAGTTATTAATCAACACCCCGGTAGCAGGAGTTTACGTGTCAGCAAAAACCCTTACAGTAACTCTTAGTGGTGTAGCACCTAGGCCATTTAGATTTTTTTCATACGAGGCGCCCAGTAAAGATGATTACGCAGATTACGTAGTAGACTCACCGCGGAAGACAAAGGAATCGATATTCTAAAGTAGTTTTTCAGGGGCAATTATTAAGGGCCTGACGTCTTCTAGGAAAAGACTGAGGTTGGATTAATACCGAAACCTGATATTTATCGATAGATGTATTCGTCTTTACTGGTAAGACGATAGCGAAGGAATAGTCCTAGTATAGGACGGTGCTTCTGCGTAGTGACGCTGCTACTATTAAATATTTAAGAACGGAACATTTATATTATATACAGTTGTGTGGTCACACTTATACTGGCAATTCGGCTACAGACAATGGTGAAGAAGAGAAGTGCAGATGGGTGAGTCCAAGTGGCACAAGTGCTCGAAGTATCTCAGATGTACGTCACCATGACCTCAGGCCATCAACACTACCATAAGTGCCTAATTCCCCTGACCTCAATACTGGAAAATATTTAGACTGGATAAAGAACTATATCGAGTTGTCACGGGGCTAGCCCTTGTGGGATGCCGATTTGATCCAATTGGCCAGATGCTGTATATAAGCCCTGGCCGCTGCTGGCAGTGTGCACCAAGTATTACTCTTTATCATCATCATCATCATCAATGCAATAACCTACTTCCGGCCTGTACCCTGTAAAACTATTATGTACAGTGTCCCTAACATGAGGAAAACTAGGGCCGTAACAGTGACTCCCTGTAGGAAGTGGTAAAGAGCCGCGAATTAGAAGCGTGGGAAGCAGTACCAAATTGGTGGCTACGTGAATTTCTAGCTTCTTAAACCTTTATTATGAGTATATAATTAAGGTTAATAGGGATTATAGAAAATAGTGAAAATACGTATTAGGATATAATAGTTAGTTGTAGAATTACTGGTTAGGTACAATGTAGAATATCTAGGTATATAAGTAATATATTACTGAGGCGGTTTGTTTCCCCATCACACTTGATATTTTTCTTTATGCTAAAGCGACCTTGTGAGGCGTCCTAAAGGCGCTCATGTCTCTTTTTGTTTTGTGATCCCGGGATAATACCTTGCTATCGTCCTTATGGCCCTTAGCTTCCCTAAACTCTTCGGCAGCCTTAAGCTACTCTCCTAACCGTACTGGTGGGCAAGCTGATCTAGGATACCTTTCGTGGAATTGTTTTAGTGCAATTATAAGGGTCCAGGACCATGTTGGTGCAATTGGTTTGTTGTTAGATGGGCGTCACCATCTATAGGTGGCTAAGTTAGTGTGGCTCAACAGGCTTCATATAAGACCAAGCATGCTAACTCGAACAAGAGTCAACACAAGCACAACAGAATACATCAACAGCTAATGCCTAAACTGGCTGAGCACACGTCGTATCCGACAGTAATAACGCGGATCAATAGTACTACAATTTCCCTTTCATCGCCCGACGAACCCTACCTTTAGATGCATAGTTTTGAAGAAGGTTCAGCGGAGTATTGTGGATCTGTTCCGGACTGGATGAACTTTGGGCAGTTATTTCGCATCCCCGTCAAATATGGCTCGAAATCCTTTCATGTCTCGATATCGCTGAGATAGGCGTGGCAAACCACTGACTTGCTGTTAAAAATCATACATGGAATTGACGGCTTCCCATATTTCAGCGCTGTAAGTCTTGGCGATGCAACAAGTGTCAACCCAAATCCATTTGTGCTCATCGGAACGAGCCTCCTCATGGCCCTTCTGGATTTTCAGCGGATCCATTCTTCTCGCGAGCCTTGTTCAGGTCGACCATGTCCTAGAACAAGAAATCCTCCTCTAACCATGTGTGCGAAAGGGTGGCATACGGGGGGATGGCTTCGCCGATGAGTTCTTTCAGCCGGTACGTTCGCACTTGGGGCAAGCGCATATCGTAAATTGGAATGATAAAGCAGCGGGGTAAAGAAGAGTGATGACAGCCTAGGAATCCAAAAGAGGTTCGAGGGTTACGATCAGGTTTACAAGCCTCGTGAGGTGTGACGAGGTCTTTCCTCATTCGCTACTGACGGTAGACCAAGATGGATAACGGCACACTTCCGTGCAACCTCACGAGCTTCTACTACGGCTATCAATATTAAGTAGTTCTACCACAAAAGTGGCATATTTATATGACACTCACTGTTAGCTTCGCCAGCACATTAGAGTTATAGTTCCCTTTTAGTGCTAGTGACTCTGCGGTAGTTTACTCAGGTACAGGACAAAGAGAGTGTGCCGGTTACTGGTGTTCGCATAGATACAACGTGGCTAAATTTTTCATTTCATCCTGGTCGTGTTCATCAGGCACACCCACATATATCAAGCATGAACGCAGCTGATGTCTCTTGGCCAGTTTGTCTTCAAGCATATTTCTATTCTTATTCACAGGAACGAAGAATGTACCAGATGCTTTATATTGATATTTAAGTATCCACGAATCCAGTCAAACGTTCTCCGCCACGATATGAAGTCATGATAGATCATGTTGTCCCGACAGAGAACGGGGGCTGCGTGCGGGCGGTTAACAGCCGGTGGAAGACCAATAGCATTGTTTTCCAACCCCTATTTCGATATTCTCTATAAATCATATCATCCATATCCTTCATATCGTGTACCCTTGATCTGCGCTAGCGAATCCCAGCCTCCTGAATCTTCCAGTCTGCGTCCATCTCACCGATGTCTGGCAAAACCATTACACCCATCCCTAGTCACAGACAACTTCATAAGCGGCAATAACTTCATCGTCGAAAGGGGCGGTGCATTCCTCCGGTTCTGTCTCCTCATCAAAAGCGTCAACCAGGTTGTTACAATTTACGTCGTTGAACAAAGTGACTTCGCAGTCCGCGCTCACGAACGTCTTTATCCAGGCGAGCGCATTCCCGTTTCGAATGCCTGCAGTGCATGCTTGGTCGCCAGCACCACTGTATCTGTCGGCGGCGCCAGTGCAGCCCGTGGTTTGAAAGAGTTTGAAGTCCCACTCAACGTTCTGGCGCTTCGAGTCCGTGTCCGCGGCAGGGGAGGCGGCGCTGAGGGCCGTGAGGGCCAAGACTGCGAGGGAAGTGGTGAAATACATTGTGAATGAAGTAATTCTGTGTGTTAGATATGATGGCGACGAACAAAAGTCTTCGAATGTGGCATTAAAATGAGATGTGGTGGATCGGAGCTGTCGATGTTTGGTCTGAGAAGTCTTGAGAACAATCGCGTTGTCTAGCCATCTTATATAGATGTTGGCTCTGTACAACTGACCGTTGTAAGCTCTTATTTGCTACCATAGAAAATATACCAGAGTTGTAGAAATAGCCTTAGGCGTTTATTTTGGTATCAATACAACAAGATCGACATGGTCATGCAACCGTCGCATTGAACCGTATAATCCCCTGCCGATCATGAGGTCATAATTTGAGTTTATGTTTGTAACGCGTAATCCTAACCACCTACGTCCAGAAAATAGTATGCGACTTTTCCAATCTTAAGTAATACAATGGTGCCTTCAAAAATCCAACCAATGTTCGTTGTACTGCTAGTCAGCATGGGGCAGACAAGTCAGTCTTCCAGCTGGTTCTAATAAGACACAGCCCCAGCCCCAGTAATCCCATACAAGTGTTTCTTGTATTATTACCGACGATCAGAAGTTTATATCTACACTGTTCAACGTCATCTCACACATTGACCAGATCCTTCGAACTCAGGTATCATGCCTTGGCAAGGCACCGCTGGCCCTCGTAAAGCGCAGCCGATTCCCGCAAGCCTTGAGACAACCCAACCACTTCAACCAGGTTGCCAAGGGTTTACGTCAACTATCTAACCAAACCTATCAATTCTCCAGATTTTGGTTATCAAGCCAGATCAATTTAGAGGCTTGGTAGTCAAGGCTAAGTGTTCCCTATTTTAAGTAATTTGCATGTACTAGAGGCCCCTGCGGGCCTTCTAGGAACTTTCGCTGTAATCTCGGCAATCCTCTAGCGCTTAAGAAGCATGAATGGGATACAATTAATCGTACAAGCAACGGTGTCGGTACTGTTAAATCTGGTGTTATACTGCCAAGCGTCTTCCGCGACGAAGGGATTTTGGCAGACGCCGACTGGCTGACACTTAGCTACCTTACAGGATATACTCACACACTTCGAGACTGTTATCCGTATCCTTGAGGCCGACGGCTAAACCCGCTAGCTCCTTTATAGCTTTATTGCTTATATGGTAGTATCTAGCATGTCGTTATGGTATTTGATGTAAGGAATGGCCGCCTGTAACCTATTGCCCCACATAGACCAAAATATCTAGCAATCTGAGCACTTCATGCCCGGATCCGGGCTTATTTACGATTATAAGCGAAGGCTAGTCTACCTTGACCTTTTTCGCTGCTAGTATAAACGCTGTTTCAAGCACCTACGGCTCTCGGTAATAGTACTAGACTTTCTTACAGTACAGGCTATATCAGCCGAATACGAGGGCTTATTTTCATATATCGGTAGGATAATATCTTCATAGCGGCTTATAGGTGGAGGCTAGATAATACGAAGTTAGTACAGGGCCAGCTTAGCAAGCCTAGGGGACCCTCTATTACGGGCTATAGCGGCTAAGACGGCTGTACAAATTCACTGGCCAAGTTAACCGGATAAGCCTATAGAAGAGGCCACCGCGGAAGCTGCCTGAATACTATGAGATTACGGCACTGGTGAGGTTGGACGATATATTCATTTCTGGCTAGTTATGGCAACCACCATGGTAACCAGTCAACCTAGCCTTATGTGGATAACCGTTTGATCAACTTAACCGTTCTTCAACCCAGCGGAAGGTGACGGGGAGTTTGATTGGGTTGACTCGAGGCGTGGATTCCCGCTCTGCCAAGCTTAAATTCGAAGAGGTACATCAAATGTGAAGTAGTTAAACCATCAACTGAACTCAACGGGCTTCCAAAATCTCGGTCAATGCATCGACTTGGACTTCAGATTTGATATTGGACAAATCATATCCCGCGGCGACATTATTTTGTCTCTGGATGCGGCATTTCGGATTCGTTTCGGCCATCTGATTCACACAAGTATAGTCGGGGAGGCAGAATATGGTATACCATGATCCCCGTTTTTAAAGTGAATTTTTGCAATTAAGTCTAGGTCTGCTTGCTAGGATGAGTTTCATGGGTATTCATCCTACACCGAAACCCCGTGCAAGCTAGTTAGGCAAGGGCATTATAAGCAAGTATTCTATTTCTGGCGTTGCAACTGACCTACATTCGGCCTGGATGGCTGAGTGAAATATATTATTATTAAATACGCCGTAGGCTCGAAGCCCCCGGTACCTCTACAAGTGCTCCCGTATGTCAAACCGTGCCCTCATGGCTGGACTAAATACATACGCTGCTACGTAAGTTCGCTCTATTAGCGACTGCCTTACGTCTACCACAATACTATGTTAGTTCTCACCCTACTAACAAAGTCCCCCCCGAGAAGATCGATATTATCCGGGCCTAAGCGCTATCCGGCCAGTCCTGAGTAGCCACCTTGTGATAGTCCCGCTGACTACTGGCTTCCCCGTCGCCGTTGCCAGGTCTCTACGTGTATGCAGCGGCCATGGTGCGATAGTGGCCCGCAGGCGCTCTCTCGATTCTTCCAGCAGGCCGCAAAAGAGGATTACGTGCTCTGCCGTCTCGGGGGCCTCTCAATATAATTCTGGCATGTTTGCCGTTGACATGTTGAATGATATATTCTCCAGGCTATATACATGCGTGCCCATCTGTGAGCTTCAAGAAGGCGTCTCAAATGAGCTGGATTGTAGTCTTATATCAGCACCACAAGCCCACCTCGGAAGCTCGCTAATGGCATGAGAATGTTGACTTCATTCTTCTGGCTCGGTCATTGGATTATGGCTGATCTGAGTCCTGCCCGGGCTCACGTCCGAGTTTCTTGCAGAAGAACAACGTCCTACTGCAGTCGCAGTGATATCCATGGTAGCCTCGCTATTAATCATTGTTGTTGTTGTTGTTGTTGTTATCAGAGTACTTGTTCGTTAGAAGCTGATTAGAGCGTTTGACGAGCGCGTCAGCCCACAAGTCCTACACTGACATTTTTCCACCCGATCTCAGATCCTCAGCTTGTCCTTAGCCGCTATGGAATATACGATATTGGATACCGAAGCGGGTCCGCATATCCACACGTCGGAAATGGCAATTGGTCACAATATACAAATTGCTAATTCCATCTCGGCTAATTTACATGTTCGGCCTTTACGCAGGAGAAAACTTGGCATCGCAGCTGTTCTTTGATGTGGACTTTTGCGAGTGTCTGTTGGAATCTATCTGTTAGACAATGCTAACGTATGGTCTGGTTTTGTTGTGTGAGTCGTCCTAATCTTTGTCGCCTGAACAATGCTTGCAACGTCAATCATTTGATCATCTGATTGAACGATTAATAAGTATCTGCCTATCAGACTAGAAACTCAGAAGCTGGCACGTGAATACAAAAAGCACATCCGTCTTTCGTATCAACGCAATGCTGACTGCTATCTCCGAAAAGGATACTACCTGGCACTAGTCTACCGTAATGATCTGGTCGTCTGTAGAACCCAGCACAGCTATCATCCCGCTCTCTCTACCAACAATGAAGAGTCTCAGGTTGCAGCTGCCGCCAAGCGAAAGCCGAATCACCACCACCCGCCTTCTGACCCATTGGACTTCGGCTATGTAGGAACGGACCATCAACCAACAACTTTTCGTGTTTTTGAAGGAAAATAAATAAGGCCGACTGAGGTAAAAGTTGCCTTCAGAGCCCACAACGGTGAGGAGGTGTTGTGGCAACCCGTCACAACAGGAATCAGCACCCAGAGAATAGTCAATGTAGAGAGGAATGTAGGAGATTACCTCGCAGACATGGCTGCTACCGTGCCGATTATAATGAGGTTGAAGGCCTGTGAATCCTCGCAAAAAAGCCCAAGAGTCAAGGATCGTCCTACTTCTCATGTATACAGTCAGAGTTTCCCTTAGGGACCTTTCAAAGGTAATTTAGTCTGTTCATCTATGTCTCTAACACTGTCTACCACGCCACACATATCACCGAATCGCTAAAGGACGGGTGCGATAAGCGGAGTAAGGACGTAGATGGATTTTACGGAAATTGGTAGGAAATGTGGTCGCGATTGCATGGCTCAATCTACAGCGCTACACGAGAAACCCAACATTGCATCTTGGCATAAACGTGCATGCATTACGCCCACTCGTAACATACATGAAACCATGCTCAAAGAAACTCTATGATATAAAACACGCCGTTGTAGCCATTTCTTCCCCGTCAGAGTGTGCTAAAGTACGTATAGTGATCCTATCAATATAGTAGGTATCACGTCCAAGAGGCATCTTATGTGTAAGGATTCTCCATACTTCGACATGGGTAAGTGATAGTTACCAAACTAGTGAACACATCCTACACAAGTCGAGAGTGGATAGATCCTTATTGGCTGAGGCCAAGTACCAAGAGTCAGCCTCATATGTCTCTCTTACGAGCGCTTTTACGTCTGATAGCGCAGGTATCTAGGCTATTTTCATGGTACCTCGGAACTGAGTGGAAGACGCAGGTATTGTGCCACTTTGTTACGGTGCAGTTCACTTTTCATACTCATGATGTGGGAGCGACTCGGAAGAGAACCAAGACAACAAAGAAGTCACCGTTCGCGCATTTACGTAGCCTGTATTTAGGGAACAAGTCCTGGAATCCAAGGCTGGTTTGATGCATGGTGCAAAAGCCCAGCCCTGCTGAAGGCACAGAGTGACTTGAGCAGTAGGGGGATTTGCTTGACTAGAACGCATACTATACATGTTTCCATCGACTATAGTGTCTGACAAGTTTCGATTGATCCCGAAGTCATACTTGCGCATCGGTCATTTCCGGTAAGTTTCAGTGGAAAGTTATAATATTGTTACCTCGTACTTCGCACTTGCATTTAAGCACGCATTGGCGACTGTGCCACTGGCCCTGCACATGTAGAGCACGGAAGTTGGAGTGTTTCGAAGGCTAATAATGCAGTCCAACAATCGGGGCAGCGGCCGAATCCATCTAGTCATCTGTGCTGTGAAGGTTAAGATCTTTGATAATTCTCTCGAGGCAGATTGAATGGTAGTTGTCGAAGTGGAAGCCGCAACCGGTGGTTTCTTCCTGTTTCGGTGAATGACGTCGGCTGCAATTTCCCTAATTGTCCAAACCAGCAACCCACCGTAGCAACCCTTGACGCCTCATAACCTCTTGCTGGCCCAAGCGCCGAGGTCGGACCCAAAGCGGCTAAGCGGGCGGGCCTTATCAGGTGCAGAGCTGGCCCATGCACGACCCCTGAGGCTGAAGTGCAGCTTTGCTCTGCTTTGCTTGGTCCGGGAAATTGAAACATTTCACCACTTTCCAGGGTTCGGGTTAAAGCTAGCACCCCCAGGGGAGCGAGAGAAAGGCTTTACGAATTGCCCGTGGCTTGTTTTTTTCTTGGCCGTCAGTTGCTACTCCATGTGCCACTACCACTGATGTGTTTGAGTCAGTCCGTCTGCTATCTATGAAAATTCCCAATCAAACCTGCGCATCAGAAAGAAGTCTTCATCGCAACACAAGCTACAATTGCCAGGTACGACACGATTGCCGCAGGAAACGAAACGCGGTTTGGAGGGACGACGCGCCAGCTGTCTGTTACATTGATTGATTGATAACCACCAGACACCACTCCGACCACCTGCCACGGTCACGGAGCCCAGCCTTCACCCACAGAAAGCGTCGAGGCCAACCAACTCCCTGAGCTAAAAACAAGCCCGACCGAACAACTTCTCTCTTGATCCCAACACCCTTTCCACACCTGCGGCCTCGATATACCGCATAATCCCCGGACGCAAAAACCACACACAGCCCCGACCGGAACCAACAGCCGCAAACATGGGCGGGCAATTCAGCAAAATGATGGGCAAAATCTTCGGATCCAAGGAGATGCGGCTGCTGATGTTGGGTCTGGACGCAGCAGGCAAGACGACAATCCTGTACAAGCTCAAGCTGGGGCAGGACGTGACGACGATCCCAACGGTTGGTTTCAACGTCGAGACGGTGACCTACAAAAACGTGAAGTTCAATGTGTGGGATGTGGGCGGCCAGGACAAGATCCGGCCGCTGTGGCGGCACTACTTCTCGGGCACGCAAGGGCTCATCTTCGTCATCGACTCGAGCGACCGTGCGCGTATCGACGAGGCCCGCCAGGAGCTACACCGCATCATCAACGATCGCGAGATGAAGGATAGCTTGCTGTTGGTGTTTGCTAACAAGCAGGATATCAAGGAGGGTGAGTACTCGATTCCCCAGTGTCAAACACTTTTCTCTTTCCTACTCGTCAGATTTGACCTAGCCCACTCCCATGATTGATCGCAAGACATGGAGAAGACATGAGAACTGACGGTGCTATCACCATCTATAGCGATGAAACCCCAAGAAGTAACCGAAGCCCTGCAGCTGTCCAAGCTGAAAGACAAGGTGTGGTACGTCGTACCGTCATGCGCAACGACGGGTGAGGGGTTGCTCGAAGGCCTGGCCTGGCTGTCTAACAACGTCAAGGCGCCGCCAACCCCCGCTAAGAAGTAGGCCACCCTCTCTCTCTTTTGGAATGAGAGCGTATGCCTGCAGCGTCGGCGAGATGATGGGAAGTTGGCGAATGGAGAGAAGCACGTGAGCAGAACCGGGTTCTGCTATAGTTTGCCCATATATATATATATATGGATAGTAATGCCCCCCCCCCCACCTTTGATGACAAAAAGGCAAGAGAAGGAGACCGACAGTTGACACGGCGACGGTGACCGCTGTGGTGGAGATAGAAAAGGAAGAAAGAGCGAATAATTGTTTCATGTAATGCGATTCCAGCTTGCGGGGTTTCTACCGTTTGTATGTTTGATTTGGGCCATTGCGAATTGCGGGTTTACGGCTACAACTTCGGGCGAGGGGCTAGCAAGCGCGTCGGAAGGACGGATAAGGACAAGGTGTACCATATCATCGAGCCGCCAGACCGAAGCTGCTGCAACTCGGAAATGCTTGGTTGGGGAAAGCGGCCAGGCTGTGGTCTGACGGCGGCGGCGAGCAGAGGAGAGGAGGAGAGAGGTCATTGTACGCTACAGGGAGATTGTAATATTTGGCCCTTGGCAAGTCCAGCCCCTTCATTTCTGAATTGAGGATAGATGACAAAATAAGAGCTGAATGTACTCTGCGGAGCTAGTCTTATGTGAAAGGGACGCAAGTTCCAATCCAGCCACCATATGCAATTCCACCAACGGTAAAAGTAGCCCTGCTACTAACGTACAACCCCACCTTTCCGGCCACCTAATTTGCCAACTACAACAACCTTCGGCACAACAGATTATCGTCGGTATTGGCTATTATTATACAATGCCTCGATATTCAGAAAATTCGATTCAAGGCGCTCTCAACGATATCAATCAAGGGATATCCCAGCGCCAGGCTTCCCTCCGATGGGGCGTTCCACGCTCTACCCTCCAATTACGACTCGGCGATGGCCTCAGCCATTCTGACGCGTCAATCGCGTCGATGAAGCTATCTAGGGATCAGGAAGACGCGCTGATTGGATGGATCCTCGAAATGGATCGCGAGGGTCGTAGCCCGTCGGCGCTATTCATCGCTAAGATGGCGTTGATTCTGTTACCTCAGGATCATCGATCAGAGGGCCTCGGTCGCCATTGGGTTCATCGCTTTATTCAACGCCATCCAGAGGTCGGAAGTATCCAATCTCGACGTCTCGACCGTCAGAAATTTGATGGCCTATCGACGGGATCATAATATCGACGATTTCTTCGAGACGTACGAAGCCTTGATGTCTGCTCACGACTACTTTCCACATAACGTCTGGAATATGGACGAAACAGGCATCGCGATTGGCGAAGGGATCGAGGGTATAGTGTACGGATCGTCAGAGAAACATACAACATTCGTTCGGAGTGACGAAAGCCGCGAATGGGTCACTATATTACATGCTATATCGGCGAGGGGTAACTCGTTGACCCCAGCAGTAATATATACTAGCAAGAGCCTCCAAGCCCAATGGTTTAACGATTGCGACGATATACCTGATTGGCAATATACTAATTCGTCTAACGGTTGGATCAGTACAGATATCGCCGTTCGATGGCTTCGTGATATCTTTATACCTCGTACACAACCAGTTGATCCCGACGAGCAGCGGCTCTTGATATTAGATGGTCATATCGCTCACGACAACGTCGAGTTTTTGTGGTCAGCCTATTGTAACAAGATCTCGTTACTATTTTTGCCAGCACACTGTTCTCACGGGCTCCAACCTCTTGACGTCGCCGTATTTGCTCCATTAAAGCGGTACTATCGCTCGTTAGCGACCTCTCTCTCGATCGAGTACTGTTCTATTTCATTTAAAAACTCGACGTTCCTCTCGCTATACATCGAGGCATATACGAAGTCGTTCACGATCAGTAATATACAATCAGGCTTCTCTGCAACTGGAATATACCCATTGGATCCATCGTGACCTCAGCCGACGATAGCCCCCCTATCAGAACGACCAACTACACCACCAACAGCTGGCAATTGGCTTGATCCGACAATAATAGCGACGCCAGTGACTAGCTTAGCAGCTAGGGAGAGTCTGGCAGCGATCACGCCATTGCGATCGTCGCAACGGCTATTGTTTCGGAAGCTGACTCGTCGGCTAGATGTACAGAGCGTCGAGGTCGCTACTTTGACCCAACGTGTACACGCATTAGAAGCCGAGATAACTTCGTTACGCCCCAAACCACGTAAGAAGGTACGATTAGGGCATAATGAACGATTTGGTAACATTGTACAGATTAAGGAAGCGATGGATCGAGCCCTTGAAGTAGAACGGCAACGAGACCAGGTACAACGTCGGAATCAGGTAATACTGGACCCAGCTAAGGCGTCAGAATCTATCATATCTATACCTCAGGAAGCCCTAGAGCACAGCTTTCTATTAGAGCTGGTTGTACCTGAATAGCTATAATAGTACGTTGAATATACTGTTTCGAATACCTTCAATTGGATTGCAATATGTGGCCAGAAAGGTGGGTGGCCGGAAAGGTGGGGTTGTACGTTACTCTATCTATCTACAACGCCTCCCATGCCCAATGCACCTCGTTTGATATCCGATCCACCCGTCACCCTTCTTTGACCCTCTTCACCGGCCTCACAAGGCTATCATCCGGCAAGCCACTCCGCTTCGTCCCGGGCAACGAACTAGTCCTGATATCGTTGTCGTCCTGACTAACTCTCCTCTGTGGATAACTCGTCTTCAATCCCTCGAAACAATTATTACTGACTTTATCCCCCGTCGAGAAGAACGGATGCTGCAGCGCCTGCTGCGCCGTGAGCCTCTTCTCCGGGTCGTACTCAAGCAAACCTGCTAACAACTTGTACCCCTCCGCTCCCAGGGAAGCAAGACTCGTACTGGAGCTAGGCGCCGACGTGCTCGAGTGCGCGCCAATGGTGCTGTAGTACCACTTTTCGAGGTGGCTCGTGCTGGCGGCGGTGGCGGCGGCGTGGCTATTCCGGTGGTGACCCCCTCCGCCGTGGTGGTGGTGCGCCATCATGGGGGCCTGCAGCGTGCCCAGCGCGCTGTACTCGTGCATGCTGGTTAGGTAGGGCCAACGTTCCTTGGTGGGGAGACCCATGATGTCGACGATTTTCTGCATCTGGTTGCGCTGGAAGGGGACGGTTTTCTTGCTGTCCATTTTGGCTTCTTCGCCTTTGAAGATGGGGCGGAGGCTGAGCAGCTCCGCGAAGATGCACCCGATGGCCCACATGTCGATGGCGGGCGTGTAGTGCCGACTGCCGAGGAGGAGTTCGGGGGCTCGGTACCAGATCGTTACGACTACCTTATCGCCGCTGTAGAGGGAGTGGAGGGGTTTGTGGAAGAGCCGGGCGAGGCCCAGATCGCCGATCTTGACTTGTCCCGTAGAGGTGACCATGATGTTGGCCGGTTTCAAGTCGCGGTGCAGTACCCAGTTGGCGTGGAGGTACTGGCATCCGTTCAGCAACTGGAACATGATGCTCTTCACCGTCGCCGGGGGTATGTGGTGTCGTGGATTTTGGGTGTGATGGTGGATGATCTGCAGCAAATCATGCTCGGCGTATTCGAAGACCATGAATATGCACTTGTCCTCGAGGATGATCTCGACCAGCCGGATGACGTTGGGGTTGCTCAACTCGGAGCACAGCGCCATTTCGCGCACCGCCGATTGAGAGATGCCGGTATACTGGATCTGCTCCCCTTCCTTGTCGGGCTTGAACTTCTTGATGGCGAATTCGCCCGTTTGGCCTTGACGGCCTATGGCTTTGTAGACGCGTCCATAGGTACCACTGCTAATGAAGCCAATGATTTTGTACTTGTCTATGATGCGCACTTTGGTCTGATAGCCTTTGCCGATCCCGCGGTCATTGGGGTCTGCGCGCGGTTGTTAGCTTGTTCGGAGGAGGTTAATACGAGGAAGAAACTCGAGTGCTGACTCTGATAGGGGTGGCCGAAGAAAATACGACAGGTTCACATTCGTAGATGTGTCTCGGAGCGATGGGGCATACTTGTTAGCAAGAAATTGGGTACGAGATCATGTCCTCGTCGTCATGGTTCACGATCACTTGACCCGATCTGAATGTTGACACCATCTAAGAACAACCACGGCTGCGGACGTTCCCCAACGACGGTGTCTGAGATCAACCCAAAGAAACACCCCACGAGGAAATCCTGAGGCCTATTGTACCCATATCAGGCTCCAACATCAGCCTCGCCACTTGGATGCCCCTGGGGGTACTTGCATTTCCCCGTCTGAGATGTTCCACCCAACCGAAAGGGAATAAATCATTTACCATCAAACGCAGCCTGAACACTCCGTTTTAGACCTTGGGTTCGAGCTCCTGAGGGCGCAGAGGCTCCTGAGGGAGGGTTGGTGAGACTCATGATTGCGTATCGTCAAGTACGTTCCGGAACACTGTCCCCACGCGGCCTCGGATATGTTGTCGACGTGGCTCCAAGGCTGACAAACGCCGCCTTGCCTTCTTGGGTTGGCTGTCAAATTAAGTACATTCGAAATCGAGACTCAACTTTGCACATTGCAAAGAAGTCAGATTGGGGTATATAGGCAAACAGAAATGAATAAACAGCATTAGGGAATTGTTGATGAACATTTGGAGGCGGGTCCTGCTGAGACGGGACGAGTAAGGTTGAAGCTTGAGTCTAGATTTGTGGCTGGTGCAAAGTGTGGCTGTCCATCTCTCCCGTGGACATCTACGATGTCGAACAGTTGCAACTTGAATCAGTCATATTTGACATTATCCAGGTCGAATCGAGTACATAGTTTCATCATGAACACAGCCATAACCTATCGATCGGCCCACACTCGATCGTTGTACCGGAACTGTAGAGTTTGGAGAGCAGGTGTAGTCATGAAATGCCGTGTCAATGAAAGGGGCATCAACAGAAGCATACTTGTCCAACTGATGGTATCAGTGGGAATCATGTACCCCTGCACTGCAGCTCTCATCGAGTCCGCAAGACAAAGCATGGTCTTGGTCATGACATACTTTTTAACATATCGGCTCAAACTTCACAAGTCATAATTCTATCCCACAAACAACGACCCCTGGATTCACTATCGCGGGCCTAACTTCTCAAGCACCTTGGAACCTTGCTCCTCCCACTCCTGCTTAGTGATCCACATGCTCTCTTTATCCGCCATGATATTTGCCAGCACTGCACCTCCCAAGAAAACCATATGCCGTCTACGAGGGGGATCCTCTATCCGCACCTTGAACTTACTCAAGCGCTCCGGATTGCCGCCCAGCACGCGTGTAAGCCACAGTTGCTTGAGCTCCTTCTCGAGCCGCGACGGCAAGCCGGGATACATGCTGCTCCCGCCCGAGAGCACAATGGCCTTGAACAAGGATGAGCGCACGTCGACGTCGGCGGCTTGGATGGTGTTGAAGAGGAACTCGGCGATACCCGGCTGCTCGCAGTCGACGAGGTGTGGCTGGAAGAGGCACTCGGGGGCCTCGAAGCGCTCACTGCCGACGCGGATGACGCGACCGTCGGGCAGGGTGTAGCTCTCGACCAGGACCGTCGTGTCCTCGCTAAGGCGCTTGTCGAGTTCCAGGTCGTACGACACGTAGCAGAGCTTCTCCTTGATCTGGCGCACTGTTTCGAAGTCGGCTGTGCGGTTGAGGGCGTAGCCGCGGCGGAGCAGCAGCGCGATGAGGTTCCGAGTTACGTCGCGGCCGGCGACGTCGAGGCGGCGGGTTAGGTGGTTGAGCACGACGGATTCGTAGACGGGCACGATGTGGGTGACGCCGTCGCCTGAGTCGACGACCACCCCAGAGCTGAGACCTGCCGAGGGAGTAGTATTAGCTTGCTGTCGGCCGTAAATTTCTTCCTTCTAGCGTCTTCTGGCTTCCCACGGCAACGTACCTTGGGCGTAGAGTGCCAGCACAGCCTGAATAGCCACGTAAACACCACCAAACTGGTACCGCTCAAACATGACCTCGCACATCTGCTCTCGGTTCCTCAGGGGGTTCATGGGCGGTTCTGTCAGGAGAATCTTGCGTCCGCTGGTCTCAACCTTCATCTTCTCGAAGAACGTGTAGTCCCACAGGTGCTGCATGTCATCCCACTTCTTGACGATGCCGTTCTCCATGGGGTAGCTAATCTGGAGCATGGTGCGAGCGGCCGCCGCCTCGTCGCCGCACATGATGTCCTTGATGACGATGTCATTGTCGCTGCTCGTTTCTTCCGTTCGCAGGATTGGCCGGCCGATGATCGAGGGGTATTGGAACTCGGGGAAGTTTTGCGCGGCGTAACCGACCTTGAGGAAACCAGTTCCACCGTCGAGGACTAAAGGGTGAGGTTAGGCTCATGCGACCCGTTTATGGGGAAAGTGAACGTGGGTTGGATTACCGATGGGCGGAGAAGACGCCATGATTTATGACAGGCAGCCGGCGCGAAGGGGAGGTTGGGATTGAGAGAGGCTACCTCCAAAGTCGATTTACTCGTCGGTATCGTGGGATTGAGTTGCCTGGTAGCTTGATGATGGCGGGGTCCCACCTTGGAGTTGCGGTCTTGGCTGGTTGCTACCAAGTTGCACAGCCTCGACTAAGTTGCGCCCCAAAGCTAGAACTGGAGGTGTGCTCGAGCTGTGGCTGCCTTGAAAGTAGCTTCGGGAGTGGCTTGAGCTCGCTCTTGCAACCCTAGAACCCCGGCGTTCCCCGCACCCGGGCGTTTTGCACTTGCACCTGTAGACAGACCGCACATGATGCAATGCAACGCCGTAGATTTTGAGGTTCTCGTGACTATGATGCAGTTTTCATTACTTAACTGTGATACTTGGAGCATCTTATTGGCTCTCAAATACTCTCAGTCAAGTATATAGGTAACGATGCATCAAGTGACTTCATCAAACCGCCAACAGTCCTGCTCATTGAGCTCTTCTACTCGTGATCGACACGGGATGCCCACAATGTCCACCAAACTCGTCCGCGGCAAGCGGACCAAGATTCTGGTCCTCAACCCCAATTCATCACAGTCAATGACCGATGGAATGCAGGCCGTTCTTGATTCTGTAGATTTGCCACAAGTCAGTGTCTTGTTGCGCAACCTGGAAAGCTAGACCTTGGGCTACTTACGCTAAACACAGTCTACCGAGATCTACACCTACACCGGCCCCGCATCCTCCCCCGCCAGCATCAATGACGGTGACGACATCAAACAAAGTACAGAGGCTGTGCTATCAGATTTCGAAACTCATAATGCATTCGACGGCATCCTCGTCGCCTGCTTCAGCGTCCACGATCTGGTCCCCAAACTACAGTCAATCCGGGCTTTGCCCAAAGCCGTGACTGGAATCTTCGAGGCTAGCATTATTACTGCCCTCTCACTCCTGGGACCGGGGCAGAAATGGGGCATTGTTACCACCGGCAAGTTTTGGGAGAAGCACTTGAGTGAAGGTGTAATAGGATTCCTCGGGTCGGAGGGCGGGAATAGCAACAGCAAATTTGCAGGCGTTGAATCCACTGGTTTGAATGCCTCGGATTTCCATGATGGGGTTGATCCTTCTGTGGTCAGAGATAAGTTGAAGTCGGCTACGAAGAGGCTATTAGCGAAGAACGACGTGGGGTGCATCGTCATGGGTTGCGCGGGCATGGCTGGTCTCGAGGAGATCATACGCAGTGCGGCGGCTGAAGTGTCTGGCGATGTCTTTGCGTACGATATTTTGCATGTGGTGGATGGCGTACGGGCTGGTATCATGCAGGTTGAAAGCATGATCAAGAACAATAAGTTACGGAGGCATTGGGGCTCTTGAGAGAGAGCAATTTGTAATTCGACAGTGTTGGGCTATTTTGGTACCGAGCTTTTACACATATCTTTCAAAAATGATTCATAGTATCCTATTGGATTCAGACCAATTTTTTTTTTGTTTTTACATGCACGTTTTCGTTAAGGTCCGCATTATGAACTCAGTTAGTTCTCGCATGTGAGCTAGACGACTTTCAGGCAGATTATAGACTCGATTCAACTGCTATCTATGTAGTTCTCCAGATTTTACCTTCCAGACCAAAGCAACGAAACCAAAAATCAAAACGTGGCGGACACAGTATACCCAACACACCGAGTCCCTACATTTGAAAATGAGTCAAAGAAATGAAATACAGCAGAAAGGAAACCCAGGCATGCAAGGAACAAAGACATCCCTTCGTCGTGGTCTTCATGTCCACCACGGTAACTTCCTAAGTGTGGCTATCATAAGGAGTGGCAAATTCTTAGTCCTTCGTCTGTGTAGCTTGTTCTGTCTTCCGATTCTTCTCCGCTTCTTCTCACTTTTTTGCAGCCTTTTTCTCTCACGTTCTGTCCATTTTGCCGTTCGTCCCTGTCAACGTCAAAAGCATTTTCCATATAGCTGCTCCCATCGGAATTCGCTTTCACCAGTTCCTAAACCATTGGTTTTCCCCGTGACCATCAGGTCCGTTGATTGCTTGCGGACTAATAGAAATTGTGCCAAAAGACAAATAAAGATTACTCAGCACCTCACCAATAACATCTGCTGGCTCATTGAGGAGCTGATTTTCTGTTATAGTTCAAGAACTGGATGAACGGGTTCGAAAGATTTGAGTTCATCTTCGGTCAGCTTCGCATTTTCTAGTTAGGAATCAACAACGATATGCTGCATGATTTTGTGGCAAAGTTGCCCCACGAGCTCCGTCGCGGTCGTCTACTTATTTGCCTGGCTCAAAGTCGACATGTTTTCTAGTTTCGTGAAAAGGAGAGATACAAACCTGTGCTGAACGAACAGAAGATGTCAACGTAGAGTCGAGAAAAACACTGGCTTTGCAGACAACATGATGGGTGTCGATTATTGTCGGATGATTTTAATTGGTTCTCTGCTAATCAACGTAGAGTTCACTATGTCGGCCCAACCCCTGATCTTCTCGTTGGAACTGCCATCACTATCACCCATGATCATGCGAAGCCTCACCGCGAAGGCATACACGCTCCTTGGTGAGCTTCATGTATGTTGTGTCTTGTAAAACTGCCCTTCTGTACCGAATGATTTCGATATATTCTTCTTGACATTGCGCAGGCCAACTGCTTTTTGCGCGTTGCCAAAATGTGTTGCGTCTGTTTCTATCGTTTCCTGAAACATGAAAGAGTGTAATCTGACCAGAATTTCCGTCCCCATGGAAAATGATGACCCCTAATGATAATCCTCGTCTTGGTATATCGGAAGCCAAATATCATTCCAGCCTCTGGCCCTCTGAGCTACGCACGAGCGCGTTTCTTCATTAGTACGCCACCGGTTTCAGTTATTCAGAGGATATCGTAGTTCTCTAATTACATAATATAACTTAATTCTGTAATATTTCTTGCTGCGATCGAATTCCGGTCTATTACCGCCTTGTGTTGTTGGTGTCACAACTGTAGGTTGGTGGTGTAGAAGTAAATTGCCAACCAGCCTTGACTAAAAGTAACTACCCGCGTCGCATATAACCAAATTCCGCTTACGGTTCTAGTTTAGTTTACATCCTTCGCCAACCCAAGTCTCACATGCGCTCACCATGGGGGGCGTGGTCTTTGGGGTCTGAAGACTTCGTGAGTATATATGATCTGATCATAAAACACAACGATACAGAACATGGAGAGTATTGGAAGGATCAAATCAATGGCGGCAAACCGTCATTGGTCGCATGCGGCTACTCTCATTGATCAGCTTGTGTATGCGGCTCTGCCAGGCTGGTTTCCGTATGGGAATGCTGATGCCCCCTAACTTTATGTACCCCCAATTTGAATCAATGCATACAGATACCCCTTCAGTCTAATCTCCTAGTTCGACCCCAAACCTCATCAGCATCCCTCTTCCCCTTGGTCTCAGGTACTCTGGTCGACACAAAGAGCCCACACAGCACAGCCAATGCAGCAAAGACAAAGTACACCCACCCCGCGCCACCAAACCTCTCATTCATGGCCTGGTTGATAATGGGGAAAAACTGCGCCACCAAGAACGTAGCGATATAGCTAGCAGCCAGACACCAACTCTGCGCAGCGCCCACGGCCTCTTGACTAACCAACTCGCTGGCCATCATGAAGGGGACGGGACCTAGGCCAACTGCGAAGAAGGCCACGAAAAAGAGGACTGCGATGGCGCTGAGGATCTTAACCCCGGATAGAATGGAGATCGCGAGACAAAGTGCGGACGTACCCTGCCCGGCAATGGAGAGTAGTAGACAAGTCTTGCGACCCAGCTTATCTGGGAGAGGGGAACACGCCACAGTGGTGATCAGATTGATAGCCGAGATCAGAATGGTCAGGAGCGCCGAGTCAACGGGTAGCAGGTCGGCCAGCAGCGAGACAGAGTACATGATGATAGAGTTGACGCCACAGAGCTGTTGCGAGAACATGATCCCCACAACGGCGATGATAGCCGGACGGGTGACCGGATCGCGAGCGACTTCGAAGAAACCCAGATGAGTACCAGCCTTCCCACTCGCCTTGCTGGTCGTGGAGTCTCGTCGAGCCAACAACGTCTCCTCGTCCGCGCCGTTAAGCAGACCCTCCTCTTCGGGTATCACCACCTCTCCATCCGCGCGCCATGCCGCAATCTCTTCTTGAATGTCAAAATGATCGCCTCTGATGCGCTGCAGGGTCCGCTTGGCCTGGGTCACGCTCTTGTTCGCCGCCAACCAGGCCGGGCTCTCGGGCAAGATCAACAACCCCACGCCCTGGAAAGCTCCGACGATGATGCCAGCACCAAGAACCCATCGCCACGCCGAGCCGTAGCTGAAGAAGTACCCGAGGGTCTGCGTGCCGAGAATGCCGACATTGATACTGACCTGCGTCATGACACCGAAGAAACCCCTCTCCTTCGGCGGGGCAATCTCACTGATGTACAGCGGTACGATGACGGTGGCGGCCCCCGCGCCCACACCTGAGAACATTCTTCCTATCGACATGACGGCGATTGAGGAGGCCACGGTTTCTATCAGTGATCCAAGTATGAAGAACAGACTCGTGATTCGCATGGCCAGCAGCCGGCCTTTCGCGGACGAAGTTGGACCCGCGGCGAGAGCGCCAACCAAGCCGCCGATGGTGAACAAGCTCGATACGACAGCGAATGCGGCATTGTCCATGGGGATACAATCCGGCAAGTCGGTGCGGGCAGCGGTCGAGGATTTGGATGTGGTTAGCGAGATTAGAGTGCTTGTGATCCTCGTCGAGATGGATTTCTTGCGGCAGGTTATGACGTCTTGTGGGGCATTGAGCTCAGCCTGGTTATGTACTTAGTTACTGTGCTATGACTGGCCTCTAAGATACACAGCAGAAACGAAGGACATGTCTGGGGGAACACCGCTCTCACCAGATGGAAGCCAAACTGTAGCGGTCCCAACGTGCTGATCGCGATCAACAAGATGAGGTAAGGCGAGACATCGTGGACGCATTGGCGCAACCCGGGAGGCATGATGAACGCCAACTTCGAGCAAAATAACCAGGCTCTAGAGATAGCTAAAGTATATGGTGAAGGTTAGTAGGGTTTTGTTTAGGTTGAGGTCTGCACTGAGGGATGTTAATGGTGTATAGCTTGAAGATAGACGATTGGCACCGTAGCAGCATTAGCATCCAGTTGAAACGTCGTTCGCGCGCGCAAGGCCAGGCACGACTCGGTGTCTCTCGGGTGATCGACCCGAGCTCTCCGCACGGGCCCTAGTTTTAGAATCTGGGGTCCATACTTCCTTGAGTAGTATGGCAACTCGAAAAAGGTCTTCAAGATTTCAAGTACCTTAGGAACAACGAAATTGAAAACTCCAAGTCGTGGTTGAATAAATCACCTTTTAGACTGTTATACTGGTATCTTATTAACAAAAAAATGCCATTGGAACATGTTGCCAATTCCACTTATTCGGCGGTCTCATTTGCTGGCTGGCTTCCTTTCCACACCTCGGCCCTCTTGCTCTCATCTTCTTGTTCCTCATCAGCACCAAACTTGGTCATGCTGAACTCGGGCAAACGCTTGTGGAAGCTACGGGCACCCTTAAGCTTCCGTTGCCGCAAGTGTTCCATTTCATCGGTCACCTTCTGCTTCTCGGCTTCTTCGTCCAACATGGTTCCCTCGATGCTGAGGTACCCGTAGTCGCCACTAACGCCAACCTCATAGTTCTTGACGCGGAAGCGCAATTTGCCGCGTACCTTCTGGCCCTTCTCGTCAACCCAGTATCCGGTTGTGTGCAGCTGCGTCTGAGTGACATCACCGTCGACGTCAGCGTCATTGTCAGGAACTGCCGCGACTTCGTCTTCATCTTCATTGGCAGACTCGGGAGTTGGCAGCTGAGCTTCATCCTCGAAGGTAATATGCTTGGCTCTCGTTTTTGTTGAACCCTTGTCGCTCATCAAGTCGACCCATTGCCAGCCCTGAGGTAGCCTTGCTGCTTCAATCGAGGCGTTGAACATCTCCCAACATACTACACCCAGGTGCCCTTCGCTCTGCAGGTTGATGGCTCCCTCCAGCCAAGCACCGCGCGCCGGCTTGAAAATATCGACTTCTACCGTAAGCCAGCCGAACACGACAGCATATTCGTCGACTGATTCCAGCATGGCCTCGTCCGCTGTTCCCTCACTCTTCTCCGTCAATGATCCTTTTCCAGGCCGTTCACCCACTCGTGGGTTGCGATACGCCAGGAGGACGCCCTTCAAATTCGGCACGTAGCGGTTGAGCAGGGGTTTGAGGTGCTGGTCGGCAAACCCTTCGACGGGCTCGATCATGCCAGAAGGGAAGAGAGGGAGGTATAGAGAAATCGTTTGAGTGAAGAAAGGGTAAGGCTTTTCGGCCGAGCTTCCGAACGCTTGAGACTTTGGTGCCTTCGCTGGAGAGTCAATATCCATAGCATCGGTATACATGGTCGCAGTGGGCGTATTGATTGTGTCCTCATGCTTCTCCTTTCTGTTCCTCTTCTTTTTCTTTTTTTCAGCTTCCTGCACAACCCCAACAACCTCGACCTCTTGCGACTCATTGACATCAGAGTTTTGATGCTTCTTCTTGTGCTTCTTTGACTTATTCTCCTCGATGGTGACCTCAACATTCACGTCGTCCACTGCGGCTGGTGGTGTCTCGATGGGCTCTGCGATCGAGTTCCTCCTCTTGTCCTTCTTTTTCTTTTTCTTCTCAATCTTCGCCGCGTCGGTATCGGGAACTTCCTCGGCTTTGGCCCTCAGATCACTTGTGGTGGCGTCTGGCATTGCCGCATCGTCGGCCAATTGGGACTCGGCGCCAGCTTCTGAATGTCGAGGTCGCTTCTTCTTCTTCTTCTCTTTCTTGCCGTCGCCGTCCAATTCTGTGTCGACAGCGGGTGTCGCTTTGATATCGACAGCGTTATCCTCCTCTGTCTTGGCCATGCTCTTCGATTTTTTGTGTTTCCGATCTGCCTCGAGCTCGCCATCGAGGTCTCGGTTTCGCTTCTTGGATTTCTTCTCCTTCTTATGACTAGTGATTGCCGCTATTGGCTCTGCAGTTGACGAGGGCATGACGACGTAATATTCTCCCGCGCTCCAGGCAATTGCTAAACTAGGTTGAAAGATTCGTCAAGTCCGAGGATTTGTAGGAACTGTCGTGAGGCCTGGGAATGCCCTCTGAAAAAATTGGGCTTGCAGCTTCCCGAGATGTCTGAAAATTTTGGTGGGGCAATTGCATGTTTTTTAAGCTAGGTCAGTGCACTAAGTGGGACTAAGTGGGGGTCACTGTGCCATTTACGGTCGCCAAGTTCCGACTTACACCAATGCAAAGTAAACCTCACTCTTGTAACTGCGCATGCCTACATCAGTGATAGACAAGTCTTGGTAATGGTTATGGTTTCCTCTGATATAATTGTTTCTTTCGCGGTCGTCTCAGTTCACATGCCAAGTTTCCAGTGGAGAAACCTATTGGAACGAGGGCACTGCAACACCACGTTTGGCTGCGAGGTCTATTCCATCTATAATTTTGGTATTCCCTATCATGTTTTATGAGGAGGCGAGCCATTAGATCAGTAGCAATCCATTCGCAAATTATTACTCGGAATCACAGCAGCAGTAACATCAGGAGACCATCCTCTTCGGTGATTATTGCCAGCCACTATCCTTGAAACGCGTTGGACAAAGTTGTGGAAATTCTCAGAAGGGCACCTAATATTCCTTCTCGATATTCTGGTTCAAATTCGGAGTCTTGTCCATTCTCTGTGTTCAGACAAATAAAATGCCGTCGACAAGCTGAAGCTTTCGGTGGCTGTATCAGAATAAGATACTTATAGGAAGGGAAGCCAAATTGGTCGGAACTACAACAAATTCTATAAGAACTTGCCGGTTAGCAATGACGGTGATCATTTTCTGGCTAATATTTAGTCCAAAAGACAGTGTTAACAGTGTTGTGGTCTTGTTAGATGACCAGGACTACAGCCTATAGCAATATCAATGACTTAGACATCTGACGCGTCATGCAATATTTCGAACTCCTTAATTGAAATGTTATATGAAGCCCAGGAAAACACGGAAGAGGGATCATTCAAATGATATTAAAAATTCCACTGGCTTCATATATTCCAGAATCTATATATCCGGCTGGGCTCTATTTTGACTTCATAAGCCGTCTCTAATCTTATTCCAAAACTTTTCATAATTTGATACACAACCGTGTCTGTTCCGACATCCTGTACTCTCAGAATACGACTATTCCGTGACCATCATCTCAACGCGGGACCTTCTCGTCTCGCACTCCATGGCCGCCTTGGTCACCATCTCCAGCCTCCTCCTGCCGCAAAATGTCTTCCCTAAAATATAGCAGGCCACAAATCAGAGCGCCTGGATTGGCTAAAAAGTCAGCAACAGAGAAAGCCCCCACTAATCCGACACGGATAAGGGCTCCCTCCCACCTTCCCGTCGACAATACATCGCCTCGGCAGTCCGAGAGGCCCAGATGGCAGCGGTAAAAACGAAGATCAGAAAGTCCTACTGGAGGAAGAATTGGACCTCAGGGCCCATCATAATTGGCTTGGAGTGCGTAGTGCCGAGCATATTGCCAAAGTCAGGCACAAAGATATTCGAGAAAGAGATGGCCCGATCGGTGGAACGGAGCACGAGGTCCATTGGAGTAGCCATAATGATGATCAAAATGACGATGATGAGTACCAAACTCTTTGTTAGCCAATAGGTGTTACATTTATAGCTGATCCCGACGGTACAATTGCCTATTAAGCAGGAGAAATATCGCCCGATATGTCCCTGTTCCACGATACGATACCGTGATCTTCCATCATACCATTCGTCTTTGGTCCCTTTTCGGCTTCCGGCACTCCGGAGACTCGGGCGTTTGTCGCGCAAGTGGAGATCGCCCGAGTATAAGTGGCGACAGGGTATACAGGATGGGGGCCGAACCTTATCTTAGGCTCGGCCGAGCACTCGAGCCCGTCGTTCGACATGAAAGGACAGTTACAAATGTCCAAAATGAATTCCGTTGCATCTATCATCCTATACATGCTGTCGGACCTTCAAGGCTACTCCGTCAAGACTGCTAAATCAAAGGAGAAACGTAAAGCCGCAAACCGTACGAAGTATGGGTCAATATGACCTCTACCCATTGAACCACACAAGTCCTGGCTGTGGGGCAGGCATCAGTCATTTCTACCTATATAAGGCCCCTATGGCCGCCCTTCACTTCTCTTAGGACTCTCCAGAGATCATGACACTTTCAATACAAGACCATTTGCCCACAATCCAATACATGCTCCGAAAGGAATTTCGAAGCAAAAACCTCCTTTTTAACAGGGCATGGCATACATTTTCCGAGACGCCATTTTTGGCCATGTCCTTCGCCTACTCACGGGCCGACGATTTTTCACCCATGCAGATGAGAAGCCAGGCTTTCAAGCACCTTCATTCGAGGACACCCGTGTGAGAAACGTAAGCGAGAGCGATGCATCGACCAATGACGCGGAGAAGTCCAGTTTAATGCCGCTTTTCCTCGTGCCGACCAGATGTCGGCGGTCCATGCTGTCATGGACCTGGTTGACATCGCGAATCACAAAAATTCCCTTTCTTCGGTCCTCGTCATGGATTATGAAGGATAACTTCCTGAATCCGAGATTCTGAAGCGCACATCACTGGCGACTCAAATACATATCACTGGGAATAACACTGGCCAGGAAGAGACAGAGGTCCGTATCAACAGATTAATCTTGTCTGGTGAGGAACCCCTAAATTTGGAAGCTCTAGGCATTGACGCTCTGGATCTGGTGCTCTTGGATCAGCGGAACATTGAGTAAACCTGCAACATTTATATTTTTTAATAGATGTGGGAAAAAGGTAAAATGATAAATAATTTAATTATTTTGCATTTCCTTACAGCGTGAAGCCACGGAGCTGGTCAAATCCGGCTCGATTTCACCATTGAAGACTGTACTCGGTGCGGCTAGCCAGAGTGTCATGCTTCTGAGCTCAGATGATGTAGGCCTAGGCCTTGACATGCTGACCAAGGCCGGTCTGCGAAATGCTGCCGTCGATTTAGCAGACAAGGCTATGGCGTGGGCTGCTCCTCTTCCAGCCTTTAACAGTCGAGACTCCGAGATGCCGTCGTGGACTTGGTGTACTCTCCGGCACCCTCGGCCTCGCCGGATGACCTCGCCGCATCCTTGACCAGGCAAGGGATAACCGTTCGCCCTAAGACACTAGAGGAGCACATCAACACCACAAGCAATAGCAATAACAGGGTTGTTCTTTTTGACCCCACCGGAAACCTGCTCTCCGCAGCTCAGCCCACGTCTTTCGAAGCCGTCAAAAAGCTTATCGCATCGTATTCTCGCCTACTCTGGCTTACCGCGGGCGTCAACCAAGGGAAACCCCCCCACGGCGTCCCTGGTGGCCGGCTTCCTGCGAGTGGTGCGCGAGGAAGACAAGTCGGCCAACTTTTCGGTGCTGGATTACGACCAGAACGAAAGCCTGGAGTCCATCTCGGGAGCTATCAAGTCGGTCATCTCGCCTGCTGCTGTTGGTGCTGGGACTGAATCCCTATCCGTTGAGTCCGAATACTGGATACACGGTGGTGTCATTCACATCAGTCGTGTGGTTCCAAATGCCAAGGTCAACACGCGCATGGTCGGTGACGATAGCAAGCTCATCCAGGAGACGCTTCCTCAGGGGGGCTCCTTCGAGCCATGCCCGAGTCAGGCAAGCTCCTATTCCGGCGCAGCGCTGTCCTGGAGCGGGCAAACATTGGCGCAGACGAGCTGGATATCCAGGTAGATGCTCTCGAGTTTCAAAAGGCGGATTTGCATTCTTCCCCTACAGGCCCGAGACTCGTTTCCGGAAAGGTTGTCCAGGTCGGAACTGATGTGCGGAATGATCTCCAGGGAAAACCCGTCATTGCATATTCTATCAATGCTTACGACACCGTCGTGGGGGTAGCAGCAGTTTTGGCTATTGAGATTACGCCCGGCAGCACCCCCGAGCTGATGCACAGCCTGCCTGGTTTCTGCTGTGCCATCAACGTGTTGCAGGCCAGTCCTGGGCCCATTTCGAAGAAGAACGTTCTCTTGGTCTCATTCTCGGCTGCTCTTTCGTCGTCCATGATTGCGCTGAGCAAGTCACAAGGATTCAAGCTGGCCTTGCTTCGAGGTGGCCAGACCGAAGTCGAGACGGAACAGGTTCTCTATCTGGATTCTTCGGACGTGAGTGGCATACAGGAAATGGTGAATAAGTCAGGCTCGACCGCTGTCATCGTGGCTGACGACTTCTCGAGCCTCGCCCAGAGCCTGTGGAGAGAGATACCTGCGGGTGAGACACTCGTTCTGACAGACACGGTGACAGCGACGGGCGGTCTTAGTAACTCAGCCGATGCCAGGCCTTTCAACCGCGGAGCCAGGTTCGCGGTCACGAGTGTGGCTTCTTCTCTTACTTTGGATCCAGCATTGTTGGGCAAAAATCTCGACGTGGCTATTCGCGAGGCCCAGAAGCACATCGTCAAGGAGCCGACTATCATGACGCTCGAGTCGCTTGCCAGGCACAGCGACATATCCAACGACACTTCCACTCTCGTATTCGACTATAGACAAGATACCATCAACATTGCCCCGTCCGAGTTCTCCATCCGTTTCTCTTCGGAAGACGTGTACCTCTTGGTGGGCTGTCTCGGTGGCCTGGGACGAGGCCTGCGACGAGGCCTGCGACGAAGCCGTACTTCCTGGATGATGGACCACGGCGCCAGGCACTTCGCCTTCATCTCACGCTCGGGAGCAGACAAGCCCGAGGCAGCCGAGCTCATCGAGGACATTTCAGCCGCCGGTGCGGTGCGGGCGTGGAAACAGCTAGTCACAATGGTGCACATCATGGCAGCAGTGATGATATAATCTTCCCACGCAAGCTGTCTCGCGAGTGTCTTCAACTTGGCGATGATGCGCAGCATGTATACAAAAAATGGCAGGGTGCAGCCGATAATCGGGACCAACATCTGTGGGATGTGGAGATCCCTGACGGGCACATTGAACATCGTCTCCGAGACGTTCTTCATTGCTTTTGAGAATATCAGTACTGGTCCATGGGGGCTGATTCAGTGGGCCTCAGGGTTTACCTAGAAGCTCATATGTAGTGCACGCTGCCGTCGCACATAGCGTGATGTTGGTCTGCAGAGAGACATTCTCGCAGACGCATTGGATGTTGGCCGCATTGTCCTGAAAACAGTATGATTATGGCACCAGTTCCGTGATACATGCGAGCTGGTTTGCCATGAAGTCATTAGCTCTTCATTCATGATTTGTGACAAACATGGTAGGTTCTATCAGTATGGGTAGGTGAATGACTTACAGAACATGTTGG